AAGAGTGATTTAATATTTTAAAAATAAAAAATCTTTATCTATTCAAATACATTTATCAAAATTTTTTTGGTGTGACAAACAATATTATTTATAATTTTAGATATTGACCAATCTTGTTGTTCTTTATTTCTTTTTATTATACAACTATAAAGAGTATAGATGAATGGACAAGGAAATAAAATTGAATGATCTTTGAGATAAGGATTGTTGGACAGTTTTTTTTTCTATTTAGCTCAATTGTTACATTATGTTACTCTTTAGTTGAGTGTTATTTATCTACGAAGCAGCATCTTCCTCTACAATCTAATGTAATGAGGGTATCTTTTATACTTGATCTTCTAATGGCTAGTTAAGTGTACAATCATATTAAAAGATATCTTTTTTTATACAAAATTTATTTAAAAACTACAATGATAACAAAATGTCTGTGGAGCAATTGGAAGATGTAGAGGGGGAAAATCATTTCTTCTCATTCTCTTGTGTAAGAAAGAAATGTTGAAGATTCTATTGAAGTTGTATTTCCGTTAGCAATAGGAAAGTTTATGACAATTTAATTGCTTCATTTATGCTATCAATTTCCGACATTTTTCTTTTCAATGTTCCCAACGACTATCCGATATTGAAAAGAAACTTTGATAGTAAGCTATTGATTTATATATGTAAAACGACTCTATTACATTTTCATATATATTGACTTGGGGTAAATAACTACCTCGACGTGGTTGTCAATAAAAAGTTTGAAAGGGCCAAAAACATAATTATCTCTTTTCCTTTTCTACAGAATTCCGAAGAAAGAACGATCACAATTTTACCTTTTTAACCCTAATCCTAACCGTTCAGTTGACAAGCTACTTCTCATTCTAGTTTTTCTAAGCAAATATTAAAACTTGTAGGCTTTCAATTAGATCTTATCTTCTCCACTAATTCTAGAATCAAAGAGTGAAATGAAATCTGAAGAATTAAGCTTTCTCCTTCTATTATTTCACAAAGTGTAGCCTATAATCTAATTGTCATTTTTGTAGATATGGGAGAAAATTTTAACGAGTCAATCACTGGGAAGAGGGATTTGAGTGAAAAACGTTCTGAAGATTTCTCGTATTGTGTTAGTTTAATTAAGTTTTTCCACCTGTCTTTCACTCAAATAGATTTAAACACCAATGTTTCAAGATTTCAATGCAGAGTGGGCAACGAAACATTGGTCAAAGAGAGATTCATCTTCAATTGACGTTGAAGCATTTCTAAAATAAAAAGATATGTTGTTTCGTTAAAATCAGCAGATAGCACAAAGATGGTTAAAGAAAGAGGTTTAAAGCTAAAAGATATTTGATTCTTGAAGGAAAAGTCGTTCAGAAAAGGAACATTAGGAAAAGGTACAGCAGAAAAATTTAACAGTAATTCAACAGATAACGACAGAGCTCTTGTATTAAAAGAATACAAGGAAATTACATGGGAAAAGCTTCTTGAATTATAATAGCATTAAAAAATCTGCAAGAGCAGCAAAAGATAATTCTCTGAAAATGTGAAATTTTTGTTCCCATCTTTAAGTTGAAAGTATACAAAATCAATAAAACGCTAATAAAATTAAGGATGAAAAAAGTTGTGGCGTTACTCTTTATTCTTATTTGCAATTGCTTTTTTCTTGAAAAAGAAATCTTAATGGCTTTCATCTTTGAACATATGGCTGAAGATGTTAGACAAACATCTGCAAAAGATATGAATACTAGACTATAAAAAAAACGAAAGAAGCAACACAAAACCCTTCCCTATTTGACTAAAAAGTATCTAAAAATATAAACTTTAAAACAAAATAATGATAGAAAAAAGAAAATAAAACATAGGCAACTGGCAACTTTTTCCAATAAAATACATAACAAGCGATATGGCAAACGATAGTAGAATAAAATTATACATTTTTAACAATATAAAGCAAAGGGAAACTACACAGAACCCCTGAGAATATTCCCAAGATTAAAAAGAAGGCAGCCATCATTCCAGCTAATCCCTTATGTTGGACTTCGACGTTTCTAAAATGAGAAATCAAAGTTAGATATTTGGATACAAGATGGCGTTCAAGTCAGTACCTTGGGGCATACATCATCGACAAACTGGCAAAATAGCCACTTGTGTAGGACAATAAAATCGATCCAATTATGTAAACGTAATCATTGTTGAATAGTAATGGCATGTTGCTAGATCTTATACCATCGGGTCGAGCGTTGCAGAACATAAAAAATGGTATGAAAGCAATCCTCATGATGATAGGTATAAGAACGAATTTTGGTTTAGGCTGAAATGTATAAAAAATGGTCATCAATATGTAAATACTAGATACATTCATGAATTGGATAAGTGCTAGAGTCGGAAATTGGAATTAACGATCCGTTATCGTCCTCAATGGAAAATTTGTGTGATATTTTACCAGGAAAAAACATTAAAGAGATTTATATAATATTTATATATTATATTTTCCTAGTAACCGCCTTCTAGAGCGTCCTTTTATCAATAATGTAATAAGAAAAATCAACTTACCCATCGAAAGAATTCTGTTGAAAGATTACCCAGTCCAGCGCAAAGGTTGAATATTAGAAAACATGCTATTGACACATAGTACTTTTTACTTATCCAAAAGCTATCGCTAGATCTTTCAATTGAGCTTTGTAATGCGGGAAAACAAGAAAGTGAAACAAAATAGACAAGATATACGCCTAGACAATGTCTCCAACATTGTTTCAAAACTTTGAAATAGGGAGGCCAACTAGATACCTTTTCCTCAACTTTTTCACTCTTTTCTGACTTTTCAACCATTTCAGTGCCCTTACTCGACAAGTCATGGTAATAGTTAAAAAACGGTAGTAATTGGACAAGAAAGTAGGTGTCAAAGGCTATTAGGAGAACGAAAATTGCTGCTAAAAAGTAAAAAATAGCAGCAGTTCGAGGATTTGGTGATAAATACTGAGTTAATAGATTTAAGAGCGCTGTAATAATCCCAGAAATGCTTGTACCAATAAGAACCGAATTACTATATCTCATAGGTAAGAGAGCAGCTAAACCGTATACGCAATTTTGATATAGCCCACTAGCCAAATTCATGACAACTACTGTCACCATAGTAATCCAAAAGAATTCTGATTGCCATGTTGTGGAATCAACCATAGCCAAAATAATGGTAATGATGAATAGTAGTGTTATCATTATTAAACTTAAAACGATCCTTAAGTGATTATTTCCTGATTTTGATGATTTTCTCTGAGACAAAACGTTCATTAAATTAATGAAAACGTTAGGCACCTGAGAAACAACACCAAGAAAATTTAGAAAAAATGTCCTGTAAGTATCGACAGCCGTATCAGTTCTAGGCGTCGTTATAAGGTTAGCAGAGGTTGTAGAATTTTCGGAGAAGTTGTAGGACTCGGCTACATCAGGACTTTTCAATTTAAACTTGGTAAAGTAATCATTAGCATTGATAAACATATTCCAAGGCATTAAAACAGCTACACCATGTACTAGAAATATAAGGTATACAATATAATATTTATCTACTGGTTTCTTCATATCTGAGCTAGTTGATGAAAAAAATTGTTTCTCAGATTCTTCTTTTTTGTCGTTCATCAATAATTCGTTCTCAACCCCAGTACCAATGTTTTCGATTTTCAATGCCGAATGGCAGCCATCGCCAGAATTGTTTTTTTGCATTCTTTGTTCTCTTTTCTCCTTCCTATTCTTTTAAATACTGAAAAAAGTAGTTCTAAATTAAGAAAACTTGAACTAGAATACATTAAACAGTACCTATCTACTGACAGATTAAATGCTGTTTTATCATCAAATTTACGAACAACAGCTTTATTCTTTATTATTTTTTTTTGTCTCTCTCTCGCTCTCTCTCACTCTGTCTCTCCCTAGCAAAATTTTTCCGTGATACTAACTGCTGAATTATAACATTTATATAAATCATAGGCCGACTACGCTTACCTATATTATCTAAAACGTATTAAATGATAAATCTTATATCCAAGAACAAAAAATTATTGATTACGTAATTGTTTAATATCAAATTCTATTAATTTAAACAATATTTTTTAATTTTTCCAAAGGCTATTGTAAAATCGGAGCTGTTACGAATTTACATACACTGGCAATCCGGGCTGATCGATGACAGGGAAACATAATCGATTAATTCAACACCATTCTATTCGTTAATTGACGACAGATTGTAGTAAAATAACATATTAGCTTAAAATTTTCCTTTCGTAGACCTCCTAATAAGTCATATCATTCTGATATCGTATTTATCAATTTAAAATACATTTTTATCTCATTCTATTTAAATATTATAATTTATCAATAGACTTAATTAAACTTTATTCGATATTATTTATAGATTTTTTCTATTTTTCCTTCCAATTTTCTATCCTAAGAAAATATCAATAGAGAAAATTTTCATCAAACCAATGATTTATATTCTTATAAAAGTGTTATAAAAGGAAAAATTACGGCCGAAATCATTCGTATTTGACGAATTAGAGAATGAATATTTTATCTATTATTAGATTATAGATACATATTTAAACCTCTTCCGTATATTACGTAATACTTTTATAAAACTTAATATAACATTTACCTATATACTGCATACATATATATATATATATTCAAATATATATTCAATACTGTATATATTCCATTCGTAGACTAATAATCGCATTTCCTGTTTATTTCTCCTTTTACAGTAATAATTAAGAAAATCGAATAAAAATATATAAATACAGAGAAAGTTGATTTTTTTTTATTCTGATTTCTATACTTTTACAATAAAATGATTGATTTCATTGATATAAATACATATTCTTGTACTTGAATTTTCTTGTTGAAATAGCACAGACTATCCATTGTATTATTAATATTAACAGAGATATATTTAGAAGCGTACTCTATATGCTTATAAGTAAATAAATTTTACCGCCAAAAAGTACGCTTCGTATAGAACGTTGAAAGAGCTTAACAAAGACATTGGGAATTTTTTTTTCTCATTCTTAAAGTGTTTATATAAGGGACGTGTTTTAGATCGTAATTCTATCCTTTGGATTCTTGATTTTATCATAAACAGATATAATAATCTTACTATGTTACATTTGACCCTATAAAAGAGACAAAGATTCTATTCTGTCATTTCAATTTTATTGATTAATTTATTAATATTCAAATATTTCTTATAGTCTTCCCACATATTATATATTATTAATACTTAATCCAACAATACGATCATCGATTTACAAGAACTAAGAAAGCCACGTGCTTTTTCAGATTAGAAAAAATTACATATCTATTAAATACAGTAATTAAATAGATTTGATAATAATTTGATTAATATAGTTATTTTAATTATAGAATATTAGTTTAAGACTTACATTGATATTTTTTAGGTAAATTTACAGAAATTCAACATCAGTCTCTCGCAACGGATAATCTATGGGGGAGGGCGAAAACAGGAACTGCTCAATTTCTGGCAAAACGGACTGCAGATGGCAATGCAGTCTGTTGTTCGACCGCAAGAATTTCACACGATAGATATTGTAGATATAATAAATAATCTAGGAAAGGTTTATATCGTGAAGAAAAATAGACCGCTCTAATATATCTTATTTGCTTGCATGTACCTCCTACGATATAATAGGTTTAGTTAAATTGGAAAATAAATAAAGTATATTTATATTGTTTGTAAATGTATGTAGGGTGCAAGGAATACTGTATATACGCAGTCTCTTTCCTTTTTCTTTAGTTTGTAATCAGTGTTAATTGTTAGCAAAAGAAGTAGTACTATAATAAAGAGAAGACATAACATCCAAGATATGTATTTAATATAAATCACATAAATAACAATCTCTTAGTATTTCATTATACTCTTGTACTTACGCCGTAAAATTTTGTACATTTCCATCGGATTTCAATATCTGTGTATTACATAATAGAAGATTAAAACTAATTAACTCTTTTTTATAGAAGATAGCTTACTCAAAAAAAAAACTTGAAGTCAATTTATAAACGCAAAGCGGGTGGGGAAGAATCTTCGGGAACTTTCCATTGAAGCGTTCTACCCTGATCGTACAACTGTTGTAATATATCCTTAAACTTTTCAGGTCCGTCCTTCGATAATTCCAAATATTTTCTATACAATTTCAAAGCAGTTCTAGCATCTTCTATGGAATCGTGCACTGACGATTGAATATTTATACCTGTACAAGTAATATTTAATAATTTTTTATTAATTATTAAGTTTTATAATATATGTTTCTATATAGAAGATATTATTTGAATACCTAAGAAGAACCAGGCTAAAAATTTCAAAGATAGCATTCTCTGTCTAGGAAGGTAGAAGAGTTCAACAGTATCGATAACTTGATCTTTTGGTACAATCAGATTGATAACACGAAAATCTTTCTTTAATCCATGACCGACAAATTTCACTCCTATATCTATCAAGTATCTCAATTTCAGATAAGTTGATTTTAGAGTTGTTAGATGCTTTTTTGAAGAGGCAACGTTCAAATCTCCAGGTTCAATGCCAGAGAATTGTGTCAAATAATCAACAACTTGCTCTTGAGTTGATATATAGTCATCAATGAATGGTTCATCCATCATTGCTCCTTGACTAAAGTTTTAAAAAAAAAATCTAAAATTAACATACTAAATGCGTTAAAAATAATCGACTAAATACACTTTGAAAATACGTACCCTCTTATACAAGTAACTCTAGCAACAGACATATGGGACGGTTTGATTGTAGATTTCGTCCCATCGCTTCTCAATTCTGCTTCTTCCTGATTTAAGGTCACAAATTCAGCGTCCAGGCCTACAATGTCACCTTCTTGTGGTATCTCGCTTTCGTCGAGTGGCGTAAAGTCAAGGATTTTTTGTTTGTCCAAATTAACCAGCGATGTATTTTCAAGCAAAACTTCATAGCTGATCGGATTTTTTGTTTCAATTTTATGTATCTCATCAACTTTCGAACGAATGTAATAAAGAACACAAGGAATTTTCCAATTATGTCCCAGAGATGTTGATACATTTTCATCGACAGGAGTTATAGCAAAATCGTTAAATAGATGCCTAAATGGAATAAAGATAAGCGTTTGTTTTTTATATCATACTCGAGTATCAGTATTATAAAAATTACAAACCATTGACTAGCATTAATACCCTCTTTGACCAAATTATAAGAGTTCCCAACAAAAACATGATTCACAAAATGACCTCCTTTCAAGTGATCATTTATATGACAAACGCTCGAATGAAGGTCGTACGTAATCCATCCTTCCTCCTGTTTTATGTCGTCTTTGTTTCGTATTTCGTTAACAAATAATTCTCCATCATTTAAGCGAATCTGTAACCTCAAAGGAATCCAACTTTCACCTTGCTCCATTTCACCAAATTTCGAAGCTCCCTTACTTCTTTCATCATGTCGAAATTTGCAATCTCTTCGAACACATGAATTTCCATATCTACAAGCTGGACGATTGTATTTCAGCTCTTCATCAACCTTTGTTTCCATTTTTAGTAGCTGAAATTTAATAATAATAATAATATTTGCTTATAATCTAAAATTAAATCTGTCTGAAACCTTATGCTGTGTTTCCCAGAACTCATAATCTTTCTGACTTTCCGAATGGCAATTTAAAGCCAAAACGTCGCTTATATTCTTGACAAATAAACATCTCTGCCTCTGAAATTAACAAAAAAATTAGTTATTAACTTGTAAAATATTATTGATTATTTACTAACATGAGGTTGATATTTACTACAATTTGAACACCAAGTTGTTGTTGTCTGTTCAATTTGAACACTAGCCTTGAGTACATCAGCAAAACTGCTCTTGATATCTTTTGGTCCAGCAACAGAATTAGGATAAGTAAGATCGAAAAAGAAAGATCTTCTATCCTTATCTGATTCTAAGCCACATTTACAAGTGAATCTATAAGGAATTAAATTTTTTATAGAGAACAATTAATTTAGAATTAAGATAACAAATCGTCTAAAACTAACAGATTATGCAATTCGCTACCAAATAGCTCGGTAATAATAGTTGAGTCCTCATCTCTCAATTCAATGTTATTTTCGTCAACACTTGACTGCTTAAGAAGCTCTACTTGCTGAGCAATAGATCTTTTACGTGAACTTCCGGAAAGCTTTTGCTCTCTAAGTGCAGTTACTAATTCAGCGTGCAGATGAGTCAAACAAAAACGATGAAAACTCTGTATTAATCTAACAGCGTTGGGGGGTGGATCATCTCCAGATAAGACTATTTTCAGGGCTGCGGCTTCTGGCAAAGATCTAAATGCTCTAAGAAAATTCATAGGTTGGCAGGTATTTCCCTCCTTAAATCGAATTATATAGAAAATTAATATAAAAAAATTAATAAAGATAGCAAAAAATTAACCTGTATATCTTGCATATGGAAAAGAAAGCCCAATTCGCAAGATAGGCAGTGTTCCTTCGAACATAGATGACTCTTAATTGCCTTACGAAAAGGATCAATAAAATATAAAGTTTGCAATAGAACATTGCAGTAAGAATTCGCTGTAAAAGCTTCAAGACCAGCAAATTTTGTTCGGTTATAAACCGAAAAGTCAAAGTCTTCAACACCCAATTTCGAATATTTAATTTCCACTTTTCTGTAACATTTTGGTATAAGAGATTCTTCTTCTTGTATACTTGTCGTTCTGTTTCTTCGATTATCATCCAATTTTGATGATGTTTTCAACTTGTATGGAACTTGATTACGCTTCATGTTTTTAGGCTTTGGGGCATAACTAATACCTTGTCCACTTTTGATTGATCTTAACAGTTCGGGGTCCAGTGGGAGAGGTTTTCTATAGATCCGTTCAGTCCAATCATAAGGCCATTGGGAAAGTAATTCAACATTTGGCGCCGGCCATTCCATTGGGATGTACGCTAAAGATGTCAATTCACTGCTTACAGGTAAGTAGGGTTGTTGCGTTTTATCCACAGGCTATAAATAGATTATGAATAGTTTTAGAAAATCAAAATTCATTGTTTTTAAACGTGTTACTTACCACAGCTAATTCAGTCTCAATGGAATTTGCATTATACGGATATCGTTCACCGGAATTCGCCGAAGTGAATAAATGTAAATAACCTATAAAAGTTTTAAAAGGAAATAAAAAAAGGAATTCGAGTTAAAATAGTGATTAGTAAGCTAACCAGCTTGATCACCGAATATTAGATTTTGATAATTAGAGCTAATATCGAAAGCTGATATGCTGCTTGTTTGATTGTTTATTTGATGAAAAGTTGGCAAAGTTTCAATGGACGCCTGTTCCATTACTTGAAATTGTCCGGCCTGTAAGTTATATTTGAAGACGTCATTGGAGAATTTAATGAAAAATGGGTCGTATCAAAAACAGTAAAATGATACTTTAGAAAAGCGAATAATGAAAAAATTATAGCGTACTTACTTGTGACACAACGCATATTCTATCAGCAAAGGTTGGAACAAATCGAAGAAATATTGGATCGAGAGCGACAGGAATAGGAGCGAGAGATCTATTCATTCTCAAGTCGTATACCTTAAGAAATCTATCAACTGTGAGGGTGTTGGGCCTGCAGAATAATTATTAAAATTATATTAAATAGTCTCATAGAGAGAAAATAATTGTAAAAGATGAGAACTAAGACGGATAATCCGTCTAATCATAATTACGGAAAATAGATTGTACGAGAATTAAGGAGTCAAACCTTGTGGAAAATCCACATGTTACTAATTGGTTGCCGTGTACGTCAAAATCACTCAGACAACCACTATGAGCATCGAAAGTAGTAACAACATTTAAAGTTGTTGGATCTCTAAAAACAACTTGGCCGTTGGGATTCCCGCAGCAAACATACTGACTTGATCTTCTCATAAGTGCACATCCTCCTTCAATTTCCTTTAATAATCTTACGCATTGTCCAGTTTCGATGTCGTATTCTAAAAGGTGCGGATGGTGTCCACCGAACAAAACAGTTGAAACTCCCGTAGGTAATGCGCATAGCATATCATTCAATTCTGCACTTGCTAAATTTAATAAGCATCTTCCTGTTTTTTGATAAACTCTAACCTGGATATTGTTGAAAAAAATCATAACAAAGATTAAATATACCTGTTATATACTTTAGACAAAATTATACAAGACCTTCACATTGAGCACAAAATATAGCTTATATCAATTAAAAACAAAAAAATCTCCACTATTTGTTGAATGACTATTATATATACAGTATTATACTTACTACAAGTATATAAAAACCGTTATGAAACAGTAATAATCTATTATTATTCAATTACTGCACTATCTTAAAAACACTAACACTATATATCAACAGTAGTGCGAAAAAATTCTAATAAATAAAAAATAATACTTGCCAAGTCGCTAAGAAGTATAAGTACAGTTGATTCGTAGGTTTGAATAAATCTTACATCATGAAGAGTATCGTGAACTTGAAAAGACGTATATTTATTCATCTCTGGGCCATAGTAGCTTGTGACATGACCGCATTGATTTCCCATCCATACGAGTTCTTCATGATCATCAAATCGAAGACTTGTTACTCCAAGATGATCACTTCCATCAACAATTATTGAATGTACTCGAACAAATTCTGCTGTTTCCAATCCATCATCTTTTACTGATTGAAAAAGTTAAAGAGTATAACAACTGCATTCATATTATATTAGTTAATCTGCCAACTTTGATGTAGAAAAGTGTTACTTATTAAAGCGATGGTGTATTCAATAGTAATACAAAAGAGAGTAATATTATGATTACACGGATATAAATAATTCAGAAACTTTTATGTTCTTAAATTTTCTAGAAATTATTACGTTTCAACACTAAATTAAAGAGAAATATAAGATAAGTTCGCAAGTGAAATCTCCTTAACAATTATTTTGCAATACTTTTTTAGTAAAAAATTTATTAATCAAGACTTTTTTTATATTCCAATTATTTACTTTTCAAATATTAGATTACTTACCTAAAGGATAACCATCCGGTATAATTTCGGCTCCAAAACTCATTACGAATATGTAAACTCCTCAAAAAAGAGATTAACTTGGTACTTTCACACTGAAAGAAAATGTTCTGTGATGTAATTATGGAATGTAATTTTAACACTATTCCAATGTACATTACATCTTTAACAGTCACAAGAGTTTGTACTTTACCTACCCTAGAATATATTAAAGTGATTACTGCAATAAAACCATAAGCCTATAGAGGGCGCTTTCAATGTTATTTGAAACAATTTGTACCAAAACTTCTTAGTTGTTAAAGTTAGCTAGACAGTTAGAATGAATTTACGATTCAGAGATGAATATTCTAAATGAGTTGCATTTTCTGTATGATGAAACGCAGAAGATTCGTTAATTGATCTCTAATATAGACTCCTCAAATTCGAATGCTCTAATGAAATATTCATATTCTTTAATTGTATACTACTCAAACGCTATTTTTCATGATTTCTTTTTATCAATTACTATCGATTTCATCATTGTTTTAGTTAAAAGAAGATGTAAATACTTACTCGTAATTAGGAACTCGTTGAAAAGAGAGAAGAATTGCTGAATAAAGATCGGTGTGAGTCCTAGCGACTTGCGTTAAATCACAGACTAAAAAACTTATATATACAATATAAAAATTATTTTTTTTTAATTTTTATTTTTTCGTTAAGAATTAAATTTTAAAACAGCGTCTCTGTTTCTTCCTTTTTTTGACCGGAAGCACTATTGTTTTGTCTCTAGACTGGTTACACAGAGGTGCTTTTAAAAGTTTGGAGATAATTTTTTTTCAAAACATGCAATAAATCAAATATGCTAAATCAAGAATATTTTTCATTATAGTATTCGTATTGATCCTAAACAAACCCGCAATTCAGTTCCTTTTCTCTGAGTTAAAAGAGATTTTCAAACAGTTTCCGGTCCGGCAAAACGTGAGCTATAGCAGACGATTAGCCAAACTTTATAGCTTATTATTGGCATCTAAACTGAAATGATGTATCGAATATATAACGCAATTCGCACTATAAAAATTCCCTTTACACGATCAAGTAGGTAGAAGTACATATAAATCAGTATTATTCTTCATATTCCTTATTCTGTTTTTCAATATCAATTAGAACGTTTGTCAAGTTCATTTTGTGCAAGATCTCATACATGTGGGGAATTGAATGACTCAAACGTTGGTGAAAGAGTTACTCTTTATGGGTGGGTACAATTTCAAAGAATGAATAAATTCTTAACACTTCGAGATTCATATGGCTCAACACAAGTTATCTTACCTCCGAAATTTGCAAAGCTAAAGCCTGAAAGCGTAGTTAAAGTTAGTGGTTCTGTTGCTAAACGACCAGAAGGTCTAAGCAATTCCGATATGAAAACTGGGAATATTGAAATAATTGCTGATGATGTTGAATTGTTGAATGAATGTCCGCAAACTCCATTTTCAGTACATGATAATAGGAATGTTAACGAAGATACAAGGCTTAAACATCGATATTTAGATATTAGATCTGCAGAAATGCAAAAGAGATTGCGAATGAGATCAAAACTTCTCTTTAAAATGAGAGAATTTTTATGTGAAAAACATAGTAAGAATTATTTTGTACGTTTGAACAGTGTGTCATAATCTATAAAAAATATCTTCAGATTTTGTTGACGTCGAAACACCGACGCTTTTCAGGAAAACGCCTGGAGGAGCCAGAGAATTTATTATACCAAGCCATACCGTACCAAATCACTTCTATTCTTTACCGCAAAGCCCCCAACAGTTTAAGCAGCTTCTTATGGTCGGCGGTATAGATAGGTAACTAAAAACTAATCTTATTAATTGGATTTTATAATTAAGTTAGTTTACAGGTACATGCAAATAGCAAGATGCTATAGAGATGAGACAACTAGGCCTGATAGACAACCAGAATTCACACAGCTTGACTTGGAAATGTCCTTTGTCGATAGCGAAAATATAATGAATTTAACAGAGGAAATGCTAAAATACTCTCTGCCATTTGAACTAGAGACGCCTATTCCTAGGTATGATTATGGTCAAGTTATGATTGATTACGGAACAGATAAACCGGACTTGCGAATACCTTATAAAGTTTGATATCTCTTTTCGATAACTATTTCAAAATTACAAAATTTTTACAATTGACAGATAGAAAATATTCCTCAAAGTATGCCAAAAATCAAGCATGAAACAATAAAGTTCATTAAACTTGAAGGAGCAACGGTAAGTTTCGTTTTGCAACTTTAACTTTAAAAAAAAAATTGATTATTATTTTTGTTTTGTTTATCTCTTTGCAAATTTAGAACTATTTAGAGGAGCCCCAATTAAAAGAATTAATGAAGTATGCATCAGATTTTCAAGGACGTGTGAGTGATTATCTGTTATTAATTTTTATTTTTCTTAAATACTGTATGTCCTTTCGCCCTCTAGGAGTTTAGAATTCTTCAAACAAATGATGCTCAGAATTCTATACATAAGATATTTAACTCTAAACCGGAAGATATAATTCTTATGGCAACTGGTTCAGTGCCTCAAGTTTGCAGTTTATTAGGAAACTTAAGAGTTGCTTCAGCTGACCTTCTTGAAAAAAGCGGTTGTAAAGTTCGAAGTAGTGATTATCGTTTTGCTTGGATCAAAAATTTCCCGCTTTTTGAGAAAAATGATGGAAAGTTTGAATCAGCTCACCATCCATTCACCGCTCCACAGGAAAAGGACGAGCATCTAGTTTATACCGATCCAATAATGGCCCGAGGTAATCACTACGATCTTGTTTTGAATGGATTCGAAGTTGGAGGTGGTTCGATAAGAAATCATAAGTCAACATTACAAAGATATATCATTGAAGAAATTTTAAAGGAGGACAGCAAAACGTTAGATCATTTATTGACAGCCCTAGATATGGGTGCTCCTCCTCATGGAGGTATAGCTTTGGGTCTCGATAGACTAGTTGCAGTTCTCTGCAATGTTACAAGTATAAAGGAAGTAATTGCTTTTCCAAAGACAAACGAAGGTCGCGATTTAATGTCATGTTCCCCTGCTCCATTATCTAAAGAAGATGCAGATTATTATTTGAAAGACTATATTTCAAAGAAGCAGTCAGAAAAACCGAATACAACAACATAGTATATATAATTTCAATATTATTTCCTACAAGGATCTTTAACGTCTATACTATTTTGTTTTTTGCTATTTTCGAATGAAAAGGTCTTGATAACGAATAACTACGCGTACAAAATCCACGTGTTAACATTGACAAACAGATATTACGATACATTGCCTTTACGAAAATAATTTATAGGTCTTCCTTTGCACTCCTTTGAATTTTGATCAATTCAACTTCAAAGATCAAAGTTGCACCGCCAGGTATTTTTGGTGGAGAACCGTGATCACCATATCCTAGATCAGATGGAATAACCAATTTTCTCTTTTCGCCTTCGCACATACTATAATTAATAAATAAGTTACTCTTTTGCAAAAAGAATAATTAACGGAATAAGATCATTTTATCATATTGAACATTCGAGAACTCTTATGTTATGATATGCATATCTTTGTAGCTATTGTCCAATTATTTGGAAAATTTGAAACTCACTTGAGCAATCCTTGATCCCATCCTTTAATAACTTGGCCGGCACCGAGGGTAAAGACAAAGGGTTCATTTCTTGGGATACTACTATCAAATTCTGTTCCATCCTCTAATTTTCCCTATACAGAATATTTTTAAGATTGATGTATAGAGGTTGATAATAAATCAGTTATAATAAATACGAACGGTATAGTGCATACTAAGAACATCGTTCTTTCGACTTTTCATTTTACATTCGCTAGGATCTATACGCTTCTTAATGCCTATTTGTAGTTTCTTTTTCTTTTCGTCTGCTGAGCAAACGTTAAAGGCCATGACAGCTAAAATGGGTAAAAGTAATATTGCTGCTCTCATTCTGCAAAAACAATAGAGTTTTATTATTTAATTATAAGATAGAAACGGTGAGATCACATCCTAGGATTACGCAGACAGTTAACTTTATTTGTGTTCAATGTTCACGATAAAGCAAGAAAAGTATTTTCAATCTACGAAAAGAGAATATATTTATTACAATATGTACATCGATAAAACAAGATTGTCGTAAAAATGCTAAGAATATGGGAATAAAAAGCCTGAAATATTTGCGATGGCTAATGTTTCGATACAATAACATATATCCAGTTTTCTTCAAGCTTGCTCCTTTTCTTCGTGCTCACTTTCATCTTTTGACTTTTCCTTTTCAACTTCTTCTGAGACGTTATCGTTCTTTTCATCTTTATCATCTTGTTTATCGTCCTCATTCTGTTTGCTCTCACCACCGTCAGTATTGTCGTCACTATCATCTGAATCCGATTCTTTTTGGTTTGGATTATTTTTTTTCATCATTTTCGCTTTCTTAATTCTGTTTTTCTTTTTAAGTCGCTTTGCTCTCTTCTTTGCTGTTCTCTCCTCTGCTTCACGTTCATTTCGTTCAAGTTTTTCCTTATACTCTTTATCTTTTTTTTCAATTTTTGCTTGAACATTCATATACTTTTCTCGGGCATATTGCCTACGTCTAACTGCCCTATATAAGTGAAAATCACCGGATCCTGCTCCAGCACTTGATCCCCAAACATTATTCACAAATTCGGGTGGTTGAAAACATTTGGGTAACTTTGTGTTTTCTTCAATTTCTGGTATGACAACCTCCTTTTCAGGATTATTCATTAATTTCTCCAAACGAATTCTCTGTACGTCATACGCTGTTTTGACCTTTCTCTTCTTCGGTTCCTCATCATCGGAAGTCATTCTGTTTGAGCAAACAAATTCTTCAAGTTTTCAATCACTTTCACAATTATCTAAAGCTAACTAATTTAAATGATATCCTCTCCAAGAATTTGTTTGCTCTTTTTATGTTATGCTTTTAATTTTCTTGGAAATATTTTGTATAAGTAAATGAACACTAATTTTTTTCTCTTTTTAGTATTTATAAAAAGAAACATGCTGATTGGAAACGTCAACAAATATACTTGATGGTAAAAATATATGTTTGTTTGCGATTTAAAAGATAAAATGAATTTAAAAAATTCGTATTTAGATAGTAGATGATCTATAATGAAATATATTAATAAATGCAAGTGAACATTGATTTCTTATAATATCGCTCAAAATTACTTCAAATCAAGTAAATACGTATTTCTTGGAAACTTGATCTCAACAACATAAACATTCGAAATCTTTTAAAACTATTGTAATAGAATTTTCAGAGAAAATAAACGATTTTATAGAGTTTTACCTTAAAATTTAGGCGGATATGACTTGTCAAACGCAACGGAAGTTTACGTGTAGCGTAGTTGAATCGAATGAGTTTCTTAATGCGCGGCCGAACCTGATTCGCTGGATCGATCTGGATAAAAAGAGTTGTTATATCGTAAAACATCGAATCGATTTACACAATTGGATTAAACAAACTTTTCTCTTTTTAATCTTTTATGGAACTTAACAAATGTGTAATAAAACTAATAGAGAAATAAATAAATTTATTTTAAAGTAAAAGGCTTTTAAAAATTATTTGGAGTTATTTTTTATATTATTTTATTTCAAATATCGTTATTGTTGCTTAAATTTCGATTCGCTTGTTACTATATTTCGATTATAGTCTGCTAGAAGTTTCGATTGAGCACATTCCACAGCAACCGAAACCATTCATGGCAGACGGCAGTAAACAAAATGTAAGTAAATTACAAATCATCTTAAAAGTCAAAAGTTAGCTAAAATTACAGCTTCTTAACTAAACCTGTTATAAGTACTTTATTTAAACAATCACGATTACGGCTGAAATTTATTATTGAGAAAGGATAATTGACATTTCCAGCCGTCTAAATCCCTCCTTAACCAACCATACGACGAATCGCTTGAAGTACCCGACGCCGAAGAAGTAGCCTCAATTTACACACCGACTCCACGTGTGCCTGGATTTGGAAGAGGAGGTGCTTATCTCACCTCATAATTTCACTCTTGCGCTTTTGCTTTTGGTGTTAGGCCTAGTTTATTTTGTAAAACTAAAAATATTTAAAAGTCTTAAATCTCTTTCCGTGTTTAAATGAATTTTCTAACTAGTACACACTTTGTAAAAGAATCACATTCTAAATTTAGTGTAATGACTATTTTATTATATAAAGAGAGATTTTTGTTGTGGTCCTGCATGTTGATGTTTCTTTCAGTTGCAATTTCACGAAAATCAACCTTTCGACGCAAGTGTTGAATTACCAATAGAAGATAGAAGAAGTATTCCGTCTATTACACCACCTCGACTATCGCCAAAGCTAACAGGTGATGGTTCAACAATTTTGGATAAGAAAATGACAATATAAAACAAATTACATTTCGTTCAGCTGTTTAATAATCATCTTGCTTGATCTGCTTTTCTCTTCTTTTACGATTTTTCTCTTTAGTGTCAGGTGGTTGGTGTAAAAAATTAACTGAATTTTACATTGTACAGGCGATCAATATCGTGGAAATAACTCTCCGGACTTAAGAATGAAGGAACCCGACGTATCTGATGATGAAATCGAAAGACCAAAAGCAGTAATTAGTTTATTTACAACCTAGTTAATCAATTTTTAAGTATCCAATAATTGACATTTTAGAAGATTGGACAAACTACTGGCTATAATAAAGAAATAGACGCAGACGACTCAGACTCAACTGGAGAGGAGACTGATGATGACGACGACGATGATGGAAGCAACGAAGCTATTGACGGGTAAGCTATTTATATTACTACGTATATAGAATATATAATAATATTTTATAGTTACTTAATAAACTAGTACAATCCATAGACAATCAGAATTCAAATTGCTGCTTAATTATTTATCAAATTTCAAGTTAGCTACAGTCTTAAGCAAATTAAAAAGATTTATTACACATCAATAGTCTAGTGTGTATTATAGAACAGTATAATGTTTCTTTCTACAGCGCTTATGATCCGAAAGACTATGACCACTTAGAAGTTAGCGAGGATATTCGAGGACTCTTTCAATACATAACTCGCTATACTCCACAAACAGTTGAACTTGAACATCAGTTGAAACCCTTTATACCTGATTATATACCAGCTGTTGGAGATATCGATGCTTTTATAAAAGTTTGTCTTATTTATTGGTTGTTGTATTAACATTTTTGTATGATTATTTTCAAAAGGTACCACGCCCTGATGGACATAATGATAAATTAGGTTTACAAATTTTGGATGAGCCTTGCGCAAAGCAGAGTGATCCTATTGTCTTGGAAATGCATATTCGATCGAAATCTAAGCAGACTCATTCAAAATCAATGGCTATCAAGAGTATACCTAGCCGTGATATAAATGCTAAATCTATAAACAATTGGTGTCAAAATATAGCTGATATCCATAGAACTCGACCACCCCCAACTGTTCACTATACTCGAAACATGCCTAGTATTGATGCTTTAATGCAGGAATGGCCCCCAGAATTTGAAGAACTGTTAAAAGAGGTTTGTGTCATTTATACTTTTGATATTAATATATTAATATTCTTTATTCTATCGAACAGATTACTTTACCTTCGGCCGACATGGACTGTGATTTACCAAACTACATAGATATGATTTGTGGTAGGCCAATATCTTTCTTACGTTAGTTTTAAAAGTAATTCAATTTATCATCTTCTAGCAATTTTAGATATACCCATGTACAAAAATAGAGTTCAATCTTTACATCTACTCTTTACGCTATATTCGGAATTCAAAAATTCACAGGTTTGTACATGCAATATGTTTGTAGCAACAAGTTTTACATAATGTTATATTTTTAATAAAAACAGCACTTTAGAGGTTTGGCCGCTGACAATAAACTAGATAACGCTTTAAAGGATAACGAAGAAAGATTGGTGTTGTAAAAAAGATATGATGTCCTGTTCAATTTTTTCCATATTCAATCATTAGTCTCTTTCAGTGAATTGAATAAAGGATCCTGTTTATTTTTTTCTTTCTTTCTGTTTAGTATAGCAATTCCTTACCAAATTAATACAATTGCCGTTCATTTTTTGCCTATATCGTTTGACTTTACATTTTTTAAAATTAACTAAGGTTTGTACTAACTTGAAATACACACACCTACAAAAGAATAAACTGAATATGCACATATACAATGATAATAAACTTTTTTTAGGTAATTAGGTATTTAGATGAGGTAATTTATATAAGTATGAGATAGGCTTATATTGAAACTCTTATTGGTTAAACACAACTGTATCAATAAGTATGTAAATAATACTACACTTCAAAAACGATCATATGTGCTAGATCATCGCGCCGTAGCATAAAGAAGTTTTGGTCGTCTGCTTTTATAGTTTTTTCCTGTTGTTTTTTGGCTTTTTATGGTGAAACTCTTTTAGACAAGTTAAGTATATCGAAAGTAAAATAAATACATTCTAATAGGTTTTAAAATTTTTCAAAGAGTTAACCTTGAGCAGACTTTTTGTTATAAGATATCTCAACTTATCTACGCGCCATGCCAGTAATTAGGTCTTTATGACCGAATGAATATTTTGTTTCTGGGTGGAATGAATAAAAATTAAAGATTACTTTTTACTTTATGATATAATATTTAATACAGAAATGGAGTTTGCTATTGGCGGTGTAGCAGCATGCGGAGCGGGGCTATTCACAAATCCGCTAGAAGTCGTCAAGACAAGGATGCAGTTACAGGGAGAATTTCGGGCCAGAGGACAATATACAGTTCATTATAGAAATGTTTTCCACGCATTCTATACGATTGCTCAGGAAGAGGGGTTTAGAAGTTTGCAAAAGGGCCTAGTGCCGGCTTTGTATTATCAATTTTTCATGAATGGTTTAAGATTAGGAGTCTATCAGAGTTTGAATAATCTTGGTCTAAACAGAGATAGTGATGGAAACATTAGCTTTCCGAGAAGTATAGCTGCTGGAGCTTTGTCTGGTGTTGTTGGTGCTGTTACTGGAAGTCCATTTTACTTGATTAAAACTCATCTCCAGTCTCAGTCGGCCGAGTCAATAGCTGTTGGACATCAACACAAACACGGGAGTTTTACCCAAGCCTTTAAGAAAATTTACAGCGAGAACGGTTTACTCGGTTTATGGAGGGGCTCATCTGGAGCAATGGCAAGAGTTATGGTTGGATCTGGCGCACAATTATCAACATTTTCAACATGCAAACAATACATTGTTAACAAAGGATGGTTCGAAAGAACGAGTGTTTTAAACGCCCTGCTAGCATCTATGATGAGCGGAGTAGCTGTTGTGTTTTTTATGACCCCATTCGATGTTGTATCAACACGTTTGTATAATCAGAATGTAGATTCAAGTGGGAGAGGAATCTATTATAAAGGTTTTACTGACTGCTTTTATAAAATATTAAAAAATGAGGGACCATTAGCATTCTACAAAGGATGGACAGCATCATATCTTCGTTTAGGACCGCATACTATACTTAGTTTAGTATTTTGGGATGAAATCCGAAAATTTAGTGCACGTTATCTTTATTAAAATATGACTATCTTTGCATATTTTAGCAATTAAAATTACGATGAAGAAACCTATTTATTTGAACTTCTATAATCAATGCTTCTCAGGTTATCTAATGTTTTAACTGTTGGTAAACCATCACCCGGCAAATATAAAGAGGTCTTTTCGTTCTCAAGTATTTTTTCTGCCTCTTCTACAAATTAGTAGATGAAATCAATAATCATTTCATTCAAATATTCATTCCCTATGAATTTAAACTAACCTCTTATTCTGTACATCTTTGATCCAAAGCAAAGATCATATTGATAGGCGACAAGGAAAGTTAAAGGAATAAAAGGTGCAATTGCAGCTGGCTTCTTTGTTTTCATAAACCTTTATATTAGACCTCTCAATGAAATATAAGTAAACATAGAAGGAAAATACTTACCCAGCTAACATTCCTACAGAACAAATTCCATAGAATGATGAAAGCCAGTAAAACATCTCTCTTGCCCTGGCCAACTGCATTGCCATTTGTCTTTCTCTCATATAATTTTGCATCTGGATTTGTCTCTGTAGCTGTTATTAGAAATTAAGATAACTTTTATAAGAAATTGACAATCATTTGAAAAATGATGATAAAAACCATAGTTTCCTGCGCAGCCTGCATCTTTTCAAAATTCTCATTCATTGCTTTTGAAACAAAAGACCCCATTTTCTACAAGAGAAACAAATACTGTATACTTTCAAGTTGTGTGAGCAAAGTGAGTTGTAATTGTTTTTAAGACTATAAGGTCACAAGGTGATTCCCTGTAGCTACTGCTAGTGACGTAACAAGGTGTTTTCCAAAATTGGGAAATTATGAAAAATATATGACAAAAGTATTTTAAGCTATACTTCAGATTATATTATTTTATTATTTTGTAATTTTATCGTTTACGCATCCGGCTTTAATGGCAACAAGAGAAATAAGCTGCTGTGTTCAATTATTTTTCTTTTTTTAAACCGGATATAAACCAAAAACTGTGTTTTGATACTGATAACGACATCTATCGAGAAATTTTAAATTCAAGGGGTCAATATTTAGTTTAATTGTTAAATTTTTGCCTCTTGTCACTAAATTGAATACGGTTAGCTGTTGTAAATCAAAGATATGTCTGGAAAACGCTTAGTACTTAATAAAACAATTAAATCCCTTACTGCGTTGAGAGAAGGTAAGACAGGAGAAGAGAAAGAGAAGAGTTGAAATCTATTTATAAATTCTTTCTTAAATGACAGGCGATGCGGCTCCTAAAAAAAGTCCTGGAACCTTACGATTGTATAGTATGAGGTTTTGTCCATTTGCCCAGAGAACAAGATTGGTCTTAATTCATAAGCAAATTCCGTAATTTTCCAGCTAAACTTGAAATGTTCTAGATAAATATCTGTATTGAATTTTCAGGCACGAAGTAGTTAATATTAACTTGAAAAGACGGCCAAAATGGTTTTGGCAGGAGAAGAATCCGTTCAGTCTTGTTCCAGTTATTGAAAAGGATAAGATGATTATCTACGAATCAGTTGCATGCAATGACTATTTGGATGAAATTTATCCTCATGATAAATTGAACCCTATGGATTTACTTGAAAGAACGAAACAGAAGATGTTAATGGAGTCCTTTTCGAAGGTGGTTTCCTTATTTTATCAAGTTATAAATATGAAAGATGACAAACAACAAGTGGCTAAATTACTTAAGAGAGCCTTATCACCATACGAGGCTGCATTAAGTGGGAAATACTTTGGAGGTTCAAACGTGTCTATGCTGGATTTGCACATTTGGCCTTGGTTTGAACGACTCCCTATAGTTTCTAGAGTTCTTGAAGAGGACGTGTTTGAAGGATTCCCAAAGATAAAAAAATGGAAAACAATTATGGAAGATTTACCATGCGTCCAACAAACAGCATTTTCTCTAGAGGACCACGCAGAATTCTTTTCGAGCTTTTTAACAGGAGAACCAAACTATGATCACGCTCTAGAAACTGAATACATTGCTAAACTATAATTTTGATAAGAAGTCAATTTCCATCATGATTTTACAATTTCATTTTAACATTTTGATTCACTTTGAGTGAAATTTATTAAAAATATTTCTATATAAAAAGATAACAGAAACGATAACAGCATTTTTTTTTACATTTTGTAAATAATTTTCATCTTGGATGCAGTTTTATTTAGGTTAGCAGAAATTTTAATTATCTGTGTTATGATATTCTCTAATCTCTTTTGATATTTATCAAGACGATTGAGCCATTCTACAGTAGGTTTAATACCTCTTTTCCAATTGATTAATGATTTAATTTCTGCTATATAATGGTTAACTTGTGAAATAAGATTTTTAAGACATTTTCTTTGAGTTTTTGATTTCTTGCTTTTCCATCCAAAACCCCTACCATCAATACCAATTAGCATATATGTAGTAGTTGTTACATATTCTCCTGCAAGACATAAATCCAAGGCTTTGAACAAGACTTTTGGAGCAATGGTTGTCAAATTTTCCCACGATAATTGTTTCTGACTTAATTTATCGTATCTGGAATCTAAAGTCCATCTAGCTTTTATCCATTGTAAGAAACAATTCTTATCTATTTTTTTAAGCGCAAGAAAGCTATTCCATGAAGAACAAGCTTTTACAAGCATACTGTAGTCCATTGTTTTGTTGTCAACAAGTCTAACTCTTTCGAAATTGCTTGAATTCTTCGAATAACAGGAACCGTGTGAACCGCTATTATAATCTCTAAGACAACTCCAGCAAAATCCTCTTCCGCAGAAGCAGAACATATAATTACAGCCACCATTTTTTTGCATTTTTTTCTTGCAAAATGGACAAGATTTGACTTCAACTTCAAAGATTTCGTCTGATACTCCTCGAAGTTGAGATACTCCAAGAACTTTAGCTTGATGCCAGAATATTTTGTTTTGTCTGCAAGTAGATGGCCAATGATAATCGTCGCCGCATTCAGTACACCATCGCATTTTGCAGGAGCATTCCATCATAGGCGATTTAACATTTCCTTCTATATTGGTAACTCGATTGCAAAGTGGACTTTGACAATAATACCAATTTCCATCTTTCGCTAGCATATCATCAACAATCCTTGTTTCCAAATTACAAAACTTTTCAAAGTTGAAAAATATAAAAAGTAATGGTAGTTCAACTTTTTGTTTACATTCATACATTGGACACGTAAAAAACTTTGCATTTAATAAATGTCTTTGCCAACAATCTAAGCAGAACCAGTGGCCACACTTCAAAGACACTCCAGACTCAATATAATCATCAATTGTACAAATTTCACATACCATGTAAGTACTACTATTCTTTATTGGAAACTGAATTTCTTCAGTTTGTCCTCTAGTTGTCTCAATAGCAGTTTTTAACCAATAATCGTTCAATTTCATTTGAAAGACTTCAGATACATTTAACGATTTACGAGAGGTATTAAAATAATCCATTACAAAATTACAAATTGGAATAATTTCATTCTTATCAGATGTTTGGTAGTTTATCTTCGACATGAAATATTCGTCTTCCGGCATGATTTCATTTGTAATAGTCACTTTAATAGTTTCAAGCATCATTTCCAAAGATAAGCAGTTTGTTTGAATATTCATAATTTGATTTTTGAATTTAAGATTTGAGCGCAAAACATATTTTATCTTGCAAGAATTATCTTCCAGCCAAAATGTAATATGAAGAAATCCCCTGAGTTTATTTAAATTTGAACATGCACCAATTTCTTTGTAAATTTCTCTGATTTTATCAGAAAAATCTATTAAAAACATTGGAGGAGATGTTTGGCCGTTAATGACTAAAAAGTTACTGTCAGTACAGTCTTTTATAAAGTTTTCTTTGTCGGAATTGGCTATTGAAAATTCAAAGATATGATCACTTTTATCGTAAAATTCCGTTTTAGTTTCAACTATAGTAGGTTGTTCAACAACTTTATTATCAGTATCTTCTTTCATAGCATAAGAACTATTGTCCAAAACGATAAGTTTGTTTCTCTTTTCGTGTGAATCATTGAATTTATCGTAAGTTTGCAATTTCTTTTTCCTTTTGCGTTTTTCTCTTTTAGTTTTAACTTGAAAAGCAAAGCTGGCATAGGTAATATCAGCCGATGGTCGACGAAGATAATCGGAAATTTCTACACGAGATTCCTCTGTATGTGCAGGATAGTAAACTTCCTCTTTGCCTACTTTCATGGCATCTCGAAATCGTTTTGAACGTGGAATGCCTTTTCTCCTATGAGTATCATCTTGTTTGATAATCTTATTGCTCAAATTATATAAATCTTTGCGATAAATCCTATGTACACTTTTCTGATGAGAATCGAAAGGTCTCCTCCTACATATTTCATACAGAATTTCAACAGGTTTTCTCGACCCTTCATCATCATTATCTTCATCTGCAGGTTGAGTAGTTTCTTTCTTTTTTGCCTTAAAATCGGTAAAGTAACAATATTTACTATTTTTAGGCGTTTTAATGTCACCATTCTCATTACAGTACGATGTTACACTTGGAATAGTCTCCATAGCATGCGTTAATCCATTACCGGTCATGTAAAGTTCTTTTGGCTTTTTCTCAACGTACGTTACAGTGTAATTATCAGATTTTAAATTACTATCATCTCTTTTACTATTAAGGATTAAATCTGGTAATTTCCATCGATACTTTTTGTTTAAAGAGTATTCAGTATAAGACAAATTCAACATATCTTTTGGTTCATTGCAGAAATTAATATTCAATCCACCATCGTCCACGGCAAATTTTTCTGATTTTAACATTATGTCTATTTCTGCTTGGTCTCTTTTATATAAAAAAACCCATTTTATTAAACGATCCATAGTTTTCCTTTTGTGAAGATATTTGAATTTTCCATAATGGAGAGTATTACCCGTTCTTATTCCTAATCGATATTTTTTAACACGATTCCTTTTCTTTGATAAAGTATCTTCGTTTTCAAATAATTCTTGTGTTTTCCTGGAATGATGATAGGCTTTAAGATGATGGATGTGACGTCGTTGTTCAGGCATGATTGTTTCAGATGTTACTGTGTTCCTTACTTTTTTTCGTATAACTCTAAACTAAAAGACTGTATGCTGCACCTTAAATAGATTAAACTATTGCGCAACTAGTTGTCAATACAGACGAGAGCTGATTGGCTACACCTAATAAACATTGCGTAACATTGTGTAAATGTTGAGAGAATTTATCAATATGAAACAATTTCACATTAGATAAATAAAACAATAAATTTGACTTAGATTACGTAATAAAATATGATATTTAGACATTAATTAGAATCTACATAAGCTAAATTTACAAATAAAACTCCAAAGAGTCAATATAAGACATTGGGACATTTTGCAGGGTTGGCAATTATAAGCGAAATTAAACAACTATGTATTATTTAAGAATAGTAGATAATACATATTTTTAATATTATTATTATATTATCTTATCGATTAAAAGTCACGAATAACTATGCAAATTAGGCCTACACAAACGCCTATTCAAGATATGAATCATAGAGAAAAGTTGATAAAATTTTAAGATAAAAGAAATGCCTGATGATTATGCATAAAGGGAAAGATTATATATTTTTTTCCTCTTTTTTACCACAATTACGCTAATAACCTGAAAGCAGTTTACCGGAAATTAAAAGTAAAAAGGCTGTATGAGGATGGAGGAGATTCCTCTGAAGTTGCAAATGTTTCCTCACTTTGGAAGTTCAAGAAGAGAGGAAGGAGACATAGAGCGAAAGGGAGAGTGAGCGAGAGAGAGAGAGAAAAAAAGACAGAGTTGATATTTTTTTTAAATGCAAATTTAAATGGAACAATGGCGGACAGTAAAAACTATAGATCAATTAAATTTCAACAATTTCTATCTGACCTAAATATTATTGGAATAAAACATATAACTAATGGAAAAAAGACATTGTGCAATCGTATTGTTTGGTTTGTACTCATTATCGGGGCATTTGCACTTATGCTTTATCAAGTTCAAGATCGTATTCGTTACAATAAAAAATACGAAGCGGCTAGTAGATTACGGTTAAAATATTCGAAAGTACTTCGATTTCTAACTATAACAATTTGCAATGAAAACAGAATTGGAAGAAAGAAACTGTACAACTTAATTCCAAGTAATATCTTCTATTTCTAGATTTTCAATTATTATAAATGAGCTCATTTTTCATTATCCTTTTCCTAAACAGGTGAAGCCATAATCGATGATTTTATTTTAGCTTGGTCATTAACACCTTTAAGCGAAGGAACTTCTATTATTATCAACGAAACAAATAGAGTATTAGCAAATAATACAATGTATATATGGGCTGGTTTATACGAAATAGCATCTTTAAATATAACTGATGGAATACGTTTTGTATGATTCATTAATATTAATATTTAGTTCATAATATAATCATTCAATTGTTTGTCTTTTCACGGTTAAACAGTGTGAATTTAAGCAAACGAATTGCTCTTTAAACGAATTTATTTCTGTCCCAACAAACATGTGATTTTGTTTTCAATTTAATTCAAGTAAGTTATTTCTTTTTTTTTATAAAAAAATAAATTAACTTAATTAAATATTAAATAGAAAATTACTTCATAATTCGGGAGAATCGGTTTCAATTCTTGAACAAGGTATTAAACTTTCTCCAGGATTCCATTATAATTTGGGAATAGACGTTGAAACTATTAAATTATTACCATTTCCGTATGGAGACTGTTTGGATATGATTGGTTATAGAAGATCTTGTTGAATGCAAGTTACGTTTCAGAAAAGTGCGGCTGTAAAACGGAAGAACTCAACGATACTATTCAATTTTGATACCCTTACAGTATGTTGATGAAATATGCATACATTTCAATTTTAGCTATAAACTCTATACCTGTTTGTGCTCCTTACAATATTAAATGTGCTATAGAAAAGAAGGAAGTCTTCTATAAAGACGAAATCTTTACGTACTGTAATTGCCCTTTTGAATGTAGAAATATAAGTTACAGGTTGACGACGTCCATGAATAAATTTAGCGATTTTCATATGAAAAGTTCCCAATTAAGGCGTCTAACTAGAAACGTTCCGGAAGAGGAAATTCTCAAGGATTTCATATGGTTAGATATATATTTTTCAACTTTGATTGTAAGAGAGAAAACAGAGAAACCTGCCTACACCTGGTTAGCTGTATTATCGGATATAGGAGGAGCTTTTGGTCTTGTACTTGGAGCTACTCTATTTACGATAATAGAAATAATTGAATTTTTAATATTTTTAACTTATGAGCGTTTTATTCTTAAAATTTAATTTATGCATATTGAAATAAACAGAATAATATAAAAATAAGCGTCCATTTTGACATATAGTATTAGAGTTTTGGGTTACCTCTTCAACACTTTATTCACGTTTATTACAAATACTTGAGGATGGGAAAGGCAGCAAAATATTAATGGAGAAGAAGAAGAAGAAGATCTATAGTTACTCGGATTCTAATGGTCTTTTTCGACTATTATCCTTATTTATAAAATTCGGATTCATAGCAAGCTCTTCTTGCATTTGTATAATTTCTTTTATTTGCTCATCAATCCGATCAACTTGAGATTTAGGTCCAACGTTTGGGATATATCTTGCAAAAATATCATTGTATTTTACTGCAAAACTAGGCCTAATACTAAATAGATTTGAAATTAGGCTATATAATAATTCAGGATTATTAAGGAACGAATGATTTAATGAAAATCTAATAGAATTAAATAACGTTTCATTAAGTTTTCTATTAACAAATTCATCAATGAATAAATTTAATAATAGATTTTTAAGATTTGTACATAATTTCAATTGGATATAATTCTTATCCATATAATAAAAGATTGGAATAATAGAACCAATACTAATAATATATTTATGGAGTAAAAGATGGAAATATTCAATAAGTTTTCCATTATTTTCTTCCTAGATTTTTAAAGAAAAAACATTAATTAATTATTCATCTAATTTACATATTTTATATGGCTAACTTTGAAATTTATTTCTAATTCTGCAAATGTTCCCTTTATATAAGATTCTATTGTATCTTTTAAATCTTTTAACAGTCTTTCATCCTTTTTCGAACAAACGCATTTATAAATAAATGTATAGATTTTTTCAAATGAGAATTCTTTGAAATTCGCTTGTTCATTTAATAAAATTTGTTCAATTATTATTTTTAAATTAGGCCAGAAGATCATATCATAGGTTTCATCTGAAATATAGCTTATCTCTTGTACTCTATTATCCCAAAGTTTAGATGAGAATTTAACTTTTGTATTATTATTGCCTTCTTCAGTAAAATCCATAATAAATGGATGAAAAGAGAAAGAGGGAAGATAGGTAAAGAGATCGATTGACAGATTCTTGTTGTTTTTTAGTTTTTCAAATAATTATATGACATAGGCATATTTTCCTTTTTTTGTGCTATTATTGTTATTTTTAGAATTGGATTGAAAGATTATAATTGAATGAAAGAGAAGAAAGAGAAAGCAATAGATGGATAGAATGAGAAAGAGGGAGAGAGAGAGAGACAAAGAGAAAGGAGTGGCTATAAAAGATTCTTTTAATCTTCTATTTCTTTTTCCTGTTATTTAGTTTATAGTTTATTCTTTTAAGATAACTATATTTTCTTTCAAACAATCTGTCCTTTTGTTTGATTATATGCTTTATAAATGTATATATCCGTTTAATACACAGTATGGTTTATGGTACACAGTAAAAGCCACTATGCTACAGATGGCGACAAGGAATCTTATCAGTTGAAATACTGTTAAGAAATATAGATAGATAATATTATTGAACAAGGTTAAAGATTTAACTAGATCAAGTTAGTGAAAATAGGAAAATGTTATTAGAAGCCTTAGAAATATTACAATCTGCTGGTGAAGATGAAAATACCTATGTTACCGATTTTGCCTTATATAAGGTCATTTATATATTAACTGTTTATGGACCAATATTTATGGCTACTTTTCTGCTATCTCAAGAATATTTAGGTGAGCGATAGAAAAAAAACCGGTCAATCCTTTTAGTATCATTTGTTATAATAATAATAAAGAAATCAAACAATAGGGGAGAAGATAGCCTGTTTCCCTCCTGAGAATTTTACAGACTCTCAAGCGGATTCTGTAAATGAGTTTTGTTGGAATGGTGGATTTTGTAGTAGTTCTGCCGAGGAATTACAAGCTTTAAAGCAAGGAGTAAACGTTAGAACACTGTTTAGCCAACCGCATAGATACTATCCATTATATCTACCTTTACAAGCTTTAGTTATGATGTCACCAATTATCATTTGGAATGTTTTAACAAAATCAAAGTTATTAGCTATTTTAAGGGCGACAGAGGAATTTCTTGAAGATTTAACATCAATTGTTCAAGACAAGGATGATAAGGATACCATTAAATCTAGAGCCACGTCCCTTATCAAACAATTTCATAATACTTGCATCTCAGCGTCGGAAGATACCCAATTGGCAAAAATTTTAATGATACGTATCGGATGGGAATTCTGTTTAATAGTTGGGGGTATTTTCTTACAGTTTAAAGTTTTCAATCACAATCCTAAGCAATTTCATTGCTATCTTCCGATGTTTATTGATGAGGAAATAACTTGCACAGTACCAGTTTTAGATTTATTAGATGTTATTTGGAGTATTGCTGTTGCTTGCTTAGTCTTAGCGCTTGGCCTAAATTTGATGTTTGCTTACATAACTATGAAGATGCATTTTGAAATGTTTCAGCCATTATTCTTTAATAGTCTACCATACGGTGATCAAGACGATTTTAACGAAGATATTCAATGGTCTGACAACTTTATACAGCATTCATACGAGCTGTTAGTGATGATTTTCGAAGAAAATAATGCAGTTATGACAAAAGCCTTTGTTCTTTCGGCAATGAAACCTCCAAACCAGGCAGTGGAGCAGGAAAAAAAGGTTAGGAAACTTTTACAGTCTAGAAAAAAAATTGAACAAAACAATTCCGCAAACTTAACAGGACCAGTAGAGAAGAGAATCTTTAAAACTGAGAGGCACCTACAGCCAAGATGCACTTGTCGAGATAATATTAAACCTACTATGGGTGATTATTCATTATTATCTTTTTGCTGCGTCTTATCAATGTGTATCTTTCTATGGCATATTGAATAATTTCTTTTTTCTTCTTTATAATATATATTTTCTTTTTAGACGAATCAGCATCTTTCTTAATCTATTAATCTTACTTTGCTAATTTATAAGGAATTGATATGAGTGCTTAGTTTTGTTTTTAATATAAAATTCTCTTTATAAAACTCTTTTTTCAAGTTTTCTTATCTTTCTCTCTCTCTCTCCCATTCTTTCTTTCTTTAACTCTATCTAAATCTTTATCTTTTCTCAATACGTATTAGTTTGTCACTTGACAAAAACTTTATCAATATATACCTTCACGCTTCTCTCTCCTAAGACGGAGGGAAGGAGGAGCGTAATGAAAGGGAGGAGGGAATTAAATGAAAAGCAAGAAGCGCCCCCTGTGCTACAACAGCGAAAAAATTCCCTAATCGATGAACGGCGAGATCTCGGGGGCGTCTCGTTTTTCGACGCCTGCTAATTTTCCAGACACATACATACAATACATATAAGCATCACACTGCCGCTTTAAGAGTACTAGTAGAAGATTCTATTTAATATTATAATTAAAGAAAACATAATGACAAAAATATAAAGGTTACATATAACTTTGGAAGAGAATTGCTCTAATTTTCTACTATTTATTGATAACAAATATAAAACCCGAGCCATTTGCGGAAAATCGATAACTCTTCGAAAAAAATGCTTCATATTATGGAATTAACAATAGGATAGATTACCTTTCTCCTATTAAGATAACCGCATAATGGATAATATTGATTTGGCAATTTTTGATCCAACTTTATCCTCAAACACCGAAGAAAATAACATTGAAACTGTTGTTAAAAGTCAGGAAGATCTGCTCAAAAAAATTGAAATTATCTCCAATAAGAACAGAAATGATAGGATTGATAAAAATTCTTTCAATGAATATCAAGTAAATTTTGACGACGTGGAGAAAAAGGAAGAAAATGCCAAAAGTTTATTTGATTTGTCGATGGAGAAAGAGATAAACAACTTTGAATCAGCTTTAGATAGTAGATCGAACGATCCGTGGGGAAACAATTCAGGTATTTCAATGTTAGATTACCTTGTTTTGTATCGGTGTTTGTATGATATTATAGTTATATATGTGCTTGAAATATCAATATATTCTTATCATCATATAGCTTTGTGTTATGTTTTTATTGTTTCCTTTCTTCGAGCCGTATCTCCCTTCTAAATATATCATTAGTCAAATATATCTAATTATTGATCTTCTTTCGTAAGCAAAGAAGAACGAAATGATGCCACCCACTTAAAAAATACGTCAATCAATATTTAAGCGTAAAAAATTTTAGAGGGAACAATCATAAGCCTTAGCAGATGATAATCTAGCCTATCTTATTCTCTTCTTGGACAAACAAGACAAATACAAAAATACAATCATCTTTGCTTTCCCATCTTTTCCTCTATAAAAATGTTAATAAGGTCCTTTGTATTATAATGTAGTAGAATTTCGTTGTTGATTATTTTTTAATTATTGCGAATAGTAGAGAGGTTAAGGGATAAAAATCCTGGCATATTATTTGATATTATTGATTAAATAAAACAGAATTAAATTCTCATGGCAGATGTGCCATTTCTCAAAGATAATGTTACCTTCGCGTTTCTTTTTTATAATTCCAATTCTCTCTTATATAGACTTGTGTTTCTTTTGTTTTTATTTCAAGGATCAAATGAGAAAAGCGACGAAAATCCTTTTGAGGATGATAAATTCGAAAGTGAAACCAATTCTGAATTCAATCCATTCGCAACCATCACTGAAGATAGTGAACCTTTCAATCCTTTTCAAACTATTCGAGAGGATGATAGCAAGTTATCGTTTAACGATTTTGAACATTCAATGCCGATTGTTAAAATTGGAGAGAATGTTGTCGAAACCAAACGTCAAACGATTATACCGCTTTTACCGCCTCCGCCTAAAGTAAGCAGGGAACCTACGATATCAGATGACGAGGAGACTGAAACAATGAATGATAGTGAGTCGGACGCCGGTCAGAATATTAGGGAAAATCCTTTTAATAAAGAATTATCGGTTGACGAACAGAAATATGCCGATTTTCAATCGATGATTGAGGCAAAACATAAAATTACAGAAAAACTACAAGGTACAACAAGCCTTAAAGTAGAGGACGAAGGGGAGGAGGAGGCTTTAGCCCCATTTTATATTCCATATACAGGAAATGGATGGAAGATGCTTTTAAGAATGCCAATGAAAAAGAAAATGACTGGAAATAGATATTGGAAAGAATGTTTTGTTAAAAAGAGAATTGTCAATAATATTCCAACAGTTACTATTTACGAGAAGGAAAATACTCAGATTATATGTGAAATAGACTTGAAGCCAACATATCAACTTAGTGATATGAATCTTGAAGCCTTTGATCAATTCGGAAAATGTCATACTATAAAACTATATAGTGTCCTTTATAGAGAACGTCTTGGGGTAAAGGCTGAACGAATAGCACCAACTTTAGGAGATATCGTCCGGGTTAAAGGTGAATCATAATAATTTTGATCATTAATTATTTAATTATTCAGTTGCTAAAAGACATATAGAAATCTATATTATAAATATAACTAAGCAAATCCGTTCCTATTCTTTCACACACAGCACGAAAGCGGAAGTACATAAATTTTTCTCATATTCCAAATGTGATAATTTAAATGAAAGTAGGTCTAAAGTCTAAAGATTATTAAATTAACATTTTTATTATACTAATTCACAGACATACAGTATATACATATATATGTAAACTATATATTATGTATGCAGCAGTCGCATATAAGCTATAAATATTCCTTATGAAAAAGGTAGGCCTACTAGTTAATTAAGTTATAAGAAAACATGAATAAAAAGAGATATTAATAATAATATCTATTAATAGATTTTGCGGGGAAGGGAAAAAAACAACTAAAGAAGCTATTTGTTAAAATCTAATAGTTCACAAACAGGCTGATAACCTATTAATAATGCATTCAAGCAATGATGATATTTATATAATGTTAATATATGCCAATACAGATTTAAAAGGTTTAAAGGATTTGGTACATAAACCAAAAACTACAATGATATTCGATCAACACGCTCAGAATAGTGAATTAGTGAAATTAGGATGCCTAGATTATGAATCAATTAAAACTTTTAGCCGGCAAATAGAAGATGAAATGATGAAACTTCAACCTCTGGAAACTGCAAATCGTCAATCTTATACAACAAATGAAATTACAATAGAAGTAATTGATGAATATTTTGCTCAGTTGGATACCGAGAATCGTATAGAATTTCATAAATCAAGAGTTAGGGTTTTTTGTCTCTCCTTTTTAAATGGTGATCCCTATTGCGAAATAGGAATGAACGATAGGAGTAGACAAGGTAAGGAGGTTGTTGGTAGGAAAGACATCATTCCAATAAAAACAGAGGAATGGATCAATATTGAACAAATGGAATTTCATGTGCTTGTTGACCTTGACGAATACGAAAAAACTAGATTAATTAAATTTAAACCGATGGATGCTGTTCGATTTGAATTATTTAGGTTTAGGACAAGACAACAGTTGAACAAAGAGCTACCTCTTCAAGTTAGAGTATCCCTTATGATTACTGATGAAAAGGCTGAAATGAGATGCGAAGCGGTTGTCTCACAATTTTGGACAATGTCTAGGAAAGCTAACCAAACGCCTTGCCAGGACATTTGCATAAGGTTGCCGATTCCGGACGCTTGGGTCTATATGTTTAGAGTTGAAAAGAGGAAATGGAATTTTCACCAATCAGTCGGTTCAGTTCATTCAACTATAAGGAAACCAGGAAAAATTAAGGGATTAGAAAGACTAAGCCAATTGGCTCAAGGTGATTATTTCTTTATATAATTGAGTAAGATGCTAATTATTACTTTATCAATTCCTAATTCAAGGTCTCTTAGAGCCATCTTTAATAGAAGTTTCGTGCGGTCAGGCGAAATATGAAAATATATTTAAAGCTCTCGTCTGGAGGATCGAACAATTGCCGAGAATCAATGAGGGAGCCTACAAACAACATTTATTAACTTGTACAATGGATTTTGGACCACATGATATTATACCAGATTCTTTTGATAAGCAGGCGTCAGTGGAATATCATCAGAGCGACTCGTGCGTTTCTCTGGCTCAAGTCCGTTCTATAGGCGTATCTAGCCAGGACACAACCGATAAATGGGTTAAGTACACTGCTAAGTATGAGTATCGAGTAGAAATTGATATTGATAGAAAGACAAACAAGAGTGGTCTTGTGGAAAAGTTGGGAACATCTAGTGATGAAGAGGGATCGGATACGGACTTGAAATAGGACTCTTAATCCTATTTTATCTGTTATTACTTCCTATAAAATCATAATTATATGTATCTAGATGTCCTTTCTCGTGTTTTAGCCTATAGTGGGAAGCCTTACCCCTTTTAAAAAATAGAAGTCTTCGAATTAATCCTATGAGGAAATCGTGACAAATAGAGAAAAATCTTGCTAAAGGAAATAAAGAAAAGGTCATATTAAGACATCATACCGGAAGTCAATCTACATCTCTCTCTTAATTACTTTTTTTAGTCAAGTTTACCTGTGTACATGAATTTTCCCTTTATAATGACCTACTTTTATCCAAAATATAATCTCCTCGTTCATTTTTTTCTCAATATGTCAATTCTATATATGTAATTTTACGGCAAATATTCAATTATGGAATTAGCTTATTGCTAAGTAAACATAAAAGCAAACTTTGATAATTAAAATAGAGGAAAAGCAGATATAGATAAGATAACAGTTATTATCAAATTATTCTTAAAAGTATATATGAATATATAGAAATATGTATGTTTACACATCAGGCATCTTCCATATTGAACTCTATCGATTAGAATAAACAAAGAAAAGGTTTACACGAATCTTACTTTCATGTATTAGTAAATAAGAATAAATAAGAAGAAATAACACAACCCATTAAAAGTAACGAGAGTATAATACGGGATACAAGTAAATATGCTTGTGGAATATATATCCATATATCTTATTACATGTTTATACATCTTAGATGTAATTAATTTCCTACATGACTATATTTGTACATCTGGTCAAAAGCATATTCGCGACTATTGAAAGGTGTTCTATAAATAATCTGGTAAGATTTTCCAACTAATTGGTATTTTTTTTCTTATACGAAAACAATAAAACAACATTTTCCATTTCTTCAGTTGTCTATTAAATTCATTTCGTGCCTCTGCTTGCAACTTTTCTCTTCTGTACCATTTATATACAATTACATTGAGATATTTATTCTCATTAGAAAGTATAAAGAAAGCTTCAGTGGCATAGATTTCGATTAGTTTTAATCTTCGATGTTATTATTATTATTTTTAAAATTTATAAATATTTAAGCTCGTGGCTTCTGTTCTTCGAGGTTTGCTTTTAATTAGGTCAACAAAACAATATGAATAAATTATGTCATCATTTAGAATTACAAATTAGTTTCCTTTCCTTTTTTAATTTATTTGATGTGATCAGGTTTTCTTCAAATAACGACATAACTTTCTTTTACAGTTTCACTATATTCATAGTTTTGTTTAAGAAATAACATAATATAAATAGCACATATCTCTCTGTTGGCGACAAATGTTTAAAGTACTAATAACTTGATAAAATTATCAATAGTTCGCATATTCTAGTTGTGTTGTATTATTCTACGTTGATGGATCTTGATAGGATGTTGACGATTCAATATCTTCCAATCGTTTTCTCAATTTATCTTCGAACCGTAAAATTTTTCGCTTCTCATCATCCACCTATACAGGAATATCAAGTAAAAAAATAATAAATAACACCAATTTTGAAAGCAAACCATTTTGAGAGTATTATTGACATCTTCAACAGTCATTCTGTCAACATCAGACTTTGCTCGAGATAGTTTACTGCGACTTTGATCTCTTAGTTGTCGCTTAAACTTTAAAATGACGCTTTGACTTAATCCCGTTATTCTTGCGGTGAATGCATTGCAAAAAGTAATATTCGAAAATGCTGTTGAATTGTTTACAGAGGGAGAGAGAGAAAGTGAGAAAAAAAAAGCAATAATTTTTAAGCAAAATCTGTAACAAATAATCTTACCAGAATTTGAATTTTGACACCCAATTATCATCTCTCTCATGACACTTTTTGGATTCGTTTCACTTCTTCTTACTAATAATTCTATTTCACTTTTGAATGAGGACGAAATCTATAAGAAATTAAAAAATATAGCATTCTTCATAGATAAAAAACATTTTCAACTTACAATATTGCACTTCCGAACGCAACAAGGTTTATCTTCAAAAGAACTATGCCTTGACCGATTTTTATTGACTGTCATTCTGTCAATATTCCTTTTCTTTAAGCATAAAATAAAATTAAGTTGATATATTAATACACTTTAATATATTTTATCAAACCATTTTATTAGTTTTTTGTTTTCTATATAGGAAATTGTTCGAATAGTTTAGAATCTTTTTGCAAGCTGATTCACACAAGTTCGCTTCAGTTTTCAGTATATGTCTCTTTCTTTGAACATATTCCATAAAACGATCACTGTGCCTATGGCCAGACCCCAAGCCTACTTTTATCTTTCCTCTAAATGATTGAAAATATACTTTATACATATCTATATATATATATATCGTGTTTACAGGTATAGTACATGTTAATTAGAATAGTTTTTGGACATAGAAAACTAATAGCCATATTAAAAATTTTACCGCATTTCGTGATCGGCTGGAATTTCATAGCATTTCTCTTTGGATAGAGATTCAGCCTCCTTCATTAAATTACATAAATCATTTATTCGAGTTTCTACTTTACCTATGGAAAAAATACGGTGTCTGAACAACATGTGAATAGTATTTCATAAAATATTAATTACTTTCATCCCCGGTAACTATATACTTTTGAATACAATCGCAAGCTTTTTTTTGAAAGTACGGACAGCACAGTTTTTTTACTAAAAAATAAAAAACAAGAATAAATCTATTTATTGATAAAATAAATGTCAAAATTCTATAATAAATACCATATTCATTTTTCATCGATTCGTATAATGTCTGAACAAATTCGTTGCATGATTTAATGTATTCCTCTTTACGCTTTTTAATCGCCTCTAAATCTTCAACTTTACTAGACAACTTTGCTTTCGTTGGCTTAGCTTTGTTACTTAAAACTTTTTAGAAGGGATAAATGTATAAATCTGTCACTTCTTTAAACACTTACTGCAGCTGTAGCAGTAGCAACTCGATTCCTCAATAGCTCTTTCTCGGTTTTTATACGGTCTCTTTGTCAAATTGAAAGTTGTAGAAGAACATAAACAACATTGGAAATCTTTACCTAATCAACGTAAAAATGTTTTACAGAATAAGATCCTTCTTTTATAAAATAGTATTATTATTCACCATTAGGTAATTTTTCAGGTCGCAAAGAATCACGTTTTAAATTTACAACCTTTTTAGTATTTTTTCTCGTCGAGGCTTCGAATGTAGGCGATAATCGCTTGGCAGGGTTTCTCTTACGATTTGGTAATTGCTTTCTATGAACTGCGAAAATAAAGAACTCTTTAAAAGTAGGATAATAAACAAAGAAAAATTACTTGTATGATCCGATTGATATTGATCCATAAGTGCAAATTACATTTCTGTATTATCTTTTAGCGGAATGACAGTTTTATTTAATATCCTTTTTCATTGCGATCTCTATTCACGCATTTGGTGAGAAACTAGCTGGCTTTGTAAGTGCTGCTCTAATTATTTTTAAAAGTTCTAAAAATAGAACATTTTTATATTATAAAATCCAGTAATACTATCCTTAAATAAGTATATACTATATATAATTTTTTTTACATTATTAATTTAGAAAAAAGACCTTCTATGGAAATAGTGAATAAAGAAGCTATTTTAATCAAATTATAACTTTAAGAATTGCGTAATATTTCTTAATTAGCTTTTAATGATGTATTCAATTTGAAACAAGAAATGAAAAGAATTTTATTATTATTTAATTAATTGTTGTTTTCTTCTATTTCAAATCCCTATGAAGATTCTATATTTTGTCTTATTTCTTCGTATTTCTGTAATTCTTTTTCCGAAACAGATGGAATAAATACTGATAATGCGTAGTTGAAGTCACCTTCGTTCAATTCAACTATAGCTGTTTCTTTATTATTATCATCTATAATTTAAGACGAAAACGTTTAAAATCATAAAAGTGTAGAATAATTTTATTATTACCTATTTCAATTCGATCTATAACTCGTTTCACGGCATTCAAAGATGCTTCTGAACACAATGCTGCTAAATCAGCACCTGTCATATTTCTTGGACAATTTCTAGCGATAGTTTCTAAATCGAGATCATCGGCAACTTTCAATTTTCTTGTTACAGCTTCTAAAATCTTTGTTCTTTGACGAATATCGGACGCGACTCCTAAATAAACTAGTTTGTCGAACCTTCCCGGTCTTAGTAAAGCGGGATCGAGTAGGTCGGGCCTATTTGTTGCACCGATAACGTAAACGTCAAAACCAGTATGTAAGCCATCTAATTCAGTTAAGAGTTGAGAAACTATTCTATCCATAACACCTCCCGAGTCTCCTGATCTTCCTCTATTGGGGGCTAAAGAGTCTAATTCGTCGAAGAATATAACGCATGGTGCGGCTGATTGCGCTCTTTTGAATACTAAAAAATTATAATGGAACAAATTATCTCCATTTCATTTCTTTGATGGATTAATTTTTACCTTCTCGTATATTCTCTTCACTTTGTCCAACATACATATTAATTAGTTCGGGTCCTTTTACACTTAAAACGCACGATGTGGTAAATAATTAAGTAATAACTGATCCTTAAATAGCTCAATTACCTAAGAAAATTCAAAGAGCACTCGGTAGCTACTGCTTTGGCTAGCAATGTTTTTCCACTTCCTGGAGGTCCGTAAAGTAGTAGACCAGACCTTCTTAACCCGGAAGAGAATAGTTGAGGATGTTCTAAAGGTAGCTGAATAGTATTTAGGATTTCTTCTTTAACATTTTCCAATCCACCGATATCACTCCATGTTACTTTAGGTATCTAGTAAAGAGAATAGAATACCTAGATAATTTTTTAATGTTTTAACTCTAAATACCTTGGGAGCTCCAATAGCATCTGAATGTTCGGCTTGAAGGGCACTGATAGCATTATCGAAATTCTCTTTTGTTAGAACTAAACCGCATAAATGTAATGTTTTCATATAGTTATTAGAGGTTGTTCCTTCATTTTCCAGTCTACAACTACAGAAGAAGTCAATTTTAATTGAAAGCACTATAATAAAATAGCAATGACTCACAGAGACTTAATGGCATCTATTTGAGCACATTTCTTAGCTTTTAATAATAACGAATACAAATCACTCATAACGAAACCCTGCAATAATGTAATATACGTATAGATTGATAATTTGAAAGTAAAGAAGGGTGTTTCAGCTTACAGCAGTTTTTTGAGCTAAATATTTTGAGGTAATATCAATAGCTAGCTCTTCACTGGATAATAGATAATTAAGCATTTCCTCTCTCTCCGATTCGTTTGGAGACTAATTTAAAACGAAGGTATAATAGACAATATATGAAACATATAATTAATATTAGTAAATAAAAATAGTTAGATCTACTATAAAAATTAATCTACTTAATAACTTACATTTAATTGAATATGATGTGTGAAGCATTGATGAATATCCGTATTAACTTTTTTGTCATCGATTGCTGTTCCTATAATTAAAAAAGGTAAATTTTTTCTCTCTGCCGATAATTTACGGATTAATCTTGAAAATGCTATAGCAATTCGAATATCATCGTTACTGCCAGCTTTCTCTTTAGCTAGGAGCTGTAGATAAAAAGGAAATTGATTGTTAAAAGATGCCAGATTTCTTATTTCTTTAATTTTTTTTCTCTCTGCAATTGATTATTCTATTTACACACCTCAATTTTCTGTAATATAAGAATAATTGGCGCCATTTTATTTATTTTATTTAAAGTTTGCTTAATCTTTGCCTCTGTAGCACCTGGTGTATCACCGCCCAAATTTTGACAATGAAATACTAAATAATGCATTCCAAGATTCTCTGCTAAAGCTTTTGCTAAAGATGTTTTACCGGAGCCATCTGGACCACAAATAAGTATAGTTGGTAGAATATCCAAAGGACTATACAAGTAAAATTATATGACAGTTTTGTATGATTTATATAGAAAGCAATACTAGTATTCTTACCGATCATCTCTCAAAAATGGCTCACAGTGCTCCAAACAGTTAGACAAATTCTTATGAAGAACGGGTAAATAGCGTTGCTTTGATGAAAATTTAGGAGGAATAAACATTTGAGTGGTACCTTCCTAAAATATCAAAAAGAAAGTGAAGATATATTTGAAATATCATAAGTGTTAATCGTATTAAAATTACCTGATATAGGGTACTATTTTCTTTATCTACTCTTAATGTATTTGTTGGAAATTCTGACCAAACAGTCATCTTTTTCACACGAAAATAAACAAGTTTTGCCGGCGGAAAGTTTTCTATGCTAGATACAAAATTCTTATCGTTTCTAGTTTCCACAGCGAAGATGTCGCCTTCGTTTATGAATCTGTATAATTGGGAATATTTAACTTTTGTTGATAAGTCTGAGATGTTTCTTACCTAGTTTCTGTGAAATATTCTGATAATAATGAAGAGTATAAATCACTCGCATTGTAATTCGGTGAGAAAACAACATCAATGTGGACAGTCTTTGCGAATGGTACAGTAGCTTTCCTACTATAACTAGAACTGTCAACTTCTTCGGCATCCTCTGTTTCTATTTTCTATAAGATGAACAGGTAATCTATAACAAATATTTCAATTCTATTCACTTTAAAACCTACTTTTATAAATAAAGGTCGCTCAACTTGACTTAGCCAAAATATTCTATCATCACTCATATTAAAGGCTAGGTTATTTGATAAATATAGGCCTGATCTATTATTTTTATTAATAAAACATATTCTAACTGTTCTCCAAGTGCCCGCCTCAAATTTGATTACTAAAAAGCTCTTATCAAAGATTCCTAATTCATAAGCTGTTTGTTTACTTATCAAGGCATCTTTCATGTAATCTAAATCTTCATCATCTGTTAACTGTTTCCATTCTTCTTCATCAACAATTTGACACATTATCTTAAGATTAGTCTTCGCACCATTTAAGAATGTCGGCTCATTCTTTATAATGGATAAACCGAAGGCAAAGTCACTAATTAGAACGGCATTTTTAGAATTTTGTTCATTTTCTTTAAACATAGAAAGGTCTTCCCTTTTGCTAAAAGGTTGAGGGGTTTTTTTTACAATGATCTTTGTTCTCTTTGATAGAATTCCTTGTTTAATAGGACTACAATCAGATATAAATATTTCTCTTAAGAGATCCATACTGTACGCCGTGTATTGATGAAATCTTTCGTCATAAGGGCATAAGAACATACAATTTTTCCTTATTAGAATTGGAGATGAATCGATCATTCGGCAAATGACATTTCTAAAAGAATCGCTTTTCAGCCAATTTTCACTATCATCAGTTTGAACTGAAAAAAACACAGAGTCTAATGTGGGGACATTTGGAATTAGTTTAGCATAATAGGTTCGCTTTAGATCAATATCATAATTCTTTAGCGCACTCTTGGTTGCGTATAGAGTCAAACCATCTCCTTTATTTCCAGGTTCAATTGTTCTACATTCTAAACTCGGTTGTACAAAGATCAATTTTGCATTATTTTCTTTCGCCGGGTGTTGAAAAATGGCAACAATTGCTGAGAGTTGTCCATCTTTAGTCAAGTGCTCATTAAAATCAGCATCGTGGGCAAAAAAATGTAAGGGATGGTTATTTCCATCCGGATAAATCGTCGCTAAGTTCAAAACGAACACGCTCTCGCCCGCCGTCATTATCACAGAGGTAAGCCTACTTTCTGCGAGGCATTCCTCACAACTAAAAATATTGTTTGATAAAATCGCAGAAAAATCAGAATATTTTTTTTTATCTATCAAAATAAACCTTAATTTTGTCTTTTTCAAGCTATTTAGAATACTAAATATCGCTAATTCAAAAAAAAATCAAGCTCGTGAGTTGACCTATTTTTGATATTTATGTCCTTCAGTTTTTTATGAAAAGTTCTCTTCACCAGAAAGTGCATCTAGACGTAAAAGTTTTATTAATACGTCATTTTTTCAGGTATAAAATTTATTATAAAATGTATAAAAGTTTGTTTGAGTCAATGGCCTGAGTTATTTCAAAATTAAAGTGAAAGTATATAAAGTACGCGGTTAAATCAACAGGAAATGTTCGAATTTATGTTTACCGCAATATTTTGGCTTTCATCTCAAGAAATTTGCTTAATGCATCAACAACTATATTAAATAGCTTAGCAATTTTAGCCGTTTCTCACAAGCAGAAAATACTTGAGGAATAGAGTAATTAATAACAATATAGACAAATTGAGTGCGCGCCTGTAATACAGATTCGTATTTCCGGCTGTCGGGACGTGGCTGCAAGTTATCTGATAAATCAAATCTTGCTGTGCATTTATTTGCAGGATGGCAAGCCGCAGTGAATTGATCGACAGAGCCGAAGATATGGCTGAAAAGGTTAAATAGTTTTCATATTTTAACTTTTTGTAAACATTACAAAATTACCTAATCAACTCAAATATATTAGTAAACGTAACAACAAAGACATCTGTTTACGTGATAGTATACGTAACACTAGTAATCAATGCATTTTGTAGAGACATTCTTATATCTTGTAACTTACTTATAGGCTCTTCGCCACGGAAAACATATTTTACCGCACGTAGCCCGGTTATGTTTGACTTCAACATTCATAGAAGACGGCTTTCGTATGTGGTTTCAATGGGGTGATCAGAGAGATTATATAAATAATACCTGGAGTTGTGGATGGTTTCTGGCCATGCTGTTCGTAATTATTAATTTAATCTGCCAGTTAGGTTGTAGCGGTATGGTCTTGCTGAGAAAGCGAGTTAATTTAGCCTGCTATGTTTTATTTGGAATAATAGCTCTGCAAGTGAGTATATCCGTATAAAAATTGTATATATTACGAAATTCAAGAGTACAGAGTCCGATAAAACTTACAATTTATCTTCCACTAAAATGTAAGATATTGTAAGTGAGCTAATCAATAAGCCCTCAATCATTTTTTTTATATATATATTTCATTATTTCTTATTCAAACATTACTTTTCTTTTTTTAGACTGTTGCATACAGTATATTGTGGGATTTGAAATTCTTGATGAGGTATTATTAACATACACTTTTTATATTAATATATATATATATATTGATGTCTGTTTTTATTAAAAAAAAAAATTACAGAAACTTGGCTTTGGCTGGAGGCGTTTTACTTTTGCTTGTAGAATCCAGAGCCGAAGGAAAATCTTTATTCGCAGGTTTACCATCTTTGGGTGAAAATTCAAGTAAAACTGTGATGCAGTTGTCCGGGCGTATCCTCCTCGTTCTCATGTTCTTAACTCTGCTTCGTTTCGATTCTTCTATTTTACACATTCTACAAAATATCGTCGGAACAGCTTTAATAGTTCTCGTTGCTGTAGGATATAAAACGAAGTTATGCGCCCTGGCACTTGTCGCTTGGCTATCATTGTTGAATTGTTACATGAACGCCTGGTGGAATATCGCTGCGCATAGGCCATACAGGGACTTCCTTAAGTACGATTTCTTTCAAACTTTGTCAGTGGTCGGTGGTCTTCTATTGGTAGTAGCCTTAGGACCTGGTGGCTACAGTGTGGATGATTATAAGAAGAAATGGTAAAAATAAGAGCCACTCTAGGTTCTCCGAACATCAAATTCTAAATGTTGTTCTACTTTTGGATATAAAGATCAAACGTGTTCGGTCAACTCTGTTACTCAAATCCATGTACGTGAAAAAGAAATATTTTTTCAGCAATGTGTATGTAATACAGTGAAAGTTGCGCTTCGATAACAGCTGCTTCATTTAGCTAGACAACAGCATTTATGATATTTTATTTATTCTTAAACCATTCTCTCTTAAACATCTTTTATAAAGCATTAAAATTATGAAATTCCTTTTTTTATATATGTTTATCTATATATTTAAAAAGTTTACTCTAATCTGCAAACAAAACTTTCTTATCTCGCTATCCCGCTTCGTTATTTAAAAACAGCATTTTCATTCAGATCAGGATTGCAGAGATAGATTTCGATATTTACTAATTTTGTTCTTTTGAATAAAAGAGATAAGAAAAATTATTAAAAAAAGAAAGAAATTAACAGATAAGAGAAATTGATTTCGGTATAATATAAAAAAAAACAAATTATATCATCATTATTTCGATTGATTTCTTGTATTTTCATCGTAATTTTAATCCAATTGTTATAACAAAACATAGAATTTTTCGTAAATAGTTTCTCAGGATTGAGGATAGCGTTGATGCTGCCTGTACATTCCATGTCCTGCATCAGAAAAAGTGCTGTAGCTATCATTCTGCCCCGTATTACTTAAATGTGATGTGTAGGGCGAGTAGTTAAATGTACCCGTAGACGGATACATATGTGAATACTGCGTGGTGTAGGACATTGACTGAGCTCTGTATGCATTCGCATTCGGGTCGTACGTTGATTGCTGATGCTCAATATAAGATTGCTGAGGTATTGCTGCGTAGGAAGAATAATAGCGTTGCTGTTGTTGAGGAATTTGATGATGTGATTGATGCTGATATTGTTGAAAATGTTTCTCTCTTTCGTATTGTTGCATTCGGTACTGTTCTTGTTGTCTTTGATGAACTGCTAATTGCTGTTGCTGCCGTCTCTTTGCCTGTTGAGCAGCCTGCTGGTTTTGAATTTCAATCATTTTTGCCATGTTGCAACTTCCCTGAATCATATTTTGCTGCATAATTGGTGCGGGCCTGTAATGATTTTCCGTTATGATGCAGTCTTCTTCATCTGCATTATTATTGATATTGGCTGCTTCGACAGCCATTTTAAGAAGATCAATGGGGGGAGCCTGAATCGAGCTAGTAACACTTAGATCGCACGATGATTGTTTGTTCATATTATCGTTATGGCAAAAGTTAAACTCTGGAATTAAAAATGTATTGTTTATGGCTTGATCTTGCCTTTCTTCTTCCTCCTTTTTATCGTGAATACTTAGATTTAAAACCTCAGCCTTTTCCTCGTTACAATCAACGGTCATTAAGTTATTCTCCATCATATGATCATTCGGAGGAGTAGCCGATTGCACATTTTGAGGTGGATTAGGTGAACTGTACGTGTTGTCCTTTTGTCCACCTCCATTCACCATATTCGGTGATGCTGGCGAGAGAGCCCAAATTCCCTGTCTTTCCTCCTTAGCAGGTGATAATAATGCCAATTTCATTCCAACGTCTGCATAATCGGTTGCATGATCATTTCCAACCTTATCTCCGTATCTTTCTCCCTGACTTTCTTTGGTGTTCTCTGTTGAGTCTGCTTCAGCTAGTATTTCTCGGATTTCTGGAATATTAAGTTTTTCTGATGCTTGACTAGAATTCAATAAATTTTCATCAATCTTGTCTGCAGGCACCAAAGGTGGAATTTCCTCTGTATGACTAGACTCTGTTGTTGCTTCTTGGTCTCGTGTATTGTTTGGACTCTTCTCAAGCTGATTATACTCATCCCAATCGACTTTTTCACTATCGATCTTGTCGTTTTCCTCTTCGATATCATTTTTTTGTCCATCTTTGATTGATTCTGGTTCTGGTTCCAGTTCCGGTTCTGGTAATTCTTTAGCAGTTTGTACTTTTCGAGTTTTCTTTCTTTTAAGTAGTTTGAGCTTTCTCAATTTGTGTTCCTGGAGCCTTCTTCGTAGGAGGGTTTTTTTCGGCATAAAACGAGAATGCCTCATTCGATTAAAAGATTTACATCTTTTAGTTGATATATTCGCGAATACCACTTGTGTTTTAAGAGTGTCTTTTAAGTTTCTCTTTTCCTGAGCAGTTGATTTGGAGCAAAAATAATCGGCCTCGCCATCTGACATGCAGACGGTCGGTGTAATTTGATTATCATCAATGTTTGCATCAATTTCGTTTCTGTCGTTAGCTGTCAACCTTATATTCTTATTTCGACCATATTGAATTCTAAAGCGATTTTTCCTTTTAAGCGATTCCAAAATCGGTGAAGATTCTTTGATTTTCTTATTTTTTTTTCGAAGTTTTTCAGCTGTAAGAGCAGTCATCAAAGGTGATAATCTACACAAATTTCTCAAGTCAACCCGTGTACCTGTACTTGCGATAGTTTGTGGTACACGCAAATCTACCATTAACGGTTTTGGTCCCAATTCAATTTTTTCGTCATCGTCACTCTCCTCCAATAGTTCAACATGCTCACAAATAGCACCGTCATCCCGTTTACTTCCGGAACGTTTAGCTAAGGCAAGTTGTGATTTGTTCGGTCTTAAATCAAGAAAGACATGCGAATTTGATGAAGTTTTCAATTTTAACGAAGCTAAATTAGATGAAAATTTTTCGATATTATTTTCTGATTTTTCATCCATGTCGGAGACGCCGTCGAGTTGCGGAATAGTAGTATTTGAAATGTCTTTCTCTACCTCATCATTTTCTTCATCTTCTTCATCCTCCTCCCTCTCATCTTCTCTTTTTACGTGAGTTTTTTCATCGATGCTTTCGTCTTCTTCTTCGTCTTCATTGTGAGCTAATAATATACTGTCGCCTTCTTCCAATTGAAACATATCCTGGGCGTCAAGTTGCTTAAATGCTTCAGCATCACCGCTCTTCGCTTTACGTAACAAAATTTCTTTGCCTTCTTTGGCTTTCTGTAATTGTGTGGAGGAAAGGCGTTCAATAGTTTCCCTACTCACGACAGGCTCGTCACCGACTTCTAGCGCCGTGGCGTCAGGCGTCGACTGAATCGATGCGTCGCCACGGAAACGTTCAACTACTTCGTTCAAACGTTGTAAACCATCGGTATCATATTCATACTTTGATTGAATAGATGGTGTTCTACTCAAGGACGGTTTCGTCTTACCTTCTTCCTTCCAAATGTATTCTAAAGCTGGATTTCTACCATTTAAACTAGATTCGTCAGCATTTGTAATATCTGTTGCAATAATATCAACTTCAAGTTGACAATACGATTGTCGATTTGCATCTTCTCTTTTCTTTGCTCGTTTTGCTTTTAGATAATCCATTCCGCGTAAATTGTAATCAATAAGAAATTGCAAATTATATGGTACATGCACTTGGTGAGGTTGAAAAACCGTGTTGAGAATGGCGCCCTCCAGTAATAATGTTGAGACACGTTTCAAATCAGCCGGATCGTATAAAAAAAGTTTAAAAAACACATTTTCCTCCCCGCTGTAGCCATACATACGGAATGCCCGAACAGTTTGCACACTATGAACTTTTTCCGAATTCTCCTGTTTAGAAGCGGACGATAAATTTAGAGCTTTTTCAACGCTATAAGCCAATAATCGGCCGTATTTTATAAGCTCTTCATCATCTTCCATATTTGGTGCAATTACGAATAAATAAGGCAGCACACCATGAATATGAGCGCATACTTTTTCACCAGTTGCCGTTGAGCCAAAAATTCTTAGAACTGGAATGTTATGAACGATGCAATCATCCAATTCCCTTACAATAGGATCATAATCAGGAATAGGAGAGGTTAGGTAATAGTCCATATAAACTATGCGTACATCGAACATGTTGCGTTTTCTAGCTGTTGAATACAAATATGAGTAATTAATCGAAGAATTTAACATACTACTTACCAAAGTTGGATCACTTTCAAACAGATAGCAAATTGTATAAATAAGATAAATTTTGTAAATTGACTCAACGCTACCAATCTGATTATGAGCATTCTTCGAAAAAAAACGTAATAATCGATTCTGTAGCAATATGTATACAAAACATGGCTGACAATGTTGATTTTTGCTACCGCCATCTGTAGTATTACTAAAAACTTTATCTAAATAATATTCTAATTTAGAAACAAGCTCTTAAAAAGTTATGCAAAGTTCCTAACAGAATTCTGATAAAATACATCAAGTTCAGGTAAAGAAAATAAGACATAACGCTATTGTATATTTGTTTTATCTATATTTTCTGAGAATAAATTGTTTCTTAATAAAAGGATAAATAAAATATGAATAATATCCTTTCACTTATATTATATTAATACTTATTGAGTACCATACATCAATAGGAAAAGAAGGAACGCCATTAACCTAAAATAGATATGAGACAATATATATATATACAGATATACATAATATTTAAATGGCTTTATTATTACTAATATTATAAAAATATCAATGTTTTTAAATGAATAATTATACATAATGAATAGAACTAATCCAGTATCTAATAATATTTTTTAAAACATCAGATTTTATTGATATTCTACTTTATGATGAATTACGTTATTTCAATTTATTATTTCTTCCCCCTTCCAATAAAGTTATCTATCATTTAAGTACCTCTTTATTTATCTTCACTAATTTTAATGAGATTTTTATCTTCGTTTTATTCTTTTTCCCATTACATGAACCGTTTTGAACCGAAATGCGAACAAATCTGTTGTTCTATATAAAAGAATCGTTGATTCTTAAATAATTTGAAAAGAGATTTAATAGATAAAAATTGATTAAAGTATTTTGTTAATCGACACTTAATAAAAGGTAACTCTTTCGTTTTGGAATATTTTTCAATTTCCAAGTAAAATTTGGACATTACGCGGTATGTCACGTGATATGATCGTCTGCCATTTTGATTATATGATATATCTTTAAAAAGTTCCTCTTCGCTATGTTGACGTCAAGCTTTCACGTGACCTACCATCATGGAAGACTAAACATTTCGCTGCTTTAGTAAAGATTCGAGATTTCCAATTTATTGAAGCGATCGCTCACGTAAATCCTAGTATCAACATTGCTAATTTTATTTAATATATCACTGAAAGGGATTTTTAATTTGAAGAATCGGGTAAGCTATTCATTTGTCGATTTAAACTCCTATTCAAAATGGCGTTTTTATACATAGTATTTCTGCTTTATCTTATCGTGATCGGGGTATTAGTCACGATTTAAATTAGTTCTAAGGTAACAATAACTTGCAAACCATTAAAAAGACATCTGATTTGATTAAAACCTACTTCAGGTGACGAGATCTTATTAAAAGTTGAAGAATATTTAAAAAAAAGGAAAAGAACTGGTAAGGAGATAACAACAACTTTCCTTTGAATGTTAATAACCAGGTCTATAATTTCTTGCAGTTTATTTTAACTAGGAGAAGTTAGTGTGTCTAAAATGACTTCTGGTTCACCCTTATCTCAACTTGAATTTACAGGTATCACGCCCAGTCTTCGATGAGTAATTTACACAGATAATAGATTCTATAAGGAGGTTTTTTTCAGTCCTCTCAGCAAAGATAAATCAGCAAGGTTTTTTAAAAGCGGATCCCTACATAGAAGTTAGTGTTGATGGCCAAGCTCCTCGTAAAACGGAGGTAGCCAAGAAAACTTGGAATCCTGAATATAAAGAAGGATTCACCCTTTTAGTTTCACCAACGTCTAAGATCGAAGTTAGATTATTCAACCATTATCAATTAAAATCGGATACTTTACTAGGACAAGCAACAGTTGATCTACATAATCTTTTAGTGAAACATAATGGCTGCTTTAATGAAGTGAAAATTAAAGTTGATCTTAAAAGTTCAACAAAACAGTCCTCAAAAGTTGGAAGTGCACAAATTGTATTAAATGGTATGAGAGTACCCATGAATAATTATCAAGGACCTCCCCCTACAAACGGATTATCTGATGGAGGAAGTATCACATCGTCTCCTTCTAATGCCTGTAAGTAGATTAAGCATTTCCCTCTCTTTAATTGCGCAATTTATAACTTCACCACAAAGTATATTTTCTAATAAAAAGCACGAAAGCTATTTTGAATAGAATATACTTTTATTCTATTTAAACTGTTCCTAAATACTAACAGATCCTCCAACGAATCAGCCTCCTTATATTATTTTTGTCTATAGATAAGTTAGAAAAAAAAAATTGATTTATTTACCAATTCAAACTAGGATATCAGCTTGCAAAATTAAACATTGTCTGGTCAAATTATTTATAGTAAACAGTTTGGGAAAATAGAAACTTTTATAAAAGGATGCTTTTTTTTTCTTTTTTTTTGTGAAGTTCACCAAATTATCTCATTTCTTTTATTATTTGCTGTTTTTAAATAATTACTCCTATATAAATAGTTTTATCTAATAAGCAGTGTCTATAAATTACGATAAACATTTAATTTTGTAGCATTTATTTATATTTAGTATCTAACAGTATATTTATATGTGTATGCGTTCTCTTTTTATTTATAACTAAGTAATAAGACATTTAAAAACTTATTTAGTATTATTTGAGTACTTAATATTTTGAACTAAATCCAATAACAAGTTTATATTATCGTTAGTTAAGTTCTTCACGATAAATGACAAAGGAAAAACATTGAAAAAAATAGCAACAAATTACTATATAAATAAAAATATGTCAAACGCCGAAGAAATAAGGAGAATAATTCATTTATTTAATGGTAAATACAATATTTAGCCTATTCGTCTTGGAGGTTATTTACTTCGTTATTAAAGCAGATAGTTTAGATATTTGTTTAAATGTATATAATTTTAAAACAATGCACTATAATTTCCCTTAAATATGTTTATTTATACATGTGTATGAAAATAGGCGTATATATATATATGTATTTGTATAGCGTTTATATTTGCCCTTATTCTTTATAACTACAATAGATCTCTGTGTATATATTAGAAATCTCTTTGAAAGAGTAGAAAATGACATGTATAACGATGTAGGCCAACGATGAGCTGAATTTTTAAACTTGAAGCTAAATGAATGAATAAAAAGGAGATTACGCAGTGTTGCCTAGAGTAAAGAAATATTATGGTTGATTTTGGCCAGCTATTTTTTTTTTCTATATTATCGATTTTTAATATTGTTAAGACTCAGTCTCCCTTTAGAAATAGGTGTGTGCTTGTTTCTGTTTGTGTACGATTTAATACGACATGTTTTACTGTTAGGGAAGAAGAATTAAATTAAGATTATTTTCAAAAATTCGCCGAAGTCATATAGCTACTATTTCTGACCCACTGTTATATATATTGAGAATCCTTATTTAGCTATAGGCCAAGTTGTATTAATCGATTGTTGTTGCGGCTACGGTGCTGCTGAGTCAATTTTATTGTGCATATGATTGTGATTGGCGCTGCGTAGGGAATTTTCATGATTATGAATAATGGGTGTAGCCGCATCGGCGTCGTCCCAACCGCGACGGGCCTCATCCAACAGAATTCGTGTTAGCGCGGTCGAGACGTCAGAACAATCAACTGGCAATCAGCCAGAAACTGGTAGTTCAATATCTAATGGCCAAACAAATATATCTGCAGCTTTAACTGTTAATGGCGCAGTTGGTGGTTCGGCTTCGGAATCCAGTTCTAATGATCATGGATCTGGTCGACCTAAACCGGAACACAGAAGACAAGCAAGAAGTCAGAATAGGTCCAACTTACCACCACCTCCACCAATAAATGCCAGCAATAGCGCAAATTCACCTCGTCCTTCAGAAAATAATTCAAGTCCTGGTGTTCCGCCACCTGCTTCCACACCAGGTCCTTCCGGTCCAGCACCAGCTCCCCCACCGCCAGGCACTCCTGCACCCCCATCAAATGAACAATTGCCGCCAGGATGGGAGATGAGAGTCGACCCCCAAAATCGAACTTACTATGTTGATCATAATACTAGGACTACAACATGGGAACGTCCAACACCATTACCACCTGGATGGGAAAGACGTGTTGATCCTCGAGGCCGAGTTTACTACGTCGATCATAACACCCGAACCACAACTTGGCAAAAACCAAACGCAGATATGATGCATAACCTTCAGAATTTTCAACAATGGCGTACAAACAGGTCCCAGCAATTAGAGCAAATGGTGAATAGATTCTTGTATCCGAATCAACAAGCTGCTACTGAAAACGATCCCCTAGGACCATTGCCAGACGGATGGGAAAAGAGAGTTGATCAAAATGGAAGAGTCTATTTTGTAAACCATCAAAATCGAACAACGCAATGGGATGATCCAAGAACGCAAGGAAATACAATTCAAGAGGACCCCCTACCTGAAGGTTGGGAAATGAGATATACTTCAGACGGCGTTCGATACTTTGTTGATCATAATACAAGATCAACAACATTCCAAGACCCGAGAGGAGGCTCAGCTAAGGGACCAAAGGGTCAATTTGGAGTTCCTATACAATATGAAAGAAGTTTTAGATGGAAACTTGGACAATTTAGGTATCTATGCCAGGTATGTAATCATTTCGCATATATTTACAAATTTAATCTAAAATAGTTAACCTATAATCTAATATTAAACTAATGAATAAGTTCAATTTTTTATTATTAAGAGTCAAAACGTTAAATGTGGTCCACCGACCAAAATATACGTTAGACGAGATCAATTATTTGAGTCGTCGTTTAGGGAGGTGAGATAAAAAGTTATTGATTTTAAAAATTTGTTTGCTAATAAACAGTCAAACGCCTTGCCTGGTCATGTGAAAATTACTGTTACAAGAGAAAATTTATTTGAAGATTCATATCAGCAGGTGATTTATATGCTATTTTGATTCGCTTCACCTATATATGATTAGATAAATAGTGATATTTTTGTGCATGCTCTTTTATTTTTATTGCTTTATATATATATATATATATATATATATGTTGACTATATACATACATTTACATCAACGGTGTGTTTCTTCAACAGATTATGCGATTGCAACCTTTTGATCTTAGACGCCGATTGTACATTATATTTAGAGGAGAAGAGGGCTTAGATTATGGCGGTTTGGCCAGAGAATGGTTTTTTCACGTTAGCCACGAAGTTTTAAATCCAATGTATTGCTTATTCGAATATGCTAATAACAACAATTATTGCCTTCAAATTAATCCGGCTAGTTCGGTTAATCCGGATCATTTAACATATTTCCGATTTATTGGGCGTTTTATCGCAATGGCTCTGTATCACGGAAAGTTTATAGACTCAGGTTTCACTATGCCTTTCTATAAGAGAATGCTCAGTAAGAAACTAGTTATAAAAGACCTGGAAACAATTGATCCGGAATTTTATAATTCACTGGTTTGGTTTAAAGAAAATAATATAGAAGATTGTGGACTAGACTTGAATTTCTGTTGCGATTTCGAAAAATTGGGGAAAATCGAGCAAGTCGAATTGAAAGAGGGAGGTGCCAACATATCTGTCACCGAAGAGAATAAAGAAGAATATATCACACTTATGACTGAATGGAGATTTAAAAGGGGAGTTGAAGAACAAACCAAATCATTTCTCGACGGATTTAATGAGGTTGTACCCCTGCAATGGCTGCAGTATTTTGATGAACGTGAACTAGAGTTGATGCTCTGCGGTATGCAAGAAATTGATATAGATGATTGGGAAAAGAATAGTATTTATAGGCATTACACCAAGACAAGCAAACAAGTTGTTTGGTTTTGGAAAGTAAGAATACATTGATATTGTTTATCTTGTGTAACATATCTGTATGAATATATAAATGTTTTCTTTCCCTAGTTTGTTCGAGAATTGGATAATGAAAAAAGGACACGACTACTACAGTTTGTCACAGGAACATGCAGATTACCTGTAGGTGGATTCGCCGAATTAATGGGTTAGTGATCAGTATTATTAATAAATAAATAAATATCAAACTATAAATTCTTAATTAATATACGTTAACAGGAAGTAATGGCCCGCAAAGATTCTGTATAGAAAAAGTGGGAAAAGAAACATGGCTTCCCCGATCCCATACCTGTTTTAATAGACTAGACCTTCCCCCTTATAAAAGTTATGAGCAATTAGTAGAGAAATTAAACTTCGCCATTGAGGAGACAGAAGGCTTTGGACAGGAATAAAGATTCTTATAATAACTTATACAAAACAAAAAAAAACTATCAGTAATATACAAAAAACAAAAAAAAACAAGTACAGATATTAAATGTGGACTGCAGTTCAAGAGAATATATACTGTATATAACGGAAACAGTTGATTGTTTTTCGTTTGCTTTTAAAAATATATATATAATTGAAGACCTGCAGACGCGAATATTGTGTTTACAAAAATTTTACACACTCGCTTGGGTATGAATGAATGAATATATTTTGTGGCCGACAGTTAACATTTTTATAATATGACAATTTATTAAATGACTTTTAAATAGCGAAGCTATTGTTTGCACGTTATGCGATATACATTACGATCTATTTGATTATAATAAAAACCTTTGTTCATTTTTGCAATTATTACGGAAAGATACAAAATTAAAGAAATCAGCTTCTTTTTTATTTGTTTATATATTAATACAATCGAGTAGGTTAATCTCATTATTATTATTATTATAATCGTCATCATTGTCATTATTTCCTCTCTCTGGGTTTTTTCCCTCTCCCCTCCCCCTCCCCACATTTATTCTTAGTTCTCTTTCATAGATCATTTTGTCACGAATATTGTCTTTTTTAATTATTTTTAGTTTGCATGTTTGTCGTTTTAAATTTAATTTCTAGTGAAAACAACGAGTACTTATGAAAGCGGATAGATAGTGTTTCACTGACAATACACCATTCTCTTCAACATAACAAAGTCTATAAAAATAGAAATCTTACAAAATAATTACCACCAGACAAGTTGATCTTGTACAAACAGATGTCACTACTTCTAAAGAGATTAGCTTAATGCTTATCTAATAACTTTAATATGATAAATACTCTCTTGAAGATTTATCGTAGGTGAATATACTAATATATACATATATTAATATGAACACGAAAAGTACGATAGGTGGAGTGTTAAACTTTGATTAGTTGGGAAATGTTGAATAAGTGGGAGCAATGGGAAGGAAGGGGAATGTGTAAAAAGAAATTTATCGTCTTTTATATCAGTATCAGAGTGGAATTTTCTTTTATTAATAACTATCGATTACTTATAAACTGCTTTTCTTTCGCAATCAGTTGGAAAGGAATGCAAATTTGGTTGAATTTATTAAATTCCCTTCAACTATAAGTTGAATTTGTACGCTTTGGAATTTCTGGTAAGACTAAAAGTTGATTCCATAGCAGAAATGTTCGATACAGAGAAATTTGACATCAGTAACACTAAATGAAAACATTCTCCGGTAATTGCACTAGACGTCTGTTACAGCTGTAAAACACCGCAATAACACTCGAAGGTCCTCCATTCTCTTGGAAATGAATATTCATAAGCTGGTTTCGGTGCATTGAGCAAAGAGTCTGATTTCCTGCTTTTATATTTGTAGTCTCGTTACTATTCATGAAAATGAATATTCATAAAGACGTTTAAGGAGGGTATCGACAGTCGTCCGTATCTTGTGCGACACGATAGAAAAGTATGTTAAAACTTTTCAACAGACGATCTTTTATTCACTTCCTCATCCTCCTTAGCCAGTACCAACTAGGCTGTTTAGGACGTAGATCTCAGAACAATCTTCTAAGAACTTTATCGTTCCTAACAAAATCATCTTGGAATGATAATTCCACAGAAGATAATGAGCAAAAAAGTCAATTGAAATCTTCGTCTGGAGAGCAGTTTCAATACGAAAATGACGTTATTCTAGATGGTCATAAACGTTTCCATCTGTTTTGGAATTTTGATAACGTCTTAGAAGAAGTTACTTTTGAAATAGAAGCAAAAATAAAGAAGGATCAATTCTTTGCCTTTGGATTTTCAGATTATGGAGAATTTATAAATGCTGATTATGCTATTTTGTGGACAGATAAAGATGGAAAACCACACTTTCAAGTAGGTTAAATTGAAGTATTTTATTCCATAAAGAGAATATGGAAGATAATTAATTCCTACTTTGAGGTCAACTCTCTCCGTATGATTGTTCATTGTAGAAAGAATAATATTTTAAGGCAACCTTACTTTTACCTAATCAAAAGCCATTTTACTAGTCAAATTACTAGTATCCAATATATTAATACCTCAGATAGAGAGAGAGAGAGAGAGAGAGAGAGAGAGAGAGCGAGTTTGGGAATTGGCATACCTTATTCTCTTCTTTGACGCATGCGCAAGAATAAAACACTCTAATCTTTTCTCCCTCTTTTTCTCTTAGGACGCCCACACTGATCATTCTGGATTGATTCATGTGGATAAATCTCAAGATTATAATTTGCTTAATTTTACCACTAAATCCAATAAAGTTATATTAACGTTCAAAAGGTTCTATGACACGTGCGACAACGACGATTATCTAATAGATGTAAGAATTTTGCTTTTCCATCCTTACCATAAATAAAATATATAATTGTTTTATTGAATATTCAACAGTCCGGTACAACGCATCTACTCTATGCAGTTGGCATAGGCCACCCAAGATCTGCAGAGAATATTAATATAACTTCTCTAAGACCGTCCATGACTAGAGTTCAAATAATTAAAAGTGAATTAGTTGATCCCGAATTTCCAAAAGACACTGAAACTTTTGCAATGACTGTTGAAAATGTTAAAGTTCCTGCTGAGGAGACAACTTATTGGTGTGTTGTTAAAAAACTGCCGAATATGTCGGAAAAGCATCATATTATTCAATTCGGTGGTAAGATTACGCCCACCAGCGAAGGAGTTGTTCACCATATGGAAGTTTTCCATTGTGACGCTCCTCCTGGAGTAGAAATTCCTCACTACGAAGGCAAATGTATTAAAGAGGGAAGGCCTAAGGGTCTAGAAAGTTGTAGAAATGTTATTGGAGCTTGGGCTATGGGAGCACAGCCCTTAACTTATCCAGAAGAGGCAGGATATCCGGTTGGAGGAAAAGATTCTAATCCTTACGTAATGCTGGAGGTTCATTATAATAACCCCGATTTAATTAGCGGTATAGTTGATAGTTCTGGCATAGAGTTTCACGTTACGAAAACTTTGCGAAAGTATGACGCGGGTATCATGGAACTTGGCTTAGAGTATACGGACAAATATGCTCTGCCTCCAGGCTTGAACCAGTGGGACCTTGACGGTCATTGTATTCCAGAATGTACTAAAGTGGTAAATAAGACACTTACAGGCACACGTCGGACTTTTTGAGGTTAAGTTTATTTTTCATCAGGGTCTACCGGAAAAAGGCATAAAGGTCTTTGCGTCTCAGCTACATACTCATCTTACTGGAAGAAGAGCGTTTACAAAACATTATAGAAACGGAGTCGAATTACCGGAATTGAACAGAGACAATCATTACAGTCCACACTTTCAGGAAATCAGGAAATTGAAGAGGCAAGTCACTGTTCTACCGGGAGATTCGCTAGTCACCACTTGTCAAGATCAAACGGCCAATAGAAGACGGATTACCTTGGTACGCGGGTTTTTTTAATATAATTTATTGTTTTTCCATTATTTGCAGGACAATTTTTTATTCAATAATTCAATAATTTCTTGAAAACCTCTGACCAGACATAAATTAAACAATCTAAAATAACTTTGAAATTTATTCAGTACACTTCCGGCGTTTCTGATTGGTTATTAAAGGTATTCTAATTTGCTTAAAATATTCAGGGAGGATTCGCTATATCCGACGAAATGTGTGTCAACTATATTCACTACTATCCGAAAGTAGATTTAGAAGTTTGTAAAAGTTCCGTAACAACAGAAAGCCTATACAAATATTTTAAATATATGAATGAGTAAGTCAGAGAGCTTTTTCCTAGAGTTGTTAAATATTCAATAGTCTCTTAGATACGCTTGGCAACCGACATCACCAAACAAAGGCATATCAGACAACTATAAATCGATAGAATGGAGTCCAGCAAATATAGACTTATTAAGAACATTTTACATCGAATCTCCTTTGTCGATGCAATGCAACAAATCAGATGGAACTAGATTTGAGGTTTTCCTTTCTCGAATTTTCTATAAACTTTTCCCTTATTTTTTTCTTTTTTTTAACTTTAAAACTTTTTTCAAAACAGGGCGAATGGGAAGGGCAGAAAATCCCTGATATCCTATATCCGATACCGCCGAGAGAAAGACCCTGTTTAACATAGACTATTTATAGATGCTTCTAATTAGATAAAATAGTATAAATGAAATACATATATGAGTATTCTAACTTTTGAAATTGCGTGTTTTCCTGTTTTTATAAAAAAAAGCACACATTTCTAAAAATTCTCTTTTCTTTCTTAACAAAGCGTTAATTAAACATTAGAAGACTTTAATATCTATTAATATGCTATTTATTCTTAATTGGTCTTGATTTATTCAATTAGAATGGAGATATAATTTTACAATCGATAAATATAAACGATGTTTAAATATCAATTCATCCGAAGAAACTGGTAAATAATAAACTACTTTTTTAACAAAGTTAACTTATAGATTATTAATAAAAACATAATAATAATTAATAGAAACGTTGCCTTACGTAAATTGCATGCTTCGTTGATTGGATATACGAGCTGTATTTTAATAATTTAACAAGTTGATTAATTTTTAGAGATGCTCAAAAAATAGTCCACAACTCTTGTTGTAATTTAGACATACCCAAGGCCATAAATTGTTAAATTTCAGTACAAATTCGTGGCACTTCGAGTCGCTGCTTCTCAACGAAACTTAAACTTGAACAATGCCTTCGTAAGTTTAATACTTAAAGTATTCTTTTTTCATATTGCTAATATATTCGGGTTTACACTCATTTGCAACATTTTTTAACAACGAAAAATGTTGCATCATCGCCATACATGAGTTGTCTTCCAAAAGTGTCCCAATTTTCCACTTCATATTTTGTCTATATTTAGAACATTATGGCTAAAACCTAGGAATGTATCGCCAAATGACGTAGACGAACCATTATGGGATCAAAAAACGTTTATGGGACGTTTACATCACTTCTTTTGGGTTACTGATTGGAGAACCGTCCCAACTTCAAATTCAAGGTTATTCGAGGCTAAACAATTTATCGAGGATTACAAGTAAGTCTTAAGAGTTTAGTATTTAGTTTAAGTGTTCTATTTTACAATTCTTTTATATTTAGATCAGGAAAAATATCAGAAAATTACGACCAAGCGAAAATTCGCTATGAGAAAAAATTGAAGGAAAGCGCTTTTCATCCAGATTCTGGTGAATTGCAGAATAATATTGGAAGAATGAGCTTTCAAGTAATATTAAATATATTCAATAATCAATCTTACATTTAGTAATATTGTACAAAATATCTTTAGGTACCAGGAGGCATGGTTATAACTGGTGGAATGCTACAGTATTACAGGTAAATAGTAGAGTACTTTTGTACTTTGAACTCTCTCTTTCTTCATATCGTAAACACTAAACAGATCTACTGGAGCTGTTATTCTTTGGCAATGGATAAATCAGTCGTTTAATGCCTTAGTCAACTATACGAATAGGAATGCCGCTTCACCAATTACGACCACGTGAGACAATAGATAAGGCTGATAACCTTGACATATTATATTTTACAAATCTTTTTTTTTTTCTTATAATTAACTATTTTTAAACAGTCAAATGACGATCGCCTATGCAAGTGCTACTTCTGCAGCCGTTCTAATAGCAGTTGGTTTGAAGGGCAGATTGGCAAGGGTATTTAAATATTGCTGACATAGCAAACAAAAATTCTCTTAAAACTATTACTTATCATCATTTTTCAAAAAAAATAAAATAAAAGACTGTGTCTTCGCCTGTACTGCAAAGATTCGTTCCATGGTGCGCTGTTGCGGCCGCCAATTTGGTTAATATTCCATTTACTAGGCAAAGGTAATAAAGAACCATAAACTTTCTTTGCACGATAATTAAATTACCTTCTTTCTTTACAATAGAGAATTAGTAGATGGAGTTATGATGTCTACAGAAGACGGTGAAGAGATTGCGAAATCTCGATTTGCAGCTGCAAAGGGTATTAGTCAAGTTGTAGCCGCAAGAATTACTATGGCCAGTCCTGGAATGCGTAAGTTTTTATTTGCCTGTAATAAGTATGTAATAAATATTAAAGTTAATAAATTCCCACGCAGTACTTTTGCCATTCATTATGGAAAGATTAGAAAAAAGACCTTGGTTCATGAGATATCCTAGAGGTCATATTGTCTTTCAGACCCTTGTCGTTGGGGCTTTGTAAGTTATTACATAATTTATTGAATATTTCAAAATTATTAATTAATTACACTGTTCTAGTCTTACTGTTATGACACCAATTGGATGTGCAATTTTTCCTCAAAAATGTTCCGTATCCATGGAAACATTAAAGTTTGTTGAAAAAGACGTTTATCAGTCAATAAAGAAGAATCATCCGGATAAATCTATTAGCCATTTATATTTTAATAAGGGATTATAAATAGGCGAGAGGGAGAGATAGTTTAAAAATTTGGTTTAGTCTAGACAAACAGTTAAAAAAATTAATGCTACTTGATTTTTACGTTTGAAACTAAAAGAGTGCTTAAACAGATGAATTATTGCTGAAACAAATACTACTTGAATATTATAGAGAACAAGTTATATGCAAAATTTTACTTAAAGTGCTTGTTATATGTTTGAAAATTTTTTGAAGTTGAAACAATATTATCATTGTTTGTTAGTTGTAAATGAAAAAGGTTATTCAAAACTGCAAATAAGACTTAAAGAGTTGCATTTACAAATTATTTTGTTTTAAATAAAGTGAAACAATTTAGATAAACAAAAAAGGTTTGTAAGACTAATTGATGTATTCTCCAAATTACTGAATTCCACAATTCCACAAGCAATTATAATATTTTAACAATTTAGCATATTTGATTATCTTGTCTATCTTAATTGATGACTTCTCAAAATTCAATATTTATCTCCACATATCATAGTTTGTTTTCTGTTATGTTGGTAACAGCATCATGAATAGCATTGGCAACATAATCCATATTTTTCGTAGTCAAGCCACACATATTGATTCTTCCAGATTTCAACATGTAAATATGGTATTTCTTGTTAATATATTCGACTTGTTGGGCTGAAATACATTTAAGCTTATAGTGTAATTGTCGGGGGAAAACTATTATTTAAACTAACGAGTCAATCCAGTGTAGCTAAACATTCCAGTTTGGGTTACAATATGATCCCAGTTTCCCTTAGTTCCCAAACTTCGAAATTTTTCAAATAGCTGTTGCCTCATAAGAAGGATCCTGTTAGCCATATCCTTTACATGCTCAAGCCATTCTTGCTTATACGTATTCTTATTTAAAACAGTGGCAACAATTCTTGCTCCATGATTTGGTGGATTCGACCATAAAGTTCTTATAACAACTTCCATTTGAGTCTTTACAGCATCCAAAATTGTTGCAGAGCTTGCGATAAAAATTAAATTTCCCGTACGCTCATCTATGATTAAACAAAAGTTATTATTTTATTTTTAATATGGATAAAGTCATACTATAGAGTCCAAAATTCTTCGAAAAGCTTTGAGATGCCAAAATTTCATGTCCTTCTTTAACAAAGAATCTCAGGGAAGCAGCATCTTTGTCAACGTCGCCAGATGAGAAGCCTTGGTAGGCACAATCAAAGAAGGGAAAAAGCTTCCTCTTCTTAACGATGTCAGAAAGAATTGCCCATTGCTCCATTGTAGGATCCATACCAGTTGGGTTATGAGCGCACATATGGAACATAATGACAGCTCCTTCGGGGGCATTCTGAAAAAATTCTTTATTATCATATATTCATCAACCAAACATGCAAACTGCATAATTTTGTCCAACAAGGCACTGTTTATCTTTGTACTAGACGTGTATTCAAGCTGAGCTGAACAGATCAATACTTAAGGCTTTTATGTGCTTTAAGTAGGATTTACAGCTAGATACTTTTATCGTTGGGGGTATAGCTCAGTGGCAGAGCATTCGACTGCAGATCGAGAGGTCCCCGGTTCAAATCCGGGTGCCCCCTCTATATTTTTGCTTTTTTCCCCTTGTCTCTAACCCAACTTGAACTAAAATTGGTCGCAGTTCTTTTAGGACTTACTTTGGGGGTATAGCTCAGGGGTAGAGCATTCGACTGCAGATCGAGAGGTCCCTGGTTCAAATCCGGGTGCCCCCTATGTTCTTTTTTGTTTATTGTAACAAATAATTACTTTTAATTTTCTTCCAGAGGAACTTTGGGAAAGAATCATTGACAGTGAAACTATTGCAGTGGGGGTATAGCTCAGTGGCAGAGCATTCGACTGCAGATCGAGAGGTCCCTGGTTCAAATCCGGGTGCCCCCTATGTTCTTTTTTGTTTATTGTAACAAATAATTACTTTTAATTTTCTTCCAGAGGAACTTTGGGAAAGAATCATTGACAGTGAAACTATTGCAGTGGGGGTATAGCTCAGTGGCAGAGCATTCGACTGCAGATCGAGAGGTCCCTGGTTCAAATCCGGGTGCCCCCTATGTTCTTTTTTGTTTATTGTAACAAATAATTACTTTTAATTTTCTTCCAGAGGAACTTTGGGAAAGAATCATTGACAGTGAAACTCTTGCAGTGGGGGTATAGCTCAGTGGCAGAGCATTCGACTGCAGATCGAGAGGTCCCTGGTTCAAATCCGGGTGCCCCCTAATTCTTTTTGGTTTTATAACAAATGATTTCTTTTAATTTTCTTTCAGAGGAATTTTGGGAAACGAATCATTGACAGTGAAACTCTTGTAGTGGGGGTATAGCTCAGTGGCAGAGCATTCGACTGCAGATCGAGAGGTCCCCGGTTCAAATCCGGGTGCCCCCTTGAATTACTTTTTTCCTCTAGGCACTTTGAAAATTGTTTGGGATGACTAAACATTCATCTATGGTAATACAAATGCCTGTATCTTTTGCCAATGGCTTCGTATTTAGTAGGCGTTTCACAATTAATGGCAAAATATTGTTTGAATTAATAGATTGGATCTGAGATGAACTCGCTGCCAAGAATTTTTAAAATTTTCTAATTTATCGCTTGGAAAACAGTTACTTAAATACTTTTAAATCGCTATCACTGGGGGTATAGCTCAGGGGCAGAGCATTCGACTGCAGATCGAGAGGTCCCCGGTTCAAATCCGGGTGCCCCCTAGTATTTTAATTTTTTCATCTGCATTCTGATCAACTCGCAGAAACGGCAAATTCACTGCAAATTGACTGTCGCGAGGGGGTATAGCTCAGTGGCAGAGCATTCGACTGCAGATCGAGAGGTCCCCGGTTCAAATCCGGGTGCCCCCTTAAAGCAATTTATTTTTTTAAAAAATAACAATTGTAAACTGCTGAGACCATTTAAGATCTTTATAAAAGAAATTCAGAGCTCTATTGAAGGTCTGGTTTAAGTCTTGTCAGTTTTAAATTTAAATCTGTTTCAAACTGCTTTGTGGACATAATCTATCCTTAAATAAAATCTTAATTCCCAAAGTTACACTCTTTAAATAAAACAAGCTTGCTGCTCTTGTAAAATTATTTTGATGACATAAAAACGGATGTTAAATATCTTATCTAATCATATTTCAAGGTAATAAATATGATAAAATAATTTAGCATAAGAAAAATCCTAACCTGTAAATCTTCGACGAAGCCTTCAAAATCGATTACTCTCTTTTCTTGATTCCAGTATCTATATTCACGGATGTTCGTATAGCCAATCATTTTGCCTAAAAGCTTGTGATTTCCCCAAGTGGGATTCGACACATAAAGGGTGTCAGCATGTAAATTCCTTTTCAAAAACTCAAGACCAATTCTAAGGGCTCCAGTTCCTCCACAAGCTTGAAATCCTGCAGCCTAGAAAAGAGGCAAGTTTAATTAATTTTTATTTTAAATTATTCAAAAATCATTAATTCTTACTCTATTTTCCGCGATAGCTTTGTTGTCCGATCCTAATAGAAGAGCAGTGGCAGCCTTAGAATAATCTCCCAGACCAGAAATAGGTAGATATTCATGGTTCAACAGCTGATCTTGAGCCATGGCTGCTTCAACAGCACGAACAACTGGTAATACCCAAGGCTCTCCATCATCAGTCCTATAAGCTTTAATGATAAAAATTATTGCATAAAAATTACTAATACAATGATAATTGCAACTATTTACTACAAGATAGAAATTTTGAATCGTGTTTATACTAGAGAACTGGTCACCCCCGAACATCTCAAAGTCATTTCATTGCCATTGAATTTTGGACAAAACTTTCCCCTTTAAGTTGCAATATTTTTTTTGCAGATGCATATGAAATTTTTATTAATAGACTACGTCTCTTTAAAAGGAAATCATAAATAATTATTTTTATATTTTATTAAAAGCGGCTATATAGAAAAAAATAAACAATAAGTACAGCAAGCCGAAAAAATTTGATATTTGCATTTTAATATGACAGAATTTTCTATTAAACGAAAGAAACTTTACCTCCTACCCCTAAATTAACTTTTTGGGGATTTGGGTCAGCTCTGTAGTCAGCTGACAGCTTAAAAACTTCGATTGGAGCAACACTTTCCACATTCTGAAATACGCTGGCCGCCATTTTGACCTTCTGGGTTTATTCTAATCTTGGAGACAACGAACCAATCAGAATTCAATGAGAACGTTTTGCTCGTCAATAAGCGGGAAAATATGATTTTCCAATACATTTTTGTTATGAGAGCAATATTTTAATTAGTCTATTTATCTACTGATACTATATAAATTATAAATGATTATTAGATAAAAAATCTTGTTCTATCTCTTTAGTGCCTTTTAAATCATTCAGTGCTATGGAGTATCTGAGTGCTTTTGTACTTTCTACTAAATTACTCTCAGAGCAGCTTTCAATTCCAACATTTGGCCTTCTGGCTCGTATATTGTATCCAAGCATACAAACGAAGCCACAAATAAGTAGAATGATAGCTATACAGGCACCTGCTGTTAGAGCCATATAGCCAGCTGAATTATTCCTTTGTTCTTCATCAGTTGTATTAGTATAGTTAGCCATAATTTGTCAAGAATTTTAATAAAATTTGTAATTACTTTAATTATAGAAAAGTATTTTAACTAGATATATATATAACGAATAATATACTATGTTAATAAACCACATTTAAGAAATAAATGTTCAAGTTTCTTTTAAATGTTCTTTTTTTTTTAAAAGAATATCTCATGATTGTGTATATATATAAATTTATATATATACATGTATTTTGTTTATTTCGTTTTAAAGTTATATTTAAGAGTCATTTTCCCACGACATTTATCTTGTAAAAGTACATTTTTTTAATGCTATCTATATTAATTTCATGAATTTTTAAGGGGTAAAAATAGAACATTCGTAATTCCATGAAAGTTTCCCCTGATCGTTATACCAGTTTTTGTAACTATGCAAGAGCTGCGACTGAATCATTAGACAATCCTGTATAATTTCATAGAAAACTTTAAAAGCAAATAGCAATCATGTCCAACGAAAGAGCATACGCACATCCCGCATTCCATGGCGGAAAGAATAATTCGGAACAAGTAACTATATTATTGTTTTTATAAAGAAATTATAAAACTTTATTATGTATCTTATGTTAACAATTTTTTAAGGTTACGGATGAATACTTAACATGTCCAATAAGTGGACGACCTGGATTTATACATCCAAAAATTTTGCTATGCGGCCATACATTTAGCAAAGCAAGCTTGGAAAGTTATGTAAGTATGGCTCATTTTTGAAAGAGATAGCGATAATGCTTTTAATGAAATAGGCTGGTGGAGCTAGATGCTTTTGCTGTCCAATGTGTGGAAAGGTGACAGAATTACCATCTAACGGGGTTTCTGGCCTTAGAGACAACATCTTTATTGATACACAAGTTGAAATGCTACTCTCAAGACATAATAAGGCTAGAGGCCGCGATGACTCTTTTTACAACATAACAAAATACGAATGATCTAGTTTGGGAAAATCCTATTGATTAATGCAAAATTACTTAATGACAAAAAGCTTTTCATGACCTATTTTTGAATTATAACCTAGTGCTATAAAGTATATTTGTCTAAATTTCACGGATGTAGGTATCTAAAAATTGAAGTACTGATACTAAGGAAAAAAAAGAAAACACACATTACTAATATATTCAGAATTCATCTACTTGAATATCTAATACAGTATTTTTATTCAGTTTCATCGTCGTCACCGCAAGTATTCAAACTTAAAACTTCTACTTGACCCTTTCCTTTCGTTTCCATTTTGACTATGTCATCTATTTCTCTAAATAGTCCGGGGTCGATTACTACTGTCTATAATAAATGAGTAGGAAAATTTCTTTAGTTAATTATTCTATTGTTTTCTACGCTTTGACTATTCTTACCATTTCCAAGTCGCAGTCGAATTCTTCAGATAATATTTGGGCATTTGTTTTCTTTACTTTTTCTCTTACCCTCTTCCCGTCTTTGCTTGGTATAAATAGTCTCAATTTCATCTGGGCTCTTTCAATCTTGAACGTTTCAGTAGCTTTCAATTGTTGTATAACATCCAAAGCTTGTTGTTTTGCACTTCGACTAGGTTTTACTGAGATATGACAATCTTTCATAGCCTTTTCTATCATTGTTACTGTATAAGGTTTTTTAGTTTCCGGATTTATACATTTTTCAGAAACAACAGTAGCTATATCTCTGAAAGTATTTTCAATTTGGGCCTGTCTTTCTTTTTCAGTGACTTGCAATTCTCCTTTTGTTAAAATCTATGGAAGATTGTCATTTTTTTTTAAAAAAATGTCTTAATAATAAATATAACTTACTATTTTGCATATATCTGTTGCATCATCAGTATTAAATGCTTTTCGTAAGTCGTCAGCTTTGGCAACTTGGCCTTTTGAAACGTTTAAAAACACAGTTGGTGTCTGTAGAACTTCATCAATGTCGGTTTCACTAAATGAACATTTTGTTTTTGTTATTACATTAAGAAAAAAATTTATTAGATTACATTTTATTTCTCCATGGCATAACTTTATTTGGATAACAAGCTATTTCGAATCGCTTTCCTCCTTTTTTTAATCTAACGACAGCGATGTTAGTTAGCCGTTTTTGATTTGTGGGAGTAAATATAGTAGCCATTTCAAGCTCCTTCCAGCTTCAGTCGTTTTTAATTCTTTATGATATATATATATGTACCAATATTGCTTGATTTCAAGTGAACTTGCAATTTCTCGTGGTAAATTTCCACTTGACAGGTAACCTGACTAATATATCTTTATATATATATATTTATACACATAGACAGTATTATCCGCAGCGAATCGAACTTTTTTTTCAACTCTTTGTCGCGTTATGAGGGAATGCATAAAAAATTATTAATACGGTTTCAAAATGTACGTTCACAACTTTTCAGTTCTTACTTTATGACAAGCTAAGTCTGCCACTCAAAAATTAAAATTTTAAAAACAAACTAATTGTTAGGAAAGCTGTCTGCAAGTTGGTAATTTTCGTATTATTGATATCAAAATACGAAAATGCGCAAATAGCAGACGGCACATAGTTTTCATTAGAAACGCGAATTCCTTTACTTTGAAAATAGGAAAAATTTTTTTCGACTTTTGACCGTTTTATACTTGGATCAACTCAAAAAAGTAACAAACAAAAATCAGTCAAGATGGTTTGTATATTAATCTTTAATATTTACATAGATAAATGATTTTAATTTGATTTGTTTGCCAAAAAGATGCTCTCAAGGCAAAAGCCCGCTGTTGGGCCAGGATCTCAAGCAGCTTCAAAACAGAAAGAAAAGAAACACGAATTACCTAAATTTGAAGAATTCATTGAACAACGAGATTATACCGGAGCAGGAACACTTTTAGATACTCGTTCGATTCCTGGAATGAATCCAGATGACTATGATGCATGGATAGCGTACTGTGCCTTCCATTTGGGTGATTTCAAAAAATCAATGGATTGTTACGAAAAGATCTTAAAGAGAGATGGAAGTAATCCCGAAGTGTGGCTATGGTTGGCTTGTACATATTTCATGTTAGGAATGTATCCAGATGCTGATGAAGCTGCAAAAAAATCTCCAAAATCTAAACTTCAAAATCGTCTACTTTTCCATTTATCTCATAAGTTTAATGACGAAAAAAGACTTATGAGTCACCATCAAAGTCTACAGGACGTAACGGAAGATCAACTATCACTAGCTTCTATTCATTACCTACGTTCTCATTATCAAGAAGCTATTGATATTTACAAACGTATCCTATTGGAAAACAGGTATGGTTTTTAAGCCTAGCTTTGCTAAAAATTCACTTACAAAATCTTTACTTGTTCCTTCACATATGCTTACACTTTTCAGGGAATATTTAGCGCTCAACGCTTATGTGGCTTTGTGCTATTACAAACTCGATTATCATGATGTATCACAGGTAAAAGTCTTTATAATTCCTTTTTTTTATTACTCTAAACAGTGAATTTACAACTGTTAACGTTTATGTTGCAATTTGTTATCATAAAATGGATTATTTTGATTTATCCCAGGTCTGTTTATCAATGGAATTGTCTTTTTATTCTGAAAATATTAGGCTAAAATTAATAGGTGATTAAAACAGACTAATAAGTTGGTAATTTCCTATGTTGTAGGAAGTTTTGGCTGTCTACCTTCAGCAATATCCCGATAGTGCTATAGCACTCAATCTCAAGGCCTGCAATCACTACAGATTATACAATGGAAAAGCTGCTGAAGCGGAATTGAAAACTCTACAAGACATAGCATCACCATCTTTCACTTTTGCTAGAGATCTTGTCAAACATAATCTAGTTGTTTTTCGGTCTGGAGAGGGCGCACTTCAAATTCTACCTCCTCTAATTGACGTTCTACCTGAAGCTAGATTAAATTTAGTTATTTATTACCTAAAACAAGACGATGTTGGTGAAGCCTTTCAACTAATCAAAGATCTGGATCCAACAACTCCTCAAGAATACATACTAAAAGGAGTTGTTAATGCAGCTGTAGGACAGGATCAAGGAACGGTTAGTATCTATTTATCAGTAAATAGTAAAATTACAACAAAAGGCATAATTCAAATTTTCTAAATTGTACACTTATGAAGGAGATACAAACAAAAACTGATAAGGTATTACTGCATACCGTGTACCGCTTATGTAACAAACGAATGTTGTTAATGATAATATCTGTCTCTTTCTCTCTCTTCCTCTCTCTATCTCTCTCCCTCTCCCTCATCTATTTATAATTATATTTAATATTTATGTAACTTGAAAATATTATGGAATGTTAACCAATAGTCTAATAGTAATGAGTGAAATCGTCACACCATCATATAGACTGTTCAATGTAATTCAGTCACCATTTTGCACTATATTTTATTTACATTAACTTATTTACAAACTTTAATTTTCCATAGTTTGTTTATACGAAAACAAATATAATCAAAATTAACTTAATTTTCATAACAGAAAGAACATTTGAAAGTAGCTCAACAGTATTTCCAGTTAGTTGGGGGATCAGCTAGCGAATGCGGTAAAAATTTTATATATACATTATATATTGTTTAATTGCATAATTAATTATATTATTTAAATTATAGACACCATCCCTGGTAGACAATGTATGGCATCTTGTTTTTTCTTATTAAAACAATTTGACGATGTTTTAATCTACTTAAATTCTGTTAAAGTAAATATTTTAAATGTTCTCCATTAGGATAAACTAATAATAGATTTATTATATTATTATATTATTTAAACAGAGTTATTTCTACAACGACGATCTATTCAATTATAATTATGCCCAAGCAAAGGCGGCTGTTGGTAATTTTAAGGAAGCTGAAGAAGTTTTCTTGTTAATTACCAACGAAAAGATCAAGTCAGAATATACCTACCTATCGTGGTTGGCCAGATGTTACATTATGAACAGAAAGGCTCGCTTAGCCTGGGAGCTCTACTTGAAAATGGAGACATCTAGTGAATCATTCAGCTTGTTAGGCTTAATAGCTAACGATTGCTATAAAATGGGACAATTTTATTACGCTGCAAAAGCATTCGATGTTCTTGAGAGATTGGATCCGAATCCAGAATACTGGGAAGGTAAAAGAGGAGCTTGTGTAGGAGTTTTTCAAATGATTATCGCAAATCACGAGCCAAAGTGAGCTAAATTATCTATTTCCCTTTTGAATTGAAATTTATTAATTAACAATATTTTGCAGAGAAAAACTACGAGAAATATTACAATTGCTTAGAAACACGAGTAATCCTCAAGTAGATTATATTACAAAAATCATGAGAAACTGGGCAAAAGATAACAAAGTTGCGATTCCTGACTAAACAAGGTATTAGATAGAAATTATTAATTCTTAAAACCTATTACTACTGTACTTACTTCTTTTCTTTAGAGGAGAGGTGAATGAATCCTAAAACTATTACAATATCACTTTGAAAATGAAAAAAAAAACAACTACTATTATATTTAACCATTTGGGGCGATGAAAACTGTTCATATATTATTCCATATATATTACAAATATATATTACAAACAAATTGTTTGTCTTCTTAAAATATCTATTTATTTTTTAAATTCAATAAAATGTAATCTCATTTATCAATATCTTTCGTATTTGCAACAAATATTTGATGCTGTAACTTTAGTCTAAAGAAAAAGAAAGGAAAGAGACTGAGAGAGAGGAAACTTCAACGACTGCTATAAATAAGTAATAAAACTATAGTACAAATCGATAGTTACGACCTAATTACTATAAAAATTATAGTTATTTAATTTTGTATTCAACAAAAGAATTTCTATAACAAGAAAATATTTCACAGTTTTTCCCCTGACAATATTTTACGATTTAGTTAGGTAGGCCATCTTTTCTTGCATATTTAACTGTTGGTAACGATTTATAATAACGATCATCAAAGTCTACTTTATCCATTAACTTTGTTCTTTCCCTATGCCATTCCTCAAGACATTCATAACCGTACCATTTATACGTTAGGTTAAACTTGTTCATAAACATTTCGGGTCTTGTCACTAGCCATGGAACGTCTTTAATCCCAAAATGGCATATACCTCTCACATACCGACCCAAACAGTCGCGTCCACCGTAATGACGACCCGAATTCCATAGTTTTAATCGAATAGCAAGATTGTAAGAATAGTTGTCAGCTAATTTCGAATTACCTACAATTATTCATTCAAGTTTGCGTTTTAGACGATAATCTAATCAAGATAGACAAACTATTGTGAGCATACCGTAATATCCACCTGGTGCATTAAGATATTTATTATAGTTTAAAACGTTGTAATAATGTTCACTAGGATGACCAGTGTCTTTGCACCAATTTAAATAATCAATGCCAATTTTACTCTCGACTACGTACTTTACAAAATTATGAGAAAATAAGCCGTGCATCTCTCCTTTATAAAATGTTACATTCTCATAAAATTGGGTTTTCTGTTCGAAAGTATCATAGAAGATCATTTGCTGATAGGTTATACTCCACCTATGACCCCATTTATGAATAACTCGATCCATTTCCATTCTAAAAGATTTTAGTAGTTTAATTATTAATTATTGATTTATTTTTTATATTTACCTCGAAAGTGATCCTGCAATGTCATTTGATCCATTAAATATTTCTGCAATTCTAGCCAATTCGTAATTGGTTCGCAAAGGAAATTCTTGACCGGTAAGATTAATAAAGTATTTCCACCGACCCCTAGATTATAAAACAAGCAAAAACGTTTCTTTTCTGTTGTAATTAACTTTTTGATAGCCAGCAAAAGTAAAAAGTTTGCAAAAAGAAGAAAGAAAGAATTGAGAGATCGGTGAGTAGCTCAAAATGTTAATTGGAAAAATTGCAAGAAAGAGGAGAACGTTTGTAATTCCGAACCTGTAATATCTAATTAGGTCTCTCATACAATTGATATCTGGGAGTAATACACTAACATCTCCCCATTTTATCTTATCCAAATGGGAAGCTATAAAAACATTATCAAAACATTTTGCTAATGCCCTAACTGTTCTATGAAAGATTAAGGGTGATTTAACATCAATATGGATGCAGTAAATATTATGGGGTCTCCATATAGCTCGTAAAAGTCTTTCGGCTTGTTCAAAATCTCTATAAATTGAAAGACTAAATGCTAAAGGCCATTTTTCCTCCTGTATACGATAAAAAATATAGCATCTAATCAAATAATTAATACGTCTAGAATAATAAATTCTAAAACACCCGCCTGTTCTGTTGCAACTTCAACGTATCCTCTTGCTCTTCTAAAGTCCTTACATCGAGACAACCACCATTGATAAGTCTCTAAAGGTACCGGAATTTTCCCCGGTCTTTCTATATGCAAACTTTCAGCTTTATTTATTTCTTGCTCATCATTTTTCATAACTCTAGAACATTTAATTGTTCCTTGATGTTCTATAGATGGGACAATATACGAGGATCTCTCAGAGTAGTCATACTTCAGAGGAACTTTGTATTTATGCTGAGCTTGAGTATATACTTCGTCTATACGAGTTTTGTCTTTTTCAAAAGGCTCGTTCTTTTCTTCAGCATATATAGGTTGAGGACGTAAATGCACACCTTTTTCGTAGTCATCCAAGGTTTTGTAGTACTCGTGTTCTATCACTTCGAGTGATAATTTTTTTGTATTTGAAGACTTTACTGAACTTGTATTGGTAAGAATCCATATATTAAAAAGTAGAAGAGATATGTTCACTAATAGCAATATTCCATATTTGTAATGTCGCCTAAGATAGATAAAAACATTTCTTCTCAATTGATGCATGGTCGTCAAAAAAGTTTATTTCGCAAATTTTCACTAGCTAATAGAACTGGTTCTTGAAGATGCCTAGAACCAAAATATTTAACGTCAAAATAGGATTTCAAGAAGGAGTATTACAACTTTAATTAGTTCTCCCTTTACTATAAAATAAGTTATTACCTTTAAGTGCCACACCACCCCCAGCTTTCCGCTCCTATAGTAATCTTCGTATGCATAAAATACGAAGACGATTTAAGAGCCTTTGAAAAGGGTATTGAGCCTAAAAAGATTACTATATTTTGGGTTGCTTACGTGCAAGTCGTGAGGAGAATAATTAAAGAGTTGAGCGAGCTTATATCTAGCTTAAGGCTGCACTATAGATAAGATTAAGTGTACTCTTTTAAGAACAACTCTCGCACTTAACATATGTAATTCTAATGCTTTCGTTCAAGAAGAATAAGAAAGTAATATATATTCAATTCAAAAACGTGTATTTCTGATAACTTTAAGAAATTAGTTCTCCTCGTCTTCTTCTTCGTCGTTATTGATGTTGAAGTAACGAACTTCGTAGGATTCCTTGGCGTTAGCTACTACACGAAGCCAATCACGAAGACTGTTCTTCTTGAGATATTTCTTTGTTAAATATTTCAAATATCTCTTGCTGAAGGGAATTTCGGCATGAACGGTAATCTTGTTCTTGTCCTTGACAAGCTTGACATCTTTTCCCATGTTGCCGGTTTTTCCATTTACCTTAACTTTTTCTTTCAAGAAGGCTTCCTAGAAAATAATTCAAACAATACACTAGGGAAGGTGACCCTAGATAACAACGTTTAATTTAAGAGACTGAATCGTCACAGTTTACTTACAAAGTTCTCAACGTTCATAACACCATCTTCAACTGGGTGAGTGCAGTCAATAGTGAATGACTTGGCGTCCTTGTTCTTCTTCTTTCCCTTTGGCTTGGGTCTCTTTTGAACAGTTTTAGTCTGAAAACCATGAAATTGTTTATAATACCTTGGAATAGTATTTGAATTAGACAGTGTTCAAAGTAAAATCATAGGGAGTATTAATTCAATTGTTCTCAGCGTGGCACGTGGTCTCAATACTACATTTCATTTAATTTCACAAACTCCCGAAAATTTACAAAATGTTTTATCGCTATTCCTTTCTTTAAGTATTTATAATAAAGTAGATACGAGTTAAAATAGAAAAAAAAGGAAAAAGATAGGTGAAATATTGACAAAATGTTTCAAGCTATGCTTACCGGTGCCATCTTGGATTCCGTGGAGAAAAAGGAAGACTGATAGTTGAAATTTTGCGATGTATAATGTATAGAAAATTAAAAATGGCGATATAAATAATCTAAATAAAGCGCCGCCATTTTGAAATATCAATGAAAGTACATGTCTACCGGAAGGAAAGAGACATGTTTGCCGGCAAAATAATTTTCTTATTTTTTTCGCTAAAAGTTCTTATTGATGGTGCCAAACTAAACACACCTAAAGTTTTATTGCCATACTATGCGTCTGAAGCCTCAAATACAACTTTAAAAGTTTCTGGAGAGGGATGTTTTCAATGGTTTGTATATCAGTTGCATTATCGCTCAATTAAGAACATTTGAACACATTCTATTTGAATTTAGGACATCTTCAAGAAACGACATTGCAACCATAAATCCAGTATTTCAAACTAATGGAAATGATCAAAAATGTGCTAAATCTGCAGTCGTTACAGCAGTCTCCAGGTTCCCACAACGTCGAACGAGCGTTATTACTGCTAAGGATGAAGGTATAAATACTATCTTCACATGATATAGATTTTTTAGTAGAATTGAATATTTCAGTGTCTGGTATGGTGCTAACTTGCAACGTTATTGTCGATGATATATATTCCATTGACATGGAAACAACTACCAGAGAACTGTACCTTGATGATTCCCCACTTCAGTTAATTATCACAGCTCATGATAACGAAGGTAGCTTATTACAAAAGAAGTATCCTCTTTTGTTTAATCTATATTTTATTATTTAAGGAAACACATTTAGTTCTTTGGAAGGAGTTGAATTTAAATGGACCCTACAGCCAGATGAAGGATTTGATATGGATCCTAACAAAATCATAAGGTGAGCATAAAAATAATTTATAAACTTTCAAATGTTTATTCTTTTTTTAATATCTTGTTTTATATTAAAAATTTTCAACTAAAAATAAAACACTCTGTTTACAAAGCTTCCCGCAAAGTAAATAACGTAGAAATAAAAATATTTCAGCTATTCTATGTATATTTGTGTTGTTTCGATACCATTGAAACATTGAACAAAATTTTCTTTTTGCATAGGTTTCTTCCTTTTTCCCATTCATCATACAAATCATCATCATGGAGCGTTCGACATTTAGAAGAAACCGGTCGACAAGGTTACACAGTATTATTGGAAGGCATAAAAACAGGAACTGCCAAAGTCAATACGAAAGTGGTTGCTCCCGCTTTCTCCAAAGTTCAGGCAACAACTATACGTCTGGTTGTGATCGCCAACGTTGTACTTGAACCATCATTAGCATTTGTTTTACCAAAATCGATATTGACTTTTAAAGTGTCAGTTTTAAAACAAGGAAGAGCTTATGACATGAACGATGACCAATTTGAATTAGAAACTAAGGAGGAAGATTTTCTAAAATTGAATTATGGAACTTGCTGTTCTTTCACCGCTTTAAAAGTAGGTGAATCAGAAGTTATTCTTCATCATGTTGGAGTAAAGATTCGCGATGGATTTCATGAACCTTCTGCAAGAATCGTCATTGAAACAGCAAAATACTTGTCCGTTGTAATTATGCCTGATAATATATGGGTCTTAGAAAAGCATAGGACATATACTATTGTTGTTCATGTTTACTGCCAGAAAGATGAGAAAATGATTATGCCAGATAATTATGAAATGAGAACCAATATTCCCGAAGAATACTTTGAAGTCTTACAGTCATCTAAAAATCAAAGTTACTTCGTTGTTCGAGCGTTGAAAAGTGGTCATACATTGATCAAAGCTCAGATGGATAACATTATTGATGGACATACCCCTTCTACTGTTAGTCGAACTGTGGAAGGAGAACAATCTGCCACTATTTTTGAGCCTTTAAGAGTCAAACCAAACGAAGTTTTTTTTCCATTTTTCCCTGATGTTCCCGCAGCTTATAGCTATAACTTGAAAGCCACTGGAGGATCAGGATCGTACACTTGGAAATCTAACGATACTTCCGTTTGCACTGTTCAACAAGATGGAAAACTTGAATCTGGGAATGGAGAAACAGCTGTTATAACAGCCACTGACGAAAGAAATAGGAATCATTTTGCAACTGCAGTCGTTCGGGTTGTACCGCCAGGCGGTGTTCAATTCAGACCACATAAAGTTGAAGCAGTAATCGGAGAGAGTCTTGAATTGGATATTGATCTTTTAACAAAAGATAGACAAAGTTTTGCAGTATGCACCAAAGCGCCTTTTGAGTTTAGAATAAGAGAGAAAGATATATTTGTGTTAGATGAGGGAATATATCCAAGTGAACGAGGATGCGGAATGATCAGAGTTAAAGCGCTAATACAAGGATATACAGAAGTAACTGTAGAACTACCAACTCATGGCATTAAAGCTGCCATAACAATAGCAGCTTACGAACCACTTGCCTTGACCATGCCGAATGATTATATTATTTTAAGTCCAGGATCTTCATTTCCTGTTAACTTTGAAAATGGGCCAAGACCATGGATATTGGAACCAGGTTCTTTTGATCCAAAAATAATAATTAATAATCCGGAATTTCTTGATGCTCGCTACGAACCGACTGGTTTCGAAAAGCATACAGTTAGGGCAGTTTGCCTGAATTTTGGTGAAAACTCCTTTTCTCTTCAAATAGGCAATGCTAAGACTAAATCAAATCCTCTACCTGTAATATCATCTTTAAATTTTACTGTATTTTGTAGTCCTGTTGCCTCTATGGATCTTTATCCAGTTATCAATCGTCCAAGAGATATGTCTCAGTGCCCTTTGGAAAGTTTAGCATCAAAAACTAGGCTGCCCGTATTCTCATCTCATGCTATCACTTTCAACTTACGAATCTTTGACTCTCAACGTCGGTTGTTCGATAACTCTTCTTCTTTAGATATCAAATGGGGGGTTTCTGACAGGAAAAAAGCAAATTTTCTAAATGAATTTCCTCAGAATGATACTTCAAAATCTTTAAGCATACAGGATCAACTGGGAGATTTAACGGCTACTGCGTATATAAAAGAATTTAAACGAAGCTACCTTGAACATCATTCAGCTAAAGTTTCTCAAATTCTCGATAGAAAAGTTGAGCAAAGCGTTGAATTAATTATTGTTGAACAAGTAAAAGTAGAACCAAAATACGCTAAATTGTATAATCATCCCAACAATGTTCTAAATATAAATATTAAAGGTGGATCGAAATTTTTTGATGTCAAAGCAAGCCCACAGGAGATCGTGGACGTGCATTTAATCAAAGGAGACCAGCCCCAACTGGAACTTCGACCATTGAAAGAAGGGCAGACTGTTGTGACAGTGTCTGATTTGTGCCTTGCATCAGATCTTGCTCAGGCTACTATAACAGTTTCGGACGTAAATAATATAATTGTGGATGTTCCTGATAAAGTTCAGCTACATCAACATATAAAAGCAATTGTGAGAGTATTAGACGTGAATAATGCAGAGATTCTAGCAAGTAACTTCGATCAGATGAGATTAAGACCAAAATTAGGCTCTAACATAATTTCTCTTAAGAAAAGTCGGGATAAACTGAATCCAAATGCTATCGAAATGGAATTTCTAGTAACAGGTGAGGCCACAGGATTTACATCTCTGGCTTTCGAAGCAATTTCGCCTAGTGGTGCTGAATTGTATAGTAATCCTATAACTATTCAAGTATTTCCGCCTGTAACTATCGATCCAGAAGTTATTACAATGATAGTTCATTCATCTTTTCAAGTGAGCATTTCAGGGGGTCCAAAGCCAAGAGCGGAAATTATTAGTAACATCAACGACGAGAATGTTGCTAAAACAACAACTGAAGGACTGATAACTGCCCTGAAATTAGGAGAAACAAGATTGAGTGTGAATTGTTATATTAAATCAAACGGCAAACAAGTACACCTCTCTTCTCATACTGTGCAAGTTTTCGTGGTTAAAATCACATCATTAAAATTATGGACTCCGCTTTCTAGCTTCTACGTCGGAAATGAAATGCCCATATACCCTATACCTTTTAGTAAGCATACTAAAACGGAGCTCAATGCTATGACGTTTGGAACGGTTGGATTGAAGTTTACTTGGAATATTAGCGATTCAAAGGCTGTTGATCTTCGACATCTTATGCAACAAACAGGAATGAACTATCAAGTAACGGATGTAAATAATATGGCTATGAGATTAAGAGCTCATGAATCTGGTACTGTTTTTGTAACATTGAAAATAACTTCATCTTATCCGGATCAACTAGACAAAGATGAACTGATCGATAGAATAGAAATAACTGTACGAGATCGATTTCGTATGATTATTCCACCAATGATAATAGATGAAATACTTATAACACCAGACACAAAAGCAACTCTAAGAGGTAAATATGAAAATGTGAAATTTAGTGTTGTCCAACAAACATCTAAATTATCGATAAATGACGATGGAACTCTAATTTCTGGAAGTGAAACCGGATTTTGTACCCTGTATGTGTCCGATATGGATAATAATACTCTTACTCAAATTCTTGTCAGAGTTAAGAAACCAAGCTATATTATGCTCTCGAATAAGAATCAAATGGCGACAAAAAGGCCAATATCTGTTGTTCCAAAAGGAGTGAATTTAAATTTTACTATAACTGTACACGACAATAATGGCGATATCTTCACATTTGCCGATATGATTGTAAAAACAAGAACATCCCGGCCTGATGTTGGTAGAGTATCTAAGGATGACTCCCTTGCTATAGACTTTAGAGCTCTAAATACTGGTCATACATTGTCCGAAATATGGTTCGAAAGTAACAAGGAGCGCATCTCAGATTATGTTAGCCTAAATGTTGGTGATGTTTTGATTCCATCAAATGCAAAAATTATGATCGGACAAGTTTTGTGCTTTGTATCACCTTTTAAAAAGATTAGAGAAGAACTCTGGTTAGCTAAATCTGATCAGCAAAGTGTAACTATTACCAGGGAAGGAATTGCGACCGGGACATCTCTAGGATTAGCAACTATTAGTTACTTAGTGGACGGATTGGTAATGCAGAGCAATGTTGAGGTCATGGACATAAATAATGTGGCTTTTACTGGAGGAAGCTCAGACAATCTTGTTATTCCAATAGAGAAAAATTTTACTAATGTAGTAACACTGCCCGTAAAACTGAGCTCACAACACTTAAGCAACTCGGAAGTTTTTGGTAAGTTTTTTACATACTTTCTCTGCGAAGTAGTTTTTAATCAAAATTTTTAATTCAGACAAAAACTGCGATAGAGCAAAATTGCAATTAACGTATATAGAGGAAAAGCTACCTATATCTTGTAGCGCATCATTGGAAGTCCTTGAAGAGCCCTATGGTACTCATCTAGAGGCGAGAGACTTTGTTCACGTTGAAGCTGGTATAGATTATGCAACTAATTCATACGTGTGTAGATTAAGAGCTCTGAGTGTCCGCAAAGCTGATTCTTCATGGGCAAAGTTGCAGGCTAAAATTTTTGTTGAGGCTAGTGTAGAAAATCAATTAAGCTGTATAACTCCTCTGAGCCTACGACTACCGATATACGTAAACGTAGAGCGAATAACTATAGCTACCGATGGAACAGAATCGCTGTTTTTCGTTGTGGCTACTTCTACCGTTTTAGACGAAGTAAGCATAAAAGTAGCCAATGAAAAACTTTTGACCATTAAAGAGCAAGTTAAGGATAGTAAAAACGGAGAACTAAAAGTTTACGTAGCTGTAAAATGTATTCACTGTCTGTCAAGAATTGTTGAAGAGGAATTTGCTAGCGATATTCATATTGATAGTCCTCTGACGAAAGAGAGCGTTACAGTCAAAGTTTTCGTCAAAAAATCATACGAACCGAGAGAAGAACATATATCAAACATATTCCCATCGATGTCTACGACAAGTCTGCTCATTGCACTAATTCTCGTTCTTTGCATTTTCATAAGTATGTTAATTTTTTATAAATGAAAATCTCGCTACTTTTTTTTTTCAGTTCTTGCTCTGCGTAGTACGAACAGTGTTGAAGATAAAATGAGACAACCTTCAATGAGCAACCAAATGAATAATAGTACAAATGGTTCCTCATTATCTCCTACTCGTGCTCCTACACGTACGTACTATACATATGTATATATATATATATACAGTATATGTTTTTGTGATTAAATCTAACTTTTCTCCTCTCACAGCATTTTTGTGGAGTGCAGCAAAGTTATCATCACCTCCCTCTCCAGCTAATGCATATTCTCCAATGAGCCCGACGAGATTCTCCCCTCCTGACAATTTGCGCCATCGTAACTATTCATTAAACACGTCTAATTCACGTTAAGTAATTGTGACTTTAAAAGTGTATACGGTTGTACATATATTTCTCTCTCACTCTCTATATATATACACTAATATATATATATATTTACACCTATATATGTACATACATATATATATATTTTTCTCTTTTTTATTGTAAGTTTTGTATAATTTTACAAGGCTCAGTTTTTTTCCGTCAAGTAATCTTGTACAGACTTCTCCACAACTGTATATTGAGATGGTTCAAGTGTTACTTCACTAATAATTCTTTCTGAATCAGACTTTTTCGTCAAGCTGAGATACTTTTGTGCTGTAAAAATCGTAATAAAGAATCAAATTGTATATGTAAAAAGTACATCTGTAAGAACTTGACTACAAACCGTTTCCCATTTTATCCCATTCTTCACCTTTATTTTTCTTAACTATCTGATAAACTGCGTATGCCATTAAATTCCATCCAACAATAAAAGTTACAATGTTTCGAGGTTTGGATAGCCTTGAAATATTCTGATTAGGATCTCCGAAGCGGTATTTTCTCATGGCTCAATACAAAGCTATATTTCGATGGGGGCTGACATTTTAAAACAAAAAATGTTCTGAAACAATTTTGATAGGCAATGTCTTTAATAATAGGCCTATAAATTCAGGATTAAGAACTATAGTTTTCGGTGCTTTGCGAAGAAAGGAACGGTTTGAATTTGTTTCTTTTGGACTTATTACGGATAAAGTTAGCAAACAAATTGAAGCCCCCAATTCTTAGGCCTATATTCGGTCACATTCCTCGCGCCATTCGTTCCTTCTCCCCAATCACGTGACCTTCTTCTCAACCGTCTATTGGCTATCATGATTTCGCAACGAATTATTCATTTCTCTACATCAAAAATGGCAGAACAGTGCAGATCGGCGTGAAGTTTCGAACGATTTCGTTCTATTTTCCAGTTTGATCGTCTTTGCAAATGGATTAGAATGTGCAACGATTGCAGTTCGTATTTTTGTTTGATAGTATCAAGGTTATCATCGTTGTAAATCAGATTATATTGGGAATTTGGCATACGGAGTATTAAACGTCGTATGACGTTCACCGTCTGTTTCTCTTATCACCCTTTATCAACGATAAGACCATAAACGCCTTCTACTGAATTTATCGATCACGATAGGCGTCGAATTTGAATAGGCGTCAGTCTCTTGCATCGATGCTTACGAACGATTATCCATTCCACGCCCAGTTTTGGGCGGCAAATCGATATGAAAATGTTCGATTTTAAGCCTACACGGGCGGGCGTTGCCAGTGTCAAACTTATGGCTTCCTTTGAAATTAGTGCGTATAATTAAAGTCACTGGAAGGTTGTACGTTTTATACAGTGTTATCTTGCTTTGTTTGCTGCTAACAATATTTGTCACTACTAAAGCTTAGGCTTTTATTGTTTTTCGATTATATCTTATTAATAAGTGTATTCCTGTATAACAAAGTGAATTTACGCTTTAAAATCGATCTTTTCTGTCTTTGTGACAAACTCGTTTGAAGTCGTTCTTTTGAAAGTTGTATATTTACAATATAAGGAAGTATTAGAGGAGTAGGCGGCCTACTGCTTTATATGCAGCATATTTGTAAAAGTAACGTCCAATTAAATACTAGCAATTCAGGTAAAAAGTTTACCAATCCTTTCAATTAATTGATTTTTTTTATTTCAAAGAAATAATTAAAAGCTTAAGGAAGCTGAAAATTGATCATAAAAACGAAAAAGCTTTAAATATGAAATTCTCTATTAAATTTGAAGTTAATTTCAATGTTATAGAGTATCTATTAAACAATTTAGACAATCATAACAATATTAGCTATTTCTAGTATAACTAAATAAAGCGATCTTCTTCAACATCTTTATTAGACTAATTGAAGTCTCATTTGTTAAGTTTCACGCCTTCCTGCGTATTTTTAGCCTAATTGCAGCTTGTTGCGGCTATAATTGCACATAGTTTGTAACATCGATTTTCGAATAGTGTTTAGAGCAATCTGTCGCACATTAAATTTCTAAATGTTTTTTTACAGTAGATTAAAAGAGTAAACGATCGGCCGAAATGGCCAAACTCTACGATTTCCAATGGCAGAGGCCGGTTCCAGAGGCACTCTTGAATGGTGCTAGATTTGACAGGTGGGAGGAGGTAAGATTTTTACTATAAAATTACGCACACATTGTCTCTTGGCAAATAATAATACTTGAATTTTTTTCATCTATATTAGGATACTAGCGTCTTTGAACCAGGCTGCTTTGTTAAAGTAGATGAATTTGGCTTCTTTATACATTGGAAAAGTGAAGGAAGGGTAAGTTTGCTGACTCGACGTTTTTCAACAAAAATGCTCATCTGTTGCGGCAATCTATTTCACCAATAGGCCTATAACAAATTGTTTATAAGAGTTTCGACTTTAACGTATTGTTTGTGCAAACCAGTCGTTGGCCTTTAGCGTCGACCGTGACGTCAGAGACGTCTATTTATTGCATGTAGTGTTAATTTATTATCGGCTAAAAATAACAAGACGGGATATCCACAGGAGGGACAAGTTATCGACTGCTCTCAAATATCCGATATCAGAATGGGACTACCGCCAAAGGATAGCAAATTATGCTCCGAATTGGAAAGCCGAGGAGTTGGCTCTCTGGATAGTAGGACGATGGTTGTTTGCTCCGGTTTAGACTACGTGAATATAAATTACACGAATTTTGTAGCCCAAAACACGGAGATAACGAAAGTAAGATTGGCTATTAAATTAAACTTTTATAGCCTCAATAAAAAAATTTATTTCTCTCATATAAACAGGAATGGATTGAAAGTTTACGTAATGCAACGCATAATTTTAAAGCAAACAATGTCTGTCCGATGACCCAATTGAAAAAACAGTAAGTAATTGATGTCCTTGTTTATGTCCTTGTAAACACTAGTAATTATCTGTCTTTAGCTGGATTAAGCTAAGCTTAATGGTGAATCCGGATGGAAAAATTCCAGTTAGGAGGTATTCGAAAGCTTTTTGTCAGTTGAAATTTAGCTAATCGATTGTTCACCCTTTTATAGTATAACTCGCACTTTTGCCTCCGGTAAAACTGAGAAAATTGTCATGCAAAGTTTAAAAGATCTAGGTTTACCTAGCGGAAAAAATGATGAAATTGATCCGGAAATGTTTACATTCGCCAAATTTTATGATCTGTATCACAAGATATGCCCTCGAACGGATATTGAAGATTTATTCAAAGAATTGTAAGCACCTGAAACTATATTTGACATCATTTCGTTTAACACATAAACATCTATTATAGAACTAAAGGAAAACAATATCTAACAATTCCCCATTTTATCGAGTTTATGAATGAAGTTAGTGATTTTGCTATAAATTCCAACGTCTTTTAACGCTTCAATGATTTTTTATAGCGTCAACGAGACCCTCGACTCAACGAAATTCTTTTTCCATTCTTCGATAGAAAACGATGCTTACAGATAATAGAAACGTACGAACTAGATGAAGAATTGAAAAAGATGGAGCGCTTGTCAGTAGACGCCCTTTGCCGATATCTTATGTCGGATGAGAATGCTCCAGTATTTTTAGACCGATTAGAAATTTATATGGATATGGATCAGCCTCTTTCACATTATTATATAAATTCATCGCATAATACGTATTTAATTGGGCGTCAATTTGGAGGAAAATCTTCGGTTGAAATGTATAGGCAGGTTTTATTGGCTGGTTGTCGTTGTATCGAATTGGATTGTTGGGATGGAAAAGGCGATGATCAAGAGCCGCTTATTACGCACGGAAAAGCTATGTGCACAGATATTTTATTTAAAGACGTAATCTATGCCATTCGTGATACCGCGTTTGTTACTACCGATTTTCCAATTGTAATGTCCTTCGAAAATCATTGCTCCAAGCCGCAACAATATAAATTGGCCAAATATTGCGAGGAAATTTTAGGTGATTACTTGCAGAATAAACCGCTAGATTCTCATCCGCTTGAACCTGGAGCTCCCCTTCCGTCACCGAATCAGTTGAAGAGGAAGATATTGATAAAGAACAAACGCTTAAAACCGGAGGTGGAGAAAAGTAATAGACGTGACGCATTTTATCCTATCAATCTGTTAATGGCTTCGTTTGTTTTTAGAGCACTTGGATATGTTTCTTAAAGGACAGAACGAAATGTTGATAGAGGACGGCGAGAACATCGAAGACCCTGACGTTACCCCCAATATCGCCAACTCTGAAAATAAAACAGACGGTAAGCCCTCCACTACTTTATATTCTGTTGACTTGACTAAGGATTACAATTATTGAATATTTTTAGGCGAAAATCAAACACCAGCTACACCAGATGCTCCGATGACCAATAATGTAGCACCGACGGAAAATCCAGATAAACCTGAGGTAAATTCTTCTCCCACTACACATCCTGTCCCACCTCCACCTCCCCAGCATCCGCCGCTAGTTAAGAAGCAAACATCTGTGAAGATGTCCGGTAAAAAGGTAGGTGGCGCTTGTAAAAACCCACCAGGCGCCCAATGTTTGCTTCCTTTGATTTTCTCTTAAAATCAGTTCAATCTATTTTATTTTGATTTTAAACTTTCTTATTTCAATCTAATTGAATTTCGATATCATGGGATAGCCTCGTAAGTGAACAAAATAGAAATTTGTATTTATCGTCAATCAATGTCTTACGAAAAAAAGTTATATAGAAAAGATATGAAGTAAACTTTTCTAGCATTAGAGGAAAAATTTGTTTACGAGTTTTTTTAATTCATGATAAAGATGCATGGAAAATAAACAGAATATTGTTAAAATGTTAAAGAAATCATATGAATAATTTAGTTCTAGTATATGTAAAGAATGATATAAATATTTTAAAAGATGGTCAAAAAATCGAACGATTCGGGGAATTTACGTAAGTGAAAAGAAAAACAATATTTTACTCTTAAAATTTATGAAGTTCATACTATGTACATGAAAAATAAGTAGTAGGAACTAAGGAACGTTTATGAACTTTATTCTTAGAATCCAAAGTAGGGCATTTTTTTTTGCGAAAGACCAATTTGAGCCAGAAGCAACTTCGAATTAAAAGGTAAGTTAAGTGCCAATGCCAATAAAATATCTTCATGCACAAAAATCTTTTTTGTATGATTTTGTCTGTCTACTTCAAAATCTATTCTAACAAAGTTTGTGCACTCTTTTTCTTACACTATACTTTATATAAATAAAATTTGTTTTAACAAAAAATAAATTGAATTATTGAAAATCAATTAACAACAGGGGAGTTTAACGGCTGAAGAAGAAGCGGCTTTGATGGATAATTATCATTATACTGGGGCAACAACGAATATACACCCTTACTTATCCCAAATGGTTAATTACGCACAGCCCGTAAAGTTTTCCGGTTTTGACATTGCCGAAGGTATGTAATTTACTATTTTTAAACGAATTTCGGGCACTAAGACGAGTTATATACGCAAAGAATATTTTTTTTTTTTTGACAACCGATTTATACAGAGTTAAATCTTCATTGTCAAATGTCATCATTTAATGAATCAACCGGTTTGGGATACCTAAAAACCGGAGCTATCGAATTCGTAAAGTATCCTTCGATAGTTGAAGATTATTACTTGTAGTTCCCCTAAGCATGTTGCTCGACTCAAAACTCGTTTTAATTTCCTACTTTTTATTTATCTATTTATTTATTAGATAGGAGAGATTTTTTTTTTCAAAAATACTTATTTTTGAGCAGAAGAATTTTCTTTTCCAGTTTTCATTAATTTTATTTTGATTCTTTGTTTCCTAACCAAATTTCAGAGCGTAACATCCATCACAATATGTCGTCTTTCTCCGAATCCCATGCGCTAGGCGTTTTGAAAAATGGGGCTATTGAATTCGTCAAGTATCCGCTAGATTTGTTTAATTTTTTTTATTTATTTTTGCGCATGATGTCGTTTAGTTCGTCACTTGTATTTGACTGTCATTTCTAGTTTATTGCCTTTGCTCTTTCATAATTCATTTATTTATTTTTTGGCATGTTGATGGCAGTCGATCGTTATTTATTTATATATCCTACAGGAATAAATAGACACTTTCACATGTCATCTTTTAATGAGACTTCGGCACTGCAATTATTGCTTAAAAATTCCTTATCACCAATGTTGTGGTCCAAGTATCCTTTGCATGTTGCATGCTTTCATATTTGATTTTACTAGTATATTTCTATCACGAAATTTTGTCCCGTATTTTTCCTGAATTCAAAATTCTAGCTATAATAAGCGTCAGATGAGCAGAATATATCCGAAAGGAGGAAGAGTAGATTCCAGTAATTATATGCCTCAGGTAGAGTAGTTAATGTTAAAAATCCTACAAAGAAAATATAATAAGATTTAATTTTGTGAAAAATTTAGATCTTTTGGAACGCAGGCTGTCAAATGGTTGCCTTAAATTTTCAAACCCCAGACCTGGCTATGCAGTTGAATCAGGGCAAGTTCGAGTACAACGGAAATTGCGGGTATTTATCATAATTTTATCTCGCCAGGAAAACTATTTCGTAGAATATCTAATAATACATACAATATACCTTGTTCTTCTTTCGATCAGTTTTCTGCTCAAGCCTGATTTCATGCGACGACCAGATAGGACTTTCGATCCTTTCTCTGAATCGCCTGTAGATGGCGTAATAGCCGCCACTTGTTCTGTTCAAGTTATTTCGGGCCAATTCTTGTCCGACAAAAAGATCGGAACGTACGTTGAAGTCGATATGTACGGACTTCCGACAGATACTATTCGAAAGGAATTTCGAACTAGAACGGTTCCAAACAACGGACTTAATCCGGTGTATAACGAAGAGCCTTTTGTGTTCAGAAAGGTTTATACAGTGTTTTATGTCCATTTAACTTGTTGATTATTACCTTTTATAAATAATTATAGGTGGTGCTACCGGACTTGGCTGTACTTAGGATTGCTGTATTTGAAGAAACCGGTAAATTGATTGGACAACGAATTCTGCCTCTTGATGGCCTACAAGCCGGTTACCGTCACGTTTCGCTGAGGACTGATGGAAACTTTCCTTTGTCTTTACCCACGGTCTTTTGCCGATTTGTTCTGAAAACATATGTTCCCGACGGTTTAGGAGATTTTGTCGATGCTCTTTCCGATCCCCTTCAGTTTGTTTCAGCAGCAGAAAAACGAGCACAACAAATGAAAGGTATGGGGATTGATGAGAATGATATAAGCGACGTTCCTGTGACGTCCGGTTCGAAAAAAACTGATAAGAAAGGCGATAAGAAAGATAAAAAGAAAGAAGATGCAGCGCCAAAGAAAAGTGTTCCAGGAGAGCAAAATAGTGCCAATGCTGGTACAGGAGGAAAAAACAACGACAAAAAGGATGAATTGGGTTTTGAACCAATTAGGACCGAGACTCTGAAAACCGATAAAAAATTTATCAAATTGCTCAAACAGCAGGGAAAGGATATGGAGAATTTGAAGAAGAAGCAAAATAAGGAACGTTCGGCGATGCAAAAGCTTCATTGTAGCGCAGTGGACAAAATGGTAGCGGTGCATGACAAGGAAAAAACTTCTCATGAGAAAAATCTGGATAAAGTGAGAAAAAAGAACGCGTAAGTGTCTCAATTAGTTTCTAAATTTAAGGTGTAAAACCTATAAGTAGGTGTTGTGAAAATTTTTAAACAAGTTTATTTATTAAGAATATATTTTTTGCATTGTTTTTATCCATTTATTCGCAGGAGCGAATCGTCCATAACAAGATTAGCAGCATGTTGCAGCGCTCGAATGCCGTGGGTAGATCATTGGTGTTTGCCTCTCTTCCTATTTTTCTTTTTCTTTTTTTTTAATTGAACTCAAATTTCTTTTTTTCCTTTAAAAAAGTTCAGATTTGTGTGGCGCCTTTTGGTTAAAAAAAAATTTGAATAATATCATAATGCTGTGTCGGTTCTTTAACTCACCATCTTCTTTTTTTAATCAATTTATAGTTTCCTACCTCTAAGCAGATGTTATGCATGATCTTATTGTTTCAGGAGCAGTGAGCAACAAATGGAAGCTGAAGGTAGAGTTCAACAAGTCGTTGAGGGACATATGACAAAGGTTAGAGGAATAGTGGCGGACCAAACCAAAGAGTGGTCGGATATGGTGGCTAAGCAAATGCACGAGGAGCATGAATTAAGAAAGGAGCATGTGGCGCAACAAACCAGTTTGCTAAAAGTCCTCATGCAGGTGGCACATAGTGCTCAGAAGCAAGAATTTGACCTACTAAAAGATAAACAAACCAAAGAGTTGAAAGCCAAGCAAACAAAACAATCTATGGAAACAGTAAAAATGGTTATGGCTGACAAAACAATCAAGAATAAGGCGGAAAGAGATCGGTAAATACTGTCTTTTATTAATTTCTTTTTCAATACTTAACTCTTTGCTTTTAAACAGTCGAATTCGCGAACTGAACGAACAAAATACAAAGAAATTTATTGAAGAACGAAAACGCCAAGCCGTCCTTAAGCAAAAACACTTCGAAACGCTCGAAAAGTTGCAACTAGAAGAACTGGAAAAAGTAGATGAAACAGGACAACAAGTACCATTAATTTCAATACTTCATAATTGAAGAATATAAATGCTAATAAAACTTTTTTTTTTTCGCTTTTAGGATCTTTTGTTAGCCGAAATGGATCTTGTGGAGGCAAATTTAGCGCACAAACCCGAAACAGTTATATGAAATAAAAGGCACTTGATCGCCACCGTATTTCGAGCACCACCACAACACTGCAGAAGGAAAAAATTAACTGTAATTTCTTACACTTACATGCAAACTTTCATCCCATCATATTTTTGTTTATAGTTTTAGTTTTAATTTTAATGAGGAAATTGTATTATAATATTCGTTTCCTAAAACGTTGTTTCGATATGATTCTGGAATCGTTCGTTCCTCGAATGTGTAATAACCCTGTATGGGTTTATTACAGAAGATAAAAATTACCTGTCGGAATCTCTTGTGACATTTTATACGGTAGTTGTAGCCTGTGATGAGTTTGTCTCTTTAGTTAAATACTCATCCAAATTTTTTAAGTCATCCTTTCTAACAAACTAGTATTGTCTCCAAGAATTGTATATCACGGAAATGATTGATTGCATGACGAAAATACAATTATTTTTGAAAACTTCATTTATGACCACTTTCTACAAGCATACTTTCTAATAAAAAGTCGTGCTGTAACTCAATGTAAGGTTCATGTATCCACGCTGATGAATAAAATATTAAAAGTTCCTTTTCGGCATAGTTATGACATATATTCTTAAATATCATTTTCTTAAGTTCTAATTCCTTTTCATACATTCTTAGCAATCTTTCACTTTGTTCTCCTGAACATTGAGTAAAGTATTAAACATTAATTGGCTCTTTATATAAAGAAATGATTAATAAACCTACCGAATTCACTGATTGTCCAAGTTTGAAATAATGGCTGTTCCACAATTGAATCATCATTTCGGAAAAGTTCCAATTGTTCAATGCCTTTCAAACTTTTATTTAGTGCTTGAAACTTATTAACGTAATGTTCCTACAAAGATAAATGATATATTGATCAGAACAATAGGACTATAAATTGATTTACCATCTTTTCTATTATATTTTCAAGTGTAGAAGTCTTTGGTAACAACATTCTAATGATTTCTTCTGACTTAGTAGCATTATTCTCTTCAGATAGTATCTCAGTTATTTCAGCTAGGCATTTAGAACCATCCAGAACACATTTCTTCCATTTCTGAATGTAATTATATAAGTCAGCAATGTTATCTTTTACTTTTCTAGCATCTCCCGTCAACCTTCCTTTTAAGGGACTACGTCCGGATTGCACTAAAACGAGCGATAATAGATGATTCTAATGAATAATTTTTTTATTTAACTAGTGATATACCATTGATAGGGGAAAATTGAAGCGTATCGGGAGTAGGTGATTGGAAGGATGTATTAAGGGACCTGTCAACTTTAGGAGTATTGCTCATTACTTAAACTTTTAAATTAAATGGCCGTACACGCCATCTGGTGATACAAAAGTAAAAAGCCGGAAATCATGAGACTCGCATCCGGTGTTTTTCTAACATTTTTTGTCATTGGATATATAATTGTCACGTGACACATTAGAAAAAACCGACCCGGGACGAGCGTTTCTGATTTTGTCATCAGTTCAAAAAAACCCAGGTATTTATCATAGAATTAGTGTTATTTAACGAAGATTTCGAATCAGTATGTTAAGAGGGATGAACACGCAAAAATCATAGTGAAAATCCCGTAGATCAATCGTTATGAATCATTCCTGTGTCCGTCATGAGATGGTAACCGTTGGAAATGTGTTTTTCAGTTAGAAATCAAGAACAGAGAGTTTAAAAAACGACTATGGCTGTTAATGTATATAATACAAGCGTAACTGCCGAAAATCTAAGTCGGCACGATATTCTAGTATGGATAAACGAAACATTGGACGCTAACTATTCAAAAATTGAAGAGTTATGCTCTGGTAAGTTATCCTATACATAACTATATATAATATAAATAAATATATATATAAAAATAAAACTTATTCAAAATAGGTGCGGCTTATTGCCAATTAATGGATTTGCTCTTTATAGGTAGTATCTTGTACATTCATTTAAAGATATTAAATATATTATTTAAGCCCAAACGTAATTATTTCTACAAAACAGAATCGGTACCGATAAAAAGAGTAAAATTTCAAACCAAACTTGAGCACGAATATATCAGTAATTTCAAGATTTTACAAAACGCTTTTAAAAAAGCGGGTGTCGACAAGGTTATTAAACTAAATGACAAACGTTATGCTATTTTTTTTTAACTTTCCATAACAAAAATCTTGAAAAAAAAAATAACGAAAATATCTTTCTTTTTTCTTTTCCTTCCTTTTCCCTCCCTCTCTCTCTCTCTCTCTCTCTCCTCTAATATTAAATTGTTCACTATCCTTATTAAGTTTAGTTATTTTTTTTTTCTGGTTAATTATTATATGCATTCTTGTGTATTATTGCAAGTTTATTTATATTAGTGTAATGTTTACTTTATACGCAATAGTATTCAAAAGAACAAAAAAAAAAGAACATTCTAATCGTCTCTCTTTAACACATTTTTTTTAAAAAAAAGAATCTTTTTTTTTTTCCATTCGCTTTCAATATTCGATATAAATTCTTATTATAATTATATTACTCCTCTACCGCTTCCCTTATCATTATTTATGATTATTATTATTAATAATATACTACTTTTAAGAATATTTATCTTTATGGAATACTTTTTTTTTCTAACTTTGTTTCTCCCTAACGCTGCTTCTTTTTATGTTTCTCTATTGCAATTTTTAACCAGACGCAATAAGCTTGAAGAGAGTGAAATTTAACACGCAATTAGAGCACGAATATATTAATAATTTCAAGATATTCCAACAAGCCTTGGGTCGAGTAAATATCGACAAGGTGATTTTGAAATCTTATGTTATTTTTCACTTATATTCTTTCTCGTTTTTAATCTGTTTTGTTTTGTAATTACTATTATTTTATTATTATTATTATTATTATTATCATCAATCTTGATGTGCCTTCTCTACAAACCACCGCTCGTCTCTACCACTGCAATAGGAAGAGACCATCTAGCTATATTTATCATTTGTAGCAAGCGAAAAAAAAAAGACACATTATATTGTATTAATTGCTTATAGAGTTGTGGCCTTAATTGTTCTAACCGCATTATAATTATGCCTAATATCGACATGTATTCCTTCTTTGCTTTTGTTTTTTTTTTTTTTGTTGTTCTGTTTTTTAATTTATTCTCTTTGTTCCTTACACATTTTTTTCTTCTCAATCTTCTATTATTTAAAAAATAATAATTTTTGTCTTTTTAATTGTTTTTTTTTTTTAAAAAAAAACAGTTAATTCCTGTTGAGAAATTGGTTAAAGGAAAGTTTCAGGATAATTTTGAGTTTGTACAATGGTTCAAGAAATTTTTTGACGCTAATTACGATGGATCGGAGTATGATGCTAGAGCTGTTAGAGGTGGTGTACCACTTGGTCGGGTAGATAATAAGAAAGCTGGAGGAGCTTTGACTAGACCCGTTCCAAAAAGTGTTCCCGTTTCGAATAATAAAGCGCCTGCTAGACCCATGCCAGCTAAAGGTATATACTAATAGACTTTGAATTGTTACAAAACAGAATGCTTGTTATGGAGATTTATATTCTTTGTTATTTCCAGCTCCAACTAGGACTGCGGCACCAAAAGCCAATTCTGGCGCTAGACCCGCAGCTGCAGTAAAACCTATTCCAGTATCAAATGATAACTCCGTTTCGAATAATGGCAATGCAAAAGTAGATGAACTCCAGAAGGAAAATGACGATATGAGGCAAACAATTGAAGGTTTAGAGAAGGAAAGAGATTTTTACTTTGGAAAATTAAGAGACATAGAAGTTATTTGTCAAGAATTCGAAAACGAGGAAGGACATCAAAGTATTGTCAAGAAAATTTTTGATATTCTTTACGCTACCGAGGTAAAACGTCGCTTTCAATAGTTTGTAAACGAAGTTATAAATAATTTAATCTTTTTTCTCAACAAACAATTAATAGGAAGGATTTGCGGTTCCCGATGAGGAAGCTGAGGGTGAAGCAGAGGAGCAAGAGCCCGAAGAATATTAACTCACGCAAAAATGAAAAAAAGAAAACATAGTAATTTATTATCAATAGTAAAGAAGATAAACACCGTGCTAATCATACACATTTTTCTGGATATATATATATATGTACATGTGTGTATGTGTATATGTATATATGTAGCTGAAAAAAAAGAGAAGGCAAAATACGACCTTCAAACAAAAGTCTATAATCCCACCACCAATGAACAAAAAGAATGTGTTGTACTTTATTTTATTTCTCCGATTTATTAATATTATTGCTTTTCTATTTAATTTATTCTCAACCAATAACTTGAAAAAATATATATAAATATATGTATATACATGTATTTATATATATATGTATTTATAGACACGATTTAAACAAAGCTTTATACAAAAATTCCCGGTACTTTTTGTTATTCTCCTGCTACATGTCTGTTACTCTCCCTATTTTTTTCACATCACTAACTTATACGCTCCCCTCCTACTCAACCATGTTTTGATAAAATTCAACACACAAGTGTCTACTTTAAAAAAATGTGTGATGTCTATTACTTTGGTTTTTACATTACGAATGCAAATTATGATTTTACTATGGATTTATATAATACCTAATAAAGTATTCTTTGAAAAGACCTTTATCACAATTGCATTGGTCTTTTAAGTGCGCTTCTTGGGATTGTCAATGTACTAATAATCTATTTTTAATGAATCGTAGAAAATTTGGTAAGCTTAACAAAAATCTAACATTACGTATCATCTGCTCCTGTCGTTTAACGTAGTCAAAATGCTAATAATAATAATAATAATATGAAATTTAATACATCGAACAGGAATATTTTCGAGTAGATTTATCTCTCATTGATATTATTATATTTGTGCTTTTCAAATGTTTTAAATATGATGGACGTTCCATTTAATTCAAATTAATAACATTTATCATTAAATAGACAATGCCCCATTATCGTTCCCTATATAGAGATCGGTCGGTTCTGTCCAGTTCCAATAGTGATAGGTCAAATAGGAGTAAGCGGAAAAAGAGTGAAATAGAAGTTGATCCTATGGTGAATATTTTGGAGAGATTGCATAATCATGGTATATCTGGTGGAAAAATCGACTTTGAAAGACCTTCCGGTCTTCAGATTACGGAACGTATACGAATTTATTTAACGATTAGTTGCATAGGAATGAATCTAGTCTGCCTTATTGTTTTCTGCGCCCTTTTCCTTTTGATTCTTGAGATGAAAAGAAATTTATTACAATTCACCAATATAAGTCAAATGGACGATATGATGGAAAGAATGCTCTTTTTCTCCTCTATATACGGGGCAATTGTCAGTTTGTTTACAGTCATAATCTGTATGTCAATCTTATCGCCTTCCTCTCGATTCAATGTACAAATCCTATTGAAAGCTTTTACTCTCCTAATATTGATCTTGGTTATTATTATAATAGTCACTTTATTAAAGCTAAGGAGTCATCTAGAGACTATTAGCGTTACTATGAAGAATGACTTTAAATTAGCTATGGAAGAGTACGACTTTTATCCTTTGAAACGTAAATCCGTTGATAGGATACAACTCAATTTCGAATGTTGTGGAAATATGGACGGTTATGTCGAATGGTTTAATATTCCTTGGATAGATGCAAGATTCATAGATAGCTCATTAGTAGCTTTACAAGACAATCTGATCGATGGAATCTTTGTTAGGAATGATAAGCTCAAAAATGTTCCCTTTTCTTGTTGTTCACCTTCTTCAAGAAAGCCGTGCATTAATGAAAGAGTACAGAACAATGAATATCACAAAAGCTATAACTGGATCGAAGATTTAACGTTAAATAAGGAAACGTGTTTCCAAAAAGTTACCAACTTTTTTAATACCATTTTTGTAATCTTACTGGTTTGTTATTGTTTTCTCGTTATTTTTGAATTTACTATTCTTATATGTGCCCGAATTGTCTACTTGTCACTTGTATCGTTACCGAGACACTTTCCTACTGCCACTGTAATAGTTAGTCGTTTGTATTACAATACTCTCGACCCTCATGATCTTCCCCCAACTAAAGAAGAGATAAAAAGTAAAAGAACTGCGTCAGTCGACGAAAATGTAGCGAAAGTCGCTCATATTTTTTCCGAATGGAACAATAGTGAAAAGAAGAAGGAAGAACTTAAACCGTTATTGAGTAACTCAAAGAAAAATATCAGGAAGAAGCGAAGCGTTGCATTTGTCGAAGGTGAAACTATTCTATTAGACTAAATCAAACAAAAAAAACATTTCAGAAATATCCCACGTTCGAATTGTATTCCTACAACAACTGTTTAAGACCTAGGTCTTTCCTTCTTCTCTTTGTACAAAGCCCAGAGTGACACATTAGCCACTTTAACGACTTTGAAACGGACGCCGGGAATATCACCAACGGCGTGACCTCTTCTACCGAATCCCGCAACCAAAACTTCGTCGTTTTCTTCAATATAATTCAAACAACCGTCGTTTGGAACAAAAGCCGTGATTTTTTTGCCGTTCTTGATCAATTGAACTCTAACGCATTTACGGATGGCGGAGTTAGGTTGTTTGGCTTCAACACCAACTTTTTCCAAAACGATTCCCTTGGCGTGAGAAGCACCACCGAATGGATTGGCCTTCCAGCGGGTTCCCAAATGGGATTTCTTGTAATCTTTATCATGCCAACGTTGTTCACGACGATGGCTTCTCAGTTTTCGTGCGGTTCTTAAACCTCGTGGTTTGCCTGTTAAATTTGAGCGAGATACAGTATTATTCTTAAAGAAATACTAGACTGAATCATTAAATGAAATCTCTATGTTTAATATTGTTGATTTTTGAGTTGGTAATTATCGAATATTAAGGTAAAATTTAAGATAATCCGTGTACACGTGAGAACCTACCCATATCGCTTGCTTCTAAACCGGAAAAGGAAACGTGCTTGCAAAATTTTCACGACAAAGATTATGAAATCCTGAAAAGTTTAATTAATTCAGTGTAATTCCTAGATTTTGGGCAAGATTTTATAAAAAATATTAGAATTTCTATACAAAAATTATATTTGCAATTATTTTCACTTTATTTCTTTAAGAACTGAAGTTTATTGTTCATATTATTTAGTTGAAATTTTCTATAAATAAAATACTTGTATTGTAGTACCATATCTAGGAGCTAATAATCCTTTAAAATGCGGCTACAACGTTTGCCATTATTGTTATATTTAATTATTCTGTCAGTAATATTAGGTTTTTTGATAATCCAATATGATAAGTACGTTAAGAGTTCATATATGGACGAGATCTTTCATATTCCACAAGCCCAAAAATATTGTAATGGAAAGTTTACAGAGGTTTTTATTAATATTGATTTAAAACTTGAAATCGCTAATTAAAACTGCTTTTTTTTAGTGGGATAACATGATTACAACGTTACCCGGTTTATACTTTTTAAGTTTATTCGTACTTTACCCTATTGCTTATTTACTGGGATTGCCAATTGAAACAACATGTTCAATCTTTAATTTACGAGCTATTAATGCTCTTCTAGCAGTGGGCTCTTATTTGGCTTTATGTTTCCTAGTTAAGAAGGTAGGTTAATAAACAATCACTTGAATAAATAGCATGTATATATATATATAGAAGACGCTGTCCCACAGCTGCAAAATCCAAGGAATGCTGCTCTCACTAGCTTTGGTATTTGCCTTTTCCCTTTGCATTTCTTTTTCAATTTTCTCTACTATACGGATACTGGATCGACGTTTTTTGTTCTCCTATCCTATCTATTGTCATTAAACAACCTCTATCTACCATCGGCTTTGGGTTGTGTTTTCTCAATAGTTTTTAGGCAGACAAACATTATCTGGACCGTATTTATTGCCGGAGAATGCGCGATTAGAATCCTACTTGAAAAGTTAGATTTTGATAAGAAAGATCTTCGAAAGGAGAAGAGAAACTCTCTTATATTTATTCCTCTCTTTCTAAAATATACATTAGGCAATGTTCATAAGATAAAGAAAACTATAAAACTCCTATGGAGACCAATAATCTATTATGGAATGGTAATTATATCATTTATCATTTTCATTGTACTAAATAATGGAATTGTTGTTGGGGCAAAGTCAGATCACCAAGCAGTATTACATTTTCCTCAAATTTGTTATTTTGCATCATTTTCATGTTTATTCGCTATACCTTTACTATTCCATTTGAAGTTAATCAAAGAATTCTTTAAATGGGTAAAAAGTCATTATTTTATATGTCTTTTTGGCACGATTCTATTCTTAATCGTCTGCTATAAATTTACTCACGTTCACCGATATATTTTGGCTGATAATCGACATTACACATTCTATTTTTGGAGTAAACTTCTGGGAAGATATTGGTGGATAAGATACGCTCTAGCACCAATATACATCTTTTGTTTTTGGATTATGAATAGAAGTTTAAAAAGTCCTAATATCATCTTTAAACTATTGTTCTTTATATCAATCTTCATCCTACTCGTTCCACAAGCTCTTATTGAATTTCGTTATTTTATAACACCTTATATAATGTGGAGAATTCATTTAAAGGATATAAGCAAACGAAGACTATTTTTAGAAGCTGTTTATTACGGTTTATGGAATTGTTTGACTATTTATATTTTCCTATTTAAAACTTTTAAATGGCAAAACGAACCTAATAATATACAAAGATTTATGTGGTAGCTATGGTAACAGTCTGTTTTTTTGTAATAAAGAGCTAAATGTAATTGTCAAAGTGATGGGATAGTAATAATAATAAAAAACTACAGCAACTATTTGTATTTCTATTGTTTCTTTATATTTTTTGTATGTCTATATTGTTTATTTTATTTTGACGAAAAAAAAATGCCATCTATCGGTTAGGATAAAATACATTTGAGATTTTGCTTCCTAATTAGTTAACTTGTCAAAAGAGAGAGAAAATAAATCGTATCAGCTACTCTTTGCTATTTAAATAATAAATATCGGTTTATATACAGTATACAGATTATTGTATTTAGATGGTTGAAACTGTATATATATCTATATACTGTATAATTGTATATATATACAGACTTAATATACGATATGTTGTACAGTAAATAAATATAAATAGAAAAGTCCACTTGAGAATAATCAATAGGAAGGGTTAAAGAAAGCAAAATAAAAGGAAGGAAAGCATTGACGAAAGCTATAATTAGATATTCTGTCATTGTTTTCTTTTTAAGAGGATTACCCAAATTATTTCTTATTCAGGTTATAGATGGAGGAAGAGATGAAATATCCTAAGTGGATATTAACGAGAAGGATGATTGTTAGTTTGTATTTTTCCTTACTCTGTACTTTTATGATATCTATATATATCTTTATATATATATATATACAAATTTATTTTAAAGCATATAAAATGATCAATTTAAATAAGAACAGGAAAAAGATAGCAAACATAACAATAATGGAAAGGAGTATAAAGCCGAGTTCTAATTTTAAATACGCAGGTGTGGTAAAATCGATGGACAAATATTACTTTTCTACAGTTTGTCATGAAGGATAGAACGAACGCTGAACGGATAATTAAAGAGCGTCGAATGGCTGCAAATGCCCGAGAACGACGAAGAATGGAGGCGTTAAATAATGCTTTTGAAAGGCTTAGAGAAAGTGTCTCAACATTAAGAAACGAAAAAAGAAAGAGAAAATTAAGTAAATTCGAAACTTTAAAATTGGCCAGAATTTATATTGATGGATTGAGACGAATGCTGGAAGAATGCGGTTGACTTGTTTTTTTTTCAGTATATACCGTAATTTTATACAAATCTTCTGTATATATATATATATATATATACTGTATATATATATGTCTAGATATATATATATATATATGTATATGTACACAAGTATATATGCTGTGGACAATATTAAAAATTAGACAACAATCTAGATAAAATATACATTCTGTAAAAAAAAAAGAGTCTGTGGGTATCACGCATGCAATAATTGATGACGTACGTCGGTTAGTGTCTTACCGTAAAAATTGTTGAAATCCCAGGTATTCTGATCTTCGATATTAGGATCATTTATAAGTTTTCCTATTCCCCAAATATTAGCTTCGGCATATACCAACTCCGTTCCTTTTGTCTTGGCGAGCTCGGCGTTTAAATAGCTTGATGAAGTAAATTTTTTTATTAAAACTTCCTTAAGAAATATATGTCTTTTATCCATCCATATTCTATCAGAATAATTTTTCACACTTCTTCCGCAAGACTTCCAGACTCTGAAGCTGTTACTTGTGAGAACTCTTTGAGCCAGAGTTGGGTCATTAAAGACCTGACATTTCTTGTACATTACGTAGTGTATTGGAGAATGAAAACATTCATTTTCAAGATAAATAGGTGTGTAATGACTTGGACCAAATACGGAATTATCAGTAAAATAAGTAAACTCGGGACTTTTTTTAATGTAAGGATCGTTACTATCTCGTAATTTCTTCACTACCTCTTCCGCACTTATCCTATCTTGAGGTTTTGATTTTATCATGGACCTTATTATAACTTTTAGAGCGCCGATTTCGGGAAGGAAATCATCATGATAAAATTCAATAAAATTTTCGTCAGGTCTTATTATTAACGCTAAACCAATAGGTTGTTTACCTAGACCCTCTTCCGAAGGGGCTAAAGGTGCCATTAGAGGATCTCTACTATAATTTAGCATAGCCAGGAATATCAATCCCATTGCAAATACATCGACAGAATCCGAATACGTTTGATCAACTTGATATAACTCAGGAGCCCAAAAACATGGAGTTCCGCCCCGAGTTTCGAATAAACTTTTCCCTGTAGTTTTCCATTCTTTGCCACAGCCAAAGTCTGAAAGTTTAAAAATCGTTTCTCCATTTCCATCAGTTGTAACAAGCATATTTACGGGTTTAATATCTCTGTGAATAAAGTTATTTTTATGCAGATGGGCCATTCCTTCAGCTAACTGCAGCATAATTTGCTGTTGATGTTTTATTGTAAATTTACCACCTTTAGATTGATAATATTTAGGTAAATCTCCAAGGTTACAGTATTCAAAAATTAGTTTTAAAGAATATTCATCTGTGACTATGCCGAAAATCTCTAGGATATTTCTATGCAGTGGAATTTTGTAATGTAAAAGAGCTTCTTCTCTTGCAATATCCAAATCTTCAGCGTCATTTATATTAAAAATCTTTAATGCCTTCGTTTCGTTAGTGTTGAGATCTTGACATTTATAAACAATTCCAAATGATCCTTGTCCCAAGTATTCTTGAATCTTGATGGTTGTATCTTTGCATGTTACAGTCTTTCCAATTTCGGCTTTTATCAAAGAATTCATCATTTTGAAGAATTACCGTTAAAACTGATCGAAGACGTTTAATATGATTGCAAAATGAAAGTAAAAAATGGCGCGTTTCTATTTTCATTTTACTACTTGTGTCAGTCATTTATAAAAATATCACGAATTGAATATATTTATATATTTAAGCCTATATGAATGAAATAAATAGATTTATTTAAATGTTACAACGATTAGAAGCAAATACTTCTATACAGAGAACAACAATAAATCGACTACATGGACATGATAGGCTCATAGTTGTTTACAAGTTTGTAGCACATTCTGTAGTTTTGTTGGATTCTCCTACAGTAAAGCTCACTAAGCGATGATCTTCACTTTGATCGGGTTCAGGTAGAGGATCTTCGTCAAAAACTTCAGGAAATTCTTCAACTTCGATGTTAGCTCCAGGGGCAAATTGATGAGCGATTTCCTCAAATGTTTTATTTCTAGTTTCCGGAACGAGACAGTAAACGAAAATCAAAAATAACACCATAAGACCAAGGAAGAGTAGGAAAGTGAAATGTTTCAATTCTTTTTGTATGCTCTCGAACGAAATTGCTATGATAAACGTGCCAAGCCAATTGACAAAGCCCGCTAAACTCATTGCCAATGGTCGAGGACCTTGTCGAAATAGTTCTGCACCTATCATTTGCGGAATTGGTCCTAAACCAACCGCAAAACCAATAACATAAATAATCACACAAACTACCGCTACTATAGACAGCCATTCAGCTTTTTTCTGTCAAGGAAAATAAGGAAAATGAAAGTAAAGAGATATTTGTGGATGAATCATACCTGGAAGTTTTGCGCAACAGTTATTATAGCAAGATCAAATATCATTACTATCATTGGATATAGAAGAAGAGCCCTTCGACCAGCTATATCCATTATAGGTATCTATACAAATAAAAAATGAAAGGAATATTAATACAATTTTTAATTAGATGAGTTATTTTTGAATATTCACCGCAATAATTGTCATAAGGACATTTACGGCATTTGTTCCAATTACCGCATAAGGGATATGGTTTGCAGAAACACCTGCCTCGTTAAAAATTCCATTTGAATAGAAGAATATCTACGAATGGTCATATAGTTTAATGGAAAGAATAACGGGAAAACATCTTGCAACAAACCGCATTAATTCCTGAAAATTGCTGTACAACTTGCAAGCAACAAGCAATTAACAGTGGCATCCTAAGAGCAGGATTCAAAAAAAGCTTTTTTAAAGTGTAAACTTCCGTTTTAGTACTTTTTGAATCAGATTGCTCAGTATCCATTTCTTCAATGTCAGTTGTAATATCTTTTCTATTTCGAAAGAATCTTAAAGCCTTTGAAGCCAATTCTCTTTCATTTTTTATCAATAATAAGTATCTTGGACTTTCTGGCAAGAATGGGAGAATAGCTAAGCATAATAGTGGAGGGATCGCATTAATACTGAGAACATAGGGCCAAAGTTTTTCTGTGCCTAATATTCCTTCTATTCCGAATATGCTAGCTGCTAAAATACCTATTGTAATGAAAAGTTGATGTAGTGTACCGAATGCTCCTCTATAGTTAAAAGGGCAAATTTCCGAAAGGTACATTGGTGCTAAGGACGTGGAGAGACCTGAGTGAACTCCCACAAGTACTCGACCCACCATCAGCAACTCGGGGGTCCTACTTATTACGGGAAAAGTTGATATAATTGCTCCCAAAATAGCAAAAATATAACTCAATAGGATAGCTTTTTTTCGTCCAATTTTATCAGCTATAAATCCAGCCGAAAAAGCCCCTATCATGCCACCAGGAAGGAAAAGAGCAGTTGTTAATGACCATAGAAAAGTCAGGGAAGCATCTGATATTGGTTGATTATTTCTTTCCACGTATGTTTCATTATAGAAACTTTTTATAAGCTGCAGCATAAAAACAATAATTTATGACCTTAGAGGAAATTAAAAAGTGGAAAAAAGTTTATAATTTACGGGTGAGATCTGGTTCAAAGCTCCAATATTGTATCCAAAAAGGAAGCTAGATCCAAAAACTATAACGAAAGCTGTTACGCAGAGGTTAAGGGTTATTCCCTAAAAAAAAAACATAAGAATTAATATTAGGCCTATATATGGCAACAGTATGTTTTATTAAATACCGATGCCAATTCTGGTTTTAGGTTATCGTGATACTCAGATCTTGTCACTTGTAAACTGCCTTTGCTAGCCACAGATGATATTTTGCTAGCAGTTCGATCAAAAGGCTTATCAGTGGTTTCTGTAGAGCTATATTGAGTAATCCTGTCAGCTATATATAACTTCACGAAATCTCAACTAACGAACCTTACTCTTCTATACAAACTACTTCTAGAGGATCTACGTTTGGAAGAACAGGAACTGTCCGTGCTTTTTTGACTAACATTACGCAATTTCTTTTTTGGTTCATTTTCTTTAATGCTGTCACCCTAAAAATAAAAAGTAAAAAAAAAAATATAATAAATTATTGATTAATTAATCCTTTAGACATATAGCAGCTCTAGATGTAATTATTTATTATATTTGGCAAATGACTATAAAATATGATATTCTTACATCTGACATCATTTTCTCTTTAGCCGAATCGTCCATGGTGAATATTTTCGTTTTTTTTTCTAATCAATAAGCTAAGATAGGTATTCTTGTAAATTCTTTTCCAAATGAGACACTTCTTTGTTTATCTATAAACATTTATTTACCGTATTTAAATCGGTTATAAAGGTTAAAATAGCATGTATACAATTTTTAAAATAGTGAAATAGGGGATCTAACCCAAAGTAATCCCTATTCAACTATTTCTTAAGCAATTTATTATGCAAATTAATCTAAAAAATTATGCTATAAACGTTACGAATTTGAAAAGTTTGATAAACGATAGAATATACCTATTTACTAACAATTTGAGTATTCTCTGACGCTCTAAGAAAGAAATTAATACGCCCTTGCATTGAAGGGGCAACTCAAGGTCAAGGACTATACTGCAATTCTGAAGTTAGCTGCAATGTTGTACCCTAGTGCCATCTGTAGTAAGGGAAAAGTATATAATCCAGATACGAATAGTGGCAATATACTGTATATATGAGAAATCAGTATGTAAATTAAATGTATATATAAATACCAAAACACGTAGCGGTCTAAATTTCCTTGGCTAAAGTGACATCCACACTGTAATTCACAGTTGAGTAACTTTCCCAGGTTGTTGACAGTTTTCAGATTGTTTACTTTAAGGTGACCTTCAATTAAGCCACGAATAGAGTCCTTTGACAGATTCAAAACTATAGTAGAAATAATTATTATCCCATACTTTCGAGTATAGGTCTTCTACTTTAGGTTGGCCAGAGCATAATCTAATTTATATTAAAAAAAGAAAATATTATTAAAATAAGATGTTGAAATTAATAGTATTAAGACGTAAATGATCCAATTCCAAGTCCAAATGAGTAGATAAAGAGGAGGAGACGTTTTTAACAACTTCATCTTTTTAATTATACCTATGGTAATGAGAAAAGTATTCTATTTCTTGACAGTAAACTCTTACGGAAATTTTATCCTGCTGGAACTTGGTAAACTGTCGTTATTTTACCATTTTATTTTTCTATATTTCCTCTGGGAAGGTCTTCACTCAAATCCAGAAATAAACTTGAAGGAGCTGTCATTGTAATAGGACATTATCTTTTTTTGTAATAAACGGTGAAGAGATTACAAACCTTTTATTGTAGATAAAATGGTGATAGTTCTTTTATTGACACAAGAACATAAGAATATTTGAATTTTCAATTCTAAAATAAATTTTCAGATTGATTTCTTGGCTGTAAAATAAATCGTTTCGAAACTGGTGCTCATTTCACTCTTGGTTTAGCTTTTGAGGTAGGATTTTGACGGTTGGCCGACTATTTAATCTTAGATTATACCCTAGATCTGGTAATAGTTAGCAACAATATTATTTCAGCGTGAAGTGAAGACCTTATGTACGAGCTTCAGTTCAGGAAATTACTGCCTAGCTTTGTAAATTCCGAAGAAATAAAAAGACAACAATTGATTTTTAACATCTTATAAACTGTGTACTTTTTAAGATTGTGTCACGAATTAACAGAAAGAGCAACACATATTTAATAGTTTTTAGCAACTCTTTAATTTATGGATTAACCTTTTCAAAGTACTTCAATTTTTCTTGTGGATTTGGGATGATGGTATCCGAACCAGGCTTCCACCCAACTGGGCAAACTTCTCCATGTTGATCGGTATATTGGAAGGCCTGTACCAAACGAAGAGTTTCATCAACAGATCTTCCGACTGGGAGATCGTTCATCGTTATTTGTCTCAAAATTCCTTTATTGTCGACAATGAAAAGCCCTCTTAAAGTGTGACCTGCATCTTCAAGGTAAACTCCATAGTCTTTTGAGATTTTGTGGGTAAGATCCGACAGTAATGGAATGTTCATTGGACCCAATCCACCTTGATTTCTTGGGGTGTTAATCCAAGCCAAATGTGTAAACTGGGAATCAATTGAGACTCCAACAACTTCAGCACCGATCTTTCTAAATTCATCAGCTCTATCACTGAAGGCAATTATCTCGGTTGGGCAGACAAATGTGCTGTAATTCAAAACGAAAAGTTATGAGCGAGTATATAAGAATATTCTATAAAAGAGAATTACATAAATTATTCTAGTTCGTTGGATAAAAATCGCTACATCCATTAAATAATAATGTGTGCGTATTGACTATGTTGAAGGGGATATTTTTGACCTTTATACACCATTTAAGATTCTTTCTAATATTAATCCTTTAAAGCTCGTTCGGGCAAGCACATACACCACTCAATTTTGCACGTACACAGATAAATAACTTAAAAAACTTACAAATCCAAAGGATAGAAAAAGAAAACCAAATATTTTCCTTTATAATCAGACAATTTTAATTCTTTAAATTCACCATTTACAACGGCTGTGCCTTCCCATGCTGGGGCCGGTTTTTGAACTGCAAAAGTAACTTGTCATTACATTTCTAATGGAGCCGGTGAAAAAATAAACTTACTTTGAGCTTTGCTCCAATGTAAAGAATGTCCAGAAGCTTTGGCTTGGGCTGGATATACTTCTCCTCCAGCATAGGATCGACAACTGCCCTCATCCTCAGCGAAGACCAGGGCAGATAAGAAAACAACCGAAAAGATCTTGATTGACAACATTACACGTTGCAGTATCACCAGGGTATGAAGAAGACATATTAGAAACTTTAGTTAGTTTACCTCTACCTAATAAAATATAATACCGCCATATCTAAAAAGTAGATCAATTTATATCTAATTTCGAAATTTTGGTATGGTACAGTCTTTCAGTACCAAAACTAGAGATATAATTTGTACGCGGAGCACTAGACCGTTCTTCGAACATTTTATTCGGCGCGAATTTGTTCTTTCGTTCTGAAAATAAAATTCATTTGGAATTTCTTGATTATTATCGAAAAACAAGCAATATACTATAAAGGACAATATGAAATTTCAAGACTGCCTTCATTGTATGAAATGTTATGAACAGCCGAATACTGTTCAATTACACGTGTTTGAATGTGGACATTTATATTGTGAACGTTGCAAAGATTATGGTTGGAAAGAGTATATTACGAATATCTTGTAAAAAATTCTTCATTCGCTTTTTTTTCACATTTTTGTATTGAATTTTCAGTAAAGCAATCTAAATGTCTTATCTGTGATAAGAAAATATCCCATGCGCGAACAATTACCAAGGAACTGAAGGTATTTTGTCAAAGAAGATTACACATAATACAATCTAATTTCATTAGAATTTATCTAATTCATAGAATGATCCTGTTCTATCCGATTATTTTTTTATGGATACAAAGCACGAATTAAAGAAGATTGTGCAATCATTCAATCAACTAAACAAGTCTTTAACAAAAGTAGAGTTTAAATTATTCCAAAAGTTAACTTTATTATTTGTTAACTTGAGATTTTTTCAAGATATTGGAAGTAGAATCTTTTCAAGTATCCCATACCTCTCACTTTACTAACAAGTGCCGACAAGATGCAGTTTGTTTCAAATTTTATTTCTGGACACTTTGTTGTTTATCTGAAAGTATTCTTTTTAGCTACGAGCAGCTGAGGATAAAGATAAAATATCAGCTTACACAAAAGAATTTGAAAAGTAAAGAACAATATTTGAAAAAATAAATTGCGTGTCTAATTTATAGTTTTCCTTTTGATCAAAATAGAATGAAAACCCAAATGAACATCATGTATTCTAAAATGCAATCTCAGGAGAAAAAATTGTTGGCTCAATATGAAGAACTTAAAGTACGAAATTGAAATTATATTTCTTAAAACCAACTAAGCATTTGCAGTTTGTCTTCCATTAGCGAATCTCAAACGACGAGAATAAGAAATCGAAAACTCTATTAACAGAACAAGATCGGTGAATTAAATGAAATGTTTTAATTTTTCAAGATTTCAATTAAACTTCGATAAATTTACAGTCAAATTAAACGTTTGACCGATGAGCTGGTATTTTTAAGAAATGAGAATCAACAGTATAAAGGATTAATGTCTGGAGTGGTTTGCTAAATAATTAATTTTAAGCCTGTCTGTTTATTTTAACTGAAGATCAATGTGTGTTTTATCAGTTTACACGTCTGTCTCCGGAAGCCGCTGCTGTTGTTAAAGAAAAATTTAAGCAGAAACTGACGCCGAATCAACAAGTGAGATCATAAAATACATCCATACTAATATGCTATAGTAGAGAAGATAGGGGGAATAGATAGGACACAAATTCTCCCAATTGGGAAGATTGAAAGATTAATTATTTTTACTTCTAAACTTATGCAAAATATTATTTGAAATTAGAAACAATCCTCAAGGAGTCAAAAGACGCCATCTTCCGATCAAGTAGGAGCGGAAAGTGCTCTTGGATTAAGTCGGCGTATGACACCTAGAAATAGTCCTTTTGGAGTCATAATGTTTGTATCATTAATTAAAGATGCTATAAAAATATTTGTTGTTAAATAGGGATACAAAGGATCCAATAACCGGGTTTGGAGCTCTTGGCGGGGGAGATGGTTCTAAACACTCAGAGGTTTGCTTGCAAATGGAATTTATATTTCTTTAATCAATATATTAAATTTTCAGACATTACCATATAGAACCCCTTCTAGAATAGGATTTCAGTTCAATCCGTAAGTTTTTGTATGGCTATTTCATTTTCTTAAACCATGAAACAATACTATTTCAGGAGTAGCAGTACGAACTATCAAAAGGGTAATTAGAATTTCTACAAATAACTCTTAAAATATAATAAAATATTTCTAAATTAGCAACAGGACCAGATACAGCCCTCCACGAATCGTTAGTATATACAAATAATTTTGATGAGAAATCGAAAAGTTTATTTCTTTCAGACCATTTCAGAGGTTTCCAAATTTTTTCACTCTTACAACTAAATAAACAAACTATTGGCAAAGTAATGCAAATGATTGACCACGACGCATAAAAGACAGACGGAAATGACTGTAGAAAGTTCTTAGACAGTTTTTACAAAAAACTTTTAGTTTCAATATATGCTAATAGATAGCACTTTATGAGCATCATAATTATTTAACTCGTTTGTACTAATGTACGGAAAATTCATGATAATGGCTTTATTTCTACGTGATTAAAAGCAAACTTAACATAAAACAAAAGTTTTATACGAGCTATTCACTGTAAAAAGCTTTTCACCAATAAAATCACATAAAATTATACTAGGTAGAGACCATTACAAAAGCTCATAATAAGTTTATAATACCTCTCTAGCCAAGAGCAAACACTTGGCGTGATACGAAATATTTCTTTGCCCTTCAGAATTTTTATGAAAGAAACAAAAGATCAATAGAACAATGTACCTGTCTTTGCTCTTAGAAAAGGCTTATGCAATTATTAGATATTTTAAGATTAGAGAGAAATTCAGGACAAGTTACGAATAATTCATAAAATTGAACGTTTGTAATTAGGTATTGTGTTATGAGCTAGTTGTCATTATCGGGCTGATAAGCATGTTTCCAAATATGTGCGAAGCAAACCGATGAATGAAATCTAAAAAATAACAATAATGGGGACGAAACATTCAAAACAATCAACCACATAGTTTGACCGATTACTTTGGAGACAGTTTCCATTTGTAATTCTTTTGCCTCAAAACTACGTGAGGCCCATAGAGCAACATTTCCCAGTAAAATAAATGTAATCGCTTGCCTTCCAGGCTTTTCCTCCCTATCCTCTGGATTTTTACAAACAACTCTAAGACCAATTGGTATGATAAGACTCTGGAAAATTGATTGGCTGATAGAAAGTAGAGAAGATACAATGCTTAGAACCGGTAACAAACTATAGCCATTATCACGAATATAAATTGAATTCGAACCAGCGATTACAAACTCCAATATAAAATTTCCTGCCAAGCCTATTAGCAGCAGAACATCATCTACTGTTGGGGCTGAAATTTTGTGGCTAAACTTCCATAGATTATAAATCGCTATAAAGCAACCTATAAACAAGAACAAATGACTGAGAATATCTGAGTAGTAAAATACCTTCATTGCCGAAGCTGTTTTATCTCTAAGTAAATAATGATGAAAAACAATAATACTAACAACCGAACCGGTGATATGTATAACGCCTAGAAAGAGGCCTGTGTGAGATTTTTCTAATAAGCTATTTCGCTTTCTTACTAAATTCTCGTTGTTGATGCTGTTGTTGTTGTTATTATTGTTATTACTGTTGTTGTTATTTGAGGGAGAGAGGGTTCGTTGGCAGCTTCCGGACCCAAGACGATCCTTAGCTAATGACTTTTCTAAAAGCCTTATATACATACAAATAAAAATCGCCATTGCAATTAAACTATACTCAAGGACGAAAGGGAAAAGAAAAGGAATGATCTTTGATACATAATAATCTCTCCATTCGGAATTTCCACAATCTGTAGTGATATTGCCTTTTAAGGACTGGTTCATTTTATGACTTTCATGCTGAAAGGCTTCGTAAATTTCGTTCACTAGGGCTCTCAACCAAACACAAATATTCGTGCAAATCACGTGACTAAACCCCATTATGGTGATGGGAAGATTTCTTGTTATTTCGGGCTGTTGTAAAAAGAATGGCAAATGGAAGCAGGTGAGTAATTTTAGAGTAATTTTAATGTCAATTTCAACAGAAATAACAACTAAAAATTCACTTATTTACCATTGAATGCTTAAAGATGAAGAAGGTCTCTGTTAGTAGATAACCCATTCTAAAGAAGTATGTATAGACCGTTCCAAGACTTTTACACCCGTCTTCATTCTGACTGAATGTATATTCAATTTCAAGAGCCGAGTAAGCAATATTTCCGACACAGAAAGCTTTTTAGGGTAAAAAAGAACATGATCTGTTTATTTTTTTTTATTTCCATTTACTTGATTAAATATTCAAATATTTTTTTATAATTCATGAATATCATCTTAATACCTAAGGCTCCAAGTCTTAAGTAGAAATTTGTTCCACTGTGAAGATCATTCCAGCGATGCTCTATATGAACGACAGTTGTACTGTTGATTGAAACCCTCGCCGGACGAGGGTCCCCACTAGGTCCGTCTCCTTTTATTAGATACTTTAGAAATATTCGAGCGTTGGGTTCTTTAACTCTTTTTGGTTCAACAATAAAGAAGTGGCAGTAGACTAAGAATATTGTAGCAATAACGTAAAGGTAGACGAGAAAGATCTTGTGAAGAATAACTATTTAGTAAAATTGTATGACGAAAATATTTTTGTTATTTTTTACCCCAACGGGAATATTTTTGCCCCAAGTTCTTGTAGAAATCTCGACAACAGGAAAGCCTATACCCAATGTGATAAGGCATAAACCGTATATAAAGCTTATTAGACAGATGAGAGTCAAAATTGGGCTGTAAATAGGCATAAAAAAAACAAATATTACACTTTTCTTTTCGCTAACTAAAGGTTACATAATTTCACGGCTAACTTACCGGTCGTTGGTGTTATCAATTGGAATGTTCATAGCATATTCCCTTGAGTTTTCACCAACTACTATGTCTTGATTTTCCGTGGTACTGTCAAAAGTTACTTCATGATTTTCACCTTCATCTTCATAATTACCCGATCTCGTTCTACGAAATATTCCTCTATCTTTCAAAACGATACTAGATGCCATTTAAAATATCTTTATTCGATTTCAACAAGTTTCAAAATTAAAAGAAAAAACGAAAGAGTTAAAAGTCTATTAATCAGGAAATGATCAATCAATTCTATGTCCCTTCTAGCACATTGAAAAATAGGGCGAACGATAGTCCTTTAGTGTTAAATACATATAGATATATAGGCCTAATGATTCAGAATAAAAGAGAAAAAAAAACAATTCTAACGATTAAAAAACGTTAGAGATTGTTAATATATATTATATGCTGTATATATTTACAGATATATTAAAAAAGAAGGAAATGAAGGGTGTTGAAGGAAAGAGAAGAGGGAGCAACGAGCGAATTGATGGAATAGTTGTTGGGTAGTAATAAATAAAAAAGAAATGAATTGTTCTCTTTCCTCACATTGTACTTAGGAGTTTTTATATTTATATTTTTTAAAACATTTTAATGGTATTTGAACAACTAATTTGAACAATTACTCTCCTTTTTCTTCATACAAATTCCAATAAAGGTAAAGCAATTTGCTTAAAAGTTTATTACGTTTGCTAATAAAAAAAAGTTTTTTTTCTTTTTTTTTTCTAAAATGGTGGAAAATTTTTATGATTTAGTCTCTCGTTTTTTTTTAAAGAATGTTTATTACAACCAGTTCGCGCAGGGTGACGGAGAGAGAGAAAGAGAGAGGACGAGGGGAGGAGGGGAGGGGGTAAGCGCCATCTATAGTCCTGTGATTACCACGTATAATCCCGTTTAAGGATAGTAAAAAATAAACAAAAGCGGATATATTAAAGTCGATCGATTTCTTCCAAACAAACTCCGTACTCGTCCACTAACCAGTTGAAATAATAGAGAATTACTTGTCACCGGTAACGTAAAGAGAAAAAATAGATAGTTTATTTTTTTTCGCAGCACAATCATTTTACACACTCATTCAGTCTGTGGCTCTCGTTCTCTGTCTATCTGTCTGTCTCTCTCTTCTTTCATTTACTCTCCTTCCCCCCTCCGCCCTCCTTCTCTCTCTCTCTCTCTCTCTCTCTCTCTCTCTCTCTCTCTACGACTTGTGCGCTCTCTCTCTCTCTCTCTCTCTCTCTCTGTAACTCTTTTACACCTTCAACTCTGTTCTGCCGCCTACATTGCCTACAATTGACCAGGGCCGCATTCAAGTTGGCGAGCAGGGCGCCATATCAGCGCAGACAGTGGCAGAGATTTGTTGCAAATTATACAAGAGAAATATTTTTTACCCTACTGCTCTCGGAGCCTTTTCAAAGGAAGAACAATTATGGGATGTTTACAAAGTAAGGCGTCGGATAAGGGATTTAAAGATCCACCAGCCAAACAGCTGGATTCTCGTTTACCCTTTGAAAATTATAGGCAGTTCTTTAACTTTAAAAATTCTTGGAAAACTGTAGCAAGGAAAACGGATGCGTGTGCTCAGGAGAATATGTTACTGTAAGATTTTATTTGTCTATTTTTGTTTCTTATTCTTTTTATTTTTGCTTTTCGATTCGTTTCGTATCGATTTAGGCGTATAAGACATTAGAAGAAATCCAATTCGATCTGACAGTTTCGAGTGCTAAAGGTATTTTGCAGCCAATCAATTAAAAGCGTTTTTTCCCTACGTAGAAGAATTTTAACGAGCCACATTCCATTTTATAGGCTTAGAAGTTTCTTTTCACTCTGACGAAAACAAAAACAAACACCCATACCCGATCAGTCTCTTTAGATAAAGTCGGATTAGGAGACTACGTCGTTAATCTATAATTAATATAACGTACAGTAAAGTTTTCTATGTACGTTTCCAATAGTCACTATTGACCTTACTGTTTATATTCATATGACTTTTTTGTTGAGCAGTTATAAATCGGGTAATTAGCCATAGACTAGACAGGAAAAGAAAGTTCTTGGGTCCTAAAGCGATCCTATGAACTTTTTCAATTAATCTTCGTGATATTCCGTTGATCGATAATCTTTATAATAAATTTTCTTTTTTCTATTCATTTTATATATTCAAAGCTTAATATCTAAATATTAAATGCTAATCAAACAGCTTTTTTGAACGCTTCCCTCAACACAAAGCTTTGCACACGGATTTAGCGAATTTATCTGAGGAACAATTGAAAATGAGTATGGCTTTTCAAAATCAATCAGAAGCAATCTTTAATCTATTCGACGATGTTCTTCAAAAATGTGATAATAACGTCGACGGGGCAATTAGAGATTGTTTAGTTGCGGGAGAAAAACATAAACATATCCCTGGATTTCAACCAGAATATTTTAAAGTATTTATTTATATTTTCAAAATAGGCACTACAACTTAATAACTTTCTCTTCTCCTTTCATTATTCAGGATATGGAAGATACGTTTCTACAAGCTTGCCGAACTGCTTTAGAAGACAGATTCTCAGAGGCAACTGAGCAAAACTTTAAACATTTCTACGGCTTCGTCACCCAACAAATGTGCAGAGCTTTGGGATCTGAGAATAATCGTATTTGAACTTTGTTAATGAAACATTAATATATAAATTCTGTTTTAAAAACAAAATACTATGGAGAAATTGAAGATAGTGGGAAGGGATGAGGGATTTGTGGGAAACTTCAATTGCTCTTCTGTCTTTTTCTTCCTTAGTTTGAAGGGAATGAAGGATTAGGGAAGGGGCTAAAATATACTGCAGGATTTCGCAGACGACGTCTACCTACTATTCTATATTTGATATAAAACTTTGAAATGTTTTTCTCTTTCTCTCTTTTTCTTCTTCTTCTCTCTCTCTCTTTTCATTACCCAGCCGTGACTATAATAATTTAATTAGGAGTTATTTATATATTTATATACGAATATATACAAACACACGGATTTCTTCTACTGGAAAAATTCTTAGTAAAAGAAGAAGAAGAAGAAGAAGAAAAAGAAAAGAAGAATGATTCGTTATAAAGGAGAAACTAGCTAAATTTTTCGTTTTCTTAGAAAGTTTGTAAAGTGAAATTGAGTAGGCTAACGAAAGGATATTGATAAGAAACGGGCGATAATGAAATGTTAAATCAGCAAAAATTGGAAAAACACAAAGTGGGTGGACGTAATGAATTTAGTTTCTGTCAACTATGTGTCCCTTTTTTATATTTTTTGCCCCTCCCACTGTCTTTCTTTCCTTGCCCACTCCTTCGTTTTGGATACGTTAACGAGCAACCAGTAGTTTTAACTTCCGGTCTTGGAAACATTTATTTTCTCTTCTAAAAACAAATATTCCTTCCTCCTTTTCATTCAGTAATTAAGAATAGGAAGCAATGCAAAAGTACTCATCTACTTAACTAACAATCTTTGCAGTATAAATATAAATAAAAACGTATAAATATCAAAAGAATTGCGTGCAGCGAAGCCTTTCTTGTCTTTTATATCTTCTACGTTCTCAATTGTCTCTTCATTTGAAGGTATTTCATTATTATTAATAATAATCTCAAGGGGACCTTCATCCAAAAAATATAAATTGATTCCAGATGACGCTAGTGACACACTTCTCTTCTTTCTCGTTTTAGAGCAGGACCTGTTAAAATTCAAATAACTTTAATGGGAAACAGGACATTGTTTCCGCCCCTGCTAAAATCATTAATTCGTGTAATTTTGAGTTAGTTTTCCATATGTGCAAACAAAAAATTAATACGAGAGAAGATAAGTTAATAGTGGATAATGATAGTGATGCTGATAACGACTATTAAAATTGTAGTATATAATATCGATTATAATAATGACAATAAGAAGAGAAAGAAATCTTTCTTCTTTTCATAGTGATGTACATTAGAGAGTAGAAGCGAAGGGATAAATGTGGAATAGAGAAGGTTTGATAAGAGGAAGCTGCCCTTTTTTTTTTTATAAATATACTCTATATGCGAATAAATGATTTTCTCACAAGCAAAAACAAGCTATATCTGTTTAGGTAGAGTGAAACAAACCTATCGCAGAAATCATTCTTCTCATCCTGTTTACAAACAACAGCTTGGCAGTGAAGAAAAACTTCTGTATAATTGTTGCCAAAAAACTTGAATGATTGGAATCTAAAGCCAAAGAAAGTCGAATTATAAGGAAAATAGGTCACTGAAGATTCGGCTTTACATCTGTTCAAGCGGAAAAAAGAACGGTAAGATATGATTAGAAGTTGATTGAAAATTTTAAACACTATTGGATTAATAAACGACATGTTCATACTTGTTTTTAATAAAATCGTAAGAGGGAGTTGTATTCGGATCTTTTGTAGGCGTTGCCTTACATTCAGGAACTACAATCTTGAGAGTTCCATCAATCGTAACTAATCTTATTCCAACATACAAAAAGTCACCGAGTGTTAAACGAGCCGGAAATTGTGTTATCGGATTACTTATATCGTTGTTCATGTATAGAAGCATTTGAACGTTAAACTTTCCATCTCCAAACTGCGGCTTAGCCGTCTGTTTTTGTGGTAGAAAATCTTTATCGGCGTCACTACGCCTAGGAATTACGCAATGAACATCTATAAGATATTGGGTTGTACGAGTGATAACACTGGATTCGGGAGGCACGTAATATCTAACTTGGTTTGAATAGATAATATGAGTATCGTTGGTTTCCGATTTAGTATCACATCCAATAAAGGGTATTAATATTGAAACACTCGAACTGTCCTCTCTCTTATTCACACCGCAATTGTTGGAATTTGCTGAAGATACACCTAAATTATCCATACCCAATCTTGGTTCCTCCGCTCTCGAGAAGATTGCAGCAATCTTCTCATCGTCACAATCTATGCGAGGTGTTGGCGGAGGAGGCGGCGTTGGTGTATCTCTTAGACAGGAAACACTTGCCGCCTCCACTAATGAACAATCATGGGGAGTTGTTTTTCGCCTGCAATCTTGAAGTCGTTGTTCGTCACCAACACAACTTACGTCATCGAAGTCTATAGGCGTTGTAGCGTTTCCATATTCCCCACCCATATGGGCACGCGCGTATGATGGTCTATAAAAGTGAAGGGGAGGAAGATATACAGTATATATATATATAATAATAATATAGAATGAATGAAGCTTACTCATAGCAGAGCATTTTACAAACAACCTGGGCGTCTTGAATGCCCCAGTTATCGTCGCAAACCGATCTCCAACCTTGGCCTAGTAAGACCTCAACTCGTCCTTCTGCTAGACTACTACCACCAACAAGTCGAACGGAATTATCGGCAATACCTGAGATGAATGCGAAATGCAATAAGTAGCTGATTTACTAATTGGTAACTTACAATTAGCAATCGTTGGCGGTCTCTTTGGAGTAGTTGGTGCGGGCGTGGTTGAAGGTGGCCGAGTCGTTTCCTTCACTCCTAAGCATATAACGCCCGCATCTTGCGAATGATCGCAATTAGAATTACCCCATCCAATAAATCTACAGTTCAGAATAGTACTTTCATCTCCTTCGCACTCTACGTTATCTAACCAAATCGGACCTGTAGCGGGTGTTATTCTTTGTACTAAATCCCTAGACATTGCCACTGAATAACCCCTAAGTAGGTAGGAAGAAAGGTAAAAGGTCAATAATAAGATAGCTTTTAATTGAAATGAAAAGAAATAACAAACAAACCTATAACCCAGCATTTTACAAATAACAGAAGCTTCTGCATTATCCCAATTATCATCGCAAATCGTTCCCCATTGATTATCGTAAAATACCTCCACTCTACCGAGATTTTCCGCCTCTCGTAATCTAACTTTAAAATTAGCCGTCTTCGATGGTGTAACTGTTTATTGATTTCAACGATTGATTTTACTTTTTTTCTTTTTAAAAAAAAAATCGTTATTCATTTGATTGATCATACCTTGAGCTTTTGTTGAAGTCATTAAGCATAGGGAAGAGAGGGCGGCGAAGAACGGAACGAGCATTATTATAGTTGTACAAAACTTAAGCTGCTTAACAAAGTACTATTAGTTAAGAGAATTGAATAAGTTATTATGTAACACTTACTTTGAACGCAATCAAGTATGCATCACTTAATTATTTACAGAGAAAAAAGGGAGGCGGTTGACACTGTACCCGCCAATACCGTCTCTAAGGCAACGGGTCAACAACGCATGCGCGCGCCAAGGTATGAAGAAAAAAAAAACATGGAATGGCGCGACCATCGATTATCCAAAGAATTTAGCCTATAGAAAAGAAAAAGGGCTATTTAATAAAATAATATAATCTAGAAAATATTTACAAATCGCATATACTCGGTGGACAAACAGAGTTTATTTATTTTACTTATCTAAAAATCTAGTAAAGGTGAGTTTAAATATTCTCAATTTTCTACCTTGTTTGCCTCTAATAAAAAAAAACAACTAATGTTTATATTTGCAGGTTCGGACACGTGTTTATGATAACATTGATTTTCTTTAGTAATTTATAGTTCGTTTTCGAATCGAATCTGATTCGAAAACGCAAGAAATATGTATGACTCGATTAAACTTACTTCCCTTATTCTTTTGTTCTTTTTGATAATTGTGAAGATTTGTCAGGAAACTAAAGCAGGTAATTTATTCCCTTAACCCTTGAAATTTGATAGAGATGAATGAAGAACTATATTGCGCATATATATATATATATATACAGTATATATATTTATGTATTATGTATGTCTATAAGTGTGAAAGAGGGGGTGGAAGAGAGAGAAAAAAAGAATGACTCAAGTGAGAAGATTATGAATAATTGATAATGAAATATCTTTTCTTCTATTTTAAAGCGTTTATTAAAAATTTGCAGAAAATTGCGATATTGGTAGATTTTTCGCAAATTGTTCAGGAATATGCCATTGTGCCGGGGGTAATGAAGGATGTGATCAGGAATACGGATGTATTAACTACCAATGCGCCAAAGGTTGGATGAATCCGCCCCATTGTCAAACACGTAAATAAAAAGTTCCTTTTTAAAAATGTTGTATTGATTAATTGATGAGAGAGATTTTAAATTCATTGAAAATAGCTTGTCCGCAAGGCTTGTACGGTAAAAATTGCAAAGAGGAGTGCCACTGCCCCATTAACGATACTTGTTCATCTATTAATGGTTTATGTACAACTTTTAAATGTCATCCAGAATGGACTGGACCTGGATGTAAAAATCGTCTGTATTATTAATAAAATATCAACAGATTTTTTACTTTACTTTCTAATATCGTTAATTAGGATTACCAGTTTTAAAAGAAGCTGCGAAATTGGTAAACGTAAGCTGTAAATCGTTAATAGTAAAGTGGTTACGCTGGGATAGATTTTCGGATATAGGAGATTTAAATGTCGTCGCCTATAGATTAGAAGAAAGAATAAATTTAACAGACTGGATTAACGTCAGTTACATTGAGAATTCTTCGAATCCTGAATATTTTTTTCGTAAGGAATTTCACAATGAATGGGGTAGTTATCAATGGAGAGTTATGTCAATCTGGGCGGATAATAACAAATACCAGGAAGGACTCTACTCTCCAAAGACGCTTCACTTTCAACCTAAAATTTGCGCTGGTAGAATTTATTTCTCTTATTTTAATCTAACACCATCTCTCTTTATACAAATTAAATATAATTATCTATTTTTAGAACCGACGGAGACAACCTTCGCCTCGATAAGTAGTTCGCCATCTAGCACGATTACAACAGCTTCCTTGTCACTGAGTACTCCATTATCTCGTAATTAGAATTTTGTTTATCTTATCTTTCATTAATAAATTAAAAGATTTTAATTAGATTTGTTCTCTTGATATTTATATAGCTCCGTCAATCATCAAATTTCTAAACTTACTTGTGGGTCAAAAACAAGTATTCGTTCAATGGAATGATGTTAAATTAGCTCAAGGTTATAATTTAAGCTACTGGAAGACTTCTACAGGCACATGCAGAAATAAGCTAGATGATACACCTACTACAATAGTCATTAACCAGTCGGAAACCTCTTATGAACTGAGTAAATTACATAAGTGGACCGTCTATAAATTAGAATTGTTCGCTTGGAATTCTGGAGGAAGAGGGAATAGTTTAATAAAAGAATTTCTAACACTTGAAGCAGGTTACCTAACTGGATTAATTAGTATTTAAAATTTGAATATCTAAGAAGCCTATTTTACTCTTGCAGCTCCATCTAGTAAGATCGACCTAGTCAAATATAGTGATAAGACAAATAGTTCGCTTACGTTCAACTGGATTGAACCAAGTTGCACTAGTAGAGGAGGCAATATAACAAGATACGATGTAATTGTTCAATCTCAAAAAGCTGCCGAAATAAGAGATGTATCTTACAGTCTAAAATACGAGGCTAAAAACTTAAAATCCTATACTGAATACACATTCAAGGTTCGTTACGTAAATAGCGCTGGTCAGAGTAACTATTCTGATCCAATATCAACATCGACACTTCAAAGTCCACCTAGTCAACCAACTAATCTCAGAATATTAGAGAGAACCATATCAACTATACTAATTAGTTGGGAGAAGCCCGACGAACCTAATGGAATTTTATCAGCCTATCAGTTACTTTTTTGGAAAAACGTTAAGCTCAAGTACCAAATTCCCGATATTGATGCCAAAATCCTACAATATCGTATTGAAGATCTTGAACCAAACAGCCAATATACAATATCTATAAAAGGAAAAACGGGTGGCGGATGGGGACGAGAGGCTCTTACTAGAGCCTTTACCGAACCTAAAAACCGTAAACCCGACGGACCTTCAATGATAAATATGGTTTTTAGAAATGAAACTTGTATAGAAATTCGTTGGACTGAACTACAAAACGAAAATGTCAACAATTATAGAGTTTGTATTATGATTATTATTATTAATATACTTTATCAATGTTATTCTTTAGGTTTTCAACCTAAAATAACCTATTTTCTTTTATTATTTGTACAACAGATAACTTACAAACCCATTATGAGCCATTCAGGTCCAATTGATTCAAATACTATTGAAAAGAACCAAAAGCTAGTGAAAAGCAGAATTTGTAGTTTATTACCGGCAACTCAATACGAATTTCAAGTGAGAACCATAACAGACTTTGGTTCTAGTCCTCCAACGGTTGCTCTATTTTGGACGGAGGTTCCTAAACCTTTAAAACCTTCTGAGCCTATTGTAAAAAACGTTGGAAAATCTAACGTAACAATCATTTTAAAACCAGTTATACAAAACGCTGGTCCTATTGCGGATTATTATATATCGGTAAAGAAAGTGGCGAATTCTTCGCGAATGAGAAGGGCTACTACGGATATTCCAGGATTGATAAAAGCTAGATTAAGGAGGGTACAACTCTTAAAGGATATAGAATTCTTGATTGGCGATAGTAAATTTTACAATAATTTCCATAATACACCACTGGATGAAGGTTCGACTTATGATATATACTTTGCTGTTACCAGCCAATTAGATGGTATTACAAAATCATCCTATTCAAAAGTTGAAAAATCCGTCACTCTCGGCTCAGTAACGGATTTACCAGTTGAAAAGGAGGCTAAAGCTTGGGAAACCGTTGTTCCTATATTTTTAGGAGTTTTCTTTGGTCTTGTTATTCTGGGTTTACTGATAGGTCTAATTGTTTGGCGTTATTGCGTATCGAGAAGAGATTATGGCTCATCCTTATCTAAATCAAAGAGGCAACCTTCTTGGTTGACATTGTATAATAAACAATATATGGAAAATCCTAAGTGGACAACAGTAACGGACGAACGTGTTGATAGAACAATCAGTTTTCAAGATATTAAAATTGAAAATTTAAAGCCAAATGATTATCTTCTTTTCTCGGATGAATTTCACAAACTTCCTCAAGGTCAACTTCATCCCTGTTCGGCAGCCCTAAAAAAAGCAAATAAAAGACGAAATCGTTGCGATCACATCCTTCCCTACGATCAGAATAGAGTTATTTTGAAATCGGATCCAAACGACGAATGTTCGGATTACGTTAATGCTAGTTGGGTCGATTCTTATTCGGAGAAAAAAGCTTTCATAGCAGCTCAGGGTCCGTTTAATTCAATGACGATTATTGATTTTTGGAGATTAATATATCAAACTCGGGCAAGAGTTATTGTAATGCTTACGAAAGTAGAAGAAGACGGTTTGGTTAAGTGCGCCTCCTATTGGCCAACGATTGTGGGAGTTTTCGAAAGCTATGGAAAGATAGAAGTAAAATTAAATCAACAAGAGACGTATGCTAATTACCTTATAAGAACGTTCGTTATACGAAAGGAGGAAGGCAAAGAACGGAAATTAGTTCACCTTCAATTCGTAGATTGGCCGGAACACGGCATTCCCAACGACCCAACTCCTTTTGTTGATTTTGTAGCCAAAGTGGAATTAGAGACTCCTATCAATAATTCCTATCCAATTGTTGTTCATTGCGGAACAGGAGTTAGTAGGACTGCTGTTTTTATTGCTGTTCAAAATTTAAGTAGCAGAGCTCGAAAGGAGGGCGTTATAAACGTTTATCAGGAAGTTAAAGCGTTACGTCATTCAAGATCCCTTATGGTTAGGACACTTAAGCAATACGAGTTTATTTACGACGTCCTCTACGAACTTTTGGTCTGTCCTAGTCCAAGAGTAGCCGGAGAGGATATCACAAATACTCTTCGTCAGCTTTCATCCACTAACCCATCCGTAAAAAAATCCTATATGAGGCAACAATTCGAAATATTGGAGCATACGACGCCAAAGATTGTTCTTCAGCATTCAACAGCCCGCCAACCTGACAATATTGAAAAGAACCGCTTTCCCACAATTGCTCCGTCCGACAGACATAGAGTTTATTTAAGAGCAAATCGTCCCACCGATTCCGATTACATTAACGCCCTCTGGATGGATTCTTATTCGGAAAAAAATAGGTTCATTATTACTCAAACTCCATTGGAAGCTACTTTAGAAGGATTTTGGTCAATGATATACGATTATGAAGTGAGAACTATAATTAACGCTGATAATGTTGATTTGGCAGACGCCTCTTGTTCTACATATTGGCCATCCAATAATAACCAAATAGTATTCGGAAATATTCGTGTGACGTCGTTTAATGTCACCGAATCTTCTTATTTTATAGCTCGAGATTTATTAATAGTCAACGATAATCAGCCTTCGCCAAGGCCGAGGGATGTCCGCCAATTACATTTAACATCATGGCATGGATATGAAAAGACGCCGGAAGTGGCGGACGTCATCTCGACAGTGATACGCGAAATAAAAGGATCGCCCTCACCTGTCGTTATTCATTGCGTTGATGGAACAACAAGAAGCGGTTTGATATGTGCAGTATCTAATCTTCTAGAACGATGTGAAAGAGACGGTGAAGTAGACGTATTTAACACAATCAGGTGCCTTAAGAGACGACGACCCCATTTTGTTGCTTCCGCCGAACAATATAGATTTTGTTATAAAGTACTACGTAATGCTATAGTCCCAAGTGAAACAGATCCGAAACTGGAAAGCGGATATGCTACGTTAGATCCAAGTAATAAAAAGACTGGCGACGTAGAGACTTTTTATAGTAAGCAGATGACGCGAGAGAAACGTCTTAAAGAAGCCAAAGAAGAAAAAGGACGAGTAATTACCGTTAGTGAGGATTGCACGAAAAATGCTACTCGAGTTTAGGCTCTTTTCCTGCCTCTTCTTCAACTGACAATATATTACTATCGAAGCAATAAAACCCCCTTATAAATTAATCATACAACTTGTTGTACACCTTCATTAAGGGACAAATGATTCGCATGTCTCCAGTCAAAATCCTTTATTAAAGGTTATATAGTCTGCAAAAGGAATTGTTTCATATTCATTCGCTAAATATCTTCTAGGAAAACTATAAAAAAAGATATCTTAGAATTGTATACATAAGATTTATAAATGAATATATAAGTGGTATATATAAAATACAGGAACACCAACAGCGTTCTCCTCCAGTTCGTCTACTTGTGTATAATGTGACAAACTAATTAGTTGTACTCTACTGCAACAAGATCAGTAAACGTTGCAAAGTAACTCATGAATATTTTGCAGTAAATTGTCTTTTTTCGGAGCGCTTTAAAATAGGTCTTATTCTAGTTAAGATAGTAGAAATTGACATTTAAGAATAGAATGGATAAAAAGCTCTACAGCAAAAAAATTTTTTTTTTTTGCGCGTCGACTCTCGACCATCTCTAGACGCCTTGATCGATAAAAACCTCACAGCTGCAATTCTGGCGGGAAGGGAACAGTTTGCTACGACGTCGCGTGGTTCCCTATTCCAGTTTATCTTATACAATAAATTATAAGCCAAGGCGGAACTTCGAACCAAGTATTGTATGTAAATGAGCCGATTCAGAAACGCCATTGCAGTTGGACGTCGACGATGAGCAAGCTGTTGAGTGTTTATTGCTCATTATTCGTTACTAGTAAGTTAATTTCAAGATGCATTTTTTCGTAGCTTAAACAAAACGTAGATCTTACAAAATGTAAACAATTTAAGTTGTAGGCCTAACCAATAAAAATATTATAAATAATTAAGAAGGAGCGTCTAAAGCGACAAAAAGAAAAAAAAAAAAAACCTGTACTTTGTATATAAATTGTATGTAATTGCATATATAAGAAGGAAAGCTTAGAAATTACTGAATAGAACGTAAATATTATCATCTGACTGGAAGGGTAAACTTTTCGTTGTATTTAAAGTTCATTTATAATAAATTGTTTGCCAATTTCCTCAGCCGGTTTAGTATCCATTGGACAAACCGCTAATATAAATATCCCAGTATCTACAGCTGGTGAGTAATACCTTATTAAAGGTTATAGTTGCTATATAATAAACTGTAATATCTTGTTTAATACCTATTAGTGCCTACCACTGATTCCGGAACTCCGATTTATTCCTTAAAGAACAAGGATGGGAAAATCTGCTTTAAGGCTGCTTTCGACTCGGAAGTTCATGTGAGGTTTAAGCCTGATAATACTACCAAGGTTCCATTCATTTATTATTTCCTAACATTTTCCTTATTATCATATAACATCCTAATGGTACGATAAGAAAAACATACATAAATACATACAGGAAAAGACCGTAGTAGTCAAAGTACCAGCTGATGCGAGCGCAACCGGTAAATGTGACGAATATAATTCTGCTTTGACTCTAAAATGGTCCAAATATTCTTTAAAATTTTCATTTCAAAAAGTAAGTTTAATTAATTAATTAATTAATTTTTTTATTAAAAAAAAAAGAATTCTATATTTTATAAGTATAATTACTTTTTTTTGTAGAAGGCTGCTAATTTAACAACAAAAAAGCACAAAGCAACGCAATTATACTATTCTAATGGAGTAAATTTTACTATAAATACTACAAATAATTCTGATTTCCCAGACTTACGTGACGAAGGTTAGTCGTCAAATTGGATAACACTTCTCTCTATTGTTTTTTTTTTTTTTTTCCCTTTATCTTATCTTTCTCAATAAAAGGTACAAAGACTTTAGAGAAGAAAACGAAACAAGTAGGGTTCATAGTATCACCCTCTAATCAATCATACAGCTGCGTAATACTGCAAAAATATACATTGAAGTTACCGTATTTATATAAAAAAACCAGTCAGTTTAAAAATGCTAAGCTTCATTTGAAAAATGTACGATTTCAACCGTTCAACGTACCGGAGAGTGGCAAATTCTTAAAAAGTAAGTGTTACACTTTCAAACCTTTCTTCCTTTAATCAATTTATTAAAAATAAACAAACAAAGAGTATAATATAGTTAAAAGAAAAAAGCAAATAGAAGGAAAGCATAAGACTTTATATAAACAAAGAATAAATATTAATATAACAGGTCACGACTGTCCAGCGGACGTCGCCAATAAACAAGCAAAACAGAATATTGTACCTCTGGTTGTTGCCTCTTCCCTTGGAATTTTCATCATCATAATTATTTTTGCTTATTTTATTAGTAAAACACTTAATAAACCGGGTTATAAGGCAGTTGATTGATAAGGAATGAAATATGTTTCCATTTCTTTTATTATTGGTTAACATTAAAATTGATGACTCTGCTGTTTTCGTGATTGCATTTTATCTTAGATTGATGATTGTCAGTTTGATCACATTATAAAAATCGCACATTGTTGTTGTTACTTATAAAATTTTTTTTTTAATTCATTCATTCTAAAGAATATGTATTCTTAACGTCGTCAAGAACGAATATAAAGATATATCCCTCATTTCCTTATGCAAATTAGTTTTCAAACTACATTAAAAAACGTATTCAACATATAGGTTATATACATTCATATACAGCATAAAATATAACATTCTGGGTATACATTAGAGATAGAATAGATAACGTACAAACAAGTGCAAATATCAAAAAGGCACCAAATTGAAAACAGAACGAAAAAAGTTGACATGATGTTTTAATAATAAAAAAACGAAGACGGATTATTTTGTATACCTGTACAATTTCTAATGATGAGTATATGTATGCACATATATACTAAAAGTATATATATATATATATATATATATATATACATATATATATATATCGATATGTTAATTGACACATGTGCTTATGCAAGAATTAAAGCAGGTTAATCAACTCTACAAGTGTTAGGCAGAAATTGATATGTTTTTCTTTTTTTTAGATTGATATGAGCAATATTTAATCACAGTTTTATACCCTCTTCAAGTGCCTGCTCATCATGCTAAAAAACAAACTAATAGACAACTACAGTCGAATAACAAATAATATTATCTTAACTCACTCCTTTCACATTCTAGGTTGGGCATAAGCGTGATGGTGTTTCAAATCATGATGTGGAAGTGGTTGTTGAACGGAAGAAGCGGGAGATCTCATTAAGGGCCTTAGACAAGATTGGTTACTAGCTTGTCTTAAAAACGGATGTTGTAGTAGTTCAAAAGCAGTTGCCCTTTGCGTAGGATCTCTCACCAACATGCGATCTAAAAAGGCATGCAACCTTGGAGAGACTTTTGTAGGATTTTTTAATTTAGGAGGTGGCATATCGCGAATTCTACGCATTGCTTGTAAAGGTGGTTCATTAAAGAAAGGTGGTTCACCATCTACCATTTCAACAAGCATAATACCCAATGACCAAATGTCTACTTCGGTTCCGTAGGGTAACCTAGAAATAACTTCCGGTGCCATCCAATAAGGTGTGCCCACTAAACTCTTTCTTTTAGGCAGCTCATGAGAAATCTATTGATTTGAATAAAACAAATAGCTGATTATTGAATAGAAATAAATAAGATAAGCATTTTATCTCTTGAATTACCTGAGCACAAAAGCCGAAATCTGACAACTTAATTCTACCGTCGGGAGCTAATAAAATAGAATCGCTCTTAATGTCTCGGTGAATGACACCATTCGAATGCAAATACGCCAAAGATTTTAAACAAGATTTTAAAACAGTTGCAATTTGCTCTTCGTTCATCTTAACATTCGTTACCAGATCGGTTAGGGCACCACCAGCTAAATATTCCATAACAACCCATAATTCATCTTCTACAACATAACTATCGTACATTTCGACGATATTAGGATGTTGATAATCTCGCATGATTACAACTTCATTAAAAAGAAGCTCACGACGCTGTTGACGTCGCAAGTCCATCTTCTTAATGGCTACTACTTCGCCAGAACTTCTTCGTCTGGCAGTTTCAACTATACTGGTACTACCTTCACCAATTTTTGTATAATTATCAAAAAGTGACCGAGGATCGCCAGGTTTAACAACCATTTTTAAAGCTGTACGGAACTGTCATAAAAAAGAGGAATAATAAAACTCTTATATATTTAAATAAAATTGATATAAGCAATTCAATATGCCTTGTAATCTAAAATAAGCCTAATCAATAAATAAAAGCTCATAAGTACAAAGCCAATTATCTGTATCACCTGCTCGTGTGAGTATCTTTGGTCTCCGTACGGACTTGCAGGGGAAGCGGGTAAAGTGTTAGTAGGGGATGTTGGACTATGTGGCGTTGATGACATATTTCCAGACGGTGACAACATAGGACGTTCAGTAGTAGAAACATGCTGATTAAAAATTAATCAACTACTTAATCGACTATTAATCAATAGAGATTATTCAAAAAAAATATTTCAAATACTTATAAGTGATTAGTATTTTCTATAATGTTGTCATATTTAATAGATAGAAAAAAAAATCATTTATATGAATGATTTCCTACAACTTACATTATCGTAGTATTGTTGTGGTGTTGGTTGGCCGTTGTTATTGTTATAAGGGTTATACGAGCCGCTGTTTCCGGACTGAGTAGAATATTGGGGAGAATGCTGCTGTTCCAATGTTCTTGGAGGACGATTTTGTTGTTTTGCTCCATAGCCGTAGGCATCCGTATAATCCGCCGGCTGTTGCCTTGGTGGTGTGTGCATATAATTATTGTGTGGCGGACTTGCCGCAGTTGGTCGTTGTTCATATCGTTCGTTCGTTGAGTAGTTTGGATAGGCATTGTGGCTGTCAATTCTATCCTGTCTATAAGGGTCGCTCCTTTGTCCATTAAAACCATTATTATGTTCGTGCAAAGTGGGCTGAGATGGTTGATATTGTGAAGTCCGAGGAGCTTGCGGTTGGTTATCACTTCGTAACGAATTTGATCGCGCAACAGATACAGGCTTGGACGAGCTCCCTGTATGTGCAGTTCCTCCTCGGACGATTTGCTTCAACGGAGCCATATCCGTTGGTGTAATTGAACAAGGATCAATGACTGGTATAGGTCGGGAACTTGTGCTCGACAATAGCGATGCCCACTGAGGTGGAAGACCAACATACTCACCATGTCTATAGTCAAATCCTGTGTGAACCCGATGTTCAAAGTCCATCGGGCGGGATATTTCCACCTTAACTTTTTTTTCCTTCTTTTTACCGAACATCTTTTATTACCTGTTTATAAATTGCGAGAATGGTAAATACGTTCTGATAAAATTCTATACGACAAGCGCATTAATTCTGTCTAGGTTTACACTACTACTTTTTAGATAGCAAAACTTCCGGTTCTCCTACTTAACCGTACACAAAAGAGGAAATCAAAAAGGTAAAAAGATCCTGTAGCAATATCAATTTCACAGTAGTAAAAATAATATTACTGCTTTCACCTCTAATCCCCAAATTACTTCTGTGAGATCGAATAATACATTAATCGGCCCCGTCTCGGTTTTCACCTAATAAAAAACCCGGGACTTTGAAAAAGAGCACCAAACTTTGGCAAATAGCCAACGACCATTCGAAGTTTTTACTTCCAATCCAAACCTCTTGAGCAGATCAACTCAACGCAATTGACTACCAAAGCGATAAATGCTATTACAATGACGCTGATCCTTAGCACCTTTCACCTTTTCATCTACACTGGTTTATTTACCACGCCCATCGAATTTAGGCTACTACAGCAAAATCAAAACAAAAATCTACGAAATTTGAAGTTCATTTGGAAACCGGATATTCAGCTTTATGCATTTTTACAGGTAGAACCCATGAATAATAGGTAATACAGAACCTATTTTATTCCACTTAACTGTGTCTCACCGATGCCCACATAACAAGTACCAAAAAGAACGGTTTAGCTTTATTCAAACACCAAAATCAACCTACTAATTTAATACGAATCTTTATATTAATACCTGATTCACAAAAATTATTCACGTTTAGAAAAACATCAATAAAACAATCAATTTTCAATTTATCACTCTTCGCGCTCGCTCATCGTCCATGGACATAATCCACGTGACCTCTTTTGACCAATCACAATCAAAGTCTCAAAAGGTGTATAGAAAACATTTTTGAGATGTACAATTTCGTGTACTTCCGGTAGCCATTTTGAAAAGTTGTATTTACATATAGGACAACATTTTGTTTTTCCTGAATAGGTCTACAACTAATAATCGCACGCCCAACGTTATCCGCCATTTTGTAAGGAACTCGTTGTGAAAGCGTTGTTTTAAAGATTTACCTTCTATTTCTCCCTAGAATATATTTGGTTACGGTTATCTCGATTATTTCGCATCATGGAGGTTATGCCGACAAGCGAATTGTATCTGGATGGCGAGAGTGACGAAAATTTAGATGTCTTCCTCACTGAAGCACAGAATGACCTGTTCGGAGAAATAAGTAAGGAGGTACCGATTGGAAAAATGAGCGCGTTCGATGAAACTGAAACTACTGAATATGAATCTTTGAATTTTAAGTCTAAGTCACCAACAAGCCTTGAGCAGCTATCCCCTTCCTCCAACGGATCCAGTGGTTCTGAAGGTCAAGATTTCATTAAATTTCGTACACGAAGAATGCAGACCAGAAGTCAGACTGAATCAAAAATAAACTCTGTTTCTACAAAGCCAATAAAAGCCTATATATTAAAACCTGTGTCCAAACCATCACAACAGGAAGAGAAGCCCTATGCGAAAAAATATAGTTCGAATTACTATGACACAGATTCAAATGTGTTTCATTCAAGTATGACAAAAGCTGCATTAGCTGCTAGAGAACAAAGGCAAAAGAAAAAGAACTATGTAAAAACTTTAGAGGAAACTGTCCACAACCTAAAAGAGGAAAACGCTGCTCTCAAGAAATCCTCAGTTCAGTTAAGCAAGTCAATAAATGAATTATCGAACGAGGTGAAGTATTTGAAAAGCGTTTTAGCCAACGAAAGTACTCTTTCTTCTCTTTTAGCTAATCTACCACTAGTTACTAATTCTAATGGTTTGGCAATACCAATTAATACTGGAAGGAAAAGAAAGCATTATAAAAGAGTGGAAACTTCTGATGATGATAGTGAAATTGATGTTGAATCAACTCCTAAAAAAGCTTCTAAACACGATCATTCATATGGTTGTCAACAACAGCAAAAAAAGAAGAATGTAGTAGGTGAGCAGTCAGCAGGCATTTGTCTGCACCTAACAAACAAACACGTTTCTGTTGAATTTTGTCCGCAATGCAACAGCAAATCGAATCGACTGGCTTCAAAATTCGAATGAACAAACTTAAAAGAACAGACTATAAAGAAGACAAGCTTATAGCTATGTCAGTATGATTTTCTTATGTAAAAGCCAATGGGTGACTTCGTGCTGCAGTTATCCGTTGGCTTATTTTTCATTTTTTCTGCGAGCAATTCTGTTAGTATTAATAGTTTCTTCATTTTCAGCATCATACTGAGTGCGGAAGAATGTCACGCTCATAGCCGTGATAACGCTTGACCGTGTCAGTAATTATCACATTCATTTGGTGCAAGATGACTGGAGAAATTATATACTGCTTTTTCGATTCAAATATTAATAATAATTTCTCCGATCATCTTACCACAACTACATTCCGCAATCACGATTTCGCATACATACGAAAGAAAGAGAACAAAAACAACATAACTAATAGTGAAGTGATATTAATTAATTACTTTTGTTTCAGCAGTTGGGCATTTTGTTGGTCAAAGATGGCCGGTAATGTAAATTCGTATCGATAAAATCAGGGAGTTTGAGTAGTTAGGGAAATGTTATATTATTATGTTTGTTAATAACAGTTTCAAAAGAAGACGCTGCGCCGAAACTAGAAAAATCTGAAGCTGAAAGTAAGGTGAGAGTAAACACAGTCGTAAGAGGTTCTATCTGTATGCCCATATTTTTGTAAATAATTTTTTATATACTTAATGAGCGAAATCCTTCTGCAGCACAAATTATAAAAAATAGAACCATATCAATAATAAAAGATTTATTATTCAAGGAAGGGTTTTGTGAAAATGTATACTTTTGTAAAAAAAAATATTGTATTGTCACTTGAGAGAATAAACTATAAATGTATTAAAAAATTTATATTTTTTTAATGATAAATATTGCAATCTTAATATCAATTTATAAACATGACCTGAATATTTATCTGGTGTTGAGGAGTGTTCGATAGTATAACAGTTTAAGAAGTAAGTATCTTATTTTAAGCGAAAACATGACGTCTTTATGTATTATGGAAAGAAAACTTTGATTTTTCGATACTTTATCGCACTTTACTCTTACCATTATTCAAAAGTCCGTAAATTCTTTTCACATTAGAATAAGCATTTTTTGGTATAATATAATGGTGAGTGTGAATATGAACGTCCTCGGAGACATCTGTACGATAGGGGCAGGGTTTCACTTGGACCATAACAGTACCACCAGGTTTTGGAGGTTCGTAGGGGTCCCTTAACTCAAATCTCTTCATGGTTGAAACATAACTCACCCTCGATCTAATAGTCAACTGTTTGCTCGATTGTTGAATTGTCCCTTGAAGAAAATCTTCAATTTTTCGTTCCATCATTTGCAAAGATTGTTCTCCTGTTTCATTGTCGAAACAGTTCTGTGGAGTCATCGATAGTTTCCCGCTAAAATTAACATTTGTTCAATTACATCAAATAATGAGAGCTAAGAATAATTAATCATGTGACGTCAAGTATTTAACAATAGGGAATAGGTACTCTTCTTCAAGAAGTGGACGTATGATTAGTATAGAGGTACAAAAGAACTTACCTTTCCAACCGTTTCGGCGCAGTTTGTGGTCTGACAAGCGTATTTAAAGATTTTGTATGCTCTCTTTCCTTCATCCTCTTGACGAACTTATCTCGACTGACATCGACGTATCTTTGACGTCGTTCTATTTCGCTAGCAACACCTCTGCAAACAAGTCGATGAGTTAAAAAGCGCTCTTTTGTCCAGTGGAAATGATTATCGATACCTTAGCTTCGAATTATGTTCAATATCACTCTCAAAAAGTAGCGTCATACTGTTTAATTCCGAAATGACTGGCTGAACAGTATGTGGCCGTTGGTTAGGCGTCGGGGCTTCGTCGGAAATACTCAATTGTTCAAAATTGGCTGGCAGATGGTTTGAATCGCATTTTAAAGCCCTCTTTTGAATCCTTTCTAAATCCCTTCGTTTTTCTTTTACATTTTCTTCTACAGTTCGCCTATCCTTCTCCTCTTGTAACCTTTCGATTTTATATAATTTTTCAAGTTCTCTCTTAGTCCTGGCACGTTGTCCCCGGAGAAAGCCAGCTGATCTAACTCTTTGTAATCGATTTTCTAGTTTTTGAATGTAATAATTCCTTTCTCGAGGCTTCGGTATATAAAACTCTTCACTACCATCATCGGTAGTCATGGCGGATGATATAATAAAAAAGTTACATTTACTTATGCATTTTATCGCTTTCTTATCAGTATCTTAACGTGTTCGGTAATTTTTTAAAGGTATTTAGATAAGATATAGTTTCATATTTTGTTTCCATGTGAAAACATTACACATCATGCGCATGACACAGGCCTAATGAGGCTATTTTCAATTTAATGCCTTAGGGCACCATCGAGAAGAATCGGCTGTTTTAAAATTTCCTTTGATCTCAAATAGGCATTTTACAACCTTAATAATAGTTTTTCACCTCTATAAGAATTTTATACTACTACTCATAATTTTCTAACTCATTTTTAATTAAAAATTTTTAAAGATAAAAACTTTCGCCGTAGTTTTTTAAGACGTAAATTCTATTTTATTCAAGCGATTGTTGTTGAATTTTTTTTCACAAGATTCACAATGAGAAATGAAAAAGTTTATAGACTACTAGTGTCAATATTCACCACTTGAATTTGAAGTCCATTTTTATTAGGTACTTCATCCTTACTTGAGAAACATCGTAGACAATGTATTCGTTATATAATAAACTGGTTCTTTCTCCTTTTGAATTTGTACCTTTTCCTAGAGGAATTTCTACTCCGTCTCCTGTAATAATCTTATCCTCTGGATTTGGAACGGTCATCCCCTTTCCTTTTGTACTATGTTTGCCCTTAGGTAAATTAGTAACGTATTCGGCTGCCTTACATTCATACATATTACCGAGAGCTACTTCGCATAACAGCAACAAGCCCGTAGGCTCTGCTTTAGACGTTCGACAGTAGTTAGCAGATTTTGATACCATGTCAGCGAAATAGATACCCTTTCCAAACATATAACCGGTAACTGGCGCCTCTGGTGGAGCTATACGTAGACCTTGGGAAAGTATACCAGCAAAGTTAGTGGTCCTTGAACCATGCCATAAAAGTTGACGATTGTGCAGATCTTTGAATGGTTTATATCTTTTATCTTCCCCGTGTTTATCTATTTTAAGTACATCTATAACTTCCAATTGATATTGGTTGTGTGTAGCAGCGTGGGTATTACGAACGTAATCGACAATTTGCTTAAATTCTAAAGATTCCTTGTTCAAAACTTCCATATCCGTTTTGAGAGATTGATAATGAACATCAATGGGGTCACTTTCACTACCCTTTCCTCCTTTCAATAGGCTGTAAGCGACTTCAATATCTAGTAAATTGGTCAACATGTCATTTTTTGACTTGATAATATCTACCGTATTTAGTACAGTAGGTTTTCTTAAACCGAAATCATGTGGAATTAGTGTATAAAACCTGTTCGACGCGTCCAAGTATTGTGTAGGACTTCCGCCAGTGTCTATTAAATGTTGAAGCTCGTTAAGTACTTTATAAGCATCTTCGATCTGTTTCTTAGATAACTTTCCAAGCGGCATTTTCTTTAGATCAATTTCAAATTCGAGCATAGCCTTCTTCATACTTTCCACATCGAAAATTAGGCGTATAATGTCTTGAATTTCTTTCGCCAATTTCGAATTACTTTTCCCAGATAGATCAACTTCAATATCTTCATCTTCGGCGCCGTAGTCAATTTCAATAGGATAAAATTTTCGCGGTTTCTTCTGAAAATCTTTTCTCTCTGACCATTCATTTCCGGTTTTCTCGTAATAAACTGTAGTAAAGTTGTCAATTGCTCTGTCCTTTGATCGAAATTCATCTAATTTATTACCGCCTATTGTTGTTCCAACACGACCCCAGGCTCTAAAAACCCAAAATAATTTCCCTTTATCAGATTCTAATATTTGAAGTTTATAGTAAGAGTTGGTCCCTTTTTGAATGTCAACCATATTTAAAACAACATTGTAAGGCTCCCCCTTATCTTGTAGAAGATGAGCGGTATCTTCGAGTCCTGAATCGGGATCTACAGCTGCTCCTCCTTTCACTTTCATTTTTGTCTTTTCAGCCCCAGAGAACATTTTCTCATCCTTCTCTCTCTGTTTCTCCATAATTGACTTTCTAATTTTGGGTTTCTGTATTCTTTGCTTTGGCTAAAAATGCATCATGTACTTGTTAAATAAACGCAAAATGTAACTTTAAATGTATAAATAAACAAACAAAATCACTGAAACGTAATAAACTTACATCATCTCCCCAATCGCAAAGTTTATGCTTGTCAATCAAAGAAACAGGGTCGACTTTCATAGCCTCTTCTAAGAAATCCTCTTTAACAACTTGTATATTATTCTTTTTAGCTTCTTTAATAACCTTTAAATTTTTCTTTACTTCGGCCTCATTGCTAAAGACTGCAAATGTTTTTTCGTCCACTGCAGTTGCAACTGTACCACCCAGATCTTTAATTTCTTTAGTCAATTCGGCTTTGGATTTTGTAGTTTTTCCAATAACGAAAGTCATTCCCTTAAGTGGTAATTCAACATTTGCATCAGTTCCTGCGTTGACAGCCGTTTTAGGAGCAGGTGGAAACACTCTTGTCCGCTTCTTATACTTGTACTTAGCCCTAAAAATCGTCAACGAAAATATTGAATGTAAAAATTGCCAACAACCTTTGGGAATGAAAATTTGTGAAAGCAAAGCTACACAGTGAAAGGTAAAGGTGAAATGAAAAGATTCAAGATCATAGCACTCACAAACAATCGGCGTCTAAATACTCCTCAGGGATTTTAAAAGGTTTTCTTTCAGGCGTAACCGTAGTATAACTACAGGCAGTAAAGCCTGAAAAGTTTCCAGTGCATCGGTAACAACTTTTCCCAGTACTGTAATATATTTTGAAAAACGAAAGAAAATCATAGTGTAAAGTGAAAGTGATTAAGAAAGTAAAAGAAAGAGTAAAATAGATTAAAGACAGATTGAGCTTTTGCCTTAGGGAATCACGACAGTCAAGGATCGCTGCTTGCAAGCGTTCACTCACAAATATTCAACATCGTGATAATCCTCTGGTATTTCAAATTTATCCCGCTCGGGTTCAGAAGTTCTATACTGACACTTCGTCCAAGCAGAAATATTACCACGGCATGAATAACCGTATTTACTAATTTGGGCGAGAAACTCGTCATCTTACGTCTTCAATTTGTTTATAATAAACATGGTATATAGATATTTAAACAAACATACCTGTGTACCAATTGACCTTCTTTACATTCAGGACACTTTTTCAACAACCCAAATGCCATACAATCAGTAACTCTGTCTAATAAATTATCGTTCCCTGATGGAACGTCCTGATTATTGTATTCCAAAAGGCCTTTTAAAGCGTTATTCGAAACTTCATTCGACAATTTATCCCTTATGGCCCACAACATCTCAGATTGCTCTCTTAATTTCTTTTCCTCGGGCTTTTCCTCTTTTTCTTTCTCTTTCTTAACTTTTTTAGGTTTTGTCGCTTCAGTGCCGCCGGTTGCTTTTCGTTTTCTATTTACGAAATTACGCAATTCAACATTGACCAGATAAATAAACATTCGTGTTTATACATACACGCCTTTGCCTAATTTCTCGATTAGCGTTTCCTTATCCTCTTTTGCTAATTGCTTGTAACCGGGTATCCTTTCAAAGGTATAAATGTTTTAATAAGTTATGTAATCGGGTTGAAAATTAATTGTTGAATTCTAAATATAAGAAAACACTAACTGATCTGGCTGCATCTCAGTTGAAAATCCAAGATCATCCCGATTTTCAACAAAGCAATCTTGATGATACCACATATTCTGAGGTCCGTACATTCTAGCTCTTTGCGATTCAAAGTCCTTCTTAGCCAATCTAACTTCCTGCTTTGGAATTTTGCTGTCACATCCCCTACAGACACTCGCTCCGGACTTAGCATAGTCAATCAGAAAATCTTTGTAATTCGTTTCGCCACTATAAGCACCATCTTCACCATCTGCTGAACCTATTGAACAATCACCTGTTAAAAATTACTTTACAAGCCATATGACCTAACCTGACACTTTGTCTTTAATCTTTTTCTGATCGTCCCATCTGAGGGCATCGAAATTATGAATTTGATTCACAGAAAGTAACCCTCTAACTCGTTCCCAAAAACAGTTATAATGATACCAGTTAGGCGTCTAAAATGAGTTGGCATTTATAAATATTATTACTATGTTCATTAAAAATACCTTTCCGTCAAAATGGGGACTCTGAAAGGGCATAAAAATAATTAGTTGAACATTTTTGATGAAAAATCAACAGTCCAACCTGAACCATTATAGCTAATCTTAAACTGTCTTTTCCTATGTTTTTGAAGCATTTTTTGCAACTAGCGCGATTGCTTTTTGCGTATTCCGCTTTGAACGGATATTCACTGTCTCCCATATCGAAATAAAGAAAAGATTGTTTTGTGAGTAGTATTTATATATTACAAATATTTTCGAAACACCATGGGCAAGTTGGAAATCGCGCAAACAAGCAAAGAGTGGTTACGAAAGGAAAATTGCCCATTCAACCGAAAAATAGGCGCGGAAGCCCCAACCAAACAACTTTTTTTGCAAAATTTATTTTTGTCTAAAATAATTTTCTTTTTAATTTAATATTATTGTTTACATAGTTTATCAATATTTAAATTTAAAAAATTTATCTTTTTTATCAATAAACAAATATTATCCTGTGAAAAAAAAACTTGCATTGTAGACACAGTATTGTTTAGCATATTGTAATGGCGGCTCATGCAAACTAACGTCTTAGACTTTCAAAGTTTCCTCAGAGAATACAGCTGCCCTTACCATATTTTTTACATATAAATTATTAGAAATATTTCGAAATTGTGTTCAAGTAAGTGTACTATAAAATAGTTATGAATTTTTCTGGAAATCAACTATTAACTTGCAGACCATCCAGTTAAGTCCGAAATGGAAGAGAAGAACAATTCTGTTTTTAACCTTTCCTTTTTAAGTACCGGTGATGGAACTCCCCACCAAGGCAAAGAATTGAAAACGGCTATAGGCTTTTCGCCTGTGACTGAATTAGCATTGAGCTTTAAAGATATGTCGGCCAGGTATAGAAATTCGTTTGATACGGTCTAGTCTTACGTGTGTAGTTGCCTATTGACATCAAATGTATTTAAAAATTGGGATCAAGTAATTATATGAACAAAGTCGTTAATTGAGAAGCATTGGTCAATTTACGTTCGGAGCTAATTAAACGCCTATAAAAAAAATCTCATCGGGGTCAATGGCTTAATTGCTACCAATTCGGGCCATCGAACAATCTCGGGGCATTGTTCATTCCCACATTGGAAAAAAATGTACTTTCGAATTGCGTACGGAGAGAGTTGATTGGTGGGGAATACTTCGAACTGACCTACATACAAGCCTGCTAAGTCGGAAAGTTCTTTTTATAGCATAAGGGGAATTTTCGCTGGTGAATCGACCTTATCGCGTGAGGGTCTTTGACACATTAGCGGGTAAATTTAAAAATATCGAATTTAGGCCTATACCAGGCACATCAAATATTTACCATGTCTGACCCACATGATAAATGTGCACACTGCTAATGGTGATGAATGGCGGTCGTTTTCGAACTTTGTAGCTATTTTTGAACACCTGCGGTCGACTACCGTATTAGTAGAATACAAAAACGCACTAGATAAATATACGTTATATAGCGTCGCTTTATTGCTAACCGATAACTGCATAGGCCAATTATGAATTTAAGAGACGGAAACCCTCTCTGTTTACCAATACTATTCATTCAATTGTTCTGATTGTTTATTCGAAACGAAATTATAGTTGTGATTATTTACGAAACAGGAAGTGAAAGTGTTAGGAGGACCTAAGTGATGTAACGCCTTTGTTAAAAATAAGACGAGTTTTTCTAAAACTTTCTAATTACTGCGGGTTTTTATTCGCATATGAACGTCGCAGATCTCGTATCTATTTCAAAGCGTCTACCGACGACGTTCTAATTACTAACCATATACCCGCTGATTTATTAGCATTGTGATAAGCCCTTATCAGAGCAGATGCGACGGTATATTAGTACAACTGTGAATGCTTTGTTTGTCCCTATGTAGTTTGTAACGGTCGTTTCTATAGCGACACACCGGCAGATGCGGGATGTTTGTAATCGCAACACCTGCGTAATTGAGCCCCACCGCTATCTTTATATTCAATTGACTTGTATGGACCATTTGAACATTATTTTGTTGACAGTTCCGGAAGTTCGTACGAGGAGACGCCTGTTAGAAAGCTATGTTTGAATGATACTAACACACCACCAAGTACGGGTTTACGCAGAACGAAGAGCAGTACTTTTGGAAATAATGACGGTAAGTGTGACGTCACAACTGAAAAACGACCTACTGCCGCTGGGAAGCGTTACTCTTCAAACGGCCCTGTTTGGCTATCGCACCTGTTTTTTTTAAGGGCAGCTTGTATTATATGTACATTCGGGGCTGACGGTATGTTTGATAATGCCGTTCATTAACCAGGGTTTTCGGCTACCGTCTATTCATGTTGATGACGTCATAGAGTGTAATTGATATAATGTGAACATTTAAAGTTAACCAACTTGCTAATTAATACGTATATTTCGCAGGTGACGGCGAGCTTGGGGAGTTGAAAGGGTGAGTAAAAAAACATCGCCATGTAGTTTATCACCTTCGGGCTTTTCTGTGTTTGTCTAATCTTTTTGGGTCATTTGGGGAGGGGTGGCGAGAGTGTAATGCCTGTAATAGATAGTATAACGTTGCAGACGTATTCGAAAAGACGCTTACGCGGCGTTACCTCACAAGTAGGGCGTTGATTGGCTGGCGCATAGCCAAAAAAATTTTCCCTGACCCAAATTCTATAGGGCGTTAGAGGCGTTACTCTCACCACTCGACGCCCTCCCTGTGTCGTTTTGAATACGTGCTTGTTGTTTGCATTCGCCTAAACAGAATCTATTCGCACCGTTTCAAGGAGCAATTCGCGTCACTCTCCTTAAGGTCTTATTTTATTTTCTTTTATATGATAGGCTTAAAGTACAGTAACGACCGAACCCATTTTCTTTTCCCTCTCTGTCTTTTTATTTTTTGAAAGTGGCAAACTTTCCCCCAACGACTAAAGCTGGCTTTCTTAAAATTCGTCTTCAATTGTGTTCCCCTACTATAAAATGTGCATGTGTTTTGACGCTTTTCCGCAAGCACCATGTGTCGCGAGCTACTGCACCTGCCGCTTGCAAGAACAGCTGCAAAGTTCCTCTGGTTCCAATGCTATTTGTTAGGTCTATAGTGGCACGCTTCGCTATTATTTGCGAGAAATAAAAGGGGCGCCTTTTCTAATCGCCTATACACAAGGTAGGTGCAGGTGGAATGTTGATAATTATGTAGAAAGGATTAGGCAAACTTAGGGCCAGCAGTCGGCAAGCTTTCCAAATCTATGTAATCAGGCGGCGCCGAAAGTTTGCAAGCGATCCGCTTTTTGTTTCAAACGAAGCATTTCGGCGCCCACATCTTGCGTAATTATTAGTCGTTGGAAGGAAGCATTCGAAATTTAAATTGTCAAATAACTATGAAACTGAGAAGGGCATTGTTTTGTGTGGGGCGGGTTGGCGCCGACAGTTACCTTTCACCGAAAACGTCTCTCTAATACTTTGGACATATGTCAAATCTTCAATGTCAGCTTATACAACTATTAGAATTTGTATATTCGATGTATTCTCTTTAATAATTGTTAATTGCCAATCGTCCCGTCGAGGTTGATGAGTATAGCATTCAAGTCAAACTTGAGATTATCTTGTCCAATGTGTTAGCCCTATTTTAGGGCCAGCTCGACGCTGATTGGTCCAGGGGGCGTCGGTTACCTAGACAACAAACGGCTCCGTCGCTTTCGAGTCAGACGGCGAGAGAGCAGCAAAGCGTATGGATTGTTCATCTAGTCACCATCAGTCGTCTTACGATATGCATCATTTACAAAACCTCATCGATGATTTCTTTCAGGATATTTCCCCTTTAAGTGACGCTAGCTTTCCGTAAGTTAAAACCCCCACTTTTATGGCAAGCAATTTAGTCGTTTCAATGTCAAGCGTAATACGAGTCGGTTCGGATAGAAAGTAGAAAGTAGGAAGTAAGGTGATTTGCATATTTTTAATTTTGGTCTTTTTCTTTTTTGCAACGTTTAGTTCCTCGTTTCAAAGAACGAAATCAATGCCTGTTGTAAGTATTACTTTTCAATCAAGCGTTCATATGACGTAATGGGCGCTCATTTATCAAGATACAGCTAATTACAGGCTTTACTTACTTTTTTGACATTTAATAGAATCCGTCCTCTTCATTCCTTCACGCACCTTCGCCCTTCAACACAACTGCGGAGGATAGCGATTCGAGTAAAAAGCATTCAGACGAAGAGTATTCGCCGCCTCGTTTTCCTGCTCTCGACGACTCATCAGAATCGCAATCGTCACCAGAACAGCTACCTTCTTCATCGGCTCTACCTATGGACGACGGTGAATCAAGAGATAGTGGCATTTCTGAAAACTTTCAAATAACTTCTTCTGCCTCATTCATACCATCTTATCCTTTTAAACAACTTGATAGCCGTAAGCCTTTCAGTGACCGTACAAACTTTAGGAGATCTACTTCAACTCCACTCTCTTCTTTGACAAATCGTTTTAAATCGAGAAGCCTTTCTGTCACCGTAAGTTTATATTTAACATTTAATTTAACATTTTTAAAAAACGTCTCCAATTAATCGTGCTTTATCAGTCTGCCGATAAGACATCGTGTCAAAATTCGCCCGCACGAACCGAACAAATGGATGATGGTTTCGTTGATCTCATGGAACAACAAAATGCTATGCTTACTTCTTTTGAGGTATTATTATTAAACAACTTGAGTAAGGGCTTTTGTAATAAAAACATGTATCGGCTTCTATAGATGTCGGCCTCAGAAGGTATTCAGGAACTTATGAATTCCAGCCAATTACCTCTACCGCATTCCGTACATGACAAGGAGAATACGCCATGTTCTCGCTTTGAACGTTGTTCAACTAGACGCATTCCGTATAAGCGCTACAAGACTTTCGATGTTAATCGCCCCTTGCCAAAATTGCCAATTGCATCGAAGCGCGAAAGCGAGGGTCAAATGTCTGAATCAAAAAGAAGAAAAAGTATAACTGAAGAAAGCCCTAAGAAGACTTTCCAACGGAAAACTCCACCATTTATCTTGCATAGATCTCTTTCTGAACCAGAGTGCAATTTGCTATGCAAGGCGCTAGATAACGAGCAGCATTTGGTTGGTGATTATACGAGACCCCCAACTCTTCCAATCGTACCTGGTAAACACCAGCTGAAGTCTGTTTCTTGCGAAACAGTCGCCAAGTTAGTTAATGGCGATTTGGGAGACATAAAATATGACATAATCGATTGTCGATACCCTTATGAATATGATGGAGGGCATATCAATGGCTCGTTGAACTTGTTTTTGAGACAACAAATTCAGGCAGAGTTATTTGATAGGATATTGAGTGGCGATATGTCTGAGAAGGTGTTAATCTTCCATTGTGAATTTAGCTCCGAGAGGGGACCAAAATTGTTTGTATAAAATATTTGACCTATGTATAAAATTAATTTGCTAACTCAATTTTTAGAGCGAAACACACGCGCGAAATGGACCGTAGTCAAAATCACTACCCACGCCTACATTATCCGGAAATCTATATTATGGACGGCGGTTATAAGGAATTCTACGAAGTTGCAAAGGTGGCGCCTCTATCTTTAAAAAAGCGTTTAAATTCTTTAACGGTTTTCGCAATTTTTCCGACAGGATCTCTGTTTACCGCGTAGCTATGTCCCAATGCTACACCCAGATAGAAGTGACGATCTAAAATACTTCCGAGCACGAGCTAAGTCCGAAAACGATGATAAAGAATTTGCGAAGAAATCTAAGAGAGGAGGTTTGAAGAGGCAAAAGTCTTCCTGCCGTAAACTGATTAGTTGAGCGGTCACACCAGCTGTTTCTTCCGTTTTTGGCTTTTTTTATTCATCGACTTGTGTTCGATGTTTTTTTAACTTTTTTTCACCTTGTTATTTTAATTGTTCTTCGTTGCTTTGTCTTTCGGCGTGCGTGCAAAGTCTAGTGTAAAAATTTTTTTCGAAATCGATTATGAATTGGTCGAAATCTATTTATTGAATTAATTGTTGGCGAATTTAAAAGAAAAATTATAGAATTGTGTGCTTATTCGCGGATGTTTGTTGCATTATCGAGTGAAATATGAACAGTTCTTGGTACAATAAAAATGTAATTTGTCCTACGAGTTAAAGAACAGAATACAGAAAGTAAACGTAAACAGGAAATAGTTAAAATGATACAATTTCCGCTCTTTATTTCTCTGGTGTAGGCGCCTTTTTCTGTTTTGTCGTTTTGAATCTAAGCAGGAGGTAATAGATAATAAAAAGTCATGTTTTTAAAGTTCGATAAGTGTTGAATATTAATTAGCTTCTTAATCTTACCCCTGTTGTTAAGTCTTATCTTACGGCCGTTTTTCCGAAACGATAACGAATCTGACATTCTGCGACCCCTATCAACTCTAAAATCTTGTTTTTCATCGGGTCTGTCGTCTTTTACTTTCTTGTCCATCACAAAATCTGGATCAAAAGTCTCACAATGAGGTAAATTTATGTACTCATCAAGGCGACAAGCCCTCTTTTCTGTCTGCTCTGTGCGGTTTGTTCTTTCGGTCATTTTACCATCTTCACAAAAATACCCCTCGGTGCATTTCCTGTACCGAACTTGGATGGGCGTCTTACCGCCTGTAGGCCTACATTTTATCGTGCACGTCCAAACACTCCATTCACCCCAAGGCCAATTGGGAGGTCTTTCCCTTGGTCGGTCGCACCTCTCCCCTTCCCATTCGGCATTACAAGAACATCTAAAAGAACCTACGGTATTAATACACTTAGCCCGCCCGGATTGAACACCGCATGGATCTTCTAAACCTTCTGCACATTCGTCTACATCTCGACAGGACGTTCGTATAACGGCGCTAAATATTTCCTCATAACCTTTCGGGCAATCGCACCTGTAGCCCGCTTCTCTATCCGCGTCCCACCGACAATATAGCCTACCCCCACATAATTCAGCTGTGCCGTTGTAGTCACAAGGGTTCCAGACGTCCTGACATTTGTCACCAGTGAAAGGTCGTAGACAAGCGCAGCTAAATGACAAAGCCTTGTTTGGATCTTTTAATTCAATGCAAGTTCCACCGTTTTCACATTGGGTAATACCTTTTTGGCAAGGGTCGCCCACTTTTTCGCAGGCTTTCTTAATGGGATTCCAAGTGAAACCCGCCTTACAAAAACACTGCGGATGAGATTAAAAATCAATTAATTCTCGGTCATTAAATCTTAGTTGTAATTTAATAAAAAAGCAATTAGATAAGAATTGTGAATCTCATCCCGTGTAAGACTTTCGGAACCTAAAGTTGTATTTTTGGTCACGTAATAATCTAGTATATAATTTATGTAACTTCCGCTGCTTGGCATCACGAATTTCCGGAAGCTCTGAATAAAATGGGACTGAAGTATTGTAAAATGAAATACAAGGCTGAAATCTTGAAATTCCTGGGCCATCGCAACTTTTTGGGTTATTACATGGATCGGGGCAATTCCGGTGCATATCTCTCCCCAACATGCACCAATGATAGCGTAATATGAGTGACATAAATTCGTCCTTGTGATAACCTTCCCTTAAGAACTCTGGCGGTCTCGCATCTTTTAAGGTATTGTTAGAAGAGAAGATTTCAATCTCTAAATAACGACTATATATACATAAAAAAATGCTTAGAATGTCCTCTCTTCCTACAATTTTCATCTTTGACACCCTCTTCAACAATTTCTAAAATTTCATGGTCCTTCAAGTCCAGGGCGTTACTCTCACAAGAGAAGAGTGATAAAGGCTCTTCCCCGTAAGCTTTTTTCAATTTGCATACGTCAAAACTATATTCAGAATTTGTCCCGAATACGGTTGAATAGACATAACCAAAAACTTTTTTTTACCACGTTTTTTTAATATTAAATCTTATTAATGAATGGGTAACGGAATCCACCGTAGCGTTTAGCTTATAGATGGCGTCTTTTTTTTCCTTTTAACATGACTTTTTATGAGGCCCCCATTTACGTTTCCCCTACTAATTCCTTTCTCTCTGTCTCTGTCATACCTCCTGCCCCCCTAACGCCCTTGCTTCCCTCTTTCCCCCCCCCACCCTCGCTCTCCCCATTCTGTTTCTCTTCGTCTCATATATACCGACCTTAATAGGTTATATAGACATTTAAATTTATAGTGTTTTTTTTTAAATGTGGTAAAAAAATATATACGATCGCTAAAATAATAGTTTGGTATTCCTATGAACTGAAAATTATAGTAGTGATCCTTTCCCGCGGAAAATCTTCTCTTATCATCCTTTTTATCCCATAAAGCTGTATTCATATTTATTTTAACTTGACCGAACCACGCATCTTTAAAAACAGTCTTAATTTCTCGAAGTTCAAGCACCCTGAATGATCCTTCGTCCTCTTCGGGATAATCTATTATTATTGGAGGGCCTAGGTTGTTGGATTTCTTTAAGAATCTAGGGTTTCTTTGTTGTAGAAATGTTTTTGCCTGTTTTTCCCCAAGGAATTGTGGTTCTACCCAATATAAACAAGTTAATAACCAAGCAAACCGCCAAATTGTCAACATGGTCGTTACGTTGGAAAAGTGAAAAAACAGACCGTTCGTATTTCAAATTGTAGGCTAAATTAACGCGGGAGTATTGATAACGAGACCGGAAACATAACCGTGGCAGTGGCTTTTTTCACCGTGGTTTTTAAATTCGTACACGAACAATTTGAGAAATTTTGACTATTATCACTCAAGAGATCAATCGTTAACATGCAATTGTCCGGTAGTTATTTTTTAAAGATGCCTCTAATCCATATATTAATTTCAAGAGGATGATTACAATTATAATCTTCGTAAATGTTGTTTTTATTTTGAAACAACAGGATTATGTGTTCTAGAGTTTATAAGATGAAATCGAAGAGTGTTACACCAACTAATACAGATTAAATAAATTTTTTATTTAGGTCAAAGGCAAAGGAAACAAGTACCTAATCATGGCTCGTTTCAAGACCCAAATATAATGGATACAAGCGCTCCTCCCCAAATGTCAAACTATGGCAATATGTGTAACCCATATCCGACACCTCCACCACAACAACAACCGCAACATTACCAACAGCCAAGTGGAAATTCATTTTATAATCAAGGTAATAATGAAAAGAGAAAGGGGAACTAACTAGCTAGGAGTATTTAACTTTATATAGAACCGTAAACAAAATTATTTTTATACTATTTCAGAAGAGACTTATAATATGAATGTTCAAGAAGGTATATAGATTAAGAGCATATATTTATTTGTCGATCAATTAATAATCAACCTTATACAATACTTTGATTTGAAATGTTTTATTTACTGACTTTTTAACAAACTTTTGCTAAGTGAAGGCGTGGTTGGCGGTTGGGCTATTTTCAACAAAGCCTCTATCAAACAAACAAAATATAAACTAGAAAATAAATAGTCTTTTATCTCCCTTTCAAGATATGTCAATGATCTATCCATCACAACAACAACAGTCGCAACAACAAGTATTTCCAGGACAGCAATTCGTATCAGATCCAGTAGTTGCTAATGTTGCTATGCAATACGGTTCGCAGTTGGCTGATCAAGGCAAACAATATGTTCATGGTCAAGTAAGCTTTATTCGATTTTCGAAAAAAATTCAATATATTACGCAAAAAAAATTCATTTTTAATAGTTAGAAAAGTACTTTGTTCTTGGAAAACTGCAATATTATTTTGCTGTTGACACTGCATACGTTCTTAAAAAGCTTGGATTGTTGATATTCCCTTTTGCACATAAAGTAAGTGTAAATAATTGATTATAATTTAGTTTTCATTATTATAAATAAATAATAATGATGAAATAATATTGCTGATTTAACAAAACTTTGATTACTCTTTAGGACTGGCTTCGTAAGACAAGTCAAAACGAAAAGGGAGAGGAAACTAAAGCACCGCCTCGTTTAGACGTCAATGCTCCTGATTTATATATTCCAAGTAATTGAATGAACGAACACTAAAAGCGTTTATCTATTTCTTTTCTTTTCTATTTACCTTTATAGCGATGGCATTCGTTACGTATATACTTTTAGCCGGATTTGCATTAGGAACAAAAAACAAGTTAGTTGACTAATAATTCCGTTACTTAATTCAGTTATCTCTTTCAAATTACATACTTATAAATATATATTATAAAATTTCCACTAGATTCACGCCAGAGGATTTAGGAGTTACAGCTAGTACTGCAGTTGTGTGGTTATCTATTGAGATACTCTTATTACTATTTATAACTTATTTATTACACGTCTCTACAAGGCTTAGTTATCTTGATTTGTTTTCTTATTGTGGATATAAATATTTCGGGTAAACTATAAAAACAAAGAACATATCTACCTCTACGTACGTGTATTATATACTTTTAAACGTTTTGATCATTTTTACAGAATGTTAGTAGTCATAATATTTGGGCTTTTGTTGGATTCAACCGGATATTACGGTGCATTGTTATACACAGGCACTACTTTAGTATTCTTTTTGGTAAATAGCATTTTAAAGATTCATTATTTATTCAAATTAATTTATTTGAGAAATTAAATTTAATCTTTTTCTTTTTTTTCCCTTCTCTCTATCTCTATCTCTCTCAAGGTGAGAGCCTTGAAATTTGATATCTCTGGAAGAGAAAGGAGAAGTTCGTTATACGTTTTATTCGTTATCGCTCTCTCCCAGCCAGTCTTTACTTGGTGGCTTACAAGACATTTAGTTTAAAAAATGTATTGGCTTATTTATATATGTTTCTTTCCCGTGTATAAATATAATGAATAAAGAAAAAGAAATATCGATCCTTTTAAATATAAGAATTTAAGAAAGCGTGGCAATAAATAAATGATATTCTTAATATAAAGAGGAAAGAAGTCAAGAAACAATACAAAGTATCCTATAGATGTCGCTTAATAAACTATAAATATTTTATTTATCATTTTTCTTGTATATAGTTTAATTATGTTTCCTTAAGATATTCATAGCTAACGATGTATTCATTCATTTTCAAGCATTTGTGTGAAAAATTTGCATAATATACTACAACATTTACATTGAAAAAAAAAGATAAACAAATATAAATTTATACATGTATCATTTTTTTTGTCGCTGCTGATATTTTTCAGTGTTTTTTCTATTAAAAAAGATGAAACTAACAAAAATAATGATCAAAATAAGTACAAATGTACAATTTACAATGTACTTTTTTTTTATATGTTATATCTACAGTACATTCGATAGTGTATAAATAGATATTATACAGAGTATGTAATAATATGATAAATTTATTGCATGATGTAAAATGGAAACAAAAATTGAGAGGAGAATCATTTAAGAAGTTTGTTAGCCCTTTTATTCGCATCTGAAATGCGAGCGTAATTCGAAGAACCCTGCAACGTAAAACGATTAAATATCGACTTAACTGGAAGGAGATTAAAAAGTACAGTAATATATAGTATATACATATATTTATTTAAATAAAATTTCTACGTTTGTGCTATATATAATGGAATAATAGCGAATTTACTAATGCTATTAATCCTAATTTTCTCAATTTTAAAGATAAATACAATAGAAGATGGATTAGGATAGCTCTTCTCATTTTTTTTTTTACCTTTTGATTAATTCTATCAATTTGCTTATTCTGTGATTCCAATTCGCTGCCCATATCGACGGCCATATTCCTAAGATTGCTAATCATTCCACTCACTTCCATCATATTTTGTTCCATTTCGTCCTCGCGAGCATCGTTTGTGATTCGTGTGATGAAATTACCGGTCATTTCAGCACCCCCATCTCCCACTATTACTCTTGGACCATTCGTGTTGACCTAGACGGATATTTGAATTACGTGACTTGGAAATAGCGTCTAAAAAAATGTGACTGATCGCTCATAGGCTTCTCCCAACCCTCATGCGCTAGCCCTTCATCGGAATGCGTTTATAATCTAATCTCTCTTACTCTCCCATTAAGGAGAAGAATAGAGAAGAAAGAACTAAAGGATGAATGTTATAAATTTATACAAATCAACTGCAAGCGTAAAAGAGGAGTATTGAATTATTTATTTTCCATTTTCCTGCTCGGCGTTTAATTGAAAATTAATGAGGCTTCCGTTCATTTTTACCTAAACTAACATCTCATAGAATCCTAAGCTTTTAATAAGAAATAGTTACAACAATTTCAAAATGAGAGAAAATGGCCTAGTTGTTTAGAGGATAAGGAGGCGGGAGAGAAAATGTGGGCGGTAATAGGAGGGAATACTATAGAGATAAAATGGGACAGTAAGAGAGAAAGAGAAAGCGAAAGGGAGAGAGAGAGAGAGAGAGAGAGAGATGGAATGGTATAAGGGAGGGAGGGGCAACGGGGACGGAACGGAACGGAAAACGACAACTAAAAAAAAATCAATGTAAAGACAATTTAAGCCTTTTGTATTGAAACCGTTTTAGCTCATATTTTTTCATCAAACGAATTAAAGAGGAAAGAAAGAGAGAATACAAAATTTTTGCAGGTCCTTTTTCCTTTTTTTTTGTTTAATATCCAGTTTACTATTTACAGTATTGGTTTACCAAGAACGTGACTATAGTTCTTTTTTAAGGTTGTTATAAACGCCTTCTACGTTGGCAATTAGCTTTGGAAATGATACTAAACAATAATAAATTGCATTCTAGGGTATAAAAGTGTATCGGAAATAAAAAATGACGTATTTGCTAATATTTCTCTTATATCTTATTTCTTTTATTTTTACCTGCTACATTTTCAATTATATAAGGGTATTTATTAAACTATTGACAGAATTCTACATGATTTAACCGTTTTAAAGGCCGAGAAGCGTGTAAATAAGGGAATTACTCCTATAATTGTTGACTTTCGAGTCGGTAGGTATCGCTATTACAGTTACTCTTTTTCTTTTGATACATTGAAACCAAGACCTATATCCTCCATCTTTCTTAGAGCTTTCCTAACAGTTTTCTATTTGCCCACTCCATTGCGTAAATTATGATATATACTGGCTGATATTCAAAAGATAAAATGGTTCCCTTAGCTAGTTTTAGATGGGCGTCGGCTCTTAAAAATTTGCAAATTTTCCTACATTAAACCACTTTGATATTCAACTCTTGCCGACCGCATTATGCAAAGTCTCTCTCCAACCTTTCTACTTTCCGCCTCCAAAATACTCCTACACATCCGGTTTGAATAGAATAGTAAATGGTGCAAAGACGTATGGACATGTTTTATTTATTATGCATGTAGAAAAAGAGCAAAAAAAACATCCTACCTACTCCCAACAACCGCCCCTCCCTTCTTTCTTTCTATATACTGCTCTTTCTATTCGACCTAATCATCTTTTCTCTCCTGTTTTTAACGATTGTCTAATGTTGTATGTATAGCATAAGTTATTAATTATGACAACATTTTGACTAAGGAAAGTATTGATAATGAATTATTTATACAAAATGATTACGTCATGTCGTCAATTTTTATTTCTATCACCTTGTTCATTCTAACTATCTCTTTATGCCTCTCTTAATAGATTAAATTTAAATGAATTACCATGTCGTTCTTGCACGCTTCCGATCGATTGGTGGAGTAAAAAAAGCTAAAGCCTACATCACCCCCGGGACCATCCCTTGGGTTCCATGCATATAATTAACTCTATTACCTGGCCGTCTTCGTTAGCTTTCCATGTATTGTTATAATCCGATCCTCTTTCGAAATTTTTCGCTCTTTTCCACGGTAGAACACATAGACCGCAACATTTTTCCATACCCTCGAGGTTCTTTTCCGCGTCGCGCATATCGACGTTGATTTGATCCATTCCTTCTTCGATGTGTTCCAATTGTTCTAAGATAAAGAGACACGAATTTGTTTTGTTTCCTTTTTTTAAGATACTTATTAAATATTCATTTGGAGCGTCACACTTTCTCTCTAATACAATTTCTCAATCGGTTCAGCTTGTCGTCAATAGGCCCGTGCATATCGTTTCTTGTTTAATTATGTTGAATAATTCATAATTTATTTACCTCCTTGTTCGTCGAGCATAACGAGTGTTCGGATACCGGCGTCTTTGCTCTTGATGTTAGAAGATTAAAAGATTAATTGGGTCAAACTATAATATAGATTATCCGAACCTCTTCGCACATTTCCAGTATGCGTTTCGTGCTCTCCAGCGACTGAAAAATTATTCAAAAGAAACCGGAAGTTAGGTTTGTGTATGAAAAATAAAAGAAACGAGCTATTTGAATTAGGAAGATAAATAGAACCTGCTGAGTTCCATAATGGATGTCGAGTTGTAGTTGTTCAGCTTCCGTTGGAGTTCGAGGTTTCTCTCTCTCCTCAGCTTCAGCATTCTGTGGCCTATCATTGCCAGTCATTCCAACTGCATTGTTCGCCGTCAACTGCAGCGCAATTGCAGTCGTTTCACTCTATATAACTACGCGCCGTTAGATCAATCGATATTGAGAGCGTCCCGCGCCGCCGACTGATCGAGTGCGAAAATCACCGAAAGCGTTTCTTTTGACGTCTCTGAGCGTTGCAGACAAACAGAGCAAATAGAAGAATTGTTAGAAGACGAGTAGAAATATTGCAGAAAGAGAAGTAAATAGAAGTAGAATCAGCTAGAAGATACAAATAGAGAGAGAGAGAGAGAGAGAGAGAGAGAGAAAGATCCTAGAGAGAACAGACAGTAAGAAAATGAATGAGAAAACAGAAAAAAAGTACTTAAGTACTTTGCTCTCCTACTATCAAAAACAACCAGCGTCGTTTAACTCTTGTCTGACGTCTCTTTCCTACAACTAGCGACGTCTCTCGGACCGAATATTTTATCAGTTATCATCATTGATCTATTTATCAAAGGCCGACAAGTTATTTTTTACCCTATTTGCCAAATCCGTAAGGATAAGCTCTACTATCTAGTCAGAATCTGTATGTATTTATGGTCCGATTTATTACAACCATATTTATTAATGTCAAACGCACATAATTGATAAATTCAAAGCCTATAAATATTTATATGTAATTATGGAAAAAAGGGATCGCATTTGTAATATGTTTGTATTTCGCATAGCAAATTCCTTTCGATTTATACAAAATATACTCAAAAATTACATATAACTGTATAATAATAATGAACATTAGTCTTTTAAGCTGTAAATTTATTCATTTATGCATAAACTATTGTCTTTTATGTATAATTTTAATATATAAAATGTATATGTAGTATATATATATATATATAACGAACGTATTAGTATATAGTATTAGACAAAACTTTCAAAAGATAAATCTAACAGTGTTATATAAACTGTAATATAATTAAGGCAGGTGGTTAATGCATTTTATTCTCTTTCTACTTTAAGGAAACACGGGGTAATTAACGTAAATTACAACGATTCAAACATTTTCAATTAACCTGCCCAGGTTTAAATTTATTATATAAGATCTTATGTAATTGCTCGCTGGCGTTCGTCACTGTTTAAAATCACTTGGTAAATCGTAGGCTGAAATAAACGGTTTTTTTACCACCTTTTCTTTTATTCTCCTACTTAAACTTATCTGCCCTGTGAATGAGGCAATGGGGAGAGAGAGGAAGAGAGGGAGGGAGGGAGGGAGGGAATAAACAAATGAATGAATGAAGAAGAAGTAGAAGAAAAAAGAGATAGAATGTGTATGCGTACGTGATGAATGAAAGAGATTTCTATTTAACTGTAAATTAACCACAATGAATATCCTTATAAAAGTAAATACAACAAAGGAGAACGACTATTGTTTTCCTTTTGTAGCAGATTATAGACATATAAATGAATATGTATATGTAGTGCCCTGTATATAAATTATAATTGTTATTCTGTATGTCGTATTTATCACATCTCATTAATATTAATAAGCTAGCACGCCCGTGAAAAATATTCATATCAACCTTTTGAAAATATTGAATTGAGAAACATCTGGCCATTCGCTATGACGTATTAAAAAACTTAACTGGGAGAAACTATTTTAAGCGAAAATGTCTCTGGAAGGAGGCGATCTGGGACTGGGTAAGGGCTTAAAACCTGGTGGAATCCCCGTGGACATTCCTAAGGAAGAAGAGCAAAAGACTAGAAATATCCGACTTAAAACCTATAAAACCCTGTATGGTGGCAGAGTAGAGGATAATTCGATTTCTAAAGGAGATGACCTCTTAATAGGAACCTCGCTTAAACAGCAAAAGAAATTGTTCGAGAGACAGGTGGCGCAACTAAGCCTGCCTGGATTGAGCAGGGATCATCACCAATACGGATTAATAGATCAGAGTTTGTATATCATTTGGGAAATTAGGCCTATATAAGGGGAGAATTCGCTATGCTAATATCGATTGAAAGAATTATGATGCACTGAACTCTTGGGAATAGTAGTGAATAAGGTTTCTAATTAGGTTATGTTTAATTAGACAAAAAATATATAGTGAAATAAGTAAACTATATATAAGCATATATATATATAATAATATCTATATATATATATAAATATATATGCTTGAGTAAGTAAAGTGAAAATGCTATAAATCCTAAAGATGTATAGATGAAAAGAATAAATAAAAGGGAGAAAAAAATAAGGGAATGTATACTATAATAGAGTTTAATAATAACATAATAAATATCGTTTCTCTCCCTCTAACTCCCCCTTTCTTTTTCTACTATAATTATTCAACTAGGGAACGTCTCTAAAATAAACATTTCAGTTCTCACCCTTTCCTCATTTCGTTTCTTCTAGTTATTTTTGTACAGTTTATAAATAGAAATAAATTATTCCTTATTTATTTAGCGAAAGATGGAAGAGGTAATCAGAGTGAAGAAGATTCCATTGCAATTCAAGATAAAAACGTTCAGAGGAAACTGTACGAAGCTCAATGGGAAATCGAACGCTTAACGCAAGATTTAGAGATATGCAAGAACCAGTTGGACGCCAAATACAAATCCATTAAACTCCTCCAGAACCAGGTTTTCCTTATAAGCTATTATTTACTTGACTTCGAATTTATATATTCTTGCTTTAAACGCTATTTATGTTATCTCTAAATCAAATCTCCTTAATTCCCTTCTCTCTTTCGACATTATAGGCAAGCATTTACCAAAGTCAACATTTTGAATCGTTAACAAGTACGAAAACCATTGTACAGCATCTTCAAAAGGTTACTTTCCTTAACATAATTTATACATCATATTAAAAAGTAAATTATAGCGAATTAGCTCTTGTTACAACTGCCCCCCTTCCATATGCTATTTTGTGATGAGTTCTATTTAAAATAGGAAGTCAACAGACTGCAATTCGAACTGGAATTACGTCAATCAACATTAATCGGAAGCCAAGAAACTTGGCGGGAGAGATTTGATAGAGTTTGTAAAGAGAATAGTGCTCTATTCGGTATACTAGCACAAGAGAGGAGAGAAGTAGAAGAATTGAGGCAAAAGAATAGAGAACTTGAAAGGCAAACAGATGACTTAAAACAGGTCTTAAATGATAGGGAAAAGAAGAGATTTGAATTTCTTGAAAGGGCCCTAAGCACCGAGGAATCGGACGATGAAAAGCCATTTACCGCCGAAGAACTAGCCGTTTTAGGTACATGTAATTGTAGATTGGATAAAAAGGAGCCTTGTCGTTGCGCAAAGACTTGCGTAACACTGCATAGAAGATTGGATTCCTGTCGGAGTCAAATCTTCTCTATCAAACAACAAAGGATGGAAGCGTTACTATCAGTAGACGCATATCGGCAAGCTTTTGAAGAGCAATTGAACAGGAATGAAAAACTTTTAAGAGACTGTTCAAAGACAATTCAACTACCTCCTCTCGCCAGGGAGAATGTTTTACAATTTTTAAGATGTATTAAACATATAGATAACACAACAAAAAACAATGATGACAATCCATTAGATAATGTATCGGATACTGATATATTCACCATACTTATAGAAATGGTAAAAATTAACTTCACAATATTTTCAAAGTCGAATTAAACTATTTTCTATTCCTTTCTATTTAGATATCTGAGAGGAATGAAGCGTTAGCCAATCAAAGACTGGCTGTGAAGATACTCGGCACTAAGGTTCAAGAGTATGAAAAACTTTTAAAAGGAAAAGAGCAAACTAATGTGATTAACATGAAGAGTCTTGTATAGACTCTGTTATTGATGGTTTCTTAATAAATATCCTTTTGTATATAACTTTAACGGAATATAATATCTAGATTTAAACGCCTTCGTGTTTATAATAACGTTTAAATCGTTTCGAATCGGGTCTTTTGCCATCATTATTTCTACTTTCGATTTCATTCTTCATTTTATATAAATTGCTTATTAAAGAATAATTCTGAAAATTGAAGATGATCTGATCATTATTGCTTTTATGTAAACAACATCAATAGGACATTTCAGGCTCTTAAACATAACATTATATAGGAGAATAGTTTTTTTTCTATATACACGTTAAGTATCTCTGCAAAAAGAACCTTACCTTGATTGTTTCTTCTTGTTGTGTAGTTATAGTATCGAATTTAATTAAACATAACAACAAAGTAGTGCATACTGTATAGATATAAAAAAAGAAGGCGATAACAAAGCAAAATGCCATAGAAGCAAGGCTATAATTGAAATTTTTGAACAAAACGAAAGTAGATTCTAAAGGCTATAATTTATTACGTAACAGCAAATATAGTGTGGAAGTGTCATTGTAGCTTAGATCAAATGATTACATAAATAAGATCAGGCGTAGAGAAAGCGATTTAATGATAGTATTTTTGTTTTTATTATTTAAGAGAGTGTCATTGGTTTTCCTTCTATTTCTTCTACTTTTTCTTCTTTCTGTCTTTCTTCTTCTTCTTCTTCTTCTTTAAATTAAAGGTCAATGTTTTATCAGTTTTATTTAAAAAACAAATAACAAAAGAGTCAAGTTTTTGTTCTTTTTACTTTTCTTTACTTCTAATGATTATGTACTTTCATCCAACATTGCAATTATTTACTTTAACCATTGACTACAGATTAATTAACGACTTTAATTAACTTTCATTTCTATTGAAATTGTTTAATATGTTTGTTAAAAGTTTTAACTAAATCAAATACTTTGAATACTTGTTTTTGAAATGTCACAAATTGATTACAAAAAGCTCGAAATATGACGTAAATAAAGGAATGTTCGAAAAATGACGTAAATAGAGAAACGTTCGAAAATGACGTAAAGTAAGGAATGTTTCACAAAAAGCAAAAACTAACCTTATATATGAGAAGACAAGATGGAAAAGAAGAAGAATAAGGATATTAAATTTATTTAAGTATGTTACTTAAGATAGATAGCTTTTTTTTCTCGAATATTTCATAACTTGATTTTAATAGGGTTACATTTCCTTTTACATAGAATGTATTAAGCTCTAATTGTATATGAAAATTTAATTTGGAAACTGGAAATGTTTAATACCTAAACTATAAAACAGAAGTTTCTTTTATTAAATATGTTATTAAAATATAGCTTTGCATCTTGTAATAGTTATTTACGAACCAAATAGAAAATGACCAATTTAGCCTTTCTTTCGCAAACTGGCTTTATCCTTCTGATACTAATTGATTTTTAACGACCTGGGGGACCATTTCAGTAAACTTCCTAAAGCAATTATTTACATTTAGAAAAAAATTACTAATTGGAAAGAATATATTAGGATCCTGTGGGCTTAGTTAATTTTTTTTAAATAGACATAGGATATACACGATCGTACCATAATAAAGCCAGAAATAGAGCTATTACTCTCTATTTACTTCTAAGGCTGTTATTACTTATGCTATAATTATTAAGGAATATTTTAACCGAGATCGTTTCTCAGCAGGCAAACATTTTTGACAGGCAACGTGATACAGTGTTCCATTACATAACAACTTGAGAAGCTACTTTCCAGGGACACTTAGTAAATTAAATCTTCTCTTTGTTGTCCTGTTCGCTTGGATAAATAACGCCACCTGTTATTCTTTCTATTTTGATTAATTTTTAGATAAGATCTATTTTTGGAACATCTAAATATAATATCCCTAATACCATCAACTTTATCGCTAATTAGCAATCGTTGTATCTAATTGGGTGCTATCTTTGAAATCCAATATATAACCTTTTTTCGTCTTTGTTCAATTAATATTTTTTTTTCAAAGAAATTAGATAATTAATGACTAATTTTAGTTTACCAAAAATAGACATCCAATCTTTTTCCTGAGAGATAACAGATTTTTTCCATTTTATAACATATTTATTAGAGTTTAGTATTAATTAAATAGTCTCTCTTAAAAAAACAACGGTTGGGTATTTTTACACTATAATAGGGAAAAAATAGTAATTTATAGGAATAGCCGACTGTAGAATGAAACCTTTTACATTAGTTGAACGAGGATTGTATTGTTTAAGAGAGAGAGAGGTAACAGTGAGAAAGTATTCAAGTATACCTCTGATTAAATTGTTTTCATTAATTATCTATCATTCTGCTAAAACGAATTATTTAAATAAACAAATCCTAAAGAGCTTTTTCTTTTTATAATTAAAACAATTGGATTGCAGGCTTTACGTTTTAATTATAGAATAGTATTTGAGAACGAAAATTGCATGATAAATTTGATAGAAACTGCATAATTTGGGTTCTAAATGCTATTTTAAATACTTCTGGACTGCAGCCTAACAGTGTTCTTCTCATTTACGAATTTTTTATTCATCATGGATTGTACTGAGGTATTGTAAGCATGAATGTTGTAGCCTTGAAAAGGAAAATGAGGAAAGCTGAATAAACTAATCAGCTTAAATCTATGAATTCTATTAGACTTATATCGTTACAGTTGTTATCTGCATGTCCTTAATTTCCATATTTTACTCCCTTTCCCCAATTTACGTCTGTCCGCTCTCTGCGGGTAAAAATACTGAATACTAAAAACTAAATCAAACATCGTAAGTGCCAAATTAAGAAATTAAGTTAAAAAAAATTAAGTTTAAAATACTAAGTCAGTAACTGAAAAATCAGTAATATTTAACTTTATCATGTAGTTATCGATGGTAGTGCAATACAGGAGAAATCAAACGTTATCTAATGAAGATATATTGAATATTAGTATGAAAAGAATGTGTTTATTTTCTTGGTTCAATACTCAAATTTTGCTGATTTGCGCAACATGTTGGTTGGTCGTTGCCGTAATCCTTGTAGCAATGGTCTTTTACAAACATTAAAGCATGAAGGACTCTCTAAATTAACTTAATAATAAAATTTATTTTATTTTCAAAAAATGTCCAATTTATCGTATTCCAAATTTTTCTTTCAATCGATCTTCTTCATCCTTCTTGTCTTGAAGTTCTTTCCTGCAATAAAGTTTTGCTTATAAAACACAAAAGGATTTTATTATAAGTATAAACCAACTCAGCCAAGGGGAGGTAATTTTCTATTTTTTTTCTGATGTGAGTTTGCCCGTCCTGATCTAAAGCCAAAAGAAATGGTCCCAATAAATGAGCCTTTCTGATCATTTTATCGAGTAACGACGTCGCCATTTTATATCTGACGCCTTGCTGCTACAAAATTAATTTCTTAATAAGGTTGTCAATGAGCTATTACCTGCCCTACCTTAATATCATCTACTTGATTACCATCAATAATTTTTAATTCCTGCAAACGTGTTAAGAATAAACCTTGCAATTCCAAATGCTCTGTCAAGTACACTAAATTTCTCTCTAGTGTAAGTTTAAACACTTCATCGGAGTATTCTTTATGACTTTTTCCGGACATATTATGAAAAACGAAGTTTCTTAAAGCTGTATAGCATGAGCGATAATGCGTGGGAAATTAACAAATATAAGTTCAGTGTCCAGACAAATTTCAAGGACGTATAATACAATTTATCACTTAAAAAACAAGTGTTATTTTAATATTCAAAATTTATTAAATAAGTGGCTTTGTAAAAATCCACATAAAAGTAATAATCCATGATTTTATTAGTTGAAAAGTTCAGTTTTGCGTCTTGTACGAAAAACAAAAGTAGAAGTTATACAGTATAAAGACAATGAAAGCTCGTATACTTTTTAAATTTATCATATAACAACAATGTGGAATAAGAAAGAAACTGTAATATGATCTGGTGCTATCTTGTTATTGTCCAAACTGCTGTTTGATAGCCTCCCTTTGTTTTTTTCTATCATTGACTATTCTCCTGGAAACAAAGTTATGATCAACTTATTAATAAAGATAAATTTTAACAGATATAACAGAAAACCAACTGTGCATCTGGTAAATACTCTGTGATATTTTCAGCCAAGAATTTTTGATTGTCATCAAATAATGCTAACACGAACTGAGGTAAATGATGACTGTTCCTAATAAGTATATCCATTAATTTAGACGCTTTACGAAATCTAGCTCCCCCTGACTAAAACAAGTGTGTTTATAGTTGTAATATTTAATATTTGTACTTTAAATATCTACTTCAATTTCTTCTTTCTCGAGCTGGGTAATAACTCCCCTCGCCAATAATCGGTTGAGTAAAAGGCTACCGTCTCCTATACCTAATTTTTCTGTAATGTCGACTAACTTTCTTTCAAGCACAACCTTATAGGTTTCTGGTGAATAAGTCATTTTCGCCATTAGCTATTTTGCTGCAGTGCAACACTGGGCGATAATATGAAGCAAATTGTTATTATATATTCCAGTGTCCACTATCAAACTCACCAGAAACTTGTTCAAAAAAGGCAGCTGTGCTATGTTACGAAAAGACTAATCTGCAAATTAGTTTCTTTATCGTTTAAGTGAAGAGACCAATGTCATTAAGTCTTAATAAAAAAATAAAAGACTCATGTTTATTAAGACTATTTTCCCTTTAATATAATGAGATTTTAATGTTTTAAATCGAAAAAGCCTTTTTTGTCAATAAAAGATCAATACGAAAAAAAAACTATTTAGTGTGTATAATATGACAATTTAAATAAGCTGCAATCGACTCAATAAAATGGCCTTTTATCTAGAGAGAGAGATTAAACGAATGTCGCTTAGGAACGAACTGACGCTGTATAGATTTCCAGTCTGTTAGATTGATAGACAGTTTTTTATTCGTAATGAATTCAAAACCGAGAGTAAAGGTGAGCTGTTAAGCAATAATTTTCATTATTTTATATTTAATTAAGTTTAAAAAGTTTGAAGATTAAGTTAAAATTATTTAGAAAACTTTTTCCCGTTTAAAAAACGAGAGAATAGAGCAAGAAAAGTTAGGAGATATTGTCCAGACGAAGTGTTAATTACAATTTTACATAATTCAATTGACTTGTTCTAATTAATTACCCCATTAAACTTACTCTTAGTCAATTAATTCGAATTATGGTTAACTTTATATATACTCATGTACAATACACATATATAATCATCTATTCCCTAGTGTTTGTTGGCTTTCAGGGTCAGTTATAGTTCAGTAGTTGATATGCTCTAGTCTTTTACCATAGATTCCTATTAGCTCTTTTTTGTAATTTATTATTCTTTCTTTGTTAGCCTTAATACCATTTGTATTGTTATTAATTTTGCATTAACACTTTCAGTCGACCAGAGGAAAAGGTAAAGGATCAAAACAAGTAAGTTAATTTTTTAGTCCTCATTAATATTCAGTTTACCGTCAAAAATTATTATTTTTCAATATCCTTTAGTCTTATGTTTTGTTTAATTTTTTATCCCAAGCCTTAAGGGGAATTAATTTTAATTTAATATTCAAAATTTCGCGCCACCGGAAGAAATCTTTATTATTTAAGGGAATAATATTTAAGTATTAAATGTTGAAAAACATAACTTTGTAAATATCAAACTTGGAAATTAATAGTTAAAAAGCAAGAAAATATTATAAATAAATAGTATTTTTGAAGTTAATATCTTAGTAGTCTCCATAGAAACGGAGACAGTAAATAATGTCTGAGAAACGATCGACGTCCGTAGCTAAAAAGCATAGTGTTTCCCAGAAAATCAAGCGAAAAAAGCACGAAACTGATGCCTTTAGGGAAGAGGTTAATAGTGTTTATATAAATTTTCTTCTTGATTAATACTTTACAAGAGTTAATTAGAAAATTTCCAAGAAATACTAAACGCTTACTGTTTAAGTTTAAATAAGTTATATTGTCTTATTAACAGGATATTATAAAGGAGTCGTTAGCCTTCAAAGTTCTTTCGGAGGAGATTACAAAAGAATGCCTAGAATGTAGCGACGTTTTAAAGATAGAAGAGTAAGAGAATTTAGCAATAATTTTTCTTTTCTTTTTCTTACAAGTATAAAAGATATAAAAAGATTTAAAATTGTTGCAACAGAAAATTACTTGACTTTCTCAAATTACAACAAACACATATTGATTTAAAAGAAGGATCAGCTCTCGATTACTATGTTGGACTAGTTTGGTTTGCCAAACAACAAAAATATAATGCAGAACAAACGTCAGCTCTTTATACCGTAGGTCATAATTTATTCGATAATATTCAAGGTAAAAACAAGTTCTAAATTGTAAATAAAAAAAATTTAAATGAGCTTTTTAATTTATTCTTAAAGAAAAACACATAAGCCTAGTTGAGAATTTAAAAGAACTTAAAAAGTACTTTGCCGGAATAGCTATGAATGACACTGTCGAATTATCTGGAGGATTAGAATGTTTTGATTTAAATCAAGCTAAAGATATTCTAACTTTTTTAAATATAACGTAAGTAAACCTCTTGATAGGCTAATTAACATTTTCGAACTGCAAATATTCTCATATATTTCTTTCTGCTATTTTACAGCATCTTTCAACATTATCGATTGTACGAGTATATGTTTTGCTGCACTCAGGCAGAAGAAATAATAGGTCTTGATGTAGGTATAGTTTTGAACTAGTATATGAACTAAGTGTATACTTAATAAACAACTTTGTTTTTTCTAATTGAAGTTAGAGGTTGAAGTACCTAAACCGGCAACTCTACCCTGGCCAGCTCCCCTAGACGAAGCCGTTGATGAATCTCTATTTAAACAGTATATAGCCCCGCCTCCAGAACCAACGCCGGAACCTGAATTAAGTGAAGAAGAATTAGCAGCTCTTAAAGCGGCCGAAATTGAAAAGGATATTGAAACGGCGAAAAGAGAAGACGAACTCCTAAGTCAATTGCAACCTGAGGAAATAAAAAAGATTATTTCTGAAGTTTTCGAAGAAGTTGTTGGAACCGTCGATCACCAGGTTGCTGAAAAATTAAGAGAAAAAGAGAATCAATTCATTCAAAGGATAAATAAAATACATAAAGTATTATAGAGAAAGCTGACTATTTACTTTAAATTTATTCAGTTAAGATTTATAAAAGGATGAGAATAATATGAATGTGAAATAATAAAAAGTTATAAGTTTTTGTAAGTTCTTTATTCCTCCATCTCTTCCTCCTAGGAAGGATACTCTGGCAATGACGATTGACTACTTGTGTTATAATTTGTTGCTTTATTATAATGTTCCCACAGCTCCTTAACTATTTCAGTAACGATCAAAGAGTTTGTATTCGAACCAATAATTCTTAAGATAAAGACACCATCTACCGCTAAATAATTAACGGCGAATCTCCTAAGGTTTTCATCGTCACTAAGAACTCGGTATTTAGTAAATTTAAGATGCTTGTTAACGTAGGCAAGTTGATTTGTTACGGCAAAGCTAAAGTGTTTAACAAATGAAATGACTAAGATGAATATAACAACAACAATCCAAAACCAAATGAATAAGAATAATTTCTCGTTAAATAAATTTATAGGTAGAACGCATTGAACTGTATATCTTTGAACATTACCAACAACTCTAACTTTTAGATCGCACATTGTTACTCTTGGAAATGTTATCGAACCACTTGATTCTGTATTATAAATCAAATTTTTCAACTCTCTTAAGCCATACATGTAGAAATTGTGATTCAGGAAGTAGTTGAGGGCGATTATTTGAAGGCAAGCGTTTATTATATATAAAGCTTTTGTTACTAAATAACAAGCTACTAAATATGTTCCTCTTTGTCTGCTACAGCAGAAACAACTGCAAGCAATTAGATTCTTTAAAGAACATGTCATATCCTTACTAACTTCTCTTCTGGCTCTTACATATCTTGTAAACATTTCAATAATATAGTCTAAAGTTTGTTTTCTCTTTTCCTGTTTTCCAATATGCTCAAAGTTTTCTGCCTCTTCTACTATAGATTCTATATCGATACCTGATTTTGTGTTCATAGCCCTCCAGAATAAAGCAGGTATGAAAAAGAAAAAGCCCATTACTAAAAACATTATCGGTACCCATTGATAATACTCGATATGTCTTTGTCCAACGTCTTCATTGGGTTTTGGAATAGATTTATCGAAAGGTAGGTAGTAGGTATTACTCACCCAACAATAGCTATTTGTATAAGCTTCCCATCCATCACTAAAATGAGCAGGTACCCAACAATTTATAGTTTCACCTACCAAATTGGTTCCAGTAACCACAATTGAAAACACTAAGAGAATAGCAGTTGTATAAGTATGCGATAGTCTATCAGAATTCTCTTCATCCCTTCTCGCAGTTGGAAAGGCAACATTACCAACAACACTAACAACTTTCTCCATTCCTTATTAAAAAGTTCTTAAATGTACGATTATATCTTCTATAAAGCTTTTAGTTTCTTTTCTTTTTAATGAAAAATAACAAAAATTTTCTAAGTGCTTTCACGAACAAAGTAAGGTTATCGAACTAGGCTTGCTATGTTGAACAGTAAGTATTTAAAATGTTTTTCACATGCATTGTAGAATTTCCGGTTCTGTCTCTGTTTAGTATTTGAAAAATTTTTATATATATATCTGAGGAGAGTTCTTTTTAAAAGTTTTAAAAAGTATGCTCTATTCACCTATTCACTGAATGGAGCATTTGAATATTCGGTTACCAGTATGAAATAGGCCAAATGTATTATGATAGACGCATTATTACGCCAAGATTTTGAAGATTCATAATGATAAGAATTGATAAATAGAATAAAAGGTAGCAGAGGAAAAGCAGGGAGAGAGAAAGAGCTCCAGGGTTGATTTTAGTAAGGGACAAAGGAGACTATATTTAATAATATATCTATAGATATACAATATATACTGTATATATTATATATTCAAATATTTCTCTAATGGCGAAAACAACTTGTTTTATTTTTTTAAAATGCTTTTTAAAGTCATTTATTCAGACAATCCTTAGTCTAGTTTATTATGAAATTTTGACCTCAGGGCAAAAGGACCTATAACTAAATAAATATGCTAATATTATTCACTCAATAACCTTTAAAAATGAAAAGCGCATCCTCTTCCCGTTTTCAAATAAACTATAGAAATAAATAGAGTGCATGATGAATCATTTCTCTTCACCCTCTTCTATCTTTTTTTTTTTTTCTTCTTTTTAGCAGATAATTGTTATCTAGGATAAATAAATAGATTTTGGTATTTTGTAATATTTATTTAGAATCCTTAACAGAATGATAACGGTAAAGAAAGAATAACATAATAAAAAATGAACTTTTATATTATCGTCACATCCGTTTTTTTTTGCTATTAGACGCTTTTTTATTTTGTTCTTAAACAATCGCCTCTTGATTATTAGAATTTGAATTAATCTCTTCATATTTTCTTTTATACAGTAATTTAGCTATATCGGACGTTACTAAAGAGTTTGTATTGCTATTGATCATCTTTAGCACTAATGCTCCATCCTTGTGAATATATTCACAAAAATCTTTTAGATTATCTTTGTTTTTAACCCCTTCTAGAAGATTATGAACGTATCTCTTTCTATCTATAAATGATAAGGCAAGGAAGAGCCATCTTATAAAGGAGAAAGCTTGAAGAACAATTGCAAAAATAATCCAAATCCATATAAAGATGAAAATTTTTTCATTAAACAAATTAATTGGTAATACACATTGTAAATTGACGTCATTTATAGTTCCGAGGCGTCTAACTTTGAAATTACACATTGTTACTCTAGGGAAAAATTTTGATTCTGCTAAATCGTTTCCATTGCTCATGTCATAAAGAGCCTTGAGAGAATATGAACTAAGATTAAATCCCAGCATGTAGCTCACCAGAAAAAATTGACCAATAGAACTTACTAAATACAATACTTTAGTTATAAGATAACACGTTATCATAAAATTTCCTCTAGCCCTATTACTTAACACGCAAAGTATCTGCAAAATCCAGTGTTTTCTCGCTAGTTGATTATTAACAAATTTCTCAAAACAAAAGCAAATCGCCTCTAATTCCTTGTCATCTGCAGTTGATTGGTACTCTTTAGCGGCTTTGATAAGAGGCGATAGGGCCACTCCTGACTGTGAATTTACCCAACTCCATAAACAACTTGGCAAATAGAAGAAAACACACATAGCGAACAAATACAAAGGAACCCATTGATAATATCGTAACGTTTTATCTTCACGATACAATTCATCTTGAGGGATATCTTCATCAAAGGGTAATGGATAAGTTCCTTTAACCCAACAATAATTATCTGCGTATTTCTTCCAACTTCTAGCAAAATACGCCGGAGCCCAACAAGCAATTGGATCACCAACGTACTAGAAATTATAAAACAATTAATACAAATTTATAGAAGAATTTCATTCCATTTTCCAGTTTTTACCTGACTCTTTGTGACGAAAAAGTTAAAAATAAGCAGTAATGTTACAGTATATGTTGAAGATATTTTATCAGATGTAGAATGTATTTCATCATTTCTCGATTTATTCTTCCTGCCTCTTAAAGCTATAATCTTAAATGCAGCTTTAATTACACCACTTGACATCTTTCTCTCAGTTAATCCGAAACTTTCTACCTTCTTTAAACGTTTACTGATTTAATATTTTGTTTTTTAAAAAAAAAAATTTAATACATCTTTCCTCTTATGCTATTTTTTTGTTAGTTGTATTTGCGCGGTCCACAAATTTTTGATAATAAAAACGTTCAATGGCCGATCAAACGGAAGAGACAGATAGAGAGAGCGAGAGAGAGGAAGAGAGAGAGAAAAAAAAATACCAATAAATTTATACTACTAAAGTTTTTTGAACAGGTATAATAGTATTTTTTTGCATAATAGTAATATTTCTCTCTCTCTCTCTCTCTCTCTCTCTATCTGTCTCTCTGCTATTCATTCATTCATTCATTTCGTATTATAAAGAATTTTTAAATAATACAACAATAAATAATGGTCCTTTATATAGAAATATAGTAAATATCTTTAATATGTGTAATTCAGGAAAAATCTATTTATAAAAATTCTCTCCTTTTGACCTTCCCACCCTCTTCGTCATTTTTTTCATGATCGTTATTATTATCCTTATCATCGCCTCTCTGTCTCTCTCCTCCTTATATATGTATAATATAAAACAACAATAACGTCTATGAGAAAGAGCTATAATCTTTAATTATTGCATTCTTACAGTATATTTTACTAATATAGTGCACTCAACTTTAAAGATTAGTGCATATTTCTTTCTTCAACCTTTATATATTTAACAATTTTATATTAATTGTACCAGTTAAAGGGCTATATTATTCTGTGATGTTAGGCCTAGATAAACGTGTTACAAACAATCTATAACAAACATGTCCTATTATTTGACGACGAGTTCTTGTCTCTTTACTATACTGTATAAAAAATAACAGCTATGGTAAAAGGAAGTCCGCTGTTAATAGAAATCCTGAAGTGATGCAATATTTCAAAAGTACCTGAAGAGTGAAAGTATAGTGCTACTATTCTAAAGATAAAGCTATCGGCTGTAACATTTATGATGATTGATTGCCCTTGACAAATTAATTAGCGAAAGATGTTGTGTTACCCATCAGTTCTACTCAATTTCAATCCCGTCTCTTCTCGTGTCTGGGGAAGCACACACACAGAGAGAGAGAGAGAGGTGGGTGTAAGAGGTGGGAGAGGAGTACGTTATAATATTTTTCCGAAATGTAAAACCTTTCGTCTTTTCCTTAATTAATCAACTTCAACTATTAAGAAAGTTTCTTTTTTTGGAATCAGGAAGGTAACGCCCTCTTTATGCTATGCTGTTATTTTACAGCATCAAATTGAGGACACTCATAGACGATATTTCTCTGTTTATAACTTTGATCTACTATTACGAAATGATTAGTAAAAGTTAAAACAGAGATAAAGAGAGTAGGAGTAAGAAGGAATCAGATGATGAGAGACTATAGAATTTTCTGAAATAACAGTTAATTAATGGACAGAAAAAAGGCCCCCTTTTAATTTATAATAACCAATTCCATTAATTAGAACGTCTCTATTATTTAATTCGCCTAATCAGAAAGATAAGGCTAATTATAATTAAATAAAACTTGCAAAAAACTATGAAGATAGTACTAATGAATTTATCTTTAATTAATTATTTAATTTAATTTAAATCTCTTAGTATTTTTTAGTTAAATGAGCGAAAAAAGAGGAGATTTTTATCTAACCCCTTAATTATCTTTATCTATTTTTATTATGTAGTCTTATCAAATTCTCTATCTTTCATTTCCCTCATTAAGATTGATTACTTTAATGAATTCCTTAACGAACTATTGAAATGCCGCAATAAGCTAAAATACACTATATTTCATTGTTTAAAAAAATCTGTTATTGTACTATTAATCCAGGTCATTAGATTTCATCTTTTGATATTTTTCATTCAAGATGAAAACATATACTAAACGATCTAAACGATAAAATTTAGAAGAGTTATTAAATGAGTGTCGCCCCCTATAGTCTTCCATCATTTTCACATTTAATATTGAAAATTTGACTTAATTTTTCTTTGGCATTTTAGCTTCGTTTACAAAAAAGATTTAAAAGAGAAAATGGTATTTAATGCATTATTATTAGTATTCTTTAAGTATAATCTTGTTAGGCTATTTGAAAAAAATATTATGATATTTGTAGCAAAAATGACCAAATATCGCTCAATAAATATATACTTAAAGTATCATAAAAGATTCATTGACCTTTAGAATCAGTAAATTTGTTGACAAGAGGTTTTTGATATTACTCAATTATCTACTCTAATTAACAGTTTCGACAGTTAACACCAAGACTATTGTCAACTTATAGAATTATGGAAAGGAGTTATTCAAAATTTGTCTTAAATAAGGCGTATGTAAATGGTGAATGGATTGCTGCAAATAGCGGAAAGACATTTGCCGTGTTTAATCCTGCGAATGGGGAAGAAATTGGAAGCGTTCCTGACATGGATGCCCATGATACAGAAAAAGCAATCCAATCTGCAAAAACTGCATTTCAATCCTGGAGAAAGAAGACCGCAAAGGAGCGTAGCATTATCCTTAAAAGATGGTTTGACCTAGTTGTTGAAAATACACCTCAGCTAGCGGAGCTATTGACTGCTGAAAACGTAAATAAAACCATGGTCTTTTTCTTGTGACACATTAATAATACCAAATGGTTATTTCAGGGTAAGACTCTGGCTGAGAGCAAAGGAGAACTAGGTTACGCTTCGTCCTTTATTGAATGGTTTGCCGAAGAGGCTAAAAGGTTGAATGGAGATATTCTCCAATCTCCCGTATCTTCTAAAAGATATATGGCTATTAAGCAGCCGATAGGTGTTTCCGGTATGATTACGCCTTGGAATTTCCCTTCTGCAATGATCACAAGAAAGGCTGCTCCCGCTATTGCTGTTGGTTGTACCGTTGTTATTAGACCTGCCGAGGACACTCCGCTGTCGGCTTTAGCTTTGTGCAAAGTAAGAGAAAAAAGCATATGAACCATGTGAGTAATGACAACCATCCATCTTTTTTTCTTAAAATTAGTTAGCTGAAGAGGCAGGAATTCCTCAAGGAGTTCTCAACGTTGTCACAAGCTCTCGTGACAAGGCATCGGAAATTGGAAAGGTTCTTTGTACTCATCCAGACGTCATGGCTATTTCCTTTACCGGTTCAACTCAAGTGGGCAAAATACTACTGGAACAATCGGCTTCGACTGTTAAGAGGGTTTCACTTGAACTAGGTGGAAATGCTCCATTTATAGTTTTTGAATCGGCTAATATCGATAAGGCGGTAAAAGGTGCAATGGCTTGTAAATTTCGAACTACTGGTCAGGCTTGCATCTCTTCCAATAGATTTCTAGTTCATGAAAATATTTACAATGAGTTCGTTCAAAGAATGACAGAGGCAATGAAATCTCTAAAGGTCGGACATGGAACTGATACGACAGCAACTCAAGGACCTTTGATAAATGATCGAGCTGTCCAAAAGATAAATAATTTAGTTGCTGACGCTACGTCGAAAGGTGCCGCCGTGAAAATTGGGGGATCTACACATCAACTAGGAGGAAATTTCTACGAACCCACATTAATTACAGGTATTAATGAAAAAATGGATATAGCTTCCGCCGAAATTTTTGGTCCAGTAGCTGCCATTTATAAATTTAAGACTGAAGAAGAAGCCGTTAAAATTGCCAATTCAACAAGATACGGATTGGCTGGATACTTCTTTTCCGAAGATATAAGTCAAATATTTAGAGTAGCAGAGGATTTGGAAGTAGGAATGGTCGGAATAAACGAAGGAGTATTTTCCTGTTGCGAAGCTCCATTCGGTGGAGTAAAGGAATCAGGACTTGGTCGAGAAGGTTCAAAATATGGCCTAGACGAGTTCTGTGAAATAAAACAGCTCTGTTTCGGAAATATATAAATAGAATTTAATAATACAGCATTGATATACAGTATATATAATATGCTGTATGTTACATATAACACATATTTGGGTCTTTTATCATTGGTGTTTGCTCGCGTAGTATTATGAAACAGTATAAGAGGGAAGAAAGTTAAAAATTCCTGGTTAAAGTATTACATTATCTCAAAATAGCATCCCAAGTTTCATTCCATCCACTGATAGTATGAACGTAATTATATACTATTGTATTTTAAAGAACATCCTTTTCTTTGGGAAATTACAAGAGATTATTATAGGAATACATCTTGAGTACAAGAAACGACTTAAAAAAGGTAAAAGGGGAGTTTTTTTCTAAGTTTTGAAAAAAAGCATGGTTTTTCAGTAGTATAGGCCGATTAAATCAAAACCATGTAGAAAGGAAAGTCAACTAAAGCAATTCCTTCTTTAAATATATGAGATATTTTTAGTGAATATTTACGATTATTTAAAAAAATACCCAGTTATTTTTATATGTAATAAAATACAAATTATGAGAATAAAGTTATGTATCGTTCCAAATATAACACATAATGACTCACAAGAAGACTAGAATTCCCCTAAGTTTAAGCCATCGATAACTGCCTTAGATGTCTAAAATTTCCTTATTAACTGTTCAAAATTGTTTGATTCATTCGGAATATACCTAAGAGACCCATGTTAGTTTTTATGGTTACCCATAATGGTTGTTTTACCTCGTATATAAAGCCACTATGATGTCAGTTTAGCCTAAGAATGCGAGGAATAACATTTTTTTATTGTATACAACTTCTAACTATAAAAGGAATGGGTTAGTAGTCATTAAATAATAACTATTAATTGTTAATCAATTATTATCATGTTGTTTAAATAGTTAGCTACTATGAAGTAGACAATTGTCAAGGTAAAACAAATAAGATATCTCTGTGTTTAATATGAAAATGTTTAACCAGATAATTCAATCATAGGATTAGATTGGGAAAAACAGATTTGCTGCAATGGCGTTATACATCCCAAGTATCACAAAAACGAACTTCAGGGTTGTTGTGGTTCTGAAACTTACGGAAAGGATAGCTTTTTTTGTTGCTCAGGTCAAGATAGTAGAAGAAATAATATATATAACATAAGCCGGCTAACAGAGCCGAAAGATGAAAACTACTGTTGTGATACGAAAATTTACAACAGAATCTCTCATATCTGTAAACAGGTTAAAGAAGAACGTATTCTATTGGAGAAGGGAAAGGATATTTGCAAAAAAGACATTTTTAACACCAAAGAAGAAATCTGTTGTAAAGGTAAGAATTCCTATTTTAGTTTAATTGCTGTGTTTATTAAGAAAAAGGTAATATTAATAGGCAAACTACAAAAGCTAAAACCTTATCATGCATGTTGTGGCTACTATACATTTAACGTCTCGACACATAAATGCTGCCCTTCAATAGCGGGAGAGAACATCGTTAAGAAAGATCGAGTCTGTTGTGGATCATCGTCGATAAACCCAAAGACAGAGAGGTGTTGCAAAGAGATGAGGTTTAACAAACGTTTCGGAATAGAGTGTTGCGGAGCAAATACGTTTAACATATCACTCGAAGTTTGCTGTAACGGAAATATCTATAAGCCGGCCTTCGCAAAGGATTTGATGAACATTAAGTGCTGTAATGGCAGAATCCCATTTGACTTGAGGGTAGCAAACTGTAAGAATGGAATCGTAGTCGAAACAGCTCCTTTATGTGGATCAAATCGGATATATAGGAAAATGAAATGCTGTGGCTCCCAATTCGGCTACTATGAACAGTATTTCACCTGTCTGCATCGGGGCAACTCTACGTTCTCAATTGAGCCAAAGCGTGAAAGGGGATTTTTGATAGTTAAAATCAAAAAACTAACCGAATCAAAACACAATGCTACCATATTTATAAGTGTCAAGTGCTTGAATAGCTCAAAGAAAAGAAACAGAATAATGAAGAGAGGAATAACATATATAACATTAAGTAAAAGAAAAACATCTAAACATAGACTAAAAACGGGAAGAATCTTTTATATAGACACAAGATGTCTCATTATATCCAGCAGCACAATTGAAATCAAAAAGTCGTGCAACAACATAAAAAGAAGATAGTCTTTACCTGTATCTCAGGATACAAAAAAAATTATCTTAACAAGATCTCAATAGGAAAAAATTTCGAATTCTTCCAAGAAGTGTTTTTAGTGACCTAAAAAACACGCTCGAAATAGTGAGTTCATAAAAGAGAAATTTCGAATTCTTTTGTCCCCTTTGTTGTTAGTTTATTGTTCTGATAGTTGTATTAAAAAAAAGAGTCAAATTTTACGTTCATATTTTGAATTGCTATTTAAATAAATGAATATTTAATAAATATGTTGATAATTGTTAGCGTGAAAAGAATAAAACTTTAACCAATCAGCTCTTAAAAGAACAATAATTCTTCTACTGAGAAGGCCTATAAAAGTATTTTTATTTTCTTATTGTAACATAGAGAATTCACTTCTCTACATTTTTCTTTCGAATTCGTTAGAGTTTAACATTTTTTAACGTAAACTATGCCATTAGTTTTGCTGTTTCTAAGTAATTATTCAATTTAATCAATACCATATATAATAAACATTAGAACGTTGGTTTTTTTATTAATTCAATATGTTCTTTTTTTCGATTCGAAGGCTTTCTTTTATCGTTCGGACTATCTACGAATAAGTGTAATGGAGGTGATGATAGTGGTAAGTCGCAAAAAAATACTTGTAATAGATAACTACATACACAAAGATAAAAATAAGCTAGGTATTTGATAAAATGTATTATTATATATCTATATATATATTAGTATTTAACAAATCATTTCTCTATGTATATATATATATGTATACTAGTATATTGTATAACACATAACTTTTTCTATCTATTCAGGTATTATTTGTTGTAATGGGATACCTTATAGAAAGTACCAAGGTCCTACGAATACGCTTATCTATGACCAATGCTGCGTTTCGAAACCATACCTATCAGAAAAGCAAATTTGTTGCAAGGTTTTGAATGCTAGAAATCAGGTTGTTTACAAACTTCATAAGATCAAAACTCTTGCTAATATTACCCGTACACCAGAGTTTTGTTGTGGCCTAAAGTAAGTAACCTAAACTACTATAGCTTCCTCAGCTTAATATTTATTATAATTGAATGGAATTCCGCTAGCTTTAGCAACAATGATAACTGCTTAATATACTATTACAACAGGTCAATGACCATACGAGTAAATTAAAAAAAACTAACAATTAGATATGTTATACCTTGTTTTCTGTCGTTTTAGCAAATTTAATATGAACTATCAACGATGTGATTCTGGAAAAACTCTTTGGAAGAATGAACAACTCTGCAATGGTGTAATTTATGATATCAACAACGAGCTATGCTGCAATGGTAATGCTAATTATATAATTTCTTCTTGCATTAATTTGCATTTAAATTGTCCTTTCTCCTAAAAATTAGGAAGAATATATAGTACTAAAGAATATAGTAGTTGTTGCCACCAGACCCCATACAATATAATAGATAGTACGTGTTGTACCGATAGTAAGAAAGTTATAAGGAAACACAAAGACTATTCATGTTGTAGAGGAGCTCCAAATTTTTACATAAATAACACCTTTGAGGTATGTTGCAACGGGGAAAAGAGAATAAAAACTCCTGGAAAAGTTTGTTGCGGTAACAATCTCTATGATTCACTTAAGGGAATTTGCTGTAAAGATACCAACTTTATTGAATTTAGTAATATTAATTTGAAAAGACATTGGAGTTGTTGTCATACTGTACCGTATGATATGAGAACGTCAAAATGCTCAAGCAACAATCTTGAATATCAATCAATTAATAAAGTTCATAATAAATGGTTTCATTGCGGAAAATCAATTATCTATCATAAAGATTTATACATTTGTCATAAGGACGGAAAATACAAATACATCAAAAGGAGATTGTCATTGAAAGAAACACAAGTATCTTTGTTCGTTGAGAATCTTTCAACAGTGAGGAAGAGAGGAAGATTTCTATTGTTGAATCTTCATTTAAAATCAAGTAGACACTTGCGAAGTCTTAATTTAAGGATGCCAAAAAATTTTAAATTATTTTTAAGCAATAAGTTCACTTCACAGCTGAACAATAAACTACATAAAGGTACCATATTTAAGATAAAGTTTCATTGTCTAAGATCTAAAGAGAGTAACTTTTATATACTTAATAATTTTTCCAATTGTATTTATTTCCTTTAATGTCTACTTAACTACTATAGAACAATTGTAAGTTTATACTTATATATACTGTAAATAAATTGTTTATACGTTGTTTAATTTTCTAGATGTGTTCTTTATGTTTAACTGCCTACAGTTGTTGTTATTTAAGTCACTATCTAAATTTATATATACTTTTACTTTGTTTACATATCGTTTTTTCATAAAATAAAATTTATCTATATCTTCATTTTGGACTTTATTTTCTTTTTTCAGTAGATTCGACACTTGACCTTGACCTTTTACTGGGTATTTCCTTTCTCAAGACACTCTCTAATTCATTCTGCTATTCTCTTATAATTTAAAAGACTTTGCGATGGCTAATATTAATAATATTTACAGTAAGTTTTGTATTAAAATGAAATACTATATATTTCTAATAGGTGGAAATTAGAATGTTTACATTTTCCACCTTTAAATCAGGAATATCGTCTATTTTCGTACGAACTATTAATTTCGCAGGCATGAGAAAACCTTACGGTACTGGGGCTGAATCTTTTGACATTCGTGATTTACATGCTAAAGAACCTATTGGTCAATTCATGAATTGGTTTCAAAAAGCTGTCGATTCTAGTAGTAATTATGAAGCAAATGCCATGTCCCTAGCTACAACCACTAGGTAAAAAATTTCCGTTTAGATCTACAATTGAATGAGAAATAATTTTCATACACTTTTTACTTTTTAAGCGACGGAAAGCCTTCAGTTAGAATTGTATTGATGAAAGCATTTGATGAAAGAGGCCTACAATTTTTTACCAACTTTAATAGTAGAAAAGCAAAAGAATTGGTAAAATATTTATAACCGTTGAAAATTGTTATTTAAAGAAGAACGAATGAACTAGTAATTCATCGGTTCGTTTAATTTTTAGATTGAAAATCCTCATGCATCGGTTGTTTTCCATTGGATTCATCGCGCTGACAATAATAAACTATGGTCAAGACAAGTGAGAATGGAAGGGATAGTTGAAAAGGTATCGTCACCGGAAGCAGATGCATATTTTAGTTCTAGACCAAAAGATAGCCAAATTGCTACACATATAAGTATAGAACAAAGCGCAGCAGTGGCTAATAGAGAAGAAATGTTAAAGACTAAAGAAGAGCTTTACGCAAAATTTGATAATGAAGCAGTGCCAAGGCCCTATTATTGGTAATTATTAGTTAATTGATAAAAATTCATTTTAAACTATAAAATATTAATAATCTTCTTCTAGGGGAGGATTTCTTATTAAACCGCATACAATAGAATTCTGGCAAGGACAAACAAATAGATTACACGATAGAATAGTTTTCAAGAAAATGAAACCAGAAGATGTTCCTGATAAAGAACCATTCATTCAAGGCGAAAACGGATGGATAATTCAAAGATTAATTCCCTAAACATACTTATGTTTTATGTAAGATAAACGAAACTAATTTGTTAGAAAATACGTACAAGATCTTATCATATAACTTTTTCATATAGAAATTAACTCTCTTTCATAAAAAACAAAAGTTCCAGAGAACTGAATATTAGGGTCTGTAATAAATGTAAACAAATACTTGCACTCAGATTTGAGAACTTTACTTCCTGTTTCTTTTCTCAAAAACCCCATATTTTAATATAGAATACAGGTTTCGCTTTTCTTTTTCCTTCCTTAAGATATTTAGATAGACAAATAGACAGTTATACTATATGTATAATATATTAGGATTATTAATAAATATACAGTATATAAAGTACGAATTAAAAAAATGTAATTTGAAAATGGCGATTTATTATCCGCTGATTTATCTCGCCATATTTTTAGCAACAACAAGTATAGAGTCTTAAAATATCAATCTAACCTTGGCACTGCTCAATTTCTTCAAGTACAAACTTACTAAATTGAAGTTTAATTTACAAGTAACTAGATAAACTTAGAGAAAATGGAACCAGAAATTTTGCATAGCGGCTACTTCCATTCGCTTCTCCGGGATTGGAATTCACCTAATACTAACATAGGACCAGAACATGTGATTTACCCTGTATTTATAACGTATTATGGATTTTAATAAGAGATAGATGTTATAGATATTTAAAATATACTCTGTAATACAGGGATAACCCCGAAGGTCTGGAGGAAATAACTTCATTACCCAATCAATATCGAGTTGGTGTAAACAAGTTGAAAAAATACCTTGACACACCTGTAAAGAATGGCCTTCGTTCCGTAATACTATTTGGTGTTCCAAGTAATTTAGAAAAGAATGCTATTGGTACTCATGCTGATAGTTCTGAAAATCCTGTAATTAAAGCTATTCCTCTTCTAAAAAGCTGGTTCCCACATTTATTAATTATGTGTGATGTATGCTTATGCGCCTACACTGATCACGGACATTGCGGTATATAAAAATTACAAAACTATACTCTAAATTTTGTATGGTGGATCTCCATTTTCAACTATTTCTATATGTTTGTCTATCTCTTAGGTATTCTTGATTCGGACCAAACAATCAACAACGAAAAAAGTATCGAAAGACTTGCTCAAGTTGCACTCTCCTATGCCCAGGCTGGTTAGTGATAACCGAAACTCATTCGCCATAAGATAAATAATCTCTTTTTTTCTACAATTTTATCAAGGTTGTCACGTAGTGGCACCATCTGACATGATGGATGGAAGGGTGGGAGCCATCAAAGCTAAACTTAGACAAGATAATTTAGCAAGCAAAGTTTCGATTTTGAGTTATAGTGCAAAGTTTGCGTCGTCTTTTTACGGACCATTCAGAGATGCCGCTAAATCAGCTCCGGGTTTCGGAGATCGACGATGCTATCAATTACCAGCAGGTAGTAGAGGTCTAGCTATGAGAGCGGTTGATAGAGACGTGAAAGAAGGTGCTGATATGCTTATGGTCAAACCGGGACTAGCATATCTGGATATAGTCCGACAAACCAAAGATAAAGTAAGTAATTATAAAAAATTTAGAGTAAATTGTCTTATCTAATTTTTATTTAATTGTTTCATTTTTAGTATCTAGAATATCCGCTGGCTATTTACCAAGTTTCAGGCGAGTACGCTATGATGTGGCATGGTGCTAAAGGAGGAGCTTTTGATCTTAAGAGTATCGTGTTTGAAACGCTAATGTCTATGAGGAGGGCCGGTGCGGATATGATATTAACCTATTTTGCGCCAAATATTCTTGAATGGCTGAAAAAATAAATTTATTTTCTGATCTTTTAAAAGTTGAATCAATCGTCTTGTAAAACACTAAATGGATTTTTTGTGAGTTTCATTGCACATAAATTTTCTTCCCCATCTTGATTTTCAACTTCATCTTCTTCATCCTCATCTCCATCTTCATAGTCTCTTTCCGCATCTTCACTATTATCTTCATCATCTTCAGGTAGACTTAGCGTATTTCTTTTAGAATGCTCTTCTTGTTGCTGATCTATAGATTGCGCTTCTGGATCATTTTCCCAAACAGATTTGTTAGCTGTATAATTTGGTGGTCTGAAAGCTAGGCATATTCGTCCTTCAACTGCTAGTCGTAATATATGATTAGCTGCTCTATAAACATCTCGCCTTGCTGCTTTTGCAGTTAAAAATCCCTTCTTAGCAGCCCAAGCTAAAAATTACATAGTATATTTAAAGAGTTAGATAGTTTTTATAGAAATTAATTTATAATAAATCTACCATCGCAAACGTCCCATGCACTCCATTCGTTACAATTTTCATCATCACTTGGATGTTTTAGTTTTAATATTTTGGTTAGGTCCAATCTCTCAGAGAGAAAACCGACGGAGCTGTACGGTTCACGAACTTGGGCTATAGGATAGATTCCTGACAGAATCTGAATAGGAGAAAATTGGTTAATATAATAAAAGATTTAAAGATTTAAGATAAAAGTAGCTTGAATAAAACCAACTTGTAATGACTTATCTGTTAAAGAAGGGAAGACTAAGCCAGGACAATCGCATAGTTTAACAGTTTTTGTAAGATAAATGGTTTGAAAATGTTTTGTATGACCAGGAGTTTTTGAGACACTGACAACCTAAAATTTATTTTTAATTAGATATAGAGAAACAATACTAAATTATACAAAAAAAAAGACAAAACTCACCTTTTTTCCCACTAAACCGTTCATTAGGGAAGATTTTCCAACGTTTGGATAACCGCAGCAACCGATAGTCAACATACCGCCTTTGAACCGCTCTCCAGTATCGATGATTTCCTCTTCTACACGAATTTCAGCAGCGTCCTCCTCTTCGTTGTCACTGCCTTCGTTGACAATTTGAATTTCAATACGTCTTTTCCACGACGACAAATCTACCTTATCTTGAACAATTTCCTGGCATATTTGTAAAAGTTTAGACGCCCCAACACCAAATCCGCGTTTCTTTAGCTTTCTCTTCTTAAAGACAGCTGTTTTTTTTTGGAAAAATAATTATTATATAGTGAAGTTTGTAAATGTTGAAATAGAAGATTTTTTACATCGTTTTGAATCGATTTCTATCTCTTCTCGATCTTTTGGATATGAAGTGAAGCAAACAATTTTCAATTTCGGGAATTTTATTTGAAAATATCTTTTCCAAGCTATAACTAATGACGATTGAACTAAATCTATCTTGTTTAGAACAAGAATTACTTCTTTTTGTAAATCTTTTGTTATATGATCGTAGAGAGCAGGTGAAAAATGAAGAGCTGGATGACGTATATCTGTAATAATTAGTATAATGTCTGACATAGCAAGAACTCTCCACAATTGTCGCCATGTCTCTAAATTTAGTTCTACAAAACTTAAGTTGTCAGATTTGTAAGTTTCGAAAAGTCGATCTAAATATTCCTGAAAATATTTCTCTTCTTGTCTTTCCACTATTTCTTTAGTCATTTTATAGTTCCAGGAAGGACGTTTCGGTAAATCTAAAGCTGAACCAGGTTCAAATATCAAATTAACGTCAAGTTCTAAAGATTCCTCTGGAAGGACTTTGAACGGTATTCTTGCTTTTTTCTTACGATCTTCTATATCTTGGTCAGAGTCCTTAACAAAGTGTAGTCGATATCTATAATGAAATTTGAATATATCTTTGATAAATGGGTTCTTTGTATAACCTCACCGATTAGGGTCATAATGTCCATTCTTATTTTTGCCAGGTTGTTGATTAATCTTTTTTACATTAACAGTTGTGTCAGCAACTTGTGGACACTTCTTCTGTGAGCTATGCGATCTTGAGCGTCTTCCAACGATTGGCATACCTTAAATAAGAGAATTTTGCTAATATCTTCAGTAGTCTTGCAATTACTAATGAACAAACCCTCCTCATCAACTTGGTCAAACCGACCTCTGTTTCTTTCACGTTTTTCTTGTAATTGTTTTTTCTTTTGCTTTGCACTAAAAGGTGTCTTACGATGACCAGGCATCTTTGCAGACAGTTCAAGTAAATTATTCTTATAAATTAAATAAGAGCATAAAATTATGAAATAGTGAAACTGTTTTTATGCAATACATGCTCCGCACGAATTTTTAAATGAGACAGAGGGCCCTAGTCTACATCCGGACAAAATAATTAGACAGTTCTAAAACTATAATAAAGCAATTATAAAATCATTTTGCCTATTCAAAAATGAGTTTATATACAAGAAAAATGTTAATCAAAGCAAAATATATTAAAATTCGAAGCTTTTATAAAGTTATATTAAAGAAGAATGAAGCATATTTTCGATCAAAAAGAATGTCAATGGTACTATTATTTTAGGATTTATAATTTTAAACAATGTCCAGAGAAAATGAAGTAAAAAACTGTTAAATTTTAATTTTAGTCCATCTTGCATTTTCAACTTTTATAAGTTAGCTGTCTTTCTTTTTTATCAAAAAAGTTCAAATGTTTGACAGATATTTTAAATTTTATTCTTAATATTTTCATAAAAATGTTACACATTTTTAAAGTAGATTTTTCTTAAGAAAATTAAATAAAAGATTCAATTAATTTTAACTTAATTTTAAAGGTTTGTAGAGGTTTTATTTTAATCAGTTTTATAAAGTAAATTTAAAGCAACACAATTGTTTAAAGTGGTATATTTAGCCTTATTTTTGTTTATTTATTAACTTGAATATGCGAATGGGGTAGATTAATAGAATTTAGAACGTTATACACATCCATTTACGAAAATAACGTTCTGAATGTCTGGTCCCTGGTGTGAATCCATAATGTTTGGCCAGCAGGTGTCCGATATCCTGGGTTAAGTATCATAAGCCTAATCAATAGAATGACTTCTACAGATAAATGTAAGAATTGTAATTATTCATATTAACATGTTTTGTTAGCTTTTAATCTAATAATGAAAATATGGTACTGGATTTGTATTATTTGATTATGATTCACACATAAAACTGCTTAATTCATTTTATCGCTCAATTTTTTCAGCAACGGAAAAGCATCTCCATATGATGTGGAGAGATAGTGCTTGGATACCAATGCTAAATCCCTCAAATATTTTGGAATATTTTGCAAACAGTCCTTTCTACGATCGAGAATGTAATAACGAAATAATAAAGATGCAGAGGCTAAATCCAGACCAACTTCTGAATATGACCGGAATAGAATATTTTTTGTTACACATTCAGGCACCCATTCTTTACGTTATCCGAAAGGGTAATAGGCAGTCTTCATCTCACAGTAAGTCTTCCAATCTTTATAATTTATCAGTAAAACAAGTCTTTTATAGTTAATACTATATGCGACTACTACATCATAAACGGTTCAGTGTATCAAGCTCCCGACTTGTGTTCAATAGTTAATTCAAGATTGGTAAGTTATCCTTTAAATTTAGTCTTCCTTAATCAAAATCCATATTATTCCATTACAGTTGAATTCAACGCACAGCTTGTTATCAGCATTTGAAGAAGGTATGTATACTTTTAATAGAAAATTGAAATATTGCAGAATATATTATTTTTGTTTTACAACCAGTAAAATCATATTCTCGTTATCATCCGTCTGTGGGATATTGGTGGCAATTTAAAAATGACACAAGCCAGTCATTAAAGAAAAAATTAGCTAAAAATAATGACCCAGTTGGATCTTTTTTTCAAAGACAAAAAGTAGACGCCTTACTGACTGAACACGCCAAAAAATTCCCTATTAAAGCTAGATCTCAGAATGAAAATATTCAAAATGATACAGCTCAGATTGACAAGAAAAGTCAAGGTTTGCGTAAAGCTGTTGTATTTGTTAACTTAATAATTTTTCAAACTTTTTAGATCATGGTAAACCGCAAACTAGTGATCCCTCAATGCCACCCCCTGGTAAGAAACCGAAAATAGCCCATTAATAAGCTACACCTTAGAATAGGCTATTTGAACAACTTAAACATCTCAAGTGTGAAAGTGAAAAAAAAGATTTTGTATTGTGACATTTGTTAATGTAAATTCAATGGCTGTTTTTAAGTTTCTGTTGATTTTATTTATTTTATTCAAAACAAAACTTAAAATTTTAACTCAATCACATGCAATTTTATCTACACTATTTCATTGACGGTACATTACAGTACTAACAAAAAATTAAAAATAATAACTGTATTCGTAAATATATCTACCTGTCACCGCTGCAAGCATAAAACGATTATGTCGTGTCGCCAACTTAAGTTGGGGGCAGTAAAGCCCAACAGTGTAATAGATTCACACTGTGACTCATTAATTTATGAGTACTTACGTTTTGGAAATAAAATTATCTTGCATTCAAGTAGGTACATAAGTAAAGTCACTTACATTAGGGGAAAGTCATAACGAAAAATCCTGTAAACGAGTTTTCAATAGACAATAAATAGCGTCGCCTAGTCTTTCTGACTGGGGGCAGAACCCAACAATGCTTTAACACTGTGACGCTTTAAGTGTACCCACCTTATTCTGTTTAATAGCTTTTTACTACTTACTTCATTACATTGCAGCGGCAACGATAATAAGATATGCATATATTTATATATATATATATATGAATCTGTTTCAACAGAGTATATACATACATAAATATAGACATTTTATATAAATATAAATGTGTATAAATATTAGTCAATGCATACATTTTTTATATATATATTTTTTAACGCAACTATCTACACAATTTTTTCTTTAAAAACCTCCAAGAGGTGGTCTCATCATACCTGGGGGAGGTGGCATTCCCATCATACCCATCATGGGTGGAGGAGCTGCTGGAACTGGTGGAGCAGAGATTGTTACAGCTCCTTTTGTTTTATAACGAGGCATACGAAACCGAAGTTCCTCCTGTAAAAATATTATTTAATAATATTTCAAAAATTTTTTTAGGTTTATTATTATTTTACTTACAAGACTCAAGTCTTCTTCCGGATGAATGAGGATAACATTTAAGCCAGAACTCGATTCTGGTTTCTTAATAAGAGGGGCAGGAGAGGAAATTATTCCTGGCTGAGACGTTGTATGTGTGCCGTAGGCAGGGAAAGTTGGCTTAGCTAGTATAGGAGGAGCCTGTTCAAAAAATATCTCTAATTTAAAAATTGTCTTGTAAAGCAATCGATCGCTTAATTTCATTTTATAAGGGTAAGAAATTCTACATAGATTCTTGACTTCTTGGACCTACAATTTCCATCTTTTTAAATCAAGCACACATTAATGCTTACCCAAAGTAACTCAATGTTATACATTAATTGCAAACTGTAGGTGATTCATTTGACGTTGAAAAAGAGCTGGCAAATTTGCATAATTATGTATGCATACAAATATACATGTATGTATGTAATACATTTATGAAGTTTACATTTTACAATAAAAAACTCACTGCGAACCTTTGCGCAAAATAATTTTAATACTGGACGTCTAGAAGGAACGTTCAACGATCAAAAATGTCGTAAGAAAAGAGATACCTACCGCATTAGCGGCTGGAAATAACGGTTTTGGAGGTGCACTTATTACACCATTTGTCTGACTTTGCACCGGTGCTGACATAGGTGGAGGCCTTGGCAACATTCCTGCCATTGGGACTGGACCCAAGCTGCGAAATAATAAGTTATTTAAATACTTAATCAATACTCAACCATAACTTTATCGTAACTTACGATGGCATTGGACCCATCGGAGGTCGTGGAAAACCCATTGGAGGCATACCCATTGGTGGCGGTGCTGCTGCTGCTGCGCCTAACAATGGTGGTGGAATTCCAGGCGGAACAGCTTGTGGTGCAATTGGTGGTGTTACTGTCGGAGGCCGAGTGGTCGGAACTGCCTGCGTTTCAGACCCTTAAAATAAAAATATAAAAATTAGTAACAGTTTAAAGGCATTGGTCAGAAAACAAAAAAGTATTATATCAGAGTCGGATTGAAAGTTTTCATTCCTTAGTCAAAGTGAGCTGAGAAAGTTCATCATGATATATAGCAAACAACTATGATCGAGTTATACATACCCAACTTATTTCGTTCATGGGCTATCAGGTCACCTTCTGGAATACCTTCCATGCCGTAAATTTCTAATTCAGTATCTGATCTGCCTGGTAGTGAATTGGGTACCTTGTCTATTTTTTCTTTATGGACCTGCATACAGTGAATTGATAGACCCGGTGCCGTAAAGAGTCGTTTGTGGCAAATATGGCATTTAAAATGCTTAGCTTTCTGATGCTGAACAAGAATTTTTTCATCTTCGAATTCTCTATTACAATACCTTAATATATGTTAAGGAAAATACATTATAGAATACCACGTCAATTCACGTGGTCCTGCTTTCTTTCATATAAACGATCTTTTTGATACTTTTTTATCAAATATCTTTAACAAAGTCTTATCTAAGTTTATTAATTTACTTTTCTGCTAGAGAAAGCAAGAAAATCTTCATAAATTTCCTAGAGGAACATGCTAATTTTGCTACATTACATCAGCTAATTTCTAGTCACAAAAATGACTGTTTTTAAAAAGGATACCAGCACCAGGGTTTCAATTGCTTCTTCCTTTTTCTACCCATTTTTTTTTCAAATTAGGAGGCCACCGTCCGTTTCAGCTTATACGAGAAACCCAAAGAATTCTTGAGAAGAAATGTCGCGTTGGAAAGTAAAATATGGCGGCGCCAAATCGACTGTCGTATCGACAAATCAGAATCGAAATGAATCGAAAGATCGATTTTTTTTATTTTTCATTTTGTTTAAAAACTATAGTTCATAAATTAAGAAATTATCACTAATTTACCTGAAATAGCGATATAAAGTAATCTATTTTTAAAATAATAGACCGGTAAACCGGTTAGTGAATGACCGGTTTTTGTTTTTAAACTTTTTGCACTGTTATCAGTAAGCGCGAAAGAAACAGGAGCTGGCTTCGAACTATGGCAAATGACATTTGTTTTTTCTCATGGCACATTAAACAAAATATATTTCACGCCCGGAATTTATCCCACTTTTCGCCGAAAAATGATTAAGACATATTAATCATCCTAAATATTTATTACTCAGTACTTTAGTAAAACAATAAATGTGTATATTATACATATGTAACAAAATTTAAAAAATTCTTCTTAAAATATGAAAAGTTTTCTTTCATTCAAGCCAAACAGCAATAATAAAAGGAGTAAAAAGTATTAAAAAGTTTGCAAAAGTTAAAGCTGACGATCTATTAAGAACATATACCACTTCTGCTTTTTTGAAGGGGTTCGATCCAGTATCAAATTTTTGAGGACAACTATCAACTGTTAAAAGAGAAGAAGTAATAATATAGAGGATTTTAAAAATGTATTTAAAAGCAACTTACAAATTCTTTCATTTTCTTTCAATGTTAAAGCTAATGTGGCTCCTTCATCAGCATTATTAGAATATGCATTTTGATTAACACCACACTCTGATCTTGTTGCTCTTGACATTACAATATCTCTCCAATCCAATCTTTCATATACCCAACATCGAAATTTTGAAATAGCATCTTCTTCATCGTAAGTTATCAAATAAGACTTCATATCCTCCATCCAAAACCCAACGCAACTTAATTCTCTGTCTGGTATGTCATATTCTCCAATTGGCTTACCGGTATGATCAACTGTGGCGCAGTATTCGGCATCAATAAGTATCTTTTTGGCATTACCGGAGCAAACTTTAAATTCTGTAACATATTCTCTGCAATCAATGCGATGTCTTGGTCTTTCGGTTATTCCTCGAACTCTGGTTGTGTAGTGCTCTTCAATTGAACCAGACTGCTTAAACTGATATCTCCCGGCAATTGGGCAATTAATAGGTGAAGGTGGATTTAATACAAATGTGTTATATTTCCAATTGAAATCCTCTCTGTTAATAGTAAAACTGGTCCAGGTGCAGGTTTGTCTAAATTTTCGGAAGAGATAATCTGATCTGTCCATTTCAGCCGAAGAGAGTCTATAGGGTTTACTCAATCTCCATCTAATAATATTATGATGTCTTGGAACAAAATCAAAGCAAACATAGTCAACTTCACACTTTCCAACTGTCGTTGCAGTCATCAAATAGCGGGAATCAAGGGACATTTGACATGTAAAGTAGGTCTCCTTGTAAGAATATTGATCGAGTTTTGTATTGAAATATATATGGGTGGAATTTATGACGACATGAGTATCAAATTCACCAGTTGTGAACCAAGTACCAGTAAAATCTCTTGGTAAATTGCAAAGAGGTAAAATTTGCTTGCTTACAAAAGGAACGGGAATTAAAACAAGACGAATATCTCCATCGTAAGGACTAAGCAACGTACTACAGCCAGCCCAACGGGATAGTGACCATCTTACTTTGTTGTTTTTATTTTGTTCATCTTTTCTAGTTAATAAACATCGGTACCTATCTCTCGGAGTTTCAAACTTGGTATCTGCTACAGCACTAAATATATCACCGTCAGGAGTTTGCCAAGATCCCAAACATTGAAATCTTGTTCTTTCGTTTACCGAAGTAGATACATCATTGCATTTGGCAAAATTCATGATAAATACTTCATTATCTATGTACTGAGAACCTGGCTCTTGACAGGCTGTAATCTGACTTCTCGGTGAGTTACAGATACCACCACCACCGAGACTTATTTCGTAGGTAAAATGATATGATCCTTCAATTGTAACTTTGCAATTAATTTTTTCTTCAGTCATCTTGAACAATGTTAGCAATTTAGAATCTGGAGAGATGTCTTTGCAAACGTCATTCAATGTTTTAATCTCAAATTTTTGCAGATCTATGCTGGTCTCTGTAAAAACGAAATTGATAAGAATTTGTTAATCATGCGAAATTTATTTAAACTTATTACGTTTAAATTCCAAAACCATTCTTGTTCTAAAATACAATTCCCAACAAAAGTATGTAGTTTTCGCTCTGTTGTTATATGAATAATTAGAAAAGTTGACTAATAAATGAATATTATACAAACGCATCGTAGAAGAGAATTCGAGCATCCGAACGATTTTGAAAGCTGGTGTGATTTAGAAATGCAAATTCGACACATTTACTATTTTGATCATAATCGGTGTTCTCCTTTACTACTAAACCGTCAGCACTAAAGATTGCAGTAATATCTGTACCCCTCTCGTGGGTAAAATATTCTCCTAGGAAATGCCTTGGCACCTTACATTTCTTAAGAGTTTGGCTGTTAACTGTAAAGAAAAGTCAAAAAAAAAATTATTATAAATTTTCGCTCAGGTGTGTTTGTAAAGTTGAATGATTTATAGTAATGTACAGCAATCATCTTATAATAAGATGACAGATTTGAAGTTCCTTATCTAAAATTATATGAATATTGACTACTTACCTAAAATAAAGGTGATAAGGAAGATAAAAGTAAGATAAAGCGGCCGAAAATATGATGCCGCCATTTTAAGATAAGGACAGGTATGCAATAGATGGCGTTGTACGCAAATGGGACAATATTACAAATAACAGTCACCTTTAACATGACTTGCTTGATAAATATTTAAATTATCTCCATAGCCTAAATAAAAATCGAAAACAAATAACAGAAAAAATTTATTTTTTTTCAATATAAGTAAAGTTATATCAGCCAAAGGCGCGTTTTTTTTTAGAACATTTACATTTTCCAGGCCTATATAAGAATATTTTCGAACATGCAAACTTTCTATATATAATCAAGACATTTAAAAAAATTAACGATTTACTAATTAACTCAAACATGTTTATTACAATATTAAACAGGTTATTCAGTATGTTTTAAGTTAGTTCTCGAATCTAATGAATAAACATGAGAGAATGTCGAGTGAAAATACTCAACATAGATGACATGGTTAAGTAAATTCAAATTTAGAACGAAAATGGCCAGACCCGGCGAAGCTGAAATAATTTTTCTCTCCAAAGGCGTTAATTCTTTTCCAAAAAGGAAACACTCATTTTTTAAAGTTGTTAGCAATAAAAAGAAGTCATCTCTACCCGATAAGGAACAAAATCAAATGATGGAAAAGGCAAATTTCTTCTATTCATAAGAGAAAAACTCTAATATTTCATAATAATTCTTATGTTTTTGCCTATAAATTTGCTAGAATTTTATTTAAGCTTAACTTTTCACAACTTATATTGTTCTGGTTTTTATTTTTGATATTTTTTATTAGTTTAACATTGTGAAAGGTCAAACTGTATATTTTTTGTTTTGTTTTGTCACCTGAATACTTTTTTTGAAATATTTTTTTAATGGCTTGTTATTTTCATAGGGAGGCGAGAATATGAATTACAGTAACGGTGAACATTCAAAATTAATTCCAACTCAATCTTCTAAATATAATATGAAGTGGAATTCAATTAAACAGTATTTCAAGAGGAAAATTGGTTCGAAAACATCGAAAAAAGAGCTATGTGTTGAGGAGTTGAAACACCTTTTTACAGCAGCAAATCAGGAGAAACAACTTATTAATGTAGAAGAAATGAAGAACGCGAAAAAAGGGGGTGATTTTGTACCTTTGGGTGAAGAAGATTTAACCCAGTTAAGTCCCGATGAAAGAGAACGTAAGGAAATCATTACAGTAACCGATAAGTCAACGCAACCATTAACTCCTGAAGGGAAAGCAATCGAAAAAATTGCTTCGGAGGAAGCGAATATGTCAACTTCTGTGACTCTAGGGAAAGATTGTCTTCAGACGTCTAATAATGACAGGACTATCCATGACGAATCACTAACGGCTTCTCAAACCCCTGAAGGAACATTTGCCAAGCAGTTGACTACCGAAATGGCCAACGAGATTTCTACTCCGACGCAAAATTTTGAAGGAAAATCAAATGCAGGAAGATTCACCAACCCCAGTTACAGGCAAGCAACAACTCATGGAGCTTCGAATTTACTAGAATATGATGATAAAACTAGCTTAGTATCGAATAAGAGTAAATTCTTTGATAGAGGAGACGCCGATACTAAAAAAGAGGAAAGTGCAAAAGGAAAATCTTCAATGTCCAGGAGAAGACAGTCAAAATTTGGATCGATAATAAGAAAATCATTTTCATCCGAAGACAATAAAGGAGAGAAGAAGGAAGAAAGAAGGAGTAAATCAAGATCATTAAAAATGCTAAAAATACATCTTACCAACAAGTGGAGTATTAGCTCCAAATCGAAAAATTCGATTTTTAAAGAGAACAGTAATCTACCCAAGTGTATTCCATCGTGCTGGTTAAATCTTCTTTCGTTCAAGTTGAAGGATGATTTATACAGTGGGCTTTGTAAACTTATGACATCGACAGCATACGACTGGTCTCAGGTACCTGCTATGCCAAACTTTGTTGATACGGATAGTGTTGAATTTGTACTTGGAGGTGATCAATGTCCAATACCTATTGGTGTAGGAAATTTTGGTAGTGTTTATCTCGCACGTCGTCCGGAAGATAACGAATTAGTCGTTTTGAAATACGTAAGAGTTACTTCATTCGGCCTATTCGAATTGATCAAGGAAGCAGGATTCAATAAAATACTTAGCGACGCATTTGGTCAACCAGCTCCAAAGTTCTTTGGTTTAATTAATCGTCCTTTAGACAATGACCATTGGCCTTTAGCAATTGTAAGTGAATTTGTTGGCGATCCTATAACTCATAAAGTGTTCAATTTATGCGATGTTCTTCGCTGCTGTACCGAGAAATCTTCTCGAATTGATAGAACGGAAAAGACTTGGTTATCTGTGTGCATCGAAATAACTGAAGCAATTGCTAACATTCATAACTTATCTATTTACATAAATGACTTAAAAAGTGACAACATAATCTTAAGACCAGTTAGAGGAGGTAAATGGAGAATTTATATAATTGATTATGGGAATGCGACAAGAGGCCATCATAGACTTCAACTATCAACCGGAGGAATGTCTGAAAAAGAATTTTTGACCACCTACGGCCAGGTCGCACCTGAAGTTTTAAGAAAAGGATATTGCAGTCCTGCTTCTGATATATACAGTCTTGGAAATATCTTAAGCATGATACATTCTTGTAGTTTGGTTGGAAAGACTGTTAATGAGTTGGGAACTAGATGCTTATTGGAAGATTATCAAGCTAGACCGTCTACGGCCCACATAACTAAACAGCTCATGACGTTATATCAAGCGTCCCTTGGTAAACAAAAATCGTCGGGAATCGATAAAACCAATTATCCATTCAAATATCTAAACACGAATTTGATACAATCGGTTGTATGATGTTTGTTAACGAAGAAAATTAATTATTTGTCATTCTTGATATCAGAGGTTAATTATGAATAAAATAACGATTCACTGAGTAATTTTCGATTTCCGAAAAGTTATTATTTATTATTTTTGGAGGGCTATTGCCCAATAGTAGCGATAATTAGGGCATTCGAAAGAAAGACATTGTAATTTATTCTGAAAGCATTTCGAAGCGCTTTTGCTTATAATACTTTCTGTGACTGGCTAAAAAACGATCCTGAATTTTAATAAGGCTTCTAGATTAAAGTCACAATAACCACTTACGTAGACAGTCTTAAAAGCTAAGAAATATTTTACTTAGTAAATATGGTGTGTGTACCATGTATCATTATTCCTGTTCTTTTATGGGTGTTTCATAAATACATACAACCTTTGATATTGAAATTTTGGAACCCTTGGAGCAAAAAGGAAGCTAAAACTATTGATGTAAGTTTATATTTTAAAGATTTCTATTTTCTATTAGTCTAAATATCGAATCGTATTAATAGTTCCATAATCTGTATCATTGACAGCCGCATGACATCACATTTCAAATTGAGTCTTATTTTTGTAATGTTTTTTTATATACATTTCCTAAGCTAGTCTATACTTTAAAGATACTGATAATAAATTAACTAGGACATAAATTTATCAATTAAATCGTTTAGTAGGGATTTTAGCAAGAATGAAATTCAGAATGAAAAAGCATTTTTTTTTAAATATTACTATAGATGGCATTAAATGTTTGCCTCCATTTTAGCATTGACCTTCAGGCCTAACGCGTTATGATATATTTTTTCATTAATTGTTAATGGACAGACAACTTGGAACATTTTGTTCGCTAAAGAACAGATCTTGTTCGGTCATCTGTCAGTATATCTAGGTTTTAAAAATATATGCCAAAATCAAAAAAGTTGAGCTATGTATCAAAATTTAGCTAAAGGTTCAATATTTAAGTGGACAACGACACTTTTAACAGTTAATATAGTGAGACAAAAAAAGTACACAACTATACCTCAAACGTTGATAGTAATAAATATAATCTTTACTTTTACTTTTATATTTGATCTATTTATGTATTTCAGTGGGACTCTTTGAAAACAGAAGAATCCGATTATATAAAGAAGAAAGTAAATGCAGAACCTGTCGTTTTATTTTCAAAGACAACATGCAGCTTCTGTAGTCTAACTAAAGATGTTTGTAAAAATTGGAAAATTCCTTAATCTTTTAAAAACTTATGATATATTCTTTCAGCTTCTAAATGAAATCGGTGTAAACTATTATGTAGAAGAAATAAACGAAAATGAAAATTGTGAAAAACTTCAAGAGGCCTTTAAAACATTGACTGGAGAGAGAACTGTAATTACTATACAAATTATTATTTTGTTTTGCTAAAAATCTAAATATATATATTAATATATTTTCTAATTTTTCCACCTCTCCTTCTTAGGTACCTAGAATTTTTATTGGTGGAAAATGCGTTGGTGGAAATTCAGATGCCTGCAGTCTTCATAATCAAGGTAAACTGGTAACTCTTTGTAAAGATGCCGGAGCAACTTTTAAGAAAACTGATTGAAAAGTACAAGTTATGATATTATTTTTATGTTATGCTTAGAATTATGATTTCTTTTTTTATTTATAAGTACAAATTTGTGACAAACTATGGAACAACGTCTTTATTTTTTTCCCTACAGTTTAATATAGCATATAATAGTCAATTAACAAGAAAAAAATTGCCTATTTACACATAAGGAATATTAAATAGAATGTAACGTATTTACAACAAAAAGTAATAATTAATTGATATTATATTTTCTTAACTCGTATATTCTTTCATCTTCGACTTCACAGCATATATCAAATTGATGCCTTCTACGTCTATCCTTTATACACCTTGAAAATTGATGCATTATATCCACAGTCCATTTCTTATGCTATTAATTATAAAGAAAAGATATATATTAAAATACGTAGAATACACGCAATATCTATAAAGCCCACAACGATAATGGAATTGCATATATTGTGTATATAATGCAAACCTTTTGTATATTTTTTCGTACGCTACCATTTACAGGCCTATTAACATTTGTAAAAGCAATAGAGTCTTCATAATATCTAGCATCACAAAGAAACCCTTTAAATCCTGCTAATGTTCCAAGCATACAACATGACCAGTGACGTTTCGGAACTTCTGTTAAAACATACATTAAGAAAAGTGGTTAAATACATAGGTTCTTTAAAAAAAATAATAGAATAAAAATGATTAGCCTTCTAAACGAACTTTGAAAGTAATTTATTAATTCTTTAGATGGTATGAGGGGTTGACTCTTTTTTCCTTCGATTTCCATTAAGTATTTAGAATTAGTTGCAGTTGTTACCAAATAATCTGCAATGGGGGAGAAAATGGAGCCTATAAGGTGAAATAAAAAAATTTAGATAATCAATTTACCCCCAAAAGATGGAAAGTATGCTCCTCTTCTACTTCCATGCATTGTCAGACTTTTTGCTGATATTCCCGCAAAACCTAGAATAGCGAAGAGTAGAATATCATACAGATTATTCATATTTCTTGACTTTATTCCTCGCGAATTCAGGATAATATGAAAAACAGCCTTACAGAAAGGTTTAAAAGCTCCTAGTATAGGCTTAAAAGGGTATTTTTTATCAAGTGACGGTCATACGGTAGACTCGAACCAATCAGCTATGTCGGGTGACACGCGATTAGGATTGCCTTTATTGCCCTTAGGTAAGTCAATAACTCCTTACGCGCCTTATTGATTATTAATCATTTTCAAAATGCTATTATAAATACCTTATTCGCTATTGAATTAATAGTACTTTAATTAAAATTGATACTCTTTTCAACAACTAGAACGACTAATTGAAACTATGTTCTAATTTTAATCCTTGCTAACAAATTGGCTATATTGTTATACAGTTGAATAGTGCTCATCTCAATACTGTCCTTTTTTTCAACTAGGAATAAAACTAAAGTAACTTACTGCCTTTCTTACCCCTATATCATAATGTGTATAGATGATGTAATACACTACACGTTTGTAACTGTTTTCAAAAACAATTACAGATAGAAATTTACAAAATAACTATTACATGAAAACTTTGAAGATATACATATTAAGATAATGAAACAGATAAAAAAGAACGTAGTAAGAAAGGAAAGGAAATGTTTCTCTTCACAGTTCGTTAAAAACTTTTACAATTTTAGATATTTTCGTATAACATTTCAAAAATATAAAAATAACCTTGTTTATCCTTGTTGAAAAGTAATACATCATATTCATATGATAGCCTTTTTTTGTCTATCAGAGGGGGAAAGTTGCATTAAAATTAATAGTAGGTTATATATAGTGTTTATATATACTTTTTTGTTTGTTTGTCCTATATTTGTGTCTATTTAAAATATAAAGAAAATACAATATAATTAGCATATTATATAATTTATTTATTAGAATGTTTTTAAAATATTGAGGTGTTAATTGTAAATGAATTTGTTTAAAAAAAGAAAACAAGTAGTTGTTTGTCTAAATTGTATTCTCTATCATTTATACTGTTTTTTTTCACCAATTGGAATATTAAGTAGAGAGGAAATGATGTAATATGTTTACAATGAGGTAAAAGTATCATATACAGTATATTCAAATGTAAATATGTATATACTGTATATAGAATGACTAACACAAAACTATTAAATATAGATATACTGAATAAGTCCTTGTTGCATATATAAATATATAGTGTATATATATATATATATTGGCATTGGAAAAGTTAATTCTCTATTTACATAACTTGTTGTTGAATACAGCTAATGAATTTTACAAACTGTACTTGAAAGGAAGCAGTTAAAAACTTCCAGATGTATTGCTGATTAGTTTTTAAGTAGGATTAAACTCTCAATGACCGTCTAAGGTTTTTGTGTACAGGAGAGGGAATAAAGAGAACTTGTAAGTCTTCTAAAAAGAACGTTTTTTGTTCATTTTTTCTGATGTTTATTCAAATTTTTAAATACTTTTTTTCATTTCGAGAGGAAATCCCTTAGAGTTGTATTCTATTCTGCATTGGACCGTAATAATCTTATTAATTTAAACTATATTGTTTGTTTTTAATAAAACTGGTAAAATTGCTTTTCGCATCGTTAAGTGGATAGGGATCTATGTTTTGCTCTAAATCTAATTGCAATAATATATATTAATAGTTAAAGTTAGAGGTTATTAGGCATTGTATGAAGTCGAAGCGTCTTATAATTTTATCTACAACATAAATAATAGGCTGAAGAACTTTAATGATTAAATAAATCAAAGTAAATATTGTAAAATAATTAAAATATATGAGCGATATTATCATGTAGAGAGAGATAAAAACATGGAAAAATGGCCGCTCGGGCGAAACATTAGTTTGGAATCAAGTTTGCCGCTTTTTCACAGCATTATAAACAGTACGGAACACGTAGCCTATCTACCATCCAGACGGATGGATGATAAAGCGAGAGATGTACCATTATTCAATAGAAATAGCTAGCATTTGCTGTCCTGTAAACATATTTTGTAGGTTTTATAATGTCTCTTCAAGAAAAGGAATCTAGACTGTCATTTGCACAGGAAATATTAAGTATGGATAAAGAAAACTGCGCCTCTTCGGTCAGTAACACTTTGGAAGACAATATCACTTCGAATTTGGAAACTAATTTGGTAATTAGCTACACCAAGTAAGCAAATATTTAATCAAGTTTTCTCTAGTCATTCCTTTAGTATTAGTTTTCTAATATCTAGAATTTAGTTTGCATTGTTTGTAGTGTGTGTGTGTGTTTTTTTCAAATGTTTATTATATAATTCGTATATTACCAATTCGTTCCTGCCAGCCTACAACTGCGAAAAGTAAATCTCAAACACAAATAAAGATAACTAATTGGGCCTATTACATTGTTTCTCTCTAAATACTATATACCTAAATATCACAAGGTATTTTTTATGCACAATTTGACTTTGGAATTCATTGAACCTATAAAGTTCTTTTATAAAAATAGTAAAAGGAATAGAAAGTACATGAAATATAAATCTTTAACTTGTTAATATTAAAAGCTTTTAAAATACCTTACTATATCGCTGATAAAATATCAGTTAAGCAAGAGCCTGAAATTAGCTCTTAATTATAATACTAATTTAATACCATTTCCTATTATTGAATATATACATTTAGTGCAACAAATCTGCTAATTGTAATCTCATAAATATATACGGGTTCTATATCTGTTTTATAGGTAACATTTGGCTGTAATATGTATATCGTTGATTTTTTTCAAAATCATTTAAAGGCCTATAATCAGCTTTAATGTATATTAATTTTTTTTGTAATGTTAGACCAAAGCCCCTTACTTTTTTTTTTTTAACAAAAAACAAATTAAACTAGGCTTCTCTGTATTTTTAGAAACGTCATACATTTGCGCAGTTGAATATTATATATATATAAATATATACAGTATAATAGTATACATATAGCATATGATTAAAGCTACACCTAGATAACAAAGTGTCTGGATAGATTCATTAATGTTTTATAAATATATTAACACGTTTTTTATCATTATGTACATTAATTTTAACTAGACACCAAAAAAGAAAAAGCCTCTTCAGTTTAAACATTTCAGTAAAGTAGGAAAAAAAAATCAATCTCTCTTATACTCCTAGAACCTCTTATGTACTTTATTCTTAATAATACTGTCGAGAACTTATTTTATTTTAATTCTATTTCTGTTTTTTTAAAAAAAAAAAAAAGAAATATTTCATTTTCCTCATCTTAAAATGATGTTTTATGAAAAAAAAAAATAAAAAAATACCAAATGACAAGTTTTTTTTCACTAATGAAGCGCATGCGTGTATGTTCAGATAATAGGGATCCGTGGAATCCTTTATAAAGCTGAGAAACTATGCATATTTTCATTGTGCTTGATAAGCCCGCGAAACTTTTGAGAGTCAACATGCTCTTCGTTTACTTTATTTTACTTAATATCTTCAATTTCTGCTTTTGTCAAGTGAGTTAAAACGTTAGATGGCATTATATGGGCTTATCCTATATTTTATTCGATTGTAATCTAGCGCCACCTTACGATTGACACATCCGTAACCGAAGGAAAAAAGGTTTACGTTGTGGGAGATGTTCATGGTTGTTTAACTGAGTTATTGAATCTGTTAAAAAAGGAGAATCTATTAAAAAGTGATGGTTTGACCATGAAGCAAAAATCTATTCTTTTTATGGCGGGGGATACTGTTAATAGAGGACCTCGTAGCTGTGAGGTTTTAGATTTTATAGAACGAAACGAAAGAGTCTTTGCCGTTAGAGGTAATCATGAGGATAACGTTTTGGAATCAGGTTCTGAAGATAAATATCCTTGGCTTAAAGATTGTCCTCAGGCAAAAGATATTATCGAAAAATTTCCTTATACATATCGTGTTAATCAGTAAGTTAAATCGGTTACAGATATTCCAATTTTTCACGTAAAATCCTTATTTAAATTAAAAAGATATAATGCTGTTGTTGTCCACGCCGGTCTTATGCCTGATACCGAAATAATGGATCAAGAAGTGTTTGCCATGACACGTATGCGCAACATTGAACGGTTAGCCGGTGGAATTCTAAGACCTATAGAAGAGACTAACGATGGAAACAATTGGATAGCATACTGGAAAGGACCACAGCATATATACTTTGGTCACACCGCAAGAAGAGGTCTTCAAACTTATGATCTAGCAACAGGTCTTGATACAAGATGTTACAAAGGAGGTCGATTAACAGCCGTAAAAATGCCAAGCTCTGAGGATCATTTTGTAAGCATCAAGTGCAAAAAGTACAACTGATTTTAACGGGAAAAAAAAAGAAAAACCTTCAAATACAGAATATTGCATTTACCGAAAAAAAAAACATAAACAACAACAATAATAAGATTTCTAATTATAATTATGTTATATATTAACTATATATATATATAATTAAAACAAACCAATTGATTATTATAAATGATACAATGATCCTAATTCCCAGCTATTCTTTCCTATAAATAACAGTTCAAGTTTTCAGTAAGATTGTTATTGTCATATAAAATGAGAAAATTAATTATCTTTTTTTTATTTTCCTTGCCAACATTCTTTTAATTGTTTAGTAAAACATTTTTTTTTTAGATAGATAGATAGATAGAGATATACATGGAATCTCTTTTTTTATTATTATTATTTTGTTCTAAGCGAACAGATGGCATTTTTGCGTGTCTGTGCGTTTTTTTTTTTTAATATTTCGGCTACAAAGGTTTATCGATCAATTCGGATAAAATTTAAACCAAACAGAAAATAATGGGTTATCTTACCTTATTGTGAAGAATGAGTTTTTTTTTTTTTTTGAATCCAACTAAGAAACTTATAACGCCATCTCATGTAAAATATTACAACTAAGCACTCAATTATCTAGGAAGGGCTAAGGAACTTACAGCGAGTGGGGGTAGGGAGTAAAAGGTGGATTTTTATTGATCGCATCTCGTTGTGTATAGCTATTTCGATACGGAATATTTGGAAGGATGAAGAGAAATACTATCAAAAGGACAGTAAGAGGTTGATATTACACATCTTTATTTAATGATATCATACAAATTCTTATATCTCACCCGTAAATCGATCGACGCCTCATTTATGTATACAGGCCTGTAAAGAACATTTCTACATCATCGATTTCTTTTGCCGTTTCCACGGCTGTACTTGGTTAGCAGACGGGTTTTCCCGTGTTTATCAAACATATGAATGACCACCGTTCCAAGCGTCTTTTTGACGCTCGCAGATCCCACAAACGAAGGTTGGGTGTAGTTTTTTACATGTTTATGAAATAGTCGTTTGTGCGTGCTTGTCGATTCGTTAGCATTGATTATCATAAATTATCCACGTGTATAATTCTCAATTGAGTTATGAGAGTTGACTTAATCGAAGGTTGAAATATGTTTCGCACACGCTTTTCGGTGTACAACTATTGATGTATAAACTAAATGGCAAGCAGCGAGGATTTACACTGCTCCATCGAAACTACTAAAACAAATATTGAGCGTCTAAAGAAGAATTTTTTAAGGAAATCTTATTCGACCGAAAACTCTCCAACAAGATTTGTAAAATCAAAATGGAAATGTTTAAAATCTTCCAGGTTGTCGTTTGGGACACTTGAAATAATTTTTCCAAAATTTTACTGTTCTGTTTATCCTCTCCTATCATTTCTATTTTAGTAATTTTTCCTTAGCGGTACAATTTTTAAACTTTTATAAAATGTTCAAAGATGTCGTTTTATTTATTTTGATTTTCTTTAGAACTATTTTTATGCTTGTATCTAGTTTTATGTTTGTTCTCCTACTGTTTGCCACTTTCCATACATATATATATATATATATATATATATATATATAGCATATAAATATATATAGGTGTAAAATTCTTCTATATTTCCACTATATCTCTTTTTGAATAGTGTTTATTTACATGTTGGAATGACTATTTACATTTGATTATTGATCCAACACTTGTTGTTTTAGAATTATTTTATCATTTTTCTTCTACTTAGGAGGAAAAGTCAAGGTGATTCTGCTGTCGATTCACCAAATTATGACCAACCAAAACCAGAGATTCTTGTTACACCGTCTCAGGAGTCTGGCATGTAAGGATAATAATTTTCGAATATTACATAATCGTATATTGATTTTTTTAGGAGTATGTCTCAAGAAAGCTGTGCTAATTCTGAGTTATCGTTTGGCGAAAATTCCTCTAAAAATGGTGAGACAAGGTAAGCAGTTAAACGAACAATATCAATTATTGCAATACGTGTAAAGCACGATTCTCCATGGAAGCCAATAGGCCTATTTGTAAATATACTGTTATAGCACAATTCATATTAACAAAGAGTAACGATACAAGCAGTGTTCATTTTGATAATTACTCATTAAAGACATATCAGATTCAATGCCCAGGGTTTCATTGTAATAATTATTAGTTTATAGTTATCCTAATGATTTAATATGTAAATTAATCGATGAGCATTTAATTTGGATTTTACTTTATTAGCTGTAAGGATACGGGGAAGGAATGTGGGAAATCATCCGACATAGAACCATCAGGAGAGAAAAGAAGTGATACCAGCTCAATGTCTAGCAGTACAACAGGAAAAAAAAAGAAAAAAGGTTCTTGGTACAATGTAAGTGAAATCTATTTTGTTTTTCCAATTATTTCGATGCATAGGGAACTAATACATCCTAAAATCTTTGCTACATGTTGCTAACGTTTGATTAAAGAATTAATATTTGTTATTTGTTTACATTTTTTTTATTTATTACTAGATATTTTCAAACAGCGAAAAAATATCAATATTTTATTAGATTATACTTAGATTCAAAGAAAATGTAGGCTGTTATTCAAATATTTGATTTCTTCTATTTCCTATTTTTCTTCTTTTCCCTTCCCTTCCCTTCCCCTCCCTTCATTGCTGTTCTTCCAACTACGACAACAACAACAAAAACAACTACTGTGCAAACTACATCGTCAAATCAACTTATTTCTACCAAAATACAAACAAATATTCAACAGCAATCACTTTACAGTAGATATAAAATATCAGACAGAAAGGTAATTTAGGAGACGGACAATTTTTTACTAACTTTTTTCCTAGTTGGATGACAGTTTTCTATTATATACTGTACGTAAGCTCTTCCTTTCATCCTATACCTCTCTCTCTCTTTTTTTCCTTGTTATTATCATAGATATTTAATAATATTACAAAGTTTTCTCAACATATAGGTTTACATTAAGTTACATATAGCTTAACTATAGCTACTGGGTCTATTCCGTATACAATATAGATATTGAAATGTTTAAGGGGAAGTCGGTCCTCGTATAAATCCAAAACCGAATAATTAGTTGTTACTGAATTTTTTTTAATACTAATTATACTTTGAGAAAATAATTGACCTATTTTACAAAAATTAATTATAACCATTTTTCTAATAATGTAAAAGAAGACGAATCTAGAATTAAAAAATAATTATTTAGTATAAAATGGAATTTTTTTTTCCCACTTCTTCTCCTTTGAATCTTTTCTCGAGTTTCTTTCTCCCTTATTATCATTATTACTATTATTATTAGAATGTATTTTTGATGGAAAAAAAAAAAGAAAAACAGATAGATAAATAAATAAACAAACAAAATAATTATCGTATTTATTTATAGAATTAATTTAGAACAGAATAATTTATTCTAAATAGAATGACAATTAATAGAATTTTTTTAAATTTTGACAATTTTCCATTATTTTTAAGTAAACTAATTGATCTATTCGATAGTGTTGATTTATATATATGGCATTGACTTCCAAAGAAGCCTTTTGGGCATGCTTTACAAATACCTTTGTCCGGATAGCATTCACTATTTAGGCATAATTTTGAGCACTGTTTTTTGCAGTCTTTTCCGTAGTAATGCTTTTCACAAGCTATTTGTAAATAGAAAATTATTATATTATTATTAATTTATTAATCTGGTTAATATAATTTATAATATTTACTAAAGAAAGAATAGTTATTTTATTATTACGTACGTATTTGGCAATATTTGCCTGAATATCCTATTTTACATTCAATACAACTGCCATCGTTTCGTTTACATTTAGCTCCTTTACAGTTGTATTCTTCGCAAGATTTACGGCATTTTTCGCCATACCAACCGTTTTTACAAGATTCCTTACAAGTTCCATTTTTAAGGCAATCGTTTGTAGAACAATAACGACTGCATGGCTTATTACAATAATCTCCAAAATATCCTTTTGCACAAGCGAAGCATGTCGTATCAGTTTTTGTACAATTGTACTTGGCTAGGCAATTTGAATTATTTAGACAGAATTTTTTACATTTATCATAATCACAATGTTTTATTTTGTATTTTTCCATACGAAATACTCCAAGATTTATAAAGAAAACTAAAAGAATTAACAATCCAACTGTAGACATCTTTTGTTAATTATCTTGTAAATGCTTTGTGATAGAATAGGAAACTGATTCCTTCTTTTGCTTTTTATTTTCTTTCTATCTATATCTCTCTGTCTCTGTCTCTGTCTGTCAGTGTCTAGCACCGCTCCTACATAAGTACACTCCACGCACAAGATTGAAATTGTTTATCGTATAGGCTTTAAGAGGGCTATGTAACTTTTTCTTTACAGATATGTAAATTGATTTAACTTTTTTGATGGATTTTTTATATATTCATTTATTTATTCGTATTCTATAAATATTTCTTTTATTTTCTATTGATAATTAAAATGAAAGTAAAGGACCAATTTAATCATAAAACAAAAAAAGAGACAATATCTTTTCATAGAGCTATTACTAATTATTTTTCTCATTGAAAGTATTTTTATATTATTCTAATTGATTAAAATAAAATAAAAAATAGGTCCTCGCCCCAAATTACAAAAGTAGAAGTGAAGATTTTAAGAAGATATTCAAAAATATTCCCGGTGATGAAAGATTATTAGTAGGTTAGTATGACAATTAATATACTAATATATATATGCATTTTAATGTTTGTTTCTTAGTGAAAAAGGGCAGGGAGGGAGGGAGTAGTATTTAAAGGGAGATCTAAAAATATTTAAACTTAAAAGGGTTGTTATGTAAAACTAAAGGATTAGGGTGGGAGTGTTGTATAAATATACAGTATATACATATATATATATATATATATATATATATATATATATATATATACATAAAACAGCTGTATAAAGTTTATAGATTTATTTTATACTATACTACATATATTTTAAATAATTTTATAGATTATTCTTGCGCTCTTCAAAAGGATATTCTAGTCCATGGGAGATTATATATTACACAAAATTGGATATGTTTCTACGCTAATATATTCCGTTGGGAAACAATGGTTTAATTAAATTTTCTCCTTCTCTAATAACATATTTCTTATATTTTCTTTCTGCTATATAGTTAACCATCAGATGTGATAATATTAAAGCTATAACCAAGGAGAAAACTGCTAGAGTTATACCGAATGCCGTTCAGATATTAACCGAAAATGAGAAATATTTTTTTACATCGTTCGCTTCGAGAGATAAAGCTTTTCTAATGCTTTTCCGCGTTTGGCAAAATGCTCTAATGGATCAAGTAAGAAAATCTTTAAAAGAGATATACATTCTCCAATGTAGGCTTTATCTTTTATGTTTCTTTTAAGCCTATGGATTCTCAAGAATTATGGCAAATGGTACATCATTCGTATGGCGAAGAGTTAGGATTAACGTCTAGTGATGACGATTATGTAGCTCCACCTGTTGATGAAGATGAACAGTCGAGTTCATTAACTGTTCATTACAAATCTAAGGCACTTGTTAACTTACTTTATTGTTTAGCAAAGTTTATTTATACAAGTATTTACTTTATAAATAATTGTTATATACAATTTCTCTTTGTTAAACAATAGGATGACGATGGATTGGATAATGTTAAAATATCAAAGGAACCATCTTCATCGCTAATAACACCAAATTCATCTTATTCTCCATTGGAGGACGACGGTTCACCTACAATTGATCAAACAATGACTGCACTAAATGACGACCCAAGCGATTTCGAAAGTAAGTACAGAAAATTTCTATACATATTCTTTTTTTTCTTCTCCATTGACTGACCTATTAATATAGGACATGTCAACTGTTGTCTCGGCCTATAAAAATAAGGAGTTTTATAGGATTTTTTTATGCTAATAAACGCAATACGTATCAAATCTTTATGAGTCACGATCATTGACAACGTCGACGATTTAAAATATATATATTGAGAATAATTTCTTGTAGCCAGTTTTTGAAAAATTGGGTAGATACAAACAAGTTTATATTAAATATATATTAAAAACTTGTTAGTTTATATCCCATTTGTTGGCTGAGAAAAGTAAGAGTATTAACGATCTGAAAACTAACGGAGCTTTTTTTTTTTTCCTTATGTTTTTTTAAAAAAACACAAATGTCAGTGTTTACGGAAAATCTTTGCGAAAGCCATGAACACCCAGGGAAATTGTATTTGGACGAAGTATTTTCAATTGATGTCGATCAAATGTTTCAATTATTATTTACCGATTCGGAATTTTATTTGGAATTTATAAGGGCTAGAAAAACTTCTGGTGAGTACTGCGTTAAATATGTTATTTTTATATATGTCATATACATACTTGCTATTAAAATAATGTTACAAATATAATAAATATATATTTAAATATATATAAATTCTTTATAAAATTAATAGATTTAAAACTAACACCATGGCCTGACGAATCGGACGAGAATGGTGGCAAATGTCGAACGATTACTTATACATTGTCCCTAAACTATCACATTGGACCAAAATCTACTTTATCAATTGAAAAACAGGTTTATATTAATGAATTTTAATATTATATTTATACTTTTGTATTGTTGTTTTATATTTGTTTTGTTTGTTTGTTTGTTTGTTTGTTTTATTGATTTTTATTCTTAATTAATTCATTCAATTTTCCTTCTTTTTTTAAGACTATGCAATCTGATACTCGACCTGGTAATTGCTATATAATTGATACAGAAGTATCAAATCCAAGCGTTCCACATGGCGATTCATTCTACGTTTTTAGTCGATACTGTATTCTAAAAGTATCAGAGAAAAGGTCAAGGTTAAAGGTAAATAATTTAACTTAACTAATATATAATACCATTACTATAAGAATGATTTGTTTATTTTCAAGGTACATAGCGAAGTACGTTATTTAAAGAATGCATGGGGTTTAGTTAAAAGTAAGAAAATTAAATTTTATTGAGATATTTGTTCTTTTTTCGTCAATTCTTTTTATTCAATTGAATTCTATTAGAACGTTCTAAAAAATATTCTTTTTTTAATTTGCTCTATAATTCATATTTTTCCTTAAAACAAAATACCAAAACATAAAAGACAATCGAGGAAAATTAATAAATTTTTAGTTACAAAGAAAAGGAAAGAGAACAATTTAATCTTTTTTTTTACAGGATTTTTTAAAAAAATAAAAAAGGACTTTAAATAAAAAACGAATGAATTCACATTCATATATACTGTATAAATTTATATAAATTTATATATATATATATACTGTATATATATATTTTTGCATTTCTTTCATATATATATATATATAATATATACTGTATACAGCTATAATTGGCGGCAAAGCCGTGGGTGGTTTGAAAGAAAATTATCATTTATTAGGTATGTCAAAGCTTATCTATATGATTTTCTTCTTCTTCTATACAGACATGATCGAAAAAGGTGCTTCAGTTGGTATAAGCGAAAATTTCGAATTGCTTGGTGCGTAGGCTGTCGCAATTCGATTTATTTAATTTTTTTAGTGTTTTTTCCCCTCCACCCCCACTCCCCTTTTACCTCCATTTTTTCTCACACTCATGTTCAATTCTTTGACTTTTTTTTTATTTTGTCTGTTTTTAATTGTATTGTTTTTCAATTATATATAAACAACTGATAAATTGTACTTGAATGCATTTACTGTATATACATACTGTATATGTATACAAGTACATGTAAAAGATAATATCAGATATCCGTATCCAATTCTTACCTTTTCCTTTCCATCTTACCCACTACCGTTCATTCTGTTGTAAACATTTTTAAGTTTTATCAATGTATTTGAAGAGTGTATTCTCTTTAGTTTATATATACAGTGGTATATAGTCGTCTAGAAAAAATATTTTTTAGTCTCAGGGTAAATTTATCTGTTATGATGAATGAAGCATAATGATGTGATTAGTCTGTGATATATAATATGTATTTTCTCTAAGAAAAAAGATGAAACTTTTCTTCTTTTTCAATTTTCTTAATGAAAAAAACATATATATCTAATATATATCTTTTACTTTTGTAAATTCTAATCTAATAATTTTATTTTTTTTTCTTTCCCTTAAAAAAAACACATATAAACAGCTGTACATCTTCGAAAAGAAGCGGATAGAGTTCAAGAATTTCATAACCCATCTGTAACAACAATAGCCAATTCTAAGAAACGCCAAAATAGACGTCGCAGGAAAAATTCTATCGATCGAATAGTTAAAGTATTACCAGACACAAACATACAGAATGGTAAATATTTATTTTCTATTATTTTAAAATAAAATTTATATTAAGTATTGATTTCTAAACAGAAAGGACTTTTGTGGAATTTACTTCATTCATTAGGATGGATACTTATACACTAATTAGATTATTATGTATTTTGTAAGTAATTTAAACAGATATCTAATATTATAGGTATATAATAATTATTTTGTTTTTTTGTCTTTTTTTTAACAGATTAGGCCTTTTAATATTTATGAATCTATATCTATATATGAAAATATCCCAATTAGAGTCTAAAGCAAATCCAGTTTTTAGCAGTAGAAGATATGATTTTAGGTATGATAAATGAGTAGATTGCTTTAAAATTCATATTGTATTCCATTTTTAATATTTAAAAATATTTAATGTAAAATATTAGGCCTGATCAGAATGTACCTGAAAAATGGAGTAATGTAATAAATGAACAACAGTCTTTGCATAAGAATGAAATGGAATATTGGAAAGAAATTCTTGGCTCTTCAATTCTAGTCATTGATCAGGTTAGTTATGGTTAATTATTGAAATTAAGATAATTAATTACGTTCAATTTAGATTAAGAAAACACTTGAAGGTCTTCAAGCTACCGTTGATCACAAACTACAAGAATCTACTGCAAATAACTAACTTTTAAGACATCAATATTTGATATTGATTTGTCAATGTATGTACTGTATACCAGTATATTGTATACGGTATATAGTATATAAGACTATATATAAAAAGAAATTCCACTTAGGATAATTTGACTCATGATTATCTCTTCATACAAAGATAATGTATTTTTATTCCCAACCATCTGTTAATGCTGTTGAACAACGTAAACACAATTCTGTCTGTTTAACGGACGTATACTTCCGGCAACGTTCACATAAACTTCCCTCAGCTGGCACAATTAATAATAAATATCTATCTTCGAAAACCTTACCATTTTCCTTATTTTTACAAACTCCCTCGACAACGTGAGCTTCATCGGGTATAACAACGGGAGGTTTGGATAGTAAGGAAATGTTTGATGGCTGTAAAATCTCACATATCGGAGATGTAGCACTGTGTAGCTCATAAGACTGTAAAGACTGTTTGGTAAAAAGGCAAAATTTGAAAACAAAATAATTAGTCCAACTATAATAAAAATATTCATATGAGAAAAATATATATACACGTATTGTTTTTCTAAATACTTAGTGCGTGAGTTTTGCTTACCTTTAAAGTTGAAAATAGATGGCCTTGAGCAAAGAGTATGAGATCGAATTCTACCGGATCTTCTGATGCTATAAACGAGTTAAAAGAGTCTCTAATATGTAATAAATGTTGAATTTTTTCCGCCAATCTGTCATCTTTCCATGATTGTATCACACTAATATCAGTCCACGTTCGCTTAAAAATTGATCCAAGCTTATCGAAAGGATGGTATAGACTAACCTCTTCGGTTAGGAATGGCAACACTGGAGCTAGTATCTTTAATACTTCATCCGCAATATGAAACTGAACAGTTTGAGCGGATCTTCTATCTTTGGATTCGGGTGACGAACAATAAATCCTATCTTTTGTGATTCTACAATAAAAGGCTGAAGCCGGGCCGTTGATAAACCTTTCCAGACTTAGTACAACCTTTTTGTATTCGTGAGCGTCATAGAATGCGCGACACTAGAGAAAAGGTCAATAAATTATTAGCTAGAGCCTTTATCTATCGTAACATAATGCTCACAGTTTCTATAAATTCCGATAACAGATGCATCATATATCTATCCTGGGGTAACATTTCGTGAACTTCAATCCTCTTATCCAACTCAAAATCTGCCAGATTTCCCAGTAAATACCTGAGAGTTTTCCTAACCTAAATTAAATGAAAACACTGTTTTTCTTCTTCTATTCTCTTTGGTAATTAACAAAAACCTTAAAAATTTGTTCATAATATTTCTTTAATAACGATTTCCCAATCAACACTTTTGACTCTTCATGTGATAAAGCAACCCACCATCTGAGCACGTCGGCTCCATAACCAAGATCCTATTTCATAAAAAAAAGACATTTTTTTTTTATTAAAACAAACATCCTATTAGTAATTTAATATACAATGTATTATAAAATTATTCTTATTAACCAACTACTTACACTATCGTTTGCACCTTCAACAACGTTTGCAGGATCAATGACATTTCCAAGTGATTTTGACATTTTTTTACCATCTTCATCAACGACAAAACCGTGCGCTATAATTTTTCTAAAACAGATAGATATGAGTATTGTTTATAAAGTGTATGTTGTTATATCACTCTACTAACTTGTACGGAGCTATATCTCTCTGAGCTACGCTTGTAATAAGCGAAGATTGGAACCATCCACCAAATTGATCTATTCCCTCTAAATAGACATCAGCTTGTTTGATATTTTCTAATAAAAGGAAAAAATTTGCATAATTATAATTAGCTATGTAAATGTAATAGAACCTGGTAAGACTGTATACCAAGAGGAACCCGAATCGAACCAAATATCTAATATATCAGAACCTTTAACGAATTCAGTATCACTTCTAAAGCCACCCTTTAAAAGTAGACAGCAGTTGTTATTCTTTTTTTTGATAAATTATCTATAATTATACCTTCTCCCGTATGCTTTTCGGTAATAATTCTTCAATATCCATAGACCACCAACAATCAGAACCATACTTTTTGACAAGTTCCCTTAAATGTTGTACAGAATCCCTAATAAAATAGTCGTAAAGGTCATTTGTAAATAGTATTTATTAACTCATATAGATAAACAATTTACTTAGAAATAAACGGTTGATTCGTTTCCTTTTCGTAGAAAACTGGAATTGGTAAACCCCAAGATCTTTGCCTAGAAATACACCAATAAGGTCTAGAATCCAATTTTGAATGCATAGCCTTTTGTAAGGAGTTTGGTATAATTTCAACATTATCCAGAGCTTTCTAGATGACAACAACAACAATAAAAACAAACGAAATCATTCGATTTTGAAAAAAAAGAAATCATGTTATTTTGTTATTTAATCGTTGTTTTTTATATTAAATTAATATATTTCGGAATAAATTGCTATGACGTAAAAAGTAAATTATCCGATGTTGTTGTTAATTACCAAATTCTTCAATATAATATCCGTTTAAATATCAGGGGACTAAGGAGGGTAAAGAGATCAATTTATACAACTAGAAATCCTATACCTATCTCTATCAGATTGAGTAATTTTTCGTTACTCTTACGTCCAGCGTTTAATAGACGCTTTAAAGATGTTGCTCTTGAAATAGATGGTAAAAAGGTGACGGATGAATTTGATCCGTATAATTATATGGAAGGAAAAGTTCAATTCGTAACAGATTCTAATGTAGTTGGATACTTTAATAGGAATATATTTGTAGGTCATTTTCGTATTGGCAATGATCATTTTGAAGTTGAATTAGCTAAACAATATAGATGGGAAGATAATGAAACGAATTTTCATTCAATCCTTTATAATCATAAAGATTTAAAACCGCTAAATATTTATAAAAATACGTAAATATTTATCTAATGTATTTAAATTATTAATAAATGAATAAATATGGAAGAAAATTTCTAGATTGATTTTGTAAAATTTTCTATTACCTATAAAAAATTAAGTATTTATGCTATTGTGATTAAAGTGAATTCATTTACAGACGAAATCAGATACGGTTAAAGAGAGCCGCCTTTCCGAAGAGAAAATCTGTCTATTATGCAACCAGAACAGACAATGAAGGGGCGGAAAGACGTAGAACCAATAAAAGTGAGCCGAAAGTATGTTACATGAGATTGATTAGTGATCCTACCGCGCACGATTATTACATGAAACAGAATGCTATGGTAATTACGTAATAAGGGGTTATGAAATACTTGTACAATCGACTTTCTTAACAAATATTAGAGTTTTTCCGAAGCTACTCAAGAAGTTTATTTCCATATGCTTTCCTCTATCAAATCCGCCAATGATTGGTATAGAAAGGAAACATTCGCGACTCGTGGCTTTTCGACAACTAACATTCAAATAAAGCCTCGATTATTATCAATGAATACATCAAGGATCTGTCAAAAATCGCCTAAACTTCTATATTGTCGAAAGAATCTAGCAATTCAACCTATTCTTCGTGAGATTTCTCTAGCAAATAATGAAGAATTCTGCCTTGTTCACCTATTTACAATGAGGCAATTTGAAGATTCGACAATGGGATTAGCGTTTACTGCAAGAAACGAAGGTTTTGTCTCATACACTTTTTTTTAATAGCAAAAAAAAACACACAAAAAAACTTGTACATTATCATTTTTATCATTCTTACAAATTCTTAGACGACTCTCAAGCAGGAATTTGCGGTAAATATAAAGAATGCTATAATGATTATATAGGACTTATTGGCAAAGCAACAATGAATACAGGTGTTTCCACCAGAGTTCTTTATGGAAAATTACAGGCTCCCTTATTCAGTAGAATAACATTTACGCATGAATTGGGGCATAATTTTGGGGCTAACCACGATGAGAAATATTCTACATGCTCCGGTAATGAAGATGGGAGATATATAATGTGGCAGCTGTCGCTTCACGGAAACCAACCGAATAATGTCAAATTTAGTTCCTGTAGTAAAGAACTCATTGCGAAGATTCTTAGAAGGGTATTATTAACATCGTTAACAGCGGAGGGCATTAGCAGGAGTAATTGTTTAAAAGGCCTTGACGAAAAGACTTGTGGTAATGGTATAATAGAAGGTGATGAGGAATGTGATTGTGGTTATGAAACAGATTGTATTGTCGATTCAAAGTGTTGCAATCCTCGCTTGTCAATAAGATCTCAACATCAAGATAATAAAAACTCATGTAAACTTAGACCATATTCTAACTGTAGTGTTTCTCAGGGCAAATGTTGTGATCCTGGCACGTGTCAATTCAAGGCCATTGGGTCTTTATGCAAAGAAGAAACGGAATGCTTATATAGGGCAGATTGCAGGTTTTGACTCATATCAGTCATTATGACTAATTAAGATTAGTAGCTACAATTGCATATATGTTTTATACGTTTCAGCGGAAGTAATGCTATCTGTCCACATCAGATTAGAAAGCCAAATATAGAGACCACTTGTAATGGTAATAGGGCTACATGCAAAGATGGAAATTGTACGGGATCATTATGCTTGTTAGCTGAAAGTCAACCTTGTACAATGTCTCTAACCGATCGAAACAGTCACAAAGTTTTGTGTCAGATAAGCTGCCTAAATAAGAAGGGAGACTGCGTTGTATTAACGCATGAAGTTCTAGCCAATTTCCAAGAATTTAAACAGATTCGCAAGGTCGTTGGCAACGTGGCAGTACTTTACAAACCAATTGGTTTTAGTTGTAATAAGTCAAACGGTGTTTGCGATATGTTATCTTATTGTCGTGATCCAACACCAGATGGCCCTCTGATCATTTTAGCAAATCTTTTACTAGGAACTGGACCTACTAGTTTAAACGACTTTATGAAAAAGTATTGGTTCACTTCCGTTATCATCATGCTACTCCCCCTATTATTTTTCCTATCCCTATTACAATTTTGCGATGTTCAAATTGGCTATATAGACAAAGCTGTTGATAAACTGTCAGGGGCAAGTGAAAGTTTCTCCCAGTTGTCACTCAATAAGATCGGCAGGCGAGTAGTGTCTAAACTATCACTTGGAAAGTACGAAACAAAGTCAAGATTAAAACTAAATCGAATACCATCAGTTGCGAAATCGGCTGTTAGTAAACTAAGCAAAAGTAAATCATCATTAGTTTTGGATAGGATTCGCATACTGTTAGATAAAGAAGTTTTATGGAGTAAAGCCGAAGAAGACATTTATAAACTATCAGTAAGAGTTCGACAGAAGTTGTATACTTCAATTCCTAAACAAAATTCCTCAATGAACGATTTTAATGACTTAAAAGATGCCGACAAAGAATATTTATATTACGTAACAAAAATGGGGGAGGATCCATTATACATTCTTAAGAATCCATTTAAATACCTTTGGTATTCTTTCATAAGAAAATTGCTCCATTACATATGGTATTTCTATCTAAGGTTGTCGCAACAGTTTCGTAAGAGATCAAATTTTAAGAATGCCGAACAAGAATTTAAAATGAAAAGAATTGAAGAATTAAGTAAAAAACACTTTAAATGCGAAAGAAATAGACAAGAACCACCTTTAAACTATTACAAGGATAAATATGATAAATTCGACATTCTAAGTTTTATATAAAAGACATAAAACCCTGTTCAATTTTCTATGTTAATATTTCTTTTTTCAATCCCTTCTCCCCATATACCTACAAAACCATCTTCCAATATTAATAGTAAATGTTTACTTACGAGTGCTTTTGATTTTATATTTTCGATATTAATAAACCATTGTCTACTAGCTCTATAGATCGTTGGCTCTTTTGTCCTCCAATCATAAGGATAACTATGAATATAGTCCTCTTCAGCAAGTATATCCGATCTCATTAAGTCGATAACTAAGAACAATAGCAAGTATTCTTTCCAATTAAGAATAGTAGAGTGATTTTCAAAGTATATATATACCTGCAGAATTTCCTTCTTTTAATACATGTTTCCCGTTCAATTCTTCTCCAACTTGTTCAGTATATCTTCCCAGTTCATCAACAAAACACTCTACGGACAAGTGATGGGGAACGGCTAGATGGAAATCGTCAAGTCCATGGGCAGGTGCTGTATGAACTAAGCCAGTTCCCTTAGTAACCGATACATGATTAGATGGTAACATTGGAAAATTGATATCTTTAAATAGTGGATGTTTATATGTAGCTCCGTTTAATACTGAACCTAAATGTATTTATAATATTATTAATATTTCATATTTTTAATATTTTAATATACCGGGAAAGGAGTCTTTAATCTCCAGTCTATTGTTGAATATTGTTTGCATCTTTTCTAAACAACTTTCAGCAACGATATACAAAACGTCTTCCTTGTTATCCCTTACTAAACAATACCTATTTAAGAACAGAATAGAATTCCATTATTATTGAAAATAAGAGGATATAGATAAAAGAATATTACTTTATATTAGACCCAAAACAAATAGCTTTATTTGAAGGTAAAGTCCACGGGGTCGTCGTCCAAATTAGGGCATAAATATTTAAGTTCTCGCATTGGATATTTTCTTTTATATTATCTATAAGAAATCTGACATATACAGATTTACTGACATGATTTTCATTATATTCCAATTCCGCCTCCGCCAAAGCGGTTTTAGATGAAGGTGACCAATGAACAGGCATGTAGTCTTCTTTTATCAGTCCCTATCGATTCAGACAGGCAGGTTTAATTACTGTAATTACTTGTTACGTAGATCTTTTGTACCTTTTCGTATAAGTCGTAAAATAAATCTAATTGTTTAGCCTCGTATTCTTTGTCAAAAGTAAAATAGCATTCATTGTTCCAATCGGCCATGACTCCCCATCTTTTGAAAGCTGCTTTTTGTCTTTCAATAGTTTTACCGGCGAATTTTTCAGCTGTTTGAAGGTATGTATAATCTGTTTAGGATACACGAAAGAAAAGAATGTTACATACCAGTATGTCTTATTTGCATGGGTGATAGTTCAGAATGTTCAGACTTAATTGCTGCTAACGCTTTTTGTTCTATGGGCATTCCGTGACAGTCCCATCCGGGTTTATAATGAACTTTATAACCTTGTAATAATTTTACTCTAGACGTGATGTCTTTGGCAATCTGTTGTAAACATGTAATTAAAAATGATGAATTCGCAGCGCGATACCAAGTCAGCTGACCTTATTTAGAGCGTGACCCACATGTACCTCCCCATTCGCGTATGGAGGTCCGTCATGAAGACAGAAAGTTCTTGACCGACTGTCGCCCATTTGCCAAGCATACAACTGATCGAATTCTGCAGCCTAAGCAATTTTTGACCTAATTAAGTTAGTGTTCTATGTTCAAAAGTGTTATACTTCTTGGATGTTTATTTCTCTTTTGGATATTATTCCCTGTTTCATTGATAGCGGAAAGGCGGTTCGTGGAAGATTAAGCGTATCACTATAACGTTTGTTTTTTTCATTTCCTGTTTTGTTGCTCTTCAGCCTTAAAAAGACTTTGCGACAAAAACGCGCATTTAAAACTTCATTTATGTTAATTAACCTAAGCATTTTGAAGTAAGCTAAAAACTTAAGTTTATAATTCAAGAGTACTATTACACATGGGGGCGTCCATCTTTATTTTTAACCTGGTAACCAACTCCAGTTTCAAATGGTCACGTGACTTCCGCCGTGGCCATTGAAAGTTTCAAACGGTTTTTTTGCGATAAAATAAGGATTTTTGCAAACATCTTAGACTTTTCTATGGTTTTTTAAATAGCCGACTCCGGCATGGAATCTTGGACATACTTTTTAGAAGTAGAAAATTCGGAAAACCTTCGCAAAGTCGTTCTTGAAGACCTCAAGCTATTGGGCGTTAATACCAAGTATTTAAAGAAGAAGTACAAGGAAGATTCTTTCGTTGTAAGTAGATTTTTTTAGCATGCTTATAATCAAGAAATTCACAGCAGAAATATTCATTTAACATAGGCACAGCCAAACGCCAATGTTTTTGGAAATTTCTTAGACTTTGTTCCGTCAGTTTATGTTGAGGGATGTGGGCCTGTGCCCAGGTTTGTATAACGTAATGTAAACAAAACGCATCAATAACATGTGTGTCTCACACCTTCACTTATCAGAGTTCTTGCCGAGATCGGCAGTATCATAGAGCGCAACATCATTACGGAAGGTTTGTTCCGAAAAAGTGGATCAGTTTCTAGAAAGAAGGAATTAATGGTATAGTAGCTTTACAAAAATCCCATTGTTTTCTAACAGAACTTTCTAATTATGTAATCAGAATCGGATTGAAAAAGGCGGATCCTTAGAAGGCGCAAACATATACGATGTAACAGGAATTTTGAAAACTTTTTTAAGACAATTGCCAGTTTCACTTTTGGCGCCTAGTCAGGCCATTTTGACAGCTTTCGAACAAGCTCACGAAGATGGCGAGAATGAGAGGCGAATTGACGCCTTACAGCTTTTGGTTCTACTATTGCCAGCGGCAAATATTTGTACACTACGATTTCTTTTATTACTCTTATCTAAAGTGGCAGATCATAGTGATCAGAACAAAATGGACGTATCTAATTTAGCTTTATGTCTCGGCCCTAACCTATTTCCATCTGTGTCACAAACCAAAGCAGATGCTAAAACCCTTCAAGTTCATACGTCTATAGTTCAACTACTAATGTTGCATGCATCTTACATAGGAATGATATCGAATGGCACATGTGCCAAAATCGCTAGTCCCATGTCGATCTTATCTGATAACGAACTAGACCGTAGTTGTGTGGATGTTGAGGATACGTCTCATAGGCGTGGTAGAGATAAGAAAAAGAAAAAGAAGAAAAGGAGAAGCAGTTCCCTACAGGGACTTGTTGAGAGCCTTAGCTCTTCTTTTACACGGCGAAGACGATCCAGGTCTCATAATAGCAGCACGATAAGCGACAAGTCGTCTATATATGTCAAATCTGCTGTCAAATCATCTGAATCTTTATGCTCTATGAATCCTGTTGAAGGGCAAACACCGAAAATGAAACAAAAACGTAAAGCTGATAATCCCGCATTTTCCGTTACAAAAAAACGGGCAATCCTAGAAAATATGCCACAAAAGAGCCTTTTAACCACTTCGAATCAGTTTACACCTTCAATGTCTGTTGACTTGAAGTTTGCAAATGATTCATCAATTATTTTTTCCGCAACGCTCGACGAGACGAATAATACACCAAAAAGACGCGAAAGTATGAGAACACCAAACAAAATGAAAAGCTATCCGTCAGCTAGATCTGGTTGTTTTTCTCCAAAATCGAAGACCGTTAAAAAGAAGAAGAGTTCCTTCATGGCATTCGTTAGGCGATTAAGTGGATCCAGGGAGAGTTCAGTTAGTATATATTTGATAAGACTATACATTTCATAACAAAAACAAAAAAAGTAATATTGAATTCTTTTCAAACAGCCTATTAGAGTTCCAGAACAAGATTGTTCTGTTGAACTTTCAAAGACTTTCGATGACGGCGAGAAAGATACGTCCGAACTGAATTTTATACAAAGCCCTATAGAACCTATGGATCATGATGCCAATATGTCTCGCCAGATTTCTACCAATAGTTTGAATAAAGCATTCATCTCAGACGACGACTTTGTTTTAGGTAAGGAGATAATTCACTCAATGTCATTGGAAATATTTAATACTTGAATGAATTTAGATGAAGGTGGCAGTATTACAAGCGAACAATCGGAAACAGATGGTAGCGAAAACCAAAGAAGAACAAGCTCCCTCTCCTTAAACAGTCGAATCAGTACGTCGACAGCTGTCAGCTCAATAATGAATGATGCTCACAGTGAAGTAAGGGTTCTTTATTATCCAAATTTCATCTATATAATATAACGGTTTTTTCGACTCAAAAGGAACCTGATGATTGTGATAAAGTCGAGAGTTTAGAAAGTTTAGATAGCGCCATTTGTATGAATATTGTTAACAGTGGCGAAGTATGAATATTAAATAACCAATTATATATAAATGTCAATATTTTCTATTTTATAGTCTGTTGAGTCGCCTTGCACACCGTCAAAGGATGACGAGGACGATGAAGACTCAGAAGATGCAAAAACACCTTGTCCAATGACTATCGAAGAGGAAGATAGAGATGATGAAAATACACCGCATATACACATTCCTAGCGAAGCAACACCTCAAATGAGTCGACGATTGCGAGCAATGGCGGTAAAACAACAGAGACGTCATACATTAAATGACCCTACGTTTCATTTAACAAGTGAGGCTCGTTCAATATTGGCGAGAGCGGGTGTAGCTCCTCATCGAACAATTAAAAAATTTCCCAACAATGGTGGTGTTGTTGCTGCAAAAGTTCAACAGATCGAAGAGAAGGGCGACAAGGGGGAAAATGAAAGATTTTCTAAGCGAAATGCCTCGCCAGTTCGTATACCAACGATTTTTGCCAAGAACCATGACGAAATGGTCAAATACAAAGAAAAGATTAATCGAATACGAAGCCCAAAATTACCTGTCAGTTGTAAACTACCAAAAGAAGTTGAAAATCGTGCTCTAAGTCATTCTTCAAAAGTGACTGTAAGTGCTCCGATCATAAAGCCAAGTTTGGGTAATTTCGATGTAAATTTAATACGAAAAAGGAACAAAAATTCGAAAGATGAAAAGGAATTCGTCGTCTAAGAAGATTAGTGCATGGAAGATTCGTGATTCATAGATATTATACAAAAGTCGTTATAGATTTACGTATATATTACGTTTAAATTAAAAAAAAAGCGCAGTTGTAGAAGAATGTAAATATGATGAGTTTGTTTGTGTTAGGGAACTAATTTTTTTTTATCTATTACAATTATTTACACTTCCTGAGTTCAATCAGTGTCTTTTCTCTGAACATTATACCCTGGCTGTTTGTAAATCGACTCCGTTTATCTTTAACGTTTGTCCTGATTCGTCCTTGAGCTGCAGCTGTTAGATAAAAAAAAATGTTACATTTCCCTTTGACATTGTAATGTGTATGCACCTCGTCGACATCGGATTCAGGCAGACTTGTGAAATCCGGTGTTTCACTGCTTAAAGTCTTGTATCGTTGAATATATGCTCCCAATATAGAATAGCAATCACTTTCTGCAAAATCATACATAGTGTGCCGGCAACCGGGTGTTTCTATATTCGCTTTCGTTTTGTACTCCTCCAAATTTGGGCAATGAACGCTACCCCCCAGACCGCTATCGACGTCGTTACTATGAACGCTATCCGGATACGTAACATGATTTTTTAATGAAGGCGTTTTGACCTTCCTTTCATCCGACTTCCCAGCAACCTTTGTTGTACTGTCCTCTTCATTTTCGAATAATGGTGGAAGATCTCGTTTATCATACATTCTTGAGCATAGATCCGTTGTCCCCATAAAAACTTTCCGCCTCTCAGGTATCGTCCATATGGCGCTTGGCGACGGCTGGGCGGGCTTTAAAACCGTCTCTTTACTGTCACTTTTAATACGGGATAATAACTCTAATACGATATTGCTAAACGCCCGTAAGTCCGATCGGAAGGCATCCTGTCGTCTCTCCGCCAAAGCTTCTCCGCTGTTTTCCAAATTACCCAGTACAATTGTTAGACCCTTCAGGAAAAAAAAATATTTTTATTATAGATTCTAAAATAGTATAGTTTCAAATTTCGACATTCCATTTTGAAGAAGGAATGCTTTGATTATTGAGTTAAATACCTGTACGATTTGGTTCGATTTGAGGCTTTTATTACGCTTTATTATTTAAATAATGTGTTTTTTTCTCTATGGAGTCTCTAATTTTTTATCAATGTTTACTTTTTATACGAAAACACACTTTTCAAAAGATTTTACATAGACCATTTAGTTTGCATTAGCGTACGCAAAACCGCATGAATAAAAAGATATTAAGGGCTCTTGTAGGATATCGTTTAAAAGAAATACGCTAAAAGGATTTAACGAGCCGCCTCCAATAAATAAATCATTTTTCAGAATAACAAAGGTATTTTAGTCCATATATTAGCGTATTTAAGTTCCTAATTATATATCTAGGGGAAATAGGGAATAAATGAAAAAGAAATTATTTTATACCTTGCCCTTCTTGCGCACAAACATCGATGACAAGGTCAAATTGTTATGCACAATATCGTTTGAGTGAAGACATTCAACAGCCTTTGTTGTTTCCATTACCAGTTCATGTATGGCCTCGTCCATCATCGGAAATTTGTCGAGGTAATCGGTAACCGTTCCCATCGGAAAGAATTCATGGCATATTAAACTACATTTAAAGTCTGTTTGATCACCAGTAGCTTCGTGAATGATCTTTGAAAATGGGTTCCGATAATTGGTCCAATAATATTGAACTATTCTTGAATCTTTATTATTTAATTTTGAAATTGCATTTACTTCTTGCCTCCACTCATTTTGTAATTGAGGATTGAATAGTTTCAAATGAGCAGTCCTTATTGATGAATCATGCGGATACGTAATTTTATAATGACAAATCCCTTTGGACGGCGCCAGAGAGTCGGTCCTCTTCGAATTTTGCTTCTAAAAGAAAGAAAATAATAATAATAAAAAAAACATATAGAAGAAATATAACAGAGAATTCTCAGTTTAAGGATGACATTTAGACATTTCTTCCAAAGAATATTTTATATTTCCCATTATTGATAGGTTTGAGAGTGCCCCTTATTTTTTTCGATTTATTCAATAGACGAGCAATTAACACTGATACTTGAAAGGCTTTCTTTTTTTATGAACTTAACAACTTCCTGTAAATATTGACAGTATCGGCCTAAGAAAATTTTTTTTAATAAATACCGAATCTACTATTTAGAGGGTGATCGTTAAAAAAAAGTTCTACTCCCCCCACTGTAGTTCGCGTGATGCTTATGAGAAGGGTACAAAAAAGCACTCGGCTTTTTGTTGTCGAAAATTTCTTTGTTGGTTGTTAGGCCTAGTTATCAAGTAGCTTTTTGGGAACCTGGTACTGAAAGTTTTCTACTCACTTTTTTATTTATCTTTCCATCATAATTGTAAATTATTTTAAAAAGAACGGCAGTTTGAATCGATTATCGCCTGCTCTGGTGAATTAAATAGCTAATTAAAGCTTTTAGTTAGGAGCTATAAAGGCTGGGCGGCATTGAAATCGCCCTAAGGCAGAGTCTAAATCTAGCTCTAGTTGACAACCTTGGTAGCTAGCCTACTCTATTTTATACATGCTCTTTATTTAAGAAATTGCCCCAAATACTTTCTATCCAATATCTATTTTAAAAAAAAAAGATTTTTATTAATGTAGAAATCCCATTCTAAGTGATATATAAATTACTAAGAGTGGATTATCTTAAACGGAAATATATAATCCAACTGTTTACAAAAAATCGGATTAAACCATGACAAGTTAATTTTAACATCGACTAATTGCCCTAGTACTAAAATTCAATTTTGTTGTTAGTAAAGAAATCGGTGGGAAATTCAACGCGATAATAAATCATTGAATTCTAATAAAAGCGTGTCATCTCGAATTTACCTTAAATCGTTTGTGAAATATATTGAATGGAATGAAAATAGATACTTATTCAAATTATTTCTTTTTCAAATAAACACATGCAAATAAATAAGAGTTGCGCTTTTTCGTTAAAGTATTAGGTAGGAGTTAAATCTATTGAGTAAGTCACTTTTAACAATTAATTTGAAACCTTAATCCATTTTGTTTTGAAGGGAGGATTGTAATTTGACAGCTACATATTTCACTCTATTATAAATATTGTCATAAAACCTATAAATTATATTAATAGGGAACTTTAACGGGACAGGAATGTTTTTTTTTTCGATTCTCATGGAAGTATTCCAAATTTGGCTTTTATCGCCCCCTTTGTTAAAGATTAAACTGAAAAATTTTAATGTTGACAGTCAACTACTTAGTTGGAGCTTGATTTTTTTATTCATTCTAAGTTAGGAATAATAAAGAATGATTCCCTCTCAAACATTTTGCAAATCCCGAACGTGTTGTCGAATAATAGGGGCGCCGAAACTTGAAAAAAAAAAGAGGAACTTTTATGACTTACCTCTGGTATTCTAGCGACAGATAATAATTCTTCAGGTATAAGACTTTCGTATTTAATCATTTCACCATCGTCCATTTTTTTCTCTTTAAACGATATTAAGATAGCGAACAAAATAATAATTAAAAGAGGACAAATAAACAAGACAATAAGAGAGATAACACTTGATACGTTAAATATCTCCGATTCGTCCAAGGTTTGTCCATTTGAAAAATAGAATAAATTTAGAGCAGTAAAATATATAAAGTTTAAAACGTTCTCAAAAAGAATAACTGTCCAGGTAATTATTAGGACTAAGAATTTTCTTTTCCCATTCCCAGTTTTACCATTATCCGAAAAATAAACAAAGACTGAGCGAACAACGGAAATGAGATTTAAAATTACGTTCAAAACCGCAAAAATTGTTGTTATTACTATTAACATTGCCGAAAAAGCCCATGACTTTTCAGGTTTAAATCTTATAGGTATAGATTCTAAACGATATTCGCTATCGGATTCGAAGTAGATTATCCCACTAAATGGTAATACACATATTATTACGCTTATAACAATCTCCGTAGCCGTTATAGTAAACCATATAATCCAAGAGGTATTCGTGCTACTTTTAAAGATTATTGACGGATTTTCTGAGTAAATGTTTTGCAGTAGAATACAATGAGTTGTTGTTGAAAGGAGAGGCTTTAAAATTATTCCGAATATAAGGAGATAGGCTGCTATTTTCGAAATATGTAACTTGTATATTATTAACCCAACTGATATAATTAGAGTAGCCACCCAATGTAGAATAAGTGAATCTGATAGAGTCTTTGGAAGAACATTATTTCTTAATCGGATAATAATTGCGACAGTTATTAAGATGCATGTAGAACAGGTTCCACCATAGCCAGCTGTAGTTAGAATCTTCTCCATTGTTGTTTCTGTACTAGTTACATTATCCATTTTAAATATGTCAATTCGTCGTTTTATCGTTCCTATTAATTTTAACTTTTTACATATCGAGCTCAGAGCGATCGTATGCTCGAACTATCAACCGAGTTTGATAGCTTTCCGATACGAGAAAACCACCTTTTGCGCATGACCGTTTATAAAGATATGGGCGGAGCCAACAAGGGAAGAAATTGAGAGAAAAAACTTCGGTAATCTAGGCCTATCTAATTCTTTTAACAATAGATTCTATTGAAATATTCAATTCTTTCCTCTTTGAAAAAGAAAAGAAAAAAGAATAAAAAAATTAAAAAAAGAAATTATGGAGATATTTGCACATTCTTAATAAAGTGTATAAACCTATTTATATAAGAATTATTCTGTTCATAGAATGGATCCCATCAAAATCTACATATATGCCGTTTAAATACAATGAAAAGTAAAAAGCTAATTGAGTCTCTCTCTCTCTCTCTTTTCTCCCCTCCCTGTATTCTTTTAAAGGAAGAAGCCGGTTTTTAAAGTTCTCACCCGCATTGACACCCAGTAAGGAATTGTTATAGAACTGTAGTAAAAATATTTGTATTCATTACACACGAAAAGCGAGATTCAAAGCATTTAGTTTCAGTTCATAGGCCCACATTTCAACCCTTCCTCTATTCTCGTAAAGCCGCTGAATTGAAGTAGAGGATTTCTTATAAAAACTATTGGATGTTGTTATACGATTATTTAGTCCCTTTTATCTGTCCTTAGCAAATGGTTGCCTAAGGTGGCGTCATTTGTGCTCTTCTTTAAATTTGCTTATTTAGATATCATTTTATCAATAGACACTTTAAGAGGAACAAGAAGTGATCCGGCAATAATGAGATTTCAATAACAGAACATTCGAAAATGGCCATTTTCCGCTTCTACAGGCCTATACAAAAGACCACTCCACTTTGACCTCCTATTGACTTTTCGTAGGTAATATAAAAATTCTACTATAGATGAACTTTAAACTAAATAAACAAGCAATCAAAAAAAAAACGCGACTAAAGTGAGATTTAGTGTCAAATTTTCAAGTTATTTATACATTTAAAATAACGTAAAATAGAAAAGTATAGGGAACTTTCTAATGGAACGTTTTATATGTTTGTTTACCTTCAATATTTGATTAGCAGGTTTGTTTGAATAATTCGCTTGAATAGGCTGCCATCTAAAGCAAACTTTAATATAAATCATTTCAATATCAATTTTTCCTTCTTTAAAGAATGATCGGTATGCCAATATCTCGGTCATAAAGTTCGATTCACAGTAGGACAGGTGTTAAATTGTACTCGGAGTAATTTGTAGGCGCTCTGGATGGATTACGTAATTGGTTAAAAGCATTTATACGCTACTTTTAAATTATGTCATTTTGCTCCTTCTGGCGTAATAAACGTCGTTAAGTTCTATTTTCTATAAAGTTGGTTTTTAGTATAAAACTTTCGGGCTTGTAATTTAAATTTGCCACGTATTTAAGGCGGAAGTAGTATGTCATTTTTTGGTATTATTCAACCACGGCAAAAAGTTGTTAACAATATTCCAGCTTGTAATAGTTTTACAAGCTTATTATATATATAAATTTTCGATAGAATACGAATAATAGTTAGTTAATTTATACTTATGGTAAGTTTTTAAAGTTTTCTAGAGACTCCTTATGTAATAGTTTGCTTTCGGCTGAGCGATATTGTGCCTCCTTATGAAAATTGAACCCCGCCTTCCTGAGTAATTGAATTTAGTATAAAGATGCTTTAACTTAAATTTCCGGCTATAGTAGTTGTCAACTACTCTCCAATATTTATTCGTGTTTACTGCGAGATGCACTCCCAACTTTTTTTAGCATTCGCAAGACTTAATTTCTCTTTGATAGTTTGGGAGTTTGTGGACTGAAGACTTTGAGGGCGTTTGTTAAAATATCCATGAGCAGCGAACCTAACACTAAAATGCCAAGGTTTTAAGTTAATAATATAATAACCACGTTTAAAAAGTATTAGTTCAGGTCGAATATACTCGTATGGTTAATTAAGTTTATTATGGCATTAAAATCCCCAAGATAAAATTCCCTAGATATTTAGACAAAACGAAACCCGCTGTGTATACAACAGGTGTGCACATGAACACCTCTTTTTTTTAAAAACACATGCCGCTAGTCATTTAGTACACGTGGCTTGAGTCTTACAAAAGAAACGTTTCAAGTTGCAGACCAGCATGGAATATTATAGTCGTTTTGCACTCTATTTTCTCTTCGCGTCATGTACGATAGCAACGGCCATAAAACAAGATCCAAAAGGCTATATATTATACTGTCCGTGCATGGGTAATTACTTTTTATTACTTTCACTTTAAAATTTTATCTCATGGAGTTTACTTTCAGGCCGTTTCGGAAATCAAATGGATCATTTCCTAGGTAGTTTTGGCTTCGCTAAAAATCTTGATAGAACCCTAGTCGTTCCTCCGTGGATTGAATATAGATCTGGAACATCAAACACGGTATATTACAGTTATATTTATCTAGTTAAAATCAAATATAAAGGACTCTCTTTTATTACTATAAAAGAAACACGTGCCATTTACGAAATATTTCAAACTTGAAGCGTTACAATCATACCACCGTATTATTGATATGGAAACGTTTATGAAAGAATTGGCCCCAAAACTTTGGCCTGAGAAAGAGCGATCAGGTTTGCTCTTAAACAAATACTATCCCGTTGAAATGTATTATATAACCATAAAATATATATATTTTTAGTACTTTGTTATATGGCGAGAAATGGACCCGAAAAAGACTCTTGTAATGCTAAAGACGGAAGTCCATTTGGTCCTTTCTGGGACAATTTCAACATCAATTTTGTTAAATCTGAATTTTATGGACCAGATCTTTACTTTGCTAGCGAAAATAATTACGATAAGAAAAAATGGTTAGAAAGGTTAGTTTAATAAGAAATTCAAAGGGAAAAAGAATAAATATATCTGAAAATTATTCAATATTTAGATTTTCATATAAGAAATATCCAGTAATGGCATTTACCGGGGCACCAGCTCAATTTCCTGTCGTTAAACATTATATACCCATTCAAAAATACGTGGAATTTTCTGATGAGATAAGTAAGCTGGCGAAAGAATTCATAAATAAATACTTGGAAAAGCCTTATATCGGCGTTCATCTGAGGAATGATATTGACTTTGTGAGTTTTAAGTTAAAGCCATTTCCGTTGTTCAGTGTTGAATTAACTTTTTATTAACAATACAGAAAAATGCCTGCGAGCACGTTGAAGAAGGTGGAAGTAACTTTTTCAGTTCTGCACAATGTTTGGGCTATGATCAACAGCATGGTAAAATATCAAAGGAACTATGCTTTCCGAGCAAAAAAACAATTTTGAAACAAGTCGAAGAAGCCGTTAAGAAGACCAAAGCGAAATCTTTGTTCGTGGCAGCTGATAAAGATCACATGATTAACGAATTTAGAAAACATTTAAAACAATATAAAGTAAGTATTTAAGTATATATTTCTCTTTTATTTATTGACTTAATTGAAATTTTATATCCTTTAGGTAAACGTTGTTAAATATACATCAAACTATCCTCAAGTTGATCTCGCCATTTTGAGCTCATCCGATCTCTATATTGCTAATTGCGTATCATCATTTTCCGCCTTTACCGTCCGCCATAGAAGCGTAAGAAATTTACCAACACAGTTCTGGGCTTTTTCTAAATCACCATCTCATGACGAGTTATGAAATCTCTTTGTATACTTAGATTTATAGTTCAATTTAACGACTTAATGAGTTAATCGTTGTCTGTAATAATCGGTTGAACAATTTATATGATTGTATTAAAATATATAGTATATATGAATATATACACAAAAAAAGAAGTGGTTTTTATCTCTCTCTGTCTCTCTCTTTGTTCCTTCCTTCCGGCCTTCCTTCCTTCCCTGGCTCTCTCTTTCCAAAATACTTTCCTTTTTCTAACCTTAAATATCAATTAATCTAAAGCAGTGTGAAGGCACCTGTTCACACAACAGATGTAACACTTCAATTTACAGTTGCATACTTTTTCCCTTTAACATCTGACGCAAGCGATTTATTTTGATTATCTGATAAACTCAGGTCTAAAGAAATGTTGCCAAAATTTAAACATCATTAATACTCAATTGTATTCTTTTGACAGATGTTTTCCTCATTTCGGGCCCCGGTTGCTTATATAAACCTTGAACTTTTATAAATGTTTGCATTTAGTTTCAGTTTGGTATCTTTCAACGAGTCCTTGATCATCTCCATTACTATCTGATGAAGTTGAATACAAATAGCTTTTTACACGAGAAAAGCATCGTCACAGCTGAATGGAGGAGAGAATAGTAGATAAAAAGTAGTTTTTTATATCGGCTTTATGTTCCATAAATATCTGTGAAACCCTTCCCTTGATCAAACCTATAAGAGATTTAATTTGTTTAACAACACCTTAATTTTCAAGTATTTACTTAAGAATGATACTATTATGAACCATTCATGATACAACCTATTAAACCTAATATGCCTTATTATATAGTCTCTAAGTATATATAATATGTATGTTATAAATTGTATTACTACAACACATGGATAAAACTTTTATGCCCGGTAAAATAGCTTTCTCTTGCATAAAATGCCATCTACTGGTTGTTATAGGAAAAATGCTTATTATCGGAGAGACATCATAGTTTCATCGACCTAATCTTAACAATAAGCTTTGAAAGAAGAATACATAAGAGACTAATCAATAGACGCTAACTTTATATTAGCAGTAAAAGAGTCAATATTTAAAACCTCAATTTAATTGTTCGATAGTGTTTATAGCACTTTGTATTCAGTACTCAGGCACTAGCACTGAAACTTTGACCTGCTAAATGAGCTAGCTCGGTCGTAATTCTGTACTTGAACTAAACGTTGTTCTTTTACTAATATTAGATACCATAGATGTACTGAAACTTGTATAGAGGTTCTCTCTAAATATATTTTACTACAATCAATAGCAGTGTGAGTACTTAAGGATATTGTAACTATTTAGAATAATCGAATGTTCTATAAAACACAAAAGATTTATAATTGATGGAAAATGTAGGCTCTGCTATTCGTTAGGTAGTATTTTGCCATCACTACTTTAATTTCTCTTTTGTTTAGGCTCACGACGCCCTAAAAGTTCCTTGAAGATGAACAAACCAAAGGCAGAGATGCAGCTAACAACAACACAATGTTCCACCCTATTTGTAAAGGGTGTTCCACAAATTGTGTACCACTTAACCCCATCTGCTGGTCTTTGAGTGCAGTGAAAATCGAATGGTTCATCATAATTCTTATCGCAGAGATATTGTTTTCGAGGAAGCATCTAGTAAATGACACAATTTTTAGCGTCTAAATACTAGAAAAACTTAAAAGCAAAGTTACTTACCTGTCCTAAAGCACTCAATATAGGTGCATCTTTTGAACAATCACCTAGAGGTTCGTGTAAACCGGTAGCGGCTAATTGCTCTGGTTGAACAAACCAATTCAAAAAGAAATACATAGTATAATGAATAAAGATAACTAAAGCTATTTCATCTATTTTAATCGATCCGCCTACGGTTTGCTTATCATTTTTCCATACTATTGCACAATAACCTAAAATGAGAAGTAGACAGCAGCAAACTTCAGTAGGGACTTTCCAAATATCGTGCAGTGGATGATAAAAGATAACAAATTGAATAACACCCATAGGAAATGAAAATAGAGCAGTTGCAATTGAGACAGTAAGTTCTTTTCGGAACGTCGAACGTTCTCCCTCTTTAGTAGTCATATTTAGTAATTTGGGAAGACCATTGAAAACTGTGTTGAAAGAAAAGGCAAAAGAGGCGTGGAATATATAACTTGTCCACGGCACGTAATACATTCTATCATATACATTTGGATCGGTATCGTGCCAAGTCCACCACAACAATTTTACTCCAGTGATATCATAAGGCAAATCGATGCAAACTACGGCTAAACCGACTACCAAGAAAGAAAGTAAATATAACTAAAATACGTTTTGTGTTATGAAAAGGAATATAGAAGAAAAAAAACCTGCTAAAGATTCAGACCATCTGGGTAATCGCATTCGTTTAACGGCCATAGTGGCCGTATAAATAAAGTAGGGATCTGTTAAAATTAATAAATTATTAAGATCCTATTAAAGAATTCCCAATGTACCCTTTACCCTTCTCAAAACCCAAGTATTATTTTATAGTTAAGTTACTAACACAGGCAAACTATATATAATGGAAATCTTTTCTTAAAGAACATAACAGTTCCCTGAATATGCCAAAAGTTATCGATGTCTTTTAACTCATAGCTGTATATTTCCACAGCAACTCCATGTAGAATACATGTAACCCAAAGCCATAAATTTCGGCCTCCACTTTTGAACGCTATGTTTAAATAGGTAAACAAAAAAAAAGGTATAATTAGCACTCCAGGTATTACGAGAAATTTTCCAGGTTATATATTGTTTGTGTAATTGATTAATTACCATGAAAAAGCGTTAGTAGTGCACCCACAATCGTTACGCTTTCTTTTATAAGAAAGGTCCAATTTTCTTGCCATATTTCTGCGGGATTCCTAAACGCAACAATATTTTCGCTAATCATACTTTTCCGGTTTTGATTTCTTCTTCACCCTTTGATTTGTCTTCTAGATTTTATTTCCTTCCCTTCGAATTTCCTTATATATATTTCTTATTACTTGTCTCCTACACAGTGTTAACACAGACAATTATTACAATTTCTATTTTTTATCAAATTTCAAGGTTTATATATATACAATGATAAGTGTCAGCCTACAACACGCTATAGTTTCAATGTGACAGATATGTAGGCCTACGATGGTTCGATATAATTAAGTGCATAGAAACGGCAATTAGTACTTCTGTACGATTGTTTTGAGTAACTTGGTGTATTTATTTTTCATTAGAAAATTTTCTTATTTCTTTTTTTTACCGAATGTAAACAATGTACAATATAAATAATGATTATATACTCTCTCTCTGTCTCTCACTCTATCTATCTCTCTCTCTCTCTCTCTCTCTATATATATATATATATATATATATACATATATATATGCAGAGTAACATTCAACTATACTTCAGTAATTTTTTTATTCAGTTTTCCAGGGAAATCAATACTAAAAGAATCGCTGACGGTGACGTCATCTAAATTGACGTCATCATACAGGTCGAGATCTATATCCGAAATAGGGTCGAGATGAAAGTAATCTTCGTCAGACGCCATTCCAGGTCTGTAATTGTCGTATTCACTTTCGTAATCGCAGGAGTGTACTCCACTTGGATCAGAGCGCGATATTTCACTATTGAAGCTAGATAAGCTTCGAGCGTCGTCTGCCAGCTTCCGAGCGATTCTCAGTTGGTCGACGTCGACTGAATTCCTTACAGACGAAGCTCGAGAATTGCCGTCTTCTCCGTCAGAAGGGATGTAGTCCAGGCTTCGGCAGAGACGCTGGGTTTGAGGAACTTTTAATCGTCTTTTAACCTGAAAGGGTGGTGCTGCGGGACGAGTAGGAGAAGGAACAGCTTGAGGTACGTGAACGACACTTGAAGCTGTATCTGATGGTGTGTTTGAACTTGGCGTAGCTCTTGGCGATGGTGACAGAGGAACAGAGGGAGGGGGAGGTGGTGGAGGAGACGAAGGAGAAAAGTTTTTGAAAACATGTATATTATCTTGGCTATGAGAGGATGAGGAAGAAGCGTCGATATTACTCAAGATACTTTTTTCTGGTAGTGAATACTGTCGCTGGAAGGCAGGATTTCTTACAACAACTGGTGAAACATGCGCCACTTGACGACGAGTAGGCGACTGTGTATGAGGGAAACGAGGGAAAATAGGATACCTATATCGAAAAGGTTGGCGAGATGCTTCGTCTGAGGAGACACTACGAACGTCCGAAACGTTTTCATAGTGGGGGGCAATTGAGGCGACTGGAACGTTTTTAATCCTAGCATTTTCTGCTTCCGGATTACTTAATTTTGGCTTTACGTTCATCCAACCGCGTAATCGTTGTTGAAGTCCCAGATCCGTCGGATCTGATGCACTTACATGCATCTCTTTTTTGCGATTGTTTTTACTTTCATCATCCTCAGAAATACTTCTTAATGTGGACGCGGCAGCATTTCTATAGTGAACAGTAGGAAGATCAGGTGATTGTGAAAGATTTCGAATAGCAGAGGTATTAGGCAAAGTGAGATTCTTCCTTTTCTTATTGTTGAATCTCGGTGAAAGAAGAGGTTCGACCCCTTCGTATGGATTAATCCTATTTGGTACAGAAGAGGAGAGGGCAGCATCATTAGGCGACAAAAGATTTGTCGAGTAGTTTGGTACAGACGAGGCAGCTAACAATGATAGAGGACTAGTAGGTGTATTCTCAGCGGAACTTGTAGAACGCTTCGAGAGTAGAAAGTGTGTAATCATAGTTCCTTTTCCTTTAACACGAACTGGTCCTCTGCAGCGAAACTTAAATCGGTGCTGAGTTAGTGTAACAACATCCTGAGTAACTTGAGTATAACCAGGCACTCCAGTGCTTTCCATCCTACTGGCAACATTGACTGTATTACCCCATATATCGTATTGAGGTTTCCTAGCTCCAATTACACCGGCGATAACTGGTCCAACATTGATACCAATTTTGAGTGAGAAGTTGTTATAAGAGTTCTCATTAAATTGGTGAAGTTTATCGCGAAAAGCCAAGGAGATATCTAGTATTGAGAGGAGACATTCTATAGCTCCAGGGGTTGCCTCCATATCGGGATGGGACAACAGACCTGCTGCTGCCATATACGTACTTCCTATTGTTTTGATTTTGGTCACATTTTGGAATTCTTTTTCCTCAATGAGCTGTGTTTAGTAACAAATCAGAATTTAAGAATGACAATAAACTTGGTATCAATTATTCAATTAGTAACTCAAACCTCATCAAAATCGGCTATTATTTCGTTTAATACCCTCATACATTCCAATCCCTGATTATTGGCATCTAGTTCCGTATAAAAATCGCTAAAATTAGGTATAGATGCGAACATTACACCAACGCATGCGTAGTCTTGACTGTATAAACTGCAATGAGAGTAAGGTTGATAGCGTAAAAAATCGTCGGCGACATGAGCCGGTAAGAGATTACAAAGAATTTTCCTATTAATCGCCCTTAATGCGGCCATTTCTTGCGTTTCGCCGTCAGCTTGGCGTTTCCATAAGAAATCAATTCGGTGAGTCGATTCTTGCTGGCGTGCAATCAAGTAAAAGACCAGAACAGTATGCAGGAGTATGATTGTGTTGAAAATTTTGGATGGAATTTCGGGTTGCATACGCTCGTCAAACTGACGATAGAGGGCGGCATGAGTGTATTGATGAAAGAGTACGAAACCACAGGATTTGATGGCTAAAATAATAAGACGGATGTAGGCTGGTATTTGTACAAAGACACAAAAGGCTAGAAAGCCTAAAATGGCAGATAACGTTGCGTAAGTCGGTATAAAACAACTTAAGTGGCTTTGATCCGAACTGAGAGAAGCGAACTCGGCAGAAATCGAACCGTGATTGCCTTCGGCACAGCATAGGACATTCACTTGGTTTAATAAGTCGATAAGGAGTAGACTAAAAATTGCAATCATCATTCGAACAACCCATACTCTAGACATACCGCATGTAAGGCATTGAATTTGACCAGCTAGGTACAGTATAAGAACAACCGTTGTCCACGAGAAGGAAATTAAAAATATAACAAGTAAAATTATAGTTCTTGGCAGTACAAGAGCTTGAAGACAAGCACAACAAATGAGTATGAGCAGTGAACAAACCATTCCACTTCCGAACCAGTCGGCCTGTTCAGCTTGAAATCTTTTCTCTAGATCATGATCCTGAAAGATAAGTATGAAAGGAAAAGTCTGCTTCATCTTTTCACCGTAGAAATCGTTGGTGGTCGAAGCGAGTGTTTGCTTAAGTTCCTCGTCAATCTTGTCGAAAGCCTTACTTTGTCTAGAATTTCGTCCTCGATTTGTTCTAAGACGTTTACCAGCCACTTCAAATACGTCCGACAAAGGAGTTTCAGCGTTTAATTTAATTGCTGATAACAATTGAACAATACAGGAGCTAACTGATTTAAAAGACAGACGCCTCTGGCGTCTGTTTGTCTTGCTAAAAAACGTCGGATCCGCCTGCAAATAATTTATAAAGAAGATCTGATTAATTTCCTTACGTTTTTTTGTTTTCATATTCTTTATATAAATCATATGGTTAAGGGCTTTGAAGAAAGTTACATATTGTTTATGACGTTATTGCTACATTGTATATGGAATCAAGGGAAAAAATGGACAAAAAATGGACAGCTGTAGGCCTATATTTTAAACTAACAACTGCAAAAATAAATATGCATGTGGGGGGTAACCCGGTTGGTATCTGATATTATAATGTTAACTCACCTTGCGTTCATCCAAACGGGACGGAACTATAAAGTAGGTCACAACACCCTTAGACATTAACAATTTATCGTGCTGATAAGCTAATGAAGGCTCCACGCAATATTCGTCATGCAAATGTTCTAATGTTGCTGAAGAGATGTGTACCCGACCAGGGGAACCAGTCGATTCCATCCGATTAGCTATAGTTACGTCGTCACTCCAGACATCATATTGCCATTTTCTTAGTCCTAACACACCAGATAATACTCTACCCGTGTGAATACCAACTCTCATATCTAAGTCTATTTCCAAGGCATCTCTAACAGCCGATATAGCGTCGATCATGTCTAAACCCATCGTAACAGCGCATCGAGCGTGATCCGGACGTGGTTCGATTAGACCGCTAACGCAGTAATAACAATCGCCGAGTATCTTTATACGATGGCAGTGATTTTCTTTTGCCAGCTGGTCGAAACGGCTAAAGAGTTCATTGAGAATCTTGACCAGTTCTCCGGCTGAACATTGACCCGCAAGTGCGGTAAAACCGACTATGTCGGCGAATAAAATACTAACTTCCTCATGTAATTGTATGTATACTTTATGAAACATTCCCTGACGAGGTGATAAAACATCTTTCTTCACCTCCATCGCTATATGATTAGGTAAAACGGAAGATAATAGTTTTTCCAGGCGTTCGTTTTCTTCTTTCATATCCAAACGCATCTCTATACAGTCACGCATACCTTTAAAGGCCTTTCTCCGAGAATGTTCAGTTCTCGAATGGACGACAACGCCGACAACATTGGCGCTTATAAATAGGATGCAATTTGCTACTAGCTGGAATTTATAAAGAAAAAACTCTCATCATATATAGCTTCCAGATGGAAAAAATACAAAAGCATGACGTCACGAACTACCTGCGCTCTACGTAGAAAGTTCAGAGAGTGCACGCAGCGTCTAAAAGAACACACTTACCTCTCGCCATAAATGAAGCGATGAAGCGGATAGAACAGCTGTTAGGGTGTGGGTAACCGGAAGAACGATACCCAAAGAAATCCCGACAAGTCCTGAAGCGGGTACTAAAGTGTAGATGAGTAACAAGGCTATAACGCATTGCCAGACCCCATCGGCTGTTGTCATTCGACGTCTGTGGTCCGAAGACCAACTCACCGGAAGTGAAATCACCACCCAAGCGACGACTAATGCCAAACATGCATAGCTGTGAGGGGACGAGAATGGGAGGAGTGTTTGAATTATTTGTTATCATAGTTGATAGTATTATTATCATACTTTGTAATATTTACAACCTATAGTTTATTACTATTATCATTACTATGCATAATACTATTTTTTACTACCACTTTACAACATATACACTACCATTACTACCTATATTAAAGCCACTAGTATCTATTAATTGTTGCATCTAGACCAACACAAACTATGAACAATGGCAAGACTAATGCTGCTTACACTCGTAGTACTGCATTTTGCAGTAGCTCTTCTGTTTTATAACTATTTCTTTCTTTTTTTTCATGCAGTTGGTTGGAAAGAATATTTTTTGTACGTACGATATATCAAAGTAGAATTGTAACTATCATCTTTTAAAGCCTAATTAACTGGGTTTTTTTTTCACAAGTAGGGCTAACCTGACACAATAGGCCTATTTCCAAAAGGGATAAGATCAGGTGTGTTTAGTATAGCTTTCCCAGTTTTATTTTTTTTACCTATATACTCATATTCCCGAGAGGAGAGTTTGTGTTAATCGTCCGCGAATTTTGCACTTAACACATTATCGTACAATAAAAGTGAATCACGTGACTATTGAAAAAAAAGCGACTTGGTTAGAAAAGAGAAAGCCTTATTCAAAAGAAAAAGTCAACGGAGAGGGAAGAGCAGAATAAAAAATAATAATAATAACAATAACAAACTAAATAGAGAATAACTTACCTTAGACAAGCGATTTGAGAGGGTGAGGCTCTAGATAGAGCTACAATGAGACACACAGAGAGGACGCAAGACGCCAAATGGAAGACGTCGGTGACTGTTGCTTGTTTCGTATAAACGACGGTCAACGAGGCGATTAAGGCGCTCGGTATCATTAAAACAATTAGAAGAATAATTAGGGCTCGTCTTCTTGTTGGCCACATATATTGAGCGTATAACTGCCGAAGTTTGGGAGACTCGAACGCCTCTTTTCTACTGAACAATTTCATCCTCCTTAATAAACTGGCAACGTTATCGCCCGAGTTCTGCTGCACTAGCCGTTCGCTTTCCATTGCTGCATGTACTGCAAAGGCTGTAAAAAAATTTCGACCGAGTACGCGTTGAACCCTACTTGCTCGCCACCTAGAAACGATCGCTCTTTCGTGACGTCATCGCCTCGAATTTTCACCGGGCGAGGCTGCTTTCGGTCTGGAAAGAAGAAAAAACGGAGGCCTGAGAAAAATTCCAATCTTGTCAATACTCTTTTTTTTCTTGTATTGTAAATATCCGGCCTTTGTAGGCCTTTACTTAAAAAAGGCATGATATAAATATCATTTTCTTCCTTCTATATCCGACAGAAGGCGCATTAGGCCTAAGCCGAGTTTTCGTACCGGATGCAAATCGAATTCATTCTGAACATAAGGATTAATAACGCTATTGATCATTAATAAAACATACGATTTTAAAAAATAGCCTTTTCGGTTCGTTAATTCTCTTTGGTTAATCCACTTTAGCCCGCAAGTAAACCGCTTATTAAATGATAATGAATATACCTGACTAAAACGAATAACCAGTGAGATATAAGAGACGCCTGTGAAAGAGACGCTCTTTTCTCTCTCGACACATGAATAAAAAAAAAAGAAATTTAAAAAAGATATAAAGTAATTTTGTTGATTAATCATATAAAAACGTCTGCGCTAATACATATTCTCATTGTGCAGTGTATGAATATACATCTACGGTATGTATAGGACAAACAATTTTTCCCAAAATGAATGCCGAATAGACGAATAGACGGCGTGATTGCAATACCAGCGTTTAAACGTGTATAATTAATTAATAAATTAATCGAAAGAAGTTAACCGACAAGAGACGCTTGCTACATAGGTAAATTCTATTCATTATAAATGGGTACGAATATGGAAATTCTCAATTACGAATTGAATTATTTGTAGAAAACAAAAAAGACAAGTAATTTATGAGAAAAAAAGAAAAATAATACCTTATTCTCTTTTCTCTTTCTCTTCCCTTTTTTAGTTCTCATAAAGCACTAAATAAATTTACCTTGAAACGAACTTTCAAGGCCTATTTGTTTTATTTAGGCTTTTTAAATTGAATTAATAGGAAAATAATAAAGGTTTAGTTTATAAATACCGAAAAGAAAGGTAAGGGAATTTTGATTAGGATGTTAAGATAAAAAACAAACATATATAGGTCATACACAAACTAACGTATACTAATAGTAGTATCATTTATCTTCTGCCTTAGTTTGCTAATAAAATTAATGGTAAGATTAGGATGGAGAAAAAAATGAGGAAGATTTGCAGTGGAGATAGAGATTATGGATGAAAGAGAGAGAAAATATTTCTGTATATAAATAATAATAATCAACGGGTACTATAATTTACAGTAGGTCTTTATGTGTTCAGCTGCAGGTTCGTTCTAAGTAAATAAACGAATGAAAGAATATTTCGCAATGATTAGAATTCCCTTGCAATTGATCTTTCGTTTGGAGAATTGTGTTTGTTAGCCCCATTTTACAATTCCATCTCTCATTTCCCTACTCCTTCCCTGTACTTCCCCACTAACTAGCTTATTACAGATGAAAAATAAATAAAATAAAAGTAAATGAGTCTCTTGGATAATGACGTCATATAACAGGTTTTTAAAAAGCTGAATGTAAACATCCTTAGAGTGAATATTTTTATTGAAAGGAGAAAAAAAAATAAAAGAAAATAGTATGTAAATATATTATAGATACTGCATATATACTGTGTACAAAGTATATATAACGTACACATTATATATAAATATGTTTATATATGTATTTATATATTTATGTTATAGAAATGAGCTCGCTAATTGGTCAACGAATTAGAACAAGAAATAACGGAGTTGATTCGAATCGAATCTTAATGCACGATGTAACTGAAAAAGGTTAATGGGAAAAAAAAGAAAAAAAAGCCACCCATCAAGCCTTCCCACTCTTATTTTTGCCTAATTTTTTCTCTCTTATATATTTATAGTTTTATATATTTCTTCTAGCATTTGAAGAGATTGAGCAAGATGGATTTGAAGAAGAAATTCCCGGAATGTCTAATAGTCGCAACTTGACGGTTAACGATCAACGAGAATTCGACGAGTTGCGGGAAATTTTTAATAGAGAGTACGAGACATTAACCGATGAATTTAGCGAAACGACAATTAAGCTTAAAGAAGTAGAAGATCATTATACAGTGGCGAAAGATGAAGTTATTCAACGCCGACAAGAGGTTCTTCAAGCGCAAATCGAATTAGACGAAATCAGTCAACACTTGGATATACTTAAACAAGAAACCGAAATCTTGAAAACAAATCACGTGGACATTCAAGCTGATAATGAGGTATGGATTAATCTTGTTACCCGGATTTGCACTAATGTATATTGTTATATTTAATGATTCATAACAACTTCTTTTTGATAGGGTTTGAGAATTCTGTCTGAAGTCTCAAAGGCATGGAAAGAAGGTTTGAATGGTCGAGATCAACTATTGAATTTCGACGAAATCCTCAAAGATCAATTACCTCGAGGTCAAACAGTAGACAGGCTATTAAATGAACGTCGAGTTGATTTGTGGAGTGTGTTTAATCCAGCTATCAGCTTTGAGCATCAGAGGCAAAAAGCCAACAGTAAATCGAATTTAAAGATAAGGTCGACAGTAAGAGTTCAATCGACCGCCAGTAAGACAAATGCACCTAACAAGTCCCAGTCGAGAATTATTTTCAATGACTAATATATACAGTATCTGGTATGTTAGAAAAAGCTAAAAGTGATACAATAAGAATCTTCAATTCGGATACAAGATTACTTTTTATCTAAATAGTAGCAAACCTTCTACACTCAGAACTAGGGCGATCTTATCCCAATAATAAATAATAGCTATTAATTCAGAGCAACTTTACAGCTTTCTAAGAAACAAATTTTATAATTCAGTATGAAAAAATACCTAGAAAGAGGTAAATTAAAAAAAAAAACAATTTTAGGAAGAGTCAGTAGATTTCGTCTGGTAAGAGCTCTCCTCAAATTTCTTATCCTCTCTGTCATCCATATCCATTCTCCTTACACTTTCAGCCACTTCGTCAAGATATTGCATCGACCTATGTTTAAACCTTACCTCGGAGATTAGCTCAAGCAACATGGTAGGTTTAAGAGCGCCGCTCACTTTGAGAGCTTCAGCAACAGCATCTTGCACTTGTCGATTCTGATCGTCTAAGTGGACTAATAGAGTTTTGTAAATATCTTCCAGATGGGCCGAAAACAGCTGGACTTCGTAACCTTCGCGATTTTCAAAATATTTAAAATAAGATTCGATTGTTACTCCCGTCAGTATTCTAATTTCATCTGATACATCATCGAGACGCTTAATAATGTTGTGATAAGAGTCATGGACTATCTTCTCATCAAGATCTTCTGTGTCCTCTTTTTTCGAATTAAAAATACAATTTAAAACTCTTAGGGCAATTAATCGAGTCTCCTTTAAATCGTCTTCTATTAAGCTCATTAATGGTGTAAATAGTTTGCCGATTTTCCGAACGTGATTTTTATCGACCATTGCCCACACACAAGACACAGCTGCCGTCCTTACAGACGCCGCAACTCTTCCTGCTTGCCAAACAAAACAAGGTAGGATGCTGTCAGAAAGAAGTTCGTCAGCGCAATTTGATAAGCCCTTTCCACACTCTGCCGCCAGCATAGATCTTCCAATTAGTGTTAAAAATCTAGCCCTAATTTCTGGATCTCTTTCATCCCGTAAAGCATTCTTCAAAATTGGCAAAAGAGAACCGCTGACCTCGTCTAGGGTCGCAGCACCACATTCTATTAATAGGGTATCAACTATAAACCTATCGGCAGAGTATTTAGCCCAGCTCGAGGAGGATGGTAGTAAAGCTTCCAATAGCTTTCTCGCATGCTTCGATATAAAACTTTCTCGCTCATTCAAACCGACAGCTTTAGATACCATATCAATCAAACGGAAAGTTTCACTTTTTATCTTATTTGATTGACTAAGGGCGGATACGGTTATAAGAACGAAAAACATATCGAATTCTACATCAGTTATCGACTTTTGACAAACTTCAATTAATGAGTTAAGGACGGACAATAAGGCTTTTTGTGTGTCTTCGTCGTTACTTTGGCAGACTTCCGGTAGGCACAATTTTTGGAAAATACGAGGAAGCAATGATGAAAGGACTTGACAACTACAACCTTTAGAGATCGATGATAGGATCAGCAACGAGCTTTTATTACCGGAGGTCAATTGCAATTGGTTTAAAGCGAGCTTACTCCAGACTTCCGCTTTAGCAAAGTAACCCAAAAGAGTAGCACTCTTTTCAGTCTGTTGTTTTTTTAAAAAACAATAACTTAAGGCTATTTTGAAAGTTCACTTACGTTTACTTACATAATTTCGAACTTTTTCGTCTTCATCAGTAATCGCTCTGGAAAGTGATTTTTGTTTTTTTTAACTATTCCCATAAATCACTTACATTAATAACAAACCTGTACAAGGACGGGAGAATTTTGTCTATGTGTTGCGTAATATTCATTTCTTCATTAATTAGTAGGATATATAATAATTGTGAGGCTTTAATTTTAGTTTCCGTCTTCCAATCGCCAAGGTCCCCGGCAAGACCAGGAGCAATCTTACTAAAGTGTAAATAGACTAATCTTCTGCATCCTATATTTGGTCTGCTTACTGGAAATCGTTAAATATAAATATTTATACACTTCTTTACAGTATAGTTTAAAATTCAATCAATATATATATATTATATATAAAATCTCAAGTAAACTTACATCCTTCCGGATAATGCTCAAGATTTTCAACTTCGAAATTCAAAGAATCTTTCAGCTCTTCTTCATTTTCATTAGCATATTTTAAACCTAATAGTAATTATAGCTAATTAGTATGATGTACGACTCTTAAATTGATAAATATTTTGATTTTTTCCAGTGAACCGACCTACATCATGCCAAAGCCCATCTGCTGTTTCCTGAATATCAGGCATTTCATCTGCTATACTTGTTAACAATAGTGGAATTAACTTATGATGATACGAATATCTGCAATACAGGATTATATGTTGTCAATTATTTATCTCATTGCTAAATTTAACTTAAATAAATGGAGACCTGTCTAATAAATTTAACAGCCATTCGCCAATTACTTTTGTTATTTCCAATCTTACTACAGGAGTAGGATCGAATAGTCTTTGAGCAAAATTTGGAATAACTCTATCAACAGGCTTATTAGAACTGTTTAGTAATACTTGTCCAATAGCTTTAATGGCCTCTAGTCGAACTTTTGAATGTTGATGACCTAAACATTGCATCAGTGGACCAACTAGATTTTCAGCTTCATGAAAAAATCTCTCTTTTGAGAGAGTAGCCAACTTTGAGCAGCATTTGCAGCTTTCCTTTTTTACTTCATGAAATTTATCAAGGACGGTTCTACTTAAAATTTTTATCAAATCTTGAACATAGATCTCTAAGTTCGTTAGAGTGATATTCAGTAACTTTCCAATTAATTTAACTAAGTGTAGGCGTAACTCTTCCGATGGCTCTACAATTTCCTGCTGACCTAATCTTTGCAGTAAAACTGGAATAACCAAGTGCATAAATTCTTCAGGTTTTGAGACTCTTTCAACTGTTCTTGCCGTAAAGCTGATTGCATTTTCTCTTAAGTTTTCAACACTGTCAGAGAACAACTTTAGCACGTGCCTTATTATATCGCTCATAACATTGTCAAAGACAGTCGAATCTAAGCTTTCCTTTCTATCAACAGTCTCCTTACGAATTTCTTCAAACGCTTTCTTACGATTGAATCGAGACGGATCGGATAATAAATTGATACTACGACCAAGATTTTGGAGAATATCTTTTGCGGTTTTGTCGCTCATTTTTGGTATGAAATATTTGGAATTAACTGGTAAAGTTCAAATCCACTTGAACACTTTTATTTTAGATTTTGTATTGGAAACAATTATTGAATGAGTTAATTTTGTATTACGTTGAGTTTATAGACTTTTATAAACGGAAATCACGTGACTGAAAAAACCGAATTCAGTACGTGACGAACCAAAGATACAAGGTGTCCAAGCATATGTTAGAAGAATAAACTAATTACCCGACCATGGCAAATATGTCAGATGTAAGTTAGGATTACATAAAACGATAATCATAAAATTTCAGTCTTATTTGTTAAATTGTCTCTGCATTGCAAATAATTGCATGTCGGCTTGAGCGATGATACAGGTTTCAGTGAAAGCATTTTGATGTATTTTAAATTATAGTACAATCGTTCTTAAAATCTTGGTTTCAGATATCCTTCGTTGGATTCCATGCCTCTGTGAACAGAGTAAGTTGTTATTTTTCATTTTCAAACGTTAGATAAGAGTAGTGACTTAACAATTGACATGCTAAGGATGCTAAAAATTTAACACTAAAGTAATTTATCTAGAATTCAAAATAAGCTCTTATAATTAACAACAAAAATAGTGTTTGAAGTGTTTTTAAGTTTATATGAGTTTGTTCAGAAAATACTGTAACGAAATATTTCTTGTAGAGTGAAATGTCACTGAAGACAGAAAAATCGATTCTGAATACTACAAATCCGTCTCATATTCTAGAGGAGGACCCTTCAATTTCTCAGGCTACTTCACTATTTTCAGAATTTATGGATGCTATGAGAGACTATGGCAATGAACATGAAATTTTACCACTCTTGTTATCCTATGAACAATTATGTTCTGATCATGTTAAACTTCTCAGTAAATTACTTGCTGCATCAGCCCCAAACAACCGACTGATACAGGAAGCCGGCCTACAAAGGAATCTTTTAGAGCAGGTAAAATATACAATTCTGATGCTTGTAGTAAATGTGGAAAATATCTCTATATTTATATTAAAATAATACAGGAAAAACAAACCTGGATGCTTTTATATACGTTATACGACGATAGAGTTCGGACTGATGGTAGAAAGGCTGCAGGCAACAGATCAGAAATAGAATGTAAAACTGAAAAACAATTAATTAAAAGACTTTTTGAAATGGATGATTTCGTAAGAACGGCTCAGCGTATAGTTGATTGGTTGGAATACGCTAGCGCCGAAAAATTAGAAGAATTTTACAATAAAATTCAATATTTTATTGACCATGCCGGTCAGGCTGGAGAAAACACACTATTTTCACTGAAAAGAGGAAAATATTCTGGTATTGTACAGCATATGGATCCTGATGCGTGTATGAGAGAAAATCAGAAATTAACAAGCCTTGATGAAGAAGATGAAGACAGACTACTAAGACACATCTGGGCTTGTATTCGTGCAGGTAATTGGTTAATTATTTCGGAAATCTAATTCTTTAACTGGAAATCTAAAATATATTTATATTCGAAATATCCGGTTTAATTTTATTTAGGTCAATTAGAGGAAGCTCAACATATTAGCACGAAATGTGGTCAACCTTGGAGGGCAGCAACATTAGAGGGTTGGCGTCTTTATCACGATCCTAATTTGACAATGGAAGATGAAGGAGAAGTTGAAGGTAATACATCCAGAGATCTATGGACCAGTATCGCCTGGAAAGTTTGTGAAAGTGAAGGAGTAAGCAGTCTTGAAAAGGCGATCTATGGAACTCTGTGTGGTCATCTACCTTCAGTTTTAGCGGTATGCCAAAGTTGGCATGATCACTTCTGGGCAAGATTAAAGGTAAAATGTTATTTATTTTTATAGTTTCCTATCATAATAATATAACCCAATTCAGGTGGCTATACTGGCAAGAGTAGAGCAAGAATTGTTTACTATTCGAGTAAGAAGTGCTAAAATGCTTGCACCACCCGAAGATCTTATGAAAAATTCCGCTACCTCTTTTTCGCAAATCTTGAATGACGTCGAAGGAACAGAAAAAGACCGAGTAAAATATGAAAGTAAAGAAAAGTATAATATCCTACAAAAGCTTATTATCCTCGGAGATACTTCTGAATTACTACGGGTCATGGCCGAATGGATAGACGATGAACTTGAAGAGGATACCTCTCTAATAAACAGTCATTTATTACGTTTCATGGCTCATTTAGTTCTGTTCTTAAGAACTGTAACTACTTTAAATGATGCTGCAGCAGATGACGATGCAGTTAGGGTCTTACGAGCTTACGTTCAACATTTAATCAAATCGGGTCCGTCAGAAGTTGTAAGCTTTTACACAGCCAAATTACCAATTGATATGCAAGCAGATGTCTTGGCCCTTTTCTTTCAAAGCGTTACAGGAAGTGACGACAGACATGCTCAAATGTTTATGGCACAATCAGTCGGTATTGATGTATACAGCGCAACCAGAGGTGTTGTACAACTCATTCGAGACGATCCTAAATCCACTGACGAAGAAATAATATCTGCTTTAGAATGGTTGACTTTTGACAGAGGACAGAGAATGGACGCTATAAAATCATCGAATTCTATAATAAGAATGTTTTTAATGAGGGAAAAGTTAGACGTTGCTCGCCAAGTATTATCGAAACTTCCTGACCAATCAATAGACCAAGTGTTATCTCAATGGACATCCCAAATGGGATTTAGCGACCTTCCACCTGAGGATTCGAACGCTGTCAGAGAGTTATTAGCACTTAAGGCATATCTCGAAGCCAACACAGCTTTCCAAGACTGGTTTACCCATATTCATAGAGAGAGGCCTAACCCGCCCAATCGACTTACCAGAAACGCTGCATTTCAAGATAGGGTTGCATTTGAGCAAGAAAATAAAGCATTTGAATGCGAAATGGACAGGTGGCAAAGGGGAGCTGATAGGTTAGCGCATGATGCGGTTGATAAATTATATAAAGTTTTAAATTTCCCTGGTAAATGGCTAATTGACGAATATAGTAGTACAATTGGTGATGAATTAAGACAACAACAGTTAAGAAGATTAAGACAGTTTTGCATACCCTCACTGGTTAATTTACTACTGACGGTGTTAAGGGAATCTAACAGACTGAGAGAGGCTATGCAAGTTGCAGATATTTTGGCGGACGAAGAAAAGCAATTGTATTCAGTCTTTTCCCAAGCGGATTTGCAGAGATTAATGAATTCATTCCGAGAATTTGGCATGGAGTTCATGCAAAACCCTGGGATTGACTCTTTAGGCTATAAAAAATAGTTTACGAAGGTTGCTTAGTTAATATATATTGTATATTTTCCTTTTGTACAATATTCATGTTTTCTCATACAAGAAAATACATTTTGTAGAAGTACATGTTGCTTTTACTTTTCTATTAATTAGTTAATAAATTATCAATAATTGACATGTGATTTAATCAACTACGTTCGAAACAATAACATTAACTGTCCATTGCCCTTTGAACGGTCTTCAAAATAAGATTTATTTAAAGAAACTACATATATTTCAATTATTTAAATTTGTATTAATACAATTTCCATTCTCATCCACCTTCCTTGATTGAAATGGAATGACTTACCTAAAGTTATTTGATTTTTGGCAACTTTTCAATTTCTTTTGTCAATTAACCACTTTCTCCTATTGTCAATAAATAATAAATTGAATGACAAGTGGTGCCATCTGTTATACTTTCCCCCAGCATTGATCATGTGACTGCCTGAAGTGTTGGTTGTCGATGGTAATAGTTTTTTTTAGATTTTATTGAAAATCCCTCAAGAAATCATGCTGTTTTGTCTCGGACAAAGATGGACACATCATCATATATCCGTGTTCATCTTAACATTTATGGGGTAAGGGAATTTTGAAAGATCACTTTCCCAGCCGTCTTCAAAAATATACGTTTCAGATACGCCTTCTTCCACGCAACAAGAAAAGCATTTAGCAATATAAAAACAGTAATAATTAGTGAATGGACCCCAACATCGTTTAACAGTAGCATTCCAATAACAAGACCCGACGAGGTACAGTTGTTTTCTTTGTTAGAACATTCATAAATCATTATGAATTTAAAAAATGATCACTGATAGTATTAATCATATAAACAAAACACAAAAATCAGACTTGGAATTCGAGGAAGTTTTTCAAAGATGAAGGAAGTGCTGAATACTTTCTTGGTGCTTTAGATAGTATATTTATGGTATGCTATGCAATTGGTTTATACATAAATGGCGCAGTCGGAGATAGGTGATTTATTTCTTTCCCTCTTCCATCATAAAGATACAATTCTCTTTTTATAACTTCCTTTATTACATCAAATAATAAGAAAATGTATCTATTTGATTAATTGAAAAAAGAACAATTTTTCTTTCTTTTTCAGACTTGATACCCGTAAAGTATTAAGCTTTGGTATGATTGGGTCATCGATAACTGTAATTCTATTTGGATGCGTTAGCGAATGGACCCATTTTTACAATAAGCCGTATTACATCGCTTGGTGGGTACTTAACGGCTTTCTCCAATCAACTGGGTGGCCGGCCTGCGTTGCAGTCATGGGATATTGGGTTGGTAAAAGTAGTAGAGGTTTGGTTCTTGGGTTATGGAGCGCATGCGCTTCAGTGGGAAACATTATCGGAGCTTTATTATGTTCATCGTTAGTAATCCAATATATATTTCAATTATACGATTAATTTTGAATCTTTCAACATATTAGAGTTTTAAATTACGGGTATTCTTACGCTTTTTTATTACCGTCTACTGTTCTACTTGGAGGAGGAATAGTTATTCTATTCGGTCTTGTTGTATATCCATCAGACGTTGGTCTAGAAGATCCAGATTCGCACGAAGAATCTAATGGACAAAATCCTATCGATACTGATAGGGAAAGGTTACTTGACAATAATGAAGACATACAAGGTAATTAGTATTAAGCAATTTTCGGTCTTTTACCTAAATTTTAAAATGTGTACAACCTAACTTAATCATTTTTCCAGTTCTGCCAGATCAGAATAAAGCTATTAGCGTTGGAAGAGCTCTTTTACTACCAGGAGTAATCCCTTATTCGTTGGCCTACGGGTGTTTGAAACTAGTTAATTATTCATTCTTCTTTTGGTTGCCATTATACTTAGGTTCTAAATTTGGCTGGGGAAATACAGAATCAGATAAACTATCTATATGGTATTCTCCAATTATATTTTCTAATTTATCATCCGCCTAATGATTACTCAGCGTTAATTATTTCCCAATAGGTATGATGTGGGTGGTATAATTCTAGGAACAGTTGCCGGATTTATATCAGATTTTTCTGGACGAAGGGCACCAGTGATGACTGTTCTCCTTGTACTAGCTATGCCAATGCTCTATTTTTATAAAAGTATTATTATCTTTGTTCATGAGAGATTAATTGAAATTTTCTTAAAACTTATCTCTCTAATTGTTTTTCCTCAGTTTCGCCTAACGATAAAAAGATTAACGCGGTACTAATGACGCTTTTGGGTGGTTTTATTGGTGGGCCATCTAATTTGATTAGTGCTGCTATATCAGCCGACCTTGGACGTCAAACTGTCGTTCAAGGAAACGAGAGAGCTCTATCTACTGTAACTGGTATTGTGGACGGAACGGGTAGCGTTGGAGCGGCAATTGGTCAATTTTTACTACCCGTCATTCATCAGAAACTAGGCTGGGGAGCAGTCTTTTATTTTTTCATGATTATGGTCTGTCTCTACAATTCATTATATAAATATATATTATGCAATGAAACTAATTACATTTTAATTTTTGATATTAAAAGACTGGATCTACATTACTTTGTATCTTGCCAATTATTTATAATGATTTCAAAGAACACGGTTTTAGATGCTGCTCAAAAAGAACCCAAAATGTCGGATATCAAAGTAAGCTAAATCACGCAAGTGTTTCTTTTGTTTTTGGTTGTTCTTTTTTTTGTCTTTTAAAATGTAGATAATAGGCTAAATTTTCAGCTGTAGTTCTAAAAGAATTATTCTCAGGTATTCTAATTTTACACAAACCTTAATAATACAGTATAATATATATATATATATATATATATATATATATATATATATATATATATTATACGATGCATAAATATGTATTATACTGGTGATAGCTAAAAACAAAACTGGACTCTGTTTTACAAGGTTCTTTTTTCACTTTTTTAACTCTCAGCTAGAATTTAACCAACCACTTAGAATGGGATAATGACTAAATTCATCGTAATCTTATATATATACTGTATATATTATATAAATTATATATAGTATATATGATGGAATTACAGAAATACCTATACATATTTACATTCTTTTCTTTCCTTTATACATATACATTTCATTCATCTTCCTTTTTGTAGACGGCGATACTTCCGACGAAGAGGTGATACTTACTCGAGACTGAGATACACATCTTGTTGAGATTTTCTCTAGTGACAGACTATTACTCTATGTATGCTAATATATACTTATTCTATTATTTTTTGTGTTAAACAATCAATATTCTTTGTAAATACATTACTCAAGATATATATAATGTTGCGATATAATTGTTTATAGACTTTGTCTATTGTACACGTTCAGTATTTAAGCGTATATTTTATGGGTTTTTAACATAGATATTGATTAGCTTTATTTCAGTATATTAGTCCATACAGTATTAACATTTTCAACCCTTGAAGGTATTGGTTTTTTTTTTGCTGATTAATTGAGGCTAATGGAGAAGAAGACGAATTGTCCTACGGATATCCAACTTTATTATATTACTTGTAATTTCACTCTCACGTAATTAGTGTTTTTTTCTCCCAGATATTTCCCTTTTTTGTATATTTAGTGTAAATTCTGTATTCTATGTTGGCTCAGAGAGTCAAAAAATAAACAAGACTGTATTTTATATACTAAAGAACTTTTCGATATATCGGAGAAAACGGGTAGAAGTTTTTATATCACTTTCTTGTGAATAATATCGAAAACAAAAGACAAAAAAAATTAACTAATATTTTAAAGGTGCAAATAGTTCCTGTTAGAGTTAATTACAAAGAAATGGACATACTTGGAAATTTAAAAAAACACAGGAAGTCACGTGATGTGTAAAAATTGAGTATCACGTGACCTACATACTAGACAAGGTGACCAAACACGTGCTTTTGGAATTATATACCCATCATACTGATTAGGAATAATTATGGATATTGACGAACAAACTCTAGCAACTCCTGGCAAGGAACAGCTTTCCACTGTTGACCAATCTGCTGGAGATATGCCTTCTTTGGCGCCTATTCACCATCCTCAAAAAGTCCCCGGCGAAGAGGAAGAGGAGGAAGAGGTTAAATGAAAAATTTTCAATAGTTAAATGTATTAATTATGTAAAAAAAATTGCAGTTCATAGACGAAACTTTAGCGGAACGTTTGTGGGGTCTAACTGAAATGTTTCCCGAGCGTGTTAGAACATTTGCTGATGTATCAACTAAAATAACCTGGGCAACAAGCAAATTTTTCTATTCAAAAGCCACTTACTTATCTTGGTTTATAGCTTCTAGTGCATGTATTATGGCTCTACCCGTTATGATTGAAAGTGAAAGAGCCCAAATGGAAGAACAGCATTTACAGCAGCAACGTCAAGTGCGTTTTTCCTATAGTAAAATTTTCATGCAATAACATTTTTCAACCCCCCCCCAACAGATCCTATTAGGACCTAGCGCCGTTTCAAGTCAATCGAAAATGCCACAGTTTGCCCAGTAAATTCACTCTAATAGTATATTGAACATCTTCTAGATTCTAGACTTTCATATACATTTGATAGCTGCTAATTGGCTGGTTATCTTAAGTTAAATCAGAATCTATGCATTGGCATAGTAGGGAAAATGAAATGTAAAAACAAAATGTGTATAATTTACTAGCAAACCGTCAGTAAAAGATCAATACTGTATATAGGTATTATGTGACTTTTTCTTGTAATAAAGTTATTTTTAATGCTGACTTGAATTAAACATTTCGGATGAATCCAATAAAAATCTACCAATGAGTTTATTTAGTTTTTATCAAAAGCAGAAAACTCATAGATCAACAGTGTCAACAAATAGCTAAACAAACACAGTCGGAATGTGAAACTATACTTACTTTTATTAAAAACATATACAGTTATAAATTTTCAAAGTCTAATCGTCCAATTCAAACATAATTTCATTGGTTAATTCTACTGCTGAAGCAGTTTTATGATCCATGTCGTTTATTGAAACTTGATTAGCTTCAACAGTTTTCTCATTGGCAGTAGTCGATTCTTTGTCATTAGTTTCTTTATCTTTTTTATTTTTAGACTTTTTCTTCTTTTTCTTTCTGGAGCGTTCTTTCGAAGGGTTATCGCTGTCTATACTCTGTTCAGAAGAATGAATGTCAGGATATTTCTTGGTCTGATTTCTATTATGCGGTCTTTCTAAACTAGAGTCATCTGCTGACAACGATCGGCGAAGGTCTCCATTTAAGTGATGATCTGTTTCAAGTTCTGATGAGCTTACAGTTTCTCCTGAAGAGTGACGTCTCCTTTTATCCTTACCTTCTTCGCGCTTTCGGGCTTTCTTTTTTCTGTTCATTAAAGTCTTATGTAGTTGAGCAACAGAAGAATTTTGCTTGTAGCTTTGCTCTTCGACTTGGTCACTAAATGAAACAGATTTTTGCCTTGTACGAGGTCTCGGGGATAGATCAAGCTCTACGTCCGGTGTAGCGGGGAGAGATCCAGACAGGCAAGAGCTGGTAAGAGAACTTTCTAAGCTCGATTCTGAAATCGAACGAGACCTCTCAGTTTTTAAAATACCATGGGTAGAACCTTTTCTTATATCTGCCTTCGTAAGAGAATTTTTGTCATCAACAGCAAACTTTAAGTAGTTTTCATCCTCTTCAGTAAGAGTTAAATTTTCCATATCTAATTCAGTTGAAGCTGAAAGCTCTTCAACTTCCTTGACTAAATTCTCCTCAGTTTGAAAATTGTTTTCTTCGTAATTTTCATCGTTTCCTCCGCAAACAAGTAACTTTGACAGTTGTCTATCAGTTGTCTTGAAAATGATAACGACTAAATTATCTGAGTTGACATCTAGAACTGTTTTATCGGGTATTATAGTTTCCTCGAATTTCGCTTTAAACCTATAATGTAAAACATTAAAACAAATTAGGAAAAAGGCTTATATTTCTGTTTACTTACAGATATTTAATAGGAAATCCTCCTTCTCCTAGAGTGTGAAATTTCACAGTGATGTTGTTATCACCAACCTCTTTTTCTAAGGAATCTTTCTCTATATTACGGTGATTGAAGATGAATGTTACCACATGTGAGGTTTGGTTTACTTTAAATTCCGGTTTAACAAAGATGGAGGGTTTTTCAAAGGTGGTGGCTGATGTATCTTCCTTGGCTTTTTTCTCGACAATATCCTTTTTTTCACTTTCTTCTACTTTCTGAGCTTCCCTTTGTTCTGATTCGCCCACCATTGCGTCTATCGAACCTTCATTATTAGCTTCCGTCACCTCTTCGACGCTTGTTGCATTTTGTGGAATTTTATCTTCAACCAAAGGTAAAACATGAAGAGTAATTGACAGAGTCGTTTTGCTTTTATCAAATTTGGCTGATCCTTCATTCTCATCAACAGGATAGGGTAATTGAACTTCTAGCTTATATTTAGCGGGAGATTCTGATTGTAAAAGTAATTTTCTTTCGAAAATATTCAAATCAACAGGCTTAGAAGATTTTAAAAGTGGCAAATGTATATTAACGATTAACTTGTCTGGACGATTTTGAATCGATACCGGGGAATTTGTATATTTTTGTAAATCCATGTTGCTGCTATGCTTAATAGTATATTTTGGTTTTGTATATTCAGAATCGTCAGCTTCTTGAGTTCTGACTTGTTCTTTCTTTGAATCTTTGTTGGTTTTCAAGTTTTTTTCTTGTTCTTGCGCCAATTCGGCACTCGACTTTTCTCCGTATGGATATGGAAAATGTGGAATACCATCAGTGCTTTTCGGTCCGTTCTTCGAAGCTTCAAAATCGTCTTTCTTTTTCCTTATAACTGTGGCTGTAGGAGTACCCTTATACTTGATATTATTTAATTCTTTAATGTTTTTCAAGTCTATAACAGCACCAAGTTTTTCTTTAATACCTTCAAAAGCAGTTTGTTTAACAATTTCTTTAAATTTAACGTTAGTTTCAGCCATTCTTATACTATCAGGATGATAAACAACATCAAATATTGTGCATAATTTACCGTCCTTGTCGGAATTATCTCTTACAGGGGACAGACTATATGGGATTGACCATGAAACTCCCCCTACTTCTCTTGTTGGCTTTGGTCTTTCGATGTTTTCATTACTACATATGTTTATATAAGCAGTCTTCTTGCCATTAACGGTTGTCTTCATTACAAAGCTTTCTTTTGGATGTACAAATTGAACATCCATACCTCGCTCTTTTTCCATTTGGGCTATTTCTTCTTCATACTTTTTCCTATTTTCAGGGTCGGCAATTTCACTAGCATACTCAACAAACATCTTTCGAAACTCTTCGTTTTTAAAAGCATTTGTAAACCTGTCAACCTCATCCTTCGTTAAATCTAGTTTCTCAAACGTTTCTTTCAAGTGCTCTGTAGCCGCCATTTTGTGACGTCTGCTAGAAAGGAATTTCTCGAAAGATCGCCGTAGTAATGGTAAACAAAAAATCGAATCAGTTGAAATATTTGGATTAAACACACCCAAAAGATTTATACGATATATTATATCAAAATATGAATGTCGCACGTTACAGACCAGTTTTATATATGCAATATCTCCTTCTTTTTGTTGATATTTTTATGAATACTTTCTCAAGTTTATTAAGATTCCAAAATGTTGTACTATTAGTTCTATATGTGTAAGTTTTTTTAATTATATATTAAAATAATTGATTAATTATGAATTAATGCCTATTTTTCATTCCTAAATAGAGTTCAAGACATCGGTATTATATTTCAAGTGATTATTATTTTTCTACTCTTCTTCAATACATTCATCTTCCAGGCCGGTTTGGTGAATATTCTTATTAGCAAATTTAAAATGCCTATTCTGGCAAGTGTAACTTATCTGGCCCTATGCATTGCGTTACACGTTTGGGGTTTAACTCAACGATGGGATGATCCAAAGAAAGTACTAGATGGGGCTGGTTTTCAAGTACTATTTGTTTTCCAAAGAACTGGTGCTGTGATATACTACTTTTTTTACAAAAGAACCGCCCTAAGATTGGCAGATCCTAGATTTTACGAAGATTCTGAATGGATTGGTAGAGAATTTGAAAAAAGACAATGAAACTAGAGCTTTTTAGAGCAAGATATATTGTATAGATTGTTGTATAAAGAAATATTTAAAATGACTGAAATTTTAAAAATAAAAAGAAAAATAAAATTGATCTTTGACTTATGTCCATGTGTTTGTCGGTATAAAGGCTTCTTTCTTTGTTAGGCTTGGTGCCAAAACTTCATCTTTTAAAAAGAAATAGGGTAATAAAACCAAATGACCGTGTATTTTCTTTATCAATTCTTCACTTTCTTCCGGATCTTTTAAGAACAGTTGTTCTTCACTTTGCATAGCTTTCATGTTCGAAAAACTGGTTGCCTTATTGGATGGAATACAATTAAATATTTTCTCAAAAATATTAGAATTCACTGAGGCTCTCTTAAGCCAGAAACATTTATAAAATTCCTCCGAAACTGGATCAATTAAAAGTGAATAGTTGTTCTCTCCTAGATGCTCTTTAAATAAGGCTAGACGTAATCTCCCACAATAGTTACCGGATCTATATGGTTGGCCATTCATTTTTGAATCGAAGAAATTTATATCCCTAATCATAACCGCTAATTCCGAATCACGTTTACCTAACATACTTCTATCATTAATATTTGCGGAACCAATTATGGCAGCTTTATCGTCCACTATCATCAATTTACTATGAACGTATATTAATTCAGTAACCTAAAAATAGCAACAAAAACAAACCAAATATTATGTAACAAATAACAAAAAAATTATAATTATAGGCCTATTTACCAATTTATCATCCAACTTTCCATGTGTTCTAAGACCAAAGAACGAAATATATTCCGAGGGATCTGCACCTGTAAATGATAATTATATGAGTTCTAATAGCACGTTTAATTAAATTATGCTAATGTATAATCTTGCAAGAATATAAAGATAGAATTCTTGGTAAAGATGAAATATTATCGCTGCCTTAGTTAATATTTTACAAGGGCAATTTATGCTTATCAATGCATTCTACTTGTTTTAATCACTTTCTTTTTTATCTTATTTAATGAATAAAGTAATCTTTTGTTAAACAAATTAACCTATTTTGCTAAGTAAATTCTATCATTCTATAATTTATTACTTTATCACCAACCTAGTTGCATTATACGTTGAATAATACTGTTGGAACTTTCTGAATTTGAACCCCTACAGATAGATTTATAATTCCAATCTGTAACGGCTTGAATAGATGTTCCTGTTGAGGTTCCAAATTCACCTTCGAATCCGGGTAGAAGAGGCATAATTACGTATACTCTAAATGTCTCTTTCTTTCTATATTTGATACAAACGAAATAAGATTGGTTAGATAAAACAAGAAAACTTCCAACATACTCGTGAGCTTGTCTTATTCTTTGAAAGAGGGCATCAGCAATTCTATTATTAACATCCATATCATCAGCAATCGATACAAAGAACTGATTCTATAAAGAATAAAAAAGCCAATTATTTGGGGAATATTTGATTTATAAAGATAAGAGAAGTGACTTTACCTCAATGTAAATGAAATGCTCTGCTTCTCTAATCAATTTTATATAAGCATTGTGAATAGAGCATTCGACAGCGCTTATTCCAACAGACCACTCTGAAGCGCTTCTTAGTACTTGGACATCGACTATATTTGCTCCTTTAACAAGGTGCTTTGGGACAGATAGTTTAGTATAGCTTTTAGGTAGTATCAACTGATAATTAGGATTGGTTTTTCTTTTTTGAATTTTTGTAAAATTCCATCTTTGGATGAAGTGTCTACCTACATCTCTAGCCGCCCTCCCATAGACACTGCAACCAATATCATGCCAGGGCATTCTAGGTGTCTTACGTCTGTCTATAAAATCGTTGAAGGGTTTATTTAAATCAATGAAGTCTTTAAATATAAAATTCGTATAGTCTTTTCCTATCCATAACCTAGATCCGTCATCGCTATCTTCGTCCAAATCGTCATCATTTATAAATATACTTTGCCCAAAATCAACCTTGGCCCCGCTTAAATCTATAGAGCTTAGGCGTCGTTTATGAAATCTATCTTTCCAATCTAAAGCCGCCTGGACAAATTTTCGATGTAATTTTGGGGTTTCAGGCTTTTCGACTGGTTCTTGGGAATCGGAATCAACAAATGCCGTATGCTTTGCGGCAACTCTTAATTTTGGCGCCTTTCTTCTGGCAGCAATGTCTGGAGTGAATTTTACTGTAGGAGAATTATTATTATCACCTTCGTCTTCAATTCGTTTTTGTCTGGAGAATTTTTGCCTCCTCGCTATAGAATCTGTTGAAGTTTGGTTCTCCAATTTTCTTTCGGATTCTGGAGTGAGAGCAGCTAAATTGGCTATCACAGTAGATTCGTTGACTGTTTCCAATTTTTGAGAAACTGGACTTAATTTTGCATTTTCTCTCGGGGACGGAGCAGAGAGAGATCTTTTATACTCGGTATGAGTTGTTCGATGGCCTTCTTCGGACTTCCATTGACCTAAAGGGCGATGCTCTTCCTCTTTTTCCGCAGCTTCCTCTTCTTTATTTTCTTTATCCGCTTTTTGTATTTCATCCGGTTCGTAGCTTCCAAGATCGGTTAATCGATGACTAGAAGTATCCCAACGGCCATAGCAAATATCAATACCACCTAAAAAGGCTATTCTCTGATCAACAACGACACATTTCTCATGATGAGACCACAAAGTTATTCCGTCAGGATGGCGTAATACTTTAATATTTTCCGGATGGAGTTTAAGTAGCGTTTCTTTAGTATAATAACTATTTATACCCAAAGCTTGTTTAACCTCTTTAAATAACTGTACGAATATTTTAATTCCACATTCCTGAAATATTTTTTTTTATGAAAAAAAATAATTATCAAATAAATTTAAAGCTAAAAAAGCAAAAAATATCTAATATTTTTTGCTTAGACAAGTAAATTTATTATATTTGAATAACAGATATAAGTATATGCAAGTGTATATATAAATTAAAGATTTTTATATCTATAATATTGATTATTTCAACTAAAAAATGGTTTTTTTTCTTTCACAATTAGATTAAAATAGAGGCAATTGAATAAGATAAAAATAATACAACAAAAAAGAACAAGAGACAACAACGGCGATGACAACAACGATGAAGACAACGACACTTCATCTTAACTGAAGTACTTACAATAAATTCCCCTTTTTTTGCTGCTACTACGAAAATGTTTTAATTAAAGCAAAAAGAAAGAAAATATGATGATAAAAATGATAAAAGCGACTGACAGAGGGAAGAAAATATATAATAATTGATATGTATCATATATATATATAAAGTATACATACATAAATATATATAGGGTAAAGAGTAATATATAGTATAATAATAATATAAACCAAATGCATTAAAAACTATAATGTAATTAAAATAAATCAAACTTACAGCTTTTCGCTTCAGTAAAACGTCTAATCGCCATTTATGATCCTGTGTGATAGGTCTTTTCAAGTATACTTCAGGGCTTAACCTTAGGGGGTTATAAATTTACTTAAATTTAGATAATCGATTGTTCAAAGATTATATTAGAATTAATGTCTTACCACCAATCGGCTATAAAAATTTCTTCCTCTGCAGATTCCATTGCGTCGGCTAAAGCTGACATGTAATCTCCACCATCCGCAAACCATTTTGCGGGTGACGATTTTCTTAATGGAGCAAATGAGTCTAATTCATTTTTAGCAATAAATTCCTTTCCTGTACTTTCCGAAGCTTGTTTTATAGATTCATAAAAATCATCTGCATTTTTATCAGTCGAACATTTCAAGTATAAATGCCTTCGTTTAGAAAAGATTCCATTAAGAATAAAAGCAGCAATTAGAATAATTAATTAAATACCTAGTCATATTTGATATATGTAAACCTCTTTCTTCGGATTTCCCTTTTCTAACTTCGAAATCCTTATCCATAAATAGAACATCAGAAATTACGAAATCTCCTGGTCTAATATAAGCTACAAAGGTATCTTTCACGAGAAGCCTTCGATAAAAATTGGTTATAGAAAATAAATAAATCTCGTTACTGGACAAGCACGATAATTAATTACCATCTGTCGTGCCATCGAGGGCAGCACAAACATGAGCCACAATCACAACAAGACAAAGAAATGAGTCTACCGCCGGAACGTTTTTCAATCATTCCCTCTTGTAATTTATCTCCAATACCTTTAACGAATGACAGATGGCAAACTTCGAGAAATTCCAGCTATAATATGCATTTTTTTTTTGTTATAGAAAGTATTATAAAAATAAGCCTGCAATCGAAAGATACACAGGTGCTTACCACTTCTACATGTTGCCTGTAGATAGGAATTTGGAGAACAGCTGATAGATACTCTTCCAGTTTTTTCTACAAATAGTTAAAGATTTTGAATATTACACCTTATTAGTAATAAAATACTATACAATATTGAACAGTTTAACAAAGAACACCTATACAACTTACCTTTCTAGCTTCAACTTTGTTTGATGGAACCAAACGATCGTGTATAATAGGAAACTTCGGAACAGTTTTCTTACCAATTTCAACACTTTGTCTTCTTTCTCTATTTCTATTTATGTTCTCCTTTTATTATTTTTGAAAATTTTATCTTTAATATATCAAACTTACGCGATTGTTGGAACAACACTCGACACTTGAGCTTTTATTCGTAGGAGTGAAAGAGCATCGTGTACTTGTCGAAAGTGTTTATATCTCCGTCTTATCTTCCAAGTATAGTTACCGTGTTGTAATTGTATGGTATATCTGTATTCAAGTTAATTATCTTTAGTACAATTTGTTATATATATGTTTTTTATTATCTACAGGTTTATTATTAAACTTTCAATAGCTTGCTAATCGACTTAAAAACTCCATATGTTTATTTTTTGTACTTACAAGTATGGATTAAGCTGGAAATCACGAGTTTGTTCTATATGAATAATATCAACTATTATTTTTTGTCTAGGTATGAAGCACAGTTTGCCATAAGTTTCCTTCGATGATGGCTTTGCATGAACTCGATTCCATTCAATCTCAGGTTTGCCTATATGTTATTAAGCAATATTTATTAAAAAAGTTGATATAAAGCTAATATGCATTAAGCGATTACCGGGCAAGCAATCAATTTCGTCGTTAAGATCACCAATGGGAAGGCTATCTAGTTCGTCATCTAAATCTAAATCAACGCTCTCCATCCTCTCGATATTCCCTTCAACGTCCATTTTTTTGGCTTTATGAAAAAGCACAAATAATCAATAAAATACATCAACTGTTCAAAGTTCCGGCCTATTGCCTCTGCAATACGCAGCTAACTTTCTAATCACACTAGCGCATGCGCTCAGAACAATGTGAAGGTCAATATCAAATGAAGCACGAATATAGTTGTATTTAAAGTTAATAACATATTGCGCCTCATGGCGTTTGGTCATAAAAAAAACTGCATCAAAATAATAATAATAATAATAATAGCAATAGACACTAATAAATATATTGACAATGTCTACGAGGCCGGAGACATTTTAAGACCGTCTATGCCCAAAAATACGTCTTGCTCGTGAGTTCGTTCGTAAACTTCTATTTTCATTTCGGGATCAACTTCAGGAGCATAAACGTTCTTTAAAATTGAGAAATTTATTATTAAATTGCATTAGTATTGAATGAAAGAAAATTTCGCTTTGTTTGAAGTAATTACCTGTAAGTAACTATTACCCGCAGGGTCGTCTAACTCGATATGAACGTTATTTAATTCTCCATCAGCAATCTATAAATTAAGTTAAAAATAATAAGTTTTCTTTAAAAATAGATACAAAAAATTTGTCACCTACATTTTTCAATTTTGTACAAAATTCTTTTAGCTTTGTATTCATATTGTCTTCAACGCTATCACCAATGAGGAATGGATTGGAAGTTGAAAGCTAATAAGATTTCGAGATTAGCGAATGACTAATTACATAAATAGATAAATTTTTTGGATAACTACCTGAGTTATTATGTCTAATAGCAATCCTTCGATTGTAGTGAATTTACCACCAAGTGTACCAGCAACCAGCTCAAATTCTAATTCAGGAATCTTCAAACTACACGTATTAGACTGAAATTACATTAAAATCATCAGACCTGGCTTTTCTATTTAGTAATTAGATAAGAGTCAATTACTTTTAGAATGTCTCTAGACATGTCACTGGGATCGGTTATTTTCAAGGTAATCTTCTTGCCCTTGTCTTCAATTCCCTTACCACTCTTAACTTCGCTATCCTTATAGCCGCACATATCACAGGATATCGCCATTATAATTACTTCTTTGAACATGGGAATATCTAACATTTTCATTTTGCTTTCAGCAGGGGAACCACACCTGGAACAATTTGTTTGAAAGTGAAGAACTTCATCCTTTAAATTTTCATCAGTCTCAGGCTCTTTTTCTTCCTATGAGTAATACAAATTCAATGGAAAACTTCAAAAAAATCATGCAAAACATACGCTACTAAATCCCAGTAGTTCGTTATCGCGTGCACTTCTGCTGTAATGTATTATTTTTAGATTTTTGTCGACTTGAGGAGCATAAGGGTTCTCTATAAAACTATTCCCAGAAGGATCATTTAACACAAAAGTAAATGGTTTTTCTACTTCTGTTAGTTTCTCTAATTTTTCAATAAATTCACTAATTTTTTCAGCTATTTCTGGTGTTTCCAACTGAAATAAAATTAAAATTTACAAAAAGTTAATCGGGTTAACCAAAAACGATAAAAACAATACCTTTCTTTCATCTTGAAGGATTTCTAAATTTGAGATAATAGCATTCATAAAACCTTCAAGAGTATTTATTTCTACAAAAATGCAGTAAGTAATTCTTAATTTAATAAGTTTTTTTTTTGGAGAGAATTAAATGAATAATGAATCAAGTATTAAAGTATTTTTTATCATTAAAGACTTTTAGCTATCTTTTTACACTTACCTCCTCTCTTCTTTCCTACAACATCCTCAAATTCTAAGTCAGGTATGGCGAAGGATCCGTATTCTGATTTAATTACTTGCCTATTCAGATCCTTTTTTCAATTATATATAGTGAATAATGATAGGTTACGTAAATAGAAACTCTATTAATAAAATACTAATCATTACCTCTTTTTCTTTAACAGTAAGCTCAAATTTAACACCTTTCTCTCCAACTATACCGGCTGACTGCACTTCTCTATTTGCGTTACCACAGTGTGGGCAATCGAAGGAAGAGATAACAATTTCTCTGAAGTGTGGTATTTTAGTCAACATCAGCCGTGTTATTCCCTGGAGATTTTTTGATAAATTATTTTAGGGTTGATTCAGTAAACTATCATATATATTACATTGTTCTCGCAATTCACACATAAGCTTTCTATTTCAGTTACTTCTGGCTCATCGTCTTCGACCACCAATTCGCGAAATAAAGGTTTTGGCGGTTCATTGATATTCTTACTTTCAGAATTTTCTGTCATCTTGGCAATATTGCTTTCAGCTGTTATAATATACGAGTAGTGTTATAAAATATATTTATTATATTTTATATTCTTGCAATATAGTGATTTAATATGCCCAACCGTCTAAAAAGATTGCACAACGTGGTCCAAGTTCTCGATAAATTTAGGGTCAAGGTCTGAGAAAACTGGTATTTTTGAGTGTTTTACTTAGAACAAGTTTTTACCGTAATTTTGAAAAACAGTTTAAAAAAATGAGCAATTTTGTATATTTCAATCCATCAACTTCGGAGAAAGATTATGTTCTTGTTAGTTAATAGTTTTGTTGTGTAGGATTGAACATAACTTTATATTTTGTATTAATTTCAGAGTGAAATAATAAAGCTCATACTTCAATCGGATGAGTTACCACCTTCAAATGAATGCCTTCAATGGTATACACAGTCAAAAGATAATGAAAACGGTAAATAATTCAACTGTTTTTTTTTCTAAATATCAATATTAAAGCCTATTTCCTGACTCAGAATCAGATCGAATTCTAGGACAAGAAACGAAATATTTTACTTCATCATCTTATGACAAACTGACGAATAAAATTATTGATAACTTACTAAATCATAATTTTGACGACGTATTAAGTAATTTACTAAAACAAATAACGTTACCAACTAATTCACAATATGCCAGACACGGATTTTCATTCTTTCGAGTAAGTTATTTTTTCTCTAACATTCTCTCAACCTCCCACGCATCTATTCCAAAATTTTCCCTTTAATCAATTAAACTTATGTTCTCGTTTTAACGATCATTCTTTTTATTTACAAATAAATAGTTAGCTTTGGAATGTTTTAGACGAAAAGGTGAGGAAAGCCTATCTGATATGTCAGAGCTAATTAAGTATGATAAACGATTAATTCTAAATTGTCCATTCTAATTATCATATCTCACGACAGATTATTAGTTCGCTGGACTATCGTGTCTAGAGAACACGTTATTATTGAATATGCTAGAATGTTAGAACAGTATGGAGAATATGAACAAGCACAAGCATCCTTTGTAACGAATAATATTCTTTAAAAATATTAAATTTACATTAAATACAATCATAAACACATAGATAAAAACTAAAAAATCGGGTTTAAAGAAGGCGTCACAATGGGAGAAAGAATTAGAAACACTGTACTTAGGTCAAAAAGCCGTATCGGAATATTTGCTTGCAATAAACAGATACTCTAGTAAAGTTGTTATGGAAAATTCTACCGAAGATTTCGAACGTAAATATTGACTTTTTAGCCGGGCAGGGGGTTTTTTAATTTTATATGTGTATTTATATATAATTTACCTTTTTCTATATTTTCGTTTACACACTTCAGCTCCAAATAAAAAGCGACGAAAAAATGATACAAACAAGATTGTACAATCAACAATATTATCTAAAGTTTTACCCTATTTTGTAAGAATATTGGATATGCCAAGTGCGAATTATGACTTTTATACCAAACTGAGCGTAGAGGTTTGTGATAATTGTTTTTTTTTCCAATCCCTTACGCTTTCTTTCATGCCTCCCCCTCCTCCTACACACATAGACGTACAGTAAATACAGTCTATGTTCTCTCTTTTCCTTTTATTATTATCCAAACGATGTCTATTTAGACGGAATATCTACTTTATTTATTCATAAAATAATGACATCTAATGAAATAAAAAACAGAAGTTGATTGGGGTGAAACTCTGTCGATGGCTTTATTCTCTTAGTTTTTTGTTGTTTTATTTTCTGTTTCAAAAAAAAATTTGACTAATGAGCACGTTTTCTTTTTTCTTTTCCATCTTATTAGATTAAATGTAATAATGGACAGTTGGAAGATGCTATAAAGTTACTAAAAGCCTACTCACTAAAAAATCCAAGAAATCCAACTCCGTTTCGCGAATTATACTCATTATATCTGAAAGACTTGGGAGATGTAAAACCGGCTATAGAATATTTAGAGAAGTTTTGTCAGCTTTGCCCTAGCGATGATCTTTGCATAGAATTATGTGAAATGCAGATGAGACGTAAGTTAAAGCTTGATGGAAATGTCTAAGATATTTTTTTTAAATATACAAACTATATTTCTATATATACATTATATATGTATTTTTTTAGAGTACAATCTTGTTTTTTATTAGTTTGTAAAAATTTTCCAGACGAGTACAGTTCTCTCATTTGCATCAACGTACTTATGAAATATTTGGAGTATCCTTGTAACACCGATAAAAGAAAAGCTTGGAAATTTCTTGCAGCGTTACTTTTGGATATAATGGACAAGTTCGTTAACCTAATCTAGTTTAATTATTGTAAATTGTACATGATTTTTTTTTTTTCATATTTTCCATATTCGTTCTACTTATCTTCTTCGTGTTCTTCTTTTGCTCTTTTAGAGACAGCGACAGTGAACTATCCGATTTGAAAGTTCTTTGTAAACAAAGGAAATTCTTTAAGAAAATGCATTTTAAAGAATGCTGTTGCATAAATCATTCAAAATTATGTTTTTATAAAGCTATCGTCGCCCTATTTATTTATAGAAAAAGTAAGTTTTACAAAAAATTTCCCATAACGCCCACTCTTTTTCTCTCTTTTTATTTATCGTTTGTTGGATTAGTTGGGTGACGTCATTGCTTTTTTTTCCTTCATTTTTTTACAGGAAATCCGTATTCGATTGAGATATTGTGTAGCGATGCCGTAAAGGAGAAGAGCATGGTTGAAAGAGCCTTGCAACATTTTTGAAATTAATGAAGATCTCGTCGGCTTTTGGGCCGAATTTTTGTATATACATAGTTATTATTGTTGATTTGTTTGTTAAAAGAAACCATTTTTTCTGGAGAACTTAGACTTTTAAATTTACGAGATAAGTAGTTACCCATCCATTTATGTGGTGGTAGGTAATGACTTTTTACTTCGTCTTCATCAACAAATAAACCACATGCTCTTAGTTTTTCATCATCGTTCATTTGCTCGAGGCGTCTAATTTGGCTTTTGCTTTCATTCTTAATAGCGTTTAACTGTTGGTAATAATCCGGTCGACGTTTGTTATTCACGTTAATTCGGTCATCCGTTTGTTTGGCTATTTGCTTACGAATAAGTAATTTCCTTCTAGCCGCTATCAATGTATCCGCTGTTATCGCATTAACGTTTTGTTGGAGGGTAGAATGGGCGTAATTTAGGCATAATGAACAACCTATTTCTTCCGGTTTCCTAGGATTAAGTAAATACACTCTTCTATCTGGTCTCGCAGTTCTATTCTCTAGTATTTTACGCCGAATTTCCGATTCCGTCCCACTCCGAGGCTTTTTCATCAATTTTACAACAAAGTCAGCTAATCTCGGTACATCATCATCGGCCTTCCATAAACTGCCTCGACGTGCCGGAAATTGGGAGCCTCTGTTTGCTAATAACTGTTCTATTTTCGAATCATTCAACTTAGATTTCGCGGAAAATTCAACGGCCTTCCTAGCAGCTGATTCCCAGTTCTTTCGTTGAATAAATTCCATATTTTTCACTTAAAATGATACTCTTCTATATTTCTTTTTACTTTATTACTTTTCAAACTTGTTTATTCTCGTCGCTTAACTCATAAACAGATAAGTGGCTGGTCGTTCATTCAAAGTGAAAAGCAAAAGTAGGCCTATAAAAGGTTGTCAAGTTATAGCAGGTAGAAAAAAAGCTAGAAAGAAAGAGGGTGTGTATGTGTATGTTTGAGTGTATCTGCCGAAGGTGGTAAAGGGGGGTTAGAATAGGTGTTAATGTTGGCACGGTAATATCGATTAAAGATTGAGAGTAATATAAGGCGTCACATGGTGAATTCAAGGTTTTCTTCATTATGGTCTATGAATCTATGTTCAAATATATACAAATATATATACTGTATATACTGTATATATATATATATAGTATACACTATATATAGCGTTTTTTTTTCAAATATTGACCGCCATTTTTCTAAATTGAAAAAATATGTTTTTATAGATTTTTATAGTTTTAAATTAGGCTAAAACATTTTATCACTTATTATATAAAAATTAACATTTTTTTATTAACTAACAAGTTTATAAAGATTATAAAAAATCGTATAAAGTAATAATTTTAACAGATAAAGAACAATATTTTATCATTCTATTGATCGATAATAGGTGATAAAAATAGCTCTTTTCTTCCTACATGTATCTATATTTATACAAGATAGGTATATAGAGTATAAATGTATTTAGTGCATTTACTGTTTGTATATACTATATTGCTATATATATGAGCTGTTTAATAGCTGTTTACATCTAAAATGAACTGGTTTCTTTTCTATATTAAAATCGGAGCGTTTTTGTTTACTCCAATAAAACATCGGAAGATTCTTTAGAATGGAAAGTAAAGTAGACTAGTAGAACTTTTGCCTTTAGCCAAAATAGCATCATTAACTGTCGCACTGAATCCTCTGTCAGATGAACTTTATCGCGTTACGTTGTTCTTCCTTTTTTTAATAGAAAATTATTCGGTTATTAGGCCTAAGAGAAGGAAAGTGAGAAGTATGGAAATTTCTTTCTACGATAGTAGACATACATATACACACATAAACAGAAAGTAGTAAAGTGTTAAAGAGTGAGCGAGAGGGTGAGAGAGAAAATAGCGCTAGTTTCGATACGGTTCTTAGGCTTAATAACAATAGCATAGATACAACAATAAAGTAGTAAGGGAGTGAAAAGAGGGTTAAAACGCGACAATAGTTTACTGGCCAACAATAGACGGATGAATTGCTTTCTAATTCTATTGTTGCCTTCCAAGTTGAGGAGGAGGACGATTCGAAAAATATGGCGCTTTTTTTTGCAATGTTTTTGTTATTTGGTTTATTACAGGTTAATTGGTCGAAATTAACGGTTACGGCTCGAGTAGAATCACTGGACGTTTTCCTTTTCGATTCGGTCGATGTACGAACGTTCTTCGACGAAACGAGGCCAATTACGTTAAAACCTTCCACTCGACGTGAGAATGAAAGCGTTGCCATCGATTTTTCTACTTTTACTAAAGGCGTCGTGAGTTCGCATAGGCCTAGAACAGAAAGTGGATTTTCAACGACCGATGAATTATCCTTTAATAGTGTTACCTTTCCGCTAAATGATAATAGCCGACCAAGCAGTAAGTTTCCCGACGGAGAAATGGACGTCTCTAACAGCGTTAGCAGTGAGCGATGGTCAGTGTCTAGAGAAATTGACGTTCAGGGTCGCTCAACTACTAATGAATTGATTAGTGAAGCGAGCAGTTTTGTAACAAGTGGACAAACTACTTCTATGCCCGCATTAAACAGTATTACAGAATTGAAGACAGCTGAAACGCCCATTGCGACTAATAGGATGTTAATAAGTAATAAAGATAAAGTGACTTTCGTTTCTTCCAGTCACTCTGGAAACGAACACACAACTGGAAATTTTGTAGATGTCACTCATCACCAAACTCGAATAAAAACATCGGACACGCCAACTGCATTAAATACAAAAACTATAGATGATAAATCAATTGAGGATGGACTAAAAGATACAAGTACATCTGCCTTGAGTACACGAACTCATTTGACGGAGAAAGGAGACGACGACATGGAAGAAAGCACGATGGACAATGTTTACGCAACAACTGACCTCAGTAGAATTAAAATGTCTTCTACTTTGAAAAATTCGATTACGACTACACGAAACGGAAGAGAGCCTAATAGCGATGGGAATACAAATTCTTCTCCGATCTCTTCTCACAGCTCTCTGAGCATTAGTAGTAAGAAAGATTTAGATAATTCTTATTCAACAATATATAGGATAAGTCGGAAAGATTCTACTACTATTTCAGAATTGTTTCACAGCAGGAGTGGAGGCCTTTCAACTATATTTAGTGCGATCATGGGAAAAAAGGGGCGTTCCATTAATACAATTGAGAATTACAATCGAGAAGAAACCAGTACAGCGTTCAAAGATGAAAAAGAACGGGTATATTCGTCGAATTTCGACGTTACCACAGAAACGCCTTTTATAGCTACAACTAATACAGACAAAAAGAGGATAAGTTCACTTGCAACGCTTGAAAATAATGGAATACCGTTTGTAAGTGACAAGAGCGTCTCCAGCAGTGTAACGCCTAACGAAGTGAACGTAAAACGTTCGTATACTGTAACAGACTCGGAGAAAATTAATGAAGAGAAAAACAAGCGTTACTCGACAGAAAAAGGAGATATAACGACGTCTATTACGTCAGATAATGTGAATATAAAGCGGTCTAGCGAGATGATAACAGTAAATGATGTAGAAAAAGACATAAATTCGACCTATATTAACTCTATATTTAACAGGGATAAAGAAGCATATAGTACAACGATTTTTTCTCGTTTAATAACGAAAATCATTCGTAATCGGCCGTTAACAACCAAAGGTCTAACTACTTATCTCTTCGACAAACAAAAACAAACTAGCTATCCAAAAACAGGACAAAAACTAAAAACAAGCAAACATGTATCAAAGCCTATAACCGGGAATTCTCCATTCAAATTAAGTACTCATTTATTAGAGGTAGCAAGTAAGGTGTTTACTCAAAAGCCGTCAAGACTTTACAATAGGCAAGAGACGCCAATAACGACACAAATCCCTGTGTAAGAAACATGCAAGGGTCACCTTTACGACGGTTATAAACATTACAAGGTTTCCTTAAGTGGACTTTGTTTTCCTTCGCTTGTATATCAATATATATACTTGTAAATTCTGTATTATTTTGTATTATTACATATATTCACCAATATGTCTATCGTTTAAGTACATATACTGTATTTGTGTAATGTATATCTTGTTATATGTCTCAATTAATTGTAAAGAATACGATGAACTAAATAAACGCTTTGTTCATATAAATAGTCAACAGGAAAGTTGATTGTACATATTAAGATTGAAGAAATTAGTACACGATGCATTTTAACGCTCGCGTTGAATAAAAGTACTATATGCGAGATATAGAATACTAATATACTCCTATATAATCAATCATCAACGATGCAATGGTACAAAATTGATATTGCCTTCCATTAGCTATATAGAGCAATTTTACCTTGTTACTTATGTACGGTTATTTGAAATATGTTTATATTATTTACGTAATAGTACTAAAGTACATAGATACAGTTATACTGTATTTATATACTATATATCCTTTACCGAGAATATAACATATACTAATATATATATATATATATATATATGTCTACATTACATCTGTTTGTAATTCATTTATTCTGCTAGATTTCCCCCCCGGGTGGGGCTACCTCTTCTTTTTTTATTTTATTTTATTTCTTTTATTTACATTTTTAGGCCTATTTATATCAAAAGCAGATATCACCCGCCAACTGTTAAATCCGCTGATTATAAGCTTATTGCCTACTCTATAAGGTTTCGCTCTTGATTAACTATCGCTTCATTTTTGTGATCGTTTCTCTACACGCTTTCTTTCTTAACCTCCTCGATTACCTTTTTTTTCTGTACTCAATGCCTTTCCCCCCGTTTAACGTATCTTAATTTTTCTGTCCACCCTGTCCTTGCTTCTCTCCTATTTTTTTTATCTCTTTCGCTTTTCAAGTATATTATAACCTTATGATTTTCTTTTATCGGATAGAAGAAGAAGAAATTGTAAAATAAAAGAATGAAAAATTCCCTCTAGCAAAGCGTCTAATAAATAAGATTATAATTTTTTTGCAGTTGCGCTTTTTATTGATTACAGATCGTAGTTACGTGGCGAATGTAATTATTGTTAGTTTTCCCGCATACAGTGAGTTTGTTCATTCGATATATCCGTAACAGACCGTTATTAACTATTAATCAAGTTTATATATATGTATAAATACATATAGACTAATCTATTTTTCTTGCTCACTTTCATTCTTAGCCTGAAAGGATAAGCAATCTTCAGATATATGACTGGTCAACAACAATGTGCTTACGATTTATTGCCTGCAGGAACAACATTCAGCCACAACGAGGTTGAAAAATTAATGAAATGTACAGTTCTTCATATATTTTTCTTCTTTTTTTTCAATGTTATTTACCGTTTATGTACAAACCAATTTTTTTCTATAAATGTACATTTTGTAAAATATATATTCATCTTGGCATTTTTCTTGTTTGTAGACGGGAAAAATTATTTTGGCGTAAACAAGTCGGGGCTGTAGGCCTGTTCTGCATCGACTTATGCAGGTATTTAAAGAGACGAGGCGTCGATCGATATTTAGGAATTCGTAGCGCACGAACGCGAGGGCGTTGAATACCTGCGCGATTGGCTAGTTTCTTCCATAATAGCTTCTAATCCTCGGTCTTCTTGTATCGACATACCTCGCCGACGGCGAGGAGTAATCGGCCTACTCTCCTCCATATGGGGAGGGGGATTGCCAGCGATAGCTCCGACTGCTTCGCCTCTTTCATAAAGAGCTAATTCAGGTAAAGGAAGAGAGAGAGCTCTTTTTCTAAACCCAGTTTCAGCATTCTCTGCTTCGAGAAGTGGTCCCAAAGTTCTCCGAGGGCTAACAACTGCTGTAGGCCGAACTTCTAATGAACGTCTTGCTGCTCGTCTGGCTTTCCGTTCTGTTGTCGTTTCACCTTCACTCTCTTCTGAGCTATCACTATTTCGCCGCAATCTCGTTGGTGAAATAGCGCTTATCCTACCTGGCGCTGATAATCGTCTTCCTCCTGCGCCAAGAATTGGTAATCCTAATAAACGAGTTGAAGTGACTAGTGAGTCAATCATTTGCTCTTCTTCAGCTAGTCGTTTATGAAGAGGTTTCAGATGACGAGGAGACTTTTTCTCCTCTTCTTCATCGTCCGCCTCGACAAGAACGACCGGCGCCTCTTTGCGACCGTCCGTCATATCGCGCACTGCATTGATTGCGGAAACTGTTGCTTTTTAGTCTACACTAGCGACACCTATCTATCGTATATTTCAACTGTATTATGGAAATTAATACTGCACAGATCAAGTGATTGTTTATTCGAATGTCACCCAACTATCCCTACAGTTTTTTTCACTTTGACTATTTCTGGATCTAGGAGGGGGCACTGGTAGATTTTCATATGGCTGAGGTGCTGGAGCTGTATTTGAGAAATTCCAATCAATTTCGTGAACTGCCATTCTTGACTGCGACGACGCTTGCATGTCGGGCGTGATATCAGTGCGTTGTATCGAAGTTGGAGCTGTCTGCAGGCGAATAGTTCTAGGCGAAGGAACAGGGGCGACTAACTGTTGCTGATGTAAAGGAATATCTCTTCTTGGTGAGGGCACTTGATGGGCAGAGTCAGATTTTGCACTTATAACATCTTCCCAGCCCATCATTAAGTTAACGTCGTTGTTAATGAATACCGAGTCCCTACCTGCAGCTTGTGGCAAGCCGTTAGAGAGTGCCTCGTTGAAATCTAGATCAAGAAGATCACCAGCTGATTGAGAATTGGTTTTCTCAACAAGATCTTCGTTGTCAGAGGAATCGGTGTTGACTGATTCCAAAGTTTGTATAATATGATCTAGAGTATTGGAATTGGTTGCCTTTGAAGGGCTTTCATCCACCAAACACTCCACACTGTTATGACGTATTAGTTTAGGATTTCCACACAATTCATTTATTTTCGGGTCCCCAAGTAAAGTATCCTCCTGTAACAGCTGGAACTTTTTTTCAAAATCTGACAATTCCTCCTCATCAAAAGAGTCAACGTCTAATTCCTTATAATTTCGTATTGGTTGCGAGTATTTCCTGCATGAGAGAACACGAAATTTGATATTGTTAATATTAACTTTGGTAAGAAAGACTACTTACGTTGTATCAGCTCGGTTTCTCGGTCTTGGCTTCTGGAGTAAAATATATAACTTTGTTTTACTAAATTTGAAATCTAATAGCATTGTTTGTTAATTAGATAACGGGTTGAATGCGTTTCTAGAGATAAATATTGATTCTGATTGTCGGGTACTCAGGTAAATCTTTCAGATATTATAAAAAGCAAGAAATCAGAGAGAAGCTTAGCAATACTACAGCAAAAATTTATCCTTCTCACCCTTATCGTTGTCAAAGGCTGCCTGAGTGATATTTGTCTCTGTAACCGCGTTCTTTCGCCCTGATTCTTTGTAGTATTGTAACAGAATATTTCATTAAGCAAGAAAGAAGATACATGCTTCAAGACGTAATGTATAAATATTGATAAATAAGTTCTTAGAAGACTAGAAGAATAGTAAACGACTATATATATACATATATGTTTATATATAGTATTACGAGTGGCCCGAAATACATTTTTCCTTTTGTTATTTTCCTATTTCATTACTTACGATTATTATAGAAAAATTATAGGTTGCTATCTGTTAGAAAATTGTTTGCGAAGAATACAGAAGATCAAATCAAATTTTTAAGAGATTAGAAAAATTCCAGCTGTGAGAATAGTTAATAAATATCCTAGTTACCTTAGTCCCGTTTCTTAGTGCTTCAAGAACTCCTTTTCCGGATTGTTTCGCCTGAAAGGAGATAAATATGCGTGAAATTCACTTAGTTGTATAGTTTATTAAATAAGTTAGCACACTTTTAAGGCTAGGAATTCTAATTTTTCTTTCCGCCTTTGGCCGGATATCTGGAAAATTAATCGTTTTTAGCAAATTTTCACAGAAGATAAATCAACTGTGATTCTTACAAGAATGATTACGTAAAAGGCAACTTGCTAAATTGTAAACGTACGTGATAGGGTTCAATTATACATCTTGTTAAGGTAATGTAACGCTCTTGTTAGAGGAAATTAATTTGCTTAAAAATCTTTATCAGGGACGTTCAAGGAAATGACTTTTGTCTTTAGTAAACTAAATGCTAAGTATTTTATTACATTACAATTTTTTCCAGACAAAAATATTCTAATTAGATAGATGTCGTTTACGTTTACTCTTCACTTATTTACTTGAGAAACTAGATATTTTAGAAGAGAGATAAAGAACAAAATTTGAAATTATAAACACGTGCTTAAGCAAATGGTCAAAATAACTAAAATCCCTTAGATATACCTTTAAATTTTCCAGTTTAATTATTTGCCTATTATTGTACTCCATTAGTGCAGTATCAAATTCTCGGTACTTCTCCCTAACCATAGAAAAATCGGCTGTTTGGCCTTGTTCCAAATCTCTACGAAATTGTTCAAACATCTGCTCCAAATATTAGAATTAGATATTTCAAATATTTTTACGCTTTAGCACAAAACCTGAGTTTCCCATAATCTTATTAAACATTTTCTATTTTTAGATGATGAATTTTTTAAAAAAGCATCCTTGTCTAACGTCACGTGATTCTTGTTAGTAACTGCATCTTGGTTATTCTTGAGACCCAAATGATATTTACCTACCACCAACAGAGTGTAAATTATTTATTTTTGTATAGCAATTAACTTTAATGTTAAGCATGTAAGAGTATTAAATCAAATCTTAAGATTATAATTATCAATTACTAATTAATTGGATGATGAACATCATAAAAGCTTTTGCAACATTGTTTCCGTCAGTTTTCGATTGTAATTTATCTTTTAGCTCTTTCACCTGTAGATGTTTATACACATTTGTAAAGAACGTAAGCATAGTAAAATAAACACAACACGAATAGCGTGCTTCTTACTCACAGATTTTGACGGCATTTCATTGACGTCTTCAAAGGATGTCACAACTTGATTTTCGTGATGTTCTTTATCTAAATATACAACGACAGCATCAGATAAGTTCATTTCGGCCTTGTTAGCAAGCTTTGATGAATAAGTTGAAAATTTAAAATAAAATTAAATAAAGTAAAGGTCAAGCTCGAGTATATACTTCAAATGTTTCGTTTGATAAACCAATCATTAAGGGCATTGTAGCCATAGTGTAATCCAATAACGAGGGAGGTAGAATAGGGATGAACATGTGCTGCCTATATTTTTAAAAATATTTTCAAAGATATAATATTTAAAAAAAAATAATACCAACCAAATAAACGGATAAACCAGATTGGAAGCCATCAACATACACGATGTTAATTTACTTAATCGTTTACTGATAAAAAATATGCGCCTCTCGTTGAGCATACTATCAAAAAGAAGTATTTCTTGTTTTTTTTTTTCGCAAATGGAATTTCATTGAAAATTTCTATTCACCTTGCAAATAGACGAATTAAACTGAATGGAGATAAGGAGCATACTAGTTCCCCCAAATTAGTCTACAAAAAATAAATTTCCTTTATAATTTAAAAAAAAATTGCTTTAATAGAAGAGGAAACTTACGTCATCTGGTAATTTAGGTAGACTCCAAACTTGTGGCAGTTTATGGTTAAACTAATGAAGAATAAATTAAATTAAAATCTTTAATGCGAATAATAAAAATACTCTAACAATGTTTAAATCTGGCAGGTCAAAGGTTGTAGGATATTTTGGGAATGAAGGCTTATAATTATACATTTGGTCCAGAGCATTTTCTATCTCAATTTCAGAAGATTTTTCAGCAATCTTGTGAAGAATGCTGGTAAATAACTTAAAATATGGCAGGTATCTAAAGGTTAAAGAGTTACTTTGTGTATTAATTTGAGAGGTGAATAATAAATAAAAATCATACGTTAAAACACATAAAATATATCGAGAGTTCGGAGAATGTCGACAGAAACCGTATCTTTTATATGATTCTGCATCAGTTAGAACAAATACGAATACTTCAATTTCAGAAGGTTTCCTTTAATGTGACATAATACCTCAGAATGTAACAAATCTAGAATTTAAAAACTTACTGCGAATTAGGACAACAAAATTTTGGAAGATTAGCTAGAACATCTCGAACATCATAATTTTTTGGATACTTGTAGCAAAGTGAATTTGTTGAATCTGTATATTAACAAATCAATTAGTAGGTAAACTTAATTATAACTTTTTTTATAGTCATATCACAGCCATATTTTGGCGGAACATTTAATTAATTATAAGTTTATAGAACATGCAATTTACCTGGGCTTTGTTCTCGGTCTATTTTAGCAAATAGATCAAAAAATGTATCCGGATTCGGTCTGGAAAAATAAAGAAATAATGGGCGTAATATGACACGGAAATTTAGATTGTATTTTTTTGAAATATTTCATAAAATACATATAATTTTAAAACACCTAGTAAGACAACACAAAGATTTTACCTTAATCTTAGCGGCATATCTACGGCTTAAAGCAACACTCCAAAAATTAACCTTTAAAATAGATAAACGTTTTAGTAAAATATCATATGTTCTGAAAAATCCACCATGATAATTTTCGTAAATAACTATTTTAGAAATATTTATTCAAATTTCTTTTAAAATTAATAATAGGTATGGAAATATTTCGTTCGAAAACATTCTTAAAAATACTACTTCCGGTTTGAGAATACCATAAACATGAATGAAATTATACATTCGGATTTGGTATTTTTTTCTCATTTCATATTTTAAGTAAAATACCGTTTAATAATCTCGAATATTTTATGAAGATGATTTAAAATAAAACCATTTGTTGTTTCTGGTGCTTTTTGTTTTATATGTCAAAGTGGTATTTTCGAAGAAATGGGTTAATTTAAAAACCGAAATTACCGGAGGATTAGCATATCGTTATGAATGCCGATCTCGCAGCTGATAACATTTCATTTTATGGTTTATTCAATTCTGACGCCTATGATACTCTAATTAAGCACGTTGAAGAGGAATTGAAGGAAAATGCTAGACAGTGAGTTATATTATAAAATTATTCCACATTGTAATTTAAAAGATGTAAACAAAACATATACATGGTTTATATGTTTCAGATTGGAAGCTTGTGTGTCGGAAGTGACTGATTTATGTTTAGAATTCCCCGAGAAGAAAGAAGATGAAGAGAATCCGGTTGAAGCCCTAAAATTTGTCCGCCAGAATCGAATATTAGATTCTCTGAGTTGCTTTGATTTAGATGCCGATCAATTAACTTGTACCTTATCTGATATAATTCAGAACAGCGAGAGAAATGAAAAGCAACTCGCATTAGATATTTTATACACATTCGAAAAAGAAGGTATTGTTTATCCTAAACCGGGAGCTGACTTAAGCGAATCCAGGTTAAATGTCGTAGACGATGCTGGTGACAGAGCAACTCAGGATACATGGAATGTTCTCATATCGAAACTCAAGCGTTCTCTTTTGCACGATGCTACGCCAGAATCTATATCTTTGGCGTCAGCTTTTTCTTGTCCTCAATCTTTATGGACCTCATACAGTGTTTTACGAATGCAGTATTTACAAAACCTCTTCCGATCATCACCTACCTCTACTTTTACAGAATATATCGATTCAGTGGTCCAAAAGTTGAAGATTTATACATCTTGTGCCATATCAGATTTGGAAAGTGTAGCATGTGGAGCCCTTAGCCCACCACCCAACGCCTTGAATGTTCTTTATGAAGATGTTTTATTTGATTTGTGCCATTCTATATCAAACATGCTGCAACCAACTGAGTGCAATGGCCGACTATCATCAACTCCAGACGCTGTTAGAAAGTCCAGGAGCGAAGCTACTTTCAAAAAACCACCCTTATCTAGACTTCGGCAGCAGAGTAGTTCTGTAGAAAACCTTAACACAAACCATGTCCTAAGCACAGAGCAATTACTCGACTTATGTAGATTTATAGACGCTGCATCCGATGCTCTTCGGGAAATAGAAGAGATGAATTACTGTTTACTTTCCTCTCTACCTCGTTCTCGCACTAGATCTGTAAAATCAGCTTTAAAGCCAGTTACAAACAAAGAAGATATACCCGAAACTCGAAAAATCTGGGTGTCGTACTTGGACAAGCACTCTCAGGCCGTTATTGCTACTATTCAAATATACTTGAAAGAAAATGTCCAAAATATAAAATTCTGCGAAGAGTTTCATGTTTTACCGGGAAGAAGCCCAAAAATAATTGACAAGCAAATACTGAGAATATGGAACAATATAAATAGAATTGTTCCAGTGTCAAAAGAAAGCTCTACAGTAGTTCAGAATGCTTTTACCGATTATTGTTCTCATTCGTTGAAGAATCTAATGAAACAGTTTTACGCATTTTTGGAAATCATTGCTAGTGGAGATAGGTCTAATGAAGATTATTTTCACGTACTGGCCTCTACTATATACCTAGCCGAAAAAACAAGAAAGATAAGTGCGAAATCCGACTTCGGCCAACTTGTGGGAGCTGTTATCGACCAAATAGTTTCCTCTCAAATGTCAGTCATCTCATCTAGCGTTCTTCAAGACGCTGATAGTCAATTTTGGAAAAGCAGTCAAGCATTTTATGAAGATGAAAGATGTTCTTTTTCAGTTCAAGCTTGGCATAACAGGATGTTTTACATACGGCATCACCTGGCAAAAATTGGTGTACCAGCCACAGAGAGTCGTAAAGTATTGTCAAGAATTCTAAAAGAGTCGCTAGATATCTTAGTAGATCGTTATATAATGGCGGAACCATCGTACAAAAAGACGCCTTTAATTCTAAAAGATATTCTATCAACTCTTCTTTTCGCTTCCGACCACTTGTTGGCGGCTTCCTCAAATATTGGCGACTATCTAGACGCTGTGGAATCAAATGTCTACAGATGGATCCATACAAATTGTAGTTCTCTGCTGGCAACGATGGCAATAGTTTCTTCTCCACTAAAAACATTGTACCGCACTTTTAAAAGAGGTTATGCAAAGAAAAAAACAAATGCTTGCGAAGATGAATTATTTCTTAAGGCCTATCCATCTCATTGGCTGTCTTGGATTAGACCAAGTTTAATTCCGTTTGGCTTTTCTTCTATGTTCGAATTGCAGACTTTTTCCGCAATTTATTTACAAGTTGAATTGCTATCTTCTCAGACTGAGCCTCGGTTAGACTTACTTTTGGAAGCTTTAACGCTAAAGCATTATACATTGAGTATACTACTGCTGAAGAATGTAACTGACGAAAAATATTTTACTTCGGTTCTCTTCTTACTAGTTCATACCTTTCCTGATGCTTTAAAATCTTGTTTAATTCCACTAATTGACTCGGCTGACGAATGGTCTGTTTTGGACGGCCATTCTACGCCGACAATATGGCTCAAATCTCTCATTACTCTTCTGGAACCATTGTTTAAGCGACCAAGTAGAGTAGCCAAAAAGTTCTTAGAACGCACAATACCCCATTCCATATTTAAAGATGACTTGTTGGCATGTGGCTGTCAACCCTCACTAGAAGACGATTCTACGGAATTTGATTCATTTTCGGAAGCATTAACGTATTTAATCCGGTCTTTTGTTGACTTGAGCGCAAGTTTACCCCCTGCACTGGCTTCTTTCATCACAGCAGCCGATTCAAAAACAGATAATGCTCCAAGAAAGAGCGTTGCTTGTTTATTGTTTGCAGCAGCAGCTAGAAACACCTTACAAAGGATGGAGAGTACTACATTGGCCCAAGCAATTTTTAGTGTGCTTGTCTTCGAGAAACCTTCAAATAAAATAGCCGCAGAGTTTGTTAAAAAGAATGAAAAATTCGTGGAAGCATGTGTTAAGAAGATCATTAAAAATACGGAAAGAACAGAATGTGGAGAAATAGAAGATGTTGACAAATATCTATCTCAAGAAAGTGAATTAGTATTTTCAACAATATCTGATTGTGTCCTGGAAAAGATAGACGGAAAGAACGCTTTTAATAATGTATATCAATTAGTGACGCAAAATAAGTGTTGGGTAGGCAGCGAGCTCAAAGTTTCTCTCTTCTTCGGCGTTCAATCAGCTGACGTTGAATTTCAAATGCCGGTCGACGTTATTGATGAGCCATTTAATCCCATTCAAGAGTCAACGCACGTTCATGGCGTTCGATTTGAACATAAATTTGTAGAGGAATATCAGCTCGATTGGGAGCGGCTACTACAAAATGATTTGGGACTATCGGAGGCAAATGTTCGGCTATTAATAAGTAAGCGAATTGAGTTCAGGGATAATAACGGATTAAGTGATGACGAATTAAAATACGTCAAAACCCTCAAACAGGTTTTCGCCATTCCTTGACTGTGTTGTCTCAGTAGTTGGAATAAATTACTTACAGAATTAGAAATTTGCTATTTATTTATTTTACATAAAGAATAACGATTATAGAAAATCTTTGAGTAGAGACTTCATCATTAAAAAAAGTCTTAACCTTATATCATGCCTCTCCATTTATGAAACAAATTACAGCAACCTTTAATCAGTACATTTAATCATCCTTAAATTTATTCTGTTTCTTTTCTTGCTGTCCCAGCGCTCTGTAGATTTTCTTTTTAACTTCTTTCGTTTTCTTTAGCTTTCGTTCTTCAATTTTCTCCAGCTGTTTCTTGTGAGATGTTACTCTTTCTTTCATTTGTGCTTTTCTTTTCTCTAGTTTGGCATCGTGTATTGCTTTCAGCTGTGTCATTAATTTGGACACCTTTCTCTCACGAGCTTCCCTTACAACAGCGACTCTCTTCGTTGCAACCCTATCTTTAACCTTCTTTTCCGTTTTCGGTTTGTCCTTAAACGGAAGATTTTTCTGCAGAGCCTTGGGGATAACAACCGGTTTCTGAACTCGTTCTCTTCTATGGATAGGCTGAAAGGATAATTTTTTTTACTTAAAACCTTGAAGAGAAAATATATTAGGTAGTAAAGACAAACTTTATATAAACTGTCTTCATTAGGGGTTCCTTGTATTCTTCTTTCCCGTTTGAGCTCACCGACCGTCTTCATGCCTCTCCATTGATTTCTTTCTTCAGAAGACAATAACAAAGTAGTAACGGGATTGTAGAAATGAGGAGGCTCGACGGGAAACCAAGAACGAACAAAGACAATATCTGTTAAAGAATTATATGAAAGGTGAACTAAGAGACAATAGTTCTTTAGTGCCTACCGCTAAGTTTAATTTGATCTTCAAATGTTGCACGAAAGGCTCCTGCTGGTGTATTAACAGCTTTTTTAATTTGACCTCTTAAACCACTCACGCTCCTCAAAGCCGCTCCTTCAAATTTCGCTACCTCCAAACTAGAATTGAACATTCCCTCAATAAATGCAGTCTTTTTATAAACTTTAAAGGGGGTTCCAGTTAATTTCAATTTCTTAACTATACTCATGGATTTATCTAATTCAGAAACCGTGCCCGTTGCTGCTATTCTAAAATCAGCCTGTTAATTAATCAAAGTAAATTAATTATTGTCAAGCACATCAAAAGAGATAAAAATATTTACTTTTCTCTCAGATATTGATTGTACAGCTAGTAAGCCTGTGCCTTGTGGTGTAACGGGTCCTTTAAGAATGAGTAAACACGTAATTTTACAAGATTGTTTTACATTGACATTTGATATTTACCCCAGAATGAGGCGTGACAATGAAGATGTTCGGGTGTATATTTCAACAGTCTATTTCTCATGTTATGATCTTGAAGAGTGTATAAAGGTATAGTTTGAAATCTACGCCAGCCTAAAGAAATAATGAGGGGATCCCTAGTTTTTAATATTTTCTTATACCACCTATGCTTTTTCAATCTAACCTATTTAGTGATAAAGATTAATCTGTGATTACAAATGCTCAAATAAAATTGCAAAAACGTACTTGTACAAAACCTATATTTTGTTCCATACTTAGTAAACCTCCAACAATTACTGGATAAGATGGATCAAAATTATTGACAAATTCGCAAGGTAAACCGTCAATTTGAGCCCGCACGTATAATCCCGGTCTGAAACCCTCATATTCCGTCCTTTCATGTTCAGGAAGGTTTTCAAATTCGGTTCTATTAAGCTGAGCCTGTTGCTCTAATTCACTTTTTAAATCGTCAAAAAAAGTGCCTTTTTCTGATCCCTGAGCGGCGTCGTACTCAGCATCAAAAAGTTCTTTCATCCGTCTTTTTTTAGCTTCCCTTTTTTCTTGAACCTTTTTAGCTCTTGCTTCAGCTGGTGTTATAGCAACAGCTGAAAAATATTTAAATTCTTATCATTTGTGCAAATTATTCAAAGAACTGCCAACATACTTTCTTCCTCTTCCTTTTCTTCTTTGTCATTAGTGTCACTACCTTCCTTTTCATCTTCCTCTGAATCTTCACTTTCGCTATGTTTGCGCTTTTTACCACCGGAGAATCTCTCTCCAGTTTCTAAATCTTCAAAATCTCCATATTCTGAGTCTAAAAAGAAATATATTTCACGCTTAATGCTTCATTAAATATTAGTTCAATTAATCACTACCGTCATCATCATCGTCATCGTCTTGCAGGAGCTTTTCGGCATCTTCATTGTCCGCCCACTTACCGGTTACGAAACAATCACGAATGCTATCTTTTAGCTAAGGAATAATGTAACTGTAAAGCAAGAAAGGGAAAATGAAATCAAAACCTCTTCGAATTTCATTATAGAAATATCAGAATTGAAAAATTTTGATGATTCTCGGCCATTTATGTCTGTAGCATTTAAATCTGATGGCGCTGTATTAATTTTCCTTGTAACTGTAAATAAGTCCCCAACTTCTTCCTTTTCTTTGAGAACTTCGTAATTTTCTAAATAAGAAAATATATATTTACATTTTTTTATATATTGTTCAATTTAGAACTTACGGTTTCCATAAACAATGTCTTTTAAATTATCTGTAATATTTCTTCTCTTTAAGAATGATGCAGCTGCTTTCTCCTTCAAATTTTCTTTCCATTTTAAGTGACCTTCAGAAGGACTAATTATAAATAATTAATGAAAATTTTTTTCTACTTTACCTAATTCCTCTGAAGATTCTGAGAATTAAATGATTTCTTAGTGTTTGTTCAACAATCATAAATATTTAAAGAGTGTAATATTTACCATCATTATCAGTAGAATTCTCATTTTCTGAATCGCTCATAATTTGGTCATTATCATCGTCCTCAGTGTCATTACTTGATTCATCGTTTTCTGAATTACTCATTAATTGGTCGTCTTCTTCATCACTATCATTGTCATCATCATCTTCATCGTCATCACTAATTTTGTTCTCTTTCTTTCCCTTCTTTATCATTTTTGTCCCATTAATTCCGGTTGTCTTCTTACTCTCTCTGGAATATTCATCACTGAAAATAATGAAATCATATATTTGTTTTTTCTGTGAAATGAGTTCGAAATGTACATTAAAGAAGCGGAATTTATAGGTTCCGATTCGCGAAACATTTGAAGTCCAGTTTGCTCCATTTTTTCCTTCAATGTAAACTGAGTTTTAGCCAATTGCTCCATCAATTCGTTTTTTGGCTTACTGTCAGCTTCCTTTTTATGTGAATGACTTCCACCCAGTTCAATGTAAACAGCATCTTTATCATAGACGATTCCTCCCACTCCAGCCATAGGAGCATATATCAAACGCTCCTTCTGATCAAGGCTGCGTTTCTTTTCTTGCTCGGGCAGAGGACAAGGATCGTGAAGGAAGGTTAAATCAGATATTGAAAAATCTCCGCAACCTATAGGTTTTCAACAATTAAAGCTATCTTTTTTAGAGATGATATTAGAAAATATAATAAATATACCTGGAATATGGGCAAAACTATTCTTTTTTAAATGGGTGCCTCTAACATATCCATATAAGCATACTGTTCTATCAATTTTCTCATCTTTTCTAGTTTTTTCCGGATCAGTAATATCTTCCATTCTATTAATAAGCAAAACATTGTATCCCGATTTTACTATAGACAGTATATATATATATATAGATTAATGTTATCAATACCTATCGACCAAAATATATGGATGATTTGACCGCCATTGCAGTGGTCTAAATTTCATAACTGATATAAATCTTCCCAAGTTATGAACTTCCGTTTTAGGGTATTCACCATTAACAACACCTGACAAATAAAACAATTTGGCACCCTAGAAAATCAAAAACATTTGTTTAAGGTAAATTTTCTCATTTTCAATAAGTGATTAAATATATTTACTTGATAAACTTCTGTCCAAAATCTATTCTTTAGCCTTTTCTTTGTTTTTTTTAGCTGTTTATTTTCTTTAAAGTGATCTAAATGCGTTAATACTCCCATAATTTTAGGAAAACCATGAATTTGACATATATTAAGAAATTCAAAAACTTCCATTTCAAATCCAAAACTAGCATCGATTAAAAGTAATGCCTAAAAAGAGAAATTGAAATTAAGCTATAAAACAACTCTTACATTTATAGTACCAACCAAATCACAAATTTTAGCTAGATCTATCATAGAATTTATGTCATTATTACATTCTACGAACGTAATTCTCTTCTTCTTTCCTATTAAAGATGTAATTGTTATAATGAGAAAAAACAGCCTGATATCAGTTTACCTGATACAATAGTAATTGGACCATCTACAGTTGCCAAGTTTTGTCTCACAAAGTTTTTTATTAGGGAGTGTATAAGGGTTGTTTTTCCAACTTTTGGAGGGCCAACAACTGCTACTAAAATAGGAGGTGGTTCTACAGGAGTTCGATCAACAACAGGAATATGATGCTTTTTTTCTCTTACATCTAGGGTTCTGTAAATTAAAATTTTAGAACAAGACATGTGATATTTAATTAATATACAAGATACCTTCTCACGGCCCTTGACACTTTGTTAATGGACTGATAAGAGAACGCTTTGGGATTTCGTTTTTCTGCAGAAACGGAATCATCCTTTGCTTCTTTAGACTTTTTTTTATCTGAACCCATTATCCTGAAAATATTTGTGTAAAACATCTAAGATATACAAAAATCTTTAACTTTTTGCTAAATATTACAATATTATTTGTACTCTATGTTATTTATCATACCCTAAAAATCTGCCGACATATAAATAATAATGTAATATAAACTCAAAATAGAGTATTTTGAATGTGTACGTACGATTTTTAAAAACATGCTGCTTTTGTATATTCGCTGAAGTGAGCGATAATAAAAAAAATATAATTTTGAGCTTAAAGATAGTAAATAAGAAGTATAATCAGGATCATTACTAAAAATTGTAGTTTCAGAAACTATTTTAACCTCAATTTGGAAAATTTCTTTTATTTTGTGGACATTTAAAAGAAAATAAACTTACGAAACACAGAAATCACATTTCTTGGTAGGATTCAATATTACCAATAAATTATCTCGAATGCTTCAAACCAATTCGAAAAACATTGCCTCGAGAATTTTAACGATAAACTCTGCTCTCTATTTAAAAGAGATAAGTACGATTTTCGTTCTACAGCAACTATAGAACATTTAATCAGAATCAGTATAGATTTTAATTATTGATGTTATTAAAAAGAATTTCTCCAAAACTTGTATAAAACACTCAAAATTGAGCGATAAAGGAAGAAGTTAATTTGAAAATATTTGGGCAATGAAATGAAAATATGAGTGATATTCAAAGCTGTTCAGAAGTTGCTACAACGACGAGGACGCTGGAAACTGCCGAAGCCCAGTTTGTGAACATTGGTGAATTTGCAGATGCTTGTAAATCAGATTATTTAGATTTAGCGTCAGGAGAGAATTACACTTCAGAAGAAGATAGAGACAATCTTCTAAATGTTGATGGAATATGCGGAGATACACTAAAGGAAATGGAAGAATTATTCGAGTGAGCTAATCTAATTTTTATAAGGATTCCTCTTAATTTCCTACTTTTTGTGCCTTATAGCATAGGAAATCTGTTTGGAAGTACTGGTAAAAAATTAACGTCACAAGAAGCGATGAAGGAAGCGGTAGCCGATAATTTGGAATGCTCTCAGTAATCACTTAAAGCATTTTTTTAATAGAAAAGTTAGAAATAATGTATAATATTTTCTATTTTCTTTTAAGACAATTTACAGCATCATCAAAGAATATGGAGAAAATATCAATATTAATGCGTAATTTTAGTGAAAACCCTGAAGCGGTAAAATCTTATTTATTTCGATGTTAAGTTAAAATATGCTTTATCTACATTATTAAAAAATAACTAACAGGAGCACGAAATGAAAAGGATTCATTTTAAAGAATTACCAAGAGATGTAGAAGTAAATGGAACGATTGTTACTATTCAAGTATATTTTCCGTGTAAAAATACAAGTGCTAAGGTAATTTCAAATATAAATTCTATTCAATTTAATTTTTTTGATTATTTTATAGCATAGACAGACATATTTCTGCTTTGGAAAGCAAGAAACATCGTTGTTAAATTGCGAAGTAGATATGCTTTCTTCTCAAACTCTAGCCGATTTGTGCGATACAATTCGCTGCATAAATGATACATGCTTCCTACCAGTTTCTGACGTTTATTTACCCAGCAAGGTTTTCTTTTTAATGTCAATAATAATATTCTGTTTTTAAATAACCAGCTTAAAAGTGATATAAAAGAATTGAATCTTTGTTTTATTATTAGAAAGTCGTTCCCGGAAGAATGTTCTTTATTAATGGTGTCTTCTACGATGATACGAGAAAAGCCAACGCAGAAATATATAGCAAGTAAATATTATAAAGAACATAAATGATATTTTTTGGTATATTACATCTCTATATTATTTTTAATTTATCAAGGGAAATAATTAAATGGCTGAATAAGAAACCTCGAAATTTTAAAATGACTAAAGCAAGATCTATGGACAGTACCAAACTAGCTGATTTAAGAGTGCAATTGAACACACCTTATTTATATCTACATCAGGGAAATTGTGAACATATAATATCATTTAAAAATCTGCGACGCTTGCATCCGAAGGATTGTCACATTATGAGAGCTTATCCTTTAGTTACTTATTTTAACCGTAGAGAGACAGTTCGATGTCTCGTTTGTATCAAACCAGCTTATTGGCAAGTTTCAAATAGTAAACGGTGTATGCAGAATCCAACTAATTTATGTATGACTTGTCATAAATGCTTGCATTTTGATGAAAACGGTAAGCCCGTTTGTGAATTTAATGCAATATTTATCGATGACTTTAGAATGTAATATTCATTGTTATATTTTCGATATCCATTTTGAAAAAAAAATCAATGCATTGATGGTGAATAAAAAAGTTTTACTTTCATTTTCCTTTTTTCCCTATTATTGGATTACAAAATGATGGAGCTACTGTTGGAAGGGTAAAATAGACTCCTATACAAGCTGCAACTTGATAAGTCCATAAAATATTTTGAGGAATAGCTGTTTTTTGAATGGATGATATGAAGCATAACTTAATTTTAATAGTAGGAGAATTGGATTCCATTGTTCCAATCATTTTTATGTATTGACCTGCAAGAGAAAATCGATGTTTAATTTAAAGAACATTGAACGCCTTCAATACCTTGTTTAAATTTATCTTTTTCAAAGGCAGCTTTTGAGATTAATCCTGTAATTAAACCGTATCCATCGTCTATACTGATAATAGCTTGTTCATCAGTAAAGCTGATCTAAAATTTTAATTATCATATACTGTATAAATCACCTTTGCTAAAATCCTAAGGTGTTTTTTAATACTTACTGATACTATGTTTCCTTGAATCCATATATTTTGGAATGCAGTTTCACATTTTCCAGGCATTTTCCATAGTCGGATTGTCTCATTATTCGATTCAAGTTGTCTATACATTACTGCTTTCTTTAAATTTGTACTAAAATCTTTCCTCGCACTGAGATGGAAGTCGCCAAATAAATCAGAGTCTACTTCGGGCACTTTTAAGCGCTTTTGTTCTTCTTCTTCTTTCTTATTTTTCAATTTTCTTTTAAGCATATTTTCAGAGGGAGTACTCGGTCTGGGTTTTCCATCAGGATAGTATTGCAGCCATAAATCATTTTCTTCATAACTTCCAAGAAGGGGTTGATTGTATGAACCCTAAAACGAAATAAAAGGACTAATCAAAAATATACAAATTAAATGAATATTTGTATCTTCTTTTCCTCAGGTTTTCGTGTAATTTTTTCCGGGAAATAGTTAAAAGAAATTTAATAGAATAACATACAGAATTTTGATTTAGCCATTCGCTAAATGTCTTATTCATCTTTAGGAATTATATTATATGTTTAGTGATAAAAAATTTTCTATAATGAAATACAACTACAGATGGCGATAGTAGCCAAAAAAAGAATTTTAGTGCACTTAACTGCATTTAATTGGATATTAGTACAAATGCACCAATAGATATTTTCAATATGGTACAATTTATTCTCTTTTGAGTAAGAAAGATCTTCTTTATCCATTAACAAAATTTTATAATGTAGTTCTAGATATTTAGTAAATCTGGTAACAATGGGAATTTTGTCTTTCCTTATTGACACATATATGAACAATTTAAATTTTATATATAACGTTACGTTTGAAATTTTTTCAAAATGGGGTTTTTCTTCAAAAGCTTATCTATCGCATACACAATTTTGAAAGATATTGATTAAACTTTAAATAAGAAGGATTTCCTTCAAAATAGCAATGGATTAGTTTTAAAATGTCGAATAGTTTCTATTATGATAATGAATATGAATTTCCTCAAGTTAAATCAACTAAAGGATGGATGAAGAAAGAAGATTCCGACTCTACATTAACTGTCTTAGCAGTTTTATCAATATTAATATTTTTAGGAGTTTTATTAGTCTTTATCTTCTGTGGTAAAAAAAAAGGTTGGTTTTGTCGTACTGAAAAGAAGACAGATATTGTAAGTGGACCATCCTCGGACGCGTCCCTTAATACTTCTACTGGAAAACAATCAATTCAAAGCGACCTACAACCTAAAAAGGTAAGTTTTGTTGAGTTAATAATTTATATATATTCATATAGTTGAGCATTACAATCAATTACAATTAAACGTGCTGAATTATTTATAATTTATTAGAGTATTGATGAGGATGCTGACCAAAAGACTAAAAAGAATACATTACTTAATAAAACTGTGTCAGAGACTGGTAAGAAAGCATCTATGGATCAAGCATGGAGTCAAAGTTTAATGAATATGACAAATGCTCTACAAAATCAAATGAGTTTCCAAAATGTTCCTCAACAAAGCTTCCCAGTTGACGCTTATGGTCCACAACACATTATGCAACTTCAATTATTACTTAATCAACAAAAAGCCCTACAAAATAAAAAATTGTCAATTATCGACGACCGAGAACGTAGAAAAGACTCTGTTTCTCGCAGTAGTAATCCAGCAGATGATGAAGATAGATCAAAGGGTGGGAGGGTTTATAAAGGGACAAGAAAAGGCGGTAAATTAAAAATAGCAGAAGAACCAGAAGTAGCTCATTTTGAGAAAGATGAAGACAATCATCAAGAAATAGGAATTTAATGTAAGATAATTGTATTAACCTACGGTTATTATATCCCTATATATTGATAAATTTTTTACGTTTTAGAGTTTTTCTATATTCTATTACTTTTTATTTATATGCTTTTCTTTTAGCTCTGATCCAATATTTATCTATTTTTTTGTCACATTTCAAGTATACAATATGCACTATTGATAAATTGTAAATTGACATCTACTTTAGATGTATAATATCAGAAATGAATTATTAAAACAAAACTACTAAGTATGGACCGCACTATTATTTTAGTAGCTGATGATGAAATCATAGTGTTCAAAAACTAGCGTATTTATTCTTAAAGCTTTTATTTTGTGTTTCATCGTATTCATTCTATAGTAGTTAATAATATCCAAAAGCATACTTTTCGACAGAAATATATACTTTAGTATACTGTATACAGATATTAAAGGAAAAACAAAAAGAATAATTTTTAGAGAAGGAATTAGAGTAAATATATTCTAGGTTTATTTTCCAGAATTTAGTTGTTGTAGTTGTTTCTTTACTAGTTTCGTATATTCATCCATTCCCCCTCCTATTATCTTTACGTGACCATCGGCTACCAACCACAGTTCTTTACAAACTCTTTTTACTAATTTCTGATCGTGAGTTACCAAGATCACCGCACCAGCAAAATTATCGATTGCTGTTGAAAGTGCATCAATAGTATCCATATCTAAATGATTGGTAGGTTCGTCCAATACAAGAAAATTGGGACTGCTTAAAGTCATCATGGCAAAAGCCACCCTGGACTTTTGACCTCCAGAAAGTTTCCTAACAGTTCTTAGTGCCATATCTCCACTGACACCAAATCCTCCTAATTTGCTCCTAAAAATAAAATAATTAGTTTGTAAAAAGTTTTTTATGTCAAAATATCATTTACCTGTAAAATTCAACAGGTTTTCCAGGTAGTGCACTTTGTAACACTTCAACGGGATTCTTATCCAAATCTAACCTATCTATATGATGTTGGGCGAAATAAGCAAATCTACAATGCCTATGTGCCTTTCTTTCGCCACCAGTAGGAGTTAATTCATTTAACAATAGCTTTATAAGTGTAGACTTTCCTGCTCCGTTATCTCCAACAATACAAACCCTAGCATCAGGGCTGGCATTAATAGAAACATCTCGCAAAATCACTCTATCGCTATTGTCATATTTAAATTTAACTTCATCTAATTGAACTGCTGCACCTCCAGATGGCGGATCACAATCAGGAAATTTAAAAATTACTGGAGGGTCCGGTTCTACAGGAATTAATTTTGGTAACTTTTCCAGATGTTTAATTTTACTTTGAACTTGAGAGGCTCTATTTGCATTATACCTAAATCGATCTATAAATACCTGCAACAAATTAGAGTAATAAGAATTTGGAGAAGTCCGAACGTAGAATCATAAAGTATAAATTTTATAGTTCAGTGATCAAAGAAATTTTCATTACAGCATTTTTTGTCTTAACCGCTTTAGAAACTAATTTAGTATTTTTGCTGAATATGTCAAATTTCTTACTACAATGAAAACTATTCTCTTCTCTAATGTAGATTTTGAGGAATAGTTTTAAATTTCTTCCCATGGCTTTAATAACTTTTTGAATAGTACCCAGGGAAATCAGAATTTATCGCTTATTTTAGTATTTTCAATTTGTTTATCTCTCTTTTAATGAGTTTTATCTTTACTTAAAAGTGAGTTTGATCTATCAATATTTTCTGAACATCCAATAGTTCCAATATTTCTCGATAGAGAAGTAACCTTTTTTCATATGTATTCTACACTCGATTTTATTTAAAGTCCATAGTATCACCTTTAAATTTTTTAACAGTGCTGAATTATTAATAATATCTATATTTGTCCTATTCATAGTTTTAGCAAACTACTCAGAATCATGTTTAATAAATAATATGTAATTGACATACTTAGGATAAGTAAAAAAATGAAAATAATTTCGAACCCAACCAAGAAAGAGGATATTATGGATTATTCTCGAAAGTGATCTTGAGAAAAGAACACAAGATATGAAAATTTCCTCGATTCTTGATATATTTACTTGTTTATAAATTATTTATATACTTGTATATTAAAATAGTTTCATATTTTACCTGAATATGTTGTCTATACTCAAGCTGAGCTTCATATTCTTTTTTCTGATTCTTTTCTCTTTCTTCTCGTGTTTTTTCGAACACTTCATAATCACCCCGATAATGAATTAATTGCCTTCTAATCATGTGTAGAGTGTCAGTGCATACATTTGTTAAGAAGGCACGATCGTGAGACACTAAGAATACAGTTGATTTCCACGAATGCAAGTAATCCTCCAACCAAGCTATTGTTTTCATATCCAACATGTTTGTAGGTTCGTCAAGAAGTAACAGATCAGGTTGAGAGAATAGAGATCTTGCAAGAGCCAATCTCATTCTCCATCCACCAGAAAATTCACTTGTCTTTCTTTGTTGGGCTTCATTATCAAATCCTAAACAAAAAAATCAAATCAGATTGGTATTGAAACTATTTGTATGAAGTAGAATATTAAATAATATACCTAAACCACAAAGGATTGCTGCAGCTCTAGCTGGTGCAGAGTCAGCGTCGATAGAAGCCATTTCAGCATAAACAGCTTGTAATTTTTCACTGCTGGAACCGTCTTTTAATAGTTCTTGTTCCATTGCTATTAAATTGTTTCTCCTTTCATCACTCTCTAAAACACTCTGTAAAACAGGTGTATCATCGGCCTTTACTTCTTGCTCAACATGTAATATTCTGATAATATTAGGAATTTTCAATCCTCCTGAAGCAATCATTCTTAACAGAGTTGTTTTTCCAACTCCATTACGGCCAACAAGACCATAAATTCTTCCTCTTGACAGAGTTAAGTTAGCATTTTGGAGTAGTGTTTTTTCTCCATAGGAAACATCGAAATCTTCTAATCTAATATCAGAGTTAGCATCGAGTTTAGCAACCTTTCGGTCGGTTTGCTGACTAACAGTGGCCAGTACTTCTTCAGCCTCTTCTTTTGGCTTAACTATCTATAGTTTTAAAAAGAATTAACGACATATAAATATATTAATTATTATTTATATTTGAACCTTGTTTTCCTTCTTTTCACTTTTAGCCTTAAGTTTCTCTTCAGCTTTTCTTAGCTTCTTTTCATCAACAGTTCTCATTTTATAAATTTCAGGCTGGTGTAACATCTGCTTAGGTGCTTCAAGAATAGTTTCATTCATAATTAAAGGGTTTTCAAGTGGCTTTAAATCAAACGTTTCTTGCTTTTCGCCAGTTTTCATTAATTTTAACAAATCATCACATAATTTTTTGATATTATCCGTTTCATTTCGAAAAGCTGGTCCACGAAAGAATTGAATAATATCATTATATAGCTCTTCGGCATTGTCATAATCATTTGCTCCTCCATCCGAGAGCATAGCTGCAGAAAAGACGATAATAAGGGGTTATGCAACATGTTGTGCAATAACAATCTAACTAAACAGTATATTTTAATTTTTAAAAAAAAAATTTCCTTATTATACAAAGTATTGAAAAATTTAACTAACAATTAATATAATTAGCTACTGATGTAGAAGTATTAGGGAAAATTTTTTTGACAATGTCCACGCAGGAAGCCGCCATGGCTTTTCAACAGCGAAATATTCCAAATTCTACTCGCAAGTTACAACTGGTAAAAAATATTGATTTTTTTTTTATTTCTTTTAATAGTTTGAGGGACATTTAAATTAAATATTGATATAAAATTCAAAATTCCTATCTTAAATATTCTTTAAAAATACTCTCTTAAATTATTGCAGAATAATTTGCAGTGTGTTTTCATAAACACATCCTTTTTTAGGGAACTAATATTCTAAGTTAGTGCCATCTTTTTATTCTTTATCATATTTGTTCCTTATTAGTATAATCTTCTTGTAAATTATATATTGTATAGAATTAAACTCTTGGAATTGTTTTTGAAAGTAAATCCAAGTTCTTTTCTCATTCAACCGAGTTCACAGGTTTTTTCAATACGGTCTTACATATGGGCTTGGTAGCTAATGCATAATAAATTCTTTCTGAACTATTATCATAGCAGTAAACGAGTTTAATCCTAAAAAATTATGCAATTTTAGGCTAAATTGCATGACTTTCAACAGCGCCATCTCGGGCACCTTATTCAAGGTCATTTTACTAAATTACTCTTTCTAGAAATTCCAGGAGCCTTGTAAAAATGGTAAGTTCACGGTGTTAAAGCATAAATTTAACGTCCCAGATAAGCTTGCCTTTTCTACAAATTCTATCTTTATAATATATACCAGTTTTGTGTGTTATTATCTGAAGAGCTGTAACATTTTTTTCGATTATAATTGGTTTATCTAAAAATAAACGCTTATCAAGATTTTTCTTGTTAAACAGGCTCCACGATGTCAACATCTTTAATTCTTTCTAGGAGATTTTCAACTGAAATTAGAAAAATGTCGAAAGTATTAACCTTGGAAACCATTAATCCTCATGTGAGGAAAATGGAGTACGCAGTTCGAGGACCTATCGTTCAACGGGCTGGTGAAATTGAAAAAGAACTTAAAAACGGTGTTAAAAAGCCGTTTAAGGAGGTTATCAGAGCAAACATAGGAGACTGCCACGCAGTAGGTCAAAAACCCATCACCTATCTTAGACAGGTAGTTGGTTGTTGCGTGTACCCTCCCCTTCTTGAGGATGCAAATTTACCATCAGATGTGAAAGATCATGCCAAATACATTTTAGGAGGATGTTCGGGAGGTAGTTCTGGATCATATACGCACAGTGCAGGTATTGAATTAATTCGTAAAGACGTTGCGGCTTACATTTCAAAGAGAGATGGCTTTGCTTGCGACTATAATCATGTATTTTTGTCTACTGGAGCATCTGATGCTATTAAGATAGTGCTAAAATTATTGATGACAAGTGACCCAGCTAATCCTGCGGGAGTTATGATACCTATACCTCAGTATCCACTCTACTCTGCAACAAATGCTGAGTATGGAGCCTATCAGATAAATTATTATCTTGATGAAGACAACAAATGGGGTTTGGATGTTAACGAATTGCAAAGAGCTTTGGACGCTAATAGGGAAAAATGTACTCCCCGTGCAATCTGCGTTATAAATCCAGGTAATCCCACTGGACAAGTTTTAACACGAGAAAACATTGAAGAAATTATTAAATTCGCCAAAAGAGAGAAACTATTTATTTTGGCTGATGAAGTTTATCAGCATAATATATATGCTGAAGGATATAAGTTTCATTCTTTCAAAAAAGTTCTCTCTGAGTTGGGAAAAGATTACGAAAATGTAGAGCTTGCATCTTTCATGTCAGTTTCTAAGGGTTATATGGGTGAATGTGGCATGAGAGGCGGCTATTGTGAGGTAGTAAATCTTGATCCAGATGTTCGCGCTCAACTTATGAAATCTATATCTGCAAAATTGTGCCCTAATACACCAGGACAGGCAGCTATTGATGTTGTTGTGAATCATCCTCAACCTGGTCAGCCATCGTACGACCTATACATGAAAGAACGTACCCAAGTTTTGGCAGACTTGAATAAAAAGGCAAAAATGACGACTAAGTTGCTAAACGAAATTGAAGGAGTAAAATGTAACGAAGTTATGGGAGCTATGTACGCTTTCCCCAACATAACTATCCCTGAAAAAGCAATAAAAGCCGCCGCGGAAAAAGGACAGGCACCGGATGCTTTTTATTGCTTTCAACTTTTGGAAGAAACTGGAATATGTGTTGTTCCTGGATCGGGTTTTGGACAGCGAGAAGGAACTTATCACTTTAGGTAAAGAATAAATTTTTGACGATGAAACTGTATAATACTTATTTAATAACAACACTTTTATTAACAGAATGACCATTCTTCCAAGTATCCCCCAAATTGAAATGCTATTACAGAAGTTCAAAACCTTTCATATGAACTTCTTGAACAAGTACAACTGAACTAATTTGGATCATACTTGTGCATAGTTTAAAAAGTTCATAGTCATAAATATCTTCTGTCTAATGGATAAATTATCGAATAGAGTGGTGATTAGAACTGATAAAGTAGCTATTGTTTGCTTTTTGTCATCTAGTAGTTTAATCCATTTACTATTGTTACAACAACAAAAACAAATAGAAAAATAGCAATATCAAAACAGATCAGCGATTTAAACGAGGTATAGAATAACGGTTTGAATTTACTTCAAGGTCTGTCTTTGTACTTTCCGGTGCAAAGTCTCCTCCTAAGTACTCATTATCTCCAAACTCTTCCTGGGCTTTCTTTTGCAGCCTACGTATCTTTTTCACCTGTTTTTTCCATTTATCGACAATGAAGAACAATACAATGCCTATTATACTTAAAATTGCACCTAGGACGCCCAAAATAATAAACGCTCTATAAGTAGATTCGGTCAATATTTCAGTAGTTTCTTCTTTTTCAATATCTATTTTTTGATCGGAATCGAAATCTCCACATTTATTCTTCTGCGGAACAGGAAAAGAACAATTTCTGTAGCGTTCCATTATAAATTTATTACAAAATATTAAATTATGGCGGCATTTTGTCCAAGCGCTCCATTCTGACCACTCCCCATAAAGAGGACGCCAGCACACAACTGAACGTCTAGCTGAGCAACTCTCTGTGATAAATGTAATATTTTCTCTGTTTCTTTTCAAGAGAGCAGCTACGCATTTATTTTTAGAATATTTCAACTTTAAATTTCTTTTCAGATTTTGTATTGTTGAAAATTTCGTATTATCCCATTTTGGACCTTTTTCTGAAAGTTTTAAACTCGTCCATAAATATGCTTTCTCTTTAAATAGTGTTATTAGTCGTAAATGAAAATATAACATTGTTTGAGAAAGATCTAATTTTATTAAATGCATATCTTTCTCATGACAAAATCTTTCGGCTTGATCATAAGAAAGTTCTCCTTTATAATATAAAAAAAAACAATAACCAGTAGGTTCGTCAAAGAAGTAAATTTCCCCATTTTTTTTAAAATCGCATTCAGAAGACGTTTTCACATAATGGAGGAAGTTAGTATCAAAATTGATAGAAGTTTGATAACTTTGACAAAATTCTGTACTCAACCAACAGCTTTTACTTTCTAATTCATAAATTATACTAAGACAAAGTGGGTCATCTGTACATAAGCTTAAACAGTCATTTATTGATATATCACGTACAGGTTCTTGCTCTTTATCATACCTTATTTTCAGCACTCTATACAATTTTAATTAGTGTAAGTGAGTAATATTTTCACCTTTTAAAGATAGCTTCGGAGTGGCAGTATTCATTCATCTTTTTAACAGCCCGAAATTCGAACTTAAACTGATCGTTCTTATTATTGAACGCTTTACTTAGTTTTATTATGTTGTTATGCGCTTTCCCAGAAACTATAACAGTGTATAACACTTTTAGGGCAATAACCCAGGAGATTAGCATCCTTTGAAATTTTTACTGACATCATGCAAATCAATAATAATTTATTTAAAATTTAATATTCTAAATAAAGAATAGATACATCATCAATGTCAAATTAATTTTTATTGATGTACATAATGTATAACAGTAGCTAATATTGGTAGGTTTTTCCAAGGTTATCGCTACTATATTGATTCTTCACAATGGTAATACTCATAGAAAATACATTAAGCAAAGATTTATTACTTTCTGAAACGAAAGTTGATCAAGTAATTGAGTCTTTATATACAAAATTTATATGTATAGTATATAAACGTTTCGAGCGATAAACGGTGAAGATAACTTTAATTGAAAAGATGTTTTTATCAAATAATCAATTACTAATAATAATCTAATTTTAGGTGGAATTCAAATAAAAATTATCTATAGATAATTTGTGATCGATGCTGAAAGTTTAATCATCTTTGATAAAAAAAAACATTTCAAAATAGTGCTGGAGAATTTAATGTCAATAAAAGCACGTTTATCAAACTGAAGAAATAAAAGTTAGTTGCAACAGTTTTATTTAAATTTATTAAAGAAAATAACAGGATCAAACTAATATATAACCATCTTCTCATATTGAATATGGAGTAGATCGATATATTCTATATATAAATATACTAGAATTTTATTAATTTTGTAATAATCATTCATTATCGCCCAGGGATGAATTTTTCACTTAGATCTTCTGTTACCAACGGTTATGCAAGGTTGGGAAATCTTAGCCTTTCCTCTGAAGCAAATATTCAGCAAGAAACGCCATTCTGTATTCTCTATACTAAAACAGGTAGGAAATCCCAATAAACATAACCATTTCCCAGAAAGCGTGTTTTCCGCAGGTAGCGTTCCAATGCTGACAATCGATACACTAGAAAAAGCAAATGTTTCTCCTGGTTTAGCCCAATTCACACTATCATCTTTGTGAGAATTAATTTTTTATATATAGTAAATTTTTTCAAATATATATATTATATACATATTTTCCTATATTATCACTTAGCCTTGATCATCAAGATGCTTTAAAAGAGTTTGGTAAAGGAGTTAGCCTTTTCTCAGGGCTTAAGGTAATAAAGTTACACTAGGAATAGCATTTAGCCGTTGCCATGTTTTTTATTTATGTTTTTCTAATAATTTAGAATTTTAAATGCTTTTCAACTGTACAAGATCATATGTTTACTGTACCTGAGGGTTACAATGACAAACATTCGGTGGGTGTGTGGTGTAAAAGTGGAAAGGCTAAGTTAGATGTTGAAGCTTTCCTACAAGTTCAAAGTGTTATGAAACCAACTTGCTATCAAGCACTATGTGATAGCGATGTTAATCCGAACAGTACAATAAAACGCATTCGAAAATCAACAGATAGAACTCTAGACTTTTTGGATCAGATTATGGAAAAAAAAGAAAATTATGATGTTAAGAAATTTTCTTAGGCTTTACAAAAATAAGTAATAAGCGAAATGTTTTTTCTTTCAGTCCTTAAAATCGGTTCCTATCTTTGGGGCTATTGAAGGTGGCTGGAATAAAGAGGAGCGCATTCGATCTGCCAAAGAGACGAATGCTCGTAACGTATTCGGTTTTACTATTGAAGGTTAGAAAAATTAAGTTTTTTCCTTTGAACATTGTATATTTTCTTTTTATTTCACAGGGTTTTCGGCTCCTGGAGCTAATTTTGAGCAGATTGATTTATCTGTTGTTAAAGATCTGATGCGAACAACTATCGTTTGTACAGCAAACATTACATTCAATAAATTATTAATGATTTCTCGTCAACAGCAAGAACTGCCAGAATGTAAACCACGAGTTTTAAATGGTTCTTGGAACATTAAAAATCTTTTGGAAGCTATTGACTGTGGAATTGATATTTTTGACTCATCATATGCATCAAATCTTGCTGAAAACAACAGAGCTATTAAAGCTGATTTTGTGGACTATAATCTAAAAGTAGAAATTATTGATTTAGCGGAACGCAAGTAAGCGCAAATATTTCTCTTCTTTAAACTTCATATAGAGTAATTTTAACATTTTGCCACAAAACAAAAATAAGGTTTGCCAACGATCTATCCATTTTATCGGATCACTGCGACTGTTACTGCTGTAAAATGAAATTCACTGCTGCCTATATATCCCATTTGATAAATACTAAGGAAATCCTTGCTCAAATATTACTTGTTATGTAAGACTAAAAAACAAATTTTTTGTTTCTTCGACTAAATCATACTTTCATCTTTTCAGTCACAACTTGCACAACTATCTAAAGCTTTTCGAAACTATTCGTCATCATTTGCGGAATGGAACTTTCCATTCGTTTAAGGAAGCTTATTTGAAATAAACATATTCATAGACTTTTATATTAATAAACAAATTTTGTAAATTGATTATGCAATTCTGTATATAATCAATGTAATTAATATACTTGTATCCAAAGCAACTGACATAATATTTAAATAAGAAAGGTAAGCAACTATTTATTCAGCGTCTAGTTGGCCATAACAACTATCGACGTCACTTTATAACACGCGTCTCTTTAGATTATCATAAATTATTATTATTATTATTTTGGGGAAAGTTTGGCATTTTTAAATAGACTTCTTTTCGGTCGATTATGTAAAACGTATTAATGATTAACTTCTTAGTAAAAACAAACAGTAATAACATTCTAATGAACTAATTTCATTGTTTTCTATTCAATATTAAGGAAGGAAAACATAGAGTTCTACCGCATCTTTATCAAGAAATTGAAAGAAATCTTCCCTATCTTGTTAAATTTTTTCATTGAATAAACAAATACATGTTACTTGCGGATTATTTATTAAGATAATATTCTAGTGATTAATACTTAAAGTTACATTTATAAGAAACAAGAATTGGGATATTGTTATTCCCATCAAATTCCCATTTTCAAGCATTTCAAGTTTGTTTGCCATTTACAATAGAAGGAATACATTTCATTGCAGAGGAGGTTATTGAATTTTCAAATTCATGATGATGACAAGTTCTGTTGCGACTAATATCAAATCAATTAAACAAACTTAGATTCGTTTGTAGAACTATTACTGAAACTGAATGAAATATTTTGACAAACTAGAAGCTCGTCGATAAGGAAACAATGAAAATATAAAGATTTACCGTTTCCAATAGTATCTTGATAAAATTAGAATTAATATTCTGGAAACCTACTCGCTATTTTCATTGCGCATATGAATATTAACAAGAAAGTTTGCATTACAAACGTTAAGAATTGAATGTTTTTATGCAAATTGTAAATACTGACTATTCAAACAACATCTCTATGACAACAGAATAATACTTATATAAGCCCAGCGCGTTCTAATTGTACATCACAAGAGGAAAAAGCTTAATATCTACAGAAAGATTTATAAATTTAGAAGAGAAAAGCAATAAAGTTTAAGAAAATAAGAGCAAATATCAGAATAATGACACCTCTTTGGGTTATTTTTGCATGCTTTTGCGTGTATTCTGTAGAGAACGCCGCAGTTCCCACGAAAAGTAAGAAATTTTCAACTTTCTTTACAGTTTGTCAAGTCTTTTTAACTTTTAAACCTTCTTTATAGCATGTACGGCCATTCAGAATTGTGATGATTGCAGTAACCCCGCTTTGACATGTACAAGATGTCCAGCAGGTTATACAATCAAGAGTGACGGACAAAAGTGTTTACGTGAGTAATCATGGATACCGAGATCATTAACATAATTACTGAATACTTTTCATAAATTTAAACAGCTTGTCCCGACAACTGTTTATCATGTAACAACACGGAAGCCGAAAAGACCGTTTGTTTGGAATGTAAACCAAGTTATTGGTTAAAAAGTTCTGACAAAGTCTGCGAAAAATGTCCTAATAACTGCGCAACATGCAAAGAGAAGGGTACATCAGGAACTGCAGAATGTATAACTTGTTTTTTTAGCCATGGTTTAAAAAATGACAAGACCGGCTGCGTCCGTAAGTTATCAAATTGAAATTATATATTTTATAGATTAAGTATTACATTAAAGAATATTTCTTTATTAGCTTGTAGTGCAATGACAGGCTGTACAGTCTGTAAAGATTCAAATGACGACAACGTTGCTGATATATGCGAAGCTTGTAGCAGCAATCAAGGTCTTAAGGGTGATAAGAAAGGATGCGTTGGTAAGATTTTGTCGATATTCCTTATGCAGTTTCAAAAAATATATATGCTTTTTATTCCTTTTGTAGCCTGTCCTTCAAATTGTCAAGTTTGTACTGACGCAGATAATGATGGTAAAGCAGAATGTTCATCTTGCAGCAATCTTTTCGGTCTAAAACCCGACAAGACAGGGTGCGCTAGTTGTTCAGCTTTAGGATCTGAGTGTCTTACGTGTACTATTGGAAATGATCAAACAACGCCATCTAGTTGCGATTCTTGTACTGGTGGTTATGTCGTTCGGGGCAATAAGCAAGGATGTTCGAAGTGTCCTGATGGTTGCAAAATCGACAAATGTTCGGATTCACAAGGAACTGGTACTGCCATTTGTGAAGAATGTAAGGACACTTGGGGAGTTAAAATATCCAAAGCTGGATGCGTCAGATGTAACGCTAATTGTAATAAATGTACTGTTGAGGCTGATGAAACAACAACTAAGTGTACAGAATGCGTTGCCAGATACGAAAAGACCAACATGAACACTTGCGATTGTAAGTTTGAGAGTTTTAAATTTTATATCTCATGTTAACATACTTTAACAAATATTACAGTTTGCCCTGAAAATTGCTTGTCCTGCGAAATCAGCAATGGTAAGGTAGTTTGTAAGAGCAGTGGATGCAAACAAAAATATGCTTGGAAGTCTGATGATGGATCTTGCGTAAAATGCCCCGTCAACTGCAATGAGTGCTCCTATTCTGGTGGTATTTCAAAATGTCGTTCCGGAAAGTGCATATCTGGTTATACAGATCGTGTTTCTGATGGAAAATGTTATCGTAAGTTAAATAGTTTACAGTTGAATATGTCTTTCATAAGTGTCCTTTCATTTTCAGAATGTCCAGATAGATGTAGCAAATGTAGTGATGATGGTACAAAAACAAAGTGCGGATGGCAATACTGTCAAATCGGTTCAGCTTGGAAGGGAGACGATGGATCCTGTCCAGAGTGTCCATCTGGCTGTAAATACTGTTATGCCGATCGCGAATATCTCATCAAATGTTCCATTTGTCATGAAAAGAAAACTTTGACCAGTGACAGAGCAGGCTGCACAGATTGTCCAATTAATTGCAATGAATGTGAGCTTGTTGATAATGTTGCCAAGTGTTTAGACCAACAGTGCTACGATGGCTATTATAGAGATGATAATGGACAATGCAAAGGTTTGGTTAGGGCTGAAATGTTAACTTATTTATTATAAATATATGTTTTAAATAACTTTAGCATGTTCGACCGGTTGCAAATCCTGCATCAAGAGTGGCAGTACTACTGAGTGTTTAGTATGTAAAGCTTATTATGTAATGAACCCAACCACAAAAAAATGCGTTTGTAAGTAGTCTTATTCATTAATAAATGATTTTTATATATCAAAATTTCTCCAGCATGTCCTGGCGGGTGTGAAACTGGTAAATGCCAATTCTCATCAACAAAATCAGTATGCTCAAAATGTTTGAAAGGTTTTGTTCTAAGCGACGGCAGTTGCAGAGGATGTCCGTCAAATTGTGATACATGTAAATATGAGGGTGGTAAAACAATCTGTACAACGTGCTCAGCCAAGCACTATCACGTTCAAACACAAATGTGCATAGCTTGTCCACCTGGATGTAAATCTTGTACTGAATCAGGAACCACAGTTATTTGTAATACTAATCAATGCTTATCGGGATATGAATACTATAATAACAAATGCTATAGTAAGTCAAGTGAAATTTAAAACACTACATTTACATAATATTTTATAAATACTACAGAATGTCCTTCTAAGTGTACATCCTGCACTGGAATATGGAGTGCATCAGTTTTCAAGACTGTTTGTGACACTAATAAGTGCTCAGGTGCTTTTGCAACTGACAGTAACGGTTTGTGTCAACCGTGTAGTGAAAACTGTGAATCATGTACATCACCGGGAAAATGCTCCAAATGTAATACTGGGTACATTCTTGCTGGTTCTGCATGTGAAGGTTAATTGTATAATTTAATTATTATTCAAAATTAAAACTGAAATATTTTCCTTTTCATTTAGCTTGTGCAACAAACTGCGCAGATTGTAGCCAGCCTGGAAAGTGCTCAACCTGCCTCCCTGGATATAAATTGGACAGTGATGAATGCAAAGGTAACATTGATATTCATTTTTCTCTGATAAATTTTTACGAGAAGATTACTTTTATTTCTTTAGAATGTGCTGCGAAAGATCAGTGTGAAACCTGTAATGATCAAGGAGCTGGCCGTTGTGATTATTGCAAACTGGGATATGTAGTTAAAGACAACTCTCAAGCTTGTCTACAATGTCCAGCTGGTTGTAATTACTGTGAGCAAAAGAGTCCAACATCTGACGACCCTTGGTGTAAACCTGGAGGGTGTAAAATTGGATTCGCTCAGAAAAGAAACAGAGATTGTACCGAATGTCCCCCAGGATGTGCCGAATGTACATATGATGCCACTGAAACGAACCTATTATGTCGTGCTGGAAAGTGCAAGCAAGGTTATACAGAAAGCTCTGGAGTTTGCGTGAGGTGTGCTGACAATTGTATTACCTGTAACGCTCAAGGAAAATGTAACGAAAAAGGATGTAAATCAGGATATACTAGATCTTCGAATGGTCAACAATGTGACAGTATGTGATAATGGTTTATCAAATCTTATAAATTTTAATGATTTTCCTTTCACTCAGAATGCGCCAATAATTGCTTTAAGTGCGATATTAAAGGAGCTGCTAAATGTGACGAGGATGGATGCAACACAGGATTTGCCTACGATAATGAAATCTGTCAACCATGTCAGCCTACTGTTTGCTCTAGATGCTCTAAGAAGGATAAATGTGATAATGGAGGTTGTATTGGAAATTATATATTGAAAGATGAAATATGTCAAAGTATGAATATTTTAATCTAGTTTTGAATATTCGCTAAACATAAATATATTTCAACAGAATGCGATGACAATTGTAAAACTGCAAGATGTACTCAAAATGGACCAGGAAAATGTGATGTTGGTGAATGTAAGGATCATTACGTTCTTGATAGTAACAATGAATGCAAAAGTTTGTGATATGAATTTATATTTGAAAAGTATTCAAAATTTATGTCTCTCTTTTCAGGATGCGATAATAATTGCGAAGACAACCAATGTGGAGGTTTTACTGTTGGTGGGAAATGCAATGAACTAAAGTGCAAATTACATTATACATGGGAATCTGATAGTTGTCACCAATGTGATACCAACTGCTACTTTTGTGATGGCTGGGGCAAAACTAAATGCGATGTAGACAGATGCTTTGAAGGTTATAGAATCAAATTGGATTCTAGCGTACACACTTGTGAAAGTAAGCTTCACATCAAAAAATTAATTTTGTTTGCAATCAGATTATTTGCTTATCATAACAATATCTACCTATAGCATGCTCTGTTACGAACTGTGCAAAATGCGACGCTGACAGAACCCAGTGTCAAAAATGTAAAAAAGGCTATACCCTAAACAGCAACACTTGCGACAGTAAGTAAAGTGGAATCGAATACCTTTAGTTTTCGGCAATTAAAAACATTCTATTATTTCAAAGAATGCTCCGACAACTGTGATTACTGCGATGTTGATGGGAAGGATACATGTGATCAAGGATGGTGTTCAAGCGGTTACGGTTGGAACCCCGATACTCGACTCTGTGCACAATGCGCAAATTCGTGTACTAAATGTAGTAAATATGGACATAACAAATGCGATTCAGCCGCACATTGTCCCGCTGATAAAGGCTATGATTCAACTAATCATGATTGCTTAAGTAAGACTGTTTAAAAATGAAACAACTTAACCTACTTTTCTATAATGTTAATACCAAACAGCTTGCGATTCGAACTGCAATCCTGGAAAATGTACGGAGGCTGGTAAATGTTCAGCAGACCAATGTCAATCAGGTTTTAAACTCAAAGGCGACAACACTTGTGAAGGTAAAAATTGACAATGTTTAAATAATGAAGAGTTCTTTTTATTAAAAATTTACAATTGATATTTCAGCATGTGCAGACACTTGCAAAACTTGCAAAGAAGCTAATGATGCAACAAAATGTCTCAGTTGCAAGGCTGCTAACCAGTTCGTAACGGATTTAGTAGGAGGAAGTAGTTGTATACGTAAGTATTGAAAAAGATTAGTATTTGTAAATTTTAGCGAGCGTCTAAAACTAGTATTTTATAGAATGTGCGTCAAATTGTAAGGTTGGCCAGTGCTTCGCAGCAGGAAAATGTAATAAAGATCAATGTATGGATGGGTATATGTTAGCTACAGATTATACATGCACAGGTAAAAAGAATTATTGTCCAGTTAGAAACTGCTAATTTAACTATTTTGTTTTTTAAAAAAGAGTGTGGATCGAATTGTAAAACTTGTTCGGCAGTTGGTAAATGCACAAGTTGCATGGGAAATAGATTCTTAAGTGGCGATCAATGCTTAAGTAAGATATAACAGTTAAACGCCTTGTAAATTAGTTATTCTTTGATATCTATTAAATATCTAGCTTGCGATCCAAACTGCAAACCTGGAAAATGTTCTGCAGAAAATAAATGTGATAGTCAACAATGTATGAACAATTACAAGTTCAAGGCAGATGATCAAACTTGTGAAAGTAAGAAGTATATTACATCTATAACACTGTTATGTTATCTTTCATTTTAATAGAATGCCACGATGAATGTGCGACATGTGCTGCAGCAAGTGATGCTTCTAAGTGTTTAACTTGTACAGCTACAAGAAGTAGTGATAATGTTGCCGGTGGTACATGCGTTGGTGAGATATTTAATTGACTATGAAACTGAATATATAATTTATATTTCTGCAACCCTTTTTCACGCCAAAATTCCAGTTTGTGATCCTAACTGTAAAGCGGAAAAATGTACTACAGCTGGACAGTGTAGTGAGTGCAGCGATGGATATGCGCTTGATGGAAATGTTTGTAAACGTAAGTAACAGATTTTATTTAAATAGTTCACTTAAATATAAATCTTTCATGTAGCATGTCACGCTGACTGTACAACATGTGCACAGCATAACGATGCTGCTCAATGCAAGTCTTGTAATGATCCAATGAAAGGCATCAAAGATGGTGCGGGTACAGGAGAATGTATTGGTAAGAAAATTTTTACACAATAATTAAGATGAATCTCCATATTTCTACAACTTTTGTTTTATATATTTTTAGCATGTGATGTTAATTGTAAACTGGGCCAGTGTACTACAGCTGGGCAATGTAAGGCAGATGAATGTAAAGATGGTTATGCACTAGATGGAAATTTTTGTAAACGTAAGTATCGCATTTTATTTAAATTATTTGATTCATAATAAATATATCTATCATGTAGCATGTCATCCGGATTGCGCAACCTGTAAAGCTCATAATGACAAAGATAAATGTTTAACTTGTGCATCTCCTAACAAAGGTAGTGAAGATGCATCTAATGGCGGAGCATGCGTTGGTGAGAAATGTGCTTGATAATAAAAATGAATAATAAAGATATGTTCTTCTCCCTCATATAATTTTAGTATGTGATCCTAATTGTCAACCGGGTGAGTGCACAGTGGCTAACCAGTGTAATACCGACAAATGTATAGACGGTTATGCAAGCGAAGGAACTGGTTGTACAAGTAAGAAATATATTTTACTTATTTAATTCAGTTAATTATAAATTTCTCTAAACTTCAGAATGTCATGTCAGTTGTAAAACGTGTAAAGCGCATACTGTTGATAATAAGTGCCTTTCTTGTATGGATATAACGAAAGGCGTCAAAGATACAGCTCTAGGAGGACAATGCATTGGTACAAAAAAATTTACACTATGATTAAGATGAATATCCATATTTCTATAATTTTTGTTTTATATAATTTTAGCATGTCATGCTAATTGTAAACTGGGCAAGTGTGATACAGCTGGACAGTGTGACAATGGAGAATGTAAAGATGGTTATGCAAGCGAAGGAACTGGTTGTACAAGTAAGAAATATATTTTACTTATTTAATTCAGTTAATTATAAATTTCTCTAAACTTCAGAATGTCATGACAGCTGTAAAACGTGTAAAGAGCATACTGTTGATAATAAGTGCATTTCTTGTGTGGATACAACGAAAGGCGTCAAAAATACAGCTGCAGGAGGATCATGCATTGGTACAAAAAAATTTACACTATGATTAAGATGAATATCCATATTTCTATAATTTTTGTTTTATATAATTTTAGCATGTCATGCTAATTGTAAACTGGGCAAGTGTGATACAGCTGGACAGTGTGACAATGGAGAATGTAAAGATGGTTATGCAAGCGATGGAACTAGTTGTGCAGGTAAGAAATATATTTTACTTATTTAATTTAGTTAATAATAAATATATTTATTATGTAGCATGTCATCCGAGTTGCGCAACGTGCACAACTGCCAATGACGCAAATGCATGTAAAACTTGCGTGTCAGCAACTGGGAGTACAGACGCCGCTACTGGTGGATCATGCGTTGGTAAGAAATTTAATAGACAATTAAAATGTACAGTTTTTTATAGAATGTTACATATACTTTCAGTTTGTGATCCCAATTGCCAACCAGGGCAGTGCAATGAGGCTGGGAAATGCAATGCAGGAAAATGCAAAGATGGATATGCGCTTGATTCAAATGTTTGTAAACGTAAGTAACAGATTTTATTTAAATAGTTCAGTTAATTATAAATCTTTCATGTAGCATGTCACGCTGACTGTACAACATGTGCACAGCATAACGATGCTGCTCAATGCAATTCTTGTGTTGATTTAACGAAAGGCATCAAAGATGGTGCGGCTACAGGAGAATGTATTGGTACGAAAAGTTTTATAAAATGATTAAGATGAATCTCCATATTTCTACAACTTTTGTTTTATATATTTTTAGCATGTGATGTTAATTGTAAACTGGGCCAGTGTACTACAGCTGGACAGTGTTCCGATGGTAAATGTAAAGATGGTTATGCAAGCGATGGAACTGCTTGCAAGCGTTAGTATCCTATTTGATTGAATATTATTCAATTTATATTTAAATATATCTATTATGTAGCATGTCATCCGGATTGCGCAACGTGCTCAGTTCATGGTAACGCAGCTAAATGTTTAACTTGTGTGTCTCCATCGAAAGGTAGTGCAGATGCGGGTGCTGGTGGTGCTTGTGTTGGTAAGATATTAAGTGTAAGATTAATTATAATCCATAACTCTTATACTCCTTATTATCTATAGTTTGTCATGAGAACTGTCAATCGGGTCAGTGTATTGAAGTAGGCAAGTGTAACGTTGACAAGTGTACGGCGGGTTATATATACAAGACAGCTGACAAGACATGTGAAGGTAAAGAGTGTATTTTTTATAATAACTTTATTATTCTTACAAAATACTTTTCAGCGTGTCATGGAGACTGCTTAACTTGTACAGTCGCTGACGATAATACTAAATGTCTTTCTTGTATATATCCAAAGGCTACCACAAATCCTATTGATGGTGGAAGTTGCATTTGTAAGTTATACTATAAAAAGTTGATTTTTTAGCCGGTATAATTGCTGTTAACGTACTTCAGCTTGTGATTCTAATTGTAAAGAAGGTGAATGCACAGCAGCTGGAAAATGTAATAAAGATAAATGCAAAGATAATTATATGTGGCAAAGTGATGGAACTTGCGCACGTAATGAATATATATATATATATATTTATTTATGCATAATTAATCAATAATAACTTTTATTATGCAGAATGTGCTAGTGACTGTAAAACGTGCAGCGTAAAGGCCGATGCGAGCAAATGTCTTACATGTGTTGATCTATCAAAAACCAGCACAAATTCCGTAGATGGTGGCTCATGCGTTGGTAAGAAAATCTACAAAAACATCTCTCTTAAACTAGTAAAACTGTTAACAAATATAACTTTACTCCAGCTTGCCACGATAGCTGCAAAAGTGGAAAGTGCTCCTCTACTGGCAAATGTTACGGGGATTTGTGTAGCGTCGGCTTTTTTCTGAAGTCAGATGGAACTTGCCAAGGTTTTTAATCTATTATAAGAGAAGATCTTTCATAACTATAATATTTATTTTCTATCATTAGCATGTGATCAAACTTGCAGTACCTGTTTTGGTAGCACATTGAGCGATTGTATCACTTGTAAAGGTGATAGATTTTCCTCCGGCGGTAAATGTATTAAATGTCACGAAGAATGCATGACGAATGAATGTACTGAAGACGGTAGTTGTAAAAAGAATAAGTGTAAAGACGGTTTTACAAATAATGTTAGAACGGGAAACACTGTATCCGAGTTACAATGCTCCAAAGCATGTGTTAGTAACTGTAGAAGATGTGATAATGCAGGTGAAAATAAATGTGATAAAGGAATGTGCAAAGATGGTTACGTTTGGGTCAACTCAGGCGAATGTGCAGGTAAGGGGTATTTAGAATAGAAATAAGAATACTAGTAAATCTTATACTTTTATTTAGCATGTTCTTCTAATTGTATGAGTTGTTATACAAACGGAAAAGATAAGTGTGATACAGGCAAATGTATGTCTGGCTACACTTATGACAGTTCTGACAAAACCTGTAAAGCTTGCGGAAGTAACTGCTTGAAATGTGATAAGACAGGAGCTGGCGCTTGCGATTACGATCAATGCGTTAATAACATGATCTATGACAAAGCAAGCCAAACGTGCAAAAGTATGATAATAAAATAATTAATAACAAAATACCACCTTAAAACTTATACTTTAAAAATTTAGGTTGTGATGTAAACTGCCAACCTTACCAATGCTATAATAGCGGTAGACTCGATTCAAAATGCAATGATGATAAGTGCAAAACAAATCTCAAGATAGATAGTACTACTAAAACGTGTAAGCCTTGTCATGCTAACTGTAAAGCTGGACAATGTACCGAGCCTGATACTTGTACCAATGGACAATGTATGGACAGATATGTTTCAGATGGCAATAAATGCTCCGGTAAGTTTTAATATAATTTTGCGTGTTAACATTTCATATTGCTGTATTTTAATTTATATCAGCTTGCTCTTCAAACTGCAAAAAGTGTGAAACAAAAGGAAAAGGAAAGTGTGACGAAGGTGAATGTGACGTTGGTTTCGTATGGGTTAGTGACAGCTGTAAAAGTAAGTTAAGGTTTCATATCAAAGTTTCAAAAGTCATAAATCCTATGTCTGAATAGAAACAATGTGTAATACTGGAGAAGCAATGAATCATTTAGGAACTTGTTTAACTTGTCCTACTGGTTGCTTAAAATGCCGTATTAAGACTAACAATGTAACCACTGAATGTATACCTGGATTATGTGAGCAAGGTTATACATACAGCAACGGAATTTGCGTCGGTAAGTCGAATCTAGTCGTCTTAAGGTTCAAGCTCTAACAATCTTGATTATTTACTTTAGCATGTCCTTCGAATTGCGATACATGTTTCTATTCGCAAGGAATATTAAAATGTTCAAAATCTGGATGTGAATCTCGCTACGGATACAAAGATGAAACTTGCGGTCAATGTGCTACAGGATGCGAGGAATGTTCAAAATCAGGATCAGAGCTAGCTTGTGATTCTAGCAAATGTTTAAATGCTTACGCACAAGTTTCTTCCAATACATGTTTGAGTAAGTGGAAGAGCATAATTTAAATATTATTCCTTATTTTCATCTACTCACTTATAGAGTGCTATCGTGGATGTGATACCTGCACAATGAACACACAAACCAACTTCCTTGGTTGTAGCTCCTCTTCATGTTCAACTAGTTATACTCAGCTAGCGGATAAATCCTGTTTCTTATGTCCAACAAATTGTAATTCGTGTACTTATACTGAAGCTCTTTCTCAGACGAAGTGCGACTCGAACAAATGTGACACTGGCTATGTAATGAACAATTTGGATAAATCATGTCATAAATGTCCCACAGGATGTCATAAATGCAGTTATACAACTACACCAGTATGTGATATTCTTCAATGTAAGGATGGTTACGTTCAAAATCCCATATCAAAGGAGTGCAAAGTATGTCCATCTAAATGCTCAGCCTGCTTCTTTGATGAAGCAACCGCTGACGCTAAATGTTATGACAAAGGCTGTAGTATAAATTCTTACATGTCGAGTGGAACTTGCCTGAGCTGCAATTCAAACTGTCACCGTTGCATGAACGTTCTGGGAACTAAACAATGCTTTGATCAAAAATGTTCGGACAATTATGGGCTTAAATTTAACGATCGGCTATGCTATGCCTGCCCTGAGGGATGCAAACATTGTGACATTGCTACTGATGGAACCCCTACTTGCAATACGTGCCAGAGTGGATACGCAATGAATACTGCTGACAAAACTTGCAAAATTTGTCCTGAAAACTGTAATGTCTGTGACTATGATGCAGGTATCACTGATACCAAATGTCAGAGCGGCCAATGTAAAAGCGGATTTGCACAGAAAGACGATAATCGTTTAGGTTGCGTCCAATGTCAAACCTGTACCGCTTGCACATACAACACAGAGAATCCATCCGTTCCAGACTGCGTTGATAATACATGTCCAGCTAAACAACAGGTTCAAACCGTAGGCAAACAATGCGGAAGTAAGTTATTTACTTTATTCAATTTGAAGTAGTTAGCTATTTATAATATGGGGCTTATTTTGTTAGAATGTCCAACTAATTGTGCTGCTTGTGATGGAGATTTGAAATGTACATTGTGTGATAGCAGATACGCTCTACAAGCAACAGATAAGCAGTGTATCGGTAAGCTACAAGAAGACGATTTTTCTTTTAATAGATAACTAACCAAGTAAAATTTTACAATAGTCTGTCCTGCCGATTGTCATTCTTGTGACTCTCTTGGCAATGGAAAAACTGGCTGCAAATCAACTGGATGCAATTCGGGCTATGTCGTAACAGATGAAAAACTATGTAAAAAATGTCCAGATAATTGTTTGGAGTGTACTTATAACGCTGATACGAAGAAATCGCTATGTAAATCCACAAGATGCGCATCTAGATATGCTATCACAACAGATTTCCAATGCATGAGTAAGTAACAATCTTTGAGTTATTTTATATTTTTAAAACTCATTTTACCATTACAGAATGTCCGGATAATTGTTATGAGTGCGTTGTTGGTGCTGGAGGTAAGACGGAATGTAATGAAAACAAATGTGATTCCCGATATGGATGGCGTTCTAGTGACAAAAATTGTCACAAATGTCCAGATAACTGTGCTACTTGTCCTGAAGCTAATGGTGTTTTAATATGTGACAAATGTGTCTCCGAATTTACTCTTAGTAATGCCGAATGTGGTGCTTGTCCCAGACACTGTCTGAAGTGCACTGAAGAAGCTTCTGAAGGTCTTAAATGTAAAGAATGCGAGGCACGATACGTTTTGGATGACAATAAAAACTGTGCCGCTTGTCCCAGCAATTGTAATAAATGCAATATTAACAATGGCGAAGCTAAATGTGAATCCTGCGATAGTGGCTATACTTTAAACACTGCTCTAACTTGCACAGTATGCCCATCTAACTGCCAAAAATGCGAATATAAAAATAACAAGGCTGAATGCATGATATGCCATAATGGCTATGCTATCAATGCTCAGAAAGGATGCTCTCGATGCGCTGATGTTACCCAAGTTCTTAACTGTGACACATGCACAAATGCCGATTCTACAGGAAAAGGAAAATGCTTGTCATGCGTTAATGGATATGGTTTGAAGGATGATGCCAAAGAGTGCTTACCTTGCAGCGATCTCAAAGATTGCTTGAACTGTAGAGATCAAGCTTTATTGTGCAACAAATGTTCCTCAGGATTCACATTAACTCCAGACAAGTTGAATTGCGGAATCAACTGTTTTACATGCAATAGGTCAGCCGACTGTGCCAATGATCCCAAAAAATCATCAGAAAATTCGACTTTATGTGTCCCAGCATTAGGTCAAACTTGCTGGATGCATAGATTCGAAGAAAACAAAGTAATTGAACACGAAAGAGGTTGCTTCAACAGCACAGATTGCGGTAGCCGCTACAAGAGCGAGGAATGTCAAGAAGCTAATGGTAAAAAGGAATGCAAGAAATGTTGTACAACTGACAAATGTAACAGCCAAATCCTACCTGGAACTGCCTCACATCTAACATCAAATGTCTTAACGATACTGACTGTACTCCTCCTTGGAGTTGTACGAGCAGTATTCTATTAAGACGGGAAACTAATTAGTTTAGCGTTTATATAATAATTTATTTAGTTTTAGATTAATACTTTTATTTGTTCGAAGAGAAATTATATTTAAAATGACAAAGGTAACGAAAGCATCTTAATGAATCCAATACTTTTTCGTTGGTGGAAAGAGATGCATGATGTTTGTTGACTGGAAGAAGATTTAAAAATCATATGACTGCTAAAATATTGCAGGAGATTTTAAATTTTCAATGAAGGTCTCAAATTGATATTTGTTACCTAAAAGTCTTTTATATATATATATATATATATATATACATTGCTGCAGAGAACTAATAAACTGCAGATTGTATTGTACCTTTACAAGTTAAACTAATGTTTTACATAATTTTTACAAAAGGACATTTTGTATGTTTAACTGTTTAAAAAAACGAAAATTGAAAAAAAAAACCTATTTGTTAATTCATAAAGCTAAAATAAAGTAAAATTGAAAGAAATTTCAAATTGGCGATTTTAATGAATTAATCACTTTATCTTTTATTTCATTATAACATGTTATCAACCGCTTGCAGGATAGTACCGCATTGAGCATCAATTTTTATTTGAGCTAGATGATCTCCTCTTGTTTTTCCAATATTGACTATTCCTATTGGTTTCCCTATGAGAAAAAGTAAATTGTGTAAATTTTATAACTAAAATGTTTCGGTATGTTGTCTTACCATATTCTGATGCTCTCTTTAGAAATCGATAACCGGAGTAAACCTGTTTTTATCAAGTAAAAAGTATATTAAAACGAGAATTGACGATTTATCAATTTTACCTCCAAAGATGATCCTAATACCAGAAAGGCATCGCTCTCCGCTAATTTTTTCATGCAATTATCAACAATGGGCTTCTTAACGTTATCTCCAAAAAATACAACGTCAGGCTTTAGTTCTCCTCCACAAGATTTACAACAGGGTGGGTTAAACTTTTTGACAAGATCGTCAGATATTAGAACATCACCATCAGGTGCTATCTCCTCAGTTTCAGCCGACCAATTGGGATTTAACAATTCAATTGATTGACTCAATTCTTTCCTAGATATACTCCAATGACAAACCATACATCTATTTTTTAGAACAGACTATAATGGAAAGTGTTACAATAACTTTTTAATTTTGCAAATACTTACATAACTCTAAATGAACAACCATGAAGTTCTGTTACATTTACACTGCCTGCTTTTGTATGTAGTGAGTCCACATTCTGAGTTATTAGCCAGTTCATCTGCATAATTATATAAAAGACATATAAATGTAGTTATAGTAGTAAAGAAATTACCTTTTTCTCCTTTTCCCACTTTGATAATATCTTATGGCTAATATTTGGTTGGGTTGATGAAAAATTCTTCCATCCTACATGATTCCGAGCCCAAAATCTAATGAAAAGATGGATTAAACACAATTTTACTAAATAAAAGCTAATTGTATACCTTTGTCTAATGTGTGTATATTTCTTAAATTGTTGATAATCAACTGGTCGTCGATTACTTCTTGCGTATAATCCAACTTCTTCTGATCTGTAGTCTGGTATACCACTTTCTGTGGATATACCAGCACCAGTTAGTACTAAAAGATTTTGTGATTTTTTGATAAATTCTGCTAATTCTTCAATATCTTGATTTGTAACTGGTTGACTCTTCGGAACAAATTTTGCAATATGTGATAATTTACGAGACGTAATTCGAAAGATCATTTTCTAGGTTGTATATTCAGTAATCAATCGAAACGACTACCTTTTTGTACTATATATTAGTGTTTTTTATCATTCTATTCTTTTATATATGATTGTAGAGTAGAAAACAACACTTTTAATAAGAAATAAATCTAAAATAAGAAACAATGTTCTGCTAGTGGTGACTATTTTCGATTCCGTTTCCGTAGAAATTGGCGGGATTTTCAAATTAGATCATCATACTATTACTATCGGTCAGATGAGAAAGATTTAGTAGAAATAGTTCAAAAGCTATCATTAGTTTACTTTAAACAGGATTCAAAACCCTCTATTTGTTTATTCTTTCAATCTCAGTCTCTCTTGAAAGGATATCTAATTCACTCATGATGGCGTACGTGTTGCTCTCAAAGCCGAAGAGGGCTATTGATGCTAGTGTTCTTTGTCGGTAGATTTAAATTATTCCAAATGGATTGGCAATACAATAGTTAAAACGATAATAATCTTGAACATTAAATTGTTTAATGATAATAAAAGAAAATAGAAACTTTATAATTAAAAATTATTCAAAGTTACTTAAGAATTTTTGAATATTAGCCAAAGCCATAGGATTTGTACTAACGCAGTCATTTTCAGTAAACGGTGACGTCACATTTACTATTCCAGCAACTAGTAATATATTTCCTTGTCTTTCGACCGGTATACGTAATTGATTAAAGTATTTGATCACATCTTCAATATTTCTAGATTGTTTCCTTTCCTTTTCACTGCCGAATTTCTTTTTTACTAAGTCATCGAGTTCTTGTTTTTTTACACTGGAATCATTATTTATAATTCGTATTCCCTGAATAGAATGACTTGTAATTAGCTCAATTGAATTATCTTCAAAATTCACTAGAACAATAGTAAATGATTCTGGATCTATTGTATAAACCCAACCGGTATATTTGGACTTATTATTCATAATTATCTCAATTTCTTTATAGACGTAAGAATGTAAAGATTCAGGATCGGTTTTTAACGATTTGAATTCATCATTTGACAGAGGTATTTCTTGTTCCTCCTATAGAAATATTTAAATGATCAATTAAAAAGTTAATACAAGGAAAATATAAAATAATTTTTTACCATTGTTTTTGAATTGATTCAAATAAATGAGATATTAATTTTATAATATAAAAATAAGTAATAAGTCAACAACAAAACAGGAAAATTACAATAACCAATCGTTAAATTTGCGCACTAGCAGACGATAATACAACACTAACAACCCCATCTACAGTGTGAATTAGTTTTAAGATAAAAGATATTCGTTTTTCGATTATGAAAGTAATTTGAATAAAACTTTACTATTACTGCTATAAGGGCAAACTGGAGACCCATACTTATCTGTTTACCGTCTTATTTAGCTTATTATATGCATTTTGATCTTATTGAGTATCCACTTTGTGAATTGCTAATAGAAGTATTCTTTTCTTCTATTTTTCTATTCTAAGAAAGAATTCCATTGGGTCTAATTAAAGCACATAATAATTAGACATTTAATCTTGTCTTTGAAATAACCTTGAAGTTGTCTAGACACACTCGTGTTTGCCCTTTTTACCTTTTGACAAATTCAATAGAAAGTTCAAAGGTGAAACAATCACGTATGCCGTTAGGCTTAAATTAGACGCGAGAAAGGACTAAAAAGACCACGTGATCATATTGAAAAAGAGAAGCGCTTAAAAAACGTGGTTACTCGTTATGTATTATAGTTAGTTGAAAGAGTTGGAACGGCGTGTGTGTTTAACAAGATTGTTAGAGAAGTATTTTTAATCTTTATTAAAAAATCCAAAAAAATATAAAGAGCAAGTATGACCACGCCATGTTCAACTCCCCCTCCGAGGAGTAACATCTCTACGCCTAGCGCACCTAAAGTCGTCCGAGTAAGATGCGGAAAAATAGAATATAATATTGAGGAATCTCCTATGTCTGGCATTGTTAAGGGAACTATGAAAGTGAGTGTTTCCAAGAAAGAATCTAAGAAAAAAGTGAAGAGAAAACATTCCGAAAGTAAAATCGGAAATCCTTTTGCAAAAAAAACGAAAACGGGAGAGGACTTTGGTAATATATGGCCGCAAGAGGACCTATTTAACGCTAAGGAAAGACTAAAAAAAGGAAAGCAGGAAAGTGTTAAGGATGAAATTAATTGGCTAACCTTAGGGAAGAGGAAGAAAGTGATGTGGTTCAGAAACTTATCCTTTTAGTATTTCCAAATATTGTTTTCAAATTTTTGGTTCTATTTCTTATTAAAAGAAAAATACATATCTAAATACTTTTTATTAAATTTAGTCAACGTTCTCAAATAATGGTTTTTTTCTATTATTATTGTTTTTTTGCTTCTTATATTTGAATCTTTGAAAGAAAGAACGTTCTATTTTTTTTATATAGAAAAGTTCTATGTTCATTTATTTTTTTTAAAAGAAAAGAAGGAATAGAACGTTTTTAAAAGAAAAACGGAAGATTGTCTATTTTAAATTTTTTTTTCTTTGACATCAATTTACCGATCGAACGATCTACTTAATTTGTCTGTTTTTATATATATATATATATCATTACTGTATCGGACGAGTTTTTAAGGCTAATTAGACAGAATAACCTTATATGGTAAAAGTAACCTAGAGAACTAGAAAGTTCTAAAAAGTTGAGTAGTGTTATAAACTTTAAAAAAAAAAAAAAAAAAGTTGTCCAGACGGTTGACTTCACTAAAAACTGAGGTGAATATTATAGAATAGTCCTATAATATGTTCTATTCCAGACTATTTAGTTAATACAAAAAGACTATATGGTTGTTTTTTTTTCAGATTATAAAGGTTAATAGAGTTACAAACATTGGTCATTTAGTGCTCTTCTTTCGAGTTGTATACTTACTAGTTTTTCATTTATACTTTTTTCAGTTAGATTAAGATATTGAAACGTTTGAATTATTGATAATGGATACTATACTGTCGACTTTAAGATTAAGGAAGAAGGTTAGGAGATCAGAATTGGAGAATGTTGAAGAATTTTTATCTTCTAATGAATCGTTGAGAAAACTTGATTTTGATACTTTTTGTTCTAAGGCTTTTTATTGGTATTGTTTTCCAAGAAAACCGGGTTTAGAATCTCGCTATTTTTTCAGGAAGCAAAATTTTTGTATGCCAAAAATTTTGCAACCTGATGGAGCGAGCGGAGATCACTTGGTACTTAAACTTAATAGAAAACGTCAATTGAAGATAAGGGATGTTAGGAAAACTAATTCAAAATTGGCTGGGCATCTTCTAAATGTGGATGGGACTCGATATCAATTACCGAAAACTTTTAGACCCGACTCGTGCGTTACTTGCACAACGCTTGCTGCAAGGGATAATCTGTATGTTTTTGAGTGTCATAAAAGATCAAATACTGGACCTGTTGTCGATCAGAGATTGCAAAGAATTATTTTAGCCAGATTTATTAATGATAGCATACAACTTATTGGAGATTTGGAATTGGCATTATCAAACCAAAGTCACCATATTGACATTGCCCTAATTGCACCAGATTTAAAGTCGGTCTTGCTCATAACAAGTCAAAAAGTCTATTTAAACGAGGACGAGCAAGCTTATCCCAGAGTGGGTGCTGTCAATATACTAGGACATGCTGGAAAAATACCTTTATATACAACAGCACTATGGACCGATGAAGCTGTTCGAAATAGGAGAATATTTGCATATGACAATCGTTTCCCCAACAATGTCGTCTATTCATTTTCCAAGAACTATATCCAGTGCTACGATTTCGTTACTGACAAAGTCATTCAAAAAGGTCAATTACCCAATGAGATACTTCTTAGAGACTATCGCGTTGTCCAGGTCACGACATCGGCTTCAGGTCGACTTGTATCTCTACAAATTTTTAGCTGTTCACCAAATATTGTTAAAAATATGACGTTGATTATTTCAACTAAAGATTTGCAAGCAATCCTCTCTATAAAATATCATGAAATTTGTCCGAATCATTTAATTTACTGGAATACCAGCTATTTTCCAATATTTTCGGAATGTGATTCACTTATTGCATTAACAGCTTCTCAAAGATCAAATGATGATAAGAGGAAACCCGATATAGTTGTATTTAAATTGCCAGTTATAATGGAATCGTTGAAATCGCTTTGCAGGCGAAAAGTTATAAGAACATTTCGATTATCGCGTATAGAAAAGTTAGGTTTACCGTCGAAGCTAGTCAAATTCTTAAAGAATGAACATTAGAAGATTTTAAACATTTTGAATGAACATATATCAAAGGAAGATTTTGTTGTTGTTTTTGTTGTTGTTTTGTTTCTTTTTCTTTTGTACGGGTATTTTTGGGTCATGTGAATGTATTTACGAATATTTAAAACATTGCACAACGAAAAATACTCTTTATTATTTCTACATGTTTAAAGCGGTTGTTAAATTTCGAGGTGGGACAGTTTGTCTATACAATCTTCAGGTTCTGCAGTGTAAAAAAATAACTGACATAGAGGATCTTTGAAAAAGTACTGTAGATATTTCTGATGTTGAATAGACCATCGTTTATCTTCTAAAAGATCTACTCTTATCTTTGCGATAAAGTTTGTTAATCGTAATAATCTCGTTTCGTACTTATCCGTATATATTCCTTTCAAGTATCGAATAAAACTGACCAATATTCTATTATATAGTTCAGCAAAATGAGGCTTTTCTCCTCCGGACACAAGGTGTAGAGAATATAAGAAGACAGCTTCCTCTTTGGAGAGGTTTATCTCCTTGATATCATAATATAAAGTTGTTAAAACTTGGACAGTTTGGTTATCTAGTACATGTTTCATTCGTTCACATTCAATTTTTAGTATTCTATCATTAAAACCAAAGTAAATATTTTCCTTGTCCAAATAGAATAAAGGATACATAACATCTAAAATATATAACATATCTGCATTCTTAAAAGAGATACTGATAAGATCTTTAAGCTTTAAATCTGTCATTCCTGGTAAACTTCTTGAAAAGATTAATGAATAACGATACCAAATATTGAATAAAGTTTCTAAAAAATGTAAGAATCCTTTACGATCATCCAATTCTAAACCAGTTACCTCTAATATATCTGAATATTCGTTAAATGGTATATAAATATTCTCTAGGGATGTTTGTGCGTTTTGAAATTGTAAATCAAAATTATGAATTTCATCTGACCATACGATATTTGTAAAAATAGTTGTAGCATTAGTGGTTTGTATGAATATATCATCAGCATCTGAATGACTTAGCATGGAATATACAGTAGATTTTCGACTTTGTAGCTTTTCTGCGAATTTTAAATTTTCTTCTCTTCGCTTCTTGGTATACGGTCCTATTTTTATTCCTTTTGTTGACATTCCCTCTTTAACGCATTTATTAAAACGGCAAGCTGAACACTTGAATAAAAAATTATCTGCAGGTGAGCATAGATTTCTCCCCCTTTTGCATTGATATGGAGTACTTCTTTTAAGAGATCGTCCGTAGAAAACTTTACAGGCTTCGCAGGTGTAAACTCCATAATGAAACCTAAAAACAACAATAAACACTAGTTATATTTGAAAAAGATGGTCCACAAGTAAATTCGTTTGTGATTATATTATGAAATTTGAAGATTATTATAGAAGAGAACTTTGGATAGAACATACAATCAATCGTCTATATATACACATATCTATTTATATATTATATAATTATGCCCATTTAGTTCACTGTTAAACTAAACAATTGTAACAATTCCAAGGTATTATATCAGTTTAAAACATTTTAACAATGAATACGATAGTATTTTATAAGACAATTTTTATTAAAGTTTCCGTTAGTGATTACTATTTTAATATTTAAAAAGAAAGAAACAACAAAATTATCATTTATAGTTGATTGGCTATCGTAAGTTGTAGTTAAAGAAGAAAACAATGTAACTTTTTAGATATTTATATGACAATTATTAAGTTCCGTTACGCAATCATCTACGCCTTGTGCATGCATGAATAATCTACAAATACTGTCACTATACATGTAATTTACATATTTTGAATTTTTTATACACCATTTTTTATCAGAATAGAATTTTTCTTTCAAAATTGCTAGGGAATTAACAATATCCAAAAGTCTCTTTTGATAATCTCCTCCGTTTGTACTTTGTAAATATCTTATAAAACTTGATGTCATTCGTGAATGTGCCTGTTTAAGTTGCGGCTGTTTACTATCAGATACAAGATTCAATGCATAGATAAATAAACTCTCTTCCATTGTAAGTTTTAAATTATCCAGTCGTTTGTGTATACTTTCGTGAAGCTCAACATTTTTTTCGTCGCTAAGATAAACCATTTTAGACTTTCCCAAAGTGAATACTTTGTCATTCAAATTGATAACGAGGCAATCGGTATTCCAATAGATGGCGGTGGTCGCCAACATTAATATGTATAGCAGGTCAGTAGATTTAACCATATGTAGAAGAAAATCTTTCGTACTCAATTCTGACATTCCTGGTAATTTTCTTGCAAATGCTAAGATTCTTCTATACCAGTAGCCTAATAGTTGTTGTGAAAAATGTGATAGTACTTTACGATCGTCTAATTCTAAACCAGTTTCTTCTAAAAAGTCCATAAAGTAATCCTTTGGAATTAATGCAAATTCTTGCGTTTTCAAGGCGTCGAGAAATACTTGATCAAAATTTGATATCTCTTGTGACCATACAACGCTCCTTATCTCGGAAAATCCGGTAGTGGCTAATGTTAGGATATCATCAACATCTGAATGCATTAGGGGATGAGGAACGTTCAATTTGCTTTTTCTCCAAAGTTCAGCTATTACTTTACTATTTTGAATTCGTTTGTGACGGCTATATGGTCCTAATTGCATGGAATCTCTCGACATTCCAAGACTCAAGCATTTTTTGTAACGGCATAAGGAACAGGCGAAAGTACAATTCCTCGATGGGGAGCATAAATGTTGTCCTGTTTTACACTTGTACTGCAAGTTCCTTTTGGAACTTCTACTGAAGAAGACCTTACATGCTTCGCACGTATACGCTCCGTAATGAATGCTGCGTAGGATAAATTAAAAGATAATGGGTGTGGTTTAAAAAAAGAAAAATACATAAATCATTAAGTCAACAAATAAGACCAAACTATAGACCTAACCCTAACCCTTTAAATCAAGCCATAGCCAACAGATAATAGATCATAGAACAAAAAGTTAATATTATTTACCAATTGTAGTTTTATAAGAGAATGGGGTCAAGTTTTTGACCAAAAATTTCACAAAGTTTATTGATTAAGTTACAACGGCAAAAGATATTGATAGTTTTACATAAAGAAAACGCTGTACTACCCAATTTACGATCAACGATACATTAAAAGTTACATTTGTGTGGTATCTCTTATCTAAATCTAGCTAAATAAATTCAATTTCTTCAAAATGGCTATCGAATGTTCCATATCTTCGAGAGAAAAGCAGACGGCCCTCATCAATTTTGTCTGATATAATAATTTTACATATTCCTTTTCTCGTGATACCCACTTTCTTTTATTCAGTGAATTTTCTTTAAAATTACTAATAAAGTTCATTAGCTGTCCAAGTCTTTGGTGAGAATTGTTTCCGTAACGACATTCTAAATATCTTGATAAAGCTACAGTTAGACGATCATGAGTTGTCTTGAAGTGAGGATGTTTTTTAGTTGGATAAAACAAATCAAGTGCAGTTATGATTATAGCTTCCTCCATTGTCAGGTTAATGTTAGCCAGGCTTTGAACGCTATCTTGATGGAGTTGTACAACAGATTCGTCTGTTAATTTGCTAATATTCTCTTTATCTATATTTAAACTTTGATCTTTTAAATTAATTACAACTCCATTGTTTTCCCAATTCATTTTGTTTTTGATTGAATCAAGAAGCTGGAAATCATCTTGATTCTGTAAAACAATCCTAAAGAAATCATCCTTTGATAATTCACTCATTCCTGGTAATTTAAGTAACGATTTTAAATAAAACTTAATTGCTACTAATGTATAAGCTTCGGTAAATTGGAAAAAGACTTTTCTATTGTCGAGTTCTACGCCTGTTGCACCGTAGATATCCATATACTGATTCTGATTGAACATACCTTCTTTAATAACTTTCTTTGATATAGAGAATAAATCATCTAATCCCTCTACACTATCTCTCCAATCTGATGTCATAAAATCGGAAAATGAGTTGTTGCAAATTAAAATGATATCTTGAGCATCGCTATGATTTAATAAATAAGGTATGCTAGATCTCTTTTGGTGAAGAATAGCTAACTGTTCCTTATTTTTCTTCAATCTTTCTCTTGAATATCTGCCTATTTTGATAGCAGTTTTTGACATGCCAACTTCAATGCATTTCTTGTATCTACATAATTGACAAATGAAGGAGAAATTCTGACTTGGAGAGCATTGGTTCCTCTTTGTGTAGCAAACATATCTCTGATATCTATCAAAGCTTCTACGAAAAAATACCTTACATGCTTCGCAGGTGTATACTCCATAATGAAAGCTGGAAAAAAAATGAAATCCTTATGGAATTGCATTTTCATATTTCTTAAAGATGAATAGACAACGCCTCTGTTATTCGTCATTAAATATATACTGAATATATATATAATCTATATTTCAACAAGCACAACAAGCTACTACAATAATTAAACAATACGAAAAGTAAATAATTAAAAAAGAAAGGGATGGAAGGAGGCGAAAATTACAATTTTAAAGTTTAAGATCTTGTAACAATGCAGCAGCTTCGTCTATATTTTCCATTGTGAAGAAAGCTTTAAAAACTTTGTTACTTTCTCGTTTATTTATGTGAGGTTTATGTTTCCTCAACCACTTTTTCATGTAGTAACGCTTTTCTTTTAAAAAACTGTCTAAATTTATTAGCTCGCTAAATCTTAAATGTTGATTTTTATCGTATCTACATTCAAGATATCTTATAAAGGCTAACATGACTCTGGATCGAAGAGTTTCCAATTGGGGGAATTTTTGTGCTGAATTTAGCATATGAATTGCAACCAGAAAGGTTGCTTCTTCGTAAGTAAGATGAGTTTCGGTAATACGATTATCATGTTCCTGTTGAATCTTCAAGCCTTGAAAATCGCATAATTTAATGAAATCTGTATAATCCATAATCATAGAATGTTTGCTATCTATATTCATTATAAGCGTGTCGTCTTGCCAATGATTTCCCGATATAACTGAAAGTAGTAGATAATAATCACCGTAATTACTTAAAACAATCCGATAAAAGTCTGCCATCGGTATTTCATTCATCCCTGGCAAACACTTAATTGATCTGAAGAAATGTTTTAAAGAAACGACTGCTATATCTTCAGAAAATTGAGCGTGTGTCAGTCTATTGTCCAATTCTATTCCTGTAACATCGTAAATATCGAAGAACTCTTGTCTATCAAATGACGCTTCCTTTAATGACTTTTCTGCCATTTGATTCAACAGGTCAAAATTTTCTATTTCGTCATTCAAATCTCTTATGAAAAATTCTGAAAAAGACTGACTACATCTTATTGTAATATCTTGAGCGTCACTATGTTGCGGTAAAAAAGGAACGATTAACTTATGATATTGTGCTTGAGCGTGACAGAGTTTATTTAGCTCTGTTCTCTGCGTGGAATATCTTCCTATTTTAATTTTATCCTTTGACATGCCTGCTTCCAAACACCTATGAAATCTGCAAAACTTGCAGACAAAAATAAACTTTTCATTTGGACAGCATTGACGTCTATTAGTAATGCAGGAGTATTGCTGATGTTGTGTTAAGCTTCTCCGAAAGAAGACCTTGCACGCTTCGCACGTGTATACACCATAGTGGAAACTGAAAAACGATTGATACATTTTCATTCTTATCAAAAGATTCTTTGATTCAAATAAACTTTTATGTTCAAATTTGTACGGAAACAAAGAGAAACGAGTGTTAGTAATTCTTTTATCGCTCATGATATGTATATTCTAATATAAATATAAAGGTATACAGTGTATGTATATATACTAATATATATATATATATATATATCATTACGATGTTTACAACTTAGTTTTCGACGTGTAAAAAGACACACTACATAACTTGCTATGAAAGTTGAACTACTAGAAATGACTACAAGTGACATATTTATGAAATAGATTAATAGTATTTCAAATATCTAGTCTGCTTAGAATCTCAACTCCTTCATCAAGATCATCGATTACGGAAAAAGCTTTTAATAAATCCGTTTTGTACATCTTTGTGAAATATTCTTCATTGTTCTTAACCCATTTTTTCTGTCGAAGATTATCCTCTCTAAAGAATGCAATTGTTGAAATAAGCTTCTGCAATCTTAAGTGATAATTACTTCCGTAGTTTTCTTCAAGATATTTAGTAAAAGCAAACATAAATCGTTGATAGAAATCTTGGAAATGTGGTTGACATTTTGTTGGACTGAGCATAAAAATAGTTGTGAGAAATATAGCTTCTTCAAATTTCAGATTAACTTCTGTTAATTTAATACCGCGTTTGTGTTGGCTCTCCGCAATTTCTTTATCAGTCATTTTAACCATATAATCACTTGGAAGTAAAACAGAACGTTGATTACCCAATTGAAAAGCTAATCCTTCCGGTGTCCAATTTGCTTTTGATGCAACTTCAATGAGTACGCAAAGATTTTCCTTATGACTTAGAATAGTTTTATAAAAATCTTTATGATTCAGTTGATTTAGACCAGGAAGTCGTCTGAGACATCTCATAATTCTCTTGTATAAAACTTCAATAAAAATTTCAATGAATCTGGTATAACTACTTCTATCATCAATCTCTATTCCTGTAACTTCTAAAACATCCATGTATTCTTGTTTTGTATAAATACCACTAGACATTGAATGTAATGCTCTGGAAAATATATGGTTAAAATTTTCCACTTCTAGTGCCCAGTTTTCAACTAATAAATCTCTGAAAGATTGGTGGCATATTATGATCATATCTTGCGAATCCGAATAAATTGATAGGTATGGTACCATTATCTTTTTCATTTCAATATTGGCTAATTGCTGCTTGTTTTCTTTATGTCTTTGCTTTGTATATCTTCCTACTTTAGTTTTAGCCCTAGACATTCCTACGTCTACACATTTGTTGTATCTGCACTGCTTGCAAGGGAATAGGTAATCTTTGTCAGGGAAACAATGACCCTTTTGCGTGATACAGACGAAGCTTTCATATTTCTCCTTGCTTCTACGGAAAAAAACTTTACAGGCTTCACAGGTATAAGCTCCATAATGAAAACTGCAAAAAAAAGGATTTTCCACTGATATCCATGAAAGCGAAATGTAAATGTGCCAAAAAATTAGATCGAAATAAAAACAAAAAAGTTAAGATAGACGAAAATCTCAGTTACTACAAAATGGACTTAAATGGATAGCTCATGGTATTCTATTTTAACAATGAAAATTGTCGGCCATCTTTAATTATTGAGTAGTAATAGAACAATAACAAAATAACAATATTCCCCTACAAAAAAGGTGTTAGCTCTATAATGGAAATTGCAACAACTGTTGAAAATTTTCTACAAGCCTTTTCTTTTTATTGAAAACTTAAAATCTTTACAAAATTAACGAGATGAACAATTTAGGGCAAAAAGAAATGCGAAAATAGTGTTCACATCTTAACTGCATCATAGAACGTTTCAGATCTCAACTACAATAGCTAAAATAGCGGTAAAGATCAATAGAAGTTATATATTATAGTTTGTTTCATATTTCTAAATTGGCTAAGAGTTCAATACCCTTATCAATTTCTGGTGTTGCCATAAATGCTCTCATCAAAGGTGTTTTGTAAATTGCCTTTAAATACGTTTGGTTCTGTTTTAACCATGCTTTCTCATGAATATTTTCCTCTTTGAAATAGGTAACAACTGAAATAAGTTCCTGCAATCTGAGATGGTATTGTTTTCCATAAGTTTCTTCAAGATATCTAGAAAAAGCTAATACGAATCGATCGTAAATATCCCGAAATTGTCGACTAGTCTTGATTGTGCATAGCATATTTATTACAGTGAGAAACATGGCTTCTTCAAATTTAATATTAGCTTTGGCTAATCTAATACCGCATTCCCTTTGCATTTCTAATATTGGCTCATCACCCAGATTATTAAGATATTCAGTGGGAAACGTAAATGACTCTTTATCATCTACTTTAAAGACAATTCCTTCGGAAGTGAAATCAGTTTTTGAAGTGACAGCAAGTAAAATAGTAATATCAGTCTTGTTACTGAGTATAACTTCAGTAAATTCTCTATGAGATAGTTTATCAAGTCCAGGAATCTTTCTGATAATTTTTAACGCTTTTTTATATGAAACATTCATAATAGCTTCAATAAATCTTGTATAAAGACCTCTACGATCTATTTCAATACCTGTAATTTCTAATGTATCCATATATTCTGCTTTTGTATAAATTCCTTGTGAAACAGCATTGGTAGCTTGATGAAACAATTCCCTAAAATTTTCTATTTCAAGATTCCAATCTTTAATGACAAGATCTCCAAAAGATTGATTACAAATTACAATAATATCTTGCGAATCAGAGAAATTAAGCAGATATGGCACAATTAACTTGGTTTTTTCAATAATAGCTAAATGTTTCTTATTCCTTTGATGTCTATCTTTGGTATATCTTCCCATTTTAGTATTACCTTTAGACATTCCTATATCTATGCATTTATTATATCTACAATATTTGCAAATGAATGAATAACTGTCATTCGGAAAACATGAATATCTTTGAGTAATGCAAACGAATGTTGTATATTTATCCATACTTCTGCGAAAAAAGACTTTACAAGCTTCGCACGTATAAGCTCCATAGTGGTAGCTGCAAATAAAGGAATTTCCAATACATTCTCTAACTTTTCAAAGATTAAGAAGTTAAAACTTTAACAAATACATCTAATAAGCTTTTCTTTACGATGACTCTTATAGTATAGATTGATTATAATTGAACAACTATATCTTTTACATAATCTATGATTTTGATGAATATCTGTATTTTTTTTACAAATAATACAAATGATAAAAGACAGTTTGGACAACATAACTCTATCACTTCGCAAAACCGTTTGCCTATATCTTTAATCCTTTTAAAAGTTCAACACCTACATCAAGATCGGGTTCCGCAATAAATGCTCTCATAATATTTGTTGTATATATCATTTTTAAGTAATTTTCATTCTTCTTTAACCATTTCTTTCCTTGGTGTATCGACTCTTTAAAATATGTTGATAGAGAGATCAATTCTTGTAATCTCTCATGATATTTATTTCCATAGTGCTCTTCAAGATAATTAGTAAAAGCTAGCAAAAATCGATGTTGAAAATCTTGAAGATGAGGATGTGTTTTTGTTGGACAGAACATTTGTATTGCGGTAAGAAATACTGCTTCGTCAAATGTTAAACCTATATCTGTTATTTTTTTCCCAGCGTATGCTTGTTTGTTAGCTATATCGCTGTCTGACATTTTTGCTAGATAGTCAGCTGGTAATATTATTTTATGATTATCATCTAATCGAAAAGTTACTCCTTCTTGAGACCAATTTACCTGTGAAGCAATCGCCATAAGGACATATATATTCTCCTTGTGACTGAGTACAGTTCTAAAAAAATCTTTATCAGGTAATGTATCTAAACCAGGTAGTCGGCGAAGACACTTTAGTGCTCGCGTATACGTGACAACCATGGTAGTTTCAACAAATTTTGAGTAGTTCCGCCTGTGATCAATCTCAACACCTGTTACTTCTAAAACATCCATATATTGTTCTTTTGAATAAATATTTTGCGATACGGTACCCAATGCTCTTTGAAATAGTTCAGTAAAATCTTCAACTTCAGCAATCCAGCTTTTAATTGTGAAATTTTCAAAAGATTGATTACATATTATCACAACGTCTTTTGCATCGGAATATTGAAGTAGATAAGGTATTTTAGATTTCCTCATATTAAAATTAACCAACTGCTTTCTGTTCTCTTCGTGTCTTTCTTTCGAATATCTACCTATTTTAGTTTTACTCTTGGACATACCTAAGGCAATGCATTTTTTATATCTACATCGTTTGCAAGTGAATGTGTTAAATTTTGTTGGAAAGCAGGAATTCCTCCTAGTATTGCAAACATATGTGTTATGTATATCCATACTTCGTCGGAAAAAAACTTTACAGGCTTCGCAGGTGTATGCTCCATAGTGGAAACTGCAAAAAAAAAATAAAAAGTCTCTACTGCATTCGCCAATTCTTTCTGGATTTTTTTCCCAACAAATTTAATCTACTTTTCAAACAGATATCAATAAACATAAAATAGAAAGACGATACGTATAGTATATTACATTTTGTATTAAATTTTTGTATTACGAAGTATTCAATAAGATAAAACTAATCAATCTGTCAAGTTCAACTCTTGTAAAAGGGCTTCTACATCATTTGGGGAATGTTTATCAACGATTATTTTTATGTAGTTTGATTTATAGACAGTAGTTAAATATTCTCTCTCTTCTTTTATCCATTTATTGGAATATAGACTTTGAAGTTTTACAATGCTAAAAAGGTTCATAAGTTCTCTTAACCTTAAATAGTATTTACTACCGTATTGATTTTCAAGATATCTATAAAATGCAATGATAAGCATTTCGTATATTTCTTTCACACCTGGAGTTATTGCATTAGGAGTAAAGACATTGAGAGTAGTTAGAAAAAGATTTTCCTCAAACGTAAGATTTGCTTCAATAACAGCATCAAGAGGTGCTTCAATAGAGTCAACAACCTTAGGAGTTGATAGATTAACTAATTCATTTTTTTTTATATATAAAGTATGATTATCATCAAGCTTAAATATGAACGAATGATTGTTCTTAGAGATATTTAAAATAGCTGTCCAAATAAAGCCTACATTAGATGAATTTTTAAGGAGATTTAAAATAAATTTGGAGTTTATCAGCTTTTCTGTTCCCGGTATTTTTCTTAGTGATGATAAGAAATGTTTGAAATTTACATTCATAACCTTTTCAAAGAACTCAGTGAACACTCTACGAGTGTCTACCTCCACACCTGTGGTCTTTAAAATATCCATGTATGTATCTTTATTAAAAATTCCATCGTCCATAGTTTGGCTAGCATTTAAAAATTTCTTGTGAAATCCTTCTATCTCATTAGCCCAATAAACTGAAGGTGTATTGGAAAATGCAGCCAGACAAACTGTGATAATATCGTCAGCTTTGGAATGCCTTAAAAGATGTGGAATATCTAGCTCTCTCTTATTATTTTGTTTCACTTTATCTTTATTCACTCTGTGCGTTTCGTTACTATATCTTCCCTTTTTAATGTTGTCTTTAGACATTCCAACAGATAAACACCTATTATATCTACACAGCCTACAAGCAAACGAACAATTTTCCATAGGAAAGCAAAGCTTTCTCTTAGTAATGCATTCAAACTGCTTGTACTTTTCGATACTTCTACGAAAGAAAACTTTACAGGCTTCGCAGGTGTAAGCGCCATAATGGTAACTGGAAAAAAGAAATTCTCCTTTCAATTACAAAAATTACCATAATACTGAAGTCAATAATAATTAATAGACAGTTCTACAGCTTAGTTTTTTCTATTTCCAAGCGTTAGATCTGAGAAAATGACAATTACGAAAACATCTTGTTTTACTACGTTTAAAATATTTTTTACTTTATTCTTAATATTATTATAATGAAACTATCTTACAAAATACGTTTTCATGAATCAATTAGTAAAACCTCTATAAACAAATAAAAACAAAGCAAGCTTAATCATATCTTAAGTTCTTTTAGTAGAGTATTAGCTTGTTCTAGAGGTAGGTTTTTCGTAAATATTTTCATAATTTTAGACCTATAGACTGTATTCAAATACTCTTCATTATCTCGTAACCATTTTTGTCCAGTTCTAGCATGAAGTTTTAAGGAACTCATTAAATTCACTAGTTCAATTAATCTTATATGATATTTCGTTCCATACTGACTTTCAAGATATCTTGTAAAAGCGAGAATAAATCTTTGATGCATATGTATCAAATGACGCCTTTCCCTTTTAGGGTATAGCAAATTGAGAGATACCAAGAATGTTGTCTCTTCAAACGTTAAATTTGTTTTTTCTATTAGACGGCTGCATTCTTGGTGAACAGCTGTCATTCCAGGATCACACATATTTATGAATTGCTGCTTGGTCATCTCTAATATGTGTTCGTCGTCTAATTTCATAAGTAATGAATCATTGACCCATTTGTTACCTTGTGAAATCGCAATAGGCAATTGCACATCTTCCTTATTTTCCAAGATTGTCAGAACAAACTCGATTGCAGATAGTTCATCCAATCCTGGAAGATTTCTTACAGAAGAGGCAAAGCGAGCGAAAGTTGATTTCATTATTTTTTCGCAAAATTCTCCAAAAACACGTCTACTATCGACTTCTACTCCTGTGACTTTATAAATATCCATATATTCATCTTTACTGAAGAATCCTCGTTCGGTTACTGCTTTAACGCGTTGAAATTCGCGGTCAAATTCTTCAATTTCACTATGCCAATTAATATTCAGAAAATGGGAAAAAGAGCAATTACAAGCCATGATAATATCTTGGGAATCTGAATGCTTTACTAAAAATGGGATTGTAAGTTTGTTTTTCTCTAAGACCTCAAGTTTGTATTTATTCTGTTTATGCCTTTCTCTAGAATATCGACCTATTTTAATGTTATCTTTTGACATTCCTATTTCCAAACACTTGTTATATCTGCAAAGTTTGCAGACAAATAAGTGATCTTCAGTAGGGAAACATTGATTTCTCCTTGTAATGCAAACGTATGTTTGGAATTTGTCAGAACTTCTACGGAAGAAAACTTTACAAGCTTCGCAGGTGTATGCCCCGTAATGGAAGCTGCAAAAAAAATAACTTTCCAGTGCATTTTGCTAAATCTAACATTTGAAAGTCCAAATATATTTATGAACAATACCAATTAAAATTGACAAAGCGCACTCAAGCATTAATCTTTTCTATTGATATAAGATACTTTAGACAGATATATTGTCATTTGTTTCAGGAAAGAAGACAAATACGAATGGCCTTATTAATCGCCTTATCAAAGTAATACACGAAACAAAGATTTTATATAATAAGCGTTAGTTTTTCAACTTTGCTACTTTATTTTCATGGTTTTATAGAGTAAGATTCATTAGTAGCTCTACAGCTTGTTCAAGTTTTAAATTCATAAAAAAGATTTTCATTATATCACTTTGATATATAATGTTAAGATATTCCTCGTTTTCAGTCATCCAGTTTTCTAGTAAAAAGAAACTTTCCCTCATAGATGCCATCAAATTTACAAGTTCTGCTAGCCTGACGTAATATGTTTTACCGTAGTTGGCTTCCAAATATCTAGTGAAAGCCAGAGTCAATCTCTCATGAATACCTTTGAGATTAGGATACTTTTTTATTGGAGTGCTCATATTTAAAGCTATCATCAATATTGCCTCTTCATAAGTAATACTAGCGTTAATTATACGATTGGTATTCTCTTCATAGGCTGTGGCTACCTGATTACCAGACAAATTATTTATATCGGATTTATTAAGGCTAATCTTATATTTATCATTTAAATTGATAATTAACTTTTCTTCACTCCATAAATTTCGTAAGGCAACTGTAATTAATAGGAACATATCGTGTTTATTCCTAAGAACAATTTGGTAGACATCTTCAAGAGATAAACTATCCATGATTGGTAAACTCCTTATAGCGCTAAAGAAAACTTTAAATGAAGTATGCATAATTGATGCTGTAAAGTTAACGAAAGCTTTTCGACTGTCTACTTCAATTCCAGTTACCTTATAGATATCCATATATTCATCTTTACTAAACGTACCTTGATCGACAAACCCTTTAGCCTTATTATATATATCATTTAATCCTTGGATTTCGCTACCCCAATCAATATGGAAAAAATTGTTAAATGATGTTCTGCAAGCTATGATCATATTATGAGAATCTGTATACTTTGGTAAATACGGAACAGATAATTTTTCCTTTTCAATATGAGTTAATAAGAGATCTTTTTGTTCATGCATTCTCTTTGAGTATCTTCCTATTTTAATATTTCCTCTGGACATTCCTACAGCCAAACACTTTTTATATCTACAAAATTTACAGGAGAAAGCATAATCGGTATTCGACACACATTGTTTTCTGTTTGTAAGACACACATAATCGATGTATTTCTTTGAACTTCTAGTGAAGAAAACTTTACAACCCTCGCAGGTATAAGCCCCGTAATGGAAGCTGGAAAAAACGAAGTCATATGGATTTTTAGTATATTATAAAAAAAGTTGACAATTCATTTTTTCCAACATATTAGAATAATGAAAAAGAAGTTGATATATCAATTGATAGGTTTGGGAAAAGTGAGAAATAGGCAAACAGTTATAATATTATCTATTATTGAATATTTTTTAAAGTATTTGATATGGTTATACTCTATTTCTGTGCCTTTCGTTACTATATTTTCCCCTTTTTTAATATCTAGACACTCGAACAAAACTAAACACTTTTTTACAAACTTACAAAGTATATTGACTCAGTTAATAGAATCTTGGTGTGAGTGATAATACAACATAAAGACAGAAGGTGAATTTTATCTAAAGTTCTTTTAATCTTTTCAAATTGTTCAGATCGTTATATGTCGCAAAATATCGGCAAAACTGTTTATTCATAAAAGTTTGTCATAAAACTTGTGAAAGGAAATGCAATTATCCTTTGCAAACATATTTAGCATAAAAATAAAGAAAGGAATAGTGAATAAACTTTACTATTTCACTTATTTAACGAATTACAAACAGTGCTGTTAATAAGTTATCATTTGGTATTTAGACTTTAATCATTAACAATAGTCATTATAAAGAAGAGAACAGTTGTATTTCACAGTTTTAGGCTTTTCATTTCTCCAACAAGTGATGTTGCTTTAATATGATGCGAAAGTAAATTATAGAAGAGGGGAGATTTACAAAATGTCATAAAATAATTTTTTGATTTTGACAGGAGAAAACCTTTACGATTGTTGAATACTCGCTCTTTATAGGTACTTAGAGTTGATATAATTTGAGCCAGCCTTATATGATACCTACTACCGTATTTATTCTCAAGATATCTGGTAAAAGCTAATGTGAATCTTTCATATATACCGTGAAGTTGTGGATATTTAGTTGTGGGTTTAAGAAAATTAAGAGTAGTGATAAAAATTGCTTCCTCAAATGTTATATGTAACTGCGACAGTATCTCTATTGTTTCTTTTTGACTATCTAGTAGGTTTACATCTACTATTTGTGCTAAGCTCGACTTAGGTATATTAAGAGTAAGGTTATCATCAAATGGAATGGCCAAGGAATCATTTTTCCAGAGTGATAGCGAGAAACTAGCCATAATCAAGTTTACGTCTTCTAGGGACTCTAGAGCTTTTGAAAAAAAATCTTCAGGCTGTAGTTCTTTGGCAATAGGCAAATTTATCAACGCTTCTGAAAATCCGTTAAATACAGTTGTTATTATCATTTCAAATAATTCAGCGAATACGCGTCTATTGTCTATTTCTACTCCAACTGTTTCGTATATGTCCATAAATTGCTCAGAATTATAAAGATGATCATCAAATACTTCATTAACCCTTAAGACTTTTTCCCTAAGGCCGTCAACTTTCGTGGTCCAGTCTTTAATTGGAAATAAAGAAAAACAATTTTGACATAAAACTACAATATCTTGTGAATCGCTACCAATTGGAAGATAAGGTATATTTATGGATTTGTTTTTTAGGTCTTTTAGAGTTTTCCTATTCTTTTCATGCCTCTCTAACGAATATCGTCCAATTTTTATGCTATCTTTGGACATTCCAATCTCAACACATTTATCAAATCTACACTTTTTACAAGCAAACCTAAAGTTTTCACCCGGAAAACATAAATTCTTCTTAGTTACGCAAACGTAGTTTGAGGGCCTTGTCAGACTTCTTCGATAGAATATTTTGCAAGCTTCACAAGTATTTGCCCCATAATGAAAGCTGGAAAAAAACGTAAATCTGCTTTTCATTCATAGTTTTATTTTAAAAGAATAATGTGGAACGTCAGAGAAAAAAAATGGACAAAGACTAATAAAAGTTATGTTATGAATTAATTATTTCACAAGACTTTAACATATTGAGACATTTATCATAATCCGCTTCAAATAGTACGTCTTTAACTAATTTAGTACGATAGAATGATTTAATATAATCCATATGTTCAATAATGTTTTTAACTCCATGAAAGAGTTGCACTTTAGTATAACTTACAAAGTCAATTATTTCAAATAATCTTTTATGATAGTTTTTACCGTGTACAGATTGAAGATAGCGTGTAAATGCCAAAGTAAATCTTTCGTATTGTCTTTTAAAATGTGGATTTTCAACAGTTGGTTTTAGAGCGTTAAGGGCAACTATGAATGCTGTTTCTTCAAATGTCATATTTATATTTTGAGCACGAGAACTAATCTTTTCTTGACATTGTACTAGTGATTCATCTGAAAAGTTAACGATATCTTCTCTAGAAACCTCTAAAGAATGATCAGCGTCAAGATTTATGATTACTCTGTTATCTTTCCATAGAGCCCCTCCTGAGCAGGCTATTATAAAATGAATTTCATCTTTCTGAGCAATGACTACTCTACAAAATTCATCAAAATCAAGATCGTGCAAAGCGGGTAAACTTCTCAAGCCTTGTACAAAACGAGTTAGAACAGTTTCATGAACTTGTTCCATGAATTGCATAAAAACACGTCTTCCATCAATATCAGTTCCTGTTACCTTATAAATATCCATAAAATCATTTCTTGGAAAACTACCTGATTCTAAACTCTGCACTGCCTGCTTAAATTTTTGTTCAAAGCCTTCCATTTCATTATGCCAACATATATTTAAAAAAAATGATAAAGAGTCTCTACATTTGATAATAACATCTTGCGAATCCGTATAATTTACTAAATACGGAACTGTTTGTTGTTTTCTACTTCTCTCAACCAACATTAATCGATTCTCAGCATGTCTTTCTTTAGAATATCTCCCCATTTTTATAGACGTTTTAGACATTCCCACCTCTAAACATCTAGCATATCTGCAATATTTACAAACGAACGTAAAATGATTCGTAGGATTGCATTGTTGCCTCTTATTAATACAATAGAAACCACTGGACTTTCCGCAACTTCTCCGAAAGAATACTTTACAAGCTTCGCATGTATACGCTCCATAGTGGAAGCTGTAAAAAATAAAACCTTCCTTGCAAAAAATTCATTTCACTAAGATATTTACAATCTAACAATAAGCCACTCTATTGAAAAAAAAACAGTTGATTCTGCTTCTCATTCCTTTATTAGTGGGAAAATAAAACATGCAATATAAACTTTACAGCCCGTCCAGTCGTTTATAATATCAACAATCCCTTATCTTTTTGTACAATTCAAAATTGAAATTGTATAATCAAGTATTTAATTAATCAATTATTTATTAAATAACAATTATTCATTGAATAGTTTACGCACATCATTAATATTATTCAAAGTAAAAAGTTGTATACAGAATCCATAACCGTTAATTTCTTTAAAATAATCTAAATTGGTATTATACCACTTACAAATACATTTAACTAAATTTCTTAGAAATGATACTGTATTAACTATTTCTAATAGTCTACGATGATACGAATTACCATAATTATCGTTAAGATAACGAAAGAACAATAATGTAAATCTATCGTGTAATTGTTTAAAATGGGGAAATTTCTTATCAGGATTTAACATCTTTAAAGTAAAAAGAAAATATATCTCTTCAAATGTCAATTGTAGATTTGTTAATTTAGTTAATTGATCTATTTCAATTTCAACTAATACTTTATCAGTTAAATTTGAATAATCATAGCTATTTAATGCTAAATGATGATCATTATCTACTTTTATAGTAATATTTTTACCATCAGCAGAAAATCTACTGGCCATATTAATAAATATGATAACATCATCGAAATACTTGAAGATAATTTGTAAAATATCGTCTTTTGAAAGACTTTCATATCCTGGAAAACTATTTAACATTGTAACAAGCTGTTTAAAACCAAATTCAACAATTGTGTTGATAAATTGAAAATAGTGCTTTCTATCATCAATTTCTAAACCAGTTAATTTCAATATATCTAAATATTGTTCTCTTGAATAAGAATGTCGATTTACTAAATTTTCAATTCTAATGAAATTACTTTCAAAATTTTTAAATAGAGAATTAAACTTAAAACTATTAATTTGGTCAAAGAAATTTGAACATCTTATAATAAGATCTTGAGAGTTTGTATCATTTAAAAGAAAAGGTATTGCTCGCTTCTTTCTTTCGATAGTTAGTAGATAATTTCTATTTTTTAAATGTCTTTCTCTTGTATATCTTCCATGTCTAATAGCGTTCCGAGACATTCCAACCGCAATACACTTTCGAAATCTACACGATTTACACTTGAACCGAAAATCGGAGGAGGGAATACAGTTATTTCGCTTAGAAATACATTTTTCCAAGTTTACACTTCTAGAAGATCGTCTGTAGAAAGTTTTACACGCTTCGCAAGAATGACATCCATAATGGAAACTGGAAAACAAAATATCACAGTTGCAGTCATCCTGTTTTTTTTAAAACCAAAATATCTAAGCGATAATCATAAATCACTTTTGTTTCTTTGTATAAATTTATAATTTATTTAAATTTTAAAACAATCTCTCAAAGCAGAAGTTACATACTTTTCTCTTTAAGCGTTTATACAATTTATCCTATACTTTATAAATAAATTGATAAATAGTGATGTAAATACAGAAATAATAACATATGAATATTAAATATTTAATGTATATTATAGTGCTAGAGATTGTAAAAGGTTCATAGTTTCCCTTATATCCATATCTAACCACACATGGCGGAGAAGTTCAGGTCTACAATGGATTGTGCTTAAATATTCAAAATTGTTAGCAATCCATTTATCTCCAATTAGATATGCTTCGTTGAAATAGCTAAATAGATTCATCAATTGAAGAAATCGTAAATAGTATTTATTTGAATATTGACTTTTTAAATATCTTGTAAATGCAACTGCTAATCGATGATGAAACTCTTTAAAATGAGGAAACTTTTTATTTGGTGAAAATAGTCTTAAAGCTATTATTAAAAGTGCCTCTTCAAAAGTAATGTTAGCCTCCGTGATACGAATACAAGCTTCTTCTTCCAAATTAACCGCTTGATCGTCTAATAGGGATTCTAAAATTTTCTTTGGTACTTTTAATTGATGTTTATCATCGAAATTAATTATAATGATTTCATCTTTCCATATAATTCCACCAACAACATAGATAAGAAGTTCAATGTCATGTTTGTGTGCAAAGAAGACTTTGTAATAGTCTTCTTCGCTTAAAATATCTAATCCGGGGAGCTTTTTTATACATTTCATAAAGTGTAGGAATGAACTAACGATTATAGAATCTATAAGACTAGAAAATCCTTTTCTATTATCAATCTCAATGCCTGTAACTGAAAGTATATCCATAAAATCATTTTGTGGGAAAAATCCTTCTTCAATTAGTCTAGCGGCATTCTTAAATTTTATATCAAAATCTTTAATGGTACTCTGCCAATCCAAGTTTAAAGTTTCTGAGAATACATTTGAACACATAATAATAAGATCTTGCGAATCGGTTTGATTAAATAAATAAGGTACTTTTTCAGATTTAGCTTGTGAATTCTTAACGTACATTTGTAAACTTTTTAATCTTTCTCTTGTTGTCCTTCCTATTTTGGACGAATTTAACGACATTCCGATCGCAAGACAGCGTTTAAATCGACAAGATCTACATATAAATTTCATTTGTTCTGTTGCTATACATGCATTATCGTTAGCAATGCATTTCAAATTATTTGGACGTAGTACAGTTCTTTTGAAGAAAGCTTTGCATGCTTCGCAAGTATACGCTCCATAATGATAACTGCAAAAAAAATTTCTTCTTGCAATCTTCCTTATGAAATGTTTATACAGTATTAAATACAATGAGCACATATACACCTCAATATTTCGTCACTATAATAAATTAATAGGAATGTTTAGAGACGAAAATCGAATAAGACTCATATAATCTATTTTATAATCACTAAACGAAGATCTTATAAGTCCCGCAAAGATTTGAAAACTGGACAAATAAATAAAACCACTGTTTATAACACTAGATTACAAATGATAAAAGAAAATTGATGGTCAAGGTGACTTTTTTTCATTATTTATTATGCAATTAAATAAAATGTTCACTATTGATAATGTAATAAAGTTAAAAATAGAGTCAACACCTACTACCATTACAACGTCGATCCAACAAACTATGAATATCTACTGAAGCAATTTTCAAAATTCATGTGGCATAAAAGCTTCTACGAGGTATTAAACCTCCACTGAAACGCGTTTCATTTTGCATGACAGCAAACTAACAGTTGAAGAAAAATCTTCGAAATTGTGTTCGGTCCAGAACTTTGAAAAGCAACCACCATTATCAATTTGATTGACATAGTCTAGATTCTTTGTCACCCATTTGCGAAAAAATAGCGATGTTCTCTTAAAAAGTGCTACAAAGTTTACAATGCTTAATAATCTTCTGGGATAAGAATTACCATAGGTACTTTCAAGATACCTGGTAAATGCTATTAGGTAACGATTATAATATAATCGTAAATTTTCGTTTCCCTTGATTGGATTGAGGAGACTAATTATAAGTAGGAAAATTGATTCTTCAATAGTAAAATTAAGATTTTGAATTGATTGAAGGACGGTTTCTTCGGAAATGACAAAATTAGCGTCTGTTAAATTCTTGAAATCATCTTTTTTAAGGGTTAAAACGTAACCATCGCCTAAATTGCACGAGAGACCATCTTCAGTCCATATTAATTTGCTAGTTGAGCTGTTAAATATTTGAATATCATCTTTATGGGAAATAAGAAGGTGAAAAAACTTCTCGTCGCTTAGTTCTTTTAATCCCGGTATTTTACTAACTGCATTAATGAAACGTGTTGATGATATTTCCATAACACTATTTAATATGCTCATAAACGACTTTCTATAGTCGATTTCAAGACCAGATACTTGAAATATCTCCATGTAATCGTTCTTTGGAAATATTCCATCCTCACAAACGGCAGACGCGTTTCTGAATTTTGTTTGAAAATCAGATATTTCTTTACTCCAATCAATCTTAACTGCATCATGAAATATATTCATACATTGTATGATTAGATCTTGGGAATCCGTATGATTGATTAGATATGGTACCGTTTTTTTACTATTTTCAATTCTTGTTAATAAGATTTTGTTTCTATTATGTATTCGCTTAGTGTATCGTCCAGTCCTTATGGCATGTCGAGACATTCCAATATCTAGGCATTTTTTAAATCTACAAGCCCTGCATTGAAACCGAAAATCGGGTGCTGGTGTGCAGACTTTACGTTTTGTAACACATTCATAATCTATCGAACTCTTCAATGATCGTCTAAAGAAGACTTTACAGGCTTCACAAGTATAACATCCGTAATGAAAGCTGTAAAATAAAAAACAACCCTAAATACAGGTAACCTTTATTCCAATAAATGCATATATAGTTTTAACAGGGACAGTAACTTTATACATTAAATCTCCAAGAACACAAGTAAAATGAAGCATTTTTATAAGTAGCTTTTCTTAAGAATTTAGAATCTGTTTATATATTTTCATATATTCATTTTCTTCTTTCACCATCCAAACTCTAGTATTACGATTCATTTTTTGAAAGAGATGTAGATTTTGTAAAATCCACTTATGCCCATAGTGATATTGTTCTTTATACAGTGATAATAAATTCATAAGTTGTAACAATCTTTTATGAGACGAAACTCCAAATGCATTATCTAAATATCCTTGAAAAGCGACCAGAAACCGATTTTGTAATATACGAAATTGTGGACACCGACTGTTTGGAGTCAGTATGTGTACACCTAATAAGAATATAGCTTCTTCATATGTTATGTTGACCTCTGCTAGAGTATCACAATACTTTTTAGTCAAATCAGCAAGATTAGAATTACATAAATTTTCAAAATCTCCACGTTTTATCACTAATGAATGGTCTTTGTCTAATCTAAATACTACGCTATTATCTGTCCATGTAAGTCTCCCTGTAAAAGTTAGAAAGAAACGAATATCGTCTAGGTGGTTGTGTACATTTGAAAAAAATGTTCTATCATTAAGATCCTCAAAACCGGGAAAACTTCTTAAAGTTGAAAGAAACTTTTTCATTCCTCTATGAATTAAAAGATCCATCAAGTCAAGGAATTGTCTTCGATTATCTATTTCAACTCCCGTTACATTCATAACATTAAAAAACTCATCTTTCGGAAAAAAACCTTGCTGAAATATTGCTGATACACTTGAGAATATTTCGTCAAAATTATCTATCTCTTTCCTATAATTAAAGTCAAGAAACGGGGAAAAAACATTCGTACATCGAATGAAAATATCTTGAAAATTGGAATTCTTTGGCAGAAAGGGAATAATATCTTGTTTCTCTTTCGAATTCAGAAGGTTTAAAGCATTTTGCTTAAGTCTTTCATTACTATATCTTCCCATTTTAATTGCTTTTTTAGACATTCCTACCTCAACACATTTCATAAACCTACAATATTTGCATGGAAATATATGATTTTCCAATGGAACACAAAGACCCTTATTAGTTTTACAAGGATAGGGTGTAAACTTTTGTATCGATCTTCTGAAGAAAACTTTACAAGCTTCACACGTAAAGGCTCCATAGTGTAAGCTGAAACAAAAAATTAAGTCTCATTTTCGTCAAGGTTTCTTAACTAACTCCTTATTACAGAAATATTATCAGAATAATTTTTGCATCAATTAAGGAATGAAAATAGAGGTAGAGCAATACTGTTGACGTTTACTTAATTATTATGAAAGAGGGAAGGCAGTAATCCTCTGTAGAATTCTTAATTCATCGACTTTCTTTACAAAAGTGCAAAAGAAATTAACACTATTTATTTGTTATCAATTTCAACTTATGCAAGATTTTACAAGTTCATATAGACATTTGTATTAAATACTTCGACTGAAGAAAACTTGACAGTTTGGTTCCTATTAAACTAAATGTCCGTCTCTCTTCGATTAAACATTCGGATTAAAATGTCTTGGTCAATCATACTGGGAGCAAGAGCAATTTTTTCGATCATACATTCAAATAATTGACAATCCTATTATAAATTTTCTAAAATTATGATAAAGTAGGTTGTGTATTACAATTGTTAGTGAAATTAATAAGCGAATGTTATGCAATGGTTTTATGTATAGTTTTCATTGAGAGTTCAAGATTTGCTTAAAAGCTTTGATGTATTCATTTTCATCATTCACAATCCAGATTCGCGTTATATTGTTGATATCTTTCAGATGCAGATTTTGTAAAATCCATTTACGGTCAGAGTTATATTGCTTAGTATAGACTGATAATAAATTCATTAATTGTAGCAATCTCTTATGAGACGAAATTCCAAATACATTATCCAAATATCCTTGAAAAGCAATGATAAACCGATTTTGCAATACACGAAATTGTGGACATCGACTATTTGGACTCAGTATGTATATACCTAATAGGAAAATCGATTCTTCATATGTTATATTGACCTCTCCTAAAGTTTCACAGTACTTTTTAGTAAAATCAACAAAACTAGAGTCACTTAAATTTTCCAAATCTTCACGTTTTATCACTAATGAATGATCTTTGTCAAAGGTATGTACTAAAGTGTCATCTACCCATTCAAGTTTCCCAGAAAGTGTTAGAAAGAAACGAATTTCAACAAGATGACTGTGCACATTTGAAAAAAATGTTCTATCATCAAGATCCTCAAAACCGGGAAAACTTCTTAAACTTGAAAGAAATTTTTTCATTCCTCTATCAATGACAACATCCATCAAGTTAAAGAGTTGTTTTCTATTATCTATTTCTACACCTGTTACATTCATAATATTATAAAACTCATCTTTCGGATGAAAACCCTGCTGACATATTGCTGATAGACTTGCGAATAATTCCTCGAAATTATTTATCTCTTTTCTAAGGTTTAAATCAAAGAATGGAGAAAATACATTTGTGCAGCGTATGAAAATATCTTGAAAATTTGAATTCTTTGGCAAGAAGGGAATAATGTCTTGTTTCTCTTTCGAATTCAGAAGGTTTAAAGCAATTTGCTTAAGTCTATCATTACTATATCTTCCCTTTTTAACAGCGTTTTGGGACATTCCTACCTCAATACATTTGGAAAGTCTACAAGATTTGCATAAGAACGTATGATTTTCCAATGGAACACAAAGGCCCTTATTAGTTTTACAAGGATAGGGTGTAAGCTTTTGTAACGATCTTCTGAAGAAAACTTTACAAGCTTCGCAGGTATAGACGCCATAGTGTAAGCTGAAACACAGAATTTAAGTCCGAATTTTCAAAACAGAGATTTATTCTACATTAAACATAAAGATCTTGCCCGACCAAATGTTTTGAAAGAAACCAGTGGATTAGAGATAGCATCTTTTTTACAATATTAAACAGTTTATTCAGATCGCATTTTGCTAAATATTAATCACTCCTGGACTTTAAAGGTAACTAATACATACAAAAACACTCAATACAAATATTTCCTTCAGTGGTTCAGATATGTTATAGAATTTTATATATTTATTTTCATCATTTGTTATCCAGATTCTGGACATGTTGCTGTTATTTGAAAGCTGTAGATTTTGTAAAATCCATTTAGGACCATAGTTATATTGTTCAGTATATAGAGATAATAAATTCATGAGTCGTAATAACCTTTTATAAGCTGAAACTTGCAATATTAAATATTATTGGCTTTCTGCTAAATTTTACTTCCTTGTCCATAAAACTTTCAAGATGAGAAATCTCGTCCATCGTTCTCGGAGCAATTACAATCGTCTATGTAATGCATACAAATAATTGACAATCTATATAAAATTTTCTAAAATAATGAACAGGACGCCCTATTTAAAAAATTTAAATGTAATTACTATTTTACCAATTTATGCAATGTTTTAAATACATTTCTTTAAGTGTTCAAGATCTGTTTATAAATTTTGATATATTCCTTTTCGTCCTTTACTATCCAGATTCTGGAGATATCGTTTTGTCTAGTAAGATCAGGATTTTGTAAAATCCATTTACGACCATAGTTATATTGCTCAGTATACAGGGATAATAAATTCATGAGTTGTAACAATCTTTTATGAGATGAAACTCCAAATAAATTATCCAAATATCCTTGAAAAGCGACGAGAAACTGATTTTGTAATACTCGAAATTGTGGACATCGATTATTGGGAGTCAGTATGTATATACCTAATAGAAAAACTGATTCTTCATATGTTATGTTGACTTCTGCTAAAATATCACAATACTTTTTAGTCAAATCAACAAAACTAGAGTCACTTAAATTTTCTAAATCTTCACGTTTTATCATTAATGAATGATCCCTATCTAGAGTATATATTACACTATCATCTACCCACTTCAGTTTCCCAATAAGTGTTAGAAAGAAACGAATGTCAACTAGACGACTGTGCACAATTGAAAAAAATGTTCTTTCTTCAACATCTTCAAAACCAGGAAAATTTCTTAAACTTGAAAGAAATTTTTTCATTCCTCTATCATCGATAACATCCATCAAGTCAACGAATTTCTTTCTGTTGTCGATTTCGACGCCCGTTACATTCAGGATATTATAATACTCGTCTTTAATATAAAAGCCTTGCTCAAATATTGCGGATACAGTTGCGAATAATTCCTCGAAATTATCTATCTCTGCCTTAAGGTTTAAATCTAGGAATGGAGAGAAAACATTTGTGCAGCGTATGAAAATATCTTGAAAATTTGAATTCTTTGGAAGTAGGGGAATAACTTCTTGTTTTTCTATCAAATTCTGGAGATTTAAAGCATTTTGCTTAAGTCTTTCATTACTATATCTTCCCTTTTTAACAGCGTTTTCGGACATTCCTACCTCAATACATTTTGAAAATCTACAAGATTTGCATAAGAATGCATGATTTTCCAATGGAACACAAAGGCCCTTATTAGTTATACAAGGATAGGGTGTAAGCTTTTGTAATGATCTTCTGAAGAAAACTTTACAAGCTTCGCAGGTATAGACGCCATAGTGTAAGCTGAAACACAGAATTTAAGTCCGATTTTTTAAAACAGAGATCTTTTCCTACATGAAACAATAAGATCTCTCGAAACTGAATGGTTAGGAAGAAACGAGACGCTTATGGGTGCCATATTTTTTACAATATTAAACAGTTTATTTAGTTTACTTCTTGCCAAATATAAATCTCTTTTTGACCAAACTTTCATGACTAGATGTCTCTGTCAATTCTCTTGGAAATATAGCTATCTTTATGAAAATGTAGAGATGGTATATAATTGACATTCTAATATAAATTTCGTAACATTAAACAAAAGAGGGTTTGATTAAGAAATGTTTTGTGTAATTATTATCCGACTAAATTATTGTGCAATTAAAACATAGACATTTAATAAAAAGATTTCGTTAAGAGTTCAAGATTTGTTTATATATTTTGACACATTCATTTTCATCATTCAGTACCCAGATTTTGCTAACACGGTGGATATTTTTTAGAAGCTGTAGATTTTGCGAAACCCATTTACGGCCATAGTGATATTGTTCCTTATACAGTGATAATAAATTCATTAGTTTTAATAATCTTTTATGAGACGAAACTCCAAATATATTATCCAAATATCCTTGAAAAGCGACGAGAAACCGATTTTGTAATACACGAAATTGTGGACACCGACTATTCGGAGTCAGTATGTATAAACCTAATAAGAAAACCGATTCTTCATATGTTATGTCGACTTCTGCTAAAGTATCACAATACTTTTTAGTCAAATCAGCAAGACTAGAATCACATAAATTTTCATAATCTTCTCTTCTTAATGTTAACGAATGATCTTTATCTAAGTGATATTCTACAGTATCATCTACCCATTTAAGTCTTCCTGTGAGTGTTAGAAAGAAACGAACGTCGTCTAGGTGGTTGTGTATATTCAAAAAAAATGTTCTATCATCAAGATCCTCAAAACCAGGAAAACTTCTTAAAGTTGAAAGAAATTTTTTCATTCCTTTTTGAATTATAATATCCATCAAGTCAAGAAATTGTTTTCTGTTATCTATTTCTACGCCTGTTACATTCATAATATTATAAAACTCATCTTTCGCATAAAACCCCTGCTCAAATATTCCCGATACAGTTGCGAATAATTCCTCGAAATTATCTATCTCTTTTCGAAGGTCTAAATCCAGGAATGGAGAGAAAACATTTGTGCAGCGTATGAAAATATCTTGAAAATTTGAATTCTTTGGCAGTAGGGGAATAACTTCTTGTTTCTCTTTCGAATTCAGAAGGTTTAAAGCATTTTGCTTAAGTCTTTCATTACTATATCTTCCCATTTTAATTGCTTTTTTAGACATTCCTACCTCAATACATTTTGAAAATCTACAAGATTTGCATAAGAATGCATGATTTTCCAATGGAACACAAAGGCCCTTATTAGTTAAACAAGTATAGGGTGTAAGCTTTTGTAACGATCTTCTGAAGAAAACTTTACAAGCTTCGCAGGTATAGACGCCATAGTGTAAGCTGAAACACAGAATTTAAGTCCGATTTTTTAAAACAGAGATCTTTTCCTACATGAAACAATAAGATCTCTCGAAACTGAATGTTTCAGAAGAAACGAGACGGTTGTGGGTGCCATATTTTTTACAATATTAAACAGTTTATTCAGTTTACTTTTTGCCAAATATTAACCTTTTTTTGACTAAACTTTCATGACTTGATACGTCTGTCAATTCTGCTTAGAACTATAGCAATCACTTAGAAAATGTATAGATGGTATATAATTGACATTCTAATATAAATTTCGTAACATTAAAGGAAAAGAGGGTTCGATTTAAATATTTTTTATGTAATTACTATGCGAATAAAGTGTACTGAAAGCATAGACATTTAAAAAACAGACTTTGTTAAGAGTTCAATATCTGTTTATATAACTTGATACATTCATTTTCATCATTCAATACCCAGATTTTAGTGACACGGTTGATATTTTTTAGAAGATGTAGATTTTGCAAAATCCATTTACGGCCATAGTGATATTGTTCCTTAAAGAGTGATAATAAATTCATCAGTTGTAATAATCTTTTATGGGACCGAACTCCATATGTGTTATCTAAATATCCTTGAAAAGCGACGAGAAACCGATTTTGTAATACACGAAATTGTGGACACCGACTATTCGGAGTCAGTATGTATAAACCTAATATGAAAATTGATTCTTCATATGTTATGTCGACTTCTGCTAAAGTATCACAATACTTTTTAGTCAAATCAGCAAGACTAGAATCACATAAATTTTCAAAATCTTCTCTTCTTAATGTTAACGAATGATCTTTATCTAAGTGATATTCTACAGTATCATCTACCCATTTAAGTCTTCCTGTGAGTGTTAGAAAGAAACGAACGTCGTCTAGGTGGTTGTGTATATTCAAAAAAAATGTTCTATCATCAAGATCCTCAAAACCGGGAAAACTTCTTAAACTTGAAAGAAATTTTTTCATTCCTTTTTGAATCATAATATCCATCAAGTCAAGAAATTGTTTTCTGTTATCTATTTCTACGCCTGTTACATTCATAATATTATAAAACTCATCTTTCGCATAAAATCCTTGTTTAAATGTTGCTGATACAGTTGCGAATAATTCCTCGAAATTATCTATCTCTTTTCTAAGGTTTAAATCAAAGAATGGAGAAAATACATTTGTGCAGCGTATGAAAATATCTTGAAAATTTGAATTCTTTGGCAGGAAAGGAATAACTTCTTGTTTTTCTTTCAAATTTACAAGACTTGCAGCATTTTGCTTAAGTCTTTCATTACTATATCTTCCCATTTTAATTGCTTTTTGAGACATTCCTACCTCAATACATTTTGAAAATCTACAAGATTTGCATAAGAATGCATGATTTTCCAATGGAACACAGAGGCCCTTATTAGTTATACAAGGATAGGGTGTGAGCATTTTTTTTGATCTTCTGAAGAAAACTTTACAAGCTTCACAGGTATAGACGCCATAGTGTAAGCTGAAACACAAAAATTAAGTCCCAAATTTTCACAATGAGAAATCTCTTCTAACTTAGTTATTGTCTAGGTATTCTTTTTCGAATAATTTCACGCATAAATTGTAAATAAAGACATAAAGATATTGTTGATATATAATTAACTATTATACAGCTGATGAGGAAAGCGGAGTGCATAATTTTTTTTATGAAATCCAACAAAGGATGCGTTTATCTCTATATTGTAACATTCAGTATAGAATGCGGAATATAAGGTAGCAAATAAATTTATAGGGAACAAAAACTTTCAATAAATGTTCCTCTCCAAACAGGATTAGTTGAAACAAGCTACTTGATCTATAAGAGTGACACTTTTTAACGATTGACTTGTAAAGTGATGGAAGGGGAATAAGACAATATTAACCCAAAGGATTGAAAATTTGACCATAGCGGTTGAATATAAAAACAAACAGCTTGAAGCTTATTCGGATTGAATCATTGTTTATTTCTTTAAGTTTAAGCTTTTAATCATTTTAATACTATCGTCAATATTTCTTTCAATAAAAAAATCTGTTGAAAATTTTGAAGGAAATTTTTTACAATATTCAATATTTTGTTCAGTCCATTTTTTGGTATGTAATAGCCTCTCTTGTAGGACACTGTCAAGATTGACTATCTCGGCTAATCTCCTTTCGTACTTGCGACCATAAGAATTTTCTAGATAATTGGTAAAAGCCATCAACATTCTATTATATATTTCATGAAATTGTGGAAAGGTTCGATTCGGTTTAATGACGTTTAAAGTAATTATTATACAAATTTCATGAAAGCTTAGATTTACATTAGAAGTTCGGCGTAGCAGTTCTTCTTCACCAGCTAATAAAGTTTCATCGCATAAATTAGCAATGTCTAATCTTTGCATCTCAAGTACATATTTATCGCTGAATTCAATACTATAAGAACGTTCACTTAAAGTTACACCTCCGAAAAGTAAAGTAGCATAATTTATTGCATCTTTTGACATTGCTAAAGCTAATAGAAGTTCCTCCTGTTTTAGATCACGCAAACCTGGTAGTAACATTATTCCCTCAAAAAATCGAGTAACTGCATGCTTTACTAACTGTTCTGTAAAAGTACTAAACACTCTTCGATTATCGAGCTCTACACCAGTGGCCTCGTAAACGTCCATATAGTCTTCTTTTGAAAATGTTCCTGTTTGGCAAAATGATCTGATTTGTTTGAATATCTCATCAAAATTTTGAATTTCTTTTTCCCATTCGATTTTATTGAAGGTTGAAAATGATTTGCAACAGCAAACAATAAGATCTTGCGCGTCTGAATGTTTTGGCAGAAACGGAATAATTACGTGTTTCCTATCTAATTCCTCAACTAAACATTGATTTTGTCTACGTTTCTGAACAGTATATCTCCCTAATTTTATCGACGATTTAGACATTCCAACTCTTAAACATCTATCATATCTACAAGATTGACAAAAAAATCTGAACTCTTTAGTTGGTAAGCATTGCCTCTTTTTTCTCACACATTTATAATTTTCAAATTTTGACCAACTCCTACGGAAGAAAACTTTACAAGCCTCGCATGTGTTTGCTCCATAATGATAGCTGAAACAATAATATGGCCTGCATTTGTTTGTTTTAACTTGTTTTTGTTTTCATAAAGATTCTTTTATTTCAATTACTATATTCAAAAACGGAATATTTAGACATTTATAACACCATGACTTGAAAAAGCGCGGCAAAATGAAGCAGAAAACAATGCAAGCAGACTAGGGAACGATTCAAATAAAATCATAATGCATTATTGAACAAATATAGTACTTAAACTAATTGCAGCTGATCAATTTTATCAATACATGCTTCTAGATCTGCTACTCCCCAAAGGCACAAAAGGAGCTCGCTACTATACATATATTTCAAATAAGCTGTATTTTCTTGCCAATATTTAGATATTAGCTTTTCTTGTTCATTCAAATATGCTAAACTATTTGCAATGTTCAATAAGCGTGTATGGAAATTTTCTCCGTAGGTGCTATGCAAATATCTATGAAAACTAAGAAAAAGTCTATTATTTGCTTCTTTTAGAAATAAGAATTTCTTATTTGGAGTTGTTAAGTTTATAGCTAGAATAAGCATGACTTCTTCGGGTGAAAAATTAATTTCTGACAAACGTGTAAAACAGTCGCTTTGAATCTCAATGACATTTTTACCAGATAAGTTTTCAAAATCTCTTTTTGAATATTTTATCGTTTTATCTTTGTAAGTAAACTGTGTGTCATGAGAGAAGAATCGGCTCATACCGATATTGAATGCTAGTGTCACTAAATATTTATTCTGAAAGAAAATCTGTAAAAAATCTCTTTTTGATAATTTATTTAACCCAGGAAATGTGCTTGTAACTTTCAAAAGTTTTGTCAGAGAAACTTCCATAAATTTCTCAGCTAATTGCAACATAAATTTCCTACCATCTATTTCAACCCCTGCAACAGTTAATACATCCACATATTGGTCATAAGAAAACGTTCCCTTGTGATTATGATACAAAGCTGCATCAAATAACGTTTGAAACCCTTGAATTTCAGAATTCCAGTCAATTTGTTTTAGATCAGTATAAGCATTCACACACCTAACTATAATATCATCTGAATCGCAAAACTGAGGTAGTAAAAGCGGCTGATTGCTAAGTTTGTTTAACTTCATTTTATTATACATCTTTCTTTCTTTTGTGTATCGACCTATTTTTACAGAAGTTTTAGACATGCCTATTGCCCTGCATCTATGGAGTCTACATTTTTTGCATGCAAATATAAAATCACTTCTAGCGATGCATTGACCCCTTTTGTTCACACATGCATATTTGGATGTATCATCATTATGTCTCCTCCGAAAAAATACTTTGCAAGCTTCGCACGTGTATGCTCCATAGTGGAAACTGGAAAATAATGAATCTAAATTGCAATGAAAGATCTTTTCAAATATAAACTATATATATATATATATATTAGTATATATATTGCTTTGTTGCACTTATACTTTTTTCTCAAATTTTGATTGAAGTTTATTGATTAATTGAACACGTTGATAAATATAAAGACTACAACTTCTCTATTTTTCTTCATTATCAATTCAAAACAGTTCAAGATTTTCTAATTTTTTTATATTTTCTTCTAAGTTACCAACTTGCCATAGACATTTAAATATGTGACGATCGTAAACATAATCAAGATATTTAACATTCTCTTTCCAATACTTTTGTATTATACTTGATTGTTCATTAAAATAAGCTAGTGAGTTAACTATAGTAAGTAGACGATTGTGATGTTTCGATTCGTACTTATTCTTAAAATACCTATCCATAGTTAATAGTATACGATTATTTGCAGCAGATAAATGGGGAAATCTTTTTTGTGGTCTAGTAAGGTTGAGTGCAATTAAAAGCACTAATTCTTCGGTAGTTAAATTAAGTTTTGTTAATTGCCTATGACATTGTTCCTGTATCTCAACTATCTTTTTATCGCTGAGATTTACAATATCACTTTTATTTACTTTCAAACAGCTCTCATCTAATTTCAATTCATATTTATCTGCCTGCCAACTTTGTATCATTATAAAACTGATAGCTATATGAACTATGTTTGAATTCAAAAAGAAATTCATCAGGAAGTTCTCTCTTGATAATTCCTTCATACCTGGAAATTGCTGAGTGTTTGCTAATAATCTTTTAACGGCTACTTCTAAGAATTTCTCTGATAAATTTGATATGTGCTTTCTACCGTCAACTTCAACGCCTGTTACTTCAAGAACGTCCATAAATGTGTCTTTGGAGAATGTACCACACTTAGTCTCATTCATGGCAGTATTAAGTTTAAATTGAAAATCTGCTATTTCCTTATTCCAACTAATACTTTGAATATTATTGAAAATAGTAGAACATTCTACTAATAAATCATCGCAATCCGTAAAATTCATCAAATATGGTACTTTCGATTGTTTATATTCGATCGTATCTAACTGTGCTTTATTTGAAAGTTTTCTCTTGTTGGTATACCGTCCTATCTTTATATTACATCTTGCCATACCGACTTCCACACATTTATTATATCTACATTGTGAACAATTGAATAGAAATTTATCTGATGGAAAACATTGATTTCTGCCGTTCAGACAAAGTATTTCTGTTTTTCTATTCTTAATACGACGAAAAAATACGTTGCAGGCTCCACAAGTATAAGCTCCATAGTGAAAACTAAGAAGAGGAAAGACGATATATTCTTTAAAAATATTCAGATATTTTAGATATATATGTATTAAAAATTTGTACTCATAACAATGTCATATATATATTATTTGCATAATAAACAATTCCATTCTTATGTTGAACTATAAATCTATTTTAAAAAACGATAGATATTAATATAAAAAAATATGACTCATTGGAATTTTTGTCTAAATACACGTTTAGCTATGTCGAAATATGTGCCATATGTTTCACAAGAGAACAAATTGAACAATTCTTGTATTACGAAATTTTCAATGTCATTAATGAATTGATAAGGGAGGTTGCATTTGATTCAAGCCATAAAACTTTGGACAAATCATCGTCAAATAAATAATTATAATAATCATACTCTTCTTTCCTACAGTTTTTCCTTTCAATTAAACCCTGTTCTCTCATATTTGATATGAATTTTACTATTTGAAATAATCGTTTATGATAAAATTTTCCGTGCCTACTCTCCAAATAGCGTGTGAGAGCAGACATTATATGATTATGAATAGCTTTAAGATGTGGATATTTTTTTCTAGGTGTACATAAAGTAGCAGCAAATAATAAAACTGTTTCTTCATAATTTAATACTATTTCGTCGAGATCGTTGTGGAAATGCTCCTGATTGTGAACGGTATTTTCACCTGATAAATTATACAATTGGGCCTTGTGTATAGCCAACTCGTACTCTCCAAATTTCATTACAGAGTAATCATCTTTAAAATAATGAGTACTTGATAGATTTAATACAAGCGATAGATCGTCGGGCATTCTTAATATATTCATAAAAAAATCTCGTTTGTCTAATTCTAACATACCGGGTAGTTTAATGACTATATTTAGTAAACGGTGAAAGCTTGTTCTAAGTACTTTCTCCCCTAGTGAAATCATACATTTCCTACTGTCCATTTCAACTCCTGTTGTTTGCAAAATGTCGTTGAAAGCCTCCCTGTGTATCATATTGTGTGAAAAGATATTTGAGATTTTATTAATATCATCTCTTAAGCCCTTAATTTCTTTTGGCCAATCAATATTCATCATATCGGAAAACAATACTGAAAATGTGACAATTGTATCATCAACCTCGGTATAATTAAACAGATAAGGGACTAAGAGCTTTTTTTGGTTAATATCGTTAGCTATCTTATCATTTTCCAGGCGCTTCTCCACGCTATATCTACCGATTTTGGCAGCTTTTTTACACATTCCTATACTAATACATTTATTATATTTACAAGATTTACAGGTAAATTTGTAATCTGTAGAAGGATTGCATAAACCTCTTCCAGTTTGACATTTCACTAGAGATGATTTCCTATCAGACTTCAATGCTCGATAGAAAAAGGTTTTGCAAGGGTGACAAGTATTTGCTCCATAATGATAGCTGTTTAAATTGAAATTTGTCTAGAATTAAGATCAATAGGGTAATTCCAAATGACGTATGAATATATTATTCTCATTTCTATTTATATACACATTACCAAGTAAACTGGTTCAATAACCTGAACCTGGTAATTTGTATAATGGACCTATTAACTACCTTTTACAAAAGAAAGAAAATTTGTGTTGTTGGCACAAACTACTAAACAGCGGTGATAATTTCCAATCTTATTTATCACATTAAATATAGATAGTTACTTTATCAGAATGAATAGCTGGCTGTTATCAATGATATTTTAGGATAACTAGTATTGATTAAATTTTCTTTACAATAAAATTATTTTCATATTTTTGGGTTAAATATCAAAACATATTTTTTACATATATATTTACGAACAGCCGACAGTCATAACAATATAAATTAATTAAATAAAATGTTAACGACTTGCGTGAATGATAATTTAAAGAAAACGAGAAATATTCTATTTTGTCTATAAGACTTAAAGATGGCGGTTTTTACTGTGGAATACTTTCTTTTACAATTAAGATTGTCTCGACAACAAAGCTTTATAAAACACTAACAATCGCAAATCGATTTAACCTCTCGTTGGAGGTAAGAATATATACAGGACTAACAAAACGAATATCACCCACAAAAATCAATTGTGTACACGAATACATAAAGTGTACATACCCAGATGATGGACCTCCACAAACTTGGCATGGAGGTAGAGTTGTTTTTTGTTGCTCCGTAGCTTCTTCAAATGAGTCCAATTGCTTGACAAGACTATCTTCTATAGATATTATAGTAGAAGAGGGTGAATCACTTTCGCCTTCAAGCAGAGCCAATAGATCATTTAGATCATTATCGCTGCTACTATCTTGCGGGCTTGGGTTTGTTGAAGCCATATTTAAAAATTATTTGGCAGTAATATCAGCGAATCGGTGTTTTAGTCAAATTACGCAGTTTATGTATACCTGCCAACACCTACTGTGAGATAATTCAGTTGAGTTTCGCATACTTTCACCAGGTGGTGCTGTTAGTCTCAAGTACGAAAGATATTTTCGAATTGTATTCAAAATCAGATTACATGAATTTATTATATTTTATTAGGGAATTTATTGCCTTAAATATAATAATGATTAAATTAACTATACGAAAAAATCAGGTCTTTTAACATCACTTCCTTTTTAATTCCGGATGTTTATACCGATGGAACGTCCAAGAATTTGTTGCTAAGATATTATTTAATAAAAATCAGCCAACTCCGTCCATTTTTTGTGATCAAGCTCTTGCAAATAATTTATTAGTTTTTATAATCCTTATCTACTATCAAGATTTGAACGGTTTAATACCGATCTAAATAATTTCCGTAACCTTGCCACATTGCGAAAGGGGATGCATAATGTCCGATAATAATCCTCTTGAAGTGTTCAATTCACAATCGAAGACATTGTTAGAAAAATGGAATATACCGTCACACGTAAAACCTGTAATAAATTTTATTATAATTTCGTTTATTTCCTTGTTAAGTTAAACGTTGATTTTTCCAGACATTCGATAAAGAGGGAAGATGCAACGTTCACAATCTAACAGGTAGCGCAAGAACTGTTCAAATGACCTGGCAAGCTGACAAATCGCTTAAAGGTTTTAAAGATTAATTATATTTGTTCTGACAACTTATTATTTATACATTTATCTCTTGTTGAAGATGGTGCTAGATATAACTACGTTGTGCTCCAAACGTTTATACCAGAATTTGAGGAATTTGCCTTTGAAATCAAGTAATATTAATTAATAATTTGTAAATATATTGTACATGTATATTTTTTCTTATTTTCACAAAAGTGTGTCATTGCCGAACGAAAGTAATAAGCGCAGACTCTTCTTTACAACGAATGCTAAAGATATGAAACGAGAGACTTTTCATGCTAGAATTCCATTAGGAATAGTTAAGCGAAAAACGGTAAGAGGTCTTTTTTTCTATATACCATTTACGAAAATACTTATATAGTTAATATTCATTTAATTTTTAGTGGTTAAACTTATGTGTGGACGTTATTTCATTTATGAAATTATGGAATGAGGAAAATTTTAATGCCATCGAAAATTTGTCAATTTCGGCTAATTGCAAACTTCGTAGAATCTTTGTTCTAAAACCGAATACAACAAACACTGGTTTGTATTATATACATAATTTATACTGTATATACATTAGTATGCATAAAAAGCATAAAAATTCTTATTAAATTATATTTAGAGTCTTCCGCATCATCAGATATTAGAATACCCAAGCACTTTGAATATTCACATTCTTTAAATCACGAAACGCAAGTAAGTAAACTTATCTGATTTAGTATTTTAAAACGGACTTTACGCCTCTTTATTCCTATTTTTCTCTTTTACAGCTCATTGACTATTTTTGCATTGTTAGAGAATATGGCTCCATTGAACTAAGAATCGGTACGTATAAATTTTTCTATTATGTTATTGATACATATATATTTTATTCAATAGGCAGTGGAGAAATGAAGCAACCTCATCCACCTTCTACAATGCCAAATCAAAAGCCACGACCAGGTCGAAAGGTTAAAAGTGGTGGTAAAGGGAAAGCAACGTCTGCACAAGATGAAAATAGTAAGTTTTTTCTTTGTTTAAAATTCTTACCTTAATTTATCTATTTATTTTTTTTTTAAATAGAAAATTTAAGCGAAGAATTATCTGATGTTATCGACACTTTAAATAAAGGGGACAAAATTAACAAGACGTCTGACACAGAGTAATTTACTGTTGAAAACACTTTCTAATAACTTACATAATTTGAACGTACTTTCACTTATTTAGCGAAAAATCAGAACCTACTTTATATACTTACTCTTCACAACCTGTGGCTGTTCAACGAAAGAGCCCTTCAACGAAAGCTATAAGAAATCGCCAAGTGTTTAAAGTGATATTACTTTCTTTCTAAATTTAAAAATTTTAAGGGTGTTCTATTTTCTAAAGCAGAATATCAAGATAGACGACAACGACTTTGTTTCCGATTCTGACGGAGATTCAGATAAAGAGAGAAGACATAAAGATGACAAGTGCCAAGAGAAACCTAAAAGAACTATGCTAAAACGTAGTGTTAAGAAAAACACTTTAAAATTAAGCTCTTATAACAACGTTGTCCAACAGAAAGTTTGTATATTGTAGACTCTGCAATAAATATTTAATGATTTATATTTTTTACTACAATTGTTAAGAAACCAACCGATGCAAAACTTTCCGTCCAAGAATATACAACAGTTGGTTCTTTTGAGATAGATAGCATTGAAGCAGACATAATTAGAGCTATGCAAAAGGAAGATGAAGAAACCTATCAGAGCAATAACTTTGAGAGGTAAATAAAACAATGTGTATGAGAATTTTTATATCATAATGTTTTCATTCGATTTAGGTTTAAGGATCATACTTTTGGAAAAGACCCTGAGGAGGATCACTTTGTCGAAACTAACAATCATTTATTAGTTCAAGATGTACATTTGTACAAGGACGAAATTAAAGATCAGTCTGGAAGATGGAGTACTGATTTTTTCAGTCAAAGTCATGTTCGAAATGATCTCAGAGAAATGAATAAGAAACGTATGTATTTAAATATAAACAGGTATTCTGTTTTGTAAAATAGTATTCTTTTTTTTCTGTTAAAGATTCGTCCGGCCCGGTCAAACAAAACTCTTCAGATTCTTCTAGCGACGAGGATGAGATGTTAGACTTGTATTTTGATCCAACTTTAAATTGTTACTTCGATCCAGACTCTAAGATTTACTATGAGCTGAAATAAGCATAATATTTTTATTGTTTTATTATATTTTTTGTTTATAGTTTGGTTGAATAAACTCTACAGTTTTCTGGATTTACATAGATGAAACATATTTCCTACGTATTATTTTCAATTGGAATAATTTCTTTACTGTCTTTACTACAATAGGTGGGTGTAAAATCTTCTTCACTTGTTACTTCTGTTTCATATAGGCTAAGAAAGCAGAAATATTTTGTACTTATATGGTCAAATAACTTAATAAAATGATTTCTCCATATTTACCTGCTATCTTGATAAAAATTCCTTTTTTGGATAAGTAAGAGTATTACTGATATAGATAAAATAATGACAGGAATCAAGATGGTCGCCAAATGTCTAGACCAGATTGACGTTTTCGATTTGTCGATCGTTTTTCGTCTTTTTATCTCAGCTATGAAAAAATAGAAAAGCTATTGAAGAATTTTCTTTCCATTTTTAAACACAATAGACCTGAACAACTAAATCTTTCACAATCCACTCTTTCTATAATTTTTTCTATACCTTCGCACTTTCGACCGTCAATTGAAGGTTTTGGATTGGAGCATGAACGGATTTTTGTTACTGTCCTCTTACCCTTTCCACAAGTAAGACTACAAGAAGAACTTTTAGCTACAGTCCATCTTGTCCATGATCCATGAACTATTAAACAAAATATTGCTTAGTATGCGTTAAGAATTTTTGCTGCAGTTACAGGCCTATGCAAGGCGATTCTTTTGCACACAGTTTTTCCTCTTTACATATTCTATTTTTTTCCTTATTACAGTATTTTGTTCTTTGTTTAATAGGTTTCGAGTTACTCTTCTTACAATCGTGAGTACATTGTCCCCAGTCAGACCAGTTGATAGACGTAGGACATATGAATGTATTGCATGACTGTTTTTGAACTATTGGACCTAAACAGGTTAAATCTGAGATGTTTTTTGTACAGTTTCGTCTGCGATGTTGAAGCCCGTTGAACCCACAAGTTTTGGAACAGTCTGTCCATAAACTCCATTCAGTCCATGAACTGTCAATATAACAGTTTTCTTTCTATTTAAATGCCATTTACAAAGAGTATAGTAAAGATAAAAAAATATTAAAATTATTTTACATATAGACGACGATATCGGGATTTCATGCATGGCTTCCTTTGATATTCGACAGATCGTCCTTGACATTGTTTACCTAATAAAATTCTTTAATAGCAAAGGTTTTCATTTTAATTTATTGGAAAGAGCCCCTCTTTCTATTAGATCTACATTACTCTGGTTTTTGAGAACCGTATACCAAGTTTATAGTAGTTGGATTAGTGCATGATCTATTTCTTTGATATATCTCATATAATAATGTACATTTCTCTTTACAATAACTCTGAAATAGTGTCCAATGAGACCAATTGGACCAATTCCCATGTCGAAAACAAGTTACAGGTAGTTTTATAATATACTCTCTCATAAGCAGTATACTACCCTGTCCTTGGCTGAGAGCGCATATAGTTTGAAGATAATCAAAACAGCCAAGTTTATAGCACAAAACATTTCCAATTATACCTATTGCCTTAAAATAGAGAGAGAAGATTATATTTGGTTCTTATCGCTATTATTCATAATAACAGTTTTTTTTATTTGAAAAGGGATTAAATATGGCTTATCAAATTATTAACTTTACCTTTGTACTCTGAACTGACGTGAGATTTTCAGAGCAGTAATTAATTTTTAGTGTTATACACTTATATAAGTAACGATAAATTGACAAAAAAGAAGCGTTAGGCATCCCAATAAGTCTATAACGTTGGTATCTGTTTAAGTATAGTTGTGATATTTTATAACTAGACTCTATTACGTTAATATCTTTCCAAGATCCAGAATCGATACTGAACTTGCTTATTTTTCTATTAAACAAAGAAATATTTTGAATTAAATCGTTTTTTCTTTTCAAAAGGAAACTCAATACTTATAATCGTTTAGTTCAAAATTCTGACACTTTAAGATCAAGTGTAAAAAATCTATTGCGATTAAAAGTCTGTATTTTAAAAAATAGATAAATAAATTGATATACATATATAAGTATATAAATTAGCATATCAATATAAAATATTAATAGAAATCTAACAGTAAGAAAAGTGAAGCTGTGATTATTCTATTCATGATATTCTATTCCTTTTAAAATGATTTGTATGACGTAAGTATATATATATATATATATATATATATATATAAGTATATAGTTAGTATATCACTTACTGTTACTTTCCAAATTATTGAATTTATAATATTCTATGTAAAATTCATGTAATTTTATTGAAAATTAGCTTTTTTGTGGGATGTTTTATTTGATATTTAGATCAGATGAAATAATACTTAATTTCGCGCCAAAATTACTGAAGCTTTACCAGTTTCTTCGGAAGTAGTTGTCTGCTAGACCGTCTGTTGTTCATGGTAACAGAATAACTAAGAAAACTTTTACACAACTTTTATAATAAAAATGGAAAAGGTAGAACTTGAGGAGCCTCTTCCAGAAATACAATATCGTAAGGCAACTAGTGCCGAAATGTATGCTTTAAAGAAGCAAGCCGTACAGTATTATAAAGAAAATGGTGTCCCTTTAAAGATGGAAAATGTAATGAATGAAATGTTCTACGATAGACCGGATGATGTTTTTGGACATATAGTGATTATATATTATTTTTATACAATATAATATAATCTTTATAATATAATTCATATTTTAGGCAAACTATTTTGAGTCTTTTGCAAAAGCAGTTACAATAAACAAAGTGAGTTCAATAATTATAGCCGTCTCTTTCAATTATGAGATTCTTATCACTTCTAAATTAAGGTTGAACTTCTGGATACTTTCGATTCAAGGGGTCAACAATCGTTAACAACTAATTTGTATGGAATAGTTAGGAATAATTCTAAACTGCTGGCAGAAACACAATTAACTAGCTCCTCTCGTCTTCCCGATTACTCTTCACCAGAAGAAAAAGAGAATGATGCAGTTGAACGACAAGAATCATTAAAGGCTTCTATTGAGTTAATTAATGATAAAATATCTCCAGTTTTAATAGGAATTGACGTTAACGAACAGAATCAAATTGATGAGGAGATATCAAAAATACTCTTACCTTTACAAGAAGCTCTGGATAAAGAGAGACAAGAAGAAGAGAATAAGAAAAAAGAGGAACAAGAGAGAATAGAAGCGGAAAAGGTAGTCAGTGCGAAAGATAAAAGAAAATCTCCCAAAGTCAAAGGAAAAGGAGCTGCTGTGGTTATTATACCAGATGAACCAAAAGACAAACTAATTCCTGGTTATGAATCTGGTTGCATTGTGTCGAAAAGTGTTTGTAAAGCGGGATCTTTTGTTAAAAATTGCGAATTATACGAATATATTGGGAGTTTGACCGGAAAAGATCAATTTAAGATTCCATTACCAATGTTTACAATTTTCTATAGTGGAAGAGCTGCACCTGGAAAACAGAATTACGTTAAAGAATATATGATTATACCATCCCCAACTAAAACGCTTTCTCAGGTGTGGCAACAATTCGTCGATACATATTATATTATTTATTCAATTATTTAATTTCCTTTCCCTTCTATGGTAAAATTAAACAGGCCGTAAAAGAGAGCGTACAGATCTATAACACCATAGGAGATATCCTAGCATCTAAGGCCGCGGTAATTATAAAAACTTTCTATTTTATTATCATAACTAACGGAATAAAGATTACTAATTTCATCACGAAAAAGCCAAATTTATCCTTGTTTTAATAATTTATAAGAAACAAATCAATTTCATTTACAAGGATGAAGAAATTTATTACTAATTTAATTAATCCATGCCTCTTCTCACCCACCAAAAAGAGGTTTAATTTTTTGTTTACCTCAATCTTTTGCGCTTTCAATATAAAATCAAGTTAATTTGGTCTTGAATGCAATAATAGACATTAATCAATTAACATAACAGAATAATTTGACGCCATGTTTTTTTGATAAAAAGAAATTGACTTATTACTCTTTTGGGATTTTATTTTAAGTTTTTTGTTTTGCTTTCACAATTTTTTTTACAGCTTTCATCAGCAAAAGGCAAAAAAATGCCGAATGTGAGTGTGCTTATTTTATATAAAAGAAAAAAAGAGATAAATAGAGAAAACTGAAATAGATAAAAAAAAAAGAGAGTGAGAGAGACAGAGAGAGGAAGAGAAATATGATTTACTCTCCTCCCTTCTCAATGTCTCTTCTATTCACCTTCTCTATCATTTTTTTCTTTTATTATTATTTTTATTCAAAATTTTGTTTATTTCTTCAGTTTTTTATTGATTTTGTTCCTACTTTAACAAAAATTAAACAACATTTAACAGAAACTGCACCAATTTCAAACAATTCATTATAATTCATTTTCATAGATATTATCTATATAAATGCACTTATATTCTAGGCCAGCGATAAAGGTGGTAAAAAGCAAAATTCTATTATCAATGAGGGACCTTACGTATGTGTACCTTTGCTAATTCTATCTGCCATTTTATCTTATCGGTTTACCCTTTTTCGTATTTCTTTAATAGTATTTATTCATAGTTTTTTATATTTTGTTCTTTCTTCTTTCCATTCTTTTTCTCTATACGTCGAATTTGTTAAATTTTTTTTTATTAGTAATATTAGTATATAGCTATTTGCAAAATGTATGGATTATTGGATAATTTATTTACCTATAGATTACATCTAAGCTGGTAAATGATACTGGTGCGTTTTGCACACCTTTGGATAGGATTGAACAAGGCTTAGATCTTATTCAAGATGCTATGAAACATCTTAATCTAGAATCTGGAACCGATTTCTATTTCGCGTTAAATTTAAGTGGTCAAGAAGTTTTTGATTATGTAAAAAATACTCTTTTATTTAGTATCTTATTGATAAATCAATGAGATATTCTTTTTCTTTATAGGAGAAAGGCAAATATGAAATTGTTGCTGGAATTCAAAAGACTGGAGATGATTTAGCTGATGTTTTAAATGACATTTTGAATAAATACCCAGGAGTAATAGCTTTAATCGATCCTGTAAGAAAGGAGGTTAGTAAATGAAATGAATAGCAATATCTTTCATGATTATAGAAAGCAAATTAGCAATATGAAAAAGAAAAGAAACTCGTTTTCTCTGCTTTAGCTTAAAACGCGAGTTTTTCTATAAATCAATGCAAAGTAATTGCGTATTTTAAAAGAAAAGACTATAGGTTCAGTTATATACCTTATAAAGATCAAATTGTAAATACCTTTTATATATTCAAAACAATGCCATCAATTGATTGATAGCAGTTAAAGAAAAGGGAGACAGCAACAAAGAGATCAATATAAAATATAATGAAATATATCTAAATATTCTAACAGGAGAAGCAGGCTTGGCAAAAAATAAGTGAAAAAATCTCACCAAGATGTTATATTGGAAGGAATGTGAACACGCGTCACTTTTTCAATGATATACCAAATCCAGAATTACCTATAAGCGCATCTGTTTTAAAATTAGAAACATCTACAATATCGCACATTACCTCGGTTATTTCACACTCTGATGGTAGTGTATTGACTTTTCTTTTATTATACTTCAATCAGAATGACCAACCCTTCCTTTTTATTTAAAAACAGCTAATGAAATCGTTACGATTATGCAAAGTAGCCAGGGTGAAAGTGAAGATTCTTTTATATCCGATTTGGTTTGTTATCATTTCAATTTCTTACTATTTACAAACAATTTAAAGCCAAAAAGCTTAATAATTCTATTGTAAACTCTTTTTTTGTTATACTGAACATATTTGTAAACAGGCCGTCGCGAACGATTGTAAGTTTATACACGTAGGAGCACCGTGTAGAGGAGAGAGGTTGTCAAAAGTTAATAGACTTTTGAGAATTGAACAGTTATTGGGCGATAAAGCATTAAAATGGCCGGAAAATTTTGAATTTCCCTATCTTCCAATTCCACAAGTAGAGGAACCGGAAGAAGAAGAAAAAGTTGAATAAAAATTTAACTATTGCTTTTTTTTTATTGCCTTTATTATATTTTTAATATAAAATTGTAAATAATTTAAACAAAAGGAAAGAGAAAAAAGATTTACTTAGCAATATAAAAGAAATGAGTAATTCGACTCTATTCTTTATTCTGTTTCTTATCATTTTAACACTATCATATAACTTTCATTTCTTACTCTTTTCTGGTATAGAAGTATAGTATGACTTATATATTTTATCAATATTTCTTTCCTGAATCTCTCTTCTTCTTCTTCTTCTTCTTCTCTTCCAATTATTATTGTCAGTCGTTTCTAATAAACGAGAGAAGCTCTCCATTCCTAACTTCTAAACAATCTCTTTATAAACGAAACAAAACGTCTATTAACGAATGAATTGATTAAATTAATATAATCATATTAATATGTTCATGTTGAGGGAAGGAATAGAGCTTTTGTCTCCAGGCCTAAATAAAATATCGAATACCCAGTACTTTGATAATAATAATATTTTCTTAAAAAATCTTGTTTATATAAGCTACCTAGTCATATTTTAGTTGGTTAAGATTAACGAAGAATTAATGCTTGTGCGAAGAAAAAGTCGTTATAACATAAATTTCTATTTTGTATAGAAATAGCAGAATATTTATTCGATTTTTGTTTCTTTCTTTTTTGGTTTGTAAATAATTAAAAAGTAGGAGAGAAATTCCAAAAATTGTTCATTTATTTAACTCTTCGTTTCTACTGGAGATGATGGAGGCGATGAGTAACTGTTCTCTGTATCGTTATTTTTATCAAATTCTTCGATATTTTCTCCGTCTTCTCTCGATCTCACGCTACTATCTTCCGTCTCTCTTCCCCTTTTTATAACACCGTTTGTATGATTATAACCTACAAGGTAAAAAGTTTATTAAATCAACTTTTTTAAACAGATAATTGTAGTATTTATTATACCATTAGCTGACTCCTTTGTTCTGTTATCTATCATTATGCCACGGGAATAACCTGTTACCGTATAACTGGTTTCCATGGGAGCTCTATGGTGCCTAAAAGAATAATTCCTTGGTCCTCGATGATTTAATGGCATTCTATAATTATAAATCATAGGGTCTTCCGGGAAAACTTCCCGTCCTTGTTCAAATTTCTTTGGAGGTAATAGATGAACGACATTCTTACCGCTATAAGGTCTTTCTATTGGAGTTGAGGCAGGAGGATTTGGGGTAGTGGCACCCTTTAGATCATATTTTCTTGCAATTGGGTGTAACTCTTGTTCTATACTAGTACCTATACTATTTCTAGTGGAATAAGTAGGCTTGAACGATTGTTTTCTTCTCCTAATATCACCGGATTTGGCAGATGGTAAAGAACCTCCAACGCTCCGGATTCTTTCAGTTTTAACAGTAAAATCCTTGGGAGATTGCATCATTCCCGCTCTTCTTAATCTTTCCGTTTGAACGGCTGCTGTTTGAACTGGACCATTTGAAACAGATGCTCTTAAAAGCAACTTCATATGGCCAGCATTCCTTGGTTGAATTGATTTTCTTTCGGTATTAGAATCTTTTATAACCTGAACTCCTTCAACTAAAGCTATCGGCGGGTCTCTTCTTGGTTTGCGTCGAATTTCCAATTTTTCTTTAACGGCTAATTGAAGTTGTAGATGATTATCAGGCGTAACCTTGTTGGTAATCGATGCAGTATCTCGAATTATCTTACCACCTCCAAATTTTGGCATAGGCATTTTCAATAATTTCTTATCAAATCTTTTAAGAGCTGCCGTCCAATTATTAACTTCTGAATCATATAGCGCTTGGTTTAAAGCGTTTAACCGGGCTATATAATCGTTTTTAACGGCTCCCGGACTTTGTTGTTGGTGGAAGGCGCTTAACGGCCTTACAGCGGAAGCGTTAAGTGACGCTTGATCGACGCAGCTGAAAAACGATTGAAACATTCAGAGGAGGCGTCTACAACAATAGTCTGAAGGCGTTGACACAACATAAAAACTCAGTTGAAATAGAGAGCTCATAGAGAGAGCAACAAAAGTTGAATAGAGAGCTTGATAGACACAGCTCGCAGCATGAGAATTAGAAATGAGAAAAAGGCAAAGAGACAGAGATAGACAAGGGGGTGGTTAGTTCAATAAGATCGATTTTTATATTATCTTATAAAGACCATCCGCTTTATTATCAACTCTACTCATTGTCATTGTCTCATAAAATTTCAGTTACAATGTCTTCTTTTCTATCGGCACAAGGCCTACACTGCCCCATTCTCTACTTACGAATAATTAGAAAGCGAGCTACATTTTCCCATTGATTCGATATCATGCTCAGTTAAAAGTTTCAAGCTTTTAGGCGTTGGCGTTCTCTCCATAATGAATAAGAAAATTTTTTTTTTGATTACTCTTTTTTTTTAAATAAAAAAAGAAGATATTCCTTAAATTTCTATAATTTAGAATATTGTTTTCAAATCATATTATAGCTACAGAAGTTTTATTGTATTGTATAAAACTGTTTCTGTATAAATCAAATATTGACCGGATAAGGCAGGCCGCATAAATCAATGAGAAATCAATTTATAAGTTAAACATATCGTTGTGAAGAGACTATTCGATTATTTATACTTACGTATATAAGAGTGTTGAACATATAATACATATAAATAGAAATATGTATATATTTATAAAAACTTAAGTATGTTATACATACAATATATACTTTTACCTTTAAACTAATCTACAAGTATACATCTTAGGCTATTGCAAAAAAACATAAAGTACAAAAAAATTGAGATTGTTACATTTAAATATAATCAATATATCTATTGACATTATCTGTAAAATAATATAAAAGTACAAGCAGAGAATATAGAAATATACATCCGCTTTTAGGTAGGACTATAATATCTGCGTCTAATAAATCTAAACAGTAAAATACAATGGAAAGAATAGAATAATATATATGTACATAAGAGTGTATGTATACATATATTAGTATATATATATATATATATACTGTATATATATATATTCATTATTCATATACATAATGAAGAGTATTCTACATGAATTTATATAAAATTTCATAAAGAAACAATTAAGCCCCATATTTTACATTACTTAAGATTAAATCATTTTTATTAAAAAGCATGATTAGAAGATAAATTCTCTCTCTTTACTGTACCTTTTTTTTTCTATTGAATATACTATATTATTCCTATTTATTAGCATGAACACTTCGAAAATTTATCTTCCAACTAGAAATTTCTTTTTAATAATAAATATATTACTACCTAGTTACTATAGTAATTATCTAAATATAAAAATCAGCTGATAACAGATAATAAAAGTAAAAATAAATTGTATCAATTATCTAATATTAATAAGTAAAGCGAAAATTGAAGAGATATTACAAAATTTTCTCACTTTTTCCCAATCATTCAACACTTTTTGTTATCAGAAGAAAGTTGATCTTGACGCTTCGTACACATATTGTACTAGGTCTATGTACTTAGTAAAGAAATTTAAATTTACTTAACATATTCTTAAAATAGACCACTTTTTTTTTACCTACTTAAAATAAATTCTAAAAAGTAGTTGTTGAACGGTCGAAAGATTGAATATTTTAACGCTAATTAACGAGAAAAAATCGGACGTAAACTTCTAAATAAGTTATAAGAGTAATCCGTCTCTTTCTCTTTCTCTCTCTCTCTCTCTCTTTCTCTCTGTTTTCATAAGCTAAAGAATATACTCTAATCATTATTTAATTCCATGAAATATAATAAATGCATTTAACTTTGTGATCTTTATGAATAAACATAACTTTTCTTTCTATTTATCATAAATATTTTGGTAAAATTATTAAAACAGAATATATGTACTGGGGGCTGTATATGTTTTTAATGGCTTCTCATGACAACTGTCTTATAGGCCTATTACAATTTTGAAATTACATTAACCTCTCACTCCCCTATATATATATTTGTATATTTGACTCTTCACAAGTCTTCATTGTTTTGATGTTTTCAAAATTTAAATTTATTAAGTAGAAATGTTAAGAATAGTTGTAATTATTTTCAAGTTTACTTATATAACTTATTCATTAGGTTTTGATGGTGAAATTAGTAAGAAAGAGGCAATAGCATTTCTAAGAGATAAAATAGGAACGGATAAATTAACTGATATATACGATTGGGATGATTATGTAAGAGAACAGAATAATAATAGCGATTTACACTATTATTACAATGCTGGAAGGTATACTCCAGTCTATATTAAGGTCTATCAAGAGCTAAAGAATTTTCCAAGTATGTAAATAACTTATTAATAACAAAACTTGTTTTTTTTTATATCAAATATAAATATAAACAAACAATAAGTAAACAAATAAGTAATTTAATATATAGTATTTCTAATATCTATACTGTGTAGGCTATTTAAAGACTATATGATTTAGAATAAGTGTTAGTTATTATTCCTTATAAGGAGCGGCTTATGGTAGGCCAAGTCTAACTCATGATGAAAAACTTAAGGATCCTTATGGACAATTAATGCATTCAAGAGATTTTCTCCCCTTTTATATGATAAAAGTTATTAAAGAGAACTCGAAAAAATTCGATCCTGCTGCTAAAGTATGATATTTTGTTTGTACTAAGAATTAATAATAATAATATTTACCCTAATTAAATAATTAATTAATTAGCATACTGATAAAAATATTATACATAGTATTATTCAATCAACTTTAAACTCGAAAAAAATACAACCATTCCAGAAAACTGGAGAACTAATTGTTTGTCATTGTAAAACTATCATTTTAGTTATTCATTAGTAATCAATTAATTATTTTACCTTTTAAGTCACTCGTGATTAATTATTATTACTGTCTAATGATTATTTCCGGAGATAACAAGCTTAAGATAGAGAATGCAATATGTCCTAGTAAGAACTAGTTACATTTAAAAAGAACAACCAATTTATGGACAAACGTTAACACTAACTCTTTTCTTCTTTAAGATCCTTGTATGAATCCACAAGCCTGTAGAGCCGGCTCATTACTTATACCTTTGAAATGTATAAAGACAAAGGTAGACATATTTGAAGCTAGTAATGATTGGGAAAAAGAGAATCCTGATATTACTGCGTAAGTTTGTTATTTCATTTAAACTATTCTTTTGATTAAGAATGGATTACATGTCCTTCCACTAGTTAAAAAACTATTTAATCCTTAAATCCTTTTCTTTACTTATCATTGATTATTTGAGTTTGTTAGTCATCACTTTAATTATTTATTGAATAGAAAATTATGAATTTCATAAATTGTCCATAATTTTCTCTTTTTTTATGATTTATATTGTTAGCTTACATAAAAAATTATGGAATTTTGGTAGAATATGTAAATGTCCTGATGGATTTACATACGATGATAAAGTTGGTTGCAAAAGCCAAAAGTCATGTTCAGAATATGTTAAAAATAACATTTGCCCCGATGCTATTAACTGTTTTGTTGGCTCTAATAATGAAACAATTTGTAAATGTCCACCTTATAGGCAAGGAAGAACTTGTAAATCTTTAAGAGATCCTTGTGATAAGTCTTTTAAAGATATATTTAACCCTGACGAACCATTTCAAAAGTGCGGCAATCACAAGTGTTTAAGTGATAGACATAATCCTACTTACGGTTATAGATGCGACTGTAGGGATGGGTTTATTTCAATGACTCTAAATAAACTTGGAGTTGAAATAGGTCCTCATTGCTCTGATATAGATGAATGCGAAGTTGGCGTTTTAGAAACCGAAGCTTGCAACGGACTCGTAAGCTTTTTTTGATATATACAGTATAAAAGTAAACGCCATCTAGCGTTTTGTTTTGAATCACCTATAGGGAACTTGCGTAAACGAATATGGATCTTATAGCTGTTATTGTCAGAAAGGTTATGTAGGTAGAACGTGTAACTTAAGAGTGGCTGATGAAAAATTAAATAACTGGATTGGTTGGTCTTCATGGTCTAAATGCACTAAAAGTTGTGGAGTTGGTATAAAGAAACAATATAAACTTTGCCCAAAGAATAGAAGATGCTCACTTAGCAGTCAAATTGTAATGAGGGAGCAGAATTGCAACGTGAAAGAATGCCCTCTAACATTAGGACCAAAGACTGGTCTTGGTAAGAAATTGGGAATAAATATGAATCAATTTAAAGAAAAAACTGTAAGTTAAACACCTAAATCGACTATATTTTAAAAAATTCATATTTTACAATAATAAGAGAATCAAATATGATTTTATGGATACAATTGACCTAAATCCACAAAAATACGATATAGCCGAAGAGGAAGAATACTATAAAGAAGATTACAACTATATAAATATACCAAATAATCTTTCATCATATCTTCAAATACCGTCTATAAAAGCGTTACTTTTTACATCATTTCAATTGTTTTATATAAATAATAATGAAAACGTTAATTTGTTTGCATTTTTCATAATTTTGTATTGAATTTTTTTAATGTTTTTTTAAAATAGTATCTTTTTTCAAGCTTTCAGAAAAATAACACAACGTTAATAGTTCATTATCAAACATTTTCTCACAGTTAACTCAGCAACTGCAACATCATTATCATTATCGAGATTTTATTGGTCACCATATAAAAAAAATGGATCATATATTTTATAAAATCTCGAACAAAATATTAAAGAATGAAATCAATTAGTATTGGCATAAAATAATAACTATATTAGATTTTATAGTTATTATCTCTTGAATAATAAGTTTTAGAGAGTACCTTCAAAATTACAAAAACATATTACATCACCCATTTTACATTTGTTTATATAATAGGGCTCATACTGTAATATTTTTGTTCTTGTTTAAGACTAATACTGCATGGAAGATTTATCATATAGAACAATTTATATGATAAATTGTAAAAGTTATTGATTTCATACTTTATAGATGATGACAATTTCCGTTACAAATTACTTCATGGAAGTCTAAAAGAGAAAGTTCATTTTGGAGGAAAATCATCTAATAAATGATTTTTTTTTGTTATTAAAACAATAAATTATTCTTCATTTAAAAGATGATTTTTCAATCCGTAAAGTTAAAAATAGATTAATCAAAAAAATCTGTTAGAAGATATTTTTTACATATAACAAAATTTTCAGCAAAATAGCTTCATGTTTTTAATGTATATATATATATAAAAAATATCAACTTCTTAAAAGACTTGTGCTTTTAACGTCTAGAGAAGAATACAATATCTTCCCTAACCTCAAAAGTTTTTTGTAATAAGTATTCGAGACGTCTTTTTAAAATCGAGGTAGAAAATAGGTAGTAATCAGGTGGGATAATTCTTTAAAAAGTAGTCAATTACTCTCCTATTCACAAGTTCTTTTTTAATAATGGAGTTATATATACTTTAAACTAATAATTTTTGTTATATAGGTGCAAAACTACTTAGTATGAAAATTTATACTTGTATCAATTTCATTTTAGACGGTCATTAGACCGAGAAAGGATGAAAGTGTCGCTATAAGAGATGCGAACCCTATTATCATCCAATTCGACCTAATTGTTCCAGCCTTGGCAGAAAATCCATTCAATATTTCCTTATTACATTTGTCAGTTGTACAGCATTTTCGGCATTCCTTCTTTCCATTGGCAGTTTGACAATTTTCAGCTTTATTTATTGAAGTACAATCGCTTGAATTGAAGCATCCTCGTGAATGTTCAATTACGTTATTTTCTTCGTATCTGTACATCCAACAAGTTTGACCAAGACCCGGTATACAAAGACTGGCAGTTTCATTAGATTGGGACGGTGGTGTCTTACATTCTGTTGATCTATTACAGTAGAAGCAATTAATTCCGCATTGCGTTTTTTCCAAAGTAGGTGAAAAACCAGCAGAACATTTGGAACATTCAATTGGTCTGTCTTCGCAAGCTTGACAATCTTTCAAGTCCGAGCAAGGCAAACATGTTTTGTGATCGTCCTTAAGACCGAAACCAGATTTACAGCTTAAACATTTTCCTTTTCCTGTAGCATCAGCACCAGTGCAAGTGGAGCATTCAACTACTGCTGTTAAATCTTGGCATAGCGAGCATCCTTTCTCTGCGTTAATTCCATAGCCAGATAAACATTTGTTACATTCAGCTTTGCCATTTTTGTACGAACAACTCATGCAATTTGATGGACATTTTGTGCAAGTTTTGGCAGTGTTCACTGTATAACCAGCATCACATTGAGAACAATGAGATTGCTTGTTAACTCTACTGCAAACAGCACAATTATCAGGGCAGGCAGAACAGGTTTTCACTTCATTTAGAATGTATCTGGCTTGACACTCGGAGCATTTCAATCCTTGACCTGATTCTTCGGAGCATTTCACACAGTATTTTGGGCATCTAGCGCAACTAGCTTCTTGTAAAGTAAATTCAGAGTTACATTCAGTACAGATAAGAATTCCATTCGTTTCTGGACATTTTCTGCAGTTATCAGGGCATTTATAACATTTCTTGTCATTGACTCTTAAGCCGTAAGTTGCATCGCATTTGTCTGTCTTACATTCTGTTTTTCCTCCAGTTGCATAATCACATTCAAAGCAGTTGTCAGGACACTTCATGCATGTTTTATCAGTTGTTGTAAGAGCGTATCTAGAGTTGCATCTCGATGTCTTACATTCAGTTTTACTAGTATCAGAATTGAAAGTACATTCAATGCAGTTATCGGGACATTTCATGCAAGTTTTGTCAGTTTTAAGAGCATAGGTAGAATCGCATCCACTAGAACTGCAACCAGTCTGTCCAGTTCCAGTAAGAGTGCATGTGTGACAGTTCGCTGGGCAAGCTTTAAAGACAAATACACTTTAACTTATACTGTAAGCAATAATTTAGCTCTCAATTAACTTACCGTAACAAACTTTATCTGATGCTTGTAAGGCAAATCTCGCCACACATTGGGTACATTCCAATTTTCCATTGCAAGCTAAGCAATTTTGTGGACAATCTATAAAAAATTTTCGAATGTTATTTGTTTAATTTGTTCCTTTTCTATTATAGTTATGATCTTACTTCCGCATTGTGAATCAGAATCCTTAACAGCTTGTTTAGATGGGCATGTTCCAACAACGCATTTTGGTGTGTCTGGATTAACAGAGTCAAAAGTACAGGATGTGCAAGTATTACATTTGACGCAGGTTTTTTGATCGTTTCCTGGATTCTGGGTGTAACCAGCTTTACATTGATTATCATTACATTTGGTCTTTGAGATGCCGGTGTCATAGACACAAGATAGACAATTTTCTGGGCATACTACACAAGTTTTAGTGTCATCTTTCATTGCGTAACCAGCTTTGCAGACGGTACAAGTCGATGTACCATCGGTTGCAATGTCACAGTTCTTACAACCATCGGAACAAGCATAGCATAATCTATCATTGTATTTAAGTCCATAACCATCTTCACATTTTTGGTCGAAACATGTCGTTGTATCTGAACAATGCTTGCAGTTGGTAGTACAACCAGAACAGGTTCCAACAGCTCCACTTGTAATACTATAATAATCCATCCTGCATGCTCCAGTATAACATTTTGAACCAGACGTAGCTGTATCGTAAAAACAATCAGCGCATCCAGCAGGGCAAGCTATACAGGTTTTATCATTTGGATTTTGTACATATCCAGAATCGCATTGTTGAATGTTACAAACAGATTGAGATGACTGCCAGCTGCACTTGGCACAGCTGCTAGGGCAACTATTGCAAGATTTATCAGCCGAATTCATAACGTAACGATCCATGCAAGTACTACACTTTGTCCATGATGAAGATTGTGTATAAGTGCACGATTTACAGTTAGTTGGGCAACTATAACAAGAGAGGTCACTTAATTGAGTATAGGCGCTGTCACATTGGCCAGATAAACATCCCATCATATTTGTTGTTGTTGAAATAGAACATTGTTTGCATCCAGTGTAACATTCTACAGTGGAGTGAAAGATAATGAAATTAATTTTTCTATAAATGAAAATAATTCTCTTGTACTTACTAAGACAAGTATTTCCTGTAACTTCCTGATAAGTACCAAAACATTTACCACTGTCACAGATATTAGTTCCAGATGAATCAGTACATTCTTCACATCCAACAGGGCATGCTGTACAAGTACCGTCAGATGGTCTTCCCATTAATTTGTTGCATCCATATTTACCGCACTTTTTAGCGCCATTGTGATAATAGCATGTCTCACAATTACTTTGGCAGGCTGAAAATAGATATTACTTTTTCAGATTTCAATAAGAATATTCTAAAAAACTTACCTGTGCATGTATTATCTGTTGTACTTTGGACATAGCCATGCATACAGAATCCAGACAAACAATAGCTGGTTGAATCATCATTATTAACTCCGCAATGTAAACAACCAGCAGGACAGTTGACACAGGTTCCATCTCGTTTCATAGCTTGGTTCGATCCACAAGTAGTAGCTAGTTTGTAAAATGGAAAAATTAGTTATATATTCTTATTGTTTTTTTTAAGCGCAATCATACCTTTGCAGGTTTGAGATGATGCTTCATAAACGTAACCAACATTACAAGCATTGCTGTTACATTTTCCTGCTACACTGCAAGCACTGCAGTGTGCATCACATTCTGTAAGATAAAAATTGATCAAAATTGAACCTTTTACAAGAGTTATTTCCCCCTAACTTACGTTGACAAGTACTATCAGTATGCAAGAAATAACCGGTTGTACATTGGTTTGCATTACATTGTCCAGCAGTTGTACATTGGCCAGTGTTACAATTTGCGTGACATCCTTCACAATTAAAGGATCCAGTAAGGAAATAGTTGGTCATACACTTTCCATCATTACATTTTCCAGCGAATCTTCCACTAGCATCACATTCATGAGGTTGGCACTTATTATGGCATTCTATTATAGTATGATACCAATTAAACATGATATTTTCCATACAGAAAAAAATGAGTACTCACGAACACAAGTATGACTGGACTCATCATATATGTAACCATTCTTACACATATCTCTATCGCATTTACCTTCTCCCATTTTATCACAATATATGCAATTAGAGGCGCATTGTCCACATGTCTTATCTGTTTTTCTTCCATAATTGGAGTTACATTTTCCTTCGTCACACTTTCCTGCTCCTTCGGTGTCGCAAGAGGCACAGTTGTCGGCACATTCTGAAAATCAATTATTCTCATTAGCTTTTTTTAAATAGTATAAAAAGTTTCTACTAACTTGAACAGGTACTTTCATCAACCCAAACATATCCAGACATGCACATATGCTTATCGCATTTTCCTGATCCTTCTCTATCACATCTCTTACAATTGGATGCACAGCCTAGTAGATTGAAAGAGTTGTATGTTTTTATATGTAAAAGTTTATTATTAAAATAATACTTACTGCTTGTACAAGCAAAGGAATTGCCGGCATGATTTGCATGAGTTTTTCCATCAATACACATCCAATCGTCGCATGCACCACCTCTTCCACTTGCAATACATTTATTAGTTTGACAGTTTCCATCGCAGTTTGCTACGCAGACACGATTAGTATGATCGAAGAATTGTCCCGACGGACAATAGCCATAGTTGCATTTCGATGCAGCAACGCATTCACCTTGACTATTTGTTGCAATGCATCCGCTTTGACAAGCTGAATAATAATTTCAATGAAATAATGAAATAAGTATTTTTCACAGTTTATACTCACTGATAGTGCAAGTGTGTTTATCAGTATTATCGATTCCCTTATTGTTACTGCATGTTAAACAATCATTATCTGCCGCACAGGTCGTACAGTCAGTGGGACAAGCTAGCAAACAATCGATATTTTTATCAAATTTTCTAAATTTTTATTAAGAGCCTTACTTGCACATGTTCCATCAGCAACACCAGTTGGATCAGAATGATATTCATTTGCAGCGCAACTAAGGCAGTTACCAGCTGCTCCCGCGCTACAAGTTGTGCAGCTTGGATCGCAAGCTAATTAAAAAATCGTAATTTAAAAAATGTCTATCAGAATCTAGACTCAGATATCGCCATACCTGCACAGGTTCCTTCGGCTCCAGGAGTATCATGAAAATTTTTTGCAGGACACGTCAAACACTTGTCTGCTCCAGTTTGAGCGCAAGTTGCACAACTGCCAGTACAGTCTGTGAATGAAACTCTTGTAAATGCCACAATATATTATTATAATCGTCTATTAACGTATACCTGTACATGCTCCAGCAGCTCCGTCGTTAGTAGCGTGAAATTTACCATCTATACAAGTTCTACAGTTAGAAGCTCCAGCAGCAGTGCAAGTTTTACAGTCGCTATGGCAAGCTAAAAATAAAATTGTTATGAAAAAATTCATTTGCTGTTATTTTTTTAAATACCTGTGCAAGTTCCTTCTTGCCCAGATTGAACAGACAGAAATTTGTCCGAAGCGCAAGTTAAACATTTATTTGCATTTCCACCTTCGCTACAAGTCGCACAACTACTATCACAAGCTGAAAATGATTATTAATTATTACAAAGATTTGCTGCAAAATAAAGCAATTCAATTACCAGTGCATGTTCCATCAACGCCAGGATTATTACTTTTCACAGAGTTAGTAGGGCAGGTCAAACATTTGCTAGCATCTGCAGGTGCGCTACAAGTTGCACAAGTAGAATCACAATCTGTAAAAGAAATAGACTTTTACTATTTATTAAACGAATTAATACAATTAATTACTTGTGCATGTTCCATCTGATCCAGGAGCACTATGGGCCTTTCCACTCGGGCAAGTTAAACACTTACTAGCACTACCCCCTTCACTACATGTTGCACAAGAGGCATCGCAAGCTGTAAATTATAAAATTTATGTGATGTATCTTATATTCTAATTCTAATAAATGATAAAATACCTGTACAATATCCGGCCGTTGAAGATACTTTTGTTAAAATAGCATTACTAGGACATGTCAAACACTTATCGCTGTCACCGCCTTTTTCACATTTTGCACAAGTAGAATGGCATTCTTTATTTTAAAAAAAAAGAAAAAATATTACTTTTGATTACTTAGACTTTATGCTTTTGATAAACAGATACAAACTTGTACAAGTTCCATCATTTCCGCTAACAACTTCAAAAACGTAATTACTAGCACAGGTTCGACATTTTGCTCTATCTTTGGTCGCCGAGCAGGTTAGGCAAGTTGGATGACATTCTAACAAGAAAAATAAATATATTATGTATTATTTTTTTTATGAAAAGATTTTAAAAAATTGAAAATTTACTTGTACAAGTTCCGGGATCTCCAGTTTGAAGCCAGCCACTGAAGCACGACTTACAATCATTCGATGTTGCACCATCACATGTCTTACACGAAAAGTGACATGCTGAAACGAGAAGATATAAGTCAAAATTAATTTTCGAATTATTATATACATACGTGTACAAGTTCCTTCTGCAAGGTCAGATGTTGATTTTTTATAAGAATCTCTACATGTTCTGCATTTCGAAGCTTCGTTTGTCGTGCTACAAGTTGCGCAAGAATGATGACAAGCTATTGAAAGAGTAATTATCTAGAATATATAAATATTTCACTTATAATAACTAGTTACCCAGGCATTTTCCAAATGCGTCCCCACTATTTTGAATACTGTAAGTTAATCCGGGTAAGCATGATGTACAGTGAGCGTCACTACCCGACTGCGCGCAAGTCAAGCAGGCTGCATTACATGCTGTGCATTCTCCTGTAACGCCTACCGCAGCAAGACCATATCCAAGTTTACAAGTTGTACATTTAGTGGCATCAGCAGCATCAGTGCAAGTTGCACAATTGCCACTACAACCGGCTATTCAGAAAAAAATTGTTTAATCATTACTTTGAATATACCTGAACTACAGATAAGTTATTAGTCGAATTGAGTAAAATACTGACTTGTACAGTAAAAGTCGCCACTAGTAGCTGAGGCAATTCGACCAGCTACGCACGATCTACATTTATCAGCTCCAGAGGCACTACACGTTTTACATCCAGCAGTACATGCTTTAAAAAGAGTTTTACTTTTAGTAATAGCCTAACGAGTTTCTTATGAAGTTCTACCTGAACAGGTGTTTCCATCGAGAAAAAATCCATCGTTACATTGACCAGCGTTACACTGGCTAGCAGTTGTACATTGCTTAGCTTTGCAGTTGGAGTCGCAAGCTTAAAAATTGCATTTAGTGTAATTAATATAAATCATAATTTTATTGCGTTGGAAAATTTTTGGATTTACTTACCAATACACATCTTTGAAGAACTATCATAACCTTGAGGTGATGGACAATAAGCGGCTCCGTCACATTTTCCTACTCCTTCTACTGAACATTTCGTGCAGCCAGTTTGACAAGCTTCGCAGGCCCTTGTTGATGGATTCATTGCATAACCAGCAGTACACTTTCCATCATCACATTTATTATTTCCTCTAATGTCACAATTGTTGCAATTGGTTTCACAAGCTATATTATTAAATTTAAAACTTATTTAACGGGTAATCAATATAAACTTTATAACTTACGAACGCAACTTGTATCACTAGCTCTCTGGAATTTTGGTTTACAGGTTGTACATTTAGCTTTATCAGCTTGACAGTCACCACAGTTTGTGACATCGCAGGCTAAAACATTTGAAAAGTAGTTAATTATTTTTGTAGTACAAAAGCTAAAAAAATTAAAATACGTTCGCAAGTAAAATCACTCTTTCTTCTGTATCCAAGCTGGCATTTACCAATATCGCATTTTCCCACTCCATTTGCTTCGCAAATATCACAGCCACCAGAACAGGCTTCACATGTATGATCGGATTTGTACCTTTTTGTAATAATACATTTATTTTTGTCGCATTTTCCAGCTCCTCCACTTGCTCCTTGGGTAGCACATTGACCTGATTCACAACTTGCATGGCATGCTGTTTGGGTTATACAATAAAATGAAATAGTGCTACTAAATTTAACTTCTGGAATAGAAATCGGCTGTCTTACCAACGCATGTTTGGTCGCTGGTTTTGTACACATAGGGAGATGAACATTGTCCTGCATTACATTTATTTTCCGCGGTACACTGACCAGAGTTACAGTTAGTATCACAAACTGAAAAATAGAAGCTTTTGTTAACAGTATTCACAAGTTTGATATACGAAATTACCTTTGCAGGTGCTGGTACCAGAATCAAAGAAGGTATTTCCAATACACTGACCAGACATACATTTTCCAGCCTCAGTACATCTTGAACAATGAGTGGCTTGACAAGCTGAACAGGTTTGGGAACCCGAAACATATGCGTATCCATTTTCACATCCGTCAGAATCACATTTTGTTCCACTGCTGATGGTGTTGCATTTTAGGCAGTTGCTACTACATCCGATGCAGGTTAAACCATCACTACTCCTTCTAAAACGCTGAGCACAACCTCTATCCAGACATTTTCCAGTTGTATCGCATTTAATACAGTTACTTGGACAAGCAACACAAGCTCCGGAATTATAAGCATATCCATGTTTACATTTGTTAGAATCACAGGTAGCAGCCGATTCGTCAGAATTCATGGAACATCTAGCGCAACCTGCAGGACATGCAAAGCAACTCCTGTCTCTCTTTTGTGTGTATCCCGGTTTGCATCCTCCTGGTTTGCATTCAGTATTATCTGTTCCAGTAACTTGTGTACAGTGATCACAATTACTTGGACAAGCCAAACAAATCAGATTATTGTCTTTAACTTGATATCCCAATTTACATTTATCACATTTCGCAGCACCCAAAGAAGCGCAAGTTTCACAGTTGGCTCTATCTGCGCATTCATCACAGGCCGTATTGTCAGCTTTCTTTTTGTAACCGGGCAGACAAGTATCGCATTTGCCTGGTCCATTCGTAGCACAGGTCAGGCAGTTTGAGGTGCAAGCTTCGCATAATTTTGTTCCAGAATTTTGTTTAAATCCACTAAGGCATGTATCACATTTACCTCCACCAGCAGTCGTGCAAGATGCGCAATTCGACGAACATGCGACACAAAGACCATTTGATTTAGCAAATTTGGCATTACATGTTTGACAAACTGTCTTGGCAACAGTTTGATCAACAGTTATGGTACAAGAATTACAGTTGTCGGGACATTCTAAAGGTGAATGACGTAATCATTAATTTAATCAAGTAATAAAATAGTAATTTTATAAACTTACTATGGCAGACGTTAGTTCCGGTTCGTTTCACATAACCACTAGAACAGGTAGAACAAATAACTCTACCTCCACTAAGGGAACAGTCGCTACAACCAGGTGGACAGGCGATACATTTTTTTGCCGAAATTTTGTGATGATTTGCTACACAAGTTTGACAAGTTTGCGTACTTCCATCCGTTGTACAGGTAAGACAATTACTTGGGCAAGCTCTACAAGTTCCATCAGTATGTCTTACATATCCTTGATTACACTGACCAGTATTACATTTGGCTGAATTCGCTGTTGTGTCAAAGACACATTGACCAGATTTACAATTGGAGCACACTGAGGAAGAATTAAAAGCATTATTAGTTAAAATTGATTCTGAAACGAGTGTAAAATTCTTCCAACTAGATCTTACAGTGGCATGTTTTATCTGTGGTTTTCATGGCGTAAGTTGATTTACATTCAATGCATGTAACTGTTGAACCAGATTTTGTACAAGCTAGACAACCAGATGGGCACGCTGTCAGAGAAAGAAGATATAATTAGATATTTTTAGAATACTTTTTATTTAATCTTACATGTGCATCGTCCGTTACTTTCTCTATAGTAACCAGGATCGCATTGTTGATTCATACATTTGGATTGACCATCGATTATTTCGCACATTTTGCAGTTTGAAGGACAATCAACACAACCAGATTTATCGGCATTCACGGTCTTCTTTGAAGCGCAAACAGCGCACTTGATCAAGTATTCTTTATCAGCATAGCAATATGTACAACCAGAAGGACATTCTGGACATGTGCCATCATCTCCTTTGTAGGCTGATCCCGCTGAGCATTTATTCCATAAACATTTTGTTGTTGTACCATCGTCAGTGCATTCTGTACATCTATCAGGGCATTCTGGAAAAAACGAGATAGGTTTATCAAAGATTTGTTATTGAAGACGAAGAGATCGTACTGTAACATTTTCCATCACTGGATCGAACAGCAAAACCAGATTTACAGCTAGAAGATTTGCATTTAGTTATACCAGAAGTATAAGTACAAGAGACGCAGTTTGGTGGGCAAATATGGCATGTTCCTGATGCCGAATTCCAGGCGTATCCGGTTCTACAGCCGGCAGATTTACAAACAACTTTTCCATTTATTATTTCACAGCTCAAACAATTATCAGGACAGACTAAAACAAAAAATGAAGTCTTTAGAATTATTTTTCTAATGGAATAACTATGAACACTTACAATCGCAAGTCTTCATTTGTACTATTTCATAATAGGTTCTACATTTGGTACATGTTGTAGTTGTTCCCGCAGCGTCTACTGTGCATGTTAAGCAATTTGGTTTACATGCAACACAACCACTTTTATCAGTTTTAACTCCATAACCATTTACGCAATCGGTACAAGTTGCTGTACCAGTATTACCAGCATCAGAACAAGCGTCTGATTTACAACCAGCTGGGCATACAGTACAACTCTTTTTGTTACCAGGAATAACATAACCACTTGAGCATTTGGTACAGAATTCGGGAGCACTATTATCAGACTTGATATCACATTCCATGCAAGCTGAAGAAATACTTGAACATGCAAGACAATCAGTTTTATCTGGTTTTAAACCGTAAGCAGAAACGCAGGCGGAACATTCTGCTACACCATTGCTGTCAGAATCGGCACATTTCGAACATTTTGAAGGACAATCTGCAATATAAAAAGAACTAACTCATTGACTTGTAAATTATGAAATATATTAGTATAAATGTAAAAAAGAAAATGATAATATTAACTCACCTACGCAACCACTTTTATCTCCTTTTAAACCTTTTGAAGAGATACATACTTCACATCTATCTGCGGTTCCGTCATTATTCTCATCAGAGCAGGTTGTACATCCGGGCATTGGTGTTCCGCAAGCTAAAACGCATATTTGTTTAATAATTCAAATTCATTAAAAGTATTAAACTTTTATTAGTCATAAATAGCAAATGATAGACTTACGGACGCAATCCGTTTTGTCTTTTTTCATGCCATGTACGGCTATACAAGTAAGACATTCTGGTGTTCCATCATTATTTTTGTCCTCACAGGTGGCGCAATTGGTTGGGCACTCTAATGAGAGGATAATAGTTTATAGGTTAATAATTAATTATTGTAAGAGATATTAATCATCACTTTGACAAGTTTTATCCGAATCTTTCAACCAGTAGCCTGTAATGCATGTTTTACATTCCGTTTTATCGCCTTCCGTATTATTGCAAATTGCACATTTATCAGCGCATGCTGAAAGTGAAGCAATTAATTAATATCCAAAAAAATTGTTTAGAAAGTTTACTTACGTAAACATTTAACTCTTGTATTAGCAATCACATATCCAGCTGGACAAACTTTACATACTAGCCCAGTATCGCTACATGTATCGCAATTTTTTATAGCCGTGCAAGCTAGAATAAAGAAAATCAGAGTTAAAAATTTATAGAATATAGGTAAAGGGTAACTTACTTCCTGCGCCTGTTGTAGCTGCTTCAATTTCTATGAAATTTAGCAGGATACAGCAGACTCCCGCAATTAATTTAAAATTCATACTCCTGTTTTCCAATTTGTTGAAGTTAACTTTATTTCTTTAATTTCTGAAAAGATAGAAGATTATTGAATAGAATTTCCATAGAAATTCATCTATTTATACGAGCATTATTATATAAATATATTCAGAAGGTATACAGACATGATATGAATAAATCGCTAAAGTTTTATCAATATCAATGTTATAAGTGGCGGATGTTTCTAAGCTCTTTATATCGATTCATTATGCATTCAAGCATCAAAGAGGAGCATTTTAACACATAAACATATATATATAGAGCATCTAGAGCGCACATTACATGTCGAGTTGTTTGTTCACATCTTATAAGCTGCACTATTCTATCTTGAAACGTTTGAACTGAAGGTCTTAGTTTACTTTTCAAGTTTTTTTTTTTAATCTCCTCTTGAATATTAATGAGTTTCTTTAACTAAAAACAAAGATATTGGCAATATTGATGGAGAAAATATATAAATCTTCTCTCTAGGCTTTTTACTTTAATATTTTGAATATTAAAAAGAATTAAACTATTAAAAAAGTATTTAATAAAAGTATTTTAATTGATAAAGAATAATAAACTTTAACAATTGAAACTTACGAATTAGATTCTTTCTCGGTTAGTTTATGAATTATTTTTAAAACGGAAAGTTCTATGCCTTCTTTTTCAAGATAATGTTCGATTAGACGTTCTTCAACGAAAGGCAAATGTTGATTGGCCGTTGCAGAATGTAGTGCTGTACCTTTTGAATCCACTCTAATGTTGTCTTGACAACGAATGATACAACGCTAATATAATTTCCAAATCGATGATCAATGATCGATTTAGAATGAAAGAAAACTTGCTATTGGAAGAGTCGGATTGAATAGAGTACCCATGAATTTTAAATGCCGTTCAAGCCCTTGTTCAAACAGAACTACTGAACCAATTAAATTTTGTCAAATTGACAATATATGAAGAAAGATTAGAATTCAATAATAACTTATCTATAGTTTTATAATTTTGGTTCTCAATATTTAATCAATTTATAAACAAATGATAAAAATTGATTATAAACCCTCAAAGGCATTTCAAAATGAACTATTACCAAGCATATTGTCATAACAACTCTAAACATATAGATTTCCCTAATTAAAGTTGTTTTGCAGTTTTGTAGTTGTTTTTTTGTTGGATTTCTTTTTTTATTTTGTCTTATTTAACCTAGAGGAAATTCAATAAACTGTAATAAAGCTTTTTATAAAAATTTATCTCAATCTCTCTATCTCTTTATGCTTTCTTATTCTATGGTAAATTTAACTAAAACGAAACAACTTATAAAGCAATCTTTCATTTTAAATGAGTGTCAATTGAGATTTGTTTAATCAGAATGGAATGAAAAAATTTCTCCATCAATCTCTTTTCTTTATTAAACCTTTTGAATAAACTTGATTGGTTATATAGAATGATTGAATTTTTGCAGTGTTGTAACCAATAAAACAATCGACTTTTTTCTTTCCAGCCCTTTTCAAGCTATATTCGCAGCAAAGGGTAATTAATTTAGGTATTGTTCCGTTACCCTAACAACATCTAACATTAGTATAAATAAATATCAACATAGCATTAGAAACAGTAGCTCTTGCACAATGCCGCTCATTAGAATTTTATCTAGAACTTTCGCGATAAATATATTATCTAATTATAAAGAATTCCTAATACAGGAGAGAGAAAGGTGAAGAACGTATCTTCTAAAGTTCAAAAACCTATATTTCTTCCTTTCTTCAACAGTTCACTTATTATGAAAATTTTCCCTTTTTTTCCTACATTTCCTGTGATAAATCATCGCTTATCTTTATATATCTTCAATATATTCTATGGACATTAAATTTATCAAAACGTAATAAATCCTAAATAAATATTAATTAATCTGTAATTTTTTTAAATAAAAGATATATTTCAACTTTAAAAAATGCAAAAAGTTCTAGAACTATCAACTAGATGCAGTACATTTATATGTTACATTAATTTCCAATAAAATTACGCAATTCTCTATTGCAGTTGTCAATGCAAAAACAGCAAGATATGTATTAATATATATATATATATATGCAGTATATATATCTCTTTACATTCGAAAAAAAAGATTAATTTATGGAAATGGATTATGCTGTATATAACACTGCATTTGTAATTATGACGAATTTATTATAATAGAGTTTTTTTCTTCTATTTCATCGAATTCTAGGCCCAATCTGGAAATTTTGAATGAATAATTTAAATATTGGAGTGAATGTGATAAATTAAAATTTTTATATCCTTCTTCTCACATTTATAATTCTTTCTTTTTATTTCTTATATTGTTGTTACTAGTTTAATCATTACTTAGTTATATTTTAGGTAGGCCTATAAAAACTACGTATACTGTTTGGTATTATTATTAAACCAAAATGAATTTAGTTTTTGTCTTAGAGACGATAAATAAGATATAATAGTTTTATGAATAGATTTTAAAGCTTATGTTTATTGTTATATGAAAGAGTATAACAATACGATTCGTTTCAACATGAAGAAGAGTTATTATTAAATAATTATGAGGTAAAAATCTATGATTATGAATAATGAAAATAAAAGGAATCTTTATATATTGAAATGAATATTTTCCCCTTATTAATGAAATTCTTTGAAATCTATGTGTAATACCATTATAGGGTTGTACTAATAGTTTTTATCTGAAATTTTGCTCTATATATTATTAGTTTTTTTATAACTTCAGTGTAAAGTCTGTACCGAAGTATCATTAAACCAAATCTACGTAATAGATAAATCAAGATTTGCATTAAAATATCTATTGGTATTTCTTTGTTATACTTAGGAAAATGGTAAAAAAAAAAGAGGTCATTTAATTTTTAACATCAATAATTTGTATTTTAAAGATGTTCATGTTTTGATTTCTTTTAAAAAAAAATCTGTGATTAGATGAGGTAACTAAAAAAAATGTACTTTAAAATGGACGTCTTCAGTCATAATAAAATGAGCAAATCTGGCTAAATATGGCAATTTTCCGATATTAGACTTTCGATGAATTATTTGAGATTTTAGACTGTTGGGATAATATGAAAATTTTCTTTTTATAAAAACAAAAGATTTATAAACGAATCAATCATTTACCTTTAACAAATCGACAAAATCGACACCAACATTATGCGGATCTAGACAAAAGTCTTGAGCGTAAACAACTTGTAACCTATGCTTTAGTAAATACGGTCCCCATTGCTTGCTAGGTCTAAAAGAACTTCCTATATCCTAAAAAAAGAAAGATAAGATAATATCTTATTCTTTATAAATCAATCATTAAAAAATTTACTTTTTTTAAAAGATTCTGTACCAGTTTAAAAGCACCATAACCAATTAGAACTAAACCTCCAGATATTGCTATTAACCATCCTAAAACTTCCGACCATTTAGGATAATAGTAGTCAAGGCGAAAGAATGATTCGTACTAAAATATAACAAAAACTATTTAACTATCTTCTGACGAAGTATCTTATGAATTATTTAACCTCTACAGCTTCAAAAACAAACACAAAGATAGCGGAGATTGGTGTAATAACACCCCAGGTAATAATCCACCAATATTTAGAGCAAGACCAATTACATATAAAGCAAACTTTCTTAGATCCTATCATAAGTCCAACGTCCTCGGTGAATCTAGTTACGCCTGTTAAATGTTATAAATGTGTTGTATAATTTGTTTTAAGGTATTTTATATAATGACAAACCATAAATGTAAACAATAGAAATACACTCCAGGAAGCATAGAATATATTTAATCCAATTTTTTGTAAAGATATCCAATAGATACGTCAAGTATAGACCACCCTATTTGAAAACAAAGGGAGATAAAAATAGCGTCTATTAATAATTTGGAAAGTTTTTATTTGTCCTCTTTTTCCATAGTTATGTTATTTAACTAATTACTTTACCAACTTACATTGCAACACAAAGGTAATCCCAACAAGAAAAATATAAAACAAAGGCCAAATGATAACCTTATATTTCTTTTTCGAAAGTAATTTGGATTTAGATCGTATAAGGAACTTTTTATTGAATTAACATAGGCTAAGCTAGTATCTATACCAAGAAATAAAATCAATAGGAACAAAACCGAAGTCCACGAAGCTGATGCAGGAATGTAAGAAATTATAAATGGTACGACTATAAATAGGAAGTCAATTGAGTGTTCCAGAAGGAAAACATCGTCAGTGCTATCAACTGCCAACCTCAACGCTTCCCCAAAAAAAGAAAATACTGTCAAGCCACACAATATTGAAAATATATGATTGGTTAGGGTAACAAGAATTGTATCCCTGTTAAAAGGTGAATTTTTCAATTGAATATATCAATTCTACAAACGTGTTTTTATACTTTAACGTCTCATTATGAAATCGATTAAAACTAGCCAAAGTTATAAGTGTACCCTCGCAAAGTCCAAGAGAAAATATTGTTTGCTTCACCGAATCAACCCAAATTTCAGATCCAAGTAATTGATTAATATTAAACTAAAAAGATGAAAGTATAAGTATAATTATTCAAATTATTAATAGATTTATAGGTCAAATCACCTCATCATACAAGACTTTTAATCCTTCTTCTCGACCTTTCAACAAAAGACCTCGTAACAGTAACGATAAAAGCAAAGTACATTTTGCAAAATTTGTAAAGTAGACAATCTTTTAAAGATAATAAAGGCAATATTATATATTAGTTCTGTGAGGTTTTAACTTAGAAAGCTACCTTTCCATAATACTTCATCCCTTTAATTATTGCTAAAAAAGATAGAATCCATAAAATTCCACTACAGACAGCTAATTCCCATTGGATTGTTCCAAATTTGTTCATATCGTAGTCTGTCGATTTTGTCAACCTTGAATAAAAGAATTCTTCAGTTGGAAGAGTCCATTTAAACTAAATTGGAAGGATAAAGATCTATTAAAAAGATATTATTACTAGAAAATATTACTGTACAATATGAGAATCATGAGAAATATTATAGACGCTTTTGTCAAGATCTCCTAAAGGAACTGAATGATATAATTTAGTTTCCCCACCGAAGGTTAAATTTCTTGATCCGTAACAACGACCATTGGCAAGATTGACTGAAGTATTATACATTGCTTTGACTGTTTCATTTAGGCATAATTTGGCTTCATCTTTCATAATTAAAAGAATACAATCTACAAAAGATCAAATAAGTGACAAGCGTTTAAATGTTGGAAATTGTTAAAGAAAAGATAAAGAAAAAGAGAGTTACGTGGTGTATTCCATTCATTATCGCATCTTGTCCATTTTGACTCTGATCTATAAACTATACTATATCCAAAATACCAAAGTCCCCATGTAATAATACTCATATAATATATTGATGTTATGCAGAGTAACATAATCATACAGAAACCAACACCTGTCAAAAATTTTTATACAAGATATTTTTTAAGATATCGTGAAAGAATATTAGTAGTAGAACCTTTCATGATCGGTAAGTAAGTCCAACAAGTCAGCATACTACTACTAGTAAACTGACCTAAATTTAATTCCAAGTAGAACATAGGAATACCCACGAATATTAAGGACACGCAATACGTAATAAGAAATGCAACTACAATAATTATATATATTGAGAGAGAACTTATGTTAATGTTTAATTATTATTGAAGATACTAACATCCACCATGTTTGTAGCACATATAAGGAAACTGCCAAATATTACCTAAACCAATAACACATCCTATTGCAGCTAAAACAAAATCTGCTCTTCCAATCCAATTTCCCCTTTCTTCATTCTCTTCGAGAGAAAAATCTTGTTTTTCAGTGTCTTGTAAACTTTTAATTGGATGTTTTGTTTGCTAATAGTATAGTAATAATAGTATATACTACAGACATGTATATATAATACGCAACAATTAACGGACAGACTTTACACTCACTATATCCCGTATTTTATTTTTTGCAGCATTATAAGACTTTTTATCAGTCATCTTTATCCTTTCAAATCAAACTGTAAATCGCAGTACAAATATTTAATACTTGATATTGAAATTTATGATACTAGGAATCTAATGCATAAATATACCGGTCTGAAAATATAATTTAAATAACAGAGGAAAGTGTCAAACAACTAAAGATTTAATATAATGCATTGTAAAAATATATGTTAATGTCCTTAGAATTTATTAAAGAAATAAGGTTTTTATAAATATTTATTCGAGTAGTCCATCCTCTTTGCATACTTTTGATAGTAAACAAGTTTAAGAAAGTAATAAATCTAAAAGTGTCATTCCTTAGACACAAAATTTCTCTTCCAAGTAAAACGCATTTATGTTTTAAAGTTAAATTCATAAAGAAGAGTTTCGAATACAGAGTTATTTTATACTGTATATACATCATATATATATACAGTATATATATATATATATATATATATTAACATACCAATAGGAGAAGATATGTAAAGCCTGTACGATTAAACAATCTGTTTGAACGTTATAGTTTTGTATAAACATGTCTATATTGTGATGTTTTTAATACACATGTTTAGAATTCAAATTCAAATGAAAAGTAATGGGTTGATTTATTGAAAATTTCCTCCATTGAATTGTATTATTAAAGAATATTGCAATTGAATAAGAGGCCTTTATCTATCTCTATGAAACTTAATAATATTCCAAAGATAAAAAGTTCAATTGATTTAACTTCCGGCGAAGATAGTTCAGAAGAAATTATAGATTTATGGAATATGCGTATTAAATTTGGAAAGGAAACTAATCAAGTCGAAGAATTTTTACAAAATTTAGCGCAACATTCAAAATCTATTGTCGTTGGTATCAATCGGTTAAAAGAAAATTTTAATTCGCTAATTACATGCTACGAAGGTCCAAGTATGCTGAATAATACGTGTGATATGTATAACTCTGAAAACTTTCAAGTTGAGTCAACTTTAAAAGAAGATCTAAATCCATTATTTTCGAATTACAAGAACATTGTTGAACAGCTTGAAAACATCAATTTACAACGTAGTAACCTTCTTTGTGAATTAAGCCAATTTTTCTCAAAAGAGAGAGGTCTAAAAGAAGTGTCTTCTTATAGGCCAATTGATACAACCAATTTTACAATAAACTACATATCATTCAAGCAATGTTTACAAAAATTGTCAAACATTAGCTCTCATTTTGACTATCTTAAAGATCAACTCTATTTACAAACAACCGTAGATCTCGATAAAAGATTACATAACAAAAAAGACAATAGTCCTAAGAAAAAAAATTGGGAATTACAGATTCAAGAAATGAAAGATATCATTGTCCGCATTCCACATAGTAAAGAGAACGATGAACTGCAAATGAAATTAAATCAGATTGAAAAATTCCTAGTCGAAAACAATGAAATATTGAAAGGACAATTGTTAGAATTAGAATTTCTTAGAAAAATAGAAAGTAAACGGAACGAATTAAATAACGATTTGTTAGACGATAGAGACAATCAATTAAAGAATAAATTACTATTACTCAATACATCGAAATATCAAATTAAGACTTTAAATCGTCTAGTAATTAAATGGAAGAGACTATTCGATAAACGCAACGAGATTATCAGTTCATTATTAAAGGATAGAGAGGAACTTCTTAATCAAATTAAATTAAATAATTTTATACCCGATTATTCAAAATTAAGCGAATTTAGAGAGTTAAAAGAATTATCTAATACAAAAGATGATTATTATCAACAATACTATACAAATAATTTAATAGATAAGAGTAAAACAAACGAATTGGATAGATGTAGATATGAGAGGGATCGTTTAAGAAAGGAAATTGAAATTAGATTACCAATAACAAACGAAACTTTAGTACAATTAAGAAATATTATAAAGAAATTACATAATAGGCTCTCGTCCAAATCGAAGATGCTACTATCAAAAAGAAAAGCTAAAAAGAGATTAAGTCAAGCCGAAACTACTTTAATCGTTGATACACTAAAGAATTTAGAGAAATCTTGCAACATTCTCACTGATTCTAATACAACTCAACATCCCAAATTATCAGAGGATAAAATAAGTACGAATACATTAAATAGTCCAACAAATGCAAATATTATTGAAGGTCATCAAATGACAAAAATACAAAGGTATTACGAAGAGAATTTTAGTAATGATATTGAAAAGAATACTGAGAATAACAGTTTTATTGAAATTCAATCAAAATTTCAATGTTTAAGAGAACATTTCGAAATTCTTTACGATTTAGTTGAAACTAATGATTTATTGGATAGCACTACACTTTTTACTTTTGAACAAGTTCGTGAACTACAAACCAGTTCCAATGTCATAAAATATCAAATAGACAAAGCCGAAGAAAAGAGAACAAGTTTTTTTGAGAATATATCGAAGGTCGTCGAAAAAGAGACGACAGGCCTATTCCCGCCCACAGAATTAGAATACTTACAGTCGCACGCTTTAACTTACTCTTTCGAATTAGTAAATTGTTTAACTAGTCTTATTTCTAATCAGAATAAAAGATTATTAATTCAAGAGAATTATATACAACTACTTGAGAAACAAATATTAAAAGGGGAAAACAAAATAACTACTAGTTTAACAAGGCTTGATAAACCAGAATTAAAATGTATGGAACAAGATATAAAGCAGGATACTCATACTTCAATAAACAGTCAGATGAGTACTAGACAGAGTAATAGACAGAGTAATAGACCGAGTTCCCAATGTTTTATAATGAATAAATCGGAGATCATTAGCGAAACAATTGATACGTCATTTGAAAATTACAGCATTTATAATAAAATTAATAATGAAAAAAAGAAGGTCAAAAGACGCAAAAAAAGTACCAGTAAGAGGACGACGGAAACTATTAAACCATATAAAATGGGGACATTTTTAAAAAATAAGAAAGCCTATAAAAAATTTCGTAAAATTTCACTATTAAAAAAGAAATCTGTCTGAAACTGATAGAGCCTAACTGTATAATTGTCATTCAATAGATGAACAACTTTCAAAGAACAGTTTACATTGCCCTCCTTTCGAAATAATCAATCATTTATGTTATTTGCTATTCAAAAAGCGGAAGCTTTCATAGTGTATAGATCTTTATACACTGATCAGTATCTGCGTGCAATGAAACCTATCCTATCTATGATATAAAATATTCAAGCATATTAAAGTTATAATAATTTATTATAAACAATAAAAAACATGAACATATGAATAACAATCCTCTTATTTCTTTCTATTATGAAAGTGAGTATATTTGATCCACTCCCTTTAAATGAATCTTTACAGTGAGCGATCTGGGATTCTTTTTGCCTTTTAAACATTCTAATGTTCCGCTTATTTCCTCATGTTCTTTAACTTCTATAGGATGTTTAAGAAAGAATACAGTGTGCTTCCAATGAGTCCCTTTTTCAAATGGAGACGTTGAAAGTCTCACAGGTTTGGGCATCTTAAAATCTACATCAAAATAAGCACACAAAGCATGAACTGTTGTTGAATGTTGACAAGTGAGCTTAAACAGTGACTTGAATTCTGTATCTTTTATGCTACATTCATTTAAATTGAGTGAAATTAGTTCACTCTCATCAGATACGATTGAGGTTTTCTTTACAAAATCTACTAGAGCTTCTCCTAACTCTTGTTTTCGTAGACACGACATTCGAAATCCATAAACATCATCCCAAAATGTAATATGTCTTTTGTAGAGCTCCTCGTCCGTCATAGCCATAATTTTCAAGGTACAAATGTTTGGCAGCATAATACCGTCACTTTTCAAATACTTGTCCCTGGCGTATAGAACACTATCTAACATGGATTCAAAGAAAAGAAAGTAGCCCATCCATTCCGAAACAATTACGTCCACTTTCTCTTCGGGTAGCTGAATATTTTCTAATCGTCCTTTTATTTGATGAATCTTATCTTCAAGCTTATTTTCTCGAATAATATCTAAACTTTCGTAATAAATATCTGACATTTCGACGGCATATACTTTCTTTGCTCCTGCCTTTGCGCAAAACATCGAGAGAATACCTGTACCACTGCCTACGTCAAGGATTAACTTATCAGCTAAAGTTTCTTCATTAAGGCAGATAGCTTCTTTGTATCTTAAAGTTCTGACAGTATCTTGTAACATTTCTCTATGAATTCCAAAATGTGAATAGGAATCTATGTAAGGGGAATCTTCATCATCTTTAAGACTTTTGACAGTTGGTAATTCAGCAGTCTAAAAATTATTAAATGGATAAATGCCAAATGTAAAAAGTATATAGTACAAAGTTACCTCCACAGTCGAACTAAACAAATTTTTGGCTGTTTCCTGTAGTCTATGTAAATCTTCTACAACTTTTTTCAACTCATCCTCGCTTCTCTCTGCTCTCTGTTCTGCTAACTTTAATTTTTCTTCTAGTGTTAGCTCATCAGTTAATAAACTATTTTCATCTTCTTCTATATCCCATTGAAGAAGTTCATCATCTTCTATCACCGGTTTTAAATATTTATCATCTTTCCAGGCATTATGGGATAAAGAAAAAACTTTTTTAGCATCAGGTTTCTGTATTTTATGACAACTATGTATGTATTGCTAAAGCTATGAATGCTGAAAAAATTAGAAAATACCGTAATTCGGATAAAGTTCACAAATTTAATAAAGTCAAAGTAAGAGAATTTTAAATCTCTGACAAATTTTTCAACATGGAAGTCGTGTGTGTCAATTGAATGTTGAAAAAAATCCACATACGACTTAAAATGCTCTTCACAAAAGAGACATAGAACGTTTACTGAAATCAACTCTTCCTCATACGTCTCATTGTCTCCTTCCGAATCGGAGCTATCTCCAACATGAAGCTTCTCAGTACTCATGCTTTTCTACGAAGCCAGAAATCCCTACGAAAATAGAGTAATTTTTGTCTATCAGTTAACACTTTATGAAAAATGGACAACATATTCATTACTATTTTAGTGTTCAAATAAACTAAAGCAATTTACAGCAAATTTTCAAAAATTATATAAAACCAACAAACAAATATCAACCTTTAGTATTTCCAACGTGACTGATATCACTCAAAAGGTAGTAAGTAGTGCCATCTATAGGTAATTGATTAACCAAAAATACTGACAATAGATAATTCCTTTAAAAAATTGACATTATAAATACATTTTCACAAATAGTGCAGACAGTTGAGTTGAAAAAGATTTCACTAGTAAAAAGTTACATCACAATTACCATGTATCGTCTTATATTACCAAAAGGCCAACCAAAAGTTGTCCAACCGGTCAGCAATCCTGCTTTTTCAAAACTTCGCGAAATTTCTCCAAACACTCTCAAAAAATTTCGCTTCTTCCGATTATGTGGCATTTAAGAAAATTTATAACCTTTAGGAAGATAACAAAAAACTCTAAAATTTCGATAAAATAAAAAAAAAATTCTACGAAACTTACAAATACTAGATCACTGAAAAACCGAAAAGCAGAAGAAGTTATATTAAAAGTTCCATCAATTTATTTGTAATACATATTAAATACAATAAGTGAAAATATGCATTAAAACTTAAACACATTCATATAATAAAAACAAAAAAAACACAAATTTAAAGTTTAAAGAATTTTCCCCCATTCAAAAAGATTATTCTACAATTTCGAAATCTTCATTCTTTTTACTCTCCGATTCATTCTCTTCTAATTCCTCATTCTTTCCTTTGTTGCCGAGGCTTTTTTCTTCTTTTTCAATCAATTTTTCATTTCTTTTCAAAGAGTCAACTTTATCATTATTTTCACCCTTTCTAGTTTCTGTATCCTTCGTGGTGATTATTAACATTTCATTGTCATCTAAAAGTGAGACAATATCTTCCTCCTTAAGATCTACTGGCTTTGCGAAACGTCTCCATATTTTCTTTGAACATTTTATTCCATCTTCTTCAATAATAGCAGATCCAGTAACTTCAATACTATTACCTTTAACTTTAACACTTAAATCGTCAATATTAAAATGTTTCAAATCAATAGTTTTATAGAATGAAGGTTTTTTATCAACTTTCTCTTCTTCCTTCGAAACAATTTTGTCTATGACTTTTTCATCACTTTCATCTTTTGTTTCTACTTTTGAGCAATTTTCTTCATTACATTTTTCTTTTGAACAACAACGGCTTGTAGGCATTTCATTTGAATAGCATCCATCTTCAGATCCCTCTACAGATTTCTCATTAGAACATCTTTCTTTTTTATCAGTAATTCCGTCTTTTTCTTCAACAGTTTTTGTTGTAATCGTTAAAATTCCATCATCGTTTAATGATGATTGAATATCATTTGGTGAGATATTATCAGGTAGGTTGATTTGACGCCAAAACTGTCTTCCATTATAAAATCCTTCTCCTTCTTTAGTTGATTTACCGAAAATTTCTACACTTCCGTTTATGACTCTAACTTTCAATTCTGATGGATGAAAATCTTTCACATCAAAAGTATGATGAAAAGATTCCGCTTCCTTCTTTACAGTTTTGTCACACTTTTCTTTATCAAGTGTTGTACATTGCTGCTTTCCGCAACGTTTCACGTTTACTTTAGAAGAATTATTTGAGAAAGGAAAAACAAAACTACTTGGCGACCTTCTACAGAAACTTCTTCTCGAAAATGGAGGCAGATAATTGGTTGAACCAAGTATTGATACTAAATCTTCGTTGTCCAAAGAACAACCAAATGTAGGACCAAACCACGAATTTTGATTGTATGACTGATTAGGTGAAATAAAAATTGCCATCTTCTTTGTAATTTCTTCTTTAAATTTCCAAAATTAATTTGTCGTTGTATCAAACTTCAAAAGTGTTGACTTTTCTCTTCTGAGTTTAGTCGAGTTATGATATTTGTCCAAAAATTTCTACCCTTTTTATATGAAACGAAGAGTTAAACGAGAATATTCTTCACATTTCTGGAAATTTCTCAACTTATCTAGAATACTATAGATGGCGCTCTTTGTGTTATGTGTTGTATTCTTAAGTTAACAAACATTGTTTTCTGATCAATATATCATTATTATTATCTCAATTGAACTTCAAATCACAAAAATATAGTTTAAAATTGGAGTGGAAGATTTCAGATTTTATGAAACAGTCTATGGAATAATTGTAAACGTGATGCAAGTCACGTATACTATTTACGTTACTATTTTCCATTTGATTACAACGAAACTTTCAAAAGTGTTCCAGCCAATCAGCAATCGTGTTTATTCGAAACTTCTCGAAATTTCTCCGATCGACGTTACGACTATATAAACTCTTTCAATTTTCCGTTATTCATTCTCCTCTTCGGTAGCAACAACTACAGATCGAAGTTGAACACTCTTTGCATTCTCAACAACCATGTCCTTCAGACACTTGCCGGTTATGCGTCTTCCTAGTCCTTCTTGGGATCTTTGGCCATCTAGAAATGACGACTGGTTTCACAATCGTTGGTCGGACTGGATGACTAATATGCAAAGAACATTCGATGCTATGGACGAAGATTTTAGACAAATTAGCAGAGCTTTCGATAATCATATGGAACAAACTCATAGAAGTGTTCTTGGTAGTCATACTGAAACTGATTTACCAGCTAATGTTGGATGGAAACTGGTCGACGATAAAGAAAAGAATCAGCGAAAACTGCATCTTGATTTACCAGTGAAAAATTATGAACCTGAGGAAATCAAAGTTACAGTTGAAGGTGGAACTTTAACGATTAAAGCAACTCATCAACACGAAAAAGATGGAGAGAAAGTTTTTAGAGAGTGTGTTCGAAAGTTCACATTGCCAAAAGGGGTTAAAGAAGAAGATTTGAAATGTAATTTGAATGCCGACGGTCGTCTATCTGTCGAAGCCGTTGCTCCAGCTGCTATTTCGGATGGAGAGAAAGTAATACCAATCCAGTATGAAAAGTCAAAGTAAACGAAAACTTTCTTCATCAACTTGTCTCGTAGTTATTATTTCTATATAGATATTGTTCATTGATTAAACTATTAACCTTTAGTTAGAAAACTCACCATAGATTTGTGTATGTTATCTTTTCTACTCCATAAAATATTAAGAAAGTGTTTGTATAAAAGTTTCTTTAAAAGTATTGAGATATTTACGAAAGATTTTCAGTAAACGATAAGTTTCGAAATTAATGTGGTGTCTTTCCTATTATGTATAATCATTGCCTGCCTCAGCAATAAAAACATTTTCATATTCGTATGAAAGGTCAATGTAATAATTTTTTCTTCGGTTCTACTAGATATTCACAATGTTTGAAATGTGATAAGTAAACTGCTTAAACACTTGATTATTTTCTGAATATGTTTATATTTAAAATCAAAAGATAGTTAATAAATCTCTCGATAGGTTGTGGAATTATAAGGACGTAACCAATACCTGAATACCTGTATACCTCAGTAGATATAAGGAAATATCTTGTAGGGTACTATTTCGCAGTACTTATCCCAGTCGCTGCCATATTTTTTCCGACAATTCTTTTCATCTCTTTCGAATCGACTTATTAAGAGACCAAGAAAATATATTGGATAAAAGTAAGCTATTAAGCAAGTTCCGGATGGAAGAGACCAAGATAAACTCATTAAGAGGTCTCCCATGTAATTAGGGTGGCGAGAAATTCCCCAAAATCCTGATACTAATAATTTTTTACCAGATTTTGTAGTCATAGTTTTTAAATCTATGAGATAGGAGATGATAAAACATCCGTTAAATTATATTTTACGCAAGGTACTTACGAGCTATTGACGGGTCGTTTGGGTTTGTTCTAAATTTGTTTTTCTGATTGTTCGAACCTCTAAAAATTGCAAAACCAACTAGAAAAGCAGCAAGGAAGAGGATCATGGCAAATATATTCCAATGTTGTGGATGTTCTAATAAATAGCGTGCTTGTAAAGTGTAAAGAAATGGTACCCAGCATAAGTCACCAAAGCTGAGCATGTAGCCGAAACCTTCATCGGTAATATCCATTGTAGACAATATTGCTGGCTAAAAATATTTTTCACACTTTATTGTACAATCAATTTTTTGAAGTTACCTCATTAACAAGAGCATCTATGACATAGATACTATGTCCTAATATAACAAAAGCAAGAGACCAAGTAAATGTACCTCTTTCAAAACTTAGAAAGAGAAAAGACAAATTTAGAATAAGCCATCCAATTAAACCTGGCCTTAATTCGCATACAAATTTTAAATCAATTTCAAAAATACGAGGGTTAAGCTCCCTACCCATCCAGAAGTTGAAAATCTCTGAATTTGTGTTGCCATGTTCAGCAAGATACTTTTCATTTACTTGAAAAGATTTAACAAAAAGAAAAATACTGAAAAAAGTAACAAGTATTTTATATTAATATATAAATATGCTTTAAATTAATGATTTATTTTAATATTCTAAAATTTTCAAACCTTAGTAGGGCACTTAAGACAAAAGCTGCAAATGCTAACTGATTGAAATGTTCATGAATCCATTTAAATGATCCTCCACTTATCCAATACAGTAAAAATATTACTAAACTAACAGCTAAGGCATATAGCGAATTGCAACGATACTCTAGCTGTTTATTATTTAGTTGTTTTATAGGTAAACCTTTATGTATTGCACCTATTGGAAGTTTAGAAACTATCAAGTGTAAAATGAACCAAGAAAATACAATTTTAAACGCATTTCCATCGATTAAGGAATACAATGAAGGAATTGTAACTTTCTCAAAAATAGAACATTTATCCTGTTAATATTTAAGATAAGTTATATTTCAGACTTTTGCAAAACAAAAAATACCGGATTGCATGTTAGATTAAGATAAAATACAGCGAGAGGCAAACCAAGAACCAATACACAAGCTCCTAATGTTCCCCCAAACTCAGTTGGTCTCTTACGTTCTGACACCATATTTCTCAACTGTCTGACAAAAAATATATCGTTCGATTTACCGAACTATGAACCTCAGACAGAAATGTCGTCTGCAAAAAACAACTAGCTATTTCCAACGCCATCTGGAGAAATATGTGTAGACTAATAATTTCAAAAATACTCAATCTTAATATTTTAAAATTAATTCTCTCAAAGCTCGTACTTTTCTCTTTCTCGCGATGTAGAAGTGATGTCTCTTTAAACAAGGCAATAGAAAAATTTCGAATAAAATGTTCAATACATTTTCTTAAAAATATCTTAAAATGTTAAATGAAAAAAGACAATGCGTTACTGTCGAATAAGTGTTGGACTGCCGAAGAAAGCAACAACTGCATCAAACCATTATTTTTAAATATATCGATTAAATTTTTACTAAATATAAACATCATACCACAATAAAAAATTTCCAAAGGAAACATTTATCTCCTTAATGAAAAATCTTAAAACTCACAAAAACGAAATATTTAATTAGTTTTCCTTTATTTTAAAAGCTTCAAAGCAAGAAAGGCAAATCCAAAATACATCAAATATTTAAATATTATCAATAAACACAAAAAGAATAAGTGAAAATATAGGATAAAAACTTAAACACATTCATATAATAAAAACAAAAAAAAACACAAATTTAAAGTTTAAAGAATTTTCCCCCATTCAAAAAGATTATTCTACAATTTCGAAATCTTCATTCTTTTTACTCTCCGATTCATTCTCTTCTAATTCCTCATTCTTTCCTTTGTTGCCGAGGCTTTTTTCTTCTTTTTCAATCAATTTTTCATTTCTTTTCAAAGAGTCAACTTTATCATTATTTTCACCCTTTCTAGTTTCTGTATCCTTCGTGGTGATTATTAACATTTCATTGTCATCTAAAAGTGAGACAATATCTTCCTCCTTAAGATCTACTGGCTTTGCGAAACGTCTCCATATTTTCTTTGAACATTTTATTCCATCTTCTTCAATAATAGCAGATCCAGTAACTTCAATACTATTACCTTTAACTTTAACACTTAAATCGTCAATATTAAAATGTTTCAAATCAATAGTTTTATAGAATGAAGGTTTTTTATCAACTTTCTCTTCTTCCTTCGAAACAATTTTGTCTATGACTTTTTCATCACTTTCATCTTTTGTTTCTACTTTTGAGCAATTTTCTTCATTACATTTTTCTTTTGAACAACAACGGCTTGTAGGCATTTCATTTGAATAGCATCCATCTTCAGATCCCTCTACAGATTTCTCATTAGAACATCTTTCTTTTTTATCAGTAATTCCGTCTTTTTCTTCAACAGTTTTTGTTGTAATCGTTAAAATTCCATCATCGTTTAATGATGATTGAATATCATTTGGTGAGATATTATCAGGTAGGTTGATTTGACGCCAAAACTGTCTTCCATTATAAAATCCTTCTCCTTCTTTAGTTGATTTACCGAAAATTTCTACACTTCCGTTTATGACTCTAACTTTCAATTCTGATGGATGAAAATCTTTCACATCAAAAGTATGATGAAAAGATTCCGCTTCCTTCTTTACAGTTTTGTCACACTTTTCTTTATCAAGTGTTGTACATTGCTGCTTTCCGCAACGTTTCACGTTTACTTTAGAAGAATTATTTGAGAAAGGAAAAACAAAACTACTTGGCGACCTTCTACAGAAACTTCTTCTCGAAAATGGAGGCAGATAATTGGTTGAACCAAGTATTGATACTAAATCTTCATCATCCAAAGAACAACCAAATGTAGGACCAAACCACGAATTTTGATTGTATGTCTGATTAGGTGAAATAAAAATTGCCATCTTTGTAATTTCTTCTTTAAATTTCCAAAATTAATTTGTCGTTGTATCAAACTTCAAAAGTGTTGACTTTTCTCTTCTGAGTTTAGTCGAGTTATGATTTTGGTCCAAAAATTTCTACACTTTTTATATGAAACGAAGAGTCATACGAGAAAATTCTTCACATTTCTGGAAATTTCTCAACTTATCTAGAATAATATAGATGGCGCTTTTTGTGTTATTTGTTGTATTCGTAAGTTAAAAAACATTGTATTTCTGATCAATATATATTTTTTAAACGTTATAACAACGTAAAATTTGACGGCGTAGTTGAGGCGATAGTATTTGTTTTTTTAATTTAGAAAACCGAGTTCAAATAACGGGAAAGTTTCATTTATGAAAATAATATAATATAAAAGAATGACAGAATGTGGAAAATGTTCTAGATCTTCTAGAAAATGCTACTAATGATGATTATTCACTTGTTACATCAGAAATAGTGCGAAATTTACGGAAAATAGATTGTTTTTATGTTCCTTCATGAAGAAATATGTGCAAAAGAGTGCATTGAGTGTGAAGCTATCCGGAAAGGTTGAAAATCTGATGCTAATATGTTTTTCTGTAAATGTAAAAGGATGTGAGTGTTTAGTTAGAGAGAAAAATTTAGAACACAAGACTGGATAGAATCCATATTAATTAGATGTTATTTAAAGTAATCCAGCAGTGAATTACTTAGTAAAAATCAAAGAGTCACATATCTGCAATTTGCAAAGTGTCAAGCACTTCGACATTTTGGTCATGCTACATATCATAATTGTTTTCTTGAAGATGGAAGTATGCAAATATCACATATTGACATGTCGACCAACAGCATTAAATACTCCTCTAAATGTAGGAATACTTAAAGTAGAGAATACAAAATGGAGACCGATAATAGAAACTTTAATTCCCATTAACCTGGTTATCTTTACTATTCAAAAGATAGACTTATTAAATACACACTACATAACTGGACCAACCCTCATGAAACAAAAGCGCCATACTTGTATTGACGGCTTGAGGGTGTCCAACACTAATCTTTTAATAAAAATTTTACAACAATCTATAAAAATAAAGAAAGCTTAGAAGAAAATTCAATCAAATGCGAAGCCATCAACTGATTGACTATTTTACTTCAGTTTTAATAAAATTGTCCTCGTTATATGCAAATCTAACTACTACTTTTCATATCAAATGCGTACAAAGTATACGAGATGAATTCTTTGAATAAAAAAGAAAGCTTTCAAATTAAGATGTACATTTGAATTTTTAAAAAAATGCTCTGCTAACATAGATAACTTTTGCAAAGACGCCTTCCTTTTTAATGAAAGATCAATTGAAACGCATTTCGTTTTTTGACGTTTTTATCACGTTTTGACAACGGAAAACTTTTATTCAAAACCCAAAGCTATGATTATACATAATAAGAAAGACACCACATTAATTTCGAAACTTATCGTTTACTGAAAATCTTTCGTAAATATCTCAATACTTTTAAAGAAACTTTTATACAAACACTTTCTTAATATTTTATGGAGTAGAAAAGATAACATACACAAATCTATGGTGAGTTTTCTAACTAAAGGTTAATAGTTTAATCAATGAACAATATCTATATAGAAATAATAACTACGAGACAAGTTGATGAAGAAAGTTTTCGTTTACTTTGACTTTTCATACTGGATTGGTATTACTTTCTCTCCATCCGAAATAGCAGCTGGAGCAACGGCTTCGACAGATAGACGACCGTCGGCATTCAAATTACATTTCAAATCTTCTTCTTTAACCCCTTTTGGCAATGTGAACTTTCGAACACACTCTCTAAAAACTTTCTCTCCATCTTTTTCGTGTTGATGAGTTGCTTTAATCGTTAAAGTTCCACCTTCAACTGTAACTTTGATTTCCTCAGGTTCATAATTTTTCACTGGTAAATCAAGATGCAGTTTTCGCTGATTCTTTTCTTTATCGTCGACCAGTTTCCATCCAACATTAGCTGGTAAATCAGTTTCAGTATGACTACCAAGAACACTTCTATGAGTTTGTTCCATATGATTATCGAAAGCTCTGCTAATTTGTCTAAAATCTTCGTCCATAGCATCGAATGTTCTTTGCATATTAGTCATCCAGTCCGACCAACGATTGTGAAACCAGTCGTCATTTCTAGATGGCCAAAGATCCCAAGAAGGACTAGGAAGACGCATAACCGGCAAGTGTCTGAAGGACATGGTTGTTGAGAATGCAAAGAGTGTTCAACTTCGATCTGTAGTTGTTGCTACCGAAGAGGAGAATGAATAACGGAAAATTGAAAGAGTTTATATAGTCGTAACGTCGATCGGAGAAATTTCGAGAAGTTTCGAATAAACACGATTGCTGATTGGCTGGAACACTTTTGAAAGTTTCGTTGTAATCAAATGGAAAATAGTAACGTAAATAGTATACGTGACTTGCATCACGTTTACAATTATTCCATAGACTGTTTCATAAAATCTGAAATCTTCCACTCCAATTTTAAACTATATTTTTGTGATTTGAAGTTCAATTGAGATAATAATAATGATATATTGATCAGAAAACAATGTTTGTTAACTTAAGAATACAACACATAACACAAAGAGCGCCATCTATAGTATTCTAGATAAGTTGAGAAATTTCCAGAAATGTGAAGAATATTCTCGTTTAACTCTTCGTTTCATATAAAAAGGGTAGAAATTTTTGGACAAATATCATAACTCGACTAAACTCAGAAGAGAAAAGTCAACACTTTTGAAGTTTGATACAACGACAAATTAATTTTGGAAATTTAAAGAAGAAATTACAAAGAAGATGGCAATTTTTATTTCACCTAATCAGTCATACAATCAAAATTCGTGGTTTGGTCCTACATTTGGTTGTTCTTTGGACAACGAAGATTTAGTATCAATACTTGGTTCAACCAATTATCTGCCTCCATTTTCGAGAAGAAGTTTCTGTAGAAGGTCGCCAAGTAGTTTTGTTTTTCCTTTCTCAAATAATTCTTCTAAAGTAAACGTGAAACGTTGCGGAAAGCAGCAATGTACAACACTTGATAAAGAAAAGTGTGACAAAACTGTAAAGAAGGAAGCGGAATCTTTTCATCATACTTTTGATGTGAAAGATTTTCATCCATCAGAATTGAAAGTTAGAGTCATAAACGGAAGTGTAGAAATTTTCGGTAAATCAACTAAAGAAGGAGAAGGATTTTATAATGGAAGACAGTTTTGGCGTCAAATCAACCTACCTGATAATATCTCACCAAATGATATTCAATCATCATTAAACGATGATGGAATTTTAACGATTACAACAAAAACTGTTGAAGAAAAAGACGGAATTACTGATAAAAAAGAAAGATGTTCTAATGAGAAATCTGTAGAGGGATCTGAAGATGGATGCTATTCAAATGAAATGCCTACAAGCCGTTGTTGTTCAAAAGAAAAATGTAATGAAGAAAATTGCTCAAAAGTAGAAACAAAAGATGAAAGTGATGAAAAAGTCATAGACAAAATTGTTTCGAAGGAAGAAGAGAAAGTTGATAAAAAACCTTCATTCTATAAAACTATTGATTTGAAACATTTTAATATTGACGATTTAAGTGTTAAAGTTAAAGGTAATAGTATTGAAGTTACTGGATCTGCTATTATTGAAGAAGATGGAATAAAATGTTCAAAGAAAATATGGAGACGTTTCGCAAAGCCAGTAGATCTTAAGGAGGAAGATATTGTCTCACTTTTAGATGACAATGAAATGTTAATAATCACCACGAAGGATACAGAAACTAGAAAGGGTGAAAATAATGATAAAGTTGACTCTTTGAAAAGAAATGAAAAATTGATTGAAAAAGAAGAAAAAAGCCTCGGCAACAAAGGAAAGAATGAGGAATTAGAAGAGAATGAATCGGAGAGTAAAAAGAATGAAGATTTCGAAATTGTAGAATAATCTTTTTGAATGGGGGAAAATTCTTTAAACTTTAAATTTGTGTTTTTTTTTGTTTTTATTATATGAATGTGTTTAAGTTTTTATCCTATATTTTCACTTATTCTTTTTGTGTTGATTGATAATATTTAAAACACTTATTGTATTCAATATCTATTACAAATAAATTGATGGAACTTTTAATATAACTTCTTCTGCTTTTCGGTTTTTCAGTGGTCTAGTATTTGTAAGTTTCGTAGAATTGGACTCTTTTATTCGGAGGTAGAGCTTTAACGAAATTCGAGAGTTTTTTGTTATCTTCCCAAAGGTTAAAAGTTTTTTCAAGTGACAAAACAGTAAAGAAAGCAAAGTATTTTTAAAATCGTGATTTTGTCTTATAGCATTTACTATTTTTAAACGAGCGCCTTTGTGCTTGGCAGAAAAGGAGGGTTTTTTTAACAGATGATTGAAAAAGTATTATTTTATTGGTGAAAGTGATGTAAGGAAATCTGTTTTTTTATTTAGGTCACTGTAACATAAATTCAAGATAATTTATCAATGGTTTTGAGCATAGAAATTCTAACTTGTATGGACAAGCATTGATTTTATACTAGTCTGTGTAATTTATCGACGGATTAGCTAATGCTAAGGTAGTAATAAATCATTTTATGAAGTCGTTAAAAGAGATGAAATATAAAAGAGTATGGCAAGAAGTTAGAATAGTTTCTCTGAAATGATTGCTCTTTATGTAATCACTAAGCATATCGATTTTCAATTATATTCTCAAAATTGCACAACATATTGAATTGACGATGAGAAGAATTGTTTGTGTTTTTTCTTTTATTTTCCTTAATAATGCTAGCGAAATAGAGGTCATGTTTATTTGAATTTCTCGAACAATGGATATCTTAAAAAATCTGAAGTATAATAAACATAGATTGAGTACTACGATATGTCTTATATACGCGAAGTTGTCTTTGTTTGTAGAGTTAAGATTTAAGCGTATGCTTTGTTAATGTTTAAAAATCTACATATAATATTTTAGTAATTGTAAGGATGATAATTAATATGGCAAGAGAAGGGTTTAATTTGTTAATCAAAGTAATTAGTTTCGTAATATTTGCTGAATATCAAATAAAATCTTCATATTTTGTATAATGTTCGCATTTTCACTAGTCTCGTAAATATGTCTATGACATTTTGTACGCTAGATAAATCTTTCTTCTACTTCTCAGTAATTCTATTAACCTTTTCATTTATAAGATTAGTTCTTTTCAAGGTTAAGTAAGGGTATAAATTTGACAAGGAAAAGTTTTTTTTTAAGTACAGTATTCTTTTTTTTTAAATGATTTGGTTAGTTGTATTGTGCAATGGTCCTTCAGAAACAATATAAATAAAGAAATTGATGGAGTAAAATGGAAATATATAATATAAATTGCGTTAATTTATTTAGCACGTGAGAGATATTCTATCTTTGTGTTTGATCTAGAGCTTGGAAAGGGATTGGGTGCCAAGCTTGATAAATAAGCATTTTGAGCGGGCATACCAGGAGAATGAGACGCGAAAAATTCTGATGCAAACTCAATTACGTCATCAGGTTTCCGGAGGAGTAGGAACTGTAGGAAATCAGCAAGTAATGCTTTTACTTCTGGATGATCTTTCATATAAACTGCATGATCGGCTTTCAATTCTTCTTTTCGGTCAAGGAATTTAGAATACAATTGCATATCTTCTCGCCAATTGAGCTCTTTCTTGTCGAACTTAGGCTTTTCCATTTCTTCATCTATTGAAAGTTGTAAATTTAATAATACTTTAAACTGGAATATGTCGAGAGAAAGAAAACAAGAAAAATAATTCTCTTTAACCTTCTTCAATAGTTTCTGGAACTAGTAAAAGCTTCATTGTGACTGGGCTGCCGACTTGAACCCTTGATGTCATGTGACCATCCTTCATATAATAAGTTTGCCAGGTAGTAGGGAGATCATTAAGGGCAGTTATGGTTCTCTCCACGCCAACAACTTGTAATTCTGCACCATCAACTATTTGAATTCTGTCATCTAATTTTTTATAGGAAACAGAGCAGAGATTAGCTTCAGCGTCGAAGGCAATAATTTCAAAATTTTCTGGAAGGCCATATTTTACAAGTATTCTTTGAAGTAGTAAGTTACTTCCTTCGGAAACAAAACCACCCATTTCCTCATCTTTATATGTTCTTACAGATCTTTGAACGTCCTAATAAACAATTAATGTAAAGAAAGATTTGAATATAGATTATTATTTGGAGAAGAATACATACTCCTGCTTGTCGAATAACACGATTAACAACGTAAACACTTCCTTCTTTTGAGATAATCGTTTTCCTGTCAAGAGGATGATTTTCTAATTTTACATATTCATGATGATGTTGCTCTAAAGTATTTAATGCAGAATCAACATAAGTTGTAATTGACGTTCCGCATGGTACACCATCAATAGCTCCATGACTATTGGCATGGACTAAGTAGCATTTGGCCCCTGATTTCTGAGCAGCTTGAATACTTATTGAAAATTCACCAACTTCTTTACCAGCATCCGATACCGTTACGAGTTTATCCTCAAATAGTATAGACTTGAAATAATCTTCATCTATGTTTTATCGTAATCGTACATGTATAATTAGTTTAATAACAATCTAGTTTTTATAATGAAATGACCTTACTCACCAATATTTGTGAAAAAAGCTTTAGCACTTTCACTTAATTTTGGAATATTCTCTGCAGTTTGTTGTAGGTCTTGGCTAGCTGTCTCAACTGATGTTGCAGTTGCAGCACTGCGATTGCTAAAACGAAATTAAAGGATTTAACAAAAAATAGCTAATAAATTAATTCGATACAAGAGTCAGCGAGAAAAAATCCTACTACCTTGCTTCTGTAAAGGCACTCATGCCTTTTTTATCAATATCGGAGTATGTCAATCAAATTAAGTAACACGTCTCCGTTATTTTGTCGATCTTCAAAAACAGAACACTTTCTAATATATAATATGGCGTTAGTTGTCAAGACGACGAATTACTTTATTCACACTTTAGATGGCGCTATAACTTGTTATCGAAAATTTGTTAGATAAGGAAAGTTCTGGATGCCGGATAATAACCAGCAATAGAGGCAATAAAAAATCTAACTTTTTTTAAAGTAGAGAGTGTATCGTCTTTTATTTTCAAGTTTGCGACTGTTTTTAGTTTGCAAATCTAGAACAGAACTCATTGTAGATAAAACTATCCAAAAGTAAATGTATTTTTTTATGCGTGATTGTGTTGATGTTGGCACGAAACAACATTACCCTGGATTGATCAAGCACTGTAGATTAACCAATAACCACTTTTGAAGAACATTGATTTGCAACAACAAGATGGCGCTGTACTTTATAAGCCTCATGAATATTCACGAACCATTTCACGAGTTGGTGGAAAGTAAACAATTCGCCGTAAGTTGGAGCTCGTATCCCATCTTTTTTAAAATGGCGGGTAAAGTGTGATAGAAGCCGTTTCGGGAAAAACTTTTTAATATATTACTGATTTCCAACTCTCATCAACTGTTTCTCATGCTTACGTTTATTTTGGAAGTTCTGTCTATGAAATGAATTGTGTGTTAGAGGAAAATGTCCGGCAGCTGCTTGACATGGGCTTTCCATGTGAAAGTTCTATACGAGAAGCTCTTAAAAAAGCTCATAATGATTTAAATCAAGCTGTCATGATTCTAACTGGAGAAGATTTGATACCAATGGACGATGTCGAAATCCAGGAAGTACAGAAAAACTCGGAACATGACGCTTTTCCATTAAACACTCTTCCCTCGCCTCCACCGTCCTACGACGATGTTGTTCCTGACGGCGTGCAGGTTTTTATTAAAATAATATAATAAATACGTCTTTTGTGCAAGTTTCTCTTTTACTGCGACAGTATATCGACGAGCAAGATCCAACTGCAAACATCTTAATAGAAAATAGTGACCCGGAAGCCGAAGTTTTTCCAGCTACGCATCTTTATGAATTGGAAGGAAGGGTATTTACTGAACAGTGGAATATTCCGTATAAAAAAGATGAATCCTTGGCAAAATGTTTACTTGCATCGACAAGATTTGCTCAAAACAGTTAGCTTTTGATAAATTTTTCTTTTCTCAAAAGTATAATTTCTTCTTTTTATTTAAATAGATCACTTGGAAATTGATGAAAATTGTGAAAGATTTGTTAGTCGTGTAATGATGGAGAGTTTTGATAAGGTAATTCACTAAATACAACTTATTATTAACTTAGCTTAATTTATAAAAATCAAAATTTTTTTAGCTATTGTATTGTAATGCTGTTAGAAAATGGAGTTTAGAAACGCAAATTGGTGTGTATAATATGTGTACATTCTTCATTGATCTCGCAACAGCAAGATTACAACACCCCAACTTAAATACATCTATTATGTCGACTTTAGCGAAAGTAAGATTTTTCTTTATTTTTTTTAAATTTAATTTTAATTGGCTAATGAAATATTTTATTTTATTCAAAAATAAAAATAGGTTTTAGATCAAAATTGTGAATTTCACTTGAAAAATAAGACAATTGATGATTGTCATTTAAAAAATGAGAATAAGAAATACGAAGAACTCTTTAGTAAACAACCGTTCGCACTTTTTCAAGTAAGATCATTTTCTATCCTTAATATTTATGTGTTAATTTTTAATTAATATAATTTATATAGTATAAATCTTGTGATGGCTGGCCAAATCGGACATGTGAAGATTTTCTAATGTTATCAAATTTGATAAACCGAGTAAGTTATTATTTATATTTAAATTGTAAACACTAAAATAATTGGTTTTAATTTTTATACATTAATTAGTTTGGTAAGCAAGAAGGATTTCAAAATATGTTAGAACATATGCGGTCCGAAGATTTAGATATTTTAGTAAGTTTACTTTTCAACTCGAAGCTAATTTTTAAATTAATAATTAATTTGTATCATATTTTTATAATTTCTTCATTTCTTTTTATAGCATATGGAACTTCTACTTGCACCTTTAGCTAAATGCTGTCAAAAATTAAACTTGAACGTAGTTAAACCTATTGTTAAAGAAGCGATGGAAAGGGTACAAGCTTTACTTGCAAGTTTAACTAATGAACATTTGAAAGAAAAGGTGATTATTTTATTGAAGATAGTTTTTTATAGAATAATGAATTTTTTTTTACTATTCCATAGGGCATAAATGTTGCTTTTCAATGCCTTGAAAGTTGCAAAATATTAGCTACACGATTTTACCCTGGTAAAGAAGACGAAGTTGATAATACTCGCTTAAGACTTGTGCTAAGAATGCTCAAGTCCGTTCATTTTAATGCCAAAATGAATGCTTTAAGAGAGGTTTGTATTAATTAACATTACTTTTCCAAGTTTCCACTTAATTATAATATATCTATATATATATTGAATTTTTTAACAGTTAACAAAGCTTATTCAAGAAAACATTAGTTCTGAAACACATATGACCAGTATACCACCAAACAAAATAAAAATATGGCTGGTTGATAATAAAGTTCTTAGCTTAGCCTTTGAAGGAAATATCGACCAATTACAATATTGTGAAAAAATGAAAGCTGTTATTGAATTTTTAGGAAATTCTCTAACAGATCAAGAACTAACTAGAATCTGGGATTTACAACAAGGCAGAAGCGGATATATTATTGACAACATCCATCATTTAATAGCTGCTGCTGCAGTAAATTTTACTCCTGACCTAATGGAACATTTACGAAAGCTAATAAATAAGGTATGCACTCTTTTTTTTGAAAAGCGAGTTTTATTTAAATTTATTGTAACAGAGCTGGATTCATGAAAAGGAGAGAATGAGAGAGAAAATTTTGAATCTCGTTGGCGCCATTGGGCGAGAAACTAAAGTAGAAAGTACAAAGGCTATGATATTAGATTTATTATGGCAATGGGCTCATCTACCGAAAATAGCTAATCATTTAGTTGAAAGAGCAGCTTCTTTACATTGTCAAATCCTTAGCGATCATCACACGAGGCAAAAGCTTAAATCTAATTACATTCATAAGTGTTTGGAGGATGTGAAACGAGTAAGTACTCTAAAATGTGTTTAATTTTGTCTTTTCAACTGTTTTTGTTATTATTTTCAAAGGGCGAGTGGGTCTATCCAGCTCTTCGTCAAATCCTTCACATAGCAGAGAGTATGGTTAAACTTACAAGAATTGAGAAGGTAATATCATATTTTTTATTGCCGTTCAATTAGAAAACTTTAACAGTTTCTTTCTGTTTCTTTTATAGGGCTTAATCAATGAATACAAGAATGGAGACATTTTAAAGATTATCTGTAATAGTCTCATCAAATTTCATGCAAAGTCAACTGAAAATTCATTAAGTTTAAATGAGAATACTTTAGTAGATGGTCGATACGAACATCGTTTGGTTAGTATTTATAAACAGATTAACTGACTACAATTTGACGACATTTTGCCTTTAATAGTATGTTACCTCTCACTTGAAATTGTTAAATTTCATCTTGGAAGAAGGAAAAATGTATTTACCTTTTGATAGAGCAAAGGATATTTGGCGTTGTTTAGTTAAGTCTGGTGCCTGTGAATGGGATAAAGAGGTTAGATTTTCATTTTTATTATAGTATTACTATATCAACATTTATACTTGTATTTTATTAAATTAAAGACGTGTTATGAATGGTTTAAAAATGGAATAACTGATTTGGAAACTACACACAAGTCGCAACTACTTCAAACTCATATTGTTAAAATTGAAGCTGGAAAGTTGAGTTTTAAAGGTTTTGATTGTTTTAAAGAATATTTTCTGCAAGTAAATAAGGATGAGCATAATTTTAAACAGCAAAGTAAATCTTGGGTAAGTTTGAATACTAACTGCTAAAAGAGTAATTAAATTTTGTTCTAATATCAGGTTGTTGAATATCAAGATATGATATGTAAAGACTATTTGTGGGATATATGTCTGAACACTCTGGATGATTCTATACTTAACGCTGCTCTCCAATTGCTTATAGACGTGTCTTATTGCAATCTTACGGCAAAACTTAAGTCTAAGCCCAAACTGTTACATCCAAGATTCATGGAAAACTGCTGGGATCGTTTGAGAGTAAGAATATATAGTTGTTGTATTCTGAAATATTTCAGTATTCCATGTTTATTTATTTTTAACTAGCTTGCTGGCGTCACCTTAAAATCTGGATCTGTATTAGAGCTTATAACATCAACCACTCAAATATCAGCCGCATTAACTTTGAGAAACGCTGTTTCGTTGAAAGTATCGTAAGTTTTGATAAAGTTTTAATCTGTTTTATAGAAATACATATGGTATTTTTCTTTTTAGTCCAATCACTTGCCTTCACGTTGAGCGGATTTTATTAATTGCTGAAGAATATATAAAAGCGGTTGAAGAGTCCTTCACCGGTGAAAGAACATATACCCCACATGGAGCCTCCTATTACGGCTGTCCTCTTAATGTCATTTGCAATCTTGAAAATCGGGAAGATTTCGTCGTACAAGTAAATTTATTCTTTTTTCTATTTGGTTAATTTTAACGTCAAGTTTTAATTAAATAATTTTCTCTCCTATTCAAGGTCCATGCAAATGAGACTATTGGTGAATTTAGACAAAAAATTGTTGACAAATTAGCTGTTAAGATGGAGCAAATACATCTAACAACGAATAGAGCAACTGTTCGTATATTAAAATAAACTTTAAAGTTTTATCACACTAAAGTGATTTTTTCATTTTTTTGAAAATCTAGTTACAATTAAGTAAAGATCAACGACTTTTGAATCATCTGGATTTTGCTGATGGACAAATAGTGAATGTCAAAATTAATAGTGTGGCAGTTGCACCGTTTTGGGTAAGAATAGCTTTTATGTTTTATATAAATTATAATTTATATTCTATATCATTTTTCTTCATCTGATTGTCATTCTATCAACTTAATTTATTTCTTTAATTGAAATTCTACATTAGAAAAAAGATTTTAACAACTTATTTAAAAGCAACAAGGATAGATATTTCTATAAAATGGTAAATTATCATTTTAATGTATGGCCTTAAAAATCTTATTTACTTTCAAAAAAGAAATTAATAGAAAGGAAATAAAAACAGATTATTTACCAAGAATATTTACTTTTATTTATTTCATAAATCATTTATTCTTATATTTACTAAAACATTTGGGTTTGTACTTGTTTATATAAATACATTATATTTATTTGTAGAAGTCTAATTTTTGCTACTTACTCACCTTAGTAATGAAATTTTATAATTGTTATCATTAATAGATATTTAATAGTTTCGACAAGGCTCTAATTTTCTGATCTTATCATTTTTTATTAAAAATTATCATTGTTGCATGATATTTAATTAATAACTTTTTCCTCTGCAAAAATTTCATATTCAATATTTTTATTCTTTTAGGATTCAGCCGCAAAACTAGTCGATTGTGACGAAATTTGTCTTCCTGGAGTACTAATTTCGCAGGATCCATCTGTTTTTGAAGCTCTATATAAGCTAGCCAACAGCGACAATAGAAAGTCTGTTTAATTTTTCTAAATAGAAGTTAACTTAATTTTGATAATATTTTTACATAGGATTGCACGTCGAGCTAATAATCTGCTTAAGCTAATCCCAACTGATCCTTCTGTTCTGGAAATGTTGGATACAGTTAGTCATTCATCTGTAGTAATGGACACTTCTCAAATGTCTGAAAAGGAAATTGATGAGAAGGATAAATCTTCAGCTGATACATTTAAAAAATTGTTTGACTTGAAAGCAGAAAATATGTCTTGTTATCGTCTACTTTATAATCTAGAGGTAGTTTATTATTTAATAATATTTATATTTCATTTTGATCCCATAAATTATTTTCTTCTAGGCCGTTAGTAGCAAGTTGTTACCAACTGCTAAAGATGCAACTATATTACAAAATGCCGATATGTTTTGTGAATCATTTTTAAATATTGGAGGTGTTCGATGCCTTGTTCATATACTCCAATCAGATTCTATACCGGCTGATGCTGATTATGAAGTACGACAAGGATGCTATATTATAACATTGCAACTACTCAAGTAATGAATTAAATTTAAATGTATAAATGATCATTGTTTAAAAACTTTGTATCTTTTAAAGGTTTTTGTTGAATGGAAATAATTTTTCTGAGGACGAAAAGGAGTTGTCAACTTTTGCAAGAGATAGAAAAAGTGAAATCGCCTCTAGTTTCGTTCAAAAAATGAACATTACGGATTTTGTTAATATGTTGGAGTGTTTAATGAGAGTGTCATGGGCTGCTGCTGCGGGTAGATTAAGTTTAGCAACAACTGCACAGACAGTAAAAGAATACGGAAGTAGAGGACGACAAAGTTCAACTAGTAGTACGGCAAGCTCTGGAAGCGATGCAGATATCACAAATTTACGAGCAGGGGTTTGCTTTAGACAGCCTGGTTTGTATTAGCTATCAAACACATTTTTATTTGGTAAATAAATATTGAATTATATTTCCAGACATATCGGCCAATGATGCAATTATAGCTCAAGAAGCACTAGAATTACTAGTGACCTGCCTAAGACTCAGAAGCTGTTTGTTAGGTGAATAATTAAAAATTTTAATTTCATATTTACTTAATTATTATACTAAATTTTCATTTTTTTTTATAGCTTCATTTTATAGTTTGAAAGCCGTTACCGACTATATCATTGAGATGCTTATTGGTTGCTCTATGCAACAAGTGAGACAAAATGCCTGTAAATGGTTTTTTATACTAAGCCAAATTGACGCTGGTCCGGAAGGTGGTCATCAACAATCAGCTAAGCAATTTATCTTACAGGTAAACTTTATTAAAAGTCGATATAATTACATTTTTATCATTGTTACTTCATCATTTATTCAGGTTCTTTTACGAGCTCACCTTCCATTTTGGATTGCTGCCAGTAGTACAAGGGGTTCTAGTCAAAAGAAGCTTGCTCAGTGTGATGAATTTTTTGAATTGTTATCTCAAGTTTTATACGGATTATCAAGTAAAAAAATAATATTTTATCAAAAAATAGCTATTAGATTTAATGTCTTTCTCCTTACTTTCGAACAGGTAAAGAGCAATTTTCTCTGAATATGACAGTATCTTTAAGACTTCAGAGTGAAATTGATTGGATACTAAATTTTACTTCTAGTTGTGAAAATTCAGAAATTCAAAAATTGGATAATAAGTTGATATCTGGGCACTTGAATTTAATACGGACATTACTTACTTGCGAAGGGGTTAACAAAAGAGAAACCGGACAGAAACTTATTAAATTCTTAATTAATAATTTCCTATTTCCTGCATCAAAGCTCATATTATCATCCCCGTCAAAATATTCTATTAAAAGTGATTCGGAGTATATGCCGGTGTAAGTGTTATTAAATTGACCTATTTATAATTCGACAATTTATTTATCGTATTTACTTTTCACGTTAGATGCTCAACAAATCAGTCACGTAGCGCCGCCTATAATCTGTTAATTGAATTAGCTAAAGATTCATTTGAAAACTTTTGTCAAATAAAATGTTTACTAATTCAATTACATCATACTCCTCAATCTAGTGATATGTTAGATGAATGGAACGTTAGTATATTCTCCTATTTTTAAATTGATAATTACTTTTAAAGCCTACTCTATCTTACATCTTTCACAGTATATGCCAATGGTACAAGGTAGAACGCCTTGTGGTTATGTTGGCCTAAAGAATGGCGGGGCTACTTGTTATATGAATTCAGTTTTACAACAATTATTCATGATACCTAATGCTGCAGAATCTATTTCGTCAATTGACGATGAAGAAGTCAATAAGGAGAGCATATTACCTGAATTGCAGCATATAATAGGCCATTTAACGCACTCGAAATTGCAATATTATTCACCTGAAGGTTTTTGGGAAAAGTTCAAATTATGGGGCAGAACCGTTAACGTAAGAGAACAACAGGATGCGTTTGATTTTTTTACTGCACTCTCTGATCAATTAGATGACGCCTTGAAGGTTTTTAAGATACTTTTTTTTTCCTTCATCTCTTTATATAAACGTGTGATTTTAATTTTAGAAAATGGGAAGAACAGAAATCTTCAAGAAGAAAATGGGTGGGGAATTCAGCGATCAAAAAATTTGTCAAGATTGCCCACATAAATATGAAAGAAATGAACCTTTTCTATCACTCAGCGTTACAGTTAAAAATGCAAGTTTGCAAGATTCATTACAACAGTTCGTTAAGGGCGAGTTGCTGGAAGGCGATAATGCGTATTATTGTGAAAAATGTGGCGAGAAGGTAAATTTAAGTACCCGATGCATAGTCCTCGAGGTTTTTTCTTTCCTATTTTCAAACTGAAATCTATTTGCAGCGTAATGCGGTAAAACGAATGTGCATTAAGACTTTACCGAATCTCTTAGTTATTCAATTAAAAAGATTCGATTACGATTGGGAGAGAAATAGAGCTTTAAAATTTGATGATTATTTCCGATTTCCAAAAGTTCTCGACATGGAGCCTTATACAACCGAAGGCGTTTTAAAAAGGGAACAATTAAACTCTAGCGATACGTCTATGGACATAAGCGAATATGATGAAACCGAATCAGGTATAACGTTTGGAGAATGTACGGAAAGTTCTGCCATAAATTACGAACTGGCGGGTGTTGTAGTTCATAGCGGTCAAGCAAACGCGGGTCATTATTACTCTTTTATAAGAGAGAGACGCAGCGGTTTGGATTTTGTTAGAAATCGAAATCGATGGTTTAAATTTAACGATAAAGACGTCGAAGAGGTAGATATGAATGAAGACTTTTTGGAGAGTGAATGCTTCGGTGGAACTTATATCCATAAAAATGGTACTTTTCAAGAGGATAGAGTACGTTATTGGAATGCTTATTTGTTATTCTACGAAAGAGTATTTGAAGATGAAGGCTCACCCGTTATTGTGCCGAAAAAGTCGAAAATCGTTGTATTATCGCCGGACAAAAGAAAGAGTAGTAGTTCGCCAGTAAAAAATAATACAAATTCGAATACGAAAAGGAGAAGCGATAGTTTTGTAGAACTGACAGAGCTTATACATAAAGGTGAAAAGAAGAGATTATTCTGCGATCTAATGCCAGCTAAAGTATCTCAGGTAATACTAATTTAATAATTCAAATTGTAAACTAATAAAATTCATGATAAATCATACTATTGTTTTGAACAGATAATAAGACACGATAATCTAAAATTCTTAAAGAATAGAGATGTTTACGATAAATGCTATTTTGACTTTATTTACAATTTAGTAAATGAAATTTTCGTAAGTATTAAAAGAGAAGAACGTAATTGTTTTTTCACAATTGAAAGTTGATTTTATTCTTTAAATAGAAAACTGCAAAACGTATGGAAAATCAAGAAAATCAAATATATAGGGAATGTCTTAAATTATCGGTTCATTTCTTGTATAATACCTATTTTAGAACGAAGAAAAACTTGCGAATTTGCACGGAAGACTGGAAATGTTTACTTGAGAATATATTTAGCGCTAGTAAATCATCGTGTACTTGGATGGGTGAATTCTTAACTAACGATACGGATAGATATTTAACGTAATAATTTAAATATTTCTCTTTTATATAAATAATCTTATTTTATTATTTTATAGACCTTTCCTATTAAAATGCCCAAGTTCGGATACAAGGCAAATGTATTCAAAAATATTACAGCATTTCGTTTGCTGTTGGTTCAAGCACTCATTGCCATCAATTCAAAGTCATTTGGCAATTTTACTTCAAAATATATTAAATCTTTTGGACAAAGAAGTACTAACGCACGCAAAAAATGCTTCAGCTTATTTTGACTTTCTATTCTCTTTTGTGTCAAATGGAACGAAAGCTTGCTCGTTACTCCATCAGTATGGCGCTCTTAATAAATTAGTTTCCTTTCTTATGGGAGACGCATTATCATCTCCTACGTTACATAATGGAATTGTAAGTAAAATGAGCAATTTATTTTCGGTACATTTAATTTATAATCGCCCATCGCTTTAGCCATTTTATCGTTATACCATTTTTTTTAGCCTCCTCTATCGCCTTCTTCGCCTTCCTCACGAACTCGCCGATGGAGTTCAATTCAAGTTAGAGATTTCGAGTATTTGCATTGTATTATTGCTATCATTGTTTTACATTACGATGTCCAACCCTATCAAACAGAAGGTCAGTACATCAATTGCAATATAGATTTTTAAAATAACTGTCTAAATTTTTTTTTTTTTTCTATTTAAAATAAACACAGAAACATCTGGAAAGCAGTATTTTCCATTAAAGACAGCAAAACCACTATTAAGAATGGGTAAAGATATTGTCCAAATAGTATTTGAAAAACATTCTTCAATATTTATATATGAGGTATTAAAATAGAACTTTCTTTCTTTCTTTTATTTATTTAACTTTGAACATTCTAATATTTATTTCTTTTATAATTTTTCAACATTTTTTGTTTTTAATTCAGATGTTGATGGGTTTGAAAGATGTTGATCAGGCAGAAAAGGATATAAGAAACATGTTATTATATTGCTCGTTTTGTAACAAAAACTTTTGGGATAAATTGATGATGCACCTTTTGGTAAGGAGAATTGTTGGAGAGATTTATTATAATTTTTCTTTTTTTATATCTATATATATATAGAAACTTCTTTCTGAGGCACCTGTAAATGAATTGAAAAGATTGCTAGTATTATTAGAACACTTGATGAAATTAAAGGACAATTTACAAATTGAGAGAATAGTACGCGCACTTGAAGGTTGTGAACCAAAGTATGCCGGAGTATTATCTATAATGAAGGATCATCATGTATCGGAGCCTCGGAGAACTTATCAATTAATCAAATGCATAAGTAGGGTGGCTGACGAATGTTATGTTATCCGAAATCAAGTTCAAAATGTTATTCCAAAGTGGCATTGGGCAGTCAATTGGTTAAAACAAAAGGTTAGAATAATTTACCTACTTATTTTGTTATGTTGCACAACAAAATGTTTATTCTCGTATTAACTCGTTTGTTTCTTTATGCAGATGAGCAATAAATCATTTGGTGTACTTAGTAATCCTGTAGATTCAAATGAAATGGGTACAGCACGCTCATTTCAAAGAACAGTTAGTGCTCAGGTAAGAATAAATAGAAACGCTTTAAACAAACAAACATATAAATAATAAACATTGTCATTTCGATTTCAACCAATCGATGATTATATCAAAAAAAATCGTTTTTTTTCCAGCATACTTTAGAGGGTGCCACAGCACTTTTAGAAAGTATTAACGATTGTTCGGATATGGAAGTAAATGATGACGATACAATACCACTAAGCTCACAGAATACAATAAGCTCTCTAGATGAAGATAAAGATACAGTAGTACCAATAGGTAGGTATCCATTTATTCATTTTAACTAAGCGTATAAATTATTTAAAATATATTCAGGTTCTGAAGATTTGGATTGAGTAACGTATTAAATTCTCAGGAAATTTTGGCTCCTGTTTTGTTTTTATGTATAAAGATAAAATAACTACTATTAATCACTACAACAACCTTAAAACAAACTACAGCTACTTCTACTCACTGTTTTTTTACGTTCTATGCATAAAAAGGATTGCTTCTTTTCGTGAAACATTTCGTCAACTACTCTGTATTTATATACGCTTGTAAATAAGTTTGCAATATGCATATTATATATATATTTATATATATATAGTATGTATAGGTGTATATGTGTATATAAATATGGTTTTTAGGTCAATTTCCTTTTCACTTTTGTGAATATTTGCTTTTTGTTAAACCTTAATATTCAAGAAAAACAAGAAAAATCAACCCAAAAAAAAAACAACTTGAAACTGAACTGCATACTTGTAAAATAATGTTTTACCGGTTTTTTTTAATATTAAAATAATTATTAATGATTATTAATATGAAATTATGAAATAAGCTGTGTAAAGTTATTTTTTTTTTTTTAAAAAAAAGATTAAAATGGTAATTTGCTTTCCTTGATATATAAGAATATATACAGTATATATATATATATATATATATATATATATAACAGAATATTTAGGATATGTATAGTATAATCCTTTGTGTATACTTTAAAAATGCAATTGCTTTTTTTTTTATTCATTTTTTATTATCATTTTATTACTTTTTATTTTCTTCTTTTTCTTAAAGTTCTTTTTTTAAGTAAAACTTTCAGTTGAATTAATCTTTTTTAAAAGCATAAATTTCGAGGTGTTTAAGAAATAAAGAGAAACTACAAAAGTTTTATGTAAGTATGATAGTTTGTTTGATAGGTAGTGAGAAAACGAGTGAGAGAGAGAAATGGGCAGGAAAAAAGATGTATTGATTTGTTTTTCTTTAGTTACATAGACAAGATATTTTCGTTTTTTCTATCTAGTGAAGAGATGCTTGAAAGATAAACTATTCATGCATCATTGTTATTAATGCAATCGTTCTCAATGGCCTATGGAGATCTGGACCAGATTAAGCTTCTTTTGCAATAACTCGTTCCCTGTTGCTCGTTAAATAGGTCGTCGCCGTCTCGCTCTCGCTGTAGGATTATTCCAAGCTGTTCATCTGCACACCCACCTTCAGTATCACGTGCAGAAAATCTGTCTGCTAAGCCTGCTTCTTGTTTGGGGATCACTGCTTTTTGCGTGTCGAAAACTTCGTTACTATGTATTTCTAATTGAGTTTGATGAGAAAGTACGGCATGTGTTGAAGTATGATGTCCGCTAGGCCTATTTGTTGCCTGTGTAATGCTCGTAGCAGCTGAAGAAGAGGTTGGTCGTTCCCAATCAAATGGGTCTGACATGTTTATTCCCTTACGATGTATAGAAGATTGTATACACTCGAGTATAAAATCATAATCTGGCTCATCAAAGTAGCCTAGCTCTTGTATATGCCTTAAAATATCGCTATACTCCGAGGGCAATAACTTTAAAAACTTCCAATTATCGCATCTTTCTTTCATTAAACCAATTCTCTCTTTATCCTTTAACTTTTTCCAGGGCAGCGACCCGCTTATAAATTCTACAATCATATAGAACCAAGACCACAAGTCATCGTGCCTACCCAATTCTTTAAGCTTGTGAGCATTTAAGGATGCGTATCGCACAGTTCCACGAAACCCGGCTTCAATTCTAGGAGTTCTCACGTTACCTTGAGAGTTGATATACTGCCTAGCAAGCCCGAAATCTAGCATATAAACAGTACGTTTTGTATCCGGAGTTTTTCCTATTGTGAAATTGGACGGTTTAATGTCTCTATGAAGAAAACCAACCTCATGTATAGTTTTTATGCATTGAATAATTTGATAGGATAAACGAATAGTTGTAGAAAGAGAGAATGCTCCTCTCGGTCTAGACCTTCGTAAATCGCTTAAATTCATCCCTTGAAGAGACATAACAATATAATTAAACCTATCATTTTTACCGCAACCAATAAATTTACATATATGCGGTTTTCCCTTTAGTTTTTTTAATACAGCAACTTCCATTTTAAGAACTTGCCTATTATCTATTGCAGATTCTGTTTTTACAGCAACAGTTTCTTTAGTCAATAAATCTATAGCCTCGTAAATTTCTCCGAATCCCCCACCACCAAGTTTTTTTGTTATTCGCCATCTTTCTTTAACTATCTGTCCCGACTGTAGCAGATCACCAAACTCCGAAAACATTTCTTCGTCGTCCATCTTTCATATCCTTATTTATATTTTATACAACACTTCTACTTGTATTATTTAAATAATCGTATTTATATTTATCTTGTTTTGTTTTCTTTTTTTTTTAAATTCTCTATTGTCAATGACAACTCATCCATTCCTATTTTTTATGTGGCCTAATTATCTAATTACGGATTATCTTGTTGCACAAGTTTATCTGTGGTTCATTGAAGTATTATGGTCGTCTAATTGCCAATAGGAGTGCGTCGATGTTAACAATTTAATCCCAAATGACAAATCCAAGTTCTCGTAAATAATGAAAGATAATGAGAAAGTCATTCGTTATCACTTTTTCTCTAATTTTAATATTCTCTGATGGAAATCAATAAACTCTGGCTGAGCGAGAGAAAAGTTAGTTTTTAGTATCGCATTTCTAGTTGCTTTTTATTTAATCGTATATTTACAGATGATCTTTATAAATAACTTCTCTTTTAGTATTGACAAGTTTATCAATTAAATTTTTTATTCTAGAGCATCGTATAAAAAAAAACACCTATACAGTATTACTTCGCAAAAAAAAACAAAATCACCAAAATTGTGTGATTGAGCATCGTTAAAACGCGTCAACAGTACATCTAGTAAAATTCTGTAAAACCTTCAAACATCCGATGCATATTTGCAGAAAATCGTGTGTACGATATATATATATATATATATATGAATATATATATATGCATACATAATTATACATATACATATATAAATATATATAAATATACATATACAGCAAGTAGTTATGTATATATATATTTATTTATATATATAAATCAGTTTTTTTTTTGCTATACTATTGAGCCGTTCAACACCAATTGGCAACGAAGTCGAATCCTTCAAATGCTGCCTGTTCGTCGTCCGTTAATGGTCTTCTATCTTTTGGTGGAGTTAAAATTGGTTTTTCTTGAGTAAATTCTTCATCAAAGTTAGAAACATCGTCTAAAGATCGCTGTGAAAAAAAATTAAAGTAAATAATCTATTTTATAAGAATTTTCAGAGTTGCCTATACTTACAATAACTGGTCTGAACGGCGGTTTTATCTTTTTATGGAATAAATCTTCGAAATTCATTGACTTAAAAAAGGCTTGATTTTTTACATCATAAGCATCTGCCTCGGAAGAACCTAATCTCCTTTCGGGATTTTTTCTTAGTAGCTGACGGATATTAAAATTATTAGGGATAAAATTTAATTTTACGTTCTTTAGCTTACTCTTTTCATGATACCAATCGCTTCATTTGACAGAAATCTAGGATATCTCACATCTTCATTGACGATGCTGTCAAATACTTCTTCTTCATCATCACCTGGAAAAGGCGACTCTCCAACCAACATTTCAAAAACTAACACGCCCAATCCCCACCAATCAACAGCTCTTGTATACGACGGGTCAGTAAGTACCTCCGGTGCTAAAAATTCAGGTGTACCGCAAAAAGTATTAGTTCTATCACCAAAACCAACATTTTCTTTACAAAGTCCAAAATCAGCAATCTTTACGTAGCCTTCGTTGTCAAGTAATAAATTATCCAGCTTCAAGTCACTATGTGATATCAAGGAAAAAAGCCATTAAACATCTAACGAAAGGGAAAAAGCAATAAAAAAATACCGACCGATAAACTATTTTATGCTCGTGTAAAAATTGTAAACCAAGAACAACACAAGCTGAATAGAACACAGTTCGTTGTTCATCGAAGACATCTGTATGAATATGCATCATAAGATCTCCACCAGGAGCATACTCCATAACGAAGCAGACATGTTCCGGAGTTTGAAAACAGGCTATCAAATTAACTAAGAATGGATGTCGAACAGAGTTGGCTGTCTCAAAAATACGACGTTCACTTAATAATGAATCGATTTCTTCTCTAGCTAAAATGTCGCCTTTCTTCAAAGCTTTTATAGCGTAGCGCTCCCCGGTTTGTTTATACTCTGCCAATAAAACTTTTCCAAAATGACCTCTTCCCAAAACTGCAACCGTTCGGAAATGTTCAATACGCATTTGCAGTGTAGGTGGTGGTGGTGGAGGCTCTTCCGGCCTAGGAGAGCGAACAGGTGGCAATCTCTTTGAAAGTCTTGGAGCAGGCTTTGGAGGAACTCTTTTCTGTTGTGGTGGCGCTGGAGTCTCATCCAAATCGACAAGAAACTCAAAAGCATCTAAAGCGTTCTGTGTTGAATTGATTGTTGATGAAAAATGACTGTTCTCTCTCTGAAAAAGTGCACAACGTCCAGCATGCAGAAATCAAGGAGCATTGAAAAATTTAAATTTATCATGCGCTTCACGAACAACAGAAACTTGGATGGTTTCATTATATATAATTTCTTAGGGGAAGGCATTAAATCGATTATAAATTTAATAATAAAATCGAGTTTAAATAACAATGCCAGTTGAATAGTATAAGCTTGAAGGCAATAGCTTCGCGTGAAAAAAGATTTACTTACCATTATATCTTGTTGATCAATTGGAGGTGATTCTTGTCGAGGTAAGATAGGCGGAGGCGGACTAGAAGGAAGAGGAGGAATATCCTCTGATTCTTTGAACAAGTTTTCAAGTTGAGCAGACGGTTTTGAAATTACTTGAAAATCTGTCGGTTTGCTTATCGCTAAACCTTCATGACAATTCTGAGGCAAGGCCTGCTTAGCCGTTTTCATGAATCGACTCCAAGTTGCAACGTTTGTGTTAATTTGCGGGGGTCTAACCAAATTTTTACCATAGTCTTTCGGAAGAATTTTCTTTTGTCGTTTAACACCGGGACGCCTTGTAATAGTTGGATTGATAAAAAATATTTCTGCAAATAATATTCCTTCAGGCTCTAAGTGAATCATCATGCCATGATGTTCATCGTCTAGAAAATCTTCAAGGCGTAATACCTTTACAGCACACATTTGGCGCATATCTCGCCAAAAAATAGATATCTCTAATTCTCGAGACTTATCTAAATTAAATTCGAACTTTTGATCCCAACACTGCTGAGAACAATTTTTCCACTGGGTTTTATCGACTTGTTGATTATCTAATTTAAGAACTGCGCTGATCTCATTAGATGTTTTATCCTCATGCTTCGATCGAATGGAGGATGTTTTCTTAGATGACCTCAGCAGAGAATTAGACTTAGCGTTGCCGTCAGTCGGATAATATACTGAATTAGAATTTCTTCTATCTCCAGCCCCTTTCTTCCAGGGTATATCTTCGAGTAGTCCTTGAACACCAACTAATCTCACTTGTAATTTTCCTGTTAAACAAGCAGCTTTAGTTACAACTGGTCGTTTCTTTAAATTTGGATGCTTAATTTCCAATCGTAATTGGTCTATTCTGGCTGAGTTAGAATTTCTTGATAATTCTTCTAATCTATTACTCAAAGATAAACTAAGAAGTTCATATTTAGCTTGTGATTCACTTTGCTTTAACTGAGTTTCGTTGATTAATTTTTTATCCGGATTCTTTTGGGTATGAGCTTGTTTTAATAGCATTCCCGCTCCATCAGTTATAGCTTTCTCAATTTGCATTCGATGTCGTAATTCGTCGATTCGTATCTCTAATGGCGAAAGGCCATTGACATTAGTATTTGATATTCCATCTCCCGGTATAAGAACACTCGATCTGTTTTTGTCAGCTGAACCTTTTCGATCCTTACGAGCCTGTACTTTGAGCATCTGCATACGTATAACTTCGATTTTGGTTTTAGCATCGTCTAACATTTGTTGAGCTGTCGTAACAACCATTTTTTTCTGCTCTCGACTCGAGCCTGAATATGATGCTATTAAATTTTCAGCACCTTGTTTAACCTGTTTTAAATTTTGACTTCGTCTTTAATTATAATATTATTAATTGATTATGTACATACTTGATTTTCTATATCTAATTGCCTTCGTAAAGACTCAAGTAGACTATCAATTGGTTGAACATCACCCTTTTCCGGTGACAGTAGGCCTTCAGCTGTTCGACAATAAAGAATAATGGCTTAGATATCTTAAAGATAGCAAAAAACAATAAATAAGCGGTAATATATTTCAATTGTATATCTACATGTGGCTCATGGAAGTAATCAATAAAATAATGCTCCCTCTAAGCTATTTATAAAAAATAGTAAACAACGTCTGTATGGCTTCTAGCTTGCCCCAAAGATAAAACGGAAACATAGTTTCTCATTACGTAATCTAAAACTCAATTAAACTTTTTCTGCTCGTTCAAAAATTATCGATTTAACTATATATTAAAAGCAAAAGTCCTGTACATCGAACAAAAGCTGTCAAGTAACAAATATTTTCCATTATTGGGCGATTCTACAATAAATCGCACGTAGCAGCGGATACTTAGATAAGTCCATAAAAAAAAGATAGCATTTCAACTGAAGATATCTCATTATTCATACATTTTTGTACCTATTGAATTATTTCAACAAACTTACATAAATCTTCGAAAAGGCCTTTAAAAGCATACAAATGACTAAGTCCGTTTAAGCTCATTATCCCTATCTGTGCATATCTGCACTCTATTTGCGGTAGTCGGCGTAAAACTGGCAAATGCTTTCTACAACCACGCAACTATCTGAATAATGTAGGCAACAAAAGCTGGGTAACAGCACGAATTTTCAAGTATAATTCATGCGTTATCTTTTACTACCGATCACGTCAAAATTGTGTCTCACTTCATTCGATTGGGAATAAGGCTACGGTACATAGATACATAAGCACCATATATGATACAGTTTTTGATACTAAAGGTCTGCATCAAAACAAGGCGGCATACCATAGGCATTGGTGAATATATACGTATGTTTTATCAGATACGAAAACCGTTGTGTAAACAATTTCCCCGTAAATTAGATCGAAACACTTACGGCTGGATAAACCGTTTGCATTGGCATCAAAGTTGGAAGACACTGGGGTCGATGGCATAGGTTGCTGCTGTTGTTGTTCAGATGCCCTCAAAAGGTGAGCATTAACATCTTGCAGTTTCAATTGTAAATGCGTTAATTTTTCATCAGACTCCCTCACTGCATCAACTGCTCTTTTATCATGACCTTTTTTTGAGGCTTTCCTCATTTTCTCAGCCCCTTCTTTAATTCGAAGCTCTTTACGTATTTCTCTGCGGAGCTCGTCACGCATAGTTTCGAGCTTGGCTTGAACTTGCTCATCCGCCAGATCACCAATTTTATTCCTAGTAGGAATCATGGTCTGTGGTCCGGCTGTGGTTGGTCCTACCTGCTGAGATATCTGAGCAATTAATTGGTTAGATCGTCTAAGAAAAAACAATAAACTGATCTAATACAGGCGTTATTAAATCTATCTGAATTAATCTATGATTAAACTGTGAGGATAAATCTAAAGGTAAACACAACAAAAATTGCTAATTTTCAATTGACTAAAAATTTTACAACATTTAAAAAGAACAGATAATTTCTTACAGGTATATCACAGATATGAGAATACTTAGTCACAATGCCCACACCCTGTTTACTGACAGTGAACGGACGTTAGAATATATTTTAAGCATAAAATTCCTTACATTTAATGGATGTCGAAATAAATTTAATATTTACGTTAAAATAGACTTGAGTTTGACTTGATTCCGCCATGTTTCTGCTCAAATGATCCGCAACGAGATGATTATGACTAAGTTGTCAAATCAGACACGAAATTTAATTCCATAGATACGAAGGATATATCACTAATTCACAAAGGCAATAAGCTCCTTTAATTTATGGTACTGTCAGAAAATGTTGCGGAATTTCGTCGAAATTAACAAGTCTGCCAAGTACAAAAGTTTTGGAACGTCACGTGACAAACGTCAACCAATAAATGACACGCTTACGGGGGCTAATGAAACATTCTTAATAATTGGTTCGTTGAGTATGTGTAGCAGACGTCTTTGAGATAGATTTGAATGGTCTCAACTCCATCCTCGATTGAACAATTATAATATACATATATTTCAAGTAAACTTTAAATGTCTCAACAATTTAAAAAAAAAATAAACCCTAGCCCGAATCCACTTTTTTATCAATGGATTTATGAAATGAAACAAGATGCAGTTGCAAAAGGTTGTAAAACTGCGTTTGCGTACGAAAAGGTTATATTTTCGTTCAGTTCTTTTTTGTGCGAATTATAACCAAAGTTTTAAATTGACCGATTAGGCTTTAAGAAGTCTCAGAAAGTATCCTTTAGTTTTGGAATCAGGAGCCGAATGTAAAATCTTGGATGGTTTTGGTTTGTAGTAACTTTACTATCAGGATTTATTATTTTTTATTGCTTTTTGGAACAGGTAGTAAAATTTGTAAAGTACTTGACGAAAAGCTTGCGGACTATGTATCAATCTATGGAACAAAAAAGCCGATTGACGGAATTATAACGGCTTCTTACACAATTGGATCGATATCGAGAAAGAGAACTCGCACTAATCCTTCTTATCAGGCAGGCACAAGTGATAAAGATAAGAAGGAAGTTGGCGAAATCTTAACTATTGAAGCTAACTTGCCTAACGCAAAAGATACTGAAGATATAAGAGACAAATCTTCAAACGATGTGAAGAAAGTAAAACATACCTCATCTGACAAACAATATATTCCTCAAAAAGGATCAGGCGCTTACGCAATATTACTTACCTTATACAACGAATCTAAGGTTAATAATAGCACAAAATTATATTTTTGAACACCCACTACGAATGACTGTCATAAAATGATAATTAAAAGTGATCTTTTTATATAGCCGAAACAATTAGCACAATATTTAATAACCTAATCATACGCCTCTGTATTTATTTAATCTAACAAGTTTTGTAATCCTAAAGAAATAGGCTTAAAAAGCTTTTTCCTCCAGAAAACTGAATTTCCAGGCTTCCTAAAGAAGGATGAATTAATTGAAAAGGCTCAACCATTATCAACTAAATCATTTATTAGTGTAAATATCTAATTCTTAACAAAATTCTTATTATATGGTGGTTTTTTTCCAGTCTGAAAATAGTTCTAGATATACATCATGGTCGTCGATGTCTACTCTTATCTCAAAGAATCTCGTTGAAAAATTCTCCAATCCAGCGAAATATAAATTAACCGATGCTGGAAAATCTCTTGCTTCAACAATGAACAACTCTTCTGGGGATGATAATTTCGCTAGTCCATCTTCACTTTCTCCTGCAAAATTTTCGGAAATATCTAATGAATACGAAGATTTTGTTTCACCTATAAGAAATCCAAATTTAAAATCATCTTGTATATCATCCAACTCTTTCGACATATCTTCGAATATAAACAACTTTTCATCTACTCCCTTGAACGACGACAAACTCGTGTCAATTTCTCCTGAAAAGTTATCGGACAATGACGAGATACAATTTCTTGGGGAAACGTTGAATAGCAGTAAAGGTCACACATCTATACCAATAACAGAAGATATTGAAGTAGTTTGCGTTGAAGACTGTAAGAAAATTGAAAAAACACGATCTTTTGCTTTTTCCGATTCGGATTCCGATGATTTGCCTGATCTAGATGTATTTATTAAAAGAAAAATTGATAAAAACGCCTGTAAAAAACCATCAAAGTCTACAGAAGAAATTTCGTATCACGAGTCATCTTCTTTGGATAGCTATACGAAATTTAATGATAGACAGAAACAAAACAGTCCAAAGATAGATGAGTTAAAAATAGTGGAAAGTTCTAAACGTAACCCACTAAAAACTTCATCTTTCACTGATGATTTGGAACCGAAACGGCCTGTGCAAATATCCGAAACACCACTATTCACGCTAAGACCAAACGAATTTGAAATTATTCTTATAGTTGATAATAGCGAACATTACGGGTAAGTGTTCCAATTTCTTATCAAATATTTTACCAACGATCTATTCGTTTCCACTAGAAACCAAAAGGAAACTGTTGTAAAGTATCTTGATAGACATAGGATAAGAACGGAATTAAGGAGCTTGAATGTTGGTGATTTCTTGTGGATAGCTAGAGAGAAAGGTGAGCCAAGAAGGGAAATTGTCCTAGATTATATTATTGAACGGAAACGTATGGACGATCTTGCAAAGAGTATCTGCGATGGACGTTATAGAGAACAGAAAGTACAGATTTTTCAATATACTAATTTCTTCAAACTCGTATTAGCTCTTTTTTTTATTAAAAGTTTCGCCTTCGTAACTGCGGGATAAGGAATTGTATATACGTAATTGAAGAATATGGATCATCAGCACATTATAGCCTTAATGAAGATGCTTTAAAACAAGCAATCACCAATACAGAAGTAATTGATAAATTTTTTGTCAAATACACAAAGAATTTAGATGATACGGGCATTTATATATCAGCTATGACTAGATATCTACAATCTATGTATTCGGTAAGTGTAGAGATCGGTAAATCTTGTATATTTTCATATTAATATTGCTATTTCAGTCAAAGTTTCTCATAGCCCATTCAAAGAAATACGTTGAAGCTAACTGTAGTAAATACGATGATAGCGAAGTTTGTCTAATGAATTATAATGAATTTAACGAATTTTCTTTAAAAACTAAACCTTTGACTATAAAGGAAATGTTTGCTAAACAACTATTACAATTGCATAGTGTTACACCCGAGAAGGCTTTAGCTATTGTTGAAACATTTTCAACCCCTTATAAATTTATTAAAACAATTAAATCGTCAAAAAGTGATAAAGAAATTGAAGATATGATATCAAAAATCAAATTTGGTCCAACAAATCGGTAAGTATTTAAAGAATTCCTAGTTTATTTGTAATTTATTCATTCAATTATCATCTCTACAGCTGTATAGGAAAATCAATTGCAACTCAACTAAGAATCATTTATACTCACCAATCAGGTTAATAAATATTTTACTCCTATTCAAATTTTTAACAAACCTGGTAGGTATATTTTAAAAATAGCCGTGAAATTATTCAAAGGGGTTTTTTTTTGCCCATTCAAAATAGATGAATATAGATTTTATAATGAACCATTGTTGTTATTCTTCTTCGTTCAAGAAAGATTTTTAATAGAGAAATATTTCAAAAAAAAAAAATAATTGAAAATTTATTGAGAATAAGCATCTTTAATAATCTTTTGTTATTATTATTATTATTATTATTATTATAAATTCTAATCTAAAGATAAAATTGACAATTTGAACTGATATTTATTACATAAATTATTTCTTTACTTATGCGTAATAGTTTGGAGATACAAGTAATTCTGTTAAACTGTTAATTTGATCATCGGAGAAACGTTGTTTATGATCCTGCCAATTGTCATGATGGGTTCTTTTAAAACTAGTTAATGTTTGCTTAACTGTTCCCTGAATAGGCTGAGGATCATCTGCATGTTTTGATACTTCCATGAGAATATCAGGCACAAACGTTGGTACATCGTAAGGAGAAGCCAAAATACAAGCACTTAAAGCTAATATACCTGCATGTCTCTTTCTTATTTTTTCTTGAGCAACTGGCTCTAGCCTGGCTGTTCCTTGAGCTGTTTTTTTCCTTTTTATACTCGTTTTAGCCAGTTTTATAAATTGTTCCTAAAAAATTATAATCAATTATTAATAAATAAATTAAACGTTTAAGTTTTAAAAGAATAATACAATTAAGTCTTCTGTTATATCAATGTATCCGCAATGGAAAAATCCGCACAACACTTTTGCCGATTTCTCTCGAACTTCCAATTGTATATCTGACAAGCATTGAATAACCGTTGATCGAACTATATCTCTAACATCGTCTTTTGGAAAGAGGAAGAATAGATTATTGAATACAGCCGTTTCACAAAAATGTAATAAATGCCGGCGTCCTTTCCATGATTTTGTTGAACAAATCTAAAATAAATTAATGTCATTAATTGTCTTCTTATCAGTTAAAGATAATTTTATATACTTGATTTATAATGCTTTTAAAAGGTTCAATAGTACTTTCGTACATTTCAACAATAGACATAAAAGAAATGCATAGTCGACATTTTTCTTGCAATTCATCATCGTCGGTATAGTTTTGTAATGCATTTATCTGAAATAATCAGACTTATTAATGATATCTGTCTTGTGTAATTTAAATTTTAATATAATAGATTACTTACAAAGGGAATCAATGGATAATATTTTTCAATATCTAATTTTAAATTTGTTACTATTGTAACATCAATCCAATGTAGTACTGTTCGTCGATGAAAAGAATAAGAAAAATATATTGTTCCCTTCTTGGATAGAATTTTACGTTAAATACCTGTTTTACTTAATAGAATAACTTCATCCTTCTTTTCAACTATACCATTTGCTGAAGATTTAATTTTTTCCATTGGTATTGCTTCCCTATCTATATTCATAGGTTTGGGTTCGTTCTGAATTGGCTTTAAGTTACTCGTTGATTCTGATTCTTCACTATCATCTTTTTCTTCGGTTTCTTTAACCAAACGTTTCATATGAGGCAGAATAAAGTTGACAAACTCTTCAACTTTAGGTTGATTATTTTCGGGTGAGTTCTTGAATCGAATATCATTAAAAAAAATACTCTGAAGGCAACTTGCCATTCTATCTCTAACGTTCTTATAGTTATAGGCCAACTGCTTCTTAAAATGATCAAGAAGTTTATTAAGCAGGAAAGGAATCCTCCATTCCTGTTGCTGAAGAGCTCCTTGAAGACAATACAATCTGGTAACATCAACTGAAGATCCACTTTCTCCACTAATTGGATTATCAATAAGAAAATCAAAAAGCGGTTTTAATTTTCTTGGATCTCTGCTCTCCGAAGCGGTGGCAATGCAATAACCCCAAATACATTTTGATTCCTCTATAGAAGTATTTAATAAAGCTGACCTAAGCAAAGGTATAACACGTGCCCACATTTGTTTAACTTGTTCATATGGCCAATGTTTTGAACCTCTCATAAGAGCGCAGATTATTTCTGCGGCACATCGGTGAGAATAATAGCGAGTTTTAGGATTGCTATCAGCAACGTATGCTTCAATTTTATCACTAAATAACTCATAGAGAGACCATCCAAAATTACGGAATAAACCCTTAAATAAGAAATAGTACTTGGATCTAAACTTTTCCTTATTCTTTGAATCCTCCAAAGTTAATAAACTGCATAATTTATCAACGTATTCTTTGTTACAGAAAGCCTGGTAAATAATTTTTTCTTCCTCTTTTAACTCATCTATTGCTCTATTTGTGGAAGGCTGTTCTTTTGGTGGTTGATAAACTTTAAAGGGTTTCGGCCATGTGTAATAACCCCAATGAGTTTTTTCCACAAATATAGTATTATTATATGTCTCTTCATCAACCAAAACATCGCTATCATCATATAGCAGCCATTTATTATCTGGTCTCTCACCCGGTATAATATAATTTATTGATTTTGGAGGTTTGCAATTAGCAACTTGGTAGGGGTCAATATCCATGGTTAAATGTTTACGTTTTTGCTGTTGTAGTATTGATTGTAAAGCATCAATTGATATCTATAATCAGAATAAAAAAAGTGAATAACCAGTAATACTAGATAAATTCGATCTAAAACATACTCTTCTAATATAGATAACATCGTGTAGAGAGTTGTCAATGAAGGTTTGTACAACAGAAGCAGGAGCACGATAGTCATTTCGTAAAAGCAATGACAGCATTTCAAGTGCCATTTGTAAGAATTTCCAGTGTAATTTTTTTGTTTGAATACGCTCCACAATATCGTTTAGTAATTTTTCGTAAGAACTATAAAATAACATAACATATTAATTAAATAAAGAAATTAATAACATTTAGATTTTACACTCTATTGGCATCGTTTTGCTCCTGCGATTCCATTTTACCCTTGGATATTTCTGCCAAAGAAACATTCTCCAAAGATGGATGTGGTTGAGTCTTATCGACCCAAAACTGTTCTGCAGCTGTTCTGGCTTGATCTGAGATCTGAGAGTTATATAATAATCATTAACATCATTAATTTTCGTAATATATTTAATAACGAACATAAATTCCTAATGGCATTGTCGAAACATGCTTGTGCAATTTATTTAGTATCTTCTCTATAACTTTTAATATAGAAGGTTTCTCCGAGTGTTGTGCTTCAATCAAAGCTGGCCAAATTTTTCCAATTGCCTTAAAATTATGCTTATAAATCAACGATTGTTCTCTTTCACCCAAAATACAATAAAGCGCTCCCTGTAAATTGTATACATTTGTATGATTTTATAAAAATGCAAACAATTTTGATTAAACCTTAAATTGATGATGACTTATATCATTATTATCCTTCAAACAATCGATAATATCATCTACAACAAGTCTGTAAACATAACTGAAGTGCTTGAATATTGAATAAAGATGTTGTTGAGCTCTCATTCGAACGCTACTATAACGACTAACTGACAATTTAAAAATGTCATCTAATAGCCCCTTGTGCATTGTAGTAAAAACTCTCTCAGAACGATGCAAAACTCTTAACTACAAAACAAAACAATATTTTTTCATAAAGAGCAATGTAAAATCGAATTATACAATCTAACCTCATGTTGGAGTTGAGCTCTTTGAGCTAGAACAGCTCTAGCATGAGCTTTCTTTCCTAACAGTTTATTTTGTAGAATATTTTTTACAGTTTTCCAACTTTTCCAATATGCTAAGTATTGATCATCTTTTTTACCCATATGTGACATGAGATCATTCATAACCTATAAAAAGTTAGAATTTGAATTTTTCATATTAAAAAAGAAATTGACTATATTCACATTAAGGCAAGTCAAAACAGTCTTTGTATCATCTTCATTATTTTGGCTGCTCAATAAATGAGCAATAAGGGGACGAATAGACTTATAGATTAATAATCGGGGATTTTCACCATCAAGGAGAATACTCTGCGAAGAAGTCGTACATGAACATTGAAGAGATTTCATTTCAACTCGAGTAGTGACACTTTAAAAAAGTAAATACTATGCCTCTTTTCAAAACAGTTAATGCTGTCTACTTACTATCCAGTAATCTTCTCATCTTCCCACATATCTAAGCATGTTCCAGCTCCACTTATGCATTTACTAATTATATTGACTGTCTGCAGTAGTTCCTCTCTCTCAAGAATACTTTTCTGGCTTACATGTTTGTCAATTTTAGCTAATTGAGGTAGAAGAAAAAGCTTCAAAACTTCCACAACAGTTTCCTTTTCCTCTTCGGATGGTATATGCCAAACTAACTTTAAATTATTGAGATCACCAGGCTTTCCCCAATCCTAATTGAGAATATAAGTTTTAGATGAAGAGAAATTTCGAAATTTAATTTAACAGAATGCTTACTCTGATCGGTAGATAGTCTTCAATTGGCTGATTCCAGTCTTCAGGAGTTGATCGGAAGTCGTTTGTGTAAATACGAGTTAAAGCTTTGAGCAACTCCAACAATAAATTGGAAGATAATTCCCTAACTGCCAAACACTTAGAAAATAAAGTACATTCCAAAATTGTAATCAAATCATTTTTATAAGGCAGTAAACTATTTCCATTGCAACGTATCAACTAAAAACATTAAAAGTTTACGATGTCTTTCCAATTTGGATATTAAACGTTTCTTTATTTACCTCTGATAAAATTCTAAGATTCCACAACAACGTACTATCGGTTCCTTCTTCTTGAGCAAAATTATCGTCTAAAAGTAGAGTATATAAAATACTTATTTAAATTTATTAGGTACACCTTTTTATACAAACTTTGAACATGTTGTTTAATTATTCTGGCACAATGATTGAAAAATTTATTCAAAACCAGTTCTGGTTGAATTTCGGACACTGCTCGACAAAGATCGGCAGCATATCGACCAGCTACATTAATTTCAAAACAGTTGTTGCTTACAAAATTAAACAATTTATCCAAAACTAGCTGAAATTTGCAATTATTTTATTTTATTATTAATAAAAGTTAGAGTTTATATAGCTTACCTTATAAATTGGTAAAGAACATTGTTGAACAATGACAATAAAAGTAGATGCTAGCCCCATTTCAATAATAGTTTCGTCAGCACTCATTTTGTCATCATTTCCTAAAGCAGCGTCAGTTCTGCCATGTTCTTGAACAGAATTTTCAATCAACAAAAAAATTCGATCCATAAATTGGAGGACAAAATCTTCGAACTCCATTGTCAGTCGACAAACTTCTTTCTCAGTCTCTGTCAAATCTGTTCTTGTTTCCAAAGCTTTGGAACAATCAACAATTGGTACTAAACAGCACAGAGTAGAGACCATTTGCATAGTTGTAATTGTTTTTTTCAAATCATTTGGATCGATACCAGGTATACACATATTTAAGAGGCGTAGTACATGAGTTGGTCCTTCTGGATAATGTTTTGGATAACTGAGCATCGACCCTGAAACCTGACCTACTGCTTTCATCAAGGGTATTAATCTATGAGGTTCATTCAAATTTGTCAGTGCTTCGTAAGTCCTTTTATCAACAGAAAAAGTGAGATATAATTAAGTCCCTACAGAAAAATTAATTGTAAAATACTTACATATCAATTAGAGGAGGTATAACAATTTCAGGTCGAAGCTTTGCCAAATGTTGAAGGCAACCAGTAGTCTCTATTATACCAAATTTGCTAAATATAGCTTGCAGCACAATGGGTTTTAATATATTGACAAATTCTGTAATTTCTTCATCAGTAAGTTTGGCACTTTCTTTCGTATACATGGTCCAATCGCTTTTCTTGTATCGTTCTCTAATAGAATTAATTAAAAACTTATGAATGTTTACTGACAAAAGTTACTATTTTATGTAAACTTATGAATAGATATATGTAATTAATTTGATAAAGGGAAAACATTTATACCTATGAACTCGATCGACCATATTAACCGCTAATTTGTTAATAAATAGAAGTAGTTTATCCTGTATAATTACATAGTTTTCATATTAATGCTGAATAGTGATGTACAAATGTAAACTTACGCTCCATTTACCATTATTTGACGGATGATAGAAGCTTTGTAAGGCAACAAAGATCTTTCTGATATGTTCCAAAGTTGAAGAACCATTGCCCTTTTTAGGAGATAACAGATTTCTCAAACAAGTTCTAATTTTTTTTATATTTTTATCTATATAGGAATAAACTTACTATCATTGCTATAATCCACCTGGATGTCATATTTACATCTGATGCCCTATCGACTCGACTGCTACCTGTGTAAGTTTTGTCTGCTAACGGCAATTGGAAACTTCCTAGCGTTCGAGTAAAAATCTGTTTTTTTTTTATCAAATTATAACGTTATTCTAGACAATTCAGATTTAAAATATTAATATTACTGTTGGGATGTATATATTCCAATCAATATAACCAATATTATGAAATGCCAAGCGTGATAGAATGCTTCTTAAATACTTAAAAAAAGAAATTATATCAGAAAAGAATCATTTTTGTTTTAATTTGGATAAAATAATTTACTTTTTCATATCGAATTTCTGCCCTAAGTGTCAAGTAAAATTCCATAAACTCCTCAAACCAAATTCTATAGAGAATATTATTGTTATTATGATTAAGATTATCTTTGAATTTTTCAAGTAAAGTATACTCTGAAAAAAACATACTTAAATCCCTGGTCATGATAGTTTGGTGGAAGATTTACTGGAAGAAATAAATCCAACAGAAAGAGAGCAGTGGTCATTTTTACATCAAACATACAAAGATACGGCCGACATTCGTCCAGTAATTCTTGGGTACAATTAGATGGAAAATATCTATTTAATTTAAAAGGAGAATATATAATAGACAACAGAATTATTATATTTTTTATCTAAAACTTACAATCTGGCATTGACGATTAAACTTTTCAAAGTTGCTTTTATGTTACTGTAGAATATCAATATGTGAATCCCTTTTGTTTATTTTTATTTATTAGAAACTATTAATCTTACTCGGGTTGTAGTAATAATCCATGTCCTTCCATTTTTGACTCATAAACTTTATACATTAATTTAAATAGAGGCCTCCATTCCAGCACCAAATCCTCTCTAGTTAACAATGTTTTCTTTCTATTTGTGTCAAACTATTGTTAATCAAAATATTTTGAAAATTTGATATACATACGCTAAGAGAGTCGTAAGAATTCGAGAAATCCTCTGGACCATAGAAAGATTCAGATCATCTATAAGGATTGCTTCATAAAATAAATTTATAAATTTTATGTGATCCTCTTTGGAGAACTTGAATCCATAGAGACGAATATACCTAAAATGTTTAAAGGACTATCTAAATATGCAATTATAGTCATTTTTTAATCACGTTTTTAGTTGAACCATCCAGTGTCCAAGACCTATCGAATCTCCCAGCTGAACTGCTCTTCCAATATTTGCTTTAATTTCGCTTAAATTCTCATTCGATTCCTTGTCAATAACATCTGAATATGGTAGTATTTTGCAATAAGGATTCTCTCTTTGGGGTTCGAAACCGAGAGCGTTCAATCTATCCTTATTGCTTTCGCTAGTCATCGTTGCTCCTTTGAAAAATGTCCAATTATACACACGATGAGTCTTTCTTTGAGAAAATTGTTGTTTTTATAGATACGGAAACCATAGAGGATTACATTTTTTTTTTTTGAAATTTTAAGTTTGCTTTTAAGTAGATTAATTTAATGAATTAATAATTATAAAGGTATTTATAATAAAAATTTTCATACTTGTAAATAAGCTAATAGAATATCTATTTTTAAAGTGCAGAAGTTATGATATAGTAGAACCGTATCTTGGAAGATCTTATTTTTTGTTATTTTTCGTAATTTTTTATTTATTAAATTATATTTAGAGAATACTTCATTAACTAATATAATTAAACTAAATAGAGAATAATAAAGCAAAAAAGAAATTGATAAATTCCGGAAACGGAAATAGAGTCAAAGTTACGCGGCTTTTTAAAAATATGAATATAGCATATGTGATGTCTTATTTAACAAATTATTTAGGAAAAAAACAAATTATAAACTTACGTTATTTTATGTTAATAATTACCATTTTTAGCGGGAAACAAGAATTTTTTATCACATAAAAAAGTACCCGGATAAATGTGTAATTTAAAAGAAAGTCCTGAAATATGACACGGATTAAAAACTTTTCAAAGCCTTGTCTTTTTATTCCCTATTTACAATGGTAACACCCTATCTATAATAGAAAATATCTTTCAGCCTATAAAGAGACTAACATATAGTATATTATATTGCTAGAATAAACAAATACATACTAATAGTACAAGGAAACATCCCCCCCCCCCCAAATCATGCACAAAAGGGGGATATGATATAAAAAATATAGCTATATACGTATAAAACAAGTAGAGCAAAATATCTAAATGAAATACTACTACGAATTAATAAAAGCATATACATATATATATACTATATACAATCTAATAAGAATGACCTGTTTAAGGCTAACGCTTCAATTGTAAAACGTTAAAGAACATTAATATCTATAATGGACCCTCCTTTTTTAAAGGAAGATAAATTTTATTATTCTCATTTGCGTAATAAATCAATATATCTTTGCCCACGATTTTCATTATAAGACTCCAATACGTGTTAGAACTATAAAAGGCCTATGTACAAAAGTGATTTCAATACGAAACCAATTGATGCGTGAATGTAATCATTTTACTTGTTAAAATTGCTATGGCCTGTGAGTAGATTTTCATATAATTGCAATTGTTTTAGTTGCTTCTTAAAATTTTTAATAGGAGCTTATAATATCTTATAATATTCGATAATATAATAGATTGAATTTTTGTTTACACATTGTGCCATTTTCTATATAAACACTATATTAAAAAAAACTGCTTCGTGTTCAACTGATTATAATTTGAATTGCGGTTCCTTTTTCAGCTTTAAGCTCAATTATTTTTGGAAGAAACTACTTGACAAATAGTGTTTTACTCTTCCTTTGCGTTTTGGCTTTTATCTATGTTGTGCTTATGAGAAAACCATCATTGAACAATAGCCCTTTTGACGATATAACCAATTTCGAAGCAGAGATTGAAAATCCTAAACATGCTCGAGTTGTTGCCTATAAACACAGAAATAGAATTGAAGATAAGAAATTAACAGAAACTACTTCTATAGATGAGTCAGTGGCTCCTCCAATAGCTGAGAAGAAGAATGTTGAACACTACAGAGAAATTTGGCTGTGGGCAGATGCTAAGATCACTAGAGATGATTTAATACCAGGAGATGAAGCGGGTGTTGATGTTGTTCTCAATGCTTTGGCAACCGCTCCTATTACGCACGTTGGATTGTTAGATATCGGTAGTTATGAAAGTGGTACTTCTCAGAAATGGATTATATTCTTAGAAGGCGGTCAACAAGCTATGATGAAGCTTGTTTGGTAAGTAATTAATCTTCCCTACCCCATTGAGGTCTTATTTTAAGAGTAACATTAATAGGCAACCAGAAGAGAAAGGTTTCGAAAAAAGAGATGGTGCTTGCAACTTTGGCTTCGAATCACCGACAAGCGAAATAGCAGCTTTTCACTTACATAGAATACTAGATTTTCATAATACTCCCTATGTTACTGGAAGAAAAGTAAAATTGTCGGATATTCAAGCTGTCTCCTCGCCCCAAGTCAACAAACAATTCGTTCGAAAAGGTTAAATAATCATTAAACTCTTTTGCTTGTCAAAATAATGATGATATTATTTTTTTAATTAGGTGAAAAATTATGCGTTGTCGGAGGATGTTACTATTGTAAGGGTGAAACGACGCTTTGTCCATCAGATGGTATCGTAGAAGTATCTATAGCCTATTGGGTACACAGGCATTTAAAATTATATACTTTTCCACCAAAGTATATGCCTTTTTCAACACCAAGAAGAGATGAGTTTGTTTTTTTTTCGTACAATATTTTTTAAAGAAATTATTAATTATCTCTTCCCTCCTTGTTATTCAGGTGGTCAAAATATGGCTTTAATAATGATACATATTGCAAAGAAGTCAGAAAAATACCTCCATATAGTTCCGATTGGTATTATCACGACCTTTTTGATTTTAGTTTGGTCGACACAATAATGCATCATTACGATAGCAAACACTACGTTATTCATGACCATTCTAAAGCTCATGGTTTAACCGTAAGATTGGATCATGGAAGAACTTTTTGTTCTTTATCTTTAGACGAATACGATGTATTTTTAGTACCAATAACACAATGTTGTAAAATTCGTAAGAAAACTTGGAAAACTATTGAAAATTTTGAAGAAGGAGATATATCTAATAGGTTGAAGCAATCACTTAAAACTGATCCAATTGCTCCAATTCTTTTGGATGCATGGTATCCAGTTATAGAAAGAAGATTAAAGAAAATTAAAGAAGTAATAACAAAATGTGCAGATGCCAATGGTTGGGATAACGTTTTAGTAACTGCATAATATTTTATTAATATTCCGATTTTAATAAATTTTTTGTTTTAATGTAATTAGATTTACTGTCTATCTTTTTTAAGTCAATTGCTGCAATATTATACAGTATATGTAAATTTTGTCGGATATGTAATATTAGTGTAAACGAAAATCTTTACCAAATCTACATCCTGAATATCATGGCCCTCATACATGTAAAGTCCTATTTTTTTTTCTATGAATAGAAAATAAAATGAATTGATTGAAAATTTTGAATTGATATCTTCTGATTTGTTCTCATATCTTATTTCTTTTCTTTTTTAATAGAAAGCATAACAATAACAATAGAAATTTTTCGTATAAAACGAATATTTTCTCAAAATGCTGAAAATGTCTCTTGTAGATGTTCCATTTTCTTTCTTGAATCGCCAAATATTGTATTATATATTCCAGGACATATATATTCCGATCTAGCTAATACTATATAAAAATCTCCAGGCTTATTCAGATCCAAAATGTCTCTTAACATTCTCCAATCGACCTTTTCGCCTCTAAAATAAAATAAGACGAGATCAGTTTAATAAAAGTGGACTTAACCTTTAACATAGAGATATTAATAATAATTGGATAGCACTTACTTCATATCCTTAATTAATTTAACCAGAGTAACCGATTTTAAGTCTAAAACACCTATGAAATTTTCGATATGTCTCTTCCTAATTGATTCGACCTCAGATAAAGTACTCATCTTTACGAAAACAGATAAACATATAATAATATATTTATGCTGTATATACAAACATTAAATATATAAAATACCTCTGTTAAAAATTGAGTAACAAGAGTCTCTTCTTCGCGGCATTTAGCGAGCTCTAACCTTTTGAATAAATGAATCAGATATACTACTGATAAAGAATTTATACCTTATTTAATTATATAATTAATCATATTATGAATATCTATACTTACTTATCAATAAAAACTGTCTCGTGCAGATTGAAGTTTTCCCACAGTGCTATTGCTTCTGCTTTAGCCACAGCTTGATGAGTTCCCTTAAACTTTTCAAATAAAAATGTAGTACTAACAGTCTTCGTTTGTAGGTCTATGATTGCTCTTGGTTCATCAGACGCATATATATTAATTAACAGCGAATTTGACTTGAAATTATTCTAGAAATTAAACAGAAAAAAAACGATTGAATATTAAATGATTAGAAGCTTATCGATTTAACTTACTTTATCAATAATTATACCCTGTAGAGATATATCTGGTGTAAAAGTATTCTTTATTAATGTTGTTGCAGTTTTTCTTCTATTTTCACTCATCATACTACTTAAAGTATGTAGAAACTATATTTTATATATATATATAAAAAAATTATTAAGTTTTGATAGTATTCTATTATATTTATAATATAATTATTCTATTATTTACCTGATCTATTTCACTAGCATATTGACCAAATACTATTGCGTTACAATTGCATATGAGAAAGGAATATATAGCCTTCTTTAACAAGTCATCCGATAACATTGAAGTATTAAAAAAAGTTCGTTGACTCTTTAAAAAATAATTTGAATAATAGATTAATTATGATTTAATTAATTATTATTATTAATTACATTTATTTCTTTCGGAAAAGAATATTTTGATAAATAGCTTAAGCCCAGTAGAAATTCCTTTAGCATTCCAGTTATACTTTGACAAGCCTTCTCCAAATTAACCTAAGTATATGATATATTAAAAATAGTTTGAATAATATTGTAAAAGTTAAAAAATTATGAAATACTTTATGCATTAATATTCTCAATTTATGAATTATCCTTCTTATCCAATTTGACCAAAATTCATGTATTTGCAGGAAAAATGAAAGATTTTCTGTACTCATTAATAATACTAGACTATGAATAGCCATTTTAACTGGAGTTGATAAAGCACCAAATAAATGGGAATTTACTGATAACGATTGCTCTTGAATTGAGTAAATTCTATAGTCATCCTCATTGACAAAGGGATCTCTAGATATTTCTGAACTGAGGGTTAATTTAGCAGTATATTTTAAAACTTTTGTAGATGTTTTATTGAGTTTATCTGTTTTAAGGAGAACATTCGTTAATAATTGTCAAATACGAAACGGCTTTTAATTCAATACTATTTCTGTACTTATAGCTATTGTCTTACAGAGAAACAAAGTAGATCAATTAGGCCTAGCTTTAAGATTATTATTCTTTTCATAAACTATAGTACAGTAATTAATAATTTTTATAAATTTTCAATAAGGAGAAACCGTTAGTCAATTATTTTGGTATAATTATTATCATATGACTTTAAAAAGCTGCTAATTAAGATGGGAAATTTTACCGCTAGAAGTCCATATATTCCTTGCTTGAGGACCAATTATATCATTCCACTGACATAGCACCATGGATATTAAACTACATTCGTTAAATTCATCTACTTCTGTAAATGACAAGACTTTATCACAGCTTTGAGACATAATTCTTCAAATTAAACAACAAATGGCTCATGAAAACACTCGAAATATTCTTTAGCGCCAGTGAAAACTGGTTAAGAAAATTTTGGCCAAAACTTGTTTGAAAATTATATTTATAAAATAAATAAATATTCTAAGAATTACGCAATATCACATCTCTATCATACAGTGTATCGCATATGGAATTCAAAATACCAGAAATTGACAATAATTCAGATAATCCGTTTTCGGATGGTGAACTGTTAGTAATTTTAAGGACGTTAATTTTCCAATGATCAGTGAACGATCTAATATCGTCGACAGAAACTGCTGAACGATGGTGTAAATCCAATTTTGTACCCATAACTATCTTGGTACAGTCATTTTCAGGTTTTAAGATACGGGAAAACATTCCCGGAACGTCCTGCCAACTTGCCCTGTCGGTGAAGGAAAAGATGAATATAACTCCATCAACCTGAAAAATAACAAATTTATCTTTTAAGGCAAAATTCTTGTTAATATATTCTTGTTATTCTTTACATTATTTGTGCACGAATCCAGTAGATAATCAAATTTCTTCAATACTCCTTCGCCAGCCTCCCATAGTTGTAATTTAAAGATTATTGGCGATTTTTCTTCTAATAATTTAACTGGCCAGTATAAATGATTAACTTCGATGCCAGCAGTTTCTGTATGTTTTAAAGGAATCTCCGATCCAAGTAATTTTCGGATGGTGGACGATTTTCCTACAGATCTTCTTCCCACAAGGAACAATTTATAAGCATATTCGGAAGGACTTCCCGGAAAACATGGCCTCTCTAAATAGGAATAAACTTTCCTCTTTCCTGAATGTTTATCTGTAAGAACTTCTAAGAAGCGCCGGCCTTCATCAGTATGCAGCCAATCCGGTGAAACATGCTTCATCTTGTTGTTTATAAACAAGCTAGGCTCGCACTGATTTAGTTAAGTAGGACTGCACTATTGTTTTATTTTGAATATTAACGTCTTTTAAAATTCTATAAAATAAGATTATTTAGGTTCATCAATCCTATTAATTACTTGAAATAATTAAAAATTCTATTATTTGGTTTATTAAATTTAAGAGGCAAACGAATGTACGCTTTATTAGTTAAAAGAAAAGAAAAGAAAGCAACACGACATTTATGAAACGTATAGAATTTTTAGATAGACTTTAAACTACATTATCTTTTTTTTTTACATAGGAAAATAATAAATATTATTACATCAACTGTTTGAAAATCTTTTAAGACGTGTAGTCGGAAATAGTTCTTCGCAAAGATTCTATTACGTTATCAGCAATCTTGGCTTTCAACAGTTGTTGCTCTTTTATAGGTCATCGAATGAGGGGGAAGTGAAGAGAAAGGATTTAAAATTGCATTGTTATTGTTCTTACTTCTTTTCTTTAGAAAGTATATAATACTTAGAGACAAGATAAAAATAATGCTAATAAATCCAGTTGAATATAGAAGTATATCCGATTTTCTACCTTCTATACTGATTATATATACTGTTTATATCAGATAGAAATCTTATAAATAAAAAATTTACTTTACATTTTTATATCTACTTGTTCATTCAATTGATCTTTCCTTGATAAAATTTGATCCAGATTATCTCCTTCACTTTCCAAAGAATCGATATCACGTTTAAAAACGATACCTGTATTATATTTTGAATCTAGATCGAATATTCTTGAATAATTTACTATTGAGAAACTATAACAAATTTTCAATACTGCTAAGAATTTTAGTAAATTATAAATGTTAAGAGAATACATGATCTACTTAAAAAAATAATATTTTCCACTTTGTTTTTTTAAAAAAAAAGGGTGAAGTCATTTTATTTTCTTCATAGTTTTATTTAATACGCTTTATTGAAACTTTAAAAAAAAGGAAGTCTTTACAATACTTAATTAGGAGAACAAAACATGAACTTTTTCAAAAGAGGTTAATTTGTTTTTATAAGAACTTATAGATGACAGAAAAAGTAACCCTATTCTATACTATATCTAAAATTCTATATCTTTAAGATCTAGCGTTTTTACCGCATTCAATCAAACATTCTCGTACTAGCAGCTTGGCTTGAGCAATTCCTTTCTTTAGTCTTTCCGAACTGGATTTATTTCCAGCGTAAGTGGGTCTAATATCATTTCCGATATCCTCGATAACTTCCAATAATTGAGAATATTTACTCATCCCTTGTACGTCTCTTGGTGGTTTAGGAGCAGCAAGAGAATTGAGAGATGAACCTGGAGGAGGCGTTCTCCTAACGGCTTTTGCTGGTGGAGTGTTCTTAAGTTGTCCAATTCGAGGAGTTGCGGGAGTTACAGGAGTTGTTGGAGTAGACATTTCAGAATTATTTGGTAGTTGTTCCGACATATTGCAAGTGGTAGTTAACTTTAGATATAAGAAATAATGTATATATAAGTGATTTCCACTCTTTGCGAATGAAGACTGATGAGAACTTGAGATTGTCTACAAGTTCTCTTCGTATTTTATTTAACGCCAAATTAAACTGATAAGGCAGCCATCGCATTAAAATGCATAAATACCCTTATCTTATCCATATTAACAAATGCTGGACATTGCAATAAAGAATTAATAAAAGATCATATAAATACTGTAAAGCGTTTTTAATAACATACAGCTGAATGTTAAATTACCTCTTCCGTATATTTCCTTTCTTCTTTCAAGCAGAACTATTTGATTACGTCAAATTCGTGTCTGTAATCCAAATGAAACTGTCATAGAATAACATGAGAAATATAATACGAAAGCAATCTACCCAGGGCGGGAAACTTAAATTAGAGAGTTTTCGATCATTTGTATTGTTTTATCTATTAATTGCTTTGTAAACAAACCTTACAATTAACACAGAGGGGGGAGAGAAAGGGTGAGTGTCTTAAAAATTGGATACAATTAGACCATCGATAACGCTTGACCAAGCAGGTGAGATGATAAGCAAATCGTTATCAATTTTCTAGAATTTATCTTACTACTCGACAACTCCCATCTAAATATGGTTTAGTTATTAATCAGAGGATAAAGAACAATAAGGTAAAATTACGAAAAATTGGCTAAAATACAGAATAAGAATGATTATAGCATATTTAGGAGATTTAAACTAGCTCAGAAGTTTATATGAAGTACTAGCTGGTAGCTGTATTATTTAGGAAGAAAATATTGATAAATTATGGAACAATTTATAGAACGTAGATGTCATAAACAGCAATTTATGTTATCGGCGGGAGATGGAGATAAACTGGTTCCATGGGGAGAAGACTGGCTCCCTGTCTAATCACATGTATAGAGTACTGGGGAAGATTGGTGGTTGCTGGGTATAGTGATTTTTCAATCGCTACAAATCTAAAATATGTCAAAAGATGACTGGATTTATTTATTTCTTCTATTTTTATCAATACCACTTGGTTTCCTAACAGCTAAACTACCTTCTGGTGTTATTAGAAAATTATTTTCAACATTCGTTGGTTTGCTTTTTACAGTTTGTGTTTGTGGCAATGAAACAATACATTCAGTAATTACTGTTGTAGTAAATTGTCTTATTATTAAGGTTTTCCATAAACAGGGGTTAGTGTCGTTATATAATTGTTACCATTTCTAATATAATTTCAATTATTATATACAGATTAAGTCATATAGTAAGCTTTATATGGTGCTTTGGTTATTTGGGTATATTTAGAACACTTCATTTATTAGGAGTGCAAGAAAATCCTGTATCTGGTCACTCTAATGCTATACAACTATTTATAACTTTAAGGGTAAGTTTTTATTGGATTTGTTACGTATAAATACTATAAATCGTTAACTATAAATGAAATATAATAACAAACAAAGATGATTGGATTATCATTCGAAATACACGATTCAATCACCTTGAAAAAGAAATTGAAAGAATTACCGAACGATGAAAAATTAAACTTAAAAATGAAATATACGTCGATATTTCCTGGAATTTTCAGTATGTTTTGCTACGGTTATAGCTTTACCGGACTTTTATCTGGTAAGATTATAATATAATGTTCTTTTATTCTTTTTTTATATGATTCAGACACTATAATATTCTTATTTAATTAACAAAAAAGGTCCTTACTACAAATATCGAACATATATCGATATGATTACAACTAATACATCTATTCAACGAACGGAAATGATAATCAATAAAATGATCTCAATGATACCCATTGCCATAATATATTTAATAGTTTCAAAATTATACAATATACATGTAAATATTCAATTTTAAAGATACTTTATATTCGTAAATTGTTAATTGTTATTTTATTCTATTTCTTATCGATTTTTGTTGTTTTTTTTTAGGATTTTGAACAACCCGGTTGGGATGATTATTCGCTGCTTTACAAAATGGCTTTTATGTTCCCTGCATTTATAGTATTTAGAACGAGATTATATATTGCCTGGCTTTTAGGCGAAGTTATGTGTATAGCTAGTCTGTTGGGAGCTTATCCGAAAGAAGCTGAAAGTTCATCTGGATACGGACCTAGAAATTTGGAAAAGTTAGATAAAGTTTTATCCGACGATAAAGAGATTATTTATGATTTTGAAACTATAAGAAGTATTGATTTCTACTTAACCGAATTAGCTCCAACCGTTAAAGAAGGAATGAGAGGTTGGAACATGAGTGTTCAATTCTGGTTAGCGTCATGCGTCTATAAAAGAGTCCAGTTTGGTGGTTATATCTTTGGGTTTGTATTTTATAAATTAATACGTTAATTATTAATCTTTCATAATAACACAATATAGAGCATTTATCACGATGAGTGTCAGTGCATTCTGGCACGGAATACATCCAGGATATTATTTAAGCTTTCTAACTATCCCTCCAAATCTACTCTCCGAAAATATTATGAGAAAAGCATTAAGATCTAAGAAAACCGAAAGAATTTTCGATTGGCTATGTTGGTTCTGTAAGATGAGAAGTTTTGAATATATGAATATGGGATTTTGTCTTCTTACTTTTCAAAGTACCGTGAATTTTTGGAAAAGTACCTATTTTTGTGGCCATCTTTTCATTCTATCTTTCATTATTATTGGATCTATTATTAATAATTTAGGCTTAAGTTTGAACAAACAAAAGAAACATAATTTAGAATGAATTTTTGTACTTTTATTTAAAAATATTAATAACTTTGTTTGTCAGCTTTTCTCTTCTTTCTAAATCTCGTTGGAGACTGACTGGATTTTTTATTCAACTGAGTTTTTTTTTGTGTTAATGATGCAATCTGAAATTTAGAATTTACAATAAATTTTTCAAGTTTTCTTACTCTATCTTTCTTTACCTTTTGCCTCATATTTTCAACGGAGATTGGCATCTTTATATCATTGTGTTTGGTATCGTAGGATTTTGCTAAAACTTCTTCGTCTGATGATATAAATTCTAGATTTTTGTCAAGATCGGTATAAGAAATCGACGGTACAATGACAGCTGATTGTTTTTTGCCAACTGTCCTTGCTATAATTGGTACTACAAATTGGCTTTGTTTGGAGGGATTATGTAAAAGATCTTTTTGCTCATAGTAATAAGCCATAGAGATAATCTCATTTACCCTTTGCTCTAAAATACCTAAGAATATCATAACATTCGATGGTTTTAAATCATCCGAATCTAGCATTTCGTGTAGAATTGACCTATCACATTCAGAAACATGTAGTAAATTTTCAATATGTCGCTTTAAATCATTAAATTGCGTATTTATTGAGAAAAATTTCCTCTTAACCTCTTCAGCCTCTTCATTTATCTCTGATAACTCTTTTTTTAGATCTTCAAAATTACTCTTCCTTTCAAAATTAACAATTGTATCTTCATTATTCAATAAACCTTTTCGTAATTTATATTTTGTTGCTTGTTGCCTTAGCATCTCAATTTCGGAGTGTAATTCTTCAACTAGCTTAAAGAGGGCAAAATTTTTCTCTTCGTAACCTCTATAATTTTCTATAACAACTTCAATTTCATCTTCATTTGTGACTGCTCTTATTTGTTCAAAAGCATCTTCGTAACTTTGAATAAGTTCTCTTTCGTTTTTCATCGGTTCTGATTCGGCTGTTTGAATTTTTCTCTTGGCTTCTTCAATTGATTTCAAGCTTTCGCGATCATTATTCTTAGTCAACATAAAGTTTTTCATTTTTTCATCGTGAAGTATTATTCTTTGTAAATCTTTCAATTCCGTTTCGTGATTATATCTATCTTTTTCAAATCGCTCTTTTAAAGCGGCAATCTTAACTCTATATTCATCTCTCTGCTCAAAAGCTATCTTTGATTCTTCCATATCTTCGATCATCTTTGACCGACAATCTTCAAGTTCATTAAATAGTTTCGTATAAATAGTTTCATAGTTTTTTCTCTTTTTCTGTAGATTATCTATAGCTTCTCTATACTCTCGATTGCGAGTTAAAGTCTTATTAAATCGTACTTGAATCTTAAATAATCAATATTTTTCAATGCAATTTATATATATCGAAACAGTTAAATTACAATTATTAATTACTGAATGTAATCTATCCTTAAGAGTTTTCGCCTCTAATTCTAGCTTTTGCATTTGTTCAATATCAAACCTACTACTATTGCCAAATCCTGTTTTACGTCGATTTTGAATGCTCTTTTCTAAAACTTGATACTAAACATTTCAAAATGAAGATTTTCATTTTTCAAGTACAAGTATCTAATTACCTCGTAATCCATTTCATCAATTTTCTCCCTTTCCCATAAAATCGAAGTTACAAGTTCTCTTATAATATCGTAAAGGTTCATTATTTTGTTAGATAGCCTATAGTTTTTATTTAGAACAATATAGGAATGTTATACTTTTCTCTTTAAATGGACTACTAACCCAGATTGATGATTTGTATTGTCTTTGTTTTGTATGAGTACTGATTGAATATTTAAATTCACTTCTTCTTTTTCTAATTGTTCTAATGCTGCTCTGTCGATAAGTCAAGTTTTTGATTAATGAAATCTTAAGTATACTTTAAAAAATCAACCTACATTCTTCTCTTTTGTTTGGCATTGTATACTTTACTAACTTGTTGATTACATTGAATCATTCGCCTATAACCTTGCTGTAGTCTGTATAATTCGTCATCCAGAGCTTGACCCTCAATCAGCTCATCAACATCTGATATCTCTTGTTTATTACTCTTAGACATTAGTCTATCTATTTGTTTTTCTTTTTCAGACTTTGACTTTTTACCAAGGGATTCTAACTGTTCCAATTTATCCAAGGCGCGTTCAAGTTCCTTAGTTGAGGTAACATCTTTAGGTCCGGCAGTATTTAAACTAGATCTTATCATTTTGAAAGGGAATAAATAAAATAATATTACAAGTCTTTTTTTAAAATACTTCAATTGACATCATTTATTTAATAAGCTAACTGAACAGTATAAATAATTAAGAAAAATTGTAATTCTGCAGGTTTGATATGAAAAAAGAGATGAACGCTAAAATATCTTTAACTTGAATCAAAATATTTTGAAAAGTCATCGATTAAGATTTCACCAATTTTTAATTGTTTTTCAAAAGTATTTGTTTCAACACTTTCGTTATCATTGAACGTTGCATAATTAACTGAAAATGGATAGCGACAAGTTTCTATTCTCCTTGGTAAAGTTACCATTGGACTTCCGACAGTTGTCTCTAAGGTTTTAGGTTCGATAATACCATCAATTTTTTTAGATTTCGAATAATTTGAATCATTTGGTACCACACTTGAATATTCATCATCTTCCACTGATTTTTTCTCTCTGTAAAAGAAAATTAATTAATATTCATGATACAAGTAGCCATAAAGTCAAAAAATTAATTAATAGTAAAATTACGATAATTTATCTAGTGCTTTTGAAATATCTCTGAGTATATCCCGAATTTTAGATCTTTGTTTTGGGTCTTTTTTAAAGATGCCTTTAAGAATATTAATAGTTTCAGTTGAAACTGAAGGTTTGCTTAAAAGGAATAAAAATAGAATAGATTTTTATTTTAAGTAAAAATTTCATGCCAACTTACTTTGGAGGCTCAAATGCTACATGTTTAATTTTTCGAAATAAATCTTGAGGATTCTCATCCATAAATGGAAATTGGCCAAAGAGTAGTGTATAAAGTATTACGCCTAACGACCATATTTCACTCTTTTTCCCGCAATAAGGTTTACCGCTTAGAGATTCAGGACTCATATAGACGGGACTTCCCTTCTGGTCGTTCAATTCTTCATCTGACGATGTCAATGCTTTACTCAAGCAAAAGTGTATTAAAATAACCTTGTTTTGCTTTTTATAATATAAAATATTTCCCAACTTCAGGTCTCGGTGAATGATATTCTTCTGCAAATGATCAAGACATTGCAGAAATAAAAAGATGAACTATCTTTAAAATATATAATAGTAACAAACATTGTGAAGCTGTTGAACAATTAAGCAAAGTTCTCGAAAAAGGAAGAGAGCTTCCTGTTGCGGTAATGTTCTCTTTCCTAAGATGTAGTGCTGCATATTGATGAAAACACCGAGGCCATCTTTATGAGGCATCTCGTAATAATACGTAAAAGGATCCAAAACCAGGCTAATAATTTTGTAATTTTTTCCCTTGATAACCTTATCCTCTCGAACAATACCGTATTCGTGTGAAACACCTTGAACATCGCTTAACATTGAAAGTATTTGGTGCTCCGTATATATGAGTTGCTTGCCTCCATTTTCATCTTTGCTTGAACAATCATCAGCAGATAAGGTTAAAGTCTGTAAAATGTCTTTATTTTAAATTTGTTACCTTTAAAGTATTATAATATATATGTATATTTGACTATTTTGTTTAAATAACAACCCAGAAACAATTGTTTCGCAATGAAAAAAAATACAGTAAAGCTATTGATTATCAAAAACAATATATAACAGAGAATAGGCCATTTTGCAACATTTTTGAAAAATCTAACCTTAAGGGCAAAATATTTATTTGTTCCTATAGACCTCACTAAGTAATATTTTAGTGATGTCAAAGTAGATGAGTCCAATTCGGTAACTGGAAAATATAGCAATACTTTACAATAGCGGTATTAGCCTATGTATTTGTACCTATAAGAAATCTATCGTGTATTATTTTAGCCGAATTTTCCATCTTTTTTCGGAATATCAGCGTAATTATCGAAAATATGAATAATTACTAAGTCTCAAAACTTAGATGTCGGCTGCTAAATCAAAATAGCTTACTCTCTAATCGATTTATGTTCTAACCTGCCTTACAATGTCCATGGATGCCGTTACTGCTATTGGCCATTTAATTCAAAAGAACTATTCACCAATTATACTTAATTTCGAATCAAAAAAATGTAACAAAAATAATTCTGATCATCTTTATTAATAAGGATAATAAAGAACACAAAATGAATACCAATCTTTCGTAAATAAAATATAATTAATAAACAAGACTTCATCAGTTACTCAGTGCTTTTCTCCAATCATCCATCGTATGATTCTCTCTCAATGTCATCGCTGCTTTCCCCATGAAATAAGCTTTGGACAGTTGAGATGGTTTTTCGTGGCGTACAAGTTTCTCATACATAAGATCAGTATCGCAAATTGAATGACATAGAACATGTTTAACAAATGTTTTGCGATCTTTAGTTCCAAAATCACAATCACAGCACCTAAAACTAAATGATTTAGAAGAGTCATGTCCCTGCAAATGATTCAGATATTCCTCATTACTTGATGATAGATGAGGGCACTTTGTACAAGTTTGCGCACTGGAATTGGAAGGTGCACAATATACAATGCTATGCTCATATAAGGGTATATCATCACAAATTTCCACGTCGTTTGTAGGAAGCTTCATGGATAGTTTGGATGCATTTTTTAGGGCCTCAAGAGAATGTGTGAAAACGAGATGTTTTGCTGACTTACTATGAAGTTTGATATGCTCAACCAGAAAGCGAAAATTGACTGCGAAATAGCTGCAATACTGACATCCAAATTTGAAATTTGACGCACCATGTAAAGTTGAGTGCTTCTCGAGATTTTCTTTCTTCTTTGTAGCATAAGGGCATTTCTCACAAATAAGCAACATTCTGAAGTCTTCATTATTATCGTGTAACTTTTTATGCTTCACTAAGTCATTGCGTGTTGTTGCCGAATAAGAGCAATTAGAACATTTCAAATAGTCTACACCAGTCGTATTGTGTCTTTTGATATGATCGTTAAATATATCAGAATCAAGCGTTTCAAAGAGACAGTCGGTACAAATCTGCTTTTCTGTCTGTGGCATTTTTGTAATAATTTTAGCCTTAGCTCTTAGTCTGTTGGCAAATTCTTTAGTATAAGCTTCTTTTTCTGCAAAGTCCTCCTCTTTTTCAGCAATTTCTCGCCTTCCTGTTCGATTTTCAACATGTAATTGTTCGTGAACGTACAATGCGTATTTGACCTTAACATTGTATGAACAGTATTTACACTTTGAATAACCAGGAATTTTCTTATGAAGTTCTTTGTGCTTATTCAGCAGGAGAACTGTTCTCGCGACAAAGGGGCAATCAGGGCATTTCAGAATGGCCTTTTTAGATATAACATTTTCGGTACGCTTACGATATAAATTTAAGCTATTTTTGGCTCTCCAACGGTTGTTCTGAAAAATGTAAGACATATTTAGTGAAGGAAAAACGCAACTAATAAAATCAAAACTTACAGATTTACCACTTGTTGTCCATTCTTCTTCAGTTTCATTGAGATTTTCACTAGTTTCTTCATATTCAGATCCATTTTCGTCATCAGAAAAGCGCTTTGCACTCAAAACATTCTTAGAGGTCTCATTTGAAGAACAGTGTGACTTAGGTTCAGTTTTTAAGGATTTTAGTTCAGGAATTGCAATTTTATGAACGGATTTGCTATGTTCATCAAGGGATGCAAAATTTGAAGAGGTAAAAGAACATTCAGTGCATTTTAAAATATCTCCTGTAGTTCTTTCATTATTGGACGTTCTCATCAGCCGAAAGCCGTTATTCTTTTCTTCCATCTTATCTTGCCTGCTTTTGTTTAACGTACTGCTTCGGGAAAAATTCATAACAATCTTTTCATTCTCCGGTTCATCTTCGAAATCGAAACTCTCCTCTGCTGCTGATCTAAATTTTTTATAAGGATTTGAAAGTTTCTCCGCGTAATTAATTTCAGACAGTTTCCTTTTCCGATTTTTTTCGGAATGTAAAATTTCTCCGTCACTTTCATCATTGAATTCACCTCCTTTGTTTTCATTTTCTATTTTTTCAGATGTTTTATTATCTTTTGGCTGAAGGTGATCATTGTACACATGACACTTTATTTCTGATAAATCATAGCTTGAAATCTTTTCACAGATCGTACAAACAAACATTTTCTTTACACCGTTAGTAAGAGAATTGTTATTAAGAGATGAGTTTGATTTGTTACTATTTGAACGTCCACGTGTAGTTCTCATTGAAGACCTTAATTGTTTCAAGTGATGCTTTCTAACGTGCTTTTTTAAGACAGATTGATATTTTGAAGAATAATTACAACTACTACATTGGAATAGGGAAGATCTATCTGTTTTTAAAATTGTTTTAGCTTGTTGATTGTCTCGTGCTTTTTGTTTATCATAGCTCCATTGTTCACTCTCTGTATTTTCTGAACTGTCACCGGATAAATCAGCACTTTCGTTTGTCGATTCCGGTTGAGAACATTCGCTCATTCTTCCATTGAATACTTGATTTGCAACCTATCAATACAAAAATTTTTATAACATACATTTCAAAAGATTTATATAATTTTAACAAATGTAACATTTATGTGTCAGATCTTGAAAGTGAAAGCATATATTTTACCTTTCAAGACAAATTTCAGATTTGCGATTGTTTAATCAGTTTTTACGCCATTGGCATAAAAGAGATTCTCAAATTCTCTCCATTTTCCAGCTTTTACTTTTCAAAAGTTTTCTGAAAGTAATATACTTGAAACATTGAGACAAAATGGCTGTTCAAAATAGGTAAACATTCATGAAAACAAGAAATTTAGCTTTATATAAGACTGATAAAATATTCTTCTATTGCTTACTACTGACTATCTCGAATATATGTATAACAAACTTACTTCATTTAACTTGCTAGTCAAGTTGATTGCAAGTTTATATGGAATTTTAATCGAAAAAGAGTACCGCGTTTTTCGATAAAAAACCAAAATGGCTGAAAAATGATCGAAATCTGGTTTCAAATGGTACCAGTCTAGAGATTAAGATATATCTATGGGAATCGAATTATCCATGCAAGTTTCCAATCCTATTAACTATTATAAATGGATATATTTTTTTTATTATTTCCACTTTTTCCTGCACCTTTGAACAATTGAAAACAATACTTTGCATGTTTCAAAAAAAAAAAAACATCACGAGTCTCTCGTCCAGCATCATCTTGAAAAAATTACACTTGCCTCTTTTTTTAAAGGCTTAAGAAAATGTAACAAGTTAAGTCTTTTCACTTTTAAAAAATACTATAGAAAAAAATATATAAGAGAAATTACCACAAAAGAAAATTGAATAATAGGTTCAATAGCTCTACGCTTGGAACCTTTATAATTTGAATCTTTGTAACAGATATGAATTATTCAACTTTTTAAGTTTACTTTTTGAAAATAGGCATTCTTATCAAAAAACTCCTCTACTACAATCGTGGTAAAATACTACCAAATGAGTTCTATAGAAATGATACTTCTTCTGAAATTCCATGATTTCATTTTTAATGACTGAATTCCTCTACCAACATGATATTTATGATTATTATCGTTTTCTTTTTAACTTTTGCCTACGTATTGATATTCTTTTCATTAAAGATCAATTTTATGTAAAATAATGTGATTTACTGTATTTGGACGATACTAAAACGTTAATGTGAGAGAAAAGAAACAAAACGTACTGAAATTTTGATTAACCTGACACCTCAGAATCTAAGAGAGATATTTACTTTCGTAGAGTTTGGTGCATTATCTTATGTTTACTAACCTGATTTAATTGGTGGGTTGCCGTTTACGTGAAGATGAAGAATTCTACTGATAATTTAATCTGGTTTCCTGATCCGATTCCAAACTCTAATAGGATACCATACTACTGTATCGGCGTTCTGTTCAAAGCATGGATATATCCATTTCTAATGCAAAAGAGTATGTCTCCGTCGACTACCCAGCTCTTATTGAAAATATGGACAAGGCCCTTCTTACTTTGGGTGGAGATGAAACTATTACAAAGGTAGATTGCTCGTTTTTGAAGACATTCACACTTTCAATACGAGTTCAATATTATCAAACAACAGACATACAACAGCTCTGATAGATTAGAGCTTCGTTTCCGACCTAAAGACACCTTCTGCAAGCCAGTTTACGGTGACCGTTCATTAGACACAAGTCTCCTCCTAAAAGTGAGACGAAAAAAAGGATCAAAAGAAAGCGATGTCCAATCAGAAATAGTAGGAGTTGTAAACAATTCTTACGAATTTCGAGGTTAGAAAGCTTATTTCTTAGTTATCATTTATAAACTTCTGTATAAATTATTACTAAACCCTTATAATTTGTAGGTATGGCCGATTATCAATACGTTCCTGTTGAAAAGAAAAGAAATGACTACAAAGTAATTCATGATGATGTAGTAATGAGTGATCTCCGAGATATCTCTTGGTTAAAAGTAATACACGAAACGGAAATAAATCTCTTCGAATATTTAATATAAATGTTACAGGAAGAAAATAGAGCATCATTTATTCCACCTGCAGTCTTTAGTCGAACGGACGTTCCACAAAAATATTACTATCAAAAGGATTTCAAATCCAAACTTCCAACAGATAAACCAACAAGTAAATTAATATATTTATTTGATTAAATTATATTGCGCAATATGATTATTAATTATTTTTAGGTGATGCTACAAGAAAACGTGAACCAGCCATATTCGTGAAATTTTCAATTGACAAAGTACCAGATGAGACAAGTCCTGAATTTAAAATATACGAAAAAGAAGATAAATACAAAAAATCATTAGATGAACTGAAAAAGGTTTATTTAACTATTATAAATAATAAATCTTATAAATTTATTATTGTTATAATTAGCTCTTTAAAAAACAACCAATATGGTGCCGAAGCGGATTAATTGCAAATTGTAATTTGTCTTTTGAACTTCTAAAGCGTTTATTGCCTGTTGTTGCGTTCCATTGGATGTCTGGTCCTTGGCGAACATTATGGAATCGTTTTGGGTACGATCCACGTCAAAATCCCGAAGCAAAACTCTACCAAACCCTGGATTTTCGAATAAGAAAGCAATTAAATGTAGATGTCATTCCAGCCAGAAGAACTCACCGAAAACCTAAATCAGACTCTTACAAATTTAGAGTTGGATGTTTTCCCGCATTTAAGCAAACTTATTACCAAATGTGCGATGTAGAAGTTCCAGAGGTGCAACAAATCATTCACTCTAATGATGGAAAAGAAAAAAAGTGTACAGAAAGAGATGGTTGGTGCGAAGAAGATACAATAGATAAATGCCGTGACGTACTAACAAAGCATATAGAAGAACTAGAAGCTGAACAAGGGGAAACGCATTTCAAAAATATCCGTTAGTTATTTTATTTTTTAAATATTTCTTTCAATGTTCAAGTTAACTTTTATTTTAGGCCCAAAGCAAAAGAAAAAGACCAGAAAACGAACGGGAAATACTGAAAGTTCAGAGGAAACATCTACCGATGAATCAGCAATAGAAGAAATGCAAGCCGCTATAAACGATTCTTCCGGAGATGAAGTTGAAGAAAACCTATCTTGAACATACAAAACACTGTTATGTTTTTCTTTAGAGGAAAGATTAATTAGTCATTTTCTTCTCATTTTTTTCTTTGAAATGTATTATATTTCGACTCGAATTTCAGTTAAAACTTGTTTATTCCCTTTTTAAAAATTGTACAATATATCAGTTGTCGAATTAGGGATAATAGTTGCAAACTTATCATCAAATTCGTAATGATTAGATTAATTATTACTGACACTTTCAAATTAGTGTTAGATGGTTTAAAAGGAGTTCAAATAGTGTTATGTAATTAGATATTTTATACACAAAGCGCGACAGTTCGATTTTTACGTTATAATTGATCATGTGATAAAATATTTGAATTTTCCCCCCTAATAATTAACTACCTTCATAATTCTAACGTCGAGATAGCATATTTTTTCAACAGTAGATGTATTTGCATTTTGTACGAAAATGAGATTGGACAATAACAATCAATGAGCGATATAGCATTGTTTGAGTTGTTGTAACGATTCCTTCAACATTTTTTAATTCGTAAGCTCATGTTCACAACTGTTTATTAAAGAGTTTTTTGGAAATGGAAAATGTTTTTGGAAGAGAAGAACAAGCTTCCATTGACCTACTTCTCACTTATATTTACAATAATATATCACTGGGGCAGTGGGAGTTAGCATTTGCTTGCATCAAAGAATATCATAGAAGACAGAAAAAATCTACAACTACTATTATAGATCTTCTAAGATCCTTATCAAAGAACTGTGAAGATGTATGTAATAGTAGTCAAGACAATTGGGAAAATGCTCAACTTTTTTCCTGGTTATGTGCAAACCAACTGCTAAATCTTGTGATTCACGAAGATCATGTAGTTTTAAAATGTGAAGCAGAGTTTAGATTATTATTAACAGCAAATGGAGAAGTTCTAAAGATTGGAGAAGAAAAACTTAGTGAATTATACGCTTTTTTTAAGTGGACTTGTTCAAAAAGAAATTACTCTGTGCCACTACCCCTTTCCCCTGAGCTTCAACAATTGTTGAAAGAATGGCTAAATATTAATCCAAAATTTGGATCTGAAGTATTAAATATTCTAACTGTTGATCAAAAAAGAAGTGAAGAAAATAATAAAATAATTGAAAATCTATATATTGAAACAATACGGGACTGTTTAAAGCAAAGTCAAAGAGGAGCTGATGATGACGAAACAAAACTTTATAGACTTATTCAATTGTATAAGCCTGAATTATCAAGTGAGAAATTCAATAATCTAATTCCAGAATTGGTGCTAACTAGTGACGTTGAGAGAATATACAATTATTTACTGGGAAAAGATGCTATTCTTAAACCATTCCATGATTATATAGTCAATCTTAAAATTGATGATAAATTTCAAGATGTGGATTTAACAAATGACGAAGCCTTTATATACGAAATATTAACAAAGCCATCAATAGAACCGAATGATTGGCTTTCACTATTTCATAGAATTATTCAAAGAAAATTCCATGTTATCGACATCTTATTAGTAAGATTTCTTTATATACTATATTGTTTATTTACAAACTAATTATTAATTATTTAAACTAATTAGAATACTACCAAGAAACTATTTTCAAGTAAACGCGAAAAAGATTTAACAAGACTCTTCAAATCTCCCTTATTCATTCCATTACTACCAGTTACCTTTTGTTTTTTATGGCAAGACTGTAATTCTTTAAAAGATGGTAAAACTTTACTCGAGTCAATAGAAGATATGGTAATTAAATATTATAATAACTCTTTCTCTTTCATTATCACCTCTTCCTTTCAGGATTTGAATAATATAAGGTTTTCTCAAGTGTTTACTAAATTGAATAATCATATACGACTTTCCGAGAAAACTTATCAATTAACAATGAAATTTGACGATTCTATAGAAATTGAAAATAAAATCTTCCAACTGCTAAAAGAGTATTCAGTTCTGGGAGCCCTAAAGGAATGCTTTGAACTTGGTGCTTTAGAGGAGGACGACATTCTTTACGTCTTAAATCACGCGTATTCAATAGATGATAATGACGTTTGGGAAGCCGAAAAAAATGATGATATTGCTACTTATATTATATATTTAATTATGAATAAGGTGCTAGAAGCTCTAGAGTTATGCAAGGACGATATAAGCGAAATAGATTATACGGAAGTTATATGGAGAAGGTTAAGAAGCGCTGTGGAATATTTCAAGCAACTGAATATTCATAAAAAAGTTTATGTACTGTTTAATATATTTAAATTATTATTCATTCGAGCGAATACAGCAGATTGTTGGTCGCCAAATTTAACAAGTACACCAAGAAGTTCAGTTGAAAATCTAGATGAACAAGATTCAATTACTTCCGATATATCTAATAAAGAAAGTGACGAGATTTTCATTATCAACGAACTATTAATGAGAGATTTCTTAAGTATATTAAAAGAATGTTTAGCATTGGTTAATATGGAAAAATCGTATTTTGATGAAGAATTAGAGCGTAATGTTGCTAATTTATCACATTTTATTAGCGAGGCCACTTGGCGATTTGAACTTGTAGGGAGAAAGGAGATTGTTTTATCTTCTATAGGAACAAAACCTGTAACAAACATGGGTAAAGGTATTATTTCTAAAATGTTAGCTTCACCAGAGAGTTTAGCCGCTATGTGTATGCTAAATAAGGAAGTATATAAGACTGAACAAGTTATTAAATTATACAACTTGGAAGATTCATATTTGGAACAAGAATTTGAATTTTCAAAGAAGTACGCCAAAACTATGAAATCGATTAATGACGTTAGTCGCCCAACAAATTTCGCTTGCGAATCAAATCAAGAAGTTGACCCCCTATGCGAAATTAAGAAACTGGCTAGAAAAGGTCTACACGTTCTGGAGGTCACTCAACCTTTAGTAGAATTAATTGAGAATTTTCCACCATCCCTTTTCAACAATCAGACGTCATCTCCATTGGATAATGAAAATATTATACATCCCGCTATATTAAACGCTCTTGTGGCCTTAGATATTGCAATCGTTGCCGGAAATTGTAAAAAGAATAGTATTATTCTACTGCAACACGCCCAAAGAATTTTAGCATCTAGACATCAATCGGATGGAAATGATAATTGGCTTACTGAAAAGTTTCCCAGAATCTTACAACTATCGAAGCTTATTGAAAAAAGATTAGAAGCCGATTCGGATTTAACTCAAACATCTAGAAGTTTATTATGTCAATGTTTAAGTCCAATAGACGCTGAAAATTTTGAAAAATATTCAAAATTCGAACAAGTACTGTCAGACTGCATAGAAAGAATTGAAAATGCTTTAAAATCCTATTCAAAAATGCAAACAAAACTTCTTATTGAACAGGCTAAAAAGACTAGAGATGAGGATGCCGAAATTATCTCACTTGAACCGGTTATAACGAAATCAATGGAGAATTTGGTAGATTGTCTTCAATCTTTCGATTTTATAAAGGATGGAATATTCTCAATATTTTGTAAGGAATTCGAATCATCAGGAGAATTTAGAGATTATCTAGGCAGTTTATTAACTCATGTTAAAGAATTAAAACTTTTAACAAAAGGAGATATTACTGATCAAAAGGGAATTGAATATTTTACTGTATTGGACGAAATGCCAACTCAAATTCTTGGACGTTTAATATTTAATGAACAAATTGCTCCATTAAAATTGGCAACAGTTGCAAATAAGTTAAATGTCAATTTGACAAGAGTACTTGTCAATAATTGCTGTCCGTTTGTTCCATCAAAGTTTGAGTTACCTAAGAAAACTTTAGCCAGGATAATATTCGATTCTAATTATGAAAATAAGAGATTGGAAGATAGAACTAGTACAATTGTTAAAGATTGTCTTTTTCAAATTATTCAACTCATGAAGAAGGATAATAAAGAGTATCACGATTTGAGTTCTTTGCACGAATTTTCGAAATCTAATGAAATATGGAAGATTTTAGAAAGAACTAAAATATTAAAATATTCTCAATTGATTTTTTATGATAAGGATGATGAAATTGCATTTTGGATTAATTTGCATAATTTATTAATATTTGAATCTATTTTATTCGAATTAAAGGTATCTTTTTGTCTAATTTTATGAATATTCATTTTATTGATTATCCATAATCTTTTCCCTCTATCTATCTTTAGAATTGCGATTCGATTAAAAGTTTCGAAGATACTCCTCTTAAAAGAGAAATATTCGATTATTTGTATAGTTATGCTCTACCAAAATACGGCATTCTCAGGTAATTAGTTCATAAATTTCATTTACATATTCATAAAATTAATTTAAATATTTAAATGCAGCTTAGCCGAAATGCGAATGATTTTAAATAGCTTAAAAAAGAAGTCCCACTACGCCCTGCTGAATGGGAAACTTTCTGGTCCTGCAGCTGCAGTTTTCTCTGGGAATATGATTAGAAATCATATAAGAACTTTTATCGAAGAATATCTAGATACATCCATACAAGTAAATTCATCTAATAGAGTTATGAAAATTCCAGATGTTTTATACGAAATGATTGATGATATTGAAGAGTTTATTAAGAAACATTCATCAAAACTAAAAGTACTATTTGATGATCCAAAAACGAAAAAGAAACAAAGTTCCTGGACTTTTGAAACGTATCAATTGAGTAGAGAAGTTGGTATTAAATTTACTTTTGACGTCTGTCAGAATAAGTCATCGGAGAGGAGATGGTCATCACTGCCAAATATTAATGAAAATTCTTGGGAAGGGTCAACTGGAGAACCGTCAACAAGTCCCAAATACGCTTTAACACCACCAATTCTAGAATACTTGAAACAGTCGTCGAGCGTTGTTCCAACATTAGTAAGCTTATTATGTTCGGATGATCTTGACGATATTCAATACGATATGGATGAATCATATTTTGGTAACGTTTCTTCAGAAGAATTAGGTAGAAATGAAGACGATCTACGAAGATATAGATATAGAACTCTAATAGGAGAGTTTGATATTTTAGAACGTTTCCTTCTTGTACATTCCGCTCCTCTTATAGTTCATACTTTATCAAATGATCAAAGTAGCGATGTTATCCAGTGTATAACGAGAATGAATATGACGGAAAATGTAAGAAAATCATTCCTCTCTTCGAATTTATCAAATGATTATATTGAAGTTGTCGATTACGTTTTAAATAATGCTCTACGAAAGGAAAAATATGCTCAAGTCGTCAGAATCATTGATGAACTATCACCTTTAACTATCCAAAGGAGATCTCATTATAAGACAGTTAAAGATGCTTGCTTAATTAAATTATTGCAGAAGAGTAACGAAACTGAATCGGCAAGAATCTTTAAACAGATTAATGACAAAGATTTAAGATCCAGAAAATTTATTAAAGAGATTGATAAATTTAACGATCCAAGGATTATTCTAAATATAATAAAATGGATAGGAGAAGATTCATCGTTCTCTAATGAATTTAGGAATACATTTCAATTGTATTCCGATATAATGGAATGTTCAAAAAACTATGAAAATTGGAAAGATATCGAAAAGGATTGTATTGATAATGATGAGGATATTCTTTGTTTATTACTTAATGCTGAGAAAATAACATCGGCCTATAATTTTGCGTCATTATTTAATTTATCAAAAGAATTACGAATGGTAAGTGTTAATTGGCTTAATTAACTATTTTCGTATATAAAGTATACAGTATATAAAAGATAACTTTAACTTAATCCTATAGAAAATTGATGTTAAACAAATGGAGATTATAATGCGAGAAGATCGCCTTTGGGAGTTATCCGCATCGCAGGTAAATCAATATTATATTTCTTAAGAAATCTATAGATTATCGTTTAAATCTTTATCCCTATTTCACAGCATCTTACAAGCATCTTTGAAAGAGATCAAGCGGTATGCGAAAATGTTTGTTATTATTTCATAGAAAATCTGGACAATAAGGAACATGCCGCTTTCGTAATAAACTTTTTAATTGATTTTTTCAAAGATGATCTCTCCGAAATTGTTTTGGAAAGATTGCAAAAAACTTTAGAAGGATGTCAGGTTGTATACGGTTTAACGTACAATAGACGACTATAAGTAACGTCTCTATTTGTCCTTTAAAGGCTCTACTATGCTTGCCTTTTAAACTTCGGCGATACTATGAACATCTTATAACTGAACCACTGTTAATTATTGAACAGTTGTTGCTAAACGTCAGAGTGCGTATAGTACTGTATATACAGTATACTTATTGTATATGATTGTATATTTAAATTATATTAATTCCATATAAATAATGCTAGATGGATTGGATAGAAACTATACTTAAATCTACCAATTGGAGTCCTGAGCAGATAAGAATCTGTGATCAATTATTAATCGATTATGCTGGAAAATCTTTAACAATACCAAATACGGATTCTTGCTCGGAAAGTGAATCAAGTAAGCCCTTTTTAAACAATTATCATATTAGATAAGTGTGTATCCTTATCTTTTTTTGCTTTTTAGTTATATCTGGAGCTTATTCGAGAAGAACTAGAGTTGAGGATTCAAGCACTCGTAATATTTTATCATTTATATTATATCTTTATGATATTATTTCTTTCCTATCTAGGTTCTCCATCATTTACTATACCATCAGTAGCTCCTTCAATTGATCAATGGATACCTGATTCAGCAACTACTGTTTGTATGATATGTAACGCTAGATTTACAATGGTATAAATTTTTACTTTATATTCAATTGCTAATTAATTTTATTCAAGTAAAAAATCTGTTTCCATAGTTTGTTAGACGTCATCATTGTAGACGTTGCGGAAGAGTAATTTGTTCAACTTGCTCATCAAAAAGGATGAAACTTGGAGATGGCGAAGAATTGGTTAGAGTTTGCGACGATTGCGCAGAATTACTGTCCAACGATCCAGTTAAAGTTGAAATATGTGATAATATTAGTGATTTTGCTCCAAATATGTACAAATTATCGATAAATGAACTTGAAAATGAGATGCTACGGAAGAAGTTTCAATACGAATTCGTAAGTATATAAAATATATATTAATATTTCACCTTGTGATATGAAATTATACGCTTTCAGGCTCCAAGTTCATCTCTATGTATAACTATATTAAAACTGGTTCAAAACAAACAACAAAGTGTCAAAACTTTAGTAGAATTGGCGAAAAATGTCTCTCAAATGTTAAGACCATTAAAGAATGGTCAACGTAATCCTGAGATTGATTATAGTTTTGTTATAGATGTTATTAAAAGTTTACTTTTCGAGGCTAAAGTTCAACAAAATACGCTTGAAATACCTATTGGAAACGATATTGAATTGCATTTAACAAGCTTCGATTTATTAAACTCGTTAGTCCTTTCAAACTGCCCTATAATACCTAGTTTACATCAATTAGTTGGACCAAAGCAAGTCTCTAGTTTCAGGGACGATCTGGTCAAAAAGGAAAGATTTGTCTCTGCTCTAGAAGTGTCCGGAAAATTCGGACTAGATTCTAATCTTGTATGGTTATCTTGGGGTTTGGCAAATATTGTTGGAGGTTTTCTAGAGGAGGCTCGCAATAAATTAAAAAAGTGCCTTAAAAAAGTAACAAATAGAGCCGTCCAATCAAATGGCATAATTTTACAGCAGATTGTTGAAAATTTACAAAAGTACGAAAATAGATTGCAACTAAAAGAGGCTGTTCATTTAACAAATTGGAAAGATCTTCTAGTTGATGATGTTAAGCCAAAGAATACCGATTCGGAAAATTCTAGAGAATGTCTATTCTACTTAACAAATTACGGATCACATTCCGATATTATAAAATATTTCATGAATATGCGAGATGTAAGAAAAGCTGTTTTATACATTGTTGAACACAAGTGCTCAAGCCAGATATTTGTTGAAAATGTCCTTATGAAAGCAAATTCTACAGGATTAATAAATAATATGAAGAAAGAATTAAGAAGTATTGATTCGAGTAGATGGAGTCAATACATTACTGAATCGTGTAAATATTGTCAACAGCAGAGAATGTTCAATCTACTGTACGATTTGCAGATTTTCATTAAGGTAGTATTCACATTTATTCTATCAATACTCATTTTCTAATTTAATCTCCCACTATAAACGAAATTAGGATCATATAAGAGCAGCTATGACTTGTTCTTCATGCTTATTCACTCAAACTCCACCTGATAAGAAGTTAGATTATGGAGTTTTATACAATCGACTTCACTATCTTACAACTGCCATTAAGCACCTTAAAGACTATCGAGAACAAAATCAATCCGGAAGATCTAGTGGATCCTCATCCTTGATTCTAGATATGACTTATCAAGAAGTGAAAAAGTAAGAATAATCAATAAATTAATCAATAAAATTAATATACAATATTTTGCAGGTTTTCAACAACGATTACTTTACAGATTGAAGTAACTAAACTATTTCAAATATACCTTGAAAAAGTACAACAACTGCAGAAAGATATCCAACCTAAAACGTGTTCAACCCTTCTAGGAAGTACAAGAATGCAGTCCGATGTTGTTTGCATAATTTTATTATGCGGTAACAATATCAATGATGGGTTTGGATTAGCTTTTAGAATTATTCAAGAATTACGTTTAGACGCTGATACTATTTATAAAAGAGTTGCCGAGCATTTATGCATTAATCACAAATATTCAGAGATAAGGCAATTTCTCTCCTGCATTAAAGATTCTGGTTTAACTTCATTTCAATCATTAGATTCTGTTATTTTGGCCTGCATTAAAAATCTCACTAAGTTGAATACTGCAAAAGATGTTCGTATCAGTAATTGAATTATTTTCAAAATAGTTGTTGTTATTAATTTAATTGTTACATTTTTCTACTTTTAGATAAAAGAAGCTGAAAGTCTAATGAGTGATATGAAAACTGAAAAATTAAAAATAGATGCTTACATTTATTGCGGTAAATTAAAGGCTGCATACTTACTTGCAGTCAAATTAAACCAGCTGCAAGATATTTTGGAAATTGCTAAAATAGCTGAAAAAACTGGTCAAGTATCTGTTAAAAATATATGCGAAGAATACTTAAAGAAAAAGGGAATAACTAGACCATCATCACATGATAATTAATATTTATACATATTTGTTAATTCAACTGATTTATATTAAACTTTAAGAGCTTAAAAGTTCTTTTATAAGAATAGACGTTCAGTGCTTTTTTATGTATATATATTTCCTGATTTTACAAATTATAAAAATATTAAATTATGAATAAATACTATGCAAGGAAGCCAACAATCGGTGCATTTTTTGCTTCTGATAGCTTTGAAATTAATGTTTTATTTAGTTCCATTCCAACTTTTCGACAATGTTCATACATTTCAAGAACGCTACTTTCTTGTAAACTACCGGAACATTTTTTCTGAGATGCAGTTATCATACCATCTTTTCTTACGGCGGAGACGATTTTTGCCATTGTACAGGCACTTTCTTTAGCTGTCGCATCGACGACGTGACCTTTACCCAATTTACAAATTGAAACAAATATTGGACAGTTTTCTGTTGACATGATTATATAATCAGATGGGTTATCGGTGAGCTCTACTTCCGACTGCCCCTTTTCACTCATCTTTATTAGAACTTTCGGTATTTCTGTATCATATAAAGCAGATTTTACAGCTAGAGAGACGGCGTCTAAAATATTTCCACCGTTGCGAAGAATAAGAACATCAATATAGAGATGCCAACACTGCTCTCCTGGAATTAGACCTAATATTTGCAAATCAAGACAAGATTTATTTGAGTAAGCTTTCGATAGAAATTCTGAAATCTCTATTTCCAAGTCATCTCCACCTCTGCCTTCCCATTCAGTACCCGCGTTGGCGGAACAATCCACATTGAATATTATTTTACCCTCGTTAGGTCTTCCTGGGTCAGGTTCACCTATTTCACATTTGACACCGGCTAGAACATCGGAATTCCCTAACTTTATTCTTGAAGATCCATTTGCATTTGGAACGACACTTAATTCAAGATCTATAGTTCGATAGTCATCGGGAGCTCTACCATCTTCACGAATTCCTTCTTCTATACCATGTGTTAAAAAAATCTTTTCAGATTTTGACAAAATTACATCCATTTAAAATGAATATATTTAAATGAGTAGCGCACGTTTTTCTATAGTAAAAATGGCGGCATAGTCTGGTACAGTATTCAGTTTAGCATACGCGCAGAATAAAGTGGCGAAGATGGACGATAGCAATGGGAACGCCAAATCTATTAACATTTTTCGGATGATTTTATGGGTTTTTATTGTCTTAACATGGGTAAGTAACATATAATTAAAAAATTGTACCGATCTATGCGTTTTCCTCGAGTTAAAAGCTAGATCTCGAAGTTCTTTAAAGTTACCTGTAATCAATTGTACACCTGGACTGGACGAAATAGTCATCGAAATTATTTAATAAAACTACAGATTTAATTCAATTCTTTATAATTGTCATGGTATTAATTCAATAGATATTTGGATTAGGGTGCGTAGCGATTGGATTATGGATGTTAATAGATAAAAAGATATCTCAACCATTACAAATATTCAAAAGAAAGCCTGATGATAGACACCTCCTAGCAGCACCAGCAGTTCTTTTGACGGCCGGTATCATTATCATAGGTATGGGAGTCTTGGCAATGTTTGGATATATGAGGAATAGTAGAAAATTATTGACATTGGTAATTATTCTTACTTAGGTTAAAATTTTTATCATTGTTATTCTTTCATTTCATTCTAAAAATAGTATGGTGGTTTACTGTTTATCGTTATGCTCTTCGAATTGGTTGTTGGCTTTATGGCTGTTCATTTTGAAGATGAAATCCATTTGTATGTTAAGAAAGGTATGAAAATATCCATCCGGGAATACTACGAATATGAAAATAATGTTGGAAAAGCGTGGAATTGGGTTCAAGTGAGATACAAATGTTGTGGAGCAGATTTTTCCAGTGATTATCAAAATAGTAAATGGTTTGTCAGAGTTAACAAGGGCAACAACATAAATCAAAATAAACAGTACGTACCCAGAACTTGCTGTAGTCTAGCTCAAAATGAAGATCCTAGAAAAGCGGATACTCAAAATCCGAATATTATCAATTTTCGGAGGTGTCAAGACGAAGCTTTTGGTCAACAACAGGGAGGAGCTAGTTTAAATAATAATGTAAGTAAATTATATATATATACACTGTATATATACTATATATATACTTTTCAACTTTTTTCAGGGATGTTTTGCACAACTGCTGAATAGAATGGAAAGGATTATAACGGCTCTTATGACATTAGGATTAATTGTTGGTCTTTGTCAGGTAAAAAGAAACAATTATAAATATTATCCTATATAATAATTCCTACTTATTACCAACTCTCTTAGGTTTTCGGACTGTTAAGCGTTTATGTTGTTGTTAAACAATTAAACTCGAAGAAAGCTTGATAAATAACTATCACCTTTTTATTGACTTTTTTAAATTTAATGTATATTGTTTTATCAGAAATAACATACTTTTATACTGATTGTTACATTCTTAATTTCCTTTTTTTTTTTCCTTCAATCGCCTTCCAATATTTAAGGATTATATTATTGATTTTAGATTATTAATTGTATATATATATATATATATTTATGTATATATACATACGTTAGTATGTCAGCATATGTGTATACTTTATGCATAAAGTATTTAATCTCTCTTTTCCGTATTTTAATAAATAAAAAGTTTTTTTTAAGTCTGAATTGTACACATTTCTAAAAATAGCTATATTTTCATTTATCATGGATATAAATATATAATAGTATCATATTATCTTCCCAGAGGAAATGAGACAGAATATAATGAATTAGGATAATCTTAACAAATAGTTTTATCTGTAAAAATCATCATTTTCGAAATCGTCGTCGTCGTCAGCCTTGCTCTGGCCAGTGTTGATTTTTTCCATGTCTTCATCGGTATCACTATCGTTAAACAATTCTAAGAAACAAACACGATGAAAATGGATTAATTAAAATGACTTATTTGCTTATTGGAAAATCTTACTATTCTTATTTGATGACAAAGAAGCCAATGGATTTATTTTTTGCTTAGCTGGTTGAGATGTTGTCCTAGGCGTTCTTGGTGTTATCGGCGGAGGGCTGCGGGGGCTGACCGAGAAAGTTGAGGTAGCAGATGATCTAGGTTCGTCTTTGTGTTTGAGTTCGATAGACTCAGATGTCGGTTTACTCCTTGAATATGACTTTGTTTGGTTTTTATATTACAAAATTTAATTTACAACTTACTGAACAGCTCTTATTGCTTTCTCTAAACTATCTTCTGAACTATCGTCACTAATATCACCTGCCGATTGCAAAGTTCCACTTCCTGTTAGCAATAATCTATTTCGTTGGTAGGCATCAGCTGAAAAATAAAATAACAAAATGAGAAAAACTTTTGGTTTAATTGTAATATGTAATTTTACATAAAGCATTTTCCTGAGCTCCAGAAGACTGCAGGCTGGATTGTGTAGTTTGCGTTTGCAATCCAATTGGAGGCTCGGGATCTTCTTCAATCAAATTCTCTTGAAGAGCTAAGTTTGGAACTAGTATTTAAGAAAGTAGAAGAAATCGAGTTGAAAATAGAAAAGCAAACAGAAAGCGATACTAGACAAACCAGGGGATTTTGAGGTTCGTGGCCTAGGGGAAACTAACAAAATATTATCAACCGCTTCCGCTGAATCCGGTGTAGAAACTACATTATTCGGATTTGAAGCCTTTACCAAAGCTTCCAGTAGATTAATAGCCTGTGTAAAAAAGCATTTAAGGAACAAGCACCAATAAAAACCATTTCTTATAATAATAATAATAAAACCTGCCCAAGATAAATCTACAACTACAACTTTGCTTTAAAAAAAACAACAGCAAATTGAATATTTACTTTGACGCCTACTTAAAAGGTTACAACATTCGGTTTCGAATCTTTTTAAACTGTTCTCGCAAGAAGCTATATAACATGAGACGACGTCATTAAATTTATGATTATCGTTAAAAGTTGATCCTCCGTATCCGGAATCACTTGTTATATCCTGCAAGTCCATTAAATCATCTGAAGCCTTTGAAGCAGCTTCGTCTAACAAAACTTCAGTTATTTTTGACAATGTCAAAACACTTAATCGGTCCTTGGGTATTCCTGATAAAATTATATCAAAAGAGTCGGTTGCAAACGTTGTTTGACGCCCTCTTCTCTGCTCTTCGACGGTTATTAAGTTTGTTTGACAAGCAAAATCCTTCTTGACCGATGTGTCAATTAAATCTTTCAATAGCTTTTCTGCCTACTTTTCTCTTATAGAAGGATATGTAATTATCTAAAAATCTTACCTTTCGCTCTAAATCCAGAGTTACTCCTGATCTTAGTAAATGACCAGCAAACGTCTGAGCCAGAACATTTGGCTTCATAAATTTATAAAGCGTTAAATGCATAAAATGTTCCCAAAGATTTTGCCATAAAGCTCTTGAAGGTTCATCTATAAATTTCCTGTTAAGTGTATTAATAGTTTATTTGAAGTTAGAGCGAGAATTAAAAAGGTATCTGCAGTTACCTGACACTTTCATAAGTTTTTTCTATAGGTGGGTTTTTAACAAGCTTATCCGACCATAGATAACCTCCTTCTAAATTTTGTACAATGGCCGGTAATTGATCCAGTATTATGGAAGACAACTTTTCAGGTGTAATTCTATCATCTACCAAACCAGAGGCTCCTTTATCTGCGTTAATTAACAATTCTCTTCGTTCACTTTCATCTACATGCAATCCAGCTTTATAGAACATTTGACGAGGATGAGCTTGAGGTAAAATGTAATTTAATTCCTCGAGCATTCTGAAGAAGCCCTGCAATGTTACTTTTTCCGGAGGGACTGATGAAAGTCTTGGCGAAATTGGATAAATATCCTCTGTCGTTCTTTCAGGTGAGAAACGGCTATCACTGGCAGAACTACCGTCTTCATCTATAATTGAACGCCTGGGTTGAGGTGCTGGAATAGGAGGAGTAGTTTTAACATTCTTCATTTCTTTTTTAGAAACTTCAATGCGCATGGGAGGTGGATCTTTCGCTGAGCTCTCTTCATCAGCATCATCGTAATCATCCAAAGTCGTTGAATCCCTGGGGGCTACTGGAGATTTAGAATATGTTTGATTTTTCTGTTGTTCGTAATACGCAAAATCTTCTGATCTTCTCTTCTTATCTAATTCATAGGTATCATTCATTGTCTGATTCCCTTGAGGCAGTTTTTGTTCCTCTAGTCTATCTCCGACATATTGATTACGTACTAATTGCTGATGATACTGATACTGCAGAGATTCTTGTTGTTGAGGACGATACGCCTGTTGTTGTTGCGGAGGATGGTACGGCTGTTGTTGTTGCGGAGGATTAAACGGTTGTTGTGAATGATAAGGATATTGTTGTTGCTGTTGCTGTTGCTGCTGCTGCTCTTGCTGTTGGTGTTGATATTGCTGTTGACTTTGAATAAACGACTTTGTAGGCATATTGTAATGAGAATGTTCTATCAATTCTATATTTCTCTGATGGCTTTCCATTTTCATTTTCTCTTGTTGCTATTGAAAAAAGAATTTTTATCGAATGTAAAAATAAAAAAGCTTTTTTAAAATTCAAAATCCAACCTCCTTGTCTAATTCTTTATGCTTCTTCCATTCTTCAACATTATCCTTCCATCTCGGATACAAACTTTCGATATAATCTTCATACTGCTCCTATATATACATAAGTATAAATTTAAAAAATAAAAATTGAAGGTACAAGAAAGAGCCGGGGGGCGAAAGATGCACACAAAGACTTACCTTCATTTGTCTTAGTTTTTCAGAACGCACATCAAATAAATTAATCTGTTCTTTAATTTGATCAAACTTTTGTAAAAGTTGAGTATTTCTTTGTTTACTACGCTGTTCATTCTCACATACTTCTTTCCATTTAGCCTGCAATTTTGCAGACCTCAATCGATTGCTATGGACAATTGTTTTCCTTCAAATTAAAGATAAATAAATGCAAAATGTTCATAGCTTACATTCTTCTATCAGAATTAAGATAAGAATTTAGCTGCTTTTCCATGTCCAATCGTGCTTTTTCTCTAAAAGATTATTCTCAGTTCAGAATACATGTTCAAACACATCACATTGAAAATTTAAACATAGAAAAAATAACTAAATCAAATTCTCAATTAGATTTAAATTTATTAAAACTTATTAAAAAGAAATAGAAGTAATAATATTCTTAAATTTCATACTGATCATGCTTTTTATCCTGCAATGACTTTATTTTTTCACAATATTGAAGACTGAGCGAAGCCATCCCGGTAAAATACACACCTTTACCAGTTTTTAAAAAATATAAAAATATAAACAATCCATATAAATGTTCCAAATTCATACAAGCAAAAAATCAATGAAAACTTGAATGACACTATATATATATTAAGTTAAAAATAACTATTTTTAGCTATTAAAGACTTTGCATTTCATTTTTAAAGATAAAAATGAAAATCGAAGTTGTTAAAAATAGAACCCAACTGTTAAAATTAATAGTAATATATATAGAAACGTGTAATAACCCGAATAAACTACTAATTAAAAAATATGTTCTCTTTTTCTGTAAAAAAAAAACAAAAGCAAATTATTGTTTTTATATATTGCATAGTAACAATGAAAAGGTGAGTATAAAAACCTTTATAGGTTAACCGTGTAAATAGAGTAATTATCCCTCGGCTGGAAAACTAACTGCTTTTTCTATTATAAAATAAATAAATAAAACTATGAAAGGCAAAGAAATGTATCTTCTTGTTCTTTAAATAACTTAAACTACAATACGGAAAAGTTAAATTTGTTATTTTGGATGAAGAGTTTGATTAGATTTTGCTTATACCTAGAAAATTTTAAATATATATCCATTACATTTTCAAACATCTGTGTAAATATTATGTTTAGGTTATTTATAAATTCCTTAGTATCATTATCAGTTGGTTTGTCAATTGATTTTGATAGGTTTGAGAAGTGTGGAGAGATTTCATTGGGAAAATATTTAACGAATTCCTATTATAAATTTCGTTATAGATTCTTTAATATAACAGACTATTTTATACTTTCATACAATCCTACTTCCGTATTCTCTTCGGATTTTGTTGAAGTGATTAATAATAGGATAAGAGCAACAAATATAACGAACTTATACTATAAAGGATATTCTTTAGGGAATCGAGGATGGAGAGTGGAGGGCGTAATCTACGAGAGTCAATTGTTTGGTAAATTTTGGACCAATGAACATTTATACTATATTGATAAATATGACTTTGTTATTAAGGGAACTGCTATTCTATTCCATAATTTACAACCAGTCATGCGTTCCAGATTTTCTCGACAGTTTCTAAAAGGTTTTCCTAACGGTAAGAAAGTTAATTAAGTTTCCTTACTGTCTTCCCAATCACGTAATTCTATACATTAGACGAAAATATTTGTCTTGTTAAAATCATTTTTACAAGAAATACTATAAAGTTATATAAGAAAGTGACTGGTATAAGGAATAAAAGGGCTCTCTATGAAGGATTAAGGCACTATGCCTCCTCAGCTGTCGGATATGCTTCTCAGTTATATGAAAAAACTGACTTTATATACAAACAATTTAGATATAAACCCCTTCGTCTTCGCATTAGTAGGATAGTCTATGCAGATGACAGTTTTTGCCAATCAGTGAGAAGGAGCTAAAAAAAATAAGATATGGAATAAAGTACTTTATCCCATTTATCCCTATCATTAGGGCGGAAAATTGTTCCTTCTCAATGATTTTTCGAACGGGCTTCGACTGAAATCCAAAGATCGATTGTTTGTAGGTTAAGGAAGGAGAATTATGAATATTCCTCAAAAGAGATTAGCCCACAGGTCACATGTTCTCAATACGATATGAGCGGTTATTGTCTTACAGTAATATTCGGTTATATTTATATGGAGAATAAAGTTTTGGGATTTGCATTCGCACCCAATGAAAAAGAATCGCTTGGTATGGACAAAGGTTTCTGTTCTTCTCGAACGAAGAGGAGAATATCTGGAGCCCCAACAGATAAATGCGTATTTAATGTTGTCTTTCTAACAATGACTGCTGGTATAAATGGAAAGGGAGAGAGGTTTACAGATAAATTAGCGAATCATTTCCAAACGGATGTTGTATTCGCCCACGAAGCGTTACATGCTCTGGGAACAAAACACGTTCTAAAGGAAACACACTTTTCGATTATAAATCTTATTTTGTATTCTATACAATAAACGGTGTTTATTGAAAGATTTTCGTTTTCTATAGAACGAATCAGACGTTCCATACCCTTTGATGTCGGCAACTTTAGGAAATTTTAAAATGATGTATAAGAAATATGAAATATCCGGCAAAGCGCGGCAAGATATTGCAAGAAATATCCATAGATTCTTCAGAGGCAAATACGCTCAGTTAAACTGTTTAATAACTGAAAAACATTGGGAAACGACTATAACAACAACAGGAAATAATTGTGGTAATGGAATAAAAGAAGAAGGAGAAGAGTGTGATTCCAAATCAAAATGTTGTAGTCCGTTTTGCAGGTTTTCATCGATTGCTAATTGTGATCTTGGTCCTTGTTGTGACCAATTCACATGTCAACTTTTAGTAAAAGGTTCTGATTGTAGACATTCTAAAAATAGTAATGTTTGTTTAAAATGCTCTGGTAATTCTGAAGAATGTAAGTTCAACCAATGCAAATTTAATCAAGTTCAGTATCAAAATTATAAAAGCATGGATACGTATAGAAGCTATGCCAACGGTTTTAAATTAAATAGTTACACTTGTCACTTTGTTACAGCTACTTTTATTGTTATAATCATTTAAAAAAGAGAATTCGTAATAAACTGGTTAATCTTTAGTGATAAATAATCTCTCTCTCTCTCTCTCTCTCTCTCATGATAGTTTTATTAATATTCGTTGCTATTCGATTGTTAAGCTTTAATTATTACGTCCAAAATGATGTATTTTGTTACTTCTATACATTTTAATACATAAATTAATAGAATGATTCGTTTAATTTCTGAAAGAGCTTGACAGATTTTTGATCTGTAAATTAATTATTCACTTTTTTTTATCAAGGAAATGATTAATTAGATAAGGAATAATCTAGTTTATTAGTTATTCAACCCAGAAAAGGTTTTAATAAATCATAGAGATCGATTAATGAAGTTTAAAGACGCAAACTGTGAGATTGTAAAGGAACGTAAAATAATAGTAATTTTTCGCCTATATTCAGAAATTCTTGGAATTTATTGTATATACTAAAACCTATAATTAATCGTTTTTTTTCTACTGGAATAAAAGGTTAAGTCAGCGCATGCGCTCGTTTAAGCATAGTTTTCTGTATTCCAGTAACTGGACAACTACAGCTGAATATTTTGCCTTATCCGGAAGCACGTGACCTAGAGTATCTGTCATGGCGGCCGCTATGTAGAAGAAAAACGAAGAAAAGGATGGAAGAAGGCGCTGCTTTTCATAACGCGGCCGAAATCGGCAACAACATGAACATGCAAGGTTCATCAATTGGCCGAAAAGTGGAGGAAGTAAATCAACGAGCTCAGTATTCAATGCCAGGGATTCTGCACTTTCTTGAAACTGAATGGGCAAAATTCCAGATGGAGAGAGCTGAATGGGAAGTTGAGAGAGCCGAATTACAGGCTAGAATAGCCTTTCTCCAAGGCGAAAGAAAAGGGCAAGAGAATCTTAAACAAGATCTAGTTAGACGTATCAAAATGTTGGAGTACGCTTTAAAGCAAGAACGCACCAAAATGCAAAAAATGAAAATGGCGAATTCTGTCAGTTCCCCGCCGACAACCTCTGAATTTAAAGACGACGAGGAGCGTCCGTCTTCAGAAACCACTCAGTCAACCAACAGCGCTAGCTGGCGGCAAGGGCGTCACCTTTTACGGCAATACTTACAAGAAATTGGTTATGCCGAGACAATAATTAATGTAAGATCAGCAAGAGTTAGGCAAATGTTAGATCTAGATCGGCCTGTAAACGGTTCTCGGGGGAAAATGCTAACAGAGAAAGCTCTGTACGAAGCCGAGGCGTCTGTTATAGCCACAATGGACTTTCTACAGAGTAATCATGATGATGCCGTTTTCAATCCTGATGCTAGTGACGAAGAGGAAGATATATCTGATCGTGTTAAATCCAGGAAGGATACTGATTCAGAGGCTAGTGTTATTAAACAATTTGAGGAGATGTTAGAAACAGCTGATGCAGACGATTCGACTAAAGAAGACTGGGAAGTCGATGAGCCATACCTAAAACGTTTACAAGAAGAGTTTAAAAAAGACCAAAGAGGTAAAAAGCCCTCAGCACGCCCTACCCGACAATCTCTTAATAATATGCTGAAAAGCTTGGAAGGGCATACAGAGGAGGAGGAGGAGGAGGAAAGCAACACAAATGAATCAAATAAAGCATTGACCGGTGCGGATTTAGTGTTAGGCGAACTAAAAGACTTGACCGTTAGTAATATATGCGAGGAAGAGTCTCATGTCTCGTCGGTTGTCGAACCGAATAGGAAAACGTGGCAAGCCAAATATATGCTTCGATCACATTTTGATGCGATTAGATCATTGGCTTTCTTCTCTAATGATGACGTACTTGTAACCGGTGGGGAAGACCATACATTAAAGTTATGGAATGTTCAGAGAAACTTGAGAACATCGCCTGGCAAGAAAGCTATTGCCGCGATGGATATTGAACCAGTTTATACCTTTAGGGGACATCGAAGTCCTGTAATCAAAGTGGCGCTATCTGAAAATAGCGAATACGTATACAGCAGTAGTTTAGACGGCGAAATCCGGATTTGGAAGACACCCTTAATCTCGATCGATCCATACGAATTATATGATAGTTCAACTAACGCACATGTCATAAATAAGCACACTGATGCTGTCTGGGGTTTGGCATCAAGAGACGACTTTTTTATATCAGCATCATCCGATTCAACTGTAGGAATATGGAAAGATGATGCTTCACTACAACGAACCATCAATTTTCCAATAGAATATGGAATACCAACCTGCGTAGATATTCTAAAGGCTAATAACAATCAGGTATTGGTTAGCTGTTCAGAACCAAATCCAACAGCTGCCATTATCTACGATATAGAAACGGGAGAAAGTATTACAAGGCTCGATATTCCCGATTCAAAAGTTGGTCGTGTTAACTCTGTTGCGGCTCACCCTAGTTCGAGTTTGGTCATTACAGCTCATGACGATCGACAATTACGTTTCTTTGACACTCAATCCGGTAAAATGATACATTCGATGATTGCCCATTTGGACTGCATCACATCGGTCGGTATCGATCCGTCCGGTTTGTACTGCGTATCCGGAAGTCATGATGCCTCCTTAAGAATATGGAGTATAGAAACAAGACAATGTATTCAAGAGATTACGGCTCACAGAAAAAAATTTGACGAAGCCATTCTGGACGTTGCTTTCCACCCAAATAAGCCGCTTATCGCTTCGGCGGGCGCCGATGCTTTGGCTAAAGTTTTTATATAATATCGTATTCACACGATTAACGAACATCATGATTTATATAAATATATATATACATATATATGTATATATATATATGTATATGCATATATAGTATATATTTATATATATATATATATATATATATATATATATATATATGTACATATATATTCAGTAAATATATATATATAAATTTCTGTTTATTATACTTGTTAGGTTACTCAATAATGTTATGTACTTTGAACAGCGGAAGAGTCAAGATGGGAGTAGGATAGGTTGCTTGTTTTTTTTTCCCTATTTAGAATGATCGAATGAAAAAGAAAATTTGCAGTGAAAAAAGTGTTTAATGTTGCTTTATTTGAATCCTTGCCAACTTAAGCAAACATGTAAAAATTACATATGTACTCAGAGAGCTTCGGTATCCTTGAAATTTATATATTGGTGCCATACTAAAATGTAAGCGCACAAAACCAAGTAAAACACTTTCCGCTTAAGGTAAAACTTCAAGTTCCTGATTTTCACTAATAAAGAATCGTTAAATCTACCAAACTTAACAATACCTATCTTTATAAAAAAGTTTTTATAACTGCCCCGTATTACCTATTATGTTACTAATTTCATAATTATAAGTACAAATAAACTTCAAAAGCTGATGCTTTTATTTTTCATCTCAAAACGTCGAACAGAGTTCGTACAGTTAACATTTACTTCAGCTTCTTCTTGGGGCGGATGTTGCTGGTTCTTCCACACTTCTTCTTACGGCAGTTAGTTGCACGAGGATGAAGTCTAGCATAGCATTTACGACAAATCATCTTTTCGCAATTGTATTTGCTAGCAAGAGCGCGGAGGGTAGGTTCAATGATACCACCACGAAGACGAAGTACAAGATGAAGAGTCGATTCTAGTCAACAATTATTGTTAATATTCCTTTTGGTGAATATTTTATTACTAACCTTTCTGGATGTTGTAGTCAGACAAGGTTCTACCGTCTTCTAATTGTTTACCAGCGAAAATCAAACGCTGTTGATCGGGAGGAATACCTAATAGTTCACATACATATATTTTTAAAACAAATTTATTCATTAATTTTAATCCTACCTTCTTTATCTTGAATTTTAGCTTTAACATTTTCAATAGTGTCAGACGGTTCAACCTCTAAGGTGATCGTCTTGCCGGTCAACGTTTTCACGAAGATCTGCATCTTGCTTGCTATTCAACTGTAAAACGAATGGAAGTATGAGAATTTTATTTACCCTAAAGGAACTTTATATTTTGGTTATTAAGATGATAGAAAATTTAAAGAATTTTAAAAGCTAGGGGCATAATAAAAGAGGAAAAATTCGTTTTTTCTAAAACGTGTAGTCAGCCATCTTACCTTCGCAAACGAAAAGGAGGCAGTCAAGTTGCGCACTGAAGTCGATAATTTAAAAAAAAAATTATAATATCAGAATTATCAAATTTTAAAATTTTAATGCTATGAACAAACAGAAATAATTTTTTTCTATTTTAATTGACACTTGCTGCGTGCCGTAACAACTTCCGGTCAATTAGCTTCTCTCAAGTTATTATGTGTTAGAATTAGCATGAATGAATGATGATCTATGTGATAACTTAAATAGTCTGAGTTGCATCGACTAAGGTAATTTCCGTACAAATTGCGCAGTTAAGATTCTTTTAATTTTAAAGCATTAATGATAATATAAAAGCCGCGCATTATTTTGAATTGATGTAATCAATATTTTAAGAATATTCACTTATTGGAATGAGTGTGGAATGCCAAAAGTGCCAAAAGACGACAGAGTATGTTTTGTATTTAATTATAATTCAGAATATTCATTGAAATTTTAAACAGATGGTTCAAAAAGATGATTCAGTGCTGGAAATGCTTTTCCTGGTATCATAATGGTAAGTACCCATTTCATTTGTGGCCATAATTACTTTTATAACTTAACTTTTAGACTGTATAAGTATTAGCCATCCGAGTTTAGTCTTTGGTGATCGTTTTTGGCGTTATCAGTGCAAGATATGTGGTGATGAAGAATTGTCAAAATTAGATATGGAATGGAAAGATATAGCTCATTTGGTTCTTTTCAACTTATGGCATATACATGGCTATAAACATCATGACGTAGCAGATGTTATAGAATTTATGAAACAAAATTTGTCCAGATTTCAAAATCAATCGTTACAAGATCAGGATCCATCCACTTGGCATGGTAAATTTACCGAGATTTTCTCATCACATCCAGATATATTCATATGTGGAAAGGAGCAAAAGAAAAGAAGCTCCCTATGGGGTTTGAAACAGTTCAAACCACCTACTGTAGAAGCAGCGGGACAAAAAAGACAAAATTTTTGGTATTACTATTATAAAACATTTTATATCTTATATCTAAGTTTCACAATTGCAGTGAATTTAAGAGAAAGTGTTCTGACGAGGATAATAAAGAACTTCGTGGGACAGGTGCAGTTGTTAGTCAGAAATTTCTAGAATTGCAACAAAAAAAGAAGACGAAAACGGAGCCCAAAGCGACCAATCAATCTACAACTGATCAGGCCTATTCTCATTTACCAACGCCCCCACCGGAACCATCGATCAGCATTGACTACTCAAAAAGGAAAAGAGGAAGAAAACCGAAAGAATATTATGAGCAAGCTAATACTAATCAACCAAAATCGAACGCAGATCAATTATCTTCACTAACAGATATTAGAATGAAAGGTAAATGCATATCTACAACCAGCGTCTTTGAGAAAAATGTCATCGATAATACGATCAAGTTAACGCTCAAATACGATCGTTTAAAAATGTCGATGTCTAACATATTTGGACCAATTGACAGACTCAAAAACGGTCAAACTTTTACTGTCCACGCAAAACGGGTTAATGAAAATAATCAGGTAGAATATCTTATTGAATGGCACGATGACTAAAAGATGTGTGATTCTTCTTATCTTTTAAAACTTGTGCCTAAAAAGCCTTTAGACAACATATTGTGTTCTTTTTACAATTTTTGTATTCAGTTATTGTTTTTCTTTTCATTTTTAAAAATAAAATATGGACGGACAAGTAAATTATCTCTTACCTTGCCTAGATAGAGCTTTTCGTCTTGCTTCCATAAAAGCTATAATATCAGCGTCGGCTTGAGGATCACCAGTTAACGGAATATCAGCAGGAACGGTAGATTTCTCAACTTTATGAGGGGTTGACCAACCTGTTTTGCCAAGATTGTCATAAGAGCTGTCTACTTTCCTGCTATTCCTCTGTATTAAATCGCTATCTTCTTGCTTTCTTTGGTTGAGCGCTGCCTGCTCAGCCCACCAGATTTCGAAATCTTTTAATAATTTCATTTTTGAACTATCGAGTAAATGTTGTGTATGCTCTATTTCGGCTTTCAGATGTTTTAGTAAATTAAAACGTTCTTTATAGGAAGTTTTGGCGGAATCTAGATTACATTTAATCTCTTCTTCTAGACTGTCTTGATCATCAGTCATAGCAACGCGAACTCTCTCACGTTCCAATTTAGACTTAAGAGCATTTATTTGTTGACGTGAGGTATTTACTTCATTTCCGAGTTCTTTTGCTTGGCTATATAAAGACTTTAGCTCAGCTTTGTGCTGCTCCAAAACATGATTTAACTTATACTCTCTTCGAAATGTATCAAAAGCCTCTTGTCGTCCAATCGACATTTCATTAACTATAATATTTTGTTTATTAGAATTGGAAAAACAATAAAACTATGTCATATACAAAAAAAAGAAAAACATACGAATTTTCTTTTGTCTTGTTTCATCCTGCTTTTTCATCTTAATTGGACCGACAGCTTTTTGGCTAAAATTATCTGACTGGGTTGTGGAGGGAGGAGTTGAATCCGAATAGAAACCATTTTGTGAATCAAAAGTTGAATCTTGTTTCGGTGTTGGAGGAGGTTGAATTCCGGCTTTTTTTAATTCAGATGTAGCATTTTTAACTCTTTTTTTCTCTTTCTTTAGCATATTGACAAGAATATCTATAAGAAAATATTTTATGAAAAACCTTCTTATCCGAAACAGAAATGAACTTACTAATTTCATTATCTCTTTGTTGCAAAAGATCTTTAATTCGACCAAATTCGTTTGAATTAAAATTATCTTCCTTTTCTCTAATAGTACTTACATCACTTGAAGCTGGGGTTATTGATCGCACAGACGCTTTTTCATTGAACTTTCTCTATGTGAATAAGAATAATGTAGATCAATCATGTAGAGTATATTATTAAAAATACCTTAATTATTCTAAAACATTCGTGAACTTTTCTTAAATCTGCACCAACGTCTATCATACTTTCAGGATTATTATCCTGAAGAAATTCACAAACTAATTTTTCGCATTCACTTATTTCTTCGTTAGACAAATCAAGAGTTGACTGGTCGCCGTTGGTCATTGAAATTTGGTCTTTTAATTGTTGGATTTCTCTTTTTAATTTCTGTATCATTAACTTAGGATCTAATTCTTCGTTTAATATAGCATCATTCTTAATCATAGCTACTCTTTGAGCAAATCTGCAGGTGGATATAGATTCCTGTAGGAAAGAGGGAAATATATTTTAAAACTATATCTTAATTAGTAACAACTAACATCAATGTTCTTTTTTTCAATGGATATTGTGGCAATCATTGTAGTCATGCAGTTTCCTCCTAAACTATCCCTCAACACCGATGTCATCATGGAATTTCTATATGGAATGTGTGTTCTACCAGCTTCAGATAAGGCAACAATTACTTGTTCCAAATAATGAAGGGATAAATTAATGTATTTGGCCTCTGTAAGTAATTGTCCATTTACACCAGTTTTGGAAACTCTTTCCGAACCAGCCAAGTCAACTAAGTGTAATTTTGCTCTTCGAACTGTGGCACTTCCTGCTTCTCTTACGGTCAAATGTATAGTAAATATACAATGTGATCTCGTTGAAGCTTGATTCATTGGCGTTTCAGCAATCATACGATTTGTATCACCGACAAAAAGTAAATTTAAAGCATCTTCTTCCGATGCTGCTGGATAAAGAGCAAGATTTTTCAAGTGGATGTTTTGTTCGGAATCTTCATGTAAACTGACTTTAGGTAAATCTTCTAATTTTGTTGCTTCATGCTTTGGATCCAATAGATCGTAGCCGTTTTCATTGTAAATTTCCAAATAAGAAACACTGGTTGCATATACACTATCAGGATTTTTTGAGTAGTAATCAAAAATATAGGATAATGTTCTTGGTATAATTCCACGGTCTGCATATCGTTCTGCTCCTCCAGTCATTGTGTATGTTTTTCCACTACCAGTCTAAAGTAAAATCAGTTAAAAGGAAAATAAACTTTAAGAAAAAATAAACTTTACCTGGCCGTAGGCAAATATTGTCCCGTTATATCCTTGGAGAACATTATCAATGACCGGTTGAGCCACATGCTCAAAGATATCATCCTGTCTTGTTTTTTGATCGAAAGCTGATTGAAATTGAAATTTATAGTTTTCTTTTTTATTATTAACCATCCATTCTACTGATTCTTTCGGCAAATTGAACGATATTATATCGGCATCTTCTTTTTCCTCGACATCATATATCTGTTGACATAGAGAAAACAATATACATGATTGAATTAATCAAGAAAATCATACGTACTGCAAGCTTTCCTTTTGTCGGCTTTACTCTGCAAAAAATCTTGATCGTATCTTTCACCATTTTTACGTTTGTAGCTACGATGTCAAGTAATCATATTTCACACAATTCTTCGAATATTTTCTCTAAACAAACGAATATTTTGGAATTTAGCAGACGACAAATTTCCGCGTCTTTATGCTTATCGCGCCATCTATAGGTAACCAACAAACAACCTATTTACAGGCCTAATTGGTATTCTTCCGCAGAAAAATTCGGGAATTTTTCGGCAACTTTTTAATAAATTTATTTCATATTGATGCTTGGATACTAAAACAAGCGTTCCACTCAATAATTCGAACAAACGTTTTTCAAGTACTTATTTCTTATCTTATCACCGGTTAGCCGTTGCACACACAGGAACTATATTACAGGCGCAAGGCCTAGCTGTGTAAAGAAAAGTTCGGACGCGCACGACTGCCTCTTTTCAAGACGATTTTTTCTTCAAAACTACCGTCGCGTAGCAAGTCTATTCACGCCTTTGTCACTGCTTATCTCCCAACCTTCGGCATATCTCAGCAAACTTTGCCGGCAAAGATGACAGAAGGTGTGAAGCTAAATGGAACCTGCCCTCCGCCTGGAAGCCCTGTTATAAATCCTGTAAGATAACTCTTATTTCTCAATATTTTTGCAAATGGAAACCTGATTGAGTGCGCTAAAATTTAAGCTATTCCTTGGAATCTAGCCGAAAACTTTATTCGAGAATGTTTTGTAATCAGGGCTTCTGATAGATTGTTTCAAGGTGAAATCGATCTGAAATTGCAATATAGTTTTTTTAGGAAAATTATTCAATGCATAATAGAGTTTTAACATCAAAAAATTATTATTTAAAAACCAATATTAGGTTTTATCAGAATGTTAAAGGAAACTTCTTTGAAAAGAACAATGGTCTGAATCTTTCTGCTATAGTTAACTACTGTTCATATTAATTCTATTCAAAACGGCTAATAAGTTAGCCGAAATTTTGTGACTAATTCATACTTTTCAATATTAAATTCTTTGAAAGATTTTATTGAATTATGTTAAGGAATATGGTCTTATTTAATTTCATAACGTTCTTTCGAAGAGAACATTATCTCGATATTCAATGCAATATTGAACTATATGCTATGAAACTTAGTATAAAAGTTGGGATATTTTAACCCCTTAAGGGTTTCTATTTAAGTTTACTTACGAATCATTTAGAATATGAAAGAGCTGTGTTAGAACTTACTTACGTTGAGTGAAAGAAAGCCTTATTTTAAACGTTCTTTTCTAACTTTACCCTTTAATCCATTAACTATACTTTTCTGAATTTAGGCTAACAGGTTTCTTCTTTTTCTAGACAGATCAGTTTGATAACTTACCTCAATATATTCTCACAGTGGATTGTCTGTCAAAACTTTTACAGATTCCGTGAATCTCAAAATATATTGAATTCAGTATTATTTATTTACAGACCATCCCTTACAATGGCCCTTTACTCCCTTTACAATCACAACAAATGATAATCATCCAGGGGTATATTTCACCTACTTGTACATCCTTTAATATATCTCTGTTGGTAAGTAATAACAATGTTCAAGAAAAGAGCGACGTTGCCCTGTGCATAACTATCTGCTTTACGGAGCCATCTTGTATAAAACGTAATAGTTTTCTACAAGGAAGCTGGGGCCTAGAAGAAAAAGAGGGCCCAACCTTCCCTTTAAAGAGGGGTCATACTTTTGAATGCATAATTTTAGTTCAAGAAGATCATTTTAAAATGGCATTCAATCAGCAACACTATGCTGAGTACAGGCATAGAATTCAAAAAGAAGTAGTTACCAATTTATACATCGATGGAGATATCAATATTCAGACGATATGCTTTCAAGGACCTGGCATACCTTCTAGACCAATTAACCCACTTGCTAATGTTCATTCTACTTCATCAGTAACGGTTATGCAACATCAATCACATCCTGTGATGAATCCACCCGTTCCATTTGTGATTCCAGTTGTTCCAGTAGCTAATGATCAAACAATTTGCCTCCGTGGACATGTAAAAACTGGAGGAAGCCGCTTTAGAGTTAGATTACAATTAGACGTAAGCCTGACAGGAGATGCTGCTCTTGAGACTTTAGTAAACATGACTGACGAAGTCGTTTCTCGTGCTGATGTACAGCAAGGCCAACGACAAATGGAAGAAACCACTGGCCCACCATTAACTGTGCGTCCGGGTCAACCGTTTGAACACATGATTCTTATACAAGAAGACTGCATTAGATTAGCGTTCAACGGATCTCATTTTGCTGACTATCGTCATAGAATATCCAAGAGTAACATTACTCATTTCAGTGTCGATGGAGATATCCTTGTTCAAAGTGTTTTCTTTCAAGGACCTGGAATACCTGTTCCCAACACAATAGCTCAACGATCGCCAACTAGTGCTAATTCTCCTACTATGTCTTTTCCAGTACCATATAAGTGTCCAATTCCAGGAGGTGAATTTCATGGACGAATGATTTATATTTGTGGTGTCCCAGATGTCAGAGCGAAGCAGTTTGTTGTTAATCTTCGTTGTGGAGAATCAGGTACGAGTGATGTAGCGTTTCATTTCAATCCCAGATTTGCTGAAAACACTGTTGTACGAAATACGCATACCAGTGGAGCATGGGGAAACATGGAACGGGATCACAATAGCTTTCCTTTTACTCCTGGTGTTCCTTTTGACATGATTGTTTTGTGCGAAAATGAGCAATTTAAAGTTGCTGTCAATAATCAGCATTTTATAGAATACAAGCATAGGTTACCCAATTTGAAACAGATTAATTGCTTGGAAGTTGCTGGAGATGTTAAACTAACTAGAGTGCAGTTGTGACTTAGACTGTTTCCTGAGCTATTGTTTGTTTTTAATGCTTGCCAAATAAAAATTTGTGTCTCTTTTTCTGTGGCTTTCACTGATGACTTGATCTACAGGTTTTATTTTTTTACAAGATTTTATTGGAACCGTTTACAGCATGTAATTAATGTATTCTAAGTTACGTTATGTGACATTGTTTAAAAAAAATTGCAATTTATGCCTAAAAACGATTTGGATCTGTTTAGTTATCAAGTAAGAATTAGAAGTGGTTTACTCCTAATAAACTTATAACTAATTAGCTTAAATATTAATCAATTAGAGAATGTGTAGTCAAACAGCTGATTTAAAAAAAAGAGGAAATCCAGGCCATTTAGTATATTATTGAAGTCAAACAGCAATGTTCTTTTAGCTTTCTCTCACACCTTTACTGACTTATCTTATCAGCCATGTCGTTATCAGACACACTGGCCGTTACGATATAAAATATGTCTTTACATAGGTAAATGGAAATTTTGAATTTAACAAAAAAAATGTTTACATGATTGATAACACGTGTTTTTTATTAAGTGAAAAATGTCATTTAATAGTTATAGTGATTGTATTTAACAAGGTCTGCGAGAAATAATAGTTTTATCATTTAGTGCTAAATCCATTACCATTACCATAATTCATCCACTGTTGACCGTACCATTGTTGAGCTGAGTAGTTATTATACCAATCTTGATCTGTTTTCTTGCGCTTTGACGATGTGTCACCTGAGTAGTCGTCTGGTTTGCGTTTATTATTTCTTTCTTCATCCTTTAGCAGTGAGTGAGCAAGTTTAGCTTCCTCAATTTGTTTAACATCAGACGATAAATCATCAAGAAAGTCCAATCTAGATTGAGAGAAATCCAAACGCTCTTTAACAGTAAAAGTGGAGCTATTTATGCAATCATCAAAGAACTTAAATAAGTTTTCAAAGTCTTGTGCGGTATATAATAAGTTAATTATGAACTGAGTTAATTTATAATTAGATGATTCAACTCTTCTAACATTTTCTAAAACCGCCTTAGCCTTGTCGAGATTATTCAAAATTTTATAACAAAATCTGGCATACTTTTCAGCCCAAAATATTTTAACTTTAGAATTTACTGAGGACTCTACAGCTGAATGATACAACTTATCACATTCTTCAAGTTTATTGTAACGTCTTAAAACTCCCACTCGGTGTACTATTACAGCTATGATTCCTGGATGTCGAGCTTCAAACTGGTCCAAAATTTTAATAGCGCTCTCCATTCCTGAAATATTTTCTTCGAAATGTGACCAACTCAAAGCTAAATTAACTTTCATCGGTAAATGTACATTACACGCTCTTTCATAAATGCTTCTAGCCTCTTCAATATGAGAATGATCGGTCATATATTTTGCATATTTCAGCCAAAATTCTTCATAGAGTGCGCATGAAATGAGACACCTTTCATAAAGGAAAACTATTCTAGTATGATTTTCCTGCTTCGTTTCATAATCGAGATACTCATGCCAATTTCTTAGTTGAGATCTTTCTATTGGTTTGACATGAAAATATGGTCGCTTTATTGATTCCTCGAAATTCCAGCGTTTGTTCACTTCAATTGTTGTAGCTTCATGAATAGGTTGTCTTAAACTAAGCATTTTATCTTTTATCAGTCTATTTTCTTCTTCAGCTAGCAAAGGAAGATCATGTGGATCCATACTATTTTCCGTACATTTACCAAGAGTATCAGCGGCTGTAGCAGGAATGAGGTTTGCTGCTATCATAGCATCTTCATTAGGCGTGGCAGATTTCGCCATTTTTACAGCTTCTCTTCGTTCTTCCTGAATTTCTCTCTTGAAATTTATATAATCTTCTTCTGGTAAAATATCAACTGGTTCTGACCCTTGAATTATTTCAACTAGGGATAAATAATGAGCTGTATACTGATGTGTAGGAATAGCTATAAGTTTATCATAAAGGGATAGCACATTTCTTAAGTTACGCTTTTGACTTTCCCAATCAAGTGCCATTTGCCATAGTCGATCTGATTTAAATTCCAAACCACAAGTATCAATAGCTCTAAGGAATAAGTTTCTGATATCGTCATCATTTTTACTGTTCCTGTCCTTAAATCTATGCTTAATTGTCCATTCTAAATAATGTATCCATAAATCAACCGATAATGGAATCGCTTTTACGCCCTTTTCAAAGATCTGTAGAAAAACACAGATTTAATTTAATTTTTTAACTAAAAGTATTTCAACTGACGTATACAGTAAAAAGACCCTTTTCTATATCTGAAATTTACAAATTTATCTTAGAGCCAGCTGGAATTGTAAAAAATAACTGTTAATATTTATGCATAATATTGCATTTCGCATACCAAAGAAGGACTAAGCCTCTTATCTATTTACTTTGTACGTGCTCTCGAAATACTTTATATTTTAACCATGTCTGAAAAGCGGAATTGATCTATCGGAATGGACTCAATAGTTTTACTGTTACCTTCTCAACCTCGTCCGCTCCTTCGTGATTTTTAATAAGGTCAGCGTACTTTTTCCAATATCCATAACAATAAGGGTAGTGGGTTAAAAAGCTGTCCATGCCATTTTTAATTTCTTCAACTTTGTTCTATAAGATAAAATTAAATAAAATTACTCATTAAAATTTGGATTTGGAACTCACTTCATTTTCAATCAGTTGTAAAAGATATGTCCAGGAATTGAAATCTTTAAAATCGGATTTTACTTTAGCCCAGTAAGTTTTTATCTCCTTTGCTGTGCTAGCCAATTCTTCTTCGGCTTTTTCCGGTGGTGATGTATCCTGAGTGCCGCAGTTAGTTGCATCTGAAGTGTCTGTTGATTTACTAATCGTTTTATTTCCATCCTTAGAGGGTTTAAGTTCGGTTATTTGAGATCTATAATATTCGGCCCATTGTTTTGCTAAATTTGCTTCTTCCATACGTCCCTCATTTTCAGCAGAAATTGCTTGATTATCATAATATTCTGCCCATTGAAGTGTATGATCTGTCTGATTGTTCGAGTCTTGGCCATTTGTTTCAATATTTGAATCTGTTTCAAAACAATAGTCATAACGCATGAAATACGTTTCGGATACGATAGATTGAATAAATAAAGTCACTAAACCCTATATACTATTCCTTTGCGATTTCTTATAGCAGCATTTACAAGAGAAGAATTACCTTGTTTTACTTCCATTTCCATAGTCGCCATTGCTTAACTTGGCTTAAGTCAAAACCAAATGCGTGAATAGCGAATACAATTACCGGAAGTCAAAAGAGTATGTAAAATAGTAACAACCACGTAGACTTAACAATGCGACACTTAGTGGCTATATATAGTAATGGCGGAAATTTCCTTATAAGTATTGATTTTTTTTAAATTTCAACTAAAATTTCTTTTCTTTTACAGATAATACAACATTTACATTATTTAAAAAATATCTGCTAAACTAAGTAGAATTCTTAAAATTCTGAGGACTTTAATTAAAATTATTTATATCTTCGGCCATTTTGTTTCGCAAATTTTCTTCTTGTCGCTGTTGTCTCTTTTGGACAGAGAATATTGGTGTAGCATTCTCCCGAATTCAAATGCTAATACCATGCAAGTTTTTCAGTATCGACTCATAATAAACAAAACAGTATTGCCTAAAATATATATCTAGTAATTAACCATTTCTCTTTGCAAAATAATGTTAATTTAGTTAAAAACATACATAAGAAGAATACATCTATATGATATAATATTTCCACAATTTCCACATACAATACATCATTCAAACAAAAGTTGACACATAATAATATTTTATCGATAAGGGAAAAGTAAATTCTCGTATAACTTTGGTAATTTTTTAAAAAGACGTCTATTTAATATTAAAATTTTTAACAACTAACAGCTGAGTTTTATCATACTTTTAGAATAATGAAAGTGTGGGAAATTTATGCTCAGAGATCCCTATAATAATTGATTGTAGTTGTAAAAGTTGGAATATATTTTTTTATATGAATAGACGTAACGTGATTTGTTGGAAAAATTTAGGATAAATAAAAAAAAATCAGTTCAAATATGTTCTTCTTTGTCGTGAACTTTCATAATCATGCAGCTTAGATTAGAAAGAATTTTTTTTCGGAAATATGATATGTCCTGAGAGTCATTACGTCATTTAGTTCTTATGCAAATACGAAAATGATTCGTCAATGCATACTCACGTGATTGGCGCGAATGGTAATACCCCTAAAATGTGCGAACAAGCGAATATGACTGATGAAAGCAAAGGTAATGAAAATTTAACTTCAAGTTGAAACATTTTTTGAAACACTTTTCAACTATAAAACTTTCATAGAAACTTTATCGAACATTTGAGAGTATATGTATGTTTTTCGATATCTTTGTAAAATCCAGACGGATGCTAATTTTTACCGTTAGTGTCTGTTGATGGAGCGGTCACTGACCTAAATTTTTAATTATCTTGGCAATTAGTTTATATCTTGCTATTTTATTCTTTTGAAAGTTGTTACATTATATTACTTTAAATAAAGTTATCAAAAAAGTTTGAGAAGTTAGGATTTTAAATTTTAAATTGTAAGAATGAGGGCAGACATATTGGATTTTTCCTTCCAGAATATTTCATCTTCATCTGAATTACCCCAAACCACATTTAATTGACTTATTATGAAGTCTTTAAAACTTTTAGAACAAAAACTATCAATTTATAACGAAACTTTGTTTAACTCAAACTGACCTGTTCACTCTTGGAGAATTTTGTTCTCGAAAATTTGGCCATTTTTGTTCATGAATTCAGTGATATATTTTAACATAAACATGATTACTGGTTACTAATATCTCATTTTTCTGAATAGGTTTTGGTTGTTCTGATAGTGACGGGTATTCAGCTCTTCAGTGAGTAAAAAAATTTTACTCAATGAAATTTTTGAGAATTCATTAACTTTTTTTTATCAGAAATTTTGGCACTGACTTGGACCAAGAAAATTCTGTTGTTAGCAAAGACTTACTCCTGTCACTAGCAATGTAAAAAAAATTAATTTTAATTAAATATTACTAAAGTGTTCCTTTTAGGGATACAAACATAAATTCTCAGCTATTTAGTACTAGTAAACGTTCTTCATCGAGTAGCAGTAGTAATCAACTTCGTAAGTACATTGTACAATATTCAACCGATTTCGTATACACTAAAATAGTCCCTTCAATATAATTGAAGAACTATTAATTTTTTCACTTTAATCTAAAACGTTTAAATCTGGTTTTTATAAACAGAGCTATTACAAGTTAATCGAGATATTATAGAATTAGACACAAAACCTCCTTGGTTTCTCGACTCTAATGAGGTAGTCGATAGGCTACAATCTGCAGCTTACAATTCTCAGATAGGTATATAGAAAATATAATTTTACGGCCTCATTGAACTTAATCTAAAAACTATTACTCTACATTATTAGACTTTGACTTCAATTCTACGTCGGCAGAGGAAGCAGCTCCTGACAATAGGTTAGCTAACAATTACTCAATAGTCTTAAATCGTAGTCATAAAGTGCTAAACTTCGTAATAACTTATTTTTCTTCAATTAGTCATGATTGGTGTATAAATGGGACTCATAGGTAAGGCTTGCATTATAAAATATATAGTATTTTAAATACATACTACTCGTATTTTAGTAGCATCTTGAGCCAAAGTGATATATCACCAGTATTTCCTCTAACTCCTACTGATTCTAATAAAGAAATAACTGACGGTAAATATACAAGAATCTACATAAACTTTATAACGTTCACATCTGTAATTCAACAGATGAAAATTCACAGAAAGTTAAGTTGTCTCCCGATTCGGAAGTTAAAGCCGAAACCACTGATGGAACTGTTCCTGTGTCATTGGATATTGGAGAAGGTAATTTTCCTTTTTTCTCAAGTTTTCAACTTAACCTTCATTTTTTGAAGTTGTCCAATCGAACGATAAAACAATCGCTGACAAAATCAGGTACGTTTTCTTTGCAGTGTATTTACATTTACAGAACATTTTTCTCTAAAATTCGTTTAGAGAATCTTGTCAAAGCAGAGCATCCGTCGATTCTAACAAGGAGGAAAGTACTGGTAATAATTCTCTTATATGTCATTTTTCTTTTAACATTTTGTATAAGTCATAATTGTTTCAATTTTATTCTGTTATTGTAAGTCAATCCATCAGGCAATATTCTTTGAGTTTGTTTATTCGGTAAGTTGACAGTGCTTGAATCAATATTTCCGAACATTAAATGTCAGTCTTAGTTCTGTTTAGGATATTACTAGTTCCAGCTATAGAGAAAACTTATATTTTCGTTATAATTTAACATAGGTTTTAAATAACCTTAATAAAATAGTAAAAAAAGAGCGGAAACTCAAAAACCAGAAAGTTTTTTTATTTTTTCGAAAGAAATGAAGTAAAAAAATTGACATTTTTCAGAGGAAATTAGCGAGCCAAAACTGAATTCTTCCGATATTAAAGATACCACCCAGCATAATCCGGCTAAATTTACTTTAGATCAAGTAACACCTACGGTATGTTGAACTTAACTATCTTGTTCCATCTCCATAATACGTTTGCAGATTGGAACAAATATCTTAAAGAAGTTGGACTACATCATTCAAGAGAAAAATACTCTTTTTGATAACTTCTTTCGAATAAAGCGTAATAATCGTTCGTTTTTTATATTAAATTTTCTGATAACTTGTCTAATAAAACTATTTATCGTTTTAATTCATTAGAGAAAAAAGTCTGTTCAATTAAAAGAGAGCACGAGGTAAAAATTTCTCATTTTTATTTTACAGTAAAATAATAATTTGTTTTTACTTTGATAGCAAATTAGCATCAATGAAACTCCGAGGAAAGTAGGTGAACGCCGAAGGAAACCTTTATATAATTATAAATTGAAAAAAACAGTTAAAAATGGTAAGATAATTTTGGGAGTTTTCAAGATTGAATGATATTATTTTTTAGCTGAGACTTGTGAAGTTAGTGAAAAGCCTATATTCAAATGGCCCGAATGCCCTACTGGAAGAAGAAAAAAGTTTGTAGCGAATTCTTCAAATAAATGCTATTAATTAATATTTCATATAACTTTCAAAAGGGTGAACGCTAAACCAAAACGAATTAAAGAGAAAAGTAAACGCCTTTGGAAGAACGGATTCATGCTTTTCGCTAAAAAGTATCGAAAAGCATATTCAATGTAAGAATTTAATAAAAAGCTTGGTTATAAAAGCGTAAATAATATCTATGCAATTTAACATTTTCAATAGTGCAATGCGTTCTGGAGACGTGCCAAGAACATCAAATTTAATGAATGCTGTCTCTAGATTATGGAGTTCTTTATCGTCATCAGAAAAAGAGAAGTATAGCCTTAATTATCTATATGAAGAGGAAGAAACTGATAAACCCTGTGAAAATTTATCTCCCTTTGAACTTCCAACTGAGAGCTCTAATGTAGTTGATATTGGGAAGGGTAATGAAATTGATAATCCTGCATGCAAAGAGTATTCTTGCAAACGAAGAAAAATTTCAAGTACAAAAGCAATAGAAGTAAATTTTAAGAGAAGAAAAACAGAAACAGACAGCAGCAATTATGAGAAACTTATGGGACAGGAAATTATAGAACAAACAACTCATTTAGATAATCCCAACGATAGTGAAGATATGCTGAAAATTTTTGATAAGACACCTGAAAAATTTATATCGAATCCATACGAACATTCGTCGAGAATTAGTCCTGCTGTTTCTCGACGAAAGAGAGTACGGAAGAGTCTCAATTTTGACCATTTGCTTTACGATCAAAGATCCCCTCTCTGCTTTGAAATTCCTGATGTAAATGTATACACTTTACTTCAGGATTACGATCCCCCTGACGATTATACTGTTCCAGATGTGTATGATAATGAATATCTTGATTACAAATGGGATTATGATGAAATAGCCAACGTTAAAGAAGCAGATAATTCAGACTTTGAGTCTCCGAAAATACCTTCAAAATTAAGAACACTTAAGATCATTCAGGAGCCTGAATTGTTATCACAGCAAAAGTTACCAATTTCTATCAATATCACTGAACTATTAGAAAGAAACGAACCAGTGATTAATGTAACAGAGCAGGCTTTTAAAAAACAAGGCTTTCCTAATCAACCTGTGAGACTTGTTCATACTCCGAATGTTACTTTGCATCAAGCGAAACCTTCGTCAAGTTTTGCAAAGAGTTCAAACTCTAGAATCTCTGGAGTTAAACACGTTTTTACGTTTAATAATTTCGTTAAAACCGCCGAAGAATCGAAAAATCAATCCATTTCAACTGAATCACAATCTACAGACATTAAAGAAAATCAAGAAAACGCTAGTAAAGATATCCACACTGTCTTTCAGTTGTTTGAGAGTAGCAAATCTGATAAATATATAGCTGCGAGACCAGCTGGAAATATTGTTTTAAGGTTAACTAATGGAAATGACGAAAGTACTGTCTACAAGATTCCTGTTGTAACTTCGGAAGGTGCATGTAAAATTCTATCACTGTTACCTAAGAACAAGAAATAAAGCTCCATGTATGTTTGATTTTGTTACCTTTAAGAAGAAAAATATCAAATCCACCTCTAATTTTTTTATGCTTATTTAGCGTCTAACGAATTTCATAATTACAATTAAAAATCTATGTTGATCTATGGTTGTTCCATAGTTGTTCGTCTTTCAAATGTAAACTTTGTTAACGTGTTTTGATATGTCAGCTAAATTTAAATTTTTCGTTCTAATTATATTAATTTCTCAATTCTACGTAAGCTTTTATTAGTAATTATTTTATCAGTAATATCTAACGCAATAGTTAATTTGTTTAAATGTCATTTCATTCCTTAACCGTATCAGGTTGACTTGGAACGTCAAAATTAAATACATCATCTCTCGAGTAATGACCGATAACATCAAACTCCAATTTACTTCTAATAATATCTTCCAAATCCAAAGTAGCATAAAGAATTCCTGCTTCATTAAACAATGGTCCAGCTATGATTTTTCCTAGAGGCGAAACAATCACACTACCACCAGTTGTAACGATATCAGGTAGTTCTTTTATACCTTCTAAGTGCAGAATATCTTCGGGATAATCTGTAGCTTTAACAAATTGATTACAGCTCAAAACAAAGCATCTGCCTTCTCTAGCAATATGCTGCATACTTGCAACCCACGTATCTCTATGATCAGCTGTTGGAGCCAAATAGATTTCAACTCCTTTATTATACATTGCCATCCTAGCCAAAGGCATGTAGTTCTCCCAGCAAATAAGCCCGCCGATTTTGCCAATACTTGTATCAAAAGTCGATAAAGTATCTCCGCTACCTTCTCCCCATACCATGCGTTCTCCAGCTGTAGGCTTCAGTTTTCTGTGTTTTCCAAGAAGTTTTCCGGCAGGAGAGAAATATAAGATAGTGCAATACAGTGTTCCATTTGAAATAGTATCTCTTTCTATAACTCCAATCACTAAGTAAATGGAGTTTCCTGCAGCTATGCTAGCCAAGCGGTCTGTTGCAGGCCCTGGAACCTGTACAGAACTCTTAACGTATTTTAACCAGACTTCGCGACCCTCCTCAGTTCGATTTCCCACAACCGTGCCAAATTTAAGACTCTTCGGATAACTAGATACAAAAGCCTCAGGAAAGAGAATCAATTTTGCCCCTTCCGATGCCGCCTCCTTTGTCAACTTCTCAACTTTTTCCAGGGTATTCTCTAAGTCGAATATTGCGGGAGAATCTTGAACTACTGCAACTTTTACTTCCATTATCAGCTTTATTTGGTATAAGGATTGATAATAATAACTTTAAAATGAAAGTTTGCTTTAAATAGTAGTTAACTTTGTTGGTGTTACGCATGCGCATCTTGTCATAACCTAGAAAAGTATTACTCAGCAAAAAAATTACAAAAACGTTCAAACCGAACGCTATTATTACATCAGCTGGAAAAAATGAAGGCAAACGATCTAAGTTCAAGAAAGATTACTATCTTTTGAAAAGCCTTTAGGTGGACTGGAATGTTTAAAATTTTGTATATATTTTCTGATTTTCCTCTGAAATGAAGAATCTAAGAAAAGTTTATATATGTAAATTAGATTAGAGGTCACAAAGAACTAGGTCAAAATAGTGTTCTACACTCTTTTGTTATTACGGGCAGTTGAAACAATGTAAGAATATGAAATAACAAGGATAAAAATATGTAATTTAGAATGTTCAATAAATGAAATATCTCTATTATATGTACAATAATACAACGTTAAATTCTCGGATAAAGCTTAAATAGTGGACAGGTTAATTATGTTTTTTATTATAAATAATAGTAACTATTGTGATAGAACGGTATATTTCGGCCTACTTATTATAATTTAGAGTTGTTGAATAGAAAGAAAAAGAAGAAATGATAGCTTAAATTTTCCAAAGAAGTAACGAATTCTTTCTGTATTTGTCTAGTTTTTTTTATGAATCTTCTTATCTAATCTAACTAAATTTATGGGCTCTTTTCAAGTATTTGGCCAGACAAAAACAATGGAGTAGAATGTTATATTTGATGTATTTTTTAGCGACCTCTATTGGATTAGAAAATGAATTACAATTTGCTCATTGTCGCTATATTTATTGTTTTTTTTCAGTCGTTCGTTATATTATCTTTATCAAATATCGTCGTTAGACCAAACGAAGTTGGTTGCGAATATAATGGAACTTGCTTATTCCCTCATGATCCCCATGGGCCTCTAGTCTTGTGCGAATACTTGTAAGTGGACGATAATAGGTGAATTTATGTTGACAGTAATTACGATTCTTCTTAGGCCACACGAATATTTAAAATGTGATGATCCAGAATATGTTGGTGATAATGAGACAAAAAGAAAAGAGCTGGGCTACGGATGTACAAAGGTGTTATATTAAATTAAATTAGATTACTACGACATTGTTCTGCTAATTGAAAGATAAATTTTTATTAATTTTCAGTGGGGTGGTTTAAAATATGAAGATGTGGAACACAGTCGAGTTATGTGTGCAGTTCTTCCGGGAATTGAGTGCTACGGCAATAGGCAATTCTTAAGTCTAAAAAGATATCCATGTATAAAGTATAACGGACATTATTTTGTCTCAACACTTTTGTATTCAGTTCTTCTAGGTTTCCTTGGTATGGACAGATTTTGTTTAGGTCATACAGGTAAGTGGAAAATGTTTCTTAATAGCAGAAAGTTTTTAATACAACTGGTCTAATTCTATCAGGTACCGCGATTGGAAAATTGTTAACGTTAGGAGGTGTTGGAATATGGTGGATAGTTGACATTATATTATTAGTGACTGGAAAACTAAACCCAGCAGATGATAGTAACTGGATGCCTTACTACTAAACCATTTTTCTCAACCATCCTCAAAAAATAGAAAGAGATGAATCTTATCAAAGAAATTTGCTCAGTTTATGCAACTGTTTGATACTTTCTCCAAAAGAAGTCACTTTAAAAGAGAAAGAAAACTGCAAAAAAAAAAAATCAAAAGATTGTACACTTGTGATTTTTTTTTTAATTTTTACTTTAGAATTAAATGACACTTATAATGTAAAATTATTTCTTTTTTCTTACAAAAGACATTTTTATTAAAAGAGAAAAACTACTTTGGTCTTTTAAGTTTTGTTTATTAAATTATTCTCTTAGCCACTTTTTGCAGAAATTCAATAGGCAATGGAAATAATAGAACTTTAAAATATCGTTTATATCATTTAAGAAATTTATTACTAAATTTTTTTATAACCAGCCTACATAACAAAAAGATAAAAAGATTAAAATTGTGACTTTTCAACTATATATAATACTTTTTCACTGATTTTTAGCTTTTTTTTTTTTACATATAATGCGAATTTGGCACCGCAAACTTTTCTACAGTTAAATCTTGTAGATCTTAATTGTTTCTGATCCTTGTTTTTTTGTGGAGAGATCAAAGTGATCCAATATTTGAGTATTTCGTAAAAGAGAAATATTCCTTATCCTTATATAGCACTGGAGCTGCCCTAAATTCGACAGACTTTAATGGCATTCTTCCAAAGGCGTGAACAAATTGGGTAATACATTCCGATCTTTCTACCATATGAGCTAAATCAGCAGACAACATATCCGAGTTTATACAACTGGCTGTTGAACACTTGAATTTTTTCCTAGGTCCGACCTATTAATAACGATTAATTAGTAATATAGACTTGAATATTGATAAAAAAATCACTTTTAAAGGTGCTTTCCCAGTGAGATTAGCGATAATAAAGTTCATAGCTATATCCTCGCAATTCATATTCTCGTCAATCCATAATTTGAGTTTTTGAGGCAAGTATTTAGTATATGCAAAAGAGTAGTACTAAATTTGATTTAAACGAATAAAAAATTCAATTAGACGGATGAATAATGGGCGAAAAATAAATATAAGAACCTTGTGATAGAAAGAAGCTCCAGTAAGAACCATTGATATAGAACTTGTCCATTCGGATTCATATTTCCATGAATCGGTTTTATTATTCCACAAATGTAACCGACTAGGAAATCCTACTAAACGATCAGGAAATTCCCGCCAAACCTAATAATAAAACGATAATAAAATTAAATTGTCAACTTGTAAACAAATAGCCAATTAGATATTTACCTGATATGCGAATTCCAGTTCATCAATTGTCAGCATTAATATATCATCGTCCAGCGATAAAATAGCTTCGGTTTCAATTTCGGCATAAGGATAGAATCTGTTATGTAGACTGTTTCTAGGTGTTTGTAAAATTCGAAGAGGAACATTTATATTCGGCCAGTTCGAAGCTAAAAATACAAGTAATAAATTAATTATCTAGAAAATATTATCCAAAATAACAGTAGCTATATTTAATCAACTTACTAGGTGGCGGTTGTTTCTTTTGATTATTCCAAATGACTAGAACTTTTGATAATGATGGTGCAGCAGATATTTTTCGTATTAAATCAAATAATGATGTTATTCTATCATAACTTAATATAACAGCTGTAAATCCATTATGCTTGAGTGGTCTTACAGGTAGGAATAGAGGATCTTTAATTGGCACCTGTGTATTAGATTAGTAGTTGTATTGTTAGATGATATAATAAGTATATAAAATATAATATACCTGTAATTCATTCCAATCTTCATAAGATTTAACATCGTACGGAAAAACTCTATCATTGATTATTTGAAGTGTTGCTAAGGTTATTTCCCTCATTGACCTATTTAAAGATGAATTATATTTATAGATTACAAGAACACTTAAGGAGAAAAATCATCGTATTTACTTGAAATATTTATCCCATATAAAAAGAACTTGACTCTGCATTTCTAAGATTCTATCAGATCCTATTCTCTCTAATATTTCAACTATTTCAATTAGTCTGGACTCTTCGACACGTATAACGACCCTATTTATTTAAAAGGTTATTCATAACTGTATCCAAGGTATCTTATATGATAATGAGAAAAATATTTCACCTTTTCCAGTCTATAACATCAACAAAAGGAAGAACATAACTATCCATTGCAATAACAGGTATACAACCATGCTGCATGGCTTCTGATAATATTGTTTGACTGAATCTGGATACTCTTAAAACCAAACAGAAAGTGACGCTCTAGTTAAAGGAGAAAAAATACATTTCAATTAAATATCATACAAATATTTATATAAGATTATTATTTACGGAGAGAATTGCAGGATAATGATACACTCCTCTTAAGTTGCATCTTTCTGTAAAATTAAAATCCCCTTCGCATCTACTTAAAACTAAAACTCCACGAGATCTCTCAGTAACCCTTTCTAACTGTTCACGATGTGCAGGATCAATACCAATTTGTGATGATACTAATAACCAATCCCGTTTGTTGTTTCTATTAAAAAATAGTTAAAATAGATTAAAAGACTAAATGAATTGTTTCTTTATCGTTTACTTGTGAGTATAGGTATAATGGTGTGTCAACGGGTTAAATAATGGAATAGATATATCAAAATTCATCCTGTAGGTTGAAATGTCTAAACCTGAACCAGCAAGAATAGAATTTCCTCTATTAATTTCTAATTTTGTTGCATAATTTGGTGTAGAGCCTGGCAGCATATTAAAGAGAAGATGGTTTTCACCATTATTCCATCTGTTTTAAAATGAATAAACAAACAAATAGGAGAATATAGATGGGCTATTAATTTAATAAACTATTTAACTTACAATGGTAATGCCGATAGACAACGATCGATCATATCCACTTTAAGGTTATTCTGATTTAATAGATCGATTTGAGGAACAAATACACATGCCTTCTTTGGATCTGAAGTTACAAATGGACTTTCCAATATAGCATCAATTATTTGCATGAACTCTTTTGACCGAGGTAGCATGACTGGACTGCCGTTGGCATGGACGAACTCAATGTATGGATAGACGTATACGGATATCTTATTAACATCGTTATTACCACAATTATATACATTAAAACATGTATGAAATAGACAACTGCTGTTTGTTTGACTGGCTCGACGATGATTATCAGTTACTACATATTGTTTTGGCTGTCTCCTCGAGATCCAGTTGGAATCATTTTTCATATATATCCGTAGGAAGACGAGTGAAGATATAACAAATATGATGAAGAGTAGTATTCGGAAAACAATGTTTCTCATTTTAATGATTAATCAGTAAATGATTTTACCGATACTCGAACAAGAGTGACAATTTTGTTCCTGATTTCGACGTCATTCATCCAGCAGTAAAACAAATATGGGAAAGTAAAATTTTACAAGAAAGATGCTTTAGGGCTGACTACAGAGGGCGTGAGTTAAGTCAATCATACAATCTCGTTTCCTAACGCGAAATAACGTGGGAGTTTATCATTCAAATAGTTCTAACACAATAATACCACGCCATATAATATTATGTTTAATATATGAGTAGTATCTTAATAAAAGCGAATTCCTTTGATAAATTTAGAGGTTCACATTAGCTTTATATTACGTATATTACATAATTAAAACCTGCTTGACATCACCTATACGATGAATTTTTTCAAATTTCAATCATTCCATCGAACTGAACAAAGTATTTACTTTGAGCAAAAAATCACTAGAAAAAGTTTAAAATAAAGTTATTAAACGGTTGAAAAATCAATAAATATCAATATAATATGTCTTCTAGTCAATCTGCCGTCGAACTGAATGAAATAGATAATGAAAAGTTGCCTAAAAGAGCTAAATCTCAATCGAAAACATGTTTGTTTTTGTTTGTTTGTTTGTTTGTTGTCTTAATTTTAACTTAAGAAAGATAAATGAATATTTTTTATTCAGCTGGTGTTAATAAGAAGAGTTTATCAAAGTTAAATCAAAAGAAATCGTCGTTAGGCAAGCAACGATCGTCTTCGAGGCAGGCTGTTGTAAGAAATGGTAGAAAGTCTAAAGATAATTTGCGAAAATCGAGACAAACTAAACAGACTAGTAAAATTTCTCTTAGTTCCGTTTCGCCAAAGATCTCTGGACAGAGTAGAGGTAGATCCGTTGGATGTTGTCCTTGCCTTGATGGTGATGACTCGGATTACGAAATTAAGAAGACGAGTACCAATACGAAACCTACAAAGGCAAAGGGTCAGCGAAAGGAGTTATCTAAGAAAGATATAAGGGCTTTAGAAAAAGTTCAAGAGAAAATCATGGCAGCGAAAGAGATTCAAAGAAATGCTAAAGCGCAAAAGGCCGCTGAAGTAGTTGAAAGTACGAAAACTATTGAGGCTATCGTGGAGAGGAGGCAGGTTGAAAACAATGAAAAGGCAGAGGACGGAACAGAGGACAACCCACCTGCTGAAACTGATATTACAAACGGTAATCAGAATGAAGGAAGCGAAGCAAATCCATCGATGACGAGTGGAGATCAATTACCGTTGACTGAGACTGAGGAGACTATCCCCGAACAGCTTAGAAAGGATAACAAAAGGCAATTTGAAAGTATCGAAAAGAAACAGGAACTTTCGCAACAAATCGAAAAGAGAAAAACTCTGACCGAGTCTAATGAATTGGAAGAACCCTTTTCTACAAACGAAGATGTTGTCATCTATCAACAACAAACCAAAAGAAGAAATGATTTGATTCCATTCTTCTTAAGAAAACAACCAAAGAACGAAGGGAAGATGAACCGTCACATCCTAGATAATTGGTTTAGGGCTGTTGACGATAGCGAAAATATTCCAACTCACACGAATACACTGTATGATGATAAAGATTTGAGCGGATTGTTAGACGATGTTGATGAATTAACTGTATTATTTAAAGCGATAAATAGCTTATACAAAGATTTATCTTCCAAAGAGCAAAAGCTTCATTTTGAACTATCTAACATGAAAGACGTTAGGAAACAGTTACGAGAACTAGAGCAAGTGTCATCTCTAGGTAGAATTATGAGTGACATTTCCAACTTAAAACAGAGTAGCATGACGATAAAGGATCAACCTTCTAAGATGTCCAAAACGTCGTCTAGGTGGATGAGGCCCAAGTCCGCAATAGAGATTATTCATAATTTCTCCAAGAAGTGGAAGGATACGTCTCAAAACGATGAACAACTATCAGTTAGAGAGATATCGAAAACTCCTTTAATAGCGACAGAGGCTTCGGAATCTTCCGATCAGGATATTGAACCAACAGCCCCTGTGAAGAAGGGTAATCCTTGTTGGGTTATTGCAAGAGATAGTATGAAATCATCAGAGTTTACATCTAAGAGAAACGATATGAGAGAAGCCTTTCTTAAAACTTTAGAAGAGCATATAGAATATCCAGGACCCACTTTTGGAAAATATCGTATGCCAATTGCAAACTTTAGAATTCCAATTCCATTACCAAATTCATCTTCTGTCGGTAGTTTTCAACTTCAAGAATTATATAAACAGCATTTTGCATCTCTGGCATCCAATACGGAAACTAGATATTTTCCACCTTTAAAATTTATAAATGCCAATCATATTTCTATTGCCGTCAACAAGGAAACAGAGGGTATTGCTCTCCTGGGAGTTGGTGAAAGGGCTGTTGTTGCTGGAGGATATTTACAAAATTCCGAAATCGGTTCATTCGAAACTTTTATAGATCAATCAAATTCTGGAGTCATAAATTCTTTGGTCGGTCAGTGTAACTCGGAAGGTCATGTTGCGGTTGCCATTAAAATTTATAGAACAGGAATACCTAGGGCTAGCGCTGTTGACTTTTTAAAAGAAGCAGTAATGTTAAACTATGTTAGCAAGAGTGTAAAAGCTGCCTCACCCCAATATTTGGGTATAGTTAATCTAAACCCAAATTCAAGTTTCTTATCATTCGGATTAGTAACTTTACTCATTGGGGAACCGGAAACCTTTGAAGTTGTTACGTTAGACCGCCTTTTATGGCAGGAAATTCAATCTAGAAGTGAACATAAGATTGAATTGGACAATTGGAGATGGATAAAACTTTTATTAAATTTGGCAAAAGTTATCCATAGATTACACAGAAAGTTAATTATTGTAAATAACCTTAAAATGAACTCTATTGTTATGCGTTACGTTCAAGGAAAAGGTTGGACATCTCCCAAATTAACAAACTTTTCAAAAGCATACGCCTCGGGTGGAGTTGGCGAATGTATTCTTAATAAGAAATATACGGAATATATAAGCCATAACAAAATGTTTAATGAGGCAAAATCCTTCGAAACTGACATAACCGCTTTAGGTTGTGTGATTAGAGATGTAAATTTATCGTTAGGTCTTGGTTTAGATGGAATTGTTGAATATATACAACCGTATACACCTGCTAAAGAGTATTGGTCAACTTGCGAAGTCATAGATGCTTTAGAAGGAGCTATGATAGAGGAGCGTAACAATCCTAAACAATTATTCAGCGTGTTTAATAATCAAATAAATAAATTGAATACTATTAACGAACGTAAAGCGGAAAGGAAGAATTCATTAACAATAATAAACCGTACGAAATCAAGTCTAGAATCTAATAAAAAACCTAATCAAACAAATACATGGAGCCAAAATTTTAAAGATACCTGTTGCGAATGTTTTCCATAAGAGACATTTATAAGAAAAACATCTTTTGAAGTTGGGTTATTAGTACTTCATTATATTAGACAATGCGTTATATTTCTTATAAGGAATACAGAATAAAAAGTCTTTAAAAGTGTTTTTTATTCATTTTCTTCTATTATATTTTTATATAATGGATAAAAGCTAACTTAAAAGGTTTTTTTATATGTTTATACAAGTTTATTTGATTTGTCATATCAAAATTGTACGAGTTGTCTTAAAAGAGGTCGAAAAAAAACCCAACCGGTCATTTAAAATGACCTTGACATTAGTAAGCAGAGTATCACGCGGTCTTTGCCGTACAACTCTTTTAAACAATCAGCTAAGCAGTGTACAGTTATTAAAAGTTAGTAATAATGAAAGGAATGTTAGTACTACTGCAATTCAGCAATTAAAAACTAGTAAGTCTTGATATATTGAGATGATCTTGTATTTTGCTTATAATATCGCTCATTCAATATTGCAGTTCAAAGAAAAACTGAGAATGATATAACAACAGTAAGAAATGAACAGTATTTTTTTGCAAATTCAAAAATTAAAACTTTTTTACTATATAGATTGAAGGAGTTTTTGTGGAATCAGATCGCAAGGATACTGTAGTTAAAGTAGAAAATGAAAAGAATTTATGTCCCTTATGTCCTTTTAAATTAGGCTTTGAAATAAAATATTCAGTTTGTATTTAAATAAATACTTGATTTCTTAATATATTCAATAATATCTCAAAAAAACAGGACGTCCTCATAATAAGTCAATTTTTAAAAGCCGACGGACACCTTCTACCTAGAAGAGCTACTGGCCTTTGCGAGAAAGCTCAAAGAAAATTACTATTAACTGTTCACAAGGCTCAACGCGCCGGTAAGACACTTCTTAATCCAGTTGTTATAAGAAATTTACTCCTTTAAGCTATTTTTATTAACTCTTTTTTCATATTCCATTTATCAAATATAGGTTTAATGCCTGAATTAAGACCCGATTTAAAGGATGGAAACTTAAGAACAAGCGTTAAAAGAAACTATAAATGGCAAAAATATTATACATATTACGACTGCTAAAGAATGAAAAGAGATAAAACTTTCTTTCAATTTTGTTTTTTTTTGTAATTGTAAAATTTTTAATATAAAAAAAGAAATAAGAAATATTTAATGAGATGATACTGCTTTAAAATATCTGCAAAATTTTTCAGTTTCACGAACTGATTTGTCAGATTGACTAAGTTTTTCCAAAGCTAAATCCTTAGCCCTGATTGCCTGAGCGGAACTAAGTCCATTCAACCACATTTCAGCAATAGATTTTGCCCTTTCCAAATTTGATAAATCTTGACTCTGATCGGAGAATTGCTGCGAATGATAAGATATTTTACGATTGTCAGGATACTTTCTAAGAGTTGCTGAACTTTGTCTTTGACTACCGACTTCGTAAGCGGCTTGAACGACGAGACTATTAGTATCAATATAGGCCAAATTGCTCGTTTGAAAAGTAATACCCTGTAATCCGCTATGATTTCTAGCCGCTTGTTTAATTTTTACGTATTCTCTAGGGCAATCTCGTACTAGTTTCAAATAATTTAATAACGGAGTCAAATCTTCTAATTTAAGACGTTTTTCACAAACTTCCTGATTGTTGTGATTCGAAGTGGATGGTCGAACTAGTCTTCGAGTGGAAAAATCCCTGGTAGATGATTGCAGTTCATACGTTGGTGTTGTTGGTTGAGATCTAATTTGTAAATTTTTTTCCGGTGTGGAGGGTAATACTCGCCTTCTCTGGTAGGAACTGGAACTGTTCTCGTTTGCTGATTTCGTAGGAGGTCTTGGTAGTATTCTCCTATTTGTAGAACTTAGATTCTTTGCGGGTTCACTCTTAGGTCTATTTGTTAAAGAGGGTTCAGAAATCCTGAGAATAGGAGTAAATCGAATTTGTTTAGTAAGATGGGTTAAACGATTTTCCACCTCTCGTGGATGTACGCTTTCGGGCATTGCACGGACATTGTCTATATTCTTCTGAACTTTTTCTGATAGCTTCCGTTCATTAGTCATCATAGTTCTAGGAGTCACAGGAGCGCTCATCGGCCTAGTCTTTTGTTTACTTTCCGGTAATTTAACAACAGAACCAGTTGGTCCTGTAGCTCGAACGTTTTCAACGTCCCTAGATAAAGATCGCAAATTATCCATTGAAGTATAGCTAGTGTGATTTGTTCTAAGGGATGAACAATCGGCAACTTTATTGTTAGTCAAACTACGAGAGCGTTTGGTTAACTTAGCAGCTTTCGGTCTTTTAAGAACAGGTACTCTCTCCTGTTCCTTCACTGATTTAGTTTGCTTCGTTGCTGATGATTTACGATTTTTCATTATAGATAAAGCCTTTTTGACTGTTTCTTCCGTGTCTCTTCTTACCTGCTCTCGGCTTGGTGGGGCTTGATATCTATCCGGACTTGCTTCTGATTTTATAGGATTATTGAAACTACGATCCGGACTCATTGCAGTTCGAGTGGGGCTCATTGCGCTGCGTCGTGGGTCTACAACACTCCGCTTCGGACTGGAGTTGCTTGGATTGGGAGCTATTCTAACTTGTCGATGCCTATCTCGTGATCTTCCTCGTTCTTCTAGTATGCTAGTTGTTTTAACGGTTTGGGGAACCTCGACTGTACCGGGGAGTAGTTCTAACGTTGGTTCGGAATGAAATTCATCTTCCTGATTTTTGACAATATCATTCAAAGCCGGACGCTTAGCGTTGGGATCTTTCCGGTTACTGTTAGACAGATAACTGTAATTCCAATCTATATCATCGAAAGTTCTGGGCTTTGCAGGTTTTGGAGGTTCAGTAGCGGTAGAAATCCTTTCAACATGACCATTCATTATTGGCGCATCTTTCTTAAGTGTTTCATTATTACTTGTATTACTATCTTCTTGAACGTTATCACTGTTTTTCGTATCCGTAACAATACTTGTCTTATCTTCATTAATTGTTGGTAAATTTACATCAACGTGAACTTTATCCCGATATTTTTTATGTTTTTTAAAATGTTGATGTTCAATGGTTCTTGCATCTTTCCTCGTTTTGGGCGATTCGCCCGTAACAGACACAGTTATCTCACAATTATCAATTAGCTTCTTTTCAGTACTTATAGGTCTACTCTGAATAACTTGATAATCCTGTTGAGATATTAATGTTCTAATAACATCTTCTTCCCTCTGCCAGCTACTTCTCGCAACTTTCTTAACTGAGAAAGATCAGCGGCTTAATATATTAAAATATCAACACAAGTGTTTTTCTAATACCTTTTATTGAGCTCCAAGCTCCCATGGGACGGGTAGTTTCTTCCGGAGTTTTCGGTAGTTGACGTCTAGGTTTCTGCTTATCATCTGAACTATCCTTAAATGGTTCAACTCTATCAGTTTTTGATGATCTTAGTCGGTTATACAGTTTTCCAAGCATTTTCTCAACGGCTCTGAACGAAAAAAACACATACGCCGTCGTCTAGCGAATAATGAACAATTTTTTTGCTAAGCCTCCCCAGATTAACTACGGTTGAATTGTGTTAAGTCTACAATTAACTGGGAGGCACAAAGCCGTATCTATACTGTTAATCAATAACTAAAGATCCTATATTAACCTTGCTGTATTTTGTAATGAATTAATAGCATACAGGTTTATGTTTACACTAGTTTTGTATACCCTCCAGTTATTTCGACGACCGTTTCGTATTCGTTTACAATTAAACGTGAGAACGAGCAATCTAAAGAATACATTGAAATATAATAGTGAATAAGCCTAATCGTCCAGAGGGAATTCATAAATAGTTGAATGTTCATAAACATCTCCACAATTTATAACGCAATTGGGAAAGTTTTTCTGTTTAGGAAGAAAAAGAATAGTTTGTCAAAAATTCTTTATCAATATTGGAATAATGTTATTTTTATATATAATTGAATCTTATCAATTTACCTGGTTAATGCAATTAGGGAAATTCTGGGCCTCTAGGCATAAAGCAGCGTGGGAATTATACTTTTCATGATTTTTTCCAACATTATCCAGGTGATTTCCTGTATAAAATTGTAAACCTGCCTGCGTTGTATAGACATTCATACGACGTCCACTTTCGTTATGACGAACGCTGATAGGCGCATAATATAATATAAATTTGCATAATAATTTATTTATTAAAATTTACAAACCGTGCAACTAGTTGAATATCTCTTTTAATTTCTTTCCAACCTTTAACGCAATAATTATTGTCGTAACCGTTTAGTTCAGGCAATTCTTTTATCATATCACCCATTAACTTTGGTTTCCTTAGATCAAAAGGTCCGGTTACTTGGACTATTTGACCAGTTGGTATATTATTTACGGCAGGCGTATACTCGTCGCATAAAATTTGAACGCTATGATTATAAACATCTTTCTCTTTCATGCCGCTAAGGTTAAAGTAAGAGTGATTTGTAATATTGCAAGGAGTTGCCTTATCCGTTGTTGCGTTATAATCAATCTTTAAACCGTTATTATCGGTTAGTGAATATTTAACGTTAAGGGTCAAATTTCCAGGGAAACCTTCTTCGCCATCAACCGATTTGTAAGTCATTGTCACTGCCGAATCGTCCACTACAGTAGTATAGATTTTCTGTTTAGATAATAGATTAAGTGGCTTTATTATAGTTAATCGTATTTCGAAACCTTATTAAATCCTTCTTTCCCGCCGTGCAAGGTATTAGGGCCGTCATTAGCGTAAAGTTTATCGTAAAGGACTCCGTCACAATAAAATTTTGCATTGGCAATCCGATTAGCGAATCTTCCAATTGTGCAACCGATATATGGTATATTCTTCGTATACTCTAAAAAAGCAATTATTCTATTAGGAATGGCGAATATTAAAATCATCTGTATAGACTGTTCAAACCTTCTAACGTATCGTATCCTAAGACAACATCACCTTTAATACCATGTGCATCAGGTACTTTAATGGACGTTATTGTTGCTCCATAATTTATTATAGAAACCTCAATAGACTCGTTTTGTAGTGTATACCTTTCATTAAAAGATTATAATCATTTAACTCGGAATAATGCTATCAAATGTATTTTATTACTTCTTTATTATGGTTTCTCCATTATGCAATGCACCAAAGACTTCCTCTAGAATTTTAGTAGGCATTTTATACTTGTTTTGTTGATATGAGAAAAACGCCCTAAAAGATTGACAATTACTTGAAATGATCAAAATCTAAAAATATAGTTTATTTTTAAATGTTATTCTATTTTCAAGCTTTTCCAGTTGATTAGAAGTTTTAAGTACAAGATTAATTTTAATTGGTTAATTAAATAATGATCTTATTTACAGAAATATTCTTAAACTTACACAATACGACCAGTATACAAAGCGATAATGAATTGAGTAATTGTCAATATCGGACATTGTCCTACATATAACGAACATCGAATAATATTTGAATGTAATATATTTTTTAGCGGGAAAAAACAAGTTCTTTGCATTAAATAAAAAGGAAAATAGTACATGTACAAGGAAAAATGTGTTTATTGCTATTTGCATAATAATTATTCAAATCCAGTTGTTAGGGCAGTATTATGTACTCTAAGAACAACAGGAACGGATGTACAAGGTAACATTCCAATTTCGGTTATGACTAATGAGACTAAATCTGGTGGTGTTACGTCGTAGAGTATGTTTAATAAATATAAATTTTCCATTGTTTTCCAATTTTCCAAAGGTTTAACTAATAGACCATTTTCCACAAGATCGCTGGGATCATCTAGAAATGTGAAAAGAAATTAGGAAGGTTTATTGATAGTAATAAAAATAAATATTCTTGTTAACATACCTAATTCATTAAACACGAATGAATCGGTTTGTACTCTATCGCAAAATTTATAAGTTTCACAACAAACAAGTACAGGAACATTATAAACTTTGGCAGCTAAGGCAACTTGTCCGCTACCAATTCTACACATTACATAACCATTTGCCAATAGACCATGTGCTCCTAGAAAAACCTTAGTCACCTGTAGATGACGTATTTTAGAGAATAAATAATTCAGATAGTTTCAATATTGAATACCTCTTTCATAGCATATGCTGTCGCGTTAATTAAAGAATAGGAACATTCTATACCTTCTTTCAACAATTTTCTCAACATTTCTTTTCCTAATAGCAGAAGCAGTTGGTTTTTTTTTTATAGGAAATTGTTAAATAAATGAATGATATCTATACCTTCCATTCTTGGTCTTCCATCAACTACTATCACCCTAAATTGTATCTTTCTTTCATGTGCTTTGCATAATACTTTCAGTATAAGAGAAGAGCTGTTAAAAAAATGTAAATTAAACTACTACATTCACTATATATGATTAAACTGAACGGCGATAACTTACGCTCCATATGTTAAAATGACATCACCATTTTTTATCTTGTCAGCCGCTGTGTCAGAAATAGCTTCATCGGCAAGGATTATCTTTTCTTTAATAAAGTCATCAATACATTTACGCAGAGTCTCTTTTGCTTTATCATCGGGTTCTGATGATTTTATGTTATTTAAATTATATTTAAAATATCTGATAGCGTTTCCCATAGAGACTCCCATTGGCCGTGATTGTTTTAAAAAGCTGATTTGAGGCTTTAACATGGCATCAAAGTCTCTATTTAACTCTTTATGCAGAGGTGTAGAATAGTCATTGATAAGTTTTTTCAAAACAGATAAAAGAGCTATGCATCGAGCGTTGGAGCCACAGATCACTCCTTGAGCATATTGCACTCCAAGACGAATGACTGCCGGATGAATTGTATGAGAAGCGAATGATATTGTTTCAGTTAACGTATTTTCTCTTTCGAATTGATTCAAGTGCGAAAATAGACCGACTTTGCGCTGAAATGATTTACGTTGAGGAACCCGTTGTTTCTCTAATCTTTTGGCTTCTTTCTGCTGTGCCCTCTTATCAGACTTAACTTCAGTTGCTATACAAGCAAGGAAATAGGTTAAATAGAAGATTTAGACTATAAGCATCAACTTTTTTATGACTTACGCTCTTCTTGTTTTTTTTGTTGGTTGTCTTTTTTATTCTGCTCAGCAGCTTGTTTTTCGGCCTTTAATTTCCTTTGTTTTTCCTAAATTCAACATGTTATGACTTGTATAGAAAACAATAAAATCAAATTTAAAAAATTACTTGAAGGGCTCTTCTCTCTTCCTTCAATTGCTTTTTGCTTTTCTGAGCAGTTTCCGTATTGTCCTTTTTACCATCATTTAACTTAGAATTTTCATTTCCAGTTTTATTTTTCATATTAGAATCCTTTGCAGTATTTGGAGGCTTATTTGATTCTGACATCTTCTGATTTATGTAATGGCAGCCAGACCTATAATAACTTTTCTGATGCAAAAAAAAACGATTACAACGCAATGCGATTAATAAGAACCTTGCGAAAATCCAACACGACCTTTCACAATCATGTTTTAATGATTAAAAAAAATTCATATTTTATCTCTAAATTGACGTACTGGTTAAATATTAAAATATTAGTTATTAAAAAGTGATTATCTTATGTTATAAAAAATTCGAAGACGTTGCCAAAAACCGATTTCCTGTCTCTTTTTCGATCGTGGTGAAACACGGAGCATGAGGTTTCTATTTTTTTCTAATTTTACGCTGGATAATTGCTAATAGTGTACAATTTTTGACTAATTTTTTAAATAAAATTTTTTTCAATCCGATAGAAATTTTTGTATGATGTTTTTTACGGAATTCTTTGAAATTTTGTAATTTTGTTCAAACAGTACTCTACGGCTTCAAAAGAGGTTGGCAGCCTCCGTGTTGAAGTGCGGCAAGAACAAAGTTTGGTTAGATCCTAATGAAACTAATGAAATCGCTAACGCCAACTCAAGTAAGAGACTAAATTGATATTAAATTCTAATATCATTTACTATAAATGATTTGTTAATCTTAGGACAAAATGTAAGAAAATTGGTTAAGGATGGTTTAATCATCCGCAAGCCTGTGGCAGTTCACAGCAGGGCTCGTGTCCGTACAAATGAAATCGCTCGTCGTAAAGGAAGACATACCGGAAGAGGTAAAAGAAAGGGTACGGCCAATGCTCGTATGCCTGAGAAGATTGTCTGGATGAGGAGGATGCGTGTTCTTAGAAGACTATTGAAAAGATACAGAGATTCCAAAAAGATCGACAGGCATCTGTATCACGTTTTGTACTTGAAGTGCAAAGGTACCTTAGCAAAAGCTTATTCCGAGAGAAAAATCTTAATCGTACTTAAATTTTAGGTAATGTCTTCAAGAATAAGCGTGTTCTCATGGAACACATCCATAAGAAGAAGGCTGAACGTGCAAGATCCAAATTGCTTGCTGATCAAGCTGAAGCTAGAAGGAATAAAGTCAAGGAGGCAAGAAAGAGACGAGAGCAAAGAGTAGCTGAAAAGAAGCAAGAACAGCTAAGAATGCACGCTAAAGAAGACGCTGCCGCCAAGAAATAATTTACAGTTTCAAATAAAACACTTGTCTTTGACCGTGGATTTGTTTTTCATAGTAATTTATAAAAGTAGGCGATATTTTACCTGAAGCATAAGCTCAGTGGAATATTTCATATAAATTAACACAGACAAATGAGATCAATTGTAAGTGGATTCACAGAATGTTTACAACTGTCTAAAAAGCATTTTATGCCACTTAACTAAGTATTATTTATACTTGTACAGTTAAGATTTTACCCAGTTAACAATTTTTTTCACAAGTGAACAAGCTGAAAGACTTTCTTGAAAAGCAATTGATATAAAGTATTGGTTAGTGACTAGAATGCTTATGGAAATGCATCGGGATATTCGCACTTCTTGTAAAGATGGCAGTGAAGAGAGAGAAATCTTGAAAGTAAAAAATTAAGCAAACTTTACTATTTTAGTAAAAAAAAATTTAGAATTACCTTGTCGGATCTTTTGCATAGGTAAATCCCCTAACATTGATCGTATTACTAAACGTTCCATCACCCTTGGGATTACTATAGCTAACTGTGATCTGACAGATGAGAAAAGTTTTTCCAATTGTGAAACAAGTTAATTAAATAATTAAACAGTACCTCATTATTTAGGGCACCTTCCTGATATCTCCATAAACCCTCTAAATGAGAGTGAAACCGTTTGATTTTTGTTAGTTTTGAGTTTGTGAAATCATCTGTATATTAGTAAAAAAATTATGAGTTAATACTTATGATGCATAAAGAGACAAAATCTTTTCCAATGCTTACAAATAATATAACCAATTACGCAATCATCAGGAAGGTGGATGCGTTCACATTCGCTTCTTAACTTTCCTCCACTAAAAAAAAAGAGAGTAAGTTTCACTTGCAAAGAAGACTATTGATTCATACCCTGCATATGGTTCGATTTTTAGGGCCAAACTCCTACTAATACAAAAGCCAGCCCCACCTGTTGCAAACCAGAAATGAAATGGCTTCTGAAAATTGATTTTGACTACTTAGAATTACAACAATTTGAATTTAATAAGTCATACTCGATCTCTATCAATTTCTAAGGGATGAGATGTAGATGGTCGCCCTATATACCAATCTCTACTTGGCTCATATCGAGAAAGTAATTCTTTGAGAGCTTTTACATTGACATAGGTATCGTCATCGACATGACACCACCATTTTTTATTTGACTTAAGGAATGCATCAAATTCGTATGACATTTTACAGCACAAAGCAGATCGACTATGTAAATTATCGCAATTTGTTTTAATTGATCGAAGTCCAGTTTTTTCGAATATTTCATCATTATCATCAGTAAATACTGCAACCTAAAAGAACATTATTTCTTAATAGACGATATTAAATAAGTATTGTAAAACTACAAACGCTGTTAGGTATCAGCGATATCCAAGTTGCTCTTAGGATATCAATTCTTGATCGGTGAAACTTTTTTGTAGTTTTTATAGATATAAAAACGTCCTTCATTGAAAGAGATTTAACATGATTCTCTTTTAAATTGCTTGTTATTACTTTTCTTGGTAGTTTAATAGTTGAAATTACTATTGTACTACTATTAGTTGTACTATTCAACGATTGAAGGTGCTCCTTTTCTGAAGAATGTTTTGGTAATTGGTACTGATTTCTTAGTAAATACAGCAACAATAAAAAAGAAGATAATAAGGTTATATTTAAACATAGCCTCTTAAGACGCAATCTCATGGCGAAGTGAAATGCATATATGCCCTCTTTTTCTTATGTAGATGATAACTGGTCCTAAAACGGAACCGGAAAAACAAACATTTTGGCGGAATTATTAAATTTTTTCTATGTAGTATAATATATTGTAAATTCATTTGAAATTTATCACGTTTATTTGTAAACTAAAGAGTCATTTTGTGAATTTTACCAAGGTTAGTTATATCTATTACACTGAACTTTAAACGATAATATAAGTATCTCTGAGATATGCAAGTTTATAAAATATTTAATGATTCTGTTTCATATTTTAGAATTCAACTAAAATGTTTAACAAATTAAAAAACAATAAATACTAGCTTCGGGACTAGTAGATGACACTAGTAATTTCAGGGAATTCTACAATGTTTTTGTTTCAAGTTTAGTTACTGTTTAAGCGGCTATATCACATTTCCAGGAAAACGAACGATAATAGAGGTATTTTCCAGAATTTAAAATAGACGTGAAGACACATTTCTAGTATATATATGCTGTATTAAACAGGAATTATTGATAAATAAAAAAAAGTATAATTACTGTACAAGTAATAATGGATCAAACTCACTTAATATGTTACTATAGTGATTAAAAGAAGAGAGCGTGAGTATAATTTATTCAAAACATCCATGTACTTTCTCTTATAAGAGTCGTAGAGAATTCTTAATTTTGAAAAATTTCGATATATTCCCTTACTATAAATACTATATTACCAGAGAAAAGGAGTGAAAATAAAGTATGACGAAATATAACAAGCTGAAAAACAAATAATGAATAAGATTATATATCATAATTGATATTGAAAAGATGAAGAAATTACCCATTTTGGAAGATTTGCTGAACAGTTCGTTTGGTTACAGTTTGTTTGACCATTTGGATAAGCTTGTTGTTCTTTTTCATTCATACCATTCCCTTTTTCCTTCATATCTACATTTTCTGAGCCAGTTATTTTTTTATCTGAAGAAAAAATGGAAAGTATATTTTCCTGTGATATAAAGTATTGTAAATTTACTTACTATGTGAAGCTGTGGCATAATCAGCTATTCTCATTAATATAGACAAAGCAATATAAAACATACAGTGACCAAAGTATACCCAAAGCATCCATTTTGGCATGTTTATTTTTCCTAATCTTGTGCCAACCATCATTACAAAAACTGAAGCATACAAAAGCTTATCAGTAATGGTATTTTGTAACGGTAAAATAATATTTAAATGCATTGTTTTTCAACTACATACATCCGAGTGAATAAGACAGGTATCCTACTATTGTATGGCAAGTTACGAAGGTGCTTCGATGCTGAGAGTCTAAGCCTGGACGTAGCATTCCCATAATTGGCTGTTTAGTTTAGTTGAAATTTTAATAAATTAAGATATAAACGGTAATATTTACATTTATCACAGCAAATGACATAACAATTATTCCGACAATCGGATGTGCCTTTGTAAAACTAGTGGCCGGCTGAAGGAAAAACAATTGGAAATTATCATTTATCAAGATGAAATAGGAAGAAAGAATAAATTTATTTACGCTGGAATATCCTCCAACTTCTACGAATATTAAGATAAAAGCAATAGAACTTAATAGTACACCGGATAATACGAAAATTCGATGCAACTGAAAGGTAAATCGACAAGTTTTTAAAAAGGGAAATATAATTTGACATTTGATTTCTAACTTACCCAAAACCACAATTTAACTCCTTTACAATCTTTATTTCCAATGTAATCTTTGTAATACCTTGCAATAAATACTCCACAAGGAATAAAGAATGCCCAGGCAAGTGTCATTAGAGCGGCATGAGCTTTAACACGACCAGGCGCCGCATTTGAACCACCAGTATTTTTCTTTGTAGTCAAATCAACTTTATCAGTAATTTTTTTATTGTCACCATGATAAGTCAGTTTAGAATCAGATACACTGCCTCTTGCGACAAACAAGTGATATTCTGTTCCTGCGCTAATGTTAAAAACTTGACTGCCAAATTGCGCTTTATTTCTTGAAAAACTGCATCTTACTCTTGAATCTTCAACTTCAGTTTTAACAGAAGTAATTCCATTATAATTGGAAATTGTCTCCGGGGTTGATTGTCCCTTTGAATAAGAAATCTCGACTCTTGGATTTGAGCCGGATATTTTTAAACAAGCGAGTATAGAATCGTCACCCATCTTCTTATCTTTTGACAAGCCAAGTGCAACATAGTCAGTTTTTGCAGACATTGAAAAATCTACTAAATCCCCATTATCTTTCCAAGTAATCATAGCGTCACACTTAAATTCGTCACTACAATCGTCGGGTTCCCGATAGCATCCTATAGTTGTACCACATTCTTTTTCAATATCTCCAGCCTATTAAAGTCTTATATTAGTAACAATTCCATAATATATTACATACATCAAATCTAACTATCAGTCATAGTAGGCTAGAGGTGAATTTAAGAAGGTTTTTCAAAGTATTTGATACTAATAGTATAAATTATCGATTGGGGTTAAAATTAGGAGCATTTACATTTTAATGAAAGTCAAAGATTCAATAGTGGTATAAACCAAAGCAACTTGTTTCTAATAAATAGAAGGAAGATTAGCATAAATATAATTGATCTATCTAATCTAATATTCGAACAAAACAATAAAATTGTTTTAACGACTTCAAATATAAATAGAAAGAGTTTACAACCTGTATTAAAGTAGACATGCAGAGAAGACATATTATTCTTAGCCGAACTGTCATCGTATCCTCTTTTCTTCTTGTAAATACTGTTAATTTTTAAGAAAAATTTTATTAAAATCCCTCTCTTAAATCTTATACCAATAAATTATTGCCCAGGTAAGTTCCAATAAAAACAATATCTTTATAATAACCTATGTATATATAGAATCATACAATTGTATAAATTAATTCATACTATATATATACGTACTAACAATCCGCCAGACAGTCGTAATATTATGCAGCAGAACTAGTCAAACTGTAATGTTTATTGAATTTATATTTATATTCTCTACCTTTGCCTGGTTACTGATTCCTCTTCAAATGGTTAACCTGTAATCAGAGCAGCTCAGAATCATAATGGACATGGAAACTGATGGCCAACGTATCTTTTGTGTCTAATCTTTAAAAATAGATTTTTATATGTAATTAGTGCATTAAAGATAGTACATAAAATTCCCATTGTTTAATTAAAATTTATATGCATTCTTACTAATATATTGCATTCATCATAAAACTATATTTTTAAATTAAAACTATTATCAAGTGAATATAAACAATTGTTTTGTTTGCGATGAAATGCGACAAACGTAATATATAGATGAACTTTAATGTCCTGTTTACCTGTTTAATGAAAAGGACGATCCCAAACCTAGAGAGGGGGGAAAGCTGAGTCATGGTTAATAGTGGGAAAAAGTGTCTCATTTTATAGGTTTTCAACTTTTATATTATCCATAATTCCTGAGAATTCTAGCTATAATTAAGATTAGAAATATGAAATAGATTCGATATTGCTCAGATTTTAATACATTAATTGAGTAATTTAATTAAATATATGATAATCTACTAAATTTTAGTTTGTAATTGGTTTGTTTTATGTTATGATTAGATAAGATTATACCAATTGTGGGATAGTGAGCTAGTGCTATTGAAGTTATTAACTAATGAAAGAGCTCATAAATAATCGAGAGAGAGAGAGAGAGAGAGAGAGAGAGAAAGCAGCTTTATTAATCTTTTTTTCATCTTTTTTCTTAAAAACTAAAAAGTGCACTTTTTTTTACAGAAAAAAAATCTGCACTGAAAAATCTAGGTGGGTTATTTATGATACAAATGTTTACTACTAAATAACCTTGACCGGGCGCGATGATTGATTAAATTGAATATGTTTTTTTACTGCTTTCTGAGTGAAGTACATAACTAACAGTAAAAAATTTTAGCTTTGAAAAGATAGTAAAGATATAGTCTTATATTCTTTTGACGTAGAAAGTAGGTTTCTATGAGTAGTTGTAACATTTTATTTATATATGATTTCAATCATAAAATATAACGGATCTCTTCTCTTATAACTTAAATTATTGAAAAGGGTGACAAGAAAGGGAAGATAAGTGATTACGTGAATAGAATCATTGGTCTATTTGTCGCACTATACTGAGCTATATCAGCGTCAACTATCTTCTTTACAATAAACATCTGTAAATGAATATGTACTAGGTAATTAAAGTAATCATCATTTTTTCAGCCATATTTTTTGTTGATGGTAGTTTTAGTGCAGGAGAAAATAAATTGAAAATACTGCACTATAACCCTCTTATGCTCACTAGCTGTTTCCATAATAATCATGATAAAGTGTATATATTTTCCAACAATATTATGAAAACAATTCAATAATTTATACTTCTTTATCACCATGAAAATACGAGAGCTAATGTATGATGAATATATAAAAATAACTATAAATAGAAAATATAAGTGATATTAAATAGTTCCAAGCTTATTATCTCTTCATAAATATTGCTGGTTAGTTGTTTTCTTTGATGAAGAAGATTCAGTATGTTGCTTTCGTTATAAAATTCTGTCAACTTGCTCTCCTTACTAATTCAGTTGTTCCTTAATAGTTTAATTTAGCGACTGAGTAGATTCTTCTTACTTGAGAAAACAGTAATTGTCAATGATGTATTCTGGAAAAATATAGTAAAAATAGTAAAAACAAAAGAATTAAAAGTATACAAAACTTATTTGGAATTATATTACAATCTTTTCTTTAGTATCATCTTCTTTTCTTAATAATTTTGAGACAATTTGACCTATTTCTTTTCCCTAAGATGAAAAATTTTCTCAACATAGAATAGATACATTATATCTAATTTTGATGTATTTCTAGTACGAAATATTCAGTCACTGGTGAATTTCTCATCTCATTTCTAATGTGATAAAGAGATTTCATTACACTTGCCAATCAGAATTTAAAATAATAACGCAGTAGATATTGAGGGTTTATCGTCAAATTTCTGCAAACATACCTGTAATATCTTATTATCTAGAGAGAATTATTGAAGATTATGCAAAAGAGAATAATAGATAACTTATCTCTATGTTTCGTTGTCTGTACCATTTTGTCTACTTCAAATTATTAAATATAATAATTACATTTTAAAATTAGTCTTTATTATTCTAATAATAATTTTATTTAGTGATAAGAAATGACCTACTTTATATTAATACTATCTAAAATTAATTGTTATGTAAATTAGGTGACTATAGATTTATTGTTTTAAGAAATAAGACATTATATATATATATATCTGTATATAAAAAAATGAGAGTTCACTTATAGTTTGTATTCTACATAGAAGTTGACAAAAGTTGAGTGCAAACTTTCTATTAGAATATTTAATTAACTAAGGCTTTTAGAGATATTTATTAACGTACATATACATACACACATATAAATTTTATACTATATTTGTACGAATTTATATAATTGATGGAATTGATGAAATAATAGTGAGATGCTATCTTCAAAGAAACGAAAGCTCCTAACACAGACTAAATATGGTAGTTAGAGAACTGATAGAATATTCTTTAATCGATAGGTATAGTCTACTTTTGGTGTTTTTCTCTTCAAATATATTTCAGTACTAATCACTAAAACACCCAGAAAATGGAATCTATGTAAAGTAACTATAAACAGTCTTTTTTTGTTTATGTACTTTGCCATAGAGCTACGTTAAAGGCGTTAAAACATTATTTATTTGAAGGAATATACCTAAAATTAAGAAGAATTTAATTTATTCAAATTTAAACATTAATATTATGAATATGCATAAGGTACAGCATTGACGAATAGAATAAATATATTAACAAAATAAGAACATATCACAACAGTGTCTTCAATTAACAATGAGGCAGATATACGTTATCTCGTTAAATAGTATAGTTTCTCAAGGACAAAGGGTGTTAAAGCGGAGAATAATATGTTGAAAAAGTTGCTTTTAATCAAATTTCCTGTAGCGCCTAGTCCATGAGGATTTATTCTAAAGTAAATACTTTCTACCGAATAATCTCTGTCATTGAAATGATAACCGACTTTATCATTTCTAGTTTCTCCTCCAGCCGTTAAGAGAAAGAAATTGGTGGAGGTAAAATCAAAGGGCGTAGAAGTATATTTTTTACGTAACAAGGAAAATCGGCATCGAATGACTGAGTCTCTAATTTCTTCTCTCGCATTTGAGAATCCTCCAAAATCAATTTTACTTAAAGTTTTGTAATATGACCTATAAGTTTCTAAAGTTGGAAGTCCCTCAGACGTTTTACGGCATAGCTGAATGTGATCTCCACCCATGTATTGATCTCTAGAAAAACCCATAGCAACGTAATCTTTTTTACCCATCATTTCGAAATGAACGAAATTGTTTTCAGCTTTCCACGTAATAATTCGTTGACAACTCTTCTCACTATTACAATCTGCTGGTACTTTGTGACAAAATTTATCCTCGTCACAGTCGGATAGGTCAATTGCTTCACTCTGAAAAAAGTGGATGAAGCAAGTAAACAATTTTTACAGTGGTATGATCGATAATTGGTGAGAAAATACCTGAACATTTATTACAGTTGTCTGCAGTATAATAATAATAATACTTATGAGCTTCATCCTAAAGATGAGATTTTTCTCTATCAAATATAAACATAATTCAATTAAATTTATTAAAGAAGATATTAATTTATATGGAATTAGAGACTATTTACATAATCTCCAAGGTGCTACAATCGAGCCCAGTTCGTTGCTCTCATGCCTTTCTATACGTATTGAACTAAGGAAAGCAATGAATCAGAATAATCTTTAGTATGGTTACCTGCTAAAATTTAAACATAGATATGTCCTGGATACTGATCAAGGAGTTTGTGACGAAAAACAAGTAAAGCATGCAATGAATCATTCAAGATTCCAAGCTTAAGTGTTCAAAAATTTATTTATTTTTAAAACATCAGGATGGAAAGTGATATCATTCACTTGTTCAATTAATTAAATACTTAATACATTATGCTATTTTTAGCATTTTCATAATTTAACAAAAGAAAGAAAACTCCATCAATATTCTATTTCTTTAATGTGCAATCATTTAAAAAGAATTACAGTATTATTCAATGAAAAAAATAAAAAATCTTCATTCTAGCACACCCTCTCACCCATGTTTCATCTCCCTCTCTCTTTCATTGTCTATCTGTACTTGAATATTTTTTTTTTTTATTGAAAACTCCAATCAATTCTCTTTCGGGCAGTAACTACAAACACGGTTTGTGCTTTTGTTACAAGGTGTAGTCATTCAGAGCATACAGGCCTACAGTAATATCATTCTAACATAAGGAAAAAACTGTAAAGTCATTGTGATTAAGAACGAGTACCTATAAATAAAAGGGTATTTGTTTAGAATATTTCAAACGTATGTATTATTATACTACAAAGAACTATTTAAAAGTAATATTTTGGAAGGTTTTAACAGCTATTTGTTGTTCGACCATACATATTAATTAAGAATTGCAGCAAGCACAAATAATAGACTGGTTAAGGTTACAATCTTAAGATTATTATACGTTGTTATTGAATTTCCCCCAGATCCACCAGATCCGCCAGATCCACCAGATCCACCAGAATTTGGCTTTTTGGAGAAGTCAATTTTAGAATCTGTAAAAAATCTTGATGAATGTCGTGTTAGGCCGTTGCCTTCTGTGTCTCCTATCGCCACAAATAGGATATACGACTTTCCCGATCCTATATCAAAAACATTGCTATTTCCTGTAGACTTGGGTCTGTCAAATTTGCATCTAAGAACGGCTCCGTCAACTTTGTTACTTATACCAGTTAGCCCATTGTAAGAGACATCACTTGGTGGAGATCTGCCGCTAGACTTGTAGGTTTTAACTACTGGACCTCCTGAAGATTGCTTTAAACAGGCGTGAATAGAATCGTCACCCATTACCTTATCATTTGAGAAACCAATACCAATATAATCCTTCTTACCAGCCAATTCGAATTGGATTGAATTTCCATTTTCTTTCCATGTAACAATAGCACTGCAGTCACCTTCATCTTTGCAACCTGGTGTTTTCCAACAATTTATGGTTTTGCCACATTCAGCCAAATTAATTTTCTGTCCCTGAATTAATTTTCAAAGTTTTTTCCTAAAAATATAAACATAAAACTATCTGTACCTGAATGAACTGGAATAAAAAGCAGGCTATAAAAACGCAGAAACTGGAATGATTAGTAATTTCCATTTTTAAATTGAAACTTTCAAATTTTTTTTATAATTTCTTTTAAAATGGGTAATACTGATTAATTGCTTTGTCCCTGTTTACTTTACTGGTACGTTTGGCTCCCTCCTACAGATTATATACGTTTGCGCCGCAATTGAAGTGTGGTTGCCTGTCCCTGATAATTTACTTATTGGATAATTATAGCAGATTATCTTGAAACATACAGTATATAGTATTACATCTAATTTACATAAAGATATGCTAATTTTATGGTATATATAAAAGAGAATAGTAAGAACCAGGGTTAGGGTATTTAAACAGTAAAATTACACGTAAACCAAACATTACTGTGTTAAAAATAAATATAATGAAGAACTGGAAATTAACGACAATAATTTTCAAGAAATATAATATTTAAAACTAGACATTTTGATAAGAATTACATTCACTGATATATCAATATTTGTATTTCGTATATATCACCAAACAAAACAATTTAGCATGGTTTCAATTATGCAAATTATCTATGTTTTGAAGCTAACTGGATATTATTATAATCTCATTATAAATGAAACGTTTCATTATTATCTTAAAGCATATGAAGAAATTATATAAGAATTTAATTGCTCAAAACTTGAATAACGATGAGGAGAGTGGACGTTAAAAGCAAGATTGATAAATTGCTTTTTATAGCTTCAGCTGAGCTTCCAGCGGGTGAAGAGGTATAATCTATTTTACCATCAGAATGACCTCTTTCTGCTTTAACATGTGCTGTTAGTTCGTTTCCTGATAGGTCTCCCATTGCCCAAAACAGAATATACTTCTTTCCTGAATCCAGATCGAAAACATCTGTATTTCCAGTTTTTTGGGGTCGGGTAAATCGACATCGAAGTACTGAACCCTCACTTTCAATCTTTTTATTTGTCAACCCATTGTAGGAAACAAGTGGTGGCTTACTTTCGCCAGTTGACTTGTAGGTATTAATAACAGGATTTCCTGTTGATGGTTTCAGACATGCATGAATAGAATCGTCACCCATAGCTTCATCACTCGAAAAACCAATAGCGGCATATTGTTTCTTTCCCATTACCTCAAAATCTAAATCGTTTCCATTTTTTTTCCAAGTGACAATACCGATACAATCTGTTTCATCTTTACAGCTGCTTGGTTTCTTCCAACAATTTTTCGTTTTTCCACAGTCAGTCATATCAAGATTTCCAGTTGAGGGTGAAGAAGGAAGTTTTGTGTAATCTATTTTACCATCAGAATGACCTCTTTCTGCTTTAACATGTGGTGTTAGTTCGTTTCCTGATAGGTCTCCCATTGCCCAAAACAGAATATACTTCTTTCCTGAATCCAGATCGAAAACATCTGTATTTCCAGTTTTTTGGGGTCGGGTAAATCGACATCGAAGTACTGAACCCTCGCTTTCAATCTTTTTATTTGTCAACCCATTGTAGGAAACAAGTGGTGGCTTACTTTCGCCAGTTGACTTGTAGGTATTAATAACAGGATTTCCTGTTGATGGTTTCAGACATGCATGAATAGAATCGTCACCCATAGCTTCATCACTCGAAAAACCAATAGCGGCATATTGTTTCTTTCCCATTACCTCAAAATCTAAATCGTTTCCATTTTTTTTCCAAGTGACAATACCGATACAATCTGTTTCATTTTGACAGCCGCTTGGTTTCTGCCAACAATTTTTCGTTTTTCCACAGTCAGTCATATCAATTTCGGCATTCTATAATAAATAAACTAGACTTATCTCACCTCGAAGACTTTTTATGAGAAATACTACCTGAATATAAGCGATAGATATAAGGAGAATTACGGACCAAAGATAGAACATTGCCTCCTTCATCATTGTCAATTGTAGGGAACTGTTTCAATAAACGTGTCTATTAATGTTACTAAAAATAAGAGAGACAGAGAGAGAATACACTGTACATGTATAGAACAATTAATAATATGAATAACATAAGCTTACGCTTATATATCATCTCATATAAATATCATCTTTCTGAACATGAAAAAAACGACTAGTTGACTTTCCACATTGATTATTTTAAGGGCGTTTTATGTTTATTAATATTTTATACTATTACTTTCTAACAATCTATTCAAACTTATAATTTTACGTTTTGTTGATCTTTTCCGGCCATATTTGAATTCCTCCCTACAAGAATTTCTAATAAACTATTGAACTACTTTGAATTCTATTATTCAGTATTTGAAACGTCAACGACCTGTTACTGCATCTTAAATCTATGCAGTCCTGTTAAGAGAATTATATATTAGTATATTAATTTGTATTTATATACTGTATATACTTGTATATATTCTGTAAATTATTTATAAAACAATTCAGCATTTAGAAGATAACAGGAAATTATCAATTATATTAATAAACTTTAGAAAATAAAACTTCTTCAATTAGTAAATAAACAAACGAAAGACAAATGACAAAAGAAACAATGCCGAATATCTTAATAAAAAATTATTTCTACATTTAACTCACCTCAAATTTTTATTTAAACTATTCTAGAGTTTTCAACGTCTCTCTCAACACTTTTTTGAGAATTGAATGAAAGAAAGTAAATTTATCGAATAGGCCTATATTTAATCTGGTTGCTTACCAAATGATATTTTTAATATAAAAAGAGTTGATTTTCCTACAGCAGAAAATTCTAAATAGTATACTTCTGGCTAGATTTTAATAGAGTGAATTGAATATTAATACGAATGCTGAATATGACTCATTGCATCATAGCAAACCAAGTAAAGTCGTGATATAAGTTTTTTCTCCCCATGTTCAAGTGACTATGATTCAAATATAAATGTAAAACGTATTATTCTTATCAATTCCCCATCTCTCAATATTAAACAATTGGCAGTTGAGTTGAAACTTTTGAAATTCACTGTCGACCCTACTTGTGCTTGTTTAAATATTAAAAGCTGATTTACGTTATATTTAACAGAACAATATAGCTTCAATACCCAGAAGTGGGATTGTATTTCTTATTGTAGGCTTAAAATTTCAGTTCATTTTCTTACTTTAGCACTGTAATATAGTATTTATATTGTGGAATAAATATCCTTTTTTTTCAATAGGAAATTGTCATATACATTTTCTTATTTCTTAGTTGTTTAATTTCTAAGTTGTGCTATAGATTTTGTCTCAATAAATGAGTATTATTAAAATATATACTATATACAGTATATACACGTATTTCTTCTACCTATGTACGTGTAAATGTTCTATTATTTAATTATACTTTTCATTGAAATAACTTAAAAAAAATTCTAATGCCTTGAAATGTACTTGAAACTTTATTTTTCTCCTTGCCCTACAGGTGACCTGAGTCACGTAAGTCACGCAAGTCTGACTATACTTCTAGACTAGACAATTGTTCTCTGTACTGAACGAAAAAAGTAATAATACTAGGGAACATACCAATCGAAAAGGACATAAGTGCATGGAAATAATAGAAAAGATGCAAAGCTATTCATTGAAAAAAAAATTGAATTGATATAACTCATATTTCAATCTTTCTGGTCTATATACTTAAATATTCAACCGTTATTACATTTAAAAAGGAATTATAGTATATAAATATATTTCATTCTGTAGTATTTATATTGCATTAGTTTGAAACTTTCTCTTCGTTCTTGTCAGTTTTTATTGAGCTGTTCTTGTGAGCTAGTTTCTTCCATTTTAGTAAGTTTATACTTTAAGGTTTAAAAAAAAATTGAAGCATTTAGTAGAGAGATTAGACTGTAAAACAAAAACGTACTTTGACCATTCAACGAGACATTTACATTCTGGTAGAATTTCAGATAATAGTTCGTAACATGGTAAACAAATACCCACAATAAATCCTATTTCTAGTTCGGGAAGTTCGTCCTTTTTCTCTCTATCCATCATTGGAATTACTTGCATACCCAATTGCTTTTCTTCGTCACCCTCCATTAAGGAATTGTAGAATGATAGAATGATATAAATAAAAAATGTTAAAAATTATTCTTATTTGATTAAGGTATTACTTGATTCCAAAATTCTTCCATAACTACAAAGACCAATTGTAATTGTAAGGACCACGGTTTATACATGTTACATAAATCCGAAGTTGTCATAGTAATAGCCATTGTAAGATTTCTACTTTGTCTATCGTTCCAGCCAAACTTTCCAGAGTCATAAATCTCTCTTAATTTCGCCCTATTACCAAAATACAAAGCCAAATCTGTAGCTAAAATACAATGTTTCATTATAAGTAGGACTTCTTCGTATTCATCAGGAGTAAAATATTCAAATATGTTATGCTCCGGATACTGCAAAATAACTGTTGTTTGTTGAAAATGATGTTGTTCCATTGTACTAGTTGGGTACATTAGGGCAAGAGGAGCTTTTCTATTAACTAGATGTTGATTTGTGTATCCTCGATGATCAACATCGTGACATAGACAAGCTATATAAATAGCCATGACCTAATTATATATAAATATATAAAATAAGATTTTAAGTTAAAATAAACAACGATCGAATAATAAAAGAACCTCTAAAGGTCTAAACTGATGAGAAGTAGACTTTAAGATGCTATATGCGGCATTAGCAACACTAAATGCATGAGCCCAATTATGATATGGTATATTTCGATAGTGTTTTCTAACGGTAAGAACAAACTTCATCATTGTTTGTAAATTAAACCTAAAAAAAAGTTTCAATGTATAGTTAACAGTATTAAATTCTTTATTTATGCATATTTCTCTTACTTCATATCCGGTCTCGATTTCCTTTTATAAAAATATTCCACTGTTTAGTATCATTTTATATAAAATACTATTAAAAAATATACATACTGAACCATGACCATTAATTCTTTAAACATGAACAACACTATGACAGGACGTTTTTCACTCTTTATCGACCAGGGAGAGAAATCGAATTTTGTAAGTACTGGAAAAGATTCAGGTATCTTTTCTTTTCTTAGACTTTCTATCTCTTCTGGAGTTGCTGTTACTTGATAATGAAGCGTATCATAGGCTATCTGATTCCTTAATTTTAACGAATTAAACTTATCAATTATCTTTGCGTATTGTAAAGTAAGAGCGCAACAAGTGCTAATATTTTCAATTAAATTCTCATCTTCTTTAAGGAATCTTCCATCAATTTTATTAATAAGTTGAAGAACGCCAATGGTCCTTTAATATATATATATATATATATATATGCATATTGCAATTGGAAAATCAATGTTTAAATTAGATACCTTCTCCTTATGATAATTGGGCAACAAAGTGTTGTTTTAATATTAAAATCTAGGTCATCGTTCATTGATCCATTACACCTAGAATCTTGAATTGTGTCCGTTATATTTAAAATTTTACCATTTCTAACTGTCCAACCAATACAACCAACATCAGCTGAATATCGAATTTCTAATGAACCTTTATGAGTTTCATTTGTAAACTCTTCAAAATTTTTACTATAAACTTCATTATTCTTTTGATCTACAAGAAATATAAGCGATTTTTCGGCACCTAATAATTCCTTAGATATTCTCTACTATGTGGGAAAAAGAGGCCATACTATTTTAAATCATCCTTATTGTTTTTATTAGTATATGTATATATATATACGTTACCAAAATCTTATTCAGTACATCGTCTATTGGAAATTTCTCATTATATAACGATCTATTTAATTAAAAAATGATGTTAATGATTAAACACAAATTAATAAAACGACTATATATAGTACTAACTTAATTGTAGATATCGTAAACTTGTTTAGTTTATCCTGTTGCCTTTGAAGACGTTTTAACTAATAATTAAATACAATATATACACAATAGACTGTATAAGGATTATTCATACCTCAAATCCGTAGAATAGCATATCCGATTGATAGCTAATAGTAGTTAAAAACTACAATATAGTAAATATTTATTATTAACGTAAAGGAAAGATAATAAATCATTAACATTTTCCTCAGTTTCCGTAAAAGGGAAATTTAAGGATATTCGATAAATTTCTATTACACCAATTAATTGAGATTCTTCAATATTTATGATTGGACATGTTAGAATTGAAGTTTCTTCTTCATCGCAAATATTACTGTTTAAACCCTCCGGAAAGTTTTCATCCTATAAATAAAGTATATTTAATACAGAAGAATAAAAGACTAATTTATCTGAAAGTACAATTTGTAGATCTTTTGAACAGTTTACTCTAATAACTTGATTTTTAAATGCTGAATAAGCGGCAATATTTCCACCTGGCTCAATTCTCCAAGATAGTAAGCTATTAGCTTTATTTCTATAGGAATAGTATAAAATATCAATATATGCTATTTGTTAATTAAATAATTAAACAATTTTACCCTCTATTAGGTGATGAAAAATATATTGTTTGATTTCCATCATCATAAGGATAGGCGTTATAACCGTCAGCTGAGAAAACTGTTTAATATAGAATTATATTATGAATATTCAAATTTAATTAATTATCAATTAGTTAATATTCACTCTGAGATAGAGTTTCTCCTAATCTATGAAGAAAATTAACGGAATCTGCAGAGTCAGTAATATATTTTGCCGATTCAAAGAATTTCCTACGAATATCATTCTGTTGAGATCCTAAACTTATCCTTCTACCTATTAATAGTATAGTTTTTGAATATTAATTAGCTATAATATATTCATAAATTTAATTAGAAAAGATAAAAAATAAATCATTACTAGGACGTTTTTTCGTCTCTTTCCATGCATCGATTCTCTCTGAATTAGCATTTTTGGAAACAAACTTATCCAAAAATGATGGATTTCTAATCAAGTATCTTTCAATTCTCTCTTCTTCATCCTTATCTAAAATATTTCGATATTTTAATGAATACATAAAGAGTATACTTAATTATATGATAAAAACGTCTACTTTCATTTCAACAAACCTCTTAGTATACTTGCTCTTGTGCTCATTAATAAATATATAAATATATATACATATACATATGTATATATATTTCTTTATATTATTGTTATCAATAGAAATTTATTATGCTTTCTATCCTTTAGCATTATATGAAAATTAACAGTGATGTCATAAGATTTTAATAGGCCTGTATTAATAATTCTGAAAACTATCGTTCTTACTGTATATACTTCTTTTTCTTTATTCAATAAATTGTTATTATAAACTTTGATTATTAAATTAAACGTTTATTAATTATTAATATCTTTGCTTAAGACTAAGTTCTATATCTATTCTTTTCTCTCCTCTTTCTCTCTTCTTCTTCTTCTTCTTCTTCTTATCCTTCTTCTCTTTAGCTAATCGTCTAGTAATGAATTTCTGTTGATTCTTTTCGTAAATGGTAAATTTAGATCGTTTTTCAATTTTTGGTCACGTGACTCGGGTGAAATTTTAGAAAGGTTTTGTATAAGTTCTTGTCTTGTATTGCGAATATCCATAAAATAGTAGATCTAATTTAGAACAGATTCAAGATAATAAATAAGATTAATTATTATTAAAGACAATTTTTCGAGTGTACTTGCGAACAGTCTGAAGTAAAGAGATTAGGAGTGGGATATCGATAATCTTGATATTTCTCGGGATTAAGTACTGTATATTCCTCACTTGTATTTTTTTTTTGTAATAATTTGATAATTTTATTATATTTTTCCTTCATATCAACTTTTATATTATAATCCTGTAAAAATTGATTATCTCTAATTTCAGTAGTCCTCTTATCATTCAGATTTGCCCCTTGTCCGTTATCAAGATCAGAAACGGATAATGATGCCGTGCTTAATTTAGTAAGGATTGTTTTGTTTTTATTTAATAATTTATCGGGTTTATTTACTAGTCTTTCAGTAGGATAAATTTCTACATTATTCTTTTTATTCTTCAAGTGATACTCTTTAGGTTTTTTGTCGCTTTTCCCTGTTTTTCTCATGGAAAACTATATTTATATTGATAGTTTTATTTTGTGTTTACTTTTTATGGAGATTTTTTATTTTAAAATTCTTTATTATTTCATCTATTTTACATATTCTATAAAAGTATTAATAGCGCTATTTATTAATTACTGTAGAGCTGTTTCTGATTTCATATATATCGCTATTATCTTTGATATTCCCGCTATAAAATGAATATTTCACTAACAATTCTGTTTTTTAGTAATAAAATTTGGAAAGAAAAAAGTTATGGCTGTCATATATGCTTAACAATGACCGCCATTTTGGAAATACTCTTTGATAACATTGAGCTGTACAATACGCATGGTACGGTGATTTCTTTAAAAAGTAGAGGGAAATTTAAAAATCTTCTCTTTGTAACAGACTAAACGATAATTTCTCATTCAGATGTTGTATGTTCAGAGTTAAGACTAAAAATATGATGGACTAATATTTAGACGATTATAGAGAATTAGATTTTGAGATATCATTTTGAAATAATTTGGGCGATAATACAACACTTCATAAAAACTAAGGTTATTTCTACAGTGGCAGAGAGAATCTGACGAGGATGATTGTTTTCAAACAATGCGATAACATCGAACCTTTTGGCAAGTCATTTTTAGAATATCACCCTGCTAGCGGCGGAGATAATGAATCGAGGAGGGCCTCCATGGGAATGAACCTCCTACGGGATCTTCATAATTTCAATTTAAGCGAAGATACTCAGGTTTATATAACACTTAAATTTGTGATATCTTGTAAACTAAATATATATTCATTTCATAAATATAACCACCAAACAGCAACATAAGTGGAGAATTCAAAAAATATCTATCTATCCTGGTGATCAAGGTTTAGATGGTTCTGAAGGATTATGCAGCGAAGAAGAGTTGTACTATAAAGAAAGGACTGTTGTCTGGAGCACAGGAAGATTTGTCCGTAAGGCCATATGTTCGTTTTCTATGAGAACAAGTGTTCAACAAGCCTTTTGGTGTTCATTTTTAATTTCCAAGAATACTGGAAACAAAACAAGAGGTACGAAAAAAGATATCAAAATAGTTTTATTAGCCATCCTAATTTAAATGTATATTTTTTGTACAGTGGAGACTGAATCTGGAGTTGGTATTGTAGAGAGGAGTGCTTTTTCCTTTTATCAGAAAAATGGATGGCATTACAATGTGGCTGTCCCTTTTGCTGTATGTAGTCTATTCTTGCTGCATAAAAACTTTCCTTCTCCACTAAATAAAACATTTATATACTTATATATATATATATATATAGGTTGAAAAAGCGTGGCCTATTATGAATGGAGTGCTCATTGAATATACCCATAGTATATCTCAATCATCCAGCTATGGTGGCTCAGCTTATAGAAAGAAACATCCGATCCTTTTCAGTATTTTGCATCCGTTGCAAGAAGTCGTTCCGGTGATTCAGAAAAAATTAAATACGAATAAAGTGTCATACGTAGATAATACAGATTGGAGGGTAGTTCATGTTTCCATCGATCCAAGCTTTATAATAATCTTCGATACTCTTCGAAGATCTCATTCCATCTATCTAATAAGAAGGTGTCGTAATGAAGAGGTACAGCATCTTAAAAAGTTATTTATTCCTGTACAAGATGATGATTATTTAATTTTTATTTCCAAAATAGATAAGATCAGTAATGGGTCTTGCTGAAGAAACAACTCAATCAACAACAATTATGTCATCAATGTCGAAATTAACTTTATCATCTTACTCACCCAGTTCATTCTCTCCGTCGTCTCTTTTTCGCTCTCCGAACATTTCAAAATTGTCAACTTCTAGATTGTCTATATCTAAACCACACTCACCGTCTTTGTCAAGAAGAAGTCCAAAAATTGGATTTGGTTCAAGATCTCATCAGTCTACAACTCCGAATCAATCTAGATTTCAGGATGCAACAACAAGTATGCCACCGGATGGTTTAACTCCTCTGCAACCAGATGTTTGTCTAGATCAAATGTGGAGCGAAAGTGGCAATTTGGAGAATCATAGAGCATCCAAAGCTTTTACAACATGCGATTTTTGTTTACAAAGATATATATGTTTAGTTGTTCCGAAGCAAAATTGTATCAAATGTATTAAATTCGAAGAAACTAACGATAAAATGCAGTTGGTTTTGGGTAGCTTATCTATAGTTTATGGCTTTGATGCAGTAAACGTAGAAGCTAGAAATATGATGTTAGTATTGGAGACAAAAGGTAGCCTAGTCTTGTACAGTGGAGTCATGAAGATTGGGGAAGTTTTCCTCAACGGCATAACAACAAACGTTCCATTAGCATCGTCGAGAAGACAATCATTAGCTACAACGGCAATGATGACTGACGACGAAATGCAAGATATGCAATTATCTCCTGTTCAAACAGTTCAAGATATGGAGGGAGACGACCTACTGTTAAACGTGCTTTCCAGAAAAGGTAGTCTATTATCACTTCATTCAAATATAAATGATACAGTGATAATAGAAACTGTTGCCAATGAATATATTAGAGTATCAGTTCCGGCAATTTCGGAAGATTACATTCTGTCAAAAGTTTTAAACGCTTTGCTATATTCCCTACCAAGGGATTTGGGACTTAATCTTATTCAGAAATGGTATGTTATGAAGACATTTCCAGGAAATGAAAATGGTCGATCAGAATGGGATAACTTTTGTTTTTGTTTAATAGAATCTTTTGGTATAAATTGTGATCTATATTTTTTTAAAGAATACGACAATGGAGAAGTAATTAAATTTTTCTACTATATCTTAGTATAATTATTATATTTTCCGATTTTTTCCTTTTCAGACAGGAAGATACTGCGCAGAAGATACGAAAAGACACAAGAAAACTGATGAACCATCTGACGAGGTTGTTATTAAATTGTTATTCTAAGTATTTCTTTTTTATCATTTTTATCTTCTTAACCCAGGATTGGAATATTATTTTGGACTCTCAAATTCATCAGTTATTAGACAGCGAATGCTGTAACGTTCTCAATCTACCTCCAACTGAAAAGTCCAACAGGGACACTAATCATTCGACTACATCATATTCTGTTGAACCATCAGCATTTCTATTACGCCATATTGGAACTGTTTTATATTCTCTACATATTATTTACAACGAATTAATTCTGGATAATTTCTATTCTAATAGTTTAAGGCCACTTTCTCAGTTGCTTATGTTCTTAGCAACTCAACTTCAATTGACAAAATATTGCGAAATGTATAAATTAATTGAACCGTCGTTATGGAATACACAATACGAGAGTGTTCATCTTTCGGATACAATTAAGACGGCAGCCGTGAGTCAAATTCCAAATAAACCTCAAAATCTATTCGACTGGTGCTTGAATATTTTAACTAAAAAGGAAATCACTCCTATTGTCTATATTCCTGGACAAACCAATTTAACCATCAACGTTGCTGTAATATATTGTGCGTTGATGGAAGGCAAAAGCGATTGTAAGTTTATTTTGAAGAAGCTATGTGCCGGACCAAGAGCAAGGAACATATGCAAAGATTTGATTCTACCGAATATCAAATGCAAAAATTTAACAGAAAAGCTGGTTCTTTTACTTGATCATTTTGGAGGTGAAGAATTAAAAATGAGATTACCAAACGCCATATTAATACCTGTTCTAGAAGCGGCTTTGTTAACTAAACCTACTCCTCCTTTGGATTGGCCTAAGTCAGCGTATTCTTTAATATCGAGACCAGATTTGAAGCAGCAAATGGAATTTGAGTATCATTTTATTGAAAGTAGACTAGACATGGACGGAAATGAGTTCTCATTAAGATCAGTAAAAAATCCTAAGAGATCCTTAGATGGTATGGAATTTGTAGAGTTTGATGAAGCTTTGCGACTTCGTTTTCCAAATGATAAACGTACTGGAGAGATAAGAAAACTTCTATGCACTTCCAAACCTGTCTTAATTAATATGGTTCCAGGAAAAATAAAGACTGAGAGTATGGCGATTGAGAAAAGAGAAGAAATTTTAAAGTCCACCTTACCTCGAAGTATGGCATTATCTGTCGGACGTGGAGCTTTCTCGTTAGGGACTTGTAGACCTTTGCCTACAGAACCACATCCTATTCCTGAACTCTGTTTGTGGGGTCGAGTAATTCGTAAGCAAACGCGAGTTGATCTTGGTGAAAAAGGAGAAATGAAAACAAGAAGAATTTGGCCAGACTTCCACAATGGTGTAGCAGCTGCTTTGAGTATTGGAAGTTCTAAGCATATTGATTCTACATGGATCTTAAATCATAGACCCAATAGTGGTTTACTTGTTGATCAATTAACTCCATCTCATTCTGGATTCTTATTGGGCCTTGGACTAGGTGGACACTTGGAGAAATGCACAGAGGAAATACTCCATGATTACTTTTCAAAGCAACAGGAGCTTGCGACAATAGCTTTAATTCTTGGCTATTCGGCGGCCAAACGCACAACTCAGAATGAACTTGCTGTCAGAACAATTGCTCTTCATTTACCCGCTTTACTCGTTCCAACTTCTACACAACTCGATTTACCTTTGAACGTCCAGATTGCCTCTATGACCGGCATAGGATTACTATATCAGGGAAGTGGACATAGTCATATGGCTAAAATCATGCTCAACGAAATAAATAAGCCAGCAGGTCCTGAATTGGATAATAGTGGAGATTTGGAAAGTTATAGTTTAGCTGCGGGTTTCAGTTTAGGTCTAATTTGTTTAGGAAAGGGGACATCGTCAATGAATTCATACGAAGTGTTAGATTCATTACATCATTACATAAACGGCGGTTTAAAACGCGCATATGTAAGTAGCGTTAATATTTTATTTCATAACCTCTTTAAAAATAGTTTGCAAATATTTTTAGACGGGTACCACTCAAGATTTGTACAAAACTCCGAGCGTACTTGTCCATGATGGAGACAGCGTTAATACAAATGTTACAGCACCAGGAGCTCTGGTTGCAATAGCTCTTATGTTTCTAAAAACTCATAATAAGTTCGTTTATAACGTAAACATTACAAATTTTTAATGAAATTAACGAAATTTATTATTTATAAATAGAGCTGCAGTTGATCTATTACGAATCCCCGATACTCAAAAAAATCTAGAATATGTAAGACCCGACTTACTTATGTTGAAGATTATAAGTCGTAATCTTATACTTTGGAACGATATTTTACCTACAGAAGAATGGCTACTATCAAACATACCAAAGGTAGAAATTGTATAATTGCAACAATAGTGCCTCCTTATTCGAATTTTAATTATTTTTTTAATAGGTTGTTAAGGATGCTGCCGATACTATAGAAAATCCAGAAAATTCTGATGATGTTGACTATGAAACAATGTTACAAGCGTACGTGAATATTATTGCAGGAAATTTATTTTCCTTATCTCTGAAATATGCTGGATCGAGTAATAAAATGGCAGCATCATTAATAAAGCAACAAATGGAGTTATTTATAAAATATTTAACATCGGCATCTTATGCTAGATATTTACAATTAGCTGGGAGATATACTGTTGAAAACATCCTAAGTATACTTATAGTAGCACTCGCTACTGTTGAAGCAGGTTCTGGAGATTTAGAAGTTCTACGATATTGTAGATATATTCTAATAGGCTTTAATAACTCAAACAAGAACAAGCAATTGTACGGTAGTTTTATGGCGGCATCTTTGGCAACTGGTTTTATTTTGTTGGGAGCTGGAAAGTAAATTTAATATGTTTTTATCTTATACAATTGAACTGTTCTAATTGTTTAACATTTCTTCATAGATATACTTTTGGAACAACTAATTCTGCAGTAGCAGCACTCTTTATGTCTCTATTTCCAAAGTGGCCAATACATAGTTCCGATAATCGTTACCATTTACAGGCCTTACGTCATTTATACGTTTTGGCTACGGAACGACGTGTATTATTTACAAGACACGTTGATTCTACAGAATTTGTAACAGTTCCTATTGAAATTGAATTAAACGATTTAAGTATTTTGAATGTTCAAGCCCCGTGCGTATTGCCACCACTTGAATTAATTAGAGGAGTTAGACTAAAATCAGAAAGGTATTGGCCAATATCATTTGTTGGATGTGAAATTGAAACCTTGAAAAAGATACTTGCAAAATCATCAACACTTTTATTGAAATTGAGATCTGGAAATCTATCATATGATCAAGATCCTATGGTAATATATATATATATATGTAGTATATTTATACATTGATTGATTAAAAATAATATAAAATTTAGGGACATCATTATCACTCTGATACCGTTGAGAAGGAAGTTGGTAATACACTTTATGACGCTCTTCTTGAGAGAAAATCTGAAAAGAGAGATACAGCCGCTTGTAAACTTATACAAGCAAATGAAATAAAAACATTTACATTCGATCGTCATTTACATGAATTTGTTAGAATTATATTTGAAAATGCTTCAGATTGCGTAAGAATAGCTTTATCTTTGAATAGCCTACAAATTCTTTCTCTAATTACTTCTTTTAATTTATATAGAGAACTCATCCAGTTGAATTTAAGGCAATGATGCATTTATCAACAGCAATTAGAGAATGTGTTTCTCAAGATAAATTAGAAGCTTTATCCGTCCATTGTCAATTGGTTAATGACGTTTTAGTTAAACCAAAAGCTTCTTTAACACCTAAAATAATACTTGGAGTTAAATTGATCGATAAGTGGCTGGATAATTGGAAATATCAAGAAAATTCAATTCGTTTTCTAAGCATTGAAATTGGAAGACTACTCAAAGAAAATATTAATACAGCTTTGTACGATTGGATGAAAGGTGTGTCTCTCTCTCTATCTTGTGCTTTTAGTACAAGTTTTAAATTGTTAATTTCCCTTTTTTAATACAGAAAACAAAGATATTATTCTAAAATATCTAAATGGCCAATGTTTTACGCAACTCTCCCAATCAAATGCTAATATGCTAAGCTCAATTGTTGTTTGGTATGGCCTAGAACACGGCTGCCTCGAAGGAAAAACAATGTCTGGTTCATCTAAATCAGAGATTATGTTTAAACTATTATCAATAGGACTTAATAAGGAAGTTGTCCTGCAATTATCTAATTTGATATAACTACTATTTAATATTTGTTTTTTCTATAACTGTGTCAAGTTATCTACCATCTAAAAACGATAAAATAAAAAAAAAATACATTTATTTCTTTTATTTTTTATATTCCTTTTTTCGTTCAGTTCTTTTTAAATTTCAAAACAATATTTTGCTATGTTTTTATCCACGTTTTTGCATTAATTAGACGAAAGTATACAAACTTTGACGGAAAATTGACTAATCAGACAAACAAAAATGAGTTTTCCTAAGCAAAAAGTAATTTTGGAGAGTTTATCTTTTTCGATTGAATATTCATTAATTCAGTTCTAAAAGTTCTGTTTTCTAGTTTATTTATACGATCTTCACTTATTTGATTATTATTCTGTAATTTATTCATCTCTTCCTCGTATAATTTCAATTTCTCCTTTAGTTTCATTATATCTTCTTGCTGCTTAAGTATTTGTTTACTTTTATCTTTAACAGTCTCTCTGGATTGTTCAAGATCTATGGCTAATTTTTGAGCTGACTTGAAAAAGGTTACTCTTTCTCTTTCGTAAACGTTTAGCCGTTTTGTCATATCTTCGACTAGCTTCTCATTTTCTTGATTTCCCATTTGTCCTATACCATATTCAAATTTAAGCCTAAGGGCAGTATTTTCACTGTGGATCTCAGCCAATTGAATTTCTAGTGTTTGCATATGACATTCTTGCGTTTGTAAACTACTTTCTAGTGATTTTAGTTTGTTATTCATTAAATAATTCTTCTCTTTCTCCTCTTGCAATTTCCGATCATAGTCTGTTGAATGATTTTTATCATCTTTTCTCTCTGAATTCTTTCTCATTAGTATTTCTCTCTGACAATTGAACGCTTCTAATCTTTCTTCGTTTATAATTCTACGAGTTATTTCTTGATGTAGACGACGTTTCAAAGCGTCAATTGTCTTTTCATAGTTTTCATTAGATAATCTAACATTTTCCATACTGTCGCGTAGGCTAATAAGAGACGCTTCAGCAGTATTTAAATCTGCCGATAGATTGTTAATTTCAGATTTATAATCTCTAATATCTTGTTCAGTATCAACTTTTATTTGTTGCAATTCAGCTCTAACGGTGAAAACCTCTTTAGTATATTCCTCTTTAATAATTTTCATACCTTCTTTAAGATGATTTATACTTAATTTCAGCTTATTATTCTCCTCTATCGTTTGTTTATGATAATCTTTTTCTTTATCCATCTCTTGTTTGATTGTCTTTAGAAGAACTTTAAGTTGGTTGAGCTCTGCTTCGGACGCCATTAATTGGTTTTCTAATTCTTTTCTTCCCTTTGATTCACTGTTAAATTGATCGAGTGTTTGGAAACATGATATTATTTGCAGTTCTTTATCCCGTAGCTCCTCTCTAAGATTAGTATTGTCGTTTCTTAAACTTTCTATTGTTCCGCCATTAGCCTCTTTCTCTTTAGTAATAAACTTGACATCGCTAATAAAATTCTCTTTCATTTTCTCTATCCCGTCTTTAAATCTCTTTCTCTCGGCGGATAAAAGTTTTTCCCGGTCTTCTAGCTTTTGACAAAGAATCCGAACTTCATTGCGAGCTTCTTGTAGTTCGTTTAGCCCTCTTTCCTGTAAAATTCTTTCTTCTCTAAGTCTTTGCTCCAAAGTTGAAACTTCCATTTCGAGGTGATGTATTCTTTCAGCGTGTTGAATTTGCTGTTTCTCTTCAAGAATTAATTGTTCTCTAACAGACATATGCAAGTGTTTCTCGTTATTTAGAGTACTCTTAAGTAATTCACAATCGTTTTGTAATTGATTATTTATCTCATTCAAACATCTAACTTCACATTTGGCTTCGGAACATCTTTGTCTTTCCTGCCTCAAGTGGTTTTGCTCATCGTCAAATCGATCTTTAAGCATTTGAATATCCTGCTTTAACAGTCTATTCTCGTCTGAGATCTGTTCAGCTGCTCGGCTAGCCAACTCTTGCTGTTCTTTATATGCTAATCGTTGAGTCTCTAAGTGTCTAATATCACTTTGTAGAGCAATATTATGATCTTGTGAACTTTGAAAGTCCCTTTCTAAACGATTTATTTGAGTTCTACAATCTCCAAGACGCCTTCCCGCTTCTACTACTTCGTCTTTTATCCTATAAAGCTCTTCGGATAGCCTTTCAACTTCTCTTTCAAGAGCATATCTGTATTTTTAGAAGTAACATTTTTATTTAACATTATCTATAGCAGCCAAAAAGCATTTACTTGTCACATTTTATCTTTTCATTCTCGCTGTCTTTTTCTTCAAGTTTATTCCGAAGAGTGGCGTTCTCTTTTGCTTTATTATCATACTCATTCATCATTCGCTCAATCTCCTCTCTACCAGTTAGACTTTCGTTCGTAATAATTTCAAGCTTTCTGCCTAGATCATCATTTTCGATTGAAAGGCTCTTGAGTTGCTTATCTTTTTGTTTTAATTCATGAGTTTTACCTTCAACTAACGATTTGTGGCATGCAATTTCTGCTGTAAGCACCTTATTGTCTTCCTTAAAGAGAGCTACCGCATCTTCGTAATCTCTTTGCATATTCTTCATACGATTTTCAAGTTCAATTAATTGTCTTTTAGCATCTTGTTCACATCTATGAAGTTGATTATCGTAGTTTTGTAACTGCTTTTTAGTACGATCCATGTCCATTTTGGAGTTGTTAAATATAGTTTCAAGATTTCTGTTCTGATCTGTTATCTCTGTAAGAAGAGATTGTTTTATCATTAATTCTCTGGCAAATTCGTCTAACTTTCGCATAAGCTCAGTGTTTTCTTTAACAACCGTTTCAGTTGCAGTTCTCTGAGATTCGTAGTCGTGACGTAAATTCTCATTGTCTACTTCCATCGATTTTAATTGTACTTCGGCATCAACTAAAGAAGTTAGTGTATTCAATTGGCCATTTTCTATAAGTTTAACAAGTCCTTGGCGTATTTCCATATTTTTTTCGTGTAGAATTTTTTCGAGCTTACCAACCTTTTGCCTTTCTCTTTCGTAATCCGCGGCTACAATTCGTAATTTACCTTTTACATCGCCTATTTCTCTTTCAGCTATAGCCAAACGATTTGCAACATCACTAGTAATTTTATCATTAGATCTCGAATAATTGTTATTACTCTTATTTAGAAATTCAGTATAGACAGATTTTTTATCACTGTGAAAGATAGGCCTACTAAGTACAAACATTTCAGGATCATAGTTTCTAGTCGTGACAATATCAAAGCTATCTAGGTCAGTACATTTTTCTTTGCTTATCGATATTTCTACTAAATCTGTGATCATATATATTGGATTTACGTCATTTCTGTCTAACTTGCCAAATATTTTTACCCATCTCTTATCCTTAACAATAATTGAAATTGTGGATTAGTAATCGCCATGTGTTGAATAAATATACATATATGAATATAATATGGAGTATATTAATCAATGTAGGATGGAGTGCTATGTTACAGGTACATTTTATACATCCCGTTAGTAACTACGTAAATATATATGTATATGTATTTATTTATCTATAAGTACACTAATTTAACGACAAGCTTAAAAGGTCTCCATGCCCTACACATCACATTCTACTACAAATAGAACATAGTGCCTATTTACTTATTTAATACATACAATAACAAACCCTCCCTCAATCAGATAATGAATTTGGCAATTTCCACTTTTTTTTTCAACTATCATTTTTCTAGTTTTTAAGCTACTTTCTCTGTTCTTTTTTTTTGTTCTTTTTTTGGAAGGTTTTCTCTTATAAAAAGTGTTTTTTTTTAAAGTTTTTTTTATCTATATTTTAATATTTTGAAATATTTAAATTTATCTAATTCGTGTTAAAAATAATAAAAAAAAATGATATAAAAAAAAAATCCAAGCCCTAAAAAAATTATTATTTCAGTGAAAGAAGACGAAATTGATTCGTCTGTATGATGCTTACAATATTTTCAATACTCTTTTTTATTCATGTCGTATTACATTAAAAGGTATAAAAATATGTATATAAGCAGAGGGCGTTCCAAAACACCAAGATATATTCAAAATAGAGCTGAAACAAATACTATATTTCCTTAACAACAGTTCACTTGGTACTGCATAAACAGTTCAATAGTAGGGGTATTGCTAGTTTATGTGTTGATCAATGTGATAATGATTGAATATTCTCTGTTAGCTATATTTTTTGAAGATAAATTAACAAATTAGCTCTTGTTTATTATGTTTGACATATTCGCTAGAATCAAGCTGATTTGTTCACCTAGTAACAATCTATGATCGAATGCCGTGCATTTAAAGTGTATTCTATACGAAATTACTGAGCTCTTGTTGTGATCAGCCATAAACTACATACTCGAATATCAAACATTGGACAAAGACAAGGATTGACAAGGTAGGCTATGCATAAATTAATATCTAGAGTTTATGACTAATATTAGAATGTTAGCATAGTTATTTGACTGAAAAATTCAGATATAGTAGTAGTGAGCCTGATAACGCGTTATCTCCAACAGTATCATTCAATTTGAGTGAAATTTGCCAGCTTCGATTAAACCTAAAAAGACTATAGGTAAAAATCTTTTTACTAATATATTCAACATCCACGTTTATATGTTCAGCTGCTTTTGTGTATTGAACAATACATATATATATATACAGTTCCAACAAAAAATCTTGGGCAGGGTTGTCTAGCAATGCGAGAGAAAATTGTGGAACTGGACAAAAGAGGGTTAAGCCAAGTAAAGATCTCCAGAGAGCCAAAAAAATTACTCTCAGAACTATTCAGTACTATCTAAAAAAGAAAGCAGAACATTTTACAATGTAAAATGACCCAGGTCTGCCAGCCCCAAAAAGATTTCAGAAGCAGACAAGAGAAATCTTATTATGATTCAAAAAAAGAATCCCTTTTATACAGCTAGATAAGCTTATAGCCAATGGGCCATAGCAGATAAGGTGAGTTTATCTTTTGCTAAGAAGATATTATTCAATAATGGATTAAAAAGCTACATGGCAAAAGTAAAACCTTTAACAAAATTGGAGAATCGAAAAAAGAGAATTCTTTTTGATAAAAAAAACCCTTAAAACAAGGAGGATGAGCTTGAGAGTTATATTTTTTCTGACAAAACAACATTTGACCTGTTTCCTAAACAGAGAATCAGAGTCAGATGTAAACGGGAGGATAAGGACAAGCCAAGAAACACCAGGAGCAGTTTTAAGACATTTTCAAATATGATGGTTCCAGAACTCTGGCATATTACTCTGAATCAATAGACTCAGAGAAACATATCTCAACTTTAAAAGAGCATCTACTTCCTATCTATAAGACGGAGAACATCTTTCAACAGGATGGAGTACAATGCCACATCTCAAAAGTATCTAAATCTTTTTCAGGACGAAACAAGACTGGCCAGCAGAGAGTCTAGACTTGAATATAATAGAAAAGTGGTCAAACGGAGATCTTTACTTGGCTTAACCCTCTTCTGTCCATAGAAGAGGAATATTTTTTGATTTCTGAAGACGATATAACATTTATATATATATAACTCCAAAAAAAGAAATGCCGCCTTGTCACCCAAAAAATAAAAAGGTGTGTGATAAATTATGGAGTCATGTTGGAATTTTATTCATTTGTATAAATGTCTCATCCTTCATTCTAAACAAAAAGATAATAATTAAACAAGTCTTTTTAGGTAAATATTTCACTTTTTCCACTTTAAGGATAATCCTGCCCAAGATTTTTTATTGGGACATATATATACACGTGTACATGTTAATATTAAATCAGTATCATAAATAAATTGCATGTAATTCATTTAACGATAATGCAAAAAAAAACAGAAAATCAACTAAAAATGACTAAAAAGTTAAAGTTTTGTTTATTAACTTCCTTTATTTTTATTAAAAGAATTCAATTAAACAATTTTGTTTAATTATTTTATTAACTACAACGACTAATCATGAAAATATGATTAAAATTTGTTCCGACATCAATACTAGCAGACAATGGAAGTAATATTAAAGAAACTCTCTTTTGTTCTATTGTCTGCGCGATTCCTAATATAAATATATCCACGTTATTAGTATACATGGTAGCTAGTTGTATACTCTTCTCTTTTTCAGCCAAGGATATGGTAAATAGGCCAGCTTCGGTGTTAACAGTATTTTGTTTTCTCCTCTGTCTCTTGTACGTCTTTTATTGGAAAATTGGAGAGCCGAATAACGATAGTATTGAATCTATAATCGATTTATCATACAAGAACCCTCATAAATTCCGAAACCCTTCTCCAAAACTTGCCGAAGGTAGGCAGGCACCTGATGAAAGTGATTATGAGGATATAAAAAATCAGTTAATAGATCTTTTTGACGATGATCTATTCAATTTTTCTGCTCCATTACGTTCTTTAAAACGTAAACGAACTATCAGTCGCCAAGTAGTCGCGTTAGAAAATTTTCTAGAGGCTTATCACCATAATATTACATCAACAAGAGAAAAATTACTTAAATGGATGGAGGATCCAAAATTTCGAGATTTAGAACCAATTGATAACGTTGCTGACGCATATAAAGACGATTTTTTTGATAGAGTCATGAAATTAGACTCTGTGAGTACTATTGTTCTTTGGGGTGAAAGCTTGGAAGAAATGAAAAAGATAGTGCCGGATCAACATTTTCCTTACACGTCGTCCGACTGTAGAGGTTTGGAAAATCATGCTATATATGGTAACAGCGATGGTAAACGATTCTATAATGTAAGTTGTTCTGATAAATTAGCTGATCTGTGGAAACCAGCGCACCTGGATATAGTACGATTTGGAATGGGTTTACCATTAAATGGAATGGATACTTTAAGAAAAATATGGAATAAACCTAAAGCAATACCTGCAACTTATATATTGATAGTAAAAGATGGTGTTTCAAATAGTGAAGGTGACGTTTGGGTCGAATCAACAAAAATTGTTATTCAACGCTGCTATCAAGATCTGCGTCCAATATTTCCCAGGCACCTCAATATCACAGTAAATTATAAGGAGATATTTGTAATGACCCAATATTTTGGAGGTTCTTTCTTTCATTTTAACGTGGAGGGTTTACCCAGACTTACACCTCATCTTAAATGGTTAGAACAGAATCCTCATATACCTATTTTAATCTCCAAACCAAAATATAAAAATGCTTTTGATGGATTTATAAAAGTTATTGGACTCCCTCGTGAAAGATTTGTGTTCGATAAAATTGTTAGAGCTAAGGTTTTATATATGCCTGCTGGCGGAATTTGTGGAAGATCCGCTGTTTTCGGGTCTGTAGCAACTTCTATTTATTTGAGATCCCGCTTAAATGCTCCAGAAATAGGGAAACAACCAGATTCTGTTGTTATTATTAAGAGATCATCTCGTGGTCGTCTTTGGATGAATCATGATGAAATTTATAATCAAGTGAAAGCCGAAGCGGATAAAAGAAGCTTCAAAACAGTTATTTTTGGTGATAAACCTTCGCCAACTTTCGAAGAAGGTATGAAAATGTTCGCTCGGGCAGTGATGATTATTGGTCCACATGGAGCAGGATTGTCAAATATTCTCTGGTCAAGTCCTGGAACTGTAATAATAGAAGGCATGTGTGATATAGTGCCTCGAAAAGTTAATCTGTGTTATAGAAATTTAGCTCAACTACTCGGTATGAGGTGGTATGGCATTTATCCAGGGTGTGTGCACACTAGAGCATTTCAGGTAATTCCAGTTGTGTCATACAATTTAGATCAATATCTTAAATCAATCCGAAAAGGAATATAACTTTTGAGTTATTATTGTTCTGCTGTTGAAAAAAACTACTAAAAGTTTATATGCAAGAAACGGACATTTTTTTCCGTATTTTGCACTCTAATACGTACTAATACTTTCAGAGTTACACATATATTTCAAATTTTCGAAATGTAATAATGATAATGTATTTCGTAAGGTGTATACTAAATACTGAATAAAAATAATTCTTTTACCAGACTTAACCATCAGTATTCTTAGAACTTTTTGAAACGATGATTACATCTTCTACAAAGCAAAACAAATAAAGAAAAGCTTTAAGGTTACCTGAATATTTATCTATCTTACCTGCAACTATACTGGTTATATTTAACGATTTATTCTGATCGTCAGTAGTCTGATAATAAGTCAATGTACCAGTTACGTAGCATTTGTCCCTGTGATTGAGTAGCTTTGCATTTAGATTTGAAAGTAGAAAATAAGTTTAGTTCATTTACCCTTTTTCAAGTGTTCTACTTAAAATATCTCTTAAAGCTGGCCTAAAAACAGCTATTCGGTGCCACTGCGTATGTTGACTGTATTCACCGCTGTCGCTGTCTTTGAAGCTCTGTGATGTTGCCAATGAGAATAGTGATACTGGTTTTTCAGTCGTACCACGGGTTTCAATGTTTCCACCAACTCTTCCTAATAGAATTACTTTATTGACACCTAACAAATAAATTTTCCAGTATACTCTCTATATTACCCTATAACTCTATTTCTAATTATACCTCTTTCACCAGTTAGAACAGGATAGACTTTTCTAGTTTGTGATGTTGCTTCGGATGAACACAATCTAGCGAGTGGTCTACGCTAAAAACACGGATAATCATTTAGAACAAAAACTGTTATTTTACGAATGATTTAGAAGCGGGGAAGACAACTTTTAAATAACTTTAAGCGCCTAAATTTCAAGAATGCGTAAAATATTTATACTTATAAGCGCACTTACGGATAAAGTGAATAATTGCCTCAGATTAAACATTTTTCTTTCAAGTGAACACGCGCCTAGTATGGGTGAAGGTCATTTATTTCAACATCCGGTTAGTAACTGAGACCGGTTCTTTTTTCGATTAGACGTAACCGGGAAATTTTAATTTCATTCAGAAAATAAACTCATAAAATTTTTTATATCTTATTTGTATTATAACTAAATTCTATAGTCAACTTTAAAGGTTAAAGGTTAAAAACAGAGACAAATTTTTTATGCTTTAAACGAAAACAAATAGACGAATAATGTTGTTATTGTTTTCTTTTTGAATTTACAATGTCAAATAACTCTTACAGGGTTTTTCATCAGTTCAACCATAAAAACAGGTTGATTAAATGAAGAATCACAAATTAAGATCACCATCAATAAATATTGAAAACGACTAGCTGATTGATTAATGACATAAATAGTATAGTAAAATTTTCTATGCAGAGAGAGAGAGGAGTATATATATATATATATATATATATATACAGCTACATGCACTTAAAGATGGATTACTATACATATAGTAATTACTCGTAAAACAAAAATATCATCTGAAATAAAAAGAATCTCCAATATTGCATAATAGTGAGACGTGAATCTTCTGAATAGTGTTCAAGTATACAAGCTATTTTTAAATACAAAATGAATTGCTCTTTTCATCACATTGACTTTAATAAATACATATTTTAATGGCACATTATTTAGTTGAAATATATAACTGGCAAAACACGTTGTACCTCGTTTACTTATATGGAATGTCATTTTGCAGATATTGAATTCTATCATACCATAATGTGCGCCAGTTGTTATTGCAATTACGTAATTTAGTCAGAAATTCTGTTATCGCTTTGGAGTCAGTATAGTTTGGTAGAAATCTTTGACGTAGCTCTTTAACGCACGTTGCAGGCATTCTAAAGCAAGGAAGCTTAGTATCTATCATTAGATGAATAAGGGTCACAAGTTCTTCTCGATATTGCCTATTATAAAATAAATAAAATATATTTTTATTATTTTTTTTATTATACCAATTCATTTATAATTGCAAGAAATAATATTCAATAAATTTTTATTCACCTTACGGCAAGGAAACCGTGCACGCATAACTCTTCAAAATAATTCAATGAAGCAGGGCCCATTAACTCAATCATCTCGTCACTTATTTTAGCATCAGGTTCAAAATTTATATTGCCTCCAGGAGAACTTTGTATAAGGAAACCAAAATCTAAAAATAATAAATTTATATATAATATACGGTTTATCAGCAAATTATCCAATAAGCATATAAATCATAAAACGATTAAATTTATATTTACCTATGTGTACTATATAACCCTTTTTGAAATCTATCATAATATTGCCATTATGGCGATCCTTTATTTTTAAAATCATACTAAGAACAGTATAACCTGCCATTGATACAGTAAAATTGCGTCGAGCCATAAGATATTCTGGCGTATTATCGCCAAATGTTTCAATAAAATATTGTTTTAAGCTGCTTGCTGTTTTATTACCAATTTCCATTCGAGTAATACTGTTTGGAACGCATTCAATAACTCCACTTCCGGGAGACGTTGCTACAACCTTATAAGGGCTAACGTATAATTCTATACCAACTTTTTTGAAAATTTTTTGAAATAATTCCATAATCTATTAAAAAAATGTGATTTTTTGTGTATAATAACAGATTTTCAAAATACTATATTATTATTATTTATCGAACCTGAAGACAAAGCATATCTTGTCGAACGTCATCACCTACTTTAAAGATGGCACCTTGCATCTTTTCGGGACCTAGTCCGGCTGCAAGTTCTTTTGTTAGGTCACCGCGACTCATACCGATTTTTTCGAGATCTTTTACTTTACATTTTCGTACTACAAATCTCGCTAAATAAGGTGCTTTTGCAGCACTTTGCATAGGTGTTCCAGAGTTATAATCAATATTCGTCAACAATGCATCGGTATTTGATGGCAAATAACAACCTTTCCTTAATTCTACTTCCTTCAAGGCTTGTAGACATTTGGCTTTTCTTAGTGGTCCTTTAGGGTAGGGTCTGCAAGTAAAATGTGTTCATTGTTAAAATATAGATCAGTGTCTTATTTTATGCTTTTTTCGGCCTAGATTAGTTTAAAGTCACACCTAATTTTTTCAGAAACTTGAGTAATATCATCCATGAAAGAGAACTCTCTCTCATAAAATTCCTTGGCATCTCCACTTAATTGTTTTTTAATCTCATCTGTCACAAATTCTAGTTGAGGTCCAATAGACTCTGAACGAAATATTTACTAAATTATCAATACGAAAAAATTAATTTCTCTATTGAGTATTACCGTCGTAGATGAGGCTGGCTTCGTCCATATACGCGTTTGTTTTCATATTCCATATTAGCTGATGGGCTAATAGCTGAGAATGGCTGGCTAGCCAAATAAGAAGTTCTGATACATAATATAACTGGAAAAACAATAATATGATTAAATTATTGCCTAAGCAAATAAAAAAACTCAAAGAAATTGTAAATATAAATACGAACTTCAATATCATAACGAAGAGCTTGGACGAGCTGAGGTACGTAGAAAAGGAGGATATCTGGAGAATATTCTCGTAGTACTTGAGTTGCATATTGAACAGTTATTGGATGAACAGGGTATTGTCTTTTATTGAAATAAGATAAAGCCATTACAGGAGAACCAACCGACCATGTTAGCATATGACTTAATTCCGTAAGATCATTCTCTATAACGTGATCCGTTGCTAGATATTGAACAGCTTCTGGTATGTGAGAGCAAATTCCTGGATTAAGCCTTACTAATCTAGCCAATTCTGTTGTTAAAGATTCAATACCAGCGAATCTTTCAGGAAGGTATATAGCTAAATCTGGAGAGATACTATTAAAAGCAAAACAGGCTATATCTTTCCAATATTTTTGTTTCGTATGTCCGCTTTGAGATACATATTGTTCTATCTTTAATAGCTTCTCCTTGTCCAGTTGTAACTCGGTTAGTTTAGATGGATTGCTCCAAACTGCCAACCGATCTATTTCTGTGCCTAATAGATGAAGTATTAAGTGTCCCTTTCTTTGGTAGACTTTAGCGTAAGCGTCAGGGTCTACTTTGCTTTTAGTACTTAATGTACCTCCAGATCGTTTTGATGAGCTAGTGCGACCGCTTGGTACTCTGTTAGTAGGGATTGACGAATGATTCGAGTCTAGATGAATCGAAATATCGTCATTATTTTTGTTGACACTTTCTCCAAGAGTATCTGGTGTATCACTTTTTAAATGTTTTCTTTCAGATCCTAAAATATTCCAGAATTTAATTAAGTCATTTTCGATTACGTCCTTTAGCTCTGTCCCTTTAAAGGTTGGATATGTTGGCATACTACTGAAATAATCAAACGCTGTTGAATAAATACGCTCTCGTAAAACGCATTTTGCTGTTGTTTTCGAAACTCCTTCACATTGTAGAAGAGTCAAACCAATATACAATAGCCTAAACCGAGGACCAATTGCAGAAGCGTGACGATTCATGAGAGGTCGTTTAGTAATGTTGATGCTAAGACATTTGTGCAGCATGCCAACAAAAACTTCAATTCGATCTTGACTTGAGTATTTAGCCATTTCAACTTGTTCAACCAGAAACTGTTTGTAAAGATTAAAGTAAATATTTTTCTTGTCTAATTAATCAACAAAAGCAAACCTTTGTCCATGTATCGTGTGGTGTAACCCTAGGAGCTGTTGGTTCACAAATATCATCTGGACCAGCAGAGATAGGACTAGTTCCTTCTTCTGTTTCTTCAAAAAGACCCATTCTTTTGTCAACTGTATTTTGCCATGCCATTGACATTTCTTGCATAAATTGAGCCACAAATTGTGGTTTAGCACACAAAAGCCATTGCCAGCAGTCAAGAGCTATTTCCATATATTCTTGACCAAAATATTTTACAGGAGCCCAACAAATGGCGTGAATTAACTTTCTTGCGGGGACCGTTAAATGAACTTGCAAAGCCGTCACTCTATACAAATAATGCTTAAACTCTTCCAAATCTTTAGCTTTGCAATTACGGTTTAAATTGTCTGTTAATCTGTCAATTAACTCGTCAATTTTAATATCTAGTGCAAGCATTCCATTTATTTCTCCAGCTGACAAACTTCTCATATTTAACTGAGCCATAAATTTACCCGAATCTTTTTGCACGCAATTCGGTCTTTTCGATATAACCATATTCTATATTTAAAGGAAAAATAACTTGATATAATAAAATAATATCCTTAATAAATTATTTAAAAGTGATACTGTAAATATATATATATGTATATGGATATTAATCTTTGTGTATACATATGTATATATATAAATTTATACAGTATGCATGGATATAAATGTAAATTGTATAAAGCTACACAAATTAATTTCATTTTGATGTAAGGGTTAAATAATAATTAATAATAATAAAACAATCAAAAAAGATTTGGGCTTGTTAGTATAACAATTGTAGTTATAGGCTTTTTGTCTTTTTTTTAAATTTAATTTAATATTAGAAAATGTAAGATATTTCAACAAAATACATTGATAATCAATATTTCTATCAATATTTAAATGTAATTAAATGTTATATATTTTTTATTTATTTTGTGTTTTTTTTTTGTTTTTAATAATAAGAATATTAAAGACAGAAAATGTGTTTGGTTATAAAAAAAGATGAAGAAAAAATAAAATCTGTTGAGGAAGGAAAAATAAAATAAAAACTGAAAAACGTAAAAATCACGAAGACGAAAGTGAAGAAGAGAATTCGAAAAAATGAACCGTGAGAACACTCGAAAATATAGCGTCATACCAAATCGACGAAACTCCCTTTTGTACTGAAACTTCTTGTAAGTTGTTTAAAGGAAGAACCCTTACTCAAGGTGATTAGAGTCGGTGCAGATCGAATCTTTACAAGAGTCTGCTAAATAGTAATAATTTGCTAGAATAACCTAGTTTATTATTTTGATATACTTTAGTTCTGCCTCGCGACAACCCTTTTTAATAACACTTTTATTTACCATTCAAGGTTTTAAAGCGTCTCTTTCCTTTTTTTTAGTCTTAATAGGCAATCAATTCAAAATAGGCATGCAAAAATTATTTTTTTTGCATTCACAACATTGAACAGTTTAAAGAATAAAAAAAATAAGTAGAAATTATAAGAGAAATAGCTACGAACCCCCAGTGATGCTGACCAAGGTGATACTCTCGTATAACCAGCATATTCCAATACAGTCTCCGTTATGAATGATAGATTCGTATAGCTTTGGGCATTTTTCGTGTTTGATTCCGTCTTAACTTCCCGAATATATTCAATTAGGTAGGAACGAACAGTATTTGGTGCCCATGTCATAGACTCTTTTAAGATGTCAACAACTCTATTGGCGTAATCTTGAACGATTTTCTAAAATTTACGATGAGAACGTAATAAATAATCCAAGTGATAAGTGTTGTTTAAACTTTACCTCTCTACCGTTCATATTATCCATTACCCGTAAACAATATGGAGTACCAGGTACTTTAAATTCAGGGGTGTCTTCATGTGGATCCTAAAATATAAATGCAAATAAGGGCATTTATTTTTTAGAAAAACAAAATTCGTTCATTATACTTACCATATCCAAAGACATGGAGAGAATTTGTAAAATATCTAACATTGTTCTAATTACCCTACCACTCCATAGCACATAAGGAAATCTTTAATTTATTTATAAATAGTAAATTAATAATTTAATAAATATAAAAGTACTAGAAATTATTAAAAAAAATACTTACACATATACTAAATCTGTTATGCAGTAATCAGCAAAATACTTAATTCTATCAGTAATATGATTGAATTTAACTAATAAAAATTGAAAATGCTTTTCCATCTCTTGTTCCCTTTGTTCGCATTTCTCCTTTGACTTTTGAGTTTCTAAGAATATTGTAAAAGCTTTGTACATTGCCGCGCTCATACATTCGCATAAGTAGTCTAAAATCAATCAGAAAGTAAGTACTTGTAAAGTTTGTTTCTAAATATATAATTAAGATATTTTCTTACTTTTATTTTTATTTAAGTTATGATCCTCTAAGTATCGAAAGAGTCTGTCTAGGATATCAGTACCGTTAGTATACTTTGCTCTAATTGTTTCCAATTTCAAAACTGATAAAATATGTCCACATCTATTAAAATCCTGACTCATAATTGAACTCCTGATATTTTGAGTAAAGTGTTGATTATATTTCTGATCATTAGAATTTGTAATTTGAATTTCTCTTATTAATGTTTGTCTTAATTCGGCCAATTCGGTCTGAAAGAAGATTGCTTACTAAAAAAAGACAAAATCATAATTTATTAATACTTACAGCTCCAACAGTCTCATTTTTTATAACGCCTGTATAATTTAATGATCTTGCCGTTTCACCCAGAGTAAGCATTGGAGATTTTGTAGCTACTTCGTAAACGCTATCAACCCATTCTGATGGCCATTGAGCTATTAAAATTAACCTTTAGATTTTCTATAAACTGTTTCCTTTTAATCAACAAACCCTTCTCTGTAAATCCCAAAGTAACGCAATATAACCAAAAGTCTCTAAACAGCCCATGTAATCTTATATTTGGATTATCAACAGTAGGAACTGGTAGTCTTTTAATCAACTATAAAGAATAATAAAATTTTAAATATACAAAATAGTTTATACAAATATTAAAATAAATACTTACAACTGCAATGACTGGAATAAGCATCCCCAAACTTCCGGCGAAACTTGAAGCCTATTAAATTAATTAAACAAATTGTAAAATAGAATAAAGGTTATTACAACAAATTTATATCTATTCCGCGGAAATAAAATATTCTATGCTAAACACGATGCATCTCTGATCTATGCCATTCCTTATATCGTGAACAAAATCATGCTTTGTAAATAGTTCGATATGGGATTTACATATATATATATATATATAAATATACTTTATATAAGTAATATAAAGATAATAAATACAGATAAAAAAAAACCATTTGCATGTTCATAAGAGATATAGAGATAGAAATAAAAAAAAAGTTTGTAGAGTTTTCAATTCAAGTTATAAAAATTCCTTATTTAGTTAATTCCCCTTTATATTTTTACTCTGTTTATATATAGTGCAAAGAGATTTTTTTGTAATAGAATAAAAAGCTAAAATATCATTTGGAAGTTTAAAAAAACAAACCACATTTAAGCATTCATTTCCTTATTTTTTTTATCAACTACCGTATCAAATTTAAACTTACCTTTGCAGTTGGAAAATTTGAATGTGTCAACTGAATGTGTGTTATAGTATTTTTAGGTGTTAGTTTGTGTACAAGATACAAAAAAAAAAAAAACGTTCAATCTTAGTTATTCATTTCTTTAAAATCTAAGGTGATCCATCACTTGTATTGTATGTATAACTACACTTGTGTGTAAACTAAGATAAGTACCTTAAGCGCAAAATGCGCTTTTTCAGTTGCCCTTTTACTTTCTAATCCCAATTGAACAAATACTTCTAATAAAGCCTTTAACATATCCATTAGTTCCGTTTCGCCAGTTAAATGGACTGCAATTTTGGCATAAGCGTCAATTGCAGCGTATGATACATGGCTATATTAAAAAAGAAGGAATTTACATTTTAAAAATAAAATAATAATTGTTAGTATTACCGATATCTGCTGACTTTTTGGGATTCTGACGTAATGCTACTTTCAACGCATATTGAATTTAAAACTTTAATTATATGTTCCCGAACTTGATCCTGATATGAATATTAAAGAGGGATAAAGTCAATAATCAATTATGGAAGAGATATAAAAGTTCATAGATAAATTACTTACACAACCACCAATGACCATGTAGGCAAACTGATCAACTATAAGAGTGTCAATAACTGACGGAGGATTGCAAAATTTTTGATTAAGCAGGGACATAACAGTTTCAACAACTTTTGGAATATGTTTTAATACAACTGCAACTCTTGCCATTGTAAATATAGTATTGACGGTTACAATTTTAACTTTATTGTTTGTTAGTTCACTTTCCGTCAATTTACCAATTAGAGATAGAAGAAATGCATCAACACTGTTGTTATCTATTTCATATCCTGCTTCCAAAGCTCTAAAATATAATAAAATAATTTATATCTACAATAATTTCTAATTAATAATTACTACATACAAGCATATATTCTGTATAGCTGTATCTCTAAGTGTTTCAAATATTGCCGCCATTTTCATTTTAGAATTTTTTTGTAATGAGGTATCTAGTGTATCGAATACAATTCCTTCTGATGAAACCAATAACGATCCTAATCGTGCATATTTGTCATATTCGGAAGATTGAGAGTATTTTACATATTTAAATAAAATTGGTGCTGGGATAACAAGAAAATCTCTTAATTCGCTCACAACCGACGACGCCATATGTGGAAATTTTTTTGCCAATTTACCAATAACCTATTTTAATATTTGTAAGACATCAATCAATAATATGCCTCTGAATTTATATATGTATACAAACTGATATTGCTGCTAGATGCAGTGGAAAATGCGTAGATAATAATTTAGGATCTAAACTATTTCTTAATTTCCTTTTTAAAACACCTTCCAACTTTTGAGCTTCTGTTATTTGTTAAATTTTTATTATATAACATGTTGACATAATATACAGTATATACAGTATACTGTATTGTTTATCAATATGCTACTAACCTGCTTCGTCTTGCCTTGCCCAAATCATTAATTCAGTACAAGCCCTATTGCCCTGTACAGCTAAATCGCTAAAATTATTAGTATGTTTGTCATTTGTTGCACTTGGATGAAGTTCTAGCTGAAGATAACCATTACCAGATAATGTGAAAACGAAATTTCTAATCTTATCATGAAACTCTTTGGGCAAATCTAAAAAAAGGAAGAAAATAGTATAAAGAGTATTTCAGTCGATTTAAAGAAATACAAACCTTGGCGGGAATGCAGTAAGTCTCTAAGCATAACTGAAACTGTAAATGTAATAACCTCTCCTAAACTTTTGTATGGATTATTTTTTCTCTTCATCGACTTTTTCGATCGCTAAAAGAATATTATAAAATATTTTATGGATTATAATATTTCTAGTAATACATTCAATTTTTACCAGTTTTTCATCTTTGCATAGTTGATCGAATTTATTTAATAGCTTCTTATTTACTAAATCTTCAACTATGGTAAGTATTTCATCCAATTCGGAGCTTGACAAGTCAATCGCCTTACAAATTCTTATATTTAAAGATGGATCTTCTTTTTCGACATCGCTAAAACACGAGCCGACTTTATTAAAATAGTGAGTTGATGGATCGATATTGTTGATATTCTTCACAACAGGTATTTCGAAGTGAGAGCGTCTTTTATCATCATTACTCAATCGATTGTTCAAGTCAGATTGACTACTGTTAAAGAGAATTATGCAAGGTATGAAATTTCTTTCAATTTTGTGTTTTATCAGTAATAGACAACTATTTAACCACTTTTAAATACAACGTTATAAATACACAAAACAATTAGTTGCTCGTACTATCTGCTTTACCTCACAAAAGATATTCAAATTCACAACACTCACCAAAATGTACCCGACCTTATCGTGTCTGAATCCCCTTCACCGACAATGTTTAAATGCATTTGCTGCGACATTACTCGAGGGATAACGCTTCTGACCTGAAACGTTTTTTTAGGGGTAGTTGGGATTTTTTTCGGCTGAGCGGGCGTCTGCTTTAGTTGAGTTAATCCACGATGAGAGGTAAATAAGGAGGAATAAAGAGAAGCATTTTCGTTCAAACTCAATCTTCCAAAAGCTCTGATTGCTCCCAATAATACAAGAATAAGCCTTTTGCATTGTGCATCTAAATTAGATAATTTAGTAATTATTCCGTGATTTATACTGCAGTTCCATAATTGACAACTTAAAGCAAAAAAGCTAGTCTTACCGTTTTCAGACGAAGTTAAGGAATCAGTTAATTGACGTAGAAGCTTAATTTGATAGCTGATTATCTAAAGATTAAAAAATATTACATTGTTGAAAACATTCATTTTCTTATATAATAGAAACTTACACTTGTCTTTAAAGAGTTATCTTTTATAATCACGTCATTTAGTAAGGTTATAATAATAAAGGAAAAACATTCCTGGGGAGGTAGTTCTTAATTGGGACAAAAGTATGAATTATTAGTAAATCGATAATCTAGAGGAAATTATGACTTACTGTAGTCTTCAGTAAATTGTGTCAAGTCCCACTCAAAATTCGGTAGTATTTCCAATATTTTTAGAAAGTAAGAAAGAATATCTTCTTTATGCTAAAATTCATAACAAAAAATATTATATCTATTATTATTTATTATCAATTTTGTTAATACACTTTGATTTTTCCATTAAAATCTTATTAAGTTCACTAGATGGCGGATGAATAATGGCAATCCCTTTTTTTATATATACATACATATATATATATATATATATACGATATTTGAGACAGGATTTAACTTGTAATAATGCTCACTAAGCATATTTATTAATTTTTTTATTTAAATATAGTTAAAATAGATAAAAATAAAACCTGAAGCTTTGATTCGATTAGAAATATTCCCAGGGCAATAATTGCATCTCGAGATCTCCTGTTGATTATTACAGAAGGTTGCGAATTGAAGACAGGACAGTGAGCTTTCAAACGATCGAGCTGTTCATAAAATAATTATAAATTCAATAAGATCAGATACGAAGACTGATAAAAATTAATAATGCTAAATAACAAATCGATTTGTAAAGCGGCGAAAGGGATTTAGAAATTGGAAAATTGAACATATCAAAATAATATCAAAAATAAAAATCGATTTAAAAATTATTTTCACTAAATCTAATCTTAAGAATAATATAAAACCTTTGCTAATGGTACTGCTTCTAAACTAGCTAAGGAACGAGCAAAATTCTGTAGATTCTGAGCGAAAAACGCTCGTCTCCTCTCCGCCATGTCTGTTTTCCTGTTGTCATCTGCATACGTTTTAGATGCTATCGTAAAAGTTTCTCTACCAGTTTCCTCCACATTCTGGTTTGACTATTATAATGTTTTTTTATTAATAAAATAATAGCTATTCTATACATACCATTATATTTGTAAGTTATAAGTTGCACACATTAAACATAGCCGAATTTGTGATCTTGTTTCGCTGACAGTAGTGGACAAATTATAAAAGCCTACGCATAATTTTAAATAGAACTATGAGTTCAATGCCTCATACATACAAAAAAAAACTAGATAGATTACTCAGTGGTCGATATTTTCGTTTAGATTTATTAGGCCTAACTTTTTAAAGTTTTTTTTTAGATATAAACAGTATTCTCGGTTAGTATTTATGACTAATAAAATATCGAATTAGATAAATCTATACTAGTTGTTGGCGAAGTAATTATTGATTTTTGAGAACTTTTTTTTTATATTTGACTTTTATTAGAGAGAATAAATGAATGCGAAAAGAAAGTAGAAGTGAAAAATATTGATAAAACAAAGGTACAAAAACAATTATATCCCTTTGTAGAAGGAGCACTTTTAGTCCGTTATCCCAGGTTAATATTTAATCAATAACTTCCCAGTCGTCTGTATTCAAACTATTAAGTCTTATAAACTCTTTATTTGTTGTATTTTTTAAGTGATGAGCTGTTCTTAGCAAATGTGTTTTTCTCTTAATGAGATGTCCTTCCTTCGTTATTGCCCATAGAGTATTGTCGCGGGAAGCTAAACGAGTGAAATAATATGATAAAAATAGGAAACAAAAATAATAATAAATATAATCTTGATACGAGAAAAGACCTTTGATTGTTTACCTGATATATGATTAAAGTTACCAGGAATTTGTCTCCAATAGTCACCGTGAAGGTTATTTTCATTTATTCCATGTCTAACAAACAGGCCATTACTGGTTGTCAAAGCATATACTGCATTATCACTTATAGCCAATTTGACAGCTTTTATACCTTTTTTAATAACGACAAACATATACTGCTAAATTGGAATATATAAGAAAAGAGCTAATCTTTATACCTGGGATATACATCCAATCAGTTCCAATTGGAAGACTTTCTGTTATACCTTTTCTTGTGTATACACAATTCATAGAATCGATTGCCCAGATCTAATTAGAAAACATATATTAATTGACATATTTATTCATAAGTCTGTCTACTATATAGATCTAACCATTTTGAAATTAAAACCGCTAAAAATAGAGGTTAAAAGACTTTGGCCATGTTTTGACAGACTCTCTTCAATTGGTATCCACGCAGCTGATAGAGAACCTGCAGATGGTGGTTCAATACTCATTCGGAGGTACAGCTTTCCTTTTTCATCAACAGACCAAGCAAACTTTGAATTAATAGCTACAGAACATATTTTACTTTGTCCAATGAGCATTAAATCAATTGGTATCCAATTAAGACCTTGTGGACAGCCTGGTGATACACCTGATCTAGAATATATAGCCCCATCCGTCGATAGTACCCATAAGTACCATTCAACAGCACAAATACTAGATACGTCGAACGGAACGTTTCGAATTGCTAATTGAACTTCAAAAGCATATTGAGTTTTTGGCGATATACCAAAGAGTTTATTACACACTTGCTGAGACCAAACAAGATTGCCAAGCGAGTGAACGTTACGCCAAGGTATAGAATCTGCCATTCCAAGTGGAGTTGCTAGCTTCCATCTGTGACCCAACACGTTATCCTTGCAAATAAAAATACTTCTTGAACCAATCTCAGCAACAAAAACGGCCGTTTTAGATGAGGAAGCCAGAACGGAAGTAGTGCCTACATTACTTAAGCTCTTGGAGAATGGGGTGGAATAAAACCAACGAGACAAGCTTCGTTTATTAACGTCATGAACTATAGGACTTTCAAGGGAGACCTGCATAAAATAACACATTGCATTGAAATAAAATAATTTATATATATACAGTATATAAATATATGCCAATATATTACCTGATAGACATTCCCATCACCGTGAGGATTTTCTTGAGTAACATTTGGAGCAAGCCAGATTAATCCTTTCTTGTCAATAATCCATCCAATACCAAAAGAACCAAGACTTATGTGACGAATGTTTAATTGTTCGTTTATTCTTTTCACTTTGCACCACTTCACGGCAGATTCATCATCACTTGAAGTGAATACAGTAGCCCACAAAATACCCTCTACATCTAGAGCCCAAACAATATTATCTTTAGAAGAGATACTAGTTATCATTTTGGGATGTTCTATGGTTACAGAACGGAATGCTGGTCTTTGAGCAGATAGATTCTTTTGTAATTTAACAATACCATTATCTTTTTTAACATACCTATTATAAAATAAATGAAAAACGAATAAATGAATTTTAATTCTTTTATGTATGCGAACCATGCACAATGCTCCATTACACAAATATCACTAACTTCTTTTAAAATATGAACCCATTTCAAGCCTGTTGGATATCTTTCAGTAATATGCTGTGCTACGAATACATTATTGTTATATAATCGCCAAAGAATAGTCGAAGAGTCATTAACAGAAATTTTATCAGCAGGCGCATCTTGAACTAAACGCCACATTGGGGCATTTTTCTGGAAAAAATGAATTGATATTAGTATATTGGCGTACATCTTCATATATGTATATATACTAATATATTCAATTATTTACCGTTAAATTGCAATAATGAAGCTTTTGTGATTTGTCAGTCAACCATATATATTTTTCGGATATACAAAAGTTTTGCACGAGTGAAGGAACCGACATTTCCGTCCAAATTTCCTCGTCAAGAATTTCAAATTCATCAGTGCTGGTATATTCGCTAATAGTCTCCTCTTCTACAGTATCTTCTATAATCTTTTCCTCTTCCGTACAAGTTTGAGTTTCACGCGCATATATACTATTAAATTCTTCGTCGGATAGCGAAGCTGATGACGATAAAGAAGGCCTATTTGATGTATTATCTCCATTGAATATTTCACACGGTAAAGAGAAATCTCTAGTTTCGTCATCATATGCTGACTCTTCTACTTCTAATGATTTTGATTCTGGCTGCAATTCTTTTTTTTCAACTAATTGTTCAGAATTTGATTTAATAGAGCATTCTTCAGCAGCCTGAGTAGCTTCTTCATTTTTAGCTTCAGTAACTATCTCCACGTCATCTATATTTGTATTCTGAACAACCGCCTTTTCTTGAACGTCTATATCTGTAGTTTGAGTATCATCTTCTTGAGCGTCTGTGTCTTTATTCTCAGTAACTTCCTCTTTTTCATTGCATTCCGTTTTAGTCTGGGAATTTGATTCATCTCTCACTTCAATTTCTTTGGGTTGATCCTTCACAAATTCCTTGGCCTTTAATTCACTGTCACTGTCATTTGTTTTATTATCAGTTAGGTCATTGGGGATGGAATTAACGTAATTAGAATCTTTATCATTATGACTCGATAAACTTATAGTATCGGAGATAGAAGCTTCATTTGAACCCGAGCCGGAAGTAGAAGATACGAAACTATGAGAATCTTCATCTACTTTCTTTTTAGCCTTCTTTTTTTTCTTTTTCACTTTTACTGTCTTAATTGAAAATACAATAGAATCGTCAAAACTTTTTTTACCAATTAAGTCTAGATCCGGTGTATCTTCTTTAGCTGTGACTGACTCTGCTTTAAGGTCAGTAGTAATTGGATCTGTTAATTTTTTATCAACTTGATCGGCGTTCTCAGAGGTTTCTTCCTCGGTCTTTTCTCTTAATTGCATATCGGAAAGCATATCATATGCGGAATTGCTCTCAGACGGAGGATCAGATGGACTTTTATCCTCATTATACCTTTTACCTTCAGGGACAGTAAATGCCATTTTATCACCAAATTTGGAAATATTTTTCCAAACTTTTGAAGATACGTCTTTAATTTTGTGTACTGCTTGTTCAAACTGTTCAATTTCCTGCGATTTCTCTTTTGATATAATTGAAAATCTATCATCTGGTTTGACGGCAACCCTTATAATATCAATTTTTGAGAATTTTAGTATAATAAATATTTCAGAGTCATAAACACAAACATCTCTTATTGGAATGTTTTCAAGAGAATTAACAATTGTTCCACCAATAGTCATAACGAATAAATGTGAATTGAACCATGTAATTAAAAAGTTTTCTTGAAATTTTAATACTTTACCAAATTGTATTGTTTCATGCTCGTCCTTTACTTGTTGCTGTGAATTTAGTATTAAGGGAATTTTGGGAAATTTAGCCTCTTTTATAGCATCTTTAAAGAGTATTGTTTGTTCAACTTTTCCTGTAATATTTGCTTTCCATATTCTCATTCCTGGTCGGGAGGAGAAAATCTTTGGATTTTTCGGATCTTCAACACTTGAAAAAAAGCATGCGCCAAAATCTAAAAAAATCTTTCTCTCTTTAGATCCAATTTGTATTAGCTGATCTCCTTTATCTGTGTCAATTAAAATACTCCTTCTTTTCGTTGAAACGAGTAATACTTTTAGGGGTTTATGATAATCTAATTGAACGATTTCTTCGCCCTCCCTTGTTATTATTGCAGATTCAGTTTCATTGAGGCTAAAAAGCATGTCAGTACAAACAACAGTACCTTCTTCATCGCCAGAGAACAGATGTTGATTATTTTCTGATATACAAACAGTACTAACTGGTCTTTGATGCATCCCCTGAACTACCCATTGACTACCCTTAATAATATGACCGTTCTCTAATACAGCGGATAGTTGAAAAATGTATAAAATACCAGTGCGGGTCCCAGCGAATACTAAGGTTTCGACGCTTTCTTTAATGGTTATGCAACTAACAACATCTGTCGGATCCTAGAAAGACACTCTTTTACATAAATGTATAAAGAATACTTTCAAGAATGACTTACTTTACAACATAACTTTTCGATAGTTCTTTTGTCTCTGTTGTAGATGAAAACGCATCCATTATTGGATCCTATAGCAATATATTTTGAATTGGCACTTATACAAGTTAATACAACATTTGTTGCATAAAGCATATAACGGCTGGCTCGTGGAATAAGATCTATTAAGGCATCAAGTCTTTCATGTTCCTCTAACAAAATACTTTCGGAACTCATTTTATTTATTGAGCGATAAAATGCGTATTTATCAAGTTACTCAATTTAAATTCCTTCAACGCTATATTCGATTCTGTTGTCAAGTTTCTTCATAATACTCAATCAAATTTATAATTCTCTATTCAGCTACAAAAAAAAATTATAGCATTCCTGTTGAACATCACATGGAAAGTAATTTGTTTACTTGGCAGACTCACGTGATCTGTGGCAGACTGAAATGAAATTCGGTAACAATGGCTTAGTAATAACTATGTACCTTGTACAAAATCGTTCTATTTCCGTAAACCGAACAAGTATTATTTTCTCATTATATCTATGTATTTAAACTATAATAAGAATTTAGTATCTTTTTTTCTAACTTTTAAAATAAATGATTTATTTAAAAGAAAAAACTCATTGTTAAATTTTTTGGGTTGAAGATAGTTAGAACGAAAATAACATTCAAAACCGGAAAAAATATGAACGAAATTGGAAAAACGAAAAAAATATTTGAAGAGAAAATAAAATATGAATTAATCAGCAGTGTTTTCAACACCTTTAAAAAGCGCTTCGGGTAAATGCAAAGGTTCTTCCAGAGAATCGTGTAGCTCCTCGGAACTTAAAATTTTTTTAATTGGTGAAACTGTTGCACCTGTATCGATTTCTTCCTCCTCCTCTTCAGTCTTTTCTCCATCGTCTATATCTTTGAATATAGTTTGAACAAGATTGTCTGACCAATGATTGGCGTCCATATTCGGCAGAATATGAGAACTGGTCTCCCCGTCTTCAACATTCGTCTATTGTTGAATAAATGAAACAGCTATATAACTTAATTGTAAGGCAAAAGAAATGTTTCTAACTTTTGGCACAAATCTATAATCAATTAGAGTATCCTCGTCCGACACTAGTTGTCCTTCAGAAGACCATATAGTTTTCCTTACATCAAGTGTTGGTTCAAGCCTAAGACGAAAGGAGTGGAAATTATTTATTAATAGATTAAGTAGATTATAATACTTTTGACTAGACCATAGTCCAGCACCAATATACATCGATGAATTTCTATCACTATCTGTTGAGTGATCTCTATTAAATGATCTCAAATCGCTATCTGTCGATATTCTACTGCCGTCAGAAGTGGCCATAGCTTTTGCAGATGGTTTTTTGTAAGGTTTCGCACCGTTCTGTAAAGAGTCGGCAACCACATCATCCAATTGTGACAAAGTATAATCCTGATTGGAATAATCAAACTTTGCAATGTCGTGTTCAATAGAACAACAACAATCTAGTTCGTTCATCTTTGCTCTCAGTAAAAATTCATTAGGTTCGATAGTTTGTAGCATTTCTCTAAAGTAATCATCTTTATTCTTGCAAAATTCATGCAAGAGATGAGTAATAATCAAGTCAACGAGAAACATTCGTAAATTCTTATTATTTTTAGATGACTGAAACATGTTTAGCATTCTCAGGAGAATACTTTCGCATTCTATATCAGCATCATATCTATAGCTGACCACACACTAAAACAAAATAATTTATTACTTGAATACATTTATCATTGTCTATCTTCAAGTATCTTACCAAGACAAGAGTGAATAGAGCATTGTTACTCATTCCATCAGATTCATTATCACACAAAATTGACCACATAGTCTTGACACTCTCTACAAGAATGCCCTTAGGTTCAAATGACTCACTTCGTAGAGCTTTTAATTTGATATAATGAAAAAAAAATACATTAACATTTTTACTACTCCAACAAAAACGTATTGTATTTGGTTTCTTATATTTTACCTTCAAAAGCAGTTTCAATCCTATAGCCGCATGATCTAGAAAGAGTTAGTTCCTTCATTTTGCAAATTTTTACAAAGATATTCATCCATTGTTGACTAACTTGAAAGTATCTAATTTTAGAAAATAAAAACACAACAGCATTAAATAAAAAATAATGCAACCTGTATTCTAATAATAAATCTAACTGGCTAAATTCATTACCTTTCAATAATTTCATATAAGTATTTCGCTAATTTTTCTTGTTCATGTTTATCATTGGAAGAAGAATCTGTAATTCTTTTTAATATTTGATAGCAAACGGCAGTGGCATTAGATATGTTTGTAATTAAGAAAAGAATTTCGAACGCCTATTTATAGAAGTATTAAAGTAGAAATGTTGGAAATATAAAATTCAAAACTTACTTTTGATCGTATAGAATTATCCTGAATAGTTAAACAGTTAAATAATAAATTCTGGTGTTCAATGCACGACTTTGAATCTATTTCAGTCAATTTCAATAAGATATTTAAACCTGAAAATTAAGGAACTTGTTAATATTTTATATAAGAAAATATTTTTTTTTCGTACCAGTTAATAGATTATTCGGAAATTGAGATGATAATAACTTCGCGGTGCATTTTTTAATATGGTCAATTAAAAATGGTTGCTCTTTCATTTTAAGAACGCAAATAACGCATTCATATAGTATTGCTGTTAATTTTTTTAAAGAAAAAATAAATATCATTATTATAATATCAGTTTTCAATCTGAATGGAAATATCTAGTTGTTTTCATTTACCTAATCCAATATTTTCCGACATATTAATTCGTTGAATTATAATAGTAATAACAGGATAAATAGCAGTACTAGCTCTATATAGAGTAAAAACACTATAGACACCTTGATTTTTCAATGAAATGTTAAAAAAAATTAATACAAACTCAGGTATATTTTCAAGCACAATGCTAAATAAAGATACTGTATCCAAAAGGAACCAAGGAGCAATCATTGTACAGTAATGAAATTCTTTCGATAGTTTACCATTGAGAATTTGTTCTACAAAAAATGTTATAGCTGGAATTATATCTTTCAATCCAGTAGAGTTTTGCTGTATTAAGCATAAAGAATTAATTATTACTATCTGACGGATTATATATAATGCTATTACTTTTGCAACAGAAATTAATAATTGAATAGCAGCACCAACGACTTGTGGATCTTTATCCCCAAGTAAAGAAATAAACTTATGATTCAAATGAGATACCAACTCTTGATCAATTTTAAGTATGTGATGAAATGCATAAACGGCCTTCCTCCTTAAGCCCGGACTATAATTTAAAAAATTCCTTTTTATTATTAATTTCATATAAAATAATTAAATACTAGATATAAATGGATAACTTACCTTGGATGAGAAAGTTTATCCAATAGAATTGGAACGAATAAAGGCATAATATCCGTAGGAATTAGCTGAGTCACAGCTATTAATGCGTAATGATTCTCTGCCATATTAGTACTTTTTAAATCCTTAAAAAAAAGGAGAGTACTTTTTAATTAACTTTCATTTTCTAAATTATAATTTACCTTTTGAACAGTATTTACTAGCATATTAATATGTCGGCTCTTAGAGTTCATAAGTATTCCGCAGACTGTATAACCTATTCTCTTCGACAGGAGAGAAGGTTTACCAACCATATTGATAGCTGGTAAAATAGCATGATCCACATTAAACCCATAGAGGAAACAAATACAAGCTCGAGAGATTACTTCTCTTATGGTATGCTGTAGAAAATTAAATTGTAAATCTAGCTAAGACCTTATCGATATAGTAATAAGTTATGTTTAAGAATTTTCACTATTAGAGCACAGCCTACCTCACTCGTATCTGTTCTTATGAGCAATTCTTTTTGTTTCTCAATTTCAGCAGTAATTATATCGCTTTCTTCCTAAAATAGCAAAAGAAATGTTACAGTTTGCATTGCGCAACGTTATGCTTTAATTAAACTTACGTAAGGCGATTGAGCTCTCTGTAGAGAAGAAACGAAATTCTGATGAAATTTAGATGTTTCTGTAGTACTAGTTCCAAAGAGGACAGAATTTAAAGATGATATCGTTCGTTCCAAAACTTCAGACATGATTCGATTAATTTCCTTCCCAATCAGTCAATTACTTGTTTAACTTGGGAAGTGACTTGAGTTAATGAAGTACTTTCCCAAGCAGTTGCTCAACTCAACGACCAAAAGAGAATCTACTCAAAATACTCAGCTAATGTTTACCAGTTTTCCCTAAATATTTCACTGACGCCATTTTCATCTAAAATACTAATGGAAAATGAATATATTTAATCGTAACCTATCATAGGAATCATATATTTTGAGTCTTTTTACTATTAAGGAGCATGAAGATGAAATATTCAATTAGTTTATGCTTTATGCTCGTGATATTGTCTGCTTGCAGAGCTGATGAACACAATCATATAGTAAGATAAGATTTTGTTGTCAAACTATTACTAAAAGATAAAATTTTTAGTATGAAGATTCTGAAGAAATCGTATTATGGATGAATACTGTAGGACCCTATCACAATAGACAAGAAACATATGAATACTTCTCATTACCGTTTTGCTTGGGACCCAAATCAACGATAAATCATTATCACGAAACATTGGGAGAGGCCTTACAGGGCGTAGAGCTAGAGTTTAGTGGGATAGATATAGATTTTAAAGGTATTTACAATTTTTTATCGTAAGCAGAGTGTAATTTATACTTCAGAGAAATAAACCTATTGCCTGTTGTACATTTCAACGCCCTTCTGAGTGCAAATTGTTAATATTTGTACTGTAAAAAAAGGGTTGAGTTATATTAGTTGATACTGTTGTTAGTAAATAAGTATGATTATGTCTAAGTTTTCGGTATTTCTTATAAAACAGCCAATATGGAGAAGAAAATGTACTGTGAAGTGCTGTTAAATGAAGAAAAGAATAGAATGTTTACGTACGGTGTTAAAAATCATTATTGGTACCAGATGTATTTAGACGATTTACCAATTTGGGGCATAGTTGGAGAAATTGATGAGAATGGCGATGGATATTATATATGGACACATAAAAAATTTGATATAGGTTACAATGGAAAACAAATCGTTGATGTTAATTTAACATCAGAGTCTAAAACTAAATTATCACCCGGTGTAAAACTAACCTTTACTTATGAAGTTACATGGCATCAGTCTGATGTCAAGTTTCGTGATCGTTTCGACAAATACTTGGATCCAAATTTTTTTCAACATAGAATACATTGGTTCTCAATTTTCAACTCATTTATGATGGTTATCTTCTTGGTTGGTTTGGTAAGCATGATTTTGATGAGAACTCTTCGAAAAGATTATGCTAGATATAGTAAGGATGATGATCTTGACGAGATGGAGAGAGATTTAGGGGATGAGTATGGTTGGAAGCAAGTTCATGGTGATGTATTTCGCCCAGCTTCCCGTTCTATGTTTTTCTCAGCAATGATCGGGTCTGGTTATCAAGTTACCGTTGTAGTCTTTTGTGTAATAATTTTTGCTATCGTTGGTGAACTATATACTGAACGAGGATCCCTACTAAGCACAGCAATATTTGTTTATGCTGCAACTGCTCCCATAAATGGTTATTTCGGTGGTTCTCTATATGCTCGTATGGGTGGAAAAGTTTGGATTCGCCAAATGGTATTCGGAGCGTTTTTGCTTCCCGCTGTAATTTGTGGAGTTGCTTTCTTTATAAACTTTATAGCTATCTATTATCATGCCTCTCGAGCAATTCCTTTTGGTACTATGGTTGCTGTCGCATGTATTTGCCTCTTTGTCATATTGCCATTAAATTTAGTTGGCACTGTTTTGGGACGAAATATGGCAGGGCAGCCTAATTATCCTTGTCGGGTAAATGCAGTTCCTCGACCTATACCTGAAAAGAAATGGTTTATGGAACCCTCTATTATTGTCCTTCTTGGAGGAATTCTACCTTTTGGATCCATCTTCATAGAAATGTACTTTATATTTACATCATTTTGGGCTTATAAGATATACTATGTTTATGGCTTCATGCTTCTAGTGTTTATTATTTTATCAATTGTTACTGTTTGCGTGACAATCGTCTGTACCTACTTCTTACTGAACGCTGAGGATTATCGTTGGCAATGGACATCATTTTTGTCAGGTGGATCAACATCTCTATACGTATATTTCTACTCCATTTATTACTTTTTTTTCAAAACAAAGTAAGTTATTGTATTCTCATCATCAATTATGTTTTATTACTATTTTCTTTTACAGAATGTACGGCCTGTTTCAAACTTCGTTCTATTTTGGGTATATGGCTTTATTCAGTTTTGCTTTAGGGATCATGTGTGGTAAGTCGAGAGCAAATAAATTTTCAGCGTAACCAAATCTATTTCTAATTTATTATCGTATTCAGGAACTATGGGATATATTGGAACAAATATGTTTGTTAGAAAGATCTACTCGACTGTTAAAATTGATTAAACTGCATTCCCTTTTCTCGAGCTGTGATACGAAAATAGAAAACTTTTCTTTAGCCAATTAACAATATAAAAAGAAAATTAAATGATATTTAATTATGTTCAAAACCTTCGAAGATATGCATACGTATTAAAAAGGGATAGAGGTTTCTCAAAAAATGGAAAATACTTTGAGTAAAAAATATAAAATTTAATACAAAAAAAAAAAATAACTTAATCAGTTGATTTACAAGGAATTGAAAGTGTAAATAAAACAACATATTTTATGCCTAATAGAATATTATTTCTCATTGAAAACTTGTTACTTGCGTTCTAAATAATTGAATTTCAACAAATCTTCATTATGCCTTTCATATTGCTCAAAAAATTCTAATTACAACTGTTTTATAAGGAAATAAAATATTCAAATTAATTGAGCTTTAACATTTTGGCTTGTATTGATGAACAATTTTTCTCTATTTACATATATAAATATATATATGTATATATATATAAATATCATATATAGATATATATGTAATTATTCTTGTCAATAAAAATCTATTCTAATTCACCGCAATTTTCAATGACAACTTTCTTTGAAGTAACACCAGATTGTGAACCAACTTGCTCAACAGCTTTAATAACGTTTATACCCTCAACAACTTCACCAAAAACAACATGTTTACCGTCCAACCAACCAGTTTTAGTCGTACAGATGAAAAATTGTGAACCATTTGTATTTGGTCCGGAATTGGCCATGGATAAAATACCACTTTTATCGTGCTTTAGCTTAAAATTCTCGTCATCGAACTTTGTTCCATAAATCTAAACAAAATTTAACCATATATTTCATTATATGAAATAGTTGACAATAAATGTGCATACTCACCGATTTTCCTCCAGTGCCATTGTGGTTGGTAAAGTCGCCACCCTGGCACATAAATTGAGGGATTACACGATGAAAAGAGCTTCCTTTATAACCGAATCCATGTTCTCCTGTGCATAATGCTCTAAAATTTTCAGATGTTTTAGGCACAACATCGGCACGTAACTGTTTTTAATAAGCCGGTTATATAAAAATCACGTGGTTTAAATAAAAAACAATGCATTTACCTCCATAACGACTCGTCCAGCATTGTTACCACCAATACTGATATCGAAAAAACACTTTGGATTCGGCATATCTGAGAAATATCTCCGATATGCCGTAAATGCTGGTCTAATTAAACGATTAATTTTGAAAGTTTTACAAAGCTTTCAACCTTCAAGATTCGGTTGAAATACGCATGCGCTAGGTTTTCACTAAATACCGGATATAAATAAACTAACTGAAGAAGAAAAGACAGTTCACAAACTAATGTTCAATTTTTTAAAAAAAGCTTTTATTGAAGTATTATTAAATAAACTAAATATATTTTATCTTAGTTTAGTTTTTTTTCGTTTTTATTGCCATTTTTATAATATTCCATTGTTGCTGTAGCTCCCAATACCAACAAACAAGTTGCTGGAACACAATAATACGTATCTCTAAATACAAAAAACAAAATAAAGTTATAAGTATTAAAAGCTAAATAATGAAAAACATGCCTAAATATTTGAAAACTTTTTTGCGCTTCTAATAGGATAAAAGGACAAATTGCGTATGTGGAAATTGACTTTGTTACAAGAAAGCTAAAGATATCGTATGATGTTCTTCTAATAAGGTTCTTCTGGAAAAAAGGTCTAATGTTTCTTCGAACTTTTCTTCCAGTTGTTGTTAACAATGCTCCGCAAGTAAACGATATATAATATCCAGGATAAAAACCATGCCAGAAAGCGCTGACTAAATAGACTGAAATAGTTTTGAAGCGTGTTTGTACCCTTTCGTAAACGGTGAAACGAAGCCATTGAATAGTTTTAACATTCCAGCTGTCTAGTAGTACTTTAAAATTTAGTGCTGTCTATTAGATAGCAAAGGGTGAAAAGTTGTTTAAAAAAATTTAACAGTCCTACTTCAAACTTTAAAATAGGCATATTATCAATACCACTCCAATCTTCTTGACCATTATTATTATAACCTACAAATCCTAGACCGGCAGCAATATTTGCAGTTTCAGCTAAAGAGAGAAAGAGACATGGAAAGATATAGAAATTTACAATGATATTGAAAGTCTACTCTTGTTCATATATTACCTAATTTCCATCCAACATAGTATTTCATTCTATTAGAGGTTGTAAACAAATACAACATTGACCATTTTTGTAGGAAAGACAACTCAGAAAATGTTTCTCCAACAACTAAAGAAGAGCTTTGATATGGTGATAGTATGTGATAGAAAACAACAACAGATAATGAAGAAACTATTTTCTTAAATAAGACTTTCTGTGTTTTTTTTAAAGATAAAATATTCCATTATTTTAAAGAATATAATGATAAAAAAGAACGAAACATTAGGATTAGGTTCGGGTATTAATTCCTTTCCTTCGCTGTCGAACAAATCTTTACCAGTTATAAAATTTTCATATTCATTAAAGAAGACAAAAGGACCGCAAAGTATTGAATGAAAAGAGAAAATATAGCTTGTTAACTGAAATATTGATGGTAATTCCCTATATAACACACTTTGCATTAGCATCATGAATATAATTCTGTAATATTGCACAGAAGAAGAAAAATCCTCACCGAATAGTTGTTATCTTATTATTCTTTTGATTTAACTTTCTCTTACCATCAGATAAACCATAGCTTAAACTTGTTAGTTTTTGAACGCAAATCATTAACGGGCTAGAAAATTGTCATTAACAAATCATTCTATTTAGTATAAATAAGGCAGTACTAAAGAATTTAAGTTTTCTTTACCCAGATATATCCATACAGTAGTTCCCATAATTAAATTTTTGCCTATATACGTGACAAAGGGATAGATGCCCCATACACCATATAAATACTAATTTCTCTGAAATTCCCTCCCTTGTATACTTCATGATACCATAACTTACTAGCATCTGTAAAACAAGATGAGAAATTTGCTTCCCAAAACAATAGTATAAAAGTCCAGCACCCATTACGATCTGCAAAGTATGTCTTTTCCTGTAGCTAGATTTTTTTGGATGTAAAAGCTTTCGATAGAAGATTGCTACCCCAACGGCACATATTTGACAAGCAACGTAATTCATCTTAAGCAGAGTAACAATTACATAATCATACCATATCTATAGTAATATGGAAGTTTTAACTTACTTTATCAATGCCCAATCCCAGTGAATCGGCTACTGGTTGTAATAAATTACTACCGTCATAAGTCTTTAATGAAAGAAGAGAATCAATTGAGTCCATATTATATATATAAATTTATATCTAGTTATTTTAATGCTTTATTGTTATTATTTAAATTATTTCTTTCCGCCAATTCAAAACTTATTTTGAATTGTAGAGACGCAACTAGACAACTTAGAAGGAAAATAAGGAGAACAAAGAAAAAAAAGGAAAAAAAGAGAGAATAGGAGGAGCTGAACACATTATATTGCCTTTTGTTGAAACTCATTTGAACGTTTTCAACAGTATTGAAATAGTGTATTAGTAAAGCAATATTTACAATATTTATATAGGCTTTCCCTGTAAATTTATATTCTAAATGAATTTTTGCAAGCAATCAGAATAGTTAGGTATTATTTTATTTTTTATTAATTAAAGCAAGCCAGCTTATAAGCATAGCCAGCTAATTTTATAGAAGGGAGTAATCGTCATAGAGATCTCATAATAAGGATTAATCATGGAAGACTCTTTCAATTCGTTTACAACTGTTTTTAAAATAGAGAGTTACGATGGATCCACTCTACTTCAACCAATCGCCCAACTTATAGAATTTGGCCTTGATAAGGTATTAGATATTGATTTATTACTTTTCAGACTTATTCTAAAAGATCTTGCCTTTCTTGAACAGGTCAATTTTTTTGCATGCCAATTATTGAGTATTGTCATAGCTTATCTTTTTCGTATATTCTGTCATCCAAAGCAATTTAGTATAAGAAACCGTCACATAGTTCAGCTCTTTGTCGGTGTTTCTTTATTATACTTTTGTTTTGGCAAACAAATCTCTCATGTATGGTTGCAACTTATAATTAGTTATGGATTATTGAGATATATAAAAACTGGATTATCGGAAAAAATTGTTTTAGTATGGTGTATGGGACATTTATCATTTTGTCATTACCTTCGGGCTCATTATACAGATGGAAACTATAATATTGATATTTCTGCGTAAGTAACCCATATTTAATGATTTATTTTATATTAAACTTTTTGCTTAGGCCACTTATGATATGCGTCCAAAGACTAACAAGTTTAGCTATGAATATTAGCGATGGTAAACGAAATGACCAAGGGAATGACGTTAAAAAGTTATCTCATAAGAAAGATATTATAATCAAGTAGGCCTATTAAATTATTAAAATATTATTTAATAAGATAAATATTACTCTTTTAGAGAAGTACCAACATTTCTAGAAGTTGCCAGTTACGTATTCTCTTTCCATACTCTTTTATCCGGTCCTCTAATATTCTATAAAGATTACGACAATTTCATCACTGGAAGGAATCTATGCGACAAAAATGGATCTAAACTTAAACCCGAACCTAATCCAAATGTAAAGATACAATGTTTATTTAATAAGACAAAAGATATTTATATAAATTGTTTAAAAATATCTTTAGAAAATCATCATAAAAAAGATATTAACTTCTCTAGTGATTGTCATATTATTCATTACCTTCTCACCTTTTCAAAATGCTAATTACGTATCGGACTCTAACTTCTACAATCAGTATTTATTTAAAAAATGGTTTATGTTATATTTATTTCATTGGTCAAATTTAATGAAATATGAATTAACCTGGAAGTTGGGTAAATGATTTTCTTTATTATTAAATATTAAAATATTCACTAATAGTGATTTTCTTCTTTAAAAAGCCGAATCGGCTAACGTAGCCGCTGGTTTAGGATTTCAAGGGTATAAGGAAAATGGTGAAGAAGATTGGAATGGTGCTGACAATTTATCTTTCTGGGAGTTTGAGGTAGTAATTAATATTTATAGAATTTAATTAATACTGTATTAATTATTATAATTTTAGATTTCTAGCTCCATTAACAGATGCGTTGCTACCTGGAATATAACAACAAACGTTTGGCTAAAGTATGTTGTTTATGAGAGAGTTCCTTTCTTTCAGAAATGGGCAGTGTTTGGCTTTAGTGCAATATGGCATGGATTTCAAGTTGGCTATTACGTTTGCGCCATTAGTTGCATGATTTTACGTTCAATTGAACGTAGAATTAGGAAAAATTTCATTCCTTTAATGGAAAAATTTCCCGGGTCATTACAGATTTTCTTTCGTATCATTGGTCTTGTTGCTTTTAAATTAGGTTGTGCTTTTTGTGGAATGCCATTCCAATTTTTAGATATGGAGTTATATTTAAAAACAATGAAGTATGTACAATTAATGATCCCTTTATTTTACGTACTAAATTAAAATATAATATCTCTTCCCTTTTCTGCAGGAGTATCTATTATTCTCCAATATTTATGACAATCTTTGGAGTATTATTAATCTGCTTGTTGAAATATCTGAATAAAGAAACATCGCTTCAAAGAAGTAAAAAGAACAAATAAGAACTGGTTTTTTTTGGAGTTTTTTTATATTTTTAATTAATTTTTGAATAGCTAAAGTTTTCTTGTGTTTTATATCAAAAATATTTTAATTATTGCTTTTGCTTTTGTTTAAAAAAAGTAAATAATAGTAATAGAAAATGGCAAAATAGTACTTGACGTAAAAGCTTACCAGTTTATAAACCATAGCAAAAAAATTGATCAAGTAAGCATAAACAGGTCTGGGCAGACTCTATGATTCGTTGAGTAATCTGCGGATAAAGTATAAATATAATCGCTTAAAACAAGTACAAAGTGTCATTCGGTTAAAGATGAGCAAGCGCAAAGCACCAACAAATGACAATCCAAACAAAGATATCATTGATTTTTTGATGGGTAAATAAATATGAATGAAATTATTATTTGCTGTAAAAGAATGATTAATTAAAATCTAAAATCCATAGAATTAGGTGAATACGAAAAAAATGTCTCTAGGATGATGCATAAATATAAAGCTTATAGAAAAGCTGCATCGAGTATAGCAAAACATCCAACAAGGTTATCATCCGGAAAAGAAGCTCAAACTTTGGTTGGTGAAAAGAAAAATTAATATGAATATTCATAATTTTGATTATAAAATACAGGAAAATGTTGGTAAAAAAATTGGTAAGAAAGTTGACGAATTCCTAGCGACTGGACAACTGCAAAAATTAGAAAAGATTAGAAAAGATGATACATCACAATCAATTAACGCATTGGCAAGTGTTACTGGTATTGGTCCTGCTGCCGCCCAAAAATTTTTTAAAGACGGAATAACATCAATTGAAGAATTAAGAAAAAATACAGATAAATTAAATAAACAACAGAAAATAGGATTAAAGTAATAACAAAATATATACTGCAATGTTTTATTAGATTTCTCTTATATACTTTTGGCTATTTTTACCATTGTAGATATTATGAAGATTTTAAGAAACGAATCCCTAGAAAAGAGATGATCGAATTACAAGATATTTCATTTAAAGTAATACATAAAATTGATAAAGAGTATGAAGCACGTGTTTGCGGTAGCTTTAGAAGGGGTGCAAGCTCTAGTGGAGATATTGATATCTTACTTACACATCCAGAATTTACTTCGACATCTGGTAAGAAATCTCATCTTTTGAAAGCCGTTGTTACTCAATTGGAAAAAGCAAAATTTATAACAGACACCTTATCAATGGGAGATAGTAAATTTATGGTAATTAAGACTATGAATATTAATCATATGATAGATTGTATAAAAAATACATATATGTTTATTTTCTCTGATAGGGCGTTTGCAGAATCCAAGATAAAAAGGATGAAACTGGTGAAGACTACCCCTTCAGACGAATAGATATTCGTCTAATTCCTCATGACCAATATTATTGCGCACTATTATATTTTACTGGAAGTGATGTGTTCAATACAAATATGAGATTACATGCAATTGAAAATGGTTTTACATTAAACGAGTATTGCATCAGACCAATGGGATCAACGAATGTCCCTGGAGAAGCTTTACCTGTAAGATCTGAAGAGGATATCTTTGATTACTTAGATATGAAATATACAAAACCAGAAGATAGAATATAATTTAAAAATGGACAATTTTCAATATTCTTTTATATAATATACTCATCTTATTCATTATAATTGTACATACTGTATATTAATTGAATTCTTTTATTCTAATAATCAATTAAACAATAATTTAATATTGTACCATATATTTTATGTAGACATATATAAGAGTTTTCATCATTATTCATAAGAATTGTATCATTTGTAAGTATCTTTTCGTGTATGATACATTTCTTTTTATTTTTCCAATAAACTATATTTTGACAATTAATTCTAATAGTACAATATTGAATACATACTTTAATACTATTAACAGCTGTTTCTAAGATTTTTGACGATAATTTAAACTTGTTGCAGTTTTCATGAATATATAACGTTATATTATTCATCATTGGCGAAGAGAAAGAAGTAGGAGGAGTAGGAGGAGGAGAGGGCTTAGAAATTATAGTAGGCTTTGTAGAGGTAAAGGAAAAAGGAGAGGAAGGGAGAGATGAGATAGCAGGAGTTGATGAAATTGTTAATAGACTACTAGTATTTAATGAAGAAGTAGAGGTTACTGGTAACTGATAACTAATGAAACTTTCAAATCCGTATGCTTCTATTTCATATACTATGAGACGTCTCTTAGTACTAATTTCCAATTTTAAACGCCTTAACATTCTATCACATTTCAAATACATCCATTGTTTATCATAAGTACGTCTCGATTGGACTAATCCGCATTCGTTAAAAGTATCATTCAGCTGACTCTTCAACGTTAAAACAACGTTAGCTAGTTAAAGAGATAAAATATGTAATTAGTTCTTTTTAATAGAGATTTGAAATTTCAATTTCAAATACTTTTTTTTGTACATTTCTTTTGTTTAAACACATAATTTCCATTTTCATTTAACTTCATAGCTTTAGTATTAAATTTATAACATTCTCCTTTTAATTTATCAAACATAATGGAACTGTTGGAAAATGTTATAAAGAATATGATGTTATACAAATAGTAGTATTATACAACTTGTTACTTGCTGTATTTTCATACAAACCTACAAGATGATAAAAGTAGACAGCTTAATTGACAGTCCCGTTTGGATGTTGAATTGATTTTTGTATGATTGTATTTATCTATATCCATGACAATAGATTTATTTTTAGCTTGCCAATTGCACCCTAATCGAACAAATAGCAATTCTATCTTATAGTAAGAAGCGTTATCTTATTGTAAATTTTATACAAACCTGTAGGTCTAACTAATCCTCTTATAAAGTTTATATAAAATTCTGTTGGAAAGGTTATGATAAGAGTATCCCTATAACCGAGTGAATAACCCGGTTCATTGAAATATCCATCAGTTAATTGAAAAATCTTCAAACTTTTAGAATTGATAACATCTGCCCGAAAAGCTAAATTTCTTGTTCCATTAAACACTTGAAATTGAACGATATCGTATGAAGAAAATCGTAAAATTCTCCCTAAGGTGTCATTACTAACTTGAATAAAGTTTTGCGTATAAGCCCAAAATGGTCTCTTAACAGATTTCAGGATTGATATATTACGATCTGAAGGAATATTATCAAAATAGAATAAAACTGCTGTGACGTAAGATTTCTTTAACTCTTTTAGTAAATTTCTACAGTTTTCGTTGAAGAACGTATTATCCATTATTCTTAATATACTTATACGTTTCTCAACATGAATTTTTCTAATTTCTGTTGTTGTTGAACAATTTGTTGAATTAATTGTTTTAAAATCAACATCAGCCGTTATCTTTTCAAAAATATAGAAATATAAAACAACCATTTTAATAAGGATTTCTATTACTCACTCCATTAAGTTTGTCAAAGTTACTATCCAGAGTTAGAGCGCTAAAAGTTATATTCTCTGGTAATAAATGAAGATATATTATCTTTGTTCTTATATCAGCCAATAAAGAATAGGTATTGATAGTAAATATAATTACTTTCAAATAGAATTTCATATCCTATCGTAAGTTGTTTGTTAGATATTACAAGTGTTGAATTGTGATGAAACTGACAACTTGTTTTCTATCAATATTCAACGTTATTGGAAAAAGAAATCTCATCTTAATATTATATGCATGTTTGTTTACTTGATTGGTTTAATTATTAGTGTAAAGAAATATGCATTAGAGTTTATTTCTGAGGAAATTAAGTCGACCATTAGTATCTTAAAATAAGTTTTCTTATTAAATTATATATGACGATAGTAGAACTGATATTACAATAGAAATTATATCAATGATATTAATGAATATAGGTTTAAAAATCTAAAAAAGATTACTTTAAAAAAAGACTCTGATTAGAAAGACGAATACTGTATCTCTAATGAGCATGTATTGTTTTTAAATTAACATAAAACACGCTGTGTTTTTTGTCCAAATCTCCCTTTTTTCCCATTAATAATCTACATTTTCAATGAATATATTAATGTTTACATTATACAGTATATCTATACATTAGTATATATATAACACATATAGAATATGTGCAAATTTTGCAGTGTAAACTTTAACATCTTGGTGATAGCTTTAAAATGTTCTGTTTTATGATACTAATTGTCCTTTCGTATTCGTTTCCTTCAGTTAATATATCATCTGAGTAAATTGAAATGTAATCAATGAAATTGTTATTGTGAATTTTACAAAGAGATTTTGAAAGGTCATATACGAGTGCCTTACAGGTTAATGATTGAGTACATTTATTACAACACATTATTAAAGTTATTTCGTTATGTTCTTCATTAACCATCTCTAAGTTTAGGGTTTTATTCTTTAATGATATTAGTTTATCTTGTTTTCTATTCAAAAAAACTGTAGTAGGTTTTTCCGACGATGAAATTGCCTTTACTGGTAGAATTGTAGACTCTATTTCACTTGGAAGATTAGTTGTTAGAGAAAAAAACTCAACTTTACTTATATTCAAAACTCTGGACAATATTAAAGTTATACTATCCGCACTAAATTCAGTAAATATATAAATCCAGCGAGCTTTATAAATGTCTGTAGAATATTTTATCTTGTTTCCATTTGATGCTTTTAAATAAAAACCAATAGATTCTGTTTAAAAGCAATAAAATATAAAATGATAATATAAATTCTATGATATAAGCGTTAATATTACGTTTTTTTATAATGCAATCTCCTTTCTTTATTCTTATAGACATCTGTACAGGTGTTTCCGTAAAGTAACATTTACGATGTTGAATTCGAAATGATCTGATTAATTTTCGCTTTTAGTATTCATTATCATAAAAGAATCAAAATATTAAAACAAACTTGCAAGCCTCCTCCATAAGTGTACACATATATTTACAAGAAATTATATTCTTTTCAAGAAATCTGTTATTGCTCATAGTTGAACTAGTTGTATACGAACATACCTCTTAAAAGATGAATTAAACTTCTATTAATAATATGAAATTGTTTGTATCCTTACTATTTGACGGAACTCGAAACCTTATTATATTTATAACCGAATTTATATGTTGTTGTCTATCTATGAAATCTATTTTATAGTGACTGAATGGTATTTCAGCAGTCATCAATGATCGTAATTCTTTAAATAGTAAATTAGAATACTGCGAAAATTGGATAACATGCGGTCTAGTTTCAAATAGATTAGATGTTTTTTCAATAGAAATATACATCCAAGGAATGTTTGGCATTGAATGTAGATTGTTAATATCTGAAACAGAACAAATAAACAAACAAGATAAAAATTTTCTATCTTTAATAAAGATAATTTAATTACCAAGATTATCATAAAATACAAGTAGAATAGCTTTAATTCCTCCTTTTATATATTTTTCAACTGTTTCCTTACATTTTATAGTTAGGAAACTGATTTCAGATACTTCAAAGATTAATACTTTATCTTTCACTATGTCATCATTATTAAAATTCTTCAAATTGCAATTATTATCCATAATTCTATCATAAATTGTTTCTCCAATAACCTAAAATAAACAAACAAACAAATAGCGTATACAAAAAAAACTTGATAAAGCTCACTCCATTCATTGTGTTGACTTTTGAATACGAAGATAAACCTTGATACTTGTAATTGTCCAACATAAAATGTACATATAACTTATTAACTGTACAAAGTATATGAGGATACTTTACAGTTAATAGTAGATAAGTGAAAATATGAACTCCATTCATCTTTATTATATCTACTAACTCTTTTAAAGTTACTTTAGTTATGTTGAATGATATACTGTATAACAATCAAATATCAAGAAAATCCTATTTATGTCAGTGATAAATAACGAACAATAAGAGACAAAAAAGTATATAATTTTTTATTTTTATAGATTTATAATTGTATTTGTTATCGATCTAGCAAAGTAATTTTGGCTTCATAAGCTTTTTTTTATAGAATAAAATATATGGTGTATTGTTTTCGTTAAATGTCTGTGAATCATTTTCATCGAACATTGAAGTTTTATGATAATTATCCATAATGAATAATTCACAATTAAACTTCCTCTCGTAGAACAGTACTAATTCACATTTTAAATTGTTTAGACAGCTTCTAGTACACTGTGTTATGGTTTGTGAAGAATTGTCTACTTGTATATGAAATCTACTCATCGACACCGTCTGATTTATAAATGGTATAAATTGAATAATTTTCCTCTGAGGTGTTGATAATGTAGGTTGAACCATAACTGTAGGAGTTGGAGACGTCGTAGAAGTATACTTATTTCGTAGTTCGTAGTGAAATAACTCAATTTCGTAATAGATTAATGGGGTTAATTCAAATGGTGTTGATATTTTTATAACTTCACCCGTCATTTCACACAGCGAGTAAACCCATTCCAATTTATTCGACGATCTCACTGGTATTGGCCTACATGTTTGAACAGTTTCCTGAGAAGAATGAGTCCAAGAGGATAGAATAATTTCTGTATTATCTATAACATACTTGTATAAATATATATAATCTTAAATACTTAAAGGCCCTATTTTGGCAATTACCTCTAGTTTCGCATATTTTATGCCCGAAAATAGCATCAATATTATAAATTAAAGATTTCAAAGAACGTATATGCAGATGGCATTTTCGTTTAGAAAAGTAATAATTGTAAGATCTATATAAACATATATACAGTATACAGTATATACTAATACATAGAAAAGAGCAATCTTCAAAATGAAATTTCACTTACAAACACTGTTTTTCAAGTATGCACTCCTCTTCGCAACGAGTCATCGATAAATGAGCTAGTAAAAAATAATATGAGCTCATATTTTCATGATAATCTTTAGTAGAAAAGCTGCAAACTAATAAAACAAATTCAAGATTATAAACAATACAATAAAAGATTTATTACTTTGCGGTTTTATTAATAATTTCATAAAGTTTATCTTCATAGTTCTTTTCAAATTAATTTCAATTGATTGACCATTCGCTATTAAACAAGCTTTTATAATATTTCCATCTGATAAGCACTGTGTAGTTTTATAATCCACTTCAAATGAAGCCATCTTTGCTAAATTTTTTGATTTGTTACTTGTGAAAAATATGGAATCTTTCTTTGAAAATTTGATCATTTCTTCATTAAGGTTTAGTAAATGATCGAGTTCCCATATCATAAAGTTTATCTGAACAATAGGAATCTTAAGTGTGAACCTATCTTTCAAATCAGCCATGATTTCTTGGGATTTATAAGAAAAATAATACAATCATTTTGATGATATAAACTATTAATGTTCAAGTTACAACTTACCTTTTTCTGTAGACAAAACGATGATAGCTTTAATTCTATCATCTATCTTTATTGATCTACAGGTAATCTTTTCGATTGTGTCTATGGTAATAACAAGAATCCTATCCTCTCCTTCAAGAAAATGTTCAGTATTCATTGAACAAGGATTCTTTATTAAGTAAGATCTACCAGAAACCTCAAAAAAAATGAAACGATTATTCTACTGTTGTACCTATTTATGTATTATTATTCATTCATTACCCCAAGTAGCTCTTCCTTCCATAACGCCATTGATGCTTTTACACTTAAATCTCTAGATATTGCATGAACGTATACGTCGTAGTTTTCATCAGATAAAGCCAACTTAAATAGATGAAAAATTGTCAAATATTGTCTGAAAATCATTGTTCTCCAATAAGATAAACTTAATAAGGAGAACTTTTAAATAGGCTCCATACTTTTATATGAAAAAGATCAATTAATCGAATAAAAAGGATAGATTTAGTGTCTCTTTTTGACAAAAAAAAGTTTTGAAGAAAAAGAGTAAATAACATAGAAATTAGCATTTATTATAAAATTCCGTATTACCTCTAACAAGACAAATGTTAAGTTCATATACTTCTCGAACATTGAGTAGTTCAATTCCTTGATTGCTCACAGAATAGACTGAACATTGTCGTGTACTTGTGTTATAGCATACATATTTGCATAGGATTTTATTTTGACATTCATTTATACATTGTTTAAGATCAATGTTAAATATAAGATCTTCTGAAAATGCTTTTTGTTGGCCAGTATATCGACTAAAACTCGTAAAAAGTATTGGCGCAACTGTAGTCAATTCAGATGTCGTAGGAGGTTGAACGGTAGTTGCTAATGAATAAGGCGCAGACAAATCATTGAAAATAATCACTACACGATCATTCGATCTCATATTGTTGTTTTTGAATTCATTAATGGAGTATGTTCGTATCGTGGAAACTCTTAGATATCTTCGTAGATTATTCAAAATCGTTAACTTTGATAAATTAAAATTAACAAATGAGTAAATATATTTATCACTCGTAGATGAAATTATCCCTTTTCTTAAATCATTAGTATAATGAGAGAAGCAGAATATATCTATTGAATATATTGAATATGATTAGATACTTATAGTAAATTAGTGAAAATATATATTTTATTCAATACCTGGATCTTTTGGTGTTTTTCTAAACTCTCCAAGACTATAAATTCCAGGAGATGATATTACTAAATAGCAGGTCGGGGCTAATTTAATACATCTTTGAAAATGAAAAAAAAAACAGCACTAATAATAATTGAAAAGAGTTATATTACGTTGATACTATACATGCAATCATCCAGTGCAATGCATTCCTTTTGACATGTTTTTTTGTTGTATGCATACTGCTTTTCCACATAAATTCCTTCGCAAGCTTCATTGATTGGTGTAAAAATTACATCTAAAACAATAATTGTCTTCTATACCTCGTCAGGTTTAACAAGGAGAAAGTTGTTTTTTAATTAACTTACCAAAAAAATCTATATTTAATTGCATAACATCAATAGAAAGAGGTGTACCCGTGGATGATTTAAGGCTCTGTTGCTCTTCAAGCGCAAAAGTTAAATCTATTTGCATATTCTTTTTAAAACGTAACATTTGATTTGTTGATATAATCATTTGACTTTCATTTAGAGAATTTATATTATTTAGATTTGGTGGTTGTTCAAAATATGCCCATGGAATTCCATTAGTTACCATACTATTTAAACTTGAATTATCTATATTAACAATGGAATAATAGAATGTAAATATGATATTAAAATAAAGATTTTACCGAAATTCTTTGCTATTATAACAATAGCTAAGACGCTTTCATTTACATATTTCTTTATACGACTTTTGCAGATGGTATCAAAATAGGAAGTATCTTCAAATTGAATAAAAGTAATTCTATTATAATCTCTTCCAGTACAATTTTTATAGCTTAATTCGCAAGAATTAATTAAATTTGGATTAATAGGTCCTCTTATCTGAAAATGTAGGGATTAATTAAAGTGGTATTAAGATAAGAATTTATTGATAACAACTTGAGCAATATCCTTCAACATATCGATATTTGCATAACCTGCAATTCCATTACTCTTATAATCATCTGTCATAATATCTTCGAAGATGTGAAGGAACACATTGCTATTTAGACATAGTACAGTTTGTATCAATATCAATGAAAAATATAGAATCTTAAGTAGAAAGATCATCATCGGTGAAAGACTTGTTTGTAAAGATTTTCGAGGAATAATCTTCTTATTTATATGCTGTTCAAAATATTTTTCAGCAATTGAACGTATCGGAGAATTGATGAATTATATTCTTTCTATTCAATAGATCAGAGATATATTATGAATTATTAATGCTTGTAATTCCTTATTACATTCGTTTTTTTATTATATTAAACAAGCTTATACAATTGTCCTTCGAGCATAAGTGACATGATAAATAATCGAATATTTCTCTTATGAAATACGTGATAGAATATTACCATTCTAATTTCCAATGTTACAATTTGTGTTATTATTCATATTATGTTAAGAATGAAATTAAAGAGAAGCATTTTGTCTTTTAGGATATAAGGGATTGTAACGAATTCAAAATTTGATTGAATTGTAATAAAAACAAGAAAATATTTGTTTATACTCATGTAAACTTTTCAATTTTCTTAATATTGGTAGTTCCTTGCAAACAAGTGAAAACAATTGCAAATCAACATATTCAATAATCCTATCAAATTTATTTTTTATCATTTGTATGTCAATGAAAATCATGTATGACAAACTCTACAGCTCTTATTCTTATTACACGACAATACAAAGAAGATGTTTCAGATAATTTACTTTTAATCATCCTCCTTGAAATGGTGATATGAATGTATGAATGCATGATCCATCGACAATCTGCGCGCTGTGCCCTGTTGTCCATAATTCGCAATTCACGAATCCTTAAATTTGCGATCCACAAATTGTGGACCGCACATCCCAGAAAACATTCAATCACATTGCTCATGTACAAGCCGACAACACGTGATCATAGTGGAGATGAGTAGTGTCAGCGCCCGAGCAAAATTTCATGAGCAGCGTTTAAGGAAGTGTAAAAGAACAGTGTGGGAGAAGGAAAAGAAAATGTCATTAGATAGCATTAAGGAGATTGAATTGGCTTTGAAAAATGGGTACGAACCGGCAGCAGAACGACCACAAGACAGCGAGGTGAACATGGAAATAGTGGGGGCTGAAGTCACTCCAGGAAGGAAAACAGGGGTTAGCAAGTTGCTGAGCGACTGTGACAATGAATTTCAACCAGAACTGGTGAGCCCAAGCTCAAATGTAGAGTGGAATATATTCGATGATGGAAGGGCGAGAAAACTAGTAGGAGGCATTGAAACAAGAGAGGTCAGTGAATCTGACACTGACGACGATGGAACTCAATCTAGGAGAACTCGTGGGATTAGAATAAAAAAAAAGGCGATGGCCAACACCCCAGTGAAAGATATAAACTGGACTTCTGATGACGTAGAGAAAGATAATGAATTACAAAAGAATTGGACTCCTGTTGGCGCAGCAGATGCATTGAACACCAGAAATACTCATCAGTGGTATGGTGTCGGTGGTCAAACAACCAAGAAGACAAATGATGAACTTGTGTTAGTTTACGATAGAATGAGAAGGTTGTTGAATGATGAGGAAAACACCCCTACGGGGGAACAGATAGGACGAGACGAAGCAATAGTTTCAAGCTCACAAGAAACAGACAGGGAATGGATGAACGTACAACGTGAAGAGATTATGGTTGAATGTGAAGCGATTCTACAGAGACATGTAGTGAGTTTCGAGCAAAGTCAACATGAGATGGAGATGAGGATCATGGATTCTCTAAGACGTGAAATAAAACTGGCCATAGGAGGGGTAATAAAGAAAGGTGAAATGGAGGCATTTCTGGCAAAGGTGGGTGGAGATGTGCGAGACATTAGCACCGGATTGAGAGAATTCGAGCATAAGAGTCTGAAAGAATATGGAAGAGCACTCACAGAGGCTAAACAAGAGATCGCTGATCGGATAGAGAGGAGGCGAGATGAAAAGACGGAGAAGTCAGTGGCTACCAAAGCTCCTTCCCCAGCATTGTTGGGGGGAGAGTGCGATACAGGTCATACCAGTTGCCCTTCTAACCTGGAAAACCCTCGTAAAGAACAGGCAAAAGAGCCACCTGGCGCGTTTGAAAGTCGGTTATCATCAACTCGACCGATCTTTCATGGAGATGCCACCTATTTCGAGGTATTTATGATGAGACATGAACGATTGGTAGACAAATACGATATTGATGACTGGGACAAGCTCGATCTATTGCTTGCTCAGTTGGGCCCGGACATCAGGCGTGAATTAGAAGAATACCAAAAAAGGGAACCTCTTGGATGTTATAAAAGTGCACTTCGGTATCTCCAACGTAAATATGGGGAAATACAGCATGACGCAACCAGAGCATTGACAAGACTCCAAAAGATTGGGCTTGTAAAGGAGAGTGACTATGAAAGCCAGGAAAGACTGGCGCGCTTGCTGAGAAAAATTCAGTCTGAGTTCGAAACAGACAATAAAGATGGCCACCAACAACAATTAGAAGTTATCGGACTCGTGGCAGCCAAGTTCTGTATGGATGACTGCCTACGTAGGGAATGGACAAATAAAACTTTTGAGAACGGTAACAAGATTAGCCTGAACAACATGGCAGAGTTCATTGAAGACTATGCAAAGGTTGTCAGACTTATAACAAAGTTCACATCACGTGCTGAAACGAGAAGACCACAACATGAGCACAGCAGAGGGATCAACTATAATGCATCTTGTTTCAAATGCGGAAAGCATCATACTCTGCAATCATGCGCGGAATTCAAAAGACTGAGAAGGCCGGAAAAATTGCAAGTGGTGAGGAACTTAGGCCTATGTGAAAATTGCTTACAAAGTCACACTCACCAAGCCAACAAATGTGTACGATCACCCTGCGAGACCTGCAATACCAAAAGACATCCCTGGCTACATAAATGTACCACAAAACGCCCTCCTATTAAGACAGTAACGTTTGAACCTTTAGAGTCACTGAGTACAGATCTAACAGTGATGGTAATTGAAGTAAATGGAAGAAGCCTAGTGACGATGCTGGACACTAGTGTGGATATCACACTCATAAGGAAGGGAGTTATAGAGCAGATAAAGGCCAAGAAAATAGGAGTTAGCACTGTAATGCTGGCGATGATGGGAAGACGAGAAGCATATACCGCGCCAAGGTATGAGATTGAGGTATTTGGAAAGAAGATAGTGGCAATGGAATATCCGGAGATAGCAATCGTGAGCCAGAACAAATTGTTGTCAGACGAACTAAATAGACGGTCATACACGGAGGACGTTGAAATCCCCCAGCTAACCGAGCACCCAGTAGATTTGCTAATGGGAAACGATACGTATAAGTTATGTGGATTGAAGGCGGTCTTAGAAGAGAGTAGGAGATGATATGTATTTTTAAACGCCTTACGAATATCAGTAGTTTGATATACGAACTAATCCTGATGGAAATTATACAGTATATGAATTCTAAATTACCAAGATATCTATTTAGACAAGGAACATAATTGAATGAATCATCATTAAACCATGACACCTTTGTGGTAAAAACAAAGGGTAAAAAGTGCATTTTGCAAAGTTAGGATAGATAAATCATATACTGTATATCATTTATTCTATTGATGATAGATGGCGTTTGTAGAGATACATGAATTTTTTCAAAATGTTCCTTAATTTTTGTCGTTTAACAATTTACAATATATTAATAATATAATATATAAGCTTAACACTTTCAACAGTTGTTTATTGGTCTATATTTACTTTTTAATAAGCAGATCTTTGATGAATTTGACAATTTATCTACATTATAATTAATTGAAGACATATCAATCTGAAAATACATAGTACATTCTAAGAGAGAAAAGTTTAAGCATATAATTCTACACTTATCTTCCAAACGACCCAATTTAGTACAATCTCTTAAATTGGTAGAATTAGTCTTGGATGAAAACGGTTCTGCTTTTGGCACGCAGGATATCTGTCGAAAAGCGAATATAAAATCATCATTACCACCCGACGTTGTTGTTTCACTATGTGTAGAGGTTTCAATGATTTTCATAGTGGTTGTTGGAATATTGGTTGTAGTACCATCTTTCATTGTTGATGCAACTTTTGAGGTGATCTCCGGTAAAATTGTTGATGGTGTAAGAGCTTGCTTAGCTGCGTTCATTGCTGGTTTGATTGGCTCTTTAGGATTGTCCATTAATCGAAGATTTATAATAGCATTGTCATAATATATATCATTTTCCCCACTTTGAATATCTCCATTATGGTTTTCAATATGATAAATATGTAAGAAAGGTATAGTCATAGTTCTATTCAAATGGTTATGAATTGAGATGTTGTTTGTTGTAAAATTGGTTAAAAGTATTATTTTTATATCATTATAAAGTAGATATTCATAACTTTTCCCATTATTAATATCAACAAAAAGCTTAATTGCTGAAAGAATTTTTATCGATTTAATGATAAAACGATTTTTACTATTTAATACAAAAGAAAGAAAAATGCGCTTACCACTCCAAGCATGAGTTAATTTTTCATATAGCATCCTAGTCGCCGTAGACGTTACAGTAACAAATAAATTACTGTTTCCATAGAATTTATACAGTGAACATTCCTCAAATTGAAAAGAGATAAAACTATTTGGAAGGAGAAAAGAATTAGAGGATGTAGAATGGAAACATATTTTAATTAATACCCGCAATTATTCACTGTAGAACAAGATCTCTGGCATTCGTATACTGAATCAACAAGATACATTGATATAAACTTTCCAGAAAGAAGGTTTCTCTCTTCAAAATAATCATCTTGAAAGAAATTAAAAATTGTTCGATTATTTAAATTGAAATGTAAATATATTTAAAGTTAACTTCGCCTTTTAACTTTCAATATTAACATATGAACAGAGTATTTATGAAAAAGTTCTCTCTTCCTTAATTCTTTGTCCGCAATTAGATCTTGGTGAAAGATATCGTTATAATCTTCAATTACATGTAATTTCCCAACTAAAGAGAATATTATCCAAGTATTCTGAAAATAACTTTGATGTTCTTGCGATATTAAATAAGCCCAGGGAATACCTCCGGTATTTACAGTTTCTAGATTGCTAATTGCTAATACAATAATAACATCATGTAGTAGAATACATACTGTATAGTATACAGTTTAGTATAAGGATTTATTATATTTACTTAAAGAGTCATGAAATAGGAATATAATTGCATCAATATCTCTTATACTTCTATAATTTAGAATGTTCATTTTACAATTGCTGTCAAATTGACTGGCCTGAAATATTTTTAATATAATAACATTATTGTTATTATTATAATTAGTAGGATCAAGTAAACACGAATGTTCGTTTGATGCTATAAATTCCGTAACGCCTTTTACCTGTTATATGTTTTCTTTTTATTTAAATATATCAATAGTATTAACAATATATTACCTACTTTTAATAACTTTTCAACCATATGTTTATTAGTTGTTAAAACTTCACCATTTTGCGATAAAAACGGTGAGTTATTAGAAACAAGATGAAGATAAATAGTCTCATTTAAAATTGTAGATACAACTGCAAAATATGAATAGAAATAGATAATATTAAATATAATAACCATATTTTTAAATAGTCGGTGTTTTTTTTCTATTCCACCAGATATTGTTAAACTAGCAAATAACGAAAGTTTATATCATATATATATATGTTGTCTCTATCTGTGTCACTTTTTATTATACTTTATATTAATAATAAATAACATCAATTGAAAAGTCAATATCGACTAGTTTAATTAGCAATTTTTTATATTAATTATTAATAATTCAATTAAACTTCTTTATTAACTTTAATAATTGTTTTATGTAAGATTTAAACACTTTCTATCTCTTTTTTCACTTTGATTACGTTAATTTTATTTAAATGTAATAAAAACAAAAAAAATCTATAAGTTTCTTATGTTTTTCTTAATTAAAAGCTAATAACTATGCAATCTTTTAGATATCATAACTATGATAAACATTTTCAAGTTGATAATGACGATCTATTCTTCAATTTTAATAACGAAATAGGGGTTAGACTTTCATTTTATAGTTTTATTTACTAAATATATACAGATACTTAATATCGCTCTCGTAAATATTCAAACTATGTAGTGCAACAATCATAAAACGAAATTGTTACGTAAACAAACTCCATGTTTCTATTGGAAAATAAAGAATAATGAATCTTCTAAGTGTAATTTAAAAATGAATAATTTATTCATAATTATAGTTAATATTTTAATTAGATGAGAAGAGGCAAACTGCTGAGAAAGACGTTTGTTGTGAAAAATTTGATAGTGTTTCAAACGTCTACGATCAACTTTTACAAACGACAATCGAGTTGGAGAAAAACTACAGAAATAATAAACGACTCTTTGATACTTTAAAGAGAGATAGAGAAGAATTTAATAATACTATTCAAAGTAGCTTTCAATCAACCTTAAAGCAATTATTACAAGTTAGAGAGACTTTGGAAAAGCTAACATCACAGATGGAAAAACTTGATGAAAATAGCAAATTGAATAATGAATGTTCTCTTCTACTGGACAAAAATCTTATTGAAATCTTTCAAAATATCATTAACGAGTATGGAGAGAAAGCTGGAAGTAACAAGAGAAATCTAGAAGAAGATGGTAATTCATTAAAGAACAAGATAACAATGAAGAGCGAAATAAATGATCTTTCGAATATATCAACAAAGGAACGAATTTGTACTCATGATAAAAAAGATGAAGAGTCAAAAATCATTGACTATCATTTCACAGAATTTCCAAAAATAGATTTTCAGGGAAATTTATCATACTTAGAAAAGTTTGCTACACCCTTTAAAGAGTCTAATGAACTGTTTAAAGAAAAAAAAGGACTTATTAATCACTTAACAAAGTTATCTCAATCAATTATTGACTTTTTCAACAATTACGTTGGAAAGCCGTACATACGAACAAACTTTCCTAAAATGATCTATATGTTGCCAATTACTCAATATACTGGAAATCTAAGAAATATATGGAATATACCAAAGAAAGATTCATCTGATTATCAAGAGAGAAATTCTAATACAATTGAACCAATAGATTGTATTAAAAGTGCATCGAAAGATAAGAATATAGATAATAATTCGCAATCATCGCAATCATATTTTGAGTTACCTCAAATTACATCTAACCCAGATCCATCCGATGGAAGAGACAATGAATATTTTGATGATCGAATGTCTAAAAGTTCAGAAAATTCTGAAACAGTTGATTTAATACAAATTAATACATTTTATAACGAAGATATCAGTATAAGTTTATATTTAGAAGATTCAATGTAAAGTAAAAAGTAGATAAAAACTTAAGGTCAAGTTCGTAGAAGAAGAAGAAGAAGAAGAAAAAGTTCCTTTTATATTTAACCAGAAAAAATTGATTCTCCTATTGGTGACAAGCACTCAAATATTTATTGATAGATACATCATTAATATTGAGGAATCTCTATTGCATTTTTATAATTCTAATGATCGTAATGAATCTTATTTTTTGTATGTGAAAGTTGTTTTATTTTCTCAAATACAAGTATTACCAGAGTGGGGGAGAAAGTTTGGCAATTTTTGGGTTGTTTACCCTAACCCTAACTCTACGGTTAATCAAGTTCTTTTCATTTTATTTCCCCTAACACTCAGTCCATAGCTTAACCAAAACCCTAAAGTGTTCACTTTTTTTGTTTATCATTCTATACAGTGAATATTTAAAATGTAATTAAATCTCTCATAAGTCTTTATGAGTCATAAATTTATTCAAATTAGCTTATTAGAATTTTAATAGAATTGCTGTATATCTTTAAAGATGGCTACTTTGGAAAAAGAAGTACCTGATTTAGGTCGAATAGCGGAAGAGGCTAGATCGGTTTTAGCAATGCAACCTAAGAAAAGTATTTTAAAAGTTCGAGATCGGCCATTAGAGGCGCAATCTAAACTAGATATTCTTGTAAAGAGAGAGGAAAAATCTCAAATACAAATTATCAATGATAATAAAGAACAAACTATTGTACAAGAACAGCAAAAGATACAAAACGAACTACAAAATGATCTTAAAAAAGCGTCTAAACTCAGCGTTGTCAATGATAAATCATCACAAAATGATAGGCGCGATTCAAAAGATAGTACGGCCGAAGTTTTAGAATCTTTAAGAGATATTAATAAGGAGTTTGTTTCCGAAAGAAAGAGAAAGAGACGCCAATTGGTACGAACTTTGCAAGTCTTATATCATATATTCAATTTTTTACTCTTGGTGTTGACTTGTATTAATTTAGGATTAACTTCAATTGCTTTATTCATAGAAATAAAATCGATGTATACTATTTTAAGGATAAATACCATTTATCCAAAAGAGCCGAGAACTTCTCTTCTTGAATGGACAGGATATTTCCAATTTTTTGCATGTTTAATAGATGTTTGTATATCTGCAATAGGATTTAAAGGAACTAAAAAGACGGTTATAGCCCATATAAGCGTCCTATGTCTTTTCTTCTTTAATCAACCTATTATCATTGTTATGTTTATTCTATATAAAGATTTAGCTGATAACTATTTAAAATTGCATATGCTTAATATGATTAAATATAATTATCGACAAGACGATGAAACTCAAATTGTAACTTATAATGAAACGTCTAAGTTTGGCATCAATAATTATGCGAAACAATGGAATTATTTACAATCAAAGGTTAGTTCATTTTTCTTTAATGAAAAAGTATGAAATTAGATGCTTTCTTTTACAGTATAAATGCTGCGGTGTACTTCATCCTAACGATTATTGGAATAGGACAAATTACAATTTCTTTTTCGTATTTAATCAAACTTTTATGGTATAAAGATATTACTTTAAGAAATCCTTTAAAATACTGACATATTTCATTCAATTATTTCAATTCTTATACAGAAAAGAGGTAAAATTCCGGCATCTTGCTGTAAAAAATCCCATAATCCCAATAATCTGCTAAATTATTTGGAAGATAAAGACGCTAAAAATTGTCTAAATAATACATTGTTTGTTTACGAAAGAGGTTGCTTTAAAATTATGCAAATTAGATTACAAACTTATTCGGATATAGTTAAATCATTTACAATTTCAACAATTCTTCTCAAGGTAAATAACTTTCAGTTTAACTTCTACTTATTAATATTTAAATATATTCATATATATTCAAATAGATTATGCTGATTATTACTGCAGTTTACTATCTAAGAAAGTTAAGGAGGCCTATAAAACGGAGAAAATTAATATATGATACTAATTCGAGTGATTTGAATACAGCGGAAGTTGAAGAAGAGGAAGACGAAGATGACATGCAAGATATGTCAAAAACAGGATCCAAAAATGATTTATCATCTTTAATGGAAAACATAGCGGCATCTGGAGCTGATGGTAATATTCTACCGTTTTTATTACCATTTTTAACACAGTATCAAATGATGAATCCTGCTTGGCAAAGGAAGATAAGAAATTTGCAAAAAATTACTGCGCTAAACGCTCAAATGCAACTAGAAAAGTTACAAGAAGAGGAAGCAGCTAGAAAAAGGAAGGAAAAAACGAAAGAGATCAAGGAGCAGGTTCAGGAAGGAGGAAATGTTTTATTAGAAGATGAAAATATGAATGACAAACAAAAGAACAAACCTCCAAAGTCTGTTACAAATAAAGGAAAATTGAAAAAAGAAACTAAAACAAAATCCACAGAAGAAACGAAAGGTGTTGCTAAATCTGGAATAAGCCCGAAGAATGACAAGTCAAAAGCAAAAGTAGAAAGTGATAAATTGGCTGTTGAAGATGTTAAAATTGATATACAGGAATCTAAAGAAAAGGTAGAATTTGAAAAAAAAGACGACACGGAATCAAATTTAATTGCTAAAGACAAGTTAAAAACATCTGAAAGGAAGAAGGAAGACGATAAAAATATTGAAGATAAAATTGAAAAGAAGAAAAGTGACGCCTCCATAGGTTCTATGGCAAAAAGGAGATCCGAAAGATATCTGGATAGATTAACTAAGCAAAAAAGTAGTCAAAGGTTACCGTTCGATCTAACGGATAGAGAAAGACGGTCCCTTTTTCCTAAATACTCGAGAAGAACTTTAGATTTATATAAAGAAGATTCTAGGAAAGTGGAAACAATTGATCAGATTATAAACGAGGCAACGACTACAATAAAAAATGACCAGGATAGAATAAAAAATCTTAGTACTCTGGGAAAATTGGGCGTCAAGAAGCAAGAAAGCACATTTACATGGAGAACGTCCAGCAGAGCCGATCTTTTCCAAATGAAAACAGATAATCCAATGAAAAAAAGATCTTTCTTTAAAGATCAAAGTGAACAGTTACTAGCGGATAGAGACTTTGAAAAGAAAAGACAAGAGAGCGAAGCTCATCTCCAAGAGCTATTAGAGAGAATGAAGAAAACTGCTTCAAACTTTAGGTTGCAAAGAAGATTTTCAAAAGATCAGGATACACCTAAATGATTAATTAGAATATTTAATTACGCTATAAATATTAAATTGTTTTTTGTTGGTGTTTCTTTTATAAAGATTTACTACAAAATTTGCATATTAATTTGAATATTTAAATTTTGATTCTTTTTCTTATTTTATATTTTTAACACAAAAATATAGATGATGCTATACTTTAGATATATATTTATATATGTATTTCTTCAATTTTGGCCTATCTTCCCGAGAATTATTCAAGTTAATGAAACTACTATATTAACAGTGACAAAGTAAAAAGCTAAAGAAAAAAGATATATAAATATTAATTTAACTTATGAATATTCATTTTTAAGCTTTAATCTTTTTAGCAATTATACGAATGAAAATACGTCGTATATTAATAATACAACTACAGATATAATAAATAAATTGGGTCATAATTTAACGAAAATTAATAAAACTGAAACAACAATAAATAGCGATCTTTGGCCTAATAATAAATATATTCTCAACCATCTACCACCTAGAAAGCATGTACTTATTCCATCTGGTGTTATTAAATTCAAACTTTTATTAATGACTATTTCTTTAAATACTTTTGTTATTACTATGGTATTTTCAGCCTATATTTACATAAAAAAAATAAATTGCGAAACTAGCGACGATCTGTCCAATGAGAATTGTTTGGAAGCTGGAAAGGACCATAACTAACATCTTTCTTTGTTATTATTAAATTTTAGGGGAAAAAATGAATGATTGAAATACGTTTGAATTTTATTTGTTTATTTGTTTTTATTTTTTATTCATAAATATGTGAATTGTATTTTTGTTTTTCAATTCAACTGAACAGTTTCTTCTTTTGAGATAAATAAAATAAATACTGAATTCTGGACGGATATTTTAAATGTTCATATCTGTTTTCAATGAGTTTAACAATATCAACATTTAAAAAATAAATGGCTCGGTAAAGGATTACTTTAAAGATTAAACATCTATGAATAATCAATCGTTGGTAGAAGAGACAAGAAGAGAAAGAGAGAAAGACAGAAAGATAGAACACCGAAGAATAGTAGTAATAATTAAAATATTCAAACTTTCATTGAATAGAACATATTCGACTCTCTCGTACTTGTTGCTTTGGAGGGATTTTTTCAAGTTGTACCTTTAATTCATCAAGTTTTTGTTCTAAGCTTCCAATCTGCTGTCGATACATTTCTTCCATTTCGGCTGTTTTTTTCTCAGAATCACTGCGAATATCAGCGACAGCTTTGGCTGCATCATCTACAACTTTGCGCAAATGCTGATCCGTCTCCTCTTTGTCCTTTTTTAATTTTTCTACCTGTGAAGCTATGGCATCTATTTCAATACTGGCTTTTGGCGTAGCATCTCCTTCGCTCTGCGAACTACTTAAACAAGATTAATTAATAGGTCACATGTAAAAATAAAATTCTTATATAAAAACAAACCTCTTTGCTTTCGATTTACTTTTATGTCTTATTTTCGTTGTTGACGAAGGACCAGCCTTCGATTTAGTAGGAATTAAATTTTGAGCATTTGAAGAATTTCTCTTATAAATTGGAGGTCTTTGAGATTTGCTAAAAACAAACATTTAAAAAGATAAATAAATGTTGATATAGTGATAAACCAAACCTATCATCTCCACTAGTATCCTTAGGCTCTAAACTTTCGTACTTATTATTCATCCGTTCATCTATGGAATTTCCGTTTGTTCGTTTGTCAACATTAGCAAGAAAATTATTTCGATCTTCTTCATTCGTTGAAAGGTCTACTTCCTTTTGCAGCCATGTTGGAAGCTATTAGATTGAAATTAATAGAAAAATGTATCAAGTCCTTATCCTTTATATAGTATTTAAACAGAAAACTTACTGGTCCACTATTATCCATTTCGCTAGAAGAGAGCTCATCTCCTCCGTCCCTACTCGAAGCCGACATTCTAGTCGGTCTTGATATGTTTACACCTGAATCATCGGTAAAGGATGTAGTACTTTTTTCTCGTAGAAAGTTTCTCCGTCTCTTCTTTTTTCTTGTTGACGGGGGAGGGGGTGCTGTTGTTTCCACTTGAAGGAACAACTTGTTTTCGTTGCATATTAAATTCGATAGAGTTACAGTCTCCCCATCCGGACTGTGTGCTCCGGATGAATCAAGATATAAAACTGGAGTTGGTTTTAGCACTAGATCGTCCCGCGATTGAGAATCGTGTCTTTCTCTAGCGGATACAGACGTTGATCTTTTCAAAGCTGCTTGTGTGGTACTCGGATCAGAATTTAACTGAGTATCAGATTCAATAGGTTCTTTTTCAGGTAGAACTGGTTGGCTAGCAGATCTATACATTTAGATAAAAGAAAAACTCATAAACAATATTATCCAATGAGCGATTTAATTTACTTTACCTTGTCAATTGAGAAACTAAAGGATAGGAAACTGGATCTGGATCGTGTCTATATTTCCTCCCCCACCTAACAATCTCATTTTTATGAGTAACAGCAACAGAATAGCTTGGACCACACTTGACTATTGTAGCAGGTGAACTTTCAAAGAATTTAATTAAAACGCACTCTTTTTGAGATTTCGTGTCTCCCATTCCTAATTGTCCGACGGAGTTCTTTCCAAACGTGATTATTCTACCACCTTCTAATAAAACAGCTGTATGCGTGTCTCCCATAGAAATGCTCTTAATACAATGCCTAGCTAAAGATCTAACACACACAAACGTAGAAGTTCCATCAATATCGGTTTTAGCGAATATATTTTTCATAGCCATTAAAAATCCTTGACGTTCGTTTAAAGCTAATTTATTATGTAAATTTGAGCCACATGCGTAAACTGAACCTAAATCTGTTACAATCATAGTTCCATCACGTCCACAATTTGCAGATTTAACGGAAATATTTTCAGAAAATTTTACAACTTCTGGGGAAAAAATTGTCTTTTCGTGACCCAGACCTGTTCTTCCATTATCTCCACAACCCCAAGAATAAAGTTTTCCTTCTCGTTCAACAGCAACGACATGTCTTGGACCACAAGCAACGTGTAAAATATCAACTGACAATAGCTCCTCAACTAAACGTGGTTTAGAAATGCTTGCCATATCTTTATGTCCCAAGCAACCGAATGAACCATCCCCGCAAGTCATTATAAGACCATTATCACTTCCAAAAACTGAGAACGAGCTCCCAGCGCACAAACGTACAATTGATTTATTTTTAAGACCATCGACTGTTTGCGGTCGAAATTTTTTCTGAGTATCTCCATGACCAAGTTGTCCGTATTCATTACAACCCCAACTATAAACGCAATGTTCAACGGTCACAACAATAATATGATCTCTTCCAACAGCCATCTAAGGAAAGCAGTTATAAATTATTATTAACGTACTCTAAGAACAACAATTTGGGAACAAACATCTTTTATTTTCACTTTGGAGGGTAGAGGAACTGGTACAAGAGAAACGTCTATAGCATCCATTTTAAAGAAGTATAGTACAGATCTGAAATTAATTAATTAATTTTCTAAAACATTAAACAAATGAACAAACTAATAAAACAATATTTAAACAACGCATTAGATATTTGACAATATTTTTACAATTTATATTATATAAAATGATAAATTCAAGTGAAAATGTATTGATATATTAAGTGACATGCAGTGCTCTTACAACACGAAAATAAATCTTACCTGTGCACTGCCGAATCCAAAAACGAAAGGCTAAGAATTTCATATATTATAATCTAATAAAATTTTTCAATTTACACTTTAAATCAAGTGGAAAAAAAAGCAAAAAAAGTAACTTAACTTTAAAAAGCTACATTATAATTCGTACCTGTTTGATCTTAATCTGGATTCTTGCGTTAAGCCTTCTTCCGAAACGGTTTGGCGAAATTTTGATAATAGCTATCATAATATATTTATTTAATTAGTATAAATTATAATAGATTTTGTCTTTTTTGTTTACTTCTGGTACTCTTTTCTTATGTAATTCTAAAGCAGTTGGCCGAAACTCTGGCTCTTTTTGTAGCATATCACTTATTAATGTTTTAAATTCATTGGAGTAGCTTCCTTTCACAGGTTCGAACTTTCCCTTTAATAGTATTATATATTCAATATATACAGTACATACTAAAAAAACATTAATCAATAGCATACCTTCATAATTTTATTAACTAACGCAGGTAGATTCGAGCCTTCAAAAGTTCTTTGTAAACAAGCCATTTCATATAGAATACAACCAAGGGCCCATATATCTGATTTTTCATTATAGGGTTTTCCCTCGCACTACAAAAGACAAACAATCATATATCATTAATCACTGGTTAATAGTTCTTATTAATATATAGTCAAAAAAAAAACAAACCATCTCTGGACTTATATAATAAGGTGTACCGAGGACAGTATTCGCAGCTTTATGAGTTGTCATCACTTTACTTATTCCAAAATCTCCTATTTTACAGTGTCCTTCTTTGGTTAAGAATATATTTTGAGTTTTTAAATCCCTGTCCGGAAAGTAAATAAATAAATGTGTATCGTGTGAAAATTATATGATAAGTTATTATACGTTTAATATTGATTTATTGAATGAAAAATTATTACACCTAATTAACCCTACACGTCTACAGGAGTAAGAATTTCTAATGTTTCTCTACATTAGTGACAATTAGCAAGACTTTGATCTTAATCCTTTATACAGATGTATTTAATAGTACTTTGAAAGTATTATTGACTATGTCTCTCTCTCTCTCTCTCTCTAAACATTTTCCTCTCAACATCTTAGGTAGACTTGAGATATATTAATGTTTTCATTTTAAGTATTTTACCTATGTAATGTTTTGCTCTTGTGTATATACATAATAGCAGATACAATTTCCTTAAACATGCCTAAGATCTTTTTCTCTTCTAAGGGATTATCCTGTTTGGCCAAGAATTGAGCAAGATTCCTATTGTGAGAAACAAACAAATAGATTGTTTTATTAAATATATACTGTATATACAGTATATTAAAATAATAGTTACCCTCCATCGGCATATTCCATTTCAATAATAACTTTACCATCCTCCTCGAAACTATCATAATAACTTATTATATGGGGATGATCTAGCTTAGCTAATACTTTAGCCTAGAACATTCAGATAAAAATAGATATATACATCAATATTCATTAAATAATGCTTTTTATATTCATAAACTTTACTTCGTTAAGGGCAAGTTGACGTTCTTGAGCATTCAAGTCTAATAAATTTATCTCTTTTAATATAACTAAAGAGTCGTCATCTTTCTTTCGATACAATATAGCTGCTCCATAGGCACCTGAAATAGCATATAGAAATTATAAACTGTAGTAGTTCCCATAAAGACTTTGTTATTCCATTAATTACGTTAAATATTTAAGAGAAGTTAAAATAGAGCTTTTAAAAGACAATTTTAATGATTTATAGTTGATATAATAGAAATTATTATAAGATTTCCCACCTTTTCCAACAGTACGAATTTTTTCAAAACCTGCCATTGGTTGAGATTTCCATGTCTTTAAACTACTACTTTTAAAATATAGATCACATACGGTTCTGTATAGATAAAAAATGTAAAATAAAAGTTCTATATAATATTAAACACTAGTTAACAACCCTAGTGAAAATATCTCGTAACTTACACAGGCCTAGAACTATCAGTACTTCGAACAATAATATCTGATCCAGAAATATCTTTGGAAATTCCAACTGATATCTATAATAAATTAGAATGAAATAATCAAATATTATTAACAATAATTAGTTTACAAACCCCTAAAAGACGCCTTAATTCTAATTTTAAGTCTTCTAAATTTGTTTTAGCATTGTTACAACCCAGTAAATCAAATCGTGCTCTTCCATTATCATCGTCAATAAAATTGGATGTTAAATTCAAAAAAAACTCTTTCAGCGTATCATCGTTTGTGAGATTATCAAAATTAAGTATCTATAATCAGCAGAAAACCTTTAAACATTTAAATGATATTATTTCAATAATAAGTACTTTTTCATCAATTCCTGACAAACAGATCACCCCTGTTGAAGGATTTACGTAAGGTACTATAGCGAAACTTTCAACTTTTCTCTTTGTTGCTAGGTGATGTATTGCATCTATTTAATGATAATATAAGAAATTTTACATATATAGAGAGTTTGTGTATACATATACAATTTGATTAAATAGTAATAACTACTTACCAGAAATACCTCCAAGGTTTAACTCATACTTATATACAATAGAATTAACTGAAGAATGGACCACAGACGATAACGTGGAGGCATTTTTTACTTTACTGCAGACTATTAATAATCTTGAAACTTTCCTGGCACTTCTCTTCGGGTTAATCTCCTCTTGATAATTGTCATCATCTCTAAATTGATTTATATAATTGTTATCTTCTCTGTCAGAGTGATTGCTCATTTCTAATTTAATAAACTTTTCGATTTCAACAATTTCTTCTAAATTCAATATTTCGCCAAGCAACGGACGGGATTAATTTCTTATTTTTCTCATTCAAGTATTTATAAGTTGTGTTTACAACGCCATTTTAGATTCCAAGACTAATAAAGTATGGTTAGTGTTGCTTAGCCGTATTAAATTGAACGATCGAATTCATTAATAGTGGCCATGTTAAATGATATATTAATTTCCTGTTCAAGTCAATATATTGTTTGTTAATTGTGTATCAGGAACGACAATCCACACTCTGTTTGTTCAATAATCAGTTATTTTTTTTAAATTTTATGAATGAAATCTGACAAGCTCCTTTAAAATATCAATAGTGTATGCAGAAGAAAAATATACCACCTGAACAGGTAAATGACCAGGTACCGGACTAATTCAAGCCTGCTCACGCGGGAAATAAGAACATTTCGATCATAAATTTACATTTACACTTTAATATCTGTGTAATTTTTGAAAAATGTCTAAAGGTTAATTTCTCCATACATTTCTTATTTAGTTTTTTCAACTCTATAGCTATTATGTTAAATTAAATCTTCTCTACGTATTAAAAGTAAATTGATGAAGTTGCCTTAATTTAACCATTAATAGAAAAATTGATCCACTCATTTTTTTCTAACCCCAAGAAATAATCATTTGGAAAGGACGCTTAAAATATGCCACTATCTTGTAGCTTTATTGAATATGGTGAAAATCACTTTACCAGTTTGTTTTTTTCTGAAACGGTAAAACACTATTTATTTATCCTATTATCGCCTAAATCATACTTCTACTAGTCCTTGTATTATGTAAAAAAACATACTAAAATGAGTAACGAAACAGACGATGAATTCGAAGACGCTTTAGAATATCAAGAAAAAGAAAAACTTAAGAATTCTGAACAAAATAATTCAGATAAAGAAGTGTCGGATACTGAAGAACCAACAAATAAAAATGAAACAAAGAATTTGGAAGACTCCGATGAGGAGGCGAAAGCTGAGAAAGAGGAATCAGAAGAAGAAATACTTGAAAAAAAACGACTTCAGGAAGAGAGCCTTCTCAGTGAAGAAGAATTAGAAGAAAAATTTAAATCCGCATGTGATTTAAAATTAGAAGGAAACACACACTTTAAAACTTCCAACTGGGAAGAAGCAATATTCTCTTATACTAGAGCATTAGAAATTTGTCCCTTAAGATATACTTCCGAAAGGTCTAAATGTTTTTCCAATAGGGCAGCTTGCTATATTAAACAGGTTAGTTCATTAATAATTTAAACTGTTTCATTGCACTTTACCATATATCTCAATATAAAAGGAGGATAATGAAAAGGCTCTCATAGACTGTTCGAAAGCTCTAACATTAGATGAAAATTACGTCAGAGCAAGGCTAAGAAGGGCAAATATTTATCAGAATACTGACAAATTAGACGACGCATTAGAAGATTATCAAAAAGTTTTAAAACTCACTCCAAATGATCCAGAGGCAAGGGAAGCTTGTATGGTAATTAGACTATCGATATTTGTGAAATTATAAAATTAACAAATAATATTTAAACACAGAGACTTCCGGAACAAATTAGGGTGAGAAATGAGAAAATGAAAGAAGAAATGATGGGTAAAATTTGAAAAGTTTTCTTTAATTAAATACTTAAAATGTTTATCTTTTCACAACAGGTAAACTTAAAGATTTAGGAAATTTATTCCTTAAGCCATTTGGATTATCTACAAACAATTTCAAAATGCAACAAGATCCATCAACAGGATCATATTCAGTGAACTTCGTTAATAATAAACAATAAATAATTGCTTGCTTTTCTCTATTTGTATTATTCATGAATTGTATTATCAAGAAGAAAAGAAGTGTTCAAACCTATAAAATTCTGACTAAATCTTTCCATGAATAGCTTTGCAATGCTAGAATACCAATTGTAGTATATATATATATTATAGTATAAAAGCAGATGGCGCTAAACAATGGACTTAGATCGATAAATATAATAGAGTATATTTCGTTGAAACATTATTCCAACGGCCGTTGAGAGCGACAAATTAAAAAAAGATGACATCAATGAAGATCTTAATTATTAGTTTACATCTGTTAGTTTTCTACGTAAATGTGATTAATGCAAAAGATAATCCTAGTGATGGTCTATCATTCAAAGCACCAAAGTTGGATGATGAAGAGTCTCATAGTAATTTTCTACCGCGTAATCAACTAATGAGATGCGACGCTTGTAAAATTATTATGTTTAGAGTGAGTAATAGCGAGAATAGAATTTATTTGATTCGATTCTTCGTACTTTCATATTGCTAATATACTTCCTTTATCTATATTTAGCTTGACGGGGAATTTACCAAATCAAATAAGAAACTTAAAAAGGCTAATTTCAAACTTCCAGAATCTGAATTAATAGAAATTTTTGAACAAACTTGTCATCCAGGAGCCTATCAAGAGTAAGAAAAGTCTTATATTAGTTTTAGTAATACCAATGAGTAGGGCTTTTAATTTGTTAGGCCACTATTATACAGTTAACACATTTCCCAAATCTACACAGCTATGGTGTTAAGCCTGTTGATGGCGTAAACAGGCTATCCGGTCCCGGTACAGGACTAGAAGAGTATCCAGCTCTTACACAATCTGGAGGTAAATGGCCAACAAGAATAGCAGATCTTTGTGGCCAAATTTTAGAAGAGTTAGATGAACTAGAAATTTATGAAGAATGGATAAGAAGTGGGAAATCCTTAGAAAAATTTAAAACCAATATGTGTTCAGGAAGCGGCATTAAAAATCAATGCCAATCTATGCCAAAGCAACATGAAGATTTATAACGAAATTTTATAGTTTTGCGTGTTTCTTTTCGGAAAAAATTTCTAATGTATTAATATGTTATTTGCAAATACATAAAGTCATAAAAATATATATTTATATAGTGCAATATATAAATATATATATATTTATGTTTATATGAAGCGCGACTAGGTCTCGTAGAATAATTATAAAAAAAAATAATTTGGCAAAAAAAAAATATCCAATTTTGTTTTTAAAAGTAAAAAAAGAAAAAAAAGTTTCTTTCTCTCTTAAGTTTTTTCTTTATCTATAAACTCTAGCTCCTTAATGTCCGTGTGCTTTGGCGACTTGATGATAAGCGTTTCTTAGTAGTGCATAGGGGAAACAACTCTCTAACAGGTCCATTGTCAGGAAAGGCGATTCTTGGACAATCTTTTTTTTAGAAAGAGTTACATTTTTTATTATCGTTTTATTTATTTTTATTATTATTTTGAATTTATTTTTTACCTGGTCCAAAAGCAAATATATGGATTCTCTGTTTCGGATTACATCTCTATCAGTTTCTTGCCCTAGGCGAAGCAAACTGGCTGAAGCAAGCTGAAAAATACATATTATGTTAGAACTTTTACATTATTAACAAAAAAAATAATAATTACGGCTAAAAATTCCTTTAATCTATCACCAATTTCATTCTGTTTTCCTTGAACCGTTAAAAGTGAAGAAGCTAAGGCATTAACAGCTTTGGCAATGCAATGAGCATTGTTCATGTGACCTTCGAAGGCTGGATTGAATCGAGAACTCTCGAGTCTAGCCCATTTAGGTAGGCTAACAGCAATAAAAACCAATAATAAACAGGCAACAGAGAAATCATCATCTTGAACGCTAGCGGCTGGATTTTCAGGGGCCTGATTTTGTCGTTGATTACGCAACATTGTACATAGTGCAGGGTCAATATCGCATTGTATTCCTGCTGCACTAGCCATTTCGTTTACAATCTGTAAGGAATATAATTATGAAAGTATAATTAAGAAAGTAAAATTATTTCTTATCTATGTGAAACGAAAAAATGGCAGATTTATAAATAATAATAAAAAACAAAAGGCTTTTATGTCAGTCAATCAAAACTGTAACTAATCATCAATTTTAGTAATAAAATTTTATGGATATGTGAATATTATTAATATTCTTAACTATACAAAGAAATCATTCATCTAGGATACAAGATAAAACTAGTATATTCTCTAAACATTCAGTGCATTTTTCTTTATAAATAAAATAAAATAATCGCCATTTCCCGAGAAGAAAGCGAAAGTAATAAATATGCTTTCTTTTGTTATTTATCTTTTGTTATTTAACTGTCATTGTAAACTACATAAACATACATCTACTAATATATATATATATATATATATATATATATATATATATATATATATATATATATATATATAGTATATATGTTTTTGTAACATTTAGCATTTATAAATATAGTATGTCTAGAAAGACAGCGAAATATAAAAGGCACACTCAAGCTTGTATGCAAAAAAACTATTATTTTAAAACAGTATTATATATACACGCGTAAGAATACACGTATGTCTTATAAAACACAACACTCCTTTTTTTTAAATAAATAGCATATTTAGCGAAATAAAAAAAGAAAATAAATACAGTAAAAAAATAAAAAACTAAGAAATTGAAATATTTAGATTTTGGAAAACAAAATTGAAATGAAATAACTAAATATTTTCTATCCATTTAAAATGTTAAACATACACAACGCTTTTAAAGTTTTACGTGCAAAAGAATATACCTGTCCTCTTATAGAAGCGAGCTGTCAATTATAATTTATAAGTTTTTAAATAGCGGCTACTTTTTTATCAGCAATAAAGCAAAGAGTAACGATGTTTGGCTTTATAATTTAATATAATAAATATCTTCCTGAATTTTTTTTTTAATTGAAGATTATTGTTTCTAACTGATTAGTTGCTTTTTTAGCTTACCATTGTATCTCCGGTATGTGGCATATGTTTATGAAAATCTCTTATTGAACTCAATAAGAACGGTATTCTTTGATCCAGAACCTGTTTTATATATTCAATTTTTATTTATAAAATATTTATACATTTATTAAAATCATACATCTTGTAAAGCCTCTTGTGCTAATGATCTGAAGGAAAGTAGTTCTCCTATTATTGACACTCTCTTCAATAGGTTATCAGAATCTGTTTTTGCCATAGGGCAATTCATGTAAAAAGATATTGGAATCTATTATGCTATAAATACTTTGCAACTTTTTTACGGTTCCCTTAACCAATTCTGAATCATCGTAATTGGTCCTTAAAGCGTTTAAATAAATTTTGTTCTGAATGACCAGAGCTTTCAACTCTTCCACCTAGTCGAAATCCAGAAGTAAAAATAAAGGAATTATTCAATAAACAACTTTGTATAAAAACCTGTTTAGAAATGTGCCACACAATCTTCTCACCCATCAATTTCATACCATAAGGACCTATCAGCTCAGCCAACGCCCTTAATTCGACTAAATCTGCATATTCCTCAGCTTGGAAATGAGTTTCCGAATCAAGCGTCAAAAATGCCTTATGGTTCGGCGAATAGATTACTTTATCTTCGCTAACTTTTAGCATTAGCACTTCAAGATACCACTGAGAATAGTTGAATGCAATCGTAGGATTACCATGGAAAGTATCACGTTGCTGAGTTTGTTGCGGTAGGACGCTATTGAATATTCTTGACATGTCAATATGAATATAATTCTCTATGCTTTGTAAAACATTCATCACTGCATAGACCCCAGCTAAGAGTTCGCTTGGTTTAGCTATTTCGCTCGTTTGTGGATTATACATCATCATACCAACGAGAAGTCTACGAAGAAATATAAATATATAATAAATATTACTGAAATGTATAATTGAGAAAAAGAGCTGTTACTTGTTAAATCTGTCTTCTAGATGGTTTAGAAAAAATTCTCTTGGTACGAAGCCATGATTCCAAACTGTTATAATATTTGTATAGTTAAATGCATAACATAATTCTGTTAAAGCCATGTGCAATTTATCCATTCTGGTAAATTCTTCTCTTTGTTTTCTAACACTTTCATGACCTGGTTTCTTTTCTTCTTGAAGAATTCGATCCTTATCTTTTTTTGATTTTTTGGCATTCAAGTTCACAATTTGAATAGCACAATGTTTTGGCAACAGTTGATCCGTTAAATGACACTGTTCTTCACATATTGCTGTTATTACTTGATTTACTTCTTCGCTCATTTCCTTTAAGAACCAATGAGTATACTGTACACTTGTTGATCCAATACTTTGTCTCTCCTCTGGGCAAAGCCTATGGGTCGCATTCAAAAAATGAGCGCACACTTGAGGAAATGCAATACTGTAACGGTGCTGAGCTGGAAATTCCATACATTCTTTAAATTGCATTTCCAATTTATGCATGTAGAAGCAGTATAGAGACAAATCAGAAGTCTCATTTAACAGATCATCCAGAGTATCGACCAACCGAGTATGGAAAGCAATAGTATTCAAATGACGGGCCAAAGTTTGATGTTGTGATAATTTTAAGCGAGCTTGAGGAGATGCCATATAAGCTTGCATTCTACACCAGTCCATGCGCACTGCTCGTAACTCTCCAATATTTATAGACTGATCCTCAACTGTTTATTAAGTATAGATTAGATTACAAAATTATGAAAAAAAAATTCAATATTCTAACCTTGTTTTACACTTAAGCCTTTAAAAGTCATAACAAAAGATGAAAGAATCTCGCTCTCCTCTTCACCTTCAATGTTAACCATTAAGCTTTCTAAAGCATTTACGTCTCCACCAGATAGAAACTGCACATAGTATCTTTGAATTACTTGAGAATACTTTTTAGCCAGCGATCTTAGCTCTTCCACAAGGAAGATAAGTTCAGGTATTTGACGATCCTTTAAGTCTTCTTCTAGAATTTTATTCTTGGATTTCGTTGGTATATTATCTGAATGACGCATAAGCCATCGAATTTCATCTCTCGCATTCGATAGAGCAGAGAATAGAATTAAAGCTTTCGGTCCCAAAAGACCAGGTTGATCGGTTAAAACAAGAGATAATTCTTTTAATGCCGTACGTAAATACTTTCTTTTATCTCGATGATTTTGTAACCTTTATAATTTAACGCTTTGATATTTTATCTATCAATAAAGAAAACTAATACTTACGCTTGTTTATAAGCGTGATCGCGAGAATTTTTAACTATACCAACGAGTGCACCTAAACCTTTCATACTCTCAAAATGAGCTATAGAGAATTGGTGTGTAGGTACAACCTCATCTCTACACAAAGCCATTACAAAAGAATTAGATAATGCAGTTTGCCATAAATGGTTAATTTTTGGATCTTCCAAAAGAGAATTACATATGGTGACCGACACTGAAAAAAAATTATTGAAATTAATGGCAAACGTTCAAAATTACATGTACTAAATACAGATCTAAATAATAACTTACTAATTATCCATCTCTCCATACTTTCAACAGATAGATATTCGCATGGACACTGAAATCATTTAATAAATGATTAAATATATCCACAACAAACAAATTATATCTTTTCATACATACTGTATCAGTGTGGTAGCAGCTCAGAAGCTTATTGGAATCGTACAACAAGCTTAGATATTGCTGTGTCCTCCATTGAGCAGCAACATTTGCTCTTCGGGGATAGACGTCGCTCAAAGAATTTATGGCAGTTCTCAAACTCTAAACGAACAAATAATAGAAATCACTCTATGATGTTATTTAGAAAATGTAGATCAAATTCAACTACAAACATTCTTATGAGGCATAAAATCTTCTGTTAGCTTCTTTAAAGGATTTTCAATTTCCATGAAATAATTAGCAACCTTTTTATAATACTCCTCACTAAAATAGAACGAATTACTATAAATTTTAAGGATTTAAGTAATAATTATGAATATACAAACTCTTTATTCTTATCCAAATAAAATACGTAATTAAACATTCCCAAAACAACCTTTCTATCGTCAATTTTTGATAGTATGATAGTAATAGCACAATGTAAAGCTATTAACTCAAGGTAGCTCTTTGTTAAATCATAATTTAGAACCTAAATAGTTTGAAAAAAAATGTTATTAATAAGATAAAAAATTGTTTTATTTAAATAGAAATTAATTAATACTTACTATACTAAAGGATAGTTGACAAACGTCCACTGTCGTTAAAGTATCATTGATGGCATTCTTCAAGTCGAAAATGTCGACGAAAGTATAATAATACAAATTGAGAGCATTCATAATTGAATTTTTATGCGGATTTAGAATTTGAAGAATCTGTAATGTTCCCTGTAAAGTAATTTATTAAAAAATTAATTATTTAGATAAAAAAAAGAGAAGACTTTCGAATGGTTGTTAAAAGCTATTATTATTTTGACTATTCTTGTAAAATATGCCTAAAATCAACGATATATGACTTTAGATTTGCAATGCGAAATCACAATTCATGATTATTCATTTATCAGGATCCAAAACTGTATTTGATAACCAACGGAATAACTTTATACTTACTGAACCCGAATGTGCATCAACGGGAAACTTTTTTCCTCCTAAAAGCTGTACAGCTTTCTCATATTGTTTTTCGCTTAGGAAGCCGGGTTTACTGTTCAAACTAAGCATCTGTAATTAAAGTGATTAAAGCCTAAGTCCGAAAGCAGGAAGAACAAGGTAATTAAACCTTTTTTATGTTATAGATTCTCGTCAGCATGCCCTTCGCCCTGTCTGTGAGGACGGCCAATTTTTCGGCTATCTTCTGTTGGTATACCATCGGTACACTAGTCATCCTGATACAAAGCAATTGAATAATTCAGAAAAAACTATACAAAATACATTTATTGGTACTGCAACGCGATCAACACACAACGCATGCGCAGCAAAAAATTTATTCAAATCTAGATGGCGCTGGCAACTTGGTTGGTAGCCTTATCGTTGGTAGTATCCTTAGAATATAGCTTTCAAACATCCTCAAACAAGACTGGTCCTTTTTGTCCTTTCTTTGGAAATAGAGCACCAAAGGCTCAGCCTTACTTAAAGAATTGTACGTGGTTTTCAGCATATTCCTGTTGTGAACAACAGGAAATCGAAGCAACCTTCATTAAAGTAAAACCGTTAAAAGGAGCTTCAAAGGAATGTCAATACTTTATTAATTATCTTATGTGCTATATATGTTCTCCTAATCAATCTATGTTCTATTCAAATGAACGCTTAACTGTTTGTTTAGAATTTTGCAACAATTTATACAAAGCCTGTGGAGACGCAGAATTGAAAGGTACACTTATAAAATTGTGGTATAAAACAGGAGTAGATTTCTGTAAATCAAGAAGTTTTGAAGTCAGTAAAGATACTGGGAAGTGCTTCAGAGTTGAAGATCAATACAAGAACCTAATGATATTTAATACTTCACCGTCCGTGAATTTTAAATCAATTCCTTTACACCTATTGATATTAATTAAGACGTTTTTGAACTGATAGCAAAAGGATTTTGCAGCTGAATCCATTATATTTATACATATACAATTATAACAAAGAATGAAGATAATTCTATTTGTTTCTATTGTTTGTTTAGTATCTCTTGTTTCAAGCTATGATGGCTTAAAGGTTTTAAATGACATCATTGTTTCTATGGACAGAGGTTTAAACTTTCTTAATAGTCAGATAGGATCGCTTAATTTAGATTCAATTATTGGAACTAGAATAGTTGAGGACCAATTACGTATTGCTCATGAAAATCATCCTAAGTCAGAATATTTGGTTGAAATTCTACAAAAGATAGAAAAACTTCAACGTGATGCTTCTCTTATCAGTAATAAATCAATACCTTATCTTAAGCTGCAAGAGCCAAATTATTATTGGAAGATGAAAGATATTATTGCACCTGGAAGTTGGTTAATCAATAAACGCCATGATGATTTATTACTTGTAAAAAAAACTCAATTTGTTATTGGAAGAGAAGAAATGGACGGAAGTTTTTCAGATTATTGTATATCAAATCTCTTCCGGAAAAACTCCAATTGCAGAATTTCAAAATCTTGCAATAAAGTTATGACTTCCCCTTTTTTCAATCAATATTCATTAACTCATCAAGTATTCTTTTGGCTAATTTTCGAAAGGGCTGGCTGTTTTCTGTACGATAGCAGTGTGTTTATCAATTATTTCACCCAACATTCCTGTTCTCGAGTTTTTCTTGAAGCTAGGGAATTCGAAAAAGAAGGTTATCCGAAGGACGGGAGAGATCTCTTTATGGAACAGACTGCAATATGTGGTCTAAGAGGTTTTCGAAGGAATTTCTGTAATGCAAATTGGCTGAAAGAAATTTTGAAATGGCAAAAATCATCTGGTTGTTGGGGAGAGTCATCTTCCAACAAAAGAGATGAGAAAGGATTAAAGGGTGGTTGTCTTGCCCATCAAACAGCTGTTGCATTGGCGGCTCTCTCGCAACATTTACGTTTTAATCTTGTCCAATTTTAGATATATTATTTTGCTTTCAAACTGTTGTCTTTATTTACAATACGCTTAATTTTAGTCTGTGCCTATTCAGTATGAATACAAAAATCGTACGATTATTTTTGCAAAAGAAAGTATTAAAAATTTTGTTATTAGTGAATTGAATGATATACGAGATGGAGCGAACAAGGTGTGGTAAGAAAACAATACATTTTGCAAATATTCAGCAAAATATATTATACGGCACTCAATGATAAGTTTTGAACATCGGGAAAAAAGTCTTCCTTTTTAGCATGGTAAAAATCTACATAATATTGATAATGTTCCGTTATCAGATGTTTATGTATACCCACTCCACTAACATACTGCCTTTTGCATTCGGGACAACGGAATTTGTCGTACTGTAGATGAGATGATCTTATATGACGAAGTAGATCGTAATACTGTGGATAAGCATTTCGGCACAAAGGGCAATCTAGTCGAGATTTATCTTTCTGAACACCTTTTTTCGTATTGTCAACTAACCTATCACCTAAAAGCGTTCCATGTACTTTTAGAACGTGCTTCCCTTTGTCAGTCAATTCCTTGCAAATTCCGCATTTAATTATTGCATTTCCATGTGCATCAGCTTCGCATGTCAAAAACATAGATGGTACGTGTCGATTTAGCCTATTTATATGCTCATGAACGTGTTGTTCATAACTTTCTGGTTCATCGAAAATAGTGTTACAAGACAAGCAAGTCCAGTCAGTTTTAAGTCTTTTTGTTCCCGGTAGTTCTTCAAAAGTATCTTTTCTGTGTTTTTTAATATCAAGAGATTCACCGTCTGGTCTTAGAGTCATTCTAAGGTCTTCTCTACAAGCGTCAGCTACTCGTCTCTTGTACAGACGAACAGTTTCCTTAAAGTCTAGACTATCACAGCAGGCATTATTAGCAGCTTCTAGGTCTTGGCATAGTTCTTTTGAAAAAGAGCATATCGGTGATCTTAAGTCATGGCTCTCTAAAACTCCTTCTTCAAAAAGGCTAAAGCAATTATTTATTGTTATCACGTATCCTAAATTTTCCTTCAGATTTATGTATACAGTTGCATTGATAAAAACGCATCTTTCTTCCGGAAGATATTTCTTGGTATATTCTTTTATAGGTTTTATAATACCTAAGTGTACTTCCAGTCTCGAAACCTCGTCAAACACTATATCTGCATTATCAAGTGTTTCATTCGATGGAGCACAACGTTGCGACAATAGTATTGAGTTTGGTTTTAATCCCTGTCCAATTCTATAAACTATGAGTCCTTGTATCAAATCAAATCGAGAGGAAAATGTCAAAATGGCATTAATAAGTCTATTTTTTATCTCTAAGGCCAAGTTGTCAGATATACTCGCTGAAAACGCCATTTGACACGGGTGTTACTAAATCCAAGAACGAAATATACCAACCAAGATGTCAACATACAAGAAAGTGTCGAAATTTAATTCGACTTTTTTTACCATTTCACAATAAATATTAGAAATAGTATAAAGTATATAAAGAGTTATATGATGTATATCGTATTAGCGCTGCTACTTGAAAATTTTACGGCTTAGTATCAATATAATTTAAAAAGCTTTAATGGAAACGATATAAAAAATATCCACGTAAAAATTTATCAATCATTTATTTATTAAAGTTTTTGGTTTACGCAAATTATGTAATGTCTAATAAAACAAACTTAATAAACTGGTTCGATATTATCTAATTAATTAAAAAAAAAAACCGGAGCACATATCCGAGCTAAACCGGTTGTTGTCATAACGACCCCTATCAACAGCAACCGAGTAAAAATAAACGAAGTCGGAATCGAGCTTTAATATTCGCTAACAATGGTTGAAGAAGCTGTGAATAAACCTGTTTTAGAGTTGCAAAATGCAATTGGCTTTGGCGGTAGGTTGAAATTAATAAAGAATATTTAAAAATATAAATAAAAAGTGTTTCAAAATAAAAATTTTCTTTAATCTCTTTCACGAGTGGTAGAAAGAAGTAAAGTTCACGTTTTATATATTTAGGCTGTCGGTTAGTCTAATATTAAACTATGAAGAAGTAATGTTAATAGCTAATTTGATGAATGTAGGAGTGAAAAGTTAATAACAACATTTGTAAACATTAATATAAAATAGAACTTTTAATCTATTTTCTGCTTTTTTTTTTAAGGGACCGTCCCAAATGGGTTGAAGGTACACCCTAACCGACAAAGTCTTATTTATCCAATTGGATGCACAGTGGTTGTTAGGGATTTAGCGACGAACAAGCAAGAATTCCTTTCCGGTCATTCTAACACAATTTCAGCGGTCGCTGTCTCTAAAAGCGGAAAATATATAGCTTCTGGACAAATAACACATATGGGTTTTAAGGCAGATATCATCGTTTGGGATTTTGAAACTCTTTCCATGTATTGCAAACTTACACTTCATATGGTTAAAATTCAAGATTTGGCTTTTAGTACAAATGATAAGTATCTTGTTAGCTTGGGTGGAGAAGACGATTCTGGAGGCAGTGTCGTTGTTTGGAACTTAGAAACGAAAGAAGCAATATGTGGAGCTCCAGCTCAAGTGCCATCGGCTGGAGTCACACATTGTGTTACCTGTTTTAATGAGGATGACATGAAATTTGCAACAGGAGGAAAGGACACTCTAAGAATATGGCAACTAGATTTGCCTAATCGAAAAATCCGACCAACTGATATAAGTACTGGACAAACTAAGAGAGTAATAAGATGCTTAACCGTAAGTTTTATACTTTCTAAGTAAAATGGTGAAAATAAATTATATTAGCTGAAAAAAAAATCCACTTCACTAGGTTGCTCATGGAGACGGGATGCTCTACTGTGGAACAACTACAGGCGACATTATGTCTGTTTTTACTACAACTTTTAAGATGCAAACTTTTGGACCTGAGAAACATCCATTTAGTTTGGGTATTTGTTCCTTGGAACAGCTACCAACTGAAGAAATATTAGTTGGTGCTGGAGATGGAACTGTTGCCGTTGTCCAAGGACCTAATAAAAGATTTAAGAGGACGTCAAAATGTGTCAAAGTCAAAGGCGCCATCACGTCTATATCATTAAGAGGAAAAGGCCATCAATTCTTCGTTGGAACTGATAAATGCGAAATATATAAATTTAACTTTGGAGATTTTAAACCCGAACTTGTTGAAACATGCCATCATGGACCAGTTACTGACCTAGTTTTCCCGACTAATTGCCCGGAACTCTATGTTACATCTTCAAAAGAAGATATTCGAATTTGGGATGCAAATAGCGCGAGAGAATTAAGACGCTTCACCGTGCCAAACATGGAATGTACCAGTGTTTGTATAACAGGTGACGGCCATCTTATCGTATCGGGTTGGACAGACGGAAGAATCAGACTATTCCTACCTGAGAGTGGAGAATGCGTCCATACTATTGGCGAGGCACACAATCTTGGCGTTACGGCTTTAGCTGTCTTTTCTGATAATAGGCATTTGGTAAGTGGTGGTAAGGAAGGAGATGTACGCCTATGGAGGATATCAAAGAGACCGTATGCTTCTAAACTCCTCCATGATCTTCACGAGCATAAAGCGGCTGTAACTTGCGTAACCTTAAAAAAAGATGACTCGGAGTGTGTAACTAGCTCTACTGATGGAACATGTATCATATGGGATTTAAACGTGGACAAACCATTCAGAAGACAAATGTTACGTCTTAATACCCTCTTCAACAACGTGACCTATCATCCGGAAGAGCATCAAGTTATAGCAGCAGGAACTGACAGAAAAATAAGCTACTGGGAATCCGCTGATGGTTCATTGATCAGGGAGTTGGACGCGTCAAGTACTGGAGCTATAAACGCCTTGGATGTATCATCATGCGGATCTTTTTTTGTATCTGGTAGTGAAGATAAATTGGTTAAGGTCTGGACTTATGACAGGGGAGTAACAACTCATATCGGGGTTGGTCATAGCGCCCCGGTGGCCAAGGTTAAAATCAGTCCTGGTCACAACTGTATTGTTTCAGTTGGAATGGATGGGTCAATAATTAGGTGGAAGATGCCTGGAGGTGACGAAGAATAACTCTTTTATAAAAACATTTTAATTTTAATAAGAACGTATCATTACCTTTATTAATAAAGTTTGTAAGATCATATAAAATATATATGTCACTTCTTTTCGAAATTATCAAGCACTATTTATTCATTAAAGTACTAAATAGCAATAAATGAACCGGAAAACAAAACTATAGAGAAATTGGCTATAAGAGTCACGTGAAGTTGTTGATTAAATAGAAAAATTAGTTTATATGTTGTTTTTAGTACAAGCTTTCTTTGTTACAAGATAGGTTAAATATACCGATATAATCTAATGCTAATTTAAGAACATGATTAAAGAAATATCATACTACTTAAAAGGTACGATAACCATAGGAGGATGGCCTCGATAGCTCTCCAAATCAATTTTCTTCTTTTTAACGACTTTCCTTGCTTTTTTCTTTTTTTCTTCCTGCTTTTTTTTTAACGTAGAGCTTAATTCTGCGACATTCTTTGTAATTTTCTTACAAGAGCACGATTCGTGCTCGTCCATGAATATAACAGTCCGCTTCCAGACTTTTTCCAGTTTCCATACACGAAATGATTTTAATTTTATGCCATTTTCTTTGCAATTTTCACAATTCCCCGAGCATCTTGATACGTTGAAACACGATGGAAAAATTCCAGATTCATCGGCATTTTCTAAGCAGACTTTTTTAGTTTTTAACAAACAAGTACTGTTACTTGTTTCTAGTAACGAAAAGAAAATAACGAACAGTAATTGACACGGCCGAGTTGACTTCGTTAACATTGTTAAATTATCGGTTAATAAGAGTATATATATATATTTTTATTACTTGTTTCTTACCTGATTTAATTATAAAGCAGAAGAAAAGAATAGCGAGAGCAAAGCCGTTCATTTCTCGATAAATGCCTTAGCCGATTGCCTCTCGTAGGCTCTCTGATGGTGGCGAAAAGCCGTTTGACGTTATTGAGCGTTTTTAGAATTTTTCCTGCTAGGCCTAACTATACCATTTTTCAATTTAACAAAAAAGGCAAACCAAGATAATAGCATATACTGTATATATATATATATATATATACATTTATGCTCTTATGGTTAAATTTAAATTTGCCACTTTCTACCTTTCTACCCTATTTTATATATACAAAAGTAATGGCTTACATTGTTTAATTAATCACAGGAAAAAACACTGGATAATTCTTATAAGCGCCATCTATGGGATTCGAAGAAGAGAGCCTTTGCGTGGAACGTTCGATTTTAGCCCTTTTTATCTTGCGGTAACACGAAACTACATGAAATTAAACGATAAAAAAGGATTTAGCTTATATAAACTTTTAAGACTTTATTTGAAAATTCTAAGAAGAGAATGAATACTGAAAGAAATGAATTAAACTCGTGAGATAGGGGAATATTACGTTATTAAATAAACGATCCTTTTTGTTAATACAAGGATAATCTGCTTAAAATTGATGTTAATTTGAAACTTAATAGAGCAAGTTCCTTTAAATAAGTCTTCTATTACTAAGAAAAAATGTAATTGGTCTATTCTCCCTTACCCCTTTAGAGAATGTTTGATAAACATAAAGATTTACATAGGATAGTACGTTTATCTAGCAATTAACAACTTGATAAGAGGAAGTTGAAGTTTTGCTGAAGAGAGCGACTCATTTGCCTGGATAGGAGAAAAACAGTTTCTTTTGTCTTAATACTATAAAGTTTAAATGATCTCATTGAAAGCTAAAAACTCTCCTTCAGGGCTCCTTTACGTCATTATAAACAAAAATAGCATTTTTCTTTAAAGAAATCTCGTGCAAAAAGCGCTAGTGATCATGCATAGTTTATACAGAGATGATAAACGAAGCAGATTTCTTCAGCAAGACAACTTATACCGTGGAGATCGTTAAGGATTTGTATATTAAGCTAAGGATAATCAATCAGTTCAGAAGAAACAAATATTTTTAAATATTCTGGTTTCAAGGTTGTCCCATTGTATCGAAAGAATAGAGACATTTATCTTTTTCTGAATATCCTTTAAGTAATGATAGATGCATTTAGCAGCAAACTAGGTGGCGTCAGTTCCTAAAAACACAAAACTACGCTAGAGAATAGGGCACTGCTGGTAATTAGTGGCATTAGCAGGTGTTACCTTTGCTAATATTACAAAATTTCGTAGAATCATATACAGGTATGAAATTGATTAATTTACCCGACTTTCCACTTACTTTTCCACTTGAATGATCTAGTAAAATAAGGTCACAAACTAGGGGGCGCTATAAAAAAGAACGTTACTTTGTGCCATAAGCCACAGCAATTGCAGTTTGTAACAACTTGTCGAAATAACAAGAAATCCAAAACTCTTAAATATATATAGATATATAGATATAGAAATATATATATATATATGTATATATATATGTAGAGCTGACAATGTGAAGATTTAGTTGAAAATGTCTAACAAAGTAAGAAAATGTGGCGTTAGACATTTTTGCCTCGGAGCGTTTCTCGTTTTCATCGGATCTGTATTATTATGTGCTCTGGGATTTACGGTCATACTTCCATATGAAGCAACGAGATTATGGCCGGAAGTTACCTGTTACGTCTTAAATTCCTCTTACGATAGGACTACATGCTCTTGTAATAGAGAGGTAAGAACCTGATTTATTTTCTCATTTTCCTTATTTGCTTTCATTATAAAATAACTAAAAATAACCTTTCAAGTCTCTTTTCTTTCTGTAAAAAGCATCTTAAAAACAATTGGTTAGCTTAAGTGGACGTTAAAAACAATTAAAATTTGGGAATTTCATTAACTTGAAACATCTTCAAAGAATTTTGTCAATAATCAATTAATCTTGTTTTCTTTCGCCAATGTCTTAAATTTATTAGAAGTGTTTTGTATTCTTAACTTGAAAAGGAAAGTAAAAGAATGAATGAAAATGTAATCATAACTAGTAAGATTGTTATATTATAAATGAATATTCAAATACTTATAATTAATTATGAATATTATTAAATGACGTTCACAACAATTTATCCAATTCTGTTACTTTCTATAATGCATTTTAGCTTACTAAGCTATAACAATCATAAGTTTCTATTATAGTATAATACAGAAAGGATTATTAATGAGCTAGATTGTGTATAGCTTCCATGTTTAGGTTTTTGTATATGCTTTATTCCTTTCTAAAGCTAAAACTTTAATTGAAAACTATTAGCTACAAGGCTTTCTAATACGAAAGACACTATCTCCTTCTAGAGCTTGAGTGATCTAAGCTAGGTTTAAGCTTTCTTCTAATCTTTCATCCTTCACCTTAAATGTATAACGCAAAACAGGCTCTATTTTAGGGAACAAAAAAAAGAGAATAGAACATGGAGCTTCTTTTTTTGTGATGACTAAAAATGATTAATTGATTAATAATTTGATCTTTACAAACCTATTATCTGGTAAATAGCGATAGGTCCTTATGATTTATTTAATGTTCTAAATAAATAAACATTAAAGTGAATATAAACAATACAAAAATAAATGACAAGTAAATAATATTCGTTAATATTACATAACGTATAAATATAAGCTATTTTTATACATTAAATATATACTTTATAATGCATATAGAATATTGTATATAATATCTATAATGTTTATATTGCACTGTAACAGTAAATATATGAAATAAGGTTAGAATTTTTCTACCGAACTAGCATATATCACGGCTCTCTGGATGCGTATTATGTTTCTATTGTAATCAAGTACATCCTAAAATCATATTCCATTTATTTACGGATGTTTAAGTTATTGATTTATGTATTAAAAGACAACGAAAACCTAAATATTTTTCATGATAGTACTTTATCAAATTATACAGTTTTATGTCAATTTATCTTCCCCTCTTTTTGTTTTTTATTACAGTTAAAGATGCTGAATAAGTGCATTAATCTTTTCCTCCAACTAGCTTTTATAGGAAATAAAATACTCAGCTCCAGTTAAGCACACAAACTTTGTCATGTTCAGTTTGCAATCTATAAATACTTTCATTCTCTCTATATATACATATATATGTACAGTATATACAGTATATTAAATTAATGGTTATATAATATTTATAATACTACTTTATTCTTATTTATCTTTATTTCCATACAGATTCCTTTATCATGCTCCAATAAATATCCATGCTTAAAAATCCAAGTTTCCTATTCTCTTCATCAGCTAATAATGATCAACAGTACGTCCGTCAATAGTTCTCAAGAATATAAGGGCAATGAAAATAGAGTTCGAAATGCTTTTCTCTTCCGCTCCTGGCAAGAATCCTTCTATAATAAGGTTCCTTTGTTTACATTATTATAGAAATCTTTTGCAACTACTTTATTTCAAAATATTAAAGACTGTTTTTTTTTAATTGTAAGCAAAACAATACAACAAATAAATAAAGCACAAAAAGCTGAGGTGCCTGCAAAAATCCCCAGTGGTATTTTATCTGCAAGAGAGATAGTCGTTACTCTTCCAGAGTTGTTGTAACGATACGGTTTGGTGTAGATAATGTTTAGGAACAAAAAAGCAATTTTAGTGGTATGTTTTCAGGCTAGGAAACATCTTGAATGAAATCATATTTTCGCATGAGAGAAATGCTTTTAAAGATAATTTTTACAGTTGAGTAATTCGTAGCAAACAATATCTTTAAAATTTTACTCGGAAAATATTTTCATCAGCAACAGTCTTTCATCGTTCAAAGGGAAAGAGATAAAACTTTGATTAATTAGTCATTGAATGAAATTTATTCATTATACAGTGCAGTATAAATGAATGCGCCGATGAAGAATGGAATAATAAAGTAACAGAAAAGTTTGCCGCTACATACGGTATTGTTAAATCAACATTTCAATGCTTCTTTAATCCTGAACAACCCAATTCCGTAATTATTGAGGTTTGTGTTAGAAATATTTTTTTGCTTCCAAATCACCTCTGTAGAAATATTATATCTAATATATATGTATATACTGTATATATACAGTATATATATATATATATATATATATATATATATATATATATATATGCAATATATACTACATATCCTACGGTTATATTGCTTATATTTAATTTCCTGTTTCCAAGCTTATATTTCTTATATTCAATCAACTTTCTGCCCTCTAGAAAGTCGACAAATCCGTCATGATGCACTCATTAATTTGGCCCCTTATTTGTCTATTGATCGGTCTTCTAATTTGGTTTGGATTGTGCTTGGGTTGTTGGCGGATAGAATTCGAACAATATCATACCCAGCAACGACATTATAATCTACACGACAGGTTTGTCAATTTCTACACAAAAGAACGTCTATATCCTAAATTTTCCTTTTTTGATAAATGTCTTCGTTCTGTTAACAACTCCTTCCCTCACTCAATATATTGTGTTTATTTATTCTATTTACTATTCTACAGACGAATGGAATCTCAACTGTTTTTCTAGAATACCAACACTCGCAAACTTATCTGCTCAAAATTCTACAACTAACGAACATTTATAAGTTAGATGAATTATTTTCTAAATTTTATCTATTTCTATTCCATTTTACAAACATATCTCACAAATCAACCGACTGAATGTACAGAAAATGATGTAGTTTTTATAATATATGTACATAAAATAGATTGTACAATAGATTCTATATTCTCTCTATATATACAATCATATTTATTATAAAGGACTATCTTGCTTTTATTTCATAAAAAGAATAAAGACATCTTCCAAAATTTAATTTAGATCATTTCGATTCTACTTCAAAACTAAATCTTATCTTGAGAAGAGGGAAAATCCTCTACTTGACAATGTTCGCTTCTCTGCTTTAGGTAATTTTGGACCTATTATCAAATTATATTAATCAAATATGATAAATAATTGAACAAGAAGGATTCACGAAATGAACAGATTAAATTTCGTATTAAATTAACATAAAAAGGAGAATTTAATAATTAGGCTGAAACCTTAGTAGAAAATTTAATACTACTTAAAATAACACAAATATTCGAAAAGAGACGCTGTTTTTTTTCCTCTCCTTGTTCCAAATGTCACATAAACTGTACTATATATCTTCCAGTAATTATAACAACTTGTGTCCTTCATCCCTGTTCTAGAAGAAACGCTTCGTCACTCGAGAGTGTTCTTATCGTCAAAATGTTTCTCTTCCTTTCCTTTACAAATTTTGCATCTCTCTTTTTCCTCAAGTAATCAATCTCTGTTACCCTATACGCATCATCCTAAAACTACAATTTGCTCTAACGGCTTTACTTACAAGGTGATCCAAAATTGGTGGAATGTCAACAAAATTGCCTCTAAAAGTTATCGAGTAATCATGTATTTTAGCAGCATTTAAATGTTACCAAATGTCATGCGAGAAGCTATTATCTTCACAAATTAAAATTTCCTCTTTCCATATAATATATTGAAGAAATAGTATTAGACATCTATTACTCATTTTATTATTATTATCATATACACCGAGAGAGATAATCTGCAAATTTAAGGAAAGGGGGAATGAAAACTCCTCTCTCGAAAGACAATAACGACTCTCATTCTATTTAAGAAATAATGTTACATTTATATATAATATTAGATTTGTTATTAATAGTTGTATTCCAATAAATGATATAGAAATAAGTACATTTTGGTTGTCAGCTATATTCTTGATTCATTTCCCATTCAAATGATTTATATATATTGACACGAACTCCTGGGATAATTTTTTCTGGGGAAACTGACCTAGATTTTAACCAAATTGTAAAGGAATAATGTCCAAATCGATTTTCCAATCAAATTTGTTATAGCTAATTTTACCCTGGAAGCTAGATAACTAAAATGACTTGATTGAAATAAACTGCAAAATGCGAATTCTATCTGTAGAAAAAAAGCGGGGGGGAGGGGGTAAAAGGCAGGGAGAGAGAGAGAGAGAGAGAGAGAGAGAGAGAATGAGCAAGAGCGAGAACTTTTTAATCTCTTTCTGATTAGTGTTGCTCAGTTTGACAGTTACTATGAATAAAAGTTAGAGCAATAAAGGGTTTGGAAGTACTTCTTCAATAATTATAAAGTCAATTTCATTCTTATTAAATGTATTATATTAGGTAAAGAAAAACCTGAATGAATAGCCGAGAAAATCATCAATTCAATTATTCTTAAATAACAAATGTCGCATAATTTTTTTTGTATATAACTTAAGAAGACAGTAACAGTTATAAACAAAATGTATTAAATATATTTTAGTTTGGTAAGTGCCTTCTCTATAAAGATCTTCAAGATTTCAATAGCGTTTTAGTCTGTATAATATTTTAAACCTAAATTAAGGTTTTATTGATTATTAAATAATCTTATAGTTTATGATTTGATAAGAAAAAATGAAAAACAATAATACTTATTAATCAGAAAGAGAGAAAAGTAATTTCTCTTCCCTATTTTTTCTTTTCTACTAATTTGAAATAAAATAAATTAGTCGACAAAACGCAAATTTTAATTTACTTATTTCTAACGTTAATATGATCAATTCTAGATATTTTATCATATTCATCTAATTGATAAGCTACCAATATTGTAAATTATTTGATAATTAATTAAATTTGGTTCTTTTTTTTTTGTACTTTTTACTATTTTATAAAAAGTTGATTATATATTTATATATACATTCATTTTCATTTAAACTATATATAGTATATATAATAAAATTTCTGCAAGTTTTGCTAAGAGAATATGCTTTCTTATAGCCTTTTTAGACATATAGGATTAATCTTCTCTTATCTTCTTATTCTTCTTCTGCTTCTTTTTTCTATAAAATACTGCATGAACAGAAGCACTTTTTTGGGTAATCAGAGCAATAGGCTTTCATCTCATCTCCGATAACGTAGAAAGTTCCTTGATTTCCATCCCAAACGTATTTGCATTCAGTTACTCTAATAACCCTAACAACCTGCTTCTGTCTTCGAATTAATTCTAATGGCCACGAGGTGGCGTGTTGATTAACAAATTTTCTACTGGCCTCGGTCACACCTCCTCTCGAATAATCAATCGGTGTCACTCTATCCCTCTCATCTTGAACCACTACAACACCGGCGGCTTGCTTTATAAGATTTTCGGGAACCAATGGTAGATCAATATGATTGTCTAGATGGGTTTTCCAAGTGATCGTTAATTTAATGAAGCATTTGATTTTGCCAAATCCCCTATTTATAAATAACACTATAACCATTTTGTTATAATGAAAAGATATTTAATATAAGATTAAAAGAAATGTTGGATAAAGAGAAAGTTCTCTTAAAATCTCAAACGATGAGAATATATCATTTACCTGCAGGTTTTACATAATATATTTCCACTACCGTTGCAAGTAAAACAAGCCTGAGAACCACTCCCATTGCAAAACCTACACGAAGTGAAATTATTGTGGGAACTGTTCATTCTGTCTCTTCTTTCACGACCGCGTCCGTGGCAAAAATTGCATCTGATGTGAGATGATCCCCTACAATTCCAGCAAGGTTGACGACCAATTCCATTGCACTTGAAACATAATTTTACACTTTCCGTCCTGGGCACACGAACTGACCTTTCTAATTGGCTGAAGGCGCTAGGTACATGAACAGGTACTTCCCATGGATTTGGGGGAGCTTGGTTCGGTGGACACCAGTCAACATGATCACCAGTATACGGTTCACTATCCCACGAAGTCGCTCTTATCTCAGTCCACGATTGCAAAGAATAATGAGTAATGGATTTTCCTACTAAATCAGTTATAACTAGCTCTCTAGCTGGACGAACTGACCAACAACATTTTGTGCTTATCAATTCCAAAAGCGCTTCACGAGCTTCTTCTTCCGTAGCTGGTCTTTGTTGATCAACAGGAATTGGTGGAATGTGCGGTCCAGCGGGTGGAGTGTATGGAGGAGGCTCAACTGGTTCTATCCATAAAAACATAAAGTAAAACATGTCCATAAAAAGATATCTATAGAAGAATTTTTTAGTAGCTATTACTTTTTTTTGCTACTTAAAAATTTACTGTCAAGCTCTTTTCTTACCATTGCGAAGTTCTCCATAACCTTCGTAATTTTCCATCAAATGAACAGGTGGTGCTGATGGTTCTGTTGGATTCTGAGCATCAGCTGTACTTGGTGCTCCATGAATCTCGCTGTAACTTGGTGGAGGTCTATGCAAATCAAAATGTTCCTTTAGTATTTATCAAATTTATCACTTATCAATAAATAGGGGGAGGTGAATGTGTTTTAATTAAAAAGTTTCTATGAAGCAAAACTAACGGTAATTCGTCGAATAAACTCTTCTGCTCAGACATTTTATTCCTATATTCACTATTAAATATAAAATATCTTAAGTCTGTCTGATATTTTATCAAAAATCAGCTCTTTATGACTCAATTATTTACTATATTTATTAGGAATATTTTGCAATAGTTAAACTGGTAGGTTAACAACGACATCTGCGGGCTATTTTCCAGATAAGATAAATCCAAAAAAATCCTCTAGAAATCCTCTTGATGGAATCCTTTTAAACGAATTTTCTCTTTTACCCTAAACTGCTTAAAATCTTATATCTTTATTCAATTGTTTTATTCTTTTTCGTTTCAAAATTTGAAGCGACGCTAACCAATCTAAAGCCTTTGCAAGCTAGTAATCATCACTCACCACCATAGTATAGTATTAGGGATAATTGAAATAATTGACAGAGAGGGGGAAAGAATATATTATATAATACAAGCAAATATTTTATTGCAACTGTAGAGCTGTAGAGTTTATATGAAAAGAGATAGTAGAGAAAGATTCCTTTCCCTATTTCTTCCTCAAAGATAATCATTTAAAAAAGCAAGGACCAAAACCCAATTTCATAGATAAAATAGAGAAGATATTTCCCTTATTTATTTGGAAAAAAAAAGATTGATTTCCGTCTTGTAACCATAATCTTTCAATTAAAATTTACTATGTGAAAGATAACAGAAACATTTTTATTTGAATAGTACCAGTGAACTCATTTCAAGGAAATCCCTTATATAGCTATCTATATTTATAATAAAATAGAAATCTTCGATATCCGAAGATCGTGACTTTAGGTAAATGGACGTTATTTTGTAAAATGTTTTCTTTTCTTTTTTGACGTATTTCATTTTACTGGACGCAGCATTAACAGTAAAAAAACGCATTGATAATCAAGGAGTATTTGAAATATATTAATAAAATATATCTAACAAATATCTAATTTTTTTAAAATTAATTAGGCTAACGAGTTAATGCTGATAAGTATTGTTTGTTTATAATCGTTGAACAAGAATTTTCTTTTCAAGTTTCAATTTCTACTCAAGAGTTGGATAGCTATATATTTTTTATAGCAAAGAAATACCTTGATATGAGTCGACTAGACATTTGGTACTACTTATGTACCTATATATACATTGGAGTATACTGTGTACCTACATATATATATTAGTATATATATATACTGTATATATGTATTCACAGTAGTAATAAATTCACGCTGTTTTGCAATTATTGCACAGTTCCTATCCGCGGAAGACTTTCAGTTGTAGATTTAATAAGGCGATGCAACTTCTATAGAGGATATTCCCTGCCTTATATCTGCTTCTTCATCTTCATCATCAGCATCATCTGAATCCTCCACCCTCCGACGTATTCTTAACTCAGGTTGTATAGAAAATTTAAATGAAGGATTTCTAGCAGTTCTAGGTAGACGAAGTTCTACTGGTAGTACTTCTTTCAACACAGTTAAATGAGTAACTAAAGAGGCAAGAGTCGCCCATTCTTTGTCAGGACCTTTTTGAAACCTATACCTTCCGCACGGAGTCTTCTCGATTAGGTAATGTTTTAAAATAAAACGAGGTTCTCCTGGAGAGGCACTATAGTTTGGCACCTGCAATTTTAGTTAATTAATATAAATGGATGGTAGTTTAAAGGTAATAAATGAGATATACTTTTAAGGACAGAGCAAAGCAACCAATTTCAGACGTACTTTCCCTGATGACAAATGAGCCAAATTCTTGCTGTGATAAAAATTCAAGAATTGATTCTCTTGGAACACCGGAATAGAACCATGGATATTGTGTAAAGTCTTCATCAATGGAAGCCTTGGAATTTTGAGTAACGCCATTATCCGATAATCTCCTATTAGAATGAAAAAAAAGGACTCAAAAGTGAAATTTAGAATCACAAACATTAGAAAATAATTTCATAGACATTAACCTTCCTTCCTCGTCAGATTCTGGAGCAAAAAATTCAAATTCTGTTGAACTAGTCTCAATAGTTGATGGTCTGTTTTCTCTGGGCGGAAGTGGGGGAGGTGTAATTGAAGTTGATCGTCGAGGGGATGAGGGTCGTTTAATAAGCTCTATATCATTCAAATCCTTATGATCTCCCGATCCGTTCCTAATTCTATCAGAACCAGATTTCTCTAGTGAGCTACTTCCAGTCGAGGGAGCATCGGGAAGTGGTCTATTTCGAATAGACCTAGAAGTTGACGATGAGCTTTCTTGTTCGGATGTCATACTATTTTCTACTATAGAAAGAATAGATTGTCGTCGCTCTTCTTCCCTATTTGTGAAGAAAACAAATATGTAACAAGTTACAGATACTTTTATAAACAATAATTACCTTTGCTGTTGTTCAAGCATTGATCTCTCATAATTTTCAAAATGAGCATCGATTGTGTCTTTTAAGCAGGTTACAGGACTTCTATTGGCTGACTCCAGAGACTGAAATGCCTCTCGAACATCGTTAATCAAGGGTGACGGAGCAGACGTAATAGTTGGTGTGTTAATCTTATCTTTTTCACCGGAGCTAAAAGGCCGTTTATGCTGAACTCTTTTTACTTCCTTTTTAGCCCACTTACTTCGACCTGATTGTCGAAAACCTTCTCTTATTTCTTTACATTCATCGGTCAATTGCCGTTCTTTGAATTTTTTTCTATCTTTCATCCTATAACACCAACAGAGTCAATATTCAAGTCTATTAATAATAAAGTATGCAATTATATTTACCTTTCGCTGGCTGTTTGGGTGTTAGAGATATATCCCAAGACTTGTTTCTTTAACTCATCTTGCTTTTCATTTCTTTCTTCCATCATTCGACGATTTTCGTCTATATTTTTACTAACGGCCTCGTGAAAAGTCGTCTGCTCATCTTTATCTTGCTTTTGCAAGAATGCATAAGCGAGACTGAAAGCATTTCCGGTTATCATACTCATTCTTTCGGCCTCTTCACCGGTTTGAGTAAGAAAGACATGACAACATTGTTCTGTGGGTGGATCGTTTGATTCTCTAGCTAAAAATGCATAAAGACGAAGATCTGGATCGCAAAGGGCGTATGAAATTCGACGAAGGGGATAGGATAAGTGTAAATGCGCTTTTTGACCATTCAAGTTCCTATTCCAGGCTTCTATACCAGCAACGGATATGACTAGAACAACTGGAGTTGACGCTCGACTTGTCTGTAAATATAACAAAAACACAATTCTTTGTATATTCAGTTAGGTTCATATGATATAGATTTAAAAAAATTGAGTTTCACATAAAGAAAGAGATACATGGACATCAATTCTAGATAGGCTTAACAAAATATTATTCACCTCAGTAAATACCATACAATTTCAGCAAGTATGATTAAGAAACAGGCATAATTATCTATATTTTTGCAAATATTTCGATTAATGATAAAGTAATTGGGACAAAAACATTGTGAAAAGGAGCATTTTTCTTTTTTTTTCGATATAAACAGCTGTATTATCAGCATTTCTATGTCAAAAATAAAAATAAATTAGCCTTTTAAAGTACTGGACAAAATTTTAGTGCTTTTTTAGGATCCTATTAACAAACATTGGAGAAGCTAATTAAATAAAAAATTAAGAATAAAAATACTTTTAAGTAGGCTTATATAATTCTTTACTTTATTGTTTTTATTTTCTTAAAATTTGATTGGAAGAGAGAGTTATATTAAGTGTAATAAAAATCGTTCTTTCTGTTTAAACTTAGTTTATAGAGGTTGGAGAGGAGAATAAAAGTAAACGGAGCATTAGTAAAAAGAAGACGGGTATGCAAATGCAATTAAAAAAATAATTACTAAAATAAAGTCGTGATGTAAAAGTCTAATATTAGAAGTCAGAAGAAAAATTCAATAATTCTTGGCGAAAGAAAAACCTAGAAATAAATATTTTTGTCTCTCAACACGAGTTCTTTTTTTTTAACTTTTTATTGTTTTTACAAGGTAGGATTGGGTCGATTGTACCAACAATACCTATTATTAATACATCAGAAAAACACGATCTAAGACGTTAGGAAAAGTTTCTTGATACTTACATTAGTATTTTGCAATTTTGACTGGACAAACTCAGCTCTTGTTTGTTCATCATCTCCTTCTACTCTAAACGGTCCTAAATACTGTAAACAAAAAAACTTTATTATGCAATTATATTCAAATGAATCCAAAGAGTAGTTTATTAAACCTCTAACAAAATAGGCCATTCAAAACCGAATTTTTTATTTCTAGTAAATTCAGAGACACAGTGCATTCTTATACTCTGGCCTTGTTTTTACAAACTAACCACGCTGCCTAATCGTTTGCACAGGATGCAAACAAATGCGGTAGAAATTTTCAGACATAGGCTCACTTTGTTTTTCGAGTGCCATCTGTAGTTCATATATGTACTTTTTTTTGCGGTACAGCGCATCATGAAAATTTTACTAGCTGTTTGAGTCTAATTAAGAAAGAAAACTAGCTGTAGATAAGGCGCTATCAAAAATCAAACGCCTTAGCGAAAAGTTTTACCTAAAACATTCCAACTTGATAAGTCGAGTATTCTAACTATCTATCTAAAAGCGTTCGGACACCAATTGATGTATTTATCATTTGGTCTACGCCATAAATATTTACAGGTTAGGAAAGCAACATTCCAAAAGGCCAGACCTTCTTCTCAATAATTTTTAAATAACTAAACATAATAGTATTCGCATAAGACGGGTGTATAAAGAATTTTGTATAATATACATAAAAAAATATCTAAATATACAAAATTCTGTGTAATACAGATTATACACCATGCGTCTAAGTGTACAAATTTAATGAATTTCTTTGTTTTAATTTTCAATACGTAACATAAAGATAAAGTATAGTCTCTCATTCTATATTAAATATACCTTAGTTTCTTGAAAGTTTCCATGGTAATAGAAAAATTTCAACACAGTTATATCCATAGTACTTTCTCATATTTAAACACAATGACAACAAATCCGATAATAAATTCGATTGAGATTTCAATATAAAGCTTATCAATAATAAACTTTTATCAACGATCCTGCTATTAAACTAGGCATAGAAACATTTTATAATTTAAAAAGTTTTTCAGTCTGTTGCAGTAGTGTATCGCTTGGCGCATAAAAGCCAACTGCAAAAGTCAGTGCACATGCTAATCATTTACTGCCAAAATACAGTATAGCTTCGAGCGACTGTAAAATGCATTGCAGATACGGATAAAAATTTGTTGGTCGTGTGAACCGATTGAAAGTAACAATCAACTTTTTTAATTCAAAAATTTAAATAAAAAAACATATATTTAAATTAGAATGCTTGCTTTCGTGAATAAATTACTACTAAACTGCCATCAGACCGTAAAGGATTGATTGGATTTATAAAGATTATATTCAAATAAATAATAAACTATAGTAAAAAATAGCTAAAAATATTCTTTTATATTCGCTATTATTGAACCGTATATTGGTAATAGACTGATAATATACATAAGTAATAACGCTAATGTATAGACTAATGCGAAGTACTGTATCGTCTTTACAACTACAGAAGCTGCAACGTTACAAGAAAAATACAATAATTAAAGGCATGTTTAGTAATTAGAAATATTCTGCAGGCTACTCCAACCTCAATTATTTAATTAATTCCGAATAAATATTTATATAGCAACTAGTCTAGTCTAAAAGATTGTAATCGTAGGAAAAAAGAAACCTTAGAGTAAAATTTCCCATATTGGAAAACGGCATTAACAGTTGGTTTAATTCTTTTCTGTCCGTATATCGATAAACTATCCATTTGAAGCGTCACTCAAGAAATCGGAATGGAAAGTGACCAGGCATCTCCATGGTTGGAATATCAATCCCTCCCCCTTCCCCCGCCTAAATAATGCTATTTTAATATAGCATTGATTTTTCTCACCTAGCGACGTCTATCCTAGAATCGCGAGAGCGTCGATTATTGAAAAATCAATAGTATTTTGGTAAGATTAAATAAAATAACTCAAGTCCAAATTTATTCTCTATAATCAAATAACACGAATTCTAAGAACTTATAAGCTTAAATGAGAAATACTCTCTTTACGCATATATATTTTATAGAGAAAAGGAAAAGGCAAAAAAATAAAAACCTATTTATTCAGATTATTCTGGAGTCTCTGTCAAGTCAAGCATAAAATTTTTTCGTGCTCACGAAATCACACACAATATCGAAGAAAGCGCTTAGAAAATCTTTAAAATTGGTTCTAATATTTTAGACCATATAAAGTTTAACGATAGTAGTAGAAAGAGAGAAATAAAAATTAACTTTTTAACAGACACTTTGTCTATTTATAAATATAATATTTGCTTTCGAACGTTTTCTTTATTGTTTTGTCTCTCTAGTCTCTTATTAATTCATATTAGTTGTAAAATTTTATAGTTATCTATTAATCATTTGTAGCTTGTCAGGTTCAGTCACAACTAAAAAAGTAATCTTATATACTTCTAACGATAGGTAAATAGAAAAATAGGTTAGCCTACAAACTTTAGTATTTATTTTGAAATTCGTTTGGAATTGCACGCACTTTTAAAGGTTGTTAAGAGCAAAAGAAAAAGAACTCCGGAACACACAAAGCAAGCACTACTTCCAACTTTTTTCTATTATTTAAGGAAAAAGTATGATTCACCCTACAAAAATATATTATAACGAGGTCACATTTCCTTTTTAAATTTATAATATAAAAAAATATTTATTGTTTAGTTTAATGTAAACAAAATATTAATTAATGGAACAATTTTTAATATATGTTCTATTTCTTTTTTGTTCTTTGGATTTAGAGTAAAAATTGTTTATCTTATCGAAATTTGAAAGGTTCAACGCGTTCTTACCGGCTAACCTTAAATAAAACATTCACTAAGGAATATAAATAAAATATATCTGTTTTTTAATAAAATTTATTTCTTTCTACTTTAATCTTAGATTCAATATCTAGAATAAAGTTGAATTATTCTATCTTTGAATAGATAAATAAAATATTTTCTAAAGAAGATCTTGTATGAACGTTCTAGTAGTAAATTTATTATATAGTTACTTAAAACCTCTTCAAGCATCTAACAATTGGTGTCTCCACCTCTCGATCGTTTGTTTACAAAAAATTCAATAATATACAAAAGATGAAATTTTAGATCACCATAGGCCTCTTGTTTAAAGTCTTAACAATCTGAATCATTCTATAAAACAATATTTACATGTGCCTCTTGTGAAAGCTAAACGGATATGATTCATAAAAAGGTATCTAAGACATTCTAGGTACTTACGTCAACCACTTGTTCAGCTAATGGCGATTTTTTAGGTGAACCAAATTCGCTGGTCGATGATCTATGATTTATTTTTTCATCAAAATCAATTCTTTTAAATAGACTTTCCTGCCGATTCGTTTCACATAAGAATTTTAGTTGTTCTTCTTGTTGTTTTCGTTGTAAATTCCACAATCGTTGTCGTTTTTCATCGTCCGTGTCTCGTTTCGAACGATTTGTTAGCCTGGAGAACATTTGCATTGATTGAATTCCGGTTTGCAATAGTTCTAAGGATGAAAAATCAGGTAAATTGAACAGCTTCTTTGTCTATCATTTTGAAAAGAGACTTTGCAGACTATGCGTTCCGGTTCCGATTTATGTAATAATTTTTCTCACCGGTTGTTAACCGGTTGGTTTGAATCGCTTAGGATTAAATCGAGAAAAAAATATATTCTTCAATATCCGGCTAAACTCTTTAGCCTATAGCCTGAAAAACGTGACAAAGTATAAAATTGTGGTATCTTTAAGACATTGGGTAAGCATAGTTCTGAAGAGGTATATTTTTCATTTATGTGCAACTTGTGTTTAAGAATATGTTTTTTAGTAATAGGAGATGACGTCTATCACCTCCGCTGCACTTCGAAGGTTATCGTCTGCAGCATCTAGGTAGAAGAAACTTTTATATGCTATATAATGAAAAATAAAGTTTCTAAAATGCAGATGCCGGTTAAAAAGACACTTTTGCTCGTCGAGCAAGTCAAACGATCTGTTAAATGTACCGTTATCGCAAGAGATACCTTGGCTACCGAAACCGAAATATGCCTCCTTAAGTCAACAACGAGGTGAAACTAAAGTAACTGTGTTGGAAAATGGACTTACAGTTGCTACCGAAGATAAATTTGGGCAATTCTGTACCGTTGGAGGTAACAATTTTCATTGTCCATGTCCTATTTCGTCATTTTGATTTGTTATTACAGTTGTGATCGACTCAGGATCTCGGTACGAAGTTGATTTCCCGAGTGGCATCACCCACTTTTTAGAAAAATTAGCTTATTCTTCAACAGAAGATATTCCCGATAAGGATAAGTTTATGCAAATTCTTGAAGAGTTGTCAGGAATTAGTGATTGTCAAGGTTCCAGAGACACGTTAATTTACGGGCTCTCGGCTGATCCTAAAGGTTTATCAAAATTAGTCCAACTATTGTCAGCGGTGACTCTTAGACCATTAATAACTGACGAAGAAATCTTTATTGCACGGAGAACAATCGAGTTTGAATTAGAGTCATTGGATATGGCTCCGGACCCTCAGCCCATTCTTCTTGAAATGATACATCGAGCTGCTTATTTTGATAATACATTAGGCTTACCAAAAACTTGCCCAACGGAGAACATTAACAAAATTAATAAACAAACAATTTACGAATATATGAAGTTATGCCATACCCCTGATAGAATGGTCATAGCTGGTGTTGGAATTAATCATGATGAGCTAGTGAAAGAGGCTCGAAAGCACTTTATGTCAAAACCAATATGGGATGATGTAAAAACTTCCAGGCGACTTGATAAAGGCTTAGCTCAATATACCGGAGGTGAAGAGAAAGTGTTTAAAGATATGTCGAATGTTAGTCTAGGCCCAACTCCAATGCCTGAATTATTACATTTTGTTATTGGACTGGAGAGCTGTTCACATAAAGATAAAGACTTTATAGCTTTTTGCGTATTAAATACTTTAATGGGAGGAGGTGGAAGCTTCAGTGCGGGTGGACCCGGAAAGGGAATGTATAGTAGGCTATATACAAGAGTCTTAAACAGGTTAAACGTTCTCTTCTTTTAAAATACATACTGATCGACTTTCTATGCAGGCAACATTTTATGTACAACGCAACGGCATACAATCACTCATATAATGATTCTGGTCTATTTTGTATTCATGCCTCTGCTCCTCCAAGTTATGGAAAAGAAATGGTTGCAGTAATTGTTAAAGAACTTTCTATTTTACAAAATGGTATCAGCGAGGACGAGCTACAAAGAGCAAAAACGCAGTTACAATCAATGCTGTTGATGAATTTAGAAAGCCGGCCCGTTATATTTGAAGATCTTGGAAGGCAAATGCTGGTCAGTGAAGAGAGGCGCGGCCCTGATTACTACTTTAACGAGATAGGTAATGACCAGAAATTATTTTTACTTTCTCTTTTATATGAAACTATGGGCTTAGTTTTTATATATATATTGAATATCGTTATCTTATTCTTTTATAACCTCTGTCAAAATAACAGGAGCGATAAGGAATGAAGATATCATTCGAGTAGCTAAAAGAATGCTAGCTACACCCGTAACGATTGCCTCTTTGGGTGATGTTAACAAGATACCCTCAATTAACGATATACGAACAGGTTTAAGCTCGAGAGATGGACGTCTTCCTGGTCGATTTCGCTTGTTCCAGTAAATAAATTAACACAATGCATTGTTGATCATGCTCTTTATTATTGGAAAAACAGCTAATGATTATTCACTATCACAATTCACTTTTGTTTCGCTTTGTTGAGACCGTTGCCATTGGAATGACTTATTTTTTTTCCTGTCTTCAAATAGGCATTAATGAAAAAGCTTAAAAATAGAAACAAATAGGAAAGATACATTAACGATGACCACACTAAATTATCGTATGTCTGCTGACAGTACTGATTTCTATTTTTCAAGTAGTAGACTCTAATATTAACACTTAGACCGACTACCATTTGAGCAATTTGTAAACTGGTAATGGCAACAGACACCCATTTCGGAATAGAAAATCGCATGGCTTTGAGAGTATAGTAGCTATACATGAAAGCATGTACTGTATAATTGATCGTCATAAACCATCGACCCGCAGCGGCTTGTTCGGTAGCACTATACCAGGAATAGATTAGGACGGTGATATGATGGTACCAGTGAAGGAAGATAAGATTCTGTTTACGTAAAACTATAAATATCGTATCACCAAGTTCGTACACCTTTGACAGGGCGAAAAGGCTTGTCCATAAGGCCGTCGGTTGATAATAAGCGTACGAAGAGTTGCATATTGAGAAATCCCATCCATAATTCTTTAGAACATAGAGTAATTCAGGCACCGTTCGGATAGCTCCCAGTATTGAGAAAATAGCTAAAATCCCTGACCATATCGCTAACTCTGTTCTCAGATTGGCAGCAGGTCTATGCTTCATATAACGCTTACCACTAAATATTACTATAACATAGGCCAAAGAAAACCATAGAGACAGATACCAATTTTTCGTAATCCAAAGCCAGAAGGTTTCCTGATCAAAATTTTTCTCAAACGGGAGATAAAGTGTATAATTAAAATCCGATACTTGATCAGTCATATTTTCACAGCAAGAATTTCTCACCCCACTTCCAATTGGGTCAAGGACAACAACTTTTTTTTAGTTATTTTTAATGTCACCTCACCTACTAGCGTTAGGCACTGCCCTCTTTCCTCGTTGGGATTGCCGGCTTATAAATATTCATATCTAATTCTGTAAAGTGCGCTGTTTGGACGATTAGATTGTAAAGAGCGTAAGCCAATCAGAAATGCCGCTACAAGGAAAACTAAAATATAGGAGGGGATTATAAATTTGTTTAAGTAATATATTTATTAATATTTAAAAGAATACTGTAATTAATGTCATAAAAAAAGACAACTAATAAATTTGATGATAAACAATGACCTTTTTCCCAATACCCTGCAATGTTTCCCTTTCACATTGCAAAAAAAAATCAGTAGGTAAAAGTTGGTGACAAAAATTTAACAATTAAACGAATGAGACAGTTTATTTTATGAATGACAATACTAGTTTTGAACGAGATACTAGAATTTATATATAGATTTTACTTTAATTTACACACTTCGTCTTCGCATAAAAACTCAGCTTCCATTTCTTCAAAGTCGTCGTATAGTCTGTCTCCTTCACTAATGGGATTAATTTACATAAAAAACAATTATTTAGAAATAGATAATAACTTGTAAAAGATTACTTACTTTAGTTGCTTTTCCAAATCAAATGAGTTTTTAGGTGTAATATCTTTCTCATCTTCATCTTGCGAAAGAAATTGCATTCTTGAGATTTTTCCATCCTCTTTTAAAGGAATGTCGAAATTAATTAAGAGGTATATTATTTTTTAAATGATTTATTAATAATAAATATTACCATCTATTAGCCCTTGTTCTGATGCTAATTCCCATTCCAGTTGATTAAGTGCTTCATTATCTTCCTTATGATCTTCGTGATTTTTCTCACAGTTATCATAAATACTCATATCATCACCATCTACGACTACCTTGACCAGTTATTATTTCGATAAACAAAAATACATTACTCTTATCTCTTACCTATTGACCTTGATTGAGGTCTTTGCTCTAACTCTATAGAGCTCGTTCTAAAGTCCGACTGGCTTAATGAGTTTTCAGTTAATTTAAGGTCATTTCTGAGTAGAAAGTAATGAAAAAAATGCAGAAACTAAATAAGCGAACTGATAATTAGTAATTTATTACTTTTTTGGGTCTTGTTCACTCCATTTATAAGACAAGATCTTAATTTCATTTTCTGTCTCTTCTTCTCCCTCTTCAGGCCGCATAAGAGCCAACATATCAATATTATTTTCATCACTCATGTGATCTCTCATTTGATTTTCCACAATCCTATTTGCTAAACTACTATCTGGTCTCCAGGAACGAGGACCGATCTTGTAAACTGATAACAAAAAAAAGGCACGAGTCTAGCGAAGGTATTTTTTTTTTTCTAATACAATATCTGAAGAAGTTATATCTTAAAATGAAATTTAAAAGCTTACCATGACTACTTATTTTCCATTTTTCTATAGAGCCGTCCTTTGCGGTCGAAATTCTCTTACCAGCAGTTTTAGGTCGAACTGCAGGCTTCTCCTCCCCGTCGTTATAAACAAATAGAGGATTATCAACGACTAAATCAGCATAATTGGCAATTTCTTGCAAGCTTCCACTTGGCTTTTTCGTTAGAGTACCTTCACCAAACATCTCTTTTCGTCGTACAGCCATTTCTGCCCTAGAGGGTGGTCTTGCTGTTCTAGGCGTTCTAGGAGTTCTTGGAGTCTTTGTTGGTAATTTCTTTAACCGACTCTTTCTTGATGACTCTAGTGGCAATTGCTCAAGCTCTTCTTTACGGAGGTCCACAGATTCGGCAATAGCTTGGTCAAGTCTAGGTTCTTCAACATTCTGAACGCATACTGGCTCGGGAGTCATTGGCGGAGGACTATCGACTATAGGTTCAATAAACGGAGTAACAATAGCACGTCTAGAGGAATATTCTGGATCAGGATCAAAAGCTCGTTTTCTCGAAGAATTTGGAGTTGGTGGACTAGGAGAATGAATTGGCTGTTTGGAAAGAATACAAATTGTTTGCATGATGAGATTGATAATAATTAAAATTAATTTTTTGTACCAGAGGTGAAGAAATATCGACTACAGAAATCTCTGAAGGTGTCTTTGAAGTTGATTTCATAGCTTCGTATAGGCTATTGAAGTCAACCCTCTCTTTCATATCGATTGAGCTAATCTCCCTTTGCCTGTCAGCAGATCTTATCTGTTTAACATTAGAATCAGAATGAATTGGTAATTTTTCTTCATTATTTGCTGGGCGTTCTTCAAAATTTATTTGGTTTCTTCTATGCTTCTTAATCAGTAATTTTTCAGCATAACTCAATCCGGAATGCGAATTCGTAGAGAATTTTATCTCCAATTTTTTCTTCCCATCTATTCTCTGATCGCTAGTTCCGATTGCGCAATCAGTTGTTGAAACTGATAAGAATTGCAAAAATAAAATCACTTACCAACATTATCTATCGTTGTAAAAGACTTACCTGCTATCTTTTTTTCGACAGAGGTCGAACTAGAATTCGAAGTTTGTTTCGGAGTTGTTTCATCACCTCTCCATTCTTTGAGTGCCTCTTGGAAAGAGTCTTGGGCGGCCTTTTCATCGTAAACACCATCTAACAAGCTGTTTTCAACTTTTGAGCTGGTAGGTTCATTCTAATTATGAAAAAAAATAGTAAATACAATGCGTATAACCAAAAGAGTTTACTATATATACCATTTTAAAGTCAATTTCAGTTAGAGTTAGTTTATTTGGATTCTGTTCTTCGTAAACTTTGAGAGGTGGCGGTGCAGATTTTTCAGATGCTCTCTCGGAAGCTGCACTTGTTCTTGGAGTTATGTTACCTCGAGCACCATTGGCCTACATATATATATATATATATATATATTTTTTGATGAGATTATAATTGGTAAATGTTTAATTAGTTCTATTTACAGCGATTGGAGCAGATCTGTGCTTCTTCAATGCTCCTCTAAGGTGAAAAGAAGCGAAACAAGATGCGCAATAATCTTCTCCACATTCCAGACATGTCTATGAATGATGTACATAAAATAAGACTTAAAGATAAAGGTACAATGAAATTCTTAGAAAACATACCACTTGGGCACCTTTCATTTCGCATTGTCCACATTTAGGTCCTTTAAAATTTTTGACTTTAAAACCTTCGCCTTGTTGAGCAATATACGCAAGTGTACCAGGTACTTTCTTGGTTTCAGCAGACGCCTTTCTCGGTTCAATTATTTCTTCTTTCAAAACAGTAAATTTTGTCTTTTTCTATATTAAAAAAGAAAGAGAATATGAAATTTTTTACGAATTGAAAGTTGAGAAAGTTTAGAATCCCTAACCCTATTCTTCTCGTTGTTCTGTTCTAAAACATCTTTGGCGTAAGTGGTTAATTGACCTGTTTGACCAGATTTCCAAAATCCATTATCAGTACCATTAGTTAATCTCCTAAATAAAAGAGAATAAAAGTATTGTAGAAACTGAAATCCTTTCGTTTAAAATTGAATAAACTGTATATTTACTTTCTGTCCTCCTTTTCTTTGTTAACAGCTAATTTAAGTTCTTTTAAACGCTCTTCCATCTTCCTACTGTCCATTTCTAGTTTCTTTGTCTGCTCCTTGGCATTTTTCAAATTTCTAAATTGAAATAATTATGGATATAGTGATTATGAGAAACTATAGTGAAAAACTACGAGACAAATAAACACAATCATAATAGCCAATAGAGATATATTTTCAGTAATAAATTGATAAAGAAGTGACGCCTCAAGCCACAATTTATACTTGACCGATTCATTAAACTTACATATATCTCCTGAAAATGTTAACATCAAAACAAACTTTGAAAAATTATGTTTTCAGATCTTTCAATAGAATATACAAACTGAGCTTTCAGATGAATAGAAACATCTTCTCGTTTACTAGATGTTGAACGGAAAGCCATCTTCAACTTAAGGAGGGGCACGAATTTTGACTAAATATCTGTAAAGTCATATAATTTCTCATTGTCAATAGTTTTATTCTATTGAATAAGTTAAAATTTAACAAGTAGAATGGAGTTTAACCTTTTTAAAACTACTCTCTTAAAAAGGGAATGCTAAATGTATAAATTTTAAACATATAGAAACCGAATTGTTTATCTAAGCAACTATTTCAACATGGCGTAAATTGGTAGTGTGACGTGAAATCTTCAATTGATTCATTTATTTCAAGTAAAGTTGTGAAAAGTTTAAATATGACACTTCATTCCCTTTTATTTCCATAAAAATAAATTATAACCTAAAAATTATCCGTTTTCCTTCAAGAAAGAAAAAAAGATTATTCAAAATGGAAAATAGATGTCACTAGTCGCATCAAATACCATATATATACAGCAGTGACGTGTCCGTGAACGCCTGTAGAATTAATTTGGATTTTTTGGATGTAAGTAAAATATACACAATAAATAGATATATCATATTATAGGCGTTGCTTTTAACTACTCTTTTAGTAACTATTGTCATAATGTTTTTTTTATCACAAGCTTTATTATCTTATATCCTCTTTCCCCTTCAGTATCATTTTACAACATTTTTGGACTACAAGGAAATGGCAGAAAACTGGATACTAGTAACAGGCGGATCTGGTTACGTAGGGAGTCATACTATTGTTGAACTGTACAAGGCTGGGTATAAGGCCGTTGTTATTGATAACCTAGTAAATTCAGAAACAGGTAACAACTATGGGAGGATTATAATAAGTTTTCAAAAAGAGTATTGTCTAAAAACGAAAACATTTCTTTTCTATAGAAAGTATAAAGCGTGTTAGGAAATTGGTTGGGCATGATTTTCCATTCTATTCCGTCGATTTATTAGATGTTGAATCACTAGTAGAAGTCTTTAAAAAGGTAATGAAATTAGCTCAATATTGTTCTTTGCTCAATATTGTACTAAATCACGAAATGGTCTTGACACGATCCTCTTTTATTTTGTTGTAGGTTTAAGATGACTAAATTTCATTTTTACTTCTGTACAGCATAAATTCCAATGTGTAATTCATATTGCCGGATTAAAAGCTGTTGGCGAATCCGTTCAAAAGCCCCTTGAATATTACAAAAATAATGTGGGAGGAACTATAAACCTATTGGAAGTTATGAAGCAATTTAATCTTTATTCTATGATTTTCTCAAGTTCAGCAACTGTTTATGGTTTTCCTCAATACTTGCCAATAGATGAAAAACATCCAGCTGGTAGTTGTACCAACCCATATGGAAAAACAAAGTGGTTTATTGAAAATATTCTTCAGGATTTATGCCATTCCAGTGATATATGGAAAGTAATAATTCTACGATATTTCAATCCAATCGGCGCTCATGAATCTGGAACCATTGGAGAAGATCCCAGCGGAATTCCTAACAATCTTATGCCGTATATTGCTCAGGTTGGAGTTGGTAAAAATCCTTGCTTGAGTGTTTTTGGACAGGATTATGATACACCTGATGGTACAGGAGTACGAGACTATTTACATATTATAGACTTAGCCGATGGTCATGTTAAGGCCCTAAAAGCTTTAAAAAATGAATGTCAAACTTTTAACTTGGGAACTGGCCAAGGCTATAGCGTCCTGCAAATGATTAAAGCGTTCGAAAAAGCCAGTGGAAAGACTGTAAATTATAAGATATGTAGTAGAAGGTACGGTGATGTAGATACAATGTATGCCGATGCTTCTTTAGCCAAGAAAGTTTTGGGCTGGGAAGCCAAAAGAGGTTTACCCGAAATGTGTGAAGACTTATGGAGATGGCAAGTTAACAATCCTCAAGGCTATCGTACTGAACAGAAGATGTAAAAATTGGAAACTTCAAATGAAATTCAAGCTAAAGAAATTTTTCTATTTTTCTATTTAATTTTGTTTTATTATTAAAACAAATAATACAAATTTTTTACATTTTTCTTATCAATTCATCTATTCTTTAAGCAGTTAACAGAGATAGAAAATCTTTTAAATTCATCAATGCTTACTCTTTTTCTCTCTTAGTCTTATCTTTTCAATCTTTGAAAATATGTTTTTTAGCGAACGCTTGCTTGTTGATTCAGTTCTTCTTAGACTCCTATACTTATCTTTAAAGTTTTTAGCTGATGAATATAATAAATTCGAAACTTGAAAGCAAAGGAAACAGCATATAGCAATGGAAACTATTACAATAAACATAAGAATGTATGTTAGCGCTTTTACACCAGTGTTTATACCATTATTAACACCGTATTCTTCTATAGATGTTGATTCTACTTTAGACCTTAGAAAGGATATAACTAAAGCTGGAAAAATGTAATACATATCAATAATTTTTAAATTTTCTTGTATTCTTTTTAAAAATATATATTATCTAACAAATACTTTTCAAAATATTCGTCAGTAATGGAATGTTTTAAATTTATCTATGATAGTATTCAATTACGAGAAACTTGAGCGTTCAGGAGGCTTTCGTTTGTTGTTGAGCTGTTTTCGCTCTCTGTTACATCACCTTTAGGTGGGATATGCCAAACTCTTGGTTTGAATTTATATTCAGAATTTTTTGGTGGGTAAGTTAATTCAATTGGTGGGTTTCCCTCAATAATACCATATGCTCTCAAATGATAGATAAAGAATTCCAAATCGTACATATCATTGGTAGAAACATAGTGAAAAGTTATTGGAAAGTCACTCATACTTTCCATACCTTTTTTAGCTCCGTATTTATCATATTCATAGTACCAATCAGGATATGATCCATGTAAATGTGTGCCAGGATTGAAGCAATGAAATCTTGTTCTACCCAAAGCATCTCTCGAATCTCCAGGCTTGACCCCTAGGTACTGCAAACATTTTCCAATTTCAACATCTTCAGCTCCTAGATCACTAGCACACAATCCAGATTTTCTATTTGCAAAGCGAGTTAAAGCTTCTTTGCTTAATACATATCCAGCACCACCACTGTGATATCCTTGTCTAACTATAGTCTAGATGAAAAATTCATATGTAATATGTTGAAATTTAAATCAATTAAGTTGAAAATTACTTTAAAATGATGTCCAAAATAAACAGGATCACTAGGAGAGTGAGCACCAAGTAAAAACCTCAAATTTTCCAAAATAACATATGTATCATCGTCAGCTTTAAGAAACCAATCAGCATCATCTCTATGGTTTTTATAAATATATTCAAAAGCTTGCATAGTTTTAGCTGTTAGGTGATCACGTCCTTCACCTACATTTAGGTGAATAGCAGGAAACTCCTTATCCTCTTTATCACTCATAAATACAACTTTATTACACCTATGACAATAAAGGATTTTGAATATTCTACAATAGAAATATATAGTGATATCATCTATACGAAATACGAATTAGAGCTATTTTGTAGAAAGAAATTCTAATAAATAACATAAAGCCTTCATTCAACATTGCTTAAAAATTTTGTAGTTTAAGAAAAAAAAATAGAATTAATCTTAATTCTTCTGAACACAAAGGAAATGTTTTTTAAATAGGCATATGTATTAATATTAATCAGTCATGTATGATTTATCGTTGTTTAACAACGAAATGTAGAAAAAACTGCTTATGCCTTATGTTATCGATTATAAGTCCTATAAATTTTTATTGAACATCCACACGTTATATATATAGTAAAATTATGGTTGTGGCTATTGTTGATTGAATACCTTTTTGCCCATGTGGCTTTTACATGAATGGCTTTGGTCCTTAGATTAGCAGCTCCAGTCATTATCCAGCATAACACTCTCGCGTTTTTATATAAGTAGTTGGCTGCTCTTCTATCCTCTAAAAAAGGAAATTTGTAGATAAACAGTATAATTGAAATGATAACATAAAAAGAAAGTCTTACAAACCGTTATGCATTGATTCATCATGAGCGAAATGAATATGAGAGTCGCTTGGAATGGAGTCTATCTCACTATGTGATTGCGGATACCTTATATGTGTTAGACTCCTATGAGAGGTAAAGAATTGACGAGAAACTATTAAGCCACATAACAAACCAGAGAGATACACTAAAAATATTGAAATGTTTCGGCTTAACGCCATTGTCTTTTCTCCAAAGTTTTTAAAATTTTAAACAGTAGATTAAAAAGTTTTCTTTTGAAAGATCCAATTAACGATAAGTTCAATGAAGTAGAACACTCCTCCTAGTTAATTTAAAGTCATTAAAAATAAGTCGAATCAGGTACAAAACAAACTGCCAATAACCGACTCTCTATTTTAAAATTAAGTAAATACTTACCACTTAGAATCAATGGAATTACCCGTAGGAATTCGAAATAATTTTGAGAAATGGCATCTGGAGAAATGAGAACATATATTCGAACAAATTTACAGTGTCCAAAAATTATGATTCTCTTTTTTTCCAATAGATGGCCTACTAAACTTCAACAACCTATAAGCCATAACCTTGACATTACTGGCAGAGAGAAAAACTTCGGTTCTATACTTTTGCAAAATGAGTGACAATGGGTCTATAAAGCCTCCAGATTTAGGAAAACTCTACGAAATTGACGGTTATCTCCAGAATTTTGAGAAGGAAATCTGTAGAAGGTTCGTTAAGAAGTTATTCGTATTTTTTTTTAATTTATTTGTCGCTGACATTGAATTTTACTGCTGCAATATAGGCTTAGCTGTTCTTATTCACTACTTAAATTACAGGCTATAAAGGAGAAACAATTCATTTTTATTAAAACAAAATTATTAACCTTATTAAAGTTTACTATTTACTAATTATTGTTTGTCTTTTCTGATAACATATATACCGATATATACTGTATATCTTCTATCCATCAAACAGATATAAAGAATTTACTAATCTACTCAACGCTATTGAAGAACACGAAGAAGGTGGTTTACAACAGTTTAGCAAAGGGTATGAAAAATTTGGTATACATGTTCAACCAGATAATTCTGTTAGATGTTACGAATGGTGTCCTGATATTACCCAATTGTATTTAAGAGGAGATTTCAGTAATTATTAAAAAACAACATATGTTATTATGTTTTTATTTAACAAAACTCATTATCATAACATAAAATTTAGATAATTGGAATAAAAAGGAGTATCCATATACAAAATTGGACCATGGTAAATGGGAATTAGTAATATCTCCAAACGAAGACGGCTCTTGTAAAATACCCCACAATTCTGCTCTTAAAGTATGCGTTGTTGATAAACATGGTAACGAATTGGATAGATTATCCCCTTGGGCACCCTACGTAACAAGATCAGAAAAATCTCTAACGTACGATCAAAGATTATGGAGTCCGAAGGAAAAATATTCATTCCAACATAAGCATCCTTCTAAACCTAAAAGTCTTAGAATCTACGAGTGTCACGTTGGCATCAGTTCTTGGGAAGGAAAGGTTGCTACCTATACTCACTTTAAAGACAATGTCTTGCCAAGAATCGAAAAATTGGGTAAGTTTATTCTGTTTCTATAGTTAGTTAGCCATTCAATTTTTCTCAAAAAAGGATACAATGCTATTCAACTAATGGCTGTAATGGAACATGCTTATTACGCAAGCTTTGGGTACCAAGTAACAAGTTTTTTTGGAGCTTCTAGGTGAGATTATCATCTTATCTGAAAATTAATAAGACCTATAAAATGGACAACGATATTTAGTTTTTTAATTTTATGCAATGAGTATGTACTAGTTAAATTCAAACTGAGTTCAAGACACCTTACTTCAAAGAGGGGGTGGGGCTAGAGGGAAAGAAAACTAGATCAAGTACTTATCACCTTTAAAATTAATGCTATATTTATTTACAAAACAGTCGTTATGGAAACCCTGAAGAATTGAAAGCTTTAGTTGATGAAGCTCATCGTAGGGGAATTGTTGTACTTTTAGATGTCGTTCACTCTCATGCTTCAAAGAATACAGTTGATGGTTTAAATCAATGGAATGGAACTAACGGTGCGTATTTTCATGATAATGCTCGAGGTTTCCACGATCTATGGGATTCTCGATTGTTCAATTACACTGAGTGGGAAGTGTTAAGATTCTTGCTTTCTAATCTTCGTTGGTGGATTGATGAATATGGATTTGACGGTTTCCGATTCGATGGAGCAACTTCAATGCTATACCATTCTCACGGTTTGGCTCATTCGTTTAGCGGTGATTACAATGAATACTTTGGTTTAGTTACTGATACTGAAAGTGTAACCTATATGACGCTTGCTAATCATTTCCTTCATTCGAATTATGATTTTGTCATAACTATTGCGGAAGAGGTTAGCGGGATGCCTGGCTTATGCAGACCTGTCTCTGAAGGGGGCCAAGGATTTGATTATCGTCTTGCTATGGCTTTACCCGATATGTGGATCAAAATGCTAAAGGAAAAGTCCGATGACGAATGGAAGATGGGGCATATAGCATTCACTTTGGCTAACAGACGTCACGGTGAAAAACATATCGCCTACGCCGAGAGCCACGACCAAGCTTTGGTAGGAGATAAGACTCTAGCCTTTTGGCTTATGGATGCTGAAATGTATTGGAATATGAGTACATTGACTGAGAGAACAGTAGTAATTGACAGAGGTATGGCTCTCCATAAGTTAATACGCTTAATAACACATGGACTAGGTGGTGAAGGATACTTGAATTTTATCGGTAATGAGTTCGGCCATCCGGAGTGGCTGGATTTTCCAAGGAAGGGGAACAACGAAAGTTATCATTACGCCAGGAGACAATGGAATGTTGTTGATGATGATCTATTAAGATATAAGTTTTTGAATAATTTTGACGAAGCTCTACAACACACCGAGGAGAAGTATGGTTGGCTGCATTCGCCTCAAGGTTATATAAGTCGAAAACATGAAGGAGATAAAGTGTTAGTGTTTGAAAGAGGTGGAGTTGTATTTGTCTTCAATTTCCATCCAACACAATCATTTACTGATTATAGGATTGGAGTTAACGAAGCAGGGAGATATAAAATTATCTTGGATTCAGATGAGAAAAAATTTGATGGACACGGTAGATTGGATCATAATACCGACTACTTTACGAACGAAGGGGATTGGGATAATAGAAGAAATAGTATGTTGGTTTATATTCCTAGTCGAGTTGGTTTTCTTCTCGCTAAAGTTGATTAAATGTCATTAATTGTTCAGATTTGTGAAATGCATTTTGTTATTTTGTATTGTAAAACTATTTAGAATATTTGGAGAGAGAACCCGGTGTGGTATATGGTTTAATTTTTATCTGCTTGAATTTTGAATAAACTAGAACTTGAAATCTTGAATATAAATATAGTTATTAAAAATGTTAAACAATAATTCAATGAACTTTTGGTAAATTCACTTTTTATCTTTACTAGATTCCGATAGATGGCTCTAGTGTTTATAGAAATCTTTCGACCGCGAGGTAGAAAAATTAAATTTCCTTTTCCGTGTTGACAGCGTGAAGAACGTTAGGGCCCAGTTATGAAGGTAATTTTTTCATTAAAATATTCAACTATTTTACCTCAATTGCCAAAGTAATACGACTATTAGGATTGATTAATATTCTGTTCATGCAATTTGTGAAAAAAATAACATATACTCTGTAAGATCGAAATGATTAAAGTGGATTTGCTTTCTAGCTCAACGTATCCTACCCAGCCACCGGCTGTCAAAAGATCTTCGAAATTGATGATGAACGTAAACTTAGACCATTTTACGAAAAGAGAATGGGAACAGAAGTTGATGGTGGATGTTTAGGTGATGAATGGAAGGTGAGTAGCGCTTAAAATCTGAACTCATTGCTCTATTTTAATGCTAACATGGTATTAGGGTTACATCGTCCGTATCTCTGGTGGAAATGACAAGCAAGGTTTCCCCATGAAACAAGGAGTTCTAACCAACGGACGTGTAAGACTTTTGCTTAGTAAGGGTCATTCCTGCTATAGAATCCGCAGAAGTGGAGAACGTAGAAGAAAGTCTGTCAGAGGCTGTATCGTTGACAGCAATCTCTCCGTTTTGGGCTTGGTCATTATCAAGAAGGGTGAATCGGATATTCCTGGTCTTACTGATAAAACTATCCCACGTAGATTGGGTAAGTAATAGTGTAATTTTAGTTTATAATTACCATTCGTTTATTATTTATGTATTGATAATACTAGGACCTAAGAGAGCATCTAAGATCAGAAAATTGTTCAATTTGAGCAAGGAAGATGATGTCCGTCAATATGTCGTTAGACGTCCCTTGCCTGAAAAAGAAGGTAAAAAGGCAAAGACAAAGGCCCCTAAGATCCAACGTTTGGTAACCCCAGTAACCCTTCAACGTAAACGCCGTCGTTTGGCCCAGAAGAGAAGACGTTTTGTTAAAGCTCGTGACGAACAAGCTGAATATGCTAAACTCCTGGCTCAAAGAGTTAAGGAAGCCAAGGAAAGAAAAATTGAGAGAAGACGATCGGCTTCCCAATCGAAAAGCCGAGGAGATTCGTTGAGAGAATCGACAAGCAAGAAGTAAACTTTAAAAAGTTGTTTGAATAAATTTGTCTGATTGAAAAAACGAGTCCTAAGACTTTTTCCATTGCTTAAATCAGAAACAGGTGGTATAAAGTAAAAGCACGCAAAAAATATTCTACATTAAGTCCCAAATTGTATTCAATAATTAAAATATAAAAAAAGAAAAATCATGCATTTTGTTCACCTTCCGGCTCTTGAACATTGTCGGCACCGTCTTGAAGTAACAAACTACCTGGATATGGTTCTGATGGTTGTGGAGGAACAACGTCATTAGCAGCTATGTCAGGCTCAGCAACTGCGTCAGCAAGATTCGTGATTGATTTAGACTTAACACACTGAAAGTCGACATGTCGAGAACGAGCTTCTTCCTTTTCCCACGACATATGTATGAAAGGGCGCTGTGCATAGTTATAAATAACTTCAAATCTACCATCGGGTCTTCTTTTTATCTTTTCTTTATAAGTTGGATATCCTTCGATTCCTAGTCGAACTTTCTTTAATCTTCTATCTTTCAAAACGCTCTTTGCGACATCGCGATTCTCGACATATTTGAAAAATCTATACATTGAGGCTGATTTTATCACTTGGGTATACTCCTCACCCATTTGCGGGGGATATTCATCATCCCAATCAATTATTTCTTCGCCGGTTAGAATAACTAAGTGGCATTCTCTGTCTCCTCGATCGGCACTTAAAACCATTTGCGGAAGCAATTCGTCATCGACAAACTGCTCAAATTGCTTTCTGGCTCCATCATTAGACAACTCGTGGAGAAGATCCCTTAAATTATGACTCTTAACTGTTTCAATATTAAATGGAATTAATAAAAAGTCAGCAGCGTCTCTGACATCATGAACGTTTACACCGGGAGGAATTTGTATTTTTGCCGTTTTATAAAATGATAGGACAGCTCGACAGGCTGCAGCTGAAAAATCAGAACCTATATCAAACTCTCCCCGTTCATTTGGTCGCGTCATATTATGTTCCAGTCCCGTACCAAACATTTTGGCTAGCATTGTATCAGGATAGCGATTTATGTCGTCTAAATCTATGTAAAAATGGGTATTTGACATGACAATCGTAACTCCTCGGGCGCCTCCTTTATTTACAGCTGCTGTTACACGGCAGGTCTCATCACTGTTGTTGCTAGTTTCCATACTTTTAGATTTTTTCTCCGTTTTCAAGGCAGGCACTAATTCATGACTGTCGTTATCGAAAGAGGATCTCTGAACCAAACAGGGCTTTGTCTTACTCTCGTTCGATTGGGAACACTGATGACGTAAGCAACTAGATCGTTTATCTTCGTCAGAATCACAACTATCACTGAGATCGTCGTCTTGTCTCCTGCAATGAGGGCAGTACATAACGCTCCTATTCAAATCAGAAGAGAAAATTCCACAATATTTAACAACTCCCACACTCTAATGTTCTAACGAAAAATTAACATGGTATCCTATTAAGTGGAATGAAAATCTTTTCTTTCTAAATCGGGTTTCACCTGGTACCACACAAGCATTTGGAATGTTTTTCGTTTACAGCTGTTTACATCTTTCTAATGGCGGCTTCCAGGATGAATTCCATGACACGTTTATGTTTCAAATATCGCTTTATTTTCTTTGCTGCTCTCATAATATTGAGCTTGCAAATCCTGTTAGCTTATAATTTCAATATATTCGTCAAACGACAGACAGATCAAATTAAGAGGCCAGATCAACCACTTTTTTTAAATAATCAGATTATTTCTAGTCAAAAAGAAGAGAGCATTACTTGTCCTGAGACTACCACTAATAGAGACGCTGTATCAGCTTTGTCAAGAATCAAAAGTGCTGAATGTAAAAAAACTGTTACATCAGCGATATGTTTGTTAGCTAAAGGAGAGTTATTTCCTGCTTCTGTTCAGCAAAGCTGTCCGATGCGATTAAGTAATGTCACCGGGCGTTTTGTAGGGTGTTTTAAAGATGAGAGAAGTGATAGAGAGCTTAGCTTCATGAAAAAATTGACAATAAAAAATAGTGTTTCCCAATGTGTTCAATTGTGCTTTAAGTACGGTTTTATTTACGCGGGAGTCGAGTTTGGAATTGAATGCTGGTGTGGCCATAAAATTGCTAATGGCAGAAAAATAGAAGATAAAATTTGCCAGGAAATGCCATGTCCTGGAAATTCTTTACAGCAATGTGGAGGTTATTTGGCATTAGCCATTCATGAAACTGGAATTGGTCAACCCCGATTTGAAAAGAAAACAGTGCTAGTTAGAGAGAAGCAATCGAACAAATCTCGCATTGTATTTCTTTTAACTCTTAATGGAAGAGCCGTTCGTCAAGTTAAAAGGTTACTAGGCTCTATTTATAGACCACATCATTATTATTATATTCACATTGATGAAAGACAAAACTATCTTCGAACTCAGTTACAGCAAGCAACTAAGCATCTCAAAAACATAAAATATGCTCAGTGGAGCATGTCCACTATTTGGGGGGGAGCCTCTCTTCTAACTATGCATTTAAAATGTATGAAAGACTTGTTTTCGTTTAAGACCTGGACATGGGATTACATTTTGAATTTGAGTGAATCCGACTTTACAATTAAATCTATTGAATTACTTGAAAATTATCTAGCTGTCTATAGTAATAGTAACTTCTTAAGAGCCCATGGTAAGGATACGCCAAAGTTTGTGAAGAAACAGGGTCTGGAAAAACTTTTCGTTGAATGTGATAGACATATGTGGAGAGTTGGTGAACGAAAAATACCGCAAGGTATTCGAATTGACGGTGGTAGCGATTGGTTCTGCTTAAGCAGAAAATTCGTTCATTATATGGTTCAAAATCCTGATGATATGTTTATATCTTTACGAAAGTATTGGGAATATTCTTTATTACCTTCAGAATCTTTTTTTCATACAATATTATCGAATTCTGCATTTTGTACTACATTAGTCAATAATAACTTACATGTAACTAACTGGAAAAGATCTAGGGGATGTCGTTGTCAGTATAAGCATTTAGTCGACTGGTGTGGTTGTTCCCCAAATATATTTACTGAAATGGATAGAATTTCACCTTTAAGACAACATCCAATATTTTTTGCACGTAAATTCGATTCCACAATAAATCAAAAAACTATTGCTCATTCTGAAGAACTTTCTGGGGTAAAATGGACAAGTCAACATTCTTCTTTTGATTATTTTTGGGTCAATGATTATTCTTCTTTCGAAGGACGAAATGAAATCAAAGAAATTTTTTACACTAATTTAGCAAAATTACATTCAAGATCAAATGATATTAATCTCTTAAATGCTACACTACTGTTTTACGAAGATAATTTTGAGGCTGTTTTAATAGAATATGCAAAAAAAGACGTCGTATTTGAAGCGAAATTCAAAAGAAAGTGGATTTGGTCTCAAGATGGCGGGAAAGTCGGTGGTGATAGACTCGTTAGAATAACTATTGGATCTGATTGGGATCCGAAAGAAGAAATTCTTCGAAATTGGGCAGGGATTGTTGGCCAAACGACAAAAATAGCAATAATCCATAGTTGGAGAGAGGGTGATACGCCTGTCTCAGCTACTGTCGTCCTCGTTCAACCAAATGGAGTTGTAGCTGCATTTAAAACTGAGACAATTGATATCAAAAGTCATAATTTAGTATTTCAACCGGACTTAAATTTACCGCTGAAACCGGGAAAATGGTCATTTTTAATATTTGCCAATGAGAAAAAAGTAGCGCGAGTATCATTTGTCGTTTTACCAATGGGATTAAATCCGGAGTTTAATGAAATCTCTAAAGTTGAAGAATTTATAACTAATAATTTACCAGAAGCTTCTCCTGCTACAGAATCCTTAAATGCGCTGTCACTTGTTAAGTCTGAATGGGGTTTTCAAGGATTCTGTGTAGTTAGTGGTGATAATAATAATCTATGCAGAAACCAAATTTGGAGCTCTCATTACCCTGATCCAAAATCATCAACCGAACTAATTGGGGGTGGCCTGCTTCGAGAGTTTTCAACAGAATAAGACTTATATTAGAAGTTTAGAGAAATTGAAACGGCTTACGGGAAACAGATTTTTAGCTATTTAAGACTTTTACTTTTCTAATTTTCATGGTTTTAGTCAATTTTCGGTGGTTTTACTCTTCAAAAATTTCGTCCAATTTTCAATAATACTTTGTCTAAAAATTATTTTAAAAAACTAATACGATAATAAATTGATCTATAAAAAATAATCTCAATTGAAGGTTTTGATTCTGTATTTTCTAAGATAACATGGATATTATTACGGAGATATATTGGTATTATTACCTAAAATAGAAGAATTTCTTCCTGCTCTTTCATTTTCTCCTGATTCAAGTTTATAAGCTGGTAAGTAAATATTACCCATTTTCAAAAATGGGTTTGGTATAGTATTATTACTACTTCCAAGAGAAGTATAGCCCTTGTCGTATAAAGTGCAATAAGGTAAATTGAGTCGTCTAATAAACTCCCAAACATCGCTGTACGTCCAATTTAATATTGGATTGACTCGCATTAATTGTGGCCAACCTGGGTCGGTTTGTTGAAAATCGTGCAAATTTTCGCAGTGTGGATCCGTGCGGCGTGTACCCATTATTACAGCTGCATTGCTCGAGTTCTCTTGAGTAAACTCTTGCAGAGCATCCTTTATGTTGTTGCTAACAGCGGTATTGACATTCAACTTATATTTATTTTTTGTACTTTCAATAAAGGACTCCATCTCTACAAAAGGTGCATCCCTTCTTATATACAGGATTTTTAAGGCTTCTCCATTGGCCGGAAGGCGTCTGACAAAGGAGATTTAATTTAATAATATTCAAAATTGCATCTATATTATAAAAACTTTGAGCTTACCGATTTAAATAAGCATGGACTAAATGTAAAACAACTGTACAGTCTTTACCTCCATTGAAACCTAGAAAAACTTGATTAGGCCTGTAAGTTTTCAAAAAGTGTTGTTAAAATGAAATTTAATCAGAAGATTAAAAGACTAACGTGAATCTTTGATAACATTCTGCAACTACTTCCATGGCACTTTTAACTCGTTTACCTAAAGGACTATCCTCTCTGCTTAATACATTAACTTTCTCTGCGGCATTTTCAATAGGAAACTCATCATAGTCAATGACCACATCCTCAGATAATGAACTTTTCAATAAGTCAATGACCGCATCTATATCTTTCTGATTTACCGATTCCAGTGTCAATTTAACTTTGTAATAACTATTGTTGAAATCTGGGTATGAGCCAATCAGAACTTTTTGACGGAATTTTTCTTCTATCTTATTCAAAACTGGTGTAATGGACACTTCGTCATTTTTAATGTACACGTGTTCCAAAATCAAAGCGTTATTGGTTTTGAGAAGAGGTTCAATATATTTGAATATTCTTTTGAGAATATTTGGGACTCCTGGAAGAATAAAAACATTCCTAACAGAGACAACTGGATAACGTGACTCGTTATTTGGACCGTAGTGAAGTTTAGATGAAAAAGGCACGTGAGCCATTTTCATTTGCGCTGTATCCTCTTCGGAATCTCCAAATACTAAACGAACGGCCTCGACTAATTTTGGATGATAGAAAAGTTGTTCATTGAAAGCTTTAGCAACTCCTTCAAACGTTAAGTCATCGTGAGTAGGCCCTATACCACCAGTAGTAATTACGTGTTTATATTTAGTCGAAAAATCTCGAACTTCTTTGGCTATAAGATCTACATCATCCGGGATTACAGCTATCTATTTTAATTATTAAAATATTATAGATAATTCTTTGATAGTTTGGGGAAAATGTTGCGCAATTTACCTTTTGTACCTTAACTCCTAAAGAATATAGTTTTCGTGTAATGAAATTTGTGTTTGTATCAGCTACTAGACCTTTCAAAATTTCATCTCCGATAACTAAGAACAAATAAAGACTTTACAAATTTCAGAATACTTGACAGATAAAGAGGCAGAAAAAGCAAGAACTTACTGATAATACCGGCGGTAGAAGTTGAACTCGTGCTTACGCTATTCATCACAGTCAAATGCGATTGTATGAACTGTAACCTTTTGGCAGCACTGTAGCTCGATAAAGGAATAAGTCTATTCATTGGATCAGTTTGAACATACCCAAAATCTTAGGGTATGTGTTGTAGAACGTCGATAGTAGTTTATGGAATATGCTAAGGCACCCGTTCCAATACCGATAGTGAATTACCATATTAAAATTGGAAAAGATTCCACGCAATTTCTCAATAGCGACATCTAGTTTCAATTTCTTAAAACGCAATCAATATAGTGTAATAGTAATAAAAGATACTATTTTATCTTATAGAAGTTAGCTTAAGGCCTAATGTTTTCAAACCTTTCGGCTTATGAGTACTTTTTACACAAAATATAATATGCGTAATAAAGCAATCTAACTTTTCCCCCTACTTTATCAATTCCTCTTTTTATAGCAAATACATTGAGTATGAATTGCACGTAAAAAAGTAATTTTATATAAAATAGATTATTCAGGAGGGGAAATTCCGATAAATGCTTAATGTTTTGTATATTTAGAGCGAAGATTACACTAATATAACGAATAAAACAAATATTTCAACTGCAGGTTTAAAGTTTTTATTATATATAGAACAATAGAAAATATCTCCTTATCGTTCTTGCAGAAATGACGATAAATCCAATCCTTTGAGTTCTTCATGATTGTCCGTTTTTGTTTATTAATTCAATCTACCTAACTACATTTCTTTGGAAGAAAATTTTGTAAAGATTAGAAAGTTTGTTACAGTCGTTAAGAACGTCATGGAAAAACAGCATATTTAGCGAATCCCGAATAGGCGTCATCATCTTCCTCTTCAACTTTGGACTTCTCTTGTTTTTCAGAAGATAAAGCTAATTCAAGTTGTTTTTGATGTTCAATTTTCAACTGTTAAAAAGATATATAGGCGATATAAATTTCAACGTAATTTACAAGCTAATTACTCTCATATTTTCTTTTGCATATTTCAACTTTTCCTTTTCAAGTTTTTCAACTGACATTCTTTCTTCTGATAATTTGGCACATTTATCAGCATACCGTTTCCTGTTAATTGTTTCATTGGATAAGAAGTAATTTTATTGAAATGCTTTCATTAATTAAAATAAAAGCACCAACCTCAATTCAACATTTTCCTCAATTAATTGCTCAACCTTTTTCCTATATTGATCGTCGACTACTCCCACTTTCTCAGCAAAATTCTTTTCATAGCCAAGTAGTTCAAATTTCTGTTGAAAATTTTTGCAACATTAGAGAATCTCTAATTCGTTTATCGTAGTACTCAACTGTTTTAGCTAATTCGTCAGTAATTTCAGCCAATTGTTTACAAACCGAATTATGATTCTCTTTCGAAATCAATAATTCATCTTTTAGTTGCTAAAAGAACGCAAAAGAAGCATCAAAGGAATGTCTAAAATAACTCTCGTTAATTTTCCCTTACACTTAAGTCCTCTTCTGTTGATCTAAGCAATTGCTTGTCCTCTGCTGCATTTGAATATTTCCTAGTTAGGGCCTAATTTAGAAAAGAAAAACGTCTATATTAATAAGTAATTTGAAGCAAGATAAACCTCAAGCTCGCGTTTGTGCTCTTTCCTAATTTGTAGAGTTTCTTTTTTATGTTTTTGTATAAGATCTGCCTTCTCAACTGCTTTCTCGTTGTACAATTTAGTTTCTAAAACGGGAAAAAAAGTGGGTTTACAAAAAGAAGACAATTTGAAATGATAATCTAACTTAATTCATCAATTTGCTCTTCTTTCTCCTTTATCAAACGACTCTTCAACTCATTTTCTTTCTTTTCCGATTTATAGTACAAATCATTAGACAACTGGCTTTTATATGATTCAAATGCTCCGTTCAGAAACTCTATTTCAGCAGTCAATTTATCTAAAAGATTTTAAAAATTACAATTGCCGTAAAATTATAACTTATATACTTTTCGTTTCATCCATTGTTCGGCGAAGATTACGTAATTTGATGTCGTAATCTTCTTTCATTTGATCTCGTTCTTTTTGGTGATTATAACTGATTTCCTTCATATCTTCGGATTTCTCTTCTAAAAATTTTTCCAAGTTACCTCTTAGTATTTCAGCAGCCTTCAAAATAGATTATACTTATTTTTAATAGAGAATTTCAAAGAAAAATATAAACCTTGTCTTTGGTTTGTTTATGATTAAGACGTTCCTCTTCCAATGCCAGTGTTAAATCGTTGACTTGTTGTTGGAGGTCTGCGATTAAGGAATCTCTGTAGCGAATATATGACATAGTATAGTACATTCAAAAGCTCAACATACCTTCTTAGTGAGCAATCAGTATTTTTATATGCAAAAAAGTAAATGATAGAAACATTTTAAAGTCCTTATACTAAGCTTATCGAGATTAGAATGAGCAGTTCTAGTAAATTAAATACGCAAGATAAAATGTCATATTTCACATTATATTAAAATCTTAATTGGGATTATTCAATTTTGGAAAGGGAAATTTTGAGGAACAGTTAGTGATGATCTTCCACCTCGCTCTCGTGCTAAAATTGGTGGCTCTGTATCTAGTCCTGTTCGTAACTTCATAACTGTTGTTGAATCGTCATCCGTATCCGAAACAACGATATCTGGTACTGAGAGACTTCTATTACGAAGCTTTCTGCCAGGAGCGGGTGATCTTTTTACTCCAGACTGAACTTTTCTACTAGATGCTGGTCTTCCACTGCTGATTCCAAAATTTCTTTCAAGTCTCTCTCTCTTTCGGTCATTAGATGCTTCACTCAAAGATCTCCTATCTAGAGGAACAACGAAAATTTGGGCTGGTGTTACAGACTTGGGTAAAAAAGTTTCGTCGTCATCATCAACATCGCTGACGTTTGGAGTTATATCACCAATGCTTTCTGATCCAATACTACCAGGTCGAGTTTGATGTTCTTGATAAAAACCTTCTCTCGGGCTGACATATTTAAATTTTCTTAGTAACAGATAAATAGATATGAACTTTAACATGTATTTTGCTTTTTTAGACTATAATTGATTTGTTGAGTTTTATTACAAAATTTCTATAAGCTGTATTTATCAAGTATCTATTTATCTGTAAAACCTTCGAATATCTGATATAGAAGGCGTTATCGAAGATATAGGATTCTGAAGCTTTTTCTTTTCAATGGGGGTAACAACAACACGTATGTTTGGAGTATAAGATCGACTGTCGTCTTCACTACCTTCATCTAGAACGGGTAAAGAATTGACCGAGTACAAATTTATCGATCTCCTCCTGTCACTCTTCGATTGCAAACTAGCGTCTAATTGACCCAATTTCGATAAGAGCTCTTCATAGTTTTGATTGGGACAGGCGGACCGGATTAGGGGATTGGCGGTATTTGGAAGTTTAGGAGTGTTTCTACTACTTTTAGGACGAAGATTTTTTCTAGCAGATGGGTGGGATTTATAAAAGCGTTTGATTTTTGGGTTGTGATCACCTTTCTTCCTTTTATTTTGGCTAGCATTCAAAAGTGTAAATTAAAAATATATTTAATATTTAATGTATTTCAGCAAGGCCAATTTTCGGTTCGTTGATGTATGAATATCAAACAATAAAATTTTCAATCAAGTCGGTGAAAAAGCCGATCGAAGGAAAAAAAAAAGAAAATTGATAACAATTATTATGATAAACCCCAAACAACTAGATTATATGAAAGCATCACGTGATTGTAAAAAAAAACTTACGAATTTTTAAATATTTCCAATAAACTATAGTAAATTTTTGACTTTTTTATCAGCCAATACACATGATACTTCAATAACTCATAAAAGTATAAAATGTAAAACTTTAAAAACAAACAGAGGAATTAGAGGAAAGACACAAGATTTCCAAATTTTTTATCTTTTTTTTTTGTTCTCTTTGAAATAACAAGGAGTAAATTTTACACAGCGTTTATAGTCACCATTTTTTGTGAATGTGATGATTTAGGCGAGGCAATTTAAATCTGACTCTAGAACTATACATATAGATATATGAAATTCTCTACAAGCCAAGAGTGAAAATCGAAAAATATCTTACCTTTCTCTATCCGATTTCATCTCTGGAGAGAAGCTGTTTAAACGAAACCAGATTTTTAATTACTGAAATTTTTTGTTCAATTAACGAAAGCGTTTTAAATAGAGCCAGTCAACTTTTTCAAACTGAGTGTTCAATAAAATTTCAGCTTATACCGATAGATAGCGCTACTACAATTTTATTAGTACTTAAGATAATCTATACCTGTTATTTTGAATGCTGTCCCTATCGAAAAATTGTTCCGGATTTATTGTTACTTCTATTTTACTTTTATTTCTTGCAAATAAGTATCCCGGACAGACAACAGAGGGCGTCATAGACGGCTATAAGTAGAAACGACAATTAAATAGTATATTAATACAGTTGATATTTCATACCTCCTGAGTCCTCCAAACATTCTTTTTTGACTTCCTTATACCAAGGTGATTTTCAAACTTGTGACATCGTGTCGGCTCCTGTTGCACTTGTCTTACCCTTTCACAACTGAGAAAATAAATAACTGTTATAATGTTATTTCGCAAATATTTTCTCGAATGAATGATCAAATTTTACTATGAAACTGCGAGTTCAATAATAGAAAAATAGCAGAAAAGATTTTATGATTCTAAATTTCTTATTGAAAAAATAAAATTAATTTTTCACAGCACACTCCAAAAAAAATCATTGTTAAAGATAAAGCATAAAAGTATTTCACTTTTCGCTCGGCAATTAAAAACTTACTCCGCTCTAGAGACGCCTATAACGGTACTAGGCCTATTTGCATTCGAAATGGCACTTTTAACGAATGCTCTTTGAGGCGAGGACCTGCGAATAAAGGAGTAAAAAAATTCAAATCAATAATTGGCGAAACATTTGCTGCTCTTGAAAAAAAAAACCCGGATTAGCTGTTATAATAAAAAGAGCTTGTTGAGTATGATATTATTCATTGAAATAGTTTTAATAATCCGAAATATGTTAAGTTTTAATATGGGAGAGAATCTAATTAAAAATTCAGCCTATGAATACATTCAAAATATATAAATATATAAATATTTAATCTTCCTTTGTGGAGTGAGAATAGTCGAACTTGTTTGGAAAGAAGATAATAATGAATATGGTAATTAAATTTAAAGCGAAAAAACTAATCGACGTTAATTAACAGTCTTACAGAAATCAATATTTCTATTTTAAGAAATATGGGTGCTCAACAAACGGTGTATATTAGAAATCGTTAAAGATCTTTCAGTGCACAGTTTGTATTACTTTATATTGATGTATTTCGGAATTGTCACGAAAATTGTTTTCACAATGACGTCATTCTTTAATGTAAATACTAATTAAATCGTTGGAATAGAAAATAAAGGCGAAATATAAATCTTCGGAATGAAAAATATATCACGTGACCTTGCGAAATACCTCAATTCAGTGGTAATTTTCAACTCTTATAAAGCCTACCTTTTAGCATTGGGTTGGGTTCTGTTTATATGCATATCAATATTACACACACATTTATATGGATAATTATATAACTATATATTTAGAATGAATAAATTTGAAAATTATATATTGACAAGTGTTAAGGTTTAGTTGATAAATTATCTAATTGCTTACCTTGGTCTTTGCATCTCTTGGGCATGACCAAAATCGTTTTTGTGACTAACTATCAAAGGACCTCTTACGGCGGACTCCATCTACAAATCCATATCATTTTGTTAAAACAAATCGATTTAAAGCTTTGTAATAGCCGTTAATCGTACCTGTCAAACAAATCACTTCCAATATCGATACAAATCGATTATAATTTCTTACGGAAGGTTTCGTTCTTTTTTTAAGAACTTTTCCCAGAATCTTGTTAAAATCATACAAACTAAAAGATGATGAACTCGGTCAATAGCGGAGAAGAGACTCGTTAAATCCTTAACTTGAAAATGCTAATTGATTTCGGATTAAGGCAGTAGTGTTTACTTTGAGGAATTTAAACTAGGATTATTTGTATCAGCCGCCATTTTGTTTCTAAGCGCGTTAACTTATTAACCGATAGGTGGGGTTAAGCTTTTGGCGGCAATAGATAAACTATTATCTAATAAAATTGGCATATTAACCATTTCCAATCACTCTATTCCAAATATACGTTCACTTATCATTAATAGATTGCAACAGAAGACTTATCACGTAGCAACGTGCGCTATCGTGCTTTCTTATTTATTACATTATCAAAACTTGTGCAAAATTATCAGGTTAATTAGATAAAAATTATTCAATAGTATATTTAAAGAAGGAATAAATATGACAGCTATAAAACAAAAAATTACATATTTCAGACTCTTCGTACTATCGTTTCACAAGGTTTCTACTCTTTTTGATAGAGTTTACTCATGTCGTCATAGGGAATATCGAGTGTTCTTCCAAGATGAAGTCCCGATGATATTAAAACAGTACAATTTTCCCTACTTTCGTTCAATTTTTTCAAAACAGCTTCAGATCCGCGATAAGCTCCGTTCACTATCATAACTTTTTTTCCTTTAGTTTAAGAATATAAATTCAATTATTGAATTAAATATTATGTAATAGCCTACCGATCGCTGGGATTACTGTTTCTAAATGACTTTGATCACATTTAATCTTAGTTTTGTCTTCAATTAGTTTGAGGTATGCGGTGAAATCATTTTCAACTTTCTGTAAAAGTGAAACATTAAGTTATTAACTACTTATGAATAAAGTCTTTAAAGAGAGACTTAAAACGTATAATAAGGATTAAAAACCTTAATGGTCTTACCGTAATAATTCCTTTCTTTCCATTATACTGAGCTCCTAATTTCTTTGTGATAATTTTAACAACAATGTTTTCGTGTAACCAGTTTTCTTTTCGATTCTGCTTTTCTTTCCTCGTTTCTTCTTGCTCCATAATTTCATCTAAAGCTGTTTTCTTTTTCTCCATTAATTTCATCCCTAACTTGGGCTTTTCGTCAATTTTCAAAAATAAAGGAGCAACTACGATGGGTTTTTTTTCTTCTGTTGTTACTGCGGCAGATAGTTCCACTTTGATTTTTTCCTCGCTATCTCTAACCAATTCAGTAGGTTGAATTTCTTCCTTCGGAGGTGCTCTTTCTGCACCTCTCTTTATTTGTTCTTCAATCATTTTTGCTTGTATTTCATCATCATCCATATCCATTTTTTTTCTGGCAGCCTTTTTCCTTTCTCTCTCTAGGAAATCTGGATCTCTATTAATATAGGTAATAAACCATCCCTTTTCCGTTTGGTCCACTTTACAAATGCCTTCTCTACCCAAAAAATTTACAAAACCAGTCAGGGTGCACCATCTAGTGGAATTCATGTGAACGTGATTTCTATCTGAGATATATTCTTGGTATACTTTATTTGCGGCAACCCTTTTTTCACCATGTCTACGAAGTAGTTGCATAAAATCTCTGAAAAATTCTCTACAAAAGAAAAACCATATGAAATTTATTTATAGATAATGGAATATAATATTTACCGAGAGAAGTCAGCAATATGTCTTCCTGGATTTTCAGCGAATAGTAAGAGTTGACGTTGATGAGATTCTGATGTTAAATGGCATTTGAAACCATTCTGAGAAAAAAGAAACGCTAGTAAATTAATTCAAAAAATATACCTCAATGACTTACTTCATCTCTACATTGTTTCTGACACATCTGACAATACCATCTTAGTTTTTGAAGTCCTTTTGCTTTAATACGATTACTTATAGCTTTAGGAGTTAAAAATCCTGGTTTCTCTTTTCCCATTTTGACTTAAAAATGAAAAAAACGTAATTATTACGTTTACACACACAAAAGAAACTGGTAAAAGTTTTAGCAGACAACCACCTATTCTTGAATGTTTTTCCAATTTTCGAATTATAAAAACAATTTCGTAATAATGTCATGAGGCTATTAAATTTTTAATAGTATAGCGTAACAGGATTCAACCTTAAAAAAATTATGCCGAGTTAAATACTACATACAACAAAAGAATATTTTAAACGAAAGATTTTCGAACCTTAAGAATGACTTTACCTCTTCAACTTTAAAAACTACAAAGACACAGTAGTGAAAACTTTGAAAACGATTCTCTGGAAGCTCTACGCTTTCCTTCGTAAGAAATTTTATCATCAATAATAAAAGGTAAAGTATATTTTATCACACGGTCATTGACCATATCTAATTTGGCCTAGTAAGCGAAATAAAAAAAAACAAAATCTTCACTACGCGGAATGTATGTTTTATAAAAATACAATTTCTACAAAAGTAATATAGCGCAGATGATGAAAGAAATATTTTTCGATATCAACTTGACACTTAATCTAATTAAAACTGAGAATTTTCCCTTTCTATAAGAGAACATATTGGAAACTTAATATTGATTTAAAAATTCCATAGATATAACAGATTACTGTATTTCATTAAAAAAGTTACCCTAACAAATTTAAAATAGTAAAAAGTTGAGATGATTAATGAAAAGATTACTACAACAAGAGTTTACTTCTTAGTTTTTTATTATGAACCAAATAAAACAACATTTGAAAAGTTAACCTTTCAAGAGAATATCACGGAAGAAACGACGTAGAGTTTCATTCCTTCCATTATAAAGAATTCTATAATGGATCCTATTTATTATGGTACAAAATGTTCTCTACAATGATAGAATAGTATAAAATTTTACTATAAAAAAAAAAAAGAAAGATTACAATACTAGTAACGGCTTAATCAAAAAATTTTCATGATCATAGTCAGTCAGATTAGGCTTTATCTTATACTTGAAATTGATTAACCTTGATATAACATTATTATTATAAAGATGGAAAAAAAAGACTTGTACTGTGTGTCTAAAAAAGGATAAAAAAGTTAAATTACACTCGTGTTGACCTAAAAAAAGTAAGACTTTTTTCGTGGCATTCAGCAGTGAACATTCTTTAAGTTAGAGAAAGACAAAACAAGGCACTTCTCTTGACAGTGAGTTCAACCTTTAGCATTTGTTAATACAAAGTGTTAAGGCGTAGTTATCTGACTCTCTGATCCATGATCTCGGCTAGAAAGGCCTACATTAGCTAAACAACTATCTAGGTCACTTAGTTTGGCAGAGATATAAAAGCAAAAAGCATCCCTCGTAAGCTCTTTTTCGTACCAGCCTACACGCGGGAAAGAGGACTTTATACTATTGATAATTATTGCGAAAGTGTTCAAAACAGTAATTAACAAAACAAGCGTTATCAGAGGAATCTTAGATTAGATAAAGAAATGACATAAAAGATGACGAATGGGGCTGAAAAGCTTTTTGACGGTTCGAACGACAGTTCGCATATCGATGAAAGCAGAATATTTTAAAAAGATTCGTTATTATTTCGTATTTGCAGTGCCTTTAATAGATTAAAAATATAGGTGATGATCCTCCGTTTCTTTTTATTCGGATTGTCTTTCCATTGGTGCTATTCAAAAGTCGTACTCAATGAACTATCAACTGTATACGTACCATTTGACTATGATCCGGAACCTAAGTATAAAATGTTTGCTGAAGCCTCGGAGCAGATTACCTACGATCCTCAATCTAAACTTGCCTATACAATAGGCGGATCAGGATACCTGCATGTAGTAGATGTTTCAGAACCCAGCGAAGCTAAAATCATCTCCTATGAAAAAATTGAAGGTGTTCCAAATGATATTGATACTTGTGGCGGTTATGTTGCCGCAACTGTTAGACATATCTTTCAGCCTCTTCCCGGAAAAGTAGTTTTGTTTGAAGGCTATTCAAGAGAGAGAAAAAGTATGAGGAGAATAAGAGATATATCAGTTGGCAATTCACCCGCAAGTATGATCACCTTTACTAAAGATTGCCGAAAGATTCTTGTCGCCAACGAAGGCGAAGCAGGAAAAGACGAAATGGGTAAATTCTTTGACCCAGAAGGTGGCGTTAGCGTTATAAGTTTTTCGACCTCTAATCTTGGTAAGGAAGAACCGTTAGTGAAGCACGCAGACTTTACCAAGTTTAATAAAAAGGCGAAAGAATATGTTAAAAAAGGTGTCCGATGGGTTTACAAGGGGGAGAGAACAGGCAAGAACACAAAATTCTCACAAGATATTGAACCAGAATATTTAGCTCTAAGCGCAGATGAGAAGCTAGCTTACGTAGTCCTTCAAGAGAACAATGCTATGGCCGTTTTAGATGTAGAAAAAGTTGAATTTATTGAACTATATCCTCTAGGATTTAAATATTGGCCAAACTACGGAGGTTTCGACGCCTCCGACAAGGACAAAGGTATACACATTGAACCCTGGCCGGTTTATGGTATGTTCCAACCAGATGCCGTCAAAATGTTTATTCATAATAATGTTACCTACCTTGTAACGGCGAATGAAGGCGATAAAAAGATATACACAAAAGAAGAGCATGGTTTAGCTTGGTCCGAAACTACCAGAGGTGCCACTCTGGCTCATGGAAACCTTCTCTCAGAATCGATGCCATACGAGTTGGTTGAAGCTCTATACGACCCCACAAAATTGGGTCGTTTAAGAGTAAGTCTTGTTGACGGAAGAGAAAAAAAACTAAAATATAAGAAACTTTTTGCCTATGGTGGACGAAGTTTTACCATATGGTCTACCAATGGTATAGAAATGGTCTATGATAGCGGTAGTGATATTGAAAGGAAACATGCCCTCCAGATGCCATTGTTGTTCAATAGTCATGTAGAGAATGGAAATCATTTACCAACAGAAGATGCTGACTACAGATCAGATGATCATGGACCTGAAGTCGAAATTGTTGAGACAGGAGTTATCGATGGTACAACTTATATATTCGTTGGAAATCAAAGAGTTTCAACGCTTATTATATACTCCCTGCCAAATGATAAAATTGAACCTACATTTGAGGGTTTGCACAGAGGAGGAGACACTGACGCAAGTTGGAATCAATTATTTAAAGAGAGGAGAATAGGAGATACAGATTTACAAGATTTAAGGTAAAAACAATATTATCATTTTCAAACAAACTTCAATTAAACTTCTTTCTTTAACAAAATCAGATTTGTAAGCGCTGAAAAGAGTCCAAACGGCAAACCAATGCTATTAGTGAGTGGCAGTTTAAGTGGTACTTTGGCAGTCTACGAAATCCAAGTCGAATAGAATTGTAGAATATAAATACAAAGATTCTTTCTCAGGTCTCAATCAAATTTCCCGCAAAAAACAATTTTAAAGAACAATTAATTTTACTGAATAATATTGACTTTTTCAATTATCTTACAATTGGCATTTTTTATAAATAGTATATAGTATATGTTTATTTATATATTTATATACAGCATATAAACGCTGTATTTAGATATAGAGTTTTTGTTACTGAAAATAATGAACTGAACCCAAAAGAAATTAGGAATGTAAAAAATAAAGAAATATAAGTATTAAACTAATAAATGATGAAACAATTGTTATAGCATTTTTTTCTTTAGTCAACAAGCAAAGAGAATAAAACACTTCCAAGTTGATCATTTCGGTTGTGTTTGATGTTTTTTGCATAGGTTCTGTTGTTTTCGTAACAAAATTAGCATTATGTTTCTATATTTTTATTAATATTACTTACCGGCATATGACATTGATTACCATTCCGTTTGTTATGTTTTCAAATTTTACCATAACTATTGGGGCCCTATAACCTTCTTGGTTTAAATAAGGATAATATTTGAGAGGGAAACCTTCCGGGGGTAAATATGTTACATTTCCAATATTTTCCTTATCGAGTGGCCCCTCTCCTTCGCAATAAACTGGCATATGATCTGGTCTGAACCTTTCTCTTATAGGTTCCGGAACTTCGTTAGCTGATTTGTGCTCTTGGGGAATCCATCCATATATTTTATTCAACTTTAGAACGAAGCAAGGTTTTCCTTCATCGAATCCGTAATCGTTTTGCCAGGTACAGTCATTTCCCAGCAAATCAAGATTAAAATAACAAACTTTACCTGGTGGAGGTGGCCCGTCTTGACATTCGTGTACGTTTTCACTGTTTTGATTGGGCTTTTCATATTCTAAATAAAAATTATAGTTAAATAACAATTTGAGAAAAATTATACAACTTACGATCTAAAAATGCTTGAACAGAGTCGGTATGAGGCTTATAGGTACCAGGTTTACCTTGAATAAATCTAACAAGGGAACTTTCATGATCCATTAAAGGCCTATACCCCATACCTGGTGATTCCCGCAAAGCACTACTTTGATTCTGTAAACGTGGATAAATTTCATCGATTGTAACTGAGAATAATCCAAGACAAATGATAAATATTGCTATCATTCCCGAATACAGAACGAAATGGTAAGCAATTATATTAAACCAGCTCTGTAAGTTGCGTCCGCAGAATTCTTTTTTTGATGAGTTGTAGAAAAAAGTTTTCATTTGCTCCCATTTTAATTCGTTCCTTTGTCTCCTACCTAATTCTCTATTTACAGCTTGTTCATAAGGTACCGGAGTCGTCATTTTCGATTTTACACCTGAACAGTAATATAGGTGCTTATCTCTTATCGTTATACCTTCGCTACAGCGTTGAGTCATATCAAATTGGCGCATTTATTTAATCTTTCAAATTTCTACTTTTTTGTACCGCACTATACGTAAAAGAAAAAGAAATACAATTTTATTACACATCCTTTACTTGGCTGTATTTTTCTAAACAGTCTAGAATTCAATTGTTTCTAATCAGTGTTAATTTTAATTAACAACACCCTGAACATTTTCAGGTTGTGCATTCTTAGTATGGGGCCACATTGTTGGTTTTTGTGGGTTTGGTACTCTATCTGGGAAGTAGTCAGCGAAAACTTCATCAGTCATCTTTTCCAAAGGTGGAACCATATCAATTTTGCTCAAAACTCCGTTAGCCTCTTCAATATGCTGTTGACATTGTTTGACAAACTCAGCGGTTTGCTTGGCAGCTTCTTGCACTTCTTGATCAATCTTTCCTACAACGTTGTCCTTGTCTTGAGGGTAAGGAACTTTGAAAGCGTCATACTAGATTAAAAAAGATCGTTATATAGTGAAAAATATTTATTAATATTCCTTGAAAAAATCTTACTTCTTTCTGCAATTTATCAACTAGGCCTGGAGTGGCGACAGCACTTTTATAATGATCCCAATTTATTTTAGGAGCCTCAGCCGACAATCGATTTACCCTGAAGAGTCATATATTAAAAAGTTTTTCTAAAATTAAAGTGATATTTACTTTGTAACAAAACTATCGCTTCTGCCTTTGAAAGCTCTAAAGAGTTCTGTCTGGTTTTTGGGTACACGTTCAGCAAACGCGACCCAATCTATGGCTGATTTCGCAATTCTACGCGATGCCATTTCTTGTTCTATGATACAAAATGGCGGTCCACAAGGTCGGTGAAGGTCAACTCCATTTTCGTATTTTAAGACTGCCTAACTATGGGACGAGAAATTGTACTTTTTTATGTTTTAATTTCCAGCTTATTTCACTGAATATTATTAGTTTTTTGTCTTCATCTTAAATCGTATTATTGAAAGTCAAGTTTTGAAATATTCCAAAAAATAAAAAATTTCTTATAGATATACAAAGGAAGGTTTTAAATCTATTCCATAAAAGTGGAAAAAGAATAAGGAAATAATTTTCCCGAGGTGAATACAATAAAAATTATCAGTTTATTTGTAAATAGCATACACTTGTCACATGAAATTATGAAATTAATCCGAACACAAACATTGAAATATTAGAAAAAACTTTTTTTTTCAGTTATCGAAATAAAAACATTAAAGATAATTTTCTTTAATGATTTTAATAAATAGCGTTCTCATTTTAAACATTTGTAAAATATACTATATATTTACTATCTTTAACTCATGTTTAGCTTAGATCAGTTTCAAAAAAATACAGTGTCTTGGAAGGGATACCAGACTTTATTGCGTATATTAAGCTCTTTAGTTGCAGCCATTCTTTGTAAAATTTAGTTAGACCAGCAGTCTTGCGCGTCAACAGTCGATGAAAGTCAGAAAACTACCCTTTAGAGGTCTATAAGTTATAAATACGATTTACATCATTATCAGTAATAAAATACAGGGAAAAAACCAGGTAAAGTAATCGTTTAAAATTGTATTTAAAAGAAATCAATCTATGTCTAGGATATTTTCATATGAGAGCAGTACCTTGATCAATGTTCACTTTTCATCCAATTTTTTTATGTTCCTAAAAATTAGATGTATCTTTGCAAGGTTAAATTATTAATATGGTCTAAACAGAAAAATGTCTGAAAACGCGGATGTTACATCGAAAGAGCAGAGCCAAGCATGGATGACTGCCAGGCTTTCTCTATCGCAAATTAAACCTAAAGAGGACACTCAATCACCACAAGCTTCCAAACCTCCCGTTGGTCACCCTTATGTGCAAAACATAATGCAGTATGGACCACCACCAGGTTATGGAGCTCCCCCTCAAAGGTTGATATCAATTTTATACTAAGATAATTTCTCAATGTTGACTTTCGTAGAATGGATTACAATTCTTATTCGGAATACAATAATCCTGGAATGTTAAGGCGTGCACCTCCTCCCAGATTATCACCCAATCAGAGATTACGCGCCTTTGGAAACGGACCCAATATGAACATGAATCATCAAATGATGATGAGGCCTCCACCCCTTCAAGCCCAAAATAAAATGCCCAGAGGTATGTCCAATCTACAAAGCTATATTTCCGGTTTTACAAATTTAATTATTTTATGTTTTAGGAACAATTCGGTTCAATTTACAATTTCAAACCCAACAACGACCGACTCAACAACCATCAACAAGCATAAGTCAGCCAAATAACTCAGAAGTTATTAGTTCAAATGCATTTACACAAAACACACATTCACACATTTCACAACCACCACCAACATACAAATCTTTCTCACTGCCTCGACAAGTTCCTCCAGGTCGTCCTCAAATTCCATCGCCTTTTAATAATCCAAACATGAATGGGAATTGTCTAGCCCCTTCGAATAATACTAATTTCAGTGGGACTAATAAACCAATAGCAAAGACACCAACCGAAACTGAAAACAACACCGAAAAGTGAGTTATTTGATTGAATACTTTCCAATAAGTTTAAATTATCTTCTTGCTTGTAGGAAAACAAATAAGGAAGACTGGCCACCTGCTTTAAAGCAATGGGTAAATAGAGTATTTAAGAGTTCGAAAAATGAAGAAGAAAAGGACGTTTTGCAACAAAAGCTAAAAGAATATCTCCAAAACATAATGGCAACCAGCAGCATACACAGCATAAACTGGAACAATGTGCCATTACTTAAGTAAGAATTTGATATATATTATCAAATGTCGCATTATAACTAATAAATACTTTCAGGATTGACTCGGAACGTCATAGTCCAACAAAGCCCAAGGAAAGGATAATACCATTTAGGTCGAGGAGGAAACGATCATCAAGTTTTGATTCTGATAGTAGTATTGAAGAGACGCCAAAAAAGAAACTTGTATCTTCTGTAACAACCAAAAAAGGAAATAAAAAGAAAAATAAAAAAAATAAGCAAGTACAACGGTTTACAATAGAGCAAGATACACAAAAATTACAGAGTAGAGCCGACCGATTTCGGAAAGATTTTTTCCGTGGGGACGAAATTTCAACTGTAACAGCCCTTGGTTTGAACAGTACATTAGATAGGGAGGAATCAGGTGATTTAGACTGGGGATCTATGACAATTGAAGGAACTGCCTCAAATCTTGAGAAACCGTACTTAAGATTAACGGCCGCCCCTGATCCTAGTACGGTAAGGCCTCAGCGTATTCTTGAAAAGGCTTTACAGCATGTAAAAAGGAAATGGAAGAGTGATGAAAATTATTATTATGTATGTGAGCAATTGAAGAGTATTAGGCAAGATTTAACAGTACAGTGTATACGTAACGAATTTACGGTAGAGGTTTATGAAACTCACGCTCGAATTGCGATGGAAAAAAGCGATCACGAAGAGTTTAATCAATGTCAGACACAATTGAAATTATTATACAATGAAGGTTTAAGGGGTCAGGAAGCCGAATTCACTGCATATCGTATTCTCTACTATATTTTTACTAGGAACACACTGGGTAAGGCAGAGAAAAGCAAGAACTTTCTAAAAGTTTTATTTAACTTGATTTGTTTTTATTTTTATCATAGATATGTGCACAGCTCTAGCTAGATTACCTGAAGAGTTGAAGCACGATAAATGCGTTTTACACGCTTTAGCGATACGTTCGGCGTGGTCGTTGTCACATTACCAAAAATTTTTTAAATTATATTCGAAATCACCGAAAATGAGCGGTTATTTGATTGATTGGTTCGTGGATAGGGAGCGTAAAGCGGCCCTAAAGATCATGTTAAAGTCGTATGTATTAAAAGCGCGTTTATTTTTAAAAAAAAAAATTTTTACTTGTTTTATACGAGTGTATACTTGTAATATAGTATACAAATTCAAGGAATTTTATACAGGTAAGTATAGAACATACGCTACAAAAGTTAAGAAAAACTTCCAAAATTGCGACTTATTAGTTCAACTGTAATGTTTTACTAGGCGTTACATTGTTTATTACTATTGTCCAGATATCTACCGTCCCTTCCAGTTGAGTTAATTGGTAAAAATTTGGCGTTTACGAATGAGGAAGGAATGAGGACTTTTCTAACATCGATGAACGTCAAATATTTGGATGTGGATCGAGTGAAAGTTGATACAAGGGCGTCGTTAGCCTCTTTGTTATGAGTTTTGAGAGAAAAAAAATTATATATCTGCCCAAAAATTTATTTCATCATTTACCAATAAGTTTAAGGGAGCTAAGAACGTGTGTTAATCGATAAAAGAAAGACATTCATACTTAATTATTTTTCGATATGCAGGTAATTATCGAAATCTTGATTGGTATTTTCTCAGTAGTTGAGATGTATTTATAAATTTGTTCTTTTTTATTTGTTATTAATATTACATAAAAAAAATTCTTTATATTCGAATAATAGAATATAAAATAAACATCTCTCCTTATAAATTTATTCAAATGTTCTTTTATCCATCTTAATTATTCCTTAACATTCTTTGCACTCGGAAAAACACAGAATAAAATTTATATTAAAGAAATAAATCTTCTTCTATTTAGTAAACTAAATTCAGACAAATATTTGCAAATTTTTCTTCAATCTTGCTATGCATATTTATACTTTATTTGGGCTGTTATTATCCACTTTGAATCACTAGGAGTGTTGTTCTAAAAGTATTCATTGGATTTTTTATGTTCTATGTTGAAATGAACTATGAATCGAAACGAGGCCAGGTTTGAAGGTCAATGCCAACTTCATTTCTACTTTTCCACCTTTCGCCATCGCTAAAACAGTGTTTGGTGAAAAATGCAAACTGTTCATAAATTGTTGAATAGACGATTGGCTGTGTCATTTAAGGCGTATGGTGCATGTGGATTTTCAACGACAGTCAACTATGCCCAAGGTAATTACAACTATGAGTTCAAATGGTCTTGAATGTATACAACATATAAGCATTCTTACCCCTCTTCTCTCTCCTAAAGAGTTTGCAACTCTTACAATATAGATTGTAAAAACTGATGTTTTTGTTTCCTTTTCAGAAGCGAAAAATGAAATTCCTTCTGTTAGACCACCGAATATCGATGAATTATATGATATTAGTGAGAAATTTGGTTTGAATATTCCCTATGAAGAATTATCGACTTATAAAGGTCTCTATTGTTTGGTATTTTAATATAGCTGATAGCAATTGTTACCATTTTATTAGATTGTATGAAAGGGATGTTGGAAAGTTTTGACCGGGTTGATAAATTTCCCGAAATTAATCCTCCTGTAAAATATCCTAGAACTGGCGCATATCGACCAAGCGCGGAAGAAAATGATCATAATGCATGGTAACTTTCACATGAATGTATTTTAAGATATGTAAATTTAATTATACAAAGGTACGTTAAGTGCGATATCAAAGGGGCGAAAGGAGGACCCTTAGAAGGGAAAACAATTGCCGTAAAAGATAATATTGCAGTAGCTGGCTTACCAATGATGAATGGAGCAAGGATGTTGGAAGGTTATGTACCCGAATACGACGCAACCGTAGTTAATCGTGTATTAGACGCTGGTGGTCGTATTTTAGGAAAATCTGCCTGCGAATACTTATGTATGAGTGGTAATAGTCATACATGCGCTTCAGGACCAATTTTGAATCCGCATAATCGGGATAGAAGTGCCGGTGGATCTAGTGGAGGATCTGCCGTACTTGTTTCTCTAAAAGAAGTAGATATGGCTATTGGGGGAGATCAAGGAGGATCGATTCGTCTACCCTCTTGCTGGAGTGGGTGTATAGGTCTTAAACCTACGTTTGGATTAGTTCCCTACACTGGAGCATTCCCAATAGCTAAATATGTTGATCATTTGGGACCAATGGCAAGTACTGTTGAAGAAGTAGCCTTACTATTAGAAGTTTTAGCCGGCAGCGACGGTATGGATTGCAGACAACCATCTGAAATAAGTAAAGTCAAATATACCAAAGAATTAAAGAAAGGTTTTGCTGATCTAAAAGTTGGTATAATGAAAGAAGGTTTTGAAGAGTGTGAAGAAGACGTGGAGGAAATTGTTAAGAGCGCAGCATTCAATTTAAAAAATATGGGCCTAAATGTGTCGGAAGTTTCTGTTCCTCTGCACAAATCAGGAGGTGATATATGGAGTTCTGTAGGTGTACCCGGTGTTTATCATCAGCTATTACATAATGCTGGTAAGAGTTTAATATTAATTTAAAAGTTTTGGAAAATAATCGTTAAAACTTATCCCTGATTGTTTTATAGGAATAACGACGGGATCATTTGGCCACCAGCCGACCACGATGCACGATTATGTCGCGAAGAGAATGAAAACTAACGGTGGCGATTTGTCCCCAACTGTTAAACTGTTTTGGCTATTTGGCGAACATATGAAGGTAGTGACTTAGTTATTTATTAAACTGAGATTAATAGATTAATACTCTTACCGCAGAGAAACTACGAGCTACATCATTTTTGTAAAGGTAGCAACATTGTACCCCACTTGAAAAAAGCTTATAATGATGCCCTTTCGAAATATGATATTCTCATTACTCCAACAATTAAGTACAAAGCCCCTCTATTGCCAACGCAATCTGCATCAACTGAGCGTAATTTTGCCTCTTTTTTTATCCTATCTTGTATAGATATTACATTACTCTCTCTTTTCTAGATGTTATAAAAGAAAGCTTAGGAATGATTGCCAATACAACGCCTTTCAACATTACTTGGCATCCGGCGTTATCTATAAACGTTGGCTTTTCTGAAAATCTTCCTATCGGTATGCAAATTATTGGTAGACATTTTGAAGAGGCGACTGTTCTTAGAGCCGCTCTGGCTGTTGAGCAAATGATAAAGAATTGAAGAAATTAATAATACTCTAGAGTTAAGAGAACAACTAAGAATAATTTGCTAAAGTCCATATTTTAATCTCTTTCTGACAATCTAATAAAACAAAGTAAAAACCAATGCTTGTTTATCAAATAAACTTGACAAAGGAAAACTACTAACACTACTGATATTACTATTATTATGGTTTCACTAATTAGAACACTCCTTTTACACGACTATGTAAATCTATGATGAAAATGCTAGAAAAAAAAACAAGTTATCTATAATTTGTCGAATGATGAGTGGTTATACTCTGCGTGTAGTGAATGATTGTCTAATTCAAGTATATCTAATAAAAGAATTTACTTGCTAAATTATCTTGTTTAATCAATTTATCCCATTAGTTTGGTATTAGCAATTCCAATATAATCATATTCGATTAAAAATAGGATTATATGTTAATATGTTATTTCTCTTTGCTGAAAGTAAGTCGACTTTTGTTCCCCTCAACTTTCTCTTCAATTATAGGAAAGAGTGATATTTTGCACGGTTTTTAGTTAAATTTTTTTATTTGAAAACGATGAAAGAACGATTCAATTGCAAACAACAATAAAAAATTCTTGTACATATGTATAATAATATTGTATAGAGAAATGAACAAAGGAGATACTACGAGTCCAACTGATGATATCTAGCATACATTGCTTTTTTAACGGTATCCCGATAGCTATCGCCAGGCTCAACACTTACAGCGGCACCTCTTGCTCCTAATCCTGCCTGAGATTGACGCATTTCTGCTTTGATGGGGGTTTGTATGCCTTGGCCTTTCCTTCCAAGTCCGCGTCCCTCTGACCAACCCATTTTCTGAAGTAGTTTGGACCCGATGTTGTCGTTATTTATGCCATCCGCTGTTGGCTGCTCGTAAGGCACGCTTGTACTTTCAGGTTCAAAACGTTCAAATCTACCTCCACGATTAGGTTTAGGAGGTTCAGGCTGTCCATACTTCTGCCTACGTTCTGCAGCTCTATCTCTATATTTTGGGGCGGAATTTCTTAATCTCCACTCTTCCAGATTCTTTTTATGCAAATCGGAAATAGCATTATGCTTCTGAAGAATTTCTTTCGAGTTGAATTGTCGTTTACATAATAGACATGCTAATTTGCTCCAATCTGTCAACTGCTCTTCTTTACAAGCAGTCAGTTCGCCTTGTTCGTCGCCACTATCACTGTCTCCACCGTATTGGGCAACAAGATTCGTGTTTGATGGAGTAGAAGATGATCCATTTGGAGAAGCAACCTGCGTTTCTTCCTCACTCACAACCTTATCTAGGAAGCTGGCACCAATGTCAGACGTTGCAGATTCTAAACGATTTGTGCTAGCTGCGTGAGCTTTAGCTTCTTTTTCAGCATCTTTTGTCTGATTCATTTTTTTAGCCCATTTCTCCATATCTTTTGCTATTTTATTAGCTACTTTGACTTTTTCTTTTTTAGTGTTATTCTGTTTAGGTATTTGTGATGAGGATTGTGAAGCTGATGATGCTGGCAAGTAAGTCATTCTGGTTGCGTCCCAATAAAGCCATGCTTGTGTGTAAGAGTTGAAGTAGTATTGAGAATTACTGTCGTAGTAGAGGCCAGTAGCTGGATCATAATAGTAACCTGACTTTTCATCGTAAGTATAGGTTGAGATATCAGGTATAGAATAAGATGTCAGGCCATCACCAGTGGGTGGACTTACATAACTTTCTGATTTCTGTTCCGTCACTTTTTCAAGCTTCGTTCGCCTATCCAGTTTGGCTTGCTGGGCTTGCTGTATTGCAGCCTGTGCAACAGCTGCAGCTGCATTTGTACTTTTCCCCTCCTCTTGCATTTTAAAGTACGTAGCATAATCGTAAGTTTGTCCGGAACGATGGTCAGTGAATAAACCGGTTGATCTGTCGTACGTCACATCTAATTTCCTTGAGCTACAAACTGCTGCCGCTGATGGAAACGACACAGATGTTCTATTCAGTGTGGCCATGGTGGTACTGAAAGTATTCTTAGCAAAGTGAGCCATAACTACTTTACCATCAATCTCAAGTGGCTTATCTCTCAAATATTCTAACATTGCCTTGGATTCTGCAACAGAGGATAATTCTACAAATGCAAAACCTTTAGACACAGATGTTAATGTGTCCCTGATAACAGAAACGTTTGCAATTTGACATGCAGCAACTTCATGTAAAGCATCGCATAATTTTTCTTCTGTAGTAAGAGCGTCTAAACCTCGGAAAAGTAAAGTGTTACAAGGATTGACGCCCATTTGATCATAACCATCACCACCATCGCGCAATCTATCGCTTTCTTCTCGCGATATATTGCAACGAAAGCAAAAATCTCGTTTTTTGAAGTTATGTACTCCACACTGAAACGCAGAAAGATTTGTTAAATTAAAGGCCTTTCCGGCTTATCAAAAATTATCACCTTAAAGCATGACCAATCTGTTCTTATATCACTTGGAACACAATCTGGCGGTCGAACAGATTCTCTCGGTGCCGAAAAATGCATCGATACTTCATAATCTTCAAGCCATAAAACTCCCTGTTAGAAGAAAAATTTCTTAAAACTAATGTTTTCAGATAAGATATGAGCACTCATGAGCTGTTGAAGGTTGTCAACCTGTTGTGTTTCCATCCAAGCTTGAGCTTCCTCATTACAGTCAAACTCAACGAAGGCGAAACCCCGTGACGCACCTGTTACATAGCCACCGCGATATGTTTAAATTTGTCTGATATTTTCACTCGATGATTTTGCTTTCGACGATCATTACTTACCGTATTTATTTGACTAATTTTTACAGTTATGTGTAATGCGTAATACAATTTTACATAATACATTTTTTATGTATACAGTATATATATATATATATATATATATATAATATATAAATATATATATTTATTTTTAATGCATATTATTAAAAATTTATTTAGTTGCATAGAAAGTAATTGAACACGTAAGATGTTCAATCTTAGGTATAATAAAGTTAAGACAGAGCGCAGAAGTTTGTAAATACAAAACAATTACTCTACCTGTGTCTTTTCTTTTCATCAAACGAACGTCCTTAATTGGAATGCTGAGAGCAAACAATTCAGTTTGCAACTGTAGGAAGATAAAAGAAGAGTTACAAAACTATTGTTTTGGTCCGCTGTTAGCCAAAGTTCTTGTTCTTCTAGTCTTTTTTTTGCCTCTCTTTGGCAACAAACCTTATGCTCAGTTATGTGAAACGGCAAATTTTTCAACAGAATCGTATTTGTCGGCATATCACTGATCCATCTTTCACCACCTTCATAATATCTTGTTCTCTGTTCATAATCACGTTCGAAATCTCTATCATTGTCTCTTTCTCTACTTCTGTCTCTATGCCGTTTCCTTTCATCCTTTGAATATTTTTCATCTCGATGAGGACTTCGATCTCTGTCACGTCTGCTGTAATAGCTTCTATCTTTTCTATCTTCATACCTTTCCCTATTACAAGCAATCCCATTTATCGACATCAAAAGATTTTAGCTAGTGTTTATTACCTGTCTCGGTCCCTCTCATCTCTAACCCTGTCGTGACTCATTTCATTTCGTGATATAGAAATTTCTCTTCTCTCAAAAATGTCTTCTTTATTTCTTTGATACCTGTCGTCGTCTCTTTTGTCTCGACTACCCTTGGAAGGAACTTGAGCGTAGCTTTGCAGTTTCTGCATAGCCTATAAACAGTAGATGCTATCAACACTTAGGACTTAGAAATATAATAGTTTTCGGTTAGATTTATGAGAGACATTTTGTAGTAAAAACAGTTTACATCACGCATATATTCCGCAATTTTACGTTTATTAGACGCACAGCGCATGCGTGAAGCCAAATAGAATCATTCGCTTATATTTCGTTGGAAAATCATAACTTAAACTTATCCTTACCTAAATTAAATTAGCTCCTTTCTCTTCCCTGCGATATACTTTAGAGTTTAACAATATTCGTTAACGACAATGCACCACTTGTCTAGATATATTATCGAATGAAAGACAAGCCCGTGGTATTGTTCTCAATTGAAACCAGTTTAATACAGTTAGGCTACATTGGACTGGTTCCCTTCAGAGACAGCAGACTAAGTTGAACAACATTTTGCTCCGGAGAATGAAACCCATGTTGTCAATTAAAAATAGTTACGTTAGTAGCTCTTGTAACAAATGTCCTCACACTTTAGATTGGATAAACAATGGTTATGTATGCTATGGTACTAATAATGGTCTAGCTTATTATCAACCTTTTGTGAGTAACTTTTAATTAGAAGTTTTTATGACAGTTGTGAGTGATAACGGACAATTTATATGTTTATAGGAATTAACTGGTGATTTAAAAACTGTGGCAGCCCATAATGGTACTGTTAATTGTGTTCGTTGGGTAAAGACTGGATGTAAAGGTACGAATTTTTATATATAATATAAATTAGCTCACTTTTTTCTAACTTTTAAGGTGAACCAGATACACTAGTTGCGGCATCTTCAGATAAAACTGCTTCTGTTTGGAAGCTAACAGACAATACAGTTTGTTGTTTAAAATTCAGACAAATGCAACACTAATTTCTGAATTTTAACTGATATTTTAGTTAACAAACGTCGGCAGGCTTATAGGTCATACATCTCCCGTTAATATTTGTGTTGGAGCTTTTGATCCAGCAATTGGTCTGATAATAGCAACTGGTTCAGCCGATTCAACTATAAAAATATGGACCAAAACTGATGAAATGAGTTAGTTTCATCTTTTTCACACTATGTATTTTTAATATAGCTACTTTTCTATTGTTAAAGATGATAACTATGAGTGTATTGAAACTATATCTCTTGGAAATGGTTTTGCCTTGTCTATGGATTATTTCTTCCTTCCAGAAACAGAATGTTTATGTCTTGCTTGCGGTTGTGATGATTTTAAAATACATTTGTATTACCAATCAGACAATAAAGTTAGTTTAGCAGAATTTATTATGTGCTTATATTAGTTGTGTTTTATTTATAGTTTAAATTACTTTCGAGCTTAGTTGGTCATGAAGACTGGGTCAGATCTATTGATTCGACACAGGACGGCAAGTATTTTTTCTATTCTTGAGGTTTAAAAATATATATATTTTTTTTCCAGAAAATGGAGATATATTGCTAGTATCTGGAAGTCAGGATTGTTTTGTAAGAATTTGGCGTATGTCGCGACGTTTAAATATTGTCACTGAGGAAAAAAAATCGTCTACAAATATAGATTTTGAAATTAAGCAAAAAGAATTTATTTCATCTACGGATTATAGTCCACCATTACATTTTGCTATTTCAGTCGAATCAGTTTTGCTAGGCCACGAAAATTGGATTTATTCTACAAAATGGTTTTATCTAAATGAATCAAAGCTTTCCATAGTATCGGCTTCAATGGATAAAACTCTAGTTATTTGGCAGCAAGGAGAATCTGATGAACTTTGGGTTGAGAAATCTCGTCTAGGTGATGTTGGAGGAAATACTTTAGGATTTTATGACTGTAAACCAGCCCCGGATGGTTCAGCACTGCTAGCTTATAGCTTTCATGGAGCTTTTCACATGTGGCTTTATGATGAAGGTCTTGGAACCTGGAAAACAGGACTGACTGTCGGTGGCCATTTCGAGGAGGTTCAAGATATAGCATGGGAACCAAAATTCGGTGCATTCTTATTATCGGTTAGTTCGGATCAAACTACTCGTTTACATGCAAAATGGAAAAAAGCTGACAAGGTAAGATATACTTTAATAATAAAGTTATTGCACACTTTATCAATAATACTTACTAATTTTAGACATCATGGTATGAGATGGGTAGACCTCAAGTTCACGGCTATGATATGAAATGTATAGCACCCGTAAATTCTTTGACGTTTGCGTCAGGCGCAGACGAAAAAGTTATAAGAGCTTTCAGGCCGGCAAAAAATTTTCTTAGAAATTTCAATAAATTAACGGGTACAGCATTCTTTACAGAGGATGATATAAAAGTTCGTACAAAACTACGTAATAGTTTGATAGTATAATAAATACATTTTTTTATTTATTTAGGAACAGCCAGAAGGAGCATCAATACCTGCTTTAGGTTTATCAAATAAGTCAGTTTATGAAACCGAAAAGGCAGAAAAAGTTGAAACGCAAAATTTAGAAAATTATTTCTCTCCTATTCACCTTGAAGGTGTTTATTTTTAATATTATACTGTATTACAATCAAATATTATTTACCTTAACAAAAATATGATTACAGAGCCGCCAACTGAAGAGAATCTTGTTCAAAACACCTTATGGCCAGAAATAGTAAAGTTATACGGACACGGTTATGAAATTTTTGCACTTGCAGCTCGTAATGATGGAGGAATTTTAGCGTCAAGTTGCAAGGTTGGGGGAAAATATTAAAGTTATAAAAAATATTTATTTATTTAATTATGTTTGCTTTTTTTAAATTTTAGGCAGCCAAAGCTGAACATGCTTCGGTTATCTTATGGAATACTTCAAATTGGGAAATTTTTCAAAAATTAAGCTATCACAATTTAACTGTCACTGACATATCTTTCTCTCATGACGGTCAACATATACTGTTAGTGTCTAGAGATAGAACATGGAGTTTATTCTCAAATATCGAAGGTTTGTTTAAGTTTAAAACACTTAAGATAAAAATCTGATCAAATTGATTATTTATTAAACTATTAATAATTTTCTTAGGAAAATACGAACTGACATCATTTACTGATAAAAAGACAGCTATTCATTCAAGAATTATATGGTGTTGCGCGTGGTCTCACGATGATGCATTTTTCATAACTGGTTCTCGTGATAAAAAAGCAATTGTTTGGAGCAAAAGCGAAAATTCAGATAAATTTATTGCCTGTGATATAACTTTGCAATTGTCAGATTCAATTACCGCTATTGATTTAGCACCTAAATTAGTCAATGACGAATATGTGGCATTGTTCGGATTGGATAATGGTGAAATGCTATTATACACATTCACAAAGGTTTCATCATGGACATTAAAGTTCTCCCTCAGTAGAAGGTAAATGTTCATAAAATTCAGGTGGAAAAAGCTATCTCATTATATAATTTATGTTCTCTTGACCTTTCAGTTTTGGCCATCAAAATACAGTTAAACGAATTCGATTCAAGCCTACCTACGACAAAGACAAAGACCCTCTAACAGTTGCTTCCTGTTCGGTAGACCACAGCGTAAAAATATATGAGATTATGAGTGTTCAGTAGTCCTCGTATGCTCAAGAATCAAATGTATCCGAAAAGATAAGTGATGTACGTCTTGGGTGGCCGAGGCCACACACAACGTAGCCTTTCTTACTCACGTCCGAATGGGCCGTCAAACGAGTGCCAGCGTCGCCGCAGTTCGTATTAAAATCGAACATAAACATTTTTGTATGAGTTTGTAAATATATATTTTTGAAAATAAAGATATCTTTTCCAATTTCGAAATGTTTTTTATGCGATTTATACTTATTTTACAATTTGGATTAACTATTAAAGTTTATCGGCCAGTTAGCTATGTAAATTGCGGTAAGATATTGAAAGTTTTTTCTATAGTAATAATCTCTTAATTAAGATCAAATGAAATTCTTCCAGGTAAGCAAAACTCTTCTGTTCTAATTGAAGCATTTAAAGCTCGACCTCTACCAATATTTACCCCTGGAAATTTAAGAATTAACAGCATAATTAATATTACACGAGATCTTCCTGATAAAATAGCTGTGCAAGTAAGAGTAGAACGATATTTTTTTGGTTTCTCAATCACTTTACCCTGTTTGGATGGATCCCTAGCACCTTGGTAGGTATTTTTTGCTTAAAGATAATTGTTTCCTCTTTTTTTTTTACTTCCTTTGGTTTATATCGGTTTTTTAGTATTTTGTCTAGTATATTGCAAAAAGGCCACCCACTTTGAACGAATTCGATTGGTAAATATGTTAGAATATTTTAACCAATCAGTATTCACTGCAATTATAATTATATACAGTATATTATAATTTTTGCCAATGTTATTATTGTTATTATTGTTAATGTTAACATTTGTAGTACTCTACAACACGTTTGCGAACGTTTAGACGAACTGAATAGATTTCGAAAGAGATGCCCACCATTCTACAGAAGGCGAGGGCTGCCATGCAAATGCAATCAATTTAAGGTTCTCTTTTTTCAAATGCAACTCATTTAAATGAAATACTAGAAGAAAAGTAGTAAAGATTAATTTTTCTTTGGTTTCGACAATAGAAAGGCATCTACCAACTAAATAAAATTCGATTTAAACTTCCAAAGATGAGAGGTTTATGGGCTTTTCTCGCAAAGGTTTGATCGAAATAAAAAAAAAGAAAAGAAAATAAAACTTTTAACTATTAAAAATAAAAAGGGTGAATACAAAATAAAGATTACGGCTACAGATGAAGATACTCTTGAAGAATTAACATGCCTCGAAATTTCCTTTAGAATGCGATTAAGAAAAAAAACCAGCTGGTGGCCTTTTAGAAAGACAAAAGAAACATAAAGACAAACTTAAAGTTTATATGTTAGGTATTTGAAAAGGAAATAACAATTCAAGAAGAAAAAGCTGAACAATTTATTATATTTAAGAAAGCTATACAATAGAATATTTCTGCTTTTAAGATTAATTGTAGTAATAATCCTGAAATAAACATACTTCACAAATGCCTACTTACTAAGCCAGATCACTTAAAGTCTTAGGTATTGGATTAGCGGTTCAAAATTAAGAGTTACGCAGTAAATGTATATTTTGTCTAACTTTTATTTTTGAAACGGAATAGATAAAAAGAACAAAGTACTTTTAATTTTATTTGAAGCAAGATCTATTCCATAAAAATGAGCGGTGAAAAAAAAAAAATAAACAAAAAGTTAACTGAAGAAGATATTAAGGAATTAACTGAAAGACTTTATACGACCCACACCAAAAGTTCTAGTGCAGATCCTTATGCTAATGCAGCTGTGGCTCAAGACAAGATTTCCAAGAAGGTATTTATATAAACGAATTTATCAGTTGTTTATGTACGTTTTTTATAGGCTGTTTGCAGTATTTATATAGACTGTAATTGCGTATTTAATTAAGATATATAACTGTTTTTCTCTATACGCAATATATAGGTAAATGATTCCAAAGAGGTTGAGAATATTACGAATCGACTTTATAGCTCTCATACTAAATCTAGTTCGATTTCATCTGGAGATAATAACACACCCGTTCAAGATTCAATTAGTCGAACTGGAGTTACCAGCAATGACCTGACTAACATTATCGACAGATTGCATACTGTAAGTTAGCCTATAAGACAAATGGGATATTTGTTAAAAGTAAATATTCAATTCAAATGTTTTCAACAGACACACACACAATCTAGTAGTGGAGCTGTAGGGCATCAAAGACCGAGGGATACCATTTCCAAACCTTTCGAGAGCGAAGAAGATGTAAGTAAATCTTTTATTCTTATTATTAGCTTAAATCCTTTTTCAATACATTATTATTGTCGTCTTTTCTTCAATTGTATGTCTTATTCAATAAGAAAAAAAAATTAAGCCTATATTTATTCTACAGACGAAGCAAATAGTTGATCGTTTACACAAAACGCATACGAAGAGTAGCTCGGGAGGTGAGCTATGTAAAATCTATGAGCCAAAGACCCCACAGAACTACGGAACGAAAGCTTATCCTGTCATCGAAGGCTTAGATACAAGATTCAGAGAGAAAACTGCCCCAAAAGATAAAGTAAAGGATATCATAAACAAAATGCATACTTCACATACAGTCTGCTCCGAGTTGCATACCTCAAAGAAAAATGCTTCAATTTTACTGTATCCGGAGAGGACAATCCTTATGAATAACGTAGATCGAATCGTGCGATTTCAAGACACTGGAGCGATAGATCGACAAGGCATGTTAGGGCGAACCGAAAAATGGTACTTTTGACCATCTGAAGGTCAAAGGAGAATTTTCTTTTGAATGATCGAACTATCACACAATATTATGTAAACTCTTGTTTTTCAATTGGAAAATGGGTTCTATCTGTATTACTTGTGTTGATTCGATGAAATTTCAAATTTCAGCATTAAAAAAAAAGATATATGTGTAAACTATGCTTGTCTTGAAGATTTATGTAGTATTTTGCACCCTTCTAATTGCCCTGGCCCGCTCTTCGGTATCAAAATACCAAACAGTAATTGCATATCTCTCCTTATACGTAGGTAAAACTTCGTGAGGCATTCTTCTATCAGACCAAAAGAATAATAATCTGTCAAATTTTGGTTCAATGTCTGCAACTTGATTGAACACCTCAGGAAATATTCTAAGTAATCCACCATCAGTCTGAAAGTTAAATATAACATATAATCAGTTTCATAGCTATATATTTATTATAAATTACTTGTGTGTTCCAGTTTTTATTTAGATAATATATAGTAGTAAGACACCTTCCGTCCTCATTTGGATTATCGATATGTCTCATATATCCTGTACCGTTACCAGGATAACAGGCTATCATTGCCTTTGTTCTGCCACCTATTTGATACTGTTTAAGCTTTTTTGCACAATCCATGACAATAGAATCTAATCTCTCAATAAAGGAAGTAATATATGGATGTTTATCATTCTTCTCTAACCATAATATTTGATCACCTCTGACCTTACCCGTTGTTGCAGGTTGAGAAACCAACTGACCATCTGTAAAGGCACCTTGAGATCTTAAAGACTTAACTTCATTTAAAATGTCTCCGGCACGAGGTTCACAAAAGAAATTATCCAGAACGCATATACCATATTTATTCATACACTCCACTATATATTCTGTTAATTTTGAACTTTTTTCACAGTGTTTATTTAAAGAAGTATCTTTTAACACATTTTCAAAGTTTAAGTCTGACCATGATTGTTCTGTCCTCTGTTTACAAATTTGTTGATGGTTATCCCAGTCCGATTTTTGATGATCCCTTCCACAATAGTAAGATAGTCGACAGGCCCCACATACTAAAAGATTATCAATGGTATCACAAACTTCACATTTTGACACTTTTTTTTCTGTTCTGTACATTCCTATATGCTAACTAGATGATCTCAGTTTCAATACTGATCGTCTATCAAGACGCAGTCAGAAAATGTACCATCGCACCCTATTGTCGTCTGCTAATATAGTAGATATGTCGACAAGCTTTTATATTATTTTGTACTATTTTGGCGGTAAATTTGAAAATACTTATCAAAAGCCTTTTATTTAATATTTACCCTTCAATTGCCTAATTTCCAGCTACAGTTTTAATAATTAAGGAAAAAATATCATGTAATTTTTTTTATTTTTTACATATAAAACATGTATAAGTGTAAAATATAATAGTGTTTTTTGTTCATAAGATGTCTAAATATTCTCTTATATGTTTTTGTACTAAGACTGGAAATTTTATCAATAGAAGTAAACTTGAAAATTTTTGCACGTAGACCACTCACGTATCCTAATTGTGTCAAAAATATCTGTGTCAAGTTATTTTTAAAGGTCTAATAAATCAGAATCTGCTTAACAGTGTTTTATAAAAAGCTTTAATCGCTTTCCTAACATGTTAAAGATATATTTATAGGACTTTTATTTTTATAAGATAATTTTTATAAGTAAAATGTTCCATCACTCAAAGGGACACTGTGAAACGTTGGAATCATATTTTCCAATTTCGTTCGAAAACCAGTACATAGAACGTTTGCCAAAATATGGATAAATATGATGATTTCGTTGATAATGTAAGATTTTTAAAAAATATATCAAAGGAAATTATATCTTCAAATAAATTTATATATTAATACTTAGATTTTAAGCAAGTAAACAACTAGGAGTTTTCTAGAATTCCAGGTACTAATTTTAAATTTTTGTATTCCATGTCAAAGAGTTACACAAAAGTAATCGAAGGCTTAAAAACTTACAAGTAAGTAATTTAAAACGACGAAGTGACAGAGAACTTTAATTACAATAATATTCTGAAAAGGGTTCGATTTGAGAAGGTTTTGAAATCACATCAAGATTTGTATAATTCTATTGCTAAACATGAAAAGATATTTTACCAGGATTCTTCTATTCAGTTACAAATGGTATTATTTGGTTGATTTGGAGTAACTGTTTTTTATGTATCTTTTATTTCGACAGCTCAAACACTGTACAAAAGTTAATTCTGATTATTTTAACATCCTCTCCGATTTTGTTTATGATGATGAAGAAAGTCTAGAATTTGTAGGTTTTAAACATAGTCAGTCTATTTTACGATAGTTTTATTTTACTATTGATAATATAGTTTAGATACGACTTAAAGCGCTTTAACTTTGTTCTGAAATTGATCGCAAGGGATTGGTCTCCCGATTATGAACTGGAAAGAAGCTGCTGGTTTGGGCCAATTATAAAGACCTTAGAGAAATCTTTTGAGTCTGCAGATCGAGATAACAAAAAAATTCTCTGTTTAGGAGATGGGCTTCTGAGGTTTTTATTTATTAATGCTGAGAATCAATTTAAAAATATATTTTCAACTAAAGATTGCCTCTGGAGTTGTGCAGGAAAGGATTCATTACAGACGGTGTAATGGAAGATATATTGAAAATTAGTATAGCTTCTCATCTTAATAAGCTGTGAGTATTCAGAGTTTGTCACGATATAAGTCTCACAAGAAGTTTTCTCTCCCACTTAGCACAGAGATAAATGCTTTTACAATCTACCCATTTGTCGATAAATGGAGTGACCTAGTCTCTTCAGTTGGTCAGGTTATAGCTCTATACCTACATATATAAAAGTTTTCTTCATCTAACTCATTCTCATTTTAGCAAAAGCCGGTCACATTCCCCGACATTACATTTGACATGGAAGATTCTCAAGAGGAGTTAGACTTGACCAGAGAACCGACTGTTATAGCTGCTAGGTTTCTGGCTGATTACGATCCAAGCATGAATCAAGGTGATATTTCTTTTTTCATTGAAAAATATTGATGAAAATCCTTAAAAAAACGTTATAGAAAAAGTTGACGCAGTGGCCACATCTGGTTACTTTAATTTGTCAAGAAATATACCTCTGATAATTTCAACAATACATCATAATTTAAGATCTGGGGGAATCTGGGTGAATAACGGCCCATTAATTAATGACTATGATGTCGATTACGATTCAAAGTCTTGCTTTAGAGAATGGGGCTATGATGATATTAAAAAAGCTTTAAGGAAGCAGGGATTCACAATTCTGGTTTGTTCTAAAAATCTTTTGTCTATCCTGCAATAATGTCAATCTTAATTACAGAGTTATAACCACGAAGAAAGATCAACATTTTGCTATAATCGTTATTACATGTCGAATGAAGTTTATGAAATGTTATTTTTCATCGTTCGAAAATAAACTTAATCTATTGTTAATTCGTTAGATGGTTATACTTGATCAAGGCAGATAAAAGACTTCATTTAAGTTGTGTTTTCAATAAATTAGTTAAGAGATGAAAATCAACAAATAGTGAAATTAAACTTCAAGCTAGTCTTTTATTCACAATATCATTAACGACGGAAACCACTGGTAACGACAGTCTGACTGGAGGTCTGAACTTGAACCTTAGGAAGATTAGCCATATCAAGCATTTTCAACATATCCTTAGTATCAGGATCAATGTCAATGACATCTTGTTCTAGAGCCGAAACATCAGGCACGTAGTTGTCTCGTCTCTCCCTCTCTTCTTCTTGCAACTTAATGGAAATTCCCCTAACTGGGCCACGTTGGATTCTCTTCATCAAATGGGTAACCTGAAAGAATGTTTTTCATGAATATTTTGGACAACGAAATTCGTCAACACATATTTACAAATCCAGAAATCTTGTTTCTTAGCCTCTTGCTGGGGATGATTGCAATTTCCTCGCAGATTCTCTTATTAGTATGAAAATCCATGGTAAGACGAGTGTAATATTTTTCAATAATTACACGGGCGGCTTTTTTTACGGTTTTGGTTCTTACACGACCCATTTTTTTTTAAATTTTGATTGTGAACAAGGCACGACAGAGAGCGGCGTGGATAAAAGAACGATATTTCGTGAGACATGCCGGTCATTGGCTTTCTATATTTTTAATAATGGCTGGTATATTGTAGAGTGTTAGCGGCCATTTTGATACTTTATATTTTCAACTTCTATAAAATGAAAAATTGTCTCTATAACCTGGTTCAGTAGTCCCACTCGAAATAGACTTGCTACAAACAAAAATAAAATACCAAACCTGAATTTTCTACATTCTGAAACTTTATAAGTAACTATAAGTTGTATTAGCATCTGTTACATTAGATTCGTTGAGTTTGGATAACCAGATTGACAGATAAAATATGGAATTGAAGTTTCGCCTTGTTCAATTACGCTAAAAACATGGGACATTTAACTATTGATAGATACTTAAAACAATATATGTAATATTCTAATAATCAGCAATTAAAGAATTTTTTTCTTCATATTTCCTCCTTCCTTAAAATTCAAGTGGAAAATAAAAAAACTTTAAATTTTACTTCGCCCGTAAAGCTAATATCCAGCTGCCCACTGTCTATTCGAAATCTTAATGAAATATCGTTAAAATTTTATGATTTACTTTTAAGTTATAGGGCTAATAAGGTTTTTTTCTTGGAAACCGACATCTTAAACTAAATATTTCATTTCAAGTAAGAATACTTCCATTTAAAGTAGTTCCTCTTTGAAGAGTAATGAATTACTATCTGTATTTGTAATCATTTTTATTGTAAAATCGTCTAATACTGACTCAACAGGTAAGAAAAACATTAACCAATAGCACCTTGAAGATGAGTTACTAATGACTTTATCATTCTGGTACGTATTTGGCAGCTTTAGCACCATACTTTTCAAACAAATCGTTGTAAAATTCTGCTTTAAGGGTTTTTAAACATCTAAAAAATATATAAATATTTAACAAATATTTCATAACTCCTTTATAAAACACTTACTTTCTGTATAAGGAACTAGATCGAAATTTAGCAATATCTAAGCTTGGGGCATGCGGCATGTGAATCATAAATGCATTCGGTAGTACTATAAATTCAAACCTAAAAGTTCATATATTATTAAATATAATATTTATAGAGTATTTGAAGGAAATGAAAAAAGGTATAGTTACTCTGCAGCGTCCAAACTGAGAGCGTGAGAAACTTTATTCCATCCAAATCCCACAAAACGCCTATCGTATGCCGGAATTTGATCAACTTTCATTACCAAGTATGGTTCGAAATCTCTTTCCCATTCGACTTGATAAGGAGTTGTTGCAGTTCGCCATTTGTTAAATTGAGTAGGAGCATGGCCACGAGGCCAAACATGATATCTAAATGTAAATAAAGAGCCAACGTCCAATTGAGCTAAAAGGTCGGTCTTGGAGGTGGGAAAGTTGAAGCGATACCGTTGTGTTTCAAAGGCTGGTACAACTAATGCCTATTGAATAACGACAGTAAGTAGATTTAGGATTAAGAAGTTCGTTAAATTTATCTAAGCTTACTTTTTTAGCATTAGAGCTAACTTCTAATTCAACAACAGTTTTTCGTAAATAATCATATAAACCATACATAGGCAAAAAGTCTATATCGGCTAAGAAAACGAACGGTGTTCGAACTTGTCTCAGAGCAACATTTCTCAAGTGGTTTACAGGATAAAATTGTCCATCTTTATAAACAATATGATAGCCTATATTTCTTCTTGACATTAATATTGAGGATGCTAGGGCGAACCGCAAAAATTGCTGAGCTTCGCCATCAGACATATAAAGAGCTATTGACATTGGTCCTTGCCAATGTTTACAAATCGTTTCCAACATTTGCAGACGATCCATTGAAAGTTGGGCCACTAAAGTGACATCGTTTTCAATGGGTACATAATCATAATCCAGGTAATACAAATGGGTTCTATAAATAAGAATTCCCTCTCGTCGGAACTCAAAGCAGTCATCATCCTCATTCAAAGTAGATATTTTTTTCTCAATTATAGCTAATGGTTTATTCTGACCTGTACAACCAAATAATTCTCTACGTAATAGATTTCCATCGTATTCCAAAAACGTTAGATATAAATTTCGAAAAAATTCTATATGTTGATTTTTAACTTTAACTTTCCTAGGAGAATTCCAATGAATAACCTGTTTTTTGAGTAATTTAATTAAAATTTCTCAAAGGAATACATTTAATAACCTTGAGATCCGAAACATCAGAATAACAATGGTGACTTCGAGTGTTATCGCTTAATTGTACATTCCATTGGCAGGGTAATGTGTATACAAGATGAGGATATTGTTTGAAAACAGCATTAAAAATGTCCTTAAGAAGGAAAGATTAAATGTATACTGAGTTAATATGTATATTTGAGATCATACCTGATCAGCTAGCGCCGTAGAGAGAAGAGTTATCAATTCACGTTCTGCTATAGTACGCCAAACTTTCATCCACGAGATATCCCTTAACTTTTTTAAATCCATAAGTATAACCCCGGTGTTAAAACCTCTCCCCTAATTTCGATATATAATTAATACACTACATTTTCAACTATCATTTTACTAATTGTACAAACCAATGCAGGCCATGGGTGATGATTTCTCCATAATTTACCTAAATACCAATCGCTTTGATTTTCAACTAGACCGATAGATTGCCTTTTTGAGAACTTTAGAAACATTTTCCATAGCTCAGCTATATCAGTAGCAAATGTTATATCGGTATCCAAAACGATAACTTTCTCAAGAGTTTTGTTTAAGGTTTTGGGTAAGGTTAATTTCATAAGACCGTAGACTCCGGAATAATGTGTATTTGGAATCCATTGTATTTCAGGCTATAAATTTCGTAAAAAGTAGAAAATTTAATTAGATATCAAGTTGATCAATACTATTCAATTATTTAGATGAAAATTTTTCACAAATAGCAAAACACGGCAAATGATCAAAACAATTGAAAATAAGTCTATGTAAATGATAACAAATTAGTGGTTGATAAATGATAAGGAATTCGATAATACTTCAACAAACGACAAAAATTACTCCAATATTTGTTTTTTTTTCATGCTGCTACTATACCTTCAAATCATCTGCTAAATACAGTGAAACCTCCACTGTTAACGAAGAGAAAATATCACGAAAACCAAATCAATGTGAGTAGAAGATTATATTATTTATAAAAAAAGTAATAGAAAAACTTACAAGCCGGAACTGCCCATGTTTCAAATACGCTCTGCAATATTAATCTAGCTGCCGGGTCCGAAATAAGGTGAATATGTAAGGGGTTGCGACGATAAAATAGAACGCTCTTTATCAGAGTAACAACGTCCCTGCTTGAGTTATACCGTGCGCAAACGATAGCGATATGAATGACCTTAAGAAAAAATTTACATTTAATAATATTAATCCATGTATTTGCCGAATTTTCTTACTTCGCATTTATTAATTCCATGACTGCTGGTAAAACAAGAATGGTTTCCAGAGTCGTATTTATTAGCAATTTGTGCTTTAATATCCCTGAAATGACATAAAAAGGATATGTGTCTTGAACAAATAATAAATATTGATTACAACCTAATGTTCTTTTTTAGAATATAATTTTCTTCCATCAATTGTCTTATAAAGATTTGTTGCTTCTTTCTTGCTTTGGTATCTGAAGCAAAAAGGAAATTTTTAGCATCTGGAAAAAATTAAGGTTCTCTATACCTGTAGTTTTCTTTTTTGAGTGAAAACTCCATAAAGCTATCAAGACAAACAATGCTGACAAACCAAGCAGAACGAACCATTTCTTCTTTATTCTCATATTAATAACAACTCTAAGAACTTTATACATTTACCCATTCCATTGTATACGTTATCACTTGACTAAATTTTCTGAAATGATTAGAAAGAGTGAAAGTCCATTAATTAAAATTCAAACAGATAGACTGTCATGTTGTACATTTCGTATAAAAACGTATCTTTTATTTAAATACTAGAAAACAGCTTATTAGATAAAACGGAATACGTCGTTATCTTTAAAAAACGCTCTTTTCAAAATACGAAAATAAAAATAAGCACTTCCGGTTTACCCTGATAGCACGTTCATAACATCTATTCAAACGCTCTAATTTAAAAATCTTCTCCAATCACGATTGTTGAACGTTTTATCTACCCTAATCTTTTAAATAATTTTATATTATGATAGTTTTCAAATTTTATCACTAGTAAAACGTTGAAAATGAGAAGATTATCTACTTTCTTTTAAAGTCTAAAAATTACTTTAAAGTGTCAAGTACTTTATAAATGGTCATTTATTTATTAAAATTCTGTTGAACAATAAATCAAAAGCCTAACTGGCTACAAACTTTTGAAATTAAAGTAATATATCTTCCTTCAATTACTGATAAACGATTTCCATATAACTGTGTCTAATTATATCTTTGCTAGTTTTTAAGCGTGGACTTCACTTTTGGAATTTTATAAAGATAAATAAAGCAAAAACGAAAATAAGATTTGGCTTCAAATGTATTAGTGATAAGTAATTATCATTATATTCTTTTATAGTTTTCCATTTAAGACTTGAGAATGATGCTTAATATGATCTTCAATGAATGTTGCAATAAAGAAATAACTATGATCGTATTCCTGTACAGATAATTTGAATAAATAAATTTTCGTTTTATAAATTAATAAAGAGATTTATCTTACATTTTGCATTCTAATAGTCACTGGTAGATTTTTATCGGAACAAACTTTCTCCAAATTTTCAGGAAGAAGCTGTTTTTGGAGAAGAAAAGAATCTGCTTTTCCTTGATCAACTAAAATTGGTATTTTTAGAGAACCATTAAAGTTCTTAGCCATTTCACAAGCATCGTAGTTCTTGAAAAATACTCAACTTAAATGAAAGTGTCAATTTGAATTAATATAAATATACCTTCCAAGTTTCCTTGTTTTGTCCCAAGTACCCGTTAAAAGCTTTTTGACCCCATGGACATTCAATCGGATTACAAATAGGAGCAAAGGCGGAAACGCTCTTAAACTTATCAGCGTTTTTGAAAAATATTGTTAAAGCCCCATGTCCGCCCATACTGTGACCCATAATAGAAGCATTACTAGTGTCAACAGGGAAGTTTCCACCAATAATTTTTGGTAGTTCTTCAGTTATGTAAGAGTACATCCTATAATTATTTCTCCATTTTTCTTCAGTTGCATCAACATAGAAACCGGCTCCGGTTCCAAAATCCCACGACTCTTCTTCTCCTTCGATATTACATCCTCGAGGACTGGTGTCGGGTGCGACTATTGCAATACCCTCTTCATTGGCATATTTCTGAGCCCCTGCTTTTGTAACGAAATTTTGCTCAGTGCAAGTTAAACCAGACAGCCAATAAATAACTGGAACTTTTTTGGTTTCCGATGTTTGTGGGAGGTAAATTCCAAAGTTCATCTTACACTTAAGGACTGAACTATGAAAAGCATTCAATTATTATCTTACAAATACACAAAATACTTGAAGACAAAAACCTTTCATGGCTAAAGACCTTTTGCCATCCCGAAAACATACGAACTTTGGACACTTCTATTAATCCCATTTTCTATAAAATTTGGAAAAGATGCAAATATATGGAATTATAATAACAATCGAATTAGTATGTTATATAACATCTTTCTATTACCTTTCTTAAAGAATAACAAAAAAATTTGTGAGTAGCCGAGATTAGAGTGATAGGAAAAAATGAGTGTTTTTCATATTTTACTAAGATAACTGGTAGTAAATAATTTGATAATAAAGGCATTACAAGCAATGGTTTATTATCATAAACTTTTTTTAGATACAAAACTGTCTTAAATTAAGGTCAAAATATATCATATCAAAATTTCCATTTAAGATGTTCTTATGCATGTTTAAAACTTTTTGAGATAGTATAAAGTATCTATCATTGAAGTATAGTTTTCGCTTAAAGGAGATATTTTTAAACATTACTATCTAGATCAAAGATTTTATGTATTCATAGAATAAGTATTACCAACTAACAAATAAGTCCGATAAATAATTTGACTATTTTCTCATATCAAGCATTTTGCTGTTTTCCAAGTAATAGTTATAAAAGCAACAATAACAAAGAATAAAAATGAGCCAGTTCACTTTAACACAGAAAATAAGTATTTCCTTAATATGTTTGCAGGTTTAAGGATAGGTTATCTTCTTAATTTTCCCGTTGATTGGTGAAGATTCAAGCGATTCATCCATCTGTCAATATTTAAAAAAGTTTATGCTAGTAAAATATATTTCTTTTGATAAATAAACCTGTCGTTTGCTTGATTTTCCTGGACTACTGAGTTGTATTACTTTTCTGTCCTTATTTATTTGAGAGGGCGGAATACATTTTTGACTTTCAGGTGTGAATGGAACAAATAGCCTTGGTGATTCTTTACTGGAGTATTTTAAATGAAGTTTTTAATAAATTATTTAATATTAATGGAGCTATTTCTGTTTATTTGAAATAGAAAATTTGAGTAACCTTGATAATTTAGCCTTTTTGACAGAGAATTCATTTTCATCTGCCTGCTGGCTCTTTCTCTTATTGATATTTTTTTTCCCTCTTCTATTTTCTCTATATTGTCGTTGCGGTTGGGGTAAAATGTGAGCTTTAAATAATTCTAACAAGACCGCTTTATCTTCAGATTCAAGTTTTATTTGCCGCTGTTTCAAGTAAATGTGTATTGTAGGAAGAAGAGATTAAAATTTTAAGTACCTTTGTAAGAACAGCTACAATTTGCTCCTGAGTTAGTAACTCAGGGTGCATTATGTCTAAATTCGTACAATCTCCAGGATCATTCATAATGCCGGATATCAAAATAAGAAACGAAATCTGATATTAGTTGTATTGAGTGACAAAAACTGGTAATTGTTTTACCCTAAAGTACAGTACTGCTACACTGGTTATATAAAAATGGCCGACAATAGTTCACTTAAGGTAGCCATTTTAAACGTTATTTTAATATTTTTAAAATTTCTCCCTCTTTTAATAAAATACAACTTTTCTAACCATGTGGTTTTTTTATAAATAAAAATGTGGAATAAAGTTTTAATAAAGTCTTCAGATTTCGTTAAACTTGGGAAGAAACTATTAAACTGATCAGGAAGTCCTAGATAACTTGAAACAACGAAGAGATTACTCGTTGCTAGAGATTAAAATTTTATGATGAAATGATGGGTAATAGCGTTTCATTGCAATGGTTTGTCATCATTTAGTAATTTTATTATTATTAAAATAATATCTGTTCATAGAATGTTTAACAGACTAATACTAGGTTATATTCTCAACCCTTTCTACAGTGATTATTTAAATTGTAGCCAAAAGAGGGCGACCGGGGAAATATATTCCTATAGGTGGAACTGTCCATGTTCTAGTTCCGGTTCTGTGGAGGCGTCGAAGCAGAAAAGTTAAAAACAGTAAAATTTATTCTACTAGTTAAACACCGAACAGATCCGCTAATTAAAATATAGTAATATAAAAATAATTGAATTGATATCTAATTTGTAATAATTGATGTTGATGTTAATGTTGAATATAGATAAAAACAAACTAATCATAATTTGTTTATTTACATATACGTAGCTTCCGTACTAAGAACGAAATACCTGTCATAAGGCTCTGATCCAGGATCAAGGAAAGGTACTTTCGGACACGATAAGGATTTGTGAAGCAGATATGTCATCCAAAAGCTCAGCGAACAAAAGTCGCATATTAAAGGTATTTTACCGTGTCACGATAATATGACTAATGTTATGGTAACATTCTATAATTCCTCTGTAGATTGTTTTGGTTGGTGACGGTGGTGTTGGAAAGAGTTCATTAATAACAAGATATGTCAAGAATGAATTTAATGTAAATTGTTTTCACACCATTGGAGTAGAATTTCTAAAAAAAGATGTATCATATCAAGGAGTCACATACGCCCTGCAGATATGGGACACAGCAGGTCAGGAGCTTTTCAAGAGCTTACGAACACCCTTTTACAGAGGATCGGATGCTTGTTTTCTGACTTATTCGGTTGACGACGAAAATTCATTTAAAAACTTACAAACTTGGAAAGAGGAATTCTTGCAGTATGCTAAAATCGGCGAGGATCAATCTTTTCCATTTGTCGTACTAGGAAATAAAGTTGACATTGACCCTTATGAACGTAAAGTTGACCTGCAGACAGCCGTAGATTACTGTGATAAACAAAGAATACTGCACTTTGAAACAAGTGCTAAAAGTTCAGCTAACGTTGAAGCAGCATTCATGAAAATTGTCCAAACCATTGCCGAATTTGATAGGTCTAATTATTTGTCAAGTAATACAATGAAAACTAGTACAATTAACTTACAGAAAATGGAGAAAAAAAGTGACAGTGAAAGAGCCTGTTGTTAGATAATATTACTATTTTTAAGTGCATAAATTAGCAATACTCAAGAGTTTTACCTATTATTGTAATAACGCTACATGTATGCTATGTTTCTTACTATTGTAAATATTTGCCCAGATTGTTACTGAGATGAGATGACTTGATTAATTAAATTTGGTTATAAATTCATTTAGTCCTCATTGACTGATTATTATTAATTGGTTTACAGATTTCGTACTTCTGTTTAATAGTAATACTCTTATATATTCTATTTATAAAGTTATAAATATAAAATTTGGTACTTTATCATAATGAATAATAGAAAGAAAGGATCTTTTTAAAAAGGCGTGTGCCTAAACTGCATAATGAAAAGTACAATGGTTGAATAGTTAAATAGTCTATAATAACCCGTGATTGTCACGTGGCTCTGTGGCTTAGTTGGTTAAAGCGCCTGTCTAGTAAACAGGAGATCGAGGGTTCGAATCCCTCCAGAGCCTTTTGCACTTTGTAGACTAGTTATTTACAATTTTTTCTATGATCTTACTTTTTTCGTATCTGAATTTTAATAAGGGAAAGTATATCTACCCAGAATAGATTATTATCTAATTATATCTTTGTCTTTTAAGTAAAAGTCTTTTTTGTGGTTAATTAAATTACAATAGGCGGCAACTTTCTGAGACCTTGTCAATAATGTACTTCATCTTTTGACTACTCTCATCAATATGTGAATACATTTAGAACTGCTTATAAATTTATAACATTCTAGTGTACGTACTGTCATCCAAGAGAAGACCTAATGTTCATAAACAACTCCAGATGTCGCTAGTAGATTACTTTACGAATAAAACTGGTTTCATATTCAGGACAAGGGAAAACACTCTGATGCCTTATTTTACTACAGACTGACTGCTTTCTATTTTGAGAGTTATTTAAATGGCATCAATACGAGATTATGATCAAATATTATGCATTATTTGCATGTCAAAAATACAAAATCCTTTAATGAGTAGAATATGTGGTCATTCTTATTGTGATACTTGTATTCTTTATCAATTGGCCGAAAAAGAAGTTGAATCGTGTCCTATTTGTTCGAAAGCGTTAAGCGAAAGAGATTTGGTGGAAAATATACACTTGAAAGACTATTTAAAATTACGCCAGTTTCATGTTAGTCTGAGACAATGCTCAAAATGTCATTCGGAAGGGATTTGTTCATTTCATAAGTTGTTGCGCAATGAGAACTCATTCGAAGATGACGAACTAGCGAAATTAGATTGTTTTGAAAAGACATTGAATGGTGATACTGATAAATTGCCATCATTTAGTATGATAAAAGATGAACTTGAATCAGACAAGCGTACATGTCAAATAGATTTGGAAACAGTTCGTAGAGCAGCTAGAGAATGTAATTTAAAACTATCTGAAGAGATGATGGAAGACGGTATAAATATAATTTTTATTCTTTATTTATAAAATTAATATAATAAAGCTTTTATTTTATTATAAAGATGAGATTGAAGAATCTAATCCAATGATTGATCGTCATATAGAAGATATTGAAAAAATTTTGTTATCTTATGGCAGGGAGTTACCATCTTATTTTCAAGATCTTGGTCCTAAAATATGTCAGATATCTACATTTAGTTTCCCTAATTTAGAAGAAGCTAATGGTAATTCAGATGTAGGAGAAGTAGAACTTTTAAAGCAATTAGATTCTCCACCACCTATCTTGAAGTCTATACCAGATGAAGAGTATAAATCAAAACCTGAAGCAGCTTTGAAAGATTATGTTAAATTGTGTTTAGGACATAAGTATATGTCCTCAAAAAATAAGCTAAGTGATTCTCCATCAATAAAAGAATTGGAAGATGCTTACGAGGAAAAGCAAGCTGAAGAAGCATCTCTTTCTGCCAATAAAAATGTTCGTAAAAGTGATTTTCAAAAAGGTATAGAAAGGATTATCTGTGCGGCAATTAGATATTCAAGTTTAGAACAATTATATAAATTTCATGGTACTGTAAATACCAACACAATAACTCCTAGTATTCAAACAATAAGCTTCAATAGAACTGGAGAGTTGTTTATTGCTGGCGGCACTATGAGATTTGTCAGAGTTTACGAATTTGAAAATATGATAAAATCACCACAGAATTTGGCACCTTATGTAAACAATTTCGATTGTCAGCATAGAGTGTTTTCATCTTGTTTCAATCCAGTTGAGGATGCAATCTTTATAACAGGGAATAGTAATGGTGAATTGACATGGTTCGACTCAGTTCATTGTTTGCAGAAAAGTATGGATAGTCTTGTATCATCTAGTCATTCTCAAAATCATGCTGTATTTTCATTGGATTGGTCTTCGTGTTTTAAAAATGTTTTGGCTTCCGCTGCAGCTGATTCAATTTTGAAAATATGGGATATCAACATATCAAAGCCAATTGTAAAGAGTATTAAGATAAAAGTAAGTCAAAACTTTGATAAGATTTAACATATTGATAATAATGCTGTGTTTGATTGAAACAGGATCCGATAAATTGTGTTCACTTCAACCCAGTGGACTATACATTATTAGTAGCCACAGATGCCTATTCTATTTTTACACTAGACTTTCGGATGTTGAAGAAAGAATCAAGGAATTTTAAGATTTACGCTCGTAAAATACCTTACGCTAAATGGATAGATCGTTCACATTTTTGTACAAGTTCCAATGATGGAACTGTTCGCTTGTGGCATAAAGATCATAACACTCCTCTTATGAAATATGAAGATCACAAACTCACTGAAAATTTTACAGGATTTGACGTAAAAGATGATCTAATAGCGGTCGGTAGCGAAGACGCTAAAGTTTACATATACGACAAACTATTGTCAAAGTCAATACTATCTCATGAATTTCAATTTTCCACAACCCTTATGCAATTAGGAGGCGACGATATAATAAGTGGTAGCAAATTAAATTCACTTATTCCTAGATCTATGACATGGAGGCCTAGGGTTTACCACGACGGACGAAATATTTTAGCTGTTGGAACAAGTACCGGCGAAATTCAAATATTATCACCAAAAAGAACCTACGAATCAGAAGACAGTTAAGATAATTAGTTCAATTAAATATTTGAACTTTCGCTAATTTTCTATTGTTAAAGAAGTTGAATTTTTTTTTTGTTAATTTTAAAAATTTCTCAAGTTATAAAAAATAATGAAAATCATTAAAAAGAATTGAATCTCGTTAAAATACATTGAAATATAGCTTTGTTTACCTTTTTTATTATTCCCTTCTATGTACAAATGATGCTTTTAATACTCTCGATATTCCATTAGTTATTTCATAATATGAGTTTCTTCTTGCTTTAGAGTATCCTGTAATACTAAAAATTACTATGGCTATTGCTTGATTTTGATTGGCTGGAGGGAGAAAATACTTAAAAAACAATATTTTTTATAAGTTTCAAATTAGAGACTATCACGTGATTTGATTACATGATAGGAGCAGACGACATAGTTCGTATAGCGAGAGGAAGTCAAACTTTGCTGAAAACGTTTTTCCACGTTAAGTTAACTTTGTTTAACTAAAGATAGAGGTATATGTTTAGTAATTTAAATAAGCTTTATTCGCCTGTAGGCTCTGGAATATTTAGAATAAACGAGTTTTTTTATCAGCAACTTCACCTTTTATCACTCCAAGTTTGAAAATTTACTAACGTTTACATTTTACCAATTTTTCAGTATTTTCATTAGAGATAATAGCAATAGGTCATGTCGCATCAAGAAATAGTAGAAAATCCCCTTTTATCATTGTTAATGAGGTCCGAGGACATTAATTGCGATGGCTTGGCAGAAACTTTTGAAGGGTCACTATCGGGATTGGGAATAGAGTCTAACACACATAATTATAATATGACGTAAGTTTGACTATTGAGTAATTCCTTAATTCTAAGGATTTTCCCAGAAAGTATTCTAGGTTCAACGTTCTATTTTAGAACGTCTTCATAAGTTATAGAATTTTACAAGTTTGGCGCCAAATTAATTTTAACGAAAATAGACGTTGTTTAAATATAAAAATTAAGGATATATGTATAAATATACTTGTTACTCTTATCAAATAGAATATAAAGAATAAACAGCTTCTATAAAATAGAAAAGTATACTTGACTATATTTTCTGTCTCGTTAAAACACTATAGTACATTGAACCAATATGACATAGAATGTTTTTTCTATTAAAATTTCTAGTGAAGCACTTCAAGCACTACCTAAATGTCGGGAATCGAGTATCTGCAATACTTCTTTCTCGCCAGACTGCTGCCTTACTTCTCCGTCTATTGAATCTAACGAAATAAATTTAGAATGCGAATTAATTGCACCAACATCAGCTGCAACAAAACAAACTGAAGAAACGTTAACATATCTTAATCAAGGTCAAAACTACGAGTTGAAATTATTTAGAGGCGATAATAGGTAAAAAAAAGTTTATAATAAACAAGAGAAGAAAGATTTGTCTAGTATAGATAGTTGTAAAATACACTATGTATTGATATTAAAATTTATCTCTTTTATTAGTATTCTGGATGAATGTTAATAAAAAAATAAATTATGCCTATTGGAATTTGAACTAATTTGATTATACTTCAGATTAAAATGGGGATATAAATTATTATATATAAACATATTATAAACTAAAAAGAAAACTCCTATTGCATCATTTTTAAAACTTTAATGTCTATTTATAACTTGAAATATAGCTTTTTATTATTTTCTTTTTTGTTTTATAGCTTAAATGATATGAAGAGTATTATAAGAATTATTTTCCACGAGAGAAAGATGCAATTTACAGAGAAAGAACTTCTTGATAGATGGAGGAACGAACATCCTGGTAAAAGATTTATTGATGTCGACCTACCACTTTGCTTAGGTCTTACAGATCTTAGCATTGATCCTGATGTTTTAAATACCGCGACTGTATTCTGGTATGAGAGTTGTTCTATTTCACTGAAAGTGCATTGTATAAGTACTGAATTCACTTTGAGAAAACACGGCGGGGAAAAAGGTGTTCCATTTCGAATTCAAGTGGAAACCTATGATAAAAATGAAGAAAAACTGTTGCATTGTGCCTCGTGCCAAGTTTGTAACGAGAAAAATAGCGTAAAACACTTGATAATAAAGCAAATTGTTGCAGATAAAAGTCTTTAAGCCAAAAGGAGCAGATAGGAAGCATAAAACTGATAGAGAAAAAATTGAAAAAAAACAAATTGATGAGCGAAGAAAATATCGACCAGTAGCAGCTACAACAATACTAAAACACATTCCATTGGAAATGGTTCAAAGCTATCATATTATGAACAACAAGAATCAAATACCTGACATTGACCGTAACGCTGAAATTGTATTTAATATACCAACTCCAAGTCCAACAGAAGTTGTCAAATTTCCATCAGAGTCATCAGAAATCATTAGTATTCAGTCTACAGCAGCAGAAGTTGTAGAATGGCTAAATAACAATAGGTAATTAAAGATTTATTACATCTACTGATTATAAAAGAAACTAACATAAACAACTAACATAAACAGATTTTCGGAGTATAGTAAGGTTTTCGAGAATTATGCAGGAAAGGATATATTGAGATTATCTAGAGGTGATCTAATTGAGATATGCGGAAATCTCGCTGATGGAATCCGTTTAAACAATGCCCTCCAATGTAAAAATATAAGACCTAGGTTAACATTATTCATAAGGCAAGAGAATACTGTCGATAAAAGGAATTGTGACAAGGATGATAGTCGTCTTTTAACCAGAGTTAGATCAGAAGGATCACTGCTTTTTACCAATGATGATTCACTTATAACTTCATTGAATAATTTTCAAGAATCATTACAAGTTCGATGTCATTTTCTTATAAGTTTTTCTTTTTGATTTTCATTATTAATTCATTTCCTTTTAATTTTTGATAATTTGTGAACATTTTTATGGTTGGATTTATTTTTTTTTCTAGCAACAGGATCCTAAACCATATAGGAAGGTTGTGAAAGGAAAACGAACTAATTGCATAGGTATTGGTCTTAAGGAGGGTCCAATAATTAATTGCGCAAATCCGAGATCAAAACGCCATAAAGATGATAGCGATATTTCGGACGATGAAGCCTATTATCTAAAGAAGCAAAAGAAGAATAGGGTATTATCAGAGGATAATACATATCATGCCCTTCATTTGAATGATCTCGATCTTTCTTCCTTAAGAGATGGTTTAGCAGAGTTTTTTGGCGAAAATAAGAATTCTTTTAAAGAAATCTATACAATTGAAGAAGAAGGAATATTCGTTTGTGTTTGCGATGAAGTTATTCGAAGTATAAAAGATAGATCTAAATTCTCAGTAGAGTTCAGTCAAGATGAAGAAAAAGGTGACTTAAAGGTTTTTATGCGTTATATAACATAAATTATTTAATTTGAATCATTTTCTTCTCCAATCTTTCATTTATTTTCTCTATTTTTTCTTACAAAAAACAAAGAAAACTCGTTTGTGTTTGTTGAATATTTATCCTAAGTAATAGTTTGTTAGGTGGAAACATTAGGTTCCCAGATTTATAACCAATTGAAATGTTAAAAAGAAAACTCTTGACATACTTATAATAAACCATTTAATTTTTATTTAAGCTGTATCAAGGAACTCAGCCTTTTAACTATTTTCTTATAAATAATCTTTTTAATTGAAAAAAAAATCAGTGTGGAAGATGAATACGCCTATAAAAATAAACGCAATAACATTTTTAATATTATACGATAGAGAGAAAAACAAAAAATAAATTCTACAAATGCGATTTAGACGTACAGGGAAATTTATTTATTATAGATAAATATATATATGAATATACTAGCATACTAATACAGGTTTATATACTGTATATCCATATATAGATCACCTATTTATATACAATTCTTTCTTTCTGCTCTTTCGATAACAAATGATTTCTTTAAATGCATCAGTAGAAACTATTTGAATTTATATATATATATATATATATATATATACTACTATATGTATTGATATATATATACATACAGTATATATATTAATATATATATATATATATGTGGTACATTTGTGAATATACTGTTTTTAGTCTTGTATTTATTAATTACATAACTTTGCACTTGTCTTGTTGCTCGTCCTTCTGCATTCGATCATTTAACTCTCTTCCAATGCTTTCATCGTCAGCAGTCTCTTGTTCGTGATTGTCCATACGCTTCGATAAAGCTTCTCGCTCGTCTACAATATTAACGAGCTCATCTAATAAGTTTTGTTCCCGATTTCTTTGTTCCTCATTCTTTTGCCAATCTATAATTTAACGATTGAGTAAATTTAGACAAATACACACAGCATATATAAACTATTTAGAACTATGTTTACCTGGAAAAGAATTTAAATTTCTTAGTTTCGTATTGATACTGTTTTGTCTTTCAGTCAACTCTTTAGCTTTTTCCCTATAAAAATATCCAATTTTCATAAAACTAGAAGTGAGATTAAAAAATTTTATCGATTAACTTACTGTAAATCGAGAAATTCAATTCGTCGATGGAGTGCGTTCTTAGCATTGACGAATTGAACTTGTGCACTTCTTAAATCACTATCATCTTCACCTTCTTTTTGAGCTTCTCTAATTTTCTCTAAGATTTCCTCTAATTTTTTATCCATTCTAACTTGCTCTTGTTCCAACTGCCGTCTCTCATCCTCCAAACTCATTTCTTGAGATGGGCTTTTTAGCTCGACTGACGGTTTTTTATACTATAGTAAAGATTATTGAATTATTGATAATAAGTAGTTTAAATACTTTAATTTCGAAGCAAACCTGTTCAATTAGTTCTCTTGCTTTTGTCTGCAATTCTTGTTGTCTTTCGAAAGACATATATGATTTCTTTTCTAATGATTTCTTAACAGTAGCAAGATAGGCTATTAAGCTTTCCGAATCATTTATCTTTGATGGTTTACTAATATTTTCAATTTTAAATAACGCTTCTATGACTCTATTGAGAGAAACAGGTGCAGTTAAATAGGGAGCCGCATGAGGTATATAGTGTCGGGTAATGATTGTGAGAGCCCGTCCATCCCTCCAAGAGCTAAAGTTTAAATCATTAATAGTAACGCCAAATTTCTTACATATGAAGGAAGACCATGCTAATATTTCCTCTTCTTGTTCACTAAAACGAAAAAAAAAGATATAATAAAACACGTTGACAAGGAGAAATAATTAAGTCATAAATTATTATACTATATTTATACAATATATATATTTAGAGTATATAATCTATATTAAAAACTCCTATTTCTAATTATCCTCTCTCCATAAGTATCTGGTATGGCCAGCGAATTGTTACTATTCCTTTTTTAGCTTTATTTTGTCTGTTAGTGTGTCTGTACCTCTCTATCTCTCGTTCGTTTCAAGAATCTTATCTAGATTCTATCAGTTTTTTCTCCATATCAGACAATCAGAAAAAACTTGAATGAAAGAGTCAAGGTCGATAATATTAGCAATTTCATGTTGCGAATATTATCAATAAAAAAATCGACATTGAATTGTGAATAATATAGGATTACGGGAGAGAAAAAATATACGAACCATCTGCTATTCTCCACAGCTGCTACCCCATTTGAGAACGAGGGAGTAGAATTTTGAGATTCCCTAGTATAGTCTGAGTTACCATTGACAAAAGGATTGGTCTCATTTTGAATATTCGAAGAGTCATTCAGTTTATTTATATTGTCACTAATCTTCTCTCTGATTTCACTATTAGATAATATCTTATCATCCTTTCTCACTTCTATATTCTCTTTTATTCCCTCTATCTCTTTTTCTTCTTCCTGTTCCTCCTCTTCTTCTTCTTCAATAATTTCCTCTTCTATTCTGACATCATATCTGTCTTCCGATCTAATTTCTAACGTTTGAGAAGTTATAAAATTTTTCTTGGCAGATTCTTTTTCGTATATGGAATATCCTTTGAAGATATCTTCCCCCTCTTGTTCACGTTCTGAGAAAATAGAACTGTTAGTTTTAAGTTTTTGTTCTTCGCTTAATTTCTCGGGTGAGTTATCTCTTGAGTTTCTGGTAGCGTATCTTGCACTCAAAGTATTTTCGACAGGACTAGACGGGTTTTCAAAATTATTTATACAAAATGCGTCCACTTCCCTGGACATTTCTTCTAATTCATCATTGACAGACATGTCGTTCTTTTCTTCTTCAAAAGTATTATTCAAATTGGTTTCGGGCGAAAGAGCTAATCTCTTCCTCAATTCTTCTAAATCGATACTGTAATCGAAGGGAGTTTCCTCTCCCTTCTTTGGTAAAAATAAATTATTTGGTGGAGCTACTTTTAGTGGTGTAGGTGAAGGCACAGGCGACGGAGAATGAGACTCTTTCAGACTTTCTATATTTGAGAAAATCTCCAGAACATCCTCATTCCTTATACCATTAGATGTGGGTAATGTCACCTCCTCTTCAACGTCTTCCATATTAGCAACGTCGTTAATTCTTGAGCAATCCGATGACGCTAGACTCCTTAGATCATCATCAGTCGCTAATGCTTCGGTTATTAGTGCCGTAGATATAGTTAATTGTATACCAGCACTGAAAAGGTTCATAGTAGTGAAAATCGATTGATATTTATGACAATTATCAACTATTAGTACACGCTTTTTTTTTGTAACAATTACTAAGTATCTTTTTCACTAAGACTATAATCTATTAGGCATTGTAATACTTAATAATTGTTAAATTAAATTAAACTAACCTTTGACAATGTAATTTCTTAGCCTCCATTGTAATTTTTATTTTTTGTTGTACGGACTGGGTAGGATCAACGTGTTTAGAGAGATCCAAATAGGCTTGGCCCATCTCTTTATGTTTACCGTTCTTCTCTCGACCAAGAACGGTTACTTTCCATAATTTAGCATCAAATATAGTAGAATTTGCCAATCTAAAGAGAGTTACTCTAGCTTCTATATTACAAGGCGTTGTCCATTCCGCAACACCGAAATAAGGGTCGGTAACCTGAGGTTGCCAACTGGCCCAAGCGGTTTCGTGCTTCTGACGTCCAGATTTACACTTTACTCTTACTTCTGATGGCTGCCAATGACTAGTTGTTTTGACTTCGATTAGATCGAATGAAAGGGTTACTCTCCATTTGGATGCCCTTTTTCTCACTCTCTTCAAGTTCTGCCAAACAGAAGGCATCCTTTTTCTTCTAGCCTCTATAAAGTGTAAAAGAATAAATTAAATATTTAGAATTAAGATGCAGTCTATTAAAAGATCTAGTAAAAATTCTAGCTAAATTAACCTTCCATCTTAATTAGGTAGTAATCATAAAAATGATATTTTATTGTTTCTTAACTAAATTCTTTTGGCAGCCATGAAACCAATATGCATAGGAGAATGTAAAAATTCATAGACCTATTTAAGACTGGCCAATTCGAGCTGCGTAGGTTTTTTTTTTGGCCACTCTATACGCAATTTTTTACGTATAAAATTATAAACAATGATACCGGGAAAGTCCTGTTTATCGTATTACTGCATTTAAAAACAATTATCTTTCTTTCTTTTTTATCAAAACGGGAAAAGCAACATAAAAAAAAATAAATCTAATAATTAAGTTTAACATAACATGATACTTTTGTATATATGTATGTATATATATATATATATATATATATATATATATATACTAATATATAATGTTATAGCAGTATATATGGATGACTAAGTTTGTTTCTTTATTAATAAAACCTGGTAAAAAAAAAATACATCTGTCTTTAGTTACAAACTAAATTTTTCTTTATATATTTAATATATAATATTCTCGAATAGAAGAGACAAACTCTATTATAATAATAATAATAATAATAATAAATTAATACTTCTAAAACAACAAACTTAAATGAATCTATAATAAAATATAATTAAGTAGTCCTATACACATAAACGGTATGTATATATATATATATATATATATATATATATTTATAAATATTCTATCATATAAATTACCTTGCATGTCTTGTTAATCAAGCTATAGTAAATACTTCAAAGTAATTCTAGCTATTTTTGAAGAGTAGCGACTAATAACTATAAAAGTAGACGCAATCTGTTCTATACAACGACATATAAAAGTTAGAGATACGTCTATGTGTAACATATCAATTATGAATTATTAAATTATGCAATTAAATTAAAATATGTTAACTTTTCAATTAAATTTAACATGATCATTGCAAACATTGCGATTGTTTTAAGGAGATTTTAAAGATCTAAAACCTCGAAATTGATAATCATATCCGGTTCTTGTAATAATATTAATAATATGTATAATTCTATAAATTTCAATGACTAATGGTTATTCATAATTTCTAATATATTTTTTTTTATATAGAAAATTTAAAATTCAACTCACACTATTGTAATCTGGTTATTTTTTTTATATATATCCATACATATGAACAAGTATGAGTAAGATACCTATAATTGTAATTATTATTAAAGATAACTCTTATTAATGATTATTCTATGAGTTTGAGTTATTAAAATAATATTTCTAGTACCTATTTTCCTCAAAGACGAAGGCGGAGTTGAGAAATGCTATTGATTTTTTTTTTTTTTATTTTTGAAACATGTTTCTCTATCTCTATCTCTATCTTTCTTCCTTTCTCTCTTTCTCTACCCGTTAATAAAAACAAATAAGAAAAAGTCTTTTGCTTCTTTCTCAAATTTTACCAAGTATTATCGGTCAACATGAATTGTTGAACTAAAAAATTCATATGAAATGCTTAATTTTAATATGTTACTACTTCATATACGAAATTGATTGTTAAGTCTGGAACGGTCCACGTTTCAGCATTTATAACTTTAATATTGATTACGTTAGCTCAACTAAGTTTCTAATAAGTGAGATCAAACTATCTGAATATTATAGATAAATTTTTATCAGATGTAGATCAAAGAGATTGAAGGAGAGTATTGTAGGCTTTTACCACCCACAGGAGCAAGCATTTCATATTGAAGATTCTATAATCCCCCATTTCTCGAGGCTGGTGCAAAGTACTAACGATATTATCGCGCATGTTCTTTTCACGGTACAAGATGTCCTTAATTACCCAAGTCGTTCTGGTTATTTAATATGGGTAATGTGTAACGGCCATACGTTGTTTTCTTCATATAATCCTTACAACTAAGTAAAGGGGTTGTTACCTCGAAAGTATATGACCTTAAATTAAATAACTGACTGTAATTATTGATAAGACTTATCTAAAAATGAATTACTACTGATTAAGCCGAAAATTCATCATTTACCTCACCAATTGGCAGTAATCCGAAGAAATAAAATTTAAAGAATTTAATTGAATGTCTCACATAAATAAGATGTTGGAAAGGTGAAATCTTGAAACCAAATTCTTGTGAATATTACAGCATTTCTTGCTCTATGAATTTGCTAGCCTGTTTATATTGTTGGCGTCATTTTCGTATTCAATTGAAAATTTTCTTGATTTTTGTTAGTATTTTAAGTTTTAAGTAATGTACATTATTATTCGCTTATTTATAAATTACTAGATACATTTAATAAAGTAATAATAATACGAACAATAATAATGATAAATATATATATAATACATATACAGTATGTCTAAATGTTGATAAAGACACCAAAAAGAGTTCTAAAAGACGCTGTCCATAAACAAACTGCTCACATGACTGATCCTTGGAATTTTACTCAAGAGTTTAATCAAAGTAATTTGAAATCAGAACATTAATATAAATCTATCAAGGAAGATGATTGAAGAAGAAGATTCGGAAAGGACAGCTTTATTGACAGACCGAAACTATAGAATAGTAAATCTTAGACAGAGCGATAATGGAACCATGGGAACTTATAAAACTTACAAAAGACGATGGATCATATTATTTGTCCTTTTCTTAACCAGTTTATCTAATGCAATGGTAAATTAAATGCTTAATTGAACTTCGCTTAAAGAACGATGTTTTATACTTTAATTAGATTTGGATTTCGTATTCACCTATTGCTGATAAAGCTGCAAATTTTTATAACGTTAGTGCTAAGTCGATTAATTGGTTTGCTCTAATATACATGGTTATTTGTATTCCTTTTGGATTTTGTGCAGCCTGGCTTTTGGATACTCGGGGACTTCGCATAACAGTTTGTTATAATTCTACATTCCCGTTGAGTTTAAAAATGTATTTATCTTTGTCTAATCCTTTTTTAGTTGCTGTTGGCTGCCTATTTAAATGTACTTGGCAGTGGTCTACGTGTACTGGCATCATTCCTTCCCAAAGGAGAGTTTTCAATAGCCATAACGGGACAAGGAATAGCTGCACTTGCTCAACCTCTTGCCGTCTTTGCTCCAACCAAATTGTCAGCTCTATGGTTCTCAGAACATCAAAGAACACGAGCGAATACCGTAGCTTCTATGGGTAAGAATCCTATATAACTGCAATAGGTTTAGTGTTTAAGATTTCTTTTACCCTCAATTAGCTAATCCAGCTGGTGCATTATTAGGAAGTTTGATAGCCCCAGTGATTGTATATAATAATGACCGACATTTGATTGGTTACTTGGTATTATTGCAGAAAAAAGGATGTCAAATTAATAATTTTATAATTTAATTTTTAGAATATTGGTTGCCTTGGTTTAGCCGCTATACCGGCTATTCTAGGAACTTTTACAGTATGCAGTTCTATTCCACCAAGCCCTCCATCAGCTTCAGCTGCCGAACCTTCTCAAACTTTTTTCAGAGGTCTTAAAATGGTTGGTAATTTCTCAATTTTTAATTTTATTATATATCTTTTATACTTTTCTAGTTGAAATCAAATAAACCTTTCTGGTTGTTATGTCTCTGTTTTGGTTCTGGTCTGGGAACATTTACAGCTGTTTCAGCTCTTATTGAACAAATTCTTTGCCCTTGGGGATACAATAGCGTGAGTGTTTTAATAGAGTACGACAAAAAAATTCAAAGAAACAAAAAAAAACAAAAACAAACGGCAAAAAATCTAATATACATAACAAATTTTTAACAGCTTTTCGCTGGAATTTGTGGAGCATTATTAATAGTGTTCGGCTTAATCGGATCAGCCATCATTGGTCAGATTGTCGATCGAACTAGAAAATTCGAAGAGATTGTAAAAATTGGATTTTCTTTCGCATCGATAGCATTTCTGGCTTTCGTCGTTGTTCATCATTATACTGATATAAAAGTTGCAGTTGGAGCTTGCATTTCACTTTTCGGATTGTTTGCGGTGTCTCTATATCCAGTTTGTAACGAATTAGCCGTTGAATGTACATTCCCTGTTGCTGAGGGTACAAGTTCTGGTTTACTTTTTATCGCTGGGTAAATAAAGTTTAAACAAGATATAGAATCTATAGTATACTGTATAGTTATTTTTTTATTTTTTCTAATTAACAGTCAAGTTATTGGAGTTGTTATGTTGCTTGTGAGTCAAGCCATGGCTTCAGCGTCTCCTGTATCAACGCCTTATCAGCAGTGCGAAGCAGTTAGTCAAAAATACGGGGTTGAACCATACGATTACACATGTAAATATTATTTATTTAAACTTTAGCTACTACCACCGCCCTTTTTACTAAAAAAAAATAATTCTTATCTAAACCAGATGCTCTGTTATTCATGGCTATCATCTTATCACTATGCACATTATCCTTGGTGAGCTTCTTTCGATGTACCTATAGAAGATTGAAAGCAGAAGAAGAGCTGGCTGCCGAGAATATTCTTCAATCAGCTGTTCATCGCAATTAGCTTTCGATTATCTAGATATCTGGAAATAAATAATCTAGCTACCGATTCACTTCCCAAAATTTTATATAATTCTCTTTTATACAAGAAAATTTTATTGATGTCTTTAAATATCTTTTCATGTTTTTAAAGTGAAATCTGTTTATCTGCTATTTTGCTTTTATATTTTATACATTTTAAAAGCGACGATAATAATTATACATCATTTTATAGAGCGAATACAGTTTGACATCAAATTGAATAATTATATTAGTTGCATTTTTTCTGTCAACTAAGAAAAAGTTATTTCGAGAGTAGGATTAGGACTATATCTTATCCTAATATGACCATAATCAATTTACTAGATATAATGGATAGTCAATACTCTATATACAGTATTAGGTGAAGAGAATAAATTCTGGTTGAATGATTACAAGTATTAAAAGAATCTATAAAAAGTTTAAGAGTAGAATTTATTAAAATAAAATGTAAAAAATTTTTAATAACAACCAATTGGACGGATTTAATATAATCACTTTAAAAGAAATCTATAAAATGTAAACTTTTCCGAGTCTCTGTCGAATAAAATTTGGATAGGATAATAAAATTTTTAATACATATACATAGAAAAGTTCTGAAAGAAAGATTCTATACTCAACAACAAAAAATTCCTAGAAAAGTAATCTAATTTTCAAGTAATTAGAGTTATTCTTCATTTTGTGAGAAATTGTGCCTGTATGAGATATTGAAATATTATTTCCTATCTAATAGTTGACGTCTCTGCTGTTGTAATAAGCCTTCTAAGTGGTCAGCTCTTTTTAAAGCTGCATCATATTGCTGTCTTAGCTGTTTTACAATTTCTTCCTTCTTTTCTACAGCTGCTTTAACTCTTTTATGAACTTCTTCCATCTCAGCTTCTTTTGCTTTTTCAACTTTTTCGATTTGTTTTTTAACATCATCTAACTCGGCTTTATGCTTTGCCTTACATTCGGATAGATCATTTTTCAAGTTTTTACTCTCTTGTTCCGTTCTTGCTATCTTGTCAGCCAATTCTTGGCGAACGACATCTTCAAAATTTGACTTTTCTTTTTGAAGTGTTTCAAGAAGGGATTTTAAATCGTCAATTTCTCTTTCTTTCTGTTTAACTGTAACTCTTAGAGTCTCATTATCACCTTGAACTTGAAGTAACTCTTTTTTAATTTCCAAATACTTTCTATTAATGTCTTTCTCAGAAAGTTCCAATTGACTCATTTCCTTTTCATACTTGTCTCTTAATCTTTTGATACGATTTTCAGCAACTCTTTCGCACTCTTCCCTTGATGACCTATATGACGAAAATATGCATATTATATATTTAATGCAACAGGTTATTTGCCTTATTCTATTCATTTACCTATTATCCTCCTCTAATTGGGAAATAACCATGTCTATCTCCTTATCTCTTTCCTTCCTGGCTTTCTCTTTCAGTTCCCGTTCCTTGGCCGAAGTCCACGTATCCTGCTTCCTCATTAAATTTTCCATGAAGCTCTCTTTTTCAGCTTCCATTTTTTCCTTAATTTGACGTATTTCTTCCATATGCCTCTTTTCCTGTTCATCTCTTGCGGCTTCGTACTCTCTTCTCGTTGCCTCAGATGTCACTCGGGCATTTTTTTCCAGCATAAGCTGTTGCCTATCCGCTTCTTGCTTCATTCTTGAGTTTTGGGCGGCCAGTCGATCTTTCTCCTCAGCTATTTCAGCAAAGAGGCGTCGACGCTGCTGCTGAAGGGCTTCTTCTTCACTACGAATTTGCTTCTCATAAGTTTGACGGGCAAGTTCTCTTTCCCTTGCACAAGCAGCTTCCTTTTCCTCTGCGAGTTGATCCCTGAGTTCTTCAATCATTTTTACATATCTCTTAGCAGCTCTTTCGTCAGCTTCCAACAGTTCAGCCTCCTGTATACTCTTTAATTTTTTAATCTCTGATTTGTGATCGGCAATTAACTTTTGAATTTCTGGTTCTAAACCTTTTACTGTCATTTCTTTAATTCTTTTTGTTTTTTCATCAATCCACCGCTCTCTTCTTAATTTTTCGGATGCACTAGCAATTTCTTTAACTTTTTTTAATTCTATATTATGCTGTTCAGTTACATTTGTCAGTTTGTCTGTGTATTTTTTATCTTTCGTTTTCATTTCTACAACAAGTTTTTCGCATTTTTCACTCAGTATCTTTTTGTCATCTATTAACTGATCAATGAAGCCGAGATGACGTTTAACTGTTTCTTCATATTCAGCTTTTTGAACGTCTAGACGTTTTTGCATCTCTCTTTCAACGTCCTTGGCATGTCTTATTGTCAATTCTCTTTGTTGATCTAAGGCTCTTTGAAGCATCTTTATTCTTCTGGATTTATCTTCGACCTGATTAATCATAATCAATTTAGTATTATTAAATTATATAATATTTAATCAAGCATAAAATTGGATTAGTTACAAACCTGAATTTTTTGAGATAAAACGGTCTGGGTCAGTTCGTTTGCCGTAGCTGTTGCTTGCTCCAACTGTTCAATCTCTTCGGCTGACGGAACTAATGGAGCAGAATCAGGAACAGTATCCAGTTCTAGCTCATCGAATCTCTCCCTCGTTTCGATATGATTTAGGTATGACATAATGCTTCTAAGTTTATCATCTGACAAATGAGGATTAGGGAGATCTTCTGTCTTCTTTTCTTGATTTGGAAATGTCTTCGGTTCTTCTAATTCTTCTAAAGTTGCTATTAAATCAGTGAACGTTGTTCTTGACTTTGTCGTTTTATCTTCCTCCAGTGTTCTTTCCGTTTGAGGTTGATTTTCATCTTCTTCATCGAAGAATACTGGTGAAGCCATTTTCTTCTTCACTATTGCTTCATCGTCTGAATTCTTTTTACCAGGCTGTCCGAAAAAAGAATCAAGAGTTCCATCATCGCTAGGAGCATTGTCTATAGCTTTCTTTTTTCCATTATCCTTTTTAACTTCAACTTCCTTATCCTTTTTCTTTTTGTCAACTATCTTTCCAGAATCCTTCAAGAATTTGATTTCATCTTCAGCTAATTTTTTCTTTTCTTCTCGAGCCATCTCTCTCTTTTTATGTAATTCCTTAATAGCTTCTTGTCGTGCTTTTCTTGCCTTTTCTTCGCGCCTCTTTTGTTTATCTTTCTCCGTCTCATCACTTCCGTTGAGCTGAATGTCTCTTTTTTTTGAGACAAGAAAATTTTTCAAAATATCTTTACTCTTCTGACGCCTATACCAATTTTGTATTATGCTGGCTGCTAAATCCTGTGTATATTTATGTTTAATCTTTTTTCTTACCGGCACTATCTTTGTTTGAGCTTTTAATTTTGGTTGACTAAAAACGCTTTCATTGTTGTCAATCGTACTAACACTCCTCGCACTGTTCAACCTTAAATTTCTAGATTTTGAGTTAAAAAAAGCTGACAGATCCTCGTCTTTTGACGACGGTTTTGTTTTAGAAACTGATCGAGTTGATCTTGCTGAGTGTTCTTTTTTCGATCGAGTTGTAGATATACTATTCGAAACAACCGAATGCCGAGTTGACGTAGGCGCTTTTCGAGCCGAACCGATTTGTGATCCTGATAAACTTAGAGTAAGGCTATTTGCCGTATTCGACGGCTTTCTGGACATTATTAGAGTCTTACTGTCATAGAAGCGAAATAACAGAAATGTTGAAACCGGATGTTGACATTGGAATGTGTCAAGGATATTTTCGTATAAGGGAAAAAGATTTACGACTTTTCCTACAGATACTTATTTTTCACTGCTGCCACCTACATAAAAAATGAGATGTAAAAAACGAACAGGAAACTTTAAACAAACTTGCTGTTCATTTCACATTAATTTAAAAATTACCTATAAAAGAATTAAACAATTTTTATTTATAAGTACAGTTCACTTTTTGTTCTTTAACCAACGAAATATACTGTCTCTAACTTTCAAATTACGAGAGGGTTTTGTTGAATTTCTGCGATACTGACTTGAGCGTCTTCTTTCCCACATACTATCGTCAAGAAGAGAAGGAATTTCAAATGCTGTATCCGAACTATCGTTATTGTCTATAGATAGTCTGATATCTTGAAGATTGTTTTCTAAAATATCGTTATATTTAGGCAATTCGTTAACTTTTCTACTTTTATCATTTGATTTGTACGTCTCTGTTGTTTTCATTAGTTCATCTTGTTTTTCTTTAATTTTTCTCTCAAGAGCAACTATTTCTGGGTCATCTTCGTCGTCTAGTAAAATATGTATCAATTCAGAAAAGGAGCAAAACCAGCAACTTTTGATCGACTCCTTTTCTTGCCTGGGTATTGACCTTTTTCTATATAAATTTGGTTCATAATTGCCTTTCGTTTCCCTTTCCGATTGATTTTTATTATTTGATGGACTAATCAAGGCTGATCTTTGTACTCTTGAATTTTGTCTCAAATCCGAGCTATATGTTTCATCACTGGTAGAACTAGTTGTCGAATATTTACTTTCACCTCTACAGAAACTTTTACTGTCATTTTGAGAAGAACACGCCATAGTTTTTAATTTGGTTGAAGCATCTGAAGTATCTTTTGTCACTGATGCTGTAGCAAAAGAATTTGAAGATTTTCTAGAACTATTAGTAATAGCATTGGAATATTCTTTATTGGAGACTTCTGCCTCTTGTCTTGACTGTAAATGTTGTAGATATTATATGAAAAGAATTGGTAAAAAAGCTTTAGGCTTACAGGAATTGCTTTTTTTAATATAGATTTCCTTGGTAAATAAGTATTGTTGGATGTAGTGGTTATTGTTGCTTCAGTAACAGTAGTTGTACTTGAACTTTCAGACTAAAATAGTTAATTTATCAGAATGTTAAAAGGTAATTGATCGTAATTTAATTACTATTATATTAGATTCGTCTAATGAGGAATCAGACGATGAGGTTGTTCTTAGGAGGCTCCCCTTACTCTTTTGACTTTTCAGCGATCTGCATTCCTTAATAATAGGTAATGCAGTTTCTTTCATCTTGTTTTTTTTCCTTTTTTTACTTTTATAAAACATGACTGGTTTACCATGTTTAATGCATTTTGGAATGATTGTATTAGCAACCTCTTGAACTGATTCGGTATTTATGCTTTTTGTATTATCTGCTAAACTTGTTGTTTCATCTGTTTTACTCGTCTTTCTACTTGTTGTATCACTACTAGATAACGAATTACCAAAGCCCTCAGGCGACGTTTCATTCTTAGACGTATATGTAGGATTTGTACTTGTACTCGAGTTTTTATTCTCAGTAGAAGTTTCTGGGGTGGTCGATTGAATGAGCGAACCCTTCTCAAAGTTCCAGGAAAGTCTTCTATTAGATTCTCTCCTTTCCTGTAGGCCTGTATTAGCTTGATTTAACGTATCTTTAATGTTACTACTAGCTTCTTTAGAAATATTTCTTTGGTTAGATTCTGCCGAAAATTTAATTGTTTTGAAGGGTTTTTTAAGTAATTATACCTATAGAAATATATTACTAAATTACTTGAAACACCTTTCTTTTGAAGATTTTTCGTTTTACTTGTACTAATACTCAAATTTTCATTTGTTAGTTTATCTTCACAACAAGCACATTGGCATTTGCAAACTACCTTAATTGGATGATATGTAGGTGATATTTCAATTTCTTTCTCTGTTTGGGTGTCTTTAGCTTTGAAATTTTTCGTCATTTCTTCTTGAAAATAATTGAGTTTAGCTTTATCTAATGGATAATTCATACAGATATCAGTCTTCATCTCCCGATTTGAATCATTGTTCAAAGCTTTCTTTTTTAAATCCATTGAATTAATAAGCTTTGTGAAATTATGATAAGATATTACATGATCTTTACTAAGATTAGATTTTGTAGAATGTTCTTTAGTTGTCGAATCTATATGTAAATGTGAATTCTTTTCAGTTTTAATTAAACTACGATCCTTTCTATATGATTCTGTTCGTATTTTTTCCAAAGAAGCACTTTCATCTTTCAATTTAAATAAATCTAATTTTAAACTTTTATTCAATTTTTGCCTTTGATCTATAGAGCTTTTCAAATTGTTTATATACTTTTTTGTAGATATTATTTGCTTTCCTAAAGGAATAAGATAATATATATTTCTAAGCACCTCAAAGTATTTAAACCATGTTAACATAGCTTGAACGTACCTTTAACATCAATTGTTTTGCATAATTGTCTTAATAGATCAGTGGTATTTTCTAAATTGATATGCAATTCTAGATTAGACTTTTTTACTTTATGATATTCTTTTATTTGTTCTAAGATCTTATTTTTTAAGTCTAAAAAGCTTTTTTCTTTGAATTTATTAGACATTATTTATTAGGGTATAACCCTAGCAAATTGTATAATGTCTTGGCTGAGTAAAATTTTGATATGAAAAATCTGTTTAAATTGATCTAATTATGATAAAAATGATTCATTTTCACTTGAAATTTATCTTTGTTAATAACTCATCTGAGCCGTTTGAAAATGTTCACGTATAAAACTTTTAAAAAATGCTACTCTAAGCAAAATTTGATTAACTTTATGAAAAAAACATGCTTTACATTTATTTCTAAAATTCTTTTATAAAACTAATCGATTTATAAATGCCATTTTTAGAAGTTTTATTTTTACGAAAATAACTGCTCCGGAAGTCACTATTATTCTTAATGGCGGATCTGTTATGATGAGTGATCAATACACGTACAATTCCCAAGAATTACATTCATATCGTTTACATCAACTAGAAAAAGAGAGTGAATCGTAAGTGGTATCACTTATCTACAATTCTTGTTTCAAGCAATTGAATGTCAACTGTTCCGAGTTTATATTTGTGTAATTGTGGAGCGAGATGAACCTGATAAAATCGTGAGTGTAACTCATTATTTCACTATTAATACCGCCACTAGTACGAATCTTTTCCATCTTAATAATTCCTCTTAGTGAATCCTATTGGAGCGACGACCAAGTCACTGTGAGGTAAACCTTGTGTAGTTTGCTTAAGTCGATCGCTCTTTCAATGCAATCTCGAATAGGCTGCATTGATTTAATTTTGCAAGTTTTTAATATATTATTTTTTGTTTGAAACGCACTTGCGGATTGTTCTTTTATTTTCAATTAATGTTCAAAAGAATTTATTATCTTCAAAAAGTTCTTATAATTTGTATTTTTAGGTATGGATCATCGAATAGGAGGTCGGATGAAATTCCGTTAATGGTGAGTGATGACGGTTTTGACTCAGATGAAAGTGAATTTCTCATTCAACCCCGACGACAGAGATCGGACCGAACCGGGTGCTGCAGCAAGATCTTTTCGTTCTTTACAAATTGTTGCAACAGGTTTTTATTAGCACATTCCCTTCCCTTATTACAGAGCACTGACCATTTTACCTCCCTTTCTCTCTTTACTGACAAATATCTTAGCTTGCTATCCTATATTCATATTTACTTCCATATTTCTTTCAAAAATCTATCTATGTAAGTCCTAAAAAAATTGCTCACCTGTTGCACGTAGGTTATCCGAGGGTTTGGCAAAATCTTGCCGAAAGGAGAAGGAATACAAGTCAAGATCAGTGTTAATCGGAAAAGAGAATAGTAAATATGCCGAAGTCTTTCCTCCAAATATTATTAGAAATCAGAAATATAACATCTTCACTTTTATACCATTGGTTGGTGTTTCTTTAAGAAAAATATGCTTTCAGTTATGTTAAAGATGGCTAAATGTCTTACTCTCTTTTCTCTTTTTTGTGCTTTTTTATAGGTACTTTTCGAACAATTTCGATTCTTTTTGAATCTCTACTTTTTAATTATGGCCCTTTCACAATTTATTCCTGAAGTTCGCGTTGGATATTTATATACATATTGGGGACCATTAGTAATTAATTTATCATATATAATATTATATTAATTGTGTACATGATTAATATTGTTAATTGATTTAAAGGGATTTGTAATTTCTGTTACTATGCTAAGAGAAGCAATAGATGATATTCGACGTTATAGAAGGGATAAAATAATTAATGGTGAAAAATATAAAAAATTGACTCCAAATGGAGTAATTAAGATTTCAAGTTCAGAAATTCACGTTGGTGATTTAATTATAATAGAAAAAGTATGTCCATAATATATATTTATATACATTCAATAATTTATTGTTACTACGATATTGTAATCGACATTTGTGTATCTATTTACAAACAAACTAAAATTAGGATCAGAGAGTTCCTGCAGATGTAGTATTTTTGCGAACTACTGAAAAGAATGGGTCATGCTTTATTAGAACAGATCAGCTTGATGGTGAAACTGATTGGAAGTTAAGACTAGCTATAAGTAATACGCAACAACTACAATCGGACGAAGTAAGATATATATATATTTTTAATCATTCTAATTTAATTTCCCCCAATACTTCCCTCATCAGCTATCAGATTCAATAGTTTTATATATTTTTACTTATTTATTTATAGGAATGCTTTAATATTAATGCGCAAGTTTATGCTGAAAAACCTCAAAAGGATATTCATAGTTTCATTGGTACTTTTAGCAGAGTAAGTTTAAAATAGGAAGATACTTATCTGTTAAGATTTATTAAAATTAATTAAAAAAAACTATTTATAGTCTGATGAAAGTAGTTACGAAGATTCTTTAAATATCGAAAATACACTGTGGGCAAATACTGTTGTTGCTTCCGGCACTGCCTTAGGTATTGTTATATATACAGGTAATGAAACTAGAAGCGTTATGAATACATCTCAACCAAAAAGCAAAGTTAGTTTAAATTATTTTATTATGATAAATATTAAATACAATTCATGTTTCAACATTAGATTGGTCTTTTGGATATTGAGATAAATACTCTCACAAAGATGCTATTTTTCGCTGTTGTAGTATTAAGTTTAGTTATGATGATAATTAAAGGTTTTGGTGGTCCATGGTACAGGTACTTTTTTAGATTTATTCTCCTATTCTCCTACATTATTCCAATAAGGTATGTACAGATGTATTTTTTATCTATTTCATATATATATATATATGTATATATATCTTTTATGTCAAAATAGTTTACGCGTCAATTTGGATATGGGTAAAGTGGTCTATTCGTATTTCATTCAAAAAGATAAAGAAATGCCTGGATGCGTTGTCCGTTCAACAACAATTCCAGAGGAGTTGGGTAGAATCACCTATCTTTTATCAGATAAAACAGGGACTCTTACACAAAACGAAATGGTGTTTAAAAGACTTCATCTTGGTACAGTCTCATTTAGTTCTGACTCAATGGATGATGTAAAAAGTCACTTGAGAACAAGTTTTCAGAGTAAATCCGAAGGCTCCGGTAAAGTTAGGAAAACTGTAGTATCCAGGGTTCATGATGCTGTGAAAGCAATAGCCCTTTGTCACAATGTAACTCCGGTTTTCGAGGAAATCGATGAAACCCCAGAGCAAAACGAAGCTAATATGCAAGGCTCTGAATCTGTTGTTTACCAGGCATCATCTCCAGATGAGGTTGCTCTAGTCAAATGGACAGAATCTGTTGGATTAGGATTGGTTAAAAGGGACCTAAATTGTATGACTTTACGATCCCCCGATAACCGTCACCATGAATATGCATTACTAAACATATTTCCGTTTACTAGTGAAACTAAACGAATGGGGATTATAGTTAGAGATTCATCAACAGGAGAAATAACTTTCTATATGAAAGGTGCTGACTCTGTCATGCAGTCAATCGTGCAGTACAACGACTGGTTAGATGAGGAATGTGGAAATATGGCTCGCGAAGGTCTTCGAACATTGGTTGTGGCAAAAAAATCTTTAACCGAAGATCAATACATAGATTTCGAACAACGTTTTAATAACGCTAAAATGAGCGTTGAACAAAGATCAGCTCGTGTTGCAGCGGTATTGGAGGGATTGGAGAGAGATATGGAATTATTGTGTTTAACTGGAGTTGAAGATAAACTTCAAGATAATGTACGGTCAACACTGGAGCTTCTACGTAACGGAGGGATAAAAGTATGGATGTTAACTGGTGATAAATTAGAAACGGCTACTTGCATTGCTAAATCTTCAAGATTAGTAGGAAAAACTCACGGAATTCATACTTTTAAAACTGTTAAAACGAGAGAAGAGGCTCATGCTGAACTAAATGCTTATAGAAGAAAACACGATTGTGCTCTTGTAATAACTGGTGAATCATTGCAAGTCTGCTTGCAATTTTATGAACACGAGGTCGTCGACTGGGCTTGTCAGGCCCCAGCTGTTGTTGTTTGTCGTTGCTCACCTACTCAAAAAGCTGACATTGTAAAATTATTGAAAAATCATCAGGGTAAACGAACTTGTGCGATTGGCGACGGGGGTAATGACGTTTCTATGATACAAGCAGCTGACGCTGGCATTGGTATTGTGGGAAAAGAGGGAATGCAAGCATCCCTTGCAGCGGACTTCTCAATTAGTCAATTCGCCCATTTGGGACGTCTTCTTTTGGTTCACGGAAGAAATTCATATAAACGTTCTGCCTCGCTCAGTCAATTTGTTATTCATAGAGGTTTAATTATATCAACTATGCAAGCAGTTTTCTCGTCAGTCTTTTTTTTTGCATCAATTTCCTTATTTCCCGGCTTTTTGATGGTTGGCTACGCTACTGTATTTACTATGTTTCCAGTATTTTCCCTGGTACTTGATAAGGATGTTTCTGCAAATATAGCCATGACTTATCCCGAATTGTATAAAGAATTAACAAAAGGTCGCTCTTTATCGTTTAAGACTTTCTTTTTATGGGTTCTTATTAGCATATATCAAGGTTTGTACAACTAATATATTAATATATTAGAATACTCATTGTTTGTTTATTTATACAAATCTCTAGGTGGAATAATCATGTACGGTGCTTTAATTTTATTCGAAAATGAATTTGTGCACATAATTGACATAACATTTTCATCACTTATTCTTACTGAATTGTTAATGGTGGCTTTAACTATAAGAACTTGGCATTACATAATGGTTATAGCAGAACTTTTATCATTGGGAATCTACATAGCAAGCTTGGCTATTTTAAAGAATTACTTTGGTAAATATTTTACTTTCATTTTGCTTTGTAAAAACAAGTAAACATAAAAATAACTTTCTTTCAGATTCTGATTTTTTGAAAACTCCGAGCTTTATTTGGAAAGTTTCAGTGCTAACTGCAGTCAGCTGTATTCCGCTTTATGTTATCAAATTTTTAAGGAAGAGATTTTCACCTCCTTCCTACTCAAAATTAAATTAAAAACGTGGAATTTTTTATGTGTGTATATGTTAATACACGCATTCATCCGTCAATATATATATATATATATATACAGTATATATAAGTAAATAAATAAGAAACCTATTTATAAACAAAAGTTGAAAATACATATTGTGCCTAGATTTTATTTTGTTTTTAGACGACGGAAGTTCAATATTAAGCAGCAAAGTATGAAAGGTACAGACTTTCCTCTTTTGCTCATTTCAATATGGTATTGTATACAAAACCAAATAGATAGCTTACAAATCATTTACAATAAAATAATGATATGCGAATGATGCTTTATTACTCGTAAAATGATCTTAATCCAGTTAATTAGGAATTTAATTATTTTCTTTATACAGTCTTAAGGTTTTGCGCCGTACATATCTGAAATAGTTATTTTCTTAGTATAGGAAATCATATGGGATTTTAAGAATAACACAGGAAGATACATTCCAAGTACTTTTTATTTAATGAACGATGTTAGATCTTTGATGTTTTTAATAAAAATATTAAAGGACTGTACACTTCTTCAGAAGGAAGAAGATATCGTATAATTACGAAAATATTGTTCTATATCTTTTCCATGATGTTATTAATAAAAGCAAGAGATAAGTAAATTACGTTAATCAATTTACTTTTACACTTGAACACTTCACATCATATAGATGAAAAGCTTCTATTATGTTTTATACCTTGACCCACATAATTTTATACACCAAGATTAAGGACAATTATGAAGAGCGTATTTTACAAATGGACAGATTTTAATTCTATCAGAAGAGAAAGAGTAACGTATTTTCTCTAACAAAGTGTTAGAGAGGAAAAGAGTTTTAAAGAAGATAATCTTGTATTCAGGGAAAAATTACAACTAAATAAATTTTTCAACAACACCAAAATCATCTATCACTGATTTCTTTTTCAATAGTATTTTCTATATTTTTTGTTTTTTGGTCTCTTTTCTAAATACTTTATTGATATGCTGTTTACTATTTAGTTAGGTGAAACGCGGGTGGACTTGAATCTGCTCTCCGTCACTACCTTAATTCGTTCATCAGATATAAAATAAACAGCGTAAACTTTCGGGAAGAATAGGCAAACAACAGTTAAAGCGGCATTAATTATAAGACTAATACTAAGTATAATAACTTTATAATAGGCGTAATACATTGTAAAGTAGGTAGGAAGGAAAACAATCCAAAGAAATATCGTAGTTGAAACAGAGACAAAAACAAACCAAGATTCATTAAAGTTTTCTGGTAATTTTCGCGTCAAATAGCCGCAAACTGCGCAGAAAATTAATAATAATATATTAAATGACAGAGGCAAAACCAAAGCCGGAAGTGGATTTGAACAGATTAACTCAACTCTCTTCTCTATTTCAACTTTTTGTATTCTATCCAAGTCGGGTTTCCAAATGATCAAACTTATTATAATCAGAATTACTTCCGTAATTATCGATAGTAACACAAATACCATCTGTGATTTTCCACTTACGAATGAAGGTCGTTTGTTTCCCTTTGAACCAGCCTTAAATATTCTATATACTCTCAATGTCTTCACAAACAAAGGTGAGTATATTGTACAAATGGTCATATGGAAACCGATGCGGTTGATGACGCAGGTAACAATTGATGGCTTAGTAATAAAGAAAAGAACCGTTACGTAACCCAAACTACATCCGAAGAGTATAATGCCTGATAGAAATCTTGAAGATGCTTTAATGATTTTCTCCTCCTTGTATACTCTGTATATAACAATTACAAAGATATTCATACTGACTCCAAATCCAGAAAGAATAATTAGGAGAATTGATAGTGAATCGGACCACTCAACGTATTCACTCTTTATGGGGTGGCATTTACTTTTAGTTTCCTCATCTAGAAAAATTAAGGTCACCTTTAGTATCTTAAAAAGCACAATGCAAAATTAATTATTGATTTACCGGGCCAATGGAATAGAGGACACTTTCTACATTCAGTAACATTATTAACAAGAATTTCATTTTCTCTGCATTCTTTACAAAGCCAGCAACATTGTAATTCTTGTTGTATCCAAATAAACTTTGGCGGACATGGCTTACTGCATATAGATTCTAAGGTATATTTTTCGTCTATATAAAGAATGTCACCGTCTTGTTTCCATGAGCCAATATTTTTCAAATGTAAAGATGTATTAATATTCCGAAATTGAAGAATGTCATATTCTGCGTAGACATCCCCTAGAGCGTTAAATTTGTAGTGAATACCTGAAGATGCTACAAAGTCTTGTTGCCTTAGAAATTTCAACACTTTTTCCCCGGTGACACAGTCCTATAAAATGACATAGTAGAAATACTTCGTTTGTAATGTTCTAGATTAAAAATAAGAACGATGATACTTAACCTTAAGTCGCTTGATATTATAGAAATTTTCAGGGCAAACCGTTGATATTAACTGATGTAAGGATTCAGCATAAACTTCAACGCCATCACCAAGTTTTTGGATAAATGACAATTTATTTGACCCAAAGTTCCCAGTTTCTGATAAATTATTATAGTTGTGGCAATCATCGTTAAATTTACATTTGGCCAAACTTTCAAATAGCAATTTTGACTGTTCATCAGAATTGTTGTCAGGTTTCCAAGCAGATAAATAATTGTAAAGTTGCAAATCTTCACCAAAAGGATAGGTTATCTTAATGCCTTTGTCCAGTATATGCTCAAATCCTTCTGTATTATAATGATCATCAGCGGATATGAAAATAAATTTTTCGTTCGTTAATAATTTATCTATCTCCTTAAGAAAATTTGGACCGTCAAAGTAGCTTAGAAGAAAGACGATAATCTTTGCATTTTTATATTTGAAGAGCTTCTTCGCTACATTGACAAATTCATCGGAAACTTCAGGGGAGAACCTATGCGAATGGGCGATACATATCCCTCTCTTTTTGGCGTTTTTCTCAAAACTCTTAGCCATATTTTCGCTATAGTGCCCCTCCGAATAGAATAGTTGTACGTAATTCCATTTAAACTTGACCATCACATTTGTCATAGCTTCAGTGACGAACGAATCAGGTGGCACCAGCCTTGAGAAATAGCCAAAACGTCTCTTATCTGACAATTCTTCTGACGTTGCGTGTGTCGCTAATATAGGTAATTGGTATTGGGACGCTAAACCTGCTGTAGGAATACACCTATCTGACAGATATGGGCCAACTACACCAATTATTCCTTCACCAAAAGTTTCATTATCATCGCAGAAGTTTGGAAGTAATTCCAAGAGTCTTTGAACAGGTTTATTAATTCCTCCACAAGTATCCAAATAGGTAAAGCCAAGTGTAATATTGGGTAACATTTTAGGATTCTTATTTACCTTATCAATACTATATTTAACAACTTCAATTCCCAATCCTAATCTTCCACTCAGAGATATACATTTGCCACTTGAATAAACAGGAAAGAGAATTCCAATATTTAAATCTCCAATTTGTTTCCAAGTCCTAATTGTTGTTTGAGAATTACAAACATATGTAGATAAAACAAGAAAAATTTGTAAAAAGATGGAAATATCAAGTTGCTTAAAGGAAAGCATAACTGCGAATGAAAAATGCAAACTTTCCTAAAAGCGCCTGTGTACGCGCGCTTTCTTCGTATGTTAATATACTTAATACACTTCCTATAATGCAGTAGTTTTATATTTATAAATAATTGATACATTATTTGAAATGTAAGTAAAATTAACATAGAATATATTAAAGGGAATATCACTCATTAAGTTTTGTATTAGTTAATTTTAATAATAAGCTGTACAAGTCAGATAAATAAATGATGTATAAATCTTACTTAATTTTTAATTAATTCACTTGTTTATGATAACAATTATAAAGACTTTTCTATATTAAGATATCTGTATAGTTCTTGGTATGGAATCGAGTTTCAATACTTTTTCTTGCTCTCTTCTAATACAATAATACTAATAAGTTGTATTAATGCATTGCATGTATATTTTCTACAGTTTATACATGTAGCGTGTTTATCCCTGACTCTTATAAGTATATGTATAAAGTATTTTTCATTGTTGGCTTCCAGTCTTCAGACAATGAGCATAAAGAAGATAATACTAATCAAGAAACGTGTTCCTTCCTTCAGTATTGTATCTTCGGTTAGAATATTGTATATATCTCTAAATAAATTTATATACGAGTAGTTTCAACGTTCAGCTTCGGAGAATTGGCGTCGACTAAGGCCTAAGTAATATTTGAAGCATCTGGATGCTAATTTTTATTGTCATGAACTATAAGAAAAACAAGGAGAGCCTCGTCATAGGTCAAAGATTTAAAAATGTGCACGACTAACGTATATTATTTTCATTATTGTAATATGGAAATGTTTCCTAAAAAAAACAAAAATTAGATTTTTAATAATAATAATTGGCTTTCTATCCTCTTAAAACATACAGAGAGTTATCATTTTGTCAGAGTTTGAAAGAAGGGTTAACACATTGTTTTTGTATATTTTACAGGAAATTGAATAGTAAGCTTTATATAAATATAAGATATATATATATATATATGCAATGTACTTAATGATCCTCTAATGGAGAATAAAGAAATTATTTCTAAATTCTGTACTCAAACGAGGTTACGTGTCTATAGCCTAAAACGAGGTCTTTCATAGTGTGAATGTTTATTTATGGTATCTAAGTTAATTCTGACTTGATTTCTTCAGTCTATTGTATTTGTTTTGCTTTAAATTTCATATATTGAATTTTAATCGATATGAAAATAGTATCAAATTTAATTCACTCTCTCCTCTCTCTCTCTCTCTCTCTCTCTATCCTTCTTTCTTTCTTCACGCTTTTATTGAATCATCCTCCTCTACATTTGACAACCCTATGACAATTCCTTTAATCACGGATCAATTGATATAGAATTAGAGTTTTAGTCCCGCTGAAGAATGTAAAATACTTGCAAGGAATGAAAAATAGCAAATGCGCAATAAGAAAGAAGGAGAAAGAGAACGAAAAATAAGAAATAAAACTTTAATGTTCATTTATGTGATTTCTTAATTGATACGTAATAACTTTGATCCATTGCAGTAGTTATGAAAGAAAAAAAAGAAAGAGCAACTGCAATGTGAATTCTATTCTTTTTTCACAATTCCAATGAGAAAGTTGATGATAACAACGACAATTTTAAATACTAATATTTACTGCTATCCATAGTAAAATTAGGCCTAATAGTGCAACAGCTTTGCTAAATGAAAGAATAGTTTTTAATCGTTAAAAGAGTACAGTTTTATATAAAAGAAACTGATTTTTATGTAAGAAAATCATAAAAAAAATGGAATAATATTGAAAAATTGTTGTAAAGATTTCAATATAAAACTTGGAATATTTAAAATGGTTGTTATTAATAGTTTCAATATAAGAGAAGGAAGGATAGTTGCTAATATATACAACTATAATAAAAATACACAAAGGAAATCGTCCAAAAAAATTTCTTCACTAGTTTGGAATTTAAAAAATGCTATTAAATAGACATAATTATTAATAATCTTTTGTTTATATGTATAAAACATGTTAATACGGTAATAAACAATACGAAAATTTCAGACGTATTAATAAAAAATGGTAAAATTTTACATCTGATTTGAAATTATCGTTAGGTATAGAATTTAGTAGGCGGCGCTGTTAGTCAGGTTAGGCCTAAGTGAATCAATCAGAATTTTCAGAGAGAAAGGAGAGAATGTCGGCGGCTTTCGACTCCCTGTCAAATCTCTTAGATTTTTCAAAGAAAACATCGGTTTTACCATTGTTTACGGGTTGTACTGCAGCATATATTGTATATTATTTATTATGGCTAGTAAAGGTAAGGGTTTAATGGCAGCTTTTGCTTTGTCCCAGATAGTTGAACCTTTCTGACCCCTCTTCTCTACTAATGATTTAGAAACCGATTATTGCCTGTAACCCATCAAAGAAGCACTTCCTTCTAGAACGGATGCCTATATTGAAGAGGAAATTTTGGCCTACAATTTGGTGTACAGGTTACCGACTACAGACAATAGTACGAATGTTTATAAAGGAAAATCCACAAGTTGGATTCGATAGGGAAACTATTAACTTGAAAGATACAGGAGAAATAGCTCTAGATTGGCTTCACCCGGAGGAGGATGATGAAAAAAAGTTGATTGTCCTTATCTTGCCAGGATTAGTAGGTCAGTTATCTAATTTGGAGCATGATAAAATAATGATTAGTGTGCACTTTGACCTTTAGATAACCACATGTTACGTTTGTTATAATAGTAAATTATTATTTTTTATATAGGAAGTAGTGACGAGAGCTACTGTCGACATTATGCCCAACAGGCCTACAACAGGAACGTTAGATCGGTCGTCTTTAATTATCGCGGAAATGGTAAGTAAAATACATTAAAAGTTAATCGGCATTCGTCCGATATACAAGTCTGACGGTTTTTGCATATTACAGGAGGCTCCACCCTGAGGACTGCTCGCACATACTGTGCCACTTATACCGATGATCTATCGCAAGTTATTCAGCATGTTCAAAAACGTTATCCAAAAAATGCTGGAATTTTGGCAGCTGGCGTCTCTCTCGGTGGCCTCATTCTTACTAATTATTTGGCAAAGGTTGGAAAAAATTCTGGTATAAAAGCAGGCTTTACTGTATCAGCCGCGTGGAATGTTTTCGAATCTTGCAAAGCCCTTGAACAACCTATCAATTGGTTTGTCTTTAACCGTCTCCTAGCCGAAGCTCTTATCTCAAAGGTTAAAGAACACGCACAACTTTTCAAGAATGAATTTAAGGATAGCTTAGATTTTAAGAAGGTTTGGAATGCTAAAACAATAAGAGAATTTGATGATTCTTTTACCTGCCGGCAATTTGGCTACTCAAGTTATGTGGAATACTATGAAGATGCTTGTACTCATAAAAAATTACACCATATACAAACTCCATTATTATGTTTAAATGCCGCCGACGATCCTTTTTCTCCAGCTCACGCCATTCCCCTTGAAGAGGCCGAAAAAAGTGAGAATGTTGCAATTATAGTAACAGCCAAAGGAGGGCACATAGGTTTTATGGAGGGTATGTGGCCTTCGGGTGCAAATTACATGGATTTAGTTCTAGCCGAGTATATAGACGTCACTTCCTCTAGTTAATACTCTCTCTCTCTCTCTCTGTCTATTTTCTATCGGTCTCTCTCGTTCGCTCTAGTTTCCATATCTCATAAATAATTAAATTTATTTTTTGGTTGGTCTTCTATGCAATATTCTTGACTCAAATATGAATTAAATAGGCTAAAAAATAAAGAGGAAGAAGAAAAAAACAGCGCGTTCATTGTAAAAAAAAAACAAAAACAACAACCTAAGTACTTACTTTGCAGAGCAACAATAACAACAATAATGTAACTTTCTTCTAGTTTTCTGGTTTTTTTTTCTTTTTTTTTTGCGTCCAAATGTATTGTATTAATAAAGATTACGTAATTATGTAATAAATTGGAAAATAGATTTTTTATACATATTTTTTTATCTTATAATTATTTATGCAAAATTGAGCAAAATAAATACAAATTCTATTGCAATAATTATTATTAACAATGATGATTATGATGTAAAACAATAAAAGAATAAGTAACTAAAATTACATTCATTATTCATTGTGGAATACGTTCGAGAACATTTTTATAAAGAATAAAAAACGTATGATAAAGTTGCCACAGCTTGTGACAATAAGATAGAATATTTCATTGAATAATGCTGTATACACGTTTATTGTACTTTACCAAAAATTTCTCGTTGTTAAGTACATAATGTAAGCCTATTTGTATGTTTGCTTTGTATATAAAAAAAGCCAATATATTCCATACAGAAAAATGTAAATTTCACTAACTAAACCTTATATATTCATTAGGTCGCTACGATAATTAGAGTATAAGATAATCCAAAAAAATATCTAAAGGTTCGAATCTTATCTAAAAGATTTGTTTAACTGATGTGCTATTTAATGCACTATAATCGCTCTAAAAAAAGAACGTTTTTAGTGTAGTAAACTATGCAATATTTAAATATATTTTTCCCGCCTAGGTCTAAAGAACTATGTTTGTAACGCCATCTATTTTCAAACATATTATATAAAAACTTCTAAATGGTTGAAAGTTAACCTTGAACTTGACGAATATAAGCGAAACAACTCCGAAGAATAATTGGGGAAGAAAAGTATGATAAACAATAGAATATTTGTTATAATGGTTTATCATTTTAAGAATTTTTTCAACTATTTTTGTAGCATTTAAAATAGAAGGGAAAATATTTTTAGTGGACTTTGGAATCTGTTTAGCAATAATTAAACAAGAGAGGCTATAAACGTTAGTCTATTTCACATCGACTTTATATTTATAAATACAAATATTACTCAAAAGAAATAGTTTAAAAACAACAAAAATTCATATTAATAAATTAAATAAGAATTTGTTTGAACAAACGATGAATCAGGGATTTTATAAACACATGGCAGCCGCCTCTCTGTTTAAGAGATGCGTTGTTTCTCCAATTCAATATCGTTCATGCAATAGTACAGCAAGTTCTCGGGTTAGATTTCTATATTATTTATAATTTATATACAATTGAATTAATTATATATCTTTTAATTATAGCAATCAATTAAAGTTCAAGTAGAGGATTATGATCAAAAATGGGAGAAAATCCGTACAGCAAAGCCTTTTTCTGAATTTTTAACGGATAAATTTAATAGAAAACATAATTATTTGCGAATATCTTTAACCGAACGTTGCAATTTAAGATGTAAGCGAAATATTCTCCTTATTTCTGTTTGTAGACTCTCATGAAAGTGATAATGAATTTGACATTATAGGTCAGTATTGTATGCCTGAGGAAGGTGTTCAATTGACACCAAAGAAAAACATTCTAACATATGAAGAAATTATTAAATTGGCAACTATATTCGTAAAAGAAGGAGTAACAAAGATACGATTAACCGGAGGTGAACCTCTTGTCCATCCAAAAATTATCAATATTATTGGTAAAACCTATATAACACCTTTATTCTTATAAAATCTACTTTAATCTTTATAAAGGTTCTCTAAATGAATTGAAAAATTACGGTCTTGAAGATATTGGTATTACAACTAATGGAATCACTTTGAAAAGACATTTACCATCTCTAAAAGCTGCTGGTAAAACGATAAAATAATAACGACATTAATATAAAAAACATACAGTATAATGCTTATAATTCGTTCCTTTTAGGATTGACTCATATAAACGTTAGTCTAGATTCACTAATTCCAGCTAAATTTGAGTTCTTCACAAGACGAAAGGGTCATTCAAAGGTGCTTGAAAGTATAGACACTGCCCTCAATATTGGATATAAACCAGTTAAAGTAAATTAAAGATTATATAAACTAATTGTACCTTTTGTACATAAATAAATACATAGATTTAACGCTGACATTTGTTTACTTTCAGGTTAATTGCGTAGTTATGAAAAATCAAAATGATGATGAAATATTAGACTTTGTTGAATGGACTAAAGATAAGGTATTGCCAAATGTCTTACTTAATAAAATTATTATCTTTTATACTATATATCTCCATTAAGCATGTCGACGTTAGATTTATTGAATATATGCCTTTTGACGGAAATAAATGGAATGACAAGAAAATGATTAAATATTCTGACATGTTGAACAAAATAAAAAAGTCTTATCCGGATGTCCAGCGTCAAGATGATGAGTTATCGTCTACCAGTAAAACTTTCAAAATACCCGGCTATAAAGGATCATTTGGATTCATTTCCTCTATGACAGAAAACTTTTGTTCTGGTTGTAACAGGCTAAGAATAACAGCTGATGGAAATTTGAAAGTTTGTCTGTTTGGTAATTCTGAGGTTGATTTAAAAGATCTTTTGAGGAATGGTGGAACCGAAGATGAAATTTTGCAAATAATTGGAGCAGCTGTTGGCAGAAAGCACGCACGACACGCAGGTATGAATTTTTTTTGTCTGGATAAAATATTTTATTTAAATTATTAAATTTTGTTAATTTTTGTTTTTTTAAAAAAAAATGTAGGTATGTTCAATATACAAAAGATGAAAAATCGACCTATGATTTTGATTGGTGGGTAAGGTAATTTTTACTAGCATTATTCAATGTTTCTTTAATACTATTTTGCAATTTTTTCTTCTTTTTCTTCTGTAAAAATTAAAAAAAACCCAGATAAAGTCAAAGAAAGAAATTTTATATATACGTCCTCTATTTACGAAACAAACTATAATTATTCAATGCAAATTCGAAGATATTGCCATTCAAAATCCAACAATGATGAATACTATACGCAATATAATAAAATATTCCAATCAACAAGTGATAATTACGAAGACCATTATAATAACATATTCAATCAGGTATACTCTAGATTTTTATAGATATTCTTTCTAGATATTTGTTTATTACAAATTAGAGTAAATTTTCTCATACTGATGAAGAGGGAAGAGCACAAATGGTTAATGTTGGAGAGAAATCAGTTACAAATCGTACCGCTCTCGCCTCTGGAAAAATTCGTCTAAGTTCCGAAGCTTTTAGGCTTGTTGTTGAAAATAAGCATAAAAAGGGTGATGTATTAACTGTTGCTAAAATAGCCGGAATACAAGGAACAAAACAAACATCAAATCTAATACCTCTTTGTCATAATATTAATTTGGATGGCGTTGATATTAATTTCGATTTAGACAGGGAAAATAATGAAATTGTTGTTCGTGTATCTATTGAGTGTCATGCCAAAACGGGTGTTGAAATGGAAGCCTTAGTCGGCGTGTCTACATCATTGTTAACTATCTATGACATGATTAAGGCGGTAGATAAAACTGCTATTATATTTGATGTTAAATTAGACAAGAAATTCGGTGGTAAAAGCGGACTGTTTATTAACAAATAGCTTTGTTTTATATACATAGTATATAGAAGAACGCTAAAGTTCGACGGTAACTGATGTTTGTTTCATAGCATTGTAAATAAAAGTATTGTTGAATGGCACATATTGACCAGTTATGAGTTTAATCGCTTCTTGCGCGGCGCATCCACCCATGTAAGCAGCTATAGAATGCATTTCGCACGCGCCGTACCGGCAGCTAAGAGGAGGAAAACAGATAGCATAATAACTAAATACCATAAGCAAAAAGAGTATTCTAACTTACAACTCGTGAATAAGATCGTCTTTTATACTGCATGTTATCTTCCATTGCTGTAATAGCCTCGTAACACAAGACTAGAATAAAGATATCAGTTAGAAATAAAGATAATTTAAGCAAATGTCTATTACCTTAAGGTTCATAATATCATCCTCCACTTCGTATATACCCGGATAATTTGAATAACAGAGGTAATATCGACTTACAGCTCTTAACAGAACATAATAAACCAGGTCATCGTCCTCGTCCTCAACTCGTTGAGCTAAACAAATAATATCCATTAAGAGAGATAGAAATGCAATGAAAAAATTCATAATCAACTCTTACCCATTTGCCTTAAAAAGATTGTAGACGGTGAATTGTATTCTTCCGATATTGATCGATATCTCAAAACCCGAAGAAAAGCGGCGTTTTTACCTATATTACATAATATATATATATAAATAGACTGAGAAATAAACAAAACAAATACTAATAAATAAATAAATAATAACAATAACAATAATAATAATAATACGTTAAACTTACAAAAATTTCTAATTTCCGCTTCCGAAATAATGCAAGGAATCTGTATAATTTTAAAACAAGAAAAGAATTAAACTAACGATATACTAAAGTCTTAAAAGAAGAAAAACTAAAAATATTAACATTACATAACAAAGAAATAGAATAAAAGAAGAAGCAAAATATTCGCGTGTGATTATAAAAGCTTTAATAAAAATATTAAAAATTAAAATATTAATAAAATGAGTAAAACTAGTAATACAAAAGAGAAGAAGAAAACATAATTATGTCATTTGTATTTAGTTTAGGCGGTACCCACTTAAAATTTTAAACTTTAGAGTTTGGGTACCCACCTCACAGTTGAATTTCAGTAGCTGAAATTAAATGATATTTTTACTCTCAATAGTTAAATGTTTATCAAATTTTGTTTAGTTTTACATTAACCTAATAAAAAAAAGAGAAAAAAGAAAAACAAGTATTCAAAATAAAGAAAATCTTTTAAATTGTTATACTTTATATACATATATATCTATATAGAGATATATGGATTGGGATAGTTTTCCTTGACAATGAATATCTAGACACTTTACTAATTTTAATATTGAATATACATTGGATCAGCATCCTTAGCTAGGAAGCTATAAAGTTTTGACTATATGTTTCAGAACAAACAATGACATAAAGAGAAAATGAAAATATTAATAATTGTTAATTCTATTGTCTATAGAGTAAATTGTCTAGAAATAGATCTCCCAACCAGATATACAATAGAAGTACATATATTATATTATTGAATACTTACCGATAAATTTGATACAACATTCTGTAGATGTTTATTAACTGCTTCCACATCTTTCGACGCTTTGTTCCTATAGACCTATATATATATATATATATATATATAGAATTGATAAGTTGTACAATGACAAGAAAAACAAAACAAAAACTTATTATTAAAATGAAATTTACTTGTTGAAGTCGTATAAAACTATCAGAATCGCTTGTCATGTCCGGAATGACACCTCTCAAGGGTAGGAAACCTATAAAAATAAAAGAAAGAAGTTAATAATAACTGCTGAAGGTTTATTTAGAAAATCGATTTGGGCTACTGACCTTCTCCTTCGCTTTTAACAAATTCTTTAACAGCCCTAACAAGAATCCAAAATGGTTCAGACTGAAAGAAAGTAAGTATTACAAGTAAATTATTGATTAGCTATGAATTAAAACAATAATAACCTTATTAACAATATTTATACATTCTGGATCTTCGAAAATATGTTTAACATCATCTGGCATCTTTGTTGCTGATAGAGCAGTATTTACATTTCTGATAGCTTCGTCGAAATTTTCTTCCATTTCTGGATTGCCGTCTTTATTGAGGAGAATACCTTCAAAAACAATAATCCATTTATAATAACAATAATAATAATAGTAATTTAATTTTACCAGATCTTATTAACTTCTTGAAAGCCTGCTTTTCTTGGTAAGTTTTAGGGATATTACCATTGTTCTAAAATAATGAATAAGTTAAATGAATAATGTAAAATTATAACTTATTTAAACGATATATAACTTACTTTATTCTTCCATATCTCTAGATATTTGTAAACAACAATCAGCCAAGGTATATGACTATGTTCTTTTACATTCATTTTTCCTAAGTCGCAGGCATCACAGAGATCTCTAAATTCTTTAAATGGTCTATCTAATCTTAAATCGTCCAAAGCATTATCGGGATGAGACTCTATGACTGAAATTTTAAATAAAGGTATACAATATAACAGTTTAGAATGTTATTTTTCCTCTCTTTACCAGTATGAACAGGCATAGCAATTCTCATGTAACCGATAAAACCGTAACTAACGCAATGCAAGAATGGCACTTTACAAGACCATAGATAACTTGAAATTTGGAGTAAAGTTCTCTCATTTAAGTCAGTTGCTATGACAACCGAGAACGTTGAGAAAAATTTGGCATTAACTTGAAATAAATCTTCTACATTCTAGAGTAATGAAAAAAATGAACGATATAAAATGAAGAATAAATATCTGTATTGAAGATTTTAGAAAATATTACCTCATCAACATAATTAGCTAGAACATCGTCATTAAGTTCTTGGAGTAGCTCGCAGGCAACTTGACCTCGATTCTAAAGAAATTTTATGTAATTATCGCTAATATTATCAATTGACAAAAACAATTACCTTTCCAATTGCTGATTTTTCGAGAAAAAAGCTAAATTAAAAAAGAAATTAGATATTTTATAGTATTTAATATTTTTACATAAATAACAATGACTTACTTATTTCCTACATCTTCTCCAGAAACTTTATGTCCGTCCACAATTGTAAATGAGCCTATACCTTTTTATAAATATTTATAGTTATATGCTGAGTGACAATATTTCTTATTTATTAACCTGGTAAAATCAAATTCTTTAGAATTTCAGTTCCAGTAGCAGTAGCATTAATTAAACAGATTCTAGCTTTTTCCAATTTTGACTGACCTTGGTCACCCCATAATCTAAAAAAAAATCCTTATTTTAAAATCATCGAAAAAAAGGGGCGATTGAAAATTGGTTAAGTTTGATGGAGATTCACAGTCTTCAAATATTTTTTACCTGAGTTGTCTATCGTATTTGTTCGATTTATCTACGGGTTTAGAAGGTGATATGCTACCACTCATTATTTGAAATAATAAGCTGCTTCCGTGTTTTCAAAGTGAAGACTGTTACAATTGGTTGGCGTTAAAGCCCTTTTTCTAGCCACTCTACTGTGAACAATTATGGTACCACACTATTTGTAATAATAAACTGGTAAATTAATTTCCGCTATAATTCAAAAGACATTTGAAATCTTTCAAAAGAAATATACAGAATGTTTACATGCATTGTTTTAAATAACCAAAAAAAAGCTATTTGAAGCGTATCAACAATTGTTGTCTTTTGAAACAATAACTAGGCAGGGGAATTGTGAGAACAACTCGCTGTATTGTCTACTACTACAAATAACCTGAAGTGCATTTTTGAAGAAAACTAAATAATAGCACCTCAGTTTCAATACTTTAACAAAATGATAAACAATACAATAGGATAGTTTCTATACTTATCCAAAATTTCCCTTTATCTATATATCGTTTTATATATGCGTTAAATTTCTTCAAAATCTTAACTGCTAACTTACTTAAAAAGGATGTATGGAATATTGGAAAAAATACATTACTCATACTCCTACTGAAAATAGAAACCTCATATACAAAAGACTATCATTGGAAATTAGCTTCAAAGAGAATTTTCATATACTTCATTAGATAAAATATTATCTTTTATTCAGTCGAACTTACAAACGAGTTTTCTTTTTACGGCATACAACAAGAGCTACAGTAACAACAGAAGGACACTCTTTGTTCTATATTTAAAAATATCTCTTGGATGCTTTATTCGCTTAAGTCTTTATCTTCAATCTTTATCTAAACTAAACAGTTATGATCTCGATACTGAGCCAATTTTTGTTACCTTTCCTTTCGAATCTGGACGAATTGTAATTTCTTCATCCGAAACAAAATACAAAGCGTAGATTTTAGGCGCAAATAAACAAAGTATTGTTATAAATCCATTAATTATAAGACTAATACTAAGTATAATAACTTTATAATAGGCGTAATACATTGTAAAGTAGGTAGGAAGGAAAACAATCCAAAGAAATATCGTAGTTGAAACAGAGACAAAAACAAACCAAGATTCATTAAAGTTTTCTGGTAATTTTCGCGTCAAATAGCCGCAAACTGCGCAGAAAATTAATAATAATATATTAAATGACAGAGGCAAAACCAAAGCCGGAAGTGGATTTGAACAGATTAACTCAACTCTCTTCTCTATTTCAACTTTTTGTATTCTATCCAAGTCGGGTTTCCAAATGATCAAACTTATTATAATCAGAATTACTTCCGTAATTATCGATAGTAACACAAATACCATCTGTGATTTTCCACTTACGAATGAAGGTCGTTTGTTTCCCTTTGAACCAGCCTTAAATATTCTATATACTCTCAATGTCTTCACAAACAAAGGTGAGTATATTGTACAAATGGTCATATGGAAACCGATGCGGTTGATGACGCAGGTAACAATTGATGGCTTAGTAATAAAGAAAAGAACCGTTACGTAACCCAAACTACATCCGAAGAGTATAATGCCTGATAGAAATCTTGAAGATGCTTTAATGATTTTCTCCTCCTTGTATACTCTGTACATAATAACCACAAAGATATTCATACTGACTCCAATTCCAGAAAGAATAATTAGAAGAATTGATAGTGAATCGGACCATTCAACGTAATCATCGTTTATTTCATTACATTTCGTTTTAGTTTCTTGATCTTTAAAGGAAAAGAATTCAAAGAAAATTACACTCTATTATTCTATTCATTTTTTAATAATCAATATATTAGTTATTCATATTTGATTAATAATACAATGACATTTTAGAATTTGTTTGCAATGTGTTATATATTAAAATAATGGATAAGGTATATTTAAATGGCTTACCTGGCCAAAAGAAAGTAGGACATTTTAAGCATTCTGTAGCATTCTTAACCAAAATTTCATTTTCACGACATTCTTTACATAGCCAACAGCAATGAAGTTCCTGTTGTACTCTTATTTGTGTTTGAAGACAGGGTTTACTACATACAGATTCAATGTTGAAATGTGTATTTATAGTAAGAATATCACCATCTTTTTTCCAAGATCCAATATTCTCCTCTGTCCATGATTTGTTATTCCATTTGTAGTGAACCAGCTCATATTCCCCTAACAAATCTCCTCTGTCATTGAATTTATAATGTACACCAGAAGAGGCTTGAAATTCCTGTTTTCTTAGATACTTAAGAACTTGTTTTCCGGTAATGCAATACTTAGAAAAGATAACGGATAGTATTTTCTTATGTTAAAGATTAAAATTGTGTTTTAATATTTACCTCTAATAGGCTTTTATTGAAAAATGCTCCAGGACAATTTGAAGTAATTAGATCATTTAATGCTCTGGAAAAAAGCTCAATACCGTCTCCTAATTTCATTATGTAACTTAATTCATTATTGTTATTATATCCAGTTTCTGATAGATTTGAATAAAGAGAGCAATTTTTATAAAATTTACAGTGACCTAAATTCTCCCACAACTCTCTAATCCAATTATGTTTTGCTTCAGATGGTTTAAGCGATAACAAATAGTCGTTAAATTTTTCATCTCTACCCAAACTGTAAACAAAATTAAAACTTCCATCTTGCAAGTGTTCAAAGCCTTCGTGTCTAAAATAATCGTCTGCTGAGAGAAAGATAAATTTTTCGTTAGTAACGATTTGATTTAATTCGCTTAAAAATGGAATTCTATCGTTGTAAAGGAGAATGACAATCAATATTCTGGCTAGTTTGTATTTTACTACTTTTCTAGCTACTTTTTTATACTCATCTGGATTATCTCCAGAAAATCTGTGTGAATGACCAATGCAAATTTTTCTCTTTTTTGCATTTTTCTCAATGCTTTTAGCCGCATTTTCGGCATAAGACCCTTCCGAATAAAGTAGTTGAACATATGTCCATCCGTAATCTTCTAATAAATGAGTCATTGCCTGAGTGACGAATGAATCGGGTGGAACCAAACGTGAAAAATATTCAAAGCGGCGTTTGTCGGATAATTCTTCTGATGTTGCAAATGGAGATACAATAGGTATTTTATATTGAGAGGCAAGACCAGCAGTAGGAATGGACTGATCGGACGAAAACGGCCCAACTATACCAACAACTTGGTTAGATGTAGATGAAGTCGATGAATTAGAACAACTATCAGGGACAAACTTAAGGAATCTTTCAGCAGGTGTATTTATTCCACCACAAGTGTCTAAGTATATAAATCCAAGTGTTATATTTGGTAATATATTTGGGTTTTGATTTATCTCTCGAACTCTATATTTTACTAATTCTGAACTTAGAGCTCCACCAGACAATATTTCTTTAGTACAATGACCATTTACTGAATCATAAACTGAATAGAGAATACCAATATTCAAATCGGCTTCTTCTCTCCATTCGTCATTCCGCAAAATCGCTCCAGAAATTTTATGAATTAACAACAGTGTACAAGTGAAAGGTAAAAAGAGTGTACCGAAGCACTGCATCTTGTTGAATGATTACTATCCATGATGGAGAGCGTTGTTGTAGTTTACTTTTTTTTATGATAATATTAATATAAAATGACTTATAAACGCAAATATATATATATATATATATATATAGAAATGTGCATATTTAGCATGGATATATCGAAATTTAATCGATTTCTTGGAAGAATATACTATATGTAAATATTGAGTTATTAATTAAGTCACACATTTATTTTAAAATTAAAAGAGAGAAATATGATTTTCCAAGTTTCAACATAATTTTGTGTTATAAATATCACGATTAATAGATCATTCTATTGTGGCATCTACTTTTTAACACTTCGAATAAACAAATTCTCTTAAGTATCATCTCTTATGTCTTATTCTATAAATTCACTTTTGTTTTAATTAAACTTTCAAGTGGGTTAGACTATTTTTCTTATAACAAAGAGATTAATTAATACATTATACACTGCCTACACAACACTATATACTGAACATTTTTTTTTTAATAGACGCATTATATAGAATTATATACTAAATATAAAATATAATACATTAAATTTAATCGACACTTTTCCATTTGTCTTCTTTAGATATATAATCACTTTTTGTTAAATTCAATGAATTCGAAGGATTTGAATATTTTCCTATTCTTCTGTCTTTTAAAAGACATTTTTAATATTTAAGTATTTAATACTGTAGTATACGGTATATGTTATTGCTTGCGTTGTAGAGTGATCGCTATGGCAACTCATAAGTCTTTTGATGAGAAAAGACGTAAAGACAAACTATGCAGGTTTAATTTATTAATATTTTTTTATGGTCATTTAACCTTATGGTTTCTTTCAAAATGAAGGAAAGTCTCCATTTTACTTTCTAAAGATAACGTACGTAGAAACTTTCTATGAAATTTGTTAGTTGTTTTTTATTGTACTTCATTAAAAGTATTCTTTATTATAATTTTTTACTTAAAGGATATAAAGCTTCATTTATTTTAACTACTGTCATATTTTACAATAACAAGCGGAAAAATTGACGATATAGTATTACAGAATAGAGAATTTAAGGAAAGATTACAAGAAATATATATATAGAAATCATTGTGTTTTGGTAACATGTACAGACGATATTGGGTTTATCTTAATCGACAAACCTCTTGTTTCAGTAAAAACTATAAAATCTTTATCATATTTGAACATTACAACATAGAATTTAGGAAAAAATAGACAAACAACAGTTAAAGCGGCATTAATTATAAGACTAATACTAAGTATAATAACTTTATAATAGGCGTAATACATTGTAAAGTAGGTAGGAAGGAAAACAATCCAAAGAAATATCGTAGTTGAAACAGAGACAAAAACAAACCAAGATTCATTAAAGTTTTCTGGTAATTTTCGCGTCAAATAGCCGCAAACTGCGCAGAAAATTAATAATAATATATTAAATGATAATGGTAGAATAAAATCATGTAGTGAATTTGAACACGTTAATTCAACTCTCTTCTCTATTTCAACTTTTTGTATTCTATCCAAGTCGGGTTTCCAAATGATCAAACTTATTATAATCAGAATTACTTCCGTAAATATCAATAGTAATATAAATACCATCTGTGATTTTCCACTTACGAATGAAGGATGCTTTTTTCCTTTCAATCCAGATCTAAATATTCTATATACTCTCAATGTCTTCACAAACAAAGGTGAGTATATTGTACAAATGGTCATATGGAAACCTATGCGATTGATGACGCAGGTAACAATTGATGGCTTGGCAAGGAAGAAAAAAACGGTAACATAACCCAAACTACATCCGAAGAGTATAATGCCTGATAGAAATCTTGAAGATGCTTTAATGATTTTCTCCTCCTTGTATACTCTGTACATAACAATTACAAAGATATTCATACTGACTCCAAATCCAGAAAGAATAATTAGGAGAATTGATAGTGAATCGGACCATTCAACGTATTCGTCATTTATTTCAATACATCTGGTTTTAGTTTCTTTGTCTTTAAGAGAAAATGGGTCAAAATATGCAACTTATATTGTTTATGTAATTATTGTAATGATAAATAACGATAGTTTCTTACCTGGCCAAAAGAAAGTAGGACATTTTAAGCATTCTGTAGCATTCTTAACCAAAATTTCATTTTCACGACATTCTTTACATAGCCAACAGCAATGAAGTTCCTGTTGTACTCTTATTTGTGTTTGAAGACAGGGTTTACTACATACAGATTCAATGTTGAAATGTGTATTTATAGTAAGAATATCACCATCTTTTTTCCAAGATCCAATTTCTTCTGATATCCAGGAATTATTGATCATTATAAACTGAGTTATTTCGTATTCTGCTAATGGGTCACCTCTGTTATTAAATTTGTATTGAATTCCAGAAGAAGCTTGAAAATTCTGATTTCGTATATGGAAAAGAACTCGTTCTCCTGTGATGCATGTCTGTTATTTAAGGGAAGCAAAAGTTACTTTTTCAATGAAAACAAGCGTAGAGAGATGTGCAATTGTACTTACATTTAAGAGACTTTTATCGTAGAATGCTTTAGGGCAATATTTTTCAATTAGCTGATTTAACGCTCTTGCATATAAATCAGTTCCATCTATATATTTGTTATAGAATACATATCTATCTAGGTTTTGATAATTAAGTTCAGACAGGGTTGAATAGACTGAACAGTTGGTATTAAGATTACATTTTCCAACGTGTTCCCAAAATTTTTTCATCCAAACATGCCTAACTTCATTCGGTGTTGTTGAGTGTATACATCTCTGAACTGTATCATAATTACCAATTCGATACCTAAATCTAATGCTATACTGTTGAAGATGCTTAAACTTATCAATGATATCGTAGATATCATTTGAAATAAAAATAAAGCTTTCTTTCCCTATTATTTTATTTAGTTCTTGTAATAGATGATATGCCTCAAAATAGGTTAAACACACAACTACAACCTTTGCCTTTTTATATTTCATTATTGTTTTAACAACATTTTGAAATGCCCTTAAAGTATACGATGAAATTTTTTGTGCATTCGCAACGCAAATCTCACTATTTTGGACTTCATCTAAGAAATTTTTAGCAAAATTTTCGCATTGCGTTACTTTCGAATAGAGCAATTGAACATATGTCCATTTCTTTTCTTTTAGAAAATGAGCCATTGCTTCTGTAATAAAATTATCAGGCGGTACAAGACGAGAAAAATATTCAAATCGAGTTTTGTCAGATAGTTCATCAATTGTAGAATAAGATCCAATAAAAGGCATTTGAAAATAAGATGCCAAACCTGCTGCTGGAATTGCTCGCACAGATGTTGCACCACCTATAATACCAACATATCTATTTGAAATGGAACTTGAATTGTTGTTTGTGAAGATTTTGCTTAATTTTCCAACTTCGGCATTAGATCCACCACAAGTATCAATGAAGTTCAATCCAATTGTTAAATTTGGTAATAAAGTCGAATTTTTGTTTATTTCTTCAATGTTTTTGTAAACACAATTAGCCATGAAACTATAAGCACTGTTAAAGCTGCTTAAACATCTGTTTCTTCTCGAATAGCGAATAGAATGAAGGACTACGATATTTAAATCGCCTTTTTTCCTCCATTCGTTTATGTTTAGGTCTATACTCAAAATCTGTGTATATCTCAATGAAAGAATGTAAGTCAATATAAGGTGTATACTGAAAGGCGACATGTTTATGAGTGAATATTTGCCTTAATGTTAACCTTGTTAAGTAGATGGAGAATAACAGAATTGCTATGGACAATATGTGTTGTATTATTAATAATGATAACTATTCCCTCTTTCTTCCCCAAACAAAATTCTAATTAATAAAGTAAATTGAATCACATGGTTTTTGTACTCAAAGATTTTTTATCCATAATATATTTATATTACTGTATGTGTACAAAGTAATATCTTTGAAAGTATTTGCCTGGTTTTTCCATCTCTTACTTGTTCATAAAGAATAAAACTATTGATTCAGGTCTTTAAGTGAGTTACGTAGTTTTTAGTAATTACAACTTATAAAAGTCTTTTGCTGTGTATTGAGATAATTAATGAACTCTTTGAAACCTTCTGATTTTTACATAGAGTGATCATTTTTCATCGAGATTAGAAAACAGTCCCTTATGTTAATAAAAATAAAACTACAGTTAATAAAACGTATTCAAGTATGAAAAATTTTAACTTTAATGATCAAGAAACTGATAGCATTTAAGAAAAGATTACAAAAACCACTGTTATAGGCCTTAGGTTTTTATTCAGTGCGATCCTGCGCTATTGCTATGACGACTGCGAAACTATACTTTTAGCGCTTTTCGTCAACTTAGATTTATTTAATTTAAGTAAGACGATGAGTGGAAGAATTTTACAATCCTCAAGCAGAGGAAGATTATTTGAATCGAATTATCCACCAGGTACAAGTGGTAATTCTAGACAGACTGGAAAATACCCTGAAATTCGGCAGAGAGGGTATTATTCTGATGTTGTTGCTAAAGAAGCGGAAGAATCTTTAAATGTATGTGAAATAATTTAGATTATTGAGCTATTATATTTAAACCAAAATATTATAGAATGTTCAGCATGGACCGAACGCTCAGCAACAAACGGTATGGAACGCCAGCAAGGAAATGCACATGCCGAATGTCCATACATTTGCCACTCCAGAAGAGAGCGAATTTTTAAAAGAAATTACAGCTCATAGCCAGCAGCACGGTCCTTCTACTAAAATTCAAGCAATTTCAGTAAGAATCATGTATTTTCCTTTGTTTGACTGCTTTATATAGTAGAATTTTTTCTGTAGGACTTTCCTGAGAAGGCATATCAACCAAAAGTTCAGCTTCCTTTCCTAACTCCTCCTGGTCATTGTCCTCGTAAAGTGGAAATTGAGAGGAGGAAACGTCTATACAGTTCACAGAGTTTGGAAGCTCTATTGATAAGTGAAAAAATAGATATAGGCTGCCTTATGCCCAAAGATTTAACGGATGGAGAAGAACATGTACAACTAAATGCTGATCCTTCTAATCCAGCTCCTTTTTCTCCTTTTCTACCACTTCACACTTTTGATAATACTGAGTATGATATTAGAACGGAACCAGAATGGCTAACTCTTGGATACGAGGGAGAAGAGCGTAAACCAGTTCCCGCCAAGGCCCTGTTACCTACTAGAGATGATCTTCATCATCTCAGTGTTAAGGATGCAACAATTGAATACGCTTACAGTGATGTAGGAGTTCTTGATTATAATCAAGAAAATCGTTTATATCTAGTTCAAAAAATCGACAAAAGTGGAAGGGTTGTTGCAGAAAATGCTGATAAAGATTTGCAGTACTGGATACCAAGAATCCAAATAATGTTTTGTGCAGAAGATCCAAGAATTTATGCTAAACGAGTGGCATTCGCTTATAAATTCAGAGAAGAAACAGAAGCTTTCCTCCGTTACCAAATGTATGTTGATTGTATGCCTATGGAAGGTGTTGGAGAGCTGGATCAAGCTAGTCTTAAAAGAATGATGGAGTGGGCCAAGGGATGTCCTTCACTGTGTCGTGATAAGTCACTTGACGATTATATGCAGGTTTTGGAGAAAGAAGTCAATATAGACTTTTGTAGGTCAATGAATAAAATCATATTTGATAAAACTGTCATATCTAACCCGGGAACATTCGCTTTCGTTCGAATACCTATCGAAGAAGAGCCAGAAGTTCCAGAAAAAGCCTGCTGTCTAGACATTCCAGAATATCCTTATGATGAACAATATGACAAATTCGCATTCAATTCTCTCTTGACAAGAGAGGAGAGTATAAACGCTCTGGTAAAAGTTGGAACTGAATGCAATAAAGTGGCTTCTATGTCTCTCTTCCATGTACCTATGCCCAAGTATATGAGATTAGAGGAATTCGAACAAACTCAAAGCCAGAATACAGCCCAAACCGCTCTTTATCTCAAAGATGGATGGAAATTAGCATTAAAAAATGCTGTTAGAACTTGTCTCAGAGACGTTGGAAAAGGTTGGTTTAACATACACGAGACTAATTGGAATGTGTATCAAGTATCTAAAATGAAAAAATTAATGGAAAGAGTTAAATTTAATATGCAAGATTCACTGAGATTCCTTGTTCAGGATTCCCTAGTCGCCTTTACGCAAATGGTTGTTGATGCTTCCAGATGTACGTTTGAATGTGAACCTGAAATGGAATGGGGCAACGATCTAATCCAATCTCCATACAAGTAATTGAAACTTTTAAAAATTGCTTAAATGCCATTGTTAAATAACATTTGATAATAATAACTTCTCTTTATTAATAGGCCAAAGAAGAATGCAATATTCTTTATGGATCTCGTCATTGATGCTGAGGGAGTTCATTTTAGCACTTTGTTGGGTAACTTTGAGCAAGTTTGCATCAATTTATTCGATAAAGGAATCTCTTCAACTCAAAGTGTACCTCAATTGGAGAAATATGTAATGGAAGATTTAAATTTTACTGGTACGCCCCTTTTAGAATCTGTCGGCGAACACGAGCCTCCAGTAGAGGAACTACGTAACACTGTTCGACATGCACTTAAATGTTCACTTGTACCTCTTATTTCATATTCCAAAGAGTACGAACAATTTGTCGAATTAATAAATTTGGACGTGAATGCGTATTGCAAAGAATACAACGAAAAAGAGCACACTGCTCAAGAAGTTCAAGCAGATGTTGAAAAGCATTTGACTGAAAAGGATCGTATAGAGGGAATCCTTCCAAATAATATTGTTATTGGCCCATATTATCTTAATACTGAAGGAGTTCGTCAGGCGATATCAAAAAAATGCAAAGCTTTATCAAATGCTCTGCTAGAACTGTTAGCTACCAAACTAAGAAAGCAAGCTGACGAAGCTTGCGAAGAATTCAAAACTTTCGCCAGAAAACTATACGAGAAACCAAATTGTATAGAAGAATTAGCGGAAATGAGAGAATGGATGAAAACAATACCAGATAAATTAAAGGAACATCAAGAGTTAATTGATAAAGCTATGGTGGACTATGAGCTAATAGAAGAGTTCTATTATAACCTTTCTCAGGAAGATTTTAATACCAAGTGGACAACTGTTGGTTGGCCACATAAAATTGAAATACAAATGGCCCAAACATACGAACAATTAGAGGAAGAAGAGGAGAAATTCCACAAACTACAATTATCGGATCAAACTACATTCAACGACAAATTAGATTCTCTAAGTATGGCTGTGGCTGGTCTAGCCGGCTATACAGATCTAACAAGAGCACATGAAATCGCTAATGAAGTGAGAAGATTACATAAACAGCTTAAAGAAGCTCAAGAACAAGCTGCAATCTACAATAACAGAGAAAGATTATTTGGGATGCCAGTTACAAATGTAAGTATTTTCCTTTGATAATTTATTCTCACCCAACTAATATAAACTTTATTCTAATAATTATAAATTTATCCATTTGTATATTCCATTATATATCTTATACTGCATTATCCCTTAAAGAAATACTAAGGAATTACTGCATTTATATACTTATTATTTATATGGATATATATATATATATATATATATATATTTATGTAAATATGTTAATATATATATACAAAAATATACGTATATACAGATTATTGATGTAAGGGTCAAGAATGTGGTAAATCATGTTGTACTAAAGAAATGCAACAGTTTATAGACTTTATGCATTTAAATAAAGATACACCTTATATTTTTATAAATTATTAAAGAAATAGAGAGCATGATAGAGCTTACTTCCTGCCTAACCTACAATATTATTCCCTCTCTCTCCTAACCTTAATACAAGTACTGATCAGGTGAAAACGAAATTTGCTTTTATAAAAATCGCCTAGTCACGTTTTCATTTGATCATTCCTTGTGTAATAGAATAATGCATGCTTTAAATTTTATACATTTTATATTTGATAAATTCGATAATTTGAACTTTTAATGCAGTATGATAAATTAGCAAGATTAGTGAAAGATTTCGAACCCTTCCGTAATCTTTGGGTTACAGCCTCAGACTGGCAGAGATGGCACGAGAGCTGGATGAATGATCCATTGATATCTATTGATGCCGAAAGTGTTGAAAAAAATGTTACAGAATCTTATAAGATTATGCATAAATCCGTTAGGTTATTTAACGATATACCAGGAGTATCGGACGTTGCTATGGACATTAAATTAAAAATTGAGGAGTTTAAACCAAACATACCATTGCTGCAAGGTTTAAGAAATCCCGGAATGAGGAATAGACATTGGGAACAACTAAGCGAGAACTTGGGATTCCCTCTAAAACCAAAAGCAAATTTAACGTTTGCCAAATGCTTGGAGATGAACTTAAGTGAACATATTACAGTAATCTCAAAGATAGCCGAAGTAGCCGGTAAAGAATATTCGATTGAACAAGCACTTGATAAAATGGAAAATGAATGGAAACCTGTTAGCTTTGAGATTATGTCTTATAAGGAAACAGGAACATTTATATTAAAGGCCAGTGAAGATATTTCCCAACTGTTGGACGATCATATTGTTATGACGCAGTCTATGTCTTTCTCACCTTATAAGAAAGCATTCGAAGAACGTATATCATCTTGGGAAAATAAGTTAAGAACAACCCAAGATGTTTTAGACGAGTGGCTACTCTGTCAAAGACAATGGCTCTATTTAGAACCAATCTTTAGTTCTGAGGATATTAACAGACAATTGCCAGTTGAGAGTAAACGTTATCAAACAATGGAGAGACTTTGGAGAAAGGTTATGAGAAATGCTAAGGAGAATCCACAGGTTATCTCACTTTGTCCCGATAATCGTCTTCTCGACAATCTCAAAGAATGCAACAAACTGCTGGAGCAAGTACAAAAAGGTCTAAGCGAGTATTTAGAAACCAAGCGAAATGGTTTCCCCCGCTTCTACTTCTTGTCTGATGACGAATTATTGGAAATTTTATCACAAACCAAAGATCCAACTGCTGTACAACCTCATTTGAGAAAGTGTTTCGAAAACGTTGCTCGATTAAAGTTCGAAGAGGATTTGAAAATTACAGAAATGTACTCTGCCGAAGCAGAAGCTGTTCCTCTTTCGGAAACGTTGTATCCAACCGGAAACGTCGAAGATTGGCTACTTGAAGTGGAAAGAGTAATGAGAGAGAGTTTAAGATCCATTTTAGGAAGAGCCATTGGCGAATATTATAATGTAAGCATTAGTCGAATTATCAATTGTCAATTATTCTATTTTTAAATAATCCTTTAAATAACAGGTTAAAAGAACAGAATGGGTATTGAATTGGCCAGGTCAGATAGTTATAGCTGGATGTCAGACGGCTTGGACAACTGAAGTTTCAGACTCTCTAGCTAAAGGTGATCTGTCAGGTCTTTTTCCAAAGTTACTTTCCCAATTGGATGATTTAAGGTCATTGGTCAGAAGTCCACTCACCAAAATTGGTCGTATGATTTTATCGGCTCTCATTGTTATTGAAGTACATGCCAGAGACGTTGTGGGTAAGATGATAGAGGAAAGAGTAGAAAATATAAATGATTTTGAATGGATAAGTCAACTACGTTACTATTGGTCTGATGAAAACCTTTATATAAGGGCTGTAAACGCTGAATTTTTATACGGATACGAATACCTCGGTAATACTGGAAGATTAGTTATCACTCCACTAACTGATCGGTGCTACTTGACATTAACCGGAGCTTTACATTTGAAATTTGGAGGAGCTCCAGCAGGTCCAGCAGGAACGGGTAAAACAGAGACAACAAAAGATTTAGGAAAAGCAATGGCCGTACAATGTGTTGTATTCAATTGCTCTGATCAATTGGATTTTATGGCTATGGGTAAATTCTTCAAAGGTTTGGCTAGGTAATTTAAAAATAATGAATTTCAATATAAATTGATTTTTAAATTGAAAAAACTTTACTACTTTCTAGTGCTGGAGCATGGGCTTGTTTCGATGAATTTAATAGAATTGACATTGAAGTATTATCTGTTGTTGCTATGCAAATTACAACTATTCAAAAGGCACAACAGCAAAGGGTACGATAAATTGAATACTAATTTGCATATTGATAATTTAAACTTTTTAATTAGGTTGATAGATTTATGTTTGAAGGTGTTGAATTAGCTCTAAAACCATCTTGCGCTGTATTTATTACAATGAATCCAGGCTACGCCGGCCGTACGGAATTGCCTGACAACTTAAAGGCCCTTTTCCGACCTGTTGCTATGATGGTACCCGATTATGCATTAATTGCGGAGATATCATTATTTTCATTTGGTTTTTCGGATGCTAAAAATCTGTCCAAGAAAATTGTCACAACTTTTAAATTGTCTTCTGAACAATTGAGCTCACAGGATCATTATGATTTTGGTATGAGAGCTGTAAAGAGTGTTATATCCGCTGCAGGTAATTTAAAACGTCAAAATCCGGATATGAATGAAGAATTAATAGCACTAAGAGCAATTAGAGATGTAAATGTACCGAAGTTCCTTATGGACGATCTGAAACTCTTTAATGGAATTGTTTCTGATTTGTTCCCAAATATTAAGTTAGTTATGCTATTTATATATAAAAGCATTGTTTTGCTAACATTATTATTACCTTTAGGGAGGAGCCTATAGATTACGGTTCATTAGAGACGGCCTTGAGAAAATGCTGTACGAAAAATGGTCTAAAAGATGTTGATGGATTTATTCATAAATGTATACAATTATACGAAACAACAGTTGTAAGACATGGTCTTATGTTGGTTGGTCCAACAGGAAGTGGAAAAACGAAGGTTATTTTTCAAAAACTATCGTAAATTAACTTATAAAATATACATTTCGTTTTCAATAGTGCTACGAAACTCTGCAAAAAGCGTCAACATCATTAAAAGGCGAGTTATCGCCGGCTGGAACAAATTTCGAGACAGTCTTAACTTGCGTACTAAATCCTAAATCTATTACCATGGGCCAATTATACGGTGAATTTGATCTTCTAACTCATGAATGGACTGATGGTATTCTATCATCTCTTATTCGTGTTGGAGCCTCCTCAATGGATGAAGATAAGAGATGGTATATGTTTGATGGTCCAGTAGACGCCGTATGGATTGAAAATATGAATACTGTTCTAGACGATAACAAAAAACTCTGTTTAAGTTCGGGTGAAATTATTAAATTGACTGAGAACATGACAATGATGTTTGAAGTACAAGATTTGGCTGTAGCATCACCAGCCACAGTTTCACGTTGTGGTATGGTCTATCTTGAACCATCAATTCTTGGTTTACAACCATTTGTAGAATGCTGGTTAAAAAAATTACCTGACCTATTATACTCCTATCGAGATAAATTTCAAAGTTTATTCGATCATTTTCTGGAGCCTTCCATCAATCTGATTAGAAAGAAAATGAAGGAGATCGTTCCAAGTGTCGATTCCAATTTAACATATAGCTTGTTAAAAATGTTGGATTGTTTCTTTAAACCATTCCTTCCAAAAGAAGTAAGTAAGAATTTCTATTATGCTAGGCAAAAAAAGAAACACCTACGAAATATTCTTAGGAAATAGATAATAGAAGAAAAAGTGTCAGTTTTATATAAGAGATGACACTACTAAATCCATTTTAATAATAATTAAGAATACTATATTTTCTTTATAATTGATATATTTATCTATTTATATAAATTTATGTATTACCTTCAGTCGCGATCAGGTTATTCGGTAAGATTTATCAATAAATTCTCTGCTTTTTCCGCGATTGTGTACTTTTTTACTCGACTTTTATTTTTCTACTTTTACTTCCCGCCTTTTTCAATTTGAAGAAGAAGAAAGTCCTTTTCTTTTCCCCTCCTGTCTTTTTTTCTTTGGGGATAGCTAAAATATTCTATTATTCCTAGTCTTTTTCATATTTATATAAATGTATATACTGCATATAAATATATACAGTATTTAATACAAAATTAGACCTATTTCTTTAGTATTACTGTTATTATTATTATTATTATTTTTTCTCGCTTTTATTCTATTAGAAATTATCTTCTTTTCAAAAAAAAATGGTAAGAAACGAGTAATTTAAGCTTATAAGCATTGATGATTACAAACTAGTCAATATAACATATATTCATATTTTTGTCCTATTAATTATTATCAAGATTTATTTATAGATTTCTAATTAAATTCCATTTAATTTATAAATAACATATATGTATATATATATAAATTTATACGTGTTGAAAGACATCCTACTATATCTTCCATCCTAATGAGGTATCCTGATCAAAGCAAAGCAGAAAAACTCTTTGATCATTTATCAAAAATAAATTAGAATAGTTACGTGTTTGATTCACTTAACAAATTAATTAATTTGTTTAATTATCAAAATATAATAAACATAGAAAAAAGATGCATGTCAAAGAAATTTATAAACGCATAAAAACATCATTTAAACAAATAATGACAATTACAAACATATAATTGTATTATTAGCATGACAAACAGTTTCGTAAGCGTCTATATGTTTTCATTTTTTAGGGACAGAACCTAAAATATGAAATGATTAATGTTTTTAATTGTATAGCCTATTTTACATTCATGTTTAAATGTATACAGTATATCTAAATATATACATATATATATATATATATATATATATATGTATATATACTGTATAAACTGTTTATCGTTCATTTACTTATTCAATATTTTATTTTTTTATTCTTTCTCTTTTCACTTTCAAAATTAATTTATCTTTGTATTTTCGCTATTCTTATAAAAATTTCTGAATTCAGGGTGACAAACCAATACCTATGGAACGATTGGCAAGAATAGAAGAACTTATTGAACCTTGGTTTCTATTTTCTCTTGTTTGGTCTGTTGGAGCTACTGTAGATAATGATGGAAGAAAAAAATTTTCTGAATATATTCGGGAAGAGTCTAAATCATTTGGAGTAAGTTTATAAAGATTACATTTTATACGAGATAACCTATATCGAGTTTCTTTACTTTATAGATAAAACTTGAATTTCCATCTGATGGATTAGTATACGATTATAGATTAGATGATGCTGATATATCGCTACCTGCAGCGGAAGAAGAAGAAGAGGAAGAGTTAAAAAAGAGAAAGGTACGTTTGAAATCAATGTTAGCATATTACATAATTAATCAGTAAAGGTACCGTTAAACGAAAGATCGTCGTCATAGTAACTTTTCTTTTAAATAAAAACATCTAAATATAAATTACAAAAAGCAAAAACAAATATCATATATAAATTTTTAGAAGCGTCGTATGTTGTTGCAAAATCCTAATCAAGAGATAAATGAAGAAGATTTAGAAGAACGTCCCAAAAATACTACGGTTTGAAAATAGACAATTATAAAAGAAACCGTCCCATAAAACTATAAAAATATGTTTAAAATATAAAAATTGAACGATTTTACAACAAAATCAAAACAATTTCTTATATTTTATGTTTTTTTTTCTACCCTTTATTCACTTTTTCTTTATTATTTATTATTAAATTTTTGTATTCTTTTTTTTTTAAAAAAAAAAGAAATAAGAAAAAAATGTTTTTTTTCTTCTTAATTTTGGTTTTTACATCCAAAATTTTAGAAAAGTTAAAAATAGAATATACATATATATCTATATCTATATATAAATGGCTGAAAAATATATTAATTTTCTAACTCTTCTTTCTCATAGGCCTAACAATTTATAAAAAAATATGAACAAGATTTTGAGAGATGTTATTCCAATCGAAATCTTATTTTTTGATGAATTTTCTCTGCATTTACTTTCAAGATTAAGAAATAAGAGAGTTTTATTAATTAAAGCGTTTTTTATAAATAGGTTCAATGGATCGGCTGGATGGAAAATATACCCGAATATGTTATAACTACAGATATGAAATTTTCCGATATCATTGTGCCTACATTAGATACTGTACGATCTGCTTTCCTACTCGAAATGCTCTTAACCAACAATAAAACGGTTGCTTGCGTTGGACCAACAGGAACGGGAAAATCTCTAGCAATTGCTAACAAGCTGGCCAGATCAATGCCTAAAGAATATATACCAGAATTTATTACATTTTCGGCTAAGACGAGTGCAAATCAAACCCAAGATTTAATTGATGGTAAATTAGATAAGAGAAGAAAAGGAGTATTTGGCCCACCATTAGGAAAATACTTCCTTTTCTTTGTTGACGATCTGAATATGCCAGCGCTGGAAGTTTACGGTGCACAGCCTCCTATTGAACTTATCCGCCAATGGATGGACTTTGGTGGTTGGTATGATAGAAAGGCTATTGGAGAATTTAGAAATTTGGTAGACGTCAATTTTATTGGAGCTATGGGACCACCTGGGGGAGGAAGAAATCCCATTACGCCTCGTCTCTTAAGACATTTTAATTATTTGTCTTTTACCGAATTAGAAGAGGAAAGCATGATGACCATTTTCGGTAGAATTCTCAATTTTTGGATAAGCAACAATGCTGGTTTATCTCATTTAAATGAAAACATGGTCAAAACGTGCATTAGTGTTTATAGTACTATTACAACCCAATTACTACCGACTCCGGCTAAATCCCATTATACTTTCAATTTGAGAGATTTATCAAAAGTTTTTCAAGGTATGCTTATGGCTGATCCTTCAAAAATTGCTAACGAGCAAGAATTACTAAGATTATGGTACCATGAGAGTGCCAGAGTATTTTCTGATAGGTTGGTTAACGATGACGATAGAAAATGGTTTAAGGAACTTTTGGAGAGTAAGATAAAAAACGATTACAATATTGAACCTTCTGAGGTGATTACTAGCGAACCTCTAATGTACGGCGACTTTCTCAATCCAACCGATAAACAATACACCGAAATGGCCGATCATGAAAAGCTTACTGCAAGTGTGGAGGAAGGCTTAGAAGACTATAACCAAATTAATACTGCAAGAATGAATTTAGTTCTCTTTATGGATGCTATAAAACATCTAAGTAGAATAGCGCGTATCATAAGGCAGCCTCAAGGCAATGCTCTCCTTCTCGGTGTGGGCGGTTCGGGAAGGCAGTCTTTAACTCGATTAGCCGCTCATATGTAAGTTTTAACCTTATAAGTTGCACAGGGGAGGGAAAATTTACATGTAATTACTAAACTTTTGTAAACAGAGCGGAATACGATCTCTTCCAAATCGAATTATCAAAAAATTACGGTGTAAATGAGTGGAGAGAAGATTTGAAAAAGGCTATGATGAAAGCTGGATTGGAAAATAATCCTATGGTTTTCCTCTTTAGCGATACTCAAATTAAAAATGAGTCTTTTCTAGAAGATATAAATAATATCTTAAATAGTGGTGATGTACCAAATCTGTACGGTTTGGACGAATTAGATTCCATCTATAACACTATGAAGCCAATTGTCCAAGATGAGGGTTTACAAGCAACTAAAACCAACCTTTTCAGCGCTTTCACAAAAAGAATTAGATCTAATTTGCATACAGTAATCACAATGAGCCCCATTGGAGAAGTGTTTAGGGCTAGACTGAGACAGTTTCCTGCTCTTGTCAATTGTTGCACTATCGATTGGTTTTCGGAGTGGCCTGCCGATGCCCTCAGATCGGTAGCCCTAAGATTCCTACAAGACGCTCCAGATGTAGATGCGAGTGGAGATATACTCGAAGGTCTTGTTAATATGTGCCAAGAAATTCATATATCCGTTACGAAAAACTCAGTATTATATTTATCCGAACTCTCTCGTCACAATTACGTTACTCCTACATCATATTTGGAATTAATTAACACTTTCGTCAAGTTAACAAAACTAAAAAAGACTGAATTAATGAATGCAAGGGATAGAACGAAAACTGGATTGGACAAACTACTTTCAACTGCAGAAGATGTTGCCAAGTTACAAGAAGAACTTAAACATATGAAACCTCTTTTAGAGGAGGCCGTTCAAGAATCTAAAGCAACTATGGAGCAAATTGCGAAAGATACAATTGTAGCTGAGGAAACTAGAACTGTAGTTCAGAAGGAAGAAACGGAGGCTAGAAATAAAGAAAAAGAAACTCAAGCTATAGCTACAGATGCTCAGCGAGATTTGGATGAAGCATTACCGGCTCTAGATGCTGCTTTGCTATCCCTAAAATCTCTTAATAGGAACGATGTTGTTGAAGTAAGAGCTATGCAACGTCCTCCAGAAGGTGTTCAAATGGTTATTCAAGCAGTTTGTATCATGAAAGGGGTTAGGCCGAAAAAAGTTGCGGGAGATAAACCCGGAAGTAAAATTGATGATTACTGGGAACCCGGAAAAGGCTTATTGACAGATCCTCAAAAGTTTTTAGAGTCATTGTTCACTTTTGATAAAGATAATATACCAGACGACAGAATTCAAAAAATTCAACCATACATCGATTCCGAGTCATTTACACCGGCCAATATAGCCAAAGTATCGAAAGCTTGCACAAGTATTTGCCAATGGGTACGAGCTATGCATAAATATCATTTTGTAGCCAGAGGTGTTGCTCCAAAACGTGAAGCTCTAAAAATTGCTGAAGCCGACTTGGAAAAGACACAAAAAATCTTAGCCGATGCCAAAGCACGATTGATGGAGGTGGAAAATGGTGTTGCAACACTAAAGGCAAAATATGATGACTCTGTTAAAAAGAAAGCTGAGCTAGAAAATAAATGCGAAGAATGTGAAGCGAAGTTAGGACGGGCTCACAAATTGATTGGAGGATTAGCTGACGAAAAGATAAGATGGCAAGAATCAGTAGAAGAATTGAATGCAACTTTAGCAAATATTATAGGCGATATTTTAATTTCTGCTGGATACGTTTCCTATTTAGGATCTTTTAATGGAGCGTACAGACATAAAATGTTAGAGGAATGGGTAGAAAAACTAGGTGAACATAGCGTCCCATTTAATTCTGATCCAAATTTAATTAAAGTAATGAGTGATCCAGTTAAAATTAGAACTTGGCAGATTGCTGGACTACCTAAGGACAATCTTTCTGTTGAAAATGGTGTAATTGTTCAATTTTCTTCTAGATGGCCTCTATTTATTGATCCTCAGGGTCAGGCAAATAAATGGGTTAAAAATTTGGAGAAAGAGAATGGTATTGATGTAATTAAATTAAGTGATAAAGACTTCTTGAGAAGTTTGGAAAATGCTGTTAGATTTGGAAAGCCTTGCCTTCTAGAAAATGTAGCCGAAGAATTGGATCCGGCACTTGAACCAATCCTCTTGAAGCAAGTTTTCAAACAGCAAGGAAGTTTAGTTATCAAGCTGGGAGATGCTGTTATTCCCTATCACGAAGATTTCAAATTTTATATCACTACAAAATTACCAAATCCGCACTATACACCTGAAACGTCAACAAAAGTGACACTTGTTAATTTTACTCTATCACCAAGCGGTTTGGAGGATCAACTGCTGGGTATTGTCGTTGCTGAAGAGAGACCCGATTTGGAAGAAGCTAAAAATCAACTGATAGTCTCGACCGCAAAAATGAAATCGGAATTGAAAGAGATTGAAGATAAGATACTTCACAGACTATCGGCATCTGAAGGAAGTCCAGTTGATGATATTGATTTAATTCAAACTTTAGAAGCTTCAAAATTTAAATCGGAAGAGATTAAACAAAAGGTCGTCATTGCCGAACAAACAGAAAAGGATATCGATGAGACAAGAAGTCAATATATTCCGGTAGCGGTTAATACACAAATCCTCTTCTTCTGCGTAGCAGACTTAGCTAATATAGATCCTATGTATCAGTATTCACTCGAGTGGTTCATTGGCATATTTTTAGGAGGAATTAGTAATGCTGAACGGGCAGACAAGCTAGCTCAGAGAATTGAAAATATAAATGAGTATTTCACATTCTCCTTATACTCCAACGTTTGCAGGAGTTTATTCGAAAAACATAAATTATTATTTGCATTCTTATTGTGTGTGCGAATTCTTATGTACAAAGGCAAGATTAATATGGATGAGTGGAGATATCTATTAGCTGGCGGTACCCACAAGGTAAAAGATATGAATAACCCAGCTCCTGAATGGCTTTCTGAACGTTCTTGGGGTGAAATACTTACTCTATCATACTTATCATCTTTTGCTTCTTTTGCGGATGACTTTCCTAATCTTCTACAAGGATTTAAAAAGATATTCGATTCTATTGAACCTCATAAAGAAGAGTTACCAGGTAAATGGGCTGAAGAATTGGACGATTTCCAAAAATTACTTGTACTCCGTTGCCTTCGAGCTGATAAAGTGACAAATGCTATGCAAGACTACGTTTCTAATCATCTAGGTCAAAGATTTATAGAACCCCAAACAGCAGATTTAAATCTCGTCTTCAAAGATTCATCACCAACAACGCCACTCATATTCGTGCTAAGTGTGGGTACTGATCCGGCTGCAGATTTATACAAATTTGCAGAAGAGATGAGATTCTCGAAGAAACTAAGCGCTATATCACTTGGTCAGGGTCAGGGACCTAGAGCCGAAGCTATGATGAAATCAGCTATGGAAAGAGGCAAGTGGGTATTTTTCCAGAATTGCCATTTAGCTCCAAGTTGGATGCCCAGCTTAGAGAGGCTAGTTGAACAAATTGACCCGGATAAAGTACACAGAGATTTCAGGCTTTGGTTGACATCTATGCCAAGCCCTAAATTTCCTGTTTACATTCTACAGAATGGTTCGAAAATGACTGTAGAACCACCCAGAGGAATAAAGGCAAATCTATTACGATCCTACACATCTTTTACCGATGATTTCCTTATGTCGTGTGGTCTTAGGGCGTTTGAGTTTAAGTATCTGCTATTATCACTTTGCCTTTTCCACGGTGTTGTTCTTGAAAGAAGGAAATTTGGACCTTTAGGATTTAATATACCTTATGAATTTACAAATGGAGATTTACGAATATGTATATCTCAGCTAAAAATGTTCTTGGAAGAGTATGAAGATATTCCCTACAAAGTTCTGAAATATACCGCAGGCCATATTAACTATGGCGGAAGAGTAACTGACGACTGGGACAGACGTTGTCTTATGAATGTGCTTAATGACTTTTACAGATCGACTGTTCTAGATGCTCAGCATAAATATAGCTCATCAGGAATATACAAGCAAATTGATCCAGATAATGATTTAAAAGGTTATATCGCCTTCATTAAGAGTTTACCAATTAATGATACACCAGAAATATTCGGTTTACACGACAATGCCAACATCACCTTTGCTCAGAATGAAACCTTCCTTTGCTTAGACGCTCTTCTAAAATTACAACCGAGATCGTCATCTGGTGGAGGAGCATCAAGAGAAGAAATTATGGAGAAAACAGCAAAAGATATACTGAACTCTGTACCAAATCCAATCCCTATCGGACCCGTAATGGAGAAATATCCAGTTCTATACGAACAGAGTATGAATACAGTTCTTAGTCAGGAAGTTATACGATACAATAGATTATTAAACACCATTCACAAGAGTCTTAATGATCTTCTGAAGGCCCTAAAGGGTCTTGTTGTTATGTCTCAAGAATTGGAAAATATGGCAAACTCCCTATTTATTAACCAAGTACCATCTCTTTGGTCGGGAAAAGCATATCCATCACTAAAACCATTGGCATCATGGGTAATCGATCTAGAACACAGAGTAGAGTTTATTCAAGATTGGATTAAGGGTGGAATTCCATCTGTCTTCTGGATTTCAGGTTTCTTCTTTCCTCAAGCCTTCTTGACGGGAACTTTGCAGAATTTCGCGAGAAAGAAAGTTATTTCTATTGATACGATTAATTTCAGTTTCGAAGTAATGAGAGAATCGGCAAACGAACTAAAGGAGCATCCAGAAGACGGTTGCTATATAAGAGGACTTTTTCTAGAGGGTTGCCGCTGGGATCCTGCTAGGCATCAATTAACAGAATCAAGGCCAAAAGAACTATATACAGATGTGCCATGTATATGGCTTATACCAATGGCTAATAGAAAACCTCCAAGTGACGGTATTTACGATTGTCCAGTTTATAAAACCTTAACAAGAGCAGGAACTCTATCAACGACTGGACATTCCACAAACTTTGTTTTTGCAGTCGAATTACCCACAGATAAAGAACAAAAATATTGGATTCAAAGAGGCGTCGCTATGCTTTGCGCACTAAACTATTGATCCGATTATTTAACAAAGACGCTGCTAGAAATCTTGTACGATATAAACATTTATTTAATAGACAACGTTTTAAGCTATTCTTATATTTTATATATATTTTGTTTTTATAATTATTCTACACATTCAAAATGGAATAAAATAACATTCTTAAGGCAATAACAACAAAAACATGTAATATTCCTCTCATAGGTAGATGGCGTTGTAGTTGATTTATTAGCTGGGCTATCTTTGCTATATAAATAGTAAAAGAAACTTACTTATTTGGAAGACAAATAGTTCGGTTTACTCCGTGAGAAATATTAATTGAAAAGAGTAGTAATAACAATAGTAATAATCGAACGTCAACATAGAGTAAAGAGAGAAAGAGAGCGAGAGAGCAAGAAGGAAGATTTAAATTCTCAGTTATAAAAGAGAAAGCCCAGGAAAATTTTATCACCAAATATGTCATTTAAATTTATTGTATTTACTGTTCTAGTAATGAGAACAAGATGATATTTCAGTGAATAACCCTTTAGTTTATCATTAAACCTAAATGAACTTTGAGGAGAGATGGCCCTTTTTTGTTTTTTATAGAATATAATACAACACTATATAGTATAGTTTTGTTTTTTTGGATTTATTGACTTGTTTATTAGTAATAAAAGAATAAATTGATTGTATAATAGACTGAAGAGTGACAAATTATTGACTAATTTTCATATTAAAATATACAGGAAGAGAATATGCTCTTAAATTATACTGGATGTGTAAATAGGGGAGGGAAGGGAGGATGATTTTAACCAAGGACGTCAAAGGGGCGGTATGTAATGTGTTTAATCAAACAAAATAATTGCAGGGACAGAATTTTTTTTCTTTTCGAAGCCTGAAATTTATAAATATCTTCTTTATATATATAATCTATCTTTCAACAAAGAAACTGCTATTTAACTATATCTACTAATCGTTTCAATCTTTTGCTGTAATAACTCATTGCTAAAGAAATGAAATTTCTATAGAATATCATTGCTGTCGACTTTGACAGCGCTGATAGGATACTATGTAAGATGTAGGTGGCGTTTTAGATATTTCTGTGGACGGTAGCATTCGAAACTAGATCCGACAGTAGGCCTTTCTAATAAAGATATCTTATTTTTTCAAATTTCCTTTTATGTTTTATTTCAATACTTAAAGATGAAAACAATGTTACCTACCCAAGAAGGAAACCATCATAAAAAATTGAACAAGATTGGAATAGGATGGGTCTTCCTCTCTGTAATTTGTGCGTTTAGCTGCTCAGTAGGATTCTATGCTCCATACTGGCTAAATGGAAAATTTATAAATGGTACGGAATCTCATCTTGGAATATTCCGGCGATGTAACTATTTAAAATTAAATAAAGGAGAACTGGAAACAGTTAAAGATTGCGGTATGTACAAGACATTCTCGGACATCCCAAGTACTTGGTGGAAGGTTAGCACATTGACTGTTGGTTGTTCAACATTTCTCACGGCAACAGTAGCTTTTGTTGGATTGTTCGCTTCTTGTATACGAGACGCCCTCTCGCGAACTATTATTAAATTATCTGGACTCTTCCAGGCGTTTTCCGGTGAGTGTTACTAGGCCTATGAGACCGTTTATAAGCACACCCTATCTCGTGCGTATTAATCCTCTTTTTATCGTTTGCTTTCTAATGAAAAACAGCAAAGACATAAAAGCAAAGAAAGCTTCTTTTCTTAACCGGAATTGACTGTACCGGAAAAGGAATATTTTTCTCACCATTTTTGCTATAATAGGTTTTTTTGGTTGAAGAATCATATATAGTATTTAAAGTAACAAAAAAAAATCAGGAATAGAAAGTTCTCTTGCCAAGCTCTTTCATGTTATTCATTTTCTACCTTTTAAAGCGGACAATATAGCGACAAGAAGCGAAATTTAATCGCTCCCCTATTCTCTAAGGATTCCTTCGTGGATAGCCTATTTGTTTATGCATGTAAACAAAATATAAAATCTACACCCTTATTCCAGGGATAAATACCAGCATCTAAACGGTAGAAATGAAATATATTTGACAGAAAACATTTTAATCTTCCAGAAATGTCGGACTAATTGAAAAGAAACTTGCATACTGCTTATCCAAGAGTAGAATATATAAAGAAATAGCCAGGGAGAGGGAAATCACGTCTAGAATATAAACGCTTATTACCCTTCGCGGTTTGTCAGATACGTCACGCCTCTTCTCTTGATAGGCTCAAATAAGCCCGTTTAAGCACGTATTTTTATTTTTGTTTAATTCAGCTTTTAATCTGGAGATAATAATCTAAATTATTCGTAATTTACGATTTCCTTTTATCGAATTAAATTCTAGCTTGGACATTGATTAATACATACTCCATTTTAAGAGAGAGAGAGAGAGAGAGAGAGAGAGACAAATAGTCAAAGGGCGGGATGAAGAGAGAAAAACGAAAAGATTTTCGAGTTTATTATAAAATGAAGAAAAAAAAGACGAAAAAAATAATCCTATTGTCACGTGATTATCAGTCTTTTCCAGCCTAATTCCTTTTAAGAATGGAAAGGGAGGAGGGGTATTTTTCGAGATAGGGAATAGGTGGTAAATGCTGACCCGTCGAGGATTAATCTTTTCGCGATTAGTTTTATTTACGCTCCAATTATTATAAATGGATCCTCAGCTAAACCCGCTATTTATAGGGAGAATACAAAATACTGTTGCTCTTGGTAACTAAATTGCATTTTACGACTAAAAGAAGAAATTTTTCTTTTGCATATATATTTATAAGTCTTGACAAACATAGTTTGTAGGAACACACGATAAAATCTGTATTTTTAATTTAAAAATACTTGTTTCCTATATTAAAAAAGGATTAGGCAAGTAGAGAATTCAAACGAGAAGAATTTAAATTGATTCTTCCCTCCAGCAAGAAATTAACTTCTCCTTTAGCCTTTAGAAACTAGCTTTCGAATAATTCCCATAATTCGGCTGTATTTTTCTTGCTTTCCTGCTCCTATTATTTCTTTTATTTTTTTATTTTCGTGTATTAATTATATCTATTTATTATTTATTATATGTTATTGTTAATCTGTCATTGCAGGAGTATTAATGGCTGCAACTTGCATTCTTTTCTATCCTTTGGGTTGGGCAAACTCCGAATCGAAACAAGTATGTGGAGATGAAGCGCGCAATTATAAATTAGGTTAATTAAAGCACATTTTCTACTCTCTTAACCCTCATTCTTTTTATTTATGCTCGTCCCATTTTATCCATTTCCCTTACTTTTAGCGTTAATAATGTGATAATATTGCAAACAGGGCATTGCAGTTTGGGTTGGACGTACTTTCTCGCTTCGGGCACAGCAATTTTAGAGCTTGTTTGCTTTATTCTAACACGTTACAGCATCAGACCGAGATATGATAATCCAATGAAATACGCCTCTGTTAAAGCCTCTTGCTCTCAAACAACGGAAATACAACAGCTGTAAAGGAATGAAAATATTAAGTAAAAACCCTCTTTGTATCTCGAAAATAAACTAGAGATGACGCTATTGGTCAGACGAAAAGTTTAGATCGATTTATTAATGAAGAAAGAGAAGAATTAAAAGATTTATCAACGCTTCTTCAAATGCAAATTGATGTTAAAAACCTTTATTATTGAGAATCTATGCCTTTTATATGAGAAAATTAGTAAACTAATGTTGAAACCATATAAATTTGAAATATTGAATTGTAAATATAAGATAATGTTGTTTTTTTCAGTAATTCCTGCTTTTTACCTAGTAAAAGAACGTTATTAAAAAAAGACTTTTATATATTATATGTCATTGACCTTTTATATTTAAATAAACGGTTAAAGTATTGCTAAGTCTTTACTTAAGACGTTAGAATGTCCAGATGGCGGCTCTTAATTATCATAAAAATATAGCAGTAGGCATTAACATAATTATGAATATTAATAAGAAATAGGAAAACTTTGCCTATAGTCTTGGACTATCTTACGAATTGTATTTGAGCTGGAAGGATGAATTCAGAAGAAGGTAACCAACAAACAAAATGTGAAAAGCTGCTTTTGACGATAAAGAAGCATAGGACGTTTCTTTTAGTGTTTTTAGCCCTTTTCCTGGATAACGTTCTAACAACAATAGTTGGTAAGAGCTTCTTTCATATTCTATTTAAAAGAGAATTATAAAATGTTTTCATTCAAAATTATCTTCAAAATTTCTATTCTTTATCTTATCAAAACAGTTCCAATAATTCCTGATTATTTGGGTAATTTTAACGGAAAGAATACTAATTTTACAGATTTTGACAACAATACGTTCATGAGGTAAAAATTTCATTTTATTTCTATTATCAAAACTTATCTTAGATCAATTAGCATTTTAGTAAGTTACGCAATTGGAAATAAGGATCATTTGTGTAACTTTTATTTCCTTAGAAAATCTTGAAAAGTTCTACTACATTTTTTCATTTTCTCTTAGAGATGATACAAGAACTGGATGGCTATTTTCTTCCAAGGCGATAGTGCAACTTTTCTTCAACTTTGTAATAGGGCACATAGTGAACAGGTTAATAAGGGTTGAAAGGTAATTTTACGCAAGACGGCTTTCTAATGATATCTCTTTTATAGATATGGACATTTGTCCTGCATGGTATTCGGTAGTGTCATGTTTGTAATATCTTGCATCCGTAAGATATTATACTAATTTATTCACGTGTCCATAAGTAACTTTCGTGTTTTCTTATTGTAGTTTACACTATTGGAACTAATTACGTACAGCTTCTTATCGCACGATCATTACATGGAATTTCTTCAGCTGGTATGAATGTTGCAGGATTTTCGGCTTTGGCTAACAAATATCAAGAAGATAGAGAGAGAAGTTTAATCATAGGCCTAGCTATGTCTGGAGTTGCTAGTGGTGTAATAGTTGGCTATCCTTTGGGCGGTAGTTTATATGAGTTTGTTGGAAAGACGATGCCCTTTGCAATTTTGACATCTATTGGTATAGTACAATTGTTCTTACAATTTACTGATTTACCAGAAGCTAATGAATCTTTAACAATTGGATTTGGGACAAATCATTCATTTTACGATCTTTTGAAAGATTTTAGGTTTTTAGTTTTATTTGGAGCTCTTTTATTGCCGGAAGTTGTTATAGCAGCTATAGAACCCACGTTGCCTCGTTTCTTAGAAGAGAAAATGGACGCTGAAGAGTGGGAAGTGGGTGCAGCTTTTTTGCCTGACAGTCTTGGGTTCTTACTTGGTTCTTCTCTATTTGCAACGCTGGCCAGAAAAATCGGACGGAAATTGCTGACAACCGTTTCATTGTTACTAATGTCCGCTTGTCTGATTGCTTCATCTTATAGTCGACAGGTGGCGCATTTAATCTTGCCTCAATTCGGAGTTGGTTTAGGATTGGGCGGTAAGACTAAAATTCTTTTCCAAACGCAGATAGAAATACTTGAAGAAACTTATTTGTTATATATAAAAATAAACAGGAATAGACGCTTCACTGATACCTCTTCTGGCTCTCTTAGTGGATCAGTACTGTCCAGGACAATACGGAGCCGCCTACGCAATTGGACAATCGGCAATTTGCTTAGGATTTGCTTTAGGTATATTTGATTGTTTTACTCATGAATAAAGAACTGTTGTATTAATTTGTCTTAAGCTATAATATAAGAGTAAAACACAATACGAAGATAATTAATAGAATTATGAGAAAACGATACCAAAAAAAAAATAATTTTGAAGATTGTTTTCTTTTTTTTTTTTAAAAAAAACAAAATATACAAACAACTAGATAGAATATATCTATATATACAGATATATCATATATATTTTGTATTAAAAAATCTTTAAATGACAAATAAAGAATGAGTAGAAAAAAGAAGAAGAAGAAGCCAAAGTATTAAAAATAACAGCTGTTGTTTTTTTATATATTTATCATTAAAATTGCAATTATCCATTGCATTATTATTAACTTCCTTATTGTTACTATTAGTATTGTGTTGTTCTTTTTTTGTTAGTATGCCAAGTAGTAAGCCATGATAAAAAATAATATGCTTTAATATAGTATATAAGTAATGTAGCAGAAAAAAAATCCAGACTATTTTACGTCAATGGAGAGAGGAGATGTTTTCATAATGTTAATATTTGCAGGTCCAGCCTTTGCTGGATATATTACAGACGCTCTTGGATTTAGGTGGTAAGTAGTATTTGTTGATTCATTTTAATTGTTTTTGTTTATTAAACTGTCGATTTTGGGATTTTCTGACCAGGCTTTTAAGAATTTTGTGCTGCTTGGCTGCTTCCTATTCTTGTGTAACTTGTCTTTGTTTTCCGTCAATTCAAACGGGTGTTTATAATCAACTTAGATGAAAAGATATATATGAAGGTTTGTAATCTAAATATTAAACGCTAACGAATGTACCAGCGATAGCTATAACTGACTAATTTAAATGGTTTTCAATGTTTGGTAATATTTCTATTGTTAAGCCTCTTGAAAGACTCTGCAAATGTAAAACTATACGCTTATGATGAGTAGTTGTAAGAGAAGATAGATAACAAAAATAGGGATTTTGTTGACACAGTGTAGCATGCATAATGCTAACCTCACCAATTGGTACTGTCCCCCTTCACAAAGTATTAAGTTTTTAAAGTATCCCTCAAAAAAGATAAATGCAATAGATCAAAGGAAAAATATACACATACTAGCTGAATAAATAGTAATCTCTTCATTGTGTGTTTTGTTCTCTTTTATTTTAGATTGTAAATGTTTATTTTTCAGAATTGTCGATATTTCTGACCGAAATGCCTGAGGATGGAAAAGATCCTCTCTTGATATGGGCGGAATATCATCTACATCCAAATTTGAGTAGAGAAGAGGCTTTTAAATTATTGCAGCCTCATAATAATGATTTTCGATTCACGTATGGTTTAGCTTCACTCTTCATTACATTGTACAGTATAACAGCTGTTAGTGCCCTTATAGTAAACTCCTTAATGGCCTATGTTCTTATTAGTAATAAGACTCTTAGGAGTGCTAATAATGCTTTTGTGACGAATTTGATAATCAGTGATATATTATTAGCTCTTATCGTTATGCCTTTATCAACCATAATGCTTATTCTAAAAGAATGGAATCTTGGAGAGACCTTTTGTAAAATGACTCCATGGTTAAAAGCTACATGTGTATCATGCAGTACTTATAGTATAAGCGCTATTGCAGCTATACGATATCGTTGTATTGTGAAAGGATCTAAATTACCGTCCTACCGAAATGCCTCACTTGGTATTGCAACTATTTGGGTTGTTTCCACGATTATTGGATCACCAATGTTGTTTGTTGTTCAAATACGAATCTATAAAATAGCACCGCCGTATCTTTTGTATAGGACTTGCTCAGAACATTGGCAAAGTTATACATTAAAAGTCTTATATAGTGTGACGGTCATGACTTTACAATTTATTTTACCTCTACTTATTATAGCCTTTGTCCACTGGAATATCTGTAGTGTTCTAAAGCGTAGAATAAATGCTAGACATAGGCCATTAGTTAGAGCTCTACGTGAGGCAAGACGTCATCGGAAGAATTCAACATTACTCATGATGATTGCTTGTGTATTCGCCTTTTGTTGGTTTCCTTTCAGTTTTTTCAACTTGATAGCTGATTTAGAAAGCAAACAAATCAGCAATGAATATTTCATGGTTATCTACGGATCTTTCCTATTAATAGCCCTGAGTTCAGCATGTTTGAATCCATTGCTTTATTGCTGGACAAATGAAGCTATCAGAAGAACTATAAAAGGATTACTAAAGAGAAACACTAACTATAATAGAAGGAATACTAACTTACAAGAAAATAGTTTAATCATGAGAGTGTTACGAAATCAACCTCTTGTTCACGTTTTATAGTCAACTTTCATATTTCTCATTGTCGCTCTTAAAAAGAAAGATAAAACGAAAAACGAGAAGGGAAAGTTTGGAAATTTTTACTTCTATAGAATTAGACTTGTATTTGAACAAACGAAAAGTCTTTATACCTCGTTTTTCCCTATCTAAAAAATTCAATAAATATCTTATTAAGTGTGTTCGTACTTCCTTGCTATATTTATTAAAACGCAGCAATGATGAAATTATAACAGACTTATATAATTAATACTTGTTTGAATGCCAGCGATATCTCTTCCCTCATCGCTTTATTGGATAAAAATATTTAAAGATCTTTACTAAGAAATATACTATGTTTAGGATATGACAGCGGTAAAAACTAGCACATCAGTGGCGCGTACGTATCCTTTATTTCTGGATACAAAATCTCTTGACAGATAGAAGCTGGTCTGTAATTAGTACTCATTTTATACTAATAATAGTCAAAAATAAATATTTTTATATTATATTTAATGAGTTTAACTATTGTTTTTTTTTAAAAAAAAGATAGTCTACATACTTCTATATAAGCATTTCTTTCGCTCAAAATAGAGCCAATGAATCATTGAGAACATTGTGATACAGTAACAAGTATTGATTTGTTAATTGATTATTTGTTGGAATATGTAGTACATAAATAGTAATGACTAAAACAAATTAAGGAACTCTTTCTATATGCTCATGTAAAACTTAAAAGACTGTTCACATGAATATTTTAACTATCCTTAATATTCTTACATCCTCCCATGCAGTTAGGCATATGTTGGATATACTGTAAATAGTCATTTAATACTCTTTTTTTGGCCTAGTTAACCTCCTTAAACTTTATTTTAAGGCTCTCACTCTGGAACACAGCTTATAATTGAAACTTAGGTTCTTGGATAAATAGGATTTTTTTCAGAGACTCTGTCATTGTTACCGACTTTTAGGGGAATATCCAATCATCCAAAAGCTCATCATCTTTAACCTTCGCTAGCTTTCTATCAGACATTCTCTATGTCTGAACACTTATTGGTACTGCCAAAAAGAATAATTTTATCGAGGAGGATACTTAGGATTGCTATCAAATTTCTCTAAATTAGAATAACACTCTAAACTAATATATAATCTGTGATTGCACAAAGAGGACTAGGAGCATTGAGAAGTGGACTTTGAGATGTTCATGTAGATTTATAATTGTCTTTAGATTTTTCATATCCAATGTCACTCCACTTTTAATTTGAATGTTTGTCTTGTTAGAGCAATGTACTTACTTAGCACGTAGTGTTTCATATGGGTATTCTTTAATCTCTCATGGTATATTGTATTTTTATGAGAAGCGACAACAACCAACAATTTTTACAGTGTTCTTTAGTTCATTTCCATGAATATAAAACAGAGTTCGCAAATTTGTTTGCTGCCACCTTCTTTGGCTTTGAAGATGCATTGATCTGATATGATAAGTTCAGTTTAGGCCTAATACCTTGTGAAATTCATATTATGGAGCTTTTGAACTGCCTCTCTTGATACCCTAAATAGAGTACAGATATTTAAAATCCGCTTAAAAACCGTAAAGGCTCTTTTTGTTTTAAATTATTCTATTTGGTTAGTGGGTCACTGAGAGAATACAACCCACTTGTAATCATCGTCAGGCTGACTCCTAAGGTCTATCTAATCAATATACGCCATACTATTAAAACCCCTTTTTAGTTTAATTTTACCGATTGTCCGTTAAAAAAAAGAATACTCTACATATTTTATTCGTGCTTGTATTTGAGTAGTTTGTCAAAAAATATCTGGCTATTTGATAAAAATAATTCATAAAACGATAGGAAAGAAAAGATAAAAGTATGATAAAACAAGATGTACACGAGGTATTTTATACAAATGTGTAGTTTCAGTCATAGTATTCTATTTCCTATTGTTGTTTTTGTTTGTCTATTCTTTCGTGTTAATTGTTTTTTTTTTAAGCAGAGAAATACAAAAAATTTTCCGCTAAAATTGCATACTTAATAAAAAAGAGTGATTATCTTCCTTATGTATGCTGTATATTTTTTTTGGAGTAATCATCAATGAGATATTAAGAAAAGGAGTATTAGGAAACAAAACAAAAGTAATGGAAAATGAGATATTATCTTTTTTCATCTCCATCTTCCTCTATAATCATTTATTTAAAGCGAGCGAATAGCTATAAACTGTAAGATGATTTATCTTCCCTCAACGTCGTCCTTCTTTCTCATTCAAAGGTAAAAAATTTCATTATGCACTTAAAAGGTTAAGGTAACGTAAGAGCGAAAAGTTATATCTGAATTTCTAGGAGCTTATTTATTTTATTAAATTGATTAATAAAGAATAAGATATAGAGAATAGACAAAACCAATATTTTTAATTATGTAAAAATTACTCGTTTTTGTATTCATTACCACATGTTTGCTTGTTTAGTTTGTTTCGTTAAAATATAATTTCATTAATGAGTTTATGCATAGTCGAATATTTAATATGCAGTCATCTCTAGAAACAATATATAGACAGATTGAGAAAAAAGATGTACATCTAATTATTTCACAATAGACTTGATGATTTTATATTAGTTATTAAACTGTATACCACGTAGGAATTTCTATAATAAACTGATTAGAGTAGAATTGCTTGAGAAAAGTAATATTCTTTTTTAAACAAGTAGATATGACCAAAAGGGGTTTTCTTGGATTTCTATATTTGGTAATTCAATCAATAATTATGCACTTTTAAGGTATCATATTCATCTTATAAATATAGATCCAACTGATGAAAGTTCGTCGAAAGATGACAACTGATTTTCATCATCGTCAGAAATAAGATTACAGTTTTCATCTATAAACTGTACAACACTATCCATTCCGCTTTCGTGAGCTTTTTCTCTCAACGATATCAGTCTATCTCCATACTAAAACAAAGAGTAAATAATCGTTTCAAATGAAAAGAGGATGTTATAAATATTCTTACCTGTTTCCATATTCTTGTTTTGCACCCGCCATTTATTAAGCTTTGAGCAATAGCATCTTGATTTGATTCTATGCAATCAAATAATAAATGACTAAAAAATGATAAATCAGCGTATTCCATGACAAGAGGTACTATTTCTTCAACTTTGTCTAAATTTCCTTCCTATAAAGTGACAAAAGTGACAGCATCAATTAATTTTTTACATTTTTCTCATTTTACGTATTTCATCACTTTTATGAAATGATAAAGAATGTCCTTACCGCAATATATTCTCTTATTTTCGATTCAAAATCGATATTATGTAAATGAACCCATGTAGAAAATTCCACTACTTCTCTTGTCAGTGTCTGATGTTCTAAAGTAGTAATGTTTCCTTCGAAATAGTTACTCGGAACTCTTCCTCTCTATAGATTTATAATAGAATGTTATGAAAGAATATCGTGAATGTTAAGAGACAACGGATATTATATTTGAAGAAATATTAGAATAATATATACATTAAAAATCTTTTCAGGTCTAAAATAACTTTCTACTTTTCCAACCTGCTAATAAAAGAGAACGAGTCTACTTACAACATCTTTCACTTCATCTGATCCACCAAAAGCCACCATTTTTGAGACAATATCGTTTCTGCCATGTAGTAAATAGCCATAGTGCATAGATGTCCGATTAAGCTGATCGAAGATTAATGACAAATAAGTGGAAATAATATACAACTGTATACATATATATGTGTGCATGTATGCACAGTAGCTATAAAGAACAATCTTTTACATATAATATATATACAATAAATTGTATTCTATATGCTTTAGCGTTTTGTTAGAAGAATGAAAGTGAGTATGGAAAACATTTTGCTTTGACCATACAGAAAAGCTTTCCTCTTTTTTTTTATTAAGAATTTCTCTCCATAATTATTGCTTTTTATAATAACATATATAAAAAAAGAGCTTTCAATTGATGAGGTTTTTGCTACATATAAAATACTAATATATTAATGCATGTAGTATATGATAAGTAACATTCTTAATACCTTCATTTTGTAATATTTTAAACTTACGTTGTCACCGAAATTAACCAAGTAAGGAAATCTTTCAATTAGGGATATAATTAATAATTCGTTGTCAGTTAGTAAAGCCTTATGAAGTATGTGTCTACCACAAACATCACGAGCTAATGCTGCTTCGTTTTTCATGTGAAATTGACCTTGAGCGTATTTGAGGACAGTAGCTAAATCTCCTTCATCAACCGCTCGAAACATCCGTTCGCCACATCGCTTTTAGGATATTCGAATATTTAATCAAACAATTAGTATATATATATAGTATTTTATTTGTTAACAAAATATATCAGCTAACCGTTATATATCTTATTTGCCGAATAAATTTTGCAGTTTCTTTGAACAATCTTCCTTCCAGTTCACTTTTTACTTCATTCGCAAGGGTAGAATTAGACTCGAGAGCTGCATATATATAATTATAGCCTTTGAGAACCCAGTTTTCTAAAGACTCCAAATCTCTCTTTAAAATTGTCTCTAAAACGTATTCATCAATTGCCTATTGAAAATAGTAGAGCTTACATTAAATAAACAAGAGGAAAATACATAAAGTTTCCAAGTTAACAGTAAATTAACCTCAATATAGTCATCTCTTGAAAGCTCAGCAGCAAAATCTCTTGGCGTTCGACCTTTAAAATCCCTTTCTGCTAGATCAGCTCTATAGCTTAAGATATCCTTAAGAACTGCCGCCGGAAAATTTTCTTTCATAGCTGTGAATAGAATATTTTGGCCATCTTGATCCTTTATTAGTGTATTAGATTGTCGAAGTACTGCTTGAATAATTTTATAATCGAGAAGTTTTGGTGGTCCAGTAAGAACATGAAAGAAAAGGGGTTTAATACGAGGCTCCTGCGAATTTTCATAAGGAGTGGAAGTGTCAGGCCAAAGGGTAAGTAATTCTTCTACGACCCCAACACAATTTTGCTCCCAGACAGCTGCCAGCAGAGGCTGAGGAATTTTTGGAAAAGAATCATAGTAAAACCGATAAGAAAAGTCCTTTGTATTTACATCTGGTCGACCTAAATAGTTCAGTTAATATACAGTAGTATTACAGGATAAATGTTTGTAATTATTTAAAATTACCTCTTTCTAAGCATTTCTTCATCCAATTTATTGAACCTGCCAGGCATGCTGCTACAAATTCAGAAGTTTGATCAAATTTTCTTAATAACTGCAAGAGTGCAGTCTTCCTCTCCAGTGATTCTCGATTCTCAACTGCTCCAAGTAAATTCAGTCTACCACGACTTTCATTCGTTATTCTTGTTAAACACCATGACTTAAGTAGGCGTTCAACCGTTTTTAATTCCGGAATGTCCTTTTGCAATTCGTTTACTAGGCCTATAGAAAAAGCGTTTTAGGATTTGTAATGTATATATATATATATATATATATATATATATACAATAATAGATATTTTACCTGGCGAATACTCTTCTAGCCAATAATAATTTTCCTCCCAACCTTCTGGCTTCGATTGTAATAAAGATTCTTTCACTGTAAGCCCTTCATTGTCTAGAGCAAGTGGATTAGCTCCGCATCTCAATAGTGCAATAACAATCCTAAAGACTCCGCGCTTCTTTATTAGTTCATGTAAAACTGTATTATTGTTCTCATCACGATTGTTAACGTCAATTCCCCCAAGGCACAGCTGATAAACAACAGGGACGGCTAACGGTGATGAAAACTTTTCATAGTGATCCGAAATAAGGAATAAATAACCTCTTCCTTTCTCATCCTTTAAGGTGACGTCTCTACCACTTTCAATCAATCTTAAGGCTTTCTTTGAAACCTTATGTACAGGTTCTTCGGTGAGAACCTTATATATCTTAGTTTCCTCAAATCGTAGCATGCAGTTGCTACGAAGCATTTTGGTTATTGTTTGTCGTCAACGAGACGTTCTATTCAAATCGGTTGTATAAACGAGAAATATTGAATAAGTCGATCGATGGCCTTATCCTTTATAGGCCTCTTTAAGCGTTCGTCTTTTAAAAACCTCTTATATCAACTTTAAGAACATGTCAAGATCGAAAATGAATAAACAATAGATTTGAATTTGATATTTAAAAATATACAAGCAGACAAGTAAACAAACAAACAAAAAAACCAAGCAAATGAACAAGAAAGAGCAGATTAACAATTAATAAATTTTCTATACGAGCTAATCTTTATAAATATTCACAAGTTAATATTATTAAAGTGTATTATAATTGTTAGTACGTTGTAGAACAAAATAGTAAGATGAGGTCAATTAAAACGTTCTTATTATACCGTATTCGAGTACGCTTTTCCATGAGGTGAACGAAATTGATTTGTAGTTCCGGTTCCTTAATTAAAATGAACAAAGATATATTAGAATATGATGAGTATGTGTGTGTGTGTGTGTGTGTTTGTGTGTGTACGCGTAGAGTGTGAATGTATTTTCTCTGTCTTTCTTGCTTTGTATACATAAAGTTATAATTTTTCTGAGAGTATGCACCTATTATTTTTTATCTTACACTCCTCCTTCCTGAATAATCTATCGGTTCATTTATTAAGCGTTGTCATTAAACTTTAGGACTATGATATAGCTTAATTGTTTTTTTAAGATATTAGAATTTTCCATTAAATAACATCTTACTTTCAGCGTAGAGTATTACAAAAGATTATTCTTCTTTACTCCTGCAGTTACACCATCCAGCACTTTCTCAATAAAAACTACGGTCAACTAATATGATAAAAAAATTGGGAAAATCGCTTACAGGTGACGTCTCTATCTAGTTAAATTGAGGATGCAAAAATAATGACGTGTTAATGAAAAATCCATTTTGATCTATTCCTTTTTGAAGATTTAATAGTAAATAAGGCCTATAAGGCTAAACCTTTGACGAAGAATATCTTTAGTTATCTACGGTTGTATACTTTTACAACGCTTTGAGAGTATTTCTATTCAGTGAAAATCAGTGACAAACATCTTGAAAAGTTGTAATACATTCCTTACTTTTTGAGAACAGAAGGAAATCAATATAATCATATTTCAATTCACAAATTTCAGTGTATTTCTTTTCTCTCTCCTCTTTATAAATAAAATGTATGTTTTCAAAGATTTTAATTGCTTGTAATCTTAGACTCTCTCTTTCTCAATTTCATTCAATTGTTATTCGTTACTTAATACATAATTCCTGTCTGACTTCTCCTTTTAATAAGCCAAACGTCTACATAGGTTTTTAATAAAGAAAAATTTTCCCCATAACCGTTACCGTTCTCCTTGAACTAAAATGTAAGATATCTGTAATATTTGTAATACTTTCTTTATATTAACATAGTTTAGATTAATAATACATATTAATATTAGTATATTTAATTAACAAGCTTTATGTGTACCTATTATAGTAGCTTTTTTGAAATGACTACACTGTCCTCTCTTGCACTAAATGACTCTTTAAGACTTTCAGAGTGTATCATCACATATCATATTTTACATTTAAAAAGGCTTTGACATGACATTTACAGCTATGATAATTAAAATGAAGCTAAATACTTAATAATACTTAATTTATGAACAATATTAGACAAAAGTTCCCACGCATAAGTGTCTTTTGTGCATCTTTGTGGAAAATTTTTCTCTGCATCACCTGTACTTAAAAAGCGATTAAACTGTAGACCATTTTGGATTAGTGACTTATTGGTAAATCTCTAGAGAGATTATAAAAACTCTTAATGTCAAAAACCCAAATTTGAAAGTTTAATTGAAGCATTTAAGAAAATTAGATACTCTCTCTCTCTCTCTGTCTCAAATTAATATTGTAGAGGTTTTAAATCGATCCAGTTAACGTTTGTTCAGGGAAGGAGAGTTTGTTTATTTTTTTCCACTTGTTTACTTTCGATTTTAAAAAACACTCTATATACTAATATCTAAAAGTATACTTACTGTATATAGTATTATGAAAAGAGAAAAATTAATGAAAATCTATGAAATTCTTTTAAATAAACTTACTTACGCTAACGATATCGAGAGTCAAAATATCAGTATAAATAAAGAAGGAAGCGAATTTACCCTTTATTTAATTGATTTTGGAGTGGCTACCTATGGAGTACGTAAAAGGAGTTTGTTAATGAAAGAGATGAAAGTCTGTGAATTTCTTCTTTTGTACGACTATTTTCTCTTTACAGTTTAACCAATTTTATGCTTACTTGCATTTATCAATAGTAAATTAGTTATTTCAAGTATTAATATATTCACTAAATAGGATTTTCATCATAGATTATTGAACATTTTAATCTTTACAAATTGACTAGCGACATCTACAGTCCCAAAAGTCTTTCCATTCTCTTATCTACAATCAATTATCTTTTCTAAAAAGGATAGAAAAGTTATAGCAATATCTTAGCAGAAATAGTACAATGGAAGACAAAATGTTGATTAAGTATTCTGACTTGTCATACTTTCGTTATATAAAAAGTCCAATTTACTTTAATTACTTTTGTAAAAAATTTAATTAAATAAAGTAAAGATTGCAGTAAATACGGAAAACTCATCTTTTTAACTGTACTGTATACTGTATATGCACGTTTGATATGCGTACTTTGTAATTAGTTCTGTGTTATGGAAAAATAATAATATACTTGTATACTATTGTATGATCTAATTAAAGAGAATGATTCATACGTCTATTATTAATTTCTTAGATTATAACAAAAAAGATGTCTATGATAAAAATAGTAATCTGATCTTTTAATGAAAGTAGGTGCTCTTGTTTTTCGATTAAAAATATCATGTGATTTTTTGAGTTGTGGTCACGTGAGATTTATCGTGGACATTGCCACGTTGTTGGATTAGAATTCGAACTCTGGAGAAAATTTCTTCTTATTCGTGTCAAATTTTCTGTTATTTTAAAAGTATCGTGACAAAATAGAAAACATGTCAGATCATGAAAAGAAAGCTCAGGACTTGATGCTACAAGCTGAAAAGAAATTAAATTCCTCGGGAGGGTTTTTTGGATTTTTCGGGTATGTTTTCCTGAAACTCAATTCGACTACTAGAATTTAATATATGGCTATATTTAAAACATTGTTGATAGTTTTTAATACGCCCGTTAAAGTTTTTCTCAACTAATTTAGGAATTCTTCAAAGTTTGAAGATGCTGCAGAATTATTCGATAGAGCTGCTAATGCTTTTAAAATGGCCAAAAACTGGACAGGTAAACAATCACTATACGAAACAACAACTGTTGAGTAATCGAGAAACATTCAACACTACAGGTGCTGGTAACGCGTTCTGCCGATCCGCTCAGATTTACTTGAAACAAAATAGTAAACACGAGGCAGCTTCTCATTATGTTGAAGCTGGCAATGCTTTTAAAAAATCTGACATTAACGGTGAGTGAAGGATATTTTGAAACAGTTCTGAAAATAATATTGTTTATATATTTGAATTTGTAAATAGAGGCCATTTCTTGTCTAAGTAAAGCGATAGAGATATATACTGACATGGGTAGATTTACAATTGCCGCTAAACATCATATATCCATCGCTGAAGTTTATGAAAGTGACTTAGTTGATATAGATAAGGCCATAACTCATTACGAACTTGCTGCTGATTATTACAAGGGAGAAGAATCGAATAGTTCAGCAAATAAATGCCTGTTGAAGGTTGCTCAATACGCTGCCCAGTTGGGACAATACGAAAAAGCTATTGACATCTACGAGCAAGTGAGTTACAGTAATATTTTAAATATATTAATATATTGCAATAATCTGTGTTTCTTGTAAGATTGGAGAAAGTAGCTTAAATAACAATCTTCTTAAATACGGAGCAAAAGACCATTTCTTCAGAGCTGCTTTATGTAGATTAACTCAAGATCGGGGTGATGCCGAAATAGCACTAGAAAAATATAAGAATATACATCCAGCATTCGTGGACACAAGAGAATTTAGATTAATGAAGGTAAAAAAAATGTTACTTAATCTATAATATAAAAACAACTTGTTTTGCTTTAATCCAGTAACAAATTAGCCTTAAAAGCTTTTCTCAATGTACTAAATCTCTCTTAAATATTGCTTCTAGGAAAAGGAAATTTTTAATGGTTTCAAGCAATCTTCTGCCTCTCGTTGCCTTTTTGTCTTGCTTTTTTTTCTCCATACTTTACTTACACGCAGATAAGCTTTAAATATTTTCATCTTCAACTCTGATTAGCCAAATCGTTCCTCTACCATTACTACTACATTATTAATAGTGACAATAAAAGTGAGGGAAATATTCTAGCAGTTTTAATTGTTAAAAATGTTGTTTAAAGCAGGCAATTTTTGTAACGATTTTGTTAAGCTAAATTGAGAAATCCCCCCTATTCCTCTTCACTTTAGTTCCTTACACCACTTGACCTTGTCAGTACCATTTTCTTTCATTCCCGCGTACCAATATCTTAGAATTTTAGCTTCTCTTCTTTTTCATCCCTTTTTTCCCTCTATAATTTTTTAGAATTTCATTTTATTAAATAATTAGATATCTATTATTTTAATTATATATTTATGATGTTTTTCCCTATCTAAAACATATAGAAACTTATCGAGACGATGGAGGATGGAAATGTTGATGGTTTTACGGAGGCTGTGAAAGAATACGATAGTATATCTCGTTTAGATCAATGGTATACTGCAATTCTTTTAAAAATTAAGAAAGGAATGGAAGGAGATGTTGACCTACGATAAATAAATTATTAAAGGAAGAAAAATCTGGAATAGTATCATATTCTTATATTTTTGTTCGTATTCTATTAAGGAAACGCCAATATTCATTAAACAGAGAGAACATTATAGTAATTTCTTAAATAAAAATGAAATGTATTATACATATAAATATATATATATATATATATATATCTTTAAAAAACACGCGTCTCACTTATTTCAGTAGAAATAAAGAGCACTCTCATATAATTAAGCATTTGTTACCCTATAGTACGGAAACTATATAAGATAAATAAATGATTATTATTTGTTTATTGCTTTCAAATATAAGTAATATGATACAACTGGTAAAATTTTACGTTTAACAGCTTTTTTTGTCCTTGTAAAAGTGTCCTTGTAAAAGAATCCTTGAAAAATTGAATATGTACTACTGTATATATATATATATATATATATATATATAAAGTATATATACAGTATATATAGTATTAGTATATATTCTTATATATAATTATGTATTGTATGCAAAAAAAAAAAGACTTTCATTATATAAAATATGACAAATAACTTATTTATTACATATATAGATTCTAACAGCTAATTGGTTATTTTTAAAATTTTATAAAAATACAAATACAATCACTTTTTAATTGAAATCAGAGATGACATTTGAAAAAATATTTCAATAATTACAAATTTACTAAATTAATTATTCATTCATCTAATTTACATAAAAAAAACAATCATTATTATTTATTAATAACTAGAGGTTATGTCCGATATTTCTTGGGATGAAGATAATGAAACTTCTGAAAGTGGAAGATGGAGGAAGAAGAGACACAAACATAAAAAATCAATTGATGGGATTTTACCAATTGAAGAACATCCAAATAAATCTATAACTCCCTTATTGAATACATCAAATACTTCTGATTTTATAAGTAAGATTAAGGAGAGCCAAGATGAAACCAGCGAAAAAGAGAAAGAAGATATTGCAGAAAAGAATATAACGAAAGCTGAGAATAATGAGGGACGAGAAGTACCAGATAAAGATTTTCAAGATGTAACTATCCCAACAAGATCGGCTACAGAAGAGGTAAGGATTTAAAATTGTTCTAATATTCCATATGAGAATTTTAGAGTTTAACTATATACATATATATATATATATATATCTTTTGATAAACAGGAAATGAATCTTGCCATAGTTTTCGTTAAAGATGCAATGGATGGTAGATTTTTCATGTTAAAAACTTATGACCAATGGTGTGTTAAGTATGTAAACAATATATAATTCCTTTATTATTCCTTATAACAATTAACATGTTTCTTTGATAAACAAATTATAGATCATATAAAGTTTATAATTGGGTTATATTTACTCTATTGTTAAGAATCTTCAATATTTTACACTTATGTCTTCCCGTAATTGAAAAGCCTGCTACATTTACATTCAATGGAATTGAATATCATCTTCATGAGAAAGTTGGACTATGGTCGATAGTTGCAGAGATTATTATATTTATGTATTACAGTGTCCGAATAATGCATATGCATCACTTTGAAAAAGCTGAATCGTTCTGGAAAAAATGGACAAACCGATGTATAGTCGGTGGCATGGTAGTACGTATTTAGAGTTTAAGCATTATTTTATCTATTTATATTTCTCTGTGTTATTTAACTATATATGTTATACTTTATAATTTTACGTTATTCTTAGTTAACAGCAATAGATATTGTTGTATTTATCGGAGTGGGGCAAAATAATGGATTAAGAGTTACTAGACTACTAAGACCTGTGTTTGTAGTTTGCTTTGCTGACAACCGAATGGTATTTTTGTAATTAAAGCACTTTTATTAAATTAGAAAAATCAATCTCTTCTATCTTCACAGTTAATGAAAACTATTCGGAACATTGCGTTTACTGTACCGGATGTTGCTAATGTTCTGTTTCTGTTAGCTTGCAGTATGGGAGTTTTCTCACTCTTTGCACTGAAGATGTTTCAGAAGGATCCAGCTGGCAATGAAAAAATTCCAAAATGGTCAAATGGAGATCCCTACTTTCAGAGTTATCCAAATGTTGTTTGGCAAATGTACGTGCTAGTGACTACCGCAAACAATCCAGATGTATCTTTACCTGCAAGAACGGAAAACGCCGCCTACGAAATATTCTTTCTTATTTATATATTAATCAATTTATATCTATTTATGTCGATATTGCTGGCTGTAATCTATAATTCTTATAAAGAAAGATTAAAGGAGGAAGTATTATCAATTGTAAAGAAAAAACAACAGAATCTTTTAAGGGCATTCGACCTGATCAAGTCTAATGTTGCAGGATTTGGAGAATGTGTTACGTTAGCAAATTTTTATCAATTAATGAAAGGTATTTTACCGGATATAACGCAAAATTCAGGAGAGTTCTATTTTTGGGTTCTCGATAATAATTTAGATGGGGTATTGGTCAAGAAAGAATTTTTTAAGGTTGCCGATTTATTAAATACTCAAGTTAGAGAGGCACAAGACCTGAGACCAAGATTTGCCAGACTATGTCCAAACTTTTATTATTCAAAATTCTCTGGATTTTTCGTAAGATTACATCATAGTATCTATTATAAGATTCTAATAGACGGTGCAATTATTGCTAATGCTGTTGTCATCGGATTGCAAATAGAGAAAGCAGAGCACATATTCGTTGCGCTATTTACATTTGAAGTAGTCTTGGGAATCTATGCAGAAGGTCCTAAGGTTTATCTTAGTCGTTTCTTCGACGCTTTTGACACGATATTAATCTGTTGTAGTTTATTAGTAAATATTTTGAGTATTGTAAATGATGACATAAAAAAGGCCAAGTTTGTACTGATGCTTAGAGTTTTACGTCTTATACGGCTAACGAATAAGGTTAAAGGATTTCGTATTGTTGCAGAAACTATTGCAAATATTAAAGGATATCTACTAATTTACTCATCGGTCCTGTTCCTCTTTTACTATTTTTACGCTTTAATTGGAATGGCTTTCTTATCCCATACAATAAGGGAGCATAGAATATCCCAGGATAATTATCACTATTGGCCTGGTTGCAATAATTCGGCACCTCGCATGAATACTTCAGACTTTTATAATTTAGGTTATTGTAGTGTGAATTTCAATAATATATTACGAGCTTACGGCGTCTTATTTATTGTCACTGTTGTTAATCAATGGCATGCTGTAACTGATGGGTTTGCTTTTGCTGTAGGATGTGGAACAAGCAATTGGCAATGCTTTAAAGTTAGGTTATATTTTATGTCCTTTCATCTTATTGGCGTTTTTCTTCTAATGAATATCTTTCAAGCGTTTATACTTGAAGTATTCTTTATTGAATATACAACTGAACGCAATAGACTATATCTGTTTATTGAGGGTTTACTGCAGAAATTTAATCTTATAGCTGATGAAGAAGAGTTAGCTTTAGAGAGACAAACTAAGAGGGAAGCTGCAGAATTAGCCATGGAACAACGAAGGGTTTTAGAAGTAAAAGGTCGATCTGGTGGAAGTTTGAGAGTGCGACAGTCGTTTATACCTGCTGCTGAGGCTGAAGAAATTTTATATAAAGGAACAGAAGAAGCACCTGCAGTTCCCCCTGTAAAAAGGTCTATAAAAGATGGTAATTATAACGTTACCGTTCCCTTGCCGAAGAGCATTCGCTGTCCTTTCAAATCAGAATACGTTAAATTTATATTACATAAAACGGGTAAGATTATTAAGCAAGACATTTTTTATAAAAATTTATTAAAAACGGCTTTAATCAAAGATTGTTTTATCAGGTCGTAATCATATGATGACTCTAATAGAACAAATGTTTGAAGAAGATGTAAAGAGTTTGGAGAAGAAGGCTATTGAAGCGGCAAACGAGTTCGGCTTCATTGAAATTGCTGATGTAACCGATCCGGAAAAATTAAGAAAGATTATACAAAAGGTTCGACCTGATGCCTTTATCATTTGAAAAAGCTTGGAAAGATTTAAAAAAAAGAACAAGAAAGAATTAATGAAAGAGAGAAGCAGGAACAAGATACTATAAGATTCTTTCTTCTCTACTTCTAGTCTTTTATTTTTATAATCATACAAATAATAAGAAAATAAAAATCAAAATTAAGCGTTCGTAAATTTTCTAGATTCTCTCTTATCGATTTCGTGGACACCAATATTAACAATATCCCTCCTTTCTTCGTCGTCTTTTTCAAGTTCACTTTCAAACATATTTCTTAATAGAGTTATTAAATGTTTACGATCTGAAATGTTAACGACAGAGGATAAAACAAGCAGGAATGTTGTTGTTTTATGAATTCTTACGTCTTTTACGCAGTTTGAAACGTATGCCGTAATCCTTCGTAAGGATATCATCATATGATGTACCAGAATGTGACGATTCTGGATCTTGTTCAATACCATCGACGATATTTTGATTATCCGATGCATTCGATGAATTAGGTAAGTTCATTCCAACGCCCAAGCCCAATTCTTTAATACGGCTTTCAACAGCACTTTGTAATTCAGTCCTTGAAATTGTATATTCCAGAATAAAGACTTCTAAGACAAAAGCAGTAAAAATACTGGGAGAATAATAAGCAAATGGTAACAAAGAAAGCCATATAAATAAAAAGTTTACTTGAGTAGCAATGTTACGCATGTAACATGAAATGTTAGGAAAAATAATCTAGCAGCCTTAGAAGTGACAAGAACGAAACCTTGAGCGATTATATGCCATTGATTAACAACCGTCAACGTAAATAAGACAATTAAAGATGAAAGAAAATTATTAAAGTTTAATGAACAATAACGCCTATTTGCAAATTCGGATAATTGTAAGGCGTCATTTCCACATTTTACAGCAGTTGAGTTTGTATTATTATAGCCATAAAACTTTATTCTATTCTGAAAGATTTCCATACCCAAAATACCGTAAATATAATAGAATACCTGTGTATTTTATGTAATTTTATGCAAGTTCATTTAGAAAAATACCACATATAGTATTACAAACTTACAAAGATTACAGCTCCGTACACGCCTACAGAAGGCGCTATATTATATATTGTTGAAATTATTGTCTTAAAACTATTAAAGAATAACATATATATACAATATATTAAAAAATGTACTATACTTACGCAGTTATACTATTTGCAATACGAAGTAATCTAAGTACTCTTAGAACAAGTAAGATAGCAAGAATTTGCATTCTAACCGAACTTTTACTATTTAAAAATGCTTCTACGATCGTCATAATTAGAGCAGTAAATATAACGATAAAATCAAAACTAATATATAAAGTATAAAGGAAAAGTTAATATAGATTTATTAAGTTCTTTAAATATGTATAATTATACTTACGTATTCCACTTATTTTTAAAAAAGTTTATTACTCCATAAGTATATATTTTAAGTATAATTTCTATGCTAAATAATGCCAAAAACGCCCATTCAGCAGGATCTAAATTGAAACCAATACAAATAGCATTTCCAACAATGCATACATCAAAAAACCAACGGAAAAATCTATAGTTTATAGTAATATATATATGTAAATGTAATTTAATTAGAGCAGTAATTTTTTACCTATGTTCAACTACTTCACGAAGTTTTATGCTTATCTTATGATTATACATTTTAGGAAATTTCACTTCTAGTATTGTTTTTACGTTCATTCTTTCAACTAATTCAATATTTAACAAATCAGCTGACTTTAAAAATTCATCTCTTTCTTTTAATAAAAATATTATTGTTTTTTATTAGATGAATACTTAAAATTATTTTAATCGCTACCTATAACACCGTTATCACTTGTATCTAGTACCGTAAATAATAGGACTGATTGTAATCTGGAATATTTTGGCCTAGCAATACTTAGTAATTCATTCCATGTTATTTTATTAATTCCAACAAAGCCATTCGTTGTTGTTTTGAGAAGATTAAATGCTTGATCTAAATATTCTTGTTTATTCTTTAGAAGATGTTTTATTTCATTCTGAAATTGTTTTCTCATCGCAGCTTATTCTTTAATTAAAACTATCCATTTCCCTTTATATTTATATTATTACCTTTAAATGGCGTCTATAGTTGTTATAAATAACAGCCAGGACAATACTCATAAATAAGAATAAATTAATTACTAGAAATAGTACAAAGAAGATGGCGTAATAATGCGATTTGTTATAACTTGGTATCCTGTTGAAAGAACATATTATTTATACGATGACTTACGATATAGGCCTAATACTCACATAACATCGGGATTATTGGCACTTGTTACAAGAACATATAAATCCCAAAATCCATCGAAAAAATTTTGAAAATATTTTCTTCCATCCGAATACGAAATGTTCCTTTTATAAAATTAGTAAGGTCAAAGGTTACAATTAGTCTCCTTTCAACTGCAAATAGTTCAACTATTGTATTCTAGTGACTTACTGCTTTTCGAATAATTTATAGGCCATGAGTGAGAAGAATAATAAACTGCAAAAATATAGTACAAGGACACTTAGAATACCAGGAAGAGTTCGTCGAATATTTCTAAAAACTTGACGAACTTGCCGACTTTGAGGGAAATTTATCAGATATAAAGGACGTAGAACTCTAGACCATCTAATAGCATTCGAACCCAAATTGTACCATATAAGATATCCAATTATATCAACTACAGTCAACTATATAAAATACATTTAAAAAAAATAAAAAACTGATTACTAAAATACATACTGCAATGACTGCAACAACAGTAACGTTTTTAGGATCCTTTAAAAAGGATTTTTTATCTTGAAACATCAGTTGATTTATTATTCTTGATATAAAAAATAAAAGAAAAATAGATTCCAGTAGTATAAGTGCCTAAGAAATTAGAAATAGGATAGTTAAGTTAATCTAATTAATAAGTTAAAAATCTAATAAAATACCCATAGTGGTGTTTTAATAGACGCTGGATTTTCGAAGATAACTAAAAACATATTACACCAGATAATAAGATATAGAAAAAACTTGTATACCCAATTATTATAAATTGTATAGGCTCTGTAAAAACAACTTGTATCATTTTTAATGTTATAAAGGTGTATAGTATCTATATTGAAATTATTAGTATACTTTTTAATATAGTATTACTATTGCGTGTTGTTTTACCTAAGTGACTTCTCATCCGTTTTAAAATGTAAACATCTACCAGACATTGCATCTCTTACCAATGTTCCAGCCAATAGTAGGTCCTATAAGAAACTATTATTAATCCATTGAAATAACTTGTAATATGTTCTTTATGTTCTTTACCTTATTGCTATATGCTTCTTCAATATTTGTTTCAATATTTATAGTACTAGGTTGAATTTGTTCCCCTTGCGTTTCGCCCTTTCCCTCATCATCAACATCTTCTTTATAATTACAATTTGAAATTCCTACATTATTGTTCATTTTTTTTTCAGCAATCTAAGCAGAAATCAATCAAAATTATAACGTCTTGTTCTACACCTAATAGCATTAATCTATTATAAATAAAGAGAAAAATTCATTTTTACTTACTTGATTTTCCTATACTTTCTATAAATTTTCTTCTATATTCTCCTTCTCAATGCAATTTATTAGTTAAACTCTTCCTAAACTACAACAAAACTACCAATAAGGTTTGAATATTATTTTGGCCTATATACATTAAAAGGAGTCTTTTTAATAGGATAAATAGGCCTAATGTTTACTAAAATATATTATAAGAAATCTATAAATACAAGTTTATAGATTTTCCTTGCATTTTCAATCTAACTAACAGGAAAGCAAAATATGAAAGCAAAGAAAGAGAAAGATTACTAAAAATTAAATATCCTACGCATATTTGTTATCATATTCCTCTTTTCAGTTATCTTACCGTTTTCAATATAACATACATTAATTAGTTGGGTTAATAAATTTAAAACTAACTCTCTTATCGTCTGCTCTATAGATCCGCCCATTAATCACATGATCACATTCCTCTCCTATTATTTAATAGGCTAATATGAACCTAGGCTTGTCCATAATTAGTTAATTTATATCATATATGTATGTATATATACATGTATAGTAGAATATGTTTGAAATATGCTTAAAAGCGATAAGATAATAAGTAAAGTGGATGACTGAGTCTTTTCCTTTTTTTTCATCCTTCCTTAAAAAGGAATTATTTTATGCAGTTCATATTGCATTTGATTTTCAAATGGCATACTGCCATTACTGTTATAGAACAATAGTACATATAATCTATTATAACATTTATATATAATACTAATATATTAATATATAAATATACGACAATACAGGAGATTTAACATTTCAAGATAAAAGAAGAAAGGTTATTTCCGAGTTTATTATCCGAAATAGGAAAGTTTGCATTCGGAAAATTACCAGCCATGAATTACGTTAATTAGTATTAAAATAGCCCAGCTAAACTAATAATTAACTTACTTAATAATTAATTGAACAATATTCGAACGATTTTTTATTTGGTACTCTCCTATTGTTTGTCTTCACATCCGAATAAGCTACTGAAGAGTGAAGAGAAAAACTAAAGATGGATGTTATAGAGGGAAGATGGAAAGTATGCTCAACTGATGAAAATATGCCAAAAGTACTAAAGGCAGCTGGCTATTCAGATGAATTTTTGAAAAATATGAAAAGCGGCAATGATAGTCAGTTAATTAGAACTGTCTCTCGCCAAGTAAAGTGAATTTTATAATAAACGCATAATCTATGAAATGAGTTAATAAAATATTAATAATCTAAGGATGGAGGAATGAAAGTAAAGACTGAAAATAATGGCGTTGTTATTGAAGAGACGCTTTTAAAGCCTGGAGAAGAAACTGCTGGAGTAAATCTTGAAGGAAAAGAGATTACGGTAATCCTATAATATAGGCACAACCATAAAAAAATTGAATTATATTTCTTTAAGAGAAAATTGGAAATTGAAGATAAAACTATCACTGTTGTCGAAACTTACGGTGGCAAATGTCTTAAAGGAACATCAAAATTAGAAGATGGAAAAATGATTATTGTATTTGAAATATTTAATTTATATGTAAATGTATTATTAATATCATCTTATTGTTTTCTAGACACTCCAAAGTGGAGATGAAAAGGCTGAAGTCGTTCATGAAAGATTAGAATAAACAAGAGAGAGAAACCACACAACTAATCGAGAGTTTATATAAATAAACTATACTATATTAACAATTTTCTAATAAAAACCATAGAACATTATTCTAAAATATCATTTCTTGCCTTTATAGTATCATTCCAGTGATTGCATGTATATAGAAGAGAGATCATATCTTATTCAATACTGCATTTGATTTAGTAAAATTACGTAAAACGCAAAAATCATATCTGTATTAATAAGTATTTAACTAATAGGAATGCTTCTATTTAGCATCATTCTTATTGTCATTTCCTAGTATATACAAAGATGATATAGCTTTCAGCCTAGTTACTTTGAAGTAGTGAGGAAAACCTAGAGGGTTTAAGATAATTAGATATAGGGTGCTATCTTCTTGATCTTGGAAGTAAAGTAAGAGCCTTTTTTTCATTTCAAAACGCTATGATCTTTCAATGAGACTTTAGTTGTCTAATCTAATTCCTTATAATACAGTTTAATGGAAAACTTTGCAAAAGTAATTGTAATTATAAGATTGTTTAAACAGAATATATTTTAACATGATGTATATACAAAAAAAATATGATTTTCATCAATCTATATATATATATATATATAAATTTGATACTCAAGTTTGTAAAATGATATACAATACTCGACTACCCATTTAAAACCTTTCAGAGGTTCTTGCGGCAATTGTTCTCATAGTTCCGTAAACTTTTGAAGGCGGGCTTCCTATTATAGAAAAAGATAATTGTTTTAGTAAATATACTTATTGGATATGAATATTAATTAATAAAATATTTTACCTAATATTAAATTACAAATTGCAGTTCTAGCTACTTTTATATTCTGGAAAGATCCCATTAAATGAATTTTTCTGAAAAGATAACTTATTTAAAACTAATTTCTGACAATATTAACACTTAATGACATAAATATTTGATGTAGTAATATAAAAAACTTACGAATCTGCCAAGATAATTCTTGTTTTTGTAACATTTTCAATAGTAAATTTTGTTTTCCCATTTTTACCAGCAACTCTTCCGATTGCTCTTGACAAATGATCACCTTTTAGGGGTTTTACATCAGTTATTTCAAAAGACTCCAAAAATAAATCGTCTAATCGTACAAGCGCTAGAGCATCGTCTATTTCGAAACCTAATGTGAAAGCTTTTACAAAATCTGCTGCTTTTTGAATTGCTCCTATATCCGTTGTTTGTTTACAAGTCTAATAAAGAAAAATTCATTTTATTAAAGGAACAAATCTAAATTAATAATGTTAAACATACCCGAATTTCGACAGTTCTTGATTTTAGATTAAATCTGATTTGTAGTTTTAGATATTCCACAACAGGCGTAAAAATTCTCATCCAGTTTTCTTTTAGAGGAGTATATCTATGGGAAGGGACAGACACTTTCCTTGTTTCCGAGTTAACACCCTAAAAGATTGCAAATTACGTCGTAAACAGCAGACAGATTAAACCACGTGTCACTTACACTTAATTTATCCGCACTTATCGCAGGCAAATTCGGTTTCTTTGGCTCAGATTCACTTGTATCCATATCAGACGATTTTTCATCTAACGCTCTTTTACGTTTCGGGGTTAATTTTTCATCGTTTTTCGACTCTTCAACTGGCATGGTTTTAGTATCGGCTTCCGCCATTTTAAAACTTTTTTTGTGGAACAGCATACCACGCCATTGTTACTACAAACCATACTACAGAAATTTGGCGGGCTAAAGTTATCTTTTTCAAATTTGAAATATTATTAGGAATTATTGATTACAGTTACATTCAAACAATTCAAATCAATTGAATTATGGAAAGAAACAGTCGTAAAAATTCTCTAAGAAAGGAATTAGCCGAGAGCGAAGTTCGTTGGTTCTATTCTGAGCCATTTAAATCTCAAGAATGGGTTTCCTTTATGGGCAATGATTCGTTAAATTTAGAAAGAAGTTATAGACAATTCATCGGAGACAATAAAGAATTTTCAAAGGTTCTAGTTCGTGGCAATCTTTACGAAGTTGATTTAAAATTAAAGCAATCCTCTCCGATATTTTGGTCAAAAAGAGAAGGTAGTAACGCCTAATTTGTGATATTTTTCAAAAAGAACTAAAAACAAATCTTAAAAAAAGAGGATGAATGCCAAATTCGAAGAGGAACGTGGTTTAATGACAATTGGGAACCTTTAGATGAAGCATTATCCGATGTTATCGAATATCATCATAGAATATATATATCAAAAAATGAGAATAAAGTTGGAAGATTCGAAAGATTCAAAAGTACTGTTCAAGAAGTTATTCAAGGTTTCTTATCATAGCATTTAATCCTATATTTCACCTTTTATGTTATACGTTGAAGGTCCATATACGATTTTAATAGATCAAAAGAAAGTAGAATGGCATTCAGAACATGAAGTTGGTTTTAGATAATTATGTAAATTTATCTAATTATTCACTGTAGGCTTAATTATTTAATTCAAGGTATTCTTAATTGACGACCAAGCAGGCGCAAAATTAATTAAATCATTAACAATCAAAATTGGTTTAAGTAGAGCTGGTATGAAACTACATAGAGGATTTATAGATGAAGCATCCGAGTTAGATAGATTACCCGAAGTTTCACATTTAGTATTAGTCGTTCATGGCGTAGGTCAATATATGCTTAAAAAGAATTTAACTAAAGAAGGTGACATTATTGCCTCAACACTTACGTAATGAACAGTTTTTTATTTGAGATATCTCTTCACTAAAATTTGAGTTTTAATACGAATATTTTAGATTAAAGAACGCATGTTCAAGTATACTTCAAGACGATTTAGAAGGTAAATATAGAATAGAATTTTTACCAATACAATGGCGAAACAATATTGAACTTGACGAAGGTTAACTTTTCATCTATTTGTATTTAATTGGTTATATTAATGAATTTCAATTTACCCTCAGATTATTTTAGTAACATTACTCCGTCGAAACCAAGAGCAGTAAGAGACGCTATACAATCTACATTCATCGATCTTTTATACTATATGTCGCCAATATACAACTTAAAAGTTTTGAATAGCTTAAAGAATGAATTTAATAGAATTTATAAGTTATTTAGTAAATATAATCCAGAATTTACAAAAAAAGGAAAAATCTCAATTGTGGCTCACTCTTTAGGAGCGTAAGCTTAAACAATATAGATTGAATTATGATTATTTATTAAGTTATTATAATTATTAGAGTAATGTCTTATGATCTACTTATGAATTGGAATCCCTCTAAAGCATTTTCTACCTATCTTCAACAAAATAGGGTAATGGATAGATGTCTTATCACTGTAGGCTGAAATGAGATTACTTTTGTTTTCAGACTCAGCAAACTAATGGAAAATCCACTAAGAAAGTGGGGATAAATTTGTATCCATTGATATCAGAGTAATCTTAATTTAAAATAGTTTTTTAGCAATCAAAGATAGAAAAACTATATGTATTTATATATATTCTATTTTTCTTCAATTTTTATAGTCGTTTCGAAACAAGACCCGATGAATATCTTAGTCAACCTTTCTTTATAAATTTTAAAGTATTTCACATTTCAGTTTGCTTATTACATTACCACTGAAAATTTAGTTTTACCCTCCTTTCCCTTTTCAAAAATTAATAAGGTAGAGAATCTAATATGTATAGGTTCTCCTTTAGGTGTTTTTCTAATCTTAAGAGGATTTATACCTCCAAAATTATGTATGGAAAGAGATTTATTCCCAAGTTCAGCGTTCAAAAATTTCTTGAATGTCTATCATCCTTTAGATGCAGTGGTAAAATTTTAGATATTTTTCTACTTACTCTTTGGCTATTTTACAAACTTATAGGCCTATCGAATAGAACCTTTACTTAGAGATAAATATAAAGATTACAAACCTGTAAAAATAAGGAATATTGATGAAAAATTTTGTACAATGTTAGAATATAATCGGATGCCGTTAATGAGGTTAAAACGAAATAGAAAAGGTTCAACAGATTTATCAACAGTAACAAATAGTAAGTTTATACTATATTTAATTAACCTATATTTAACATTGAAAAATAGAGGAACTATTATATTGTAATTTTAAACTGTTGAACAGTTAAAATTCGAAGACGTTTCAAGAACAATGATATTTTAGGTATAAATAATATACTTAGAAAATTAAAACTAACTAAGGTATGACCTACTTTCTTTCTAATTGTTATTTATATTTAACAAGCTATTTATTTATTTATCTTTAAAATTAGGAAGATAATCTTGAAAAAATAAGGAAGAAAGTAGATGATAAACAGATAAAATTATCAAAAAATTCTTCTTCCGGTTTAAGAACTTCAAAGCGTAGTTTTGATTTACCGATTATTAGTTGTTTAGATGCGGAAAGTGGTAAGAAAAAACAATAAAAAAGTTTGTAAATATTGATTATTAGGATATATTCTTCTAACTATTTGTTAGAAGTTGATACATTTAAGGATGAAATGAAAGATAGGCAAGAAGCAACCGTTGCAGAAACCTTAGGAATTGCTGGTCTTTTGGGTAATATTGTGAGTGTAGAAAATATTATATATCATCAATGAATACCAAGTTATAATATATTAAACTCTTTATGTACCCATTCTCTACCTCTAAGCATAAAAAAAGTTATAGGAAGCAAGTTGAAAAGAATAGTCGAGAAGAATTCGCTGAGGAAAATTTGCAAAACTCCCGAGAAAAATCTGATTCATCTACAGAATCTTTCGAGGAAATGAATCGTATGCCAATTATATATATATATATATATATACTGTATATATATATATTTGCTGTATGTATACTTTACGATAGGTTTAATGAAGAGATATGATTTTGAATTGAAAGAAACGACATTAGAAAATAATCTTTTCTCGCCTATATCAGCAGTTATGGCACATTTAAACTACTGGAATAATCCAGATCTTGCCCTGTTCATCCTACAGCAATTAACATCCGATAGTTACATTAAAGAACAATTAAAGAATATCCATAAGCTTTAAAATCTTAATACAATATTCTAAATCTCGATAAAAAAAACATATTAGAATATATAAAACCCTTTAGATGGCGCTAAAGTACAGTTTGTACTGAAACAAACTATCACAACAAACTATACTAGGTACGTATAGGCCGAAATTTAAAAAGCGTAAATTTATCGTTCAAGGATACTTGTATGATTTACAACAATAATAATAATAGTAGAAAAAAAAATTGAAGATGGAAAATTGACAGAAACAAATCAATATAAATGAAACTGTCGCCATTTTATCGAATTTAAAAAGTACTTAATAAGTTATAATTAATTTTTCTGACTAATAAAAAGAAAAAAGAGATAATACAAAATACTTTATTAATTAAAGTAAAGAGAAAACATCTGTTTATTACTGTTAAAGGTCATTTTATGATTTTAGTACGTTATTTAATATACGTTGTTAAAACAACAGAAATCTATATAAACAATATATTGTATATACTGTATATATATCTATATATGATAGATATAAAGGAACATTTATTTCGTAAAAGAGAAAATATAATATAAACTAGGCTGGACTGTTTATTTTGTTTTTTTTTATTTAAAATAGGCCAACTAACTGTTTTTTTCCTGGAAAATTCCATTCTATTCTACAGTTTAAATTACCGTTTTTTTCGTATAAGCTAATATAAATAAAATACAAAATAACAGCGAATAAAACTGAGAGAAAATATATTAAAATATAATAAAAAAAGAAAAGGACATAGAGATAGAAAGGGAGTGGAATAACGATTGATAACCGTTATTAATCTCTTCGAAGGGAAACAATAGCTTATATTGTTGTATAATGTAAATGTGTGAAAGTAGTCCTATGAGAGAAATATTTGAATAAAAAAAAAAGAGACCCAATGATTAATAGACATGTTGAAAATATATATAAAAAAGATAGGTAGAAACCTTAGATGATGGGAATGGTTGCTATTGTTGCTATTGTTACTCTCTTAGTTTTTATTGATATTGAGTGATAGTTAATCATCTGTATTTAATGCACATATAAATAAATATTTATAATAATAAAACAGATATTAATAGCAAAATCACCTTAAAAATGAACAAAAATCTAGGTAAATAATGTAGGAAGTTATATATAATTACCCCAATAGCAATTGTTATTATAAGCCGAGGTCTACGTGTCGACTTGAGCATACGCTTTAACATATTGCAGTTTTTTTTTTATTTCACTTTAAGTGTAACACAACAGTACATAGGTTAATGTCATTGAATACGCTTAATAGTCTTGCATACGAATTGTATGAAGTCAAGTGTAGGTCATTGCAGAGATGATAATAAAAACTCTTATAGGGAAGAAGATGATAATAGAATCATTTGTAAAACTTTAATGATATTTGTAGTAAATAAATGAATATCGTTTAGTAGAGTTGTATTTACTTTTATTATAGTATTTTATTATAGGAGATAAAGGGGGAGAAAAGGGATTTCGTTAGCTGTGTGATCATGCTGTTTAAGCAATTGAATAGTTTGTATTGCTCTAATCAATTAGAAGAGTATGAAAAATGATATTTTCATTTACGCAGCAAGGCTCCATTGAATATTAATTTATGTGCAACTAAACATTTATTAACCTCAAATAAACTTTTGACCTTTATTTTTACACAATTATTAACGGTTTTTACTTTTTCACCAAAAAAAGAGCTAAAGATGGGTGCGTGCAGAGGACGATTGAAAGTCACCTTCAGCTATGGAATTTTTATAGGCCTGTCTCAATACACTCTTCTGTAGAAAAAAAATCCTCTACTGTCGGCCAACTCCCCACCCCCTGCTGTATAGATTTTGCGCACGTACATCAATGCCTGGACGGCTTTTCGTAGTATTTTATTGTATTTGTCGTTAAGGCAATCGATGAAACATTTTATCACAAACTCTTAATAGCAGCAATTCGACTGATAATTATCAAGGAAATCTGATTTTGATAAAAAAAGCATCGTTGATAGGACTATTCGCGTACAAACCAATAAATCTCTCTTAAAACCCAAATCACAAAAAATGTATACTTAGTAATTTTTTATACATAAAAACTACATTTTTACAATAGAAAGATTATTATACTATTATTTAAAATGCTTTTTAAAGAATTTATCCTTACTCCTCTCCTCCCAGACAACCTATTCAAAAATGTAGAGCAAGCTACGGTGATTGGCTATAGTAGGCTTTCTATGTCACGTCAGCCGCTTTCCCTAGACTGTATAAAAAGCGGTTTGGAACTAGAAATTATTATAACTATCGGTTGAATTCGAACTGAGTGAGGTTCAATTTCAGTTGAAATCTACAGCACAACTTTGCAAATCTTTTGAAGTATTTTACTTTGCAACAAAACAAGAATCTTTAGAAATGGCTCATCCAATCCCTAAACCATTCAAATGGAGCAACGAATTCGAAGTTTTCGTAAGTTCTCTTTATATTCTCTCTTTTATTGTAAACGTATTTATTATATTTATACGTATTTCATAGTATGCCAACTTGGACGACGAACACCGTGGTCTCTTCGACGGAATCTTTGCTTGTGGTGAGGCTAACACTGCTGAGAACTATGGAGCTCTTGTCGAAAAAGTCAAGACTCATTTCGCCAACGAGGAAAAAATGATGAGCTCTTCCAACTACGCTAACTTTGCTACCCATAAACAGGCTCATGATGAATTTGTTGGTAAGTCTTAAAAAAAAACGATAAAAAGTAATTACAAGAGATTTGGGCGTGAAGCAATAGAGATATTTGATGCCTTGCAATTACTTTATTCTGTTTTGTAAACAAATATCCAAAAAGAGAGAGTTTCTATATATCTTAAAAAACTTTATAGGAAAATGTGGTGGACTTTCTGCTCCTTTGTCTGATGATAATCTCATCTACTTGCAACAATGGCTCGTTGACCACATCAAGGGCATCGACTTCAAGTACAAAGGCAAATTGAACTAGACGATTGAACAAGAACAAGATTGAAGAGATAATGTTATTATAACATTAGTGTTTTTTTTCTTTGAGATAGATAGATTTATCTGCAGTTTAAAAAAAAATTATAGCATTATCTTCGTATTACTACAGTACTATACTGAATAGTGTTTGTCTTTTGTATTAATTATTATTTTCAATGAATAAACATTGAGGGAAAATGGTAGAGAAAAAAAAATGAAAAAACAATCTTCTTCTTTGTACCTAATGTATTCTTACAACTAGACTATTGTATAAATATTTGAAAACATCGATTCAAAAAATAGGCCAATTGTTGTATTCGATATAAAACAAAGTATATGGTAAAGATTATTTTATAAAGTTCGAATAGTTTAACTAACAATAGAAAGTAAATCCGATTCAATTTAACTTTGATCTAAATTGATTAATTTCGTGAATACTTCTTGATAATCTAAAAGTAATAAGTTATATATAAGTATAAAGGTAATCTGTTAATAAATGTATACAACCTTCCAAATGCATTAAACAGAGAAACAATTTCCGTTCTTTTCAATTGTAGATTATTGCAATTTGTTTCCGTATTTAAAGGTGATTTACACTGTTGATCTTCGTTTGTAAAAAGTATTTTTAACGCTGTTCCTAATCCTCTTGTTTGTAATTTACCCCATAATCTACATTTATCGCAACCAACGCAATCCATTATTTTTGATATATTTCTAAAATGAGATTTAAACTCTTCCTATAATTTAACGATCAATGATTAAGTAATAATAGACTACTAAATCTTATTAAATATTTTAATCTCACTTTTAATTTAATAGGATTATTAAATTCATCTTTAAATAATTGAGTTTCATCAAAATGTGCTGGAAAGCTTGAAATTTCCGATAAAAACTCTTTTACTAGATTTTTTACATGGCGATCTTCAGTTTGGTTTCCGGTGTAATATGATTCCTAAATATTCAGCAAGAAAAGATTTTTTTTGAATAGGGAATAAGTAATACAACAAAAAAAACCCCAGCCTTTACCTTATTTAAATAAGGAGCAGCTTTGGCAATAGCTCGTAATTCGACTAGATAAGTAAAATACAAATTTTTTAATCTTTGTGGACCCTCCCCATCGGTTGTTACAGGATCAAATCTCCTTTTGAATTCTTTAACATTGGGTCCCCATGTTACTTTGTTTGTAAAAGGATCTAAAAATAATGAAAATTTCAGTAAAAAATACCTATCTTAAACGCAACAAAGCCTATTATGTAAATTATTCATTATTATACTGTATATAATACCTTTGAATTGCCATATAGCTGTCAAATGGGTGCTGATACTGGAATGTAATCCCGAAACTAGTCTATAAAACACCCGTTTTTCCAAGCACATAACTGTTAAATACAACAGATAAAAAAAATCGTTTTTAATATTTTCTAATATAAATATTTGAAAGAGAAACTTGAACGTTATATTTTAAATTATTCTATTTTATACAATAAAGCCCTTAAAGTTTTAACTATTTTCAATATAGACTTTTACATAATTCCCAAGAAATTAGAAAGTTATAATTGAGAAATGAACAATAAGAAGTAAAAGAATAGACAAAAGTTTATAATATAAGCTGTGCAGAGATTTTTCGACTGGTGTATATCAAAAGATGAAAAATAAAAAAAAATTTCAAATATGCTACGCTAATTTAAATAAATTATTCATAATACCTTTTAGTTTGGTTTCTATTGCTAATTAATTAACTAATTAATAAATTATTCAAGTATAGTTAACGTACGTATGTTATATAGGTTAATTAATTTTAAATTATTCGAGAAGAACTTGATTTTTGTTTTTTTATTACAATTTACAAACAAACGTACGCAAACGTAGACAACTTGTTACATTCCCTTCCCCTTATTTCCCATAAGTATTTTTCACTAAACTTCTACTATTTCTTAATCCGTCTAGCCCCAAAATGGGAAATAATAAAAGGAAAGTAGACAATCATTCACTTAAAAAAGAATTATAAAAGTAGCATAAAAGCGGTTTGTTATACCTGTAGAACTGCTAGGTTGTTTAGAGTCTATTTATGGTAAATTTTTTAATATAATTTTTTAGGTATTAGTCATCATTGAGTGAATTTTAAGTAAAATGGGAAAGGATTTTGTCATATTCAAAAAATTTTTTGTCACGTACCTTTATCAGCTGACTGAATGTAGGCTATGTAATCATTAGCCTCTGGTCTATTGTTAATTTAATAGTTAATAGATAGTAAATTTATATTTCTTTTTTGTTTGTTTTTCTTACTTGAAACAGTTCTCTTCGTATATGGAATTCCAGATTTTATGAGCCGAAGGTCCATTATAGCCTGTATAACGTTCTGGATTTAATTGAAGGTCAACGTAGGAAGAACTTTCTGAACTATCATCTATTGGTATAGATAAAAAAAAGATACCACGTTACGTTTGGACTTTTAATACTAGATTGCAAAAAAAAAACCGTCTAGTTCGCAAAAGTTATCTTGAGCATCGTCATGTTTTTTCCAACTGTCAAATGCCTCTTTATCCTCAATACTAATCGTTCGATCTAATTTTCCTAAAGTGCCCTTATTATCATCACATTTTTCTCCTTGACTCTCTTTGCTATGCTAAAGTAGAGAAAAACAATATTCAAGCAAGTGTTATAAACTTTTCCTCATTTCTTTAAAAATAGATGAATACTTTATATTTAGAATCTTCATCCTTTATTCCATCTGGCAATTGGGTCTGTAATAATAAGAAATTATAATAAATTAACTCATATATTCTACTATTACTTGTTTATTTATAAATTATAATTATTCAAGGTGACTTTGATGGAGTAAAAAAAATAAAAAAAATCGATAAAACAGCACAAACCTCTTCACATTGGTTGACGTGGCAATCTTTAGAACTACATTGGGAATTATCTTTCCAAAATGGGCAGTCTTTATTCAAATTAACCTAATTAATTATAAACTAATTAGTGACGATAATAAGAAATTCTTAGAATTACCTTGAAAAATTTAAAATAATCTCTCTGAAGAATGTTCTGTAGTCTTGGATAGAGCTTTAAGTTGTTTAAACTATCCACATTATTAACTGAACAAGTACAATGATCAACGTCACTGTTCAACTGTAAATATATATATATATATATATATATATTAGTTTAATAGTTTTCATTTTACCTTAAAATTTAACATAAATATAGATATTTGTTTTTGAAAAGCGAAAATAAAGTACCCTTTCTAAACGAGAAAAAATATATACAAACCTCACAAAAACAACTTTCTTTGCCATTTTCCGTCCAGCAATACTCTATTAGGATTAAGAAATAGAAAAAATGACAAATTTTAAACTTATTAAGCATCTTTAACAATTGTAATATGACTTCTGAAAAGTTTGCGGTAGATTCTCATCGAACAACTCAACGTCTTTAAAATGTAAACATTGCTCAATACGTGAGACGTATGTCATTTTTTTAAAAGTCAACGTGTACTTAAATAAAAGTTTTCATATAAAAGCTATTTATAAAATATATAATTAATTGTCTTATCATTATTAACCATAGTACTTTGTTTTATAAAGTAAATTTTAAATATGTATTTTCTATTGCGCAATATTTAGAAAAGAAAAATCTTTGGTTTTTATTTTCATAAAGTATTCTTACAGAAAAGATTACAAAAATCTTAGATATCTATTTCTTTCATTTTGAAAGCTTTAAGTAGTGATATGTATTTATTATTAATTATGATTTATTTATTCCATACGTTTAACGCCATCTATTGGTGTTAATTTTGGTGATAACTGGTAAAGAGATAGATAAATTTAATAGCCAAAAAAATGGATAAAGTGGAAAATGTGAGACTTGTCGAAATGGGACAATCAAACTTTATTAAACCTTATAGAATACTCTTTAAGCAGGTTCGAATTATGTTTACGGGAACTTAAAAGTTCAATATTTTAAAAAAGGGAATATCTCTTCACTCATTCTAGTTTTGCTTTAATCTCACAGAATAAGAAAGATAGAATTTGGGATGGAATTAAAGTTCACGACAGTGTATCAGTTCTTATCTATAACGTAACTAGAAAGAAAATAATTGTAGTTAAACAATTTAGACCAGGTAATAATCTAATATTCAATATTTTCCACATGATTGTCTTAAATTGCATAATCAATCACACCTTGTCCATTCAACCTATTATCGCTATCAAAGCTTTCTCTTGCATCCTATTAAGAGATGTGTAATTATAGCATCTAACTTATTTATTGTTGAAATTCAGTATTCAGCTATCTTTTCCAATCATTTCGGAAATATGAAGTAATAAGACTACCATACTTTTTTTTTACAGTTGTTTATGTTTGTAACACTACTAATAACGTCCAAGAAGGAATTAGCATCGATACGAACAAAAATCCAGGAACTAAGGGTATAACATATGAATTATGCGCAGGAATCATTGATAAAGATAAATCTGATGCTGAAATTGTAAAAGATGAAATTTTAGAAGAATGTGGCTACGATGTTCCAATTGAGAATATCGAAAAAATTACCAAGTTCAAAAGTAGTGTTGGTATAGCGGGATGTACACAAACACTTTTCTATGCGGAAGTAACTGACGATATGAAAAAGACGGAGGGAGGTGGACGCGAAGAGGAAGGAGAACTAATAGATGTTTATGAAATTCCAGCTGATGAATGTTTAAAATTTGCAATGGATGAATCATACGACAAACCAGTTGGAATGATTTTCGGTCTTCACTGGTTTCATATGTATAAATTAAAGTAGAAAATATACTTTATTAATATAATTAATAAAGTATAGAAGTTTTTGTTTTGGTTTTAAAGCTGATAGTTGAAAAAAAAACATCTCTATGTAATAAATAACAACACTTAAAAACAAAATTTCAATATCACGTGATTTATTCCTTTATTAAATCTTTCATTGATTTTTTTTCATTTATATTTCAGTATTAATCTAAACATTGAAATTTCCCTAGAACTATTCAAAAAGAGTTTTTAAAATAAACGATACCGATAGGCAGAATATTTTTCCCTTTGAACAGCTCTTTTTATCTTGTCGTATGTTATGTTTACCTTATTAAATAGGTTGAAAGAGAATTTATCGTATGACAGATTGAAAATAAGAATTGATTAGAAATAATATTTCAACGAAGATAAGGAGAATAGCTATAATCGACAGTAGCTGTTTACAAATTAGTTAATTTCCTGTAAAATTTAAATACTTTAATTAAATATCGATAAATAGGCTTAAATTAGAGTACAACCAAGAAGCAAAATCAATAGTTAGTGAAAGAGAGACGGACAGACAGAGAGAGAAAGAAAAAAGTATTCTACTCCTTTTCCATTTCGATATTAAAGTTATGGATATACTCTTGTAATATCGTATAATAGTAGTCCTTATCGATTGGACTAATTTTATACTTATGATCTAATTTTCCATGGCTAACTTGCTGGTGAATATATTCAGATAATATGGATTCCGTATCATCATTCAATTCCATTTCCAATAAACTGTACATTTTTTTAACTTGTTCTAATGGATTTCTTACAAAATCATTAAAACAAATATCTATAAATCTTGAAGATGATTCTAATGTTTTCTTTTCGCTTTCTTCAATTCTGCATCTGATTTCAAAGTAATTAACGATGGCATTAACATTTAAATCAACAACTGGTTGTTTCATTGCACTGAATTCACATCTCCAATACGGAAAATAGATTCTCGACATTATTGAAACCAAAGATAATAATGAATTAATTGCCATAATTGGATCTCTATACAATGTAATAATTTTCGAGTCTGGGAACACTTGACAAATAGCATCTAGATTGCCCAAGCACATGTGATTCATTGCAAGCAATCTCCTCTCTTTATAATTCAACATATAACATTTAAAGTTTCTTTTCATCTTCTTGTAAATATCGATCCATTGTTTTGTTGTAATTGAATCCATGGCATGTCTAAATTCTTCCATGCCTTCCATAGAGTAGAATTGAATAAAAAAGCCATAACAAGATAATTCAAAGTAAATATCTTCGGGATCTGTTACGTCCAAATCGTGAGTCATTTTAATATCGTTCCAAAAATTTAATGAACGAAACGTATGATGCTCTTTTTCGCATTTCTTTAATTCATTTAAGTCAAATTTAGAAAATGGATTTGAAGGTGAAATAGAAAGCGTCATTTGCATCCAAGTTTGCGGGGCAAACCACGATTTATCATTAGCCAATAGACAATGCAGGAAACTGCTTCCAGTTCTCGGTTGGGTAAAAATAAAGACAGGTTTCACTAATTCTACTTTATCTATTAAATGACGATTATTCTTATAATAATCTTCGAATTTCGCCCGATTCTTTATACATCTAATCAAATATTGAAAAGTTACTATATGACCAAATAAAGACATTTTAGTTTTTGATAATTCTTTAAAAATCAAAGATGTATTTTCCATAAGAAATTTATCTTCTTGCAATATTTTTTTCTCATTTTCATCAAGATTATCATACAGTCTAGCGAGTGAACCAACAAATAGATGACAGCCAAATATTTTATAATACGCTTCTCCAACTATGTCAATTAAAAATTTCATACATATGTATAATGATCTCATTATAATATGCATATTTAATATGTATACGTATATTAGTTCTAATTTTTTACTAATATATTTCAACTTAAAATACAGAGTATGACTATTCTCTCACAAAAGGATATATTTTTCCGCTTCACGAGAAATAGGTCTCAAATAATAATAACTTTCATTCTGGTATTTTTAACATTGAAGAGATAAAGTTGGCCTAGAAAGTATTTCATAAGCTTATTGATTTCTCAAAATATATTTGACTACAGATAGATAATTAGACAATTGAAAAAACTTTAAATTAGAGCTTATTATACAGTTTAATATTTATAATAGTATAAATATCCACAAGCTATTGTCTTCCCTTATCTTTCTACTCTTCTGCACTTTAGTTGTTTCAGCGTTTTTCAACAAATTTGAACGCTAAAGAGACGACTAGAATAAGAAGGAAAAAGTTTATTTTTACATAATTCGAAGTCATGAAATGTAAATTTACAACCGGAAGTATAGTATTCGATTTTTTTTATAAAATAATTTAGTACGTAAATTCTATTGATATTTTACCTTATTAACATAACTTTAATGCTCTTTTGGGCGTTCTCAAAGGTTAATTGACATGAAAAACACCTTTCTTTTATAATCTTAAAATCCGATATTTAAATGTATTAATTAATAATAGACTTTATTTTATATCATCGCTAAAAGGAAAAAAAAACCTATAAAGTAATTGATTAAAAGAGAAATTTATGATATACTGAATAATAAACGTCTTGTTGGAGGCGTTCCTTGAATTAACTCATTAAAAATTTTGTTTTCTTCTTTTTTTCTCTCTCTCTCTGTTTCTCAGTCTTTTTACCTTTTCACTAAATGGCTGCGTCGCTGCCTATCGATTTGAATAAGAGCGCTTTTTAGACGCCCTTTAGTCAGACTCAAGAGCTCTTAATCGACTTTTGAAAATGGAAGATCCACTTGAAGTGAGAAAAATGACGGAGTTAGTTAGAAAAAAGAAGAAAAAGATGAAAGATGGTAAACTTCTACCTTCAAAATTACCAAGACCAATTAAGGATTTATCGCAATATATAAATGTAAGTTTTTATTGCTTAAGTATGATAAAGCATTCTTTAGATTAAAACTATAATATACTTGCATTTATCCTTTATCTTTAGAAGATCTTATTATTCAATGATGATTTTCCTTCCTAAATTCTATGAAAATTTTCAAATACAACCGTTATTAATTAAAAGAATAAAAAACTAATTAAAAAGTAGAATAATGATTTTTTTCTAGCAAAATCATTAGGATAATGTGAAAAGTTTGACACTATCCTCTTTTATTTTTTAAATGTAGGTTAATTAGTAAACAAAAAGAATTGAGGAAGCGAGTTAATTAATTTAATTAATTGTAGTAGAGTAAAAGAAAAGTATAAAACGAAAACAAACGAATATAATATCTATATACTGTATATATATATATATATATATATATATATATATTATATTATATTAGTATTATATAAAAAAAATACAGGAAGACGTTTAAAACTGCAACTTTTCAATCTTTCATTCGCCAAAATCAATATCTTATTAACCAGCCAATTATATTAAATAGAAAACTATTTAACATCGCCTCTCTTTTTACTTGGAAAACAATCTTACAGCAAGATTTTTTGTGGACAAGTATAAAATAAAAAAGAACTATATGTAAGAAGAGATAAAGGAAGTTTTTAAAAGAAAAGAGAAACATAAGGAATAGAGAAGAGAATAAAAATTATCGCAATAAAAGGGAAAGAAAATGATTTTAAAAAAGAATCTCATATTGCTTTCTCTTCTTCGTTCAATTAAATGTATACAAAATCGATTAGATAAGCCTTTGCTAAACGTAGGCCTTTACAAGAGATTTTATAGTAACAGTTGCGAGGTGATTATTGAACGATTGAATGAATAGAACGAACGAGTGGGTGGAGAAAGAAATAAATAAGAGTAAATTTAAGGGTACCAAGGCCTACTTGGTTTGTAAATAGAAGGAAAATTTCCGCTACGAATTCTAAGGAATAAAGAAAAAGCTTTCTTTTCTATTCAGTATATTTTCAATTTCGAAATAAAAAGATCGCTTATTTAATTAAACTTATTCAATTATACTTTTATTAACTAGTAATTATTAATTTATATTCATTAAAGAGTTTAAATTTTTCGCTTCCACCCCTTCTTTTCATTTTATCCTCGTCCTCATTGTTTACACGATTGAACTGTGTAATTAATCGTATAGGACCTAGAGTATCGATCAAAAACTCTTTTTCCTATCTCTCTTCCCCCCTCCCTTCTCTATTTTATTTGTCCGTCCGCCCCTACTCCCTCCCCCTACCTTTACCTGCCAACCCCCCCCTCTCTCTCTCGCTCTCTCGCTCCCTCTCTTTTCATTTCTCAATTCAAAAGCAATTGCATCCGCCAATCGTTTTTTTATTTCATTTTCGCCACTTCAGCATTCGCAAGACGAAGATGATATAGAAATCGACAACGAAGAAGAACAAATGAAAAACGGAATTGACGATAGTACTCCTCGAAGGGGTCATCTAGTGACGTTTTTTAGAAATGGTGATTGTAACTATAAAGGTTTGAGGACGGCTATAAGTTCAAAACATTTTGGTAACGTGGAAACGCTAATGGTTTGGTTGAATGACAAAATACCAACAGCTGCCGGAGTTCGCTATATTTTCTCGTTACCAGAAGCGAAACTAGTAAGGGATATTACTGAATTTGGTAATGGGGGATCCTATGTTGTTTCAAGCGTTAGAAAACTAATAGGTATAGTTATTTTTTAAACACAATTGTTTGGTGTATATTCAATATACGACAATTTCGTTTGATTAATCGATTAAGTAATCTATCCAACTTTTTTATATTCGATTTATAGACGTCGATTACGGGTTTTCAAAGGAAGGTTATTGGGTAAATAGACGGCCAACTGCGTCGAAATTTCGAAGATCCGATCAGAATTTATTAGATCTTGCATCACCAGTAACTAGCCAAACCTTGTCAAGATCAAACTCTTTGAGAAGCGTGGAATCAACACCCCGTGAATTATTAATAGTCAGTAACACGAAAAGATCTTCAAGACAAAAGATTTTCCTTAATCCTAAAACAAATCAAGACTTTTCAAGATTTCTTTACGACTTAGGTAATACAGTAGAGCTTGATTATCCGCCTATTACCGCCCTTTTTACCGCACAACCACCTTATAAGAAGGTCGAGAGCTATTCACAATTATTGAGAGATTGTAAACTCAACGACGCTTTTATTGCTTGCGGTCAAGAGGGTAAACCTAAAGAGTTTAATCAAAGCGATTCCGAAACACCAAGAAACCAATCAAAACGTTCTTATTTACAACAATATAAAGCAAATAAACAAGCTGTACAGCCGAAGAGAGATCGCTGGGAAAGTGAAGATACATCCATACCAAAACCTAAGCCTAATGAACTTGACCATACAATCAATGTTCTGCGAGCCGAAATTAATGGAAGAAGAAGAAGTTTTTTAATTCCTACTTCTCTAACAAAACAAGCTAATTCTCTTAGGCCTAAGAAAAGATTAAAATTAGATTGGATTTATGGAATGAATACGTCATCCAAGCATCCTCTTCATGTACTATCGACTGGTGAATTAGTTTATACAGTAGCAAATATTGCTGTAGTTTATGATAGGAAAAAGTCAGCTCAGAGGTTTTTCACAGGCCATAAAATGCCTATAACTTGCTTAACAGTTCATCCAGATCCACTTCAGCCATATGTAGCTACAGTTCAGTCGGTGAGGCCTGTAATAAAAATATGGGACGCCAGATCACTCGCCATTTACGGCGAGATAGGAGAAGGTAGTTTACAAGGCAATATTTCCAGTATTCAATTCTCAGTTACGGGATTAATGTTAGCCGTTGACTCGTCAGACAAGCACACTCTCTTCATATGGGATTGGAGGAACAAAGAACTTCTCATAAGGACAATGGTAAGTTCATAAATCTTTATATTTCTTTATAGTTTATAGTTCCATTTAACCCCCTTAGCCTATCCTTTGCTTAATCCATGTTTTTTAAAATTAATCGAACTTTAGTAAACAATTATTATTTCGTCTTTTCCTAATTAATCGTCAGTTGGACGGTTGGGCTGATTTTTTAACATCTTTAAGATATTCAACACTATCCGCCAAATACATGATGCTATTGGTAAGCTTAAGCACAACATGGAAATATCAAACTTTCCCTTATCTTTTTTTTTAAAAAAAAAAAAAGACAAAAAATAAAAAGTAAAAATGCAAATTCTTTTTATCACGTAACATAAATGAAAGACACTAAATATTTTAGATTCTACACGCATATTTAATCTTTATATATATGTATGTATACTGTATATATAAATATACGGTATATATGAATGAAATGCAAGTTAATAAATGAATTATAATCAACATTAAAGAAATATAAGAGAATATGAAACATATTGATTATAATAAATCACTATAGATTGTATTTCTTTTATCATTATTCAATAAACAAAAGCATTCGCACTGCACTAACAATTGGGAAAAAGCTGGATCGGTAAGGCAAATCTTCTACTGTATATTATATGCAATACTGTAGTACACATGATGTTCTGTTATGATATCTCTCTCTTCTTTATTATAACTATATGTATTTGTATTCTATCTTCATCCACATTAGATTTAAAATGAAATATTAAACTTTTCTTTTCCAAATTATTTTTTTTATAAAAAAACAAAATTGCACAAAAAAATTATTTTTTTCTATTTTACTTTATTTCATGATAGTAATGTTCTAAAAATGTTTATTATTAGGCTACAACGGAAACTTCAGTGGTATCTGCTATTTTTCATCCACACGATCCGAGTTTGATAATTACCTACGGCAGGCAGCACATACATTTTTGGAAGTTATTTACCGAAGGCGATAACTCGTACAAGTTACTCAGAGATAAGGATAGTGGAAATTTTATCGATTATTTTGCCCCAATTCCAAGCCATGTTACCGCTGTATCATTTTCACCAAGTGGAGATGTTGTTACTGCCGATTCTGAAGGAAGGATTATTGTTTGGAGTAAAGATGAAACTGATGCTTATACCATTAATGAAGAATACAGCGGGGATTTATTACGAGCTCATTATAAGAAGCCTATAACATCCTTAACTACCTTAGGAGATGGTACATTATTATCGTGTGCTGGTAATGAAATAAAAGCATGGGATTTATCGGCTGATTATCGATTTGTGACTGAACGTTTAATACCGGAAGTTGCGGGAACTATTAAGAGTGTTGTAACAAGAAATATTGGTGGAATGGATGGTGCTATTTACGTAGTTACGGCTAAATCATCATTTTTAGAGGGATCTTTACAAGATAAACTGTCATTCGTCTTCCATGCTCATTCTCAATCAATAGCAGGGCTCGCTGTTCATCCAAGTGAACCTTTCTTTTACACTGCTGGTCAGGACTCTTACGTTTGTAAATGGTCCGCTGCGAAGAAGAAGATGATCTGGCGAATTCATGTTGATATTAGTTGTTCATCTTTGGCTCTTGACCCGCATGGAAAGGTTCTTTCAGTGGGTACTTCTAATGGACGTCTAATTGCTTTGAATGCTTTAACTGGCGATCATCTATCGTCGATTCAAATATCAAATGATTTACTTGATTCAGTCAGCTATTCACCGAAAGGCGATCGCTTAGCAGCCGCGTGCCATGACGGAAACGTCTATATTTTCGACGTACTCGACGATTCCGTAGTCTATAGGAGAAGAGACAAAAAAGGAACTCTCCGAGGTCATAACAATGCTGTTTTAAACATCGATTGGGACAAAAGTGGAAGATATATACAAAGTGAATCGCGAGACTTTGACATATTGAATTGGGATACTGATAAAATGAGTATTGTTAAAGAAGAAACAGCTGCAAAATTTGAATGGAGTACGCATAGCTGTACAATTGGAGCCAGAATTTCTGGAGCTTGGGCAAACATAGCAGATGGAGGCTATATAAGTTGCTGTAATACAAATTGGAATGGAAAATTACTATTAACCGGCGGAGCGGAAGGTTCCATAAAACTTTACAATTATCCTTGTTTACCAAATTCAAATTTTGACGAAAGACGTCCGTACTGGGACGTTGTTAGACGAGTTAACTTCTCGGCCGATGATTGCCACGCATTTACAATTGGTGGAAAAGAGAGCGCCATTCTACAATGGTCTCTCTCCGACCAATTAGAATTTACGTGAATAAAAAAGTAAAAGTTTACTTATCAAAAATTCAGAATTATGCATTTAAAAATGAATTTATTATGTAAATACCAACTAACTATTTAAGTACAAATTCAAAAACAAATAGGGTGAAAGAAATGCCATAAGTAGTTTACATTAATTCCATTTATTAACATTAAATTACACAAAAGAAGACTATACTATCAAACTATTCTACTAAAGATTATATAAATACATTTACAAACACAATAATCTTTTGTAAATTAGTGATATTTTCAGATAATAAAGATAATATAGATGGTATCTTTATTATCATCATTGGCTTGTTTTTCAACAGAGGTACAATATTAAAAAAATAATCATTTTGACCTTACTAAAAGGAAAGGAAGAATCTGAAAATATGTGCGTGTGTTTGTTTGTGTCTAAGAGTGTAAAGAGTGTAAAGGTGTAAGTTCTTTTTTCCTCACGTCATCGTCATAGGTTCAACCGGAACAAGTCTAAACATCTGATTGTTATTTGCCAAGAAGAAGCCTCCATTTGCTAGAATGCTTGTTGGTATTGGCTCAGGATTCGCAATTTCTGTCACTTCATTTTGGGTTCTTACAGGTTGTTCCTGTATATCAGATAAGGTTGGGCCATCTTTCATTAACTCCTGAAAAAGTTGATTTATCCACGCTTCCGAATCGCCTCTTTCGCTCATTCTATCTGAATCTGAATCAGCATTATTACCGAATGCTGGTGCAGCAGGATTATAAGGTCGACTAAATATATTCCCATCGGGCGAGCAAGGAGATGAATTTGGATCCGATCGATTTTCACTACCAGCTATTTCATCATGTTCATTCTCCCTTTCAACTTTCGAAACATCAACAACAATAATTGTTGTCATTTGTAGTTCTTCATATGAGGTTGAACTGCCTTTAGACATTTCTATAGGAGAAGTACAGCCTTTGAAATTCTACTTTTACTCTTCTTTATTTATATTTAAATAATTTTTATCAATAACTAATAATATACCTGGAACCATACTCAAAATATATTCGCTGTTATTTACAAACTCTTTTTCTGATCCATCATAAATGACCAGTTTCCTCAGTAGGGGGAAACGTTGTCTCTTTCTAAGAAAAAGATAAAACAAGTCAGCGATAAACAAAAGAATAAGTAGGCAGTAAATTATAGAAGGTATAATATGTTATTGAGTATTATAGAGCACCAATACCGATTTAATGATAACTTACATTGGACAATCATACTGCATTGAAAGTAGAATACGAACAAGGCCAGTTTTCTTTAATTCTTTTTCTTTAAGATTTTGTCTTGTTTTCAAAATGATTCTTTTATCTCTAGAAGTTACATATAAAACTTCTAGAGTTAATTGTCCGCAAACTTCCTGAGACTGATCCTTATTTATAGCCTTTTCGCTAAATCTTACAAGAAATGCACCGTGCTTCCTCTGTCCATCAAATAATATTGCTTTTACGTGATTGGGTGTAGCAAAGCCAAAAATAACCCTAATAAATTAATGAATGATTATTAATAATTTAATTTAAATTTCAATTATTATTATACCCTTTGGCCCATTCAATTTTATAGTTACTGGCAGTAGTGAGGCAAGCGTAGAAATATTTCCAAAAGGTAAAATCCTTACCACTTTCTTCGCGAAGTCGTTTCTATAATAAAGAATAGTTGATTAATAAAAAAATATCAAAGTTACACAAATATTCTATAACGGACCCTATGAAATTGTTCCCAAGTAACTTCTTCATCATCAAAATTGTCTCGATATTCACAGCCTATAAAAATTAAAATAGATTATTAAATATGTAAAATATAATTCATTTTATATTTATTTATCTTACGGAGAACTCTCGACGCTAAATATTTCAGGTCGTTATCATTCAAAGGTCTTTGATATTTAGCAGTAAATGTCTTCTTTGACCAAATAGATTTTAGAAATTTCTTTAAATAAACCCATTTAACTTTTGTAGGTATTTGGCTATCCTGTACTCTACCTCTCTGTAAACAAAAAAAGCAGATTTATATAGTTATATACATTATATATTGTTTACCAATTAAATTAAATCTTACCGATGAATTGCCGAATAAATTAAACCAAAAAATTGTACCAAGAGCATCAACAGTTTGAGTAACGTGTTTTATCAAAGTGATTGGCAATGTTATATCCTAAAATGAATTTTATTGTTTAAAATGAATTTTAGATTTATTATATAAACTTATATAAACTTACTTTGGCAAGACAACTTTTAAAATGCGGTATATCTGTTTGGCATTCAACTTGTATAACAAAAAAATACTTTTTCTCCCTTATAAAGTCTTTTTTATCGGATTTTTCTTGTCTGTTTACACGATCCATACTAAGTTTCTGAATATTCCATACGATACTTCGGTCTGTTGATTCGCTATCGTGTCTCAAATGTTCTTTGGTAATAATTCGTCCAAATTTGTTTATATATCTTTCAGAATCTCTATCCCATACTCTCGACGCTTGTTCGACATCACATTCGTAAATGGGTATTACTTGAAGGGGCGACGTTACTTTTAAACAATCTTGACCCAACAATTTCACAACCATTGGAATATTCTTTATAATCTTTTTATCAACTTTTAATATTTGAGGTGGTTGATTGACAATTATCAATGCCGAACTAATTGTTAGAGATCATTTTAAAGTATAAATAATTTCTATTTACGTATTATCAAAAGATAAGTAAATACCGTTCTACAAAATCCATAACAGGCTTATATAAAAGATTTATAATTTCTCCGGCTTGATTCACATGCATATGATCGATGCATTTTTCCACAATTTTTCTTGCCGTTAATAGAAACATTCGAGATCTGAACGGATAGAATGAATGGATTGATAGATAAATGAATAAATAACTAATGTAATTACCCGTCATCAATGAGTCTTAAGCATTCGGGACCATGATTTTGAAAATCTTCAACAAGACCTGAACCATTTAAACTTTTTCTTTGACAAATTTTCCAGTAATCAATAACATACTGTATAATTATTATTCAAATTAGTAAATTAGGTTTTAATTAGGTCTTTTCAATGGAAATATTTACACATAATCGGCCCTTCAAATCGATTAGCATGTGACAAACATGCTTAAATTCTCCAATTCCTCCAGAGAAGTCTCTCTGTATTGTTGACAGAAATTTGACTTTGCTATAAGACGTAGAATCATATTTTTAGTAAAATATTCAAACCTTGTTTACATCATTACAAGCATCAAATATAGATTTATTAAAATTCTTGACTTCTTCTTCAAGAGAGGAGTATTTACAAGTCCTTTCCCAAAACGACGACTCCCCCATTATCCGAATGAAATCTTGAAAAGCAACTGACTGAAAAAGATCTGATTCGTGCTTCTGTAGGCGATGCTTATTGGTCGAGTAGTTGGCCTATCCCTGCTCAATATTATTCTTCGCGTTATTGTTAGAGATATTTGCTAATTTTTAATATTACACAATTAAAGATGTACTCATAATTCTACAACATATCTTTGATAACTGAGAAAAAACTGATGGCTTATTCTCAAGAGTTCAGACTTGTAACTACTGTTTATGGTACTGCTCTATAAAGCATTTTTGAGTACTTATCATAAACAACATTGCATTGAAAGCAAGATAAGATAGCGAAATGATAATAGACTGTTTTGTGATATTTAGTATTTTATATAAAGAAACCTGCCTTTGATGCAAAAATCAAAACTTCCTCATAGCTTTATTTCAAACTCGAAATGGCGGTATAGTGTATTCTATAAATAACTTACAAAATGGAAAGTCCCTTTTTTTCCATAGATGCGATAAATTGATAGAAACAGAGTAGTCACAATGAAATGTTACGCATTATATATTTAAAATTATTTAGTTTTATTACAAGATGTTATCATTACCAGAGAAAATATTCTACAATTGTTGAATAGAATTTTTATGTGTTATTGAAAAACTTTGGACGGAAACGGGAGAAGCAGTAAAAGAGAGAGAGAGAGAAGGAGAGAGAATGAAAGAGGGAGGGAAGATATAGAAAAACATTCATTTATAGTCATACACACGTAAACACAAATAGCACACACAAAAAAAACAAAGATAAATGATTGAAACAAGATATGATTTTATTCTCATATAGACTATGATTCATTATATCCATTACATATTTGTTATGATTTCCCCAGCTTCTTTCTTTGGCATAGTTTAAGATATAGAATATGTACCGCTCTATTGTCATTGCTTCGCTATTGTAAAATGATCTTTTTACGTCATTAGTAATGCTCCTAAAGAAAATAGTCCTATATGTATCAGACTACTTTTTCATACTTTAACAAAAACGTACCAATTCTTTGCATACCTTTTTCTATACTGATATATATTTTCATCTTTTATTTTATTCTCTCTCTTTAACCCCTGAAGGATTGTTCTGGGAAGAATAAATGATCCCTATTGTAGAAATCGTTCCTGCCTCTCCAACGATGATGACAATTAATGTTCTAATTAGATTTACTATTATATATTATATAGGTTAAATGTGTGTATGCTATCAAGCGAATCAAACTATTCAATTCATAAAAAAACAGGTCATTTTTTAATAGAAAAAGCAAAGAAAAGAGATACTCTTTTCATTAAAATCACAAATAAGATAGACCTCTATCTTTCTCTCTAAAACAAGCCTATAAAACAAACTTATAACAGATTTTGTACTTTATTCAGTTTTTGGACAAAACTAGAATTCGAGTAGGAGATAAAAAATATGGATAAAATGTTCGTTAGGCAGATAGATAGATAGATAGATAGATAGATAGATAAAGAAACGTAATGGACAAAATGTTAGATAAAAATCTATCCTTTTTTTCATTTAAAATTTCGATTATTTGTCATTTTTATCTTTTAAATAGAACTCTTAATTTCATTTTTATAACAGCAATAACTTTAGTTAATTTTTAATATTTAAGATATAAATTGAATAAGATATAGTTACTATCTAAATATGTTTTTAATGGATGCAAATGCTTCTCTAGGTAACAAAAGGTTATCAAAGAAAACGAAATTAAAGAAAAGTAAAAGTTCGTCGTCAAAGAATAATGTATTATTAAATAATATAACTTTTTATCGAACAATTGGTATCAAGAATAAACTTATATGCTACCAAAGTAATAATCAAGCTATTATTAATAGAGAATCAATTAGAAAACCATTATGGAGAGGACATTAAATGCATAAATTTTTTTGTTTAAGTATTAGTATATGATAATTATAAATTGAATACAAAAGAAATACCTTATTTCATCCTTTACTTTCTACTATTAGAAATGGAAAATTTGTTACTAAAGCTTATGACGAGATCCTTAATAAAAAACAGAGATCATCTAACATAAACAACCTACGAGCGCCGTCTGTTAGAAAAATAACAAACAACTCTTTTAATAAATAAACTTTTAAACAAATGTTTATTTTAAGAATATGTTAAAATTATTACAATCCAATTCAAATTCTGAAAGTAAAAACTGGTAGAAAAATTCCATAATATCCATCATAGGTATTTGAGCTAATAATAGAGTGTTTCTTGAAAAGAAATATGTAAAACATATATATATACAGTATATATACAATCTAATAATTTATGCAATAAGTATTTTCAATGTTGAAACAAACCTTACAGATCAATGTTCAAGATTACTCTTGTAATACTAACCTCTATTTTCGATTTTGGAGTCTTAACATAGAATATTCTCACTGAAATATATTTTGTCCCATTTCTCTTCATCTAAATAAAAATCTAGTTTATGCAAATATCCAATGACAATACAACTCGTCTTAAAATGTCTTATTGCGCTATGTTTTACTATTTCTTATAAAAACCGATGATTAACTTGTTATGATGATTAAAATTTTTGATGAATTTTTGAGTTTGATTGATAATGTTTTGGTTTTTAGGACAGGAAGAATTTTGATTGGGAAGGTAGCTTCTTTTTCCCTCTCCGTTCTTTAACCAACACCAAAGGATTAATTCAAGAATATAATACTTACGTGGCTGTTCTGTTGTAGTTAATGTTGTTGTTGGTTGTTTGGGGATGCAAAAGTATCCGTTGCCAATATATCCATCTTTGCACATGCAAGAATATCCTGGTTCTGAGTTTAGGCAGATAGCGTTATCGTTACATTTATGTAACGCTCTCTCACACTCGTTGATATCTATTTGAATAATTAAAAATTATTATGAATTACTAAAAATACAAATAATCTCTATACTGACCAACGCACTTGCCATTTACCATCTCACTGCCTTCCGAGCATGTTAAAGGTTCGGTTGGTGCAAAAGGATCCCTTTCGCAAATATACTTAACATTTGGACTATTACAAGATAAAACTGCCCAATAGTATTTGCCATTAAATTCTCTTTCAACAGCACATTTGAGAGGGATTGTTGCTATCAAGGGATTGTACCAATTTTCGTATTCATTTAACGATGAACCATCATGCCATTTCCAAGAGATAGCTACAGAACAAAAGAAAAATATATAAACTTTTTCAATATCTAAATTTCATCTCTTAAATCTACTTACGTCTTCTCTGTAATCCAATAAACGCATAGTCAATGTTGTTCTTCCTCAATAATCTTTGTACGGCATCTTCAGCAGCTTGACTCTTCATTTAGTGCTCATTTTAGAAATTTAAAATATATCATCTTTAAATTAGCTCACCTTGATTATCACCGGCTTCTTAGATTCAGATTCACAGTCATCTGCTATACTTAGACAATGATCTCTAGATTCTATTTCATCATCAGTGCAGAGACCTGTTGTTGTTGGTGATGTTTGTGTTGATGCTTCAGTAGATGTTGATGTTGTAGATTTTATTACGCACTGTCCGTCTCCCGGTACGTACGGTGGAATGCAGATACATTCATATGAACCTAAGGTATGTCTGCTTAATTCAATTTCAATTTAATTTGAAATATACCTGGTATATTTTTGCATATTGCTATTGGTGGACTCTGACATTGGTTATTTGTTATACATTCATTAATATCAACACACTCTCCAGCAACCAACTCATATCCTGATCCACACTCTTTAGGTGTTGTCGAAATAGGTGTTGTTGCCAGTGGATCCCTTTCACAAATGTATTTAACATTAGGAGTATTACAGAAAAATGGTTTCCAATTATAAGTTTGCCCATCTTCATTAACAGCCTCAATTACGCATGCGAAGAATGGAAGATGGAAAGTTCCTGGTTTCCATGCATTATATGATCCTAAATATTCGTTATTCCACCATTTCCATTTATTGGCATCTTTCTCTAGTCCAATATATCCACTTTGTATGTTGTTCAAACGAAGGAAAGAGCTAACAGCCAATTGTGTTTGACGATTCTATCAAAAGATAAGTTGATATTCAATTAGAGATGAAGATATGGAAAATAGATAAAGAAAGGAAATTAACCTCAATTATAACAGGTTTCTTAGCTTTAGTATAGCAGTCATCTTCAATACTAATACATTTATCATTAACTCCCATTTCGCTTTCTTCACATTGAACTAGTTACATTTTTTATTTTAAAAAAGGCGTATTAATCAATAATCTTAATGTGATGTTATCTACCTGAACTAGTTGTTGTTGTTGGAGCTTCTGTTGTTGTTGTCATAGTTGTTGTAGGAGCTACACATTCGTCACCAATTTTCTCGTACGGTGGAAGGCACGCACACTCAAAAGTTCCTAAGAAATAGTTATTTAATTTTCACTTATTTTATATTTCAAGTAGTGATACCTGGTTTATTGGAGCATATAGATATCGGTGGACCTTGACAGGGATTGCTTAAGCACTCATCAATGTCGATGCAATCTCCATCAACCAACTGATAACCAGGCGAACATGTCTTAGGAGTTGTGGGCGCTACTGTCTCTGTAGGATCTCTAGTACAGAAGAAGGGAAAATGAGATAGAGAGCACAAGAATGCTTGCCATTTCATGACACCAATCTCGCCATTTGCAATAGCACAGCTCATCTGGGGGGGTGCATTAGTTCCACTGGTATCGAAACTTGAATAATCAAGTGGACTATTATCCCTCCATATCCATTCTCCGTTGATCTTATTTATACCAATATAGCCAAGACGTTGATTAGTAGCATCCATTAATCTTTGAAGTGCTTCCTCTATAGCTTTACTCTGATGGAAATGAATTATAGTTATTGTAAAATATAGAAATTTTCGCAGCAAACCTTAATCATTATTGGTTTCTTTCCTTTACTATAACAATCATTTTCGACGCTAATACATTGTCCATTAACTCCTATTTCTGTATCTTCACAATCGGCTGCAGTATGAAACAGTGTTATAAAATATGTAAAGAAAAGTAACGATATCTGTTTAATCAACCTCCAGGAGTAGTTGTTGTTACAGTTGTTGTTGCTGTGGTAGTCGCTGGTAGAGTACATACTTTACCATCCCCTTTGTAAGGATTAATACATAAGCAGTGATATCCACCTGAAGCACAATTAAAGGGATAAAATTATTTATGAATTATTCATTTTAGAGAAATAACAAAAATATAACCTGGTGTATCCAGGCATTTTCCTGCAGGTTCAGGAGCGCAATCGTTATCTCCATTTGTGCATTCATTAATATCTATTCAAGGCAATCGTAAAGACAAGTTAAACAATAATCACTAACTTCCAATAATTTTAGCTTACTTTGACAAACTCCATCAATGTTTTCGAATCCCGGTTGGCATGTTATAGGTTCTGGAGTAGTAGTTGGTTCTGAACCTTCGTATTCGCATAAATATTCAAATGGAAGAGAACACGGGAAGCTCCTCCAATCTACATAAAGAACGCTGTAAAACAATTTTAACAAAACATTTTGATTGCGTTCTAAAGAAAAATTTTAATAAGGAACTTACGCATTGCTCATGATAACACAAGTTAGAATTGGATTATTGAAGATAGGTTGATTTACACCAAAGTCATCAAAGAGATTTTCCCTGTTTTCTAAAGACCATTTAGAACCGTCGGCCCAGGTGAAAACAGACTTTCCGATTCCATCAAGTGTAAGACCAATGAAAACATTTTGAATATTCCTCTCCTGAAGGAAGCTTTCAGCCAATATATTTGTGGCCTCATCGACTATTGAGAGGGGTTTCATACCATGCTCTGCACAATCTTTTCTAATGCACATACATATGTTTTCCTTGAATTGGCAATCGTCAGGGCATTCTAGGGAAAAATTTATGCTCTCTAAGTGAAAAAATTTCCAATATTAAAATAAAATTACGTATAGGTGCCTGTGTAGTTGTCGGTGGAAGAGTGGTTGTTGGTGGAATAAGAGTACACTGAGTTCCATCACCTTCATATCCGGCTTTACATTCGCATGTATAAGATCCTTGTGCGTTAATACAATTAGCATTTTCATCGCAATCGTGAGTACCACTGCATTCATCAATATCAATACATTCCTTCTTATCATTCATTTGGAAACCACTGTGACAAATACAGTCATAAGTTCCAATATCATTAACACAGGATGCATTTGGACCACAGTCAACAGTGTCACATTCATTAATGTCATCACACTTATCTTTTCCATCACCTTTGAACCCATCTTTGCATTTGCATTCATAAGTTCCAGGTTTATTTGTACACTCAGCTTCATTGTGGCATGTGTGTAAGTTTTCATTGCATTCATTGATATCTATGTACACAATGAGGAGGTCAGTTTTAAGATTAAAAAGCTTGTTTGATAATACCTTCGCATTTTAAATCTGAATTTCTTCTATATCCATTGGGACACGGCGGAGCTAATACATAAAAGTAAAAATATCTGATTACACTCACACTATCAATATAACAAAAGATGTACTTACGTTCTTTACATTCAAAACCATCACCTTGAAAACCAGGTTTACAAACACAACTGTAACCTGGACTTTCATTAAAGCAATCAGCATTGTTGCTGCATTTATCACTTCCATCATCACATTCATTAATATCGGTACATGATCCATCATCTTGCATTTCATATCCACTCTTGCAACTGCATTTTTGGATGCCTTCTGAATTTGAGCATATTTCATTGTCTCCTGTACAGCCTGGGAAATTTGAACATTCAGCTTTCTGTCCGGGTTTGCATTCGCATCTTTTTTTACAATCTTCTTGTAGCCACTTCTCTCCCAACTAAATATTTTAGTTTATGAATATGTTAATTACATTGTATGTATATATATATATGCCTAATTTAATTTAACCTTATAAATTGTACCATCAGCACCAGTACAATCTGTATTGCAGTTACTTGGCAATACGCATTCGTTGTCAATCATAACAAATCCAGTCTTACAAACGCAAGAGTCAACATCTGGTTCATCGCAATTTGGATCACCCTAAATTGATATTTTTTTTTACGATTCATCATTAATATATGATTTAGCTTATTATTTTAGGCTTACATTTGGATGTTCGCATGTTGGTGGACAACCTGGAGCATTCTTTTTATATTCCATATTTGCGGGACAGTCAGTAGCTATAGAAATAGATGTGTTTACATTTTAAAAAGTTCTTTAAAAAATGAATATTAAGTTACGGCAATTTGCTTCCTCTCTCCAATCTGGATTGTAATTATCAATGACATTATTACAAGCTTCGACAAACTTTTCAACAGCTGAACACAATGACACAGTTTGCTCATCATTGACAATGCATAAATCGTAGACGCATTCATCGTAGAAGGTTATCGCATCTATGTTAGGCTTGGCAATACATTGTGAAAATACACCAGTGCTATCTTTAATTATTGAACATAAACGTTTGGCTTCCGCATATTCTGCATCAGTACATTCGGGTCCAGGTTCAGTTGGTGGTTTACAACTATATATATATATATATATATATATATATATATTCATAATAATCACTTTAACAAGTTAATATAGCTATACTAAACTGTTTTGGACAATCGTCACAAGGTACCTCGTAGCTATTACCCAATTGAGGATATCTCTTTTTACCTCTTCTACCATGTGGCTTTCCTGGTACTGGATTTCCTGCTTTATCTCTATAATCGTTTGTCTTATCACCATTGAAATCACCGCAGATGCCGCACATTCTAATTAAGTGAAATAGAGTATGATATGGGTTTAAAACAAAAATGTACATTAGTACTTATTCTTATAGTTTGGTGGAATATGGATTTGTGTATTTGTTCTACCATCAAAAGTGACAACGAGGCCAAAAGTTGTTTTTACTACTGCATAACTTCTCCTTCCTCTCCTCTTTTTGTATATTTTCAAACCCTTTGCCCTATCTCTAAATGATCTAATTATTCTCCTGCCATTAACGATTATTTTCAATCCTTGATCTAGTCTTATCTTGTAACCAAAAACTTCAATATCAACATATTTTGTCCAAGACACATCTCTATTCCTTCTACCAGGATATTTCCAGTTTCTGGCAAAAACTTTAAAGTTTGGCAAGTTTTCTTGCTCCTCTTTTGGACAAGGTCTAGAGTTTTAACAATTTTATTTGAAATACAGGTCAAGGTGAATACTCGTATGCACTTACTCGGCCAAAGTATATTTACAAGTACCCATAAAGTCCAAACGAGCTCCATCAAATGTTTTATAGTGAGGATCACCAGAAGCTTGACACCACGCAGCCTTTTCGCATTTCTTAACTCCCTTGTCGTTTATTAAAGTGAAACCAGGATAGCACACGCAGAAATATCGGCCAGGTTTATTAATGCATTTCATATTTGCACCGCAAGGTTTGCTTAGACATTCATTAATATCTGTAAAAGATGTTTAATAATTAATACTCTTTGTTTATGCTCATTTACTTTTATCTTCTTAAATAAAGTTTAACCTTCGCAAGGACCATTTGGTAAGACTTTTCTTTTATATCCAGGGTCGCAAGGTATGACTAATTTTAAAAAATTTTAGTGCAGAATTAGTATATTTAGTAACAATAGCATCAAATTTTATGTAAAAACCTTCGGTACAAATGATACCATCTCCAGTGTAACCAGCATTACAAGTACATTCATAAGTACCAACTTTATCTCTGCATGTTGCCTTTTCATGACATTTATTCAAATCATCGTTAGCGCATTCATCAATATCTAAATAAAATATTTTTATATACTAAATAGTTAATTGGTCTTTACTTATGTATCAACTTACTTGTGCATTTTCCAGCGATCATTTCATAGCCTTTTGGACAGTGGCATCCTCTAACTCCATCTTTGATTTTGCAAATAGCCAATGATGGGCAAGCTGGTAGTGAAGTCTTGCTAAATTTTCCATTGGCTTGACATACATATTTGTATTTACAATCATTTGTAATATATCCATCACCGACCTAAAAATATATGAAAATGCTAGTTTTAGAATTACCCTGAAAAGGTATTCCTTACGGAAAAGTATCTATCATCAGGAGCCGTACAACCGCATTGATCCTCTTTAACACATTTATCACCGCTGAGAACATAGCCTGTATTACATTGACATCCTTCCACAGGTTCAGCATCGCAATTATCAGGATTATCGTCTGGGTTTGCGCAAGTAAGAGGACAGCTTGATGAGGTTGGTGAATATGAGCTATTTGGTCCGCATGGTAATGCTTTAAAACGAATAAATTCAAATTTTTAGGAAATCTTTCAAGCGGAAGAATAAAGTATAATTACGGCAGAAATTGGCTCTTCTCCATAGAACATTTTTTCCTGCTTGTTGTTCGCAGAGAACCGCTAATGTTTCTAATGCTTTGCAGAGCATATCATCGGTTTTAGCCAAGCATAAATCGTACGTGCACTCTTCGTAAAGCTTTTTACAAGTAATATTAATAAGGCTTTAATTCAATTTTCTACAAGAAATACTTACATCATTAACTAGGGATGGATCTTGACTATTCAATATATTGATACAATCTTTGAAAGGTCCTTGAACATTCTTAATAATACCACATTTGTTGTTTCCTGAAATTTCTGCCATTTCATCTTCATCACAGTTTGGCTGAGGATCATCTGGTTTTTTACAAGCAGCTTCTCCATACTGATCTGGTACTTCCCAACTATTTCCAATCTTTGAATATCTTCTCCTTGTAATTTTACGTCCTCTTCTATCAAAAGTAACAATGTCTGGTACTACGATATTTCCATTGGAATCAGAGTAATCATCATTTCTGTTTCCATTGTAATTACCACATAAACCGCACATACCACTGAAATTAGTCATTGCCTTAATAAGTTAAATGAATTTCTCTCAAAGTTATAACTTACATATTTTTATAAATATCTGGTATTTTAACATAAACTGACGATCTACCATCGAAACTCACTTGAAGACCGAAGGTTGTTGTAAGTTTAACAAATCGACCACTGAACTTTATTAAAAGACCAGGTGCTCCTGCCAATGCTTTTATTGGTAAATTATAGGCCTTTGGATTTTCCTGTTTCATATTTTGTTTGTGTGTTTTAATTTATTAAAGTTAGATGCAAAATAATAAAAACTTACAGCAACAAAGCCGGTATCTATCTTCTTTAAAGTAGAAATGATAACCTTTCGTTTTTGATCCAATTTAATTTCATAACCGTAAACTTGAACGACAACGTATTTTGTGTATGAAACGGTTGTCTTTCTTCCTCTATGCTCATTCTTTACTTCAACGTTAAACATTGGAACGCTAACTTTTTCGGATTTGGGGCAAGGTTTAACCAATGTATAGCGGCAAATACCCATAAAATCGATTTTAGCTCCATCAAAAGTCTTGTAATGGGGATCTCCCGAACCCTTACACCATGCAGATCTTGAACATGATAATTTACCATTAATTAATCTTTTTTGATAACCTCTTCTACATCTACATGTAAAACCACCAATTCTATTGATACAGTAAGAATTTGGAGGGCAGTCATCAGTTTTTAATTGACATTCGTTGACGTCTTTGCAAACTTTAGCTCCGTTTTCCATTCTGAATCCATCATTACATTCACATTTATAAGAGCCTATAATATTGACACATTTATGTGGGCAGACACTTGGAGTTTGCTTGCATTCATCTACGTCTTCGCATTTATTGTCCTTGTTGACGAATCCTTTACGACATATGCAATCATATCCCCCAACCTTATTTTTACATTCAGCCTCTGGAGGACAAACCGCAGCTATTTGATCATCATCGCTCGATACAGTTTTACATTCATTGATATCCTCGCAATAAGTCTGACCATCTCCTGCATAACCAGATTTGCATTTACATTTTCTTTCCCCATCTTCAATACCACATTCTGCCAAAGTATGACAAACAACTTGATCTTCTTTGATCTCACCTCCTTGAGAACAGGTGTACTTTGTGCCACATTGACTGTCACCCCAAGTTTCTCCAAGCTGTTTATACATACCATCTGCGGTCATGCAACCACATTCCGTTTCTGGCACACAGTCTGTTCCTGATTGAACGAAACCAGGATTACAAACACAACCATCGCTAGGTGCAACTGTACAAGTTTTAGGAGCTTCAGGATCTTGACATGTTGATGGACAGGCTGGTGCGTTAGCTTCATAATGCATGTTTGGTCCACAAGGTAGAGCTATTTACATGAAAAAAAGTATAGAAGGAACATTAAACTTTAAGAACATATTTAAAGAGTTTTAAAAGTAAACTTACGGCAGAATGTTGCTGTTCTCCAACTGACTTCGATACCATTAGCTTTGCAAGAGTCAGCATAACTTTGAAGAGATTGACACAAATCAGTTATTTTTCCCTGTGCAGCGCAAACATCCATCTTACAACTTTCGAAATGATCAGTAATAGGCGTACTGGCATGGCATGCTTTAAAAGCTTCCATATTTTTTAGGCGACCACAAAAGTTATTTCCTTCGTATTCAGCCATTTCGGCAGTTGTACAGGAAACGTCATCATCATCCTCAGGTTTCAAGCATCTATAATTTGAATTTATATTCGAAAATTTTTAGTTTAAAGCATTCAAATTAAACTTATTAACTCACTGTTCATTGGCTGAATTGGTTGTATCGTCTGGTACTTCCCAACTGTTACCAATTTCAAAATATGGTTTCTTAACTGACAATCCCTTAGGATAATAATCATCTCTTGCCTTTTGGAAAAAATGGACAAATTAAAATCATTTACATATGTATTAACTCTATATTGTTAATTATTAATTATCTTTAGCTTACGTTTCCATTCCAGTTTCCACAAAGACCGCACATTTTGTTCTGATATTGAGCTGGTAGTTTAACAACAGCCATATGGTTTCTCTCAAAGCTAACTTGAAGACCGAAATCGGTTGATACAACCAAACGATAACCGCATTGGAGTACAACCTTCAATTTGCCGTCTAAGTATTCAACAGTGGGATTAACTCTAATTCCATTGACGAGAACAACACGATTTTTCATTAGGCGAATAGTGTAGCCATACACTTTTACATCAACAATTTTAGTATGAGCAACTTTTTTACTGCTTCTGTGCTCGTTTTTAACTTCGACATCGAATTTTGGCAAAGTTCCTACTTTGTCAGTGCAAGGTTTGGCAAGTGTATATTTACATGTTCCTTGGAAATGGATCATAGCTTTGTCAAAAGTTCTATAATGGGGATCTCCCGAAGCTCTACATTCTCCGGCAACTGTAAGTTTGTTAATAATTTAATAAAAGTTATCCGTTGTTTATTCACTTATCCCTACTTCCGCATGAAAGAACGCCTCCAATGATCTTTGGTGTTCGTCCTCCTTGACAAACACATCTGGAACCACCTCTATCGTCAATACATCTTGCTCCACTACCACATTTAAGCTTACCAGTTTTACCTAATCAAAATTATCATTTAAGTCTATTATGATGTCATTAATAAATATTTAATACAAACAATCAGTGCTACGGATATAGTCAACTCTAGCTTCGCAAACATAGCGAACACGTGTACCACAATCTATACTCTCCCACTCTCCAGCATCGTTCCCGACAGATAGGAAAGCAGCGCAAGCTTTTGATAAAACGGTCTCTGCCTCCTCAGACGACCTAAGCCAGTTTTTGTAAGACTGAAAAATGGATTTTTTTACAAAGTTAAAGCTATTCTCTGATTATTAGATCAATTTAGTTCTTACTCCGTATTTAGTTCCGTCAAACCATCTCCATTGATTTCCTGATGACTGAGAAGAAGTTCCCCAGCCCCAGCCCCATCCCCAACCATGCCATCCTCCTGTGTTTCCAGACGAGGAACCAGTTTTCTTAAGACCAATCCATGCTTTTGAACTAACTGTTGCTTCTTGTCTAACAAAGAAAAAATTACTCGAATGAATATACTGTATTTACTATGAGATGAAATGTACTTACAATATTTTTTGGACAAAATTTGATTCATCACTATTGCTAATACTTGCCAATGTTCCACCAGCAGCTTTACAAAGTTCATTAGCATCGCTTTGAGATTTAGTATCAGTGGAAACTCTGTAACATTTACCACCGTATGTCTTCCATCCAGTTGGGCAATCGACTGAAATTTTTCATTAGGTAAGATTGAATGAAAGTAAATATATTTAATATATCAACATACTATCAATTCGATAATCGTTACGTCCTCTGTATTCGCAAACAAAACCTCTCTTGTCAGAACATCGGCCGATATTCCATTTATGATTAGAACTTGTTGCGTAACCGCAGTCCAACGTGTTACTTCTACTTGGCTATTAAGATAAGGTGTATGATTGAACACGTACATATTTCATAATAGAATGAATTTATTATATACTTGATTAGTATTCCAGTATGTTCTTCCTGAAACAGTTCTCTTTTGACATCCAAGTATCCATTCAAATCTACCTTCCTTATATCTATCGTGTAGACCCATCCAATAAGTTCCACTGGAAAGTTTCAACAACTTAGTAAGTTGATTAAACATATTTGATGTACTTGGAACAACCAAGTATCCTCGTCCATTTTTCCAGCATGCCGATTTTGCACTGTACCAATCTAAGGAGGTGCTAAAATATTTAACACAGCGTTTTGTACCAGGAATTTTAATTGATCCAGTTGGACAGTGTTTATACTCATCCGATTGGCCTTGGACAGCTATTTAACGAACAATTATGATATACAAAGTAAAATTATACAATATGACTTACATTTAAAGCACTTAATTGATCCAGTTGCAGAATAACAACATCCCAAATTAATACAATGTGCCTGAGAAATTCCACTATAACCACAAAGAACTCTACTAGCTACAGCAGCATCACAATTCCTTGAGGATTGTTTCTTACAAACGAATCTGTAAGATTTTGAACAATACATATCTTTCCATTTTTTGTCGCCAATTCTAACGCAAGGACCGCTGCCGTCTGGTTCAGAAGATTTCCAAGCTTTATATTGAGCTTCTTTACCATTCATCCAGAAATATTTACCACTCTTTTTTTGTAAACCAATCCAATAGTCTTCGCTTGTTTTCAAGTGTTTCACAACGAAATTCATTTCAGCTTCACTGTAAATATCAGCCAAGTTGGCATCGTATGCTTGGCAAGTACTACTAGCTCTGGTTTGAGTCTTTTTCTGATTTCCAAAATAATAGCAATGGCCTTCATATGGTATCCAATATTTATCGCATCTTGTTGGTTCTGGTTCGTTCGTTGGTGGAGTTGTTACATCGCCTAATCTCTTTTTATTTTCGCCATAAATCATATCGTTGTGAGAGTTGAATTGTACTCCTGGTGACCTTTTCGAAATTTTTGACAAATAACATTTAAGTCTGTTGTGATCGTAATCGAAGCTTTTACAATCTCTGTTTTCTTCACATTTCGCAAGACAATCGAAATAGGTGTAGAGATTTGAGTAATCCTTAAAATTATTGTCTTTAAGATATCTGTTGTTAAAAATGTGATAATCCGGATTGTCTTTATCCATTCTTGCCTTATTCACGCCGTGCACATAGCTTGAGCTTGATGACATTTTATGAGGTAGAGTTTTCTTACTATTCCTTGAGAGTGAACATCTCCTGTTTGACTTTCTGTAATCAAATGATTTGCATGAGGACCATTTATCACATTTATCCATACAGGCTTCTTGCGATGAAACATAGTAAGAGTAGTCATCTTTATCGCTCAAGTAGCCAGGAGATAAATCATAATTCGAAGATGGACTTGTTGGTTGACCTTGAGGTTTTGTACTTCCAGACCAGAATTGGCAGATATATCTTTTTTTCTCAGAGCACGAGGAATCTTGAAGGACCTTAGATCCACCATGGTACCAGGCGCAATTTTCTCTTGTATTCCCGTTTGGTTCACCGCTTTTCCATTTTAAATTTTTAGCGTCATAATTGATTTGTTTTTTATCCCATGTAAAGGACCATTTTCCTTCAGATTGTTCATCATTAGCGTTAATCCAATATACTGATGTAAAGCTAGATAATAAAAAGATTAATATATAAAAGAAGAGGTAACATATCTATGTAAAAAATGAAATTATTTCATCATTTACTTACTATCCTGGATAGTTTCTGAAAGTTTCATAAGCAGCATCATCCAAAATTGCCAATGTTCCTTTCTTGTGGTCACACTCCTTAATAGCATCGCTATATTTTTTTGTACTTGTATACATAAGATAGCATCTATCATTTCTGGCATCGGGAATTGCTCCTTTTGGACAATGGTCATCTAAATTAAAATTCGTTTAGTATAAATATGAAAAAACTACTAGAAAACTTACACTTCCTAAGTTTGTTAATATAATGAGACACTCCACTATAGGTCTTCATCAAACTTGGATCAGTATAGGCTGATTTTGTCAGCAGTTTGCATCTAATTTAAATAAATAAGTGAAAAAATCACTAAAATGGTAAAGAAGATAATTTATTACAAACGTTCTAGTTGAAGGTTGATAGTTAAAGGATTTACAAGTAGAAGAAATAAGGCATTTCATAGCACAATCAGACAAACTAGTCTTCTGTGTTTGAGTGACAACGTACAAAGCCTTGTTTGTTATTACATCAAAAGATTTTTGAAAATCTAATATGAATTGAATTTGAATATATTAAAATAAGGTTATTGATGATAATCCATTGACGTTACCGAATCCATAATCGTAAGAATTTAGTCTATATTCGCACAGGAAGTATTTTTTACTTGAACAGCTTTGAGGGGAAAGTTTATGGTTGAAATTTCCCTCAGCAACGGCACATTGACCTAGGTTATAATTTCCTGGCTGATAGATGAAATGGGATTATTGATGGGAAAAATCTCAAAGAAATGAGTTCAAATAGCACCTTAGTCTTCCATAGATTTGAATCAGATGTCTTGTATTCCAAATCTCCTGCTGTCCATCTCCAATCACCTTTCAATGATAAATCTCTATAACCTACCCAATAGTAGTACATACCTTTACTATTTAAATGGAGAAAGATTATCCGTTTAGATAGGATGAACAATAAATAATTAATCATATTTAAAACTTAACGATTTATATTGAGAGTTCAAATATTTGATTGTGGATGAACTGTGGACATTGGCTAAGAATCCATTGTATTTCTTACACTCTTTTACCGCATCGTCGTAGGATTTTGAAGATTTATAAAATTTATAGCATCTCTTTGCACTCGAATCATAAAAAGAGTTGCTAGGACATTTTGAAAGTTTTTCTGTATGAGATTAATATTTACAATATACGAATATCTAATAAATCATATTTGTTTGGAGTATATTTACTGAAAGAGTAAGTCTTTAATTCAACAGCAACAAAGAGTTGCAGGAGAGCAAACGCCAGAAAAATTCTCGAACGCATAGTTAAGCGTTCTTTCTATCTGAATAAGGGTAATAATAATTTTTAACTAATTAATTAATTAATTGGTTAATTGATTAATTAATTAGCAAGTTAAGTAGACTATTTACTTACTTGAAGAAAGATGAGAATCAAACTATGAAAGACAATGCAGTAATGAATGTCTTTTTTGTATCAGCAAAATGATTGATATATATCGGCGCGTAAACACAGCTGGATTGACTGTAAATGCGAGCCTTTTATACTTCGCGATAATAAAGTTCTACTCAAAGATATTTGACGTTTATTAGTTAATATATTTTTAGTACCTAGCATCTGCTAATAAAATCTGATTGACTTGTTCACCATATGCTTAAGGACTTATGAAGCACGTGTCACAAAGATGAATGGGCAGATGACAAATCAAAATAAAGTGTATACATCCTTTTTATCCATTTATCAATAGTCATCTATAAGAATGTGACGTTGTCATCAATCTATTTATACGCTAATATTTTTTTATCATTCCGAAACTGGAATAGTTTCTGTTTTTATTAATGAGTTTAATTCTTAGAAGAGCGCTATTATAAATTACAAAGAAGTCGTAAAAAAGCTTTATTAATATGAATATATTAAAGATATAGGCAATAAAAAAAATTAAAATTAAAAGGATTAACTTCAATTCGATAGATTCTTTTAATAAACTTCTTTTTTTTCTTTAGTTTAGAGGTCAAGACACTCTTGGTTAATTGACCAACATTCTATAATTTTCTTTTTATCCTTAATCTTTTCCTTTCTTTTCAAATCTTTTCTTTTTCCATTCCTACTTTTCTATTTTTTTTCTTTGTCTTTGTGATAAGAGAAAGAGACAGAGAGAGAGAGAGAGATTAATGAATAATTAAACAATTAATTAGTTTGATAAAAAAAAAACTAGCCAATTATCTTTGTTTTTTAATAATTTATCTAATTGAAAAGTGGAATTTGTAAATTATTATTGAATAATAATTCAAAGTAGTTGGATTTAACTTTTAACAGCTTAAATTAAGTGCTTTTTTTTGTCTGATATTTTGTACGATCTAACTTATATTTGACATTCATAAATTTTCATCATCATAAATATTGCCGTTGTAAATCACTTTAATGACATTCTAGTGACCTATGGTCAGTTAAATGACATCTACGTTTGACTCTTAGACTAATTTTTGAAATATCTCTTATTATGTATTAAAAAAGTATATTGAACCAGATTTTTGCCTTTTGATGTTGAATAGTTTGTACCATATGTTTACCTCTCCAAAGTCAATCAATCACGCTTGCGCTTTCTCTACGATTTCAATTTTAAAATAAGGGTTCAAAAATCTTAAATATTATTGTATTACGATTGATCACCTTCCACCGAATCTGTATTGAAGTTTAAAAAAGGGGTACTACTAAATTTCGTCCATGTGGGAGATAGATAAAAAGAAAGAGACAAAAAAAAGAGACTGCCAGAAAATATTAAACGAGTAATAACTCTTTCCTGTTATTACTTTCGGTTTAAATTGAAATAATAACCAAGAGACAAGGACACGTGACATATGTCACTTTTTTCTATTAATAATAAATATAATGTAAATATTATGGTTCCGAAGCTTCAACATCAGTCTCTTCTTTTGTACCATAATCTTTTTTCTTTTTCTCATCAAGTCCAGTTGTATCTTCAGATTTTTCCTCTTTGCCAATAATCCATTGCAACATTTTCCATGGTAGCTTAGCAATAAAGATAAGAAATTCTGTTATGAGCGTAAGGCAGGGGGCGCAACAAGGGCAACAGCACTTTACTGAAAAATATTTTTCAACATTTAATGATAAAATCAAAAAAATTCTATAGTTTTTTATGAAAACTGTAACGTTGAAAGGTGTAACATACGTTTCATGATAGAATAATGTAAATATAGATAGGGATATACTTTTAAATAAATGAATGTATTACATCCTTTACCTTTGTATTGTAATTATTGTATTGTTATATATTATCTTGATACTTACGCGGCGCAGTGACAATCCAAACGACAACGGCAGCAACAGCTAGTACTAGGAATACCGGTATCAAAAGAATAACTGCTATACATTTAAGGAAGCAGAGCATGCATTTCGCACATCCTCCCATTTTTTCTTTATAGTTCTATTAATTTTTAATGATCTCCTTATACATTTATTTCTTCAAAATTCTGTGTTTGTTATACAAAAGATGTACATACAGAATCCTCTTCCTGCAGTTTCTCTATTTTCTTTCTTTTCTATCTTTCTTCTTTCTTTTGTATATCTCTCTTCTACTGCAAAATTTTTATCCACTTCTTTCGTTTCAGTAAGCGTATATTATTTAAATATACACTCCTTTTACCTCTTGTGACTTTCACTTATTATACAAACCAAGCAAATGTTGAACGATTTATATTGAAGTACTTTCCATATTTGAAACTATTAAATTAAAGGCTTACATATAACAACTAGGTTTACAAAAGCTTTATGCAGCATCTGTTACATGCTATTGTTCGCGTTTTATATAAAAAATTATGGTTTTATATAAGGTCTTATAAATATTATTACTGGAGTTGAAATTGTTATTAACTATGTCAATTATTTCCTGTTTATTGATTAAAACTTTCAATGCCAGAAGCGAATTGGAAGAAAATCTATTTTTGCTGCATATCTCTAAGACAGAGAGAATGATATTTATCAATGAATTATGATAATGAGGTATGAGTCTTAACTTCAATAAAATTTTGTCCTATCAAAGGTTTATTGAGAGGAGCGTTAAAGAGATTGAAATATTAAGGATTGCTGATAATCAGATTAAAAATATCATTTTTCTTTATTTTCTATAAAATTGAACTTCTTTTCTATATTTCCAACTATATTATTTTGATATTTTATCAACTTTTTACTCTATATTTCACTTTATAAAGTGTAGTATCAGTAATAGAAAAAAGACTTTGAACTTTTTTAAATTTGCCGCGCAATTTACAAGTGCTTAGCAACGATCGCCGCCATTTTATAACAATAAAGACGATTTTGAATATTCTTGGAAATATTTTTTAGATAATGGCAGATAGTAGAGAGGATATGAGTAGAGAGAATACTCAAGAAGATGTTCTTGTAGAGAGTTCTCGCCCAGATAATGAACAGATTCCATTGCAGCCTTCAAACGAGTCCATAGTACTTGAGCCGCGATCATTGTCTCAGCAGTTTGTTGATTATTCTAATAGATTAATCCAGGTAATGAAACAATACCATATTTTTTCTGTATAATAATATATATTGGTAAAAAATTTGTAGCCTAGGAGTCATAGAGCAAAAATTCTCGTTTGGGCTGATTTAACAGTAAATGATATGGATTTATTAGAGGGATGTAAAGCTCCAGATGATATTAAAAGGTTTCGTACTATAACCTATTAACAGACAATATACATCTATAAATATGTATCTCTTTATAGAGAACTATGCACTATCTTTCAACTTACTGATGGAATTGATCCAGAAAAGACTGAAGTACTTTTGGATTTATACTATTACGCAATAATATTTAGTAGAGAGAATAGCTTTTCAAAAGCCCAAACATCCGCATTAATATCTATAATAAAAGCAACACACGATGTTTGTACAGAAACACCTTTTGGTAATGTTAATGAAACATTTAGCTATTTTAAGGATTTGATACTATGTCATTCAGTTAAGGTTTGTATAGTATATATGGTGAAATTACTATCTTCTATATATAATGTATATAAATACAGAGGCCTCCTTTTAGTATCAACCTTTTTGATGCTCATCAAGTTCGCCTAATTACTGATTATATGCTTAATACGTACTTCAGACATTATAAAATGTATAAATATGCATTCACTCCTTTGGTTAGATTGGACTTAGGTTTAAAGTTAGTACATATAATTTAGTTTTATATGTTATCTAATAAAATACAATTTAGATATATTGGTATGAAAGAAACGCCCCCTCCATCTGAAAAAGCAGATGAAGAAAGCGTAAAAGACGACGAGAAGGAGGAAGTAGACGTTGAAGAACCAAAGCCTGACGAAGAAGAAAGTCCAGCAGCAAGTGAACTAAGGTCCTTAATTAAAATGCACCTCACAACCGAATTAAAGAGAGTACAAAATCAATGGGAAGAGCGCCTTCAAGAGAGTATAGCAAGTATATCTGGTAAGGTTGATGCTGCCGAAGATAAAGGAAGAAAATCGGGAAAAGGAAAACGAAAATGAACAATAAAAATGTAGCCAGAAACAAAGAAATAAATTATTTATAAAGGCCATTTTAGCCTGATTTTTTTTTATTATATACATTACATAGTATAAATTTATATATAAATACATTTGTAATTATTACTTTATATCTTTCTCATCGTTTTCTCTTCTTTAAATAGCAACAAAATGGCTTATAGAAAAGAAGAGTGGAAAACAGAAAGATAAGAAAAGAACTTCTTTCATTTTTTAAGACTATTTATTCATCTATAAATAGTATCTTTTCTATTGAATTTCCTCATATATATGTTAATTAGTCATTCAAAATTTTTGTAGAAACTCTATTATGCGATTCTCTTAAATTAGTATAATAAGAAAAAGGAAAAGAAACCTAAAGTATATACTACACATACATAATCTAAAAGAACATTACTCTACGTTACGTTAAGCGAAAATTATACGTAACGTTCGAACTTTGAGAAAGAATAGATTATTTAGCAAGTTGCTTTTTGCTAAACACTTTCTTTAACATAAGAGATTATTACGTACTGTTTTGTTTGTTTGTTTTTTATTATAACTATGGCTAGACTCGGAAATATTAAAGGCCCTTGGACATCGGAGGAGGATAGTCAAGTTTCATTTCTTGTTCAACAATATGGAACTAAAAGTTGGTCGTTGGTAGCTCAATACATTTCTGGAAGAACTGGGAAACAATGTAGAGAACGTTGGCATAATCACCTCGATCCTACAATTAAAAAAACGGCATGGACTTTTGAGGAAGACAAACGATTGTGCTTACTACATTCAAGGCTTGGTAATAAATGGGCAGAGATAGCTAAGAAGTTGCCTGGAAGGACCGACAACGCGATCAAGAACCACTGGAATTCAACAATGAAAAAAAAATTCGAAGCTCAAGAGGCCATAATAAGAAGTTTGACGCAGGTTCCGGAATCCATAAATGAGGACGAAATTGATTGGACTGGCCTACGCCCAGCTGTTGTATTACAAACCAAGCAAACCGTTATGGACGAGAAAAATCCAAAGAAAAATAATGACGAAGCTGCGTGCTCCGTTCGCAGGGCTGATTGTAACAATTATCGTTTAAAACTTAAAGTTCCGGAAATAGTTAGACGTAATTGTTCGACAATACTGCTTCGAATGTCTTCTGATCTGTTCCCATCTATTGATTGGAACCTATCAACACCATTTTATCCAAAGCCCTCCGAAGAAGTCGATACCCAATCGAAAAGCGACACCGAAACCCCCTCAGTAGAGAACCTAAGAAATTATATGCAGCAAAAGAGGGCCCGTTTAAGAAGGAAGCGAGTTTTATCATTATCAATTAACGACAATTCGGAGAAGAAGCCAAAAAATGACCTAATACCAATTAGTACTGATGAATTAGATGCGCCTCTAGAATGGCCAGAAATTCCCTTACTCGACAACGATCTTTTATCAGCGTTTGATGAGACAGCCTTAGATACACTTGGCTTGTTAGGGGATAGTAGTTAAACAAAGACGCTAAAAATAGCTTGAAAAAATTTTAATCTCATTTTTCATAGTGTGATCTAGCTAAAATACCCTTAACAACGTAAGATCGCTACGAATGCTAAGTATTGGAAACGATAAATCAATAATTCCCTTTGCTAATTTTAACAAATTGAGTCTTACCATATATGAATAAAAATATAACTTTTGTGTAAATTTATCGAAAAAAATTCTTTTTTTTTATTCTATCTATTCTGAAAATCAGGCTCATAATCTGACCTAACCTTATCACATTAAGTTTAAATATTTTTATTCGTTTATATCTCAACATTCTCAAAGATAGTTTTTAATCTAAGAGCTATCTATCTTTTTGATAAACATCAGTAGATCATCGATCATATTAAACGGCCGTTTTTATATATATATTTTTTAAGTAAACCTCTAAAAGCTTTTGGAATGGCACGAGACATTCAACACAGGAGAAAATATGCATGAAACAACATTCAACCTATTATAATGGTTTATTATTAGTACGCTCCAAAAAAAATAGTGAATATAATCTAAAATATCAGATTATTAATTTACTTTTATTTTACTATTAAATATATTCGGCCTTTTCCAAATTTTATCTCCTACCATCCTCGGATTCCTAGTCGCCTTCGGCACAAGTCCCTCTTACACTACCATGTTTAATCTGATCATCTAGTTCTTTTTTAACTTTTTCCTCTAATTGACGGATGTCATCCATGGTTAAACCGTGCCATTTGTCCATCCAACAGAACACCTGACGATGGAAATTAGTAAAGATCCTCTCCTCCTGATTTTGGACCATCTTCTCAACACGTGTTTGTAAGCCAAACCACTTGAAATGTACTCTAACCAATTTGTATGCGCACATGACAGGCATGCCATGATTTTTCATAAGCCTCCACCATTCTGGTCCAACAAGAGGACCTCTCCCAGTTTTATCAGAGTGAAACTTAAGTGGATCTTCATGAGCTTTATAGTCACTCCTGTTAGGTAGTTGTTGCTGGTGTTTGGATATATCTATGTAGACAATTTGTCTCTTTGCTAGTTCTTCTTTCGTAAGACCATGAACATTATCTTGCATTCCTTGGTCGTTGTCAATATGCATAGAAGTGATGCTCAATTCAAAATTTTCCTTCATATAGCCCGGATTCGTCAGGACTGTCTTACAATAAGGATAAGCATTCCATGCCTTCTCAGTAACTTCTAATGAACCCTTAGGTGCAACCATTCTGAGAAATCTCGGTACTTTTTTCGAAATGTGATAGATTTTTTCAGTGTACTGCCCCTCCGTGAAATTTCCCGGCATTCCCGGAGGTTGAATACCTTTTTCCGATTTAAATGGTTCATTTATTAAAACTTCAATACCATCACCACCGCCAGTTTCATTTTTACTAGTTTCAGCGACAGAGAAAAGTTGACCAACTTGGTATTCCTCTGTTGTCATCGGCAGTAACACACGGAACTCATAGATAAGCATTTTTGATGATCAATAAATTCCACTATATTTACGAAGTAAATGAAGAGCAAGATTTCCTGCGCTCGTCACCGTTTCTATTAAGTTGCTCGACCTTCAAGATATAGTCTGTTCTAAGATTTACCTAATTTTTCACCAAAATTCGGCGAATATCAGAGGTGGCTTGTGGAGGCAGCCATGTTGAAAAGAGTAAAAGAACTATATAGAGTAATGAGACATAGAAATCGATAAACATCGAAATCGAAATCACGCAGGATATCGCATCGAATTCATGTTTGAATATATACCAGTCGATTCGATTTTCTATAGGGCGGAAGGTAGATGAACAAATTCTATACACGTTCATAGTTTGGTTACTTATTCCAATTACTAAATATTCTTATAGTTTTCTCTTAGAACCCGTGTCCGAAGTTATTTTAATCTAAAGCTCTCGTTGTTTCGATTGTGGCACTATATGAGTCACTGAATAACCTATTAGTTCATAACAAGTTGTTTGTATTTTTCATAAACTTTTATAAAAATAAATTTTAATACATTTGCCGAAAATTTTCGATACTTATACCACGGAATTAAAAAAGATTCAGTCTTAGATTTCGACCTACGGGTACCTGCATCAGTTCATACCTTTTGTAAAAATACGATTTAAATAAATGAATTAGTCATTTTGATAACGAGCTGACGTTCTCTTCGTTTCTCTGTTCAACAGCATTTTTTTTTAATAAAACGAAAGACTAATAAGTTTTATCAATTATTTTTTCATTGCAATTTTCCACAGCATCGTGTAGGATTACTGATGGAATTTAGAGCAACGTTGGATCGGTTATGCCTCATATGACTCCTAACCAAATGGCCAGCAGCCAAAGCTGACATGAGACTCAATTCTCCGGCCAAAACTGTTGCACACACAATCTTCGATAATTCTGTAGAATTTTCTCCAGGTTGCTTTCCTCCTCCGGCAACTCCCAACATTTCTAGGCACGACTTCTGAGCAGATAATATAGTTCCACCACCAACTGTTCCTACTTCGATAGAAGGCATAGTACAACTTATATATAACCCCCCACTCTCGTGTGGTTCAAGTAGAGTAAGACAATTTGAACTTGCAATATTTTGAGCAACATCTTGACCAGTTGCAATAAAAATAGCTGTTACAATATTTGATGAATGAGCATTGAATCCACCAACTGCAGTACCTGCCATTGCTGATCCAATTAAATTTTTCCCTACATTTAAATCGCATAAGGCTTCAACCGAACTTTTTAATACAGTTTTTATCACTGAAGAAGGAATGATGGCATCGCAAACAACTGACTTTCCTCTACCCTCAATCCAATTAATAGCAGACGCTTTTTTATCCGTACATACATTCCCTGACAAACTTAATATTTCTAAATCTGGAAAATGTTTGCTTCTTAAAAAATTTAAAGCTTTTTCAGCTCCTTTACTGATCATGTTCATTCCCATAGCATCACCAGTTTGGCAAACAAAACGAATGTACAAGTATCGTGCGGCTTGTATGATTTGTAATTTCTTAAGTCGCGCAAATCGACTTGTGCTTTCAAACTCTTCCCCTATAACATGAACATTCTCCTCTAACCATATTTTAACCTGCGCTGCTCTATTGGCGCTTGAGAGGCGCACAACAGGTGCTCTTGACATTCCGTCATTGACTACACAACTACGAACGCCCCCACTTTTCACTAATGCTCGACAACCTCTGTTCGTGCTGGCAACTAAACACCCCTCGGTTGTAGCCATTGGAACATGATAATTACGTCCATCTAACAGAAGTGGACCTGCTGTTCCAACAGGTACAGGCATATAACCAATGACATTCTCACAACAAGCTCCATTAATTAGGGAGTAATCAAGATTTCGATATGGTAACTTCTCGACAATTTCCTCTCTAATGTCTTCACACAGTATACGCCTTCGTATCGAGACTGCTCTTTCGTAATCTCCCAAAGCACTTTCCAATTTGTAAGATGGTAGACTTTTACTCTTTACTAAATTGACAACTTCGACATCACTCATTACGGAAGGATCTAAGTCATTATCAATTACAGGTAACTTTTCAGCTTCTTGTATTACTGGTTCTTCTGATACAATAATGTCATTATCCGTTTGAGTGGCAATCTCTGCTGATTTGAACGAATCTTCATCAATAGCAAACCTTGGTTGACTTGGTTGTTTCAAAATTACATCCTGTTCATCTTCCTGAGAAACTTTTACGTCATTATCCCACCAGATATATTTAATAGTTAAGATAATAGCTAAGATGGCTGTGACTAAGAATTCGGGAGAAAAAGTTGTTAATTCCTTCCAATAAAAAGTACCTAATGAAAGATGCGGTTTTTTATATTTCATTCGTTTTACGCCTTCTTTTGCAGTTAATCCATTTCCAGCTAATATGCTATGAGTATGAACCAAAACAAGACCAACTGACATGATAAGTTTTACTCTTTGAGCAACAGGATTTTTCTCTTCTTCATGTTTTAATAATTTTGAAGGTACTTTCCAGTTTTCTGCTAGACTTTCACCATTCCCAAGCTGAATAGGAAAATATGGAAAATTAGATATTTATAAAACGTCCCTCATAATAATTTACCTCCATTATTAAAGTCAGAGCAGAAGGATAAAATGTCATAAAGGCTAGGTAGTTGGCAATTACTGCTAAACAGCCAAAATAACATATTTTTTCTAATTGTTTAACTCCTACACAAAACAATTGACATTATAAGAAAATAATAAACTTAGTTTACATTAATCTACCTGAGAGGATACCAATTCCTAACAACATGACTTGTACGAATGCATCTAGAGTGACAACAGGACCAATTACAGCCAAACCTCTGCTGATATTCTCCTTTATTTCGCCTTGTGAAGATGATTTCAGAGCAAACTTTGCTAATGTTGTCGCCTTAGAGAGGTCAATCACAAGCAGAAAGAGGGGCAATGCTTCACTGTTTGAAATTAATATTTGACTTATGACTTGACATTGAGAAAATACCCTTACTTTAAGCCTTTCATATCGCCTTCTAATAATTTTATGACAGCAATGCTCAGAACAAAACTGGAGAAAATCGTCAACAAACCTGCGATTCCTGAAAAAAACAAGGATTAATTACATTACACAATACGCTTGACAACGTCCAATTTCAAACCTAATAAATATTTCCATCCTAATTTACGTAATTTTTGGAATTTTAAATAAATATATACCACAGCTACACATCTAGTGACTGTCAGAACCAAAGGATCTGATATTTTTTCGATGTCCTCAGAAGGGCATTCACAATTCCAGCCACAAATTCCATCCGTAAAGCCAAATAAACACATCGATACTATACATATCGTTAATGTGAACGTTCCTATAATAACTTCCCATGGATGAGTTGTACATAACCGACCGTGAGCTCTGAAAATTTTGGAAATCATAGTATGATGAAACCACTGATCATCCGTTATGCTACAAATCCACGGTATATATACCAGTTTTGTTTTAACCTATATATGGTAAGGTAACGTGCTCTACAGCACAGATTTAGAGAAAACCTTTAAGAGCAAACGTACAACCATACTTTTTCTTTGGTAAGTTGAAGTCACGTGTATCGATGGCACGTATGTTTAATGATAGAGCAGATATAACGTTGGAACACTCTTGACTTTTGAGCCTAAATACAAATCCAAAATTAGTAACTATTTCGTCAGCTTTTAATTAAAATAACTTTTATAATAGTGTCTTTTCACAGGGTGAGTTCAAAACTGAATACTATCTTTTAAGTCAATTTTTGACAACTTTCAAACAATTAAGAGATAAAAGAGTAGAGAAAGAGTGATATGGTAGCCATGTCTTAACTTTTTTTGTTGAAAATATGGACAAATTAAACTATTCAATGCTACATTTCTTTCCAATAATAGCATCTATATATACTCAACAAACATTAAACACATTATGGTTATAATTAGCTCCAAGCTTATGAGAAATTGTAACTAAATGACTAACAAGTCGATATGATAAGTTCCAAGCTTTCTATTGACATAACTTTTGTAAATAATCCATACAGTTACTTTACGAAAATATAAAGAATTTCAAAAATTAAGATATACGATTACTATAATATAAACAGATAAATCAAAGATTAGAGTCATGCAGAATACTGACAATTACACAAGCAGTTCATCATCGAAAACAGGTAAAAAAAACTTGAACACCTTTCAATAATTAGTAATATTTTGTTTGTTTGAAGATGAGTTACTTAGTAACAATTCATTTATGCTGAAAGTTTCTAAAAGTTATCAAATAACTATGAAAGCAGAATCGCATGGATTGCTTATCATATGGTTAAAATTCTCACATAAATCTGTGCAATTATTTGAAAGAAAATTGAAGGCCTATATCAAAACTATGTCTGTTAAGGAAGATGCTCTCAATTTTAATCTTGGAATGAAAGTTCTAGCCAAATATTCCGATAAATTATATTATAGAGCTCTTATTGTAGCTTTGACAAAAAGTAGAGCAACTGTATTCTTTATCGATAAAGGAAAATTTTTAACAGTACCTATTGCCGATTTGACTGAATTACCGAAACAGTTTTCTCAAATGCCGTGTTTAGTATTCCCAGCAACCTACGGATATAAATTCTTTGATTGTAATAAAGTTTGTCAGCTTCTTAGAAATTACTGTATAGATAAGAAATTGAAATTGTTTGCAAGAGTAAAGAGTATTAAGGAGACAATTGCTGTTATTGAAACATACTGGAAAACTTCTAATGGAGAAGAAATCAAATTGTTAGATAAATTATCAAATGTTACAAGTCATTTACCATGTGAAATAGATGATATACAAACCATAATGAAACATAAATACGAACAATCATTAGAAGCAATCAAACAAGATGATAAGCAAAATTTAACGGTAAAAAGGAATTCATAAAAATGATATGAAAAATAACTATAAGCTCTTTTTCATTGTTATTTTTTGTTTAATTTTCTCTTCAGTATATGGATTGGAGGAAATTTTTTGCAAACATTATGAAAAGACCAATAATGTTAGGAAGGGGAAGAGTGCAGTTAAAGAAAAAACAATTTTCTAATGGTAAAACTAAAGATGAAGATACAGCTGATCGAACTGCAATAGAGAAAAATTTACATTTTACTGAGTATAAACAAATCAATTCTGGTAAAAAGTTATTTAAAGATTTAGTTTCGAGTGTCGTTCCTATTGAGAAAAAAGATTATGTCAATAGTTGGATGAATGATGATATTAAAGCTTTCGACGAAGTTAATGGTTTAGATTATGATAAGGAAAGTTTAAACAATCAGAAAGTTACTTGGAATAAAAGAATAGAAGGTCTTCAAAAACCGACAATTGCTGAATTACAGTTTAGGCAACAATTAGAATCTTTTATAATAACTCCAAAATATGTTGAAGATTTTTGTCATAATAATATTCTTACATGCTTAATATCGTCGGTTCAGTTGCCAAATATAATTTGGTGCCAAACGACTGGTGGCCATTATAACAAGGTAAGATTTTACAATAGTTTCTCTCAATTAATTAATTGTATACTTTTCTAAAAATCTAATAGATTCTTGAAGCCCTTAAGCAGGATCAACTAAAATCGCCTTTAAACTTGCTTAATTATGTAACACCAAAGAAGGGCACTATACTTGGCGTTACATTTTGCGACGAGCTATACCGCATCAAAATTTTTCACAAGGTTAAACAAGGCTTTTTAAAAGTTCTCTTTATTGATTGGGGATGTGAAGAGGTTGTTAACCCTAAAAATTGTTTTCTGTTAAGTATAGAAACAGCCAGCCTACCAGCACTGGCTTTTCCCATTTCTGTAAATAATATAACACTTTCGGAAGAAAGTAAAGAATTTTTAGAAGGCTTGGACAAATCTTGCGCCGCTATCGAAATTGTTAAAACTAATTTTAGGTTTATATTGAATTACTCTTACATGCTTGAATATTAGAATAAGCTTTTCATGCATTGATTTGATTTTAATTACTCATTTAATAGTCCTACAGTTGAAAATCCTCTACTGGTCGAATTCTGTGTTAAGACTATTGATGATGATTCGAGTTCGTTTAAGCCTTTAGAAGAATTATTGGTTGAAAATGGTTTTATTACAAAAAGTGAAAAATACGTCTTTCACTGATGCAATAAAAATGATTTTTATTCGTATTCATTCTTTACACAGAAACATCAGCGATCGACGAATGGGAAGCAGATGTTATGTCAGATGAATTTCATTCATTAAAAAATTCATATGAAGTTGATATCGATAATCCATCAACAGTCCTATATAATCATAGTTAGTTATTGTAACAATATTTAATAATTTCATGTCTCTTTTTTTCTGGTTTGTTAATAGGTACCAACAAACATTCCCAAGCTTGTATTCAATTTACAAAGAGGGGCTGGTGTCCTAGAGGTCAATTTTGTAAATTTGAACATGAAAAAATGCATTCAACCTTTACCTCAGACGTTAAAGTTATTCAGCAACCTACTTGGAAACATAAAACGGCGAATAGAGTATTCATCGTTTACGTAACTGCTTATTCATCGCCATCTAGGATGTTTCTAAAGATACTGGACTTGAAAGGAGTTCAGAATAACGATTCTTCGCGACTATTTAAAACTTTATCAGAATTGGAACACAAAATAAGGTACAGTTCAATATTTTATTGAATTCTTTAGAAATTGGCATTTTTTAAGAATCTGTCACTCTATATTTAGAAATACGTTGCAAAAACGGAAGAATACGCTAGAATTATTGACTACCGGAGAATATGTTGCCTTTGATAGTAAAACTTTAAGCAGACCGATTAGGGGCCTAGTTGTTGGAATATCAGATTATTTGGGAAGTAAAGGTCAATGTGAAACATATGAGTTTAAAATTTTTGCCATTGATTACGGATTTGAAGAATGCGTAGATGAAAGGAACATTTTTCCTTTAAACGACCAATTTATTCACTTTCCACCCTCGTGCATCGAGGCTTCTCTCAAAGTACGAAGTAAGAATGGTAAATGGTCGTCTACAGATAAAGATTTACTGCAGAACCGTTTAAAATCAAGTGGACCACACTTAATTGAAATTTGCGAGAAGATATGCAATAAATATTACATTGAAATGTTTGATGGAAGAGACGGAATGGATATGAAAAAATGGTGTTTACTAAATTTAAATGCATATATGCTGTAGCCTTTTTCACTCATTAAACAGTATGGAAAAATAAGCATTTTAACACGATTGTTTAGTTAGTGAATTACTATTTTGTCTTCCAAGTGGTTTATTTAATATAAAACGTGTTTTATTTAAATTTAACTGGTAGGATATCGTATTAAATTTCTTAATATGCCTTAATAATTTGAGATAACTGAGAATGATATTATTCATTGCTTTCAAAGATGTCGTCTACCTCGGAAGAAACAATAAGACTTAAATAACAATGTTTAACAGCCGAACATTTACAAATGAACATAAGAGTCGCAACAATTTAGTAAAAATTAAAAATATATATATATTCTTAAAAATTAACTCTTAACTCTGAGGTGTCCATAGCTTGAAAGTTCTGTCATAAGAAGCTGACACAATATACTCTTCACCTGGTGAAATATTAGCGCACATAACCTTGCCTTCGTGACCTTCAAGAGTTTTGAGAGGTGTCCATGTTGGATGAGTCCAGATTTTGCAAGTTCCATCATAAGAGGCGGTCAGAAGGTAACGTCCATTATCCCTTTCGAAATGAACTGTTGATACTAAATTCGTATGAGCTGGAACTGTATAAATGCAACGTCGTTGCCTCAAATCCCAAATTTTTACAGAATTATCTTCGCTTCCAGTGGCAGCGTGCCATCCATCAGAGTTCAAATCTATGCTTAAAACACTTTTATGATGACCTTCCATGAACATTACACACCTTCCTGTTCTAAGATCCCAAACACGACCATAAGCATCCAATCCACTGTGAAAATATTGATCATGTTAATTTGTGTGACTAATAGCTATTTAAACTTTCTAGTACCCTGTTGCCGCTAATGACCCATCTGTATGAAAGGCTATACAGTAAACTTCGCGACTGTGTCCTTCCTGATGCAAAACCTCTTTATGAACTTCCAAATCCCATAATCTCCAAGATCTATCGTAACTGAATATAAATTGTAACATTAATCGCAAGCTCTACAAATTGATAGACATGCTTCTTACCAGCATGTTCCAAGAAATCTACCAGAAGGATGAAATTGTACTTTAGAGACTCTATACGGAGCATGACCTTCTATGTCAACCAACACATCTTCGCTGTTTTATTTTTTTTGGAAGAAATTTTTATTCTATGTAAATAGTAAAATATGAGATTTTTTTACCTGTCTAAACTCCAAAGTTTTACTGATCCATCAGATGCGCAAGACGCTAAATTACAAACCGATTCTGACAAATCTATTGTTGATCTCGGATGAAAAGCTATATATCCCGCCTGACCTTCGTGACCTCTTAAAACTCTTACATTTTCACATGAAGGAACAGACCATAATTTACACAATCCAGACCTAGTTTGGGAGTAAAAAATGTCATAGTGCTATTGAAAGAATTATGTTCATTATTACCAAGAAGATGTAGCAATATATTTAGCATTTGGACTAAAACAGCAAGAAGATATAGGTCTACTGTCACCAATTTGACTGCATTCAATATTCGTACTCCGTACTTTCTTGTATAATTCCTGAGTTCGAGCGTTTCGAATTTTTTCTGAAACGTTAGATTCCACTCTTGCAGCGTCTAATCTTTCCTTGGCTCTTGGTAAAGAATATTCGGCTATAAGCAGCCTAGCTGCTTTTAGCTCTACTGGTCCCTCATGATACCAAGTGATATTTTCCTGCAGTTTGAAAAAACAGTTTTTAAATACGTTTATATTTAAAATTATGACTTTTATTCATTTCAATACCTGTTCTTTTTTCTCAGGTATGTCGCCTTTTTTTCGTTTAATAATATCTTCACCATGTGTAGCAAGTAATTGACGAAGTCTTTCTCGTCTTTCTGCTGGACCCTCTCCAAATAGACCTATTGAAAACAGCTATTATTATAATGTTTAAAAAAGTACTTAAAATCTTACATATAGGTTCTCCAATCTCTCTTAATTGTGCTTTAACTTCACTGTCATCAGTAGAGACAACAATTTGTCGAATCTGAAAATGTTAAAAAAAGATAAGTAAAAGTAACACAAGAAACAATAACTTCATTTATGGTTATATAAAATTTTGCCTTAATTATAATGTACTTATTGACAACTTACTTGCTTTCTTCTCTCAAATTGAGCCAAAAGTTCTTTTTGAGATTGATTTGGTTCAGCAGAGGCTTCGGTTGCAGCTTTAACTGAAATTCAATACAAGTTAGAATTATAATTCATTACTTTCAAAAGATTAATGATTTAATAACCTGGTAAAGCATTAATATTTCCAGACGCTATGCCAGCTTTCACGGAATCCTTTTGTTCTATATCCTCGGGATTGATTGCTCCGTAATGAATGCCAGTCCCTCGTTTATACGTAACTTCGTCATCGTCGCTGTCCATTATTGCTGCAGATGATTCCTGATGAATTGCAAAGTAATAATGTAACTGTTCAAAATGTTTTCATAGCTTTTCGAAAATCAGAAAGCTGAAGACTTACTGATCCTATCGATATGTTCACAATTGTCTATTTAGTGTAGGATTTTAATTAATAAAGGCGAGCGCTAATATAACGTATCGCCGGTATACAAAACACTCTTAGAGGAAACTGGTAAAAGTGATACAAAATGATTTACTTCCGGTGCAACTTCCCGCCAGAGTTCTGAGATCCACATCAGTTCTCAAATTGTACTTGAAAGGAAATGAATTATATTAAGAGTATACCGAATGTCAGTATTTGGAAATAAATGTAGAAGAAGGATACAATAAAATTAATTGTAAGAATAAGAATTTCATTATAATCATTAAACTGAAAGTCGATATAAATCGAAAAAAAAAATGATATTAAATCTTATTATCATCGTTACGTTTCGTATTTAACAAAGAACATTAAAAAAATCTAAAATGTAGTGATTATATTTTTCGCAAATGTTCTAAATGTTTTATAGATGGATAAAGCTAATTAAACTGACCGATTATAACAAATATTACTATTTTCTACCTACAATACCAATGACAAATAAAACGGAAATAATTATAATAAAGTAACAAATAACTGATGCCGTTACATTAGCAATATTCCAACATCTAGCTGAATCCAAATTTTTTCTAGCGCTTTCAGTATTTCCATAGTTAATGGCATCATTTGCGTACCAGGCGAAAACAACAGCAGTAATCCCGAATGGCCAAAAGGGAAATATCAAAAAAGCAATAACCGAGATAATCAAACAATTTCTGGATTCATCTTTCAGTTTATTAGCTTCTTCCCTGCTTAGATTTATAATGCCTGGATATAAAACAGTTTCAGGCATTTGATCAAAGGATGGAGGATCAACTGCTACAACTACCGGAGTTGACGTTGCAGTAATTCTAAGAGCTTTTTCATCGTTCATTGTATTATTCTTTATTAGTGTTTCTTTTTTATCTTCTTATTAGCGCCTAATCATATTTACTTACAGCGAGAAAAGTATACTTGAAGTGAAATAAGCTCAATTTGTCATAATTGTCATTTCTTTTGATATTTCTATAAATATTAATCTGTTGCTGTATTTAAAGAGTTTTAAAATGACATATTTTGATAGCAATTAAATATTTTCTTAATTATTTCTCATTTAAATTTAAATTCATTTCCTATAGTTTAAAATAAAATAATTGACTAAAGGGAAAGTTCGCGCATAAAATTAGGCTTAATTGATATTCCTTCAGCTGTGAACCATTGTAATTTTAGCTAAAAATAGACTTTTATATTGAATTTGTAAATGTACATAAATATCCTTCCACTTTCCCTAGTATTATTTTTGTATATTCTTTATATTTTCTTCCATTTATAAGCTTTATTAAAAGAAAAAATTAAAAAAGTAATAAAATAGAATGTCTTTTAAGGGAGAAACCATAAAATATTTTTAAAGTTGTATACATTGGAATATTCAATAAACCTTTAAGAGTAACTAATTCTTTGTTCTACTAAAATAAGTTTCTGCTTGACTTCTTTAATTACGTCCAGACAAAAAGACTACGAAAATAACTCGGTAGGTGAGCGATAATTCAGGGGAGATCGAAAGCGAGCTTCATAATGTTGTATCTGGAGGATTTTCTGGAAAGTATGTGTTGCAAATAACTCGATTATATTTGCATATTATAATAAATATTTTATTGCACTAGTGATTGAAAATTTACCAATGGAAATGAGAGATAGATTTACAGAAACCAGAGAATTAGATTTACAAGTTCAAAGTAATCTAATTGAATTTATATCAATTAAGATCATTAACTAAAAATAACATTCTATTCTACAGATCTAATGGATAGTATTAACGAAAAGGAAGAACAATTTTTCAGAAAATTAAAGCTCGCTGGAGATTCCGTTAAGCCTGAATGGAAGGATGATCGATTTAGTCAAATAAAAAAAGTACACAAAAACTTATATACATATTTATATTCTTTATTTATATAATCTTTAGATATATGTGATAAAAATGTAATGTATTTAGGAATATAATTCGGCGATCGAGTACGCTGATGAAAAAATTCAAATTGTCAATCAAGTTTCCGAACTGGTAAGAATTCAATTTAATTCAACTAGATTAGGTAAAAAAAATTTCCAAATTGCCCTTAATCAGGTTGACCGTCATTTGCGTAAGCTGGATCAAGAATTAGAAAAATTTAAAATGGAATTAGAAGCCGATAATCCTGGTATTACAGCTATTCTAGAGAAACGTTCTTTAGAACTAGATAACGGTAATCAACAAAATGGAATCAGACCAGAGAGTAAGCGAACTTATTGATTTATTTATATTAAAAATATTTTAATAACTCCTTTTATTTGTATTAATAATAGAGAGAAAATATGTATCGGCTCCACCGGTTGCTGCAGTAACTGGCACTTTAGGTGGTATCACAGTGCAGCACGACATAAAGCAATCTCAGCCTTTCAATCGAGTATTATCGTCCTCGCTTTTTTCTGCTAACAACACTAATGTATTAATCGAATCAAAGTCATCCACTCCTGAAGTGTTAACTTCACTAATCAACGCATGTAGTTCCAATTCTTATAACGTACAATCATCAACAAAAGCCCCATTTGTTGCCGCCGCGCAGAAGGCCATTGCTTTAACGACGGAAACATCAATTGGACGTCGAACGTCGAGCTTAAAAGCATCATACGAAGGTTTAGTCAAAGGAAATGTCAACCTGTCTCAAAGTTCTCCGCCAAATGTTGTCACAACAACCCACAATATGTCTCCTTTAACTGTATCAAATACTGTGTCTGCTCAAAGAAGAACGAAAAAAGTTAAAACCGTTGGAGGAATAAAACAACCCGACGTTCATCCTAATTCTGCACTTCCAGGCCAAGTAGAATGGAATCCTGATCCTAACGAACCAAGATATTGTCTGTGTAATGAAATATCTTATGGTGAAATGATAGGTTGCGATAATGGTGACTGTTCGATAGAATGGTTTCATTATGCGTGTGTTGGTCTTAACTCGGCTCCGAAAGGTAAATGGTACTGTCCTCATTGTACAGCAACAATGAAACGTCGGGGTCGGAAAAATTAGTTCAAAAACTGTTGATTGTCTCTTGTTGTTTTAAGGGATTATTTAATTAACCAACTAACTGTTCAAATCAAAATTAATACTCCTACCAAAGTGTTTCGCTATACGAAAATGTATTGTCCTAATTTATTGTTCAAGCGATTAGTGCTATTCGTCCTCTCTGCCAAGAAACGTATCCAATCTGTTTTAAGCTTAAAGCAGAGAATATATTTATCTGCTGAACTAATCATATTGAAAGAGAAAAGCTAATTTCTTTGCGATTGTTTTCTCTCACATTTTAACAAAGTCACGATCTTATTTTTAACAAATGAAACAGATGAACCAAAAATATCTTTTATTGTTCTCAGTTTTTTCTTTTAGTAATAAAATTTTAATTATGATTCCTAAAGTTTGTTTTTTGCTATTTTGTTTTTATTTATTGTTTCCTTTTTTCTCTTTTTACATAGTTATTTGTTTTTCGTAAATAGAAAATGGTTATTTATAACTAAAGCTTTTTAAAAATTTATTAAACAGTATCAATATATAGTTTACAAAAAAACGTTTTGAGTATAAACTAAATGATATAATCAGATCTATATTTTCTTTCTTTTTTTTCTTTCTTTCTCATTCTCTCTCTCTCTCTCTGTCAAGATAGCATCAAAAATTTTCATAAAAATCGAAATCCATTTATAAAAAGAATAACAAATGAAACTAAAGTAGATATAAAACTTGCACGGATTCTTCCGCCATCCATCTGAAATAAGTGATGTAAAATATAAAGCAAAGATCTTTTTAACTTTAAAATAAATATAAATCTATACATACAGTAACGTAGAAGTTGCACAAATCTCCTGTACAACATTCCATACACTCCCAATCAGCCCACCAATCCCGCTTGCATCGATGCTAAAATCAGTTTAGTTAGTATTTTATAACAAATCTATAAAATGCAAATGAAAACAAATTTATAAAGCTAAAATTACTGTAATATAACTTTGTTGTTTCAACAATTAGAGCAATAATAAACGAGATACCTATGTATATATAATCTATAAGCAATTAGTTTTGGCAATCATAATAAGATTATACGTGTAAAATAGTATTTAATCATATAGTTATAAGGTTTAGCAATACTTTATTCTATTCGTAATTTTTGAATAATGAGTGTTAGTTGTTAAACCATCTCTTTAGTAACTTATTTCGTTGAAAAGAATATTCTATTAGAGAAAAAGTTGAAAAAGAAACTTAAGCTAATAAGATAACGATAATTTACATAGAGTATAAAACAAAATTAATTAAATACCCCCAGCTTATCCCTCTCTGCTTCGCATTCAGTCAACACTGAGCATTTTTTAGATATCTTATATATTCTTTCCATTTTCGGTGTCCAATAAGGAGGAACTGTAATGTCGTGAATTTTTGTTACAACCCTTTAAAAAATTGTATTTTTTGAAGGTACATACCTCCCCATCTTATTGTTGTTTGACAAGAATCAAATTCCTTTTTGCACTGGATGGCCGTTTTTGAACATTTGTCTTTATTATTATCTTGATTTGTGCAAGCATAACATTCCAAGCTACTAACTGTAAAAATACGATTGAGCAACTTTGTAAGATTAATATAAATAAAAGATGTATATAAAAGGTTTACCGTAGGTAATGTATGTGATAAAAGTTGCGATTATAAGATAAAACTTCATAGTTAAAATATCCTTTCACAAGAGTAACAATCAGAAAATCATTTCTACAGGTAAGGTATTGCCAGTTTATAGTTAAAGAGCTGTATTTTTCACCTGAACAAACAGGTTCAAAGCGCCTCCTATAAAATTGTAAGGGAAAATGGGCCTCTGGATAGGGCACCACACTATTGACCTTGACCCGTGACAAACGTGGTCGGTTTTATTTTTTTTTTCTTTTGTGTAACGTTTGGTGAAGCTTAAGGAATTTTAACTACAATACAATCATGGGGATCTTGGACAAAATTGCTGAGATTGAATCCGAGGTAATATTAATCAATTTGTTTGTTGTAGAAAGATATTTTAATACGATGTTAAACAGATGGCTAGAACCCAACGAAATAAGGCAACCATGGGTCATCTTGGTCTATTAAAGGCCAGATTAGCAAAGCTTCGCCGTGAATTAATTGAACCTAAAGGTGGTGGCGGTGGCGCAGCAGGGGAAGGCTTTGATGTTGCCAAGACAGGAGACGCTAGAATCGGATTTGTTGGCTTTCCTTCTGTGGGAAAATCAACTCTCTTAACAAATTTAGCTGGCGTCTATTCCGAAGTTGCAGCCTATGAATTCACGACTCTGACAACTGTTCCTGGTGTTATTCGTTATAAAGGAGCCAGAGTCCAACTTCTCGATCTTCCTGGTATTATAGAGGGCGCTAAAGACGGTAAAGGAAGAGGAAAACAAGTTATAGCTGTGGCAAGAACATGCAGTCTCATATTCATCGTTCTTGATGTCCTCAAACCGCTGCAGCATAAACGCCTCATTGAATATGAATTGGAGGGTTTCGGTATCCGACTTAATAAGAAACCTCCAAACATATACTTTAAAAGAAAGGACAAAGGTGGAGTAAACTTGACATCGACTGTAAGTATATCGTCTGTTCCAAGTATACAAAACACATACAACCTAACGTGTTTTTCTAGGTAGGACAATCAGAATTGGATTTGGACACCGTGAAATCGATATTAGGGGAATACCGTATACATAATGCGGACGTTACACTTCGCTATGACGCCTCTGTTGAAGATTTGGTTGACGTTATTGAAGGAAATAGAATATATATACCATGTGTCTATGTTCTGAACAAAATTGATCAAATTTCAATTGAGGTATGTTCTTACTAGAAAAAGATTTAGGAAAATTGAATTGAGATCATTTCTCCAATGACAATTTCAAAATCTTTTTAGGAACTAGATATCATTAGTAAAGTTCCTCATTGCGTTCCTATTTCGGCTCATCATAAATGGAATTTCGATGATTTATTAGAAAAAATGTGGGAGTACCTTAGCTTAACTAGGATGTTGGTATTATTATATTAAAGGTTAATTAAACTTATTTGACATTTTCATGAATTTTTCTCAGTTATACCAAGCCAAAAGGACAATTACCTGATTACAAAAGTCCAGTTGTATTAAGATTAGAGCAGACAACTGTAGAAGACTTTTGCAATAAATTGCACAGGAGCATTATGAAAGAGTTCAAGTACGCTCTTGTATGGGGCTCATCTGTAAAGCATCAACCTCAAAAAGTTGGTAAAGACCACGTCTTAGAGGATGAAGATGTCGTACAGATTGTTAAAAAGTAAGTTTATTAATAGAGCTAACGCCCTTTTAGTTAATTTTGTGCTTTTTGTTTAAACAGGGTCTAAGAAAATGAAACATTTTCAACTCAAAAAATATATTTCTTTCTTTTGAACTATTATCTAAATAAATATGCTTGTTACGTTAAATAACAATCACATCAAGTATTCAAATATACTATCTGCAGTGATTCTATTTATATATTCATTTTTAAACGTTAGATGGCGCTTCGATTCTTTTATAAACGGGTACCTTAGTCCACATACTATTAGTCCAGTTGCTTTTGGAACGTAACACTTACCGAAACCTTTGCTGCGTAATAATGGCGGACGCTCAACAGCAAAACATTTATCAAGCATCTACGCCAAATAATTGCCAAGATAACGTTGACCATTCGAATATTGAGAGACAACAAGTAGAACGCACTCTTACGGACCACTTAAACAAGAGATTATTAAATTCCTACTTAGAACAGCTCAATTTAAGCGAAAATAATAGCAACGTTGGACAGTCACGCCCTGGTGCTGTACTGCAAAATCAGCAAGCAACGCCGTCCGCTTGGAACCAAAAGCTTTTATAGTCTTGACTTTCACTTATCATATCTCGGTATTATGGTAGTTATCGTTGTAGGAATATCTGGGTATGTTATGCAGTAAATCGACACTTAGCTGTTGATCACGTGACTAATGCATTTTCATCGAGATGCTAAAAAGCTTTTAGCACAGTGAATTAAATGAGAATACAGAAAAATTAAACCTAATAAAGTAAAATAAACGTTTTTAGAGATTCGCTCATTTGTATATATTTTTTTTCTAATTGTACTATCTATATAGCGCACTCTGTTACTAAGCAATAAAAGGATAAAATTATTAGATGGACAGCATGCCTAAAACTTAATCGATGAGCTATCGACATCTATTTGCCATAGAGAATCCTTTATACATTATTTGCAATTAAAATATAACTTATCGATACAAAAGCTTAGTCACGGGATATTTATTGTATATTCCATATGATATATGTCCTAAACAAGAATGAATACTTAATGAAACTGCAGTAACGACCTAATTTTACATTATAGGGCTACCAACAGCGGAAAAACGACATTGTGTAACCGTCTAACAGAACACTTTGGTCACAAATCCACTACTTTGTCTATGGATGATTTTTATTTAGATAATCATGACTGCAGACTTGATCGAGTTCCTGAATTAAATTGTTATAATTGGGAGAATATGAATTCTGTTGATATATCTGCTATGACTGAAAAACTAACAGAATATGTGAGTCTATATGAAAATTCTTCAGATGTTAACATTATATTTGTAGAGGGTATTTTGGTTTTTAATTACGAGTGGGTGTTCCTCCCTTTAAAAATTGAATCGAACAGATATTTATAACCTTTTAACCTTTTGTACCAAACAGACCTTTGTTGACGTTCTTCAACAAAAAGTATTTTCTACTAATTGATAAAGATGAATGCCGTCGCAGAAGATCGTAAGTTTTTTTTTATTATAGATGTGCGAACTGTGGTCTAATTTAAATTTTAAACAGAACAAGAATTTACGATCCTCCCGACGTTCCAGGATACTTTGATTTGGTTGTATGGCCAGAATATTTAAATATAAAAAATTATGTGGAAAATGTACCCGAAGTCAATTTCATAGACGGAACAAACAACGCTAAATCGCTTTTCCAAAAGGTGGCTCAAGATATTCAGATGCTTATTGATAAATGTAAATGACGTGGCTTTTTTAATTCCAATATATTATAGCTAATTCGTTGTTTAGCTTATTGTTATATTGTTCAATACATTGACTTTTAATTTAAAATTGTAATGGAAGAAACAAATTATACTACCTATTGTATATAAAGGAGGAATATCTCTCTTGTGTATTTTCGGTAATTTGAGCAGAGTTTGAAAGATAACTACGTTCGATTTTTGTCAAAAAAAAGACTATAGAAACAAAATTAAAGAGTAACGAAAGGCTTAGTATATATATAGTGCACAGAAAGAAAATAATTCAATCTGTAAACCTTGCTTTGGCACGAATTATTTACATAAAAAGAGTACAAATAGAACAATAAACAGGTAACGAAAAAGTTTAACCTTAAAAAAAGAAAAAGAGGAAATATTCTTGCTTTAATAAGTGTGTATGGGCGGTGCGCTTTCCGGACGATATGGAGAATTGGAACGATTGACGAGCCTACCGACACTAGAGGCTTGGTGAGCTAATTCTCGCCTTTTTTGTAATACAGTTTCCCGATGGAGTTTTTCCTCTTCGACACTATGCTTTGAATTAAAACCAGTTGGTGCTGAGTAATCTTGAAGGCTTTGATCCGCTAGCAAGGCTCTCAATTTTTCCGCTCTAGCGTTCCTCTCGGCCTTTTCCTCTGGTGTTTCGTCTCTTTTATAGTCATCAACCTCAGGAATGTAGCGGATAGGTATCGGAACCTTTTCAGGGATATCTAGGACTTCTCTTTCAAAGTCATTTGGATCAAAAGAGAATTCCTTTTGCTTTACAGACGACAAAAACGATCTGGGAAGAGACTGGGAGCGCTGCAGATTATAAAAAGCCGGTGGGGGAGGAGGGCGTGGTGGTTGTTCATTCGAGTATAGGCGCTCTTTTCGGGCTACCTCTCTCTTTTTTACTTCTCTAACCGTACTTGCCTTTCTGGCTTTTGCGGCCGTTATACCAAAATATCTCTTTGTATTCTCGTCAGCCTCGCTGATGTCAAAGTGAGAGATAGCCACCTCATTATCTTCATTTCTATGATCGCCATTTTCTTCTCTCTTCCATAAACTATTAAGGTCGGGTGTCGAATGTCTTAATTTTACCATTGCCTCCGATAGCTTACTCTGGCGGGTACTGAGCGTATCTAATACGCTATTCAATTGAGGCATCGAGCTAGGAATCGATTTGGCTGCCTTTAAAAGAAGGCTAGGAGAACTAACGCTTCTACTCAGGTCGTTAACTTTTTTAAGGGCCAAAATTTCATCTTCAACCAAACGACTTTGAGATGCTAAATATTCTACTTGAGAACTCGCATCAGCTAATTGATGACGAACGCTTCTAATTTCCGACTCTAACTTGGCCCGATGAGATGGTTGAGTCGTCCTAGCTAATGAACGTTCGAGAAGTAGTAGATCATCGTGTAAGGAAGTAACTACGTAACTTTTTTGCTGCAGTTCGACATCCAATTGGTGTTGCCTCTCTAATAGATCATTCATGTTCATATCCGTATGATTTGCTTGATAACTAAGATTTCGCCTATTTCTCTCTTTTAATTCCCTCTCCTGTCTTTGCCGGGACCACTCAATCATTGGCTTTGGTGCAGTCCACTCTCCTTGCTTAAGTTTATGTTGCTTGTATTGAGTCCGAAACATATTCTGCTCGCCATCATATAAACTACCTAACGTAACTAAATTATCAACAAGATTTATTAATGGGGCGTATACTTCTGTATTAACGCTTGAATTAGGCCTGCTTTGCTGTTTTAATTGTGCCTGTGCTCTTCTAAGTTGAATTAACAAAAGGACAAGTTCTTCTTGAGTTTTTCCTATCAAATCAACTGCGGAAATACTTAACCTACCACCCGGTTGCCACTTATTCTGAGTGTTTCTCTCCGGACGAGGCATAGGTGGTGTGCGAAGGGTTGAGTCTGTTTCCGGTATTGTATGCATAACTGTTGTATTAGATTTCGTCACAGGCGTGTAACGATCTGGCGATGGTGGTGGTTTCTGATGACGTAAATAATGAGGCAAAGGCCTGGAATAAATAGCTTCGGCGTTGTTATTATTGATTTCCTCATCATTAACGTATGTATGATCTCGACTTCTGTTCAATCGGCTTTTGTGTGAATCCAAATGCTGCCAATTTTCGCTGTCAGTCCCCCTCGAACGGATTTCACTCTTTTCCGGTGTTTTAGTATGATATTGGCGGCTAGAATCTAAATTAGTTCTCTCAGGATATGAAGGTTTTTCGTAAGGTTCGACAGAAGCTACTGATGCAGGAACACAAAAATAGCTTAAAGCTTCCATCCAACCCCTCCATTCTCGTTCGCTATCTGCAGCCATGTAGACGGCCCGCATACGATGTTCCAGCTGTAGATAATATTGAGTTTTTGTTAATTTGGATTTGTAAAAAGTGCATAAATTTGACAGATGCAGGATTATGTTTCGCTTAAAAAAGAACTAAAAAAAAACTAAAGGTATATATTACCTTAAAAGCGTATGGCTTTGAGAGGTCAGAACAAGCGCTAAGAATATAGGTACTTAAAACTAGAGATGCTAAGGCGTCTTTTTGTCCTGCGGTTTTCTCGTCTGTCACACGGAAAATCGAATTTACAGATTGAAAAGAGGCATGTGAAGAAGCGTAATTACCGTTGTAGATATGCAGGATGCCGTCTATTAAAGAGCAATAGCGCCATTTCCAAGCTTGTGAGCCGACGCCTTCCTAAGAATAGGAGAATATAACCTTCTTTTACAATACTAGTCAATAGCAATTTCATGTTTTCAATATAATACCTGTTTATACAGCCATCCACTAATAATAGATCCTGTCCTTTGCGATTGAGATCTGTCGGAAATGGTATAAATCTTAGAATGAGATAAGCCTATTTACTCTAAATTGACATAAAAAGTATCTTTTCTTTTTTATCCTTCCCGTTCCCTTCTCAGCCCCTTTCTTCTTTCTTACCTATTCAAGCCATTGTTCGGAACCGGACGTTCAAACGTTGTTACTCCACGGCGATGGCTGTTGAATGACAAACAAACAAATTTGACGTCGGTCAATACTAAAAAATATTCATATATGCTTATAATTTTATTTAATTATATCTTATATCACGTGACCAATTCTATATAAGTGTGATGGTTTTTTTTATTATAATAATAAGAAGTAATATCGAATGTTTAATTTACTTACTCTACGTAATATAAGGCTCCTGCCGCCGTTACTCCGCTTTCCCAGAAGTCCGGTAAATCTGTTTAAATAATCGAATATCGTGATAAAAGTGGCCTACAAACACTTGAGAAATTTACAACGCGACTCTTCTAGACGGTATCATAATGTATGTTCAATAGGTAAAAACGTAGGCCAACACGAACAAAAATAATACTTTCTACTATTTAATTATTTTTTGAATAATTAATTCTTGTAAAATATAAATTGGTTAACTGAATAGTTCTTACCTTCGTCTGGCATATAACCCGATTGTATACAGTATCCATTTGGATGCAACCAACTCGTCTCCCTTGAGTGCTCACTGAAAAACGATCATTCAAAAATAAATTGAATAGTTCAAAATGGTGGCATAAACTTGATATGTTACTTAATAAAGAAGATACGGCCATCGTTAGTAGCTGCAACGCTCCAAAAATCAGGCAAAGGGTCGATGCCGTACTGTCCTTTTACGGAAGACATTATCAACTCTTTATTTTTGGCGCCTGCACCTGCACCATTTTCCACGCGATTTGTTTATACGTGGGCAGATAAAATGTTAGAATCAACACCAAGCGAACTACACTTCTGGAGTGCGAAAATGGCCGCTAGAGGAATTCTATACGCGCTTCCATGCCTCTATACGTTTATAGTCGGTGTCATTTGGTAGCGCCATCAAGTGGTAGAGAATGTCCCTTACCAGTTTCTATTACTAGGAACGCTTAAACATGACACCGCAACAGTATTTAGGTACATTTCAATGATTGTAACAAAAAATCCAAGCTCTTTTAACATCATTTCACGTCCATTTTCAATTGAGTTTTGTTTACACAGAGAAACATTTCATAAATGTCTATTTGGAGGACGCGGTCACTCAGCTTCTTGAGCATAAAGATGAAACTCAAAAAGTAAATGTTTACAACTTTATGGCTGATTAGTTAGTATAATAATTCATTATAGTACAAGCACGTTTTAATATAAAAAACATTCTACTACAGTTTTCAGAGTGTAAAGAATGGTAAACACACGCTATTTCGTTCTTATTCATACGTTAGTGCGACTCCTCATAATCGCGCTAGTATGGTTCAAACATTTGGCTCTTGGTTGAGAAGGGTAGCAACAAACGGTGAATTATTGAGCATTGCTGAATATCATTCTTTGCTGAAATTAATATGTCCGGACTTCCCACTGTCAATCGTTAAGAAAGCAGCAAGGTTTTTCTATAAACCCTAATCCGAACTTAATCACTATTTATCTTCGCAATTTCCTCTATACAGAATTGTTTTAATGGACGACGCCACTGATTGTTCTATGTCGTTTACAGACTTTTTATATGCGTTCCAATTACAATTTGTCTACGACGGTATAGGCATAAATTATATTTTAATGATGTTTGCCTAAACAATATTTTCAAATAGAATTCTTAACGACTACTAAAGATATATTCCTCGGTTTTCACGACAAAGGCAGACGAAATAGTACGGGAAGTATAACCTCGAGGCCTGTTGTCGTTCCAACATCTGAAACGGAGAAAAGCGAAGAGGATACTAAACCCCAAGAATCAACTTCTCTAAATCTTCCAATAGATAGCTCATCATTTCTATCAACGTTGCTTTCAGTAGTTGAAAAGTATATGAATGATAAGTTAGTAAAAAAAAGAACGTATACGCTATATATCTGTATTTAAAAAATAACGTAAAAAAAATCCCAGATAAATTAAGTAAAGATGCTTCTCTTTTCCTTTTCTTTAGTACTTTCTCTGTAGAGCGTATACCACCGATATCGGTTCTGGAGAAGATACTGAAAAATTCCGAAAAGATAACCTATTATGAATTTTTATTAGCACTCACAAAATCGGATGATCTCAATAAGTCAATAGGTAGATTGCTTCCAAGAATGGAATTTGCAAAAATCCATAATTTAGCAGGAACTGAAACAGAAGTTGTAAGGTAAGATTTGTTCAGTAATACTGTATATAAAAATTTTCCTATTTATATATTTTCAATCAATTTATTTTAATTAAAATGTAATGAAACGTTTCTATACGTACTATTAAACAACTTAAGATGATAATAAACTATTGCAGTCACGTTTTTTCTACTGAAAATCACATGACTTTTTTTTTTCTATCAAAAACTTAGAGCTATATTACAAAACTATTTTGATTTTAATGGATTTATACTTAAGGCCTCTCCCACATCTCCTTTTTCTCTTTCTTTCACTCACTCACTCTCTCCTCTCTCTCTCTCTTTGTCACTTTTACCCCTGCACTACAATCTCCATATCCTCTTAATTATACAATAATTGTTATCTAGTCTTTTTTCCACTGTCCTATTATCTTGCATGTCTTTTCCCTACTTTTAAAATATATTTATAACAATATGAAATATATTTTATAAAACTAACCAAACAAAATAACAAACAAAAAACAAATGCAAATGCACTGTAGTGCTCCGGCATACCATTTGTACTGTACACATGGAAAAATCACGGATCAACACCAATCGCCTTCTGTAAGTCATAAGCACGTTATATTTACCTCTTTCAACAGATTTATTATGCATATATATTCATTATATTCATATATATTAAAAAAAACTACTCCTTCAAGTTTTAATATCACTCTATAGTTAATTATAATCATGATTGTTTTAATTGAATTTCTTCTCTTCTAAATTCAGCAATTCGATTATTTTATAATCACACTATTTTCTATTCAGCATGAAAAAGCAAAATGAAAAAAAAGATGATTTCTTTTGCTGCATACAAAAAGTATTGATTTGCATAAAAAATTAAGCGATATAACCACTTATTTATCTTTTTATAATTTCTAATTAAGATAAGAATTATAATAGCTTTGTCACAATAGTTTGATTTTTCCCTTGATCCATATCACACATTCTCCCTTGCCTCCCTCCTCCCCCTCCCTCTCTCTCTCTGTCTCTCTCTCATTCTCTATTCATTGAACCAGGCAGTATATTCCTCTTTTATATAGCTTTTTTTGCAACAGATGATAAACAATAGATACCAAGTAATTCTTTTATCAAAACACCCTTTTGTATTTAAAGAGGTATGTAACAGCTTCCTTTTCTCTCTTTCTTTTGAACAGCTCGAGGCAAGCAGAAGCGACACAACATCAAACAACTGAAGTTAATGACGAATTACGTAATCCTACTCAAGCAAAGAGCGTAATAACTGGACCAAGGAGGCGTTCAAGAATACAAGTCCACCAAGACAGCGATGATGAAAGCATTAGTTGTGGTAGTACTAATAGTTCTGCTTCAACGTAGAGTGCACTTAAATAAGATTAGAAATCAAACATAGACTTGCACAGTTTTATATAAATATTAAGTCACTTTTTATTTTAAAAGTAATAACTATGTAAATAAAATTCATTGACCGAAAAATTTGATCGATATTCCCTAAGTAAATGGATCTTTATTAACAGTTGAATTTCGCGCGCTTTTCTATTCCATTCATACGACTATAGTGACATCTATATGTAGACACTAACGCAATTGAAAATGGCTTCGAAAAGATTAATTGTTCTAATGTTTTCGATAAAAATTCGCCGATTTTGATCAAATGACTAGTCCGGGTAAACATTAAATATATATTTATACGTAATCACTTTAAAGGCAACACCAAACAGACACTGAAAAATCATGTTAGAGTCGCTTAGAGGATATCTATATGCAGCAACTGCTCCTATTCGACTAGTTTTTACTATTATAATCACCGTTTGCAGAACAATTAATACAGGAATTATTAACTTTCTTCACTTGCTTATTAAAATATATAAAAGAATACTATCTTTCTTCCAAGCCATACGGGATACTATTAAACGTACAAAGAATGGAATAAAATCTTCATTTTGGTCAAATATTGACAGACTGAAGAGAACATATTACTGGATATTATCATTAAGAAGACGATCTTTAGAATTAATTTGTCAAATTAGAATAGATCTGCTGAAATTTATTCAAAATGTTAAATTCAAAGCTAAGAAAAGTGTTCAAAGCTACAGAAAACGTATAAAGGCATGGGGATTTCAATTGAAAGACAGTTCAGTACATGTCTGTAAAGATAATTACAAGAAATTTATGAATCTGAGTCGGCTAAATCGGTTGATGTTACTTTTCCTCCTTTCTGGAATTATGGTCTTTGTTATATTAGTTATTATAATATTATATGATATTCACACCGATAACCTTCAAGGTGCTGCCAGTAAATGGAGAAATTTTATCAAATTACTAAAAGCTTGTAGATTTTACTTAAAAAGCGCTGCTCTATTTATACTACATCATAGTTGGATGACATTAATACTATTGATAAAGCTATCATGGTTGACCTTAAGCACCCTTTTAGTTCTATTATATAACATATTTTGTTGGTTATTCGCTAATTTAGTTAACTGCTCAAAATTTCTCGCAAAAGCTCTGCAAAATCTCTGTTTCGATTTCTACGAACATGGAACAGTAGCTTTATTTCGAGCGGCTATTTCTACTTTCTACTTTACTAAGGATTTTACATGGGAACTACTTCAGGCGACAGGGCGAAAGAGTATTGATATTTTAAAGGGAACTTCCAAGTTTTTATCTATTTCCTATGATTTCACTGTTAGTACTACAAAAACAGTCGCGGATGCTACTAACCAAGTTTCACAAACCACATGGATTTGGAGTAAAGTTACTTTTCAATGGATTAAATGGTTTATTATACAAGTTACAACTTTTATCGTCTATTTTTTTAATGAATGGGCGTTCGATTGGATAAAATTTAGTCTTTTAAGTCTATATAAAATGATTTACGCATCTCTACATATAGTCTATAAGTTTATGAACCAGTTTTTTATTTCAACCTGTAATTTTACAACTTCTTTCATAAGTCATATATACAATGGAACTTACCTAATGGTATCATTTGTTGTAAATTTCTTTACCGGATTTACTGGAGCTACCAGAGGCATTGCAAATGGTCTAGTCTTTGTAATTAGAGGAATTTTTTCAACAATAGTTTTTGGTATGGAAAGTACCGTTGGAGTTTACACATCAACTATGTCAAAGTACAACAATATCAGAGAATTGATTTTTATATTTGCCATTTCTCTCTTTTGCGTTTATTGCTCATCGCTAGCGTATGATAGACAACAAAGTAAGAGCAAAGAGGAGGAGGAGGAGGAAAGTGACGATGAAACCCTTGAAAAATTATATCCAGTGGCAAAATCTAAGCTAATGCCAACCTATGATAATCCTATGTTAGACGAATCCGATACGGATAGTGAAATAGGTTTTAAGGATGAAGTCGTCCCAGACATAAATACAGAGACTAATTCAACAGACGAGGAGTTATAATCTCATTTCTCTTATATCTCTTTTTTGTCTCATCAGACTGGTGCTGTGTAAAAACTATTGTCAGCTTTTCTCTTTAAATATACATAAACAAACCTACGTTATTGAATATGTTGCGTTTCTTTGCGTATTTGAATTTCGCGCCATAACAGGCGTGACTCTATTGCATAGTGAGTTTTCATTATTGCGCTATATTTCCGCTTCCGCTCTTGTGTTGTGAACTCCTTCGAGAAATTCTCTGATTGCAGTGGCAACATGGAAGATTTGTTGCAAATACCATCCCCCGGGAGCTTTCCAGACTTAACGTCTTACATGAATGTCGACTTCGATGTTGATGATGCTCTTCTGGGCAGTAGTGAAGTAACAACAACAGAGCCGAATTCTACGTCGCAAACCAATTGTCAAGTATGCGGGGATGAGGCTTCGGGTAATCACTACGGCGTACAATCGTGTGAGGGTTGTAAAGGTTTCTTTAGAAGAAGTATTCAAAAATTAATGAAATATCAGTGTAGTAAGGAGGGTAAATGCGAAATATCTAAAGTCAATAGGAATCGATGCCAATATTGTCGATTTAAAAAATGTTTAGCAGTGGGGATGAGTCGCGATTCAGTAAGGTGAGTTTCATAGAATTTAAAAAAGTCTTTTAAAGAAAAAAAATTTCACGACTCACTGACTACAGATACGGAAGAATGTCGAAAAGAACGAAAACTGTGAATGACAAGCAACAGAAAGCCATTGTTAATGATCAAACGAAAACGCAAGAAGAGTTGGCTGTATACGATCTCATATTGGCCGTTTCGTCAGCTTATACAGAACACATGTTGATTGCTGAAAATAAAATTCCGAAGACAGAGACTGTTATTCCACCTGCAGGGGATTTAATCGATTTGTTGGATTTAACGAAGAAAGTGTCTTCATTCGAACGGCTAACAAAATTGATTGGCTTAAGCTTGAATTCAGTTGCCGAATTCTTAAAATGTATACCGGGATTTTACAATTTGAGTACCAACGACCAGTTGGCCTTACTCAAAGGAGGTTTCCTAGAGATATGGATAATATCGATTAGCCGTACATTTGATACCAATGCGAATACCTTAACCGTACAAGATGGAAATCAAATAAGTAAAGATGATTTGGAATCGGCTTACAATACTGACCTCGTGTCTTGCCTCTTTAACTTTGTTGAAAATTTCATGAATTTAAACTTATCAAATACTGATTTAGCTCTGTTCTGTGCTGTGGTCTTTTTTACACCCGATCGAATTAATGTAATTGATAAAAGCGGTGTATCGGTTTTACAGGGAAAATTAATGGAGGCATTAAAAATGCACATGAGCAGAAATCATTCGACAGAACCCCAACTATTTGCCTCTGTTCTCTTGAAAATACCTGAACTAAGAATTCTCAGCGCGAAACACAATGACGCTCTAGAATACTTTAAGGAAAGAGACCAATTGTTATACACCGATGCAATGTTCGCTGAGATCTTTAATATGCATCCAGTCTTGCATTCAGAATGAGTGAACTATCTCCCTCTCTCTCTCTCTCTCTCTCTCTCTCCCCTTTGCTCCCCTCTCTCCTAATTGTTGTTTTTACAATGTTTTCTCGTTGGCGTGTTTGGCATTAGTGTTAATATTCTACTTTATTACAGCAATCATTCATCTTATTTACAAAAAATATGTGATATTGTGATTTTCTTTTATTTTACTTTTTTCAGAATCTATTGTCGAAAGATTGTAACGAAACTTAGAAATTAATACACGATTATTCGATAACAGAATAAGAATTTTTTTGAATATCTAACTTTTTTACTTATCCGCCTCAGTCTAGATGGCTGAAATTGATTAAGACTCTGTTTGCTTTTGCTCAGTCTTGCTAAAGATAAACTTCTTACTCTGATTACTCTATATAGCGAAGTGCGTTATGAAAATATATTTATCATCTCAATTATCGTCCTAATCTATCTTATCATTGAGACTGTTATCAACTTTATTCGTAATGATTTTTTTTTATTGTAGAAAAAAAAGGTAAAACTTATGGATAAGTACATTGATTAGAAATTCTATAGGCAAGAATCTGTTTGCCAGCATGATGCCAATAGAGAAATGCTATAACAACAACGATATGCCACAGTTGATGACTGCTTCCTACGAAGTCGAATGTACCTGGGCTAAATCTCTCAGGTATCTTTGAGATGTAGAATGTAAAGGCTAATATTGCTAATAAATATTCAACGACTACTTTAGGGAAGAAGAACTGAAATAAAATAAGATAAATGATTACTCATATTGATTAGATTCTTGTGTTTTTAGATTGAATGCATACTTTAACTATAGGATTAGATACTCCTCCACTAAGCCATACCCAATGAAGGCTGGGTATTATTCCATACGCACATATGAGAACATAGAGTATTATCCTAAGCCTATAGTAACGCGCGGTTAAGAATTTGGGTTTCATTTGCAAGCAAAATAATCCTCCAAATAAGAAACATATCGTAATTAAGTAAACATCTCTCCATACCTGACAAGAAAGAGTTATATTTAGATTAATGGATTTTTTCTGGATAATATTTGTATTATTCTTAAAGGTATATTTCTAATTAAATATACGTACCGACATGCAAAAGAAGGCGTAATGTACACCTGGTAAATAACAACCTAATAATCCAACTAGAATTCCATTTAAATCCAAAGCCAACCACCTTTCCGATGCTTTTTCAGAATGGCACATAAATAAATGATAACCAGCAGACGATAATAGACAAAATTGGAAGCAAAGTAAACCGATAGTTACTATAACATGGTCAGTTTTCGTTCCATGTAAACTTGGAATACCAATTATATTATCATAAATCATTAAAAAGAATATTATGAGACATCCTAGTACATGTGACCATATATTAATACTTTCGTTACTCCATGAGAATAAACTCCTCAGGCATAAATATCCTGGTAACAGGACCCTATAGCCTTCTTTTACGTAAGGATTCCCTTTCAGAAACGCGGGAATATCATCGTATTTATGTAATTGAATTGAACCACTTATCCCCGAATTACCACAAAGAACCTCAGGGTTATGAAGATCATCTATTTCAAGGATGGTATAGCTTGACCTGCTCCTCACTGTTAATTTATAGTAAAATATATATATACTTATATATCTATATATGAATATCATAATTCACTGCTAATTCTGTTTAAAGATAAAAATATTTACTTTGATTTTCCATAAGCGGGTGACCTCAACATTAATAAACAAAGTTTTTTAAACAAACACTAAAAGAAAACCAGTGTTGTTAAGCAATCTTAGAGTTTACTTCCGGTTTTGCATAGGGAGCATATAATATACTCTATATCTTTATATATAAATATGTTGCAGATAGTAGATAATAGACGCTCCTCTAATTTAAACATTTTGTCTTATTCTCTTTAAAGAAATGTAGATTATATATGAATTAAATACAATAGAATACAAAAAAAATTATATTATTAATAGCGATTAAAATATTCTAGATTTTAAATGAGGAAAAAATGAAAACAAACGTACGTTAAAGACAAAAAAGTAACCAAATTAGAAATAATCGATTTCTAAGAAATCATTGAAAGTAATTAATTTTAAATCTAAATATATTTATTATTCGACGTGTTAACAGCCTGAAAAAATTAAATTGAAAGCTCCAAAGTATATTTTTGTTTGTTAGTTACTTTATTTGTTGCTAACAAATAAAATGATAAATATACCGCTTTTCATAACTTTTGTAATCAATTACGGATGACCAAGTACCATAAATAGTTTCATATGAAGACACGAACCAACTTACATGTGTAAATAATTAATATATAGAAAATTATGACGCTTTTAAAACGTTTTGAACTAATAAAATTTTAAAAATATGATTTCTGCTGTTTTTCTATTAATTTCTCAGAATCTATAGAAAATGTTCCCATTTGTTAACATTGTTACCATGGACTTTGAACGATCGGATATTCCTAAATTATCCGATTCAATTGAGGATGAAAGTGAAAGTTCTAATGAAACTTCTCGTTTAGAAGTGTTGTTGAGAGAGAAGGAAAATGATAAACGGAGGGAAATTAATTGGGAGAAACGGCTTTCAAATTTAAATCTCGAAAGAGAAATTGATAAACTATTGATTAGTGAGCAGTATAAAAATGATAGAGAATTACATTCTATAAATAGCAAAATTGTTGTTGTTGGTGATGAAAAGAGTGGTAAAACTAGTCTAATAAAGAGCTTAAGTAGTTTAGAAAAGGGATTTACAATGAAGAAAGTAGACGGATGCAACCAAGAAGAACTTAGCGTTATGAAAGTTGAGGAAATAGCAACTGGTAATGTTTATTGGTTATCGTTTAGTGAAAGTAGCTGTGGATCGATTAATGGAGAGAAAGATATTGAAAAATACTTAAGAAAATCACACGCAATCATTCTTACATATTTAAATGATAATGAGAAACAGTTAAAGTCAATTAAACAATATTGGATTAAATTAATCCAAGGTTTTGAAACGAAAAAGCCATTTATTATAATATCGCTATATGATATAGATAAACCGTTTAAAAGGCAATTGATCAAATTCGAAAATAATAAAATTCTTTATATGAAATGTGATCTAGATGATAAAGCTCAAATGGTAACAGTATTTGAAGAGATATGTAAAAGAATTTTCATCCGTCCTAAAATTGATTCATTCAAGTACTGGGAGTGTAACCTATTGTAAATAGTAGTAGTAAACCAATCTTTAAAAGTCTTTCAAGTTGATAATAAAAAATAGATGATTTATAATTAAGTTTTATGACTTTTTACGCTTATAAACTGCTGAAAATTTAATATTTTCTTCATTATCACTCTTACAAATTTTTTAAGGGAGCAGGTAATACAACGCATAGACAATATGTTGCGTATTCAAGTTCTAATATTATCTTTAATTTGTTGGATATTAGTTTGTCGAGTTCAATCACAAGATAATGATAATATTGCTCTTTTTAAAGGAAAATCTATGTTTTCTTTCACCTGCGCTGAAACTACACCCTTGAAAGGCAATGCTTATAATTTTGATTTACCATCGAAAACTTATAAATACATTGCCGATGCTAATGACATTTTACCAAATGAAGCTCATAGATACTCAATGAATGAACATCAAGCAGCAAGAACAATTATATACACAAAATCTACTGATGAGTATGCTGATAATGAATATCACGATTGTATTAGGGAACTTGTTTTCAACACAGATTATGTCAAAAGATCTGTATTTGCAGTTTTAGGTTTGTTATTTATCATAATTAAATAATCAATATTTATAACTTTTTGTCTTTGTTTATATAGATAATTATGAATGTAGTGTAAATAACAAAGAATTGAAGATAATTAGAGGAGAAGATTTTCAATTTTCAGCATCATTGAATTTTACTCATATTTCTCCCGAGTTTACCTGCACAACTGAAGGCATAGGTTCAAGTTCGATAGATCTTTCAATAGATTATTATGATAATTCAACTGAAAGGTCATTAAAAGGAAAAATTACAGCGAATGTAGTCTTGAAAGATATTGGTTTAAATGGTTTAAAAGCCTCCTGCGCCTTCAAATATGACCACCTTGAAAATTTTAAAACAGAAGAAATCGAGCATATTGAAAATTTGCCTGCACCAGAAGGAATGCCTGTTGCGGTAATTTACAAACAACCAAAATTTTTCTTTAATGACGATAAAGAAAAAGTAGTTTGTAAGATTTCAGTATCCTATGAGTGTAAGATATTTTCATTCTCTTTTTAATAGTATATTCTTTAATTTTCCATTCATGTTCCTTACTACAGACGGCCCTGATAATGTTAAGGCAGATTTGCATCCAATTCTAGAGGATAGAGTTTTGTGTACTTATAGCGCCATCTTTTCAACTAAAAATCGAACTATATGGAGGGTAAGTAAACTTAGTTTACAAAAAATCTTATATCTACATAATATTTAATTTAATTTATTTTTAAGATAAATGGAAATGAGGTTAGTGGAACAGACGGAGATATTCTAAATATTACAAGTATTACAAGACCTGCCGATATCAGTTGCGAACCTTGTGTAGAATATTTTAATGGAGAGATCAATTGCACAATAAGTGGGATATTTCAATTATTAGATAGTAAGTTAATCAATATTCTATTATTTTTCTTCTCTTATCAATTCATTTGTCATACTTTTATTTCTGATAATAACAAATATCTAAACAATATGTATTATCAACAAAATGTTCCATACCAGATTCAACTCCACCGGTTATAAAACCACCAAGTGGAAGAAATTTTCCATCGAATATCGCCGTTTTTGACGATCAGACAAAACCTTTTAGATTTTATTGTCACGCCTATCCAAGTTCTCCTTTGGTTATTCATTCCTCATCATTTGGACCAAATGGAAATTTAATTGCCGACCAAAATTCTATTGTTCCGGGACAAAATCATAGATATAGAATGGAAACTGATGAATATTTTACAAGAATAATAGAGTATAACGCAAGTTCAATTGCAGCTTACGACGATAACATTTATCACGACTGTACAGTTCGTCATAATGAAACTCATAGAGCTGTTGTTGTTGTACTTTGTAAGTAAATTATATTTTGTCCTACGACAGAAATAATCTAATATTTCGTTTGTTTATCTCTTTTACTCTTCAGCCAACATGGAATGTCCAGAGACTTTTGTTAAAGGAGTTGAAGATACACAATTTAATCTAACTTACAAAATAGATTTTACTCATATTGAGCCTCTAGTAAAGTGTAATGCTAATACTTTAGGAACTGTTAAATATGACAAGAAAATTATTAGCAATGACCCAACAAAACCAATGAAAACTACTCTCATTGCCACATTAATATTTTACTTCCCAAGGAAATTTGGAACATATGCAAACTGCTCCTTTGTTTACGATAGATCGGAAAATATGTACCTATCAGAAGCCATTCATATTCAAGGATTTGAGCCAGCGGATGCGTATTTCGATTCACAACTACCTTTATGGGCTTATGAAGAGGATAAGCAAAGAGCATCTTGTCATACAAAAATGGAAATTCAGTGTACATTTTATAGAATCATTTTAAATTTGACAGATAATAAACAAGAACTATTCCATAGATGGACCATCCGATATTAAAATAACTGCCAATCCACTGGATCCGAATATTCTTAGTTGCGACTACGACGCCCGGGCCGACAGGTTCCTCTATGCAAATTGGCATGTAAGTATCATATAATTTTTAATTCAATTATCTTTTCTTCCATTCCAAAAATTACTAATTTTCCAGTTTAATGGATTTCCAAAATATAATGCAAGTTTAAGTTCCTTAGACGTTTCAAATGAACCATCTGCAAACATAGTTTGTGAACCGTGTATCCAATTTTTCAATTTGGAGATAAGATGTAAAAAAAGTGAATCATACTTTTGGAATTCATCAGGTTGCAAAATATTTACACTTGACCTTTTAACGATTAAACTTTATAACATTGTTCTAGTTACTACTCAATCCCCTCAAACAACCACAGCTACCCCTACTAGTACAGTTTCAACAACCAAAGCTCCAACAACCACAGCTACCCCTACTAGTACAGTTTCAACAACCAAAGCTCCAACAACCACAGCTACCCCTACTAGTACAGTTTCAACAACCAAAGCTCCAACAACCACAGCTACCCCTACTAGTACAGTTTCAACAACCAAAGCTCCAACAACCAAAGCTCCAACAACTAAAGCCCCAACAACTGCAGCTAGTACAACAATCGCTCCTTCACCAACAAGTGACGCTAGCAAACTAAACATTAGTACTATGTTAGGTCTCAGTTTTATAATTATTCACTTATTTGTATATCTGAGATTTTAGTTTGTTGTGTTAAATCACAATATAAAAAAGATAACAATAATAAGAAAAGAACGAAATATAACATATATTCAATAGTTTGTAAGCCTAGTTTATTGTAATTTATTATCACATATATAAAAAATACAAATTAGTTATATCATATCGTATTCGTCACTCGATTCCTCAACCAATGGCTGACTTGGTTTTCTCCTCTTCCAAGCTTCCCTTATACCGCCCATATTTCTTATAATTATAATTGCCATGATAGTAAATGCTATCCCCATTGCCATAAAATATCCTCCGGTTATCATGAACTATGTTGAAAGGTAACGCATCTAATTAAGGCATGGTGATAATTAGGTCTAATTAATACCTGTGTTCTTATGGATACTTTAAGACCGTGGGAATCGACGAAAATTAATGTCAATATTGTCTGTAGGAGAAGGGCAACAAAAGTATTACATCCAAAGACGAAACCAAATCTGGAAACCTGCAATTCATTTGAAATCTGGAAGCTATTATAGAAATAGAAAAATGTACATTTAAATCTTTTTGTTTATTATTTAAATTTAACCTTGCAACTGTAACAATAAATTGATATGTAGCCCGAAAAAGAATATATAATAAATAACATATCCAGATACTAGTTGTCCTACTAACAGCAAGTAGGAAGGCACCGCTAGTACAGCTTAACAAAGACAGGACAATTTCACCTAATTCTTTCCAATTAAAGTGAATAAATCCTGTAGATATTGCTACACCAGCACCTAAGAATGTTGAAACAGCATCAACACCGCCATTAAATGTTTCTGCATTGGTTCTATTCGGTTTAATTTCTTCGTATAAATTTTGTATATAATTTCCAACTTGAAAATTCCCACAAGTTGCTATAGCCCACCATATACTCCATTTTAGAATTGTCCTATAGTGTGAACAACATATCTATTTATATCTCTAAAATATAGATTTATATAAGTTATTTTTAATTTTCACCTATTTAAATAGCTTATCTTCCCTTCGTAATATAAGTTTTGAAAGTATCCTTTAATATCGCATCCAGACCGCCGTTCCCATTTCATGGGGAGTATTAAAGATATTACGAGAGCTACACTTACAGATAGTAATGAAATGTAGTTAAGTTCTTTATAATTAAGAACTTTTGTAGAAACGAAAGTTTGGGCTAATGCCGCCGACAAGAAACGGCCACACAGTAGTGCTCCTCTTGTAAAAGACGTCGCAAGCTGATAATTACTAGGCGCAATGTTAGAATAGATGTAAGTTAAGTAGGCAATTTCGGTGGCTGTTGCTGCACCGTATACAAACTGCATAAGTTGCATAGCTCGAACGCCGTTTCCCCATAATATAATGCACCATGTTAATATATAACATAGCCCTTCAAAGACAATTACAGGTTTATACTGTAAAGTGTCAGTGAGCAGGAATACTGGAATTAAAAGCACTAAATATGAATAAGTCCAAACAACGTAAACTTTATGATCCAAATCTTCATTTGTTATGTTTTTATAACCAATTAAATACGGAGTTAAAAATGGTTCATTTGGTCTAAATTCTTTAAAAATCCCGTAAAGACATAGTATAAATGTTATAATTTTCCAATTTTGTGTCCAATTACAAGTTAAATTCACCATATTTAATTAAAAGAAATCAGTCAATGTTCATTTATAAAATCATCTCTTCATAAGTATCTGTTTCAATTGTTTATCTAATTTGTTAGTTTTATACTTGATATCAACGGTAACGCCTTCCATTCAGTACATCTTTAGAATTATCTTAGTATTATTGCACTAGTCTTTTTCATTCATAGTCAGATGTGAGATATATTGTTTTACTTTTTTTTCGTAGTGATTTTTCTATTTCGTGTAGATTTAGTCCTATAATTTCATACGATATTAAACAGTAATTCAATGGTTATATCTACATAATATATGTATTGTATATCTTATCAATATATACTTTTAATTAATGAGATATATACCTTTATTAAGGTATAACCTTCGTAATAGTCTTCTGAATTATCAATTATGATATGATGTACCAATAACTCTTTGACATTCTTGACCCACTTTTGAAAACATAACGTTCAAATAAATCAATATTTATTTATTTATATATGGATGTATGTATATAAAGTTTAAAACTAGTATCTATTTTCTAGACTTACCAATAAATTAACTATATACTTTATATATAAGATATTAATAAAAATTTTAATTTACAAGACTGAAAATGGCGCCATCTAGTTGATAAAGAAAAAATCTAAAAGTTTTCAAGTAGGCCTAAATGTGCTGGTTGTAAAATAAAAAATTCTTATCTTTTCAAAGATAACGCAAAACAATAAAAAAAGGAGAGAAGAAAGAATTAAATGTAAATGATAAGTAGCAGAGTTTCTTTTTTTATCAAAAAAGTCTCTAAGTTGTTTTTTTGATTATATATTAGAATGCACTGAACCAAAAAGGATTATAATAAATTGAAAACTGAAACCATTGCAGAAGTAATGGTATATTTTGTCGTGAAGGGTTAGAAATGAAGACACTTAAATGCCTACGTTTCAACGGTAAAATTCAAAGGAACAAGCATAGCGTGAATAAAAAAGCAAGTTAAATAGAAAAAGTAATAAAAAAGGGGAGACAGAGAGTGAAAGAGAGGGAGAGAGGGGGTGGAATATAAAAAAAAAGAAAGAAAGAAAGAAAAGGAATTAGGGTATGTAGAATAGAATGAAGGGGAGGAGAACCGTATTACCAGAGGTGAAAATTTTACTATTAATTAGTCAAGATCTCTTTCGCCTTTCCCTCCTTCTTCCTCTTTTTTTTTATTAATCTGAATCACATACTTACAGCATTCTTTTTTTTTTATATATATAAGACATCCTTTGATAAAAAAAATCTTCCATTATTAAAAGATTGAACGCTCGCTCGCGCGCGCCTCGTTCATTCGAGCTTGCACTCGTGATCTCTCTCGTATGTGCACGCACGTGGTCAAAGGAATTTTTGACTGTTAAAATTCTCACAAGAAGAATTTTTTAGCGTCGACTAAGCTATAATAACCTGTGACGGTTAATCATCATATTTAAGACATTATTTCAATGGTCACTTGACCTTTTCATTTCACTTCGACGTTAAATAAAGAGCCAATAGGGCCAAAAAATGGGGTCTTTTTTCTTTACTCTTCGTATTAAAGCCCTTGAAAGAAAATAGTCCAGTTCTATGCTCCTTTCTCGTCTAATAATAAATAATAAAGTAATAAATATCGAAAAGAGAAAAAAAGGAATTTGATTAGGCCTATAAAGCCACCCGACACACATATATACATACACAAGCACAAACACACACACACACATAGATATGTATATATATATGCACGTAGTTATGCAAATTGAGGCAAATTCCTTATTCTTATAGTTAAAATCGCCAAAAGTGATATATAATATCTGATCATTGTAAAAAGTTCTTTTTACTAAACAGTTAAAGACTATAATAACTTCAAAGCTATCTAAAAAAAACCTTGAGGGAAAGTGAAAGGTTGTTTAAGGCACGTGTATAAGGCACATAATGTAAAGAATGTATTAATGGACACAGTACAATATCGGTACTTGTTAAGTAAAGTTGTATAGCGTTTAAAAACTTTCTATATAAGAATTTGTTCATTATTGAATACTTTCACTTTAGATTAAATATAATTATTATATATTAAGATATAAAAGCATATAGATACAGTTTTTTATATAAAATGGAAAGCATATATCCTTAAGAGGACTCTTTTTTCATCGCTAAGTAATAAATCTGGCGTTGACAAGCCCGAAAGGCTTGAAGAAAGTCGACTTGAGCGTTAAAAGCGCTTGTTTACTTGTCAAATGCCAAAAGGAATTTTTTCAATCCTTTTGAATAAAATAAAATAAAAAAAAGAAAGAGGGAAGAGAGAATAAGAAGTGTTAGAGGGCATAAGGTTGGGAAAAGAAAGAAAGAAAAATAAGATGGGAACTCCCACCCATTTTTAAGGTTCTACTAAAGGTTGGAACTTGTCCATGGGAAAGATACACATTATTTAGCTTGTTGTATAAAGAAAGAATTACGTCATTTGCAAATTAGGTGATTAAAGATGCTAGACGCGTGTTTATACGATTGCGTACCATTGTTTAAAAGTTGGTGTATAGTAAAAATAAATTGTATTATATAACCTAACAACCTAACCTTGTTGTTCACGTAAAAAGCTTGGATACCTAGCAAACAGAAGCTATCTGTAAGTATGAAAAGTAACGTTCATTACGTAATATTCATATGGATGCAAATCACTTGATGATGCAAAGGATAAAGTATTATGCTGAATTATTTTCTTTATAATTTAACATTTTTTAAACTTTCTACGTGTATGGGAAAGATAAACAGTGCTTAGCTGCTACAAGCGTAAGATTATGTAATATACCAAAAGATTATTTCCAAGTATCTTGGAATGGAAGCTAAAGAATAAAACACAAAAGTAACAAGAGAGTATTATATAGACAATGGAACCTGGCAATCGTGCATGCTTTTTTCGAAAACAAGTAAAAACAATAATCCAAGAATAGGCCTAACTTAAGAGATACAAACGTAATAAAATCTTATAGTATATAGTATCTTATCCATATAGCAGATTTTTATATGCTTCATTTTTTCTCCTTGAAAGTGAAAGATCAGTTATAGTTATTGAGGGACGAAGATCTTATCTATTTCTCTCTCCTGTTAACTCTTCACTATTGGTTTTTTCTCCTTCCTTTTCTACACGCTAGTTCTATTTATAGTTATTTATGCTAATTTTTTTCTATTTTAACACGTACGTTCGAACATTTTGCAGGAAGTATAGCATACAACTTTCCTCGATTCTTTACATTAACATAGTATAATATTACATAATATGTAAATTATACAACATAGCTCTTATGTATGAAAGCCTTTCGTTCATATGTTGAAATTAGTTCATTTCTTAAATTTGTCATGTTCACGCGTCATATTATACGAACCGTATGTTAAGAAGAGAGAATTCCTAAAGCACGTGGGAAATAATCTATAGAGTCAACCTGTAGAGGGATAACATTACCGAATAGCAGAGAATAAGAGAACCGTAGCCTTCGAATTGAATTGAATATTTCTATTTTCTTTTTGTTAAACTTAAAAGATACGGAGAGGTAGCTAAGGAATTTCTTTTATTGCCTTATCTTCTTTCCTTTTTTTATGAACGCATCATTAAGAAAGAAGAAAGGTTGATAGGAATGTATATCGTTAAGGAGTATAGTAACTTTATAGACCAAATGTGTTTATAAATAATGACTGTATTGTACTCTGTATATATATATGTATGTATATGTTACGTAACCTTTGAAAAGATAACATGCCGACTCTTTTTTATCTTGCTTTTGAACAATCGAGAGGTGCGGGATCATACAAAAAGTGCATAGTCGTCGGATAAAAAAGGCAGAGTAGAAAGGGAATTTTTTCGCTACCCTCTTAATTTCAATGGCTATAATTATTCATTACAACGCTCTTTTTTAACTTTTTATTACCCGTGTGACTCGTACGAATACCATAGATGCTTTTGCATTGTAATAAGCCTCCAATTGACCGAAAGAAAGGTAAAAGGCTAACCGTTAAATCACTCTGTAGTAATCGACATTTCAACAGCCATAATAGTATATATTTAGTTTCACATTAAATTTTCATTAAGGAAAAGGGAGTGGGGGTAAACTTAGTCTTACAGTTGAAAGGAATAGTAAGATAAATGATGTCTTACTGCCCGCTGACTTTATTTAAGGAGGTTGTAAAAGTGGTATGGAAAATAAAAGGATAAAGGTTGCGGAGATGAGTAAAGAACGAATGGAATGTTCAATTGAGACTAAACACTATGCAATATTCGAAAAAAAGAATAAAGAAAACCATTAAACTACCCAAAGGAATATTTTTGTTCTTAGAAGGAAAGTCGTAAAAGATAACCAAACACAATAGAATGTTCTAAAAAAAATAACGGGTAGATGGAAAGTTTCATAAGTGTGAAATAACTCAACCTGTCAGACTCTAATATTACGCAATAAGGTAAAGATAATAAATACTAATAATAATGAGTAATAAAAACGTTTCCTTTTTATTGAATGCCTCTTATATTGTTTCGTATCCGTGTAGATGTATATATTCTATGTAGACGGAGAAAGAATAGAAATAATCTAATAGGTTTCTGAATGGAAAGGTTAAGGTCGCGAGCCAGAAACGCGACATATGCGCCTATAACGCCGGCGCACGTGCTCAAATTCCCGGCATTCCTATGTTCAAAAGCTTCCTTTTCATTTTCCCGGCGCCGTCACCTGCCGATGGAACGACGTCACCTGCTCGTGAGGAATGTTGCGCCCGGCTGGCGCTACCTGTCAACCAGGAATTTCTATTGAATAATTCGCCTTTTTAACGAAATTCTTCTTCGTACTCCTCCCTTTTGCCCCCTCCTTTCTCTATTTACATGATTCTCTCGTTTGTTATTGTTTATATTAACAGAGCCAAATGGCCTACGTAAAGCAGGCTGTAAATAATTTAAAAACAAATATTTCTGGATTCTTATAAATAAGACCTCTAATTTTCGTACACTTCATTATTAAGAAATATGAATATTTGCATATTGTAAGTTAGTTAGTTTGATCACCTGTTCATTTATTGCGCTTTGAATATTGGAAAGAATTTTTCCGGATCGTTAAAGCATTCCTATAAAAAGAGGCATGCACGGTGAAAGGAATAAAAGGCAGGGAATAAAGGACGACACGTGTTACTTGGGGAAAATGTTTCTGGTAACTAGAAATTGGTGACGATCACGTAATTTTCAAATGAAGATGGCAATCTATTTATCGCCTAGGGAGAGTAATAAAAGTTGGGAGACGTTTGTTACGTAATTAACAGGTATATTGAACCAGAGGTTGGTGGTGAATTATAGAGAAATAATTACCATCTGGGATTACGAAAGAATCTCATATATTTTTTAAGTAGTTTTTATTCTATTCATGTTTAATACTATACATCAAAAGGCGACCTTAACGACTTTGTAAATACAAACAATCTTTTCGCACTATC